CACGGTTTGTACCTCCCAATTGGGTTCCCGACTTGGTCCGCCAGATGTGCTCTGGTAACAGTGGAGAGAGCGTGTTGGGACGCAGCGGTCTCCGCACGGTGGCGTCATCAGTCGATGTCATGCTGCAGTCAACAAGCGATGGCAACGGCGTCGCCCGTCGGACTGGTTTAGCTGTCCTCCTCTCGGTCAGGGGTGAAGCACTCTATCTAGCTCACTATCCACATTGTGATCGGAGGATAGATGATATTGACATCGATGCAGGCAATGGTGGCCGTCGATAGAGGGCGCAGAATGAGATTACATGTGACAAGGCCGAGTGAATGGGTGGGAAGAGGGAAGGGACGAGCGAGTACGCTCTGAGCCTGGCGCTGAAGTAGCAAAGGTGCTGCTGCAGCTCTTACTGTGCACTTTCCTCAGCCAATATGTCCCCTGCACCTTCGTCGTCGCCAAGGCCGAGGCTCAGCCTTGCCTCCTCTAACTTCGGCCGCACCCACTCCGACCCGCTCAGTTCAATTGCTGTCCTGACCGCCTTGGTTCCTAGCCTCATAAGGTCTCCGTCTCTCTCCTTCTGGAGCTCCGCAGCTAGACGAAGCCCTTCTAGCTCCGCTTCGACTCCTCGTGCGCTGGGCGAGAGCACGAGGCACGAGGCAAGAACGTACTTGAGGAGACGGGGCGCCGACAGGGCAAAAGGCAATAATAACCTGGCAGGACTCATCAACGCCCCTCCACCCTCAACCTCTGTCTCCGCCTCCCTCTGCATCTCAAGGATAGGTCCGAGATCTACCGACTCCGCTGTAGCCCGTTTACTGTCGTCGCCGGTTTTGATCAATTCGTCTCGAAAGGCCAGGAACTTCTTCTGACCTTGCTCCTCTAAGATGAGTTGTCTGACAATGCTATCGTCAATACCATTTCTCAGCGCAAAAGCGCGGACCAGATTGGCGCCCAGAGCCCAAAGATCTGCACTTGGTCCCACTCTCCGGCCGCCATCATTGTCGCTTCCAGACGCCTCAGGCGGGACCCAATCGAAGCTCATCAGCTGGACCGTCTCGTCCCCGCCAGGCGTCCTGAAGGGATTGGCGTTCTCGTAGTCGATGACCACCAGCTCACCCTTCGTGTCGAACATGAGATTTTCGAGCTTGATGTCTCCATGCAGCCAGCCTGCTTGATGGAAGCGATGGATGTGAGCTAGCGCTTGGACGAAGACAAGGGCTACGACTGGATAGAGCTCTTCGTCTTCGCAACCAGCTATTACGAAGAAAGACTCTTCGGGATAGTCCTCTTCAAGTCGAATATATTTGCCATCACTCGTCATGAGGAGCTTCGCCACAGCAGCGCGCCCAGTGCTCAAAGTCTCGGCCTTTTGAATCTCGGTAAGTATATCGTCGAGGTAGGTCGATCGCAAGATCTTGGCCAGAGAGCGCGCATAGGCTGCATTTTCGCGAGCTTCGTTGGGGTCCATCGCTGAGCGGATCTTTGCTTCGACCGACTTGATTTCCATAGCAGCGTAGAATTTGCCTGACCCGTCCATTGCCCATCGTCGTAGCTTCGCGGCCGAGGAGACTCGATTGTCAGGGGTTGTGATCAGGTAGGTGGTTGCAGCGGAAGACCTGTTAACCAGGGGACAGGCCGGGACCTCTGCTTCGTCTCCCTCTGCCGCTTCCTCATCTCTGTGACTGCCATTCTTATCACGATTGGCTGCTTCTGCCTCCATTTTGCCTGACTTCTCGTCATCTTCGTCTTCTTGGGGTCGGCGGGTTGTCTTACGAGGCCGACGACTACGCGATGTGGCCGTTGAAGTCTGCTGCGCCTTCTCATCCTCATCGCTGTCTGCCCAGCCCTCGCCCTCCTTCTCGTGCTCGGCACTAAACAGACGGACACTGAGTCCGTCAGTCACTGCTCCTTCTCGAAAAGGACCAGTACGATCATAGAGTGTCCCTTCTACGCTGATCGGTTTCCTACGTCGCGCAAGGCGAAGAGCGATGGGACCCGGGCTATCCGACCTCGACGATGAATCAGCCGTATGGCGACTTGACGGGGTGCCGCGTTCTCCCTTGGGAGATAGAGGAGAAGGCGGTGCGGTCTGCGCATCTATCTCTGGAGAGGCTGGGACAGAGCTAGCTGCAGCTATCGCCGCGGCCTTCTTCAGCAGATCAGAGGAGCTCAGCTCGCGCTGGGGCTTGGGCGGCCTCGAAGTGACTCCGCTGAGGTCAGGCTTCTGTTGCGAGCCCGGTGAGGGGGATAGCTCACGCTTGATCTGCTGCTGCTGTTGCTGGAGGGCGGCAGGGATGACCACCTTCGACGATGTGCCACTTGGGGGTCTGCTCGAAGGGGCTGGTGTGCCCGTCTTGATTTGGCTTAGAGGCGCAAGAGAGACCCTCTCGATGGCAGGCAGCTGTCTTCCGCTTGCGGACGAAAGAGAAGAGGATGACGAGTCTCTCCTAGGGGTGTGGATGCCAATGACCGTCTCGTGTCTTAGGAAGGCGGCTTCGGGACCATTTGAAGAAAATCTCCGCGGTCTGCGACCCAGGAAGCCATTGCTACTCTGGGAGGAAGAGCCGCTTTCCATCTTAGATGAGGAAGCACTGGGAGTAGCTGACTTGTGTACATCTGACGAAGTCTGACCGGTTGCTGATGTGAGGGCATTCATACAAGGCCTCTTCCATGCTCCGCTACCCGTCCGAGACCTGTGACTAGATCGACTGCTCCGCCTGCTTAGCTTTGAAGAAGATTGACCGCTCTCGCTCTCTTCGTCGGTAAAGGTATCCGTAAAGTCTCCCTCTGTACTCTCATCGTCTTCGCCGTAGGGGTAGCTTTCGAGAACGGAAGCATCGGGAAGATCAGACGAGCTGCCAGATCTCCAACCCCAGGCGAGCTTCAGCCCAGCCCCCATGCTATCTCGGTCCCGCATGCGCCACCGCTCATGATCCTGACCCAGAAAGAGTGTTGCTGCCCGGGGGCTCTTGCTCGTAGAAGAGCGGGGGATGGTCCATTGGCTCATGGGCCTGTTCTTGGTGCGCGGATGGTCGAGGATGCGGCTGTCCGGCATGGTGGACAGGCGAGTGAACATTGGCCGTGGGGGTTCCGAGGCTGACGGGCCCTTCGGCAGCTCGGATTGGCCGTTGGATGGGGCTGTAGTGTGGCCTGAGCCAGCCTTGCAGACCTCTACTGCCTGGCTGGGTGCTTGCTGGGACAAGGGTGACGCCCTGCGATGATTCGCGTCATCTGCGACGGGCGGCTCGTGACCAGCGGAGGGAGTCATGAGGCCGTGCGTATGTCAGTCGAGCGGCATGGAAGGTAGAGTGTTGGGCAGAGGGCGGGGGGATGGATCGGAGTCGAGGTAAGGCGAGGAAGCGAGGAGGGCGGCGAGGAGGGACTGTGTGTGTTCTAGGCCGGAAGGATCGGGGGTGATGGTGATCCTCGATGGTGTGGGAATCTCGGAGGGAGTCGTCAGGGCAGCGGTGAGGTGAAGTGACGGGCGAAGGAGCGGCCCAGGGCGGGCCCTGCTTTGCCTCAGGGCAACCGGCGACTTTGCCCTCGAGGCGGTGCAACTCCGCCAGGCCAACGAGGTGGAGGGCCGGTACGGAAGAGACCAAGCGGGCCTAAGAACAGCGACGCCGAAGTGCAGCCACAGATCGCCGGGATGCGCCCTTCATCACGAGCACATTTGCTGGACGCTACATTGACAGGCGATCGTGTGAGGACTCGAGAATGACAACAACATTGATGCTGGTTGGAAGAAATGAAGGGAATGTACAAGTGCGCTACCACATGAGTCTCCAAGCCTTTGACTTTGCCGCTCCAGCCCTCTTCACTCCTCCCAGTCTTCGTCCATTTCAGCCATGCTTCCTTCATTGTCCATCAGGTCCTCGAAGTTGGCCATCTGCTCCAGGGCTAGACGCCTCGAAGAGATGACGTCGAGGGCCAATGGCAGGCCATCGAAGCTCAAAGGCTCCGCATTGCCGCCTTTGCGCACAGCAGGCCGATCAGCCCCGCTGAATTGCTTCTTCTTTGGTTCGTATTTGCAGCATCGCTCCTCTGATAGCCCAAAGGCGGCCTTGAGTTGATTACGCAGAAGCAGCACAGTGCCCATAACAATGCTCATGCGAGCCACTGCAACCGATTGAGGCTTGCTCAGTGCTTTGGTGTTCCCTCGGCCGTTCCCTCTAATTGACCCTCGCCCCGCATCTCGGAGGTCGTGCTGAGTGCCACCGAGATCAGACCCGGACTCGTCGTCACCCGCCTCATCCGAGCAGTTCGGCTCTGACTCGGCGAATCCATCTTCATCGACGTCCATGGCTTCCGCATCGCTTCCTTGCTCAGCAGTGGCAACGTACTCTTCCGCCAGATACTTCACTTGGGCGCCTGAGACTGCCAGGATCTTCTTGAGATCCGCAATTACAACCAAGACCTCCTCCAAGGTCTTGTACTCGAAGACCGCTAGATTGTCAGCGATGTAGCGCGACAGTAGCACTTGCTCGTCTGTGCAAGCATCAGAGGACGTATCCAAATCCAGAAATTTGGACATGGCTTTCAAGAAGTCGAGGCGAGTCTGACGTTTGTCCTTCAGCAAAGAGTACCATGGATGGAGGAGGGCATGTGTCAACCCCGTGACGGCGTCGATGCGATAGCCTCGCAAGTCTTGTTGAGATGCAGTCGGCTGATGCAGACTCCACTGGAATTCAAAGGAAGACTTGATGAGTTCTCCGTATCGAGCGGCCAGGATCGAACCATGTTTGGATGCCAGATGCTCATGGAGTTGCAGCGCGCGATTGGCAATCCTCGAATCGGTGGTCGTCTCAAGGGAGATCAGGGTCGGCATGCATTGCAGGGGATGGCACAAGCCTTGCATAATGATGAACTTGAGAATCTCCATTGCTGGCCGTTGAAGGCCTGGTTGGCCCACCGCTACAGCAGCGTTGAGGATCGGGTCCAAGTAGCGTTGCACCAGGATCGAGCTGACACCCGAGTCAGCAAAATTGTCCGTGTTGCCGACCAATTCACTCATATCGACTCGAGTTGGTTGTCCGCCGTCCTTTGAGAGGGACTTGCGACCCCCCGGCCTAATGCTTGTCGCGTCCCCGCTAATAGTCTTCGCATCTGCTTTTGTCGGGGCTCTCTTGGCGCTGTCTGTCGTCAAAAAGTCCAGAATGATACGCAACAGCATCTCCTTGTCACTGTTCTGCTCTGAGCCGAAGGCAGCATCCATGACCTCCATTCCTTTGTCTTCGATCATCAGCAAAGGAAAGCCTCTGAAGAGAGTGCCGATGTCTTGCAGTGCCACAGAACGATGTGTCGGGCTCTGTCGAATTGCGAGCAGTAGCAAGAATACGGCGTCCTTGATGGATTCTGAGCCTAGTGTGTCATTGATCTCCTGCTCTAGCTCTGGCTTTTGCTTTCGAAGAGCATCAAAGTTCGCATGCTCACATAGTAGTGCAGCCTCCGACATGATCATCCTAGACTTGCGATCAACGGGTGAATCTGGCTGGGCTGAGAGCTTGGCAGCGATTGCGCTGAGGGCCTTGAAAAGGAGACCGAAAGTGCGAACGAGTGTGGAGTAGCTCTCTGTGTGCGCCTGGATGATAGTGGTATAGCAGGCGATTACCTCTTGCAGTGCAGCCATTTGGCGGGGCGGATTGTTCAGCAGGGGTCGGAGGGCCGCCTCCAACTGACCAGCGAACGCCAGAGCGGTCTTTGGCATGACAGGCAAGCTGACGCGGAAGACCTTCAAGAGAGTCTCAAGGACACTGGCCTCATCCGGCGTCTGTGGAGAGCCTCGAAGCTGTGACAAGAGCACCTTTGCTTTCGCAATCGAAAGTACAGCAGGATTGGTGGACACGACAAGATAGATGGCCTTGACCTTGGTGAGCAGCGTAGCTGTGTCACCTGAGTCCTCTCCCTCGTCCAGAGCGATGATGAGTCTGTCGCTCAAGGACTGCAATTTGGCGACGAGCTTCTTCGATTCTTCTTCGCTTCTCTCCTTGCTGAAGCGCCGGAAGACCTCTTCAAGAGGTGATGGTCTCTCGCGAATTGCGCCTGCCACTCGAACAATGACCGCCATGTCGTTGTCCAGACCGCACACATCATGCTCCTCGGCGTCGAGTCCCTTCGCATCTGAAGGTGCAGCCGGGTTGGCATTGCTGCCATCAGCTGCTGGTCTCACGTCATCCGCGTCTTCACCGCTCGATGTGAGGTTCAGCCAGATTTCCCCCAGGGTCTGGACTGCGAGATCTTGGATGCCAACGTCCTCGTCGTTCACGCAGCGAACCATGCGTATGCATGCATCGATCCGTGTTTCGTCTGAGGGAAGAGTCCGGTAGATGCTGGCAAGAAGCTTGAGCGTCCTCTTGCGGACAGCAAGGCCGGCGTCGAAGATGCGCTCACGTAGCTTCTCATACATGCTTTGCATGTCTTCCGGCTGACCAAGCAAGTACTTGGAGAGAAGTCCTACGGCGGCCTCCCTGACGCCGATGCTCTCGTCGGATAGTCTCGTCTCGATGGCATCCCGAATCGCAGCCAAGTCCAGTAGGGTGGCGTCGATGGCATATATGGCGCTGAGGCCTCTGATGGCTTTTGTTCGGTTGCCTACTGCCTGGCCGTCCAAAGCATTGACAAGTACGGAGCGAGCAAAGTCGAAGGTGACTGCATAAGACGTCGTTTGAACGAGCTGCTCAGAAATCTGGCTAGCTTGTTCGTAGCTCCCTATAGGACGACTAGCGAAGACATCGCCCCTGGCCGTGTTGTTTGACAGGCCACCATCCGCTCGTCCATAGCTTGACAGTAGTAGTAGAGACTGATGCAGCCCGGCAAGGTACTCTGAGATGGGAGCTACTTCCGCGCGGGTGTCCTCCTCTTCTGACCCTCGAGCGATGTCAAGAGCGGCCGATGTTCGAATCAACGAAGCAGATACCTCGCTACCCCATTGAGCCAAAAGGAACTCTCTGGCACTCTTGGATGTGTGATCATCGACCTCTGCAGCGGCGAGGTGGTCAAGTATGATTCCGTATGCGTGATTGAGGTCGTGAAGGCCCTGCTCGTCTCGAGCTTGCTCAATGGCATTCATTGCTCTAGGAGCGCTTCGGACTCCGTCCAGCAGGTCGCCCCCGGTCGGCCTGAGGCTGTCCACTTTAAGCTGGCTCGCTCGCAAATGGGCAGCCAGCGTTCCCAGATGCTCCAACGCGACTCCCTTGGCATCTGGTAGCATCTTTGGATCCTCTAGCACTGAGCTGAAGGTGCGACAGAAACTCGACAGCATCAGAATGGATGCTGGCCATTCGGGTAAGAAGACTGTAGTCAAGAGGTCTCCGATCAGCATTTCTACAACCGAGGCATAGCTGAAGTCTCCAGAACTCTTTGTCACTTTCATTGCTGAGATTCTGCCCATCAAGAAAGTAGCAATGGCCCGCGATGTCTGCGCAGGACCGTCCAGAGCTTTGCGCAGCGATGCAAGATCGTAGTCGCTGGAAGACGTGCCGTGGGCAGTGGAGGAGCGCTCTTCATCATCGTCTCCGTCAATTTGCTCGTCGACGCGTTGACTCGCTGCAAGACCGACCTCGATAGCGGCCATAGTCGAAGATTGTCCGGTCGGCTGCTGAGGCGTCAGGCGATTCTTGAGCCCGTAGGAAGCCGCTTGGACCAATTGCACAAGAAGAGCAGTGATCGTGCTAATTGCTCTGCCATTGTGGAGTGCGTATTGCTTGCGTTGCTTCTTCATGTCTGGGAGCTTCACCAGGGAGGTGAGAATTTCCTCGATGATCCATTGTCGTTGTTCCGAGTAGAGGGAGAAGACATTGCACAGCAAGCCGAGAGCTGGCTGCCTCAGCGATTTCATGACCGTATTTGTAGCATCGACACCTGGAGCCAAAGCCTCCATGGCTTTCCTCCCACGGATACTGGCTTTCGCGGCGTCTGATGTTCCAGACAGAGTGTCTGGCTCTGCGGCAAAGAAAGTACCCAGTCCAGCATAGATGGCGCTATATAAGATTGTCTCGGAGAGGGATATCGATGGGAGGAGAACCACTTTCTGAGCTTGCGATAGTAAAACACAACAGCTACGCAGGATGCTAGCAAGATACTCGGTGCAACCAGCGAAGATCCCAGACGGATCCACTGCGTTATCGTCCGTGGCATCTACTGCGAGCTTCTTGGGGCGTCCACGTTTCTTCTTGTCCCTCTTAGCATCACTCGGTGCTACGACTCGAAGCCAGGCTTGGAGCAGAGGATGGGAAGCTTCATTGATATTCGAACAGGCTTCACCATAGGGGAAGATGACCTGTTCGAGGGATGCTCGAAGCATTTCGAAGCAGCTATGTAGTAGCTCTTCGGAAGCAAGACTTTTGTCCATAGCAGGCTGCGTCACGATGCTCAAGCAGCAGTCTACAGCCATCAGACTGGTAGCGATCCGAGACAATTGTTCGCCAAGCTGACGATGCTGCTCTTCAGTGGCCTCGGTGTCTACGTCGTCTTCGCCGTTTCTTGACTTTGTCGGTGAAACAGATGTCCTGGAAGGCTCTTTTGTGTGCTTGGGCCTCGGAGAAGCCGCCAGGTCTGAAGTGCCGTCGCCTTCCAAGAGCACATCTTCGCCCTCTTCGACTGCAAGTCTGTCGCTGCCCTGTCCTTCCTCGACTTCCTCCGCATCCTGCTCCTCCTCAGTCTCTCCGCTGAGCGTGCCCTTGCTTCGCCGAGGTCTTCGTGGAGACCTAGTCGTGTTGCGTGCACCGGCGCCGCGCCTCTTGTTTGGGCTCGCGCTACCTCTTTCCTCTGCAGCGGCTGCTTTGGCAGAATTTGCAAAAGGACTGATACCCTCTCCGATCTTGGCCGTAGTCGCTAGGATGCGCATCAGCTTCTGCATATCTTGGAGGTCGATTTCGGCAATTGAAGCAGGCTCGGACATGGTGGCACCGCCGTCAGCACCACCAGCAGCAAGCATGGTGACAGGTCGCCTCCCGCTCTGATTGGCCGCACAAGTCCTCACTAATTTGCTGAGATGCTGTATGCGGTTTGGTTTGAGAACTGCGATGCCATCGACTAGAACAAAGAAATCGGAAGCAGAGGCGTCGAGCTCCGTTGGCAGGATGGAAATGCTGTCGGAGCCCGGCAGAGAGCTTTCCGCCTCGAAGAGGTCTTCCATTACGTCGAGAAATCTCCTCATTGGTGAGCGTTTGTCAGCACTTTTGATGACACTAGGCTTTGATCTCGGCGCGGACGGCGTCACGTCAGTGTTTGTGGGTGTCTGTAGAGCAGCAGTCTTGTCTCCTACAGTGACTGTTTCGTCTCCATCGTGCATGCCGTAGTCGCTGTCCTTGTCCCATTCCTCTGCTGAGCCAGAGTCGAATTCATCGTCCACAGGCAGAGCGAGGCGGAGACTGGAGGTGAATGTGGTGCCTCTTCGCTCTGCCGTCACCTCCTTGAGTAGCTGCTTGGCTGTAGTCGGAACGACGACTGCAGCTGGGACACTTTTCTCTTCCTCATGCTCGACGACCTCTTCTGCCGAAGCTGTAGGAAAGGCGGTGACTTTCTTCTTGGATCCAGGAGGCCGTCCGCGAGGCTTGGGCGCACTTGGCTTTGACTGAGAAGTGGATGCCTTCTTTGAAGACACCAAGCTTGAGGAAGAAGCAGCCTCGGCAGATTGAGTGAGTCGAGAGGTGGAAGCTTCGTCCGTGCTACTGGCATAGAAGTTGGTCGCCTTTACTGGCGAATGAGCATTCGTGCTTTTTCTGCCCTTCTTTCTCTGCTGTGCTGCACTGCCCTCCGGCTCAGGGGCATCGTCCAATTGCCGCTTGCTAGTGCTCGCCAACGTGGCGCGCATAGATGCACCCATTGCAGCATTCAAGTTCGAAGGGTGCTGCGATTGAAAACGATGATGTTCCATCGACTTCCTGGTGCTCGGGCTTTCTTGCCGATGCCCGCTCTTTCTTCGGGGCGGAGAGATGACATTGAGAGGGTCGGGTGACTCTGGACCACTCCGAATACTTGATGGACTGAAGAAGACGCCCGAATTGTCGCTGAAGCTCGTCGGGGTCGCCAAGCCGATTGTAGCTGGGCCACTGACGATCGACTGACTGTCTTGTCTGGGAGTCTGCGAGCGTTGGGAGTCATCGTCGCTTTCGAGGGCACTGTGGTGATGATTTTGCTCCGCAGACGGAGAGAAGTGGTCCGCATTGGCGTCGGAGGGCAGCAATGGTAGCTCAGCTCGGGGAGGACCCTCGAGCTCTGACTTGACTGTAGATGCGATTTTGAAGCCAGCTGCCGAAGTGTCTCGGTCGAGATTCCTAGCCTCAAGCGGTGCTGCCAGAGTCAGCTCTGAGCTGCCGCTATGGCCGGATCCTTGCAGTGCTGAGTGTTGTTGGGATGCAGATCCGTTCTGCTGTGAAGCTGGTGTAGGCTTACTCTGCGAACTGCTTTGAGAGCTGTTTCTATCGCTGAAGTGAGAGGTGGATTGCTGCTGAGGCCGTTTACGGTCAGCCATGGATGGGGCTATATGCCGCGAAGAAGAGCCCACTCTTGACGATTGTGATTGGTGACGTCGAGAGGGTGACGCTACGGACGACATGAAGACCTCCCTTTGACCCATGGCGGCCGCTAGCGTGTTCAGGCTTGGGTTCGGATGGACAGAGGAAGAGCCAAAGGGGTGGCCAAGGGGGACGTTCAAAGCGCTTCGAGTCCTGCGATAGCGAGATAGAGAAAGGGAAATCATTAGCGCATATCACTTAGACCCAGATCTGAAGAGGCCTCCCATACCCACCCCTTCTCAATTGGCTTTCCGTCGAACATGCTGATCAGTTCCGATACCCCCTTTGCTTTGCTCGGACCAGAAGTGGAAAAGGAACGGCCCGCCTGTGAAGAGGGCTGACTTTTGGCCTTGAATTGTGGCTGTGGTCCAGAGGTCGACCTTGCGAAGGGATTGTTCAATACAGGGGGTATGGGACTCGAAGTGCTAGGTGTGAGGTGAGCAGTAGACTGCAGATATGCGTGATAGGGAGATGACCTCTCACTGCTAGCCCACTCGCGGGAGCTGGACTGACCGTTCGAGTGTGGCATTGTTTGTGAGTGGTGGGATCGGAAAGGGTTCCTGTGATGGGACCCCACTCCAAGCGATTCCTTTTGCGAAGTATTCTGAGATGCCTTGGCCAAGTGTGAGGGTTGCCGGGGCAAGCCTTGACGTTCGTGGCTTCGCGGGGGCGAGGGAGTCCCCCACTCGCCAGAAGGGCCTGCGACGAGTGTAGAGTGGCGATTGCCGTCACGACCATGGTGATAGCTACCACTCATTGTGCGATGCCTGCGTTGGGGGGAAGACTAGGTCATTGGTGAGGAGATGCTGTGTTACGTGAAGAGAGTAGATGTGCTCGATGTGGTCAGAGGGGTGCCGTACGTACGTACGCCGTGCGGGGCGAAGAACCTCGAAAGCAACCCAGTCGTCGCGGGAGGCGGAAAGCGAGGCGCGTTGATGAGCGTGGCGCGGCGCCAGGCCCGCTTGCCTGCGTTCGGGCCATCCGGGCCACGGCCAAGTGCGCCGCCGACCACTCCTGCCCTTTCCGCTTGGCGTAGGTAGAGCTTAGTCGTTACCACCTCGAGCTCGAGGAGATTGACGAAGATGACTTCGACCAGCTATGGGCAAGAACTTCCGGTACGTTTGACAGCAGAGACGAGAGGTCAGGTGTCGCGCGTCGCACGTACTGAAGTTTGCTTGCATTTGCCAACATACAGGACCAATTCTCCGTCATCTCAACTGCCCTGTCTGCGCATATCGCCTTGGTACATGACACCTCGACCTTCTTTTCGGAGAGGGCAATGCTCGAGAGGGAATATGCCAACAAGCTTCGAGCTCTCACTCACAAGTACCGCACTCAAAGGGACAAGAGGGTTATGGAGTGTACCGTGGGACCTGACCCGAGCAAGCAGTGGAGTCCCGAGGTAGTGAATCGGAGGTGAGCATCGCGAATGAAGGAGGCGGGCGACCGTTCATCAAGGTACCTATCCCATTGACGACCTCTTGTCTCCCCTCTAGCTCATTCCAATTTTATGTCACCTCGGCCATTGCGGCTTCGGAAAGTGTGTCAGCTGACCACACCGCATTGGCAGGACAGCTGGAGAAGGTGGCAGCAGATACCGAAAAGGGAGAGAAGAAGGCCGAAGAAATGCGCAAGAAGGTGAGGAGAGGGTACGTGAAGTCATACGCCCCGAGTTTGCGGCAGCTGACTCGCGGTAAGCTCTTCCCTTTGTCGCAGCATCATGCCTTTTATCAGAAGGTCATCGCCGATCGCGAGAAAGTATACAGTGACAGGGCCAAGGCAAAGTCCAAATACGATGAGCACTGCAAAGAAGTCGAGCAACAGCGTCACAAGAGGGAGAAGGCCGAGTCAAGCGGCACAAATTCAGATCGGGCACGCAAAGGCTACGATGCATCGGAGCAAGAGATGCTCAATGCAAAGGTGAGCAGACGCGACTCCTTTACTTCATCTACTTTCAGCAGCTGATCTTACCGCCTTTGTTCCTCAGAATGCTTACCTCGTATCGATTGCTGCGCAGAATCGAGCAAAGGAGCGCTTCTTTGGTACCGACATGCCTCGATTACAGGACGATCTCCAAGTCCTCTGGGATCTTGTAGATCGTCAGCTTGTCGCACACGTGAAAAAGATATCGGCCCAATTAGCTGAGCACAGCGAGAAGATTTCTACCAAACAAAGACGTATGGAAGCAGATGCTGCAAAGGTGGTCGTCGAGGCTGATCAAGTAGTTTACACCGAATATAACGTCAGGCGGTTTGACATGCCCGCCGATGTCAGCTTCGAACCATGCGTGGGCTTCTTCGACACGGTGAGTGCAGGTCGAGAATGTGTCTGCGAAGCGCAGACAGTCTGACGCTGAATGCCCTCCTTGCTCCATAATAGCCCGAGATGTCAGTGGAGGACGCTTCGAAAGTGCCGCTGCAGAATATGATTATCCGCAAAGAGAAGAAGATTTCCGAAGTTCGGCCAATTGTGGCTTCGAAGATCAAGGAAATAGAAGGCCTGGAGCGGCTACGTGTCGCCTACACCGACAACCCGTCTCTCGGTGATCCAGAGGAAATCACGGACAATCTCCTAGATTCGACTCGTAACGTTATTGTGCTCGAGGCCGAATTGAGTATCCTCCAGGCGGAGATAGCCTCAATCGCGGAAGCCTTTGGCGGTGATCTGGGTGAGGCTAGTCCTCATCAATTCAAAGCTCACAACTTTACAATACCCGCGACTTGCAACTTCTGTGACAACAAGATCTTTGGTATGTCGAGACAGGGCTTTGTATGTAAGCCTTGTGGCTTTACGTGCCATGCCAAGTGAGTCAAAGTAGTGAAGAGGGACGAAGCGTATATACCGGCCAGAGCAGACGCTGATGATAAGAACCTCCCCATCTCTGCCGGCTCCTCGCTGCACAGATGCGAGCCCAAGGTCCCAGCCGACTGTCGCGCCTCGCCAGCTCAGCGCCTCAAAGCCAGCACGGTAGAAGCGAGCAGCAGACGACAGTCCATGACCTCGGTCAGTCAATCCAGTACCTCTCGCCGTACGTCAATGGTCACCGGAGCGACGACGCCATCAGAGGCTAGTTCCTCTGAAGCTGCCCCTGCGCGGTCCAACGGTCGAACGATGCCTCCGGCAGCGGGAGCACGTAGGACTGGCCCGCCGCCTGTACAGCGGAGCACAAAGCCCTCTGCGACCAGCAGTCAGCACCCTTTGGCGACGGCCATGTACAACTACGAGGCCACTTCTGCTCAAGAGCTCAGCATCAGCGATGGCGAGCATCTGACAATCATAGAGGAGGACAATGACTCCTCGGGCTGGGTCAAGGCAAGAGACGAGCATGGATCTGAGGGCCTTGTCCCCGCCTCGTACGTGAGCATCACTGCCGCTCCCTCAGCTGCAGCCTCTCGCCCATCTGCTGGCAGGCGAGCTCCTCCGCCTAGGCCCGGCGCCGGAAGCGCTGCCAGCGCCCAAGGAGTAGGTCGCTTTGTGCGAGCGGTATACGACTATGCGGCTCAGGAGGATAATGAGTTGACTCTTTTGGAGGGTGAAAAGGTGGAGCTCACCTCTACTGGATACGACTTTGGGGCGGGGTGGTGTGAAGGAGTCAAGGCGGGCAAGGTGGGCGTGTTCCCCGCCAATTACGTACAGGACATCTGAGGCGGGGAAGCCAAGAGAGTACTACAGTGCTGTAATCTGTTTGCTTCTCTCCCTGCCTGTAAGTGGCCGTGAGTGGACTAGCAATACTAGGAACAGTTGCCAGCTTGTTCACCGTTCCCTCTGAGACAGTCTCGGCCGTGAAGCGTTGCTGTAGATATGAATGCTGCATTGCTGCTAATTGGAAGGACGGAACAGCTGGCTGCTTAACGTCGCCCTCGCTGCTTATCGCGAGGGCGGGCTCTTCTCTCCAGGCCTCTTGCGTCCACTGACTCGAATGCCCTTTTGCACACGAGGTCCCCATCTGCACACAAAGACGGACGAAAGAAATGGAGGAGAACAAGGAAAGATGGGTGGTGATGTCAGTGTACTGCCATCAGGCAAGGCAGCTTGTGCAGAGTGAGGACTATGAAGTGGGCCTACTCACCCTCTTACGACCTTCTTCTTCTTTGGCCTGATCTTGTACTCTTGGGGATCCAGACCTTGTCGGAACTTCTCCATTGCCCATAGAAGGTACCTGCGAGGGGTTGAAAAGGACGGTTGGCACTCAGCACACCGTTTTTCGTACATCTCCCGCTCTCTCACCGCTCACCTCCTGTGTTTGATGGGCACACCAGCCTTGCGAAGCCTTTGACCATTGAGCTCCCATAGCTTTTGCCATTCTCCTTCCCCCTCTCCCATCAAAGCTGTAAGTCCTCCATCGGTGGAGAGGTCCCTATGCGGAGGATAAGAGATGGCCTTGAGGAACTGAATTGGTGTGGCGATGTCTGGCCGCGGATGGGGAATGGGAAGTGGGGGAGAGTGCAGGCGAGGAGTGGTATGTAGCAGACGGGAGTAGAGGGAGGCAAGGGGAGTGGGTGCGGGTGTGGGAGTGGGAGTGGGAGTGGGAGCTGCTACTGCCGTCGTTGCCGCTCTGATCGGCAGCTTCGATGTGGAAGCAAAGAGGCGACGCAGCATTGCGGTGGGCGTGAGAGGGACGAGGGAGAGCAGCAGCTGTGTTGGTAGTCTGAGATGCGTACGACTGAGGTGAGAATGAGTGGTTGCTGCCTGCCTGCCTGCCTGTCTGCCTAAGTCTGTCCTTCCGTCCCTGCCAAAATTCCGATGGGTGTTCGTGAGCCGCCCGCCTTGTGCGCCTGTGCCTGGCCCACGCCTACGCCTACGCCTCGCTCCACCCACCCACACGTTGCGCATCCCGCGAAAATCCACAGCAGGCAGGGCAGCCACACGCAGACACGGCCCAGCAGCCACTTCTTCTTTTTTTGATCAGCCAGCTCTCCTCCTCCCTCTTCCCCCCCCCCTTCTCGACTATATACCCACATATCACCACAGATCAACAACCACATCATGTCGCTCCCAGACTTCACTTCCGACTCTGGCCTCGCCAAGCTCGAGCAGTTCCTGTCCAACAAGTCTTACATTGACGGGTGAGTAGCGTCAAAAGGGGGGGGTATCTGCAGAGCGCTAGGCACAGACGAGCGAAGAGGATGGGCGGTAGAGACAAGGACTGCACAGCGCAGCATTAGTGGCTGGGTCGCTGTCCCAGGAGAGACATCATCGCTGCGCTCTTTCACTCTCAATGCTCCTACGATATGATGATTACTATGCTTTGGTCCGTGTTTCCGAGCCCAGCGGCGTAAGACCCCGCGACTTTCATGCAGTGACGACAACACAATCTTCTAAGGCTTTCTGATCGTAATTGCAGAGGACAACGAGCGAAACAGTGGTGGAGAGGAAGACAGAGGACGGGAAACGGGACGGAGAAAGTTACCCATGCTCTTCTAGCTAGTGATCACTGGGCTGACCCTTCAACATCTCTTCTTCACCCCCTCTCCTCTTAACTCTCTACTCCAACCAGACATGCTCCTTCCAAGGCCGACGTTGCCGTCTTCGAGGCTTGTTCCGCCCCCGACGCAACCAAGTACCCCAACGTCGCCCGCTGGTTTGTGCACATTGCTCACTTCGAGAAGGAGCACCCCAACCTGCCAGGAGACAAGGCCAAGGCCGCTACCCTCCTCGGCTCCACTGCCAACACTGGTGTCCAGTCCGATGCCGCCAAGGCCGTAGCCGTGGCTGGCGAGGACGAGGACGAAGACATTGACCTGTTCGGCTCGGATGACGAGGAGGTCGATGCCGAGAACGAGCGAATCAAGGCCGAGCGTGTGGCTGAGTACGAGAAGAAGAAGGCCGCAAAGGGTCCCAGGGCTGCCGCCAAGTCCATTGTCACCCTTGACGTTAAGCCTTGGGATGATGAGACTGACCTCAAGGCCGCTGAGGAGGGTCTGAGGGCCATCGAGGTCGACGGACTCGTCTGGGGTGCTTCCAAGCTCGTCCCCGTCGGTTACGGTGTCAGCAAGATCCAGATCACCCTCGTCGTCGAGGATGAGAAGGTCTCTCTCGATGACCTGCAGGAGAGGATCGCCGACGAGCTCGAGGGTGAGTAGAGATGGAGGGCGTTCGAGATTATGAGTTCAAATGGGCAACGATGCTCATCCGTTCCACCTTTCCTCTCCACAGACTACGTCCAGTCGACCGACATTGCTGCCATGGCCAAGATCTAAAGGGGCGATGCAGACCTTGTAGAGTAGACGGATGGTGTAGACGTGGACAGCTCTCGTCGCATCGGGGATGCAATCTCAGCCTATCAATGACCATACTTCCCTTGATGACGATGACAAATTTGCACGACTGCGAGAGATTGAATGACCCCGTCTGAAGCTTCTTGGGCTCCCGAATTGCATTGCTACGCAGCCCACACAGGGCATGGCTACGCACTCATGCTTCCCTCGCGAGGATCCTCCGCACGCTCTCCCGCTTCCTCTCGTTCTCACCCAGCCCCTTGGCCCAATCCTCATCGTCTCCACCTGCCTTGCTTACTTTCTGATCCTGACTTTGAGTCCCCTCGGTGGTCATACCTTGCTCCTGACCGGGGCCGAGCTTATCCACCCGTGTGCCGAGTCGAATGTCTGTTGCGATTCGCGGGGCACCGAGCTTGTGCACCTACTCGGATTGAGCCGCCAGGAGAGCGTGGGTAGGCTTGCAAAGTCTCAGCATCTAGACGGATCACAGAACGCTGTGAGGAGGCAGCGACTGGAAAAGGACTCACTGCTTCGTGACAGCGCTCGATTGCTTTCGAGACTAAAGGGAAGGGGCCTTCGAGGTTGGTGCCATAGCCGCTGTGAATGCAAGGCGTTGCCATGTGAGCAGGCTGAGACCTCAAGAATGCCTGCTCAGTCGACGAAGGTTATGACTCACTGCATCTGTGACCCGTGAAGAAGCAGAGAGAGGCGGCGATGTGGTTGTGTCAGCAAGAAGGGCGATGACAGGGAAGCCGCGTAAGGCGGCTGCTCTCACCTCATACTTGATGCCCTCTGCCTTCATGCTCTCCAGCACTCGCTGGCACTCGGCAATGTATATTCCCACCGAGGGCGTGGGGGTCGCCATCGGAATTACTGCGACGGGCAAAGAATGGAGAGCTTCAGCGTCTTCGCTTGTTCGTTTCTAGTTGAGGTGTCATGCACTATACTCACGACAGAAGTCTCTACATCAGCGAAACATGAGAGAAGGCTGTCAGCTCAAACAGAGACGCCCAAAGCCTGGAGTGATCGTCTGCACTCACGCTACAGCGTACAGGGGCATGACGAGCGATGCACTGTGATGTACAGGGGCTATAGGATGTAGGATGTCACACAGTAGCGGCGAATTTGAACTCGAGTTGGGAAGCGGAAAGAGCGGACGCCTGGCGGGAGTGGAGCGAGAAGGCGAAAAAGGGCGGCGAGGATGGACCAAGACCATTGAGCATCTGTGTAATCCCATCTCCTCCTCGTCCTTCTCCTTGGTCGACCTCTCGCAAGCATGCTCCTCCCTTCCCTCCGTATCCTACAGGGCACATCCACACGCGGCTATCTCCAGCAGCCGTCGCCTGCTCGCCTGTTCTCCACTGCCCCTTCTCTCCTTTCTTGGGGAGGCGGCAAGCAAAAGACACATCAAGGCGCCGCCAAACGTTTCCGTCCCGTCAGCAAGCCCCGTTCTCGACCCTCGCCGCTAGGCTACAACCCCAGTACCGGCGTACTGAACGAGATGGGTGCTGGTAGCCGTCCCGGACCTCTGTTCAAGCGGGCTAGGGCGGGGAAGAGTCACCTGAACTTGATGACAAGTGGCAGTAGATTGAACTCGCTGGGTGGAACAAAGGTGGTGGGAAGTGGAAGGCTGGGGGTGCATCTGAGGAGGCTGTTGGGACCAATTCTATGAGGGTCTGATGAAGTAGAGGCAAGAGCACTGGGAGGAAGACAGGGAACATGGGAGAACGGGTAATCGGAGGTGGGGCCAACAGAAGTACGGCCGCTACGAGCGCTCCTGAACAGATGTTTCGAAAGGAGACCAACTGCAGTCCTGACACAGAGGTGAGTAGCGCCGCGTCACAAGTGCGTTGAAGCAGACAGAGTTGGTCCTGACACATCACGAACTTCTCCTTGCGCCCTACGCAGAGTCACAAGGAGCCATATACCTGACGGAAGACAGCAATAGGCAACGCAGTTTCTGCTGTGCCGCTCGTACGTCAGAGCCTTTCAATGGAGCATCGCCAAGGTCTCCTGAAGCAGGCGTGTTAGTCTGCGCTGGTTGCAGGTCCTTGCGGCAAGTGTGGCTGCTGCCGCGCCCTGATCGGCGCCCTGATACGTCAAAGGAGTCCGTATCCGGTGCCTACGTTCGTCCACGCGTATGCACGTGATCGAGAGTGCCACGCAATTCGCTGTACAATAGACACTGTTATGAATCATTCCAGAATTGCTGCAGCCGTAGGATCGTGAGGTCCCTGAATTGGACAGCTTACCTGGCCGACACCTGTCATGCTAACCACAGCCGAGGTTCTCGCGGGGGTGAGGCCTTCAGGACATGATACGCACTGAGAGATTCAGGCTCAATGGCGGAAGCGCCAGTGTCCGCAACCTGGCATCAGCGACAACTATGCTGCTCCCACGTAAGTTGCCTTACTGTCTACCATTGCTTTCGCCTCTGAGCATTACTTTTCTCGACTTCGCCTCTCGCTCGCTCGCTCGCATGCACTTCTTCCTGTCCTCGCTCAGCTTCCTCTGGTCTGCCTGCTCTCGGCTGCCATTGCCGCCCGTCCGCTCGCTTGGCCTGGCCTGGACGCCTTTCCAATCATTCCCGATGCTCTGCCCGGGTTTTCCCATATCTGCTCCGCGCACAGAAGTTCCTCTGGGCTGATGCGCCTGGGTGGGCGGGGCGAACGGACGTGTGTGGGCCCTGGTGCGTGGCTGCTTCTCGCCCGCCAGGCTGGCTGGCGTGCGTGCGTGCTGGCCTTGCCCTGGCCCTCGCCCCGCCGCCGCCGCCCCGCCGCCGCTCGGGGCTGAGAAGAGCGTTTTTTCGCCTCCCTCACCTTCCCCTTCTTCTTTCCAACACACCCGTTCCCCATCAACACACATACCCCCCTCACCACTCAAAAAAGTGAGTATCAGCAGACCACTGAGGACTTCCCATCTGTACGCACGACGTAATATCAGTGCAATGGTCGGGCGTCAAACGACAGGATCTGGGTGTCTCACCCGAAGGACTCATGTGATTGCGGGAAGGTCCGCACTCCGGGAAGATACGGCATGGCGGCACCATTCGAAGGTAGTTCGCACACATGCGGGTGCCCTGCAGTCGCTACTCCCATACGGCAGCAACCCATCGTGCTTGTCACCTAGTGCCATCGTCACTACGTCTCGCCGCTCTGCCGCTGCGTTGCTATCAGCTCTTCTGGCGGTACAAGTGCTTACCGACCCTGAATTCTTTCGTCCCCCTTCCCCCTTCCCCTCCTCATCTGTTGGCACTCTTCAGATTCAAAATGGGCACAGTCGGTGAGTACTTCCGCGACCGTTTGCGGCACGCGAGCAATCGTGCCGAAGTGTCAACCACCTACCGTACTCGTTGCTCACACGATCCCCTCCCGTGCATTCGCCGCTAATTTCCAATCACCAGCTGACCCCGCCAAGACCGGTACCAAGTCCGTCAGTGGTTTCGCCACTGACTTCCTCATGGGTGAGTTTGCCGCAGAGTTATAGAGCGCCGGAAGATGCTATCGCGCTTGCTCGACGCTTGTCAGCACACATTGCTTATCGGCTGCGCATCGCCTTGCACTCTCTTTCCAGGTGGTATCTCCGCTGCCGTCTCCAAGACCGCTGCTGCCCCCATTGAGCGTGTCAAGCTCCTCGTCCAGAACCAGGATGAGATGATCAAGCAGGGCCGTCTCGCTACCCCTTACAAGGTGAGTTGACCTCAGCGAGGCAATGGTTTGGCCAGGATCTGCGTCTCACATCTCTCATACATCGCTTTGCTGACCGATTATATCTTGCTGCAACGCTCTATCCTCTCCTGTGACTTTTCCACCCACTAGGGTATCGGAGACTGCTTCGCCCGAACCTACCAGCAGGAGGGTCTGACTTCTCTCTGGCGTGGAAACACCGCCAACGTCATCCGATACTTCCCCACTCAGGCTCTCAACTTTGCCTTCAAGGACTTCTTCAAGTCGCTCTTCAAGGTGCCAAAGTCTGACCCTTACTGGAAGCAGCTCTCGGCCAACTTGGCCTCTGGTGGAGGTGCTGGTGCCTCTTCGCTCCTCTTCGTCTACTCTCTCGACTACGCCCGTACCCGTCTCGCCAACGACGCCAAGTCTGCCAGCAAGGGTGGTGGTGAGCGCCAGTTCAACGGTCTCGTAGACGTCTACCGCAAGACTCTCGCCACCGACGGTATCGCTGGTCTCTACCGTGGTTTCGTCCCCTCCGTCATTGGTATCGTCGTCTACCGTGGTCTCTACTTCGGAATGTACGACTCGCTCAAGCCCGTCCTGCTCACTGGTGCCCTCTCCAACAACTTCCTTGCCTCCTTCGCTCTCGGATGGGGAGTCACCACCGGTGCCGGTCTCGCCTCGTACCCTCTCGACACCATCCGACGACGAATGATGATGACCTCCGGTACCAAGACCCACTACAACGGTATCCTCGACGCTGGTCGCCAGATCGTCGCCGCTGAGGGTGTCAAGTCGTGAGTTTTGGACCATTTCAGCTCGCACACGCCCCCGACACCTCCCGCTGACCAAAACTCCTCCTCCTTCCTTCGTACTAACCCTCCTTCCTCCCTTTCAACCTGCTAGACTTTTCAAGGGTGCAGGAGCGAACGTCTTGCGTGGTATCGCTGGAGCTGGTGTTCTTTCTGGTTACGACAAGCTCCAGGAGCTCATGTTCGGTAAGGTGTACTCCGGTGGTAGTTAGACGGAGCGCGCGCCTTGTCCCGCCCGCGCGCGGCCCAACCCTCCTTGATCACTCCAGAATTCCCCCAACCGATCTCCCACCATCGAAAGTGTCTTTTCCAGAACTGTTTCATCCCTTTTCCGGTCCAGAATACAATCGATACGACCATCTCACGAGCTGTACGGTTGGTCGACTTGTGCAGCGTAGCGCGTGAGTGGGGTGGCGCGTGGTGGACCGTGCCCTGCGCCACGCGCCTGGCAGATGCCGGAACGGAAGGGGAGCATATACGGTCCACTGCCGGTGCAGCAGACCTTTGATGAGCTCGCCGTCCCACTGTGCGCAAATCTGCGAGCTTCAGAGAACCCAGATTGTCCACGATAGCAGTACCAGAGACGAATGAACATTGAGCAAGCTGCATCAGACTTCTAAGTGCGGCACGAGGGACTATTGCTAAGTAGCTGAAAGGCGGTCAGTCCATTCTCTTATCTGGGAGAGAAGGTATCGCAAGCGCGATTTGATGCTGTGCTCTTCTTTGCATCCTCTTGCATGCATCAGCAGACAGACAAAGATACAGAAGGGAAGGAGAAAGAGCTGGAAGACTTGCGAGCGCTTAAAGAACGAACACAACAGGTCATTCTGCGCAGGCGGGTCAGCTGGTAGAAGCTGAGCAAAGGCGAAGCGGATTCAGCCGAGCCGGGACAGTACCCGCTGACTGGCTTGACTGACCTCCCAATGACTGAAGCTGTGTCTGAATGTAGATCAGAGTTCCAAAGAGCAGCAAGAGCGGCTTTGACCGGCTTTACCTGCACACGAATGCGTTGACTCTCAGGTAGAGCGAGGCGAGCATACAAGTTGGCAACGATGACTGCATGGAGAACGAGCATAGATTGACTGTGGGTACTGGCTTGCATGCAGAAGATCAAGCTACTGAGGCGTTATACAGGTGGATGGAGCGTCTGCCCGCCTTGATCTCAATGTGTCCACTGTGCACCGCAGACCCTTTAGGAGATGGACGCCCAGTCGAAAGTACTTCCTCTGGCCTTTCCGCCCGGGTACTTCTTCACGCTCCCACGGAACGCTCGAGGGGGAGGAAAATTGGAAGACGGGGTAAAGGAGAGCGAGCCTGATGTGGGAGGTGGATCAGGAACTGAAGACAAAAGCAAGGTGGTGAGCAAGGTTTCGGTCAGCCATCTCTTTCTCGGACGTTGCACAAAGGTCAGATCACTTACTTCTGCCACCACCACCTCCGCCGCCGGCCCCGTAGCCGTTGGATGGAGGCCCGACGATGGAGTTACGAAGAGGGGGCGCAGCACCGTTGGCACCATTCGTAATTGGAGTACTGCGACCACTGCCGTTAGTAGCTGCAGATGCAGCTACAGGGGGAGGCGGCGGCCTAGACGTCGGAGTGGATCTGGAAGGCGGAGGAGGAGCTGGTGCCCGCGAGGGTGGAGGAGGGGCTGGCGCTCGGGACGCTGGCGGGGGAGGGGGAGGCGCTGGAGGAGGGGGTGCTGCTGATGCTCCACTAGGTGCCAATCGCGAAGGCGCTGGAGGAGGGGGTGCTGCTGATGCTCCACTAGGTGCCAATCGCGAAGGCGCTGTCGGGACACTACGACTAGGCGTGGACGGCGCCGCCGAAGGAGGAGGAGGGGGTGGAGGTGCGGGAGGTGGAGCCGCTGATGCTCCAGGAGCCGGGCGTGAGGGTGGGGCTGGAACGCTCCGTGAGGGAGTGGAAGGAGCCGAGGTTTGAGGCTGAGGCGGCGGTGGTGCTCGAGGTGGTACGGCAGACGGGCGCGAAGGAGGCGGTGGAGCACCTTTCGAAGGTCCTGGCGGAGGTGGAGGCGGAGGCGGGGCAGCTGGCGCCAGAGTGGACCGGCTCGGCGTAGGTGGAGCAGCAGGAGGGGGAGGTGGAGGAGGAGGTGCTGAAGATGTAGGCCTCGTCGGCGGCGGAGGAGCTGATGAGGCCGGCCTTCCAGGTGGGGGAGGAGGAGGGGGAGGAGGTCCGGACGCTGGCGGAGCGGGTCTACCAGGAGGTGGTGGAGGTGCTGCCGCTGTCGGACGATTGGGGGGTGCCGGTGGAGGCGGTGCTGAGGCTCGCGGAGGTGTGGGTACTCCTCGAGCAGGAGGAGGTTGTGCAGGTGCTGAAGAAGCAGGAGGAGGAGCTGGGCGTCCCGGAGGTTTGGCTGTGAGACACAAGAGAGGGCATGTGAGCTCATAATGCAAACGCTACCGACCTTGTCTTGTCATCGTACTCACGAGCTGTAGAGCCACCCGAAGCTGATCTCAGCGTAGGCATGCCGCCAGCAAACAGTCCTCCGAGGTTTGGCGGTCCAGACGATGTCATCTTCGTCACTGCAGCCGATGCCATGGCTGAAGCAGCTGCTGCTCCGGGCACAGGCGGAGCTGAGCCAGCAGGCCTACCGCCGCCCCCACTGCCACCTACGGAGCCCGCAATGGCCGGAGCAGATCGGTCATTCGTTTGAGCCTCTGATGGAAGACGAGGGAGAAAGGGATGCAAGACGTCCAATTAGCTCCCACTTGTCCTGGAAGGGTGGGGACTACCGATGCGACGCCAAGCGTGTACTCACTCTTGAGGGCCTTGCCTTGCTTGATGGCGGCTGCAAGCGCTCCGTCCATGTTACCGAAGAGCAGCGAGCAAGAGGGGGAATTGAGATAAGCAGTGCTCTGCTCAAAACAAGTGCAGAGGAAAGGGCGTACGATCGTAACTCGGTAGGGTGACAAGATGGGAATCAGGCGTACAGCCCAGCTCGGCGGAAGGAGTCCGGGCGAGTGGAGTTGCAGCCGAGCCACGCGCGGTGTGCCAAGCCGGCGGAGCGTGGCAGGCAAAGGTGCTCCCCAACCTCTCGACTGCTGGATTCAAGAGCAGCTATACCAGCCGCAATGGCTGACGAGACCGAGCTCCGGATGAACGTCTACTATGACTGCTCTGCATAACGATGACATCAGACCATCGGGACCTTGCTTGCTCGTGGTGGTCTCCTCTGCTCCCCGCTTGAAGAAAGCCGTTGCACGGAGATACCCTGGGAGATAGCCGCTCAGGGCGTACACGGCAACAACAATAAGCCCGTGTGCCTGGCCCTGAGTCGGCTGCGGTCCTCCGCGTACCTCGCCCTTTGCCTTTTGCTACGATGATGAAAATTCCAGCCTGCGCGCTCAGTCATCTCTCCCCTTATATCACCGCGTCTTTTTCCTCTCCTCCCTCTGCCCCTTCTCTTCTCCCCATCACCTTCCATCTGCTTTGTCCACAGCTTACCTACTACGCGCCTCTGAGCTGACCAGTTCTCGTCCCTACACCACCTCAAGAGACCTGCTCGCTCCCTTTCACATTCCCTCACCACTCCGTGATACCCCTCTCCATCCTCTCACACACTGTCACACACCATCACACCTCAGTGATCGCAATGGGACTTTCGCACGTTTGAGATCATCCTCTCATCCTCACAAGCTTACACAGACGCAGCAAGTGAGTAATACTTTCGTAATCACCCTCTCATTCACCATCGTACTCACCGTCTGTACATCGAATCGCCACAGACTTACCACCCTGAAGCCTCTCGCTGAGCTTGAGCACTGCTGTATCGCATCAAACGACATATCGCATCGAAGCGCAGAGCTAAGACATTTGATTCTATGTGAGTATCGCCCGCAGTCTCGGCGCTACTGCTACTTGAGCGATCGTACGAGCAGTGGCACCGTCGCATTCGATGGCTTGAGGGTCGCCGATACACACTTGAATTTCATCAGCGTACAACACAATATCCACGCACTCTGTATGTCAGACACAATCCTGACCACAAATTCTCTTCCCTTCGTACTCCTCTCGACCAATGCAGGCACCCAATACCTCTGTACAGTAGTCACTACGCAACGGGTGTCGTGATCGACAGGTCTCTGGGTGCTCTGCGTGTATCACAGGCCACTGTTCACTAACAACGGTATAAAGGGTGAGTCAGCACACTGTCGCTAGTCTCCACTCATGTAGTGCTGTGAGCTGACTCCAAGTTTTACATCATCCGTTTCGCTCCCCTCTCCACAGTCTTACCCACTCATCACCACTACCAACGACTTTCAACGTCACAATGGCATACCCACGAAAGTCTCTCGCGGACTGTTCGTTTGAGCTCTGCCGCATCCAGCCTCCTGTCCGGGAGCTGATGCACAATGCACCTCCAGCTATGTATCTCGGGATCAGAGGCAATGTCACCAATGAGGAAGTCGAGCAAGCGCTCCTGCGATCCGGTGAAGCACGAGCACAGCTCGTGGCTCAAGAGCTGATGCCAACAGTGTCAGCCGACGCCAATGAAGACCCCAATGAGATTACACCAGCGAGGCTCCTAGCAATGGGGAGTTGCTTCTACTGGGCCGACCCTCAAGGCAACCAGATCTTCCCGACGAACCATCCTCTTCTTCTTGCCGAACAATTTGGACCTCGTCGTGCTGCTACTAATCGCTCAACAGCACCAATCAGAAACCGAATGCAAGCAGCTCGCTCGCTCAGCCAAGGCTCGGCGAAGAATGTCACCTTTCGCCTAGGGCACCCGAGTGGGCTACCAGCCCAAACTGTAGCACTCAAGGTCGAGCGACGCGCCAATGCCCAGTCAGTCAGCGTGTGCTGCACATATGCACCACGCTTTCCGACGACGACTACGGTGCTGGGCCAAGTGCCTACGACCCTCCCCAGACTACCATCATGGGCTGAAATCGAGAGGGGGTACAACCTCACACTCAACGTACGAGTCGTGAATGGCGTTGACCACAATGTTGAAGAGAGGGGTGCACTTGCAAGATTCCAGGTAGCTTGGCTTGCAGGTCCCGTTCATGTCGTTCGGAGCCTAGGCCTCGCAGACGATGTGACTTTGACGCGCATAGAGACGGATTACCGCATCCTACTCAACGCCGTCAATGTGCCGGACTTGTTTGGACGGAGGGGACACAGGATTGTCATGACACCTGATAATCCAGGCTGGAAGCTTTCACTAGACCCCATCGAAGCACTGAAGAGACAAGGGTACCCGAATGTTTCTCGTCAGTATACAGACCAAGATCGAATGAGAGCTGATGCAACAGTACTTCATCGGACGCCAACAAGACACGAGCTCGATTCAGTCACGCGAAGGAGAGCAGCAGTGATTCGCGACCGCGACCATCTGCACAAGACAAGGCCTCTGTCCTCTTTAAGAAGCAGTGTGATCGATCTTCAAGACTTCAGTGTGACTTAAGATCTCAACATAGTCTTTTTGACACCGCCGCCGCCGCCGCAATTGCTTGCAGCTGTAGACCATCATGCCGTGAGCTCTGTCAATTGCTCACCGCATGCACATCGATCAGATGTATTCGAGCTATCTTTGCGGTGCACTCGCTCGAAGAGGTGCTTCTTCAAAAGTGTGCGCCGCATCTCGGTGGACGGACTCTCACCCTCCTCCTGCACGCAAACAATGTAGACAACGCCGCGTCGATCCGTCACTTGCTTCGGTCGCTGTTGATGCCGCGCCACCTGCCTGGAGGCAAATCGGCCTGAAATCAGCTCTGACGAAGAGGTAGACGAAGACGATGTGGATGAGCGGAGACGTGGCAATCGGGACGAGGGGTACTTCCGCCTTTGTGAATACAGCGATGAACAGATCGCTGGAATTCGGGCGGTGGCGAGGGAGTGGGAAGCGGCCTGGTCGAGCGAGCTGGTATGGCAGGAGCCACATCGGCTGCTTCGACTGCCCTTCGTTCCGCAAGACTGGGACGACCAAAAGATGCTCTCATTCGCACAGCTTGCCAATGATACTGCTGATAACTGCGATGAGGTTGGCAAGTGCCCTTGGCCTCCCAAGCACCTGCAGAACGAGGACGGACGAGGGGTACGGGGTCACATCAACGATGTCACCCGTAGGGATAGGAGCGCAGGAACCCTCTTCCTCGCGTGGGTCAGGCTCGAGCTACTCGGCAGGCTCACCGCTTGCCGCCTCACAGGCCTCCCACTCACATAGCCAAAGGCGAATGCCACGGTCTATGATCCTCTTCGAGTCTCCCGATCAGCACAGCTCGTCCATAGTTTTTCAAACAGCTACCTTTCGGTCTTGGCCTCTATCACCGAGACATGTAAACGTCAAGTCATGGCTCTGTGATCAAAGGATCAGATTATGGCGTCTGCCAGCTATTGAAAGTCTGATTGCTCGTCGTACACGTTGAAGATCTACAGCTCTCGCCACGGAGCTCGATACCGGAAGCTTCTCCAATCCTCTACCTTGGAAACAATGGACCAAGGAAGCTGACTTATAACAACAGCGAGCTATCTTCTCATACGATACCTTCGTACTTCAGTGCCATAGTGTCTTCCCTCGCAATCGATATGGTCTTTGCGCCGAGTCGGTGCTGCCTTTGAACACGCCTCTCAAGCCTCTCCTGCTTCGTTGCGGACGCCTCTGTCTTTGCCTAGTTGCACTCATATTTACTCTTGCCTCATTCCGATGTGGACTGAGCGACCGCATATTGCGGGGACGAGCTCCAAAATCGATTACTGCAACAGAAGTCGAGAACTCGTGAAGCTTCCCTAGCCAGCGAGGGCGAAAGTCATTCAGCTACGAGTCAAGCGCCAACGTTTCCAGCTGCTCACAACGACCGAGTCTCGAAGTCAGCTTGCCGAGATCGACGAGGCCCAGGCGCCACCGTCACGATCGCTACAGACGCCACAGTCGACGAGATCGCCGCCAGTTCTGCCCATGAGGACCAGCTCGGCTTCGTCATGACGCAAGCTCAACTTCAACTTGTTATTGCTGGTAGGGGCGAATGGCAGCCCATCGATCCCATCGTCGTGAGGACGGCCCGCGACACTGGTCGAAGATCGCTGCCCCTGACTCATGGCCCTGGCCTCTCTCATTTGACGCTGACGTATTCACATTGGGCCTCTCTCGGTCCGCCAGGATGCCAAGTCTCTTTCAGCTTTCGTCGGGAGCCTGGCTGGGTCGCGTTCGGGCAGATCACGAGAGAAGACGCGGACTCGGATCGAGGCGCAGCGATCTACCTGCGAGGCCATAATGGACAGGTCAAAACAGACTGGGTCCGCTACTTCAACCGGCGTACAGTCGAAGCCTGGCTGGTCTTTCATCGCTTGGTGGAAGCTGCATTTCGGAAGCTCGACGAGAAGGCGGCCTTCACTACGGCTCGATCCGACTCGTCTGCGTCTGGTCCGGCCCCTTCCCTTGGCTCTCCTGGCTCTCACGGCCCTCTTGGCTCTCCTGGCTCTTCGACGTCTTCCTCTGTCTCGCCCGTACGTCGCTCACCTTCCGCCAGACCTGAGGAAGGTACCGGAAAAAGAGCATTCGTGTCGAAGAACCATGAGGCGTATCTGCAGTCGATCCTGGACGGCAGTTTCTCGGCGACGCTCAAGGCACACACGAAGGACTAAATGTCCTTCAAGCTCATGACTTTGGAAGATGGCAAGAGGCAGAGAAGAGAGGTTGTCATCTGCTCTCCGACCTTCCCAGAGGTTGCAGGGTGGACCCTGCAGACGTCAGACTATGGAAGGTTTGGGTGAAGGGCGATGCACGAGATGCCCAGCCTTTCATTGCTCTGCGTCCTGCTTCTGAGTCCTCTCCTCCCGGCGCCGAAAGCTTCCGGTGCATAGACCTCGCCGGCAAAATCCCCGCCCTTGTCCTGCACGAGCTCGACAGTGCAGTCAGCATGTCGAGGAGCCTATCAAAAAGCACCTGTGAGAAGCCAATCGCATTTTCAAGTATCTAAAGGGCACGAAGGACCTCAAGATCTACTTCAGTCGTAACGGCCCACATCAAAGTTTTCTGTGATGCTGATTTCGCCAAGAGTGCCGATCGCTTCTCTGTCTCCGGCTATATGTTCACTTTTGCGGGAGGAGCTATCTCCTGGACTACAAAGAAACAAACGACTGTTGCTGCATCGACTCAGCAAGACTCAATGCTGTCTTCCTTGCAGGAAACGGTGCTGTCTGGCTACCTCTCTGCAGGGGGTCAAGGCGGTCGTCAAGCTGGCGGCGATGCACCAGCCTGTCATCTGGGCCCGGCTGCGACGCTTGGTGGCAGGGGAGGAGGTTGGCACGGGTCGTCTTCATCTGGGCAACGACCTCAGCTTCTCTGCTACGGGCCTCAGCCAGCATTGCGAGACAGGAGGGCAGGTCGATTGGAAGTCGGAGCAGATCCAGAAAAAGGTCCGCCTGCTTGTCGCAAAGTACAAGGCGATGACGGAGCTGGTGGACGTGGAGCAAGAGGGGGAGGCAGGGCCATCAAGGGGCAGCAAGAGGCCCAGGGAGCAGAAGCGGGAGGAGAGCGGGCGAGGTCTCAAAGTGGTCCTGCGCAGGGGGACGACTTCGAAGAAGTAATAAGAGCATCCAGAAAGGTCCAGTTGTATTTGTGCTCAGGAAATAGAATTGCTCTCCTGTGAATCCCAGGTCATCGTCTTCAATTGGTCGTGACAGGGTGGTGTTGCTCGACGGTAGAGCGAAAGGCGGGAGTGGCCGTGTTTTGGGAGCGCGCGCGTGCGTGTGTGTGTGTGTGGGTGTGCGCCGTGGTGGTTCCTCTGTGCCAGTGCCCCGCGCGTGACGCGAGACCAACTCCTTCGCTGCTGCTCGTCTTTGGCTGCGCTGGTTGCCGCCCCTTGGTATCCTCAACCATCACACACCATTCCACTCGACTCTACGTTACCTCTGAGTCTCTCCCTCTCCCGCACTCTCCACACACACTCCTACTCACGCACATTCGCCCACCCTAGACCATCTGTGTAAGTGGGTGTGGGGACACTCGGCGGGATCACCGCTGTGCACTCGTGCTGGCAGGATGAGGACTTGATGGCAAAGCAACAGAGATACTGACATCCGGTTGCCACCTCTCACGCTCTTTCCCCGCAGCCTTTGACACTCACCTGACGCCCAACACATCAACATCAACCAACAATGAGAGAAGTGAGCCGCAAGCAATGACCATCCGACTTCAGTCCAGTAAGCCGTATCTCACACCTTCTCCCCCTCCTCTCTCTCTCCCCGCCCAGGTTCTTTCCCTTCACGTCGGACAGGCCGGTGTTCAGCTCGGTAACGCCTGCTGGGAGGTGAGTTCGAGACGAGTCGAACATCGAACAGATATCGCCTCTCGCTCCTGAGACTGACACTTGTCCTCGACATCACTTCAACACCGCCCCTCAGCTGTACCTCGCAGAGCACGGCCTCTCTCCCGATGGACGAGTCATGGAGGGCGGCCCAGCCGCCAACGAGGATGGCTTCTCCACCTTCTTCTCCGAGACTGGCAACGGCAAGTTCGTGCCTCGATCCGTCTACGTAGACTTGGAGGAGAACGTCATCGGCGCCGTCCGAAACGGTCCCTACCGATCCCTCTTCCACCCTGAGACTCTCGTCACTGGAAAGGAGGACGCTGCCAACAACTACGCTCGTGGTCACTACACCGTAGGAAAGGAGCTCATCGACCAGACCCTCGACCGAGTTCGCAAGCTCGCCGACGCCTGCTCTGGTCTGCAGGGATTCTTCGTCTTCCACTCCTTTGGTGGTGGAACAGGTTCCGGTTTCGGATCCCTCCTCCTCGAGCGTCTTGCCCAGGACTACGGCAAGAAGGCCAAGCTGGAATTCTCCGTCTACCCTGCCCCCATGATGAGCTCGTCGGTCGTTGAGCCCTACAACTCCGTCCTCACCACCCACACCACCCTGGAGAACTCCGACTGCTCCTTCATGGTCGACAACGAGGCCATCTACGACATCTGCAAGAAGAACCTCGGTATTCAGAGCCCCGGTTACTCCAACCTGAACCGACTCATCGCTCAGGTCGTGTCCTCCGTCACCGCTTCGTTGCGATTCGACGGTTCTCTCAACGTCGACCTGAACGAGTTCCAGACCAACCTGGTGCCCTTCCCCCGAATCCACTTCCCCTTGGTCTGCCTTGCCCCCATCATCTCGGCCGAGAAGGCCTTCCACGAGCAGAACTCCGTAGCGGAGATGACCTTCTCCACCTTTGAGAAGGGCAACCAGATGGTCAAGTGTGACCCTCGAGACGGAAAGTTCATGGCCTGCTGTCTGCTGTACCGAGGTGACGTCGTACCAAAGGACGTCAACTCGGCCGTCGCTGCCATCAAGACTAAGAGGACCATCCAGTTCGTCGACTGGTGCCCTACCGGATTCAAGATTGGTATCTGCAATGAGGCACCCGCCACTGTCCCCGGAGGTGACCTTGCCAAGGTCAGCCGCTCCCTGTGCATGTTGGCCAACACGACTGCCATTGCCACTGCTTGGTCTCGTCTGGACACCAAGTTCGACCTGATGTACCAGAAGCGTGCCTTTGTTCACTGGTACGTCGGAGAGGGTATGGAGGAGGGAGAGTTCTCAGAGGCTCGAGAGGACCTTGCTGCCCTCGAGAAGGACTACGAGGAGGTCGGACAGGACACTGCTGGCGATGGTGACGAGCTCGTAGAGGAGGAGTACTAAGCGCGTCCGAATGGAGCAAAGAGAGTCTAAGTTCACTCGAGCTCTTCTCCGCTGCTTGCGCCTCCCCGTGTTTTCTCTTGTCCAACTTCTAGTCTGTTTCGCATGACTCTGTCGCGCAGACGAATGTTTTCTTTCTTCGCCCTAGAGGCAATATAGCTATCGATCTTCCTTTCTTTTTCCTCACCTGTGTGTCTATCTTGGCTGTCAGCACTAGCGGACTCACAAGCGGTGGCCTGCAGATTCATTCATAGGTCCGGCGATGCGTTCTGCACCCCATGCATGCAGGCAATGTCGACAACGAGCAAGATGTCGCTCTGCTATATGAGAACACGACGGTGACCACGATTGTATTGCGAGCGAGGCAAATCTGGCGAGACAAAAAGAGGTGACTAGGTTGTGGCCAGTAAGTGGCGCTGACACAGTACAGAAGCAAAGCCAAGAGGCAGCGTGACATCAAGAACAGGATCAGGGAGAGCAAGGTGTCCCTCAGGTCCAGAAGATGGCCTTGACCGTCTGCCAGGCCGTCTTCTTCTCCTTTGGTGGCTCCGGGTTATCAGCCCAGTGCTGTAGCCAAGGCTCTACGGGTAGGTCCGCGGCCTTGGGCCAACTCGTCTTTTTGACGATCTTGTGCCCTGCAAAGGCCAGGAAGGAGAGGATGGGAGCGGCATAGCTCGTAAGGAAGCCAGTGGCCGTCATATTCGGCAGGCCCTCACCGATGAAGAGGGTGAAGCCAGAGGTGAGGAGGACGACGAATGAGCCGATTGCGCCGTACCAGCTCAAGTAGGGCTGACCCCACGGCACGAATGGCAGACGCGTAGGCGAGATGTTCTGTGCCTTGAGGGCCGAGTGCAACCGGATGGCGGCCACGCAGATGAGGAACCAGTCTGTGAGGACGGAAGCACTGACGATGGAGACAAAGTAGTAGAAGACAGTCGTGGCGGAGCTGCTGAGTGCAGTGTAGGCCAGAGGCATAAAGATAGCGATTGCTGCGATGCCATTGTACGGGATGCCCCAGGCGTGCGTCTTTGCGAAAAGCTTCGGTGCTTTGCCGTCTAGAGCGAGACCAAGCAGTGCACGAGCTCCGTTAAACAGCGAGGTATTGTTCGAGCTCCAAGCTGAGAGCAGGATCAGAGCATTCACGAGAGAGGCGACGCCTTTGACGCCGGCGCGAGACGCGGCTACGACAAAAGGAGACGTAGCAGCTGTACCGTAGCTTGCGAAAAGATTCTCGTCGTTGGAAGGCACTATGAGAGAGATGACGAAGAGTGAAGCCATCTGTGTGAACCGTCGGGGAAGCAGTATTATTAGCATCAAAGCTTACTCCGCCACCGCGTCGTACTCACGTAGATCACTCCGACGCGGAAGAATACGCGTCTAGAAGCCTCTGGCACGGCCGTACGTGGATTCTTCACCTCTGCCGCTGCGATGGCTGTACTCTCCAGTCCGGAGAAGCTGTAAGCTGCCGAAGTCATCACGCTCCAGAATCCAATAAAGACGCCAGTGGGCCCATCTACGAGGTAGGAGACGAAGGGCCCGGGGTCCTTCCAGTAGCGGAAGCCGATGAGGTCGCCGCTGGGGCTGCCACCCAGGTCGATGCAGAAGCCAAAGATGATCAGTCCTGTAAAGCCAGAGCGCAATGGTCAGTTTGGGCCACCAGAACTCTCTAAACGTCTTTAGCCAGCGTACTCACCAACGATTGTAAGAATCTTGAGGATGGCGAACCAGTATTCGATTTCTCCGTACACCCTGACCTTGAACACATTGGCGGCCAGCGTCGCCAGGAGGAAGACTGTAATAGGAATGGCAGCGTTCAAGTCCGGCTTCCAATATTGGCACAGCACTGCAATCGACGTCAAGGTGGAAGGGGCAGAAAAGGCCGAGCCGAATACGAGGTTCCAGCCTACGCAGAAGCCAACAGACGGGTCGATCCACATTCCCGTGTGTCGGACGTAGCTTCCCGAAGTTGGGGCCAGGGCGGAGAGCTCGGCCATGGAAAAGACGACGGCGACTACGATTGTGCTCATGAGGAGGTAGGCAAGGAGCATTCCCACTGGTCCGGCATCACCCAGTGCGTAGCCAGTGGACAAGAAAAGACCAGTACCTGCAAGGGGAGAAGATCAGCATCTCGTGTTAGCGATACGCGGTCGCTTTCCCTTCTGAGCTGTGTCGTCCGCTCCTTTGCACTCACCAATGGACCCAGCGAGGGACATGAGTTGCAGATGCCTCGAGGACAAACCCTGCTTGACCGCCTCGTGCTTCACCACATCCCCATCATACGCCACATCCGACTGTCCTGGCTTGGCATCAGTAGACTCGCCATAGTTGGTCTTGCCGCCATTGACAGGCGACGAGGTAGAGGAGCGCTGCAGGAGCTCGGGGACGTGCGTGTCGGATGCGGGAGTCTTGTCCTTGGTGTCTGCTTGGAGAGCCATGGTAGGCAGACGATCCAAAGGCGTGGGCGATGGAGAGGGAATGAGTAACGAAGGAACGAAGGGCAATGACCGGGCGTTGCGAGACCAGGGCAGAAGCTTCAAGGTTTGCGGCGAGGGCAATAGCAACGCCCTTGAGTTTATATTCGGTGCCTGATATCTCTGTGGAGTTGGGCGACCCTGTTCCCTCTCCCCCGTCCTTGCCGGTTTGCAAGGCTGCAAGTCGTCCGAATGAGCCTATCTCCAGCCACGATGGTGTGATTTACTCCATCCTCCCCGATGCTCCCGAGGGCTGTCTGTGCCTGCGCTACCTCTGTCTCGGGACAGGGTGTGGGTCGGTAAACTGCCACTGCCACTGCCACTACATTTCGCAAGTTCCGGTGGGCTAGTCCCGCTCCATGGTACAGCGGGCTGCGAGCTATTCTTCTTTTTCTTTCTCCTTTCCGCCGTCGTGCGTGCATCCCTCGGCCTTTTTTACCCCCCCTGAAAGGCCATGTTCCAGACCAGGTCCGAGTAAAGAAGCAAGTAGCGGCGGAAGATATCGTTGAAGCGGGATCGCCACGCCACGCCGCGCCACGCCCTGGCGCGCCACTTTGGGCTGCAGCTGGTTGCAGGTGGGGCCGAGCGAAGGACGCCGGAACGGAGAGAGCCGGAACGGAAGGACGGGACCTGGCTCTGCCGCGGGCCAATTGTTTTGTGGGGAAAGGCAGTGGGGCGGGGCGGGCGGCGGCGGGGGGAGGTGGTCAATGCAGTGTCAACAATTTGTGTGTGACTTCCTCTGGGGAAGGAACAAGTCGGACGGCAAAGGCGGGCGAGGGACACTACGGCCAGGCAGGGGGAAAGGCCAATATGGACCCTTGATCTCACCATCACCCTTCCTTACCGACCATCACCATCAACCACCATTACCACCAATCACCACCCTCACCCCTCCCCTTTAGAAGACTAGAGCACTCACCACGCTCTTGACCTCCCATCACCAACCAACACACACTCACCCCTCGTCGTCTTGCCCCACTCGTCGTAGCACCACCTGCGCTCAAGTGACAACAGACACACAGCCTACTACTCCTCCTCCTTCAGACCACCACACACTTCCCTCTGTTTCGACTCACCACCGAACCACTTCGAAGTGCCATCTCCTGAAGACTTCACGCAAGACTTTTATAGACTTCTCCCATCTCCTTACGACTCAACACCCTGACACACACCACCACCACAATGGCAGAACAATCTTCTACTTCGTCAGGCTACGTGCACCTGGGCGCTCGCTCCCCTGGCAGCGACACCTCTGGCACCTCTTCCAACCTCCTCGTATCCGAGTCCGTTCGACCCATCATCCTCTCCAGCTCCACCACTGCTGGAGCCACCTTTGTTCGCATCCCCGTGCCCTTTGAGCCAGCCGCCGCTTGGATCTCGGCCGAAGTGATCAGGGACGAATTCCACCGAAACTTGGCCAAGCACAAGGGTGAAGATGCTGGTCTCAATGCCGAGCAAGAGTCCGAGGCAGCCGAGGCAAAGGCAGCCGCTGAGAGTGGCGCCGATGTGACCAAGCCTTCTGGAGCTCGAATCATCCTCTTCTCCAAGTTCCTCGGCTTCCTCTCCCACAAGCTCCGAGCAGCTGACACCAACACCGCCGTTCACGAAATCGAGGTACTCTACCGCGCGTGGCTCCAATTTGGGGGTGAATTCCTTTCTTCGACCAACGATGTACACAGCCTCGTCACTGCAGCCGTCGACGTCGACCAGCGAGCCTCCGTCTTGCGAAGCTACTTTGAGGCATACGTCGTCCTCGAGAGGTGCGGCAAAGTCGACGCAAAGTCCATCGAGACTCCCAAGCTCTTGGACCTCGCTGACCAGGGCAAGGCTAAGGCCTTTGCCATCTTCGGCGGTCAAGGTAACAATGAAGTCTACTTCAATGAGCTCCAGACCCTCTACGACACTTACCGACCTCTCGTCGAGGAGATGCTCCACGTCAGCAGCGTAGCTCTGCAAAATTTGGCAGAGGATGCCATTGCCAGTGGCTTCTCCAACTACTATACCCACGGCCTCGATGTCCTCTCTTGGCTCCAGCACCCCGCCACTCGACCACCCGTCGAGTACACTGCCAGCATCCCACTGAGTCTGCCCCTCATCGGCCTGACTCAGCTCACTCAGTACCTCGTCTCTTGCCGCGCTTCTGGCCTGACCCCAGGAGAGATGCGAGACCGACTGTCGGGCGGTGCTACTGGCCATTCGCAAGGTATCATCTCCGCCATTGTCGTTTCTGCCTCGAGCAGCCTCGAGACGTTCCAAGCCAATGTCATCAAGGCCGTCGGTCTGCTGTTCAACATCGGTAAGCGTGGTCAAGAGGCCTTCCCTACCCGCACCATTGAGCCAGCACTCGTCGCCGACGCAGTCGAAGGTGGCGAGGGCGAGCCTACACCCATGCTCAGCGTTACTGGCCTCTCCCAGCATGCCCTCGAGGGCTTCTTGAAGAAGACAAACACCCACCTCAAGGACGACGAAAAAGTGGGCATCTCCCTCTTCAACTCGCGCCGCAACTTCGTCGTCACTGGTCCTCCTCGATCCCTCTTTGGTCTCGTCAGTCAGATGCGAGCTGCCAAGGCCGAGTCTGGACAAGACCAGAGCAAGGTCGCTTACAGCAAGCGCAAGGCAGCTTTCAACATGCGATTCTTGCCCGTTGGTGTTCCTTACCACTCGGCTTACCTGCAGGGTGCCACTGCAAAGGTCACTGGCGAAGACTACAAGGGTGCCGAGCTTTGGAGCGCTTCTGATCTCGCCATTGCTGTTCACAACACCTTTGACGGCTCCGACATGCGCTCCTACGAGGGTGCCAGCATCGTCAAGTCTGTCAGTGACCAGATCTTCACCGAGCCAATTTACTGGATCCAGGCTACAAATGTCAGCAAGGACATCACTCACATCATCGACTTTGGTACCGGCGGTCTCAGTGGTATCGGTGGCCTGACTGCCCGCAATCTCGAGGGCCGGGGTACTCGTGTCGTCATTCCAAGCGGTGTTCACGCCAGCTCGTCCGAGCTCTACAGCAGGCAGAGTGTCAAGTTCGAGCCTCGATGGGAAGAGGCCTTCATGCCTCGCTTGGTGAAGAATGCTGATGGCAAGATCTTGATCGACACTCCTTACTCGCGTCTCACCTCTCGCAAGCCTCTGCTCATCGCTGGTATGACACCTTCGACTGTCCAGCCCGGTCTCATCATTGCTGCCGCCAAGGCTGGTGCTAACGCTGAAATTGCCGGAGGTGGACACTACTCGCCCAAGTCGATGTTGGCCAAGGTTCAGGCTATCCAGAAGGAGGTGCCTCCTGGATCTGGTCTCTCGTGGAATGGTCTCTTCATCAACCCTCGCCACTTCCCTTGGCAGCTGGCTGAGTGGTGCGCCCTTCGAAAGCAGGGCTACCCTCTCGACGCCTGGACCACCGCCGCTGGTATTCCTTCCACTGACAAGGCCAAGGAGATCGTCGGTCAGCTCAAGGAGGCTGGCATTGAGCACATGACCCTCAAGCCTGGATCCGTCGAAGGCATCCGACAGACTTGTGCCATTGCCGCTTCCAACCCAGACTTCTTCTTTGTCATCAACTGGACTGGAGGTCGAGCCGGTGGTCACCACAGCTACGAAGACGTCTTCCAGCCCATCGTCCAGACCTACTCGCTCATCCGAAAGTACTCGAACATCTCCCTGCTTGCAGGATCCGGTCTCGGTGACTCTGAATCCATCTGGCCATGGATGTCCGGAGAGTGGTCTCTGCAATTTGGTCTTCCCCCAATGCCCTTCGATGGAGCTCTCCTCGCCTCTCGTGTCATGAGCGCCAAGGAGGCCCACACCAGCCCTGCCGTCAAGCAGCTCATCGTCGACGCTCCCGGTGTCGATGACGCTCAGTGGGAAGCTACCTACGACAAGGAGACTGGTGGCATCATCACCGTCATCTCTGAGCTTGGCGAGCCCATCCACAAGATTGCTACTCGCGGTGTCAAGCTGTGGGCCGAGCTCGACAAGAAGCTCTTCAGCCTAAACAAGGACAAGCGTACCGCCTGGTTGGCCGACATCAAGAATGCAAAGTGGGTCAAGGAGAGGCTCAATGCAGACTTCCAGAAGCCTTGGTTCCCTGCCAAGCTCGATGGTACCATGCTCGATGACCTGTCGGCCATGACCTACGAGGAAGTTACCCGACGGCTCTTCAAGCTCGTCTACGTTCACCATCAGACTCGCTTCATCGACCCAAGCTACGTCCGTCTGCTTGGAGACTGGATCCGACGTGTCGAGGAGCGATTCGCTGGCATCAGCACCGCCGGTGGCGCCAAGATGTCGGTCCTGCAGAGCTACTCTACCCTACAGGAGGACCCCAACAGCGTCCTCGACTCCTTCTTTGCCGAGTACCCCGACGCCAAGGAGTTCTGGCTCTCGGCCGAGGATGATGCCTTCTTCGTGCAGCTGTGCCAGCGACCTGGTCAGAAGCCTGTTCCCTTTGTGCCTGTCCTCGACGGTAGCTTCCAGACTTGGTTCAAGAAGGACTCCCTCTGGTTTGCCGAAGACGTCGACGCCGTCTTTGATCAGGACGCTCAGCGAGTGTGCATCCTGCAAGGCCCCGTCGCCGTCAAGTACTCGACCAAGGTCGATGAGCCCCTCGCCGAGATCCTGGGTGAGATCGAAGAGGGCGTCATCAGCCGTCTCTTGAACAAGTTCTACGATGGCGATGTCAGCAAGGTCCCCAGCGTCGACTACCTCGGTCCCACTCCTCGAGCCCTCGATGCTGGCCTTCTCTCGCGACACGGCATCACCTCCGTCTTCGAGCAGTCTGTCAATGGCGGTGTTGGCTCCATCCGTACGCTCAAGATCCGCAACAGCCTGCCCAAGACTCAGGACTGGCTTGAGTACCTTGCTGGAGACCAATTCAGCTGGCTCCGAGCCCTCCTCTGCAGCGTCAGCGTTGTTCAGAACACCAACTTTGCCGACAACCCGCTGGCCCGCATTGCAGCTCCCCGAGCTGGCCAGACTGTTCAGATCCGCTACGATGGTCGCGGAGAGCCCGAGGGACTGACGATCAAGGGAGCAGCTCGCTCTCACGGTCCCCACGACCCCAACTTTACCGTCGTCGACATCAGCCGAGCTGCCGGTTCCTCTCGCATCAACGTCACCCTCTTCGAGGAGCGTCTGGGTGAAGCTGTTCCCTTGCACCTCCTCTTCGACTACGTTCCTGGCAGTCCCAAGCAGATTCACGAGGTCATGGACGGCCGTGCTGACCGCATCAAGAGCTTCTACTGGCGCCTGTGGTTCCACGAGGAGATGCCAGAGGTCTCCGTCTTGGCCAACACCAAGGAGCACGTAGGCCCTGCTAAGCAGCTCGAGGAGAGCGCCATTCGCAAGTTCGTCCAGTCTTACGGACAGTCTGTCCAGTCTGGTGGCAAGGCTCCCATGGACATTGCCATTGTGCTTGGCTGGGAGGGTATCATGAAGGCCCTCATCGCTGCTACTGGCTCGGCTGATCTGCTCAGATTGGTACACCTGTCCAACTCATTCAAGACTGTCGAGGGTGCCAAGCCCCTTCAGGTCGGAGACGTCGTCTCTTCCAAGGCCAGCGTCGAGAGCATCAAGATCTCCGAGACTGGCAAGACTGTCGCCGTCAAGGGATGGGTTGTCCGAGATGGCAAGCCCGTGACAGAAGTCGTCTCTGCTTTCTTCTTCCGAGGCAAGTTCAGCGATTACCAGAGTTGCTTCGAGACGCAGTCTGAAGAGTACGCCGTGCAGATCAAGACGCAGGCAGACGCCTCGGTCCTCTTGGCCAAGGAGTGGTTCGAGTGGATCGCTGCCTCTCCTCTGCAGGCTGGTACCACCCTCGAGTTCCGAATTGAGAACGATGTGCGCTTCAAGGACTCCAAGTCTTTCTCCTCTGTCATTGTCAATGGTGCTGCCTACATCCGAGACTACCGAGACGAGCTCGTCAAGGTTGGAAACGTGGCCTACGAGTCAGACGCCGTGTGCTACGGCAACGCGGTCACTGCTTGGATGCAGCGAGTCTCTGGAAAGGCCAGTGGCCCCATCCCTCTCGAGAATGGTGGCTACACGATCCTCGTGGCTCCTGGTCAAAAGGAGTCCGTCTTTGTTGCTCCTCCTTCCAACGAGCCTTACACGCTCGCTTCGGGTGACAGCAACCCCATCCACGTCTCGCCAGTGTTTGCCGACTTTGCCGGTCTGCCCACGACCATCTGCCACGGTATGAGACAGAGTGCTGTGGTCAATGCCGTAGTTGCCAGCGTCGCTGCAGAGGGTCACAGCGAGCGATGCCTGAGCTGGGAGGCCACCTTCCTCGGTATGGTCAACCCAGGCGACCGCCTCACCATCTCCCTGCGCCACGTCGCCATGAGGGACGGCCACAAGATCATCAAGGCCGAAGCCAAGAACCAGAATGGCGAGAAGGTCCTCGAAGGTACTGCCACTGTTCAGCAGCCTCCCAGCTTCTACTGCTTTACCGGTCAGGGATCGCAGGAGACTGGGATGGGAATGGACCTCTACACTACCTCTGAGCACGCCAAGGCCCTCTGGGACGAGGCTGACATCCATCTGCAGTCCTCGCTCGGTCTCTCCATCCTGGAGATTGTCAGGGAGAACCCCAAGAGCAAGACCGTCTACTTTGGAGGTGTCAAGGGTCACCAGATCCGACAGCGCTACCAGGAATTCACCTATGAGAGCCTCGATGAGAGTGGAAACAGCGTCACGCTGCCACTCTTCCCCGAGATTACTCCTACGTCACAGAGCTTTACGTTCTTCCATCCCGTGAGTGTTCGAATGAAGAAGGGTGTTGGGTGAGCAGAGAGGTGGGCGTGTCTTTGCAGAGCGGCCCCGAGCGGCTTCGAAAGGTAGGCGAGTCGTGGCCAGAGCATATACCCCCACAGCATACAGCACAGCACATCACACAGCAGCAGCAAGTCACAATCACAGGTGAGTGGCCGCCGTAGGAGATGATAAGATGGAGTCGTTGCGTATCTCAGGTGAGTGCAAGAGTGAGCAGAGAGGGTTGACTTCCGATTGCACGTCAAGCCGAGGTGAGTCCGAATCAGGTCGCGCGTGGGTCTCGTGTCAGGCCTGGCTTTGCTCGGTCGTGCCTGTGGTTCCTTGTTGGCCTAGAGACTCCTGTACATTACTTCGTCTTCTCTTTCTGTCTTGCCAACGAAGAGCATCGTTGATCAAGCCTTTCACGCCTATGGTTGCGACCATTACGGCACACCCTTGCTTGGTCAGCATCGCGTCTCCCTGTCCCCTTCGCGCCTCCTCCACTCTGCTCGCTCGCTTGACTCCGCTTGTTCCACCGGGCCGGCTGTAAGAAGATTGTGAGCGTGCTTGTGAGAGATGCCGGTTCCTTCGTACCTTCTTCCCACAGCTCCCACCCTCGTCTTCTCTGCCCGCAGCCTTTGACAAGCATGTCCTTTCCCCTCAAGGGCCGTACCGCCTTCATCACCGGTGCCAGTCGTGGCATTGGTCTCGAAATCAGTAAATCCCTCGCCCGTCTGGGCGCCTCTGTAGCCGTAGCGGCCAAGAGTGCTTCTCCGCATCCCAAATTGGCAGGAACTATTCATAGTGCCGTGGAGGAAATTGAGCGAATTGGAGAGGAGAGTGGGAGTGGAGCAAAAGGATTGGCGATTCAGCTTGATGTTAGGGATGAGAAGGCGGTGGAGGAAGCGATTGAGCAGACTGTAGGACGGTTTGGGGGGTTGGATTATGCGGTTAACAACGTGAGTGAGGGGTTGGAGTGGGAGTGACGCTACGGGAGAATGCGAGGAATCAGCTGACGAGGTAAGCATCACTTTGGGCTACACCCACCTTCGCAGGCATCAGCCATCAGCATGAAGCCTACCCTGGAAGCAACGCCCAAGCAGCTCGACCTAATGCTGCAGATCAACGCCCGCGGCACCTGGCTCGTTTCACGCTACGCCCTCCCACACCTCCTCAAGTCAGCCTCTTCCTCCTCCTCGCAAGGTCGCAGTCCACATATCCTCACCCTTGCTCCGCCTCTGAGCCACGAGACGTTCACCACGACGCTCACGGAGCGAGGGGGTTGCTGGCCTGAGCAATTTGCACAGACTGCCAGCGCCTACACCCTCGCCAAGGGGGGCATGGCTCTGGTTAACCTCGGCCTCTCCGCCGAGCTAGCGGGAAGTGGGGTAGGCGTAAACTCCCTCTGGCCCTACACCCTCATTGGTACATCTGCCATGCGCATCGTCTCCCGTGATGCGGCAGTAGAGGAGAGAACTTGGCGCTCACCGGAAATTGTGGCAGAGGCCGCAGTGCGGATGCTGCAGGAAGATGGGAAGAAGTTCAATGGACGGAGTATCATTGATGAGATCTACCTACGGAGGGAGTGTGGCTTTAGTGAGGAGCAGATGAGGAAATACTCGTTGGGAGGCGAGCAGGTGAAGATGGAAGATTTGGCACTGGTGAGTCCGGGTGCGGTGACGAGGAGGAAGACTAGGTGCATTCGACCGCTTACTCACCCGCATTGTGACCCACCGTATCCTCGCTGCTCGCAGGATCTTTGGATCTCCAAGTCCCTCCAGGAGGACGTCGCCAAGGCCAGAAAGGGTCAATGAGGGCATAGCGAGGTCTGTAGGACGAGAAAGAGAAGGAGGTAGGAGAAGGAGGAGTAGCGGCGGCGAGAGCTCGGGTCCCCCATGTATCAGATATCTCAACCAGTCTATGGACTTGCAATGTAGCCCATCACCTGTAAGCTCCCATCTACATTCAGGCAGAGTAACCTCAAGTCAGCCTCGCACGTTTCTGGTTCTGGCTAGATTTATTGTATTGGATTCTGAGAGAGACAGTGACACAGCGCTCGCTTGGAGTCGTGGGGAAAAGCTCCAGCCCGCAGACCGTCTTGGCAACCCCACCTCGACTCCCATTGCAGAACATCCTACCCGTTGGGCCACCACGCCTTTGGGGTGTTTTGAGGTGCAAGAGGGGAGAAGAAGAAAGGATGGGAAAGAGGTTGGGAAAGGAGGACGGAGAGGGGGAGAAAAGTCTAAGTACACAAGCTGGATGCCGGAGATGGGAAACCGGGGGAAACGAGAAGGGGAGCATCTAACGTTGTGGGGGGAGGACACGGCAAGGGAACTCTTCGAGTCATGAATGAGAGAAAGGAGTGGGCGCGAGAGCTGAAGAGCGTCAAAAGGTTGTCTTGGCCGATTGGTTTTCGAAAGGGGCACCACCCCCCTTCGTGTCCTCTTGCCAGAGTGTTCTTGACGATGTCAGCTGATGTACTCGCTTCTTGCTGACAGACTGACTCGATGTCCCCGTGTGAGCGATGCTGGGGGGATGCGAGCAGATGGTCGACACCTTTACGCCAGCCTGTGGGCAATGGCGACGGCATTGACGTCCGCGTGTGAGATGGACACAAGGAACTTGGCTCCCTTTGCGGCACTAGCTGCCTCTCCAGTCAGGTTGACGCGAGGACCTTCAGGGGTAGCAGTGATCTCAATGTCCTTCATTGGGCTGGCACTGCCCTTGCTGGCAACGCTCAAGCTCTTGAAGACGGCTTCCTTTGCTGCGAAACGGCCAGTGAAGGAAGCCTTGGGGTTTGGCTGTCCTCGGCAGTAGGCGATTTCCTCGTCGGTAAAGTTGCGCGAGAGGAAAGTCTCATTCTCAGCTGGGAACGAGGCTACGTCTTCAATGTCGATGCCGATGCCAGCTGCTCCACCCAAAGAAGCTTGCAGGCTCGCTTCTTGTTGGCTGCTGCTCGATGACTTGGGCGGCAGGACTTGAGCAAGCGGGGGAGAAGCTGCGAAAGGTGGGACAAACTTCCAGGAGTTGCCGACCTTCTGGGCCCTGGCATTGGTGTTGAGCAGTACGGCGTCTTCATCGGCAGGAGCGAAGGGAGGCTCAGACTTGGTGCGGACCAGGTCATTGTTGGTAAAGGCCGAATGCATTCGCCCGTAGGTGAGAGCCTGTCGACCACGACGGTCAGTCTTGTACTTGTTGTACGTAGACTCGCCCAGTCTTGCCAGCAAGTGCGAAGGGTGAAGAGTGAGGATGACTCCTCCTACTTGACCGAAACCGAAGGAGGTCAGCAGAGTAGCATTCAGGTCCTCGGGCGTACGCTGGATCGAAGTCGAAGGGTAGAGCAAGTAGCTGTACTGCTTGAGCTCCGGCGAGATGTCATCGGCGTTTCGGTTACCAGCGACCGTTGAGGTGTGGAGCATCTGAAGACAGCCGTTGAAAGCCCAAGTAGCAGCGCCACCCTTGCTGTGACCCAGCACGGACTTCTGAGCAGAGATTGGCAGAGCATTGTGAGGTGTCCTGCCCATCTTCTCGAGCATAGTGTGGTAGCAGTGCGACTCGTTCTTGTCGTTGGCCTTGGTACTGGTTCCGTGAATGGAAGCAGCACCAATGTCATCAGCAGTAAGACCCCAAGTGGCAAGAGTTGCCTGGAGCTTGGAAGCAGCAGACATGACACCTCGTCCAGGAGCGGGAATCGATCGGCCTTGCTTATCAGTGTGGGTGCTGGCATGCGCAATGATACCCTGAATGGGAGCTCCGAGCTGAATGGCAGTAGCAGCCGACATCAGCACCTGCACACCACCTCCCTGAGACTCCATGAATCCAGAACGGGTAGTCGTCGTGGGTCGAGACATCTCCGATGGCTCACGTCCGGCCTTGAGCTCCTCCTCTGCGTTGCTCGTTGCCTGCATGAGGGAGAACTCCATGGAACCTTCTTCACTGAAGTCGTCGACACCTCCGGCAAGCATGACCTTGGCCTTGCCAGTCTTGATGGCATCAGAGGCGACGGTGATACTCTGCAGTCCAGTGGCGCAGGCTCCAACGGTAGGGGTGATGGGACCGGCAGCAGAAAGAAGGAGCAAGTTGACCCAAGCGGCAGGAACGTTGATGAACGACTCCTGCAGCACATCCTTGGCAGGGTCCTTTTCGGCCTTTCGCTCAGAAAAGATAGCCTGGAGAGACTGCATACCACCCATACCGGATCCAATGGCGTTTCCGACGTCGGAAGGATGCATGTGCTCGTACAGCTCAAAGGGATCGCTGATACCAGACATGATGAGAGCCTCGGCAGCACAGACGATGACCCAGAGACCAATGCGGTCGATGTTCTTGGCCAGCTCGTCTGGGATACCGTAGCGAGTGGCGACCCATCCAGTGGGCAATTGACCGGCCACCGTTCGACTGAAGACGACGGACTTGGGCACCAGAACTCGAGCGCCCTTCTTGAGCTGGACGACCCAGCTGCCGGCCTCGTTCTTCCAGATGTCGACTCCCTTGTCGCCGTGCTCATTGACAAACTTGAGAGCCTCTTCCTCAGAAGCTTCGAAAGTTGGCATGTCCTCGGTGAGCTCAATCTCCTGGGTGTAGCCCTTCTTCTTAGGGTCGTAGCCTTTGAAGAGGGAAGGCTCGATGAGACGAACACCAGTGTGAGCAAGGATCTCTTGCTCGTACTTGTTCTTCATCTCACGGTCCTCGACGGGCTCTCCGCTAGCCGAGTCGACCCAGCCGACGTACTGCTTGCCAGTCTTGAGAGGTCCAGAGTGGTGCTTGATCAATCCCATGATCCAGGCCAGCTCAATGGTAGCCTCGATGGTGAGCGTACCGTAGGCTTCGAATTGCCAGCGCGATCGAGTAGAACCGAAGGGAGACACCTCTGCGAATCCAGTGACGACAATGGTTTGCTCGAGCTCTTGCTGAGTGAGCTCGTGAGACAGCTTGGCGATGCGCTTGTGCTGCTCCATGGTCCACTTGTCGAAGACGTGCTCGAATCGGAAGTGGGATCGAGGCTCGACCTTGACAGTCTGGTGCAGTGCCTCGGCAGCAGCACCCTGGACGACCTTGAAGTCGGCAGAGGAGTCGAGAGCAATGGCACGTCGCTTGGCAGCCTCGTCCTGAATGCGCTTGCGGATCTTGCCAGTGGCCTCCGACAAGTTGGGAATGCTTGCGAACCCACCGGTCAAGTCAGCGTGGATGGGCTCCACAGTGGCCTGAGCGAACATGGTAGGGCTCAAGAGACCAAGGATGGAGAAGGCCATCTCACTGCAAGAGTAGGTTCGCATACCCATCTTCTCAATCTCTTCAGCAACGATGTTGTTGGCATCCATGAGACCAGTTCGAGTCCAACCGATGATGGCTCCCACAATCGAAAGGTAGTCGGACCATCCTTCGCTGCCCCATCGGTTTGCCAAGGTAGTCAGACCAAGCTTGCTCTCGGAGTAGGTACCGTCAAAGCCCATCTGTCCTTGATTGGGCGACAGAGGCACCAAGCAGAGCGTAGGCCGGGTGGTAATGCCACGCTTAGCCTTGGTAGCTTTGATGACACCCAAGAGTCGAAGTACGTTGATCATCAGAGCACGATGAGCGAGCTCAGACTTGTCACCGAGCTCAGAGATGTCCATGCCCTTCTCAGGAATAGCAGCGAAGGGGATGCAGACGTCGAGATCCAGCTGCAGGGTAGTGTAGATGTAGTCGACAAGAGCTTCGGTGTCCGACTTGCTGGCGGCATTGAAGGGAACGACAGTGAGCGTAGAGCCGCGAGCACCGAGCTTCTGGTAGATGGACTGGTAGAATTCGACCGTCTTGCGAGAGTAGCTGGATGTTGTCACGACACAGCGGGCACCACCAGCGAGGAGACCCTTGAGGACCTCTACGGCAATGGATCCGCGGCCTGCTCCGGTAATGAGGACGTTTCGGCCTTCGAATGACATGCCTTCACTGGCAAAGTCCTCGAGGACAGAGAAGTACACAGAGGTGAGCTTCTGAGAAGTCTGCCATGCACCACCGACTTGACGCTTGATAGAGAGGAGAGGCTGGCGAGCATCGTTAGAAGGAGCAGCATCGAGGGCGACCGGTCGCTGGAGGTTGGAGCTTCCTCGTCGAGTGCCGGATCGTGGGTTCGAGATCCTCTGAGTCTGGCGGGGCTGGCCGAGAGCTCGAGCAACTTCATTGTACAGACCCTTGACGGTGCTCTTGTTGAGCTTGCTGACGGCAGGCTCGTTCCTGACCAAGGAGTAGAGGCGCTTGGCATTCTCTGCAGCCAGAGCCAAATCAACTTGGTAGCCACTGGTGCGAGTGCCCTGAGACTGCTCCTTGACGAAGCCCTCCATGGCCTTCCTGACACCTTCCCGCTTCACCTCGCGGAAGACGATGTTGCCCTTTCCATCGATCTCGGTCTTGGGAGCGGTGCAAGCAAAGACTTCCTTGAAGCGCGGTGGCATATTCATGAACTCTTTGCAGTTCTCAATCAGCTGCTGACCGAACTCCTTGGCGAGCTCGTACGTAGGGCCCATTGAAGGGTCAACGCGATTGATCGTGTACTGCATCAACTCCAGGAGAGCAGGTCCGTCAACTCGACCGAAGATGGACAAGCATCGCGCAGAGATCTCCCGGTCAACGGACTGGAGACGGCCATAGACGATGTCGTAGTACATGAGCATTGCATCTTGTCGAGACCAGTTCCACGAGGAAGAGAAGTTGCGGGCCTTGGCAGCAGAGAACTTGGGAAGAATGCCGTCCAAGTATGTGTCACCGTGCTCCAGCTTGATCAGGTCGAGCTTGTCAGTCAGGGCTTGCAGCTCTGCGCTGACGGCATCGACTCGTCGTCCGTCTGCCCTTCGGTCGCTGCCCAGGAATCGCTCAAGGACTTCAATCTGTCGCAGAGCGTGATTGTTGTGACGACCCTCGATCTTCTCGAGCTCTTCGGAGCTGATAGTGGCTCCACCACCACCACCGCCTCCACCAGAGGAGCCTCCGCCCTGCGAGAGGGAGATTCCAGTCTGAGCTGCGTACGAGGAGACTGCAGCGTCAAGGAAGGTCTTGGCTTCTGCCTCTGAGCCCAATCGCTTGGCGGGCTCCTGAGTGATAGCAACGAGCAGGACACCGTCAGTGCGGCCAGGGCCGAGACCCCAGCCCTTCTGCAGGTGAGACTTGACCGATGTGAGATTGAAGCCTCCTGGCATCTTGGCGTTGACGAGCTTAGTGACGAGACCAGACGTGTGCTTGCCCAGGGTACCAGAGTAAGCATTGTTCAAGGCGGCTCCGAGCTCTTCGAGGGGAAGCTCTTCGCCCCTGTCGGGAAGCCCAGCAGGGAACTCTAGCTGCAAGTCTCCAACGAGCTCATTCGACAAGGTACTCTTTCCGCCAGTCATGTCCTTGATGGCCTTGGACAGAGGAATCTCAGAGATGGGCTTCTTGAGCTTCTGAGCCAGGATCGCTCGGACGGTGTCGGTAGCCTTGAGGGGCTCGTCAGGTACGTCCTGAGCTGCACCACCACCGCTAGAGGGAGCAGGGGCGGCAACGGGAGCTGCAACAGGAGCAGGGGCAGAGGCAGCAGCTGGGGCAGCTGGGGCACTCTCCGAGCCAGCTGGGGCTGCTTCAGCCTCTTCCTCGTCGGCAAAGGCGTAGTAGATGGCTTCCTTGTCCTTTGAGGAGCTGAGGAATACACGGCGCTTTCCACGAGCTTGGTCAGCAGCAGCGTACTTGAGGTTGTGGGTTCGCTCTGCCATACCCTTGAGAGTGGGAGAGGGACCGAATTCGACGAGTCGGTCGATGTTGTAGGGCTCCGAGAAGAAGACGTCCTGAGTCTCAATCCATCTGACGGGCGAGGCAAATTGGTAGGCTAGCAGCTCGACGACCAGGGTGGTAGTCAGGCGCTGCAGGTTCTCAGGAGCTCCCCAGGCATCCTTCTCCCAGTCGCGCAAGACTCGGCCAAGTCGCACGCTGTTGGACGAATTGTAGACCAGCTCGACCCAGTCCTTGTCTGTGCGGAAAGGCTGGGCGATCAGGTTGGGAATGTAGCGACCGATGAGCGTGCTGGGCTTGATGTCGCGCCAGTTGAGCTTCTTGGAGAGGTAGTTGCGGAAAGGTCCGACTCCTCCCATGAGGTAGCGGGAGTGGAAAGGCACATCGATACCTGGCAAGGGGATCGTGCAGAATCCTCGAGCGAGCTCAATTCGGCCTCCCTTGGCCTTCTCGTCCTCAAGAGCAGCCTCGTAGTGGCCCTTTACGATTTCGCTCAGGTGCTCTCGAAGCTGAGCCTCGTCCATGGTCTGCGAGAGGGCCTTGACATCGATCTTCTTGACCTTGAGCCAGTTGAGGGTCTGGGTCAATGTGTGAAGCGCAATGAGCTCACCGGCCAAGACGAGCTGAGTGGTGGCTACGTTCCAGTTGACAATTTGGAGCAGCTTGCCACTCTCTGCCTCAATTGCATTGACGATCTCCTGGAGATGAGGGTCGCTGAGACCGACTCGAGCAGGCGAGCAGGCCATCATACCGTAGTTGGATCGACCAAGCGAGTCACGCTGAGAGGATAAGAGGGGGGCGAACGGGGTCAGCAAACCCATACAGAGCGCAACTGCTGTTTCTCTCTTTGATCTCAACTCACCTTGACAGCTCGTCCCATGACGAGACCTCGGTAGAAGACTGTGTCGACAAGATCACAGACGCTGAGGCCTATAGGAGCAAAAAAGGAGATGGAGAATGTTGTCAGCGCAAGCTTCGAATCTGCGTGCTTCTCAGAGCCTTGAGTACTCACACTTTGCAACGGAAGCCAAGGCAGAGTACTCTCCGAGGGAGTGACCACCGAAGCTGAGGGGAGAGGGGGCAAATCGGAGGGTGAGCGAATCAGCGCACAAACGCCATAGCGATACCTAGACGGCCTCTGGAGCTCTACTCACCTTGCCGTGGGGACGACCATTCCCTTGCGCTGTAGATCCTGGAAGGCAGCGAGCTCCATGAGCACGAGAGCTGCCTGTGTGAACGAGGTCTGGTTGAGGACTCCACTCTAGCAGCAGCAACGGGAACGAAGCGAGGAGGCAAGCATGTGCGTCAGTATAGCTGAACACTACCCACCAGCTACCTCGGAAAGAGGGGGCAGCCGGTGGGCGTGTCTTTGCAGGTGGTGGCCATGGCCAGAGCATATAGTAGGAGAAACGAGAGGTAGTGGGGTGGGTGAGTAGGTCAGTAAGGTCAGTTGGGGAGGCAAAAGATGGTCAGTACGTGAGAGATCTGTGGGTGAGGAGAGGGGGAGGAAGGGTGAAGGATGTGGTGAATCCTGGAGGCAAAGTGGCGCCGGAGATGGGAAGCCGCCATGGTCAGGCACGAGAGACGTAAGAGGAGGCGATGGGAGCTCGAGGTGGAAGGCGAAGCTGAGCTCCGGCGATGGCCACGGGTAGGAGGAGCTGCTGGAGGGTGTAGGCGACGAGGAGGGGGGTTGAGTAGGGATGGAAGGGAAGGATGGCAATGGTCGCCTCGATGGCTTCCCCCCTGGTGGAGCTCTGGAGAGTCAATCTTTGACTTGACGGCTGGCCCCTGGCCCCGGCGGCGGCGGCGGCGGCGTCAGGTGTGCGTGTGTGCGTCTGTGGAAGGAAGTCAATCGTTTGTTGAGCTCGGACACGGAAAGAGGAACACGGCGCCTGAGCCACACCAGGCCCACGCGAGGAATTTTGTGGGGTGGCCCCACCAAGGCTCATTATTCCTTGATCCCCCGCGCCCCACCCGGCCCACCGCCCTCGCTGAGGCCACCGCCTCCGAGGCAACGCCAGTCCTTGCCCTCTTCTGCATCTGCTGGGGCGCACGACCAGATGATTAGACGTAGTCACTCATTCCCAATAGACAGAAGAATTCACAATCCTGCGTTCAACACTCGACGTCTCCTACCGTTCGTCTAGAGTCAAGGATGAGCAGAACGCCTCTCCTTGTCTGAATCTCATGCTCTTGTCCCTCTCACCGGGTGTGCTATCAGTCACATCGCTCTGACCCAAACTGCTATGTGAGATCCCGAAAGGCTCGTGACTGTTCAAAAGTCTTGCTCAAGCAGATATCGGGCCAACTTTCGGCTCTAAGTCCCTACTAGTACGCCTTCCCGTCCATTCCCTCCGATCCGGGCCGCTCTCGGAACGGGTCACAACGTCTGCTTCCGTTCCGGTCCTCGTCCCCGTGGGCTTCGCCTATATGCGACTAGCAGTACCAGGCGCGCGTACGGCGCCCTGCTGTGCTGCCCTTTGCACCAAGATGCGGTCTGCAAGCCAGCAGCTACTTTGCCCGTTGTCGGACTATCTGGCCATACTTAGCCTTTATCTTCGTTTGACAGGCAGAGAGTCAATAGCCCGAGGAGCTACCTGAGCTGCTCAGCCAGGGCTCAGCAGAGAAGTTTCTTTTCCTTTGTCTCCGTCTCTGAGCAAAGGGGCGGCCAAAGGCGGGAGCGGCCATTTGCTCGCGTGGCCCGTGGCGTCTACGCACACTTGGCCGCCGCCCGCATGCCCGCCCACAGCACGGCATCCCAGGGAGCGACCGACTGAGTCCAGGGCACGCGGCGAAAAGATCCCGCAAAGGGTCCTCGTCCCTTGGCATCTCGCATGGAAAGAGCAAGAGGTGACATGGCGTTGGGCAGAGCAAGCTTGTAGCGGTCCTGATAGTAAAAGGTCCTTGAGGTTGACCATCAGAACCAGTCAAGCGGTTCAATGGTGTCTCACGCCCTCGCAGTCTCTCTCCCTGCCGGTGAGAATCAGATGCTGACGTAGGGGGTGGAGACCAACGAGGGAAGCCCTTGCGGGGAGGGGGTGTCTCGATTTCTGCCAAGGCGCTGCTCGATCTCCTCTCGGCAACCAAGTGGCCCTAGATCGCGCGTCACACGACCGAGGGCCAAATGATAAATCTCCTTAGTGTCCGCTAGTGCCCGCCGTATGCCGCGCCGGGCGATTCGGCGGCGCCCTTTCCGACCTTGAGAGAATCACACTGCTGCCGAATGCAACAGGCACGCAGGCAGCCCAGGGCAGGGATGAGGCCTCCATGCCTCTTTGCCGGCACATGCGGACCGATCGTACAGCCCATGCCCACTGAGCCTCCCAAGGCGGGGACGGGTGCCTCTCTCAGGAGAGAGAGAGAGAGCGAGGGAGGTGCGTCCTCCTCGCAGGTGTTGTTCATCTCAAAGGCCTTGCCTACTATCTCTACTCTCCTCCTAGCTCGCCATTCTCACCTTGCACCTCAAACAGAACTCCTTTTCGTCACGCTCTTTACCGTGTTTCTTAGTCTTGGCAAAGTTCTCAGCCGCTCAAAGTGAGACCTCTTTCGAATCTGAGCCTCCTTGTCCTCCTCTGTCCTCGGGCCGGTACTGTGTACATCTCCTGAGCTCCGAGACAGTCTCCCTTCCGCGGATCTTGAGATGCTCACCATTCTCAAGGATCTATGGGCTGTCCTAGCTGTCCTCGCCTTCCTTCTCCTTGTCACAAGTCAGGGGCGTAGACTAGTAGTTCACTGCACAAGGGTTCTCCTCAATGGCAAGAATCCGCTACGGTGGCTCGTTGGCTTGCTTGCCGGGATACTGCCGCCTGTGACGTGGACATTAGCATTCAAGCTGGCGCGGAATATACCCTCGGATTGGAGACCAGATGTGAGTACACTCGCCACTCCGAGGCAGCGGCAGACGAATTCTGACGTCCTGTCTTGTTTCTCTACTCTCCTTTCCTTTACAGATTCACACTCACTTGCTACCCGTCTTTGAAGCCATATTACTATCGCCTACGGGCATCATTCTCCTCACGATCCTTGTAACACCATTTGCATACCTCATCAGGAGAGGCTCGAGAACTCAGACGAGCCGCGTACTGTATCCTTCCCTGATCTTGCTCTTCCCAGCATGGCTCAAAGTCATGAACCTCATCGCCCTCGGCACTACGTGGACTCCGTTCCAAGACGTCCTCGCCTGGATCTTCTATGGTGTCCTGCACTTCGCATCCCCCTTCCTAGCTGGTTGGTGGATCTGGGGCTTCGGTCCGCCCGGAGCGGCCATTGTCTACGGCGTCACCCTCGGTGTGCAGAACATCTGCGGTCTCTTCACTCACCTCGTCTTTCCCAATGCCGCCCCATGGTACTACGACGTCTACCCAAACACCACAATTCCCACCTACGACTTCCCTGGCAATCCCGCAGGTTTGGTCCGGGTTGACCAGGCACTGGGTACCCACCTCTACCGTGCCGCTTTCAAGAAGAGTCCAGTCGTCTTCGGGGCCCTTCCCAGCTTACATGCAGCTAGCGCAGTCTGCTTCAGTCTCTTCGTCGCTAGGTACGGCGGCCGCTGGGGTCACATTATCATGCTCCTCTACTCCACCTTTATGTTCTGGTCCACGCAATATCTCCACCATCACTTTGCAGTGGATCTGCTCCTTGGGACAAGTTACTCAGTCCTGGCCTTTTCAGCTGCCACTATCGTGCTCCGAAAGCTGGAAGCCAAGCACGAGAGGGAAGGGACCACTAGAGGTGTGGACAGGTTGTTCTGCTGGCCTGCACCTCACGCCCACAATTCAGCACTACCTCAGCATACCGGGCAGTCCCGAGCATCCGTCGATGCTGACGCGCCAGCGGAAGAGGAGAGGAAACGTCGCTACCGAGGCAAAGGCATGAGCTTCTGGCTCTCGAGCGGGGATGATGCAAAGGACGAGGAAAAGGCAATGATGCTGGAAGACTTGAGCGAACGTGGGGCTTCCTCGCCAGAGGAAGACCACAGATCTATTGCCAGTGGCTCCAGATCCACTTCGTTCTCGTCGGCATCCTCCTCGAGCGATGTTGAGAATGAGAAGCAGAAGAGGGCCGACTGAGGGCTCTGTTGCAGCACTTTACGCGCCATTGCTAGCAGTCTTTGAGGAGCAGCCTTGCTTTGATGGAGTTGTATATATGCTATGTCTTCCACCAATGTCTTCGGGTAATGTCATCCATCATCTACGTGTCTCGTTGCGAGCTAAAGTCGTGTACTGTCTTCAAAGCCATTGTGTTACGCCAAACAGCGAGGTTGTAGCTGGCTGATAGAGCTCAGTACTCGAAGGTGATGTGGCCCGTCTATACCTCGGCCTTTGTGATGCACTGACCTGCTACTCTCTTCTGTCGAAGCCTTTACTGTCGCTTTGCCGAGCTCCCCTTGGGAGTCTTTGGGAACCTTGGTTCTTGTGAGTGTGTGTTGCAAGCTCAAATTCACTCCGGACCCCGGCGCTTCCCTTGTTCTCTCCTGGAAGGTCGTCTCTGCTCCTTTACCCCGCCCTGGCTGGCTTGCTGCAGGCTGCCATCGATTATTCCCAAGCCCGCGTCTGGTGCTGCAGCGTCTGGCTCGGCTGCGTCGCTTCTCCGGTCCTCTGCTCCTAGACCGGCGAGGGGCAAAGAGGGGGGGAGAGAGGGATGGAGAGGCAGGGCTGTTCCCCCCGGGGGGCCTGAGTCTGAGACCCTGAAGGCGAGGAGGAGGAGGTGGACAAGCAAAAGGCGACGAAGCGGCGGCAGATTGCTGCTGCTGGGACCGTCGCGTTGCAGGGCGCCTCTACCAGAGGCAGCACCACCACTACCGCTGCTCACAGCAACTCCAGGACCAACGTCTTGTTCCATCTCACAATTCCCATTCGCCGCCCCTTCTTCCTCTACCCAGCCCACGTTGCTTGGACCCCACTCCGGACCATTGTCCATCGAGCAAAAGGAGCCGTACCTGGCAACGGGCGGCGGCGGCACGGAAGCGAAATAGCAGCAGCAGCAGCAGCAGCAGCAGCAGCAGCATCAAAGGGGCCTTGCTCTTGCTCCTGCTCCCGCCTTTCAAACCATTCTCCGCATCCAAGGGCCTCGTGCTCCCCCCTTACTGGATCTTACAACATCCCCCACAGAGCTAGCAAGCCTCTGCACCTCATCTCTCCATCTCATCATCGCCCTTGTACCCGCTCCAGATCATGATGTGACCAAGCGGCTTCTCGTTGCTTGCTGAAACGCTGGTCAAGTCTGTCGGCTGAATCCCGCAACCGGATACCGACTACAGTTGCACGCCAGGAGCACCAACATCCAGCCTTTGCTCCCGCATCCCTACATTGCTACCTCGTCCGAAAGTGCTGCTCGCACCGAACGCTCACCCACATATATTATTGAGACTGAGAAAGCAGTCTGAGGACCACCCGGCGTGGACCCTCACAACCACTCAGGGGAGACACCAGGCGCGCTTGCAAGAGCATCGTGTGCGGTACCTGAGCTTCGTCTTGTGCTTCTCGCTGCGAAGATGGCTCATCCTCCTCCCTCGTACTCTCCCTATCTGGGTGAGACGCCCGAGGCCGGACCCAGCTCACCCTTCACTGCAGCCAGAAGGCTCTCACGCCCCTACTCGCCTGTTCCTCGGTCTCCCTCTAGCATGACAGGAGATGGACGTCGACCCTCTGGCAGTCTTCAGACACCCTCGAGCCCCCTCCGGCGGGTAGCCTCGCCCTTCGAAGGCGGTCCCGCAGACGAGAACAACCCTGGCCGGCGGCCCTCGTGCGAGTCCTTCCGCACAGTAGGCAGGAGCAGCTTCTCTGGGCCTCCCTCGCCCAACAGGGCGGCCCCACAGACCGCCTCTGCCTCTTCCTCCTTTGCAGGACCTTCTTCACCCGCTTCGACAGCAAGCCTGCCTTCACCACCACCACCACGGCCGGGCCCCCTAAAGCGACCGATACGAGGCTTGTCCCTCAATATCCCACCGGGCCCACTGGCATACGGCGGCCTGACTCAAGTCGTTTCATCTGGCAGTAGCGATGGCGGGATGCTCCAGGACAAGGCGTCTGCTCCTCCAGTCACAGCCTTAGAAGGGCCCGCATCGATAGTGGAAGCTGCCTCTTGGGGCCCTAGCGGCAGTCCAAGGAGGAGTAGCATGACTAGCGTCCATGTCAATCTATCTCCACGGTCATCGCCGCGGAAGACGCCATCGTCTGCTACTTTGCCGCTCAAGGCAGGCTTGTCCAAGAAGCGCCCAGCGCGGTTGAATCTAGCCCCCTCGCCATCTACGCCCAACTTTGTGGCTCAGCAGGGGGACATCGAAGGAGGAGCAGAGGAGGAATCAGAGACAAGAGATGGCGTTGAGGATGAACTGCCTCGACAGGCAGAGACAGGACGGGGAGACAGTCTACGCGTGCCCGGCCCAGCCAACCCTCCGAGGCATCAGTACTCTTCGACTGTGGACGAAGTGGCAGCGAGGAGAGAGACCTCACCCTCTTCGGCCAAACGCATGGGCGTCGAGCTGTCGCCGATACAGGAGAGGGAGAAGCAGAATCTACGCAACACCTTGACAGGTAGACCACGCAGACGGCCCAGTATGCCCTTTTCCAATGTCAGGTCTGAACGTACAGTCTCCGCAAAACAACTTTCACAGCCAGTCAGCAAAAAGTCGCTTCCAGAGTCCTGGCAAGACCCATCCGAGCACTCGCTCTCGGGCGAAGGCTCTAGCTTGCAACATGCGCGAAGCGTCTACGCTGCTGGCCCCATTGAGGTTCTGCCTGGCCTATTCTTGGGTGACGAGCACAACGCGAAAGACGACGACCTCTTGGCCGAGTACAATATCACGACTATACTCGATGTTGCAAAGGAGACACTCTCCCCTCTGCCGTCAATTGCGAGTACGGCTAGTCGAGGTCCAAGGACCGTCGGCCCAGATCGATGGTACTCCGTGTTGCCTGCCCTTCCCGAGACTCGTGGCCGCTCACCTGGCGCAAGAGCCTTCTCGATGTTGCCCGTCCTTGAACACGAGACTTACCTCACTCCTTCTGCATCGCGCTTCTCTGGAGGTCTCGGAAGCAAGGACAATACTCCTTCCGCAATGAACTTTCCCGCAGATGCTCATCAGACTCCTCTGCAGCGCTCTCCGAGTGTGGTCCCGCTGCAGCAACCCCCACCACCGAGTATCATGGAGCATGGGCCATCTCCGCCTTCTCATCTTCTACGCAACTCGCTCTCTACGCCTAATCTCCAGCTAGAGTTCAAGCTGGATGGAAGCTCGGATGTAGAAGGTGACCAGAACGGCGCTCCGAGCAGTAGCGTAGGAACATCTACAGACGAGGAGTCTGAGGCGCGGGCTTCGGACCGGGGAGCCTTTTCTATTGCGTCTGATGCCAGTAGTGCTGTGACGGAAGCCACATCTCCTGGAACTTCTTCAGAAGCTGACGAAGAGCGGGGCAGCAAGGAAAGGCATGGGAGTGGGATTGGTGACAGTCGCAGTCCAATTGAGCGGCTGATGCCTCCGGCCGTCGAATTGCCGCAAGATGCGCTCATCTCCGTCATTCCTCCTTCGCCCATCTCTGGCCGAACCGAAGCCATCAACTACGTCAAGCTTCCCTGGACACACGAGCAGACCGAGCTCGCCTTGCCTGGAGGAGGCTTCGTGCAGGGCTGTGCGATCATAGCTCACTGCCTCGGCATAGATTACTTTGGTCGCCCTCTTATCGATCCTGACTCCGGACAGAGTGTCAAGAGGGGCAACGTACTCGTGCACTGCCAGTGCGGAGTCTCCCGGAGCGCTACCCTGACCATTGCCTTTGTGATGCAATGCGCTGCTCTCAACTACCCCTTTGACAAGACTAGAAGTCTGACGGGAATGCACGATTGCTACAATCTGGTCAAGGACCTCTCCTCGAGTGTATCGCCGAACATCTCTCTGATCTATCAGCTAGTGGAGTGGGAGAGACATTTGAGCAGTGAAGCTGCTCGGCTGCGGGAAGCCTTGAATGCTAGCACGCAGGAGCAGCTAGTCGAGAGTGGACTATTGCACGCTACTCGTGCTGCCTCGACTGAATCCCTACAAGGGGCCGGCGGCGACCCTTCGACGTCGACTTCACCCAGCGATGGCTCATCCAAAGTCACTCCAGCCGTACAGGTGGGATGGTCCAACGATGCAATGGGCGAGGAGGAGTGGACAAGAATGCGTCGCGAGGAGGAGCAAAAGGAGGAGGTGGAGCGTTCTGAACGCAAAAGACTCGTCGAGGAAGAGGCCAAGCGACAGGCAGAGGAAAGGCGCAGGAGAGAGGAGCGGGGAGGGAGTAGTGTTGCTTCACCTGCAGGAAGGGACGCTTCGATGGGACGAGATAGGTCCTTCAGTGGGGGGCTCAGTGCAAGGAGACGCAAGCAGGCACCATCTCTGCAGCTTGGCAGCGGTGCCACTCGCTCAAGCGGCGGTAGTGCCGGCGTGCCCACTCTGACTGTCACCTCTTCTTCAAGCGGCGGCGGCGGCGGCGGTGGTGGCGGCGCTAGCTCGACCTCCTCCTCCTCCTCTGATCTGGATGCTCCGTTGCGCAGTGCTAGACTAGATGGTGCCTTCCCTTCGGGACTAGCCGCCGCAAGCGAGTCTGCGAATTCGGTCCCTCGGTCCCGATCGGGATCAGGGAGAGGCGGCGCACCACCCTCTCTGGCCCGACTGCTGGAGAAGACTTCCATTGCTGAGGAGAATGAGCAGCCCGAGTCGCCGCTGCGCACCGCCACTGCCTCGTCTGGGTTGTTCCCTGCTCATGGGTCGGATACACCCAAGGTGGCAGAGTCAGTCTCTGGTCTCTCTGACACGCTCGCGACTAGTGAGCCCAAGGACTCCGTTGCAACAGAGCAGGCTGGCTCCACTTCTGCTGGCGAGTCGACTCCGAAGTTCCTCTCAGCAGCAGGAGCGAGCGCAAGACCCTACTCCTTTGACGCACTACCGTCCGAGAAGGCCTCTGCCTCGACCGGGGACGAGGAGAGCGAGAAGCAGAAGCTTCGTCCTTCCTTTCCGGGCTCATGGACCATGCGTCAGTCCCTCTCGCACGGAGCTCTCCCGCCTTCTCTTCTACTCAGCAACGCCGGCACCACTGCCATCGATGGTGCTTCTCATGTCGGCCCTGCCGCTGCTGCTTCTTCATCCATTGTTCCACCTCCCACTTTTAGGCCTCGCGTCAATTTCGGACTGGGAAAAGGTGGGATGAGCAGTGCGGAAAGAAAGATGCAGCATCGTCGTACCTTTTCGAGTGAGGTCAAGTGGGACGCAATTCTTGCGAAGGCTACAGCTACGTCGAGCGCGACGATTGCGACGGTAGCTCCTGCTGCTGCTGCTGGGGTGGTGACTGAGGAGCAGGACAAGTCGGGTGTGGCGGACCGTCAAAATGAGAGCGGACGTGATGGCAAGACTTTGCAGGAAGGAACAGGAGCGATAGCGGCAGCGGCAGCGGCAGGAGTGCAGACTCAGCGACCTGGCCTTCTGCGGCAGGTGAGCGAGGGGAACAATGTCCCGCGGAGAGGCTTGGAGGGCAGGCCAGCGTGAGAGGGACAGTCAGATAGAATATTTTCCTCTCTTTCTTCTTTCTGTTTCCGTCTCGAATAGTATTAGTCACCAGGGTCCATTGAAGGTCGCTCTTCGACTCGCACTCGTAGGGCCAAGTTGGGCTCTTCTGATCGAGTCGACTGCGTATAGCCGTTCCTCGGGATTTCCGTACCGCGGAGGCCCGGATGCTGGCAAGCGCCCCCTGCCTCTGCCTCCGCCTCTGCTTCCGTTTCCGATGAGGGGGGATAGTCTATCGCCGGATCCCGCTTCCGTTCCTTTGTTTTCGCGTGGGCGGGCGGGGCCGGATCTCCGATCCGATGATGTGGTGGTAGGCAGGGCGGGGCGGGAGCGGTGCATGCGGGCGGGTGTAAGGGCGCCTGTAGACTTACCTCGGACGATTTTCTCGTCCCGCCCAGCAAAAGGAGGGAGGGGGAGCTGGGAATGATCGAGGGACGAAGGAAAGGCGTTGTGTGCTCCAGTGCCCGCCTCCACCTCGAAGCCGCTGTGCTGTGCTGCTGTTGCTGCAAGAGTAAACTTCGCTGCTTTCGGTTCGCAGCTTCCGACTCACCTCCGCCTGCGTTCGTCGTAGCTGCGCATGCTCCCCCCCGCCTCGCTGGAGACACATATACCCCCCCGAAATTAAAGAGTAATTCCCTTGTTCGAGTCGTATCTGCTTCCCACACTCCTTGTCATCCTTCTTTCGCTCGCCGCTGCGTATCTCTTGCACAGTCTCCTCGCCTGAGCGCTGTCCTCCTTCCTTCCTCGTATCTTCGCTCGACAGCACTCTTCTGCTCGGTCTTGTATTGTACTAGATACTAGACTACTAGACTACTATACTACTAGATCACACCGCTTCTGTTCAGCACAATCGCACGTCATACAGAATGGCTCCTCTATCCGCATACACGCCTGCCCAGGTAAGTTGCAAGCCTCTGTCGCCTCTGTCTAGCTTGCCTCCCTGTCGCCGTACAAGAGCTCACGCTCCCTCTTCAACCTGCTTTCACCTGCACCCTAACTCACTTCACCCACCAGCCCGGCTCTGGCAACCTGATCGTGCACCCAGACCTGCCCGAGCTCACCCGCCTCTACGGCTACTCGTCCAACACAGTCTGGACTGAGCCGCAATATCGAATCTGGCGACAGAATCCAGATGCCGCCATTGAAGAATCGCACGAGGGACAGGAGCACGTTCCTGGAAAGGGTGCTGCCATTGGTTTCCTCGTCAGCAGTGGCTATGCCATCTGCTGGGGTAATCCACTCTGCCCCGTCCACGACTACCGTTCCGTGGCAGAGGCTTTCATCCAGTGGACTGCTCGTCACAATATGAAGCCCCTCTGGAGCTGCATCGACATCGAAATGGAAAAGGTTCTCACACAGCCTCCTTACAGTTGGACTGCCGTTTCCTGCGTAAAGGAAGACGTGGTAGACCCTACCCTCTCGCACGACATGTCTACCCTGGACAAGCGTGTGCGCAACAAGATTTACAAGGCGGAGCGAGCCGGCTTGCACATCTGGGAAGAGTCTCAGCATCTTCCTGAGCCAAAGTGGCAGCAGCAGGCAGAGGAAGGTATGAGGGCTTGGCAAGCACACCGCAAAGGACTGCAGATTCACGTCACCGACTTGCAACCCTGGAGGGATGTGCAGCACCGTCGGTACTTTTACGGTAAAGCCCGTCCTGCCGACTCGCCCGAGGGAACCGAGGAGAAGCTGGTGGGAATGGTTGTGCTAGCGCAAGTGCACGATGGTTGGGTAGTCAAGTGGGCTCTGGAGTTCCCCGACTGCCCCAAAGGAACGAGTGAGAGCATCATCATGCACGTCCTCGAGGTTCTCAACAAGGAAGGATCCCACTCCCTCACTTTTGGTGTTGCCGGTACAGAGCTCAAGGCAGTAGACAACATCAAGGGTTGGAAGATCCAGACGCTTGCCGCAACCTACAATGGAATTTCCTCGGCTTTCCACTTGGGCAACAAGTCCGACTTTAGAGCCAAGTTTGGAGGACACGAGGACAGGGTATACATTGCCTACCCTGTTGACTCGCTTGGCATGAAGGGAATCGACGCTATTATCAGTGTACTCAAGATGGACACTCACGACGAGAAGGGAGAGGGTGAGGGAGGCGACAGGCTGCAGACGCCCGCCGTGGAAAGGACCAACCCGATTAGCGCCTAGAGGAGAAGCCAGGACAAGAAGACCAAGTCTGTCCAGTAACGAAAATGATTGCCCTCAAAATGGCCTGTTGGGGATGGGTCTCGATTTAGAGATAGGTGCGATGCGGGAGACTTTGTGCTTGTGTCCAACTTTGCTTCGCCACTTTAGATGGGGAAGTCGGAGGGGGAAGCTGGAGGAACGCCCTCCACCGCGTCCCTCTCCTTCCCACGCTCCCTCGCTCCGCTCCGTATTCCCTTAGACCAGTCAGGCCCCGCATGTGGCCGTGCTGCCTTTGCATCTCCTTTTCTCTTATCTTCGCTAGTGGAGGATTTGCACCTTGTATAATCAAATGATGTTGAACACCGCCTTCATGTCTTTGTCGGATCGGTCTGAGCATGATCAATGGCAGAGGCGGAGAGGACAAAGGGCTCTCACAGGATGAAGGAAGGAGCGAGGTAAAGATTGACTGATTGCAGAAGCACCAAGGAGAAGGGGGACTCTTTCTATGTACATTGGGTATGGAAGAAGCTAAAAAAGTAGGCAGGAAATGAAGGGAAAGATGGTCGTCACCTCGCGCTGGCCGTCATCGTTGCGCTAGCCGTCGTTGCATTCGTCGCACTAGTCGTTGCATTCCCCGTACTTGCAGTTGTCGCACTGGTCGGAGAAGCCGTCGTCGCGCTCCCACTCCCACTCCCACTGGTACTGGTACTGCTCAGACTAGCCGCATCCAATGCGCTGCTCACCTTGGCCGCGAGCGTCTTGAGTGCTTCCTCACTCTTGGCCTCTTCGGCTTTCGCGCTGGCAAGCTGAGTCTTCAAGTCATCCTCTTCGCTATTCAGTGTAGCCACTTGAGCGTTCAAAGAGGTGATTTGCTCATTGAGCGCCTCGGCCTGCGATTGCAGAGTTGAGATCTGGCCCTCTAGAGGGGAAAGGGCAGTGCGCGCTGTACGGAGGGACTTTTTAGAGGCGATGAGGCCGAGAGAGAGGCCGATGGTTGTGCCGGCTAGGAGCAGGAGGAAGAGGAGGAGGCTGAGTAGCAGTGGGCGGGAGGCACCTGCGGGTAGGAGCACGCCCATGATGCGTCGACGAAGCAGGTGCGTGGAACGTGTGTAAGGACCATTCTTGCGCGGATAGCGTTGAGAAGAAGCGCAAGAGGAGGAAGCGAAAGGGTAGACGCCAAGCTCGATGTCCTTGTCTCGGGTGTCGGTCGAGCCTGGCTTGCTCTTGTTCAACGAGAAGGGGCGCAGCGTTTTGTGAGTCGTCGCCGGCTTCTTCCTCGACTGCTTCTCTTGACGCAAGGCAGCAGCAGCACCGTACCTCGGCAGGTACTCGCGCTGATCCTCGTCCCATTTGCGGTAGTCTTCCTCTTTACGTTCCTCCTGCTCCTCCTCGTGTTCCTCTTCGCTCTGAGCATACGAGCGATCGCGCTCAGCAAGAGGAGGGTACAACGGCATCCTCGTCGCCTGCTTCAGTGTCGGCAAGAAGCTCGCAAAGCGAACCCTGCGCTGCGCTCTGCTATCAGTACTGCCTTCGGTTGGAATCTCAGGATGGACGAGTGGCTGCATAAGGTGCTGCACGAGCTGGTGAGTCGGTCCTCCCTCTGCTTCAGGCACCCAGACGTCTTCCCAGTCACTGGTGGTATTGCCGTTGCCGTTGCTGGTACTGTCGCTCGTTGTCTTCTTGCGACTAGGAGCAGGCCTTTCCTTTGGCAGGGGTGGTGCATCTTCTGCTATCCTGCGCAGCTTTGTCAATAGGAGACTCTTGTGCTTCTTCGTATGCTTGGCAGCAGGATGTCCCCGCCCATCGCTTGCTATGTCGTCCGACTCGCCTACATCGCCTGACCGTTCCTTCGAGGTAGCCTGGGTATCTGCAGAGGGCACAGGCACCGATGGGCTTCTGAGCGGCCCCAATGTCCGGCTAGAGAACCAATCGCGCGGAGGCAGGAGGCCTCCCCATCCATCTGCTAGACGTGTCCATCTTGAGGTATCACGAGGGGGACGGAGGAGGTTGCGAGAGTCTGCACGAGAATCGTCCGTGCCCGATACTGAGCGTCCTCGAGGATCCTGTCCTACTTCTTGCTGTTTGGCGTCGAGGAGTGATGAGCTTGGGGCATACCAATTCAGAGAAGGAACAGCCGTAGCAGAGCTCTCGCTACGCCCACGTCCATTGACGAGCATCTCAGCCAGCTTTTCCGGTACATCGTCCTTTTGCACGGTCGCCAAAGGAACACCTCGCGGCGCAGTACTGACCACTCCACTTCTCGATTGTGGGACTGGTCCACCTCCAAAGCCAGCCGGACGAGGGTCAAAGCGACCACTGCTGAAAGCCCTCCTCTGTTCGCTTGCAAAGATGCAATCTTCCTCCCCCGCCTCCTCCTCCACGGGCTGCTCCAACTTTTGCGATTTCCTCCTGGCTCCCAACCTCCTGAGTGTGGCAGAGAGGGGTTGGTCACGTATGAATACGGGTGAAGAGGCAGAGTGCTCGCTCGTGCCGCATTCGTGATTTGACTGTTCCTCTTCGGCATTGGAGAGGGCGAGGCTAGGTGAGTTGGGTCCGCTCTCTTGAAGCTGATGACCGGGAGGAGTGAGAGGGGCGTAGCTCGGGAGAGGTAGAGAGAGGAGAGCTAGCAGAGGCGATGAGTTTGTAGAGGATGGTGCCAGCCGTCTCGTCTGTACCGAAAGGGGCGCTAGCGGCGATGGCCGTCCACTACGAGTGCGTGTGGAAGTGGACTGTGCTTGTGATTGCGGCTCAAAGGGATTCTCTTCCTCGTCGCTGTCGTCGTCTTCACCAATTGAGAAGTGAAAGGCAATCGTCGAGACTTCTGCCGGTGCTGGATCTGAGGCAAGGCGGCCCCTCGTTGATGGTGCAGCTGATTCGCTCGATGCTTGGTGTCTCAGCCGCGAAGGTTGAGTGCTGCGCAAAGCCCGATCGATGGTGTTGGGGGAGACAGCCCAGCTAAAGTGTTCCTGAAGACGTCCACGATACGGCTTGGGTGAGGTAGAGGGAGAGGAAGAGGGTGAAGGCGAGCGTGGGAAGCGATTGACGCTATCACTGCCAGTGCTGGACCTGTAGTTCTGATAGTCAACTTCGTCGTCTGTCCACTCGTCCTCGTCCCTCATCTGAGGTGCACTGCAAGGTCAAGTGTAGCAGGGTCGTCTGTGAGTTGGAAGTGGCCGAGGTACTCGAGATCGACCGCAGGCCGTGTATATGTGTGTACGATGTGTGTGTTTGTGTTGATGTTGATGTCGCAGATTGTCAAGCATCGCCCTTGCCATGCTCTGCTCTGCCCTCGGCGTCAACGCCGGCGCCTACTCAGATCGCCTTTGTTCCACTTTCTGCTACGCGTCTCTTTCTTTCCTTTGTTCGCGACGCCCCAGCTCATTTACGTACCTACGCCCAGGGCCACGCCGCCAGGCTGCACTTGATCGCCGGCCGATGAGCACTGCATCTCTCACTCCTCATTGAGACGACGACCATGACGGTTGCTGCTGACAGCGGATCGTCGTAGACTGGGATGACTTGCGCTGTATGAGTGCAACAGTGTGTCCTGCCCACGGTGTCCTCCGCCAACCGGACCGGCTGAGGGGCGAGGCGATTCCGCTCCCTGCTTCCGGTCCTTCTGCCGCCGCCGCCTGCATCGCGTCCTTACCCCACCATCCAACGATCCTCACTCCCCGCATCACCCCAGGGAGCATATAGAGGCAGATTCGACACCTCACGAGTCGTCACTGTTGTCCTCGTCATTCGCCCACGATGGTCATCAAGGCTTATGGTGAGCAGAAGAGCAGGCGTCGCCGAGATTCAGTATTCAGAAGCACTCCGGCTTACGAGATGATGGCTGCCATGCACCCTCTGCCCTCACACTCTTCTCTGTTCTACAGACTCATTTCTCCTCAACAATGCTTCGCAGATCACAGCAGTCGAGTCAAGCCTGCGGTCCCTGACCTACTTTCTCCCAGGTCGGTTCAAGGATGCTGAGCTGGCGGGTGAGGCAATCTACTCTGCCATGAACCTCCTCGGCCTCTACCACGATGAAATTCTCAAGAGGCTCGTCATCTACCGGGACATCAACGTGGATGGTCCTCAACAAACGAGGAGACTGGCTTCCAAGCCCATTCAGCCACTGAACGGTGCCTCTTCGGACCAACCTCTGCTTCCTCATACGCCTTCGTCTCATGCGAGGTACACAAACTACTATTCTGACAAGTCGCCTGCCTACAAGACCATGGCCAGGCTGCTGGTGGTCATTGGATATACTGAGCTGCTGGCGGAGATGGTGGCAAGGAGGAAACTGAGCAGAAGCAAGGCATGGGATGTTGTACTTGGCATAGAGGCAGTCAAGTGAGTAGTGACAAGGGTGGTACTGACAGATGTACAACGATAGCAGAGCTCACCCGCTGACCCGCCCACCGCCTCTCACAGAGCGTCCCTACGTCTAGCCCTTTTCAGCATCTCTGAGTCTCGCCTCTCCATCAACCCGCCGGTTCCCGAGCGAGAAGTGGACCCGGCTATGCTGGAGACGGAGCGGGAAGAGGCTCTGCTGGCTCAACTCCGGGAAGCCTCTGCCTCTGCTGCTGTGAGCTCTACAACTTCGACAGGCGAGCAGAGGGGCATCACAGCAACAGAGGGTGTCTCTAGTCCTGCTAGGAGCTCTTCGGCAAGGGCAGACACCTGGACTGGCTCAAGGACTGGTTTCGTACGGCCCACGCTCGCCTCTCTGCGTAAAGACGATCGTCCGATCGATCCAGTTACCGGTCGTCCCATTCCCGACTCGCCGGCCAGCTTGAATCTCCCTTCTGGCTCTCGTCCTACATCACGCTCGCGATCTCGATCAAGGCTGAGCTCACATAGCGATACCGACAGCGATTCGTCCGACGAGACGCTGGTGGAGCCAGCCTCTGGCTCTGCTACCACCACTCCCTTTACTCAACAGTCCATTGACTCGTACCTCACTTCGCGAGCTCTGACTCGTGAAGACGTGCTTCCACCTCCGACCCTGGTCCGCTCCTTTGCCAATTCAAAGAGGGGTACAACAGCCGAGCTCCTTTGGATTCTGCGGCCCATCTTCTACCTCTTGGCCATCCGGAAGTGGGGAGCAAGGAGATGGGAGCCCTGGACCATCTCGCTGGTGACCGAGGCTCTATCTCACTTCCTGCGAGGATCAGCATACAAGAGTCCCGCACTCATGTCAGGAACTCAAAAGTCACACTTGGCGCCCCTGCAGATGATGTTGACGCTGCTGACCTCTAGCTCCAACCCGCTGTTCAAGCTGGTGGCCCATTTGGGGAGGAAGACGCTGGCTACTACTCAGCCCGTGAGCCAGGTGGAGAGCGAGGAGTGGTCCCGAAGGAAGAGGGCGTTTCTTTGGTATCTGCTGCGTGGACCTCTGTGGGAGACGTGGACAAAGAAGAAGGTCGTGGCACTGTGTGATCGATGGGAGGACAAGGCGGTGCTGGGCTTGGGAGCATCGATGGCTAGGGAATATGTGCCCTTGGTGGATGGACTATGGTTCTATACTGCTTCGCAGTAGCAATGCACGTAGGGGGGGAAAGAAAGAAGGAGCAATACACAGCTTCCGCCCTGTCTCTCTCTTTCTCTTTCTTGTCATTTGGTCCCGCATACCTGTCTGCCTCTTTTCACTGGTCTTGTGATGAATCGAGCGTGAGAGCCTCCCTGCCTTACCTTTCTTGATGGGTCTTGGCCCCTTGCCACGTGGGATTGCCTTCCCGAGCAAATGTCTTGGTGTGGGCCTTTTGCGTGCGTGCGTGCGTGCCCCCACGCCTCTCCCCCCCTCCTCCTCTCTCTCCGCCGGCTGGGCTCGCTTGTAGGCCGGTTTTAAAACAGAAGCCCCGATTGTGATGTGCGGGTGCGGATGGGGGGATATCTCCGGGAAAATCAACAGGGCAAGGGGGGCGGCGGGCAGAAGAGGCCTTTGACAATCACGCTCACTGCCTTTGCCCTCGTCTGCTTCTTTGGTCACCGGATCGGGGATTGGCGGGGGAGGCGTGGAGTGGACAGATGCTTGCCGCCCTTGCTGCTGCTGCCGCCGCTATTGAGTCTCGGCTCCGAACGAATCTCCGACTCCACCACTACTTCACTCTTTTCATCACATCCCCAAAACCTGTACTTCTTGCTTACCAATCAATTCAACCACTTGTCGCTTTCACTGTCCAACAGATTAAGAGTCAAGCCTGGAAACTCACGTCCCCAGTCTCATCGTCACCACGTTCTACAGCCTCCTCGTTACTACGTCACCGCGGTTGTCACAGTCCTAGTCACGTCATTTGTTAGACAGATAGTCCAGCATGTCTGGCCAGCCTCGAGAGGGAGGTCAGGCCTCTGCTAATGTCCCCATTGAGTCCCCCGATATCAACGCAATGTCCTCGGTACTGCAGATTTACGCAGCCTTCGCTCAGCAGCGACCAAACCTGTCTCATCCAGAGTTGATGGAATTGTCCAAGCTTCAGTTTGAAGCCAATGAGAAACGACAAAGCACCTCAGTCACGGTACAGCGACGAGTCAATATCACTCAAGAGGGTTTTGAATGGCCAAAGGAAGTTCGAAACGCCATCGACAAGCTCTACAAGCTCACGACGAAGAATTGGAATGCTTGGATCATGGACTTCGAAGCCATCTGGGAAGGAATCCCACAAGTTCGCGACCTCCTCTTCGGTGACATTGATGAAGACCACCCAGAGTACGACTACCGAATCGACCACAAGCTCGTCTCCGTCCTTAGACACGTGGCTGAGAAGGAATCAACCGACAACATTCTTCACATCATCAACAGGAGGAAGTGGGCGAGTGGCAAGGAACTCTTCGACTATATGCACGAAATGTTGACCAAGAACGAAGCAGTAGTAGCCAGCACCGTTCTCCTCGACCTCAGTCGAGTACGAATGACCAACAACGAAGTCTCCAAGGTCATCCGTGAGATTAGCAACATTACTACCAGAGCGGCCTTGGTCGGCATTGACATTTCGGTACCTCAGCAAATCACGCAGCTATGCACCGCCACTTCCTACACTCATGTCTACAAAGATGTCTGGCATACACTCGAAAGCGTCGGCAGCGTTGTCGACTATGACGCTGTATGTGCTGCTCTAATCAGAAGGGAAGACCGACACATGAACGAGTCGCAGGCGAGGGGGCCCCGAGCTGCTGCGTTGTCCGCATCCGCTCATCCTAAGAACGTCACAGAGAAGCCAGCCGAAGCCAGAAGCTCCAGGGTGTCGACCAAAGAGGAGGCTTACCTCTACGGCCGACGAGACCCCAGACGACCAGACGAACCTGCCAAGTGTTACACGTGCGGTAAGACCGGTCACATTGCACGCAACTGCCCTGACGCGAAGAAGGAAGAGTCAAAGACGACTGAAAGTAACCGAGAGACCGCAGCCCTCACGAGCGAGGCCAACACGACAACCAATTAGGAACTCGGGCGACCCGGGCGACCCGAGGTCGCCACAAGTTACCAAGACGACAAGATGGTATGGCTTTTAGACTCAGGAGCATCGAAACACGTCACGAATCGCATCGACATCATGTACAAGATTAAGCAAGTCACCGGACCACTCACGACCCTGGGAAACGAAGAATTAGAATACGAAGCAATCGGCAAAGTACGAATGACAGTGGGAACAACAGAGATCACGTTGAACGAGGTCCTGTACGTCCCACAAGCAAACGAAAACCTCATCTCAGAAGGCATGCTCGTCAAGGACGGCATCAGCGTACACTGGTTGCCAGACAACCAAGTCGTCTTCGATCTTCCCAGCGGAAGAACACTCACGTTCACACGACCACCACAAAGCTCTAGACTCAGATTCCAATCACAATGTATCCATAGACCGGACCGTCAAGAAGAAGAAGCCATGACCGTCTCAAGGACGAACGTCATCCACGAAGCACTAGGTCACCCAGGACCAGCACAAGAGAAACGCGCCGTGCAAACATTGATGCCCGAGAAGATCACAGACCACCAAGCGCCAGACGACTGCGAACCCTGCGATATGGGCAAGATGACCAAAGCAAGGTTGCCAGCACACACAACCTATCCCAGTCCCAACCGACCGCTCCACAGATTGCACACAGACATCCTCACCCAGCTCGCAGGACACTCGGCCTACCAGTTCGCCTTAGTCACCGTCGACGACTACTCTTCCTACGTCAATGTCACGCCTTTGAGGAACAAGAGCCAGGCACCTCAAGCACTTATTGACTTCGTGACCCTGGCAGAAAGACAGACTGAATCTAATGTGCAAATCATCAGATCCGACAACGACGCCGTGTTCAAGAGCAACGCGATCCTAGACTGGAAAGCCACGCAAGGCATCCTTTGGGAAGTTACAACCCCGTATGATTCTAGGGGAAATGGCAAGGTTGAGCGAATGCTACGCACCCTCAGAGAACGCATGCAATCGTCTCTGATCGCTAAGAACGTCCCGTACAGTCTCTGGCCAGAAGCCATCGAGTACGTCGCATTCGCCTACAATCTCACCACTAGAGACGAAGAAGGAACCATCCCTTATCAGGTCTTTTGGAAACGCACGGACGCCCCTCGACTAGCAAAGCTTTTGCACCCTTTTGGCTGCTTGGCAACCGTATTCGTGCCGGAAAAGAAGAGAGTAGGAGGCAAGGGAGGACCACGAGGCATTCCGGCCATCTTCCTGGGAGTTTCAATGGAACACAAAGGATGGAAGTTCTACTCGCCGCACGCTAGCCCATCCACCTTCTGGTCGAACAGCGCGAAGTTCTATGATGACAAGGAATGGAGACACAGACGCGAGACCGCCAACTGGAAAGACCTCGTCAACAACCAAGCACTGTTTGCCGACAAAGGCGAGGATGTCGTGGACCTAACGTACACCAGCATCGACATCATCGCTGAGCGAGACCAAGAGATCCTCAGGTACTACGAAAAGGAGTTTCAACAAGGTCGCGAGGAAGAAGGTGACCTGACTCTGGACAACGACGACCAGATCACGCCTTATGTCGAAGACGACGACGATTTCTCAGAAGAGATCAACCGAGAATGGGTGAGCTTGGCCTCAGCGACCGTCCACGATCCAAACTCGCCAACTGTGCATCAAGCACTACACGGACCGAACGCTCCACTGTGGCAAGAGGCCATCCGTAAGGAAATCGAAGGGTTAGAGTCAATGGGCACCTGGACACTAGTAGACCCCCCACCAAACAAGAAGCTGGTCGACTCCAAGTTAGTACTCAAGGTGAAGACGTCACCGGATGGGGTTCCACTCAGGTACAAGGCGAGATTAGTGGCAAGGGGCTTCACCCAACAGGAGGGAATTGATTTTGAGGAAACCTTCGCGCCAGTGGCGCCCTACACCGCACTCAGAGCCGTGCTCGCCGTCGCTGCCGCGGAGAAATGGCATGTGCACACAACCGACTTCACGCAAGCTTATCTCAACGGAGAATTGACTCACGAGATCTACATGAAGCCTCCAAAAGGGGCACAATCTGGAGACAAGGTTTACAAGATCGAGAAGGGACTGTATGGCCTCAAACAGAGCGGAAGACTATGGAACCAGCAGCTAGACACGGCACTTAGACAAGATGGTTTCATTCCACTATCCGCCGCTCCCTGCATCTACACGAAGGGCTCGAAAGACAAAAGGATCATCGTAGCGTGTTACGTCGACGACTGCCTCTGGGCATCCAACTCGCTCACCGAATTGAACGCTGCCAAGGCAGCTTTGCTGAAGAAGTTTAAGCTTGAAGACAAAGGGCACGTCACCTCCTTCTGTGGCATCAACATTGACTACGATCAGGACACCGGATCATTGTCCATGAGTCAGCATGGATACATCGAGTCAATCATCAAGGAATTCATGCCTGAAGGAGGAAAGGCGAAAACCCCCATGCAAGTCACGCCGCCATGTACTGAACTAGACCCTGCCGTTCAAAAGACTTACAGAAGACTTGTAGGAAAACTCACCTGGGTAGCCAACCACTCCAGACCCGACATATCGTTCGCTGTAGGAATCCTCCAGAGACACATGGCATCTTGCTCTCAAGTCCACCTCGACGCTGCGTTGCGCGTCGTTAAATTCCTTTCTGGCACCAAGAACTGGTCGATTACCTACCATCCGAGCTTGAATGAAGGCATAGTTGGGTTTACCGACGCCAATTGGTCGAGCGACCCACACGCCAACCGAAAAAGTACTTCAGGATCAGTATCATTCGTTTTCGGTTGCCCAGTCACTTGGAAGACACAGGTCCAGAAATGCGTTGCCTTGTCGGCTGTAGAAGCAGAACTGGTCGCCGGCTCAGAAGCCGCGAGAGAGCTACTCTTCTTGAAGAACCTGCTACGAGAGCTAGGCTACCAAGAGAAACCGACGTTGCTCACTGACAGCCTGGGCTGCGTTCAGGTAGCTAAAGACCCCGCCCAGCATTGGCGATTAAAACACATAGACACCAGGTACTTCTTCTTGAGGGACTTGGTGCAGACTGACGTTATCAACGTCCAGCATGTTCGCACCGCTGCCAACCCTGCCGATCTCTTCACCAAACCCTGCGGTTACCACGTCCTTACTCGTCTTACCCCACTTTTGTCAGTAAAGTAGTGATCTGTCGTCGAGGGGGCCTATTGAGTCTCGGCTCCGAACGAATCTCCGACTCCACCACTACTTCACTCTTTTCATCACATCCCCAAAACCTGTACTTCTTGCTTACCAATCAATTCAACCACTTGTCGCTTTCACTGTCCAACAGCCGCCGCCGCCGCTGAAGCCGACGTTGTGGAGTGAGAAAGGTGGGCCAGGCTGCGTGGGTGGGATGATAGGGCAAGCAGCAGGCCGTGCTGAGGGCACTGTTCCCCCTCGACGAGGCAAAGTTAGATGGATGCCGCCGCCTGCTTCTTGTCCTTTCTCCTCTTCTTCCCTGTCCCTCCTTCCCTCACCAGGATCGCCCCTTCCCCCCTTCAATACTAACAAGGTCCTGCTTGCCCGCCCCTTCTGCCTCTGATGCCTCTGATGTCCTGCCCTGCCTGCCTGACTCTCCCCCTTTAGACTTGCAAGCGCGCGCGCACTGGCGCCTGGCGTGGGCCTGCCTGCCTGCCTGCCTGGCTCAAGCTCTGTCCGTCTCCGAGCCACTGGCCCTCCGCTTCCTGGTCCCATCTCACCAGATCCTCAACCCCACCTCTCACCTCTTCTCTCTCTCTCTCAAATACCCCCCTCCTGACATCTTCTGCAGGTCAGCTGCTACGACTGCTTGTAAACTGCAGAAGAAGTGACAGTAGCCTTCAGCTTTCGCTGCTGTTGCTGTTGCTTGCCTAGAGAGGAGAGGCGCTTCTGCCAGGTGGCCCAGGCAGCAGTCGCGTCGCGAATATCCCTCGCCCCGCCTTTCCGCTTCCCCACTTCCCTCACTTCATTCCTTTCCTCGTACCCACCTCTTCTCTAGTCGGCTGGCAAGCGGCTGTACATCCTCCCCTTGCCTGATCCTTCCTCCAGCGGCTCTCTTACATCCTTCGCGCCTGAGCTCGCTCGTCTGTCTGGCATATACTCACAGAGTCTTCGGAAGAGCGGCAGACCCGGTAGAGGTGCTATATGAGAGGTCACCGCATCTTCCTGCTCCCGCATCGCGATCCTTCTACAACTACGCCTCCGTGATCTCCCCATTCCAACCTCAATCTAGAGGGGAGACACCAGAGACACTTCTCACATCTTAGACCTTGACTTCTATCGGTCCCCGGACAGACTTGACACTTCTGTACTGGCCGTCTTCCGGTGAGGGATCTCCCCCTGCGGATCTGAAACGAGCGAGCCATGTTCAACGGACAGAACTTTGCAAATGGATTCGCCCAAGGTCAGCAGCATAACAATAACAATAATGCAGGCGGCGGAGGCGCTGGTGGTGGGGGAGGAGCAGCAGCAGGGCAGGGTCTAGGTCAAGGGTCTAGTCCTCCGAACCCTCAGCTGCAGGCGCTCCTTCAACAACAGCAGATGCAGCAACTTCGATGGCAGCAGATGCAAGCTGCTCAGGCTCAGCAGTTGGCAGGTGGGGGAGCAGGTAATGGTGCACAAATAGGAGGGCAGGGCATGCCTTCCGCTGGCGCACCACATCAATTCTTGAACCCAGCCGCCTTCCTCAATCAAGCTGCCGCGGGTGGAAATGCAATGCTATCGCAGCAGGGTGGGGCAGGGGGAGCAGCTGGCGCCTTTCCCTCTACGCCATCTTCGGCTGGTCCAAGCCAAGGTGGGATGCCCTTTCAGCAACAGGCGCTCATGCCTGGTATGGCAACTCTGAATCCTCAGCAGTTGCAAGCCATCATGGGCATGTCTTCTCAAGGCGGAGGAGCTGCAGGTCAAGCTCAAGGGATGGGCGGGGGTGCAGGAGAAGGAATGTTCAATCCGCAGATGATGATGATGATGAACATGAACAATCAGCAACCTCAGCAGTCACAGCAGCAACAGCAGCAGCAAATGATGATGATGATGGCGGCCCTACAGCAGCAGCAGCAACAACAACAACAACAGCAGCAGCAGCAGCAACTAGCCTCGACATCCAGCAACTCCAACATGGTCGACCCCTCCACGCTGCAGAACACAATGGGAATGGGAGCAGGCGGTAATGCGGGTAGAGGTATGTCTCAGTTCCCGACAGGGGCCTATGGCATGCCAGGTGGTCAGATGAACGGATCGATGCATCAGCAAAGACCGTCAAATGCTGGCTCCCTGGCCTCGCAGGATGCGGGACGGAGCACTCCGGACCCGTTCAAAGGCCGAAACGCTGCGGGGCCCAGTAAAGCTGCTCTTGCTGGAGGAGCCGCAAATCGCAAGGCTCGCACCCCATCGATCAAGACTGAGACGGGCGCGACGCCTCTGATGGGCGCTGCGTCGATCCCTGGCGCGCATGCCGGACAATTCGTAGCTTCGCCTCTAGCGGTCGGGTCTCAGGCTCCCGAACCAATGCAACATCAGCAGCAGCAACAGCAACAGCAAGGGCAACATCGAAGTCCCAGTGCAAGCAGTCAACAGCGGCCGACACAACCTCTGAATCCAGTGATAGCTGCCTGGCGGCCCTCACTGAGCTCAGAACAACAGCTGGAAGTCATGACAAAGGTATGGAAGTACTCGCAGACCAACTCCATTGACCCCATTGAGGTGCTACGGCGGATGAGGCTCGTCTATGTCAGAGGTGATGCACTACCGGGAGCTGGATACGGAAGAGTGATAGCGCCCAAGAGCGACAACCCGCGGTCAGGAATGGCGCTCATTACTTTTGATGAAGCTCGCTTGCTGGCAGACTTTGTGCAGGCTGTTCGACCAGGCCAAGAGACAATCCCTATTGCTCCATACTGGCTCGATCAGCAACAACAAGGCGATAGACCCGCTCAAGGGTATCCTTCTCAGGGCCCCACTCCGGGCGGCTCGTTCCCATCTCAATCTCCTGCACCTGGCATTCAGCAGCTCGGACAGGACCCAATGGCCATGCTTCAGCAACAAGGAGCCAGCAGAGCGCACCCGTCCAGCGGTCAAGACAATCGACCAGAGTCTCGTTCTGGCTACCCAGGAGGTGCAGGAGCCATGGGTCCTCCCATGAGCTCAGCAGGCCCTGGTCATCCGCCAACATCGGCTGCTCAAGAGGACGTACGCAGACAGTCTATGGCGCCTGGCTCTGCAGATGCGCGTCAGAGGTCTGTAGCACCAAAGGAGAGCTCACCCCATCCTATGCAAGGCGCTGTAGACCAAATGAACAGACCTGGTGTGCAGCTGCCACCAGGACAGGCAGCAATGGCAGCAGCAGGGATGGGGATGGGGATGGGAATGGGCATGCCGATGCAAGTGGGACAAGGGGCTGGAATTCCAGTGCCAATGCCTGGGGGAATGCCAATGGGGATGCAGATGCCCATGAATGCTACTGCTGATCCGTCGGCTGTGCCCGGCATGGGCCCGGGAGGTATGCTTGGTGCCCAGCAGGGGTATGCACCATCTCCTACTCACAACCTCTCACAATCACTTCCCTCGCAACAAGAGCAGCAGCCTCTACAGCCGGACTTGCCGCCTGTGCACGGAGGCACACTTCCCGCCACGAACGCTCAAGGCTTCCCCGTAAGCAGTCTGAACACTCAGATCACTCCTCTTCCTAACTTACGAAGGCCCTCGTTGACTAGAGAGGATCTGCATGGAGCCTTTTGGCAACCCTTTACCGAAAAAGATGAAGAGAAGCTCGTCGAGATTATGAAGCGCGATGCCGAATATGCCGAATCGGTCAAGTCTGCTGCCACGCAGAGGAGTCTTGCCCTGCGACAGAGGGTGGAGGAGATTCAACCTCACTCTCGTAGAGCCCCAGATGGTAGTGTGATTGCGCCAGAGCATCTCCACTGGTGGGAGAGAGCTGACGAGGAAGGGCCCTACCAACCCGGAAGGGATGGACCCTTCAAGATCGTCTTCCCAGACGAGCGTCGCATGGATTTGCAAGTTCAACGTGGAGGTCGCAGATTTACCACCAGCGCCTACCTTGAGCGACTGAAGCGCCGACAGCTCTCTGCCATTGGAGAGAAGTGGGAAGACCTGGTTCCTATCCGCTTGGAGATCGATCACGAGGGATGGAAGTTGCGGGACACCTTTACCTGGAATGCCAGCGATGATCTCACCTCGCACGACGAGTTCAGCAAGAACCTCTGTGAGGACTATGGATTGCCTGAATCTAGCTTTGTGCCTCTTGTGCGCGAGGCGATCCAGGCTCAAATTAGCGAGTACCTCTCTGCAAAGGTCTTGCGGCCGCAGAGCGCTGTGATCACTGCTGGTGAAAGTGGCGCGAGAGTAAAAGGAGGTAGTCGTGGGCTACTCTCAAAGGAGGAGCTGAAGTGGTGGACATCCTGGCGAGAGGTAGTGGAGGAGCTGCAATACACCGCTCTCGGCGGCAGCGAAAAGTCGATCTCAGACCAAAGAGCCAAAGAAGCGCTGGAATCGACGGACAAGGTAACAAGTTTCAAGACATCCAGTGTTGACGGCACGCTCACGCGAACGAATCCCGAGCTCAGGATCAATATCAAGCTCGATATCACCGTGGGAGCGATGAATCTCCTTGACCAATTCGACTGGGACATCCTCGATGAGACATCGTCGCCCGAGGACTTTGCTGCTGCTTTTGCAGCTGATCTGGGTCTGGCGGGCGAGTTCAAGACGGCCATTGCCCATTCCATTCGAGAACAGGTGGAAGTGCACTTGCGCTCCCTTGCCCTCGCTGGTCATCCCTTTGATGGGACAGAGGTGTTGGACGACGAGCTCAAGGGCGCTTTCTTGCCCGGTGTGCAGCGCTTATCAGTCACCAGAGTTGGGCAAGAAGTCGAGGATCACACGCCACGACTACTGCAGCTCACAGAGGCCGAGGTGGATCGACAGGAGCGAGACCGTGAGAGGGATTCTAAGCGCAAGAAGCGTCAAACAAGAGGTCGCAGAGGTGTCAATATGCCCGATCGAGAGCCGCTCAAGACGCAACGGACGCCTGCCATCACGGGTCTACAAGCAGCCCAAATTGAGGCAGCTGGTGGAGCGGCAGCCGTCGCTGCTGCTGCTGGCGCTTCGTCAATCCTGGGTGGCAGTGGAGCTGAAGGCTTGCTTGGTGTGAGAACCTCTACAAGAAGAGCTGCAGCGGCTGCTACGGCGAACATGCAGGCGATGAGCGACTTCGACACTCCAACTCCTGCGCCAGAGGCGAGACCTTCTGTAGGTCCAACTGGTACGCCAGCAAAGAGGCAGAGGTTGGAAGATTACTCGATTCACTTCAAGTATCCTGGCGGTCTAGGTCGCGATGATCCTGGTGAGCCGCTGTATGCTCCTGCTTCTGGCGATCGTCTTCCGACAGACTCTGTAGCTCTAGTATCCGGTGGGCTAGACATTGTTCGAGGTGGGGCTCAATCTGCCGACTCGGCCAGTCGCACCCGCCAGCACTCGCCCAACAAGGACGCTTCAGGCAAGGCTCCTACCACTCTGGGCTCTACAAATGCCTCGACCTATTCTACGCCCAAGTTCCGTCCAGACGATAATGCCAACCAGCATCCCAACATCTTCAATGGCCAATGGCACTGCTCCAATTGTGGCTGTCCCGGCTGGCTCCTCACCACTCGGCGCAAAGGCCCCAGGGGTGAAAAGACGCTGTGTGGTCCTTGTGGGAAGTTCTACCATCGCTTCCGTCGTATGAAGCAGGCCAATTACACTAGAGATGAGGCCTACCACCGAAATGCCCTCGGTCTAGCTGGCTTGACACCCGGCGCGCCACCCACTTCCATGGAGGTAGATCAGACAGCTGCCCCTCCTGGCGCTGATGGCGATGGTGATGGCGAGGGTGGCGGTGAACGAAATTTGGGCAGGCTGGATGCGGGAGCGCGCGAGAGTGCTAGAAGAGCCATATTGGACGACGACGAGGAAGACGAAGACGACGAGCGCGACCTCACTCGTGGTGCTGCTGCTGGCGGTGGTGCTGGTGCTGGTGTGGAAGAAGATGACGTCAAGTCTACGCTTGGCGCCTCTTCCAAACAGACCAGTCGGCCAGGCTCTCTACCCACCACCCGACTTGCCTCTCCCGACTTGCCCTTTATGCCCGTCGGATCTCCAGACGACTCGGACTCGGACACGTCGCAATCGCCCCGCTCGCCTCGGGCCTCCAGGAGGGGTTCACCGCGCAAAGCTGGTCTCGGCGCAAGTGGCAATGGGACTGGGGGAGCAAGACCGTTCTTGCCTCCAGGCGTGGCTGACTCGAGAGGGGATCTCAAGACGAACGGTGCTGGCGCAGCTGGGGGTCCTGGTTCGATCTCATCAACATCATCCATGTCCGTCTCGCCAGAGAAGAGGTCGCATCCTCTCCCTGGGACATCTCTTGGTAGCGACGGAGCAGCAGGAACTTCCTCATCTTGGAACTCAACGGGTCTTGCTCCATCAGCAGCAGCTCCAGCAGCAGCAGCTCCAGCGCTGGGAAGACGAGACTCGTCGTACTCTGCGCTGGCTGCAGGCGGATCAGCACCAGCCGAATCTCCCGCATCGTCTTCCCACCACTTTTCGGCCTCGGCCCTCCATGCTACTGTTGGAGCAGCAGGAGCAGCAGGAGGAAGCGCAGCTCCCGTCCCTCCCGCCTGGCTAACATCGGCACTAGACGCCCTCCGCTCAAAGTACAAGTCTGACCGATTTGATCTGAGAGCTAAAGCTGCTCCTCCCTCTACTGCACCTGGTACTTCGCCTCCTCCAGCAGCAGGAGCAGGAGCAGCAGCAGCAGCAGGTGGAGGAAGTGGAGGAAGTGTCGAGTGGCGCATCAAGTGTCTAGACTGTCCAGGAAAACTCTACACTCCTGGTCCGGGAGAGAGCTTGACGAATTTCGAAGTGCATATTAAGAATAGAGTGCATAGGGGCGCGGTTAGTGCCAGGGTTGAAAAGGAGAGGGAGAGGGAGAGGATGCTAGGGAATTGAAGGGGGTTGGAAAGCAACTAGGAAGTAGCAAGTAGGAAGAGAGGATAGGAGGATAGGAGGATGGGAGGATAGGAGGATGAGGAAGAGTCTCCATTCTTTTTTCTCTTCTCCTCTTTGCATCCCTCTGTCCCTCTGTCCGTCTGTCTGTCTGTCATTCTTCTTGCTACTAGCCAAAGTCGGTCACGTTCTTGTACACTCGTCGCAATGTTTTTACTCCCTCTCTCTCCTTGACATGACATCTTTGAGCGAGATTTCTTTTCTTCTCAGAGACGGGAAATGAGTACACGGAGGGAAGGGAGCTAAGCAGCAGCAGACTGGATTGCTCAGGGTCACGATCACGATGATGACATGACATGACATGACAACTTGAATTGATTGGCAAGGCGATCCGTCCGGTGAGAAGTCTAACAGGTCTCAGCTTAGCTAGATGCGCTGGGCTGAGTGACTTCCGAAGAGGAGGAGGAGGATGATGATGATGTTGATGTTGTTGAAAGGTACACGATCCATGCGCCCCCGTCGGCCTCTTCCTCCAGTCCTTGCTCCTCACTCCACACTCGTCACTCCTTCCTGTTGACCCTCTTTCCTCCTCAAGCTGAGTGCTGCTTCTCCTCCACTCTCCCATCCCCGAGTTCCCACTGCACTCAAAGGTCCAACTTTTCCCTCACCTCTCCAATCTTCTCCCCCGCCCAGCCAACCGCCTCGCTCTTGAACGCCTTTCCAGTAGCTTTCGCCGCCTGCACAAGGGCCTCCTGCTTACTCAAGCTTGGCGCATGTCGAGCATTGAGAAGCCCATATTGGACCAAGAGGGATTGGAGATACCTGTAGAAGCGGATCATTTGTATGGTGATTGGGTCGGTCTCGTCGGTGGAGAAGTACCACTGTGAGGGTGTGGAGAAGGGAGTGGAAGGGTTAGCAAGAGAACGACCTTCATGAAGCGGCTAGTCTCGCCCACCTGCGATGGCGACTCATACTCACAGCAATGTACCACCCTGCAAGCGCGACGACGGCCATGACCAGTGCCATGAGGCACATGATAATGACAAAGAACTTGAGCATCTCAGACCTCTCCTTGTTATCCAACCTCTTCATCTCCTCTTCACTCATGTACTGCAACCGTGGATCCAGAGCCTCTTTACCCTCCATTTGTAGCTGTCTTTGACGCTCTGCAGAGAAGAGGTTCACGCCTTTGGCCTTTGCACGCTGCACCGCCAGATGGTGACGACTACTGCCGTACCGCTCCAGTGCCACGGCGCGCATGTCGCCCGACTGCTTGGGAGCGGGACCCATGGCCGAAGCAGAGGGCGTGATGAAAGATGGGTAGAAGTGCTCGCACCACTGCTCAATCTTGTTCAACTCTACATGCCATGCAATGTAGTTGACGTCTGACACGGGGATCTTCTTGGCAATCTTCTTGGCAAAGTCGCGGAACAGATAGGCTACGTCTCTCGGGTTGACAGAGGTGATGATGAGTCCTACTGCTTGTGACTTGCGGATCTTGACGTTGCGGCGGAAAACATTGGGGTTGTTGACCATGAGCTCAATGGTTGCAATGGCCATTGTCTGAGGGATGGCGCAGAAATTGAAGATGGACTGTTCCCTCAGCATAGCCAGGTAGTCTAAGGAGCGTGTAGCGTGACGCATCGCGTCCAGCAGCACAGTCGAGAGCACTGCCATTCCTCGAGCTCCGTCTTCACCCTGCGCAATGTACTTCTTTGAGCCAGGAGACGTCTCAACGATTCCCTTTGCCACGTCTGGCTGAGACTCAAAGCCAAACTTGGCCCAGGCCTCCTTGGGCCAGAAGAAGCGAGACTCTTCCGCGTCCTCTGCAAAGTCCCTGATGATGTTGACCTTCTGCAGGAAGAGACCCATGTGGTTGGCAATGTCAAGCTGGTCACCAAGCCAAGGACGTTCGACACCTGACTCGGAAAAGAGGCGCGAGACTCCCTCGCCGACGAGTCCGGCAACAAAGTGACAGTAGAGGTCCCAATCGCCAAAGGTGTTGACGCTGAGGGGCGTCTTGTCCGAGGCTTCAATGTACGATGCCATTCCCGCTCCCATCTTGGCAGTGATGTCGGCAATGACCTTCTGGTATCCTGGCTTGAGCATTTGGAACTCGGTAATGACCTTGTCGAATTCCACAAGGAGTTGGCGGTCCTTTTCGTCTGGCCCGGACTCTGTGAAGTTCCAGCCTGGTGTGTAGAGCTTCTTGTGGAAGTCGAGGAGGAGTGGGATCTTCTTGGAAGCGGGAAGTGTCATGTCATCTTCGACGGTATCCAGTGCGCGTAGAGAAAGGTAGAAGATGCAGACCTAGAAAGTGGTGAGGTAGATCAGTACAGTGGAAAGGGGTAAAGGTACGTGCGGGTGATGCTCAGCGAATGGACTCGGTCATATCCTCTGAAGTATCGACTCTGCCACTCACGACTCTGCACAACTCTCCCTTGAGCTCCTTGATTACCGCGGCGAAGCTCCTAGACGTGGCATCTAGCAACCCCCAGCAGTCCCTCATGTTCTGACGGTCCCAACCGCTGGTCTCGGGATTCTCCGAGATGACATTGAGTGGGTCACGCCAGATCTTGTAGTGCACCACTGACCTGATCTCGTCGGGGTGACGGACCATGAGGTAGAGGATGTTGAAGATGCCCATGGTGGAGAGAGGGTCAGGGGGGCAGAGGTGACTACCAGGGAGACGATGGTGATGGTAGTATTCCTACTGGGTGATGGTGGTGGAGTGAGATGCGCTGCTGCTGCTCAGCGTCCGTCGATGCTTCCCCCCCGTCTGCCTGTCGTGGGGTAAATCTAGACTCAACTCAACCTCAGCGCAGCCACGTCGGAACGGAACAAGGGCAGGGGAGCGGGGCATGGGCCACCGCCAAAGGCAGAAGGGAGCCATGGCTTTCCGCTGCTTCCTGAGCGTACAAGGAAAGACGAGGTGGTAGACAGGCCGCTTACCATTCAGCGTCGCAACATGGCAGACCAGGACAGTGAACGCAAGATGGACGACACCGCAGCTGTCAGCGTAGCCGAAGTGGCTCTCGCAGAGGTGGTCTCAGGCGGAGCACAGGCAGGACAGGAGGACCACCATGGACATCCACCACCACCCATTGGCCAAGAGTGAGTAGCAGCAGGTCCAGAGCAGTGTGACTCTGCGCGCTAGCATGGACAACTGAGCTGACTGTTCACTCGTCTGCTCCGTGGTTCGAATCACAGCGATGGTATCAGCTTGCCAGCTCCAACAGCAGCCGCAACATCACCACCCCCCGCACCTCCAGCACCAGCAGCAGCACCAGCAGGCCCAGAATCAGGCGCTTCTCCTCAGCCAATCGCCTCCTCCTCTCGTCTCTCCCCATCCTCGCCGCCAGCTGCTACTACTACTGCCACTGCTGGTCAGAAGAGGCAGAGGAGATCCGCCGCCGATGGAGATGCTGCTGCTGCTGGAAGAGGAAAGAGAATGTTTGGACTGCTCAATGCGACTTTGGGAAAGGCAAAGAAGGAGGCAGAAGATCGAGTGGGATTGGTGAGTAACGGAGTGCAAACAGCAAGACATGGGTATTGTGCAGAAGGAGTGACTCACGGACCTACGATCCCACCCCTGTCCCTCTGTACCTCTCCTCCTTTACCCTCGCTCCAACAGGCAAAGCGCCGAGCGGAAATCGTCTCTCGTCAGCAAGAGCGTCTGGAGCAACAGCGCTCCGAGCTCCTCCACGAGGAGAACCTCAAGAAGACCCTTCGAAGGGAGTACGAACGCGAGTACAAGCTCCTAGAGGCTATTCTTGGTGGGGATGCAGCTTTCAAGAGTATGAGGGCGCAGAAGAGACGGTTGGCCAGCTTCCTCGTCACCTCTTCCCCGGCGGCGACGGCAAGGTCTCGTGGCTCTAAAGCCGACACGTCGTACACCGCTCCAGCTCCACGAGTCCCCTCCTCCCTCCCTCCCTCAACAACAAGCTACCCAGTCTATTTCCTCCCACACAAGCTCACGCTCGAGCAAGAAGACCTACTGGACGATCAAGAGGACGAAGTGGACGCGGTCATCGATGAGGCGGAGAAGGCCTGGGAGGAGAGGAAGCGGGAGCTGAGTGAGCAACTGGAGGAGGTTAGAAGGGGAGTGGAGGAGATTAAGAGGAAAGAAGAAGAGGAGGGGGGGTCTGGGGTGGGAAAGGAGCGGGGAATGGGGGAGGGGACACAGGGGAGTGGACGGAGGCGTGCTAGTCGCTCTGCAGGGCACTCGCCCGCTCAGGAGAGACGGAGTCGTGTCGAGAGTCCTCAGGACACGATGATGCAAGTCTAGTCGCGCTCGATGAGAAAGTATGAGAGAGGAGAGGTCTGTTAGCAGTCTAGCTGCGAGTGAAAGAGGGCCGTCGCGCAGTATCTCTCCATACACGACTCCTCCCCCCAATGCTACACATCGTGAACACCTCAAAAGTAGTGTCACCCCGGCTGTTTCATTGGCGGTTTTCGTCGTCGTCGTCGTTGTCGTGCGTTCTCCCATCGATGTTCGCGCACGACAAGTCTAGATTCCACCGACCCATCCATCGCTCGTGACAAGCTACAGCGAGCGATCTTCGAGCCCCTCGCATCTCGACCACAGACCGAGCAGTGCAGTGCCAGCAAGTGGGTGGGTATGTGATAAAGCTGACATTGCTCTGGATGCAAAGAAAGGTGAAGAGAGAGGGCTCTCCTCCGCTGCTGTGCCTGTGCCTCCAGGCACGGCTGTTGCGCACCTTTTGCCGCTTGGCGACCTTTGTGAGATGCGAAGAGATGCGATGAGATGATCATCGTATCGAGTGAGCTGCACAGCTTTCGCGTGGTCATTTTGTGTCATCGAGTCCTTATAGCAAAAAAGTCGGCGGCGACGTCTAGTACTGTTGGCTGTGGTGCTACTATGTTGGCGATGAGGGCGGACGTTCGCTGCGCGCTTCGATGCGCTGAACGTCGCAACGACCCTGCATCGCGTGTCGTGAGATAATGAAGGCCGGGCCTTCCTGCTGCTGCTGGTGCTCCAAGAGTACAGCATGGGCAACCTCGCTCAGATCTGGTGCGGACATCGTTGGGTGTCGAGGCGGTAGGTCGACAGGGTGTGCGAGATCGGCTTTGCCACTTTCATTCTCGCGGTAACCGCGCTTGCCCTACACGTCGCGATCAGCCCGACATTCTTCTTGCTTCCCATGGCGTTGATTCTGATACGGCTTTTTCTGGCGTCTACCAATTGCGATGCGACTGCCAGACAGGTTCTGTCCGGTCTCGCCGGCCACTCGACGCGCGATGTTGACGGTGCGACGGAAGTACCGTGGGTGACCTTAATGCCGCAAAGAGCGACCCAGCCTTTGCAGGTGACGTCGCTCGCGGACAAATTCTGCTTGTACTTGTGTCCAGAGAGCGTTGAGCGCAACAGCAATGCTGTGGCATGAGATTTGTCTCAGGAAGTGGAGATCGTGCGAGCTCAAACCGGGAACTGGACTTGCGCTGTCGCCACCACCGACATTGTGCGACGGAAGCAGCACCTCAGCGACGCTCATGCGAGCTTGTCACAAGTACTGCACAGGTTCAGACCGACAAGTGACAGATGAGGAAGCAATTTGCCGACCTTCCACTAGCTCTCAGGCGACATCTTGATCTCTTACACCTCAACTGGTCGTACGGAACGACAAAGATCGCACGTCGAGTATGGCAAACTTCGCAGCCAGAAAGACATTGCGAGCTCTTTCCCTGACCCACACGACGTCTTCACGGCACCTTACATGCTCCCCATCTCAGTTCAGACTCATTCAATGGTCCAAGACTCAGCAACGGCGCTCGACTTATCGCTCCGAAGGCTCACACAGGCTGGGTTGCACAGCTCGCAAGGTCAACGGCTCAGCTCCACTGTCACACACTTGCTGCGTAGCTTACACGTTGGGCAGTATGCATTGTCATCACTGTCACATGCTAAACTCTCACAACTCTTGAATCCGGATTGCACAGTAGCAGCTTATGGTGGCGCCTCAGCACTCCTCCCTCGCTTCCTTCCTCCTTCACGTTCGCCCTCATTCCAGATTATGCTCGAGCGCAAGCTCTTCCATCCTCATAGTCCTTGGGCATTCCTGCTGATGCCCTCGTGTGTAAATTACCTTCGGACAGGGTGCGATCATTATGGTGGTTCGCTTCTCCACCCCTGCGGACACGACGCATGGCTCCCACCGGTACCGACGCCACCGCACGCAGACTAGCAGCCAGGGCGTCGCGTCGCAGCTTTCCAACGCGCTCACACCATCAGCAACGTCGAGCAGCAAACTCGTCCAGATCAATCACACAAGCTTCACACTGACCACGGACAACGGTAGAGAAGGCTGGCTATACTAGTATTACAGATTGCGAAGATGAGCAGGACTCGAAACGCAGTCGAAGGGGCGCGCGTGCGAAGATCGACTACTACATACAATGCGCAAACAGGAAGAGAAGTGGGCAAAGGGAAAGAAGGATGACAGAGAACTGGTACAGGAGGAGAGAGAGAGGAGAGGAGTAGGCATAGTGCGTGCGCTCGAGAGCGGAGTGGCGAGGAGCTAGAGCCAGCTGCGTAGGCAGGCTCGGCTTGGCTATCCCATCATTGTGCTCGTCGGCAGGCAGAGGCGCACAGTCGCTTACTTGGAGGAAGAGTACTTGGTGACGGCCTTGGTACCCTCGGAGATGGCGTGCTTGGAGAGCTCTCCGGGGAGGATGAGGCGGACAGCAGTCTGGATCTCACGCGAGCTGATGGTCGACTTCTTGTTGTAAGCAGCGAGCTTGGAGGCCTCGGCAGCGACCTGCTCGAAGATGTCGGAGATGAACGAGTTGAGGATGGCCATGGACTTGGTGGAGATACCAGTGTCGGGGTGCACCTGCTTCAGGACTCGGTAGATGTAGGTGGAGTAGGTCTCCTTTCGGGTCTTCTTGGCCTTCTTCTTGTCACCGGTAGCGGCAGACTTGGACTTAGAAGCAGTCTTCTTGCCGGCCTCAGCGGGGGCCTTGGCAGCGGGAGCCTTGCCACCCTGAGAAGCGGGGGCCTTGGAAGCAGAGGAAGCGGGCTTGGGTGCCTAGGAGAGGGGGGGAGGAGCAAGAGCGTGACGCGTTAGTGGGAGGAGTCGCGAGAAGGGAAGGAGTGGAGTTGCGAGCCACTACTGCTATCGCGTACCGATGCTCACCATTGTGAAGTTGGGCTGTTGTTGGGTGGGGGTGGGTGTTGAGTTGTTGGTAAAGGTGTGTGTGAGAAGAAGGTGGTGTTGGTGGGGGGATGGACAAGGAGTAGCGAGTTGCAGGTGCGAGTTATAAACCGAGGCGGCACGGCGGGGTGCGAGGCGAGGCGAGGGGCAGCGGCGGGGCCAGGCGGAGGGCGGAGGCGCACCCAATGACATTCGCGGCTCGCGTCGGGCGACGAGACTGCATTTCGACTGATCCCATCAGGGGGGTGAGGGAGGGGGATGGATTTCTGCTTACGCGTAAGCAAAAATGGAGAGGACAGGCTTGTGCGCACGCAAGTGCTCACATGCTACCGCTTTCGCAGCATTCTTCTTAGCACATCGCACTGCAATGCTTACGAGCTCGAGAGAGTCATATCGTTTGTTGCTTACTCTCGCAGCATGGTAGTGTGGCTCGGGATGAGATGAAGCTGCGAAGTCGTACTATCGCAGCGCAGCACGAAGTAGACCTTCTTGCGAGGCAGACCTTCTCGCACCCACTCAGCCGCTCCAACGCAGCTTCCGTAGCACTTTTCCTACCTATTCTTCCCTTTTGCGCTTGTGCAGAGCTGTACCACCTTCGTTTTACAATGCAGCATTCTCATCTTCTATGCTGCGTGCTGCGATGTGTCTCGCTGGGTGTGCGCTTGCTGCGTGCTGCGTCCCTGCTCCCGATTAATGCTTACATGGGGGTAAGCAAAAATCTGATGCGCCCCGCGTAAGCAGAAATGGCGTCTGCCCGCTGTTCCCTCCACGACGCCATTTCCCTTGCGCCAGGCGCTGATCTCAATTGGTTGATGGGAGGAGATTCCTGCAGGAGACGCACACACGCACGCATGCACGCGCCTCCCGCCCGCCGTGCTGCCCTCTGTCCGCCTCCGCTTTGCGCCAGTGCTTCAAATACCCTCGACGTCGGCACTGCTCTCTGTCCCTTTCCCCTCCCTTCACCAATCACTACACCTCTCTACCAACACTCACCAACACCAACCCCCCACCAACCCCAACTTACTTTCAATATGTCTGGCAAAGGAAAGGTGAGCAGCAGCGAGCATCGCGAGGGGGTTTCCCTCCACGTCGCACTTCCACTGACGCGTTCCACTCCCACTCCCACTCCCACTCCATTCTTCTAGGCTGCTTCTGACTCCAAGTCCGCTTCGCGATCCAGCAAGGCTGGTCTCCAGTTCCCCGTCGGTCGTATCCACCGTCACCTCCGCAACGGCAACTACGCCGCCCGAGTCGGTGCTGGTGCCCCCGTCTACCTCGCCGCCGTCCTGGAGTACCTGGCCGCCGAGGTCCTCGAGTTGGCTGGTAACGCCGCTCGTGACAACAAGAAGACTCGTATCATCCCTCGTCACCTTCAGCTCGCCATCCGAAACGACGAGGAGCTCAACAAGCTCCTCTCTGGTGTCACCATCTCCCAGGGTGGTGTCCTGCCCGGTATCGCCTCGGAGCTCCTCCCTGCCAAGAGCGGCAAGAAGAAGACTGCCTCTCAGTCCGACTAAGCGGAGCGCCACCGTCACACTTTCATCAGGATCGATTAGAGGTAGTCTCTCAGCAGCAGCAGCAGTCGTAGTCGTAAAGCCTTTGCGCTTCCTCCGCTCGCTCGTCACCTCTTCTTATATTCCTTGTACACGCGCCCATGTCTCTACCCGCACTTTCACCGATGTGTCCCATCTAGTTTCTTCCTTGTACTATAAGTCCTCTCCATCGACGAGGCTTATACTGTAATAGTAGCAGTCTGCCCCTTTTCCCATACCCTGATCTGAGTGAGCAAAGTGTGAATCGTGCAAGTGGCGAGTGAGGGTGTGAGGGTAGGCAGGCGTTGCAACTTCTCCGCCTCGCGCGTCGCGTGACAAGGTCACGGAGGGAGAAGCTTCGACTGCCCTTCGTACTGGCTCGGCAAAGCTGTCTGCCACAGCGGCACGAGCAGCAAGGCTGAGATGGATGGTCGTGATTCAGAACTCAGCTGTACATCGCTCGGCCCTACTCGTAACGCTAGCCCTGTTCCAGCAGCGCAGTGCCAACCTCGCAAAGGCACACTCGCAAGAGCTCTCTCCACGAGCCGCACTCTGCTTCGTGTCATGCATCGGCCGCACACATCCACATCGACTGTTTCGCCTCTCCTAGTGCCAACGTGCAAGTCGTTTGCGCTGGAAGACGATGGCAAGTAGGACATAGCTTCGGCTAGCAGTGTCGTCGACAGGACGACTCGAGCTGAGGACCGCGTACGGGTACAGCATGCGATACTCATCGATGGGATGCGATGGCAACGTCGAACGCGCAGGCGAGAAGCAAAAGATCTTTGTTACTACTTCGAAGGGGGATCCTGTGTGTATGTTTAAGTCGTGACAACCAAAGTAGTAGTGTATTAGTAGTGATAATAGAAGAAAAGTAGATGTAGCCAAAAGTACAGATTGATATCGAATAGACGCCCAAGCGCGACTGAGCCTGAAACCACGTGACTTCAACAGTGTACTACTGCTGATAAGGCCAAGACTAGCGTTGAAAGTAAGGGCTAGCGGACGACTTCTTCGGAGACACGGTGCAGGAAGAGCGGGCTGGGACGAGGCCGAGCTGTGTGACTAGGACCGGACGCGGTGTTGCCGATCCAGCAGTCGTCTGGCCAGCGATGCAACGAGGCCTGTACTTGCTCATTCAGAGTCACTGCCTCCTTGCTCGCGATCTACTGCTTGCCAAGTCGTCGAAGCACCACGAGTCGGCGCTTGCCACTAGCTTTCCGAGCTGCGAGAGGTCCTCCTAATCCCTCGCGCCGTCCCTCGCCGTCCCTCGCCGTCCCTCACTCCGTCCCAACCATGTGCCCAGGTGATAGCGCTCCTAGATACGAGTAGGTCCCGTCCTACAAACGCAGCAAATGTGGTTGCCTGTCTTGTCAGGTCTTCTTGATATGTGTTTCCTTGATATGTTTTAATGTATCTCTGGAAGTAGAGAGCCTTCTCCCGAAGCTTCTCTAAAAATGTAAGAGGCCGACCACAGAAGGTATCTAGCACACGAGAGGGCGTCTCTTTCCGAACGGTTCGCTGAAGGTCCAGACTGTTACAGTTACTGGCCAAAGCAGTGCATCAGATTGAATGGTTGGAACATAGTACAGACCGGGTATGAGACTACAGTAGATGGATATACGCGTCACTTCCCGCCAGGTGGCTTACCCACGCGACTACCAACACAGACTACAAGGCGCTTTGTTCAGCAGCCACCTCAATATCAGCAGACGACTGCATACGCTTCATGATGAAGCGTTCGTCGTCGTGCTTCTTGATCAGAACCTCTTTTCTGCCGCACGTATGCGCAAATTGTGAGGTATTGAGGTCTATCAAGGCGCTGCTGCCGCAGACCTTGCAGTGGTAGTCGTGTACCCCTTTCCTCGCCCCAAAGACCTTCTTCTCGAGAGCCGCTCGAGCGGCGTCGACCGAGAGTGTGTGCCGGAACGTGCCTCCCTGCGCAGTGGCCTTGACCCTCTGGAGCAGTCCAGGGTTGGTCTCGCGCTGGGCACGGGCTGCCACGTAGGCCTCTCCCTTGCTTGCCCGGGAGCCGGCGGCAGCACGCTCTGCGCTGACGTTGGTCTTGAGGCCCCGGAACCACAAACACCAGGCCTCCTTCGCCCCAGGGTCGGTAGCCTTGATACCGTTGGGCAGAGGCAGGTCCTGCAGCTGGCCGCCTCTGGCCTCAAACAGCAGGCGAAGCTGTGACTCCCGGTCCTCCACCGTCACCAGCCGACGACTCCGAGTGCCATTGTACTCGTGGACGACCTCCTTCTGCCACGCCTCCTCTCCAGCCCTGAAAATCTCATCTTGCGCATGGGCGTGGCGCAGGAGCGTAGAGAGCGACTGCAGGGTGTTCAAAGCAGACTCTCGCCTCTCCACCCTGTCTCGCGCTGCAAGAAGAGCTGGCTCCAGCCCGATCGACTCGGCCGCCTGCTGCGTCGCTTCTATGACCTCAGCCGCAGTCTTGCCCTCGACGGCGAAGTAGTCGAGCAATCTGATCTTTAGAGCGATGAGACGCAGGAGGAGATGTCGGTCTGCTCGCAGGATGGTGTCACCATTGTACTTGATGACCCCCGCGTGGAAGGTCGCCATGGCAGGCACAAGCCTGGCGCCCACTTCAGCCACCCGCAGAGTCCCGACCAGGCGTCCGAAGTTCTGTACGATGACAGAAGACATGTGCTGCGCCTCTATATTGGGCTCGGCAGCAACGTCTGACAATCCTTTGAGCTCGATGACCACCTTGTACGAGTGAGAGGAGTGAAGGATGAGGTAAGTGAGCATACCGACCTCGTGTCGGGCAATTGCTACCAGTTTCAGCGTGGATCGCATGATTGACAGTTGCTCCTCAGGGTGATCTTCGCAGAGACACCAGAGGTCGGCACTTGCTCCTATTATCTTCAGGTTCTGAAGATCCTCCGTCTCTCTCGCATTATCTTGTCCGCATGCCCAGGTCGTAGCATTTCGAAAAGCAGCCGGGCCGGGTCCCGAGAAGGGTCCAAACCTGGTGCCCTGACCTTTGATATTGTCTGCCGTGATGTCCTTCAGTACGTGTAGACGTCTCTACAAGTCAGGAGAGTGGGAGGGTATGTGGGAAGGGTGGGGCGAGGAGATGGACTAAGGGGAAGAGGCTGTAGGAGGATGAGGGAACCAGGCTGCAGGAGGATGTACGTCCGGACGACATTCGTCTCCCCCCCCCCTGACGGCAAGCGTGGGTGGTCCATGCTCAGACCTATGCAAATCAGTTCAGTCCTTCGCGAAATTTTAAGACTCAGCCCTCCTTCCGTCGGTGGAGGCGCGGCGAGGGCTGCGCCGTCACTCGCGGGCTACATGTAAGGCAACACGAAAAAATACGAAAAACTCATTTCCATGCGCTTGTGGCTCAGGGGTAGAGCATCGTACTCGTAATACGGGGGTCTGCTGTTCGAATCAGCACTGGCGCATTTTTTTTTTTTTTTTTTTTTTTTTTTTAACAATTTTTTTTTTTTTTTTTTTTTTTTTTTTTTTCATTGACGGTTCGCTGGCGCCTCTGCTCGATGGGGACAAACGGACGACAAATCCAGAGGTTCAGCAGAGGCATCAGCTGCGTCTGAACAGCGTATCGCATCCTCATCGCTTCGCATCGATGCGTAGCGCAAGCTGTACGAGGACGTGGCCATTGATCCGTATGCCCGTATGGCCATGGTGATCGAAGCTACTTCTCGTCTCGCGGCGCAATCGACATGAGCATCCGCAAAAGCGGAATCGTAGGAGCAGGATACATATGACTGCAGTCGATGCAGGGACCGGCGTCGAGCGCACGAAGCGGGGAGATGAGAGCGAAGAGGCGGACGCGCTCCTACGACTTTGAGCGAGTATGCCTTTGCGAGGCCCCGCCGCACGACCCTTCGACACAGGCGGTGGCTGGGAGCACCAGAGCAGGCACAATCGTTGTTCGAGTGCTGATCATTGATTGCTCGCTGCTTGTGCTGCCGTGTCAAGCTATCTCGCGACCGAAGGCAGGGCGAGATATTGCTCCTTGTCACGCGACGCGCGAGGCGGAGAAGTCGCAACGCCTACCCTTCTACCCTAGCAGACATGTACTGTCCTATGCGTGTGATGACAACCTCTGCTGCTTGGATCTCGCACCGACAGCGACTGCCTCTATCATCGTCTTCTGATGAGCCGCATGTGATCGTGAGTTGGATCTACACCTCCGTCGCCCGCTGCCAGCCAGAATCTGCATAGCTGAACTCATCCCCAAGCACACCAGCAAGCATTTGCACTCAAGTCAGTTGTATAGAGCTCTCTTCTCCTTCTTCTTCGCCTAACATTCCAAACAAGAGCTCTCTAATTCCTCTCGTACGTAGCAGGGAATCGAATGCTCCGAGTGTGGTCTAGCCTGGCCTAGCCTCACACGCGCGGCGCGGCGCGAACCTGGAGGGGGGACCGACCCTTTTTTTGTCTCCCCGCCCGACGCGGGAATGAGCAGTGCAGTGCAGCCTAGCGCTCTCACAAAGATGCGCCCAGGGAAACGCCTCGCTCGCTCTCACGCGAGGGAGACATTCACATTGAGTCTGAGCCAAATATAGAAGAAAAGTCTCTCTCTCTGTGTGTATGCTTGATCTGCGCATTTGCGGTGCGGTCCTCGGTGCTGCAAGTTGCTGCAGAGGGAGAGACAGCAGCGGGGAAAGAGAGAGGGCGCCACGGATTCTGCTGCAGTGAGAGCATAGCGCAGACGTCGCTGCGTATGATTGTGCGTGCAGTGTACCGCGACAAAAAAGAGAACATCGTCTGGTCGCGTATCCGTCGGCTTGGTCAGCGTGTTCCCTGTACGGAAAGCAAAGCATGCTTGGCTGACGATCATGCTGACCATCACTACCGTTGCCGCTGATGCCGCTCGCTGCCGCTGGTGCCGCTGACTGGATCGAATCTCCTTGGCCTCCTCCCCTTTGCGTGTTGCGATGACGCTCGGCAAAGGCTCAAGATCTTGGAAAAAAGTCATCGTTGTGGCTGTGCTGGGGTCCTACGTTGAAGATCGATGTCTCTTACTCTTGCTCCCCCCCACCCCGTTTTGGCTTTCCAAGCGAGGTGCGAGGTGTGCGGGCACTTTCGCCGCCGTTGGCCCGATCCACGTCTTGGTTGCCAAGGGCGTCAAGCCGACGTGCAAGCCGTCGGAGTCGATGCAGAGGTCCAGACCAGATCAGACCCCGCAAGGCAGGCAGGCAGGCAGGCGCGTACCCAGTCAGTCGATCAGTCAGTCAGCTCCTCCCTCCTCCCTCCCAACGACGTCAGCGTGCGACGAGGAGCAGCAAATCAACACAAGACCTTCTTTTTTCCCTCGCAAAAAGAGTAGTAGAGAGGAGGAGCAGATGCCGGCCTAACTCGCACCCGCACGCACGCTTCCCACCTCACCGCACACTGTCTGTCACCCCGCTGCTCTTTCCTCTTCCCGCCGCCAGGACAAGGTTGGGTGCGTCTCTGCAGAGTGACACTACTCCTCTTCCGCTCTCCTGCGCGTGTGTCTCTGCCTTCCCCCTTTAACTCGCTCATCCCCATCCCAAGGCGAGGTGCGAAATTCTCCTTTGCATTCTCCCTATCTCTAAACCGCAAAGGAGCAACCTACGACCCCCTCATCATCTTCTACGGGTAGGCGCCCACCACTCCACTCCATCAAGACACACAAAGAGTAACCCCTGCCACCCTCGCTCGACAAGCCACACCCATCATGGCTTCCACTGGAGGAAGTAATCCAACTCAGAGTGGTTCGGTAACCACCGTACTACTCTCCTTGGCCATCAATGCCGGTATCGCTGCTGCTGAAATCGGTGTGTTTATGCTCATCAGGCCAAGGTTCCCTAGAGTGAGTAGCGCGAGCGAGCCATCAGGCGTGAGAGGTCATTGAGCTTGGCTAGGCGGTCATTACGTCAGAGTGGTTACATAGTAAAGGAAAGAAAGGGGCGAGGGGCCGGCAACGGATCGCAGACAAGCCATGCTCTCTGGTACTGACTACAGTCCTCTCGTTCTTCCCTCATTCGCTCCCCTTTGCTCTCTCCCCCTCGCTCGCTCGCTCTCCCTCCAGATCTATCGCCCCAAGTCCTTCCTCGGTCCCAAGGAGGAGCGAGTCGATGCCCTGCCAGATGGACTCTTCAGCTGGATAGTGCCCTTCTTCAAACGCCCCACAAAGGCGATCATCGATTCCAACGGCCTCGATGCTTACATGTTCGTCAGCTACCTGGAGATGATGATCTGGATCCTCGGCCCCATCTTCATCTTCACTTGGGTGCTTCTGCTCCCAATCTACGCCGTAAACACACCCGGCGGCGAATCTGGCTTCAACCTGCTCACCTTTGGGCAGCTTGCTCAGGGAAATGCAATTCAGTCTAGGAAGTACGTCGCCCCGCTCATCGTACAATACATTGTCACTGGGTGGATCTGCTTCGTCATCCGCAAGTGGATGCTCAACTTCATCAAGCTGCGTCAGGACTTCCTCGTCAGCCCACACCACGCAAACCACCCTCAGGCCCGTACCCTCTTGGTTACTGGAGTGCCCAATGAGTACCTCGGCGAGCAGAAGCTGCGCGGTCTGTACAGCCACCTGCCTGGTGGAGTGGAGCGAGTCTGGCTCAACAGGGACCTCAAGGACCTCCCGGACGTCTACGACGAGCGACAGAAGCTCCTCAACAAGCTCGAGTCGGTCGAATCGAAGATCATCGCCACTGCCTACAAAAAGGTCAAGAAGAACAAGGTGGCAGAGGGAGGCGTTGAGGCAGATGACCCAGTGGACCGATACCTGACCAAGAAGGAGAGGCCCACGATGAAGGCCGGAGCCAAGCTTGGCTTCTTTGGCGGCAAGAAGGTCGATGCTGTTACTCACCTGCGCTCCGAGATTGAGCGACTGACCCAGGAGATTAATGCCCGCCGTGGCGAAGAAAAGGACTACAAGCCAGCCAACGCCGCCTTCCTCCTCTTCAAGACCCAGGTCGGATGCCACATGGCAATGGGCATGGTACCCCACCACGAGCCTTACAAGATGTCCCGACGATACATCGAGGCCCACCCAAACGCCGTCGTCTGGAGCAATCTGAGCATGAACCCTTACGCTCAAAAGATCCGCACAGCGCTCTTCTGGGCTCTGACGATTGTTTTCATCCTCGTCTGGCTGCCTCTGATCGCCTTCACCGCCATTGTGTCGAACTTGAGTGGTCTCTGTACCGAAGTCTCTTGGTTGGCCTGGATCTGCACTATCCCGACTGCGGTCACCGGTATCATTCAGGGTTTCCTGCCCACAGTATTGCTCGCTGTGCTCAACATGCTTTTGCCGATCATCCTGCGAATCTTTGCTCGTCAATCTGGTCTGCCTACCACTACCGACATTGAGCTGTCGCTGATGGACCGCATGACTTGGTTCAACTTGATCGACAATTTCCTCCTCTTCACCATCATCTCTGGTGTTTCTGGAGGTATCTCGATGATCGTTCCTATCCTTGAGAACCCTACTGGCCTTCCCGCACTGATCTCGCTATACATTCCCAAGGCCAACACCTTCTACATTTCGTACATCATCTTGCAGGCCCTGTCAGGTACTGCTGGTGGTCTCCTGCAAATTGCCAAGCTGGTCATCTACTACATCAAGACGATGTTCCTTGGCAGCACTCCTCGCAAGGTGTGGCACATCAACAATGACCTGACCTCGCCTGCTTGGGGTACGCTCTTCGCCTCTACGACCTTGACCACCATCATCACCTTTGGTTACGCCGTCCTTGCTCCGCTGATCAATGGATTTGCCTTTGTGGCCTTCATTTTCTTCTGGGTCCTCTACAAGTATCTGGCAACTTACGTCTGGGACATGAAGCCCGAGAACGAGACTTCTGGTCTGTTCTTTGTCAAGGCAGTCCGAGCCTCGCTTTACGGTCTCTACGTGTCTCAGTTGATCCTCACCGTCCTCTTCTTCACGGCCCAGGCTACAAATGCCAATGGCACCACAAGTCAGACTGCCATCCCCGAAGGAGTGTTCATGGTCATCCTCATGGTTATCACGGTCGGCTTCCAGATCATCCTCTTTGACTCGGTTGGAGACCTGACTACTGCCTTGCCTCTCAGCCTGGTCGCACCTGCCACTGGCAACTCGAGCAACTTCGATGGCGAGACTGTCAATGGCCACCGCCAGTCCTCGTCCGGCGAGAAGCAGCGTCTGCTTGCTGCCAATGCCCTGGGCCCCAATGGCCAGAACCGCCAGAACGTGCAGCCTGGATACGAAGAGTCTGGCTCGTACCAGATGAAGCCCTTCCAGAACGGCCAGCAGACTGGTGCTCAGGACGGTGGTCAATACACTGGTTCTACCAACATGGCCAAGGTCAACTCTGCTTCCAGTGGCGAGGACGAGGATTCGAGTGCTCAGCACTTTGTACACCCGGCCATGAGGGACTCTCAGAGGACCCTGTGGTACCCCCAGGACCGCTTTGGTCTCTCTGGCGAGGCCGTTGCCCGCGCAAGGGAGCATGGACTGGATGCTACCGACAAGGGCACCAGCTTCAATGAGAAGAACAAGATCCAGACGGACATGTACTGCCCGCCTGGTGAAGAGCTCCTCTAAAGCGAATAACGCAGTCCTGCGATCTCCCTCGCAAATGGACTGGGCTCGCTATAGGACTTGACGTCTTTGAACGATGAATGATAGAAAAGCCAACGCACACCCGCATTGCGCACCTGCATGCGTTGACGTTGGGCTTGCGTATTTGCTCTTGCTTAGTACCCCAAAGGTGGGGCGGAGGAGTAGTGCGTTGCGAGAAGAAGCGACGCCTAGGAGTCATCTGCTTTCTCTCCCAATAGTCCCTGCCTTTTGCTTTCCCACCCTTACTCCCCCCCCTCCCCCCCGTTGATTTCCCCCCACCTACACCCTCCTTCCCACATGTCCCGGTATATCTTGTGCCTTTGTTGCATCTATCCCCCCCTCCCACTCTGTGTCTTTTGCAGTACCAAGTTGCTCGTATCCATCTAGTCTTGCTATTCCCATTGCGTGGGCGTCTGTGTGACCGTCTGTGTGACTTTGTCTATCCACGCTCTTCGTCAAGCTCACACGCCGTGCCAGGCCTGCTACTCTAGTCGAATTTCGAAAGGACCTGCATTCCGTCTGTCCGTCCGTCCATCAATCAGTTCAAATTCACCAGCTTGAAGCTCTGGACCCAGTCAGTCTCTGGCTCTATCGCGCCAATGACGATTGACGATGGACGATGACGAGCCCGTGATGCGAGTCGGGTTGGCTGGGCTCACACGCACACGCACACGCACACGCGCGCCTGCGTAGGTGCATGAGTGGGTGCAGTGCGCGAGTAGATGTTCACTTCCTCCCCGCGTGGCTTCAGACGTAGACGTGAGACGTAGACGCCGAAACTCCGACTGAAGTGTTGGACTCGCCCTCGCCTTTGCCGAGGATTGGATTGGAGTGCCAGGCTTCAAGGAGGGAGCACTCTCTTCCTCTCTCTCTGTCTGCTACATCTTTGTACTAATCACAACTTTGTTGCTTAGTAAGACTCGAGTTAAAGCCATCCCTGAGACTAGAAGGCACGCTAGACAGACATTTAGTAGAGTCAGACACAAGCATACGCGCTAGACTTTGCATCAACCCACTCTCAGCACCAGCACCAGCACAAGCACAAGCAATACTATTCGCAATATACCATCTCACCCTTCGCAAAGCATTGAGCAACAACAGCGATCTCCTTCAGTCTCTTCCTCAACTCACTACACTCAATCATCCCCATTGCAACTCCCCGTACAATGTTCCCTTCTTCGTCCAAAGTCAAGCTCAATGCTGCTGGAATGAGCCCCGAGTCTTCCATGCTACTACCCGAGCGCGAGGTAGCTAATGAAGAGGAGCGAGTTTTGCTCGCTTGTCTCGTCGAGGTGAGTCAGTGATCAGGGAGGGGAGGGTACGACATCGCTCTACCTGCCCTCTGGACCATTCTCACCAATACTCTCCCTCCCTCTCACAGATCTACTCCCCTACCTCCTCCACCCCATCCGAACAAACGCTCCGCTGCTTCGCACCCGACGTCCTCTACTCCTCACCCAGAGGTGAAGTCCTGGTAGGCCACTCTGGCTTGAACAAGCTCCAGTCTTCCTTCCACGGTAGCGCCGCCGGCCGCTCTATCACGCACCGACTGCTGAGCACACCAGAGACGCTGCCTGCGGGTAGTCTACTGGTGGACCAGATTGTTGGAGGACACGCAGAGGGAGAGGTGCTGGCGGTAGGAGCTGTGAGGAGCTTGATTGTACTCAAGAGGAGGGCTGGAGATGGTCTGGTCTGCAGTATGAGCGAAGAGGAGGGACACAGGAGGGTGAGTCTCATGAGCTAGCTGCCCACCAAATGGCCGTGCCGACTGTGCTCAAGCACCCTTATTGATCCGATCTCCATCGCTCTTCTCTATCTCACTCTGGTCCAACAGGCAACAGCACCTCTAGCCGTACGCGCCGCCTCTGCCTCCAACTTCCACTCGCCAACAGACAATATGCTCTCCCCCTGCACCTCGAAGCTGAACTTAGCAAAGAAGAAGCACCACACGAAAGCCAAGCCCATCAGCCTCTTTGGACCTCAGAATGGAGCTGCTGGAGCTGCTGCTGCCGCTGGAGGAAGGATGCAGGTGAGGAGCTTGGGCGGAGCGGGTGAGAGGATGAGTAGCATGGAGATGTAAAGTGAGGAGCTGGCGTGGCCTGCTACCACCACCTTTGAGCACTTTGCTGGGCCCGATACCTCCGATTCTCTTCCCACTCCTTCTCTCTCGCCTTCTTTGGCCGTGCTTACATCGACTTTTCGTCCTCTCAATTCGTCTTACCTGCTTTGTCCTCCCACACACACTTTCGTCTTTTCTTCTCCTCTTCGCTCCTTCTTTTAGCTCGTGACCCTTGCTCCTTGTCCTTCTCTTCTTCGCATACAACGTCTCGTCATATACACATGCACACAGAGGCGTACACACACAAGGGGAGTGAGGAGCGAGGGAGCGTGAGAAAGAGATTCTTTCTCGGATGTCATCGATGTGATGAGCTGTTGTGTGTGCTACATGAATGGAGTGAGAAAATTGCAAAAAAAGGGAGGAGGAAATGAGTCTGCTAGCTAGGATCTGGGAATATGGACATGTCTTCTGATGCGCATGCTTCGAGGGAGGAGGAGGAGGAGGAGAGTCGTTCCGGACGAACTCTCCCCTCAAACCGGCCATGGAGAGATCTATCTTTGTATCTCCTCTCGCAGCTCTCGAGGGCTCGACCAGCGAGCTGAATGGACCAGAAAAGATTTCTCTGATGTGATATGAGGTAATGTAATGTAGCAGCAGTGCGAAAATGGGAGGAGAAGCTGGACCTGCCAGTATATGGGAGAGCGGCTTCAATTCAGAGGGTGGTCGGCGGGGTCGCTATGAGAGCAAGAGGGCAGGAGGGAAAGGAGACGTACGGTCGTCGTCAGGAACTGATTGATTCTCGTTCCGTCTACGCATCCCGGCTTCTAGGTGAGGTGACTCACGGAGCGTACCTCCTCTCTTCAGACTCCTCGGCCGCAGCAGCCCTCTTGCCCTTGGCCTTGGCCTTGACCGCTCTCTTCTCCTTCTTCAATGCCCTCTTCTTCTTCTTTTCACTCGTAGTGCATGCCCTCTTCTTCTTCTGTTGCTGCTGCTGCTGGCGAGATAAGTGCTGCAATGGAGCCAGCCCATCGCGCGCCTTGATAATGTCAGGATTGCTGTCCCTCTTCCCGAGAGGTTGCGCTCTACGTCGACCGGCGACAGGAGCAGCAAGCTCAGGAACAGCAGCAGCGATAGGAGCACGAGCAACTCGACCAGCCGCGACTGAGGCTGCGTATCTCTTTGCTTCCTTTCTAGCCTCTTTACGACGTCTCTTCTCTACAAATGCTTGCGAAGGAGCGACGGTTGCAAGAGGAACTGAGCTGTCGTTTGTGTGTGATGGTGATGGTGCAGGGGGAAGGACGACTTTGCCTTGTACTTGAGGGAAGGGACTGCACAGCAGCTGGATCAGGACGAGGCAGGTGAGGGATAGGAGGGAGAAGGAGAAGGAGCGCATACTGGAGCGAGAGTAAGGGGGGACGGAGGGTAGGAAGATGGGTTGGGAGGAGGAGGGGGATAACGATGAGGAGGGGAGTTCACTAAAGTGCTTTGGTGGGCTTCCCACCCACTATTATGTACCACTTGACACCCATTACACCCCTCTCTCACTCGCTCACTTCAGCCAGCAGAAACAATCTCTGATCATCACAAACCCCCTCTTGCCCCTCGGCAGAGGGGAGCAAAGTAAGGAGGAGCGTGCCCACTCACTCACCCACCCACCTCGTCTTGCCGGCCGATGCAATCAAGACTACGCCCCGCTCGCCGTTGATCTTGTCGCCGTTGAGTCACTAGATGCAACGGCTTCTGCTGTCCACTGTCCACTGCCCATTGCCCGCTGCTGTGCGGCGACTAAGTGTCTGTGTCTGTCTGTCGCGTGGTGTTGCACTACTGTACGTCGTTGCCCGCCAAGGCCCCTTGCGTGCAAGATCAGACACATGGACAGGTCGATCGGAGGAAGAGGGTGCCAAGCAACTCCACGAGGCTTTCTTTGTCCCCCCCCCCCCCCCTCCCCCTCCCCTGCACCTTTTGCCTCCCAAATGTAGAGCCTCTGGTCTGGTCTGGCCGAAGTGAATAAGTTGAGTGAGTGAAGTCTGCTGCTGCTGCTGCTGCTGCTTCTGCAAGGGCTCCCCTTCGCTGCCCTTCAGCCACGCCCCCGCCGGAAGTAACACCGCACCGGCTTGAGCACGCGCCTCTTCTTGCCTGAGACTCGGCACGACAAGGGGGGGGGGAGGGGGTCAAGTCGCCGTAACTGGGGACACACAGGGAAGGGTAGCAGCTTATTTTGGATCGTTTGATGGGAAGCAAGGGACAATAGGGAGGTTTGTTTGTCACGCAGCAGGGGGCAAGGGTGGCTGCTGGTGGCTGGAGGCTGGTGGCTGGAGGCTGGTGGCTGGAGGCTGGTGGCTGGAGGAGCGGGTCGGGTCGGGGCAGCGCTGACTGTCGGCTCCGGAGGGAGTGGGACGAGCGGAGCGGAACGGGGCGCTCTTTCCGTCTGTGACACTTCGCAAGAAGGAAGCACGCGATTGCACGTATCCAATCTCCCCCAGTACCACGTCACCTCGACTCTTCTCGCTCATGGAAATGGTTCCCAGCATGGCCTCTTCGGTACGGACACGAGCATCGATCTCGGCAGTAGCATCGACTTCAGCAAGCACTCTATCTACTCGCACGTCCAGGCGCGTCCTGCGGTCGCCTACTGCTGCTGTTACGCTGCCGCAAGGTAGCAAAGCATTCAGCTCCTTCCCCAGCTTAGCTTCATCAGCCATTAGACTGCCTACCATTTCCTCCACTCAACGTCTTATCCGCCCCTTCTCCTCCACTCCTTCTCACCAAAACACCCCCTCTACCGAGCTCTCCCCACAAACCTACCACTCCCTCTCCGAATCCACTCTCGAATCCCTCTTTCTCCAACTCGAAGACCTCGTAGAGAATTCTTCTGCTCCAGGAGCAGCAGAGGGAGAGTGGGAGGTAGAATATTCGCAGGGTGTGCTGACTTTGAAGGTTCCACCTAGAGGAACGTATGTGCTTAATAAACAACCGGCGAATAAACAGATTTGGCTTAGTAGCCCTACTAGGTAAGGATAAGGGGAGGAGAGGCGAGGCGAGGCGAGGTGGACGTGGCTGGTTGGCCACTGTAGTCAGAGACAGGCAGAGAGCTGACTCGCCTCTACCACTTGCTCGTTTGTCTTGCTACTACTTCACTTCACAGCGGACCGAAGCGCTTCGACTACTCAACCGAGGAAGGCGTATGGGTCTGCTTCAAGGAAGGACAGCGAACCGTCTTCCACGAGCTGCTAGATCAGGAGCTCAGCGAAGTCATGGGACAGCAGGTGCATGTGCTCAGGGATGTACTTGAGGGAACGGACTAATTGAGTTTGGACATCGCAGCACGAGAAGCTGGGAAATACAATGGTGGTGATCAGGCATCAATGTCAGGAACTCTATACAAAGGTGATCCGCCCTTCCCTACACTGCACGTACACGCCGATTGGCTATAAACGATCCATCGTCCAAGCCCTCTCTGCGCACCACCCGAGCAACGTGAACTCCCCCTGCCCCGCCTCACCACTCTCAAAGCAGCTAGCAACGGCGAGGTACACCTCTCCCCTCTTCAGACGCACATCGTGCAGCGCCACCCCCGCAGGCGAGACCGTGTAGCGATCCGTAGTTGCTAGTGGTGCAGGAACTCTTCCACTGTCTCGAAGCAAGAGGCTGGGCTGCTCGACGTATTGCGGAGGGACCAGGAAGAGGGACAGGTTGATGGGCGGAAGCGACCGGGCTTCGGGGGGAGAAGCTGCCTGGTCCTGGCTCGGCTCGCCCCGCAAGACTTGCACCGACGCTTCTGCCCTCAAGCGAAAAGTGGCTCTGGCAAAGGGCTGCTGCTGAGAATTACCCATTAGCCTGATCACCCAGGAAGGATTGCTATCGTACCTCGCGTACCTGGGCGCTCCGCCTGCAGTACCATCAGCGTGCGCCCAGCGCCCCCTTTCCCTCTTGGCAAACATGCCTGCTCCTTCCATGGAGATTGGACTTAAGAGCAGAGCTCCCTGCGCACCTTCGACTCCTGCGAGCGTGTTGGGCAGGGTACTGATGGTCCGCTCGGAGACTATGACGCGGGCCATTCCCTCGATCCTCAGCTTGAAGTCTCCCTCGACGCCAGGATTGTAGGTGCTCAAGACGACGTGGTAGTGTCCTCCTCGATCTCTCGCCGTGGGCGGGAGGAGAATCTTGACTCTCGCAAAGCCATAGGTGTACTCGCCGCTCTGCGCCACAACGTCGGCCTGCTCTGCTCGGTCTACGCGCACCACTCGAGAGGTATGCGCCGTGAGCGGGGGAGAGTGCACCACGAGAATGTGGATGGGCAAAGGTGGGGTCGCGGAGAGGGTGAGGGTGAGGGAGGTGGCTGGGCTACTGGGCGGCAGAGTCAGGAGGTATTGAGGGTTTGAGGGGAAGGAAGGGCAGTCGAGATGCCCGCCTGAGGTGCTCGTGGTCCAGGAACCGCGGAGCTGTTCAAGTAAAGGGCGAGGTCAGAATATAGACCTCTTGCAGATCCACCCATCGCATTGCAATGCATGTACTCACCTCGCTTGTCCAACCCGGCTGCTGCTCGACCTCGTCCAATGACACTTCATACCGACTCCAAGCGCGCAGGGTGAAATTGACATGCTCGCCTTCCTCCTCAAGTGGTGCATGCAAGGAGAGGACAATCTGATACTCCTTTGAGGCGCGAGCCGTCTGCGCCGAGAGCGGCTGATCGGAGCGGAGCAGAGAGTCGAGGAAGAAGGAGGGCTTGAAGCGCACCAGGTGGTGGCAAGTGTTGACGTAGATGCCTCCCTAATGAGCGCGAGGGGGTGAAAGGGAGGCAAATCGATCAACTTCTTTGTCCCCTTCTCTCTCCGCGCCTTAGTCGCTCCCCACTCACCGCGCTGCTACCCCTCTCACCGCCGAGCGGCATCACTCTAGTACTCTGATACCCCTCCGAACCCCCGGCCGTACTCTCGTAGATATGAATCGCAATGAACCTCTTCTCTTCTTGCCTATTGACAGTGGGCTCTCCATCGAGTCCTTCAGAAGAAGTGGAGGAGCGAGTCTCCTTGCTGTGACGGGTGAGGTGTAGCCAGACTTCGCCAGCTCCTTCGCCGGGGCCGCGGTCTAGTCCGCTGTCCTCATGTCCTCGGTCTTGAGCGCTGCCAGTAGGAGGGCCTGTAACGCGCAGAGTGAACGTCGTATCACGCACAGCGGCCGCACGTCCCTCTCTGCCTTCTTCACTCTGCAATGTAACCCCTCCTTCTTCGCCTGCGCCTGCACTTGCGCTTGTAGTGCCAATATCAGCAGTAGCCTCATCCCCCCTCTCCCACGATCCATGCACCTCGTCCATGTACGTGAAGAGAGCCAGTGGGTTCCAAGCTAGATGGAGAGTCGAAAAGGAGTGGAGGAAGCGCTCCCAGCTTAGAGTAAAGGGCGAGTCTTTGCCCCCAAGAGTTGACACTGACGTGGTGAGGTGCAAGGAAGAAGGAGGGGCTGGAGTCGTTCTGCTATTTTTCCCTTCTTCGCCTGGTTGCGGCACGTTTGCTGGTCTCCAAGGGTTCATGAGCTTGAGATATCGCTCGCTGCCGCTCTGCTGCTCATCTTGAAGTTCGAGGACAGCATAGCTGTGCGAAGGTACCAGACCTCGTTCGATACCGGTCGCTGTAGCTTCTCCACTCTCCCTACTGGACGTTCCGCTACCTGTCCCGGCACATACCAGCACCCATCCCTTGACCCATGCTTGGGACACGCGGCGGAACGTCTTCTCTCTCTGTATTGAAGAGGACAGCGGTCCATGTCTTCCCTGACTCTCTCCCATTCCAGATGAAGCCTGTGGGTCTGAGCTGCTGGAGCTTGAGTCATCTTCGCGTGCTTGCAAGTGGACTACCTCTGGCAGCCAGCCAGTCAGGAGGTACAGATCCTCTGCAGGAACTGAACCAGGAGGTGCGTATGTCCTCAGCACGGAGAGGCAGGCCTTCTCCACAAGTGAAGTTAGGATGATCGCAGGTGCGGGATCGATGTCAGGAGAAGCTGCCGAAGAAGAGCGCACCGAAGCGCACATGAGACGCCGCTGTCTGCTTGGGAATGATGAGGATCCAGCTGAAGAAGAAGAAGAAGCATCCGAGGCTTCGTAAAAGGGTAGCTGGTCGTCAATGTGCACGAGTCGAAGGCATCCATTCAGGTGCAACCGTGCCGTGTAGATGTGATCTGCGGTCACTGACGCCTCTAATTCGTCTTTCTCGACGAGAAGGGGCTGCCGCAGGAGCTAAAGGACAGAAGGAAGACAGCAACACAGTGAGCTACCTCTGCCAGACCCATCGTCCCACATCAGCTCTGATGTCGTCTCTGTCTCACCTTTGTCTGCCACTTGAAGTCATGCTCTGCAATGACCTCCATTGCCGCCACAAGTCCACAATTGGACACTGCATCCTGTGTAATATCCTCTCCCCTCAAGGGCCGTGCTGGATCCCATAGACAACATCCTCTCCGTTCCTCTTCTGTGAAGATTCTACTCGCAGAGATCAGCTTAGCTCCTGTCAGTCTCTGCTTCTCTGATAGGAGCGGGAGGGGGAATGTCTCGAGGGTGGCTCCAGTCCTTGAGAAAGAAGAATAGGAGGAGGAGGACCACGGCTCGCAGAGTAGTCCATTAATACGACTGGAGTCAACTAGTCGCCTCCCCTGCTCCTCGACGTCCTTGCACCCACCCCCTCCGCCTCCTCCTCCTCTAGAGCTCATCCCACCCCACCTTCTAGCCCATTCTGCACCCTTGACTTCCCGAATCCTCTCTGCACGCTGTAGCGCCCTCCCTGCTTGGCGCTTGAGGTTCTCCTTCAACCTCCCCAGCTTCTCCCTTTCCTCTTCTTCTAGCGTTCCACTCTCTCCTTGGGGAGTCAAGTTCCTCACGGCCCATAGGAAGGCACGTGCGGCACGGAGATAGATTGGGTAGGCGAGCTCGTAGCGACGTGGGTGCTGGGAGGACTCGTGGGTAGAGGCGAGGGAGAGGGAGCGCGAGGCGGAGCTTATGGAGGAGGAGAGGGTTGCAGGTGTTGGTGAGAGGAGGGGGGTGGGGGAGATGAGGTAGGAGGAGGAGACGCGAGGACGAGGGGGAATGGTGCTGGTGGAGGAGGAGGAGGAGGCTACGGAGGACGAAGAGGCAGCCATTCCGCAGCCGAAGTAAGACGGGGAGATTATGACTGGGACGTGGGTATATGCGCTACGAAAGAAGAGTGCAAAGGGGGGAACAACCAACGGTCAAGCCAACGTCTCGCTTCACATCGTCGCGCTCGGGCCATCGGCCACTCACACGGACGCGACATCGGAACGGCAGGAGAAGATTAAGGCTGTGATTCGCAGTCTAGTGGTACAACAAGTGGAAGCGGGATGCGGGTAACAACAAGAGAAGAGGAGCACAAAGCCAGGGTATATAGAGCGGACGCAGTACTTCTTCAAGCAGCGCACAGGCTCGTGTCCACTACCAGGCCCTCGCCGTCCAGATCCAGGTGCGAGGAGATGCTCTCCATGTACGTCTCTGTCGAAAGGTATGTGCACGAGGATCAGTATGCTGTGAGGAGACAATGACTGCAGACAGAGTTGCACTCACCTGCCAGTCTGACGAGGTCGTTGCGATGCTTGACCATCTGACTGATCTCAAAGTCGTAGTTGCGCAGCTCCGCTTCGATCTAGAAGAGGGAAGGCGTGAAAGGGTGAGTAAGATCAAGCGTGGTGCTCACTCGTCTTCGTCGCAACTCACCTCTCTCTCCACCTGTCGACCCTCGGCCTGCTTCCTCCCAGCCTCTCCACTCCTCTTCCTCATCTCACCCTCGACAGTCTCCCACCTCTTGGTCCACTCCTCTTCCCTCTTCTTCCACATCTCCCTCTTCTCCTCCAGCGTCTTCCTCATCCTCTCCCAGCGCTTCTGCCCATTCTCCAGTTGACGACTATTGGCAGATACCGTCTGCGAGACTTGCGAATAGGCAGAGGAGAGGCCGTCGTCGTCTGCATCCAGAGAGCGCACTTCACGGTGGATCAGATCAAGACGGTTTTGATCGGCAGCGAGTGAGACCATGAGCGATTGGCAAGCATTGAGATCCTGGCGTGCGAGAGCGGAGATGGGATACGGGAGTGGGTCAGAAATGGCGCCCTGATACCACTCTGCAGGCTCTCGCTTTACTTACCTCCTCTACCTCCCTCGCTAATGCCACGCGAGCGTCCAGGTCCTTGGCCTTTCTCTGCGTGTCGAGGAAATGAGCCTTGCCCTCTCGCAGTTCCTCATTCAGCATCGTCAATGCATTCTTGAGCTCTTTGGGACTCGTCACGATCCTGGACTGCAGGCGTCTTAGCTTATCGGTCCCAAGACGAATCTCGGTCTGCAGCGCCATCTGCAGCTCGACGAGGTTGGCCTTTTTGCTGTTGAGCACATCTCTTTGCTTGAGGATCTCCGTCTGTTCAGACTTGAGGGATACGAGTTCGTCACTCAGCCTCTGGCATTCCTCGCGGATCACCTGAGCTCGGGGAGCCTCATCCTCCAATTGTTCCCTTGCAGGCGGCAAAAGTGAGATGCAAATGGATCAGCATGAGAAGCTCATATCTCTCTCTACCTCTTGCATCACGCCGACTCACTTCTTCGCCCGAATTGCCTCCCTCAATCGATCCACATCAACCACCAGCTCGCTCTTAATGTCTGTAAACTCCTCTGCCTCATTCTGATACACGTCGTGATCCTCCAGTCTATCCAGCCTGAATCTGTGGAAGTTCACCATTGCACTCATGTGCTTCTTGAACTTCTTGGGCTGAGGCTTAAGCAGGTCCTGCGAGGTGAAATTGTGCACCTGTGCGGCCTTCATGAGGATCCTCACTTCCTGGTAGAAGAGGGTGAAGAAGAGGGCCTGCTTGTACAGCTCTCCATGGTCCTGCTCCAACGCCAGCCTCTCTGCCTGCTCCTCAATGTCATCACGTCCGACGTGGTTGAGCGTCTCGATCCACTTGAGGAAGATGGACTGGGCAGAGTGGTAGGTGGGCTTGTTGATGTCTTCGGTGGTTACCCAGAGGAGATCAATCTCGTAGAGTTGCTCGAGGATCTCGCTGACAGTAAGCTGAGGGAACGATGTGACGCCTACGAGGGCTTCAGGTGCCGTCTGTGGCTGCGATGGAGGTGCCATGCCTGGGCGTGAAGGTCTGGGTATCACTCGAATGTAATGGTGACGATGGTGTTGGTTGAGTGTCAACGCGTGTTTTGAGAGCGGAGCGGAGCGGAGGCGCACCTCGCGTGTGTGCTTCCATGGCTCTGCTCTGCTTCCGATCCGATCGGATCGACACTTCTCCTTTCCGCTTTACTCGAATTTTGGCACGAGGCCTTCCCGCAAGGCCGCCGTAGAGGGAATACCAAAGCACCTGCCTCGTACTGGCTACAAAGTAAGACCATCCTTCTACTGCCATCGCCATGACCCTCTTCGTCATCGGAATCGGTCTCTGTGATGAGACTGACATCACACTGAGAGCGCTCGAGGCCGTGCGGTCTAGCGAGCGCGTCTACCTCGAGGCCTACACCTCCATTCTGATGGTAGAGGACTACCAAGAGCGACTGGTGAGACAAAGTGCCGAAGTCTGAGAGTAGTCTGCGCCTGACTGCTGATGCCTCAGAACTCCTCGTATACTGATCCTGCAGGAGAAGCTCTACGGCAAGCCAGTCATCATGGCCCACCGTGAGACAGTCGAGCTCGAGTCGGACGCTATCCTCTCCCTCGCATCCACCTCCAACGTTTCCTTTCTCGTCGTCGGCGATCCACTCTCCGCTACAACGCACACCGACCTCATTCTCCGCGCCCACGCAGCTACTCCCAAGGTTCCCGTGCGCATTATTCACAATGCCTCGATCATGACGGCGATTGGGTCGAGTGGACTGCAAGCGTACAATTTTGGACAGACGGTCAGCGTGCCCTTTTGGACCGAGGAGTGGAAACCGGATAGCTGGTTGGAAAGGATCAAGGAGAACATGAATCGGGGGAATCACACACTCGTTCTTGGAGATATCAAAGTCAGGGAACAAAGTCAGGACGATATGGCAAGGTGAGTCGGCGCAAAGGGAAGCCAGACTGGCCAGAAGGTGATTCTCCCTGCTGACAACTACCCCCAACGTATTGCTATCTTCTACAGAGGCGTGCTGCGCTACCAACCACCGCGGTACATGCTCATTCCACAACTCATCACCCAGCTCCTCTCAGCCTCGCAGCACTACGCCTCTACCTCCCCCGACCCATCCCTCATCCTCTCTCCAGACCGCACACTAGCAGTAGCCCTCTGCCGCATGGGCGCCGATGACGAGCTCATCGTCTCGGGTACCCTCGGCGAGCTTCTCGCCCTTGCTTCACCCTCGGTGGAAGAGGCACAGCGCGAGGAGGCAGAAGACGATGCGGACGAGCTTGCCTCGGAGGCGGAGCTGGACAGACGCAGGGCGGCGCGGGCGGAGCAGAGGGCCATCCGGGCCTTTGGAGCACCGCTGCATTCCCTGGTACTGGTGGGGAGCAGACTGCATGAGATGGAGAGCCGGTATGCTGCATTGTGGAAGGTGGGAGAGGGATGGGAGAAAGTGGCTAGCGAGGTGTATGGCTGTAGGTGAGAAGGAGGGCCCAGTGGGGCAGGATGTGATCGCAGTAGCTTTCGCAAGAATACCATCTGTACTCAGCATTCGCATCGGAGAAAGTGTCTGGACGGAGTATTTGCACTCGCACTCGCAATGGCTCTGTTCTGTAATGGCCTCGCAGAGGCACAGGACACAGATGGTAGATCATACACTCTTCGCACACGCAACAAGAGAACAGAGTGATGTTTGCGGTATATTCGAGCGAGTATGCGAAGACGCAAGCATGAATTAGACAAGAAGATTGGTGGGATGCTGGAAACAAAGAGGCTAATGTTTGGGGGATCTGGCGCAGAGAATGGTGGGGCAATACATGGCGAGACCAGGAGAATCAGGTCGCCGGCCAGCGGATGAGACCCCTAATGCTGGTAGATTGGTGCATAATTATGATAAACGCCCTGGATAGGGACATTGTTCTGCACTCCAGAGTAGTTCTGGAGGTGGGAAGGACTCATTGTGAGTTGCTGCTGCTGCTGCTGCTGCTGTTCTTGTTGTAGCTGCGTCTGTTGCTGTTGCTGGAACGTGCTTCCACCTAGATTGGAAGGAGAGTAGTCGGGCGTGGTGCTGTATGCCTTGTTCAAAGGGGAAGAGCGCAGGAGGCTGGGGCTGAAGAGCTCGCCAACGCCATCACTGCCTGCAGGGTTCATTTGCAACTGAACATGACCTGTCTGCTTTTCACCATTGTACGAGTGCAGACTCTGACTTGGTGACACACCGCCATCGTTTGTGGCGACGGGACTTTGTTGTTGCAACATGGCTACGAATGCGCCGTCGAGAGTACTGATAGACACTGGCTGACCTACTGTGTCACCTCCGTACATGTCCCATGTCGTTTGCGGCGAAGGAGTGCTGGTCGTGGTAGCGTATCGGCGAGGTGAGAGATTCTCTAGCTGCGAGGACAATACCGAGGGCGCACTGCCAAAGGGAATGGAGCGAGGGTAGCGAGAAGATACGCTGTCCTTTCTGGTTGCGGCAGTGTCCGCGTCGATGAGAGTCTCGATGGCATCGTAGTCTTCATTGTACTGGCCGCTCATGCTGCTGGCTGCGTCGAGGGTAGAATGCATGCCTTGTAGCTCCGGAGGACCCGACGCACGAGACCATCGACCGAGAATGCGCTGGCCAACTTGGCGGGCGATGTCATCGTGAGCAAATGAAGAAGCCCGAGCTGTAGAGGGCGAAGTAATTGGCACGAATCTTGTGTTCCCAGAGCTGCTCAGGCTGCTCAAACTACCAGTGGAACCGGATGAAGAGGGCCGGTCATGGGAAGAGTGCCTGTGGTGCAGTCCCGGAACACGATGCTGACCATTGCTGGACATCGGAGACGGCGTTGACAGGACTTCTTGTGTGTCAGCTACACTTGTTCCTTCATATGTCGGAACTTGAAGAGCGGAAGTAGGAGAGCCGACGTGGCCGAGGTCATGCTGAGCACTGGTAAGGAAGTCGGGCGTAAAGTGGAATACCCCATCGTCGCTACCGATCGTAATACCGTAGCCACAATTGGCTTGTCCTAGATCGAAAGTCTGTCCATCGGCGTCCTGCACCCGAACACTAGTGCCATCAATAGGAAAAGAAGAAGCAACCTCTTCGGCAGCTTGATCGAAATGGCGCTCGCCATTGGTGCTTTCATGTCCCATCTCCGGAATGGGGTCATTGTAGACCTCGGCGAGAGGCGGGGGGCGGGCCTGCATCGGTGTTGGAACGCCCGCATAGCTGGGACGTTTCGCATGATGTCGATGTGAGTAGCTCTGGCTATCTGTTGGATCATTGGTCGCCGCTGAGTTCCAATGCTGCCACTGTGCACTGCTTCTTCGGAAACCGCCTTTGAGAGGGCTGATGAGGGCGACGTCGTTGGCAAGTTGAGGAGCAAATCCTTGCGAAGCGGCGAATGTGACAGCACGAGGAGTAGGGACATCAATTGACTTTGGTCTTGCACCAAGGGAGGAGAGATTGTGGGCGAGACCTGCGTCCCAGAGGTCCGAACGAAAGTCGTTCCGTGAGGTTGTAGCCTCAGCGTAGGCAGCGTGCAATAGCGGCGTCGAGTTGGAATGGAACAGCGGCGGCGGCGGGGCTTTTCGTGTGGTCGAGTTGGCTTGACGCTGGGCAAGACCGCCAATCTGCACACCCGGCGCGACGTACTGGTCGCTCAGAAAGCCCGATCTTGCTTGACTCTCCCAGTTCTCGGCGTTGGGGTGGCGAGGTCCCTCTGCGTTGCCCATGATCTGTCCAGTCCGTCCGACATGGCTCTCCCACAACGCGGCGCGGGCGCCTTGCTGCGCAACATGCTGAGCGTGGGCCAAATCGTAAACGCCAGCATTGGCAAGGCTGGGGCCAAGAGGCTCGCGCTGATACGGGTCCACCGCTGACAGTTGCTGGTCATACTGAGACGGTTGCACAAAGAAGTGAGGTTCGACGCTGGTGGCGAGATCACCGGCAACGGATGCGAAGACTGGAGCACGTGTGAAGGCCTTGCCTTTGTTTCCGCGTTCGGCTTCGCTGTCAAAATCGTCGCCGTCGTCGTAGCTGCTGGAAAAATCAGAGGTGGTGCTATAGCTTTCGGTACGGGTCGGCCTCGGTCGGCCACTCTGAGCGCTGCGGGCTGCAGCCTTGGCCTGGGCACGAAGCCTGCCTTGCTCCTTCTTCTTCTGCGATTGACTGATAGGGCCCTTGTCGCCATCGCGAGCGATGCCTCCATCTCCGCACATCTTCATGATCAAGTCGGCCGCCCTCTCGCATTGCTCCTCGACGCCTTCCGGGCGGACAACGTTGCGCTTTGCCGAGACGGGTTTGCGGTAGACTGGCTGGTACTTGTAGTCCGGGTAGAGTTTCGCGTGCGCTTCCTTTTCCTTTTGCGCCTCCGCCGCCCAGATGCCGCGATCCGACTCGGAAAGACTGTTCCACATGTGCGAGATGATGCGGGAGATGTTCCGATGGTCTCGTTCCAGCTCTTCGGGCACGAGGTTGTTGGCTACGACATGACATCGGAAGAGGATAAAGGCGTTGCGAGGTCGAGGGATGTGATGCTCGTCCTTCTTTCGAGAGTGCGAGGTGCCCTTGCCTTTGCCTCGGGGCTTGCGAGGAGGGAGACAGCCTTCCGATGCTGCGCAGGAGCTGCTTGCTGGGCTGCTATGAGCCAGGTGGTCGACTGTCGTCTGTCGGTTCCTATAGAAGTCGTCGTTGGACGATGAAGTCCGGAGGCTGCGCTCAGCACTGGCGTCGCCGTGGAAGCTCACGCTCGTGCTCAGAAAGCGAGGATCCATTGTGCAATGCTGGCGCCAAAGGCGAGATTGTGGAGAGCGTGCAAAGTGGAAAAGGCAATCGCAAGGACAAAGAGATTGGGTACGAGCCTTTATGGGATGTAAATGCGGTCGTTGATGAGAAAGGTCTTAGGACAGGAAGATAACGTCCAGAACAATAGCTGCGTGCGGGGGTCCAGGTAAGTGAGGGGGGACAAACAGAAGGTACCCTCTCTGGAGGCCCCACTTATGAGGGGGCTCGAGCGTTTCTGAGAAGGTCGAATGGAAGCCTGGTAGCACTGAAACAAAGGGTGCGGCAAACCCCAGGGCTTGCCGCCCAGTAAGGGGAATTGGCGGGCAATCCGCCTGTAATCACGACACACGGGACCATCGTGGCGGTAGAACTTCACACCTCCCGTAAACTGCCCGCCGAGACATGCAATCGTATCTTCGGAGAATGTCTGCATAGCTCAGCACCTTCTCCCAGTGCTAATGCTTTGGCGGACCAAGAGTTGAGCGCAAGAAGGGGCCCGTGGGGAGATGGTGCAGTGGCAAAGCCGGCTGACGAGGTAACATGGCTACCTCCGCCTTTGTGCTCGGAACTGCTCCACACACGGGAAGTCAGCTCACCGAGGCCGCACCTCGGAGCTCCTTCCCGCGGGAGACTGACCGTCCGCCAACGGTTCGACCTGTCCGACGGTGGAAAGGAGGGGAAGTAGTCTGAGCTGGGGTGGCGATGCGGCGTACAGCCACCATGCAGGATCATGCTGTTCCGAAGTAAAGGGGCCGCCGGGCAGATATTTTCTCGCTGCGAGGCGACAAACTTCGGTGTGCAAGATTGCAGCCTCGCTCCCCTTTGCTCGCTTGCCTGGAGCCCACTCGGCCGGAAAGTCCAGAGAGCTGGGATCTCACCCATCTCCTCTTGGGCCTGCATGCATTGCGGTTGCGCGTGCCTGGCGAGGCGGAGAGTTGCGGGAGAGACCGCACAACTGCAAGGGCCTCGCTTGTGCAAATTCGGACCCCATCCTCTAGCCGCGGACCGTAGAGGCGGACCTGCACGCATACCGAAGGCGGCAAGAAGAGGATCTGAGATCCGTTGATGACCCGGCGAGAAGTCTTGCTGCAGATACCTGCGCATCCCCCACTGGGCTCGCCGCCTGTGTCTGATGTATGGGTCAAGCCATACGTGTCCGATGGTTGGGCATACGAAATGCAGGTCTTAGCAGAGAACCAAGCTGCTGGCCATCATCTGTCTCTTCTACAGAGAGGACAGAGAACAAAGGGACGCTGACAGGGACCACTAGCACGGGTTAGTGGCAGCGCTCTCCCTGCCGCCGAAAGCCACTGCCAAATCGATCAACCTCTGGCATCTGTCGAGCTTTATTTCCCGAAAGTACAAAGGGCTGTGCTGCTGCTGAGCGACGTGCGTGATCGGGAATCGGGAAATGTCGCCTTTGCCGAGTCGTACACGATCCTGAACTACACCGCACGCGACGGTAGTAGATCAGCCGTGTAGTTGATGAGCTACATCGCAAGAGACTCGCGTAAGCCGTGAAGCTGGCAACTCACTCCGTTCGCTTCTTATTACTCTGTCGCTGCGAGCTTCTTGGATGGCCTTCACCAGTGAATGGCTCGGAGCTGTCAGCATTGCAGCGCCAAGGAGGGCAAAGGAACTCGCAAACAGTTCCGAAATCGGCCGGCGACGTACGTCGGATATGTTTCGCAGACGTTCTCCGGCGCCACAACCGATGTAGAATGCCGCGAGGTCTGGACAGCCGACGCTCAGCCGGGCTCCTTCCGGTCGGCAGGTGCGATGCTGCGCTTTTTTGAAGCGAGCTAACAGGAGAGTTCAATGCCCGTACTAGCGATTGAAGAGGTTGAACATGTGCGACTGATGCCGATACTAGATGCATCGAGATTGAGGTGGGGGCCGATGTGATATCGTAAGCATATCTCGCAGACGGAGCTACGGAGCTGAGGGGCGGCGGTGGGGACGGCGTACCTCGGCATTCGACTGCTTACTTAAGCAGGAAGCTCTTCCCTGCTTCTCGTTCCGAGCTCACCTGCAGCCCGTTCCGATGTCTCGTGTTACCGCGCGCTCCTCGAACCGGAGAAGAGGCCCTAGAGTAATTTGCCTGTCTGCCGAGGGGAGAGAAGGTCTGAGCAGCGTCGCCTGCGTATCGCACCTCACCCAGCCTACTCATCCCAGGAGGACCTCGATTCTGCATCGGTACATCTCGTACATCTCGCCGCTGCTGCGCTCACATCCTGCAAAACGCTAGCCTTCCTCAAACGGACCTCGCTCTAGGACTTCTGCTGGAGCTTCCTGATCTCAGGCAACTCCAATCCTCCTCGACCTCTTTCCAGATCTCTTTACATGTCCTTCCGAGGAGGCAGCAGTAGGGGCGGCCCCGGAGGCGGCCGAGGTGCTCCCAGGGGCGGCAGCTCCTTCGGTGGAGGAGGTAGAGGTGCTCCAAGAGGCGGCAGGGGAGGTTTCAGTTCAGGGGGCAGGGGCGGTGGCAGGGGAGGATACGGTGCTCCTTCAGGCCCGCCCGAGCGGGTGCAGGAGATGGGAAGCTTCATCCATGCCGTAGAGGGAGAAATGCTCTGCTCGTCCACAGACGCAAAACACGTGCCGTACTTCAATGCGCCAATCTAGTGAGTATACCTAGTCCCAGAGTAGCACAAGCGAAAGCATCTCGGGTTGCGGGATAAGCCCCAAGTCTCCTGTTTGGGAGAATGCCAGGAAGCAGTCTTTCTACGCCTTGGAGCTACGTCAGGGAGCTGAACGACGCCCTTCTCCTCACCCCGCCTCATCTCGCCTCGCCTCTCAGCCTCCACAATAAGTCGCAAATCGGCAAGGTCGATGAGATCCTCGGCCCGATCAACGAGGTGCACTTCACCGTTAAGATGGACTCGGGCCTCGTTGCCAGCAGCTTCAAGGCCGATGACAAGGTGTACATTGCTGGAGACAAGCTGCTTCCCATTGAGAGGTTCTTGCCAAAGCCAAAGGTGGTGCAGAAGGGACCCAAGAAGAAGGCTGGAGCTGGTGGAAGAGGTGGTGCTCGAGGAGGCTTCGGAGGCGGACGTGGTGGAGCTAGGGGTGGTTTCGGTGCTCGTGGAGGCGGAAGGGGCGGTGGGCGTGGAGCTCCCAGAGGAGGTGGTGGATTCTCGTCAAGAGGTGGTGGATTTGGCGGCTCGCGCGGAGCACCGAGGGGTCGAGGAGCACCCCGTGGTCGGGGAGGCTACTAAATATCGAGCAGCTTTGCCGATGCTTTTCCCTTTTCTCCCTGCTTGCCTCTCGAGGTGCTCAACCCAACCAGCTCTGCCTATCCATTCCGTCCATTGTACTCTAGCCTCCTTTTCTCCATTCCTCAGCAGCAACTGGCAATCGATCACAGACTTTTCGGAAGATGTTATTGCAACAAGCGCGTTGCATCAATCTGCCTTCTTTGTCTTCGCGCTCCGACGACCTCAGCCATCCTTCTTTGTCCTCCCCTTCTTCCCGGGCCCACCTTTCGCTTTGCCCGTCGCTCCACCACCACCGCCACCACCACCCTTGCCATTGTATGTTGATGTCCCTGCGCCGGCAAACAGAGTACCCGAAGATCCAACCTGCGTTCCTGCACCGCCCGCCGAAGCGTTTCCGGCTGCGCTGTTCCTGGCCAGGACGCTCGGATCGACCCAGAAGTCCCTCTTGGGCATGATGCCTGCTTGACCGATCTTGAGACCCGCAGCGGATGATGCAGCGCCCCCTCCTCCCCTTGTTCCACTGCCACCGCCGCCGCTGCCTGCCGCTCGCTCTCCTTCGTCATCACTGACGGCAAGCACGCCCTCGTCGTCGTCTTCCTCTTCCTCGCCATCTGCCTCGTCATCAGCATCGCCAGTGCCCTCACGCTGCCGCTGTCGCTTCTCCCTGCCACGGTGACCTCTGCGGTGCAATAGATCCCGGTAAAAGCCGCGCAGGAGGCCAATTTGCGCAGGTAGGGCACACTCGGAAATTCGGATGAATGGTGGTGGGCTGGGAAAGGCTTCCTTCTCCCCTTCCTTCTCCTTGCCTGCGCCACCTGCCTCGCCAGGACGTCGCCCAGCAGCTCCTCCCCGGCCACGGAACAGACGCGCAGGGATGGTGAGATTCGCCATACCGAGCTCCTGATCCAGTCCGAGAGCCTTGAAGCCAAAGAAGTCGTCATCCAGCGCAGAGGGGATATTGCCCACCATGAGGTCCTCGGAACCCTCGGCGCCAAAGAAGCGCGCGTCTTCCTCGCTGACCAGCTTCTCCTCGCCTATAGCAATGCGTTCCTTCCACGAATACTCCATCTTCCGCTTCAGATCTTCCAGACGGTTCGAGTACCGCACCGTGTCGTCAAAGAGGTACTTTTCAAGCTCATTTGGCCCGACAGAAGATGTGGTGTGGAGAGTATGCAGGAGAATTTCCTCTGCTGACATCGTCGTAGATGCATACCGATCCAGGTAGAGTCGGAGAGACCGGCCCAGACTGCAAAGAAACTCTTCCAGAACGCTGCTGAGAATGTCCAGTGGGCGGGAGTGGGAGGAGGCGAAGCCCGCATTGCCACAAAGCAGAGATACTCGATCTCGCAGGGCAGAGCGAGCCTCAGGAAGGGATATGTGGGGAAAAGGGTGGGCATCTAGCCTGCCGGAGGCAGAAGGATGACTGTTGGGTAGGGAAGATGCTTCCATACCGTTGACATGCAAGGAGGGACCTCGCCGTGTCAAGGATGCAGGGTACTGGGACGAGGACCAGTGGGGCTTGACGTCCTCTTCCTCGAGTCTCTGTGTACTGGTGAGATCGTCCACTTCCTCATCAGAATCGATCAGCAGCGAGCTCGGCAGCGGCTGGTCGTTGTCTATGCAGTAGTCGAGGAAGTCGAACTTCCGCTTCAATCTGTGCATCCTTCCGTGCGTCTTGATGTTGCGCTTCATGCAGTCCACACCGCGCCGCCTTTGCGGCGCCTTGGAGTCGCCATGAGCTACTGAAGGAGATCCTTGCTGCAGGGCTGAAGCATCGCCATTCGTTTGAGTCGCTTCTGTACGGGATTTGCGTTGTTTTTGTCGCAAACCGTTCGACCGCCGTCTGCCGTCTCTCTGTTCTTCAACGAACACCGATTGCTGTAGTCGCGACATAGCAAATCTGGCTCTGGTGGAAGGGCTAGCGTAGACTGCCGAAGAGGCCCCGCTTACGGCATTGAACGAGCTCGACGCCTCCACCGCGTTGCCTCCTGCAAGGCTGCGAACAATGTCTTCCACCTCAGCATCATCAGTCTCCGCTTCAAAGACTGGCTGCACCACCATCCGCCGTTTTCCAAGACTGGTCTCACTTGGATACGCGGGCGACCAGTCATGGCCCAGGAGATTCTGCAGTACCCACAGATTCCTCTCGTCTTTCCTCCTGTCTGCCACTGCAGTCTCTGCAAGGGAAGCTCCAGAGCCAACGGTGAAGGCCCGCTGCTCTTCGAAGGGCTTTTCATCGACGAGAGTCGAGGGGCCAGCTGCAGATGTCTCTCTGGCAACTGGAGAGGGGACTGAGGGCCCTTGAAGCTGTGCTGATGGAGTGGAAGCTGCAGCAGCCGCTACTGGGCCGAGGAAAGTGGAAGTGGTGTTCTGAGTGATCCCTGGCACGGCTGTGATGTCTCCGCGCTGAAGAGCTTTAGCCTCGGCTGGGGTGAGGCTGGTGTGAGTTGCAACCCACTCGTTCAGGGCTGACTTGACATCGTGGGAATCTTGAATGTAGGAAAGGAGATCATGCGACCGCTTCCGCATCAAGTTGGCGGAGATCCGCAGAGGGTGTGTCTGGAGAGGCAGGGAGGACATCAGGCATACGGGTGAGACTGTCTGAACTGCAAAAAGCTCCAAGCTCGCTTCAAGGAGTCTCTCGATTACTCACGGGCTCATTGTTGTACAGAAGACAATTGTCCCAGATGAGATCCAAGTCCTTGCGGAATGCCTCTTTGCTCCGGTACTTGCCGCTCTTGACATTCTTGAGCATCAGACCCAGGTCCATGGGATTCTTGATGACATCGTAGTAATCGGGCGCGTCTCTCTTATTGACCCTGGTAAGAAAGGCCTGTGAGTGGGACTGGGCGCGCAAATCGTGTAGGAGGCGCTCCAGAGAGTCGTGGAGGAGAGTCCGGTCATCGCGAGACTTTTGGACGTCTGTAAGGAGCTTGGTGAGATCTGCATCCGATAAATCTACCCGATGTCGGCTTGACTCTATAGCTTGCAGAAGATACTGAGGGACAGGGCGGAGGGACGAGTGAACGAATGGAAATGGGGACATATCAGCATCACTGGCCGTCATTGATATCCCTTGATAGCGGGAAAGAGAGTCGATCTCACTTACCTTCATGGTCACCGCTCACGTCCCATCGGCGCACACCGACCAATGGCTACGGGGGACACGAGGAACTGAATCCAGACAACCGCAAGAAGAGAAGAGGAAGAGAAAGAGAGAGAGTGACGTGCGTATACCGCACCGCCTTGCAATTCGCCGGACTGATATCGTGGAAGAAAGGGACGGTGACCTCGGGTACGACTGCTCGCATGAATTGAGGTGGTCCAAGTCCCCCCCCCCCCCCCGCCTGCCGCCCCGAGTCCCTTTCCGCGCGGCAATCGGGAGCGTCGGTCGATCACCAGTCAGGAACCAGGAACATCGGAACGGAGCAAAAGGGTCTTTCTTCCCGTTCATAGTCGACCAAGTCTACTTTACTCACCACCTCGTCGAAATTTGGCACCACGGCAACGCCATCTAATCGCCATGACGACGTCGCTACTCCCACCGTCGAATCTCACACAGCAGCTCTTTCCGCAGCTGCTCACAGCTTCCACTTCCGCCCTACGCCTGGACAACCGTCCTGCGTCTGCACCACTCACACCCTCAGTGGCCTACTCGCCAACGCAAAGAGGGACAGCCACTTTGACCCTCTCCCATCCAGCGTCTCCGGCGGTAAAGACGATCATCCTCGCCTCGGTTCATGCAGAGCTGGTCCCGCCGCGCCAAGAAAGACCATACGAAGGACAGGTGCAGATCCACCTCAATACCGCCCTGGCCCAAGGCACCTCATCCGCCTCCCGCTCCAATCCCTCTGCAGAAGCCTCTACCGCCGAGTTGGAACGGCAATTGGACCTAGCGCTGCGCAGGAGTGGATTGATAGATCGAGAGGCTCTCTGTCTGAAAGCAGGAGAGGCAGTGTGGAACATCAGCGTCAATATTTCCTGTCTCTCGTTGCGTGCGGGCAATGCACTGCAGGGGTGCATTCTCGCCAGCACCCTCGCACTGATGGACTACGTGAGGCCTGATGCAGCGGTGGAAGAAGGCGGAGAGATCAAGATCTTCGATGAAGGGGAGCGCGTGGGAGTGAAGCTGCCCATTACCGGAGGACTCGTTGGCGTGGAAATAGCCGTCTTCCTCCCGCCTCTACCCTCCTCCAGCGGCGGCGGCACAACGACCACCTCGACAGCAGATGGAGAAGTAGCGTCCTTGGAACCCATCCTACTGCTGGACCCTACACCACTCGAAGTGACTCTTTCTTCAGCCCTTCTAACTTATGTCCTCACCCCCAATACGGGACAGTTTCTACTTGCGGAAAAGATCGGTGAGGCACCACTGGACGTGGACGTTATGCTCAAGGGAATGAAGGCAGTCGAGACGAGGGCTCGGGGACTGGGGAAATGGGTCGACGAAAGCAAGAAGCAAAGGGACGAACAGGTCGGCAAGGAGATCAATTGAAGGTGGGGGCAGGCTCAGGTGCGGCAGGTGACTAGAGAAGAGAAATGACAACTCTCCTCCAACGCCAAGTTCTCACAATTGCAAACATGTACTATTAGCTCACACTTACTTCTCCAGCTGTCATACAACTTTTGCGCTACTGAGGATGCTTTGCTCAGACATCACAGCGTATCAGAATTTCCGTTTGATGCAATTCCATGATAGATATTACAAACTATATTATCCTACTGACACTCCCCACCTCGCCCTTCTTACTGGTGCACCTTGGAGAGGGCAGCCAGCTCATCACCGCTGATGATGACAAGCTTACCCGGGCTAGCAACACCAGCGCTGAAAGCAGCCACGGCCATATCCTTGAGCGCAGTGGCCGTTCCAGCTTGGGCGTAGTATCGAATCTCATCAGGGTGCACATCCAGCATGACCACACGTGGGTCATTCTCATCACCAGTGTGCACACCATCCTTCTTATCATCGAACCAAGCTTCGAGACCCTTGTTGAAGTACTTCTTCACCTTGGCCTTGTCTTTGTTGATCGTGGCCTTGCCGGAAATGGAAGCCCAGTCACCCTTGGGGTTCAGGAAGGAGACGTTCACCTCGGGGTTAGTCTCGATGTCATCGGTCTTTCCAGACTCGGAATTTTGGAAAAAGGAGAAGACTGAGGTGGTAGGAGAAGGTGACAGAAGAAGGGGTTTGGGTAAGCGACCCGCGCCACGGAGCTTGTATTTCTCTCTCTTGCTCCTAGCTGGCTGCTTTCACTTACCAAGTCCCTCGGTGGTGGCAGGGTGCATGCACCTTGAGGCTAGCTTGCCATCGGGGCTGTGCGAGGTGAGCATGGCGTTGCCCACCTCATTGACGATCTTCATCAGTCCATCGACCTTCTGCTGAGCAGTGAGATCCGAAGCATTGCCCGAGGCCTGCTTGGCAGTAGGGTCATGAGTTTGATGAGACATGGTTCTAAGTTGCTGGTACTTGTAGTGAGTGGTAGAGGGTAGGAATACACGAGTTGACTGCGCGAAGATACGAGGCTTGATAGATGTGCTGATACGAGGTAGTAGAGCAGGAAGCATACGAGGTTTTGGATTGAGAAGGAGAGGCAAGAGCGGCTACTGACTGGCCAGGTAGAAGATGTGCAGCTGACCCGCACCGCACGCCATGCGTCGCTGACGTCAACTCCACATGAGGCGCAGGCCCGGTCCACACCCGTTCCGGCGACGCCCTCTCTAGCGCGTCTTCCGAAAGCCTGACTGCTACTTCCGATAAAGGTACACAATGAGGTGTGGAATATGGTACAGGTAGTGCTAGCTGCTAGGTGAAGCTAGCGTTTCTTCAAGCTGCTCGAATGATTCACCTAAAGTCTAAGGATGCTTGGCAGCGATCGAGCTTAGACCGCCAGCAGCAGCCTTCGACGCCTGCTTAGCTCCCTCTGCGACGGCCTTTTTGAGATTCTCGTCTTCCTTGACCTTTTCGTACGCTGGCCTCTCCAGCTCGCTGTGGGACAGTGGGCCGGTATCAGTCGTCAGTAATCGAAAGCTCCTCGCGACCCCTAACGCTCGAGCACTCACAAGCCCCTCAAAGACCGCCCGTAAAGTAGGCCCCCGAACCGACTGACGGGGAACGTCTTGCTGGGATCGATGGCTCCGTCGGCCTCGATACAATCCTCTCGAATATGCATCATCCTCACCCTCCCAATAACCATACAGCCTCCCCTGACTCCATCGTCCTTGTGGAAGTCGGTAATGGAATGCACTGTGAGCTCAAAGGAGACGGGAGCTTCGCCAATCCGTGGAGCTTTTACTAGCCGCCCAGGGACGGGCGTCAGGCCTGTCACGGCAAACTCGGAGACTTCGGCAGGGCAGTCGATGCTGGCGTAGTTGAGTGCTTCTGCGTATGGCTCAGAGGATGAGGAGATGCAGAATCTGAGGTGCGCAAGAGCAAAGGTGACTCAGTCAGGGGCAGCGGAGCTCCCTCCTCGCCCCCTTCATGGTTTCGACTCGGCTTACCGTTCACACTCACTCTTGATTCCTTCTGATGTTGCTCTCGCTATCCTTGCGTGTCCCATGAAATCCCGGTCCACCAAAAGCAATCATCACCAGCGGCGGGTCCGAGCATACGACCTGATAGAAGCTAATGGGCGCTAGATTATACACTCCATTCTCGCCCACTGTGCCCACCATGGCCACTGGCCTTGGCGCTACAGCGCCAATGAGGATCTTGTAGATCATCCTGGGCTCCATGTCTGTCACGCCTGGCTGCACCACGCGAAAGGGCACATCTCCTCGGGCAGCCGCGGCAAAGTGGGCCGAGGCCGGATGCGAGGTGGTCAGCCCTGATCCGGGAACCCACTTTGGATCCAGCGTCTGAGTCTTTTGGAATGCATCGACCTCGAGAGGCGGTAGCTTTGCCTGGGCTTCGGCAAATGGCGGATGGTGTGACATGGTAGGGCTAGTGAGGCTGGGAGAGGCGACGGGACAGCGACAGATCTTCAGTGGTACGACTACAACTCAGTGTTGCACGCTTCTGTGGTGCTGCTTCCTCTCTGTCGGAAGAAAGCGCTTTGCGGAAGTAGCGGGAAGGACGCGGGGCAACGGAAGCAAGGGGGAGCAAGCCCGCCACTGTCGCGTGGGAGACTTGGCAAGCTACCGATCCCCGCCCATGCCGTGAAGCTTGGCTACCTCGGCTTCTCTCGATGGTTGACGTCGAGCCCGGACAAGTGTTCACTCGCGGAGGTAAGATGTGCGATTGCTTCATTGTTCGGCCCGGCTGTAAGCCAAGACCCTTGGCAAGGCTGTCAGCTCACCGTCGCCTTTGCCGTCGCGTCTCTCTTGTCGAACGCCTCTCCACTAGGCGCTGCTCGCGTGGCCTGCCACGGCAGTCAAATTTCCGGAGGGATAGTGTCAGGAAAGCCCTAATCAGAGCTGCGCAGCAGTGGAGCGGTATCTTGCATCCCCACTCCACCCGCTCTTGCGATCTTGGAAGAGACAAGACGCCGACATCGCGAGGCAAAAGCTGCCAAGGACCACGAGGCGCATCGACGTCATTGCCCTCCTGGCACTGAGCAGGCGCTCAAGACGCAGCCGAGGTGCGGCTTGGATGCCGCGGCAGCAGCTGCTCCCCGGCATCTTGGCCCTGGCAGCCTGCCACTTTTTATGTCCTCGATGCTGAACAAGGCACTGACTCCGTACCCTCACCCGGGACAGGGTTTAGGTGCCGGGCAGCTCAAGGCAAAGTGGAGCCAGTGTGTGTGTATTGGTAGCACAAGATCTGTGCCTCTTGTTTGCCACGCTCCGTCGGGGGCAAGCCGATCGAATATCCTGAGACGTCAGCGGGGTCTTTTGACTGAGGCGGGCGCGTGGCCATGGCCTAAGACTAGCATTCAGGGCCAGAGACAGGAGTGAAAACGGCATCCTGTCCCGCCCCCCCACACCTTTGCTCAGCTCCTAATCTTACTGTATCGCCTTCCTTACCTTTCGTCGTCTTCATATACAAGCATCCGCCATCGCCTCGACACCCTCTGTGCTACCACTCACTCCACCCGTTGCCCAACACGGCTTCCTCATTTGCTCACTTCCCGTCGTCCTCCCTGCTGCCACCTACTCCTCCTGTCACACCGCCTAAACAAGCAGTGGTCAGGGCGACGCACCGCAACAGCCCAACCTCAGCAACTCCTCACTCTTCTCGCGACAGCGATTACCTACACCGTCAAGTAGTACTTCAGACGATGTTCTACAACAGCAGCACCGTCCCAATTGGGGGCGCGCCCTTTGTCCCGCCCTCGCTAGCTCTACAGGACGCAGTCTTCTACGGAGACAGCTCCTCCTCGGCCTCGTCTTCGAGGAGCAGCTCCATCAGCTATCCTCCCTCGTCTTCCAATTCGGAAGCAAACCTAGGCTCTGCTCACTCATACGGCATGTCCTCCTCCCCCTCGACTTCCTCATCGATGCAGAGCGATTATTCTCTCTCCCCGCGTCAGATCGCAGCAAGGGAGTATGCAAGGAGACTCCACGACCACACTGCCTCGATGTGGGAGACGGAGCGCCACAACATTGAGAAGACCAAGCTAGACTCTCCCGGTACGCCTCCGCGTCAAAAGCCAAGACCTACTAGTGGAGGAGGCTATATCCGTCCTCCTGCCCCGCCCGCTCTGGCGGCAGCTGCCGTCGTGGAACCACCAAAGGAGAGGTCGAGAGCGATGGATGTTCTTTTGGGAAAGAGCTGGGGAAAGAAGTGGAGCGGGCATGCTAGAGTCAAGAGCCTCTGATGGACTAGTACCTCAACATCCATCCCTCATCCGTCCTCCTCCTTTGAGGCCAATACCGCTCGCCTCGGCGGACCATGCCCTTACGAGCCCACCAACATTGGCGCGCCCAACAATAACGACGACCCATCCAAGCTTCCTCAAATGTACTCTATTCTCTATGCCTCTATCGCACCGGCCCCAGTACTCCTGTCTGTATGTAATCATTACTTCCCCTCAACTCCACTTACCAGCCTGGCTCTAGCCCTAGACCTCAACGGGTCGTAGCCACGCTCCCCTTCTCTCCGACCTCCACTCCACTTCGCTGCGGATCTGGTGTTCGTCTTCGTCTTCGTCTTCGTCTTCTCAAGTGTAGTCTTCTTGTCTTGTCTCTCATATCTCCTTCTCCCTCATGGCACTATAGTCTTTACTGTATACAATCTCCATATGTGGCCGTTCATGGCCTGCTCCTAAGCTGCCCTGTCTGTTTTCTGTCCCGTATGAGTTCCAAAAGCATCTCCTCCTCAGAAGAGCTACACTGCCACCACTCATTCTCATCCTCATTTCATTCCGGCTCAACTCAGACCCAGACCCAGCTTCAATCAACCATCACATGATTAATGGAGACATGAGGCATCACTATTGTAAATTAACCACAAACACAACCAACGAGAACCGGATTCAGAACCAGAACCAGGATGAGAAGAACGACATGATCAAGGAAAGCAAAGAGAGAGAGAGTGAAAAGAAAAAAACAGGAGCAAATGCGTGTGTTGGGATGCTGGTGTTGTGTTGTTGTAAAAGGAGGTTCAGTAGACTAAAACTATGTACTGTTGAAATGAAAAAAAGTTGATGACGGGGAGATAAAGCCTGGTGGTGACAAAGGGGAACTTTTGAAATGAGAAGCTGAGGTGGTGGTGATGGGGTGGGGAATATGTTGCTTTATGTTGCGCTGAGCCGAGGTGAGTGTGTAGGGTAGCGAACGACTCCTTCCTTGCTTCCTGTCTTTCTTCCTGCTTCTTACTCTTCCGCTTCTACCTCTTCAATGCCGGCTGCATTCTTTCCCTCCATTCTCCTTTCCACATCTTGCGCCTGTCACTCTGGGAGAAAAAGACTAGCTGGCCTTGGTAGACCCTCCACTGGTCCCACGCTTGAGCAGTGCCTTTCCCTCGATGCTCATCTTTGCAATCGCCCTCGCCATTTCCTCTGTGCTGGGATGACGACTACCCGCCATTGCAGGTCGAAGACCGGGCCCGGGTGACTGCCCCTTGTTGTCGCCCGAGCCCTCGTCTTCGGCACCGGCAGACGAGGATGCACCGCTAGTAGAGGCAGGAGCAGCCTCGGCTGCCGTTCCGAAGTAGTCACCCTCACCAGCAGATGCAGCTGGAGCCTCTACCATAGGCGTGCGCAGAACGCCTGCATCCAACGAGGGGCGTCGCTGCTTCTCCGCAAGGCTGTCTCCTCCCATGACCGATCCAAAGTAGCCAAAAGAGGTGTTTGAAGTGCCAGGGGGGACGCCCTGCAGACCAGGAGATACCGCAGGACTGTTCGTTGACGCCCTTCGAGTGGAGAGGGAGTGGATCAAGTTCGAGTGCACAGGAGGCTTTGTCGATGAGCCTGCAGCCGGAGAAGAGGATCCGGAACCTTCCTTCTGGCTCGCCAATGTTGCCGAGCCGTCCTGGACGTCATTGACAGCTGCGCTCGCTTTTGCCACTGCTGGTGTAGGTGGTGAGGACTCGGGACCCGAAGCTGACTTGTCCGAAGTGGTGGATGACTCCGGTTGCTGCCCCTCCACTACAGTCTCTACATGAGATTGATTGACGCTCGCTTGCCTCTGCAGCGGCTGCTGTTGTACCCTTCCGCCCGTCCCTCGGTGCCAACCTGGCGTTGGCGGGAGCGTGGCATTATATCCTACGACGCCAGCGAAGAACGGGTTGAAGCCTCCGCCTACACCCCGCGGTGTCGTCTGCCCGCCCATCATGTGAAGAGGTGCTCCAGGTGCAGCGCTCATGCCAGGGATCTGCCATGGTGTAGGTGGACCTGCTCCAGGGGTCATTGCCATCATATTCTGCATAGCGGCAGCTGCAGAGCTGGCACCGCCGTTCATGAAGGGTGGAACGAAGGTGGGAGGTGTGGGCGGAGGCAGCATGCCGGCGAAAGAAAATCCTGGCATCCCAGGCGTCATCGGCACTCCCGGCGTAAGGGGAACGCCGGGCGTCATTGGCATCGGAGCTCTATATTGCATCGGCGAATTAGAATTGCCATTGGTTGCGTAAGGATTGAATTGGCGGGAAATAGACGGCGGTGAAGGTAATGAAATCCGTCCAGGGTGATTGGCCGAGGATGACGAAGCTTGAGTGGAGCGTGAAGCGGTCGAGCCAGCCGGATTGGACAGCGACTTGTCCGCAGTATCCTGTGAAGCCTGCGATTCTGTTCTCGTCTCTTGAGATCTTGTGCTGTTATTTTTGAAGGGTTCATCTAGATGAGCAGCCGATAGGGAGGAGGCAGCTGCAGCTGGCGGTGCTGCCCAGGTCTGCGCAGCCTGGTGACCGTCGAAGTATGGCAGAGGAGGGGGAAGGGGCGATCTCTGATATTGTTGCGATTGTTGCTGACGAGGTTGTGTGTATTGGTATGGTTGCTGCTGCTGCTGCTGCTGCTGCTGCTGCTGCTGGTACTGGTATTGAGGCTGCTGGTACGGCGGAGGTAGAGCGTACTGAGACTGTTGTCCCTGACCGTACTGTTGATAGCCCCCCTGAGGCCCCATACCTGGCATTGAGCCCATGAACATGCCATTGGTCATCATTCCACCCGTTGGCCCACTACTCATTGCCCTCTGTCCGCCCCCTGATGCTGCACCAACATTGCTGGGCGGCTGAGCAGCACTGAATGCGCTGGTGTAGTCTTCGGCTCTTGCCGGTACCAGAACACCAAGAGGAGGCGCTTCCATCCTGGCGAAACGGTCGAAGTGTACCTTCAAGGTCCTACCATTGTAGTCATAGCCGTGGAAGATCTTGACTGCTCTTGCTGCTTCGTCCTTCGTGCCAAACAGGACCGTTCCAAACCCACGGGATCGGCCTTCTGTTCCCAGTGCGATGTCGGCTCTCATAATATTGCCAGCGGCTCGGAACAGATCCTTCAAGTCCTGCCATTGAGTAGCATAAGCCAGATTGCCTACGAATAGAGTCCGTCCATAGTAGCTTGCATCAGGTGCACCTCCATACTCCGCAACGACTCGGGCCTGCTGAGCGGCAATGGCGGCTTGCGCTGCTTGGGCAGACAAGACAGCGATTTGGTGCTGAGTCGGGATAGCATTGGGAGGTTGAGCCGCAAGAGCAGGAGGTGGGGGAGGTTGCGGAGAGCGCACGGAGGAGCGTTGGCCATCATGAGCACTAGGACGTCTCATATCGCCCCCATTGGAAGCTCCAGAAAAGCTACCAGGACGCGGAGGAGCCAGGTGCGGGAGAGCTGGCAGCCCACTCTGCTGATAGGCATTGGCGTGATGCGCAGCTTCTGACGATGGGGTGCCAGGCGAACGTGCCGGTGCACCTAGTCGTGAAGGCAGCGGAAGCGATCGAGAGCTTGTGTTACTACTGCCCGAATCGGCTCTACTTGTCGAGCTCAGGAAGGGCAGGAGTGCAGGAGACTTGGCCGTGCTCGGAGGTGGCGGGAGGGGAGATGAGAAAACTTGCGACTGCTGTTGTGGCTGATACTGCTGCTGTTGCTGAGGTTGATATTGTTGTTGTTGCTGCTGCTGCTGTTGCTGTTGTGGGTTCGGATAAAAGGCCGGCTGTGACTGCACCTCGTACATCACACTCAATCTCTTGCCCATCCACTCGAAGCCATCGAATGTCTCCTTTGCTCTTCTGGCATCCTCAGGATCTCGCATGAGCACGGAGCCAAAACATCGAGATCGCCCATCCGGCGTGAGAGACACATCTGCCCTTAGGACAGTGCCAGCAGAACGGCGAAAGAGATCCTGTTGGGGCAAGTGTTGCAAAAGCAAGTGTGAGCTGCTACCGAGACGAGCCCGTATGCGCAGTATGATCAAATGCTCTACTCACCTTCAGGTCCTGCCATCGAACCTTGTAGGGTAAGTTCGACACCAAGAGACTAGTGCGCGGATCTCCAGGTATACTGCCTGGAGGATTCATCAGACCGTACGTTGCTGGGCCGGCCTGACCGGGTGCACCCATGGACGCAGCTGCTGAGTTGAGGGATGAGTTGGAGCTGGAATGCATCAGTGTGGGCTGTTGGAAGGGTGATTGACTCCCTTGCTGGCCAGCAGCGTTTGTAGCGGAACTGCTGAAGAAGGGGGGAGGAAGCGGTGCACCTGTGACGCCTTCCGACATGCTTCCCCGAAGGGGTGGGCGATTTTCGGATCCCATGCTTTCCGATAGTGGAGGACCAGTATTGGTCGCGCCGAACGCCGGTCTAGCACTTGCCGATGGCACAAGGGGCTGTGTGATGCCTAGGCCAGCGGACGACGAGAAACCTTGTCGGTCATTTGAAGAGGATGTGGGGGAGTTGGAGGAAGCAGTGAAGAGTTGAGAAGAGGCCGAGGGGCGCTGCTGGTATTGCAGAGGCTGTCTTCCAGAAGCTGAGAAGTTGCTGTGGCTGCTGTCTCTCGAGTGCGAGCTTGCATTGCCACTGCCGGCACTAGTATTTGTCGCGGTCCTAGCGAGATCGGCGACCGAGCTAATCTGGTGACCGTTGGTGTGTGCTGAGGCGCCACTCGCCACAGATTCTGAAGTCTGTGCAGGCGGCAAAGATCCTTTACCCGAGTCGACGGAGGCTTCGGAAGGAGATGACATGGCCGGACGTGGTACTCTCGCGATGCGGTGACGGTGCAACGGGATGACTCAGGGGACGGGGGCCAAATGCCGGTGAAGTGGAGAACGGTCGTCGAGTATCGTCGTAGCCCTCGAATCCTATCAGCTAGAGTCGTAGCATAGATTCACGCAGAGAGGATTGGCCCTGCTTGGGGAGGGAGACGACGACCCGAAGGCGATGGAGCGACACGGCCCTGCTCAGCGGCGTCGACAGTGAAGTGCAGCTGGGGCCCTTGCTGGGCGTTGAGTGGTGAAAAATCTCCGGTCCGGCGAGGTGGCTATATGCTGTACCTTGGGAAGAATTCGATGATTGCAATGCTGGTGAAGACGAAGTCGGTGATGACTCTGTCCTCTGAAGGGCGCGGGCTCGATGCTGGGAACGGGTATCGTGAGATGGTTGCAATGGGCGCGATGGAAGGAGCGAGCCCACATCGTCATCGCCGGCGTGGGCGTCGAGTTGCGACGTGGGGGGTGGGAACAATTACGTAAGCATCAGCCACCCACCCGGAATTCTCGCTTTCCGCTTCCCACCAAATTTCCCGCCTGGACCTGGGCATGCAGCGGCAGTACCACCTACATCCGTAACCCATTCGCCAATCACTGCCGGCCATCCCTCGTCCACTGCTATTCAGTGGTCTCTTCTTCCGCCAAACATGAAGATCAAGACGCTCTCGCGCTCGCTGGATTCTCATGCTCCCGCGTCCATCGGAGCGCCAGCTCCTGTCTCTCGGAATCTGGACCCGTCCCTGCACCCCTTCTCGCAGGCAAGGGAGTACACAAGAGCCCTCAATGCCGTCAAGGTCGAGAGGATGTTCGCCAAGCCCTTTGTGGCAGCATTGGAGGGTCATGGAGATGGAGTGTATGTAGTGGAGATGGATCCGGAGAGGGGCAATATCGTGGCCAGTGGCGCAGGAGATGGAGGTGAGTTCTCGAGGCAGGCGTGGGACGGCACGACATGCTGTTGCCCTAGCCAAGTGCTATGAGTAGCGGGTAATGGTCATCATAACAGACATAGCTCAGCTGACATCCGAAACCATCGCTATGTTTCCCAATCTCTGCAGAGATCAGGCTGTGGAATCTACCGACTCGGTCCCTGTTGCAATCCATCCCGCGAGCCCACGATAGCGTCATCCAGTCCCTTTGCATCTCCCCCCTGACCTTCTCTCCATCACCCTCCGGACTTGGCACCAAGAGGTTGCTGAGCTGTGGTACTGATCGGACGATCAAGTTGTGGGATGCCAATCCCGACAATGGGCGGATGGAAGTACCAGAGGAGGGCAATGACGAAGATGGGACTCTCGGGTGGCTGAAGGAGAAGGAGGTGGATCGGACAGAGGTCAGTTGCTCAAAGGGATCTGGAAGACTACACAGATCAATTGGCTGACCCTGTTACTCTCTGCTCTCGCATCACTGCAGCCTCTCCTCACATGGCACTCGAAGACTTCGTTCAACTCTCTCACCCATCATGCCAGCTCGCCGATCTTTGCTTCATCTTCCAACGTCATCCAACTGTGGGATTTGTCCCGCGGACAATCCTCCTCTTCTTCCTCATCTACCTCTGCCGCTCTTCAAACACTAAAGTGGGGCTCTACAACGTCTGACGAGGCAGAAGCCATCAATGTGGTCAAGTACAATCAGTCCGAGCCCGAGCTCCTTCTTGCCTCGGGCTCCAGTCGTTCCCTGAACCTCTACGATACTCGCTCCTCATCAGCAATAGGTGGGGTCAAGATGAAGATGCGATCTAACGACCTGGCCTGGAACCCTATTGAGCCTACCGTCTTTGCAGTGGCATCAGAGGACCAGAACATCTACACTTTCGACATGCGCAACTTGAGTAGTGCCACACAGATCTACAAGGATCACGTCTCTGCCGTCATGAGCGTTTCCTACTCTCCTACAGGTCAAGAGCTGGTGAGCGGTGGCTACGACAGGACTGTGCGCCTGTGGAACGTTGGTAGGGGCAACCACTCGAGGGACGTCTACCACGCTGCTCGGATGCAGAGGGTCTTCTCTACCAAGTTCACTCTTGATGCCCGCTTTGTCCTCACGGGCTCCGACGACGGCAATCTGCGACTTTGGAAGTCGCGAGCATCCGAGAAGCTCGGCATCCTCAGCGGTAAAGAGCTCAAGGCCAACGAGTACCGTCAAGCCCTCAAGAAGAAGTACGGTGGCGAAGGACCCGGCTCTTCCAGGAATGGCGGTGCTGGTATTGGTGATATTGGCAAGATTAGTAGACAGAGGAGAGTGCCAAAGGCGATTAGGAGCGCGCAGACATTGAAGAGGGAGATGCTCGAAGCAGAGAGGGTCAAGGAGGACAGAAGGAGGAAACATACCAGAAAGGGATTGGAGAAGCCAAAGGCGGCTAGGAAGGATATGATCCTTGGCAAGAGGGAGTGAGTGGAGAGGGTCTTTTTTTGCTCGCGTTCTCTCAATCGTTACGAAGCTATTTACGACACCCATGGCGACAAAGACGAAGTATGGATGAAGTATGGATGAAGTATAGATGATGTGCTATCCTGACGGTCTATCATACATCAATGAGACCCCTTAGCAAGTGAAGCTCTAGAATGTAATCTACTCTAGATGATCATCCTCTATCTCCTGCCACTCTCCGTCATCCTCCGCTTCAGCCTCGTACTCCCTCTCTCCCCGGGAGCTCGGCAAGCTCTCGATCTCGTCTAAAGCGTCCTCTGTATCATCACCTGCCAGGGTCAGCTCTTCCAATCTGCGTCTTACGGGCACAATAAGGGCGTCTGTATCCGAATCTGGAGGACGAAGTGTCTCTTCCCCAATATCCTCGCCCTCGCCTTCCTCTGCCTCGCCCACATCGGACAAGCCTCCCAGCTCACTCCCGCTGTCAGCCCCTGAAGAGGGGAGCGAAGCGACCGAAGCGCTCTCAATCGTATCTACATCTGTTCCTTCGCCCTCCTCGAATTCAGATTGGGAAGAAATGTCCGTAGCGGGCGGGGTGTCCAGCCCATGCGAGGTGGCGGTTCCAGAGAGTCGGCTGGTCCTGGTGCTCAGCGAGGCCGGCTCTGAGCGTGCTAGATGACGGATGAGGGGATTGAGGTGGGCTCGGGGTGCAGGTGCGCTACCTCTCACCCCTCCCCTGCTGGGCTGGGTGAGGTGAGCCTGAGCTCGTCGGCTGGAGGGGGGAGGCTTGAAGATCCAAGTCAGCTTCAACTCCTCGCCGTTGTGGTTGATCGACTTGGAAAGGGACTTGAGACCCCAGAGTCTAGCCAGACAGTGCACTGTCAGTCGATCGAAGGAGTCCGGGATGAGGTAGGAGAGGGAATGCGGGAGGTGATGATGCTCCTCCACCCTAGCCTGAGCGAGGGAGGAAGAAGAGGCTACGACCAAGCGCGGACGAGGGTTGAGCCTCGTGGTGTCTGCTTGATTGCTTGTGGCTTCTGCGTCGAGGAGGTAGACGACCTGCTCTTTCCACGAAGCAAAGTCGTCTTCGACAAGGTCTACGAGGGACTGCATCGTGGGTGAAGAAGAGGAAGAAGATGGGGCGGCCGAGGAAGCGTGCCCGCTGTCCAGCCTAGTCTCCACGACCGCTCTCCGCTTGAGGAAGAAGCGAGCTTCGGGTAAGGACATTGTGAAGAGGCCACTGGGAGGAGGAGGAGGAGTGTTGAGAGCTGATGTGGTCGGAGAGGCTGGAGTCCCTTCTCCTCTCCTGCTCTCAGACCCTGCTGCCCTCTTGACCTTCTTGACCTCATCCATCTCCCTACGCCAATCTCTGACCTCTCTACCATCCCGCGGCACCTCTTCGCCTCTACCCAGCTCCTTGACAAGACCAGGAATAGGCTGCTGGAAGCTCCCCTTGTACCGCCTGGACTCGTACCCCGGGCTGTAGTCAGAGGGACGCGGCCGGACAATGTGTGGGTTGATGGCAGTGGAGAAGCGGGCATTTTCTAGACGGAGCAGCTTCCTCTTGCCGGGCTGTCGAGCGACCTTGGCACGGGGTGGTGCTGAGGAAGAGGAGGAGAGGGGAGGGCGAGAATGCTTGGTGGTAGGATTGCCGCGGGGCTTTGCATTGACCAAGATCGAGGGCAGGGAGAGGGGGACGGGGTTGATAGGCCCGCTGGTCGATGGCGGCAATGGTGGCTGTTGCTGCTGAAAGTCGACCATGGCTGCGAGAAGAGTGGCTCCGAGGAGTCTATGCTGTCTCTCGCACGATGCTCTACGCTATCAAGGTGCTCTCTCTACCAGACGGGAGACGAGGCCTACCGGTGCGGGATCGTGGGATGCATCTGATTTGATGATCGACGGCCGCCCCTTTCCGCCTCCACCAGCAGCAGCAGAGGAAAGTCGCCGCTGACTCACTCGCGACTCAGAAGCAGCGTAGCAGCAGCCATGAGCCAAGGCAGGAAGTGCCCCTCGCCTAGCTACCTTGTAGTAGTATGGAACCAGACCAGACGAGGCTCCAAGTGCGGGCAGCATGACTCCCTGTGACTCTTGCCTGCCATGGTGACCTTGCTGGGTCCTCGTCGTCGTCGTCGTCGCTATGCGTGCGGACCTGGGTGGCCGCGCATGGCGTGACTGACCCGCCTCGGTTCAAAAATGTCAAAGTGGGCGCTGCTTCTTGACTCTTGTGTCTTTCGCGCTCCACTCGTCGTTCCTTCCTTCCCTTCTTCCTGCCACCACCACCATCCACCCCTCGTACCAAATACGCCCACCATGGCGCACGAACAGGCATTCCACCGCAGGACGGCCACAATGGGCCGCGGCTCCCCCTCGTCCCCAACATACGGCGCTTCCAGCTCCCCTCCTACCGCAAGGGCAGGCATCGCTGGCTCCTTCTCCGCAATGATGGCTGCCCAGCAGTCCTCGCCCTCTGCAAATGCATTCGCCATGCAGAACGCATCTACCTCGCCCCGATCTCACGGCAGCGGTCAAGCTAATGGTATCCCGATTCCCTCCGGTGGCCGACGTCCTTCCGTCTCCCACAACATGCCAAAGGTGCTCACACCGTTCAACACCTCTTCCATCAAGATCCTCTTGCTAGAGGCAGTGTCGCTCGGCGCCGTAGACATGCTCAGGAAGCAGGGATACCAGGTAGACTACGAGAAGGACGCCATGTCCGAGGACCAGCTGATCGAGAAGATCAAGGACTACCACGTCATTGGTATTAGAAGCAAAACGAAGCTGACCGAGAAGGTATTCCGCGCTGCAGACAAGCTACTTGTGGTCGGCTGCTTCTGCATCGGTACCAACCAAGTCGACCTCTTGGCTGCCGCTCGTCGAGGTGTCTGTGTGTTCAACTCCCCCTTTGCCAACTCGCGCTCGGTAGCCGAGCTAGTCATCGGAGAGACCATTGCCCTCTCGCGTCAGCTCGTCGATCGCGCTTCGGAGCTGCGAAGGGGCGACTGGCAGAAGGTATCCAAGGGTTGCTACGAGATCAGAGGCAAGACATTGGGCATTGTAGGGTACGGACACATTGGTAGTCAGCTTTCGGTCCTGGCTGAGAGCATGGGTATGACTGTGGTCTACTATGATGTGTTCCCTTTGATGCCTCTGGGAACCGCCCGTCAGACTGAGACTCTAGAGGAGCTCTTGAGTGGTGAGTACATACGATGTGGACTGGTCCAGAGTCTAGCGACTGACGAGAACCGCCTCTCTTTCCCTCAATGCAGTTTCCGACTTTGTCACACTTCACGTACCCGAGATTGAGGACACAAAGAACATGATCTCCACTGCGCAGCTTGCCTGCATGAAGAAGGGCTCTTACCTGCTCAACAACGCTCGTGGTACCGTTGTCGACCTGCCCGCCCTATGTGAGGCTCTGGAGTCTGGTCACCTGGCCGGAGCAGCTGTGGATGTCTACCCACGCGAGCCCAAGGGCAACGGCAAGGGCAACTTTGACAACGATCTCAACCCTTGGGCTACCCGTCTTCGTGCTTGCCCCAACATCATCCTCACACCTCACATCGGTGGATCGACAGAAGAGGCACAGAGGATGATCGGTCAGGAGGTTGCCACAGCTCTGATTCGATACATCAACTTTGGTGGCTCGGTAGGCGCTGTCAACTTCCCCGAGGTCGACCTACGTGCCATCACTGAGGCTGATCGCTCGGTCATTCGAATTTGCCACGTCCACCAGAACCAACCCGGTGCGCTGAGGAGCATCAACTCGCTTTTGGGCAACTACAATGTCGACAAGCAGCACACGGATTCCAAGACTGACGTCGCATACTTGATGGTGGATATCAGTGGTGTTAGTGAGGAGGAGACGAGTAGGATCTACGAGAGTGTCAGTGGGCTGCCGACGAACATCCTGACCAGGCTGTTGACCTAAGTGGGAAGGACTATAGAGAATGTGGTGGCTCAGAGTGTAGATGAGCCACGATCGCACTTTGGCGATGGCGATTGGCGACGCATCGCAAACAGGGCGACTCAACGTCGTCCTGCCTTGATCCCCTAGACTTTTCGACGAGTCTACTCAGTACACACAATGGAATGATACATCCTTTTGTCACCGTCATATATTGCTTTGTGACTGTCGAAGACCTGACATTGAGGTGATTCTCATCGGTGCGGATCCAAGGAGGCATGCTGAGCTGCGCAGAGTTGCCCGATCGCGCCTCGGCGCCCCAATTTCGCATGAAACGCGTCGTTCCTTTGCCCACTCGCACTCGCCCTCATTGCTAGAACCCCCACCGCCGCCAGACCGTGCTTCCCTTTTGCCTCTTGACGACATCCATCAACAAGATATTCAACAGACACTGTGCAGATAGAGTCAGCTTACATCGAACACGGATGAAATAATCGCCATCTGGGTGCTAGAACGGCTGCTTCGTAGAGAGGCTCGAGGCGAGATACTCTCGGACAAGAACAGGTGGAGACTCTAGGCCCCGTCCTCTGGCCGCCTGTCCCCACCTTTTGCGTCTGTACCGCGACCAGGCATTCATCCATGGTCGCAGCCAGGACCATGCCGACCAAGACGAGCATCAAGGCTGAGAAGGATGGGAACGTGCAGGCTGTGGGAGATGCGGACAAGGCGAACCAGTCACCACTGGCGGCAAAGACACTTCGACACCTCCAGACTGCCGTTCCAGCCGCGAGTAGAGCGAGCGCCCCTCCTTCCTCAACAGGCGTCACCTCAGCGGCAGCAGCGATGAGCTCACCAGCTCAACACGGAGACGCCGAAGCGTCTGCTGCCACGCCCCTTGCCCCTTCCACGTCTGAGACGGACATCTCTCAACTCTCGGGAAAGGCGCTTGGCTCGCAGCAACAGCAACTCGCGCGTCGAGCAACCACGTCTTCGCCACTACCTCCGGACCTGCTGAGTACATCACAAGCAGCAATGCAAGGAGCACCGCCTACATTAGCAACGGAAATTCTGCCTGCGCCGCCTGCCCTTCCTTATGACCCTAGCTACCCGCCGCTCAATCCCCAGGGCGCTGCTGGAGTGCTGCCTTTCCCGCTCGCTGCTGCTCCATTGGCCGCTGCTGCTGCTGGTGGTCGTCCAGGCTTAGACGTCCTGGTCAACGGGAAACCATCAGCCTCTGCGCCCACCGCTCCTCTCCATTCCGTTTCCCACACTTCTGCGCAGGACAAGAAGCGGAAGCAACCCGTCTACTCTCTTGCTACGCCCGAGGGGTACGAAGGTGTCATGCCGTGGGCACTGTATGCGATTGTGAATGGCAAGGCAGAGGCGCTGGATAAGAAAGGAAGCAAAGGAAAGAGGAGGAGAGCTGGAGGAAAGTCTGCTAGTGCTGCTTACGATGGGTGAGTGTTTGTGTGCAGATCTGAACAGCTGCCAGCCGGTCAGGGAAAGGCGGTACTTGCTGGCCTACAATCCTGGTGGGGCTGGAGAGTCGCCTCGGAAGCTACTAGCAGGAGCACCTTCGCTCGGAAGATGGGATCGTTGCCTCCTGTTTATACTGACATCGTTCTTTCGCACATATTCGCATTATCAGAAGGACATCTAGGTCTGCCACACCCAATGCAACTACGGGAGCGCCTGTGCACTCCACGAGCGATGTACAAGCGGATGACCGGCCCCAAGGTGGCTTGCCAGCCGACACCGCCGAGTCAGCTTCTAGTGCTGATGTCTCTATGGCAGACGTGCTGGCTGAGCCGGCCCAGTCGACCAAAAGTGCCGCTGGTGTGGTCAATGGCGGTACGTCAATGTCGGCGCCAAATACAGAGAACGATCAGGCTGTCGGTGACATGCAGGTCATAGCAGACTCCCCGTCCATTGGTGCAGATATGACTTCATCAAGTGCCACCGAGGGTATTGACGCCCTCCAGGCACCGCGGTTGCCCACGCACGCCCAGGACCATGGTGCCGCCCTTGCCCCGACCGCGCGATCGGATGGGCAAAAGTCAGATCGCGACTTGGCCCAAGCATCGCGACTTGACCAGCTTCCCAACACTTCAACAGTCGCTCCATCTGCCCTCGACGGGGAGATGGAAAGCAACAAACCACAAGACCAGGACATCGCAATGGCGGAGGAGGGAGATAGCACACAAGAGGGTAGCAGTAGTGGCCTGGTTCCGACGGGGAAGCGCGCAACGGCAACAAAAAAGCGTCGCTCCACTCAGACGACGAAAGCGCCGGTGACAATCACAGATGGCAACACGACTCCATCTAGAGCGTCATCAGTGTCAAGAGGCGAAGTGTCGGAAAGCGGCAGTGTCACAACACCACACCGCACCGCCTCAACCTTGATACCAGAGGATATTAGTGGCCCGTCTAGAGATGTGCTTGCGTTGTCCGCTTCACCTACACTCGCATCTCTATCCGCGGCGAGGCCAACCCGAGCAGCAGTAGCCAAAGTAGCGGCAAGGGGATCATACTACGATGCCAGTACATACGAGGTGCAAAGCCCCCTCCAAGCTGCTGTTGTGAAGAACATTCAGACGACTCCTAGATCCACGTCAGCCAATCGTCGAGTAAACGGCTCTGCGAGCAGGGCAGTAGCGACTTCTGCTTCATCATTGACAGGAACACCGACACCGACGAGTAAAGCCGCTAATGACAAGGGAAAGGAGAAGGAGGTCGACAACGCAGTGGATGGCAAAGAAGGACTCAACGAGGAGGCTCTGAATGAGGACTTCTGCTCCACTTGCCGAGGTACCGGTCACTTTATCTGTTGCGATTCTTGCCCTCGCTCCTTTCACTTTGCTTGCGTCAATCCCCCTTTGGATATCAACGAGGTCCCCCTCGATGACAATTCCGAATGGCATTGCAGAGCATGCTCAGCACAGCGGCGATCAAGCAGCCAGGGGACTCAGAAGAAGGGCAGCGCCAAGCAACAACGCAGTGCTGCTAGAGGCGGGCGCTTCTTTGCTCCTCTCGTCGATCAAACCGAGAGCAGCAATCCCTCCATCTTTGCGCTTCCGCCCGACATCAAATCCTTTTTCAAGAACGTTGCCACAGCAGCAGATGGATCTTATCAGGACCTCGGTCGTCAGCGAGCGATCAAAGCTGACCGGAAAGGGTTGATCGAAGAGCGAGACCCGTATCGCTTGAAAGACGCCAAGGGGAAGGACATCCTGTGCTACCACTGTGGACAAAGTGCCTTGCCAAAGGACTGGAACCCTCGCCGTGGCGATGATGCCACTCCAAACTCCTCGTGGCGCTGTCTAGTCTCATGCGACTATTGTTCTCTACATTGGCACCTGGACTGTCTCAACCCACCTCGAGCAAGCATCCCGTCCTCACTGTACAAGTGGAGATGTCCTTGCCACATCGAGGACCTTCTGGTCAAGACGCGTACTGCCAAAGCAGGGACACAGCTTCAAGTTGTAGACCTCCCAGTGCCCACTTTGCTCAACACTGGCTTCGGGCCCGGCAAGATCTATCGGCCTCGGGTTCTCAACTCGGGCGTGATCGACATCGTACCCGATCCGATGGACACCTACTTTACTGCTGCTTCTTCGTCAGACACCTCTGGCAGGAGTCTCCAGCCTGGATGGATGAATGGCGGCCGAGCAGACATGCCCCCACTGGTGGATGGTGAGATCCCCGGGGGTGGTATGAGAAGAGTCAAATTCCGTTTGCCGGAGAAGGTGGTGCGGACAGACTGGTGGATGAAGGTCCTCCAAGGTGGTAGAGATGCTCTTATCAGCGGGGAGAAACGGGGAGCAAGCGCCATGGAACTCCTGGCTTCGATTGCGACGGATGAGCTCGAGCATCAAGGAGAAGCAAGGGACTTGGTGCAGCTCGCACTCACTGGCTCTCAACCCCCTTCGATGCGTGTCCAGCCCTTGGTGAGCCACAGTAAGCCGCAGGAACCTCTGAGAAAGGGCTTTGTCCCCCATCCGGGCGGTAAGCTCAAAAGGGAGGAGGACGAGCAATGGGCTGAATCGGCAATGAGGGGCAGCTTGCACCTAGTAGATGACGAGGAAGAGGGAGCTGTGACAGGAAAGGCAAAGACGAATGGAAGTGTCCGGGCGGCGGCAGTCTCTGCATCAGCAGCAGTACCTTCAGCGTCTTCGGAGAGCGACCTGACGGATCTCAGTGACGAGGAGGGCAAGGGCAAGGCAAAGGCGAAGGTCGCCTCGAGCGAAGCGATCGACGATGCTGCCACGCCTCGCTCTGGCAAACGTGCCAAGGTCGCTCACCCATCCGACAAGGCCTCGTCCACGCCGCTCACACAGGAGGAGCTTGATTCACTGCTGGCTGTGAGGGAGCTGATGAGGAAGAAGGGAGAGGGAAAGTTGATGAACTTCCTCATGGCAGAGTAGACCTCCCGGGCGTTGCCCTCGGGAATTACGTCGCTCTTGGCGGAGCTGCTCCCCTGCTCGCTCTCGAGCTGCAATACCACATCCATCATACTCGCACTGCTTCTTGTTTTTCTCCTCACTCCATCTGTATCTATCACTACTATTCCCACTCTGCAATCGGACAGCAAGTGCACGAACGTTTCGCAGGCTGCCTTTTAAATCTGTCTGCTGAAGGGGAAGAAGGCGCCGGCGGAGGCTTTTGGTCCGTCTCCACTTCTGCCCTTCCTCCTTCCTTCCTTTCTTCCTTCCTTCTCCACAGATACTCTGACCGAGCGCTGCATAGACAGTCTAGATCAAGATCTAGCTTCCTCTCCTGCAAGCGGACCCTCTTAGGAGGAAGAGTCCTTTGAGGAAAGGACCGAGGCCGCCCTCAAGGACAAGGGACCAAGGGACCAAGTAGCCCATCCAGACCCACGGACCGCAGAGCAGCATGCCTCCGCGTTCCGACCGCAACATCCAATTCTCGGGCCCTGCCGTACCTGCCTTTTTGCAAAAGTTGCACGCTCAAGTAAATGGTGGTCGAGCTAATGGAGCTGGAGCCGCAGGTGGGGGAGAGAGGGGGAGGGGTGATGTTTTGGGGGCTATGGGAGGGGGAGGGGGAGAAGATGAGTGGGATCAGATGTTCTCCTCCTCCTCCTCTTCGTCTACTGCTGCAAGAGGAGGGCAAGGTGAGGGAGGTGGTGTGGCTGAAGGTGAAGGTGAAGAGTGGGATGGAGCGCAAGTGGTGGTCCTCAAGGAGGGGAGACACCTCACCGCCGAAGATGTGAAGCGGCTAAGAGACGAGGAGGCGGATGAGGCTGGTGAGTCAAGGTCCGAGGCGAGATTGTACGAGCTGCGTGAGGTCTGCTTCTTCTCCAGAACTGATCTCCTCTCCCACCTCGTCACAGCTTCCCCCCTGACACCCTCTGGAAGTACCTCCAAAACACCCACGATAGCCACTGCCTCCTCTGCTTCCCCCTCGAAGCGCCCTAGAAGGGACCCCGTATTGTCCACCGAGACGGAGGAAGCGCCCCTCCTTGCCCTCTCCTCTGGCCAGCAGCAGCAGAAGAAGGACCAGAAGGTCAGCACGAATACCAACAAGAAGGGCAAGGGAGAGACAGATCCCCTCTCCTCTGTACGAGCCCTAATCGAGGCGGATCGGCGCAGCAAAGACGACCAGAGCAAGGCAGCGGGAAAAGAGGACGCTGCGAGTAAAAAGGAGAGGAAGCGACGTGAAGTCGAAACGGAGAAGAGAAAGAGGGGAAAAGGACTCAGCTTTGGCTTTGAAGATTGAGGCAGTAAGGCTTCGAGGGAGGTAAAGAGGAAAGGGGACCTCTTTCCCACTAACTCCTCGCCGGCCTGCTTGCCAGCCAAGCGTGGAGGAGGAACAATTCGATGATACGCTAAAGTGGACCTACAACAGCCCGAGGCGAGCCAGCGGGTGCTACGCTGCGCTACAGGCTGGCTCTGGATCTGGCTCTGGACCTGAACGCCTGAGCTGGACAAAAGGCATGTATGTGGCTCTACAGTGCTGTGCAGTGCAGTGCAGTGCAGTGTCAATTGTCACTTCACCAGCACCAGCAACAGCAACAGCAAGAAGTCGATCGATCGATTATTGCTATCAGTAGCAGTACCTCTTTCAGGCAAGCAAGCAAGCAAGCAAGCGAAGAACTTTGCGAACAGCCTTTCTCTCTCTCTTAAGATCATCTCAAGGAAGGGCGGCCCCCTTCGGACCTCCCCTCCCCTCTCCCTTGGAGCGAAGAGCGAAGAGCGAAGAGTGAAGAGTGAAGGAAATCGCTTCGTCACAACGGGCAGCGAGCAGCAAGCAGGCAAGCAGGCAAGCAGGCAAGCAGGCAAGCAGGCAAGCAAGCAAGCAGTACATGTCCAAGCAATAATTGGGGGAAAAAAAAATGAAAGGAAAGAGAAACAGAAAGGATATCTAAGGGCTAGACGAGACGAGACGAGACGAGGGCAAGAATGGAGGGAAAGGAGGAAGAATGCATATACAATGTGTAGAATTGGGAAAGAGGGAGAAGGGGTGGGAGAGATAGGTAGGTAGGTGGGTAGACGATCCTGCGCTACAAGTAGGAACGGTAGTCAAAGAAAAGAAGAGAAGGGGGAGGTCAGAGGACGTAGGACGTAGGGAGAAGGGAGGGGGGGGGGGGGGGGGGGGGGGGGGGGGGGGGGGGGGAGAGGGAGGAGAGGTGTCTAGAGTAGAAGCACTTGAGGGAAGAGGGGGAAAGGAAGAAGAAGGAGAAAAGGAGATTGGCAAAGGCAGTGCAACGCGATGATCGATCCAGTGGTAGATGCTTTGTGAGACCGAGATCGAGACCGAGGGTGGGGGAGATATAGTCCATATGTTTGAGTTGAGTAGTTGAGTTGAATTGAGTTGATCGTAAGGAAGATCAAAGAGGGGGAGGACGTGCGAGCGAGGGAGGAAGTGGGAATTGCACCGAGATTTAGAGGAATACGGCTACTCCGCCTGCCAATGTAGCGAGTGCTACCAGGAGCAGTGTCCTCAAATCCACTCCGGCTCCCACAGCTCCATCATAAGGGTTCGTCTTGACCGTCGAAAAGGTCGCTGTAGCAGCCGTTGCGCCAGCAGACGTAGCAGCAGCCGCCACTGCGCAATTCGTCGAGTTGACTACACTGTTCGTTGTCCCAATCCTGTACCCCAAGTTGGCCACTGCTACTTGTGAATCTCTGACTGGCACAGTTAGCACTCCAGCAGAACTGACTGTGAGCTGCATAGGTACGGCAGAGGATACGGGTGTGGCGAGCCCGGTGCCGGAGACTTCGTAGGAGAGACCGTTCCAGGTAGTGTTCTCCGTTGCGTCGACCCCTGCTGCAGAGAGGTAGGAGACATACACGGTTTTGCCTGCCCAGCTGGGGACATTGTACGACACCTGGACGGTATTCATTGAGGAGCCAGAGTAGGCGGGCATGGTGTTGACGAGGATGAGGGACTGGAGAGCACCACCTTGGTACTTTGTGTAGGCAGCTAGGTTATCGCTATACCCAGACGGTGCGTTGCTAAGGGACTGCGATGCGATTTGCACATCGCAAGTAGCTCCGATGAGCTGAGCGACGGCTGCATAAGCATAGTAGCTCGACCTGACATGAGGCGCCGTACTGGCATTTTGAATGGGCAGCCAAGCCGCTCCCCAGGAGTACGTCGTCATGTGCATGTGGACATTGGCTACACCGACCGTCGCAGCATAGAGGTGGAAGTTGAAGACCCACAGGGTCTGGGCAAATGTCGGACTGATTCCCACCAGGCCTGTGGGACCAATGGAGTTCATCTCACGGAGATAGTAGGCCTTGCCAGTGGCGTAAGCCTGGGCTGACTGCTGCTTCCATTCCGCAAATTGAGAAACGGTGGTGGATAGGTCGAGCAGGAGAGCTGTGGTAAGTGTGTAGGTGGACACTCCTACGTAGTAGTAGTAATCATGCTGATTCCACCCAGAAATGTAGATACCATTGTCGATGGCAATGGCCGAATCGACGAGATCATCAATGCGATACGGGTGGCCATTGGTTGTGGCCGTGGTGGCGGTGCCGGCAGGCTCGAAGAAGTTGGTGCCGATGTTTCGTGACTTGAGGACATTGTCGTAAATGTCAAGTGCCACAGCTTGCCACTGCAGGGCAAATGCAGCGGCTGACCAGTTGGACGAGGTTCGGTAGCCATTGGTGACAAAGAGGTCTGGCTCATTGCCCAGCTCGAAGCCTACGATTTTACTCGTAGTCATACCGTCGAGGGCGGCTGCAGCGGTGCTGACCATGAGGTCCTGCCAGCCACTACCTTGGTAAGCCAGATTGATGTGATAGGTAATGGGGGTATCGGTGGGAAAGTTATTGAAGACCTTGAAGTAATTGGGACCAAACAAGTAGGCATTCGTCTGGTCAGAGTCTCCACTGGGATTCTCTTGAATTGTGTAGCCGCCGATGGAGTTGGAGTAGACCTGCTGATCTCCTGCATTGCCGCCGATTCTAAGGTGGGGCGGCACTCCAGTGTAATTGGCCATGTTGGAAAGGAGGTTATAGGTGAGGGGATTCGGTGTCGCTCCTCCTGCAAATTCAAAGAGACTGGTTGGCTCGATACCGAATCCAACAAAGTTTGAAGCCAGCACTTCCGAGATGGGCGATGCCAGTGTGGACTGAGCGGGCGGGGTGAGGGAGAGGGTATAGGTAGATTGTGCCTGAGCGGCGGGCGCAATGGCCAAGAGTGCGGCGGCTGCTACTGCGACTCCTGCGGATGCGAAGCTGAAGTTGGAAGGTCCATCACGAACACGAGTCCTTTGTCTCTTGCGCCGTGTGGATACAGAGGGGCCGGAGGAAGAGGTGGATGCAAGGTTGGAAGTCATGATGAAGAATGGCGAGGGAGGAGGAGGAAGCTAGGGTGGGTGGCGCTAGAACTGATCTTGATGGCGATGGCGACTGCTTTTCTTGGTAGTTCAAAGAGTGACTGTGGGAAATGGCTGCAGCGCTGCGTCTGGTAAAGTAAGATGATGCAAGCTACGAGTGGCGAAAATGAGCCTACGAGTACGTCTGTGCGAGGGTGGGCTGGTAGCCGGTGCCGAGGGAGATTGAAGAAGGTGCGAAGAAGGCGGATGGAATAAGCTCCAGATAGACGAGCACACCAGGCACGATTGTTTTGAAGGGAGAAAGAAGAGGAGGAGACAAACAAAGTAAAGAGAAGTAGGAAGAGTGTAGCGGGGGAATGTGGAAGTGGACTCGGAACCAAGGGCAATCGGAGAAGGGCTGACGGGAAGAGGTGGGTGCGGGGGCATGCGTCCGTCCGTCCGTACGGCCATCGGGAAATGGCGCACTCGGCAGCAGCCAAGAAATGTTTCAGGAGAATCTGGAGCAACCGGCAGCCGAGGTGGGCGGGCGTGGGTGGGCGTCTGCTGCTGCTGCTGCTGCTGCTGCTGCCGCTGATGATGAAAGCCTTCACGCCAACAGACCGTCCAGTGGGATTCCAGACTCCGCCCCTCCTTGGACAGTTTTCTGACTTGATCCTTTCAAGTTGGCAATGTCCCGCCAGCCACTCGGCCAGTCCACGGCCCCGGCATCGCAGCCAGCCAGCCACTCTGCGCCTCTCTGCCGCACCCGGCATGCGGCCCAATCGGAAGTGCGGCAACTCCACCACACTCCGCCCCCCCCCTCGGCCAGGCACAGCCGCCAACCCTTTCAACCCCGGGCCAGGAGCGACTGCCATTGGACCCTGATTCACCCCGCGGCAGGCAGAGAGAAGAAGCTGCACTCACCACGACGACGACGTGGTAGTGCATTTGATATTCATCTCGCTCTCTCTCTCTCGCACAGCAGACTGCACTGCAGCACTCCTCCACTGCAGCACAGCTCAAGGGAAGCTTTCGCCTACCTTTCTTTACCCCACACACACACACAGCTTCCCCAGTCCAGTCCAGCCTACGCACTGAGGTGACCTTTTATTTCAGCCGAGCCGAGCCCTTACAAACAAACTTCTCGCTCCGACCAAGCTTGGCAACCCGCCTTCTCGGCAGCTGCTTTCATCAGCTCTTCTCACTCCCCTGACTTTTCGCCTACATCTTGAGAGCAGTGCCATTGACAAATACACGGCTTTACACATACAGACACACAATGGATCAACGCGTTAGAGTGAATATTCATTCGTTGTGTGAAGGGGGGGGGGGGGGGGTTTCAAGAGTGAGGAAGCGCGCTTGTGACAACAATTCGAGTGGGATGGGGGTTATTGGATGGGGAGGTCGATTCGAGGGGAGCAAATAGCTGACAGCTTCGCCAAGTTCAAGACCACAGTGGCCACCACTACCACAATCGTGTCATGTGGATGTGAGAGGGTCACTGCAGCATAACGACTAGACAAGTCTGCATCTAGTAAGTCTACTGCATCTACTGGTGGCAGGTTCGCTGGTCACAGTGTCCGCTCGGGTCGGGGGACTTGGTTGTACCACCTCCCTCCTTACGGGCCTCGACTGGAAATGCCACAGAGTAAGTGGAGAGTGCAGGAGGGGGGCACAGAGATGATGGGTCAGCGAGACCTCATTTGGGATCGGGCAGAGAGTACAGAGTACCACTCCTTTTTCACCTCGACCTCCCTCGACTTACTGGAGGCACTGTCAATGGGAGCGGCCATGGAGCCTACAATGGCCAGGAGGGCCACGATGAGGATGCTTCGGAAGGACACGAACATAATGTTGGTGGTTGGGTGATTGGATTCGGGTTGGGATTGGGATTGGGATTGGGGAGATGGAACAAGAGCGTGGTGTGATGGTGTGATGAGGAGAGGATGGACTCAAGAGGCGGCCTCTTTATACGTCTGCCTGCCTCTGCTGCAATCACCAGGACCTATCCCCCCTCCCTCTTCAAAAGAAAGAGCATCCCGAGGGAGGAACCGATTTGGTACCTGAAAACACATCGATACATGCGTGAGTGCATACATACCTACATACATACATCGATTCGAGTCTGCAAGGACCTCACAGCCTTCGCCGACGTTGCTCTCGGATTCGAATTCAGTCTCGGCGAACAACCCGAATCGGTTTACACTCACCACCATTCACGAGTCAGTCGGCAAAGTGGACTGACTGGGCTGGACCGGTGAAGAGCGCAGAGAAAGAAGTGTATACCTTTTGCACCATCTCACCTCACCTCGGTGCAGCTCGGCTTAGTCTGACCAGTGGCGTGGGCGCAATATGGAGAACCAGCTCAAGTCTCAGGAACGTAGAGGAGAAATCGCCGAGAAGAGGCATTCGGTTCAACTGTCTCTCCCCATCCCGACCGCCTTCTCCCTCACCACTCTACTCGAGCAAGGAGCTCCGGAGGTTCGCGGCGCGTAGATTGATCTTCCCTGCGCAACAGTGCAGTGCAGTGCAGTGCAGTACAAGGGGTAGCGAGGGAGTGGTTTTGCTCTTACGACCTCGCCGAGGGGAGTCCTAGCGAAGCTCTGCTCATTCGGGAATTTGAGCCAGTCAAGGAATGGGCGTGCGGTTGCTGTCCTCAGAGTTCTCCTTGGTTCGACGAAGACCCATCGGTAAAGTGCAAGGTGTGAATGCTTGGAGATTTCCGTGAAAGAACAGCGAGGGAGAGACGAGACGGGACGAAGGGAGAGAGGGATGACGCCATTGCGAGGACTTTGCCCACTAGAGCAAGCCAAGTGCGCTCGCCAGGACCACCTTTCCAACCAGGCCAATCTTCTCAACGCTGTACCCCTCCCTCAACACCATATCACCACTGTTATGATACTTGTCGTCCAGAATTGGGCCGTTCCTCTCAAAGACCCACGTAGCAGGATATCCTGCCTCCCAGAAACTCTGATGATCCGAGCAGCAAGCTGGTGTGAAGCCTACTAGCAGCTCAGGCACGTACAGCTGGGCTGTTGCCCAGATGTAGTGCGTAGCAGATGTGGTGGCTAGCTTATCTGGGAAGGCTAGCTGAACAGGCTCAGAGGGCGATTGAAAGCCAATCATGTCCGTCTGCAAGGCCAGACGCAGCGTTGTAGAGCGATACAGCGTTGAGGCAGCAGGCGAGTAGACTTTGGAGCCTTCCCGAAGAGCAGCGGCCAGAGCTGTAGCGTAGTGCTTTGAGCCGACGAGGCCTTGCTCCTCGCCAGAGAAGAAGACGAGCTGTAGCTCCCGCCGGCGTAGACCAGAGGGAAGCTTACCCTGTGCTCGAGAGCGGAGAGATGCTTGATCGGCAGCAATCTTCTCCCCTAGGATGCGGCTGATGGCCAACAGCATTGTCGAGCCACTGCCGTCATCGTTGCCGCCAGGCGCTCTGGGATTACCGAAAGATCCTCGAGAATCATAGTGAGCACTCAGCAGGATCGCTCCCTCCTGGTAATCGGCGTCCTCGTCGACCCCCTCGTCTTGCCCAGGAATGACGCAGACGACATTGGGGCTGAAGTTTCCCTCGCCGTAGACTTCCAGCTCGCATCTCGCCCCCTGAACTTGACCTAGGGCTTCACGCATCTGCGCAAGTATCCACTGGCTAGCGAGCCTGCAGCCGTACGTAGCGGAATGACGAGAAGGCCACCTCTGCTCAAATGAGATCAGAGACTGATCTTCGCCTGACAATGTCGTCGCCGTCTTGTTGAGTGATGCTACCGACAAGTGATGTGAGCGGAGCCACTTCGAGGTACTTGCCAGAAGACTCGGCGTGGGGAATTTTGGTTCGTCTTTGCCTTGCGTTCGTGTGGGCAACTGCGTCTCTGGTGTGATGAGGAAGGCTTGAGTGAAGCGTGGCAGGTGAAGATCGAGGGTGGAGAGCCGGGATGGTGGTACGGACAGAAGAGCGCTGCTGGAGCCGAAGATAGCGATGATGTCGATGGAGGACTTAGCCGGAGGGCTGAAGACGTGTTGCGCAACGTGGGGAGAGTGCAGCAGCTGGCTAGCTGTCCTCTCAGTTCCTGCAAGTGACCACTTGAGGTGCTCTTCCCAGCTGCCGCCCTGAGCACCAGCATCCTCTTGAGCCTCCAGGGCCGCATCCACGACTTCTCTAGTGACCCAGAGCAGATGACTCTCTCCCTCTTGGCGAATGCCTGCAGGAAGAAGCACCTCCCTCCAGTGCAACGAGGAAGCAGTGTCACTGTCATCTATGCGGAGGACGGCCGTGCCATCGTAGTGCGGCACGGTAGCTATGACACCTTCTGCGTGAGACAGACCTGTGGATTGGCCTGGTTGTGTCGTTTGTACCCATAGTCTCTGGCCGGAGCTTGTGTGGAGTAGGGCGGCTTGCGCACTCAAAGCTGCCAGCATGAGCAGCGATGCTGCACAGAGGAGTCGGTTGGTCACGACCATTGCGACGCTGGAGATGTGGGTGGAGAGGAGAGAGAGTCGTATCTGCACTGATTAGACCTCTTTCTTGTGCTCGGCCCTGCTCCTGTGTGGTGCCGAAGAGAAGGAAGATGGCGTGACCGAGGTGTTGGTCAATCAGTCCGCCTTAGGGGTTTCTGGGTGCAGCCGACGGTCGAGCTGGACGGAAGTGGCTCGGGCGCACGGCCGCGACGCGCTCCTCTTCCCGTCATCGGAATCGGCATTTTGCGCTGCGTCGGCCAAGATCTCGACGTTGAACTCGACCTCGACCTCTACTCTTACCTTGACCTTTACAGAGATGCCTCGCCATTGCATATGAACCGCCTGGACAGTCATGCCGTTCATGGCGAACTTTACGCTGGACCGTCGGCGGCAGGTTCATACCTGAAAGGGATCCCCTCACCTAATGTCCCCGAGGACGATGCCAACGCGAGCACAGCTACTTTGCCCTCGTCTCCTCGCTGGCCATTAGAGCATATCAGCATCTTCGTTCCTGAAGACCTTCATCGTATTCGATCGCACAGAGCTGGCTCTGCCTCGCCCCCGCAGGCTCAACTTCTCCTCACGGGATGGGCTGCTCGGGGAGGACCAGGAGAGGTGCTCATCGTCATTTGCGACAGCATCACACCTCAACAGGCTGCTGAGAGGGGACTCGAGTCTGTTGATCATCTGCGAGGGGCGTTCGGACTGGTCGGAACATTGAAGATGGCTCAGTCGGGAGTTGGTCCGTTGCCCAAGAGAGCAGACGCCAAGGGCAAAGGCAAAGAACGTAGCACAGAGTTAGAAGAAGGAATCTGGATACATGCTACTGCACAGCTACGGCCCCGTAGGGGTAGGTCTGCCTGGTCAGGCTGCAGTATCGATATCTCGAGGTCAGTAGACACTGCAGCTCGTGAACATCACAAAGTAAGGGTCAGGCTGACTCTCAAGGACTTTGCCCATTTGCTGTACCAGTGTCTCTCTGTTTGAAGGCGGTCAAGATGCTGCTTCCCACAGGCCTGCCATATCACTCATTTCCTTCCAGCCTCCTCGTCCCTCTTCACTGAGATTTCTCTCCCTCGAGCCTCTGTCCGCCCAGTCGGTTCATAACAATGCGGGCACAGAGGCAGAGGATCTGGGCGCCAAGTTGGAAATGCTCATTGCAACTCGAACACACCGATGGTTCGAAGTCACCGGGGGCTTTGCAAATTGTGGTGGTCCCGGCAATGGTCTACGGCAGGCCGTAGAGTTCATTAATGCTTGCCAGCAGTACCGCACTCACTGGAAAGGGTCAAGTCAGTGCGCTTTACTAGAGAAGCCTGGTCCGTCTGTGGCTCGACGCATCACCTCCTACTTCGCCCTATCACTCGCCTCTGGTGCCGGAGTCATCAGACCGCTGCTTGTCAAGCGATTCGCAAGCCTTCCAACTCTCAGTTCTATTTCTAGAACCGCTGCGCAACTCTCACATCGGCTCAACCAGGTTGGCTCCCTCCCATCCTCAGCGGCCGAGCTCCGTCGCCTACGTCGGCACGACCGAGTTCCTATCCGGTACATAGCAGCCCGCTATATCAGTGTTTGGAACGGCCTTTGGCTAGTCATGAACGATTTGATACTGGGATGGGCAGTAGGGAGCATCCTCTGCGACCATCACGCATCGATTGCCGCAAAGGTGACCACTACATTTGAAACGCTTCTCGGCGATTGGTTGCTGTCGGCGCTAAGATGGCTCGATGACTGGCCGGGTGGACTCAAGCTCAACACTGAGCTCAGCGCATTCTACACGGACATGTACTCCGGCTTGGTCTCCCTCTTTCAAGCCATGGTCCTCTCACCCCTGTTGAGCAGTCTGCCAAGTCTGATCCTCTACATAGGCCAAGCCAGCAAGCTCCTCGGGCTCTCTGGTACCATCTGCCTCCTCTCCGACGTCCTCACCTTCTCCACAATGCACATCAGCGCACTACATACCTTATCGCGTACTCAGTATCGGGCCACCTTACATCTCCTCTCATTTCTCCTCTTTCTTTTCCGAGGAAAGAAGCGCAACATTCTCCTCGGCTCGCGCTCAGGCTCGAGCTCTGCCGCATCGTACGAGCTGGATCAGCTGCTCCTGGGCACCATTCTCTTCACACTCGTCCTCTTCCTCTCGCCTACCATCATCGTCTATCACGCCCTCTTCGCGTCTGCAAAGATTGCCCAAGAGATCTTGATTGAGGGTATTCTGGGAGTCGCGGTGCAAGGCCTGAACGCGCTGCCCCTCTTTGCAGTCTTGCTGCTGCTGAAGGATAAGCAGAGAGTTCCCGGAGGAGTCATCGTGGAGAGTGTACAGGATGAGGATCTGGGTAGTGAGAATGAGGTGCAGGGTCAAGGGCTGCTCGTGGCGAGGTACAGGTTGAGATCCCGGCCTCTATCGTTTTGGGAGGTGATCACGACTACCAAGGACGACAATGCCGTTGCCGAAGATGAGGGTGGGTCAAGGAGATTGCCAGGCAAGTCGCTTCGTGCACTCCCGACGATGGTTGCGGCAGTCTGTACAGGTCAAGAGATCAAGTGGAGAGGCTGAGAGCCTCCACCAGGTTGGGCTGAGGATCCTTCTGTCACGAATTAGGAGTCTTCAATGTACATAAGGTTGCGTTCATTTTGCAGCTCCTCACTCCTCCATAGCAGCGACAGGGGTATCCATGCCCGCTACTGCCCCTCCCTCCTCCTGCTCATCGTCCTCATCATCATCATCCTCATCCGGCTCCACCTCCACAAGTCGATCTTCACCCTCCCTAATCGCCCTCTCCTTTTCTCCAGTACGCTTTGCCCACTCTCGAATTCTAGCACCAAACACACCCGCTACGCCCTTTGCAGCCAATGCATCCCACACTTTAACTTCCCCACCCGAGCCACCAGCAGCAATTGTGAGTGGTTCATCAGGGGAAAAGGAGGCGGTGAAGATTTTCCCTGCTTCTAGGTCACGACTGGTGACGAGGGTAATGGCTCGCTTGTTTTTGCTGGGCAGTGTGGAAGAGTCCTCTTCGATGTTCCACAGCTTCACCGTTCGGTCCAGACCGGCAGTGAGGAGACAGCCTTGGATTTGCACAGAGACGTCTAGCGAGGTACAGGCCGTCTGGTGCGCAGATAGAGTCCAGATGGGCGAGGTGGCCTTGGAGGGGTCGAAGACGTTGTAGGCCTGTACGAGTCCAGTGTCGAGGGCGACGAGGAGCTGACCGGCCTTCCAAGGGTTCCACTTCAGCTTCTCCACTTCGCCTGAAACCTTGATGCTCGTCACCTTGTCGGGCGTCCGCACGTCCCAGACCTTCACAAAACCGTCGTAGCCGCCCGATGCTAGTACACTGCGTGGGTTGCTATCCGACTCGACAGCTTCCGGTACAGCCGTACCAGAGGTGTTCCAGGCTACCGACTGTACCTTGTCCTGATGCACTTCGAAGGATCGGATGGCATTCAGTCCACCATGTTCAGCAGGTGCGGTATTCAGGTCCCAGAGCTTGATGGTGGTATCCGCCGAGGAAGTGACGAGGAGATTGGGAGCAAAAGTGTTCCACGAGATTGAAAGGACTGCATCGGTGTGGTGAAGCGGCGAGATGGGCCTAGTGGCAGCTATCCTCTTCTTCTTCTTGCCCGTACCCTTCTTCTTTGCTTGCTTCTCCCAGTCTTTGCTCGCAGCTCGATCACCCAGCACGACATCGGGGACGAGCGCATCGATGACGTCCATGTCCCAGACTTCTACCTCTGGCTCCATCGTAGAGACTGCCAAGTAGTTGCCCGTCTTGGCCGAGGAAGGGGCAGAGGACCCGCACTGGCCCACCCACTCTAGGCAGAGGGGAAACGAGGGCAAGAGGAGATCGTGATGGACATAGAGAGAAGCGCTGCCGGAGGCTTCTGTCTCGTCTGCTTCCGCATTGGCATAAACGTATGCCTCGATCATGGATACCTCGTCCTCCGTCTTTGCCGAGATGACGAGATTGTCCGTCGGTAGAACTTCCAGTGCTTCCCTCTCCTCATTCTCGTCCTCTGCGTCATCTTTCAGAGTGATGTAGGGATCCTCGTCGTTTGACTTGTAGAATTGTAGACCCCTGATGTTGGAAAAAGCCCCCATGGCCATGCCCTTCGATTCCTCTTCGTCATATGTATCCAGATTGTACTTTGCCAGATCGTCCGCTTCATGAGTGGGAGGTGCAGGTGTTGTATCACCATCCTCGTCCATGCTCTGATCTTGATTCTTAGTATCCACCCAATGCGATTCGTTTACCTCTTCCTCTCCATCTGCAACTTCATCTCCGTCCTCTCCCTGCTGCTGTCCCATCAGCAACGCCTCCTTCTTTGCCTCTTCAAGCTGGCTCTGTGCATCTCCAAATTCGAGGGATGTGAGCTTCTGAACACGTTCCAGCTCAGCTTCGTCGGTGATGTTGAACCTTCGGGGCTGCCGGGCAGCTGAACCCTTGCGTACCCATACGAGGGAGGAGATCATTGTACAAGCAAGCAAGCAAGGTAGCAAGCGAGCACGACTGGGGATGGGGATCGGGGATGATGGGCTGCGAAGGTGGACTGGTAGGAAGGACCGAGAGCGGAAGTGGCCTTGCTTCTCTCTGCACTGCGCCTCTGTGCCAAAATTCTGCCTGGAAAATTGTTCGCGCACCAACCGCCGACGGAAAGGGGACGAGGCAGAGGCGAGCGTACAGGCAGCCAAGGCAAGACTGTACACCAAGACGAAGAGACAGGGACCGGCAGTTGGGGAATGGTGGGCGATGATTGTGAGAATGTTTAGAAATACATAGTGGGCCGGTATGCGCAACTCTCCTTCCCCTGGCACAGCGTGCATCTTCACTTGACGCCTGGCAAGTCAATCCCGACGGAGTACTGCAGAAGTAAATGTGCAAGCATGGCGGCAAGTCAGCAATCGGTAGCCAGCGCGAGTGCCACAAAAGCTCCTCCTTCTCTACGACATCTGCACTCACGTTCTCCAGATCAGTATCGGGTTCCATCTGTCCCGTCTTTTTGTTCCTCCGTGCAGCAAAGAAGGTATAGCTCAACACCACGTCCTTGACATCGCGCACGTTCGGATCGTCGAGGAAGTCATTGTCGATGAAGAAGAAGACGGGCAAGTCTACCTCTTCGCCAGCTAGAAGTCTTTGCTCTTCGAAGCAGAAGCACTCCACTTTGGAAAAGTAGGGCGCGATCTGTAAAGCGGGAGCGCGGAGATGGGTGGCAGGGGTGAGCTTGATATTCAAGACTCTTCGCATGCTCGCCACCGTCTTACTCACCCTGTCTGGCGCAACGTTATAGGTAGCGATACCAATAATGTCCTTCTTGCTCCTACTCTTGGCAGTAAAGAACGCCAGTGCCGTCTCACCGGGGATGACAAAGATCTCCTCTTGTGACGGCTTAAAGGACCAGGGCAGCTCATCACTGCAGTCTGTATTGAATGTGACTCGTATCCTTTCTGCCGTCGTACTGCTAGGCACCAGTCTAGAAGGCTCGAACTTTCCCATTCCCACCTTTGGAGCACCTCCGAAACCTGTAGCGGAGCAAAATGCCCGATAGAGAGGAACAGCTGCATATGTGAGACCTACTGCAAAGATGATTGTTGCGAGCGAGTAGTAGGCTAGAGAGCGGTTGCGCTGCGAGTAGTGAGCCTGCTGAGCTTGTGATTGAAGGCGGCTCAGCTCTGCAGCTGTTAAAGGAGCTCGGGTCGCAGGCTGTTTCGAGGGGTCTAAGGGAGGTTCTGTGGGAGGTCCTTTAGTGCTGCTCGAGGCAAATCGACCCATTGCGAAGCTGAGGGCAGGAAGCCGCGGCGGCGGCAGAGTCCTTGAGAGCATGCCTCGAGGCGAGAGAGGCCCATTGCTCTTTGTATGGTAGCCGGCGAGGGGCGCAGTAGCTAGCGAAGTCGGCCTCTTGCTTGAGCCGGGTACGCCCAGGCGGAAGCCGCTCAATAACGAGTGGCAAGGCGGCTTTGAGCTTGGGCGAGCTAGCGAGGTACGAGCCGCCAGCGCCACTTGCAGACACAAAGGCGACGGCCGAGGGATCATGTTCTCCTCACAAGGTGGGCAAGTGAGATGCTAGTCCTGTGGTCAGTGGTCAAATGGCGTGTACGGAAGGAGGTCCGCGAGGCGAGCCGAGAAGGAATGAGGTCTGACGCCCGGAAGCTGACGTAAGCAAGGTGAGCGGTCGGGTAAATTATTGCACTCGGAAAGAGCGAAGGACAGGAATATCTGCTCCTGCCAAGGCTTGTGAGGTACATCTTGCAGCGACACCATGTCTTCTCATATCAGGGCGGCAGACTCACCTTCGCCTCCTTCCCTGAATCTCTTTGAAGAGCCGGCCGACTATCGACCCTCGACGCCTCCTCCTCAGACGGTCAGGGTGCCATACGACTTTACCGGCTCTGCCTCTTCCACCAGCCTTTCCTCCTCGGATCCACAGAGCACCTCATCAGATGCGCAATCTACCGACCTGACAATACACCTCCTAGGTTCTCATCCGCTCTGGGGTCATCACATATGGAATGCCTCCCTTGACTTGTCGCGCTACCTTCAGTCACATGCTGCCTCCCTCCTTCATGGCAAGTCGGTGCTTGAGCTGGGCGCAGCAGCAGGCATACCTAGCATCGTAGCGGCAAGAGAGGGAGCAGCAGTCGTAGTAGCCAGCGACTACCCGGAACAGCCTTTGATTGATGTGCTCAAGCGGAACCTTGATGAGAACACTGCTGGGTCGGTCTCGTCTGGCTGTGTAGTCGCTGCACAGGGCTATCTATGGGGTGCCAGTGTGGAGCCTCTCCAGGTACATCTGCCTGCTGGCCAAGACGGGTACGATCTCCTGCTACTTTCCGATCTGATCTTCAACCATCAGGCCCACGATGCTCTCCTCGATACCATGAACCAAGCCCTCTCCCGCCAGAACGCTCGGCCGTCCGTGCTGCCTCCCGACACACATCCGAGCCGCCTACAGGACGATGCTTCCCATCCCGACTTTCCTGACAAGCTACCCTTTGGCGAGCTCACTACTGCTGCTCCTGATGGACCATGCGTGCTCGTCTTCTTCACCAGCCACCGCCCGCATCTGGCCCACAAGGACATGGAGTTCTTTCGCAAGGCGGAAGCGACAGGGAAGTGGAGTGTGGAAAGGGTAGGGAGGTGGAAGAGGGAGGTGAGTAGACGACAAATGCCATTGCTGACATTCTTAGATATCCAGGTATAACGAATGGAGACTGACTCGAATACCCTCACATCTCCGCTTTCCTCCAGCCGATGTTCCCTACCGACCCTGGGTCCGCTTTCGTGCGAGGTACAGTGCACGGTTTCAGGCTCTTTCGGACGGGTGCGGATGTAGCAAGATAGAAGATACCAAAGTGCAAGGGTGACGATGATCGATTGAATATTCATGCCAAAAGTTTGGACAGCAGAAACGAAGTGAGGAGTGAAGCAGAAGAAAGAAGGTGACAGTAGGAAGATTTGACGCGCAAGAGACAAGCGCCGGCCTGGTGCTCAATCAATAGCTTGGGCCGCCCTCGAATTCGACTCGAATATGCGGCGGAATGGGTGACGAGTGGTGCAGGTCAAACGGGACAGCTACCGCCCAAGAAAGGCGACAAGTCCGCGCAGAAACATCTGATGGAGGAGATTAAGAAGCCTCATTTCCCCAGGCAGGGAAAGGGGGAGCGCTGGTCCCGTCGCAAGATTGTTGGACTAGGAAAGGGTTGCTGTCCTGGGATCCACCGGCAATCTTGGTGCCAGTAGGGTCCGTCACAGTCAGGGTGTAGGTTCCAGGCCCGTAGGCGTTTCGCCAAAGAATACGAAGCGGGTAGTACTCGCCCGCCTGAAGCGTCACCGTGTAAGGTGCGGGATTGTCCGTAGTACACCATCGGCCGTAGGTGCCGGCATTGTCAAAGGTGTAACCGCTGTAGGCATCGTCACCGACCCAGACTGCCACGACGTCGTCGGAATTGGATAGAGCAAAGGTGTAAGTTCCAGTCAAGGGAGCGAAGAGGTATGACTTGGCCCCGACCAGGAAGTAAGCACTTGAAAGCTGTTGATTGGAGTCATAAGGGTACCAGTACTTCTCGTTCCATGAGTCCGTGTATTGATAAGCAAAGTCAACAGCGGTACCCTCCGCAAGGGGCGTCGTTGAGCTGACGTAGTCGGTATCGAGCACATTGCCCTCACAAGTTTGAGTTGGGTCTACTTGTTCGTACCAGTAGGCCCACTGCATACCTGCGTTACCGCAGCTTTGGTCCGGTGTAGGCTCTGGAAGAACGACGGTCGAGGTTGAAGGGTCCTTTACCGTCGTTGTCGCAGTGGCAGTGGTCGTAGTCTGCGATGTGGCAGTGTCTGTGACGGTGAGTGCGGCAGAGGCTGTAGAAGTGGCGGCTTTCGCAGTACTCTTGTAAACTGATTGGGAGGGACGGGGAGAGCAGAAGTCAGTACCTCGCAGAGCTTCAAGAACGTGTGCCTAGGACGAATCGGCACTCACCTCGTCCAGGGAGGGTGGAAGTCTTGGTCTTCGTGACAATCTTGGTGTACCGCGTCGTACCGTAGAGGAGTTCGAGGCAGGCTTCAGTTAGGAGATGATCCGGATAATACCTGACTTTCTTGGGCTTGGTAATGGAGCGCTTCTGGGCAACAAAGCTGCCTTCGTAACTCGTCGTTGTGGCTGCATAATCCACATCGGTGATGTAGCTCGTTTCGAGACTAGTCTTGGTGATGGTGACTTCGGTGTTGACAGTCTCAGTCTGCGTCACGGTGCTCGTAGGCGTGACTGTTGACATGGTCTTGGGACCATTGACAGTGCGGGTCGAGACTACCGTGATCAAGCTGGTCTTTGGCTCACGGGGACCGAGCCATCGCCTGCAGAAGTGATACTCGCCGCGCAGGAGGATGCGGGCTTGATCGAGTTGAACCGAACTTTGGAGAGCAATATTACCTTGAGAGCCCACAGCTGCTGCAGAGACTCCTAGTAGACTACTCGAGGAGGCCAGAAGGGCAAGGGCGACAGTGGCAACGGTGAGTCGCATGATGGAGATGGGGATCCAAGGTGGAAGATGAGGAGGTAGGGAGGCAATGATCTACAGGTGTACGAAGAGCAGGGTTCACCATAGCTGCCTCGCTTTGCTCTTAAGTATGCTGCTCCTTTCATCTCGCAGATTCACTTTTTCCTACCCAATGGTCGTTCGACGATGATCTTGGATGTTACTTGATCCATGTCGTATCTACCCGCTGAACGTGAAGGCGACGCACCACGTCTTCTGCAGAAGGTTGTCAGACTCGCGACCATTCCTTCAAACGGTGTGCCGCTTTGAGTGGCGCGGGTAGGGAGAATCTGCTTCCCACATCCTCTGACCAGAACGCTGGGTGGGAGAGACGTGCCACACCTGGTACCGCGTTGCGAAAGAGCAGATCAGATTAAGCTCCAATGCTCTGAGCGGCTTACCTCCCGACGACCATGGAAGCAAGGCCCGATAACGGCAGATGCGTTTTAGAGGTGGCGCATGGCTTGCGGGGCAAAATATTTCGCCTGCCATCACGGAGCTGTCAGACGCCGAGCTTAATACCATCGGAGTTCGCAAATTCCATTTGGAGGCAAAGCAGACCGAACCTTCTTGTGCGCTTGTAACAGAAGGTTCAACATACTCGAGCACTGGTGCAAGGCTTGCTGCCGGGGTGCAGCGCCTCCAATCGGGACATGCGGGAACAGGCGTTTGCGGAGTGTGGGAGAAGGGAGTTGTATGCTCAACCCCTCTCAGGGTCGTCAGATAAGCAATCGGGATCGAGCTCAGAGCCGCAAGCGCCTCATTCCATTGCAAGGATTCCTGAGCTTATAAAGTCTCTCCGATAGAGACCAATTCGACTGACAGCTCGGATGCGAACCTTGCTGTCACTTGTCCTTCGGATCTTTTGCCAAGAGACGATGATCCGATGATACGCCTCGCTATGCGACAGCGTGTTATGGCGGAAAACCTGACAGGTGTCAACTCCGTCTTCAAAAGGGCTGCGAGGCTTCACACATGCTGAGCACGCCTCTGAGCTCCGTCGTCTTTCTTTAGAATTCTACTCCCCCAGAAGTAAGCGCCAGGTCGCTACTTGTGATATGCATCGTCCACTGAGCGGTGCTCGTCCTGAATGTGACTGCCACCAAGGGCGGCTTGGCGTATCTACTGCTTTGTTTCATCGCTCTTGGCAAAGCTTGTCATCTTCTCCTCCGCCAATGCGCAGCTTTGAACGCTGGAAGAGAATCCTGGCATTTTCGGATGTGCGCCTCCATTCCCAACCTGTGATTCAGACTGTACTTATAGACGCCATATTCGTCGGCACAGAAGGAGGAGAGCGGAGTCATAATGTCGGCGATGTACTGAGCGCGCCGGGGACGGGACTGGCTGCCGCTCTGGGCAGTGATGAGGCGATGTGCGCAAAGACAGCTTTCGCTTCTGGAGTAAAGGTAGCACCCATGAAGACATGGAAGGCACCCCTGACCTCGCTGTAGTAGACACAGTTGCCAGCTTCTCTTGCCTTCGTGGCGAATGTCCGAGCGTCTATGACGAGAATATCGCCTGAGCCTTGAAACATGTCAATTGGCGGTAATTCCTTCAGGTCGGCATAGAGTGGGCTGAGACGGGGCAGCAGTACGTCGTCATCCGCCGCCCACCACTTTCCACAGAGCCGCAACGCATCAATGGTCAGCATTAGGTCGTTTGACTCTAAGTCACGTGCAGCGGCGTCGGCTAATGTCAGATCCAACCATGGAGAGAAGAGGATGATGCGGGCAGGAAGAGGCAGCCCCATGCGCCTAATTTCAGTTGCATGCCCCAGGGCTAATCCCCCGCCCGCCGAGTCACCTGCGAACACAACGCTGGCGGACGATGTAGTAGCTAAGATTTCGCCATAGACTTCGGCGAGGAAGGAGAATGCAGCGCGGTTGTTGCACTCTGGGGCGAGCGGGTAGAGCGGCACGGTAACGGTGGCCCCGGTCGCTTCCATGAGACTTTTGATTATAGACCAGTGTGGCCCGACGAGGTCTCGCACGTAGGCTCCACCATGGTAGTATACGATGTGCCAGCGACTTGCGCGATTCTTTGGGCCGAAGGTGACGACGCGATGTCCAGCCAGGGTCCTGTCGCGTAGATGATACTGCTTACGCATCCGACCAGGGATGTTAGCTGGGGACGGGTAGGTACGCCCTAGTATATTCGCTTCGTACTTTTGCACATTGGACATCGGCTTTCCTTTGAGCTTCAGATACAAGGCAGCGATCCTCATGCCCAGACTGAGATCATCGCTGCTTGTAGGCGGACTACCGCTGCCGCCAAAAAGGAACATACAAGCCGCACAACCTAGCAGGCCGGCCTACACAGTCAGCTCAACGGTATAGGAGAAGTTGTGATTGAATCTTGGAGCGGCCAATATCAGAAAGCGCTGTCGAAGAGCAAGGCAGAGAGGTCAAATGATATTTGCACTCGGTCCTTCGTCTTGATTGAGAACATTCGAGAATGACAATGATAGATGAGCAGTAATTGCAGCACGTCCCGCGTTAATTTCCAATCCGCCTCTGGAAAGGGACACGTGCCGAATCGCGCGCTAGCCTTTGCTTGCGCATGCCCTTGATATTGGCAGAAGGTATGTGAAGGTAGCTCATAGGGACGTCTTTCCATGCAAACCTATTCGGAAGTCTTGACGTGCTCAGCAGTTACTACGCCAGCTACCGAGTGAACAACTTAAGGAGAAGTAGTCAAACGATCCATCATTTGGGTTCCGGGCAAGCCTGGGAGTGGTCTCGACTCACGATCACACCCCGCATAGGTCGCCGAGGCACGTACAACAGCACAATCAAATCTCGTCTGACGGTCAGCAGGCAGTCTCTCAGCTATTGAAGGGTCGAGCATAGGCGCTCGTTGTTTGCCTTCTTCCTGTATGGCTTGCACCGCTCACAAATTCGAGAAGACCACGTTCGTCCTTCATGTGTTCGTGATACAATGTATGAAGGCAGGCGTTCACACAAGCTGTCTAGTCCCCGCCGCGAGCAGACCAAAGTGGCAGAGACTTCGTTGTGTCTCGTCATGTACCATAGGGTTCCGCCCACATCCTCTCACCCGCCCATCCTGGCCAGCACCCAGCTCTCCCTCTCCACCCGAGCGAGCTGCACAGTCAGCAGCTTGAGACGCATCCTACAATCCTCCAACCTCTCCTTCTCGCTCTGACTGAGCACCTTTTCAACTCCCTCGCTCTGCACATCCGTCCTCTCAATCTTTGCCAGTAGCACTTTGGCCTTCTCCCTCTCTTTAGCCCTCCTCTGTGCCAGACGAGCTTGTGTGCGGTGCAGTCTGTCCGAGAGCCAGGAGAGGGCGCGGGGGTAGTCGATGTAGTAGAGGAAAAATGTTCGCTGTGGGTTGCGGTCTGCAGACTTGGGTACTTCTTGCAGTGCGATTACGCTGGCAGAGAAGAGCTTGTTGCAGGCCTCACGCGTCTCGTGGAGAGTCATCAAGGCGAGCTTGTGGATCTGCTTTTCCTCGAGCTTGCCCTCCCTGCGCAGCACGCCCATGACCTTGCCCTCATTTTCGCCAAAGACGCGTTCCACCGTTTGCTTGAGCATATTCCACTTCATCTTGCGAGCAGCAGCAGAATAGTCGACGATGGCGCTGCCAGACAGTCGACTGCCAGTCGGCGTCATGAGGTCGTTAGAGTTGCTTCCTGGCAAGATGTACCTTGCGGCAGACGTCACCGCAGCCAGATCTCGTGGGTTGGGGCGAGTGTTCCTGGTAATCGTATCCTCGGTCCGGGAGAGAAGCGCAACATATTCGCAGATGCAGTCGAAGCGGGTAACTTTGCGCCCGTTGTTGAGGTTCTCAAAGGCACTACGATGGAAGCCGCCCTTCAGATTGAGGGATTGGGGCAAAGAGGCAGCCAGCAGGTGGAGGGAGACGGGTTCTAGCATGGACAAGAACACGATTGATCCGAGCATCAGCTACTGATCCATTTCAATACTGCTCACCGGGAATTTGGTCCCTTGACTCACCGCCTCTGCTGTCCGCAACGCTCGGCCACATCTCATTCTCAATCTTGCGCGCATCGGCTGCCTCAACGATCTTCATGTAGACATGCGCTGCCTCCTTGTTGAAGTGATTGTGGACAAGCTCGGCGAGGAGCTAATGAGAAGACCAATGGAGAGGCAGAGTCAGTCACCATTCTGGCCATCGTACTTCTAGCTAGGCCAGTCCTGTTGCTCACCTCGTTTCGGATGTGTACGTCGAACCGATCGTAGTTGACTCTGACAAAGGTATCCTCCTGCAAAAATCAATGGCAGACAGCTCCTGTTAGCTGCTAGAACACGGGGATCCAGGCGAGCGTAGTTCAAGCACTTACATCCACGATGATCTCGTCCAGCCGCTCCTTTTCGAAATCCGTCAGAGCTTCCATCCAGCCTACTTTCGCCTGGTCTTTGCTGACATGACCATTCGTCTTCGAGCCATGACGGCGAGCCCTTTTTTCGTCATCGTCGTCCTCGCTTCTCTTCCGTTTGCGATCATCCCCGCTATCACTGTCACTGCCATCTAGCGCTGGCCGCTTGTTCCGAACCTGCACTTTCGGAGCTGAATTGGAGCTGCGCTTTTTGCCATTGCTCTTCGAGCTGGAAGCCCTTGCTTCTGAGCTGTCAGCGCTGGTCCGGCTCTGTAATAGGGACAGCAGCCAAGCACCGCAGAGATCTGTCAGAAATGCAATCTTTCATTGCCGCCAGGCCACTGTCCGAGCAATGCTCAACTCACCCTCACGCCAGTGCCCCTGTTTGCTGCTCTCTCCTCGATGATTCGAGACTTTACTTTACCGTCTATATCCCTCAAGTCCTTGGGTCCTGGAACACCCTTGTGGCCCTTCTTTTCCTCGAGTGTATATGCGATTGTCAGCTCGTGAGGAGAGACGGAGGTGAGGAAGGAGGAGGGAATGAGGTAGGCCGAGAGGAGCATGTAGGTCAAGAGGGGACGAGTATAGGGCGAGATTGCAGGAAGCTGAGAGAGGATGTCGGATACCTGGAGCTTGCCATGCAAAAGGATCATGCGAATGATCGCCAGGCCCTGTATAGAGAGAGGGGCAGTGTATAGGCGTCAGTCTCTCGGGAGCAACCTCGAGGCCACGCTTTGGTCTGTCATTCCTTTGCTGCTCTGAGACCACTCACCTCTTCGCCCCATAGCTTCTCTGCCGTCTCCATGAAGCTTCCAAATCGATTCCGAATGAGAATTGCCTCTGGGTTGATCTCAAAGTACTCTATTCCTCCAGGTTCTTCATGACTGCGAATGATGCTGCCATCTGCATCGAGGCGGATATGGTAAAGGAGGTTGTGCTGCACAAGCGTGAGAATGGTGTGTAAGATTTGTGTCTTCTGAGGCTGTACAGCATACTGGCTCGTGCTGGGCGCCGAGGACGAGGCGGACGAGGAAGAGGTAGGTCCAGTGCTTCCTGCTCCTGCTTCTGGGGAGAGGATGAACCTCTGCAGCTCATTGAGCGATAGACGCCCCCTTTGGAGTAGAACAGAGGCTACATTGGCTGCGACTGGTCCAAAGTGATCCAGGACAATCTGCTCACAGAGGCGGAGCTTCTCCCTGCTGTGTGTGGTACGCGAGGAGGACATGCCATCTGGATGGAGTGCTGCCTCGTCTTCAAGTGGGGCGTCATCGGTGGCCTCGCCTGCCTCTGCTGCCGACTTCTTGGGCGGCATTGTGGGCGTAGCGGTGCTAGACCAGCGAGCTGACAAGGAAGAGACGATGGGTGGTGACTTGTACGAGGTGCTCACTCGATACAAGGAAGGCGTCCGTCGTCCGTCGTGCGCCTGTCCTCCAACTTCGGTCCGACCAAATTTCCCTGGGTGCGAGCGCGTGTGTGTGCCTTGGCGTGGCTGCCTGTCTTTCGCGCGGGGCTGTGGCCTGCCTCCGCCTCTGCTTCCGTCTTGGCTGGGCTCTGCTTCCGTTGTGCGTGAGCTTCTCCACATTCGCAGCCTTTGGACGTTGCTCTTTGCCGGCAGTGCTTCCTACTCGAGGAGCTTCACGAGCACAACACTGCCGCCACCTCGACCCATACAAGCACACTTCACGACAACACTACGACTTTCATCCCATCTACCACCTGACATGTCATCCGCTACTGACCTCGCCGAGACCAAGCACGCCGGAGAGGACGGCTCTACGCTCGAAGCCCCTCCCGCAGAGCCACAGCCGCAAAGACCGCAACCTCCTCTCTCAACAAAGACTTCCCGAAGCCTCTCTGCCTCGACGGACGGACTCGTCCTCTTTGACCTCACCAACGAGGTTGGGGGCACCCTCGCCTTTTCACCACACTGCATGAAGTCCATCATCGACCTCAAGCTGCTTGGGGTAGGATATGAAAGACAAAGATTGAGTTTCGTCCAAGTGCGAAGAGATCTGGAGAAGCGCATCGGACAGGGAGTGACGGTACCGAGCTTAGAGCTGAGTGATGGAAGTCACTTGACCGATAGCTGGAAGATTGCCGAGGTGAGTGGGCGAGCTGAGAGTGCAGAGATACACTGTTCCGCTCTATCAGAAGGCTGAAAGCAACCCTCCCTTCGGACTATGACCCTCTTCACTCCTTCGCAGTATCTCGAAGCCAAGCATCCCCGCGGCTTCCTCCTCTTCCCAAACTCAGCCGTGAAGTCCTATGCCGCCTCTCTAAACGAGTTCGGCAAGCTCCTCGCCCCGCATATCGGAGCTCTCACCATCCCTCAAATTGCCCAAAAGCTCGACGAGCCCTCCCGCGAGTACTTCATCGACTCCAAGATCGGTCAAGCTCGTTTTGGACGTCTGAGTGGACTAGGAGAAGAGGAGAAGGAGGGACATGTACAGAGTGCAAAGAAGATGCTGGGGATCGTGGAAAGCAGTCTGGCGTGCGAGGCGGCCAAGGCTGATGCGGGGAGTGTGCAGAGTGGGGGCAACAGGTGGCTAGCGGGGACGGAGCTACCGAGTCATGCTGATGTGAGTTCAAAGGGGCACTTGAAAAGCTGTGAGCTCCTTGCCCTATACTGACCAAGTCTCTATCTCCATCTCTCTCTCTACCCCTCTTTCCAGGCCTGCCTCTTCGGCTGGTACTGCTACACGCGCAGTGCAGGCGACGCAGCCACGAGGGAAATTTGGTTTGAGCATGAGCACCTCAAGAAGTGGGTAAAGGACATGATTCAGTGGTGTGGACCCGAGATCACAAATGACTTGATCTGAGCTGGAGGGGGCCGGGGGCAGGAGAGAGTAGCAGGAGGGGTCGGAAGGTGGGGAAAAGGGGGGAAAGCGTAGCTAGACCTTGGTCGATAGTGCAGCATGTCCACTAGACACAAATATATCAATCGTGGGCTCAAAGAAGGAGCAGCCCCTCTAATCAATCCAGTTTGTTTTGCTATTGCAAATGTCGGGCTGGACTTGGCAGCCGTTGCCTCAGATAGGAGCCGCCGTCTCTGCCGCCGGGCGATCTCGCTCCTCAGTCTTCGGCACTTCCTCTCCCCCTGCTGCTGCTGATTCCTGCACAGCCTGCGCTCCTTTCCCACCGCCATCCTGCCCCTCCAACCTCTTCGTCTTGATACTATTCGCCAGCTCCAGCGGGTTCATCTTGCAAAATCGCACATAATTCGAAAGGACTCCAATACCCGCCTGGGCCTTGTGAATCTCCACCACCACCCACTTCTCTGCCTTTTTCAGATCTGCCCTCCATCCCCCGCCACCGCCTCCGCCTGCCGGGGAGCGGGGAATAGCCTGAGCTGTAAGCTCGATGACTTCTGTGCGACTGAGGGTGTTGTGCGAGCGGATCCGCGGGTCGATCTTGAATGTCCCGGCGCCGTCGGCGGGGAAGAACCTTGGGAGGACCTTACGCGCAAAGAGGTCTAGCTCTTGGTGATTGGCAAGACAGAGTCCTGCGACCGGGGAGAGACGACTGATGATGCGGCTGCGAGCTTCGCCGGTGCGCTCCACTTCGCTCAGGAAGGTGTCGCAGAGGTCAAAAGGATCCAGGACATGGTGCACGCCAATGAAGACGAGGCACTCTGTACCCGTCTCCATCAGTCGGAAGGCTGGGGCTGTGGCTGGCTTCTCTTGCCCACCCTCCCCGCCCTCTTGGCCCTTGCCTTGCTGCTGGGGCGCTTTCCGCTTGCCGAACGTCTTTGAGTCTGCTTCACGAAGACTAGCCAGCTCTGCTCGTAGCTCATCTTCAATACTAGTTGCTTTCGCAGTGGGCGCGACCTGCTCTATCTTTGCCGGCTCTGGCAGCTTGCTAGAAGATGCCTCTGCTTGCCTCGTCTCTTGTGAACTCGTGCTAGGTATAGCCTCCACTGGAGACGTACCGGCCGCTGGCAAGGTCGGTCCGTTTCTCAAGTCATCATCGTCTCCGTCATCAACATTTGCGTCCACAGCCTTGGGCGGTCTGATGGGAATCGGCAGCTGCGAAAGGTCCAGGTTTGGGTAGAGCGAGGCGGCAGTCTGAGGGTATAGGGTTGCGGCACGGAGGCCGGTGAGATCAGAACTTGACCCATGCTCTTCACTAATGCTCTCCTCTCGGCTCACATCTGTCAGAATCTCTATCAGCTCGTTGGCAGCTTTGCGCTCCTTGCCTCTTGGACATGTCTAAAGGGCGAGAAGCAGGCATGGTAAGCCGCCATCTGTATGTGCGGACCTCACCTCCAGTCTTGTCCAGCGCGACTGCTCACCATGAAGATACCATGTCCAGTCCAGTTCGTATCGGCTGCTCTCCATTGTTTCTTCTTTTGACCTCTCTCTTCGCCCCCCCTTTTCCGTTTGCCTCCATGCTGAGGACGAGCCATGTTCGAATGAGGGGAGTGTAGCGGCAGGAGAGAAGCTCGTCTAGGAAGAAGTGCAAGGGCCAAGTCGTCGTCCGCACACAATTTTCAAACCCCGCTCCCGCATCGGCGGGTGGCTCGAAAAATGCGAGGCCTCCAATGTCGGCGTCCTTTCGTCTCATCGCCATCACTCGCGTATATTCGACACTCACAACCATCGCACCTGATGGCCTCGTCTTCCTCCTCGACGGCAGTAGCAGCGCTGCGTCGTCTTGCCACTCTCCGCTCACAGATCTTCCAGACCCTTCCTCCTCCACCGGCAAGCGCGCCCGGCGGGATCCGCACTGGTGCAAAGTTCCTCAAAGCTCCTCTCAAGGGTCCCTCGATGCTGGAGTACTACCCACCCACACTGAAGCTCAAGGGTCTTGGAGAGAGGATATGGGGACAAGAAGGAGTGGAGAGGGGACTACTTTTGATGGACCCGAGGGAGAGGCAGAGGTTGGAGGATGTGGAGAGGCGGAAGAAGATGGGCAAGGGACCGCCTAAGAAGGGTAAGTGGACAGAGGCCTGGCTGGCAGAGAGATGCGGCAGTCGATATGCTGTGGGCTGTTAAAGATGGAGAAGCATAGTCATGATGTTTGCTGACCTTCATTCACTCTCCTCCCTCCCCTCATCGCTCGGTCACTTCAGGTCAAGGTCGTCGTGCTGCTATGAAGTCCAAGGGAAAGAGGTGATGAGAAGGTAGACTATTTCACAGCTCTTTCAAGTCAGGCATCCGAGTTCTTCAATGCGTACACAACGGACAGCCTACAGAGATTGACGATGCAGCTCTCGCTACGGAACGAGCGCAGTGGCATGTCCGGGTACTTTCTCGCAGACCAGGACGGATTTTTGTCTCTTTCAACGGTGTCTCAGTCGTATATCTTTCACCTCTGCGTCTACAGAGTCAAACAATGTAATAGCATCTAGTCATTTTTCTCTCCGGCCGTGTGCCCGTCTGGCATTGAGCAATAGTTACTACGCAGACCTCGTGCCAGTTTGTCCTGTCACGCGGGAGTATTCCCTCAGAAGTCTTGTCTATCCTGCTTGATGCGCATGCCATTCCTGCTGACTAGTCCTGTACCAGCACTCGACCCGCCTTGTGCAATGTTCAAGCTCATCTCGCCATTGATCCCTTGAGCTGCCCTGCATGCGAGATGGGCGTGAGATGTGCGGGTGATCTATGTCTCAGGGTGGGCGTGGTGCACCCAGGTCCAGGTCAGGACAAGGAGACAGAGGGCAGCAGCTGGCCGGCCATTGTCTCAGCTGCGCCCAGATGGGGCAGACTTGCACGCAGGCGCACGCACAAGGGCGCACACACGCCGCGCTTCCGTGGCTCGGTTCTGCTGCCTGGCGTCCTTTCCCCCCACACACACACCACGGCCAGTGCCGGGGGTGGCTCTCCTTTGTCGTGCCAGCCAGCCCGCGTACCATTGTTGCTACCACGCACTTCCACGCACCCAGAAGACGTACTCACCTCTGCATCCTACCATCACACCACACACATCCTCTCCTCTATCTCACGACGACAAGCGATTGCTCACACTCGCGAGCGTCAGCCTCTTTGCCTTGTCCTCCCCCCGACCAACACTCACACTCTTTCACTGCTTTCCTCGCGCATCTCACTACCACCACGACTCCATCACCTTGGACACCTCCCATCGCATCGCTCACGTGCGTCTCAACCAGCAACATCGGCCAACGTAGGGCTCATTGATCATCGCCCATCAATTGATCAACGCGTAACTCTCACATCGTCTCACCTCTTGCGGGAAGCCCAAACGCTATCCCTACCAGTGAGATCGATATTGATCTCTTGCCCTCATCTCGGTCGCAGACCGTCATCGCTGAACCCCTGCAGCGTCATCACAGGCCATCTACCCCGACGTGTCCTCTACCATGAGCGCGACTCAGAGGCAACAACCCCTCTACAGCCTCAACCCTTCGGGGGGAAGCAACAATGGTAGTCACTCGGGCTCCCTCGTTGCACCCCCGTCTCCAGATGTGCGCGAAGGGTCATTAGCCAGTGGAAGTCGCAGCCAATTGGGTGAGGCGAGCAGTACGTTTAGCAGAAGTGGAAGTGTGTCCACCACGGGAGGTCTGCCGCAGAGGAGGGAGACGGGAGGTTCGATGAGTGGACAGAGGAACACGAACAGGTATAGCGTGACCGCACTGTACTCCATGGTAGCCGAGCAAGATGTGGACGTAGAGGACGATTTAGCCAGAGGTGAGTCAAAACTCGTCTCGCCACAACAGTCGCCGCCGAGACAAGCAGCTCACTTATCTTCCCTCTTGCGGGGCCCCACTATTGTTTCTCAGCGCAAAAGCGGTTGCGAGAGCTCAAGGGAAGGATATCGGCCCAGTCAAAGAAGAACTTTGTCTTGGAGAGGGACGTGAGATATCTCGACAGTCGGATCGCGTTGCTCATTGCCAACCGCATGGCTTTGGATGAGGTGAGTCGGAGAAATAGTAGTATCGCCAAGGCTACTGATAGCACGAGAGAGATTGCTCACGCGACTAGTCATCTTCGACCTCACTCCCATCTCTCAGCAGAGCGAAGTAGCCAGCACTCTCGAAGAGGCCGAACAGCCGCCAGGAACAGTGTTGGACGATCGCAAGACGCAGCAGTACGGCAATCTTTTCTTCCTGCTTCAGACAGAACCCCGTCACATTGCCGCCCTCTGTCGTCTTGTCAGCCTGTCAGAAATTGACACGCTACTGCAAACGGTCATGTTTACGCTGTACGGAAACCAATATGAGAGTCGAGAAGAGCATCTGCTCCTCACAATGTTCCAGGTGAGTCGGGCGCGCACACAGAAGGCAACAACGCTGAGGCGCCGTGCAAGACTGACCCATCGGCGACGCTTATGCCCCACCAGTCTGTCCTCTCGGCGCAATTCGAGACTGCGACCGACTTTGGTTCTTTGCTAAGAGCCAACACTCCCGTTTCTCGAATGATGACCACCTATACCCGGAGAGGTCCCGGACAGAGCTATCTCAAGACGGTCCTCGCCGAACGCATCAACTCCCTGATCGAGCACAAGGATCTTAACCTGGAGGTCAATCCCCTCAAGGTGTATGAGCAGATGATCAGCCAAATCGAAGAAGACACTGGGACCTTGCCCGCCGATTTGCCTCGCAGTGTCACGCCTGAAGTTGCGCAAGAGAATGCAGATGTGCAAGCCATCATTGCGCCTCGTCTGACAATGCTGATGGAGATCGCCAACAGCTTTCTCTCGACGATCATCAACTCACTCGATGAGGTTCCTTATGGTATCAGATGGATCTGCAAGCAGATTCGTTCTTTGACGAAGCGCAAGTACCCTGACGCTACCGACTTTGCTATCTGCTCCCTCATTGGTGGCTTCTTCTTCTTGCGGTTCATCAACCCGGCCATCGTTACCCCTCAAGCATATATGCTCGTTGACGGACCACCGGCCAAGCATCCCCGGAGGACGTTGACGTTGATCGCCAAGCTGCTGCAGAACCTGGCCAATAAGCCAAGCTACGCCAAGGAGCAATACATGATGTCACTCAACCCCTTTGTGGAGCAGAACAAGACTCGCATCAACCAGTTCCTACACTCCCTCGCCGACGTCGGGGACTTCTACGATACCCTGGAGATGGACCAGTACATGGCCCTCTCTAAGAAGGACTTGCAGATCCAGATCACACTCAATGAGCTGTACAATACCCACTCGCTCGTGGCTCAACACCTCGATGTCCTAGCGCCAAACGAGAAACATCATCTGAGGATCTTGGTCGGTGAGCTGGCCGGCTCTCCGAGCCAGGTCGCTCGTAAAGAGAACCGCACTGTTGAGCTGCCACTGTTCAGTCGCTGGGAAACACCGATCTCTGACCTCACATCGGCTTTCATTGGCGACAACAATGTCACTCAGAACGATCTGCTCTACATGGAGGCCAAGTCGATCTTTGTCTCCCTCATCCGATCGATCCCTCAATTGGCGGACAAGAAGCCACTCAACCTACCGGCCATTGCGGAGCGCGCTGCTACGACCAAGGATGCTACATTGGTGAGAAAGGGCATCAAAGTCAAGGAGATGCTGAGGGAGCTAGAGGAAATGAAGGTCGTGGACAGGCGCGATGGGTACGCACTGATGACCGACGAAGTGGCGAGTGAAATGGCCCACCTGGGTAATATGAGGGACAAGATCATGCAGGAGATGCGGTCACTGGAAAGCGTCTACAAGACGATCGTGGGCCACAACAACTACCTCCGCTCACAGCTGGATACGTACAAGTCTTACCTCCAGAATGTGAGGATGACCTCTGGTTCTGGCAAGGACAAGGCTGCAGGAGGCGTGGGCGTGGTTGCCTTTGGCGGCAAAGAGAAGAAACAGGGCAAGTCGCAAGTACTCGGTCCGTACCGCTTCAGCCACGCCCAGATGGAGAAGGATGGCATCATAGTCGAATCGACGGTTCCAGAGAACCGGCAGTCGAACATCTACTTTATCATCACTTCTCCTTCACCCGGGACTTTCCTCATTGCTCTCCACTACAAGGGCAGGGACAAGGCCATCCTGGAGATGGACTTGAAGCTGGACGATTTGCTCGAGAAGCAAAAGGATGATGTGCAGACTCTTGACCTAGAGTACGTGCAGCTCAACGTCAACAAGATCCTCGGACTGCTGAACAAGACCTTTGCGAAACGGAAGGCCTGAGGTTACCAGGCAAGGTGGAGCCAGCAAACAGGGTGACTGGTTCTTCAGCAAGCGTCATCGTCAGGAGAGGAAGCGGCGCTCCTCCCGATCGCGAATTTTTCGAAAGAACGGTAAAGCAGCATCTGTTACCTCTAATCACCCTTGTTGTAGTCGCATCCTGTGTGATTCTCTCTCCTCTTGTCTCGTATTACTCTATCCGGTCGCTCTAAATAAGAGATTAGCCCCCCTTCTCACTCATCTCCAATTCCTTTTCTTTCTTCTTCTTCCTCTTCATTACTTGGCTTTTCTCTCTCTTTGACTCTAGTTCTCGTTCATGCTCACCTTGATCTCCTGGAAATAAACATACCCAGTCTCCAATTGTAGCATCGAGCGAGCGAGAGCAGGAGTGCAAGGGCGGCAGGGATTGCGATTACGGAAGGAAAGAGTCACTGCAGATTGTTCTTTATCGATGGCCCATCACCATCTCATCCTCGTTGCCTTTGTCGACGTACTTCCGTGCTTTATGCACCACCCAGGGCGGAATTCAAGGCCAAGCCACGCCCAGCGCGCTCCGACCCGAGCCCGAGCCCCTACTCCACTCTCTCGCCAAGCGACGTTGGCAAATATAGCTCCCCTGAGAGGTCCGCCTCTTTGCCGACACAGCAACCTCGATTGATCCTCCATCATCTCCCCTTCCCACCACCAAAAAGGGGCCCATCATGGGTCCGTTGGCATCCCTGTCCATCCTCTCCATCAGCATGGGAGTGTCCACATTCCTCTTTGGAATGCTACCCTTGACACTCCGTCTCTCCCGCCTGACACTACGTCTTTTAGAGGTGGGAGGAGCTGGATTGCTACTAGGCGCAGCTTGCTCAGTCGTTCTACCCGAAGGAGCAGGAACAATCTTCCGTGAGGAAGGCAGCGGAGGGGGAGAGGATCATCCTGGCCATGTACATGGTAAAGAGGGTCTGGCGAGTATGGAGCCCGAGAATCTCCTCGCGGTCAGCTTCCTCACAGGGGCGCTAGTGATGTTCGTCATCGACCAAATTATGGCTCCTGGTTCTCATTCGCACGACTTTCAACACGATGAGGAACATTCAGTTCCAGGTTCGGGCATCTCCACTTCATCCCAACATGCATCCAGACGGCGCTCCCATTCTGGACCTCATCAGCACCACACGCACGACCCTTCTAGACCGATCCACCGCTTGACCAGACCGGAATCGCTCGTACTTATGCGATCCAGCTCAGTGATAGCGCCCAAGGGACTCGAGGAAGCAACGAAGCAGAATTCCAGTCATGGACTGAGTCGATTTGATGGTCTGCCAGTCTCACCTACCGATACCACTACTCTTGCGGTGGTGCAGTCGCCGAACAGGGGTGGGTTTGGGGCAATAGATCGATCACCACCTTCATCTCCGCATGGGCGTTCCTCTAGAAGTGGCCGAGGCGGCTCCTACAACAGCGGTAGTGCCGGAAGCGATGGCAGTGGAGGAGGGGGTCTAGGACTCTCACCATCAAGAGGTCTCCGGCGAGCCTTTACCTCCATCGCAGGTCTGATCATCCATGCCGCCTGCGATGGAATTGCCATGGGAGCTAGCTCTGCCAGCAAAGACGAGGGACTGAAGTTAGTAGTCGTGGGAGCAATCATGATTCACAAGGCGCCGGCAGCTTTTGGACTTTGCTCACTGCTACTGTCACAACGTCTGTCGCGGAGTGATATCAGACGAGCGATGGGGATCTTCAGTCTTGCGACCCCTTTGGGTGCTTTGACCAGTAAGTGGCAGCCGCAGGGCCGAGACGCCCCTTGGTAGCACAGACTACAGAGCTGACGTCCCGACTGCACATCTCCTCCAGCCTACCTGCTCCTCTCCGTCTTCTTCACAACAGAGCCCTCCTCGGCCTCAGCCCTCCTCACTCCAGACTCAACTTTCACAGCTACCCACGAAGGCGGCAGCGGCGGTGGTGGCATTTCAGGCAAGCACGTAGGGACCGCCCTGACCTTTTCAGCCGGTTCCTTCCTATTTGTCGCCCTAGACGCCGTGCATGAGTTAGCGAGCCACAGTGCGGATGTACACACGGTGCATCTTCCCATTGGCTCGGCTTCGGGCGCAGGCGTGACGCAATCGGCCGCAGGGGAAGGAGGAGAGGGGAGTGAAGACGAGCTGGACGAGGGAGATGAGCGACGCTCTGGCGTGCGGATGACAATTGCAGTGGAGAGACAGACGCTGGGTCGCGCGGGGCGCATACTGGTGCTTCTGGTAGGAGCGATCCTACCTAGAAGTCTGCAGATGCTCTTTGGGCATGGCCATTGAGTGGTCTCAGGCTGGTTCGCTCTGGGTCGGAGGAGCGTCTTTGGTGAGCCATTGGCAGCTCTGCTGATTCGCAAGAGCCTGCGTCCCTGGAATTGGAGGTGGGGTTAGACCTTTCTGTATGTACCCAGACACTTACACACACACACATCGACGCACATGTCCACATCCTTTCTTCATCCAAATGTCACGGAATCTCTATCTACACATTCACAATGAACCCTCACGCCCGGGCCGAGCTGTACTTCTTGACCTCCTTCACCTCTTAGACCCTTGCTACTCCCGAGACGTGCCGCCTGTTCCGCTTCCGACTCCGGGAAAAACGGGAGGACTGAGGCATGGGGCGGGGGGGTTCCTGCAGCCAGCCGAGTCGAGTCGAGTCGAGTCCGGAAGGGAAGGGTTCGGGCTCGGCTCAATTTTTATCTTGCAGGGCAGGGCACACACGGGGAGGTAGAGTAGAGGAGAGGAGAGGAGAGGTACGCAGATCCACATCTCCAACGACGACCTAACATCAAGAGGAGCCTGAGATAGCTTAGAGCTATAGCCACGAGCTGAACTTGGTATAGTAGAGTAGAGCAGAGTGCTCGCTGCCCTTCTTCAATACTTTGCGGGTCCTCCCCTTCCTCCTCTTCCTCTTTCGCCGAGTCACGCCGACCTCTCTGCAGATCCGCATATACGCTGCATCGAGGCGGTCAAGCTCAGTTGTATTGCAAGCTACACCAGTGGAGATACCGTATCCTCAATTGCAAGCATTTCCAGGGACAGACTCGTATCTCCCTCTTACGCTCCTTTAGTCTCTCGCATCCTCGGCAGACTATAGCAGTCCCCTGCCCTAACTAGACTAGCTGCAGTACGACCACGCCCTTTCCCGATTGCTCCGTCTACTACCTCTTGCAATATGGCCTCCTCCTTCGCCTCCTCCTCTTCCTCAAAACCCCCGCCTTCAACATCCCTGGAATCAGCCAGCCCTCCCCCTGCCTCCTCCATCCCCTCTCTGCGTTCTCCACCCCTCCCCTCTCAAGCAAAAAAGACTTCTTCCTCTTCCGCTTCACGTCCCTATCCCTTTTATCTAGGTGGTCTAGCAGCAAGTTTTGCAGCCTGCTTTACCCACCCACTAGATGTAGTCAAGACTCGCATGCAGAATGCATCGAGTAAACAGGGAATGTTTTCTGCTCTTGCTAGGACGGCAAAGGCAGAAGGAGTGTCCGGACTTTATGTAGGATTGACGGCGAGTTTGAGTAGACAGATGAGTTATAGTCTTGTCAGGTGAGTCAAAGGCAGTGAGCACAACGCAGGGGCATCTGGCGGCGGATAGCTGATAAGCAAAGTCATCTTCCCACGACGGTGTAGGTTCGGCGTGTACGATGCTCTCAAGGAGCGAGCTTCCCGTACGCTTCCCCCTGGCCAGAAGAACCTCCCAGCATGGAAGATGGGTCTATGTGCAAGTGCAGCAGGCGCCGTGGGAGGTGTAGCAGGTAACTGGGCCGATGTCCTCCTAGTGCGGATGACCTCTGATGTGCTCAAGCCAAAAGAGCAACGCTTTGGCTACTCGAATGCCCTGAGCGGTGTTGTAGTCATGGCTCGCGAAGAAGGCATCGGCTCCCTCTTCCGTGGTATCGTACCCAATGTCACTCGTGCAGTGCTAATGAACGCTAGTCAGCTAGCCACGTATGATCTCTTCAAGACTGCCCTTCTGGACTCGGGGTACTACAAGGAAGGGACCTGGCTACACTTTTCTTCGAGTTTCCTGGCAGGGACAGTAGCTACAACAGTGTGTAGTCCGGCCGACGTGATCAAGGCGAGGATCATGGCTGCAGATGGAGGAGCAGCAGCAGTGGTGGATAAGCTACGGCAATCTGTCAAGCAGGAAGGGATTGGGTTCCTATTCAGGGGGTGGAGTCCAGCTTGGATTCGTTTGAGTCCGAATGTGAGTCTTGCGCTGAAGGATGACGCGGTCTGACTGCTCACCATGTAGCAAGTACTGACACGCCCCTTATTTCCCCTGCTACCTATGGTACAGACGATCATCATCTTCATCACCTTGGAGAAGATGAAGGCCTTTGTCGACTGGCAAAGGCAAAAGACCGGAGCGGCCACAGAGGGAGCTCTCCGGTGAGATTAGGTTCACACGAAATGTTCAGACTCCTGAGCCAAGTCAGCATCAGAAGCCAATCACATTCAAAGTGACGACCTACTTTCAGCCAGGAGGGACAAAAGGGCTTCAAAAGAGAGGAAGGAGGAAAGAGCAGGGGCTCTCGTACCCACCCTGCTCAGAGCTACACGTTCAGACTCTACAAATGTGCACATTTCAAAAAAAAACAACAACACAAAGATTCCCCCAATCCCTGTCACTTTCCACATTGAAGCAGAAACAGAGACATCCCTGTCACTTTCCACATTGAAACGAAGACAGAAGCAGCCGGACGCATCGTAGACTTCAAACACAGCAATGCATCACCTTGACTTATTCGCCAAAGTATCTATCATGTTCACTCTCACACTCACGCTCACGCTCATGCTCACACGCACGCCGCGCTGATTTACATGTGGAAATCTACATTGAGTGTCATGGTGTCTGGATGTATGTATGGAGAAATGCGTGACGGATGAAGGGGAAATGGACCAGATCTGAGTTGGCCTGAGCTGAGCTGAGCTGAGCTGAGCTGAGCTGAGCTGACAATAGCTGTGTGCTGTGCGAGCGAGGGAGGGTCGTAATGGAGTACATGGTGGTCTGGTGGTCGTAATGGTACAAGATTCTAACAAGAAGTGGGAACGGATAGTGGAGCCTCTCGCTCTGTCGTCTGGTCTGTTTGCCGTCGTCGTATCGTAGCGTAGCGTAGCGTAACGTGTAGTGTCGTATTCATCTTCCTTATTGTTCGAGCCTTTGAAAAGGCTTGGTCTCGTTTTTCCTCTGCGAGAGCCGCTCCTTTTATTGACAGCTTCCCGAGGACCTTCTACTCGCGGCGATCGAAGTAGCCACCATCGCCAGGAAGGTCGGCCAAATTCTCAACGTCATACCCCTCATCCTCGCTATCGTCTTCGCTGTCGTCGTCATGTTCGTCGTCTAGATTATCAAAAGCGAGGGCATCAAAGTGGTCGTCGATGAGGAGGAGATGCCCATCGTCGTCTTCGCCTTCAACGAAAGGGTCGTCCATGTCCAGGTCCGGGGCGCCGTCTCCGAAAATGCCTGCATCCGCGAGGCGTTGGAGCCCTCGCTCACCGACACGGACGGGAGCATCAGGATTTCCGTTATCGAGTCGCGGTACATCGTCGAGGTTCAGCTGCGGGGCTGCCGGTCTGAACCTGAACTGTGCTTGTCTTTCCTGTTCCACATCAATATCGAAGAGCCAGGCCAGCTCATCTTTGGTGAGGGTGTCTGCCTCAGCATTCGCTACTGGTCTCTCGCTTGCAGCTCGTCTCTTGGCTAGCTGGACGATGCGCTCCTCAATAGTGTCTTCCGCGACCATCTTGAGCGTCGTAGTGGGGCGTGTCTGACCGATACGGTTGATACGACCGATGGCTTGCGTCATGAGCGCTTCGTTGAGGACTGGCTCGACAATGATGGCGACATTGGCAAAGTTGAGCGTCAAGCCAGCCGCTCCTTCGCTCATCTGATAGTTTGAGAGAGCAGCAATTGATGGTCAGAGGAGAAGCAAGAGCACGACTGTCTAGTGTCTCGCACATACTCACCTTCATAGGGCAAAGCAAGACAGGAGGACCAGTCTCATCTCTGAAATTGGTCAGAGCCTCCTGCTGAGCAGTCGAGGGGCCCGCGAAGACAGCACACTGCAGTCCAATAGCGGTCAAGCTCTGGTAGACTCTGTTCAACATCTTGCTGAACAGGGAGAAGATGACAACCTTGGTCGTGGGATCCTTTGCCAGCCGGGTCTTGACCTCGGATGCGATGCAGTTGATCTTGGATCCGTAATCGAGAGCGCGGAGATCAGTATTGTCCTGATTCGTGCCCTTGACTGCCTGTGTGATGTCGTCTACGCCCTTGTAGGGGCGGCGACAGGTGGGACATTCGTTGGTGTTCTTGCGCGACATCTCGACGAGACATGGGTAGCATGCTGAATGCAAGCAAGGAAGTACACCTGCAATGACAGGCTCTTCGAGGCTGGGAGTCCAAAGGGATAAATGTATTATCAGTCTCATTTGCACATCCTCGATCGGACACCTTCCTGCCATACAACTCACCAGATTGGGCAATGTCCGCCCTCATCAGGATCGTCGCTAGCTTCGCCGTCGTCACCTTCTTCGTCTTTGTCTTTCTCCTTGCTCTCTGGCCCGAGCACCTCTGCTAGTCGATTTCGGTTCCACCTGAGCTCGGCATGAAGCTTCGTCATCTGCACTTGTATGCTCATGACCTTGCTGTGGATAGCTGCGAAGGTTCGTCTAGGTATCCAGGTCCACATCTGCTCTTCTGCACGGACGCCATCCTTGCCTCCTCGAAGCCTGTTAACGAAGACAGGCTCGGTGCCCTCACCTTGACCTTTGATGGCCTTGAGCGCAGCTTCTTGCGATTCTTTGCCTGTGCCTACGATCTTCTCAAGCCAAGCGGGATCCTCGACGGTGCCTACGTCTCGGGCGACTGGATGGTAATATTTCTGCTTTCTGGCAGGCACGTCCCTTGCCTGCACGAATTTCTTGCGGAAAGTCAAATTGGTGACGCGATCTGGGTCGAGATAGGCAACGGGCCTGGCAGGTTCTCCGAGGGCGAATTTGATCCAGTAAAGTGCTTCGGGGATGCGCAACGCTGTCTGACGCTCGGTTCCTGAACTTAGTGTCTCACCACTGAGGACGGTATCGGTTTCAATGGCGTCTTCGCAGAACTTGGCAGACTGTAGCAGGAGCATGTCGACACCATCCTTGCTGAAGTGGCGACCTTCCTCGAGCCAATACGTGTTGTCTCCCCAGGAGTCAGTGTCCATGTCCTTGTCGACGTAAGCCTTCCGCATCGCATTTGAGACGAGAGCCTGGACAGCATACATGATTTTGCAAGCATTGAGCTCGTCCTGAGTCTTGCGAGCCAGCCGTCTGAAGATGCTTTCGAAGCTCGCAATGTTGGAGTAGCCAAGGTCAGGAGCAATGGAGGGATGTGAGATCAGCTTCCTCAGATTCATGACCAGCTCAGGGTCTGTCAGCTTCCGATCGTTGGTTAGAGCCCTGGCAATCGTGTCCCTCGTCTTCGTGTACTGCCTCTCGCGAATGCTCTGCTCGAGCCCAGTCGCCTTCACCTTAATCTCCAGCTCCTCATGCATTGGCAGAACGATTTGCGCGTCGACGTCAGCGCGCTCGTGTCGCCACATGATCTTGGCGCAAAGACCGCGGAGACGGCGAACCGACTCGGCATCGCCTCGGTAGAATGCAGCTTCGATCAGCTCAGCAAAGACGGCACGAGCCTTGAAGAGGTCTATGTCAAGGTAGGTACAGATGGCACTGAGATCTTTGGGCTGGTTCAGAGGCGTAGAGCTGCACAACCACGAATTCGATCGCCAAAGCGCGTTGCACATCTTTGCCAAAGGTGAGCTGGCTGCCTTGGCGGCAAACAGCTGAGATTCGTCCGCCACGATTCTCCACCAGAACACCTCCAAGAGAGGAGAAATAGATCGATCGATTCTATTGTCGTATTTTGCGCACGTACTGCGCGAGTAGTCTCTTGAGAGGTCTTCGTAGCTCACGAAGACAATGAGGATTCCCTCTAGTTTCCTCACCATTTCTGCAACGGTGACCCCTTGAGGGTCAGTCTCCTTCCAAGTGGGCTCGTACAGGAGGATGGGAGAGGTGGGCAGATGTCGCTGACATTCCTGAATCCACTGTGGCAAGAGCGCCTGGGGAGCAATGATGAGAGTGGCAACCGAAGTGACGGGCCTGTCTTCCGGAGCCTTCTCAGCAATGATACGGGCACTGAGCGAGTAATCTTCGAAGCAGTCAGGCCTTTGGTGCGCAGCAACGAGAGACAGAATTTCCAACGTCTTTCCAAGACCAAGCTCATCGGCTAGTATACCACCAGGAGTGTTCGGACTGGAGAAACAGAACTCTGTTCGGCTGAGCATGCCTGTGACCACATCGATATAGAAGTGTCGAGGAGACCTTTCTTCCTCGATCCTTGCGTCTGTTTTCGCCTTTTGCTCGCTCATACGAAGATGCTGCTGGGATGGGCCAGCAGCCGAACGCTTGCTGCCTCGCCGCGCTTTCTTCGACGGCGGTGGAGCTCCTTCGAAGCTTTCTCCAATTTTCTTCATGGCGAAGGAATACTGTTCGATGCAAGAACACAGCTCGATGCCCCTGGTCTTGATGCGAAGCCAGTGGGGCATGGGCATGCCAATGTCTTCGTCGACTGATGTCTCTCGTGCGATCATCCAGGCCAGAGCTTGCTGCTGAAACTTGTAGAGAGGCGTAGCAACAATGTCCTTGGGGGGTTCTACTGTGGGAACCTCCTCGGAAGGTCGGCAGGCACGCATCAGCGAGTTGATGGTCACGGACAGTGGCAGGTAATGCTCGCGCTCGATTGGATCAGTGGGTAATACCTCCTCTATGGACTTCCTCCCAGACTTGGCAGGCTGTGGCTTCTCCAGTATCGCTTCTTCAGCCTTGGTCGACTTCATCTTAGGCCTAGGAGGCGGCGGCCTAAGGTCGGCGACTGTGCGCAGCGGTAAACTGAGCTGACGCTCGGGCAGTGTGTAAAACAGCTGACTTGCTTTCCCATAACGTCTTGGTCGCCACCAGTCTTCGGTGGCGTAGCTCCTGTCGATCTCGATGTGAGCACAACAGCCGTCGTGAACGTCGTTGGGGGACGAGTTCAGAATGCCTGCAATGAACCGCCTCAATCGTCCTGCCCCTGGTCTTGCCTTGGCGACGATGCCTCCCTCCTCTGGTACTTGACCATACTCTAGCATCTTTGTAGGAAGGACAAAGTCTACTGACAGCGTCGCCATGAGGTGCCAAACCTTTCTGCCTTTGTTGTCGACGAAGTATGCGTCCTGAGAACGCCAGTGTGAGGAACCACGTGAGAGTTGTCTGTCAGAGAAGAAGGGTCGTTGAAGAATGATGTATGCATTGCGCGGAATGATCCATTCCTGGTCTATAAGGCAAGGGCTGAAGTTTCTCAGAGGATGGTCTTTGTCGCGAGGGGAAGCCAAGTCCAGGTAGCCGAGGTTGAGCACAGTATCCGGGGAGATGGCCTTTGAGTCGGGGCCTTTAGCAGCCCTATACTCGTTGTTGAGACGCTGAGCTACATCCTTGGGGGCGTAAGCGATGATGGCCAGACGTCCTACGCCGACGGCTTCGCTCTGCTTGCCGCCTCCGATCAGCTCAGCCTCCAGGTAGAAAGGATCAAGCTTCGACTTGCGCTTGCGGGCAGGACTGGGTACTGTCTTGCTAGAAGACGAGGCTGAAGAGTTTTCCTGCTTGATGGGCGTGTTCAGAAGTGTATTAGCGACGAGTGCTGCCGTAGAGGGCGGCTGACTGCCGGAAGCCTCAGGAGGCCTTTCGGCCAGGGGCACGGCCTCCTCGGTCAGCTCTTCATCCGGGTACCACTTCTGGAGGACTCTGATGACATCTTCGTAGCTACTGGAGTGGAACAGTCGCGTGGTGTAGCCTGTAGTCCTGAGGAGATCTACTCTGTAATTGGATCCCAGGTGGTACTTGAAGGTGCACAGGCCGATTGCATCTTGGACCTCTTCGTCCTCGTCCTCGTTGGACTCTTCAATTTCCTCTTCTTCGACCGTCTTTGACTTGCTACGGGCTCGTGCGGGATCTTCGGGAGGCGACGAGGCGCTTGCTTTGCTTTCTACGCTGAAGTGTGCTGAGCTAGGGGGCCCGCGGCCATCGTCTTGGTCTGGCTGATGATCTAAGCGGGGCCGACGACGAGGAGGCATGTCGGCGGGGGTAAGTGTGGCCTTGTCAGCCGGGATAGTGGGAGGGGAAAAGGTGGTCTAAGGTGAATTGAATGGAATGAAAGGGGGGATGATGGAGGTGGAAGTGGCAGGGGGGGACAGAGGGTGAAGAGGGAAGGACAGGGGCAGAGGCAGCCTTTGCAGAGGTGAGGTGGAATGTCCATCGTCAGTCCGTCTTGTCGTCCGCCGGAATGACTTGGAGTGGTCAGTGTGCTGATTGCCCTGCCATTGTGCTCCTCCACTCCCGTCGCGCCTCTTTCCGTGTGCGTGTGCGTGTGCAGGGTTGCAACTCCGCCCATCTGCCCTGACTGGGCTGGGCTTGACCTCGGCTGCACGCCTTTTTCCCCACAGTCATCGTCGCCTCCGCCATTGCTTCCTCCTTCATTTGTCCTCGCCATCATCGTCCGCCTGCTCATCCTCACCACCGCTCCTCACACCACATGTCTGCGCTGCTGTCTCTCTTCTCCTGTTGCGTCCCTGGACGGCGGTCACCTGCCTCAAGCTCAGAAAATGCGGTGAGTACAGGGAATGCATCCATCCTCTGAACACGGCACTGACTCTGATGCGATTCTGAATGCCTTTCTGCGTTGACCGATAGGACTCGGAGCGGACTCCTCTGCTCCGCTCCAGTCCTTCAAGAAGTCCCAACCAATCAGCATCGCATCTCTCAGATTCCAAAGGTGGACCATCAGCTATAGCAGGTGCGGGCGCTCCCTCTTCTCCCGCCAATCAAGGCGATGACCCTGCAGGAGCAGCAGGAGCAGCGAGCAAGCCAGCATATACTACCGAAGATCTAGCGAGCATCACTGGCTGGGCTAGAGCAAAGTTTATTCCATTGAAGCAGCCCAATGTACTCTCCGAGAGGACGGTGGACGAGAAGGGGAAGAGTAGGGGGGCCTTGCTAGAAGAAGTGGAGATGGACAAGGCAGAGTTGGCCAGTGTGGGTCAGGTGAGCAACATGGAGAAGAGGATCATGCGCTTCGTAGAAGATGCAGACGATTGTCTCACTTTTGATCCCTTTTCTGTCCTTCCTCGCCGTACAGCCCGATGATCAGCTCAAGTCCTTGATCGAGAAGCTTGCGAAAGGGCTCGCCTTTGATGGCTGGACGGGACAAGAGACCGACGACAAAGAACGAGATCGAGATGCAAGATCAGAGTCGGGTTCAGAAGCCGGAAAGTAGCGCCGAACGAGTGGCCTAGACCGACATCACCACCGCATACTTGCTGTTGCTCCGCTCAAGTCTGCTCCAGCTCTCACTTCAGTCTATACCCACGCCGGGCGACTCATCGGACCCCGTGCATCAGCAATATGAGAACATTCATTATCGTAGCGAGGCCCTTGGATTGTAGGCGATAAGTCAATCGAGAAACAGCATAGCAAGAAGTCGAGCCCATGTCCTCCTCACATCCGTTGTATACTCAAGGCATCCTCGCATGTCTCCTCACCCACTCCTTTCCACCCTCCCACCTCCACGCCTTGCCCTCTGACTTCCACAGATCCCACATCACCTGCGAGTAGTCGCGGTAGACATTGGGCTCCTTGAGATAGTGGAGGGAAATGGTGGAAGTCGTCTTTGGAAAGGTCCAGTTGTCGAACCAGGAGCCCATCTGGATCGAGTAGCTGTGCGTGCACAGTGGGGGAGAGGGGCAAAGGAAGTGAGACGACTGTAAGTGATAGCGCTGGGGAGACGTCGTCCACTACTCCTCCTAGGTGGTGTGGAAAGGGGCAAAGACTCACTCCAGTGTAACGACGGGCTCCCTCTCTTTATCCAAGCTCAGCAAGTAAGCACCCAATCTCGCATCCTCATTCCCCCACGTATCCTCCTCGCGCAGCTCCTCTCCTCCTCCCAGCCAAGCCACCAGGGGCCAGCTGAGCACATAGCCCAATCCACCAAAGTGGAAGGGAAAGTCCTGCGCACAGCCCCAGGCAGTGCCGATGTAGAGAGAGGTTTGACAGGAGAGGGGAGCGAGGAGAGAAAGGAGATTGGGGATCACGTGGAAGGTATCGTCGTCCGTCTCTGCCGCACCAGGAAGAGGAGGATGGTCAGTCAACCAAAAAGGTGCTCTTGCATTGCCACTGCTCACTCACTCATTGCGAAGCGAGGAGGGCGATTGTCGGAGCGCTTTTGCGCTAGCCAGCGAAAGTACTGGTATGTCTTGCCCTCGGTGATGTTGTCCTCTAGGTCACTACTCGGAGGGACGCACACGGGACCAGGAGGGAAAGAAGGATGTCAATAGGCTTGAACTCGGTGTAGTCTCAGCCCTCTTCGGTACACTCACAGTAGTACGATATCTCCAAAGCGCTGTTGCTCCTCGGCGAGGAGGTGCATCATCTTCACCTGCTCCCTCGCCAACGCAACGTCCTCTTCCTTCCACCCACCAAATCTTACTGGCACTCTCCTCCTCCAAAACCCCATCATCTTAGCCCAACCAATCCACTGCACTAATCTGGTCCCTCTCAGCCGTCCCAGTAGATTTTCCGTATCCCGTCTTTTGATCCCATTCCAACTCACGAAGCTCCCATCGTTGGGACTGCCCAAGTGCCACCTGCGCATCCAGGGATCCCCCTTCGTCTTCCAATTCAGCGTCCCATCCCTGATCATCCTAATCGTCTTTCCCCAACCGCGCGGGTAGCCCAGTATGAAATTCCACTCGAGCACACCAGCAGGCACGCCCATATCCCCCCACTCGTGCGAAGGATGGGTGAGATTCCGTCCCTCGTCCCCTCCCTGGTGAAGCTGGTACCGCTCCTCCTGGTGAAAATGCGGTAATTGCCGGCGGCGGATCAGATCCCTCATCTCCTCCTTGCCCTGCCGCACCGAAGAGAAGATTCCCATGAACAGCAGTGGCGAAGAGCTCGTCGCCCCCGCTAGTCCCGGCGCCAGACCCTCCCCGTAGAAAGGATGACTCTCCTCATTACATGCGAAACTCGAAGGAGGTGCATGCCGCTGCTCGTCTTGCAGCGCGGGAATACTCTCGTTGTGCCACCTCGGGTGGGGGTTCCAGTCTGCGTCGGGGTAGAGGGCTACGCGTGGGAATTGGGAGGAGGGGAGAGACCAGGGATCGGACCACCAGAGGGGGCTTTGCAATGAGTGCAGATTTCGTCTGAAAGGCGTCTCTTGGGCCGAAGAGACAGCCTTTTCTTCTGTATGCCGAGGGAGAAAGCACCAAGTCATTCCCAGGAGGAAAACAAGCAGGAGTCCTCCCGCTAGCAGACGACGGTACCGTCTCAGCCGTGTCGAGGAAGTGAGGAGCAAGCGGTCCCGCGGGTAAGAAGAGCGGTGCCTCTGCTCGCGTTTGAGCTTGGGAGAGACGCATCGCGGGGAGTAGGGGTCGGGTTGGTAGGAAATGGTGCGTAGGTGCACCATACCTGGCCGTCTAGAGAGGGAGTGGGCCGGACTTGGCGGCTGGGTCTGATGATGGATGGGCAAGGAATCGGCACAGCTGCGTGGCGATGGTGTAGACACTCTGTCTCTTTTCAGCCAGGAATCCAAGCAGCACTGATACGCACGAACAGGGTACGGATCTCTTCAGTACAAATCGTTATGTACCATTACCCTTGCCGCCTGGGAGGCATGCTCGCAGCCTGGCGGAAGCCTAGTGCCCAGGGCCCTGCCTCCCCCCAAATGCCCTACGCAGTGCCGGCCCGTCATCTGCTTGCTCCTACGTCCCTGGCCCTGGCCCTGACCCTGGCTCTTATTGCTATTCCTACTGCCCTTTGTGTCGTCATTGCTGTCGCTCTGTGCTGTAACGCCGTCGCATTGCAATTGGGACAGCCCTGAGCGGGACTTATCGACTTCCGGTCCGATAAATGCAATCTAGGGACGGACGGAGACGGAAGCAGACTCACTGTCTGTACGAGCCCCTTTCAAAGGTCGTAGGCTAGGGACAGCTCAGGTCACGAACACGCTCAGCTGAGCTCAGCTCAAACGGAACTACTTTTTCACACTCTGTATTAGCCAGCCTCAGGTCGTAATTTTGACATATTGAGATGCGACGATGAACATGAGCTGAGCAGAGGAAGAGAGTGGTGAGGAGATCTACGGGGGCAGAAAGGAGCGAAGGGTGACAGGGAGCCTATTGACAAGCGCTAAGTCGCCACCTAGGCTCCGAAAGACAGTGGTTGCTTGGGAGCGCCTACCCTTGCAAAGGTGAGAATATGGTCTAGTGGGTCGGCAAGCAGAGTTTGATGGATCAGTGTGACTGCGCGAGCTACCGCGCGCTCCCCTCCTCCCTTTTGTGTCGTGCTCACCTCCAATCTGATTCTCCGTGAATCCCCTCTCGCAGTAAGTGAAGTAGTAAAGCCACTTCCTCTTGAACACCTCCACCTCCTTATCCCTCTTCTCCTTTGGCAGATTCCTGATCGTAGCATGATCCTTCAGTAGAGCCTCCCTGATGCCATCCTCCCCATCAAATGAAGCTTCAAAGCGTTGTCTCCACTCCCTGAGGGTACGAGCATAGTGTGGTCCGATAGAGTCGACGGCCTGGAGGATCATAGTCCCTTCTGATCCAGCCGTCATGGCCGTGACGAGGGAAGTGACCGAGGGCAGGACACCTCCGGGGAAGATGTACTTCTTGATGAAGTCTACACCCTTGACGTAGGCTTCGAAGCGGCTCTCGGGCATGGTGATGCACTGGAAGACGGCTGTGCCAGTGTCCATCTTTAGCACCTTGTGGATGGCGGCAAAGTACGTCGAGAGGAACTCGATGCCGACTGCCTCCAGCATCTCGATGGAGACGACTCGATCGAAAGATCCCTCCCACTCTTTCGGCATATCCCTGTAGTCCAACAAGTGAACGCGGATCCGTTGCTCGAGACCTGCTTCCTTGATGCGAGCTTCTGCGAGCGATTTTTGCTCCTTGGAGAGGGTAAGGCTGTCCACGGTCACGCCAGGGACCATGTTGCATGTCTCCATAGCTAGCGATCCCCACCCTGTGCCGATCTCGAGCACTCGATCACCAGGGGAGATCTGGCAGCGCGAGATGTGCAGCCTGAGCTTGGTAATCTGCGCTTCTTCCAGCTCATCGATTGGCTGAGACGAGTCTGACTGTGGCGAGCCCAGACCTGAGTCCCGGGGAAGCTGCGGGCCCTTCGAACTCCTCGCCTTCGTAGGCCCAGCACTGCGGAGAGAGTTGGCGGCTGCCAGCGGGACGGGGGGAGCGACGTCTGCATCTAGCGAGGGGTAGATTCCACAGCTGTAGGTCATGTCCCTACTCAGGAAGCGCTCGTACATTGCATTAGACTGGGAGTGACGGTCAAGGCGGAGGCGAGAAAAATCAGCTGAACAGCTCCAACGGAGGGGGGAAAAGCTGTCTCTCGCACTCACAATGTCGTAATGGGCTCCAATATTCTTCAGGCTACCGCCCTTCGTGTTGGCATACCGCTTGTTGAGCTGGCCTTGGATATAACCCGTCACTCGCGAGGCAACTCCCAGATCTAGTTCTGAAAGTGCAGCTCGATTGTGGATGAAGAGCTGGCAGAGCGAGACAGTGAAGGGTCAGTCTGAGCGTCAGTCACGCTTGCTCAGTCCTACAATTCCTGCCTTCTTTGCCGCGGCTTGCCTGGCAGAGCTCGCAGCCCGAGGCTTGCGACTCACGCTGAAGCAATCTCCTAAGTCAGGCGTCTCCACTTCTCCTGCCATGAATGCTTCGGAGAAGCCCAGATCGGCGCCAAAGAACATCCTGACCCAGAAGGTATCATCCTTGACCACTAGGGTGGCCTTGATAGGGGTGGCCTCATTCAGTGGTCCTTCGCTAGAGTGGGAAGAGGAAGAAGCCGACGAGGAAGAGGCAGTGGAAGTGGAAGACGAGTGGGCCGTCTGTTGCTGCTGCTGCTGCGCTACAGCCACGAGTGATTGATCACCAAAGCGGTACGTGGTGCCATCTGAATCCTTGATGGTGAGCAGTCCGACTTGCAGACGGGAGAAGAGGGAATTGACCGAGGACCGCGCGAGGGATACGAGGGGTGACCAGCCGTATGACGCGGCTACTCTTGCTGGGAGGGCGAGGAGCGTCGAGGGGGGCGAGTCTGCGACGCCGGATATCATAATGGCAACCGAGAGACGGACGTTGCAAGGTGGAAATCAGGTGAGCAGGAAAGAAGCGCCAGACCAAAGGCAAGTGGGCAACAGGGAATGAGGGTATTTAGGAAGAACGCAGGAATAGGAAGCAGCAGAATGGAACCACGACGACGTGAACTGAGCTGTGCTGAGTCGGAGTGGAGTGAAAGTGGACCCTGGTCAAGCAAAGGAAGAAGCCAAGGTGAGGGGGGATGACAAAGGCTATGGTGTGGAAGGGGAGGGCGTACAGCTGGGGCCCAGGAGGCCAGGCCACTCGAAGCGGTGGGAAGTAAATTGGCCCGGCAATCACTTCTCGTTCGTCGTTCGCATGGGGCCACAGCGCGTGTGTGGAGAGAACGAAGGAAGCCAGCCACACACGCACGGGGCGCACACCGGGCTTACCTCAGCCTGCTTCCGGCCCTGCGTCCGCCCCGCTGCCCCAATTCCGCCCTTAAGGCCGCGACGCCCCCTCCACTCTCAGTCGGCGGGCTCCGTTCCGACTCGCCTCGTACATGCACGGCCCCGACGACCGGCGCATGCCTGGCCCGAGCGCAATGCTCTACGAAGCGAACTTGTATTACTCTTCCTCTTCTCCCTCGGCTTCTCCTTGAGGTACGACTTCGGGGCCCAATCCGAGAAGTAGCCATTGGCTCACTGACTTCCAACATAAGGTACACTTTCAGAGCATCGACACCTGCCTGAATTCTACGACTTTATCGATTCTACGACTGCAAAAGGAAAACATAAAAATGGTGCGGGCGTAAGACATAAGGAGAAGGAGAAAGTGGTGGTAGACGTGGACACGGCAAGCAATCGCTTGCAGGTCGTGTCCAATCCGGGTAGTAATATCGTTCTGGAGTCACCTGGGCGGTCGATGTCTGCTGCTCCTCCTCATTCTCACAACTGGGAATCCGAAGTAAAGATGACGGCCGAAGAGTCGTGCACGGGCAGCGGGTCCGCCACATTCTCTTCCTCTCTATCTCCCTCCTGAGGCCCCTCCTCCGCCTTCTCTTCATTGGTAGTGGAGCTTTCACTGACACCACCGGCAGCAGCGCCACTGGATCCACTACTCCAGAGGGCTCTGGCCCGAACCGCAACGATCCGCGTCTCGTCTTGGTTCTTGACCTCGTGCACCAGCACATCCAGGGAAACGTCCTGCCCCCCTTTCTCTTGCACAGAGGCCGCGTGCTCCTCGTCTTGTGCCGTGAGGGCAGTATGGACTGCGCTGGTCCGCACACGCACAAAGATGCGCTTACTGGCATTGGGACCCAGACTGATCGTCACAGTCGACGACACTCGCTTCAGCCGAGCTGAAGCTGGAGGCGAGACAAGGGTAGCGCGTGCAGAGAGATCCTCCGCGGGGGTGGACTTGGCAGTGACTTCTGTTGAAAGTGCACCTTCCGCCTCTTGCTCATCAGTAGAGGGCTGTGAGGCCTGGGCAGGCGGCGAGGCAGGCCTCGAGGAACCTGCACTCAGCGGAGTAGGCGGTGCTGCTCCTCCGCCCGTCTTGACATTCAGCTCGGCCAGTCTCCCTTCGTACTTCTTGATCTTGTCTTCTTGGCCTTTGCGATTGGCAATCTTGAGCTTCTGAGAGATGTGCTCTACTTCTTCTGCAATCGAAGTCTCCTCTGCCTTCGTCAGCGTTGTACGAGTTTGGTCTTCGTCGGACGTGGAGAAGACCAGATCCATGATTGTGCGCTGGTGTCGCAGATCGCTCGAGTCAATGGCAACAACAAAGGTCCTTGCCTTGCTCGTCGTGTTGGAGATGCTGAACGATTGCGCCTCGGTGAGCTTGCCCGGGCGGCATTCACCAAAGTCGATGGCAGCGGGCTCTACAGCAAAGTTCGGCTTCTTCCTCACAGTGGCTTTGAGGAACACCGTCAAGTCTCGATCTCGATCGGCTACATTCTCGATGATCAGCTTCTCTTGATACGCCCCTGTAAGCGAAGGAGAGAAGATGAACTCGACTTCGCGCTTGCCATGTGCTGAGACCACACCATATCTGCCAGAGCTCAGCTTTATGTCCCCACTGGCAATGCTTCCGCTCTTGCGGATGCAGTACCGTGCCGACCATTCGGATCGATTATGAATCAAGATCTTCTTCGTCTTCGTCTCACCCTTTTCCATCTGTCCGAAGTTGATGTGAGGCTGACCGAGCTCGAGCAGTGCACGGCAGACTGTAGTACGTACCATCAGGTCACGAATTGGAAGCTCGTCCCTCTCTAGAGTTGCCATGGCAGAAAACTCGATAGATGCTTTGACCGCCTCAACATCGTAGTCCATCAGACGTAAGAAGATGCGAGAATCTTGCTTCCGTGCAGTGCCAAGAATGTGAGGGCGGGTGCTGCCGTTCGGGCTGAAGACTGCAACGACCTGACGCTCCTCGCCCGGAGGAACCCGAAGCATGCTGAGGGGGACCAGTCGCCTAGTCTCGATCGCTCGCCTCAGCTCTCTCTGCAAGTTGATCTCGGTGCGCACGTGTTTCTCCTCAGCCTGGGCGCTATTGAAGAACAAAGTGCTCAAGGCGTTTGGCTGGGACTCGAGAGCCGCCAGAAGCTCATCGAGCGACAAATTCGAGACGTCGGTGGGGTCGAGAGCTGTCTGCTTGATTTTTCTCTTGGCAGTGAGAGCCGGTGAACGCTGCTGACTTTCTCTGACGGTGTCATCGGAGTGGAGACCTGCGACCGGGCGTGAAGGTGTGCCAGCTTTGCTCTTGATGTCATTTGCAAGGGCATTAGGCAGTCGCTTTGCAACAGGCGTTGCAACCGCTGAATTGGTGTGACTTGGAGTAGCCTCTGCAGTATCATCACCAAGCTCTGCTGTTGGTGCTGACAAGGTCTGGTCATCTGCAGCCTTCGCACTTTTGGCGGATCGCTTTGTCGTCTCAAGCTGCTCAAGGAGTTGGAAGCAACGGCTCTTCGTCGAGATTCGCTTGGCGACCAGAGGTGGACCGGTGGCGAGATCCAAAGGTTCAAACTCTTGGATCAATGTCCGATCTTTGAAGGCAACGCCGCAGCCAAAAGGGATGGTCGTGCGACCTTTGCCCCCCTTCTTGAGAACAGTGACAAGGTTCACTTGTCCTCCTTTCTTGCTCTGTGCGCCCGTCCCTGTGCCATTGCCGCCTCCACTGATCTGACCGCCTTCTCGCAGCTCGCCCAGCGCAACAGAAGGGGATGAAACATCCTTTCGATAATGGCTAAGCTTTTGTGCAGTTCGCCACGAAGTGTTCTCTTGACGGATGTGTGCGGGTGTGTCGGAGGAGATCGTCTCCAGAAATCGCTCTTTTAGCTCCGCACCCTTGGCTGCCTTGTTGGCTGGCTGACCATCCTTGCCCTCCTTGGCCGCAGCCAACATTGCCGGCAAAGCTCGAGCCATGACGCTACCACTTGGCTCATGGTCCTCGTAGCCTTTGCCCTTTGCGTGGACGGTTTTCGTGCCTCCAACAGCCTCGGACGCTGCTGACGGGGCGCTGAGATTAGAGTTGGCAGTTTCGTCTGGCATAGCCTTTACATACAGGCCGATGTCCTCTGGATGAGCCGTGCTGATGTCGAGTGTCAGGTTTGCATTCGTCACATTTTCAATAGAAAATGCGCGGATACGAGACGAATTGATGTTGACGTCTCCGAACTCGAGGAAATTCGAGCCATTGGGCGTCAGAATGCGGTAGAGCAGCGAATGGAAGCTAATCCTTTGCTTGTCGACGTTTTTGCTGCGCACTTCAAAGATCTGGTCGTTGCGTCTATTGAGCAGATTGGCCACGGTGATCTGCTTGGAGTAGGCCGCATTCACCCGGCGAGGGGAATGATCGAGACTGAGATGGATACTTTGATGGGCGGGTATCGTCATTTCGTCTCGGTACATACTCAGCACTTTCGAGACGAAGCGTAGGTCGACTCGAGCGCTGAGCTCAGAGTAGTTGGTGACGATAATCTGACTTGACTTCCTCGACCCGACGTTGGTTTCGCCGAGATCAAGCTCTTTTGGCCAGACGCCGATGAAAGAGGTGCATGTTCGATTCCGGCACAAGACCGTTCTGCGCTCTTTCCCTCCCCTCAGGCGTGATCCACCTCCAGCAATGGCCGATCCACCTCGGGCTTTGGCATAATCCAAATTGAGCCGGAAAGTGTGCTCCAGCAGTCGACCCGCGGAGTACGTCTCGTCCAGCTCGCCTCGTACAGGGCTGTAGGAGACGATGATTCTTACTTCCTCACCGGGCCGCATGGTCAGGTCCTCTAATTCTTTCTGTTCAGTTTGTTGTACAGAGCGCAAAGCAGAGGAAGAGGGAAACTGACTACCGCGAGAGTGCATTTTGGCCACACTTGTCACAGACTGCGCCTGTGACGACGTGGGCGCCCCAACAGAGCGGCTTTCTTGTGAAAAGCTCGTACTCTCCGAGGTAAAGCTTGCAACTTCATCCTCTTCAGGTGCCCCTGAGCTGTTTACCCTTTTCCACTTCGAGGAAGCTGTAGATGACCATCCAGCAGAGACCGAACGGGTACCATTTTCGTGTGCAGGCTCGTCTCCCGCAGAGCTTCCGATGCTGCCAGCATCACTCATCTTACTGGCTTCTCGCCAGGCGAGCACGCTAGCCTTAGGACCTGGCTTCTTCTTTGTCGGACCACCGGCACTGCTCGCAGGCGCAGAGGTAAGTGACAGACTGCCGCATGAGTGTATATCCATCTCAGACATCTCAGATTGAGGCACCGGCGATCCCGGCCGAGAACCAGCTTGAGACTGAACGGACGAGCTATCGAAGTCGTCGTTGTCATCGTGCAGGTTGGTGGGCGGCGGGCGAGCTTGGGGCGTCAACGTCATCGGAGTCTTTTCAACGTCGATGCTCCCACCCTCCGAAAGATCGAATGATGGCGGCTCGATGCCAGGAGCTGTCGAAGCATTGTGAGTGGGAGTGCGAATGAGCTCCATGGCCAGACTCCTGTGGGATCCTTCTACACCCAGGGTGTCCGAGACTGGAGCGGCTGAAGTCAACGAATCTGACCTGGGAACGCTGCTAGACACACTAGCTTCCGATTTGGAGCCGTCGCTTGACGCCGCTGTAGCTCCAACCGTTATCTCCTCCCCCTCATGCTCGTAATCTGTGTCTGCTGCAACACCCGCCTGTTGAAAGCGTACTTCGTGACCTTTTTGAGCACTCAACGCTACATCCAACGAATGGTTGGTCGTATTGCGCAGTACCAGTAGCTGGCGAGCCCATTGACCGCCACAGCAGTCGCCGAAATCAAGAGTCTCTCCAGAATCAACAACCAGCGAGGTATCTCGCCCGGCCGAGAGGACGTTCGCCCTGATGAGTAGGCGTATCGAATTCGAGGTATTGTGCAAATTCGTGAAGACGATCAGCTCTTCCATGTCTTGTCCAGCCTGCTCCGGACGGAGGTGGAGCTGGAGCTTGGCGCTGGTACGCGGGAGCAAGATATTGGGCTGGTATGGAACCTCATCAGAACATGCCGACACTAGCTTGACCGCTTCAGACGAGTCAGTCTGAGTGAGAGACACAGCAGGCGAGACGTCTGGGTCATCACCACAGTCTACTCTACCCTGCCAGAAGCAGTCAATGGCCGACTGATTAAGGACATGGAGATCTGTAGCGACCGTTGTACCAGCAATGACGTCTCCGAAATCGACGATGACGACTCCTGAGCGATGCGTAGGGATGTTCTGTACGCCCGACTCGAGATCGACAAGGCTTCCACCCGGCTGACGAATGATCAGCGCGATCTGAGGGCGGCAGAAGCGTGCGCTGAGCTCCAGCCGGAAAGCTTGCGGCTCAACATCGGACACTTCTGTGACAGCCGTCGAGGGGGATGGCCCGCCGCTAGAGCTGAGTAGAGATCCGTGGTTTGAGGGCGGCCTCGAGGATGCTGCAGAGGACTCACTGCTGGTTGCAGACGCCTCGTCGGCACCGACATTTGAAGCGCTGTGAGGGACAGAGTTGAGAGGCTGCTGCAACGCCGGCAGCGGCCAAGCTCGTATGCTCAGTTGACCCTTTACCTCCGTCGGCTCATTGTCTGGAACGAGCAGATCTTGCCGCCGCAGAGTACGATCTATTGGCGATGGCTCAGAGCTGGGAAGATTGTCGCCAGGAGGACCAGGTGAACTTGAGAAGGGCGAAGCGTGTGTATCGGGCGCCGGACCTGAAGAAGGCTGCTTGGTCATCGCAGTGACCATGTGAGTGGAAGTTGCGGTCGAAGATTGGGACGAGGACCTTGAAGGAGCTGAAACTTTGCTGCCAAGAGGTGCAAGTGGGTTCGGCAGCGTGGAGCTGATCATGTTCGGTCTGAAGATGACGAAAATTTCTGTGCTTGCACCACCCTCGAGGATCAGGGAGTCAGCTACCTCGAGGTTCGTAGAGATGGTCCGCAGTTCGCGCAGCTTGGCTGGCGATAGACCATCACCCTTGGCCCAAGCCAGGGTATTTGAGGGCCAGACGAGCTTATCGAGCTCATTCTTTGGCCCTGTTCGTTTCCTTCTCATGAACGACACAGCGTGGCCCAAGTCACTCTGCAAGCGTATCAAGACCGATTTACCCGGCTCCAAGACATTCCTCAATCGCACAGGCTGCAAGCCAGGGGCATGGTTGAGGTACAGGTTCTCAAAGATGACCTTATCGGACTGGTGACGAGAGAAGACCTCGACCAGAGGGGTACCAGCAATGGGCTTAGCCAGGCGTAGAGAAGCAGTCAATGCTGTGCGTTGTCCCTTGTCTGTGTCTTCGTCTTCCGGCTCGGGGGCATAGCTTCTAATGAGTGTGGAGGCTTTTGGAGGGGCAGGTGAGGGAGACGTGGCTGTTGCTCGCAGAGCACGATTGCTGGCCTTGTGACTGAGCCCCGAGGAAGAATTTTGAGATTGCTGAGCCCGCTGCCTTGCGTCACTGTAGTCTCCTGAAGCAAAGTCGGTAGCGCTTGCTAGGTCGAAGCCCCTCGAGTTGGAGGCTTGAGGCTTGCTCTCCTCCGGAGCGCCTACGCCTGATTTGGGAAGCGGCTTCGACCGCTGAGAAGGCAGTGTCGGTCTTCGTGGGGATGGCTTTGGCGCCGAAGGCGGCGCTCCGTCTCCCTCCATGCCGATGCTGCCACGTTCGCCATTGCCAGACCAGTCTCCTGCCGACAGGCTGTCTCTTTGTTGGCTATTCTGACCGCTACGCTGCTCAAGATTGGGCGATCTCACTTCGTTGGCAGATTTTGAGACCTTGCTCCGTTCCGCCGGAGCAGATTCGTCTGGGTGGTCTCCCAAGACCCTTTCGAAGGCACCCACCCACGCCGTCTTCTTGGCCTCGGCTGCACCGCGAGACCCTTCACTAGGAGCTGCTTGGGCTTCATACCGCACAGCTGGCCGAGAGGAAGGGTTGCCAGTGCCAGGCGCAGAGTGAGAAGACATTGCGGGCTAGCTGAGCTGCTGCAGACAGCTGAAAGGGGCGGTGCTAATTGTTTTGCGTCTTGGATGCCTGAAAGGCTTCGACGAGGACGCTCCTCGATGAGGGGAACACCGGCCTCTGTGAGGTTCGAGTAGGCGATTGATCAGAGCATGATGAAGAGCCGGAGGAGATGAAGGAAGAGACCACCTGTAATACGAAGTAAAGGTTTGTCCAAGTCTTTGTCCAGGCTCAAAAAGTACGGAGGCCTTGCAACAGGCTCAGCAGCCCGGCGGTGGAGTACGGGTGAACGACGGGGAGAAAGCTTGACCCCAGTACTTGTGGCGCTGCGGTGTCCTAGCGGCTCGTCAGCGCGAGGATGATGGGAGGTGATGGTTGAAGACGCTGTCGTGTGAGAGGCCCACCCTTGCGAGATGCTCATCTTACCAGCCGTTGCCTGCCATCCACGCCCACCGCCGTCACTTTGCCTCCGGACCTCGAAAAGCCAAGACGGGCATCGGAACCGGAAGCTCGGCTGCTGCAGCACGCGCGGCGACCAGAATCCCGAGCCCGAGTCCCGAACATTATAAGTATTCCTATGTCCGAACCTCCACCCTTCCCCCACACCTTCTTCACCATAGACCGAAACACCATGTCGTCCTCAAAGCAGCCCATCCTCGTAGTCCTCACTTCGCACACGAAGCTCATCGACTCGGACCACGCCACCGGGTGGTACCTTCCTGGTGAGCTCTGGCCGGAAACGTGCTTCTCTTGAGCTCACCGCACGTACTGACTGCACACACCCTCCACTTCTCTTCCGCAGAGCTCGCCCATCCTTACTACCGATTTAAGGAGGCTGGCTACCCCCTCATCTTTGCCTCTCCCAAGGGAGGTGAGGCTCCTTTGGACCAGTCTTCCGTCGACGCCTTCAAGGACGACGAGGAGTCCAAGCAGTTCCTCAAGGACGAGGAAGGACAGAAGCTTGTCAAGAACACGCAGAAGTTGAGCGAAGTGGACCCGGACGTGTCCAAGTACGCCGCCATCTTCTATCCTGGTGGACACGGTGAGTAGCCGATTGCATACTTGTGAAGAGACACTGTACTCATGATCCTCGCCTTCACTCTATAGGCCCCTGCTTCGACCTTCCCCTCGATGAGGACTCTCACCGCTTCATCCGCGCATTCTACGAGACCGGCAAGCCCGTCTCTGCCGTCTGTCACGCCCCTGCGGTCTTCAGTGACGTGAAGCTCAACGACGACAACTACTTCCTCAAGGGTCGTACCGTCACCTCTTTCACAAACGAGGAAGAAGAGCAGGCTGGGCTCACAAAGAACATCCCCTGGCTTGTCGAGTCGCGACTTGAGGAGAGGGGAGCCACTTTCCAAAAGACACAGCCTTGGGGCGAGAAGGTCGTTGTGGACCGCACTTCAACGGGTAGAATCTTGATCACTGGTCAGAACCCTGCTTCGGCGGCTAGGATGGCTGAGGAGGTCATCAAGGCCCTCGAGTCTCAGTAGTCGGCATCGCAAAAGACGGAATCGCAACTGAAGAAATAAAGGAGTGGAGGAAACTACTGAGCTCAATCAATCAACATGCAATCATAGATTGGCATAGCAATACATTACTTTCATTTTCTATAAGACGTGAACGAGTGCGCAGTGTGTCCGCTCTCACTGCTTACACCCATAATGCATCGCTTCGCCCGTATTGCTCACAGCAAGCACGCTCACTCCCAATCTCTTTCCACAAACACCACACGTCCTCCCCTGCGTCACCTTGACTCTTCTGCTCTTCAATCCCGCCAATCTCTCGTCTACTTGCAGAGAATACTCCTTTGAGATGGAAGCAATGACGCGATTATGAGAGTGGGAGCGATGAGAGGCTTGCAGACCCTTGAAGAGGAACGTGGAAATGGCAGAGATGGGTACGAGGGGCGGGAGAAGAGAGAGAACTGCGCCTAGCTCCAGGGAGGATGGATGGCGGGAGAGGAGTCGGAGGGCGGGGGAGAGGTCGTGCTGCCGTGTGGCATCTGTTTCGCCTTTGGTCGGTTCTGCCGGACGGAGGTAGAGCTTGAGCAGAAGGAGAAAGATGCCCCGTGCCTCTTCTGCCGAAGATGAGCTGCCCTCGTCGTCATCTTGCGCTGTAGATCCGCGCCTTTCATAGACTTTCGTGCAGTACTCTTCGGCTTTTGCTTCACCTTCTTCACCTCCGATGCGCTCGACGTAGATGCTGAGAGCGCCCTTGTGCTGTCCCATCCTGCCCAGCAGCACCGCTCTCACTTCCCATAGAGAGTCGATAGGGAGGCGACGCAAGATGCGCTCTGGACGATACTGATGTGACTCAGACAGAAATTGCAACAGCTTCTGGTAGGCGGCCATGCTCTCGAGCTTGTCTTCTCCTTTGTTGCCGTCTCTTTCAGCTTTGACCCGGTCGAGATAGATGATGCCCAATTTCTCGTGGAGCTCGGGATCACCCTCTCCAACATTGTCGATGATGTGCTCCAGGTATACGGCACACAGGTCTCGGTCAAAGTCCCACAGGAGATTCACCACCTGCAGTCGAGGGAAAGTGGACACCTTGCCTGTATCGGCCGTGAAGATCTCCATGCCCCTCTTTGGATCTTGCTTCAAGACCCACTTTGAAGTCTCGAGAATGACCTTGATGTGCTCTGGGCCAAGACCCTGCAGGTAGCGGATGGTGGGTCCCACTTTCTCTTCTTCGTCGTCTTCTTCCTCCGAGAACTTTTTGAGGAGGCCAAGCGCACGATCGTGCATGTCCTTGCCACCATACAGGGAGATGAGCTCAGAGTGCTTGCCCTTGGCCTTGAGGAGCTCTTCAACCTCGTTCACCTCGCACCAATTCTCGATCCGACAAAGAGGACCTACTAGAGATGGCTTGGTCTCAAGAAAGGTTTTGAACAACGCCGTGTCCACCACACGAGCCAGAGCTGTCAAGTCAGGCAGACTCATGCTGGCAAGAGGGATCGATGGCAATTCAAGCATGGCTGAGTCTGGTGAAGGAGACACTCCTGGATGCGTCTCCAAGATGGGCTTAAAGATGCGGCGCCGATCAGCGAGGAAACGGCCCAGAGCTTCAAGGGAGGGCCGAGAAAGCAGTGCTTCGTTCTCTACCAGTGACAAGTCGATGACTGCTTCTGCAACCGTTTCGGTAGCTGATCCTCCACCTGGCTCGGAGCCTTGTATTGCGGACGTTGGCGCCGGCTTTCTTGTGGCCGCAGAGGCAGGCTGCTTGTCGGATATTTGCGACCCAGTCTTGGCCGTAGCCTTGGTACTAGCCGAAGCTCTATCCCTCATCGTATCTCGGGATCCTACTGTCGAAGCCGGAGAGCTAGACAAAGCTGGCGTTGCAGCTGTAGCAACGGAATCATCACCTGCTGTGCTTGCAGGAACGCTGGGCTTACCAAATAAGCTGGTGAGCTTGGATCGGTCACGGGGCGTAGCAAGTGCCTGGCTTGTCGCAGCGGCGCCTTTGGCATTGGGTAGTCCCCCACTTGTGCTCCTGAGCCAGTCGTCTGACCCACTGCCTCCCTGCTCCAGACTGAAACCTTCCTTCGTGAGACCTTCACCCCAGATAGCGACCCAGTCACTCCTCGGTCTGGACAGCCCTTGCCCGGCTATCCGTTCCGGGAAGATGCTGAGAACTTTCGTGGGATTGAGATCCAACTCGATCCAGAGATCGACAGCGGATTCAAAGGCTGCATTGGCAGACTGCATCATCTGCTTCTTGGCAGCACCTGAATTGGATGCTGCGCAGCCGGCCAGGAAACGGTCCAAAGAGAGCAACGCCAAGAGCGGGGGCAAAAGACGCTTCTTGAGCTCCCAGTCCTTTGTGTCCGTGTCGCCTTCACCGCTGTCGTTCCTGACGAGCTCCACAGCTTCTTCCCACTTTCGCAAACGAATCATCTCTCGTAGTCTGGCCTGCCATGTGCGGGCGGTGAGCTTGTATACGCGGGCAGATTCATTGGCACTGCTGGGGGTCAGAACGACGAAGAGTGAGGCGCTGGTCGAGCTTGAGGAGCTCGACTGCAGAGGCGGGGACACCAGCGCTGAGACGGTAAAGGAAGATGCTGTTGATGATGTAGGTGCCTGCTCAGGCGGCACAGAGAAGGTCTGAACCACTTCGAGCGTGCTGGCTGAGCGGATCTGGATGGTCGCTTTGCTTTGGTTTGACGGAGGCGGTAGGGCGGCAAAGATGTGCTGGGAGGGCAGCAGCGCGGCATCTTCCACCGCGACTGGCCACTCAATGCCTCGTCTCCTAGTCGGGTTGCCCGTTGTGAAAGAGAGAAAGACGGCGGTGTTGTCCCTCACTACGACGATTTCTCCCTCGTTGTCAGATGCAGACATCGGCTTTGTTGCAGCCGACGTTGGGACAGCTCGCAGAATAGGAGCCTTTGTACGAGCGCCGAGCCCAATGTATCCTCCTAGACCTCCAAACAGACCCCCAGCGGCGGCTGCCGAGCTGGCTGCTGTGCTCACCGCCTTGGCAGACGAAGATGCCTCTCCCTGCCCAGATCCGGCTCTCATGTTGCCGCTCTCACTTTCCGACCTGCCATGAGAGCCGTTGCCTGCAGGGTCATTGCTACTTGCGTCTCCAAAGTACTCTGCAGCGTACTCGGGGATATTGAGTTCTCGCAGCTTCTTCCACTCCTGGCCGTCCTTGAGAAAGTCTCTCTTCGCTGAAGGTGGTGAGCTTGTCTCATGCAGCTTCGCTGCCGGAGAGAGATGGGCTGGAGGTATGTCTAGAAGACCGAATTCGCTCGGTGTACCGTAGGAGATGAAAACCGTATTCGAGGTAGAAGGGGTGGGCGCGACTGACGAGTCGAGCGAAGTAGTGGGAGCAGGCGATGGCGGAGCAAACGCGAAAGAGCGAGGAGTGTGTAATAGTGACAGTTCTTTCCAATCGTACGGCTGCCCATCTAGCCACCTCAAGACCAGAAGCTTCCTCCTCAAAGAGACCAGGAGGGTCGTAAGAAGCCTGAGCTTGACTTCTGGGGCGGCTTGCTGCTGCTGTCTGAAGGAGTCTTGACGCCCGAACATTGAGAGCGGTCTAGTACGTGAGCTACTGGCTCTGTTCATAGATCGAGGAAAGGTCATGCCAGGTTCCGGAATCCTCTTCTGCGGTGTCCGACTGCTGCCCTCTCCCTTCGCCTCGGGCGATTTATCTCCACTGCTACCGTCTTCTGCCGCTGGCCATTCGCATACACTCGTCTGCACCTCGAATGCGACGACGCTCTTGGCTGCTACAGCCTTGATTGGGGTCGGGACTTTGTCTGGCTCCAGCGTAGCCAGACTGTTGAAATGGAGTGTGCCATCGGGCGAGAAGGAGATGATGAGGGACAACGAAGGGACGATGCGTAGCGAAAGGATCTGCTTGCCCTGTGGGTGGAAGTGAGGATGTGTGGATACCAGCGTTGCTTTTCCCAAAGCTGAAGGAGCAGTCGATGAGGAGGAAGAAGCAGCAGCGTCTGTCTCTGAGAAGCTGCTGCTGGAGGCATTGACGGGTAGCCGGAATACGGAGAGCGATCCCGAGGGATGCCCTACATAGAGCTTCTCTCCGTGCACCGCCAGCGAGCTCACCCTGTCCTTGGCGGCCTGGGAGCCATCGAGGACACAGTCGACTGCGAAGGGATCTGAGCTGTTCGCAGCCGACATCAGGGCGCAAGGGTGGGGATAGTACGGAGGAGTGATGGTGGTAGGAGCAGCGGTGGGGGAAGCAATTCTGCGAATTGGACGGGCCCATGCGAGCGGGACAGCCACGCGCTTGGCTGCAGCAGATCAGGACAAGCCATCCGGCACGCATCCCTCGCCATCCTACCACATCACACCACTGTACATCTGTTTTGTCAGAAGACTCTCAGTCGAGAACCAACATTATCGATGGCAAGCAAGCGGGAAAAAGGGACCAAATATCTATAAAGACGGACGTTATTGTGGGACAATCTGGTGACATGTTGGAATAGAGACGCGGACGACGGAACGAATCGGTGCCCATCGCGATCGCAAATAAAGATCTGAATAAGTCAAGGAATAGGGCCCGAGGTGACGCTTTTCTGGTGCTTCACTCTGACAGCGCGGCAGCTGTGACGTTGGCAGCAACAGCCTCCCAGACATGGTCCCTCTGAACCAACTCCGAGTCAGGCATGTCCTTCGTGCACCTCTTGCTGATGGAAACATCCTTTTCGCCGCCTCCGCCTTCTCCGGTAGAAGTGACATGCGGCTCGTCTGCTTCTGCCGAGACCTGATTCAGGCTGGCAAATTTGGACATGCTGTTGGCGACTGCTGCGGGGATGCCCTTAGGACCAATGTGCGCAAAGACGCCCATGCTAGGGACACCATCCACGACGAGGAAGATCAGAGCGGGACCGGGTGCGAAGAGGTTAGGGTTGTTGGGCAGACCCTGAACCACGAGCGTACGCTTGTCTACCGATAGCTGGCTTTTGAGCTGCAGAGAACGTTGGCCCCAGTTGACACCGTGAGTTGAGAAGCCGGTTCGAATGATGCGAACATATGCAGAGTCAAGGCTCTTGATGTTCATGTCCGCAATGGCTCGGGCCATGTCGATGGTGAAGGATTTGCCGCCGTACTTCAGTCGAGTAGGCAATTGATCAGAGGATGGTCGAGGCATGTTGTAGTATGGCGGGTACCACTTGTCCACAGCGTAGCTTGTGGGCCAGTGAGCCGTTGTTACATCTTCATTGGGGTTTGAGCCGGAGATCAGAATGGCACCGTCTGGCAGCAGGAGAGCAGAGGAGTGGTACAGCCTGGGGTTGAGCAGACTTCCGTATGCCTTCCATCGAGAGCCAGCTGGAGCTCGAGGGGAGTAAATCTGAACGGTATAGGCGGGGTCGTCTCCGAGCGACTGGCCAACTGGCTTGCCTGGTCCTTTACCGCTGGCCGTGTAGCCAGCGGTACCCTTCTTGACGCCTCCACCGAAGAACAGGGTTCCGTCGGGCAAGTGGACGAACATGCCCATCACGCGAGGTTCAGGAAGCGCGTCCGAAGCCTGCCATTGGCCGGAGCCCAGAGGGTCGATCTGTTGGCAGGAAGTCGAGGCGACCTTGTCGGTAGTGCTGACTGCGGGTCCGCTCAAGGCGCCCCAAGCTGCCTTGCGGCCCAGAGAGATACCACCGCAGAAGAGAATAGTCTGCTTGTATCCATTGTCGGGTGTCATGGGCATCATTGCGACACCGGCGCTAGATGGGTAAGGGCGAGGCACATCGGGGATATTGGGCAGGGCCTTCTCGCTCGCGCTGTCAAGGTTCCAAAGAATTGCTTGACGGCCAGACTGCACGAACAGTTCTCCGTTCGACATCAAGAAGGTGAGAGGGTAGAGATTGACCGGCACTGTCCTAGCCAAGATGCCCATGTGGACCGGCTCTCCTTTGCTCGGATAAAACTCGTAGGAAGGCTCATTTGTCCTTTGAGTCGACACGTAACCTCCAGCGTTTTGACCGCCGACGATGATGACACTGCCGTCTGCCATTGGCTCTACGCTCGAGTACCATCGGTTGGTCTGCATGCCATGCCTGTTCTGTTCCCAGGTGTTGGTGGAGGGATCATAGATATTGAGAGCGAAGCCTCCATCTTGGGACTTGTACCCAAGTGCCGCGGTCCCGCCAGTCGTGACGTAACGTCCATCACCGGCGGGAGCACCGCCGGCGCAGAAGGTGTTCGTTCGTACATCCATTGCCTGCTTCCTCCCCGAAGAGAGTTGGTATCGAGCCACCCAGGCTGCGCAAAAGAAGGAGGTTCACAGGAGATGCAACTTAGAAGGTCAGCTGTGCAGTCTCACTTACGAGAGAGCTACAGAAAGACTTACCAGGATGCCCATTGATCGACAAGGGGTTGTTCTCTGCCTTGTCCATGAAGACTACATGATCTGGGTCAGCCAAGAACAGCATCTGGGCACTAACACCACTGTCTCCTATAGTCTTTGAGTGCTTCCCTCGCGCCATGCCAAGTGCTGCTGTAAGCACAAGGGTGACGGCGGACAGGAGTGCTGCATGGCGAACAAGAAGCTGGACCATGATGTCGACAAGTTGGCCTGGGGAATGGTCGCTTCAGAGTCACAGTCTACCTCGTGAGACTATGAACAGGTGATGGTAATGTGACTCTTGATTGGAGCCAAGTGATAGCACAGTCAACTGATGTGATCTCTTGCTGTTGACGCGCGAAGATAGGGGTGACTGTGTTCGGCCAAAGGATAGTGTCGAAGTGGGTGCAGGATAGGGGCTATGGTACCACACCTGAATGTATGCTCCGCTCAGGGCTGTGTGAAGAGGTAGGACGTAAGGACTGTCTTGATGAAGAGGTCGCCTAGGGGCCGCAAGGTCTATGGGGGAGATCGGGGGAGGGGAAGGGGAAGAAGGCAAACGGTGCACAGCTCGGGGGCAATTTTGCAGCCATGCGATGCTTTGCTCTTCACCAGCTGGGGGCCCGAGCAGCACCGGACTTCGCAATGAGGCCCTTCTTTCTTCGACGCAGGAGGCCCTGTGCATCGCCCTGACCGTCTCAAAAGGCCTCACCCTCACCCAGTACTGTACCTGACCGGGTGGGGCAAGTCAGGGCCACATGCATAACATAGGGGCTTAGATCCGGCGCATGTGTGACCGACCCAATTTTGTGTCGCGCAGGCTCACGAATTTCAAGCCTATGGATCCTCTGTGAGCGGCCGGGTCTGTATTAGACATGCTGGTATCTGCAGAGTCGTTGTGGCAGTATAATGGTGGAAGTCATGTCGAGCGACGCGGAAGGTAAGTGGGTTTGGGACGTCGAATTCCACCAGACCGATGTTGTGGGCAATCGTAGACTGACCTTGCCAAACTTCTGCTCACCGTGGTATGATTTAGCAGATCTCCTTAAGAAGCGACTTTCCTCTTTTTTCGAAGGCTGATGGATCAAGTCGTAGCCATGAACATCGGGTGGCCTCGGCGCATTTCAGAAGACGCACAGGTGGTGTTTGTCGCACCACAAGCGGTGCGGATAGGAGTGGTCTGAGTCATGTCGCCCTATCGAGGCGCACTCACCCCTCGATGATGTCCGCGCTCGGACCCTTCCTCATATTAAGATGGACGTGCTTGGTGAGCCGCAAGAGGATTCCGAGAAGGTCTGCCAAGCTTCTGTCTTTTACAAAGGACGTCAAGCTACCTCTGTGAAAGATGCAAAAGGGTACCGAACAGCCGCCATCCCGGGTAGACAGTTGAACCATGGAAGAACCGTTCACTCGCGCCTCGCACGACTTGGCATGCGAACGGATGATCCGGCGCACGGCCAAGGAGCAGGCAGTCAGTACTCTTCAAGTGCACACGGACAGAAGCTCCTCCTGACCCCTCCTCCCTGTCCCCTCTCCCCACCACGATCTCTAATCTTGGCCTCCCCTGTATCCCCACATCGCCACTGAAGGGCCGCGGCCACGACATCAGCTCCCTCTGGCCCCTACGATCCCTACAACTGCTCGGTCAGCGTCCGAGCACTCTTATACTCTGCTGTGCAGAATCCATACACGCTCTCTTCATCGACCCTCCAGCTTCCTGTCCTCCTCACAGTCCCTCTTCCACCTGACGGGTGCTCCCTCGCTCGTGATCGACTTCTTACCAACATGGCGCGCTTCACCTTCACCTTTGCCTTTGTCCTAGTCGCGCTGGCCACTTCCAGCCAGGCCCTCAACATCCAGTCCAGCCAGGTCAAAGCGAATACTGAGCGTGCAGATGCAGTCAAAGCAGCTTTCGTAAAGTCATACAACGGCTACAAGAAGTACTGTTTCGGCCGGGACCAGCTCAACCCACTCACCAAGACTTGCGACGACCCTCTCGGCGGCTGGGGTGCAACGCTCGTCGATGTCCAGAGCACAGCACATGTGCGTATATGCTTGATTGGGCGTTCAGAACGTGAAGTTTGGACAGCTGATTATGTCGCTTTCTCCCCCTCCTGGTCTCGCCCACATACAGGTCATGGGTCTTAACGACATCTACGACGAGACCGTCGCTCAGTCGCTCAAGACTGACTATAGCAAGACGTCATCCGAGGAAGTCTCCATCTTCGAGACCACCATTCGACACGTCGGTGGATTGCTGTCATCCTACGAGCTCGGAGGACGAAGGGAGAAGAAGCTTGTAGAACAAGCTCGTGTTGTGGGCGACAAGCTCATGTATGGCTGGATCAACAATAACGACATTCCTTACAATACCCTCAAGTTCTGGAGTGGTCTCCCTACTCCCAAGACGGACGAGTCCGCAGTCATCGCTGAGACCGGCACTCTGATCATTGAATTTGATCGACTCAGCAAGTACACCGGCAACAACACCTACCGAGACTTCGCTATCAAGGCCGAGCTCGCGACCATCAATACTATCCCTCTGCCGTTCCCAGGACTTAACCCTCAGAGACTCAATCAGACCACTGGCAAGCCAGTCGGAGACTATGTGACTTGGGGCGGTGGCTCTGACAGCTTCTTCGAGTACCTCAACAAGTACGCCCTGCTGATCGGTACTCAGGAGATTTACTTCCCTGCTTGGATCACTTCGGTCAAGTCTTCCATCTTGCACCTGATCACTAGCGCAGGTGGCACAAAGAAGAAGCTCACATATCTTGCAGACTACTCGGCCAAGAATGGGGGTACCCTTCCCCGTGGCTCTCACCTCGAATGCTTCGTGGGAGGCAATTGGCTGCTGGGAGGCAAGTTGCTTGACAATGACGACATCTTCAACTACGGTCTTGATCTCGCCGAGTCCTGCATTCACACTTACACTGCCTCCGCCACCGGTGTGGGTCCAGAAGGCTTCATCTACCGCCTGGCCAATGGATCTTCGCAGGGCATCGAGATCAAGAATGCCGAGTTCTATGCAGAGAACGGCTTCGACTACTCTTCCAAGCCCTACGTCTTGCGACCAGAAGTCATGGAGTCCGTCTTCTACGCCTATCGTCTGACCGGAGACAGCAAATGGCAAGACCTCGCTTGGAAGGCCTTCCAGGCCCTCGAGAAGTACTGTGGTACCGACACTGCTTTTACCTCACTCGACGATGTCAGCAACTCCACCACTGCCCAGATCGACCTCTCCGAGTCATTCCTGTACGCCGAATTGTTCAAGTACAGCTACCTGATCTTTACCGATGGGAACGTCCTCGACCTTGGCAAGTACGTCTTCAATACCGAGGCGCACCCATTCGAGATTGACAATCTCGACGTCGACTTCAGGGGTCTGAACCCAGGACCCATCAAAGCTCCCGCCGCCCACGTGACTGCCGACGCTGAAGTACCAAGCGCAACAAAGCTTTCTGACACCAGCAACGGGAAGAAGGCAAAGACGACTGGCTATGGGAAGCTCGTGCCTGCACCTCTGTTCACCGGAGTGAACAAGAAGAAGCTCGCTGGAGTGACTAGGGACCAGAAGCCTTTCCAAGCTGCTCCCAAGGCTCGTCTCGCCTCGACTTAGGTCTACCTAATGCGATTACGATTCGCCCCTTGTCTTGATCGAGCGCGAAGCGAGATCAGTCCGCTTGTTCCCCTCCACGCAGCCCGTCATCTCGGGCTCGGCATGGTCTTAGTTCGTGTCTTTGCTTTCGTCACCCTTGCATCGCCGTGAATCACAATCGACGAGTGCTTTCGTTTCCATCCAACCTTCACTGCCTTCCATCCCATTGCGAAGAGCCGAAATGCAGATGAGCCAGTCTTTACTTGAGAAACTCGAAAAGTTGTGATGGTGTTGATATTGTCGGAGATGTGGAGCCTGGTCATACATTGCTCGAACCGATCAAGACTCTCCGCCTGCTTCCTGACGCGCCTGTATCGTCTGGCAAGCCCACTTCACCTCCTCACGCCCGCGCCTCACACGCAATTCTGATTCTCCGTCTCCTTGAGGCTACTCTACTTCTGTTCCTCAGCAGCAGCTCCCTCCTCCTCCTCTGCCTTGTCCCCCTCCTTGAACACGGGCGAAGGGGTGTAAGATCCAGCAGCAAAGTTGAAAGGCGAAGCAGTAGACGCAGCCGTCTCCTCTGTAGTGGCACCAGCTCCCGTCTCAGTCTCAGTCTGGGCGGCAGCCGCTTCCTGAGTGGGAAGGACAGAAGGGGGTTCTTCTGCCGAGGGAGTACCGGAGTCTTGCGTCTCTTCGCCTGCTCCCTCTGTTGCAGTTGATTCGGATGCATTGGCAGAGGACGAGAGTTGGACGGTGCTCTCGCTATCAGCTGGAGGGGAGGGTCCGAGGGAAGCTCCCGAGAGCTTGTCCCACTCTTGTGAAGAGGCTTGGGAAGAAGGACCCGAAGCGCTCTCCGTAGTCGCACGCTCCTCGCCTACTGTGTATGCAGGGTCTGCAGAGCTGGAAGAAGCGCCATTGGTGGGTGTAGGCTCGTCGTCGACTTCATCCAGATTAGAGGCAGATGCGGCATTAGGTGCCTCACGAGCCAGGCCAGACAGAGCGCCGAGAGGGTTCTGCGACTGTGCACCGGGTCCTCCTGAAGCTCCTCCCAGCTCGGCGTCCTTGCCGACCATCTCCATGATGAGATTGAAGACGGGCTCGGGAGTGGCCTTTTGGTAGATCATGATGAGCTCGACGGGAGAGGGGTACACCTTGACTGCCTTGAAGAAGGCGGCAGCGGCGGCAAGGTGTTGCGAGGGTCCGAGAGTGATCAGTGTTTCTCCGGCTGTGACAGACTCCATGAAGCTTAAGGCGTGGAGTGGAACAGGTTTACCAAAGCATATATCAGCACTTGTTACTCTAGACGAGCTACAGTCTTTGCCGCTCGCCGCATTGTGCTACTCACAACTTCTCCCTCAGAGCAGGGTCAGTAGGCAAAGCGCCTGGTGCATTGACCTCCTTTAGCACCTCCTCTACAGCTTGCTGTACCTTCTTTTTGTAAGCCTCGGTGTCCCTCTTCTGAGCCTTGGACGTCTTCTTTGACTCCTTCTTGAGCTGCTTGCGGAATTGAGGGTCGTTCTGACGCTTGTAGTCGAAGTAGAATGCGTAGCCGATCCCTGCGGTGAGGAGGGATGCGGCTGTGATGGTTGCGATCTGAGATGCTCGCATTGTGAGTGAGTGTGTGAGCGAGTGTGTGGGTGTGAGTAGTTGTATGACCTTTTGTTGGGTTGATTGATGTCTGGGTATGGCCGAGTGGACTTGGTATCGAGGAAGATTGTTGCGTTGCGTGAGAGGAAAACGACGAGGATTTAGTCAGTGGAGGTAATTCCAACTCCGCCCTCCTGGCAACGAGGGTTGCGTTGGGGGCCCAGCGTCGGCTGTACGCTACTTGTGCGTAATGCTCCACCACTACTTCCCAAAGCAGACCCGCAGAACTGTACTCACGGTAGCCTCACCTCCTTCTTTCTCCCTGCCATCGTCCTCATCTTTCCAGGCGGCCGCAGACTCCCGTCTCGTTGGTGGCTGCTGCGTGTCGGGCCTGCCGCCCTGGACCCTTCCCTCCCCTGGCCCTGATACGCAAGCACCATGGCTCCACGCTTCTCCACTTCCCACGCTCGCTCATCATCGACTGCGTCGGCCGCGTCCACAGCCTCCTCTTCTGCCTCTCAAGATGTAGATCCAGCCTTCCGTGATGCAGGAAGGACCTCTAGAGATAGGGAGTCTGCCGGAGATTCCCGGGAAGCTATGAGAGCGACTGAAGCAGTGGCAGCAAAGATTCGCAATCTTCGCGATCCCAACGATCCCAACAAACTGACCCCCCTAAGAGCTCACTACCTCAAGAAGACACTTGTCAGGCTACAAGTCGACAGAGAGGTCAAGGAGCTCAGTCAGAAAGGTCAGTACGCTAGAGATGGGGTAAGCCTCACGCCGCCGAAGGTCTTCATCAGCACCGCCTTGACTTAGCTCCTTACCCTCTTCGACTCACTCGCCTTCGCAGATGCTCTGTCAACTTTCGGTCCGCCCTTCAAGGCATCATCTGCCGCTCGTAATACCGATTTGCCTCTGGCTCGTTTCATCTTTCACCACTTCGTCCTCACCTTTCCCTTTCTGAGCTCAGCGCCGCCCAACTTCTTCTCCGATAAGGTGCAAGTCTTTCTGGACCGCTTCCTCGAGAAGAACATCTCGGGCACAGACGATCGCTCAGAGGAGACAAAGCGCAGGCGTATCACGTCCAAGCTGGAAAGCACAGTCACTCTACTTATCGCATCTGCGATCAAGATTGGCGGGGAGGTGGGAGCAGAGGAAATCGTGAAAGTATCCGATGAAGATAGGGAGAAGATGAGCGCTGCCCAAGCCAGATTCAAGGCAGCGTTGGCAGGCAAGCCATTCAAATTCGGTGATGCCACTTTTGATGTGAACGTGGTCGGCGTCCGCACACGTACAACAAAGGGCAGGCTGCGTAGTCGGGTTCACGAAGAGTTTATCATCCGTACCCGGAGAGCAGGACATCCTGATGCCTTCGTCAGTCGGCGGTACGGTGATTTTGAAAGGCTTGCGGATACTCTGCGAGCTGAATACCCGGACGAAGACGTCACTCGTCCGCCAACCAAAGATCGATCCAATACCGAAGTAGCTGGTACAGCTCCTACTGATACTGCATCGGACCGGTCTAAGTTGTCCACCGCCGGCTCAATTGGCTCTTTTGAAGACTTGACCATATCTCAAGATCCGCAAGCATCATCAAGCGCAACTACGTCCAATCCTACTCTAGCCACGGGGCCACTTGCGCGTGAAAAGAATCGTCTGACCCTGCGAGCATATATTCGAGCTCTGCTGGCCATTCCACCAGTGGCAGACAGTGTCGCTCTAGCAGACTTCCTGCTTGGCGAGCCAACGACACTCACGCCCGCCGAGGAAGCAGATGCTCGTTCCAGAGAGGCTCTCGATGCTGTCAGAGCAGAGGAAGGTGCAAGATTCACCGCCGAGTCGGCCAAGCGGGCTGCACTGCTCAAGGGCCATCTCAACGCCTTTAAGGAGGATCTCGTCAAGAGGGACGGTCTGTCGAGAGTGTTTGCCACGATCAAATCTACACCTAAAATGGAACAGCTACCCGAGAGCTATCGAGCTCTTCTAGGTTGGGCCAGGATCTCAGCTGCATCGACCCTCTTCAGCCTCTTCATGGGCAACGATAATTCGTCTGATCTCTTCGGCCAGCTGAAGCGCATACATGGTCTCATGCCCTACTTTATGATGCGACAGATGTTGCGCATCTCAAATCCAGTCTCTATGATCAGGGGTGTGATTGACCTGTTCCTAGCTCAGCCATTCGGTCAGCGATCGCTGCTGCAGAGGATGTTCTCTAGCTCCCTGCAAGAGGAGGCAAGAGAGCTGTCCGAAGTAATCGCTGCTGTGAGCCAGAAAATCGCAGACGAGGTACTGTGTGAAAAGATTCGTCTCTACGTGAATGCTCCCCTTGAGATTCAGCAAGTATTCAAAGACGACGCAGAGGAGGAAGGAGTGGACCTTATTACCACTATCTTACGAGCGCCCACGGAGCCTCGCCTAGGCCGGCCGCAGATCCACCGCGTGATCAGAGCCAGCCGATCATACGAGGTGTACAAGAGCTATCGCGCTTCTCTCAAGAACCCTGAGCAGGACGAGGGGCCACAAGACGACGATGCTTGGCTTTACGAAGATCTTCACGTGCTCTTGAAGCTGCAGACACGGCTGAGGGACAAGGAGCAGATGCTCTCTCTCATCTTTGAAGGTGTGACCTCAGAGCTGCTCAAGGACATTGTGACCATCTTCTACTCGCCTTTGGCCCAAGTCTACAAGGCGGCCAACATTGCGGACTCGCTGTACGACTTGCAGGTCTTTGTCAATGATCTCATCAAGACGGTTGAGGCAAACGAGGAATTGAGCTACACCGAGCCACAGAAGACGGTGCAGGTCTTCATCGACCTAGTCGCCCGCCACGAGGCCAAATTCTACGCCTTTGTCCACCAAGTCCATTCCAAGGGCGCAGGTCTCTTCGATGGACTGATGCACTGGATTGAGCTCTTCCTCAACTTTGTCCGAAGCGGTGATCCAACTGACTCTTCCGCCCACGATGGACGAGAACGTGGAGAGGAAGAAGGTGCTGTACAGCGCCAGGGTCTGGGTGCCGTCGATCTGGAGGTATGTCTCCCCGCAGGCGGGCAAGACAGACGCACCGCCCTAGCCGAGATCGACGCCCTAGTGGTGTACGCCTACCGGGTCAAGCTGCTCCGTGAGCTCAAGCTGCAACGCCGCCTTGCCGACAGGGAGGTCAGAGGAGCTGGCGCCTCGGCTGAAGTCGTACCTGATCCCAGTCGAGCAAGAGAGGATAAAGAACAGGACGAAAGCGTCTTCTTTGACTCTGTCATGGACAATCTAGGTATCGGTGGGAACTTCACTGGAGAGATGGAAGACGCGGAAGCCGAAGATGAGCTGTATGAATCTGACTCGGACGAAGAGGAAGAGGGCGATGGCGATGGAGAGAGTGGCTCAGGTGCTGCAGAAGGAGAAGGCAGAGGAGACGGTGGCTACATGGACGCCAATTACTACTCCAGCAGCGGCGAATCCGACGTCGAAGAAGAGGATGTGGGAGAAGAAGAAGAAGAAGGCAGCAATGCGGAGCGCTTAGGCAAGGAAGCCTTCGGCTCCTCCAGCATCTGGCGTCCCCCAGTACAGAGGGGCGATTCAGTCATGACGATCACTGGCTCCCTCACTCCACGAGTGGAAAAGGACCTTCCAGCACTGCCCGTCCCACCCAAGAATGATGAAGATGAGGAAGGCCGTGGAAGAGGGATGCCTAGACGCAAGAAGAAGCAGTCCAAGCCTAAGCCGCCCACGCTCAAGGCCATTCCGGAGATGGTGCCCTTGTTCGTCGAGATGGTACGACCGCTGCTGAGACCGGCCAGGACCGCCTCGGGAACTTCGCATGCCTCTGCAGCGCCTTCTGCACCTCCACCAGAGGCACAAGAGCCCCCGCCAGCAGCGGCGGGAGGAGCAAGGGGACCGCCGGGAGGATGGGGGATCTGGTAGACTTTTGAAGGGGCGGGACTGGAGATATTGTCTCGCGCCTGTACTATCGCACCGCCCTATAATCCATACTGTGCTTGACCCTTGATCTCGCTGTGCTGTCGTCGTCTCTCCACGCCTGTTGCTCACTGCAACGCAAAAGAAGATGCAAAAGAGAAGCTCCCGCAGGGATTTGCACCCTGGCCCTCTGCCATATCCTCGTCCCGAGCCTTTGAAAGGTCCAGGATCAATCGGAAAGCAGCAGTCTAACTACTGACTTACAGGAGCGGTTTTTGTTGGCCTTGCCTAGCACCCTCGCGCGAGGAAGCGGATGCCAGACTCGATCCTCCGAGCAGTCCTTGTGGGAGAGCCAGAGGGAGAGATTGGATTCCGTTCCGTTACGAGAGCGAAGGAGTCAAATTTCGAAGTCAGCAGGCTATATCCGGTTATATACACCAAGGCCAAGCGGGGCGAACATCACCTTGCTCTCCTTCGCGGAAGGGGAACTTACGCGCTGCAGCAGATCTTCTCGCTGCGCTCTCTCTCCACTCGGGTTGGCTTGGATTCTCTTCCATCGCTTCTCTCCTCATCCTGTTGCACTTCTCCTACACCCTCCTCCTGCGGCTGGTTCGTCATGTAGCACTAGGTGAGTTTCTCGTACGCACAGACAGATAAGGCGCTCGCCATCGCCTAGTCAGCCTCGCGCCTCGACAACCTGTCATTGGTAGGGTTCAAGGCTCTGGACTTCAAAGAGGGCGACTTTCTCGCTTCTTCGCTTCTCCTCTGCTCCTTTTGGCTCATGACTCGTGGCACCACCTCGCATGCAAGATGAAAACTAAGCTGGCACCAGTCAGACCTGTAAATCATGGTTGATCACATTTTAATTGCTGGATCGACGCATACGCATTTGTTGATCCCTGATCTGCGAGAGTAGGAATTGCCTTGCCAAAGAGAGGAGGAGGAGAAGGAGGAGAAGAGGAAGAGACTGGTCATCGGATGATTTGGTGTTGAGAGGAGAGCTAGATGCTGATCATACTGCCCTCTCTACCCCCTTTTTTCCCATTCACCGTCTCTTTCCGCTGCTACTTGCTCGGCTCACTTCTCTCTGCATCGGTACTGGACTATGGCATTCCCTCTGTTAGGCTACGAGGAGTGCAATCATGCTCGGCCACTCTTGTACTTTTACACACTGTCTCGAATCTAATCGCATGTAGCAAATATTCATCGTTGCAGACTTTGTGTGAGCGACGTTGGGCGCAGTGAGAGCAAGCTCAATGCTCAGATCGCGACTCAAAAGACTGTTTGCATGAGGATGTATGGAGATGATAAAGGAGACCAGATGCGCCAGCCTGCTGGAACAGTGCCTCTACAATTGCAAAGCTGTCGTTCACACAGCGCCGCCTTTTCTACCCGGTCCAGTCACAAGCTCCAATTGTCACCTTCACAGCCCCGTTTTCAATCCGCCCCCTCCTTCGTACACTCCCTCCCCACCCAATCCCACGTATACACCAACGTTCCACTCTTGACCTTCTCCCCACTCGCAACCTCGACCGCGTCCACTCCTGCCTTCAACCAATTCTCTCCGCGCGTCAGTGTACCCTCCTCGCCACTGAGAGCCGCACCTCTGAAGACGCGCTCCACGTACCCTTCGTCCCGCAAAGGTGGTGGATCCATGATATGCAGGGAGCGATGCAGAATCGAGAGGGGAGGCGTGTAGAGGCCCTCTGGGTTGAGAGAAGTGATCGTTGCCGCTAGATCGTTCGCATTGGTCGAGGACCCTGTCTCGGGACGAGGGACGCTCACGACTGGTGCGCCGGCGAGGAGATTTCTTGCCAATCTGCCTAGTGAGTGGGCTGGCTTGCGGTACCCGAAGATGGGGTGGCTGACGCCCGAGGAGGAAGCAAGCTCCAGCGGCCTGCCTTTGGGTCTGGTAGGCGTGAAGCGAGGGGCGCCTCCATTGGCGGGAAGGGTAATGAGGTGAGAAGCATTGGGCGTGAAAGGCATGGCGGAGGGGCGGGCGCTGATACCGCCGTATAGCGTATCCATCGGGGCGTAGTTGGATGGCTGCGACAATTGAAGAGCTATCTGCCGTCTGTGAACCGTCTGTGGCAGTAGAGTTGGTGTCTCCCCAGACGAGGAGAGCGACGTGTACGCATCGACGAAGGCGGAATGCGATGAAGACGGCGTCCTGGCGGATCCACCATTGTCGGGTAAGAAAGGGAATGTATCTAGAGGCGGCAATTGTGTTCCATCCTCTTCTGCTTTGAAGAGCGAAGATGCTGCAAAGGGTGTCGGTCCGGCGAAGTAAGATGCAGAAGAGGCGTCCGGGATAGGGCTGGCTTCAGGACCTGAAGCAGGGTGTACTACGTCTCCATCGTCGACGTCGACTGGCGCCAGACTGCCATTGGCTGTCCTTCCTTCCGTTGTACCGGATATCGATGCCTCCGTTGCGATTGGTTGCTCATGAGCGCGCGGTTGTCCGTCTTCCTGGCCTGGAAAGGGAGGTAGGAAAGATGGAACATACCAGATCCGTGTCCTTGAAGGTGAATGTCCGTTTTGCAAAGACCTCCCCTTGTATAGCTCCTCATCTGACGGAAGGAGGTCTGGAGCAGGCGAGACGCTTGTCCGTCCAGTCGCAATAGAGAGACCGTCGTCATTATCATCATTTTCGTCCTCAGATCCTTCCATTGTATCGCTGCCGCTCTTCTCTCCATCACTGTTGCCTGCATCTTCGTAAGCTCGCTCGAAGCCCTGACTTGTGCTCCCGGACGTTCTACTCCTCTTGGCGCCTCCCGATGGAGAGCCATTTCTCCTTCTTCTCCGACTCCGGCTAGCTATTTTGAGTCGATCCTCCTCTACAGTCTGCAGCTCCTGATAGAGTGCCAGCTCGTCCTCACGGAGAGTCATCCACCTCATTTTGCCCTTGGCGACCTCACTGATGGACCTTCGCTTGACAGCCAGCCTCAATGCCATTTTGCGAGTCTCCCAGTCCTCTCTAGCCTTTGCGCCACTACTGCCAGTACCAAATCCTGCCTCCATGCGTTCACCCCACTCCTTTCTCTCTTCGCTGCTCATCCACCTCTTCATGTCCTGCAGATCCTCAATGGGCCCCACCTGATCAAGGCAGGTCACGACGTCCCAGGGATTGATGGACGTCCGACCTGCATGGCGAGCAGACTGGCCTGTGATGCGGCAGATGAGCGAGAGGTAGTTGTGGAGAACATCGGAGAGGAGCGGGAGGATGGAGCCGTGTACTGAGGCGAGTGGGTGTAGGGAGAGGAGATGCAAGAGGGGGAGTCCAAGGAGATCGAAGGGTGGTCCAGCCAGATGAGAGGAGGAGGAGAAAGGGTCGGCGAGCTGTGAGGATGGTCCTGCCATGGTCGAGGATGAGGATCCGACGCCAGAAGCATCTGCCATGGTGACAAAACTGGGATGCAGAATGTTGCGATGGGTACAGAATGTAGAAGGTGCGAGTAAAGGTGCGGAGCAGACGAGCTTCGTGGGTGTGGCTGCCTGTGTCCGTCGTCCGTCGTCGGCCTGTGCTCCGCCCTGCGATGCGCGTGGTGCGGGGCGGCGGCGTGTGATCGAGTCGATGGGCGGCTGCTCGGGTGGAGCATCCGCTTCCGAAGGACGAACAAGGCACAGACGACACTTCCAGGTGCTCCTTTCCACTGGTAATCACCACCATTGTGTCTCGACTTGTATCTGCGTACAGGCGCATACATCCTGCGCTCACCTCGCCACCAGCTGTGCGGGACATACAGCGTCGCAGCCCCTCACGCGCCCATCTTGCCCACGAGCCTCAACCTCGCAGCTCTTGCTGCGCTCCTTTGCCAACCTCACACGACCGACACCTCAGCATGAACGCCAAAGCAGCCGCTTCGCGCTATCAGCGGCAAGTGGCCGAGATCTCTCGTCTACCAGGCAACGAAGTCTGTGCCGACTGTCGCGGTCGAAACCCCCGCTGGGCCTCTCATAACCTCGGCATCTTCCTCTGCGTACAATGCGCTGGCGTACACCGCAAGATGGGCACTCACATCTCAAAGGTCAAGTCACTCACGCTGGACGAATGGACCAAAGAGCAGGTGGAAAGGATGAGAGAATATGGCAATGAGAAGAGCAATGCCTACTACAACCCAGATGAAAAGCGGAATCGGCCGCCGGCCAATGTGGGGGATGGGGAGAGGGACAGTGAAGTGGAGAGGTTCATACGCAACAAGTACGAGTTCAGGAAATTCATAGACCGGAAACCTCCTCCAGTCCCCATCAAGGACGCTTCTGGATCCGATTCATCGAGGAGACCGGGCTACACGTCTCGCACTGCGAGCAGTAGCAGTACTTCTGGAGCCGGAGGCGGGTGGGGAGCTGCGTCCCGGCTCTCGCCAGTCGATATGAGGTCAGGCCGGACATCGCCGCCGAGAGGTTCTGATCCATCGAATTCAGCATCGGGAAGGGACATACATCGCTCTAGGACTGCTCCGATACCTACAAGCTGGAAGGAGGCGCAGCGAGCCGTTTCTCCACTTCCCCCTCTAGCAGGTTCAAGTCAACAGACTACCACTTCAACCACTCCGGCCATCTCCGTATCTTCCGCACGATCGGCAGCTCTGCCCTCTTCGGCAGGACAGCCCTCATCCTCTTCCACCTACCTCTCTTCCACTTACCAGCCCTCTACGAACGGCCTGAGTGCAGTCAATGGCGGTGCGCCTGGCCATCTTCAGCGTGCCTCTTCCGCGCAGAATCTGACGAGCAATGGTGGCAGCGCCTTCCCGACCTCTTCTCAGGCCTTCAATGGGCAGGCTAGTAGTGGAGCAGCCCCAGCCGCATCCAGCAGCTTTCAAGGCAGAAGCGCAGTATTCGACGATCTTCTCCAGCTGGCCAGTCCTGCCCCTCCGACACAGCAAGCAAGTTCATTCGGCGGTGTGGGTAATCCTTGGGGTGGAATGCAGCCTGCGGCGACTGGCGTGACCATGAACGGAATGCAGGGAAACGGCATGAATGGCATGGGGGCGGGGATGAACCCTTGGGCCCAGCAACAGCAGCAACAAACTCAATACTCGCAGATGAACGGCATGCTCAACCAACCTACAGGTATGGCGTACAGCAGCCCTGCAGCTGGCTCCTACTTCCAACAACCAGGTGGCGGGCAACAGTCAGGTCATCTCACCCCTCAAAATCTGGGGAGCATGGCCTTCTCTCCTCAGATCCAACAGCAACAGCAGCATCAGCAAGCCTACTTTCAGCCACAAGCGCAGTCCCAACCCTTTTCCTCATCCTTCGGTACCACCCCTGCCGGAAGTGGCAATCCCTTTGGTAGTTCCGCTCCCAACTTTAGCTCTGGGTTTCAGCAGCAGCAGCAGCAGGCTCCACCAGTTCAGATGGGATTCCAACCAGGTCAACAGCCACTCCAACCACAGGATACAGTCCAGATGATGGGTGAGCAGCGCTTGCAGAATGGACAGGTATTCCAGGATTGGACTAGTAGGATGATGCCTTCTTCGCAGCAGCAGCAGCAAGGACAGCAAGGTGGTGGAGGGTGGCGGTGAAGAAGAAGAAGACCAAGACGAGGATGAGGATGACGTGACGATGGTTGTAATTCTTTGAAGGTAGACGACAGGTGACGCTCATGAACCGCAATGACAATCTATGAACAACTGTGAGAAAGGCGAGACCATCACATCTTCCTCCTCTCTGGCCTCCTGCCATACACCGTACACTACGCTCAACTGATGAGTTGACTACCCGCCGCCCGCTCGATCTCCCTCCTGAGCATCTGGCTCTGCTTTTCCCTCCTCTCCCTCTCCGCCTTATCCCCTTGCGCACCAGCAGCACTAGCCCTTCCTCGTGCCCCACTACTACTGTTGTTAGCCTGGATAGAAGCCCTAGGTCCACTACGACTCTGTCTTCCGCTGCTTCTTCCGACGAAACGACTGCTGTCGACTTGCGTCTGCGAGGAATCTGCCTCTTCTGATCCGCCTCGGGCAGTACCAGCTGCAGCTTCATTATCCGGGTCGGCATCGATGTACACGTCTCGGACAAAAGTGGCGACTGCCTCTTCACCAATTTCAACCTCGGCGCGAGGTCCCCACTTCCACTCGATGGTCTCGACTGCTCCTCCCCCTTCTCCTCTATTGTTGCCGGCAGCTCGTCCGACGCCCCCTCGACGGGAGACGGCCCCCGTGGCGATATTGGTCTTGACCGTTTCGAGGTAGCCCTGTCTGAGCATTTGTGAGAGAAGAGACTGTAGTGTGGAGGGATGCGCAACGGTATCCGTGGGCAGAACGGTGCCGCCTCGACGGGTAGAGGCGCGACGATAGGAGCTGTGGGACTGCGAAGCGTCGAGCTCGGGTGGTGGAATGGCGAGAGAGTCGGGACGGAGCGAGTCGGGAAGCTGAGCGGCATTCTCGAGACCGAGTCGATGGAGGAGAGCTCGAAATTGGTCTGCGGGAGGGAACGAAGGGAGGGGATTGAAATGAGAGACTGATCAGCAACTCGGATTCCGCGAGCCTGCTCATGCAAATGATCGCCTACTAACCATCAGAGAGGCTTCTTCCGTTCAGCAAGATCAGACTGAGAATCAGAAATGTCAAGCCCAGACTTCCGAGCTGACCGTCGGCTTTTTGCCAATCTAGAAGAGCTCCTGTAGAGGCAGCTCCAGAGCCAGAAGAATCGTCTGCACTGGTGAAAGAAGCGGCTGCTACTGCTGCGTTCGGCTCGGCCATGGCCTTGATGACAATTGGCGGTAGTATGGAGCGTACGACCCAGCTATTGCTCGAAGGACCTACGGCAGAGAAGGTGCATATGTGAGCGTGAGCTAAATCAGTCAAGCTTTTGTCTCTGCTTTGCTATGCTCACCTTTTGGTCTCGCAGTCTCCTCCTTCTCCGCCGTTTCCTCACCACCTCTGGCTCGTTTTTTGCCCTTGTTCGCATCGGAAGTGGTTGCTGCTTGGGTGAGCAACTCATTCTCTGTGCCTTTTGCACGGAGCTCGACCATCTCAAAGCAGAAGACCTCGCGTAGAATAGCCTGAGCTCTGTTGAAGACGTAGGGAAAGGCTCTAGCGGCGGATTTGCCGAGCACTGAAAGCCAAATGAAGCGGTCAGAAAGCTAAATCAGTACTAGGATATATGCTGCAATGGAACGGGTGTTCTCCTCACCCTTCTTCGATATGTCGTCCCTTTTGATGGGCACACGACGGTATTCTGAAAAGATGGCTAGGCGAACCAGGTCATTGATCTTCCTGTCGATCTCCTGCAGGTGTGTGGCAGAAGGGGCGCATACATCGTATCAGCAGACTCTAGCAAGTGGACTCGCTAAAGAAATACTCACCACCCTACCGATGCCCTTGACCACCGACTTAACAGCATCAGATAGCGGTAGTTTCTGTCTCTTTTTGACCTTGAGTTCGTCATCTCCTTCTTCTCCTTCCTCATCATCGTCATCGACTTGTGCCGTACGGCTACCTTCTGCAGCATCTTCATCTCCTCCATTGTCCTCCTCTCCGTCTTCCTCTGCCTCTTCTTCTTCCTCTTCATCCTCCTCCTCTTCCTCCTGCGGTTGGTGTCGACTTCTCCTGCGCTGGTTGCTGCTGCCGCCGTATGTCTGTCTACTGGACGATGGAGCTGCTCTCTGGCTGCGAGTGGGCGATTGAGCAGTCGTACGAGACAGCCCTTGTCTCCTTGATCTCGTCGGCGGCATACTGTGAGAGAATGTAGGCGTGAGGTGATGCGTATGACCAGGGAATGCAGAGGACAAGAAGCTCTCCCTCCCCGCTTCCCTTGGTGGCCCCACCCAGGATCGCGAATCAACGGAAAGAGACACGCAGCGCGTCGTGGGTGGCGCCTCTTCTTTCGCCCGGCCCGTCGGCCCGCTTGAAGCCGAGGCGCGGAAAGGTGTGGAGGCTGAGCCAGAAGGCTTGGGCTCAAACGGGGGATTTTCCACATCACCCCTCCCTCCATCCATTCCTCATTGTCCATCCTCCCTCTTGGTACCACTTCTTGATCTTCAAGGTTCGCCATACGTAGACAATTTTATATACCACGACTCTAGGCTCTGCACAATTCCTCGGTCTGCCAACTATGGCCGACTCGAAAGTAGCGCCAGGTGCGACACCACCGCCGCTCTCCTCGATACCCATACCCCTACGGCCCCGCAAGTCCTCTACTGGTCAGACGATTCTCTTCGCTCTGTGGTTCAATATCTGCATCTTCCTACTTCACACCATACAATGGCTTGGCCAACCTCTGCGCTTTTTCCCTTCAACAAAATCCAGGTACCACTCTCTGATTGAGTGGACCAAGGGGGCTTTTGGCAAAGTGCTCGTCTCCATGACGCAATTCTTCGCTCCCTCGGATCTCATTGTCAGCTTCCGCGATGCAGAGGGAAATCTCATAGACCCACATCAGTTTGCAGAGCTCGACGAGGAAGGATTCGTGAGGAAGCTCAACCTGCCGAAGAGGAGCATCTGGATCTCCAACCACCAAGTCTACACCGACTGGCTATACCTATGGATCCTAGCGTATTTCTGCAACTTTGAGGAGAGCATCATCATCATCATGAAAGAGAGTCTGAAGTGGGTCCCTATTGTTGGCATTGTGAGTCTTGGTGGAAATGAGCGCTATTCGTCATCATCCCGCTGACACTTCCCTCGTTCACCCGCCAGGCCATGCAATTTTTCGACTTCATTTTCCTCGCCCGAGCTTGGGCGAAAGACAAGATCACCCTCTCACGGCAATTGACAAAGCTCGCCCAGAATTCACATATGCGATCAAATCCGCTGATGCTCCTCATCTACCCAGAAGGCACACTGGTGTCCAAGCTGACGCGACCTTTGTCGAAGAAGTACGCCGACAAGATGGGCATCGAGGATTGCAGGAATCTGCTCCTACCGAGGAGTACTGGTCTGATCTACTGTGCGCGGACATTGAAGAAGGAAATTGAGGATCTCAAAGTAGTAGACGTCACCATTGGCTACCCAGGCATTCCGGTCGATGGCTACGGTCAGTCATACTACACCCTGCAGACTATCTACATGCAAGGTGTACCGCCTCCGGCTGTACACATCTCAATCACCCTTCGGTCCATATCAGCCAAAGGTTCTGCTGCCGATGGGTCGACGATGCCCATTGGTGACATCACTGCTGGCACTCCAAAGCCAGCCTTGACAAGCGATGCCGGTGTAGCTGGAGAAGCAGAGAAGGCGCGAGAGGAGGACACTGAGATCACAGACGAGGCAAACGATGAGGAGCGTGACATCTTTGAAGCTTGGCTACTAGAGAGGTGGAGGGAGAAGGACCGCCTCATGGACGAATTCTACGAGAATGGCGACTTCCTCCAGGGCCGCTTCTCGGGGGACGAGTCCGCTGCTGGAGGCTACTACCGCGAGCCGAAGATGCTCGATGCGAAGCGAGAGCAAGGAGACGGCAAGAAGTACTATCTGACAGTCAAGACGCGAGTCAAGACGTTGGCGCACATTGGAGACTGTCTGGGATGGTTCATTCCAGTCATTCTTGGCTGGATGCTATGGAAGCTGACTAGCTTTGGCGGAAGTGCGCCGACAAGCACTGGCGCGTCAGTGGCGAGCACGCTTGCGAGTACGGTGCGGACAGTCGTCTCGAGTACGGCTTCATCAGCTGCAGAGCTGTGATCACCTCTACGATCGCTTGTGTTATTCTCCCGAAAATGGGTCTTTCTCTATGCCTGTGTTGCCGTATACCCCCTCTCTTTCTCCACATCGGGAGTGTAGCAACGTTCTCTTCACGACCTCTTTCCTCCCTTCTCGCATTTCCACTCAAAGGCTTGTCAATCAGTAACATCACATCACAGCGCATTTTGGCCCAAGTTTTTCGCAAGCCAGTAACATCACCATCTGAATACATCCGGCGACGGAGTCGTTCTCTACGCCAAAAGCGCCAAAATCGTGTTGTATGAGCGTGAAGATTGACAGATGCCATACAGCAGTGATGCCGGAGCCAGACCATCTCGACTAAAAGAGTCCATGTCGCGTGTGCGGCTCGGAACAAAGGAGTCCACTTTTTCCGGATAATCTTTTCCCAAACTCCGCTTGTCACGCAGATGCAGATGGGAGCGATCGAGATTCCCACACGGGCGCATCTTGGGCGTACCGCTCCCCCCTTGTTCACCCCCGCATCTACGACAAAGGATCAGCAGAAGGCGAGCAAGGAGTATACGGGGAGGGAGATGTGGGCTGCAGGATTGCGGCCAGGTCGAAGCAATTACAGGTGAGACCAAGATGCCTGTGCCGCTCCCTTGGCCTTTGTCTCTTTGCCGCTGCTTGCTCCCTTCTTCGCTCGGCCCCACCCCGATGCTATGCCGACGATGATACTACGCCTTGCTCGTGCTACTGCCACTGCACCACTATCCATCATTCTGCGCCTCGCTTTGCGTTGCCCGATAGCACCGATGGCCGTGCGGTATCGCATGGCAGCGGGCAAAGACCATGCTTCCCATCGCAGCTCCGAGCCACAACAGTGGTTCGACGCTTTGTCCCACTTCGTTCTCGCAGCTTCTCACCCCTCAGGGCCAGGGCCGAAATTCGGCAGCCAGCCGCCATCCTTTGCAGAAGCAATGTACCGTTGGCGTCGGGGCTGGGGCAAGCAAACAAGGTACCGAGCAAGCAAAGCACAAGCGGAGCACCACTCTCAGCTTGACGCTTTGTTCTGCCCTGTCCGAGAGGGGACGAGGCAAGGGAATTGGGGGTCACGTCTGATCACGCCTTTGGTACGAAGCAATAGGGTCTCACCTCCCAACCTTGTTGCCCGATCGAAATTTGACTAGCGCTTCCACCTGTTCCTCGGTGCTACATCTTGATCGCTCCATCAAGTCTACTGATACCCCGCGCATCTTCGCAAGACTCTTTCCCCACTTCGCTCAAGTTATACCACCATCTGCAACCGTTACAAGACAAGGACCGAACACAAAATTCGTTCCCTCCGGACGTCAGCCGCCTACCGAGACTACATCCATAGCGTCATGAGTCTCGTCCGCCAAAGCTACATGAAGAGACCATCGATGCTGCACCCAGTGCTCCCGGAAATTGCCGAAGAGCCGTTCCGGGGCTGGAGCTTTGACGGTGTCAGATCGCATACGCAGCCAGAGTACCAATTCAGCATCGACTCGCAGAAGTAAGTACGAGATGGCAGAGTGGCAGGTCATGCTGGGAGAGGTGAGGCTCATGTGCGCTTCTTTCTTCCTTACTCCGCAGACGCAGCCAAGACCCACCATCCCCTCCCCTTCGTAGAGGCAGCCTAGCACCGGTGAACAACCATCGCTCTACTGCCAGTCTTGATCTAGCGCGAAGCGTACGAGCTGCCAACTCTGGCCCTTCCTCCTGCATCCGCCCACCTACCAAGAGCAGCTTCGCCGACTCATCCTCAGACGAGGACGACATCAGTACAGCTGTACGCAGACCACTGTCCCTGGCCCGCAGATTGCTCAGGCCAAAGCGACGACAAGTGGCCCTCCACGGACCCACGGAGGTCCATTGTGTATCGCCTACTATGAGAGACAGCGAAGAAGAGGACCAGGACGAGCGGGCAGATGCTTTCCTCGGTGCAGCTCCATCGAAGGCCGCTAAGCTGCTTGGTCTGGGCGCACCAGAGTCGTCAGTGACACCCAGTGAGACGCTCAAGCTCAGCAGGTCTTCCTCTGTCTCCTCTGCGCCTTCTGAATCATCCCGCGTGCATGGCAGTCGCTATCCATCATCAATCCTGCAGAAGGCTTCCCCATCACGGCTAGCAGGGACATCCAGACTTGCGCTAAATTTCCCAACGGCGGAAGTGGGCGTAGGTCTGGGTATCGTTCTACCTTCCATCCCGAGCGTACCCACACCCACACTGAGCTACAACCGCAATCGTCGACCTATGCTCGTCGGTGTAGCCGCTCCACACCCGAGCAAGATTTCCGATCCCGCCCTCGTAGCACTACAGAGGGCAGCAGCAGCGGCTACTATGACTACAAGCGACTATGGCCATCCCAGCTCATGGCAGCCACCCGCTCCCTCGCGCCGCCATACCTCGCCAAACACTTCGAGCGAAGGCACACTACCAAGCCGGCCCACTATCGGGAGGCGCAGCTGCTCCTCTGGCCCTCTCCCCGCCGTAGGTCCCGCGCCAAGCGCTCCTCTGCCCTGCCCGCCGTCATCCTTATCGAGGGACAGCAGCAGCAGTAGTAGCTGCAGCAGTGCGAGCAGCTATAGCACTCTGAGCAGCAGCAGCTGCTGCTGCCCCGGAGAACCATCAGTCGCGACCTCGACTTCGACTTCGGCTTCGGCGTCCCCTCCCTCGCGCCCCCTCTCACACATCTCAACGAGCTCGAGCTCGCGCTCGAGCACAAGCACAGATGAGGGGAGTAGAGAAATCGCAGCCGTGCTGCGCTACCTTGATGGAGACTTCGCCACTTCACCCACTTCACCCAATTCGCCTACTTCGCTCACTTCAGCGAGTCCGACTCAGAGCTCGAGTCAGATCCCAAGTCAGGTGCAGAGTAGAAGCTGTAATGTCAGTGTGGGTCTGGATGTAGAGTTAGGTGAAGATCAACAGCAAAGGCAGAGGCAAAGGCCGCGGCAGAAGCAGAGGCAGAAGCAGAGAGTGGAGCTGGGCCAGAAGCAGGAGCAGAAGACGAGCAAGGACACCTTCCATACCGCCACGGTACCGAATTCCAACTTTTGGTAAGAGCAGGGATTGGAGGCGAAGGAGGGAGGAAATGAGAAGGGAGCAAGTGAGTCAGTAGGAGAGGGGACGTCACCTGATAGATGGACAGCTCGATCGATCGATGACTTGTAGAACAGCACATCATAGACAAACAGTAACACGCACAAACGTTCCCATTGATGACTAGACTTGTTGGGGGTATTGCTCTGTACCTCTTTCCGTGAGGAGAAAGTCACTCGGACTCTATGCTGTAAAGTACTTGATCACCCATCTTGATGCTCGCCTTTGCTGTTCTCTTCGAGCGAGACCACCTGATAGTTCTTGCTTGGGATCGCCCCCTTCTATCCCTACATGCAATTCTACATCTGTTCGATCTTCTCCCTCAAGTCCCTCTCCGCCATATCCACATCCAGCAGGTGGACTCCAGGCTCCTTCTCCGCCTCCTGCTTCAAGATCCTCTCACCAATCCTCCTCTGCTCATCCTCGCCCACAGGCCTGGGTCGGACAGAGGTAGAATAGGAGAAGAGCTCGTCCCCGCTCGTGGCCGCACTGGCAGTGGCGCTGTGAGGAGCCACGTCGCGCTTCTTGCGCTCTCGAGAGACGTGCTGCGAGCCAGAGAGAACCTTGCCGAGACCGAGGCGGAAGGCGATGGTGAGGCCTCCGATGGACCAGAGGCCGTAGAAGTTGAGGGCGCTCCACGCTTTCCAGGTGGCCTGAACGTCCAGCAGGAGGAAGGCGAGGGCTGCGAATGCTAGCGAGAGGTGGACGCTGGCGATAGATAGGGCCACGTAGATCCACTGGTAGACCTTGTGCCCTCCGCCCTGCTGCCCGGGCTTCTGAGAGGCAGCATCGGCAGGTCCGGAAGGAGGAAAGAATCTTGGTCGCAGGGACTTGCGCAGGGAGCGAGCAATTGATTGTGCAAAGCCTCCATAGATGAACGCCATGTAATAGCCTGGGGCTACGCCGTGCCAGAATGCCGAAGTGAGGAATGTGACCATTGTTGACTTGAAGCCAGGCTTCTTGCCAGGCCGGGTCACTCGCTTGTAGACGTTGTTTCGGAGCCAGACGTCTGCACGGGAAAAGATCAGTATGCCTGGTCAGGGATCGTATGCAGACATTCTCGTCCGCTTTCGCCTCGGACTCACTTGTGTTCATGTTCCAGTGATCAAGCAGCTCCTTCCAGTTCTGTGCGAACTCGACACCGAAGATGTCCACATTCTGGCAGCGATTCCAGCGCGTGCGAGAAGACAGCTCAGTAGATGAGCTGCCGCTGACGGGAGCGACACCGTTGTACGACAGGCCAGAGAGAATGCACGAAGCCTGCCGGTGTGCAATTGGGGGCATCAGCGTACCATATAGGCGAAAGTGCAAGCGCGGTGTCACTCACATTGGTCAAAGTCCAAACGCCGTAGTACTTTGTTCTCGCCATGAAGCTTGCGACCGTTGCGAACCAGATCCTGTATACGAGAGTCGTCTCCTTCTTGCCCAGTCCGCCTTCCTCGACTGGGAGAACCAGAGCAGTGAAATCCCATCCCGGCGCAAAGACGGTGTACACTCCAAGGAAGAATAGACCGATGACGAGCTCTCGTGCCGCAGCCTGGATCCTGCCAGGAGGAGGCTGCTGAAGTGACGTGTTTCCCTGGTCCTTCTCTTTGCCCTTGACCGAGGCATAGACGCTTCCCTGCGCCCAGGCTCGATAGTCTACGAAGCGAGTCGCAGGGCCAATGAGAACACCTGGGAAGTAGAAACTGAGTAGAAGAGTGGAGGATGTGAGCATAGCGTTACAGGTATGCTACCCTCATATCGCATGTTCCAGCGTCCGTGACTCTACTCACCAGTACCCTAAGAACTCGATGAGGTCCGGCATCTGTGCGATCCTTGTCATCTTCTGCTGGGCATCACACTGGTCCTCCGTCCTGATCTGACCATCGTAGACATCCCAGGCAAACGTAGTCAGGTTCATCGTGAGCACCATCTGCATGGCTGTGACCTCGATGGTGGTCAGGGGAATATTGCCGTAGGCTCGAATGAGGTGACTGAAAGGGCAAGCCCAGCCGAAGGAGTCAGCAGAGGCGTTTTCTCGCTCGCCTTCAGCGAAACCAACAACCTTGGCCTACCGTTACTAGTGTACTGACTTGACTGTCAGATGACCCATCTCGACCCAAAAGACGATCCATGGCATCTTCTTGCCTCCCACCTTGAACTTTGCCAGTCCATACGTCAGGAGACTGGTGAGAAAGAGCTGAGCAAAGCCAGCGCGTAGGTTGAGGATGCCCAGAAAGAAGAAGGCCGAAGTGAAGATGCAAGCGATGTGCTTCGCCTGTGCAGGGAGTAGAGGAAGAGGATACGCGAGAGGAGAGGCGATGAGGAGGAGGAATATGAGCTGTGCGAGAAAGGAGAAGAAAGGAGGGTAAGTCCAGCTGCTAACGTGTCAGGCGTCGCGCTAGCTCTTGGCTGGAAGCTCACCTTTACGTAGTCGGGCGGTGCCCCGGACACGTCCGCCAGCGCCTGGAAGGTGGAGTCGAACATGCTGGGCAGAAGGAGGAGGAGGATGGGACGTTGTACGGCGATGTGACGAGGGAATCAGTACAGACCGACGCCAAGGGAAGAATGTTCGCCTGGTGTGGAGGCAGACACAGCAGCCCGCGCCAGAAATAGCCGCGCTTGCCATGCTGCGCTTCTCACCAAGCTGCCCCACACTTGCACAACACAGAACATGGCGTACCAACGACCGAGGGAAGATCAGGTGCGACGCTTGGTCAGTGAGGTGGGATCAAAGCAAGCCTGGTACTGAAGTGATGTTTTGGGATAAGAAAGGAAAGAGTATTCGCCAAGAAGGAGCAAGCCTTGTCTTTGAGGGGATACAAGCTCTACATCAGAGGCAACATGGTCAAGCCTCGTAGTCGGAAAGGCGAGATGGCACTGCAGCTCGCAGTCTACTTGTCCTCCCCCTCATCGCCTGCCTCGAGGTCTCCTTCACCTTCACTTTCAGTATCACCATCAGCCGCCTTCTCCTCCTCATCTCCCTCGACACTCTGCTCTTGTTCATCGGACTCCTCCTCGATCCCCTCCGTCTCCTTGAGGTAGTCGTCGAGCCCATCGAAGTTGAGAGCCATGTTGTAGTCCTTTCGCTTTGCGCAGCCGCGCTTGGGTCGATTGGGGGATTCGCAGAGAGGGGCAGCGAAAGAGGGGCCAGAGGCGAGGGTGGGAGTGACGCTCCTGCTTGGAGTGTAGTCGTCTGCGATGACTGCCTTCTTTCGGCGACCCTGCTTGATAGGAGGCTCTTCTTCCTCCTCGACTTCGCCTTCATCTTCAACGTCGACGTCCATCTTGTCCTCAGCGGAAGGGGAAGGAGTCTCCTTGGAGGTCTTCTTTGCCTGAACCTCACTCTTGACAGGTGTGACGGGTTCTTCTTTGATCTTCTGTGGAGTGATAGGCATGGGAGTCGCCTCCTTGACGACGGGAGGGGTTCCGCTGACCTCCTTCCTGGGAGCAGGAGATGGAGAGGGGGTGAATATGCTGTCCTCGCCGTCAGGAGTGGCTCCGACATTGGCTTCGGTAGTCACTGGCACCGAAGCCTTGGCTGCCTTCTTCACGGGAGAAGGTCTTGCTTTCTTTGGGGATGCCATCGGTTTCTTGTCCTCTCCCTCATCTGCAGACCCAGCTTCTCGCTTCTGAGGACCGCGAGTGGTACAGATGGAGTTGAAGTCTACATCATAGTCCTTGCACAGCTTCGCCAGAAGCTGCTTGACCTTGCCATTGATAGGATCCCCCCACTTCCAGGTCCAAGGCTGCAATGCAGGTTCCGCACGAAGAGATGCTCGGTTGCTCAAGATGATCCGAGCGATAGCTTCCACCGTAGCCTGTGTCTCCTTAGTCCCCCACTCGATGAGGGGTCGGTATCCGTCGGGATTTCCGGGTGACGTATCGAAGTGGTTTCGGCTGGGTGCAGTGTTGGCGTCTGCCTTCCTTCGTGGCATTGTGAGCAGAGAGATCAAGGATATTGTATGATGCAATATTTGAGCGCTGCAGTATTGTGTTGAAGAGCTGCAGACAAGTTTGCAAGAGCGTTGGCGAAAAGATGAGTGATTGCCAGACGGACTCAAAGGCTTTATGGTCTCTGCATTGTCCTCGTAGAGTCTCAGTCGGTGAATAGTCTAGCGGCGGAGTAGCTACTCCGCCGCTAGAAGGCAACGAGTGTCTTCCAGATACCCGATGCAGTCAGGGCAAGGCTGCTGTTGTCCTCAACGGCCTTCGTCATCCGCGATGTCCCTGGTCTGTTCATCCGCTCATCTGAGTAGTTTTTGCGCTAGTCATCGTTCGGGCAAAAGAGGATGGTGGGAATCTCACAGACTGAGGCAGAAGAGTCAGGGCGCGTGTCATTCCCAGCCGTCGTCGATCTTCACACAACGAACGCAAAGGCAATGCGGTGACGATCAGGCTTGTTCACACCGAGACGATGAGAATGAGTCATGAGGGTGACGTCAAGCCAGTCATGAACAATCGTGAACATCCCTCCAGCCATACTGGCTGAGGGCTGGGTGAGGCCATGAGCTACGTCAAGTCGCACCTCGCGTCTATAGTCTAGATAGAGTGCACATGTCAAGGGGATGTTGCGTGCGAGCGAAGGAGTCGTCAGCGGTACTCAGGTAACTGTAAGCTTGAGCAGATCAGTCATGGGATAGGGCGAGCACGAAGAGTCACCAGAGGTAAATAGCACATAAAACTTTCGATTCTGGCTCGCTGAGGTCCCACGTACACGACAAGGGTGACCATGGCGACGGTCTGTCCAACGAGAGCATCACATACGCTTGACAACCTAAAGACATTCTCCGACCGGAAGTTTGCTCTTGTTCAAGCGTCAACCTCTTCCTTCCTGCCTCTGTCGCTGAAAGGTCTCTCGTCTTCGTCGTCATCCTCCTCACTGCTGTCAGCCGATGTCGGAACAATGGCCTTCGCAGAATCTCGACAAGTCGGCTTTTTGGTGGGGGTGACCGGCTTGTGCTGGGTCTTGGGGGTGTCGTGAGCAAATGAGGGTTCGTGGGTCGAGCATCGGCTAGATGAAGCTGCGTGCTCTTCGCCTTCGGGTGACATGGATGGACCTGCTTCATTGGCGATCAGACCCTTCGCTGCTTTTTCCGGAGAGGTGGTCACCTGCTTTCGAGGCTTCTTAGGCGAGGCATTCGGCTTCGTGTCCTCGTCGTCGTCTGCAGAGGTAGTGCTACGCTTCTTCGGGCTTCGGACAGCAGTAGATGGGATTGGCATGGTAACGTCGTGGTCTTTGCATATCTTGGCCAGGATTTGCTGGAGCTTCTTATTGATAGGACTCGCACCGTTGTAGTTCCAGGGCTTCAATGCTTCGTCTGTGTAAAAGTACGATCGATTGTCCAAGGCAAGGGAAGCAAGTAGCGTGATGCACCTTTGAGTCTCCTGCGCGCCCCACTCTGTAGCTGGCAGCCAGCCATTCGCGTTACCGGGGGAGGTATCGAAGCGTACTTTGGAAGGAGAGGTCGGCTCGCTCTTGACCTTCGGAGGCATTATGAAATAGGCAGTGGAGTGTCTTAGCGGCGAGGAAGACGGTTGTATGGGTGCGTAGCTGTCGTGCTGAGCGAGGATGAGGGTACAATACAGTGGAAAAAGATCGAAGGTTCGGGGACATGCTGCATCCACGAACATCCTTCCCACACGGTTGTATCCCTACGAAAAACTTGTTCTTCTTCCTGCGTCCTCGTTGAATGCCGTCAGCGGTATCTGTTGCAGCAATCGCAACGTTCCTGAAGCTTCGTAGTGGCAGTCGATGCATTGCATCATCTCCTTAACAGCCGCTTTACTCAGGGCGCATATTAATCTTGTTTTGCTGCTTGACGGTGTTGCTTGAAGATCGACGATAAGTGGCTCATGTGCGGCTCGGAGAACTACGAGCTTACGCTGCTCTCACATCACATCACATCTGCTTCACACGGTATCGGGCAATCTGATCCTGTGAACACGGCAGTAGATTGAAAGATGTATGGTAGGGACTCTTACTCCGAGCCCTTTGCTCTTGAACGACGAGTCGTGAGAAAAATTCATGGAAGTTCTCCTCAGAGCTCAATAGTGTGGTAGACAGTCCAAACCTGCCTTCTGTACATGCTCTCGACAGCTATCGTACTGCTATTTCGCTATTTCGAACGGCATCACTTGTCAGCAACCAGTCCCCACTTAACCATGTCTCATGAATCGAGTGTTCAGCGCCTACTGGAACGAGTAGATGCTCTCATGGACGAGGATGGAGCAGACGACCTCTTCTTCACGCCTCCAAGGCACAGCCCCAGCTCACAGTCGTCTCAACGCAAGCCTTCCCAGTCGATCTACCTTCCTCCTAAGGGATGTTCTCCGACTGCTCTTTCGAGCAGTCTCTCTCAACCTCAGACTCCCGTGCGAAGGCAAGGCCGCGGAGCGAGGTCCCATGGCACAGCCTCCACGACAAGACCTTCGTATCCGACTAAATGGACCAAAGGGCATGAGGAAGCTCTCATAATCTTTGCCGCGTCGCTGCCCCTTCTATACCGTCATCACCTCTACAAGATGCCATTTTTTGAACCCTGGTCTGGGTACGGCTGGTCTCACCTTTCGACCTACCTCCGAAAAGCGATGCGGAACATCTTACGCACCCAAGGCTGCAGCTTTGAGCTTCCCAACCTTAGCAAGAGCTCGACTGGAAATGGCACCCTGCCCGATGAGATAGTGCGAGGAATGGAAGATGCGATTTTGCGAGGCTCTGGCTCTGGGAATGCGACTAGCCACGCAATAAGCAGATCTCTGCGTCTGCCCATCACGCCCAGGCGCCGCCGAAATGTCAGCACCGCTACCCGATCTCCTTCCAGTAAAGAACAGAGACCAAACACCCGAAGATATCAGGAAGGCGAAAGTAGCCCGTTTATCAAATCAGACGAGGAAGAATTTCCCGATCTGGATTCCACGGCCTCCTCTGCAGGCTTCAATACTCCTCCTCCTCGTCGGGCAAATCGGCCGCGACGCTCTTCTGCAGGCAAACGGCTCTCTACCTCGCTCTCGCTCTTGAAGGGTTTCACATTCTCCGACGACGAGGAAGAAGACTCTCTCTGCCTGGGCAGCAAGAAGCGCCGTCGCCATCGCTACACGAGCACAGATAGCGCTCAGGATGAGCTCTGGCAGCCCAAGACGCCCACTATCGATAGATCTTCGAAACGGAAAGCTGAAGCGTGCAGACGTACGCCCCCTTGTTCTCAAACCGTCACGGCTTCACCGAGTCGCCCCTCTGCCCGGCCTCTCATCAAGACGTCCAGCTCTCCGTCTGCTTGCGCTCCAGCTCGTGAGCAATCAGCCGCAATGCAGAAGCTGGTCGGAGCAGATACAATGTGCATCGATCTGACTATGAGCGACGACGACTGAGCTACTCCGGATGGGCATTGAGCATGCTGTGAATTCGGCCGAGCTGCTGAGAGATCGCGGACCTGAATGCAGTGCTGGTGATGCGAAGCGGTTGTAGATCTACCTGTGGAGCCGTGTGGTCCATTCTCATGTACTTCCTTGCTCGCTCCAGCCCGCTTCCTGCGCTTCACCTTGGACACTTCTGCTCAATCTGGTGTGTACAAATGAGAAGCTGATAGCCTTAGTGTGTGAGGAGTGATACAATGCAATACGTGCCTACCGCTCTCTCCCTTTTCCCCCAATCCCACACCCATCATGCCTCTTACTCTCTATTCTATTCATGTCATACCTTGCTCACGCCATCGGCCTTATCTACCTTCTCCTTCTTCACCTCCTTCTCCTGCGCCTCGACCACCTCATGAAAGACGATCTTGCTCTTTTCCACCACTCCCCTTTCGCTCTCCTTTTCCTCTCGCAACTCCATCTCCCTAAGTGAAGGGGTGAAGAGAGAGGGCGGAGGGTAGAGGGAGAGAGGGAGAAGGATGCGACGCAGAGAGAGGGATGGAGTTGCGTTCTTGCCCTGATGTGGTTCTGACGAGCTCGGGCTCGAAGAAGACGAGTTGAAGAGGGTGACGAGGTCGAGCCAGCCTTGCAGGTCGCGCTTCATCTCTCCATGGTCCGCTCCACTGGCCCGTAGTCCGCGCTCACTCAACACTTCGGCAGCAGTTACGGCCGAAGTAGTTGGCAGCGGGAGGTCGGCAGCTGGTGTGAAGCTGACGGAATCGGCCTCGTATGGAGATGTTGCTGGAGCCTTTGTGGTCGTGGCGTTGGCCAGGAGAGCATCGTCTTGAACCATATAGAGGAGATGTGACTCTAAATTGGAGCGCAAGATTACGGCAGGACGGGCGAGAGTAGGTAGACCAAATACTCTGCAGGATGGAGAGGGAATTGTACGATCGGTCAGCTAACGAACACAGCCAGCTGTGAGAGACAGCCCAATATCACTATCGGAGACTCACTTGCTCAGACCCGTCAAGCTTTCCTTGCCAAGGCTCCTCCATCTCCTCAAAGCTTCCTCTTGCCTTGACTCCCCACCGGCAAGTCTCATGCTGATTCTCTCTTTGAGATCTTCCAGGCTGCCCTTCAGCGGCAGACCAGCAACGTCCATGAGCTCTTGCACTTCTCGGGAGTTTCTCAGAGCCTCAACAGCGTTAGCTCTTTTCACCTCCTCTGTTTGGCGAATCTTGGCAGTCTGTGAGGGCAAGATGCAGGTCGAAGGGAGCAAGAACGGCTGCGTGATGGGAAAGTCGGAGCAAGAATGTCTTTAGTATGCCGCTAGGGGATGAACAAGACGAACTACCAGTGTTCTGAGGTCTGCCTACTCACTGCATAGATGACGACCAATGGCAACACTTCTTCCAAGATGAGCAGGATGGCCAAGAATAAGGGTAGCTTTTTGAGGTCTTTGCTATGCGTCCGCATTAACCTTGCCTCTGCCCAGGTCTGTTGCCTGCCTCCTTCCACCTGACAAGCTTCCCGAATCGCAATCACGCGCTTGCGATCCCTCCAGATCTGTTTCACTCCATTGAGGTAGAATTGAAAGAGGAACTTGAGCTGTGTGTAGATGCCTTTGACACGGGACATGATCGTCTTTTTCTCTACGGCAGGCTCAGCCGGCTGTGACTGAGATGAAGGTAGATTACCATCGTCTGAGCGAGCAACGCTTGTAGACTGATTCACGGCGGGGCGATGCTGCGTAGCAAGCAGGGAGCTTGCCTCTTTAGGGCTGGAGTCCAAGCTGCGTTTGGAATATGGCGATGATGAAGTAGCGGTCTTGCCCTGTCTTGATTCTGACGGCGTAGGGCTGTCTAAAGTGTCTCTGGTCGCATACAGACTTTTCTGACGTTTCGAGGGTGAAGTGGTGTGGGTGATGGAAATCGAAGGGGGAGGGACATCTCGACCCTCTTTGCCGCCCTTCGAAGTTGAGCTTTCAAGATCCGAAGAGGTAGCGTAGAAGCGCTGATGTCTTCCCTGAGGAGGAGGAGGGAGGACCGCAACTTCGCCTACACGCCGTGCGGGTGCAGCGAGGAGCCTGGCGGAGGAGGGTGTGTCCCTGAACGATGAGAAGGCGGCATATGATGACGATGATGACGATGCCTGCCTGCGAAGGGCCGAGGACGATGAGGAGGCTACTTGCCGAAGCATGGCAGTAGTGACGAACGGTGGACAGGGGTGCTATGTAGGCAAGCACTGAGATGCGCTTTGCAAATTATCGAGGACTTCTTGTAGGCTTGAAGGAGGGGAACAGATGAGTGGTTGCGCCAGGCGTAGCACTGGTGTGGCAGGGGGTTCTGCACAGTGGCAATTAAGCAGTTCGTACTATGAGCGTATGCTGATGCTTCTATGGAGTGTGTGGGACGTGATATTCGAGGCTAAGCTGATGTTCGTCGTCTGACGATGGCTTCTTCCGCGGAATTGGCGACGCTCAGCCCAAAACCTCGGATCGGATCGCGCACTGAGCAAAAGTGCAGCCACAGCCGAACCCAATTCAAGGTCCCTTTCCGTTGGTACGGCACGCACCTGCGAACGAGATTCAAGCAGACCTTCTCATCCTCGTCCAGGCTCACCATCGACTACGGCGCCATGTCTGCCTCGTCTTCCAATACAGTCAAGACCAAGGCAAAGCCGCTATCAATCATTCCTGGCAGATCTTCCTCTTCGGCAGTAGAGGTCGACGATGATGACGTCCTCATGGCAGACGACGATGCCGCCGCGCCTTCCAATCAGAATGTAGACTCGGCACAAGGCGACAGCAGCACCGCCGGCCCCTCGGAGCAGGACACTTCCACTGTACAAGATGACGACGAGCAAGACGCCAAACCAGAATTCGACGACCCAAACTTGCTTGCGTCGTATCCCATCTACCTCTCCCACTCCATCCCTTCCACCTCGTCTCTGCAGCTCTTTCAATATCCCACCTACCCGAATAAGGCTCCCCTACCCCTGCCAAATTACTCGAGGGAGCGCGGTCTCACCCACGCCATCCGTTGGAGACCCAATGCTGGCTGGGTGCAAGTCGAGCTCCCCCTCGACTTGCGAGCAGCTCTCTACCACAAGGAGAAGGGCGAGGAGATGGCAAAGGGCGCCGAAAAGATGGGAGGGCAGATTGGTAGCGGCAACCCCGCCGATGATGATGCAGGGGAAGAGGAAGCTCTTCCATGGGCGCGTAGAAGGGGCAGCAAGAAGAGCAGTCGAGCCAATGACAGTGATGAGGAGATGGCGGGGATTGGCGGGGCAAGGGGCCCGTCGCGGAAGTTGGAAAAGATGAGGTTGGAGAGCGAGGTGATGCCGCACATGACCAAGTATTGCGTTGGAGTGATGAGAGATCGTGAGTATGGTGTATTGAATTTGTAAAACTTGTCCACTCGCTGACATATCCGCGAGTAACATCGTACCTTTTCCGCGCAGAGGCCCTCCATCTGACCCAGCTAGATCGCATCCTGCAGCTGCGTCCCTCTATGCACCACCTAGATGGTCTCGATGCACTGGAAGCCGAGGACAAGCGCAATGCCGCCAAGGCCTTCGCAGGCGAGCAAACAGGCAACGAGTCTGAAGGTGGAGAAGGGGCTCCTCACCCAGCAGCAGCGGCCAAGAAGGAGAAGAAGACGGCGTACAATGTTGGCGTCAAGTTCAATGGCACGCCGGGCGGACCTGGCGCTGGTGGTGGAGGTGGATTTGGTGGGAGGGGCCAGGGCGACGGGCCTGGGTACGATGCGAGAGATGCACTCATGGCGAGCCGGCGCAGAGCCGAGGGGGAGAATTGGGTAGAGCTAGAATGGAGGGACCTCCATGGCCACGTGAGTAGTGGATCGAAGAGCAACAAAGAGGCATTTGCGGCAAGCTCGTACTGACAAGTTTTCGGCGCTTCGCCCACCCAAATCTTGTAGCACAAGGAAGACGTGCAAGCGACCATCTCCTCGCAGCTCTTTGCAGGAAGCAAAGCGAAGCTCAAGTGCAGAACCAAGCCCAGGGACTATCTCCCTGCGAGTCTTGGCTCGGACCCTCCCATGACGGCCGGAGCGATGAAGTGAAGTCAACTTTGTACATCTCCTTCGACGACGATGGAGAGGCATAAACGAAGGAACGTCAGTGACGGTCGCTGTGTAGGTGACGGCACGAAACACTCTATCTCGATACATCTGTTCATATGCAAAGTCTATCGCTTCCGATGTGTGCATGCGCTGCGCTCTATAGACAATCTTACTCCCCTTTCACCCCGCCGTACTCCACACTCCTTGCTCTTTGTACGTTTCAAACAGCCAACTCTGCAAATCGATTTCTCCACCACATCATCTCCCCTCCCCCTCCCCCTCCTCCTCCTCCGGCGTCTCCCCCTCCAGTCTCATAGGGACCCTGATCCCGCACAATCGCTCCGCTCTCCATCTCAACGAGATGCAACAACTCCTGTGTGAGGAGGATGGAGATCCCTTCTGCTTGAGCGACTTGCAGTGTCGTGAGTGGACGCCCAAAGTCGGTACTGGAGGAGGTCATCTGTGCAAAGTCAGAAGGTGCGTCCTGCTCTTGCTCGCGCACCTGATCAGATTCCAGTGCGCTCAACCTTCTCAATACCCTCTCCCTCACTCTCCCCTCGCTAAACTCCTCGAGATGCACAACCCTCAATCCACTCCTCGGTAAAGTGGTGTAGAAGATCCTGGGTTGTGTGAGGTCGGCTACGAGGTAGGGGAGAGTGGAGAGGAGAGTGGTTGGTGGGACGAGGGCAATTCCTCGTAGGCGATTCCAGGTACACCAGATCTCGTCGAGGGTGAGGATGCCGGGTCGGGGTCGATCGGAGGTGGGCGAGGACGAACTGGAAGACTGAAGAACATACGAGCTAGACGTCGCTGCTGCTGCTGGGCGTGGACGCTCGCCCTTCTCGAGGACGCGACCTTTCCCCAGGAGCCCGACGGTGGACGTAGAAGAGCCTACTGCTCCACGATTGCCACTCCCAACATTCCTTCCTCCCAAAAGTACATATCCAAGCTCTCTTGCGAGCTCGCGGTGGTACTCCTCTTCATCCCTTGCCATCTCCTTTGTCACTGCCGTCGTGGGCAATCCCAACTTGACAAGACTAGATCGGATGAGCGTGGCTGCCTCTTCTTCTCCACCTTCTCCATCCTCGCTAGCCTCGCCCGTTGCATGCTCTGCCTCACGCTTGGACAGCTTAGCATTGAGAGACTCAGCTAGATCGACCATATCCTTTGCTTTTGCCATTAGACCTCGAAGGTCCTGCAGGGCAGTCGACATGTCCGAGGACTCGAGGGCGGACTTGTGCGAGTAGGCATTCAGTAGTCCATCGATACCTACGACTGCATTGCCTGAGCCAGAGGGAGTAGAGGTGCGCCGACCGTCAATGTCCACTACAGCTGCTGTGCGAAGCGAAGAGGCTCGACCCGCCCCAGCAGAGGAAGGTCGCGATGGGTCACGAGCTGCATCTATTGAGCTCGTCGGGGCAGTCCGCTTCCACGCTGCGCGACGCATCGCCCTATCGAGCGCTTCATAGAAAGCCTTATCGCCTCCCTTGCGGAAGGAGAGCTTGACAGTCACCTCCCCCACGGGTCCTTTCGGGGCCGCGGGCGTAGCAGGTCTTGAGATGGCCGGTGTGGTGGGGAGGGAGTTGGCCTCTGAGGGCGGTACTGGAGCACTCCGGATCGGAGCGGGGAGCTGCGCTGTACTCAGAGAAGTGCCGCAGACTTCGCAACTCGGCATTGAGGGGTGGTTAAGGAAGGTGCAGGCGGGACAAGCGATTTCTGGCCCCGAGGTAGGGATGGGTGGTGATGGTGGAGGTGGTGTGGATTGTAGTGATGCGGCAGATGTCCTAAGCGATGGCGGGCCTAGCCGCTGTGCTGACGAGATAGGAGGGGGCGCCTTTGACGCAGATGTCGATGCTGACGGGTCTCTCCGTACGCCACAGAGCTGGCATGACTCTGTGCCACCTTCTACGCCTTGATTGCTGAAGCCGCATACCGAGCATACCCACCTCACCTGCACCTGCACCGGCGCGGTGCTAACATAGCCATTCGCCGCTGAGCTTTCTGCTGCTGCTGAAGCGGTATTGCCTGCACTCATTCCCATTGTGGCCATACCATTGGTCATTGCCATTTCGTCCTGCAGCCGGGCCACTTCTGCCCTCCTCTCTGCATCGCCCTCGCGATCTCCAATGTCCAGCCCAATAATGACCTTTGGCGAGCTCTTGAGAAAGCCAGCATAGTACTCTGTAAGCTTGACATCGTCCAATCTGAGATACCCGCTTTTGGTGCGTGGAGAAGTGGAGTCTATGTAGATGATTCGGTGCGAGGTGAGGTAGATGGTCCCGTCTTGGTGGTGGGGTAGCTTGATGGAGTTGGAGTAGAGGCCGATGGAGGGGGAGAGGGAGAGGACTTCTTCGGTTGGGAGGAGGTGGGAGCCGAGAGAAGAAGGGAGGATGGAGAGGGGGATCAGAGGCGAGGGAGGCACAGAGGCACCCATGGTATGGATATCTGTACCTCCTGGATGATGCTGCCGCTGCTGCTGGGGAGTTGGGGATCAGTGGTACGATACCCAGATTCCGTGGCGGCGTTGCGGGGCCCACAGACACGGAAAGAGGGGCAGCGGGCGCAGCGCAGGGCGAGTGCAGGTGGCCCAAGCTCGCATCCTGCCGACGTGGAGCAGAGCAACACCGAAGACCACTCCTTCCTGGTACCATCATCATCACCAGCACCATCATACCGCCTGACAGTCACAGTCTACCACACCCAGCCATGCGCTTTGTACCTCTGATCCTCGCCGCAGCCGCATCTGCCGTCGCACTCGTCGACGCCAAGACGCCCCCTTCGTCTCTGCAGATTGGCATCAAGCACCGCCCCACAGAATGCCCTGTCAAGTCGGCTCATGGCGACAAGTTGAGCATGTAAGTAAGAGGGTGGTGGGATACGAAGAGACCTACATAATCTCGTGCGGGTATACCGTCTTCCAACGCTGACATGCTCTGATCTCTGTCCTCACCCGCTCATACAGGCACTACACTGGCAAGCTCTGGGAAGGCGAGAAGTTCGACTCCAGTCTGGACAGGGGTACACCCTTCGTGAGTCAGCTTTAGGCAGTAGGCGCAGGCCGCAGGATGTCCGAACAGTCACTGACGCTCTTTTCCCCTGCTTTCTCCACTACAACCCTCGCAGGAATTCACACGTGAGCATGCTCCTCATAACGACACGCTTCTAGGGTGTCATATTGACCTCATTTCCTTTTCCCACATCTGTCTTCCCGCATCACAGTTGGTGTCGGACAGGTGATAGCCGGCTGGGACAAGGGTCTCCAGGAGATGTGCGAAGGAGAGAAGCGGAAGTTGCAGATTCCGCCTCAGGACGGATACGGAGACCGTGGAGCAGGCAGCTCCATCCCAGGAGGGGCTACTCTGGTGTTTGACGGTGAGCAGACTGGACTGACGTCAGAGCCGCTGAAGCATGACGTTGCAACTGACTCTCTATATCCTCGAACATCGCCTTCGGCATCTGGAAATCTTCTTACCTTCCAGTGGAGCTTCTCCAGATTTCCGGGCCGCGAGCCGCTGCCGCCCGTGCTGCGTCCGCCGCTGCCGGCAAGGAAGAGCTCTGAGCAGCCATGGACCTCTCGATGACCCAACTGTACTGCCTCATGGCCTTCTCTTCACTCGTGTCCGTGATCCATCAATCAAAAGCCAAGATGGCAAAGGCCGTACCTTCTCTTCTACAAAAAGGGGACTGTGACCTGAATGAAGCGCGGAGGCACTTATCTGCCGCCCTACTGTGCCGTATAGCCGGTCGGGGCCGGGTCCGGAGAAAGGAAGTAAAGAGGTTTGGATGGCGACAAGGAGGCTCTTGAAATCCGTGACGGTCCTGAGCTGGTCTCTTCTTGGCTGATATACTTCATCACCCTCCTGATCTCAGTACTTTCCCGTCATTGTTACGTCTCACCTTCACAATCTCCTCCTCCTTCTCATCACCAGTATCTCTTCCTTCTTACGATTCAGCACAGTCACTACTGCTTCACATCAGCAATGCTCGGCAATGGTAAGTCTCGCACATTACTACGACTCTAACCCCACGTTGAAAGCTCAGTACCTCACATTGACACGACTCCCGTGTCCCGACTGATCGATCAGGCTTTCAAGCAAGACTATGCGATGTACAGACTGGCAAAGCCCTACCAGAGCATCCCTCTCCCCCAGACGCTCCATGTGCCGATCTACGCTTCCTTGCCCCCTTAGTGGCATCAGCTGCACAGAAGAGGGTCAGAAGAGGTAAAGTTCTCGTTAGAAGCGGTGATGGCGAGAAAGAAGAACTCGTCTTGTTCTTCAAGAGGCGACCTCGCACCAAAGGCAACGATACAGCAACACTGACAGTACCCCACAGTGGCAGAGGCGAGGAGAGGGCCAATGCCAACGAGGAGGGAGATATGTGGATGCAGCTCAACTTCAACAATCGACCCGTCAAGCTTACAGCCCTCACCTCTTCTTCTCGATTGACCACTTGGAGTACCTCGAAGCCGAGCAAGGGCGATGCGGCTGATCAGGCCTCCATTGGTGAGGGCCGCAAGCTCTTCAAGATGTGGCAGGGTAAAGATACCCGGATCGAGCCTGTGCAGTGCCTGTCGAATACAGGGAGGGTAGAGCTGGACACACTGCGTCCGTCTGGTGAGTAGGGGCATGTTGGCGTCGCTAGTTGAGGACTTCCGCGTCTGTGACTCACCATTAACATGCCGTATCTTGCACATCGCTGTAGTAACCTACTGCACAATCACAATCTGGAATGTAAGGACGAATCAGTACATTGGCAAGAGGGGCCTCAATCTGAGGTACATCCTGCCCTCGGCCGTCTTGTGAGTCATACGCACTGCGGTAGGACAGGCGCTCAGCTGACATACTTTACCATATCTTCGGTCGCCATTCACGACAGCCACTTCGACCTCGACCGACCTCAAGACAATGTCCTCTCTCCCGTCATGTCCACCATTTCAGATGTCGCAGGCTCCCTCACCAATGCCTCACATCAGACCCAGACCCGATCGAAGTTCCTCTCCGGTCCCATCGCCAAAGTCAAGAAGTTCTTCAGCGACAGTGAGGCCATGGAAGACGAGCAGCTCGAAAAGGAGGGTAGACCTATCTCAACCATCGGTCGACCAGGGAAGCTCTTTCGGAACAGCCGAGACGATGCTTCGAATGCTCTGCGACGACGAGCTGCTTCCACATCCAATGCTGTGATTATCGAGACGAGCACCGCAACGACAATCGAGACGACGACTCCGGCACCGTCAGCTTTGACGTCCCTAGTTCCTGCTGCGCTTCTAGCTCGACGGAGGTCTTCTGCAAGCCCCTCTACAGGCTCGGAGCAAGAGAATAGCCGATCTTCTTCAGAGGCATCCGGACACCATGCCCATCACAAGCTCCCAGGATCACCAAGCAAAGGCGTTGCAGTGCCTGTCCCGGTTGCTGACCCACGCTCGTCATTAGAAACAAGCACTAGCGTCCGTCCGATTCAGACGGTGCTTATCGACGATGCTTATGTGGGAGGGGAAGACGATGTACTGATCTCTCCACAGAGACGCTTAAGCAAGATCGAAGAGGCCAGCGACGAGCGCTCTAGCTCAGCCATTGACGCTCTATCGATCACATCGTCCAGAACGGGTGGGAGGCAGGATACTGCAAGAGCTACACAATTGGCACGTGTGAGACCAGTACCTAGCGCAATCTCTCTTGGGCTCAGCCCTGAGCGTTGTGCATCTCCTCAGAGCATTTCGCGCGATACAGCAGCCGATCGGCCCTTATCGATTGCCAGCCGGGCTTCACAGACAAGACGAATTCCGTCAGCTCCTATGACATCTCCTCCTGCGTCCCTTGCGTCGGTAGGGAGGACCTTCTCCAGCTCTTCTATACCCACACGGGGCTCTCTGAGAAGTAACAGCAACGATAGCTCGCCCAGCGGTGCACAGCGACGTGGCTCAATCCAGCGTGAGGGCAAGCGCAAGGCACCCCTCGCTGTATCTCCCCCAATTCCTTCACGCCCTCCTAGACCGGAAGGCAACTTGCTCAAACTAGATGCTGAGGAACCCAGGGAGCTGCTGAGCATGCCCGCCAAACGGCTACCGCGCCCTTCGGTCTTTGCTGCCAGTAAACAATCCTCTCGCGCGATTACTTTCTTAGACGAAGACGGCAACAGTGCCCTTGCCAGCCGCTCGAGATCGACCCCTCGTCCCACTACAGGCTCTACTGTCTCTTCGTATCGCTCTGGAACAGACCGCAGTGGTGAGCGGGACTCAGTGTCTACGCGAGGTGGGAGACGAAGTGTCTTCCGCAATGAAGACGTCGTCGAGCGCTGTACCTCGGTCGACTCTACAAACACATTTGGTATTCCACCCTCGCCACGCAGTGTCCAGGGGGTTGGCTATGCGACTACTCCTACCCGGGCATACTTTGCGCTTGAGGGAAGGGCGGGGTACAGAGGAGCTTCGGGGAAAGCCCGAGAGTCTGAGTATAGAGGGACTGGCGACGCAAGTATTGTCTCTTCTAGACCTTCCACTGCCTCAACAGGTGAGCATGGCTTGGAGTCCGGCAGTATCACTCCTCTGAATCTATCTGGGGAGGCAGACGGCCAGACAGAGAACGTCAGCAAGGAAGGCGCGCTCCAAGCTCGCACCCCAACGGCCGGCTCCACCCCAGTCGCAAGCACGGACGAGTTCATCGGGAGCGGTGCCGACGGCCTCTACTGGCCTAACGTGAGCACGCCTCACGCTACCGCCTCCCACACACAGTATGAGTTGCAGAGCAAGAGCAGTCGCCGTGCTCCCGTCTCTCTCCAAGTCTTCGGCCCAGACGAGGGGTGCAGCTCCTCTTCGATCACTCCGACGCTAGCTGCTTTGCGCTCCCGGTCCGGCACGCAGATTCGCGGTCGTCATCTACAAGAGGCAGCTGCAGGCCGATCAGCTTCGAAGTCTGTTACGAATGAGGAGCTAGACAGGACTCAGAGCGTTCTCCGCAGACTTGAGTCTTTGAAGAACCTTCGGGTGAGTGTGCGTCGTCAGGGGGAGAGAGTGGTTGACTTATTGCGCCTGCTCACGCTGATGATCTCCCTAGTCTTCCACTTCCTCTTCCTCTTCCTCTGACTCCTCACCTTCTTCATCTTCCCTCTCCTCCTCCTCCGCCCACTAGGCACTGCATTCAGAGCTCGACGAGCACCGCAATTCCCTCGAGGCACAGGTGCGGCAGGCACTCTTGGATGAGCTCGAGGTGGAGCGCGCCAGTTGGATGGAGAAGATTCAGAGGCGTCTCTCGGAGGTTGAAGATCTGCAGGCCCTGGTGGATTCGAGGGTGAGGAAGTGAGAGGAGGGACGAGACGGCAGATACAGCCGAGAGGGGTGTTGCTCGTTATCATGCATCACTGCCCCGCACCGAGTTGATTCTCACGTGTCACTGCTTTGCTTTGTTTAGACTTCTATAATATTGCAAGCAGAAGAGTCCGTTCATCTATCGCGAAAATGCTTTTTACCGCTTCCCATCGTCTGCTTCTGCGCCATTGTACATGCTCTGCTTCCCAGCTCTGTGGGACTTCAGTCTCTCTTGGTCTGACTCTTGGAATCGTGAGCGGGCGGGCGGCCGTACCCGTTGGAGGACCCGTGTCCATTCGCATAGCCATTGCCATGCCCGTTCGCAGGCCCGTAGCCATTGATGCTTATGCTGCGAGAGGGTAGACCACCAGGTGCGGCTGAGCGATTGCTGGGACCACTGCCGCCGTAGAGGGTGGTGGAGCTCATGCCCTTCCAGATGGGACCAGGACCGGACGCAGCTGGCGGGGCAGCACGCCCATTGACAGATTGATCCACACCGCCGCTCATCGGCAAGAGACCCGCTCGACGTCGACTGCCCTTGTCCATGCCAAAGTCCATTGCTGCGTCCTCTTCCCTCGACGCAACACTTTGTGCATCCCCGAGCATCGCTCCCTTAGCCCCCTTCCCACCGTCTCCACCCTCACTCCCTGTCCGTACTTTGGAGTCATTGTAAAGGTAGAGACCGATGAAGGTCAGCACGATTCCCGCCCACTGCAAGCGCGTGACCGTTTGGCCGAACCAGAGGATTGCAAAGCAGATCACGAATACGCGCTTGAAGAGGGAGGCAATCGAGTAGGTCACTGGTGACGTCAGGCCGAGCACTGAGAAGGCCAGGAGATTTTGCGAAAAGTGCACGATTCCATTTGAGAAGAGGAGCGAGGCGATGCGGCTTGCGTGCGAGGAGGTGTCCATTGGGTTTAGAGGTGGGAAGGAAGAGGAAGGAGGGATTGAGGGATCGGTGTGCTCCCACCCGCCGGCGAGAGTGGCGGCGGTCCCGCTCAGACCTTGCATTGCGAGTCGAGCAGACCGAGCTGCCATCATCCTTGGCATATCCGAAAGGAGCACTACAGGCACCATGACTAAGCAGCTCACTCCACTGCTCCAGAAGAGGATATTGAGCTTGTCCAGCTTCACCACCACTTGGTTGCCTTGCGACACCCTTCGCTCGGAAGAGGAGGAGCCTCCTGCTAGAGCGTGGCCCAGCAGCTTCTTCGACCAGAGATTCTGAGCGACAAAAACGATTGTGCTTCCGACGGACAAGGCGAGACCGGGAACGACGTTGGGTCCTTCGATTGAGGAGAGACCGGAGCAGGCAAAGATGACTCCGAGTGTCAGGGGGAGGAGGGAGAGATATGTCCGGAGAGGGTAAGAAAGGCGTAGGAGGAAGACGTAGGTGAGGACGGTGAAGAGGGGTGATAGAGCCTGTCATCGTGGGCGGAACGGGATACGCTAATCAGATTAGCCCTCAAACGATCCGCTATGTCCCACAGGCAGCCACTCACTTTAACTGTATGTACGGTGCTGACAGGCACCATCTGAATGGCAGCAGAGGTCATGGCATGCCCCGTGACATTGAACACACTCAAGCCTACCATCTCCCTCAGCTTAGCTGCATTCACCATCACCAGCGTCCCCATCAAGCCCCTCGGCCTTCCCGTGACAGCATCCTTTGGAGGTGATAATCTTAGCCTCGCGTAGAGAAAGGCTGCTATTGTCGGTGAGGAGAGGAGATACGAGAAGGAAAAGACGAAGAAGAATTGAAGCGCCGTAAGGGATACGGGGTATGGGAACAGCGGGGGAGTCTTGACCTTCGAGACGCCCGGAGTGGAAGAAGAGGAAGAGGAAGAGCCTGCCGCACTCCCACCGTTCGCTGCGACATTCGGGTCTAGCGAGCCATTCTGGAGTCCGGAGGCAAGAAGGGGGACAATTTTCTTGACCTTATTGGGGGAGAGAAGTGCCTTGGAAGTCGATGCAGAGAGAAAGGAAGTGGAATACCAGAGGAGACAGAGGGCGATGAAGAGGAGCGTCTTCCGTGAAGGCAACGCAAGCGCCATCCGCACCGGCATGCTGCGAGAGCAGCGCGGTGAAGCCGGGGTGATGTGGAAGAAGGAATGCAGAGGTTCTCCACTGGCAGTCAGATGAGACTGTTATGAGCTGTGAGGATGAGTATTGTCGCTTGAGTCTATGCCATGGCGGGAAACGTTTGCTTGTTGTTGCGGAAGGAGAAGAGCAACATCGGGACAACAGTCCGCACGCACCACGTAGGACCTTAGAATTTCGGAAAGTAGTAGGCGTGGGACAGGTGGCCTATATGATGACAAATTGAGATCTAGTCTGGCTACCTGGCGACGTGACCGAGCGGTCTAAGGTGACGGATTCAAGATCATTGAATATAATCTTCGGGAGTGATTCCGACTATCCCCGTTCTCGAAAGAGGCGTGAGTTCAAATCTCACCGTCGTCATGTTCTTTTTTGTGTTTCTGCCCGCGCTGCCTAGCACCTTACTGGCAATAGTGACAAGATGACGCGCGGAGATTTCAGACGGATTATACAAAGTAATGATATAGCTATTGCTCGTGCTTCAGATTCGAGGAGACGATCACTCGAAGCTAGCCATCGATGCCTCAATCGACGCGAGCTCTTCCTTTCTCTTGTCCGCCCTTTCCACCATTTCCGCTTGCTCCTTCCACCACGCCGGGCGCGATCGATCCTCCGAGCCCGTCTTGAGAGGGCTTTCCAGCTCTGCAATGGTCTTCAGCTGGGCATGTAGTGCTGCTTTTCCTGCGTCTCCACTGACCACGGCTGCCTCCGCCGGCTTCTCGACTTGTGGAGGATGTGACAGCTTGTCGTCCCCAGCATGGCTGTTCCTCTGATCTCCGCATGTTTCGCCAGCATAGGAGACCTCTCGAGCAGTCATTGGTGTGGGTGGCGGAGGTGTCAGAGCTTGGAAGCTCGTGTTCGAAGCGGTGGGTGTTGTGAGCACATCACAGATCTGACCGCCCACGATGACGCTCGGTCGACGTCGTGTACCTTTCGAGGTCGGTTGACGATAGGGCACAGTGCTGAGCCTTTGCGTGAAATCGAGATGACCAGGGTGAGGACGGGGAAGATCGGCAGTGGGGAGATGTGAGGTGGTGGGTTGGGCGTGTGTAGTAGCGTCCTCGAGCTCGCGCTTGTGTAGGCGCTCCCAAATCTCACCTACTCGCGCTACCTTGCCTTCGCAGCTCGGCGCCATTACCTGCACCGGCTTGGCTCCAGGTTGGGAGCGAAGCTTGGCGCTCGGCACAGGAGGTGGAAGAGTAGCTGGTATGCACTGCGATACGGTTGATGGCGGTTTGGTCGCTGCCTTGATGGGAGCAGCAGCGGGCGCTGGTCTCACAGGAATGATCAGATCTTGCCCGTCCTGGTCATCGCTTTGATTCTGCAGAACCTCCTCTGGCACTGTCTCTTCAACTTGACCTACAGGTGGCAAGCGGGCGGTGAACTGTTGCTCGGGAAGCTTGTCAGCAGAGGGAGAGACGTTGGGCGAAGAGCGCTCACGATGCTTCTTGGGCCGCACCGGCTTCTGTCCGACCAGCGTCTGTACCTGTAGGCTTGCCTTTCTGTGAGAGAGGTTGAGGTGAGCCATGTCTTCGGTGATCCTTCCGATGTTCCGCTTGGTAGGGTCGACCAGGAATACATCAGGTGCCGAAGCCAAACGATCACGGAAGCCTTCAGATTGGACAGACGTCTGAGCACACCTGCCGTCACCATCTCCATCATCCTCATCAGATCTGAAGGTCACCCAAGGGTCGCCATTGGCGTCCTTGATCCTCGCGGTCTTTGGACTGACTGGATGATGAAGGTAGTGCAGAGCAGAATCTGGCGTAGCATGGAGATGCTGAGCAGCCTTCATTGGATCGATCTTGAGGAATGACAGTCCGCTAAAGGGCCCGCACATGCCTAGGTCAACTTCAGGCAGACTGGTCTCAGACTGTGGCGAAGTCTCACCTGTGCCTGTCTGTGAGTAGCTTGAAGCAGAGGACGAAGAGTGAGAGACAGAGCTGCCACTCTCATCGTGGTCGCTGGTGCCGGTCGTTTGCGACTCGCTGATATCGCAAGAAGACGCACTGTCGAATGAGCGTCTTGTCGATGGAAGCGTACCGATGACTTCGAGTGAGCTCTTTCTGTCCTCTCGCCGAGGTGAAGGTGCAGCTTGACAAGGATGAAAGGGGCGTACACCCAATGCCTTCATCATTGCATCGCTTTCTAGCCGTTCCCGGACCGCCTCAGACTCTGTGTCGACAGCCAGTGTGTGCAAACCAGCAATGGTAGGAAACGGGCAAAGGTCCGAGGCTAGAGACATGCGGAAGCGATTGATGACTGGTGAAGTCGCCTCTAGCCTAGCAACAGAGTCCAGAAACACGTCGGATCGTCCGATGTTCGTCAAAGGCGGAACGGCCTTGCGAGGGATCCGTCGATTCTCCTTCGACTTCAGTGCCTGGGCTTGTCGCACTACCTCCAGTGTATTGGACGTGAAAGCATCGTGCAGATTCGCCACAGCCTGCCTCAGCTCGATCAGCTCGTCCAGCCTGTTAAGAGTTTGGAAGAAGGATTTACTTCGAGCATCTGCAACCGCCACTTGCTTCGCTGATTTGGTCGATGACTTCTTGTGCTTCAGAGTCGGCGTTGCCGGCGTGTCTCTTTCATTCTCCAGGGCAGTACGAGTACTAAAGGCTGTGCACAGCTCCTGCAGAGCAGAAGCGGCCTCATTCACTCTGAAAGACGCGACCGCCACGAGTTCCATCGGCAGCGTATTGGGCGGTAGACGTTCGACATCGCGAGAGAGGAGCAGCTGTAGAGCAGGGACGACCTCTATGGTCTCGCCACTGCCACTACGATTGCCATATTCGGACCTACAGTACTTGTTGACTCCGTCATCACTGCTCTCTGCAGCAAAGAGATCATGATATCGCGCTGGATATACAGAGGCGCGGGAGTCCATCATGCGAGCTCGCTTCTCTTCAATCGTATCGGCTGGGACATCGTTTAGGAAGGACTTTCTGACGGAGGGGATGTGGCGCTTCTGGCGGGTGGCTCGGACTTTGGCTCGAATCTTTGAGACGGGCATCACGAGCTCCGGACGATGGTGTGAATGGAGGTCCTTCCGAAAGGCTTGAGGATCTTGCTGTGACCAGCACTAGCGTGTCGAGGTGTGACTGCTCGAAAGTTGGTAGTAGAGCGTGAGCGTCCTCAGGTCAGATCAGTGGATGGGGACACACATGTGGCACGGCTTCGGGAGAGAGCTCTCGCACCTGAAGCGCTAGGCTTATAAGAAGAGTCGCACCATCAATCGCTACATTGCTTGTACGGAGCAAGCAAGAGAGCAATGGACAATTTTCGCGCCCAACAGCAACGGAGCAATTCTGACCAACGACACTGCCGTCAATGGCTCAAATCCTTGCCAAGCGGCCATTAGCAAAGTTTCGCGAGCTCAAACGCACCATGACAGTTGATTTGGCAAACGGCTGCAAGATCAGATCTCGGAGCGCAGCGCACAAGTAGAGTCAGGCTCCCGGGACTCACTCCACTGGATCATTGCTACTAGTTTTGAAGACTTGGCGGCAATGTTGCTGTCGCTGCCGGCCAGCGAGCAAAAGCCACAGTGGGGCGCAAAGGGTATCATTTGCCTTGAGTGAATTGATTTACAATGCGTCATTCGTGTTGTACATGTGCGAATTTGCTGCTCTCAATGTCCGTTCATCGATCTGCCATTGGCACCGCCCATTGCTGCCAGTCTCGACGTCTCTCTAGCTAGAGAAAGAGCCATACGCTCATCTTGGTAGAGCTTCTTGGCTTCGATGCTCGCTGCGAGGTCGGCAATTCTGGCTCGCATGTGCGCCTCCTGCTCTGACAAGTCTGAAAGAGTCGTTGTCTGCAAGGCGTGGGAGTGGTGAAGGTGCTCAGCAACACAAAGTCCGGGCTGATCGGTAAAACCCCAAAAGTTCTCACCTGTAATTTCTTCTCAGCGTCAAAGTCATTGCCTCTGACTACTGACCAGTCGGCATGCTTGCGACACTTTCTCTTCACAAGACCACAGATAGTGGGCACCGCTGCCAAGGATGATTGCTGAGGGTCGAGCGAGGGAGATTCTCGCTGATCCACGTCCATGGCGTCTTCTTCACCTGGCTGAGTTTGGCGCTCCATTGGCATCTCATCCGCATCGTGGAGTCGTCCGTCCAGCTCTGCCGATCCCTTGAGTATTTGCTCGCCCTGTTCGCTCTTCATCCATGCGACAAAGCGCTCATCATCCCAGGAGAGGCGCTCGTCATACCCACATCTTGGTTGAGTCTTGATAGTGTCGTCTCCAGCACCAGCACTGCCTTTGCTGCCCTTGGTCTTCTTCTTGTTGGAAGATGCAGACTCGTCGGAGACCTGCACAGGGGGCAGATCACCAGCACGATCATAGGCTAGCTCCAACAGCTGTATTCGACCCATCACTAGATCCAAAGATGCAGACGAAGCTTGCTTGTGGGAAGTGAGAGAAGCAAGCGCCCTTCGAAGATCGAGCAGGTCCTCCTCCTCTTTCGTGCCTGATTCGGTGAGACCACCAGCTGGCGAGATCTCGTGGAGGGTGAGGCCAAGTTCACTGTCCTTGATATGGAGCGTATCTAATCTCTGGAACCAGGTCTGATGCAAGCCATCCTGCGGACCCTCTTCGCCTCCCCAGACTACCAGACCTTCCTTCTTTCTGGCTGTCTGGACCTGAAGGCTATAGAGCCTGTCCAGGCCACCGGGGGCTTTGACCTGCTTCGTCTTGGCAATACGAGCAGCTGCCACGAGCATACCACATCGATCAGAGCAGTATTTTGTCAAGGGAGGCCTTGCTGCTTTCGTGCATGCCTGGCGAGCGCAGGGCGGCTTCCATGTGGTCCTCTCAGTCGTAGCTGTAATGCAGAGGGTCACTGGAAGCAGTGAGCGAGAGCTTCCCAGCAATCCGGATCTGCTGGCCTGAGCTCCACTCACTTGGTTCACAGCGAGGGCAGACAAAGACGTCTATCAAGTCTGCTTGCTCGTTTTTCATCTTCATACAGAGGACGTGGTACCATTGATCGCAGCTGAAGGGAAACGATGTAGAGGAAGGATATGAGCGGGAGGGCGAGGATGACTTCTGAAAACCTTGAGGACTCACTGATCGCATGCGATCATCATCTTGTCGTCGTCTGTAGCCGTTGTGTACAAAGATCAGCTATCATGCGTGGATCTGAGACATGCCAACCTCCGGACTCACCATATAGGGTCCTACAGATACAGTACAGCTTCCCCCCTTCGGAGCTGCCATCATCGTCACTATCCTCCTGACCGCGATCTTCTGGTTCCTCTGCAGGGCTCGGTAGACTAGCCACAGCCTCTGGCTGGGGAACGACCAGCTCCGAGGTGACCTTCTCAACTGCTGCTGCCTTCTTTCCCATCTTGGGCTTGCTAGGAGCACTGGCTGGAGGCGCCACGGGAGTCTCGTCCTCCTCTACCTGCACGTCTTCCACAGAGTTGTTCGCTCCAGAAGAGGACGTCGGCGGCTTGTACGTCCTCGGACTGAACTCAAAGCCGTGTGCAGCTGCGAACTTGGCACGCTGACTAGCGAGCCACTTCCTCTCTGAATCTCTCGTCCGCTTGGCTAGCAACTTTGCCTGTGCAGCCTCGTCGAGGAGTTCCTCTCCCGGCTTAAGGCGGGCAGGAACACGAGGGACATATTGGAAGTTGGGCATCGGAGGAGGGGAGCCCCGCGGAGCGGGAGGGTCTTGGTTGCCATTTGCTCCAGGGTCGTCTGTGCCCTGGGAGTATGCGGTCACCTCGACGTGCCCTGGCGATCTGCCCTGTTCCTGGGGAGAGGCAGAGGAGGATCGCTTTCGCTTCAACTGAGCATCTTCACGGGATGGAGAAGCAGCGGCAGAGGAGCTCTCGGCTTCCTCGGCTGCGGGCATGGCAAAGGATGCTTTGATGGAGGTGAAAGTGTGCTGGTCATCGAGGGGACAGGAAGCTCTCCCACGCCTCTCACGCCCCTTTTGCTCGACGCGCCTCGCGGCTGCATGCATGTCCCCGTTCCGCATGGTCGACCGAGTCCAAGATCTGGATACCTTCGATCAGTGGCGTGATCGAGGCAGCCTTAGAGTGTGCAACCTCTCACATCCAGATAGGGAAGATCATCCAGAGCGTCTGTATTGGTGTCAATGAAAAAGGTAGCAATGTAATGTACAACAAGAAGGAGTGGGGTAAGACAAAAGAGTCCCCTGCTCGGCGCATGGCAATTTCAAGCTAAATTTGCAGACAATACTTGCGTGCCCTTGTCTCGTGCTTTGGTATAGTCCGTGTGCATGATCCACTGCTCCATCCCTTCCTCCTTCTAGATTGACAGCGCTTCGGCGTCGCTTACACTGACTAGCTGAGCTACTCTCCTACACTTTATGCTCGTCCCTCTCCCGCTCCCACACTCGGCCGAACGCCTCCATTATGACGCCCACTCCCGCTACCAGAAGATCCGCTCCCACTCCTTGCAGAAGCAGGGACATCTTCTCTGCCAGGGTGAGCACCAGACGCGTGGAGGTATTGAGGTGAAGGGGGTCTGAACGGGTCCCTGTCCCTCTGCCCGTGAGCACTGCCGTGATGAGGAGGGAGGTGCAGAGGCTCGGCGTGATGTGCATAGGCACCTGGCGGAGGACCCCAACCCATCGAATCGATCTGGTGGGCAGTGTGAGTCCCGTACCCTTCGCCTGCGGGAGGGGTGTACTGAGGCTGCTGAGCATGCGATTTCGGTTTTGAATAGAAGGGAGGAGCAGGATCCGCTAGACTAGCAGCGTTGAAGGGATCACCACCCCTCCCCTTTCCAGCAACTGCTCTCAGACCTGCGAGCGCGCTCTTTGAGTCTTCTTCCGCGTCGTCCTCAAGAACATGTACGTGGGCATGCGTCTTGCCAGCAGCCAAGCCCTTTGCGCGCTCCTTTTCGGCCTTCTTCTGTTGACGATTGATGGAACGAGAAAACCGTAGCCCACATGCATTGCAAAGTGTCTTGTGGCCTGTAGGACCTTTGCGCCATTCAGGGCTGTTCGCTGTGCCACCTGCAGATCATCGAACAGGTGCGGACGGAAGAGAGTCAGCGGCTGCTTTGCAGTAGGAACTCTCTCACCTCTGGTCTGACTCACAGCTACTACATCTCTTGTTGGCCTCTGCTGCTCCATCACTCTGTGCCTTTGTTGCCTCGTTGTCCACCGTTCGAGATGGACCTGCCACGGCATCCGACCCAGGCTCGCTCTGTCTCATCCGCTTCTTCTGCTTCTTCTGCAACGGCGGAACTTCCTCCGCATGTCGCTGCGGACTGCTCGCCTCACTATCATCATCTGTGTAACGAGCAGCACCTTGCGGTGCGACAATGGGTATACTGCTGCTAGTTCCCGCCACGCCGCTGTCCCCGTTACCGCCCAATCTCTCCCTAGCAGTGTCCATGGACCAAGGTGAGCCCACGTCTGACCACTGTCCATCCCCAGAGCCTCGACTACGACTGCTGCCCAAGACGCTACCGGGCTTGCCTCCACTGTGGCTCCCATCGACGCTCCGCGGCACATGGGATGATGGGGCAAAGGCGCCGATGAAGCCATGCCGTACAGAGGGTGATGAGCTGGTAGAAGAGGACGCTTGTGCGCTGGTGCTGGATGTCGAGAATTCGCCCAATGACCCGCCGTAACTGCGATTCATAATCTGCTGATACTTGGTCTTGAAGCAGGCCAGCAGGATGGTACCGTAGGGTACCAGTACCGATTCGACGGATCTCAACATTCCCTCTGTAGTAAGAGTATGCTTAGCTCTGAAGCGCCGTGTACAAGAGGTGTTCGCTCCGTCTTGAATCGTACCAGGTTCGCCATTGCGCGCCGTGTGGCCTGTCTCTGTGCGAGCCGAGGGTGATGTCTGTACACCCTGCGCAAGACGGGCGAACTCGTCGGCAAAGTAGCTCCCGTCCTCGTAGGCCTCGGTGGTTGCATTAGGGTACTGCCCAGAGGGGTTGTCATCGGGGTAGAATCTGGCCGGGGGCCAGCTGAAGATGATCTCAGGAGGCGACTCGTCGGCAGAGAGAGAGAGGATCTGAAAGACGTGGGAAGCTGTAGGAGTCTGAGGTGACAAAGCCCTTGGTATTGTAGCAGCTGATGCCCAGAGCTTATTGCATTGCTGTGATGGCGCAGGAAACGTGCAACTTCAATTTCTGGCAGCCCGAGCGCCCTTCAAGCTCAGAGGTACTCACTTCAACGTCGAACAGTGCACGCGGTGTCCCACACCAATTGGTCCAATCCGTCTTGTTTGCCTCGTCATTGTCTTGTACAGATTTGTTGATGATAGCGTGAAAGAAGCACAATGCCAACGATTCGCCCACCATGTTGAGGACGATGTCCAGTGTCAGGAAGTCGTCATCTTCACAGACGAGTGCGGAGCCCAAGACTCGTACAGCCTTTTTACATCCTAGATGCTCGCGGATGGCAGGGACTCGGAAATATCTACATCTTGTTACGCTGCCAAACAAGGTCCCACTTGCGACGATTTGGGCTAGGTCACTTCGTGCTTGCTCCTTTTGTTCCGGATGTACGTAGTCGAAGAAGCTCTTGCCGATGATGAGATCTGCCTCAGTGTTCAAATGGTTCTGTAGTACAGGATCGCAGAAGATGAAGGTGAGGTCGTATGGATTCGATGGGCCTGACTCTGTAGAAAAGAGGGCCCAGTCTAGCGCCATAGAAGGGAGAGCAGGATCATCCAGGTCAGCGACTCAAACAGCTAACTCAGTCCCGACTCCTTCATTCCTACTCACAGCATCGCGTCTTTCCCAGTGCAGCGGGCTGAGCCTTTCCCTCGCCAAAGAGCTGCGAGAGCATATCAGCGCCTCCATGCTCATCTACAGCAGCCAATCCACCCACTGTCCTCTTGCCTACGGGGATGGGAAAGGGCGTGCTCCTACCACGATAGGGTCGTGGATGCCCTTCACTGCCATGACCGGATTGCCGATTGGGAGGAGAGCGTGCGAGATTGGCCGAGGCTGAGCTGCTGCTTGCAGGCGAATAGCCCGGCAGACGTGAGCTCATTGGCCTGGACGCGCTGCTGATGACTTCGAGGGCTCGGGACGCGTAGACGTGGTTGGGGAGGGTTGGAACAGAGGACGAAGGGGACGGTGGGTGACGTTGACGGGAGTGGATCGCTGGTCGTGCAAGCAGATGAGGCGAGTAGATGGAGGTGCCAGCCTTGTGCTCGAGTGAGAGAGTGAGTCTCTCGTAGAAGTGACCGAGATTGCCGATGCTACGCACTTGCACCTCTGTCAGCTACACTTGCTTCTCGGAGCAAGACGGATGCTTCCACTATGCAGTAGCATACAAGGACGCGAAAGAAGATGCGGATCACCCTCGAGGTGGTGTTGCTGGAAGTGCTTCTAATGCTACGCTTGAGTGTGAGACGATGAGGCAGTTGCAGCAGGACAGACGCAGTCGTCCCAGAGCGGAAATGGGGTTGGGTATACAGAGAAGAGGATGCGGGATGGAAGAAGATTTCGAAGCGGGGCAGCAGGAAGCTAAACTATGCAGGCGGATGGAAGAGGAGGACGTGCTTGAGATGCTCCGTCTGTACGATCGACTGGTTACGTGCTTAGCCTGGGTAGCGCTTAGAGCTGCAAGCTGATGGCGAGATTATCCGGGCGTGGCGCCGCCGGCAGACGGGCGGCAGACGAAGAGCCGGGGCGAGGATTCAGCACTCGATCGCTGCCAGTCCCTCGGTTGCTCGATCGGCCCGCTGATACAGCCGTCTGCCTGCCTGGCCCCCCTTTTGGCTGAGTTGCTCAAGCTGAGATCGGCCGGCCTTGGACCTCCTCCTGTGGCCCTCCAAGGTCCGAATTCGCCTACTCACATTGGGCTGGGCAAGGAATGGAAGATATCCACACTCAGACTCCCTCAGCCCCCCGTACCTCCGTCTTGCCTTGTCAGGTGGGGGCTTTGCCTGCAACTCCCCCTCCAATCTGCAATCGGGCGGGCGCGGGCTTCCGCCGAGCGGAGTGGAGAAGTTGATCGACGCCATGCCTCCCTCATCTTTGACCTGCTTCCCCTTCGTAATGGCGACTACTTCGGACTACAGAATGGAGCACCTCATCAGACAAGAGAGCGGAGAACTTTGCATTTGCGAAGGAGGGTGCCAAGACAAGAAGTCGTCGTCCAAGTCCGTCTCATTGAAGAATGACTGTGATTGAAGAGCCTTCACAAGGTCTTATGCAGAGTCGAGAAAAGTGCATTACAGACAAGACATGATGAAAAAACAAGGCCCGCTTCTTCTTCTTCCCACGCTCCCCTCTAGGCGCTGGTTGGCAGCGTCGGCAGCGAAACCTTGTGACCATCGGCATTCACATCATCCCAGAAGTTCTTGCCGTGCGTAGTGGCCTTGATGTGACCAGCACGGATGACCCAGTCTCCGAAGGGCTCGCCCTCGAGACGTTGTGCAGCATAGTCGCGCACCAGAGGCTCTAGCAGGGACAGGATCTCCTCCTCGCCCACCGACTCCCTGTATACCTTGTTCAGACGCTCACCCTTGTGTCCACCACCCAGCAGCATGAGATACTGACCAGGAGCCTTGCCCACGAAACCGATCTCGGCAACCCATGGACGAGCGCAACCGTTGGGACAACCAGTCATACGAGTGATGGTCTCCGAGTCGGCAATGCCGTAGCGCTCGAAGATAGTCTCTACCTTCTCCATGAGGAGGGGCAGATACCTCTCGGACTCGGCCATGGCAAGTCCACAGGTGGGGAATGCGACGCAGGCCGAAGCCGACCTGAAGATGCCAGTAAGCCTTTGGTAGGTGTCCATCTTCCAAGCCTGCAGGTGCTCCTCGATGACGGCCTTCTTGCTCTCTGGGATACCAGCGATCATCAGATGCTGGTTGGGAGTCATCCGAATGTGGGTGCCCTCAAAGGACGAATCGGCATCGGCCTTCTTGCAGAGCTCGTGCAGACCCTTCCTGAACTCCTCGCCAGGCACATCCTTGACTCGACCGTTCTCGAGCCACAGGCACACCTGCCACTTGCCCTTGTGGTCTTGCTTCCAGCCGTACTCGTCGGTGTTGGAGGTGAACTTGTAATCAGCGACGGGAGCTAGTGTGAAGCCACACCTCTTCTCCAGCTCGGCCTTGAAGGCATCAGGTCCACCAAAGTGGTTGTCGATGGTGTACTTGAACCTAGCCTGCTTTCGGTTGGCTCGGTTGCCGTAGTCACGCTGGATGAGCATGCACTGCTTGCAAGCCTCCAGAGTCTGCTCTGGAGTGACAAAGCCGATGACATCTCCTAACCGCGGGTAGGTGACCTTCATGGAATGTGTGACACCCATACCTCCACCTACGGACAGGTTGAAACCCTTGAGGCGCTTGTCCGGGCCTGCGATGGCAATCAGACCGATGTCGTGGGCAAAGACGTCGGTATCGTTGCGAGGGGGGATGGCAATGGTGATCTTCCACTTTCGAGGAAGGTAGCGAGGGCCGTACAGGGGCTCGTAGTCCTTGTAAGCTCCACCGGCGAGCAATTGCTTCTTTGACTCGGTGTCCTTGTCCAGCCAGATCTCGTGGTAAGCGTCCATGCGAGGAAGCAGGTAATCAGAGATGCTCTGCGAGAACTTGAAGACGTCCTCGTGAAGCTCCGACATTGCTGGGTTCGGCGAGCACATGACATTACGGTTCACATCACCACAAGCAGCGATCGTGTCGAGCATCGACTTGTTGATGCCCTGCATCGCCTTCTTGAGATCACCCTTGACAATGCAGTGGTACTGCAGTGTCTGACGAGTGGTGATCTTCATGGTCTTGTTTCCGTACTGCTCAGCCACATCATCGAGTTGCATCCACTGCTTGGGTGTGACAACACCACCTGGGATACGGCATCGAATCATGAAGGAGTAGGCGGGCTCGAGACCAGCGGCCTTGCGCTCCTCGACTGTGTCCCTGTCGTACTGCATGTAGGTACCGTGGAACTTCGTCAGCTGGGTATCTGTCTCGCAGATAGCACCAGTCGACTTGTCAGCGAGGCCCTCGACGATGGTTCCTCGGAGGTAGTTGGAGGCAATCTTCATGTGCTCATTGTTGATTGGCTCGGGTTCAGCCTCCTTGACCTCGATGGTATCGACGCCAAGAGCCTTCCAGACAAGGGGCTCCCAGACCTTGTAGCCAGTCTGAGGTCCATCGGCGTCCTGGTCGTCTCCGAGTCCAAGATCGGCAACTCGATTAGCACCCAGAGCCTCCAGGCGAGCGTCGATGTCCTTTCCGGGCTTGTTGTAGTAGTGAGCATCTTCAGGTCGTGGCCAGTAATGAGAGTCTCCCATGGCAAAGACTGAGAAGCTCACACCGTCGAGGGAGCCAGGCTGCATCGCTTGCAGTGCCTTGGCAGTCAGACGACCATTCTGAGGGGGCTCACCCTGCCCAGCAGTGGAAGTGATGAAAGCTACGTTCTTCTCGTCCTTGAGCTCCTCGCTGACAGGGAACTCATCCATGGCGAGGAGACGAGTAGCCAGACCACGAGCCTTGGCTCGTGCTGCCAGTCTCTTGGCCATCTTCTCGGCGTTACCACCATCCGAGGCAAAGAGAACCAGCAGGGGAGGTCCGTCCATGCTGCCCAGCATCTTCTCGTATGCCTCTTTGGCCTTGCTCTTCTGACGCTCGCGCAGAGCAGTTCCCTGACTGACTGCAAGGTCGTAGCTGAGTTCAGGGCGAGAGTTGGCCAACAACGTCAGGTGGTTTTGACGGTCGAGGAACTCGCGCAGCTGCTCGCGGACGCGAGTGCTGTCAAGGCGGAAGACGTCTTTCTTGCGAGCCTCTGCACTGGGGTCCCAGCGGTATAGAGGCCAGTAACCAGAGTCGACTGCGAGCTTGGTCTCCTTGAGCACTTCCAGCGCAGGTGCATCCTCTGTCCTGTAAGGAATGTAGGCCAAGACGACTGATGGACCGTCAAACTTGTCGGCCTCCATCAAGGCGTGCAGGACTTGTGTGTAGTCGGAGTAGACTGCAGTGGAGGCGACGTAGGCGTTTCCGTAGTTCATGGCGTACAGACCAATGTCCTTCTTGCGCTTGGATGCATCGAGGCTGTCTCGCTTCGAGTATGGCAGTGTGTCGAAGATGAGCATATTGACGTTGCGGCCCGAGGCAAGGACATGGTGCACACCGCCCATGCCAGCATCATATGCCCAAGCATCAGAACCAACAATCCACCTGGACTTGAGCTCGGCAAGGGATGCAAGAGCCTTGACCCTTTGAAGAGCAGGCGAAGTAGCATCGGACAGGACAGATGCAAGCTTGCTGCTGTAAGTGGCGTTCTTAGAGGCATCGTTCTTGGTAGCGGCCCACTGCGACAGAGTGCGGTGGATCTCGCCAGAGACCGAGCCATCTCGCAGAGCGTCCTTGACAGCAGTCTCTAGTGAGTCGCGCTGCTCAAGTTGCGATAGAACCTGACCGAAAGCATACTCTGGACTACGAGCTGCTGGGTGGGCATCGCTCTCGTTGTGAGGAGAATTGATGACAGCAAGGCGCTCCTTAAAGAGCTGCTGCAGCATAGTGTTGTAGGCCTCTTCGTGCTTCGGACTTGCGAATGGGGCTGTAGAAACGCTACTTGTGGCAGCCTTGATCTCTGCGCCGACTGTGACGCCGTGAGATGCCTTAGCAGAAGACAGAGCCGAAGACAGGGTCTGAGCTGCATCGCTTGCGTTTGCGGAGGAAACTTCGCCGATCAGACCGCTGACGAAGACCTTGGGGATGCTGCGAGACTCGCTTTGCTGGAAGGCAGTGGCAACGTCGACGAAAAGGGGACCAATCTTGGTGGTCCTCTTGGCGCTCTTCTCTAGAGTGATTATACGCTGGGCAGACGAGGGGAGAACGTCGAGGAGGCGAGAAGACAGTGATGGTCTAAGGAGCTTGACGCTCACGACTGCGAGAGATGGGGCAGCCTTGGCTAGGGCCTCGGCGCCCGCGCCGAGCACAACGGCAACATCGGTGGCGTTGGCATTGCCATACAAAGAGAAGGGCTCAACAGTGTAGCCGACCAGCTGCGAAATGGCAGCGTAAGCGGCCTTGATATCGCGCTCGAAGTCGCCACTTCCTGCTGAGGCAGCTGCATCACCGTGAGTGCCGTTGCTGGAGCTTGCCTCGCCGTTGCCGTTGCTACTGCCATTGACACCATTAGTGTGTCCGTTTGAGCCATTGCTCTGAGCCTTTGAAGACGAGGCAATGAAGGACTTGAGGTCGGCCTCTGTCACCTCATCCGCCACAGACTGCCCGGCGGCATCTTCGAAGAAGTGCAGCACAGCTCGCTTCGTCGAGGATGCGATGCGAGTGGCAAGGAGAGCATTGTCGTGAGCCTCGGTGGCCGTTGCAGAGTAGAGGATGACCAATCCCGAAGAGCGCAAAGCCAGTACATCTGCGTGGTCTGATCCGGCGACGATGTGGATCACCGACGGTGTGTTGATGAGAGACGGGAGGTAGGGGATGAAGCGGGTGAGAAGAGACTGGTCGGCAAGAGCCAGAAGCGAGACTACGCTGCCAGAGGGTGTAGCAGATGCAAGCCTGATGAGGTCGTTGGCGGGTTCTCCATGGAAGGGGACCGTCTCGACCTCGGCGCCACTCTGGTGCTTGGCGATGTGCGAAGCAAAGGGCGACTGCTGAGTCGATGTAGGGGTGACATTGACTACTGCCCTAGAAGACAGGAGGGCAATTCTGCTGACTGCTGAGGAAGCCATGATTGTTCCGTGTGTCTATGGAGAGAGAGAGATTGGCCGTGTGGTCCCGATCGGCAACAGCTCTATAGGGGGCGGCAGAGGAGGAAGGCGGTGATGACCAGGCCGCCTACTTCTTGCTGCTGGTATATCTATTGGGAACGTCAGATGTGACGAGGTGGTTGTTGGTAGGGTGGTAGGTAGGGACGTCGGTAGAAGATGGAGGGGTAAGAAGGAGTCAAGGTGGCTGATTGGCTGCGTTGGGGGACCGAGGCAAGAATTTCCCTTGAATGATTTGTACGCCATCGTTGCCCGCGAGGGGCGATTCGCACTCCGACGCCTGCCTCGCACGCCATCTTCCATCTTCCTGCTGACCATTTTCTTGCATTACGCAGCCACCGACCAAGGCCAGAGCCAACGCCGGGCGCGGACGGCCCGGCCTTTAGAGCTAGAAGCCGAACGCCGCCTGTCAGAAGCTCACGCGAGGGCCATATGTGGGAATAGAGAACGACGTCGACGACGACGCTTCAAATCAGACGTCTCTCTCCGGTACGTCAACACATGCTGCACCCCACAAGGCAACACATCGTTCTCTCATCGGTGTGGACGTCTCAGTGGCGCGGGCAGAGCCGGGTCAGGGTGTGTGTAGGCGCAACATCGGAGCCGACCGGGCTGCGTGAGGAAGCCTTCTCCACAACGCAGCACCTGATAGCAGAGAGAATAAGTAACACTGGCAATACACGATCGGCATAGGAAACAGTGAGAGCTAGTAGCATCGCAATTGAAGTGTCGTAGATGGGAGTTACTCTCGTACCGCATATCACATTGCGAGGAGATCAGGGTAGCACTGAATCACAAGCGAGATAGGTGGCTCCTGACATTCGTAGGAGAGCCACGTTCGACTCTACCCTTCGCCCGGCGGACAGACTCCCGATCAGTGAGCGAACGACGCTTCCACAGTATTCCCTTCAAGTGCGAGGTCGAGTCACCGGAGAAGTCTCTGCCGCCCACGAGGACGGCGCGCGCATATCGTGCCTGACCGCAATGCCTCGCCCTGACACCATTTGTACCTGAGTGAAGAATTAGGAGGTTATAAGCTCTGCCCTCAGCCGTTCTCCATCCCCCCTTCCTTTCCTCTCCATCCCTCACTCTCCAGTCTACCCTCACTCAATCAGTCGATCAATTAAGACCGAGATGCATGCATCCATCTAATCATTAGCCATCTCGCAGCATTCTGAGCACAGGTGAGACTGGTGCCACGCCATCAAGACGGCGCTTGGGTAGGACTGAGCATCAGGTGAGTACAGCGTTGACTCGCTACTTCCTGCAGGTGAAGATGTCTTCGATGAATCAGACGCTTACGCAGATCATACCTTCCTCCCTTCAGGTCTCTCTCTGGATACTACGATACTACTCGTCGAAGGCATAGTCAAGCCGTCAACACTATCAATTGTCAACACTATCACTTTTGAACGCTATCACTGACACCGGCTGTCAATGATCAACGCTATCAGTCGTCAATATTATGAGTCGTCAACACCATCGGTACTCGACTCTGTACTATGTCTCGGCAGTACTATCACTCGTCAAGACTATCGGTCTCAACTCCATGAGTCATCAGCACTATGATTCGTGAAAGCCTGTCGATCGTCAACGCTGTCAAGCGCCGATACTATGGGTCGTCAAAGATACCAGCTGTCAACAAAGGGAGAAGGAGGAAGAGGAGAGAAAAACAATTTCAGGAACAGTGAGTAAGCCGATCGAGACCATCAGTAGGCAGGCCACATCAAGGGCTTTGTCAATATCGACACTGACCTTGATAGAATGTGCTCTGTAGGCACACCGTGCTCCCTCTCAGCACCGGCACTTCCAGCATGAGATTCAGCAAGCCGAGTCGCTCTTCGAGGAGACCTACGGACACACTCATGACGTAGAGAACGTCTCGTTGGACATAACAAAACAGCTACCGGACATCGAGCTTCTCTCCTCGACATTTCGGAAGAGGCTACTCGCCCTTGAAGGCCTCGATGCTGAGCTCACAGAGTCAGGTGCTGCTACCGCCGGACTTCTGGTGCACATGCCCTCGGGAGGAGTCTTTCGGAGGTCTTCTACGGGTGCCAGAGTGTATGTCTCCCACGACAGACCCGAGCCTTCTGGAGGCGTCAGCAAAGACCCTCTGCTGGATACAATCAGGCTCATGAAGGACTTCGCGACTGGGGACGAGACCATCAAAGGACTGACTGTGCCCAGCTGGCTCAGAGTCCAAGGCTTTCCTGCACAATTAGACGCACAGATTGACGCAAGCACGGTTGAGCAGTCGCCGGTGCTCACACGCCTGGTAGAGGACCTTCGCCTTCGCCCCGCTGAGACGCACACCGCGAAGTACTGGCTCGACCAACGTGCTTGTAGCCTGGCCGGACAGCTTGCAGCGCGTAGTCGCGCCTCTTCTTCCAGCTCCCTGCCGAAGAAGCTTATCTATCTTGGCGTAGGCATCGATGACGATCGAGTCAAGATGCTCTACGTCGGAAAGACAATTCGAGGCTATACTCGAATCGCTGAGCATGTACGCGCGACGGTGGCATGGACCATTGCCGGAGCTGATGCAGCCCCGCTGCACTATCAGACTGCTGCGGCATGTGATCAAGTCGTCTACTTTCCCTTGGTCGAGTCACTCTCTGGGGATCCTGCTGCTATTGCAACAACCCTGGCAATCTGGGAGTGGCTGCTCTGCTGGCTGCTCGGGACATACCAGCTCAATGCTGATCTGCTCCGTGCTCGGGCGTCGCACGGCCTGCCCTCTCTTCAAGGCATTCTCGGAATTAACAGCACTGCGTGCTTGGAGGGGCCCCGGCTAGCGACGTGCTCCCCTTGGAGTCGATGACCATGTTGGACCCACGGATCCTTTGCAAGGCGACTTGAGCCACGCTCTTGCGGCCTCCGGCGCTCACTTGCTTGGTCAGCGTGTTCTCCAGGCGCAAGGATATCACGCCGACATCAGCGCAGCCCGTGAGGGCATTCAGTTCATCAGGAGCCTCCTATCCGACAGGACCCAGACTCTCGCACTATCCGGCAAGCTGGAGTACCGTTGGCGGCTAGGAAAAGACGCTCGCGTCAAGTGCCTAGAATACGAGCTCAAGACTGAGGACAAGACGCAGCTCCAGGGTATGATGCTGGAGGGGGAGGACGAAATCTTGGTCCGCGTTCGAGTACGACTCGGAGCTTCTTTGCCCCAGAGCGATCTCTTCCTAGGCTGCACTGAGGAGGACAGGTCCCTCTACCAAGGGATCGTGCTGGAGATTGGTGCCGCCGGAGCCGACAAGTTTCCTCACAAAGTGCAGATCTTCCACGTCCCTTCTCTCCAAGCGCTCAGGCTCTGGCGGACCAAGTCTTTGGTATGCTGTCTGACGAAGAGCAAGCGCCAAGGCGAAGAGCTGCTGATGTCAAGAAGGAAGAGATTGCCGCTCGCCGCCCCCGCCATCGACTCTCTCGGACTGCCAGAAGCTGCAAGCTGGTGTTGCGCCCCTCAACCAGTTCATCTGCCTAGTGCTCGACGAGGACAGTCGCCTCTTCAGCTGGCTGGCAGATCCTCGAGACAGGGTAGCTGTGGCGGAGATTTTCACTACCCTCGGCTTTGGCCTTCGTGCGTGGACAGATCACAACTATCCACAAACGTTCGCCAGGCTGGTCACCGGCGGTACGGAGTTGTACGACTTCAGCCACGGCACTGCCTCGAGGCTCCCTCACCTGGCCCAAGAGGAAGCATTCGAGCTGCGACTGCTAGCCTTCGACAACAGCTGGATGAGGTGCCCGCGCCGCATCACTCCCATGGCCTATCAGACGCCCGAGGCGCAGCTAAGGAACGGTGCTTCTTTCACTGCCTTCCTCAACGCTGGTTCCGAGATGCTTGGGCTCCCTCTCCGCAACTTCAACTACCTCCCTCCTGGCTTCGAAGCCTCCGGCGACTTCAGCTACAAGGTCTCTGGCAAGACCGAGCACGGCACCTGGCGGTACAACCGGTGCGGCGGTCTGTATCTGATTGGTGGGGTGGCCTACCTCGACTCCTGCTAGGCAGACCTTCGAGGAGTCTTTGGAGTGAGGCCAGAGGATGGGCCTCTTGAGGCGACCTTGATGTGGCGATCGAACATCGCAACGTGCTCGAGGGAGGAGGATCTGGTTTCTGCGTTCAAGGTGGACAGAGTGGACGATCTAGTATCGACACATCTGGACGAATCCTCACGACGGGGGTATCAGAAGCGTGCTCGGTTCTGGGGATCCACGTCCTCGCTCAAGGAAAATTTCGAGGCTGCGGGAGAGGGATCTGGCGCTGGCGAGAGCGACGAAGTCACGTTCATCTCTGACCGAGCTTCACTTCAACTCCTACATATTCACCAAACCCCTCCCCTGTACTACCCTTGTTGTAAGAACCAGCACCGCTGCGACACTCTCATACGTGCCTATGTCACCACTGCTTCCTTACACCCTTACAAACGCTTACAGTATAACATGTAAGCGCTAAAACCAGTCGTGTACGCTCATAACGAGCATTGAGCAATAACGTCCAATCTCAAATGACTCGTCTGCGACCGTCTGATCTCGACGATGCCTGACGCTGATTCCCCGACGTCACCCCGAACACAGCCAAGTGATGTTCGTTCACCGCAATGCCGCCGATCTCAACATACTTCCCGAGGCTGGGAGAAGATACATCTGAACACGACACGCTCTCCATGTCTCTCTCTTTCGGGCCGTGGAAAGACTCACCTGCTGGTGAGAGAGAAGGAGCAAGTTCAGTGCGACAATAAACGCATCTGGTTCACTCAGACTCGTGCGTACGACAGTCGAGCCTTTCACGCTAGACGAGACGAAGCTATGCTGGCCACGCGGCGGGAAGCGGAGTCAGCTGCGAGCCGAATCCCTGTCACCAAGCGGATCTACTCGTTCCCCTACTCTGACGCGACAGCGACAAGCTCTTTCCTTCAGACATACTTCGAGCATCGTCCTTGACTTGTACTTATCCCAATCATGCCACTACAGCTCTTTGGAGACCAACAAGGAGAGGAGATCTGATTATTTTTTTCGGAGTGAAGCGAAGTTCAGTGGACAGGGGTGGGTAGGCGCTAGACAATAGTCCTCTATTCGACCTTGGCCAGCTCAATTCCACCGGTAGCACCGAGAGCAGACTTAATGCTGCCATAGAGACCGAACTGTCCACTGCATTCGTCGAATTAGATGATCGTAGGAAGATTGGGAGGTCGTTGGTAGCGATGAGGAGGTGGTACGAAGAGATGGTGGAAGTGTCAGTACTGCGTCTTGTGATTCAGACTCCGCGCCGCTCCCGCTCCCGTGCCTGCGCCTGGAGCCCTTTCCGCTTCGTTCCGTTCCGGCGTGAACACAGCCGCTACCGCCTTGGCTCTCCGCTTCGCTGCTCATTCCCATCACTGCTGTGCTGTTCATCTGTGTACTCACGCTGTCAAGGTACCGATCATGAAGAATCGAGCGGTCATACCACCGAAGAGACCCCTAACACCGAGTTCCGAGGAGATCTTCATGAGACGCGAGGTGGTAGTCTCTCCGGGGAGGGCACGGGTCTTGTTGATCTTGGACAGGAGGGTGTCGGCGGGCTGAGAGATGAAGGCGGCGGCGAGACCGGCAATGACACCTCCTCCAAGGTTGAGGCTGGTGAGGGTACCGGGGGAGAGCTGGTCCTTGGGCTTGCCGGTGAGGCCGACGAGCTGCTCGAGGGCTACCTCGAAGACGGCGAACTTGGCCATGGTGTAGGGGATCTGCTTGAACAGGATGGGACCGAAACTGGGGGAGAGGGCGGGAAGAGAGGGAGGTTGTCAGGACACGGACTCAAAGGTCCATCGCATCGCCTTCGCTTCGGCCAAGTCTCACCCAGAGTAGAAGCCCTTGACACCCTCCTCCTTTGCAATTCGGGCGAAACCACCGAGAAGACCGTTGGCGAAAGTGGGCTCGGAGACGAGACGGATACGAGTGGCCTCCAGAGGGCAGAGGGCAATGTCGGCAAAGAATTCGGCAATGGCAGAGGCGACCAGGTAGACGCTACCACGGTTCCTCTGGGCAGTCTCGTAGCCGAGGTTGTCAATGATGGTCTTCTTCCAGAATTCGTATCCTCCGAACTTGAGGGCTCCCTGCAGGAAGTAACCGGCGGCAGTGGGGCCGAAACCGGTCAGGAGGGCACCGGAACCCTCCTTTGCGATGACCTGGCGGAAACCAGCGACCATACCCTGGGAGGTGAGAGGGACGGCAATGGTAGGCAGCGATTGATCAGCAAGGCTGAGCGTAGCCATGTATCGAAGCATTGCCAGAAACTCACCCTGTTGTAGATCTCGGGTTGCAGCTGGATACGGGTCTGTGTTGTGAAAGGTATGCGAAAAGCGATAGCCAGTGAGGTGAGTGAATTATTCCTTTCGAACGCAGCTCAAGCGAGCGAGCGATGAGCCCTGCCTGATACACACCTTGACGACATCAACAGGAGTCATGGCTCCGTGGGTGACGGCACACTAGCAGGAGGGAAGAAAGAGAAGGTGTAGGTAGTGTCAGAATCTTCGCAGCATCGCGCCTCCCTCCCCTCTACGCAGCCTCGACTGATCCGCCCAAGCTGCACAGCCAGCTCCCCCTTCTTCCCTTACCCAACCCCTTTTCCGTGTCCACTGCGTATCCCCACCCATACTCACACCAATGGCACCAGCGAGGGCGAATCGGGCATAAAGGTCCACACCAGTGGGCTTCTTGAGTCCCTCGAGGGGGGCCTGCACAGGGAACTTGGCAGGCGCAGAACCGTTGAGTCCGGCGAACATGGGAGAAGTGTACATCTTGAGTCGTAAAGGTGAGGGTGAGGGAGGGGAAACGGATCTAAGGGGGTATGGTGTGAGGAGGTTGTGCGCTTGCGCTTGAGTGGTGGTGAGGAGGAGGAGGAGGAGGAGAGGAAAAAGGGAAAGGAACGAGGTTGATGTGAGATACCAGCCGCCCCCCACGCACGCAACTCGCCCCGCCTAGGCCTGTCCGTGGGTTTGATCGGGGGCGGCGGCCTCACGCCAAAAGAGGCGAATCTTCCCGACCCACGAACATCTTTGATTGCGCGCGGTGGCTGCTGCACGCCAGACGCACGCCAGGGGGTCGGACACATCGGATCGGCGACTAGGCCCGGCGCGGACACACAATCACTCAGTCATACAGGCACGACGCGCACCTTGAACATGTTCTCGCGAGTTGGGATGATCACGAAGAATGATAATGATGATGATGATGATGACGATACTGATGATGACGATTCTGATGATGAGATATTCAAGATGATGAAGATGAACACGATGACGATGATAAAGGACAGTACTGATAAAAGGTGGTCTTACGCACGCAGTAGGAGCACCAGGTAAGGGAGCCACAGCCCACTCTGTCTGCGCCATTGCTACATCACACCCAATTCTTTCCCCACTCTTCCCACCCTCTCACTTCTTCTTTGCAGCCGGGTTGATTGCAATGACAGTAATCACTGGCGGACTCTTGTCCCCCACCCGCGCAGAGATGACCACGGGAATCGTCTGCAGCACCTTGACCGTCTGGATACTGTGGCCACTGGGCGGCGCCTGCACGCCGACAAAGCTCACATCGTCCTCGCGGAAGGTGCGACTCTTCTCCCGTTGCATAGACGTCGTGCGCCCCATGCTAGCAGACGCAAGAGGCTTGCCTGCGGACCCATCGATGTTGTCGTCGTCGTCTTCGAACAAGGCCGCTTCGTCCTCCTGCGCCTGCGATGAAGCGTCAATCTTGCTATTGGCGATAGCAGCTTCGTGGCGATCGGCACGTTCCTTGAGAGCCCTGAGGTGCGCATCGTCATTCGTCTCAGCGAGCCAAGAGATCGTGTCCACGCCCTTGCGCCAGTAGATGCTCAGCTCGTTGGTCCGTTCGTCAAAGGTGTGGTGCTCCGTAGGGATCTGATCCAGATGAACCCTCTTCTCGATGCCAAATTCGGGGACCACCACGTCAAAGGCTGCATCCAAGACGCCCACAACAGTAGCCTCTCGAACGACAGGTCCATACCTTACGGTCAAGTCGTGCAGCAACAAGCAGAGGTAGAGGTGCTGCGACTGCTCTTGAGCCAGCTTTGCTGCATCACGCTTGACGTTGCACTGCTGGGCAATCTTCGCCATCCCTTCGCGGTCAACGGGGAAGCTGTCTGAGCCCTGCAGGACGGCATCGAGTTGACGGTGAACCATCACGTCGGCATAGCGTCGAATGGGAGAGGTAAAGTGCGTGTACACCGGCACATTCAGAGCATAGTGGCCGTACTTTGCAATGTCGGTCATGCCACCACAAAAGTACTTGGCCTTTTGCATCCCCTTTGTGACCAGTGCTTCGAGCGCAAAGCGAGACTTTGGGTCCGTCACCTGCTGCAAGCTTGCATGTAGAGCTCCAGCTGAAGAGACGTCGATGTTGAACCCCATCTGCTTCGCTCTCCTGGCAAAGCCGTCCAGTCGCCGTTCGATTGGTTTCTCGTGTCGTCTGAGCATTGCCGTCTCGGGCATGCCTGCTGCGATGCGCTGCGACACCGCAATGTTCGCGGCCAGCATGAACTCTTCGATCAACTGGTTTGCCTCCCGCCCATGAGAGACGGTCGCGTCATGTGGCAAGCCATCCTCGTCCAGCTGAAAGTTGAGCTTGACATTGTCGACTCGCAGAGCTCCCTCATCGAAGCGACGAGCGCGCATCTTCCTTGAAAACCCATACAGCGTCATAATGTCACCCGCAATCTTCTCTTGAGAAGTGCCAGAAGAGATCTTGTCGGCAGGTAGAGACTTGCCGTCAATGACAGCTTGTGCATCCTCGTACGCCAGCTTGGCGCAAGACTTTATGATGGTCCGGCCAAACCACGTCCCGATTATACGGGCCTCCTTGTTCATCGTGAACACTGCAGAGAAGCACAGCCTCTCTACGCCTGGCACGAGCGAGCAAAGCTCCTCGCTCAGAGTCGATGGAAGCATGGGCACGACCCGTTGAACAAGATACACAGACGTACATCTCTTCCTTGCCTCTCGATCGAGGGCCGAGTTCATCTTGACAAAGTGCGAGACGTCGGCAATGTGCACACCAACTTCGTACAGACCGCCTTCCAGTGGAGTGACACTAACAGCATCGTCCAAATCCTTTGCCGTCGCAGGGTCAATGGTAAAGACGTCGACATTGCGAAAGTCTCTCCTCGTCTCCAGCTCCCGGTCCGGAATCGAGTATGGCAGAGGAGGGATGCACTTGAGGGCATTCTCGGCAAAGTCTTCGGTAGCAGTGGAGAGGTTGTCCTTCAAGATGGCCTGCGTCTCTGCTTCGACGTTGCCCATCACTCCGATCTCCTCCACCAGTGTCCCAAAGGGATGAAGAGAGGTGATCGGCCAACGCTTGATCGCAACGGTGACCATGATCGTGGCGTACTTCTCCTGTCCTCCGGGCTCCCAGAAAGCAGCGGGAGCTTGATCGGCCGGGATGGCAATGAGGGGAGTCGTCTTGTTGAGCGGCCTGTGCCAAACAATCTTCGGCCGAGCCGCAGCATCTTGTTGGGAGTCACCAGCACTCGCCCCGTCGCGGAGCGCTCTTTCGGCCTGCTGCTTTTCCTTGGTAGCAGCAGAGGAAGGACGCAGCAGACCAATGGTCCCGCAAAAGAGCTGCCCAGGTGTTCGCTCCACAATGGCGACAACGTGACCTGCAAGAGCCGGTGGAGCCTGCTCAGTGTCCTCCTCTTCGTCCACCAGACGCAGCTGAGCGCCTTCGACTTCTAAATCGTCCTTGGCCTTGTCAGGCTTACGCGATACAACGCCATTCTCCTCCTTGTGCTTCTTCTTGTCCTCTTTAGCCTTCTTGTTCAACCAAACTTCCTGTGGATCGAGGAGCTCGACGGCAACGATGTCACCTGCGAGCGCACGGTTGCGGTCTCGGGATCCTGAGATGTAGATGTCAGAGTCTAGTACTTCGGTGCAGACGTAAGCATCAGAGCGGTTGCGCTTGTCGACACGAATCTGCCCAACAACAATCTTTCCAGCTGCGAGGAGGGGCGGAAGGGAAGCCTGAGGGAGGTAGGATCCGAACAGGGCCTTGCGTTGCGACGCAGCATTGCCTTGCTGCTGAGCTGCAAATTGCTGACCGAAGACACCCTGATTGCTAAGCATGGCTGGGTTGAAACCACTCATGCTGCCAGCACCGCCGTACGAGGCATTCTTGATGTGACCACTGCTAGCCTGAGAGCGGAATTGATGAAGCGTTGCTAGCTGAGCCTGAGCCTGCGCCAGGTCGCCAATCTGAGCACCGGATCCTGGACCCCCATTGATCCGTCTCGACGGAGTGCCAGTGACGCTGCCCGTTCGGTTGTGCATACTAGCGCGATTACCTGCTCCGGCACCACCACCGAAACCATCAGCCAGCTCACCACCCATGCCGAGGGTCGAAAGATTGAGCAGACCGCCACCCGCCATGAGATATTCGGGCGAGAGAGCAGACGACAATTGAATGGAAGGGTGACTGAAGTGACCGCCACGCGAAGGATGTGACGGCTGCTGCTGCTGCTGCTGCTGAGACTGTTGCAGTGAGGCGATGTTGGGGAATGAAAAAGCGGGATTCGGTTGCATCGTTCCCGCGGCAGCAGTATCACTCAAGTCTGCTCCACCTTTGGCTCCGACCATGGACGAGTGGCGGCGGTTGTGACCTCTATCGCCCGATTGCTGCTGTCCGGACTGTTGCTGACCAATGCTACCGATGCCGCCAAAATTAAAGTTTGACAATGACTGGGCAGGCTGGTGCAGTCGGCGGGAGCCTGGTGTTGTGCTAGAACGCTCTGACTGAAGCTGTCCTCCCAGAGAAGCGAGAGGGTTGAAAGAGCCTTGCTGTTGCAGTAGTTGCTGTTGCTGTAGCTGCAACAACTCAATCTGCTGCTGCAGGGCCAGTCTCTCGGCTGCAAAGTCAGTCTGCTGTAGTCCTGCATTGCCACCAAAGCGAGACTGCATGCCAGACATGTCGCTTCCTGTCCTCCTATGAGGCAGCTGTGTCTGATGCGAAGCCTCCTGCGATTGCTGTTGGTAAGCACGTGTAGGGTCAAAGGCGCCAGTGCCCATAAACTCGGCTACAGAAGCGCCGTCATCGGTCGACCCATCCTCGTAGTCAAATGGAATCGTAGCGAGGCCACCAGGTGTATAGCCAAGCTCAGCAAAGCGATTTTGAAGGCTGAGCTGGCGATTGTGAGAGAGGTTGCGAAGATCCTGACTGGTTGGCCTGCTGTTAATCTGCTGGTCCGCAGCGCTACCGCCATGTCGAGCAATGGCAGATTGGAAGGCTGCTGTTCCAGCAAAACGCGGGCCTCCGGATCGATTATGACTAGCCGATTGCTGCAAGACAGGAGGCGAGGTGACTTCTGAGTTCTCTCCCACGCTTGCAAGACTGCCGAGCGACCGGAAGGGTGAGCCGTGATTGCCAGGTAGCTTGAGCTCCCTCTGAAGCTGCGACTGAAGCTGAGCCTCTCGAGCGGCGAGCTGGTCCCCCAGCGCAGCAAGGTCCAAGGGAGCTTCGCGATCGCCCTGACGTAGCGGTGTCGAGTATTGCTGCCCAGGGCTGCTGTTAGATGTCTGCATTGGAGTCGCTTTCATGTCCTGAAGAAGAAAGAGCCAGAAAGAGGGTGGAGCGGAGCGTGAATAGGGGGTCATCGCACCAAGGATACCAGAGTTGACATATACTCACATGTATCAAGTGCTGGAGGTTGTTCATGGCCGATCCGGGATCTGCTTGCGTCCCACCATTGGAAGAAAGAGATGCTGATCCTCGGTGACCACCACCGCCCCTCCGACCACTGCCGCCACTGGATCTGCCTGGTGTGACCAGATTCGACTGCGTGTTACGTTGCTGCTGGTCTCGAGGGGGTGCGTGAGTGGAGCCTGCTGAGCCTGAGCCCGAGGGTGACTGTCTTGACTTCTGTGAAGGTGTCTGAGCACCACCCGCTGTTGCCGGCACGGTGGCAGGTGAAGAAGCTCTTCCTGCACCACCTCCCCTCGTGGGTGTGCCTGCGCCCGCTGAGGCATTGCTGCCACCACTGGTGGCTCTAGATGGCTTAGGTCTGCGATCGTCGGCCATGGCAGAAAGGTCTAGTTGCGTTGGCGAGCTCGTCAGGTTCGTCAGGGGCCCAATTGTACTTGAGCCGAGATGAAGTATGAAAGAATGGAAGAGATAATGAGTCTAGAGATCAAATGACTGTGGTTTTGGTCGACAGATAGCCAGCGAAATAGTCTTGCCAGGACAATGGGAAGGAGTTTTCGTCAAGGGTCTTTGTCAGAGGGCTGAGTCGTTACTGGAGTGTGCGTAGAGTGGCGGTCGTTGCAGTCGCGTTACGCGTGAAGGGTAGTAAGCACGCTGTAGGGTGAGTAGACCGTTGAGGTGGCAAGGCAGACTGGGGAAGGGAGGGGAAGTCGTACCAAGGGTGAGGGTGAGAGTAATGGTGGTGGTGGGGATACAAGGGCGAGATGGTGGATGACGATGCTGTACTGGGAAGAGGTGATGAGGCGATGAAGGTTGGCTGCCTGTGGCCCTGCCCTGCCTCGCCTCGCCTCGCCCCTCCACGTCTTTTCGGCGCGACAGACTGACAGACCAACAAGGCGTCGCACGGACAGCAGCAGCAGCAGCAGCAGCCAAGCCCCGCCCAGACCAGACCACCAAGGGGAGCGAGCCAGCCAAGGGAGCAAGCCGCCCTGGTCTGGCCGCTACTCTGCTCGTCTACCAAGTCACCTCGTATTCACCTCCTTGGTCACAGGCTGATCAGCACAGCATGACGCACTTTGCTACCACGCCAGCAGGCATATAGCTACCACCGAGTAGCACACCACCAGAGCAGCGCCCTTGAGTGCAAAGGTCGGGCAGTGATCGCCAGGGCCGAAATTGACCTGGCCCGGTGCCTGGCATTCGTCGGCCCGAACGCGCCATGCCGCCGAGGCAGACGCTCAAGGTGACCATTTACGCTGGCGCCGGTGATGCTACAAGAGACTTCTCGCACGCTTCGATACAGCGTTCATCCTTGTGTGGCCTGCTCGCCGCAAGTGCCCTTTCACAGAACGGCTTCAGCGTCACGCTCGTTGGGCCGCAGGACATCCAGAAAGGCGAAGGTATCACGATCTCTCTGACGAGTTCGCTCAGGAGGTTGCTCACTCGTCTGCACCTCCTCGCGGATCATGACGGTGATGCGACGACGTTGGACCTGCATGATCTTCGTGCAAGGGTCCTGACGAAAGTGAATGAAGAGGCCCAGCTCTTCAGGTACATTGCAACCGACTCGCCCGCCTCCTTCGAGACGTCATCTTCCGCTTCTTCCCCCACGCTCCTGCTGACGGACGGGACGAGTGTCAAGAACGATGTTCTGCTGTGCTGCGATCCATCTCCCTCGCTACTCTCTTGCTGCGTTTCTCTGCCCTCTTCGCCCTCGCAGGTCGACGCACGCAGTCCTGTTCTCCTGTTTTACGATGTGCCCTGGTCGGTCACTCATCGAGCAATCTTCGGTCCAGCAGCGTACAGCGTGGGAAACGAAGAACGCCAAAGTCCTTCCAGCTTCAGCGCTCTAGATCTCTCGCAATGGTTGCTGGATGCTCTGAGCCTCTCCTTCGTCCTCACTCAAGCCGCCATTCCTCACGCTGTAGGTGTGGCCCTGCAAGTCTATTCCGATGTCAGAAGGGAGCATCTCAGGTCTCTAGCAGAGCTGACTGAGACGGGAGAGCGTCTGGACGAAGAGACGCTGGAGGGCTTCTTGGACAAGGACTGGCTCGCTGAGCTGGAGGATTCCTGGAGCAGGAGGTATTTGAGCAACATCTGACACCCAGGGTCACGATTGTAGCTGACATTGCAATGTATAACATTCCCTTTCAACTCTATCCACCAAAAGCATGTTCTTCCTATTTCTCAGTATTTCCCTACTTCATCTTTACCTGCCCTCCACCTCTACTGCGCCGGGTTCCCCCTCTTGTCCAGCTTGGCCTTGAGCTCCGAAGCCTCCTCGAGTGTCTCGTCGGTAGTACGGTTCGAGTAGCCCTTTTCAGCTAGATCCCGCTCGATCTTCGAATTGTTGGACTCGGGCTCAGCTGCGAAGTTCTGTGAGAGAGCAGGGCGAGAAGAGGGGAGGCCAACAGTGGAGACGCAGCCGTCAGCATAGGCTCGGTTTGAGGATCTGAGGTACTAGCGGACTAGGTTGCGAGAAAACTCACCTCTGCATTACCTGGTGCCCGGGTCTTGAAGATGTCGTCGTTGATACCCTTGCCGGTGTCGGTGACCTGGCCGCCATTCTCGCCAATGGTCTGCTCCGTCTTCTTGAACTGGGAGTCGGTGGTGTTGGCGGACGACATGATGGATGGTACGTTGCAAATTGGATTGGTCTACGGGAATGTGTGGAAAGGAGGAGGCCCTTACCTCCCAAAGGCCTTCTAATGTCTCTCTCAGAGCTGGCCGTGGCTACGCATTCCTGATCCCCGTGGACCCTTGCCCGCCTCGTGCGACCAGGGCCAATTGCCAGGGAGTGGTGACATCAGCTCCTGGTCCGCTGCCAGACTGCTTTCTGCCTTGGCCTGCAGTCGTGTTGCGTAACCCTCGCGAAGGACTACTGCTCGACGCACAGACGCACCCACGCGAGCCACAAGTGGAGCCGCTCGCTTGCTGATTCAAAGACAAGTGGAGCAACACTCTCGCCGCGTGGCCGGTAGAAGGGAGCCGAGGGGGTGTGTGTGTGGGCTCGTCTAGACTTGCTGCACCCTGAAGCGGGACAGGCGGCGACGGCGGCGTAAGAGGGAATCAATCATAATTCAGTCTGGATCGGCTTGGCTAGTGTTGTCTTTGTACTTGGTAGTCGTATCACACCTCTACTTTTCGCCCCTCTGTCCTCGTCACTCACCATGGCTCCCTCTCTACACATCTCCGCCGGTCCCGACGCCTCGTCTTTGGAGCCTCTGGCCGTGAACCACGATGAGATTCCTCTGACCATCGACTCGCCAAACTTTCGTGGTCGAGCCACTGTCCGCATCAAGTCCTTCACTGGGCACGACCCCGAGGGGGTGGAGCACCACTCGGACTGCAGCTACTTCAACGAGGAGCGGCGGCGTGGTATAACCTGGTCTATCCAGATCCAGGGACGCTTCCTTGGAGAAGAGGAAGTGAGCGCAGATGATATCCTCTTTGGCAACGCCTTTGAGCGGTCCATTGCTTCTCATCTACCTTATGGCACTTCTCTCGCGCTGCAATTCGTGAAGGTAGTGGACCCTAATATGCAGCATGATCTGTATTGCGATAAGCCGTGGGCCTTTTCGCCCTTTGTTGCAACTATTACCCATCTAAATGTGCAGCGTCTGGAGAAGGAAGCTCTCACCTCCTCGTCCTCCGCCAAGGACGACTTCAAGGTAGAGGGCTACCCTGCTTTCCCCACTCCTGACTCGTCAGAGGGAAAGAACAGTACAGCCGCAAAAGGCACCGAGGGCTATACGGTAGACGATGTCTCTGCACTGGTCATCTCGGACGAGAAGGACGACCGGGGGCGCAATCAGCTTGCAAACCGTTACAAGGACAGTGGACTCACCGTCGACGCCTCCACCCTTGCCGGACTAAACTGGCCAGCAGACGAGACCTCGGGGGACAAAGAAGCTGCTGCTGCTCGTCGAAAGCTACTAGGAGCAGATGCAGCGCGCAGGCAGAAAGTTATGGTCACACCACAGGACGTCTTTACTGCCGACTTTTGCAATGGTTTCCTCGACTTTAATACACTCAATCTCAATTTGCCCTTCTCGGGAGGACTACACTTTGATCTGAAGAAGTATTGGGATGGACAACCGGTCAATTACTATTGCAAGAACCGAAAGACGGGAAAGATCTACTTTGTCGTCTCTTTCAACATTCAGGATATGGAAGCCTAGGGCGTTCAGTGCAAGGGGAGGGTAATGTGGAGTATGATACAGCTGGGTGGACCCACAAGATGGCAACGCAATGTAATGAAAAGAAGCGCGCACGCACGCACGGTCATGTACACAGAATTTCAGCAATGATAGATAACATTCAAGATAAGAATTTGACAACCACACATTCCCATTGAGAACCCATGTTTCCGGACGCTCCGCGCCTCATGTCCCCGTTTCATCCCGCCTCACTTGAGGTAGTTGTTTGCCTTAAGCCATGCCTCGACATCTGCAGCATCCCTCTCCAACCAAGCAGTATTGGCCCTTACCGAGTCCAGACCCTGCTTCAGCGAGCTCGAGTACTTTCCAGTGTCCTTGTCCTTGAAGAAGGCCTCGACGGCCTCGAGGTCCTTCTTGGTCGTGAAACCGCTGAGGGAGTACTGGAAGATCCTGCCCAAGCTGAAGTTGCCCTCGAATCGCTTCAGGATCTCTTCGTATCGGGTAGTCATCTCCTCGAACAGCCTTCGTCGGCTCAGAGGGTTCATGGAAAGTCCAGCGACAGGGTACATGAAGTTCTGAAGCTTGACCTCACTGGACTCAAAGGCCCACTTGATGTAGCGATCCAGAAGCTTCGGGTCGCGTGTCTGAGACATACCCAGCAGTGCTGCCTGCTGGTGGTCGGGCGTCTCGGGCTTCCTGTAGACGGCGAGGACAGTTTCGAATTCCTTTTCACCTCCATGCTTCACCGCCTGGGAGAAGACGGTTCGCATGATGTCTGCAGGGATGAGACTGTCGTCGCCCTTCTCCATCAGAGGGGCAAAGCGGCGCTTGATCTCGCTCAAGGTGTACTCGTCCGATGCTGCTGCAGCAGCCCTGATGACCTCTGCTCGCAGCTGAACCATGTCCGGCGAGTCAGTCTTGGGGAAGTCAAAGCCCAGCTTCTTGACAGTGGGGCCAAACATGTCCGCTCGGAAAGCATCTAGAGCGTCCTGAAGTTCCTGTGGCTGCTCCCACCAGACGCTGGTGATAGAGGCGAGGTGGGAAGCAGCAGCGGCATTCACAAGGTAGCGGTCATCGCCGAGGTTGAAGCCCTTGAGCAAGTCGAGACCTCCAGACGTCTTTCCGTATCCAGCTTCTGCGAGCACAAAGGCGTCGGAGACGAGACCGATCCTGTCTTCGAGAGAAAAGACACCGGATTTGTTGGCAGCCTCTTTGCCCAGCTTGGCAAGGTGCTCAGGCGAGTACGCAACTCGGTACACTCCCGTCGTGTCGGCATTGAGCTTCCAGATGGAGTTCTTGACGTCCTTGATGGGCAACTCGATCTCACGCTTCTCAGCGAGGACTGCAGACTGGTCAACCTCGGCACCATTGTTGCCAACGGTCTTGAGAGCAAGTGGGATGTACCACAGCGTCTCATCCTCTTCCGGCTTGACATCGCCAGTGCTCAAGAATCGGTTCTGTGTGACCTTGATCGAATTAGTGCCCTCCTGGATGGAGAGGACCGGGAAGCCCTGCTGCAGAATCCACTTGTGCATGATCTTGTTGATATCCTGGCCAGAAGACTTACTGATGCCCTCCCAAAGGTCCTCGGTCTGAGCATTGCCGTAGGCGTGCTTCTTGAGGTACAAGCTGACTCCCTTCAAGAAGACGTCCTCGCCGACCATCTGCGACAGCATTCGCAGGACGGACGCGCCCTTGGAGTAACTGATGGCGTCGAAGATTTGGTTGATGGCGCTCTCCAGATCGCCAGTCTCGGTACTGAGAGGTACCTCGATGGGGTGAGAGGAGCGCTTCGAATCCAGGTCGAGAGCGAGTTGGAGATGAGAGTGGATGAATTCGGATGCAGACTCCCACTCAGGGAAGCACCTGTCGAGGATGACTACCTCGCCCATGAGAGTGGCAAAGGCCTCGTTGAGCCACAAGCAGTCCCAGAACTTCATCGTGGTCCTGTTGCCGAACCATTGGTGGGCGACTTCGTGGGACTGTACGGCGGCAGTTTGCTTCTGTCCCTTGAGGCCACTCTTCTCGGGGTCGTACAGGTAGACCGAAGTTCTACCAGTGATGAGACCCCAATTCTCCATCGCACCTGCATCGAAGTCCGCAGCGACAAGGGTGTCGAGCTTGGGGAGAGGGTACTCAATGTCGAATACCTGCTCGTACACTGGCAAGACCTTCTTGGTGACCTCGACGGTGTATTGGGCTTGCTTGATGAAGTCCTCGGTGGCATAGACGTTGATGCCAATCTCTCGACCGCTGTGCGGACTCTTGATGCTCGAGCTGAGCTTGCTGAACGGACCCTCCGCCCAAGCAATGAGGTATGTGGACAGCTTGGGGGTGATGCCATATTCTGTCAGCACCCAATTGTTGGAAGCTTCATCAGCAGTAGACTTGATCTCAGTCTTTCCCTCGGTCTTGAGAGCAGGCTTTGAAGAGGTATACTGAGAGTGGTATGGCGCCTGGACTCCGAACTCGCTCACTCGAAGCAGCTTTTCGATGTCATCATGCGCAACGTCAGTCTCCTTCTCAACGGGCATGTTGGCCAGTGCAACGTTCTCCTTGCGGTGAATCATCTTGAAGCTGACTGTCACCTTGAGTGCAGGCTCATCCCAACCAGGGAAGGCTCGCCTCTGGGACGTGGGCTCAAATTGAGTCAGGGCTGAGATGATCTTCTTGCCCTCATGCTCTGAGGTGGCATAGTAGTAGCCCATCATACTATCATCGATCTCAGACTCAAAGGCGACGGTTAGCTTGGCCTCGGCTCCTGATGGCAGAGGAGTGGCCAGCTTGACAGTCGCCCTCTCCTTCTTGCTATCGGTGCTGACTTGGTCAATGCTCTGCTTGGTCTCTGTCTTGAGCTGTTCGCAGGTCACAATTGCCTTTCCGAACTTCATCTTTGGCCCAGCATTGAAGGTGAGCTCACTGATGCCCTTGGGGTCTGTCACCTTGAGCGTGGTGGTGACAACGCCCGAGAAGCGAAGTGCTTTGAGGTCGGAGTGAATGAGGAGGTCATAGTGGGATGGGACCACCGTGGCTGGCAGCTTGAATTCAGAGTAGTCGGTCATTGTTGGCAGATTGACTGGCTGCTGAGAGGTTCTTTCGGTGGCAGAGAGTGTCGAAGCGGAGCGCAGGTGTCCGAGAATGCGTCTAAGTCGTTCCAGATTGGGTTGGGTGGCTTTGTCTAAGGACTTCTGAGGGGCGACAAAGAGAAAGGCACCAAGTGCAACACAGAGAGAGCAAAGGAGAGTGGTGAGAATCTGCCGGCGCCAAACTGATGCTTTGGAAGAAGAAGAGCGAGGCAAGGCAGATACGGGCGTCGAAGTTCCTCCACGTCGCTGGCTTGCCATTCACGAACTTGCCCGATGCTCACCGATAGGGGCGCTGCCTTGACCAAGGACGATAATTGTCTAACCGCGTTGGTAGATGGAGTGTTCGGGCGGGCAGAGAGGGATGCCTGTGCCAGCTTTAACTGTGGTTGGTACCGAGTATGAGTCAGAGATGGCGGCAGACGTATGACTCGACTGCTCATCTACTAGCGGTGATTGGGAGGCAAGGAATCAAGAGAAGGAAGAAGTGGTCGAGATGGATTAATACGCAGCGACGCTTACCACCCGCACCAAGCGCGCCTCGCCGCCGGAAGGACGACGCAGAGAGCACTTCGGCTGTCTTGCCTGCCCCCTGCGTCCGTGCACCAGTCTCAGTCTTCTCTACGCACAGAGCGACTGAGCGCAGACAAGGCACACGCGGCCCCTTCCTGAGCCGATATTGCCGATGTATCACCACACGCACCAATGGACTGCCTCGCAGAGTAGAGAGATCTCCGGCTGTCACCCGCTCCATTGATAGCCAATGAGCTCTTGCAGCGTCAAAGGCAGGAACCAGAAGCAACGGATGACCTTGAAATCAATGCAGTCGTCGTAAAGCCGGAGTTATGTTTTCATTTACGTGCTACACAGCGTGCGTGACGTTTGCGAGGCTCAGGAAGAAGCAAGAATGAGCGACGGCGCTTGTGCCAGACTTCAAGGAACGCAAAAAGAAGTGTTCGATGTGCTCTGGAATTCCAATCATCTCTCGAAAGACGATCCGCAAGCGGGGCAAAAAGTTGCGTCAGGTCGTACCGAGATTCGAACTCAGGTATTCTGAAATTCTTTCAAAATCAGATAGGCTAACCACTACCTCATACAACCACCCGTTCCGCAATTGGTGCTAATCGGAGCGCGTGGCTCAAAGACAAATATATACCCCCACATTGTCCACTGCGACGGCGCCAGCCCGGATCTCTACGACGCACGAACCAGTTCCCACGCCCTTCCACCCTTCCCCACGTCCCCACCGTATCGTTCTCATCCTTCGCCAGCAGTGTCCCAGACGGTGAAAGGAACCTCTCCAAGACACATCCGCCCCCACACACGCCGCCGGCCATTTATTTTGTCAACCTCGCGCCCACCTCTACATGGTCTGGTAGGGCGATAGGCCCGCAACGTGTGAGGCCCCCTCCACCTTCCTTCGTGGGGCTGATACCCGCTTGTTTCCCCACGGCCACGCTGCCATTCAAGCACTTCAGCTCAGGCAACGCCCCCTTGTGCCCCAGCTTTGCTCGATGGCGTCTCTCTTCCGGCAAGGAGCATCTCGCCAAGGCTCGCCCTTCTCCGCCTCTTCCTCCTCCTCCTCCTCATCGATCCTCAAGACGGACGAGGTAGCCAAGTGGTTCGACGCAATCTGGACGGGCAGCGGTGCCTTTGGTGTCTCGGGTAGACAGTCCTTCTTCTCCTCCTCTCTCAGCAAGCACTTTGGGTTTCCCGCTAATTACTCGGCCTCAGCAGCGCTCCATGCCGTCCTCTTTCCACCTCTCCCACCTTGGCTCGCAACGGTTTGCTCCCTCTGTCGAGTGGTAGCATTCCTGATTATTGCGCCCATCCTTTTCATTTCACTGCTGGATTTGGCCGAGTATGCAGTCATCAGGACACTAGGTCAGTAGTCGAAGAAGCAGAGGATGAGCCACACATCGTCTCAAATCACTGAAGCGCGTATTTCCTTTCTGCCATTCGGACAGGTCTACAACGACGTCAAGTGAGGGTCAAGGCGTCAGGCCACCCTACGCAGCGGATGCACCTCTCTCCCGCCCAGCTCCAGTCAGGCAAAGCCGGCAACCCTATGCAGGCCCCTCTCCTCTCGACCGGAGCATACGACGGAGAGACTTTGCTGAGGCACCGAGCGCGTAGTCTCTCTACTGCCTCTGCCGAAGCAATTGAGGAATGGCAACGGACCGGTGGCAGCTTTGCTCGAGTGGCAGAGGTACGCCAAGCAGCCACCTCGGCTTCCAGCTCTCCCAGCGGAGGTACCACCCCGATCAACAATCGCAACAGTTCTTACTTTGAACCTACACCCCGGTCGTCTCCCACAATGGCCCAATCACCCATAGGTGTAGAGGGACCTATGGGGCTGAGCGACGATGAGAGTGAGAGCGGAGGGCCGTCTAGCCCCACGATGGAGCTTGGTGGTGGCCAGCAGAGCAAACACCGCAAGTTGAGACGAAGTCATTTCGACTTTACGCCCATTGAGGAGAAGAACAAGTTTCAGTGGAGCAGGAACTCGTTTGACGATACGAGCGAGGAGGCCGAAGTCAACGATACGTAAAGACGCGCTGTACAGGACGATCAGGCTTCCTCGCGGCCGCATCGCACCAAGTGTCAGGCCACTCGAGAAAGTAGGTTCGATGCACTAGCAGGAAGGGGAACCTGAACGATCTCTACATGACTATATTACTACGACCCTCCGACCGATCGACCGACTGGCACGCTTTAACTTCTTTTACGTTACTTGGATATGTACATTCTCTACTTACTTGATTATATCTCGTCGTTTGGCTTCACCCTCCTTTGTCTGCTCATCCGTCTTTGGACAGCGTCTGTGAGCGAATTGTGAGAGCGAGCGTGTGTGTAGACTGATACTGATTGAAACGAGGACGAATGGTATACAATGATGTGCAGAGCGGGCAGAATAATGCAGAAGGGGTATGGGAATCTCGTGTAAGAGTCGGGGAGGCTTGTCGCCGGGATCAGGGAGAGAGAACGGACGGTCGCAAGCATCAAGGACTGCTGAGCAACTTCCCACTCGCATCGGTCAGCCCAGCGACTCTCAATTTGCTCTTGATGAAGAGGGTCGAAAAGGGGTACCTCTGCAGCTGCGCGTCATACAGGGGCACATGTCTATAACCCCTCTCCAGCCCGCCGATACTGGCCGTATAGGAGGCCAAGACCGCACCGCTGCTAAGTACAGGCGGCGTCAGTTGTGGAGGCGAGCTGCCCAGAGAGGCCTGAGAGCGATTGACGTCTTCGCAGACTTCGAAGCGGAGGAAAGCGAGATCGAGGAGGCCGCGCGTGAGGGTGTCTACCTGGTCTGGTGGGACGACGCCCTTTGACAGAGCTTCTACAGCAGCTTCGCCGGCAGGGACATCGATGGCGATTTGGAGAGGACAGTTCCAGATCGGGTTGAAGCCATTGCCTTTGACGATGTGCGTGGCAAATGTGGCACTCCGAGGACCCATGTTGCTGCTAGCCGAGGGGCGCAGTGGAGGACGCGAGGGGGCCTGCTTCTCTGGTGAAGAAGAGGGTGGTGGCACAGATCGCCTGGCTTCACTTTGTAGGCTGAGGTAGGCTGGAGGAGGTGAGGCTTCGACTTCGGATCCGGCAGCCTTTGCGCCCCGTTGTTCAGGTGACGAGGTCCGTTGAGCTGGCCTAGAGGTGGGATTGTGAACGCTAGATTTCACATCAGAGGCCGAGGAAAGCAGATCTTGAGGCTGCTTACCCCAGCTTTCCGGTGCGAGCAGAGAGAGAACGACGAATGGATCAACCGCCTCTTGGTCACCATCAGTCTCATCACTTGTTAGAATGTCCTTGTCACCAATAACATCACGCAGGCGTGGCAGTTGCTGGGCTGAGATGACTGTTACATCCAGAACGCAGCGTACCTTCGCATCTGTGTTCTTGAGGAGATCCTTGGTCCGCAGTCCTGAAGGTTTGAGTACATAGCCACAGCCTGCATTGCGGGTAAACATGGCCTGGTTGAGAGTGTAGCCGATATCTAGAGTCTGCCAGTTGAGAGCCACGAGCTGACAGCCAATCGCCCACAGATGATGTGGGAAGTAGTTGGCACTCGCATGCAGGCGAGCAATACTGCCCATGCTTGGGTACGTCCTGGTCAGATGCGTGCGATTGTGTTTGATCAGATTCTCACGAAGCACCCGATCGCGAGCATATTTGAATGCAGTCTTTTCCGAGAGCGATATCATATGCTCTGGAGCATAGACTTCCTTCTTGTTGATACCTCGGTGTTTGACGCCTACAGTATAGACCAGAAGCGCAGCTAGCTCTGGTGCTACCGTGGTCTTGTCTGACTTGTGGCCATCGCGACGGGACGAGACCGAAGATGATCTGCTTTGACTGGTGCTACCGCTGCTACTGTTCCCCGAGTCACCCCGACGGCGATTCCTGACCGAACGAACAAGACCTCTTGCACTGGCAAAAAAGCCGTTGTCTGACTCCGACCCGGTTTCAGTGGCTGAGGAATAGCTCGATGATGTGATCAGCGCCAAGTCAGAAGCGGCTTCGGAGTCACTGTCTGCTGAGATCTCCTCTGTCGGCTCTTCTGGAGCCAGGTCGATGTTCTTGGCTTTCACCAGAATCTTGCCCCTGAGCTCCTCCGGGGTTGGTAGCTCGTTCGCTCTAGAAGCTTTAGGAAGCTTTTCGCAGAGAAGAGCCTCCCCAAGAAGCTCGCGGAGAAGCTTGGCCATAGTCGTCTGCTGCGGAAGATCATTGTGAACCTCTAGAGAGAGGATGAGCGGGTACTGTGACTTGATAAAAGCGTAGCGAGCGATAGCAGCGATCACGTCTTTGAAGGGCACCTTGGATGTCAAGGTATGGCCGTGGGTGATTTGAGGCTGACCATTGGGACCATCCCAGCAATCGAGCTCCACAGATCGAGCCCCGTTCGACAAAGCTCTGATGTAGCCCTCCACTGTGCTGTCTCCTCGCCACTGACCGCCAACGAGGTAGGTGTTGTGACTGGAGCTGATGAAGTAGTGCGTGAGAGGTTGATCCATTGGTTGCGGCATGACGGCTTGCCGGGAACCTTCAGTCGCGGGCTCGTCTGCTGTGAGCAGCTCTTCGGTGGTCTCTGCAGTTGAGCGCGAATGTCTCAGATCTTCAACATTTTGTGCTTGATGATCGTCCTGTTTGGATGTTGCAATCTGAATACTCTTTGAAGAAGCATCCCTAATGGCAGCATTGTCCTCGGACTGCAAAAACGCACTGAAGCCGTCGTAGAGGAGACCGCCATGTCTTCGACTGCTGTACTTGGCGAACAGAGAACTGACGACGGCAGCCCTCGACCCATTGGCTGAACTCACGCCTTGTTCCTGCTGCATGAACGCACGAAATCTCTCGAGGGAGATGCCTGATACGGACGTGGTGTTGGGCTGCTTGTCGGCTTCAAGCGGCTGAGCCTGGTCACATGCGCCAAGAGTCAGGTCTGCCCACTCCGAAAACAGCTCTTCCACCTCTTGCCGCCTTTTCAAGAGCATCACAAAGTATTGAAAGTCGTCAAAGTCAAGAAAATCTCTGCCCTTGCGGTCTGCCTGTCTGAAGCGCTCCAGCAGCTCCGTGCGACTGGCTTGCATCCCTAGGCGTGCGCATAGGCGGACAACTTCCTTGAAGCTCAACTTCTCGTCTTCGGACGAGTCGGCACCCTTCCAGTGCTGTCGCAGCCAAAGGTCGTTCCTTTGTTCCATCCCCACGATTCCATCGAGGAGCTGCTGACGAAGGCCGCGCAACCGCTCTAGAGTTTCCCGCCACCGTTCCAGAGATCCGTCCGAGACCGCAATGAGATGAAGAGCTTTGTATGCTCCTACTTGCTGGTAGATGATTGAGATCCAACGAGGCTCATGAGCGACAGAAATGCTGAGCGCTGTGCGAAAGGACGCTCCTGACGCGCCAATGCGAACCTCGCGAATGGACTCCAAGTTGATGCGATTTCCCTTCTTGCTGGCCCAGACAATCTGGCCCCGATCAGGATCGATCTTGAAGAGGCGCTGCATGACCTTCTTGTGAGTTACCTTCAGCATGCTTTCTCCGGTCTGGAGGACGGCTGGAATGTCAAAGGCCGAAGATATTACAGGGGGAGGAGGATCTGCACAGTCGGCGCTAGCGATCTTGTGGGAACTTTCGCTTCCGCCTTCAGAAGGCGATTTGACGGCAGCTTCCATGCATTGGCGGTCGTCGAAAGAGGTGGATCGGGAGGGAGGGCTCAAGGTGGGCAATTGTGAGTCGTCTTCGTCGCCTTTCTTGCGCATCTCCTTAAAGGTCTGGCTGGCATGCCGCCTCATAGTGTAGCGAGAGTGTAGATTGTACAGCGTCTGAGGTATTATGAGGGCAGCGGAAGTCGTTGTTGATGTCGGCGGTAAAGATGGTCCAGAAGTGCGGGCAGCTCCCGCGCTACTTTCCCCACTGAGACTGCCTCTTTCCGCAGTGGGCAGAAGTGACGCTGTAGAGCGACTTTCATCATCTGATCCCAATGGCAAATTGGAGTCGACAGCCGAGGGCACGTCGTCGCCATCTCTAGTGCATTGATGTCGTGAAGCCTGCATTCCCTGTGAGCTGGGGTAGGACCGTTCGGGGAGGCTTTGCTGCTCAGTTGACGCCCTCTCAGTCGACGGCGCCCGCAGTGCCTGTTGGGGGTCCTCGTTGGACATAAGAGGCTATCTCGTCTACCCCGGGAGTCGTAGAAGGCGATGCTGTGGTCCTCGATGCATGGCGTGGTTGTAGCAGTGGTAATAGTCGAGGTCAAAGTGGTATGGACGAACGCAAAGCACGGAGAATATTGCAACGCAGGCGGTCAGATTATATGCGTTGCCCTGTGCGAAGGGGGGCGATGGGCAGTGCGCGCAGCCCGGGACAATCTCCAGCCACTGAGCCCAGCCACTCACTGCCACTGCCCCCGCGTGGTGACGCTCACGATCCTATCACCATCACCTCACCGACATCTCCTCGGCGGTACGCAATCACCATCCACCTTGATTTCTACTGGCTTTGTCGTAGTCTCATCATCATCATCATCACCATCATCACCATCATAGCCTAGCATAGCCGTATCTTCACCCAACCTCTCTCCTCACGCATCTTCATCTCTCATCCTACCTTTGTCCTCGTAACCCCCTAGCAACCCCTAGCCATGTCCGCTGGACAGTCATCAGCTGCGCCCGCAAAGCCATTTCAGACCAAGCTGGTTCTGCTGGGAGAAGCAGCTGTAGGAAAAAGTTCAGTAGTGTTGCGCTTCGTCAGCAACGAGTTCGCGGAGAACAAGGAACCGACAATCGGTGCTGCCTTCCTGACTCAGAAATGCCGGCTGGAAGACAAAGTCATCAAGTTTGAGATCTGGGACACGGCAGGTCAAGAGCGGTTCCACAGTCTTGCGCCGATGTACTATAGAAATGCCCAAGCCAGCGCCGTTATCTACGATGTGACCAAAGCAAGCTCCTTCGAGAAGGCCAAATCGTGGGTGAAGGAGCTGCAGCGTCAGGCCAACCCCAACATCATCATTGCATTGGTCGGAAACAAGATTGATCTTCTCACCAGCGAGGCCGGAGTAGAGTCGGCTTCGGAGAGCAACCCAGCATCTTCAGAAGATGCGGAAGAGGATGACGAGGATGACGAGGGCACCGCCACTGCTACAACGGGAGCAGCAGGCGCAAGTGGAGAGACACTGAGAGCAGTAGCCAAGGAGGAGGCAAAGGCATACGCAGAGGAGAATGAATTGCTGTTCTTCGAAACGAGCGCAAAGACTGGAGACGGCGTGATCGAGGTCTTCACAGAGATTGGTGAGTTTGCGTCCTGGCCAGCGCTATCGGCGTGGGCGCGATGTGGTGCTGAGACTGTTGCCATTGCCTCCTTGTTCCCCTACCCTATTACAGCGAAGAAGATCAATCCGCAAGACATCGAGCAACGCGGCGCACCCGACGCAGGTGGAGCAGCAGCCAATCGTTCAGGTCGAGCGCAAGGCGCTGGCAGCGTCGATATTGCCGATGGGCAAGCCAGTGGCAGGCAAGATGCCTGCAACTGCTGAGTGCGGGCAACCACCCCATCACGCCAACTTCTGTCAAATATTCTCCCCAGATTTCGAGTGCTGTTCCCCCGATCTGACGCCGAAGGTCCTCAGACGTTGCCGACTCTCATCTTCCGTACATCTGTATCTGTTCATTGTTTCCCATGTGGGCCTTTATACATTCTTTCCTTTCACGCGGACATGGTGGCAAGGGGTGTTTGAAAGGCATGGCCTGGGCGTGTGGACGGCTGCATCCCAACGAAGGCGTCTCTGCCATTGCCTTTGCTCCCGAACCATCGAGATTCCCGTCTCGTGTGACAGCTTCGGCCTACATCTTGCTCGACTGCAACGTCAGCAATGCGGCTTCTTTGCACAGACTTGTCAAAAGCCGATCTAGCAACTCCTGGGCACGGGGACTGCACGTCAGAGATGGCGACATTGAACTTGCGGTGACATTCGATAAATCCGATGCGGGGCTCATTTGCTTCCAGGAAAGTGCCTCTGCGAACGAGTGAAGATAGTGGCAGGGTATATAAGTGGCAGTGTGATTGTCCCGCCTTCTCTCCTGCCGTCCTGGTAACCCTCGTTTCGAAATTTGTGTTGTCCCCCCTCAATTGTCCTCACTGCAAGGCTGGTCCTCACCATCTCACCCTACCCATTTCCGCAGAGCAGGTCTCTGCCATCTGTGCAGTCACACGGTGACTTCGCTGACCCCGTCTACATTACAAACGCTCCACTTCACAGATCCGAAATATGAAGACCGCACGCTCGACTGCTGGACTGCTCGTGGTTTTCGTGATGGCAGCATCCTTGCTTGTCACCCAAGTTCATGCCTTTGCCGAGCGCCCCATCAGGCGAGCTCTACACGAAGAGCGCCTAAGTCTGCTCGGGAAGAGGGCACCAGTAGGCGGAGCGTCTAGTCCCAAACATCCACTGGACAATTTCTTTGATTGGCAGAAGACACCCGATCGATCTCCTCCTCCCGAATTCGACGAGAGCTTCACTCCTTCCCCCTCGGCTTCGCCCACACCCCCGCGCACTCCTCCCATGAGGCCAGCCACGCCCGAGACACCTTGGCTGATCGAATTTTCCGAGACGGGAGACCAAAAGTCGAGACGTCCCTCGCCTATACGGAAGCCGATGTCGCCGCCGGCACGGAAGTCGACGTCCCCGCCCAAACGACCACCACCTCCTGTGCCTACCACAAGGGCTCCTGCTCTCGACGCCTCATCGTCGACACGTAGCGGCCGTGGGGTACGCCTTGTGGAGTCTGGTCCTCTGCCCATGTCGGCACAGCAACAGAAGAAGAAGGGCGTGTTCACAAAATTGAAAAATGTACTCACTGGCAAGTCCAAGCCCAAACTTTCGAAGGTATTTGGCAAGAGCAAGTCAAAGTCGCGGATCAGCAGGACTGGAAGCGGGAGTATCGGGACCGACTCGGCTCCTTCACGCTGGTCTATGCCTTTGGAGCGGACATCGCGTCCGTGAACCGGGCGGGTGGCTATCGATCAGTCCGGCGCCAGGAAATGTGCCTTTTCCGGATAGCCTGTCGACGGAATGCGGGAAGTCCGCGGCCGGGAGGCGAGAAGCCGCTCGCTTTCGACTCATTGCCTTTTGCGCTCTTGCGAATGTGGTATCGAATGCTTCGATGGCAACGCGACGCCGGCAGAACTTGTGCACAAGCAGTGGGCAATCGGAGTGATGTAGCCTGACAAGCAATCGCCTGAGGGAATGATTCGTGTCAAGTGCCTTTGCCATTGCTGTCACGAACCCCCTGAAGGCAATACAGAAGGAGAGCAGCTTATGCAGGGTGCGCTTGAGATAGAGCAAGCACGAATACATTACCATGACATCTGCCGCTATGCGTGCGAGTGAGCTCCTTCCTCTTTCATGCTTCACTCTCCTCCAGGCGAGGAGAACGCCACGTACGGCTTACCCAGCACGCACATCGACAGCCCCCGCCTTTGCGGGACCTTGCACAGCCGATCACACATCGCTTCTTTCGCTTTCTGCTCTAGCCGCACACGATGAACGTGAGAGCACTGGCACTGTCCCCACGCCTCCTCGTCTATGTGACCGTGGTCTTGTCAATGGCAGTGGCGTGTGTTCAGAGCCATGCAGACGGCTCACACGAAATCGCGGGTACTATCGCTGATCACTCACCAACACTGTCTGTCGTGCAGATACGACGTGACTGGCTATCACTGTTGCCGCGGATGGACCCCGAGATTCAAGAGGTGCACACGCCGAATCTGACGCCACCGCAGACGCCGCCACGCACGCCACCAAAGACACCTGCGCGAATCTCTCCAGCCCTCAAGGGCGTATCTCCTGGCAATCGCATCAGTCCGGGCCTCAAGGGCGCTCGGAGTGGACGACGGAAGGTCTCGTTTGCGGATCTGGGACAGGCTGCTCTATCGCGCAACCCGTCTGAAGCACACCGAGGTGCGTCGCATCGGACGGGCGCGAGCTCTTCGCCAGACAAGACGATTATTCTGTGGGACTCTGCGGAGAATTCTGGGGCGTTCAGTTCCGGTACATTGAGGACTCTGGGCTTTGATACGGACACGTCGCTCCCTGACTTCCCAGCGTACTCACCACCGGCAAAGGGAGTGTGGGGCAAGATGAAGAAGATGACGAGGAGGGTATTTGGGAGAAAGAAGACGGCAAAGAAGACGACGGTGTGGTCCAAGGTCAGGAAGATGGCGAGGTGGTGAGAGATAGCGCGTGATGGATGGGCGTGACGAAGATGGGCAATGAATGTCTACGTACCCCTCTTCTGGCCCTTCTCGCTGTGATTGAGCGTACCCTCCCTCATCGATGGCCGGTGCAAAAAGGAATCCTCCCCGCCGCCCTCGCTGGCGCGGGACTCGAACGGGTGCAAAAAGCGGGTCCAGCCAGGAGTCGAACCAGGCACCTCTTCCAGTATCTCAGGAAGAGTATTTCCCTAAGAAAGCATGCAACCGCTACACCTCAGGACCTCTCTTGTTAGAGCTTGTTGGAGAGCGGGGACGGGAGGGGCGTAAATGTAGGCGGAGGAGGGTGGTGCACGCAAGACATGGCGCTGCTCGCGGACCACGCCGCCGGCCCTCTTTCCGCTCCCGCCTGATTTTCGGCGGAGTGGGAGGGAGACGGGAAGGAGCAGCTCTGAATTCTTCCCACCGACAGACTGCACTGACCGACGCCCTCTCACCACCACCTCACTGACCTCCAGAAAGCTCGTGCGCTGCCGACGATTGGCTCGAGTGGGTTCTAGCGCTCCTCGCCGCCGTTCCTCCTTGCCCCCCTCCCTCCCCTCCCTCTTCTCTCGACCATGGCGCCAAATCCCATCCCCCTGTCGCCGCGCCGCTTGGCCGCTTCAGGGCTGCGCCTTCACCCCTCCGAGTCAGCCTTCCGCGAGGGTTCAGCGACCATTGTCCTTCCCACGAGCTCTGCGGCGTTCCTCAACCCCGTACAGGAGTTCAACCGAGATCTCAGCGTCTTGGCAATCCGAAGCTGGAGCGACATGATGGACGAAGACCTGCGGAAGAAGTGGGAGGCCAAGATGCAGAGACGCAAAGCACAGCAGCAGCTCAATGGAGGCAAAGGAGGGAAGAAGAGGCCTCATGCCAGTACGACTGAAGAGGCAGGAGCAAGCAATGGAGGGATTGACGATGTAGATGTGAAGAAGGTCAAGACAGGTGAGCTCTCCCTCCCCATCGATCGCGACTCTCCTTGGCGCTGACCTGCAGTAGTCTCCCTCTTGCCTATACCAGAGAATGGCGATGCAGCAGCAGCAGCCGCCGCCGCCGCCTCTTCCGTTGCTTCAAACAGCAGCCTGCCTGACCAAGCTACTCCAACGACGCCCGTCCAAGAGCCAGAGCATCGTGAGCCAGAGTACCGCCCCTTCACCTTCAATCTCCTCGAAGCCTTGGCTGCTACTGGGCTGCGCTCGATCCGCTACGCCAGAGAAATCCCTCTTCTGAAGCGAGTCACAGCCAACGACCTCTCCACTTCAGCAGTCAAAGCTATGAAGCGCAATCTCGCCTTGAATTTTCCAGCTGAGAGGCCAATTGAGGACTGGATTCCTGAAAAGGGAGAAGCATCGCAACCTCACCCTCCGGACGCTGATCTTGACGAGGATGCGCTCATGAATGGAAAGGAGACTGCAGCAGAGGCGGGAACCAAGGATCAGAGCAAGAGCAGCGAGGCGGCGGAAGCATCTCAAGCGGCTCCCAGTGGGAACCCCTCTGATCCTCTTACTTCGGAGACCACTGCCGCAGAGGCGTCTGCTGCCGAAGCTGCCATCCATCCTCAGTGCAAAGTCAAGATCAACGAAGGGGACGCATTGGATGTCATGTACTCGCATCGCAAACCCGGATCGAGATTCGACGTCGTCGATCTAGACCCATATGGCACAGCTGTGCCTTTCATCGACGGCGCAGTGCAGTCCGTATCAGACGGAGGACTGCTATGCGTGACCTGCACCGATCTCGCCGTCCTCGCCTCGAACAACTACCCGGAAAAGGCCTTTGCCCTCTACGGCGGTAGCTGCACCCGAAGCGAATTCTCTCACGAGATCGCTCTCCGTCTTGTCCTCCACTCAATCTCAGCAGCTGCTGCAAAGTACGGCCGCTACATTCAGCCCATGCTGTCACTGTCAATCGACTTTTACGTGCGGCTCTTCATCAGAGTCCATACTGCGCCCGTCGAGGTCAAGAAGCTCGCCAGCAAAACTGGCATTGCCTACATCTGCTCGTATTGCGGCAACACTCACGAGCAGCGTCTAGGCCGAGCAACCGAGCAGGAAGGCAAGGGCAAGAAGGGACAGACATTCACCAAGTTCCAGAATGGGGCAGGGCCTCCAACGCCTGGAGAAGGATCGAAGTGTGAAGAGTGCGGATCGCAGTACTTAGTGAGTACAGACGAGGGGTGGAAGAGTAAACCGCGCCGTCACTCCGATTACTGACCAGCTCTCACGCCTCTCCTGCAGATCGCTGGACCGATGTGGCTGGACCCGATACACGATCCCAGCTTCTGCAATCGCATCCTAGACAATGTCAATGCAGCTCCTGAGCGGTCGAACACGGCAGCCCGCATACGTGGAATGGTGTCCATGGCGGCTTCAGAGCTGCCCGACTCGCCTTTCTACTTCACACCTGCCAAGGTCTCTGGCGCTATGCACTCGACTTCGCCTCCGATTGTAAATGTCGCTTCTGGCCTACTCAATGCAGGCTTTGCCGTCTCACGGTCCCACTGCATTCCCGGTTCTCTCAAGACGAATGCCACTCGAGCACAGGTCTACGATCTGATCAGAAGCTGGGTCGCCAATGGCCATCCAGTGAAAATGGAAGGGATTGCCGAAAAGAGTCCGGCGCGGACACTGGTACTCAAGGAGAGGAAGCAGACGTTTGATCTGGAAACGATACACCCAGAAGCCAAGAAGCTTGCAGGACGGGGAGGTGGAGGGGCAGAAGGAACGGGGGAGAAGAGTGTGAGATACCAGCAGAACCCTTTGCCGAACTGGGGTCCTGGCACAGCTGCACGCAAGACATGAGAGAGAGAGAGAGGTTGTAGCGAGATGTGCATCCCAGATACTCCACTGTTGTCGGTTGTGTCCATTGTCAATGAGCGAGACCCATGTCACCATCGAATCTACCCTTCCGCTTCGCTCTGATGACCTTGCCTTTCGGCGGCCGGCGTGATGCAAGCCAAGATCCCCGCACGCACCTACTGCAAAACTCGCGTGCGGCAGAGCGCAAGGAGAGCTGAATGACCACTGGGCTGCAAAGTGGCGGGATGGGCGGCGTTTGAAATTGAAGCACAGACAGTGCCAAGAGGCAGCCAAGGCTTGGCTCTGAACCCTTGGCGTCCTCTCTCCGCCACAGTGGGAGAGAGGGCTCGGCACCTCAGGCCTTAGCCCCGGCGTCCAAGAGACCAAGGAGGCATGGGCAGCAGCACACACACGGATGGGCACGCAGCTGGGTCGCAAGAGGTTTGTGGGACAAGTGGATGAGGAGCAAAAGGGCGGAGGACGTGGGGGAGAGAAAGAGAGAGGCTGGCTGCCCTGCGTCGGCGTGCCTGACTGCCTTTGCCTCTTGCCCTGTCTAAACGTGCAGATCCCCGCCTGCCCTTGGCGATGTGATTGCTACAAGCTCATCTCCCGCCGCCGCCGAGGCCTGGCCTGGCAGTATTTCTTTACCCCCTGGTCTGCCCTGCCCTGAGTTCCCTTTGCTCGCTAGCCTATGCTCTACATTCCGTTTGCTCTGTCTCCTTGCCCACATCTCTCCCGGCATACCATGTCATCCTGGACCCTATAACAACAGCAGCAGGGTCGTGTCGCCTCATAGCGCATCCTCACCATCCTCCCTTTCGCCACTTGCCATAGTGACTACCCGCAAAGGTGCGAGATGCATCTCCAACTCGGCCAGCCAGGCCCATCCACATGGCAAAGTCGCTCGCTCTCTTTATCTCTGCCAGAGAAAGTCTTTAAGCCGCGATCACCAGCTCGGAGGGGACCCATAAGGACTGCTGTGTTCTTGGAGCAGTCAGTAGTCAACTCTAGTGGAGGGTTCAATGGTAGCTGTGCAGCTACCCAGCAAGATGGGACCGCCATTGAGACACCTTCGGGGTCGTGCGCTAGCTAGTGAGTGGAGGGAAGGGATGGAGAAGAGGGCGCACTTCCAATAGGTACTGATAGGATCGTAACATACTGCCCTCTTCACCCGCTCAGCTATCCAGACATTACAGTCTACTGCTGCTCTGGGGTATCTGGAACGATGGAGACCCTTCCTTATTCGGTGAACACCAGGACAGCCGACAATGTATCCTTGGTACAAGAACCTATCTGCAACACAAGTCGATATAGCGACTCGCTCTCCTGCTTTCGGATGACGGCGGAAGCCCACTGCAGATCAGCAGCTAGTGGACTGTATGGTGTGTGCAATCCGAATGGCGCAGATTCTAGTACAGTTGCCAAGAGTGCAGCACGGTCGCGTTGGCAAGAGAGCGCGTGGGACATGGGATGGAAAGGCAAGGTGGCGCTGGTGATGGGGACAATGGCAGTCTGGTCGATTTGTGATGTGCTGTGAAGCACAATACGAGACACTACCGATACAGACGGAGAGACGAGCAAGCCAGTCGAGATCCACTCAGAGGTCTGGGGCAGACCTAGCATTACAGAAGTCCAATGTCACGTCGAGCGTGCGAACATATACCCAGAAGATGCCGGCAGCAGACAGCACATCAGAGGTGCCAAGGCTCTCTGGCCCCACAGCGCTCGCTGCTCGTGATAGGGCGCAGTGTCAAAGTCTTCGGCATAATCAGAAATATAAATCTTCATGAGAGTACTCCTGACTTCGTCTGCTGATAGAGAGTACCTCGTACTTCGTCTTCTGATAGGAGCCCCCTCGCTTGTATGCCACACGTTCAGGTATGGGGAGCGAAGGTAAGCAGCTGTACCAGCACCTTGTGTGTGTGTGTGTGTGGGGCAAGTGACGGGACGGAGGCGGAGCGCGAAGATTCCCTTTGTCCGGTGCTCCGATCGCCACTTGCGAATGCGTCCCCGTCGCCCCTTTCCGACGGCCTTTCATTTTCCAGGCTCTGACCGGCTCCTCCCTCTCCACTCAAATATCCATTCCTTGACCCAATCGGTAGACTCCATCGCATTGCTCCCCTCACGCCACCTTCTGTCGCTTCTCATCGCCCAAGATGGGCCTCTCTAGAGAGTCGCGTATCATTACGCTCTTGGTCATTGACTCGGCATTCTTCTTTCTCGAGATTATTGTTGGTGAGTAGAAAGCCCCTGTGTGCGGGTAGACAACTGAGCTGCCTCGGCCGAGCGGAAGCTGACTAGGCGAATCGCCCATTATCGCTCCTTTCACATAGGATATGCCGTCGGTTCTCTTGCTCTTGTCGCTGACTCATTCCACATGCTAAACGATGTCATGTCGCTCGTCGTCGCCTTGTATGCTCTCAAGGTGAGCTTGCACCCGCGGATATAGGACAGTGCCATGTTGGAATTGCACTCAGGGGCTGACACGTGACCATATCTTCTCTACAGCTGAGCAAGAAGCAGACGGACAATGATCCCAGGTATTCCTATGGGTGGCAACGTGCTGAGATCTTGGGAGCCCTTGTGAATGGTGTCTTCCTCCTCGCGCTGTGCTTCAGCATCTTCATGGAGGCCATTGAGCGCTTCGTCAATGTCACCGAGGTTCGCAATCCCAAGCTCGTCGTGGTAGTGGGCTCTTTGGGACTCGCCTCCAACATCGTCGGCCTCTTCCTCTTCCACGAGCACGGACATTCTCACGGAGGCCACTCGCACTCTCATGGAGGCCACTCACATGGCGAGGTGGAATCGCACGACCATTCTCACTCTCACGAGGCGGAGGGCTCGCACGCTACCTCCGCACAGCAGATCCCTGCCAACGGCACCAGGAAGGCTTCTATAGATGGACATGGTCACTCTGGCCCTTCTGGCAGTCATACTTCTGGTCATGGCCACGCACACAAGGACAGTGTCACGAGCCTGTACGGTCACCCTGCGCAGACGCGGGCCCACGTTGTTCAAACTGCTCAGGACATGGGATATGACCGCCAAGGTAGGGTAGCCATTCACGGTGGTGAGCGCGATCGCCTCGTCAGCCGCGACGAGAGCTCGAGCTCGAGTCTTGGCGGCTACGGCAGCACTAGCAACCGAGACGTTGAATCTGGTGTGAAGAAGACTAGGAATGGTCTACTGGGCTCTAAAGCTCCATCAAGACAGGAGGAGGAGGACGACGAGACTGACGACGATCTGCCAAGCGCCGCCACTGCCGTTGCACATAAACTTCCTGGGGCAAACAGGCAAAAGTCCCAGAACGGTGGGCATGGACACTCCCACGGCGGTGGTCACGATGGCGAGATGAACATGCGAGGAGTCTTCCTACACGTTCTTGGAGATGCACTGGGCAACGTAGGAGTCATTGCCTCCGGTCTCTTCATTCTCCTCACCTCGTACTCTTGGCGCTTCTACACGGACCCGCTCATCTCGTTTGCCATTACCGTCATCATCTTCACATCTGCTTTGCCCCTCGTCAAGTCGGCTTCCTTCATCTTGCTACAAGGAGTCCCAACCACGGTGCCCCTTGAGATTGTGCGCGACAACATGCTCGCAGTGGAGGGTGTCTTGAACGTACACGAGCTTCATATCTGGCAATTGAGTGAGAGCAAGATCGTTGCCTCGGTACATGTCCTCGTAGACTGCTCCGACGGCCAAGAGGACCGGTATATGCTCATTGCCAACCAGGTGCGGCAGTGTCTGCATGCCTGGGGCATCCACTCGTCTACCATTCAGCCCGAGTTTGTCAAGGGAGGCATCAAGGAGGCCGCTCGCATCTCTGGCGTGGAAGTTGCTGACCGTCAAACGGATGCTCAGGGAAGGTTGATCACCAAGGATGGGACGCTGGTAGAGGACGAACTTTCTAGGGGCCCCTCGACGTGCCTGCTGGCATGCGAGGACGAGGAGTGTGCTATCGCGGCTTGCTGCCCACCTTCGCAGACTACCTCTGCTGTCAAGCAGACACAACCGACAGGAGGTGATGATCATCGTCACGATCATGCTCATGACTATGATCATGACCACTAAGGAGATTTAGAAAGTAATCTTCTCATTGGCGTCATTGGCGCTGGTGAGGCAACATTGCGCCATCAACTCCCGTAATCTACTCTGCTTTTGGAACCTCACATTGTACAATTCTGCGCTCTTGCTGTTTGCTGCTTCCTGTTGTGCTACACTATCACACATGCCGACTTCTCTTCTTCGCTAGTGATCGATGGAGCATTGCGAGGCGAGGCACCATCGTACAGACGTCTTGCGCGCGCGGAATGAGGCAGTCAGCTCTCGCACGCGTCTTCATCCGCTCCGCTTTCCACGACCCACTTCCTCACCCCTTTGCATACCCTTCCCGCGGATCTGAGTGAGCTGTTGCGAAGCGTCAGAGTCTGAGCCGCGTCATCATCGTCTATAGAGCTTCATTGTTCGCCCTCCTCAAGTCCTTCTGGCTTTATAACCCACTCATCTCACTATCCTCGCGAAGCCAGCATCGCCTCTTCTCTTTCCGTCGCACCGCCATTCCGATCATCCGATACCCTTTCCTTGCCCGTCTCCGGCTCCGGGAAAAGAAGCGCTGTTGCAGTGATTCTCCAAGACGGTAGCTGAAGACGAGAATATACTTGCCTATGCCATCGCCGTAGATTGTCACGCCATCTTCACGTCTTGGATACCCTTCGCGTAGGTCAAGCTACGCGCTTCCGAATCATCCTCTCTCTCTCTCTCCTTAGCTTCGGCACGGAAGACGAGACCAGAGCATGAACATCGGCGGAGGAGGCGGGGGACCAGGAGGCTCTGACGGTCTACCGCCGGGGTCTATCAATCCTCAAGCTTTGCAAGCCGCTCTTCAGCAACAGCAACAACGCTCCAATGGAAACGTTGGTGGTGGCATGGGAGCTGGGGTTGGTGGTCCGGGAGGAAGCTTTCCGGGTGGACTGACGCCTGCTTTACTTCAGCAGCTTCAGCAGCATCAGATGCAACAGCAGCAGCAGCAACATCAACAACAACACCAACAGCAGCAGCAGCAACCATTTCAACAGCAGCAGGGCATAGGGATGGGAATGGGGAATGGAAATGCGGCAGGAGGAGGATCAGGCGCTCCCGATGGCAGTGGTAGTGGTGGCCAGAATCCGCCGCCTCAAGGCGCTGGTTCGGGGGTCAGCTTGCCGCCCAACATGCCGCCTGAGAACGCTGTCAAGATGATCACGGTGAGTCGACTCGTCTGCAAATGGCCACATTTCCTGGTCTATCCGTTTGGCCTGGGAGTCCTCTCTTTGCTCACTGCATATAAACCTTCTTTGCCTCCTCTTCCCCAGGCAATCCGGTCCAACATGACCAATCTGCAAGCCCAGTGGGGCTCCGTCTCTTCGACTCCCGATAGTCTAGAGAAGCAGCAAAGCCTCGGGCGTCTTGCCGGTGAGATGAGAAGGATGAAAGGATTGCACGATCAGCTGCTGGTGATCCTCAGAAGCCAGAGCCAGAACCAGCAGCAGCAGACTCAGGCTCAGCAGGGACAGCAAGGACAGCAGAATCAACAGCAGCCAAGACCACAAGGCAATCAGGCCTTTCCCGTCCCGCCTAGCCCAGCTAATGCATCAATGGAGCAGATGAACCAACAGCAAGCGCGAACAGCAGCAGGAGCAGCAGGTTCCCCTGATGCGGCTTCGACTGCAGGAGGTCAGTCTGTCCAGCATGGATCGCAGCCGTCCTTTTCTGCGCCTCAGCCTCCTCAGCAGGCCTTTTCGAGTGAAAATCCGCAACATCAAGCTCAGCTTGCCGTCTTGCAAGCTTTCGCCCAGCAACAGCAGCAGAGACAGCAGCAGCAATCGCAGTCGCAATCCCAGTCGCAACCACAGCATCAGAATCGAGGTATGGTCACGCCGCAACAGGGAAACGTTAGTCTACCGCCAGAGGAGAGGGTTGGGCCCTCACCAAGCCAACCAGGAGGCTTCCCTCCCCATCAGCAGCAGCAGCAACAACAACATCATCCTCAGCCGCCTCAGACCCCTCAGCAGCAGGCGCCAGCTCCACAGCAGCAGCCTCCACAGCAACAGCAGCAAACCATGCCGCTGCCGCCGGGCCTCGCAAATACGCAAGCATTCGTCGCTACCATTACCTCTTTCATGGGGCAAAGAGGAACACCGCTTCCTCCCGGCACTAGCTTCACATTTCAGGCTCCTGCTGGCAATGGCGAGATTCGAAAGATTGAATTGAATGCCGCCTTTGCTGCTGTGACAGGTCTCGGCGGCTCTACAAAGCTCTCTACAGCTGCGCCGGGAGGTCAGTCTCCAATCAATCAACAGGGGCTGATGGGCTGGGTCATCCTGGCCAATAGGCTTGGACTAGCGGTCGCAAACCCGGATCCAAACGGTGAGGGACGGCGGGATCAGATTCCAACGCCAGCTCAGACACCGGAGCGGTTGCGGAACTGGTACAGGGAGTTGCTCGGTCCTTTTGAAGAGTGGTGGGTGAACAAGATGTCGAGCGCCCAGGCTGGACAGTCGGGTCAGCCGGGGCAGACTGTGCAGCAGGGCCCTAGTGGTCAGGCTGGTCAACCACCAGCACAAGGGCCACCGCCGACTCCTCAGCGTGAAGGACAACCTCCGCAGACTTTTCCACCGCTGCCGCCGAATCACCAACAAGCGCTTCAGCAGCTTGGGCAGCATCTGCAGCGGTTGGTTGCGGAGGGGCAAATGTCGCAAGAGGACGCACGGAACCGGTGGGCGCAGGCATCGAATGCTGCTCGCGCACAGGCTCTGAAAGCTCAGCAGGAACAGCAGCAGCAGCAGCAGCAGCAGCAGCAGCAGGGACAGCCGGTCCAGCAACAGCAGCAAATGGGACAGGCAGGTCCAGCAGACCAGCAGCGTCCCGGCCAGGGCCCTTGGTCAGCACATGGATCTGGAATGGATCAACAGGCCTTCCAGCAGCACCAGCAGCACCAGCACCAGCAACAACAACCGTTGCCTCCGCATCTACAGCAACAGAATCAAGCGAACCAACATCAGCGGGAAATCTCTTCGCCGGCGCCCAGTGAGGCGGAGCAAAAGGGCAAGAAGCGATCTAGAAAAAGCACAGCCCAGAAGAGTGCGGATGCGAAGGTGGCCAAGATGGAGCATGCTTCTACACCTTCTGCTCCAGATCGTGGCAGCCGACAGGGATCAATGCAGAGCTCTGGGCCCCCTCAGCAGCAGCAGGGTCCGTCAATGCCCGCACAATTCCAGCAGAAGCTTCCACCGGGCCAGCCGCAGCAGCAGCAGCAGCAGCAGCAGCCAGCTATGGCACCTGGTCCTGGAGGTCCTGCTCAAGGACAGCTCACACCTCGCTCTGCAGTGAGGATGCTGCAGCAAGGCAATCTCAACCCGGCTCAACAGGCCGCCGCTCTAGCCGCGGTCAGAGCAGCCAGTGGCGGGTCAGGTCCTTCGCAGCATCCTCATGGCCCACAGAGTCGGCCGGTGACAAGAGATGGAGGCGGACCGCCAGGACCTCAGGGTTCGTCAGTACAGCAAGGACAGCAGCAGCAGCAGCCGAGTGCCGCCAAGCAAGAAACGCCAGTACCACCCCCTCACCCGCCCAACAAGTTCAAGATTGAGTATCTGCCTCTACAAAGAGACGTCAGAACGTACGCTGGGTGGGACCTCGATGCGGTGGAAGCTCAGGTGGGCCGAGTCGCGAAAGGCTACAACAAGAGCATTCGGACTGTCAGAGAGATGGGCGTCGTGGACGTCACGGGCCTCATCCTCTCACTACGATCGAGGCTAGAGATTGAAGTGTCGTACGCACTCAATTCCTTGCTGATCCTCTCATCGGGTGCAGGCACCAGGCCGGACAGTGCTGGACTGAAGTTGGATGCTTGTGGTGATCTCCTAGAGGAGCTCCTCGAGCTGCTCAGAGAGACGGCGTTTGTAGATGGGCCTCCGGGTGAAGATCGCAAAGAACACGTGGATACTCAGGGCAGTGTAACGCCGGGTATCATCAGCCACTCTCAGCTCGTCTTTGAGACACTGCAAGAGGAAGAGGACCTAAAGCTGCTGCGTCGGAACGGTGTCAAACAGCGAGCACAATCCTTACCGGCGAGGGCTGTCGAAGATCTCGACGCGCCCTTGGTCAAGGACTCTGACAGGCTGGAGCAGGACATTGGCGCTCACCGGCGCACAGTGGAAGACGACCGGACTCGAGAGCGCAAAGCGAACATTGCCCTGACGCTGTTGAATATACTCTGCAACTTCTCGACGATGGTGGAAAATCACTTTTTCCTGGGCAGCAATCAGGAGCTCTTGGTGCTACTGGGAGACCTGATCAGCGCCGACGATGGCCAGGAGGACTTTCGGCTGTTCACTCGTGCCGAGCAGCTCAAGGTGAGAAAGGACGTCCTGCTTCTCCTGACGAGCATTAGTGGGCCTGGTCTGCAGTTGAGGAGGCTGCCCGTGGCTACTGTTACTGCTCTCTTCGACCTGTACTGCTCCTTTATGGAGGATGCGGCCGAGATCGAGGCCTTGGGAGGTCCGCTGCTAGGCGAGGCTCCTCCCCCACCTGGTGTCCCACCTCACATGGCCCCTCGCCTGCCTCCGGTGCCATGGGCTGCACGGACGCCGTACTATGCCGACCTCGCCCTGGATGGCTTCTCAAAGTTCGCCCTGCCGGACGAGAATCGCAAGGTGTTGAGTGAAGTGGTGCCGGCTTCGAAGATCATGGACCTGTGCACGACGTTGGCGCAGATGTTCCCTTCGTCCGAAGCCGACTACCACTTCTTCCGTACCGAGACACGTCTCTGCTACACGGAGCACATTGCGATGAGTCTCTACAATCTCGTCTTTCTCGCTCCGCTCAAGGTCAAGCTGCAGCTGCGCAACGGCACGGCGGGTTGGACTTCGACGTTGTTCCGCGTGGTGAAGAGGGTGCTGCGCTTTGGGTCTTCGGACTTTTCGCACAATCAATTCAGCTCGCTGGCATATCGCTTGGTGGAGACGCTGAAGCTAGTGGACGACTCCAAGGACATGTTCAACATGCCCTTGTTGCTGAGCTTCTCGTCCAGCCACGGCGACGATTCTGGCAGCGGTAGCGGAAGTGGTGGGCAGGATGAGAGCGGACACGGCGGTTCGGGAGCGTCTGCGAGGGGAAGTCGTAAGCGAGCGCCATTGTTGGCTGCGGAAGAGGAAGGGGTGTTTGAGGTGCTATCGATGGTCAATGTAGACCCTGTGCTGCTGGAGCATCTGAGCAGCATGGTGGTTGCCTGACGAATGGGAGTCGCAATGGAAATCACAAAGTCACAGAGGAAGTCACGGTGTGCGTTCAGCTGTTCATGACCTCAGTTACACGGCGTCTGCTCGACCGCTATGTTCTCCTGTCAATCTGGTACGGCTGGGAGGTGCTCTGTAAGCGATCAGCTCAAGCCCCGCATATCCATTCCCCCCTCCTCGCTTGCCCGTTCTGACGGCCCTCCTTTCACAGGCGTGTGTGTGCGTCGGCCTGCCAACGCACAAGACACGCACACGGTCATCGCGCGTCTCTGCCGGACGGACCGGATGCGGGACACGGGCGCAGTGCCGGATGCCTACCGCTTACCCCGCAACGCCCGCATGCCCGGGTCGGAAGAGATCTCCCCTCTTCGCTCCCTCGCTCGCTCGCCCGCTTTCAGAGCAGCTCCAGTCCCCCCCCCGCGCTGAGTGCGGAGCGAGCCGATCCCCGAGGGCCCGAGCCGCACTTCTAGCCTGCTACTTACGCACAAGTCCTTGTGGATCTTACCTTCTTTTCCCTATCTCTGCATCTTATTTACTATACTAGAATTCCATCTAGACCTCGCGCATCTGACCTCTTTGCAACTACTACATATTTATATTCACAATGGGAGAACACAAGTCGAAGGCTCTGTTCCAGCAGGTGAGTCTGCGGGGGCTGAACGATAGGCACTTGGTGGAGGCTGCGAGCTTCGAGCATGTTGCTGACCTGGGTCGCTTCAACCCGTTTCCTCGACAGATCGAGTCCGGTCTCAAGGAGATGTCCGACAAGGAGAAGAAGGACATCATCAAGGTTAGTAGGAGGATCCAGTACGGACGACCCCTGCAGAGTGATTCTACGCTTTGAAGCAGATTCGGTGACGGCAAGGCTCGAGAGAATCATCCGCTAGCTCTGCTGCTCTGAAGCAGCAGACGAACATGAGGGGCTTCTGGTGCCAGTAGAGCTCTGCCGACCTTTTGCAGGATACGCAAGGCGGTTCGCGGTTCGCGGCTTCCGCATGATTCGTGCCATTGGCTCTGGGCTGGATCTGCTCGTAGATGGATCCGTATTGCTGCTCATCTCCTCTTGCTCCTGTATCGAGCTGTTTCTGATCCCACTTCCTCACTCCCCCTTGCCGTCTAACAGAAGACCAACGGTATCTTCGAGATGCACATCAAGCAGGGCAGCGACGAGCTCGTCTACACCATTGACCTCAAGAAGGTGAGTGCAAGCGCTGAAGTTGAGAAGGGGTGTTTTGAGAGAGGCAGGAGCAGCAATCACTGACCTTGTGTTCCCCGCGTCTCACGTCTCCCACAGGAGGGTGCCGCTTACGAGGGTAAGGCCAAGCAGAAGGCCGACGTCACCATCACCACCTCCGACGAGACCTTCATGCAGATGGCCGACGGTCAGCTCAATGGACAGAAGGCCTTCATGAGCGGTAAGCTCAAGGTCAAGGGAAACGTGAGTGGCTTTGAAAGCGGAAGAGCGGAAGAGAGCCGCGCGCGAGAGTCATACTGACCAAGCCTCCTCCCTCCCGCATCTCGCGTATCGTCCCCTCCCTCGATCCTACATCGTCCCAAATCTCCTCTCCATCGTTACTACATGATTCAAACTCCGAAAAGATCATGCTTTCCACGAAGCTCGATTCTGTGTTGAAGTCGCAGAAGGCCAAGTTGTAAAGGAATGGTATCCTGGTATGCTTCTGGAGTTTGAGGAGTCGAGGCGCGTCCGTACGCGCCCACCGTGTACCGTGCCCTGCTTCCGCTTAATGCAACATGAATCTTTCAGCTGCTTCCGTCCTTCCGCGTCTCCACAGAAAGAGCATGATCATCTGGCTATCCGACGTTACGTTTTGGTCGAGTGAGGTCAGATCAGCGACAGTGCCTCGAGGTATCAGCCTTGGGTACGGCGACGAGTGTGGTACGCGCGGGGCGGGTGTCCTTTCCGCTGTGGCTCTCGGCGATAAGCCTATGGCTGTCTCCGAAAGTGCTGCAAGAAGGGCAAGTGTGAAAGTAGTTGTCCAGCACCATCTGGGTCTGGTTGCAAAGACTCACTCAAACCATTCATATCAGAGAGGTCAGAGATGACGGTGAGCTCGCGGCCGGTGAAGGATGGAACTTGGTTGCTTGCAACCCTCAGTCATGCGCGGGACCCACAAGTCGACGAGTCGTTCTCAACCAGCACTGTATCACAAAGCCTTCCCTACCATACGAACCTGAAGTGAACAGCAGGCGTATCGCCTATAGGATATGGGCATTGCACAAGACCAAGTGCGTTATTACAGAACAGGACTTTCATCTTCTACAGGACTGGGAGTGGTAGTGAAGCAGAAGTAGCGATGCATATTTTGACGTGGAATTGGCCCGAATATTGTCTCATCGCAGAGATGTAGTCGATAATCGAATGATCTCCGCGCTCTTCCCGTCGGATTGCATTGAGACCTGTGAGGAGATTACGAACATTTGCAGAATGATAGCCGTCATCTGGGTTGATTCGATCGATCGAGGCATGTTTCAGGTCAACCTCTGCACCAGTTGCATCGACGAAGGTGTGAGCATTCGTGAGTACCGGGAGCAGTCTTGAGAGAAGGGAAGGTGCAGTCAATGTCACTTGAAGTTGACGTCCCTCCGCAGAAGCCGAAAAGCGGGTCACAGTCCGCTGGCACCAGGACAACAGCCTCTCTTGCTCAGCAGGCGTGGGCGCAAAGGGCCGTTCAGGTAGCAGAGGCCGAAGCCGGCCATCCACAATATTGAGCAGACCCTGTCTGGCCTTTACTTTGGCGACGAGCTCTGTAGCACATGCGCGCGTGTGGTGCTGCTTGACATAATTGCAGCCTGCGCACATGACCTCGAGGTTGCTGGGCTCGTAGAGACCTCCCTGGGCGCCGGGTTTGATCCTGTCCATTGACACATTCGTCGATGGGACGGAGGCGTAATTTGCCACCAGGGATGAGTCGTGTTCTAGGACAGCGGTCAATTTGCAGCCGCACAGAGGACAACCATCTGACTCTTCGTAAGCTCGCCGAAAGAATCGATACAATTCCTTAGCTCGCCCAGTCTTGAAGTCGAATGTCATGGGTCCTAGCAGCTGGCGTCTTGATGCTGTAGATTGAGAGACCGTCTTCATCAAGCAGAGTCCTCCGGGCTGCTGCAGAGAGCTCTTCCACGGCCGCGCCCAGCCGGCGTCTTTGGGCGTCTGTCAAGACCTTAGCAGCGGCTATCTGCCATACAAATCTGACCGGGAGTCGTGCAGCTCGAACTAGCATTTCCGCAAGGTCCTCTTTGCAGAACGTGGTGTACATTGCGTAGTAGCCGCAAACGGAAGTATCATCCGCTTGATGCAGTACAGCTGCGATGAACTTCGCGCTTTGAAATTTGGAGTATTTCCCGGCGACAATTGCATCGTCGGCATCGCGAGAGAGGACAGCTCGCGCAAAGTCCGGAAAGACCTGCAGAGCGGCAGCTCTCTGCTCTCTGCGTACGAGCGTAGAGGTCTCGGTTGTGCCTGCGCTAGAAGGGTATGGCAAATCTGGAAACGGTCGCGGAAATGTGACTCTCCGGGCCCGGAGCTCTTGCAGAATAGTCGCATGGAGGCGCTGACCGAACCTGCTCCTTGCCTGTGCCTCTGCAGTCTCCAATTTTAGGGAAGAGGCCCACCTGACGACCTCACGGCACCAGTTCGCCGCTACCTCAGCGATCCTGCTGCCGGGGATCTGTTTCTGGAAGGCCAGCTTCCAGTCATCCCGCAACAGCCATGGCCCAAGCTTCGCTACCCACCACTCGGAGCTTCTCTGTACTTGATGGTGACAGCTTGCAGAAACGCCATCAGCTCTCGCCATTTCTTGAGCAGAGCTGGCTTGGAAGTACCATGCCCTCAGATCGCATCTTTGGGTCCCAGATGTAGTTGCTGTTCCTGCCGAAAGGGACACAGGATGTGGCGGAACACAGATCGCATCAGCAATTGTCCGTGAGATCGAATGAGAACCAGGCTCGCACTCACCAAGCAAACAGTACGGGCTCCGTCGGATTCCTGATGAGCGGCAGGTGGGCTGGAGTCGTGGTAGGAGCAGCGAGGTCCACTTCTTCCCTTTGACGCAGCGTCTCGAGCAAGTTCACCATTCCTTCATAGTTGAAGGCCACGGTACCGCGCGAGAGGCTTCCCACCAGTTCCGGCATCGCTGTCATCGTCGGTACTCTGATCTGCGACAGTAGAGGCTGTCGGTCGAGAGCTCGATGCGATGTGCGAGTTGCTGATGCAGAAGCGGAGCCGGAGGCCACTGGTAGAGAGGAAGAGGACGATGCAATTGTATTGGTTGCTTGGCTTGAGGAGATGCCAGAGATAAGCGCTTCAGTTGATGAAGCAAAGCCAGATTGAGCGAGGGCACTCGTCGTCGAAGAGAGAGCAGAGAGCGAAGAGGCATCTAAGAGCAGTCGTCTTGAAGCAGAAGTAGACGAAAGAGGAGATCGCGAAGAAGCTGAGCTGGTGACAGGTGTCTGCATTGGTGCACCAAAGGCAAATCGAGCCAGCGAGTTCGTAGAGGCAGGGACAGCAGTCTCTGAGCGCGGAGAGGAGGCTGTAGACGGCCTGACAGCGCTTCCGGAGGACGTTGGAACCTGAGTGGTCTGCTGACGAGCAGAGCCACCTACAGCAATGCGAGCAGCAGTGGAGGAGCTTGCTGCGCTGCTGGAGCCTTGTGTAGCCCAGGAGAGGGAGGGTGCGCCGTCACAAGCTCGAGACCTTGGTCTCCTGGCTCTTGGAGAATACCCCCTTTCGAGACCTAGAAGCACTGGCGCTGAGGTCCTGGATATCTTCCTTTCGACTGAGTCCCGCTCGGATTGCTTGCTTCGAGTGATTTTCGTAGTCTTCGACTTGTCCATCCATCAAGTATCAGTCGTGTGTTGTGCGAAGAGGTACGGGTAGCGTACATAGTAGCAGTGCTTGAAGATCGCACAAGGTGTAATGTACGAGTATCGACTTGCTAGCGTAATGTGTGAAGACCTGGAGAGCATCGGAGAGGGCAGGTCGATAGGATGTTCTTGACGAGTAGTAAGGTAGTCCATCGAGGTGATGGGAGTAGGTCGATAGGGTAGTGCAGATGGCGGTTGTGATGCTCTGAGGAGAAGAAGGAGATGGGCGTGTCGAGGCGTCCAATGGCTGACCTTTTATACCTTTCAGTAGTCGAGACTCAGCACTCTCAGCGTACTCATCACATTTCAAGGCACCGCATGAACAAGGGTCAGAGCAATCCTGACCTCCGGAGCAAAAAGCAACAATGCGACTGAGCAGGCACACACCCACGCCTCGTCTGGTCAGGCACACATCACACCGGAGCTCAGAAGACCGATGAGGTCGCTCTACGGCCTTCGACGCTATCGGCGTATGACGCCCACACTCCTAGGATCGCTGACCGCAAATCACAGTTGCTCCCCTCGCCCAGCGTTGATGATCGGACAAGTAGCGACAGCAACGGCAACAGTTCAGGCGTATTTCGGACTTAAGGCCACCGGTGACAATGATTCGTGATACGGCAAAGCATCGGAGGAAGCGCCGAATACTCCTTTGCGTACTGGGCGTCGAAGACACTCACAATGACGACAGATTGTGATACACTTAAGCGCCAGAGCAAGCATCGGAGAAATCGCCCCTGCGGGAGGAAGCGCTGAGTATGTGATGTGCTGTGCTGCATCGGGAACTGCTTTGTATTCAGTAAGGGCAAGAGTGACAGTATATCTACACCTTTATGTAGTTTGAGAGCAGCAGCAACTGGAATTGACCATTCAGCGGAGCTGAGCACCAGATCGCCAATCAAGAAGCCGTTCAACACACCCATGCTCAAGCGAACGGGAGATGCAGGACGACGCTACTCAGCACAGTAACAGTTTCTCGCATTCGACTGACTGATAGTACACGTGTGACAGGGTATCTCACCAGCTAGTGTATCACAGTGCTCCCAGCCGCCCACTCCTCGCGCCCAAGTAGGCCTCGATCGCTCTCATCTCCCTCGTAAGCGCAGGAGCCGCACCACCAGCACCACTCCCTCTGCCTGCAGATACACCCGCACTCGCACTTGCAATCGTACTCGCAGTACCGCCAACTCGTTCCTCACTTCGACCACCCACCCCTCGTGCCGTGCGTACAGACATCGGGTAGCCGGGTGGGAGCGTATCCGTCGTGCAATCGGAGAGGTTGTCTGTCGTGTCCGCACTCGTGGTAGGCGCTGGCGACGTTACCTGCAGAGCGTCTTCTTCGGCAGCTCGGACTGGCGAGTGGGAGGAAGCTCCTCCATCTGCTGCTCGTGCGGAGGGGTCGGAGCTGTGCATGCTCGAGAAGGGGAAGCCAGTCTGGCTGATGTAGGATGGAGATGGGCTGAGGGGAAGGGCAGCAGCGGGCTGTACTGCGGGGAAAGCTGCTTGTGGGAGCGAGACGATTTGTGCTGGTGAAACATCCACATCTCTGCTGCTCTGGGGATGCGCAGTATCCGAGCTTGCAGGAGGCGTACTATCACCGGTCTGCTCATTCTCTAGCCCGTCCGGTGCAGTCTCGCAGCTCGTCGAGCTGTCTTCGTCCCCTTCCGCGTCCCCCTCGCCTTCCATCTCTCCCGCTGCTTCGAGTGTACTACTCTCCCCTGCTGCTCTCCTCGCCATGTCTCGCAGGTAGAGACTGGAGTACGTCGGGAGTCCTTGCAGCCTGCTCGGCTGGGCGGAAGTGCTTGCAAGCTGCGAGGCGCTCGGTGCAGCGGCACTTTCAGCGGGCGCTAAGCGCTCCTCTTCCATGCGCGGTGATGCCATACTATGACCACCTGCTGCCGCTCCGTCGTTGGCGACGCAGATGGTCGGAATCTCGAGCTGTCCAATACCCTCTTCAAAGGCCTGTGGGCGCGAAGCGGAGGGTACGTCGATGTCGACTTGCACGAGGAGGCTGTAGGAGAGCTTGAGGTTCTTGAACGTGAATGAAGGCACCGTCCTCTGAGAGGGGTCCACCAAGTTCGAGGTGCCCGTCCCCACCGTACCCGGCGTCGGCAGCACGAATCCTTGCGTCGCAACATCTTCGGGGGAGGATTCCCTCGCAGGCACAGTATACCCCTCGATGGTGAAGGCTCCCTCGAACACCTGCACCTCTGCACCCAATCGATGCGGCAAGTCTCGCACTCGCAGCCGATCCTCACGTCTACTCAACTCCTCCACCTTCACACCAGCTTGGCCGGCAGGCGTCCGCATGGGAACGGCAGTCTCGATCTTGAGAGTACCGTACTTGGTCGTGGAGGTGACTGTACGCAGGAGAGACATGCGGACAGTTTCCGTTTTGGGACGAGAGCCTCGAGGTAAGGAGAGGCGGAGCAGAAAGGGAACCTTGACGTCGGTAGATATTGAAGCAAGGGCGGGAAAGGAGAGCTATGCAAGAAGGGGAGAGAAGGTGAACTCCCGTCACAAACGTTGGTGGAGGTGACTTGCATCCCTTCCTCTGCGCACTTACCTCCATGTACACACCACCCGACGCATCTACAGCCGAATGCCTGTACCACGCCTGCTGCCTGCCCCGATCATTGGTGAGGATCTGCAAATTGTCATCCGAGAGGTCTCTGGAGGGACTACCTGCAAGACGAGCCTCTCTATTCGGCGCGGTCAGTGAGCCAACATCGACCTGCAAAGATCTTCTCCGCTGCGCTATACCGCTTCCAGGAGGTGATGAAGGCTCTATGCTGAGGGAGGCTCGACCTGCGCGGACTGCAGGACTGGACGTGCTAGGAGATGGTAACACGGCGGGCGCTTGATTGACGGCAATGGGAACCGTTGCTGAAAAGGGTGGGTGCGGATGGACTGTAAAGGGCGTTGATAGCCTGGACGCGAGAAGCAACATCGTCAGTCAATACTTCCGCACATAGAAGAGTCAGAACCCGCCACCTACACTTGCTCACCTCTCCTTCTTTGTGACCCCAAGACGACCAGTCCAGCCCATCCTCTGCCGCTTGACGACCACTTCGATTGTGTACTCGATCCTTCCGCATCTCGGCTTGTCCGAGCGAGAGTTTTGTACCCACTGGCTGGCCTTTTGTAGCATGTTGACAGCCTCCTCACGCTGTGCACCACCCAGGGGTATGGAGGAGGCATCGAGGGAGGGAGGAAGATCGATGGGCAGCCGCGATTTATCTCTCAGTCTCCTCGGTCGAGCCATTTCGTCCTCGGTGTAATCATCTAGCCAAGTTGCTGGCAGCTTCTTGGGTAGGAGAAATTCGAATTGCGCGCTGACAGACTCTGCCAATGAGCTTGCGTCAGAGGGGGTGCTGAGGGTGGCGAGGTCACTCTCCGTGAAGAGCGAGCACCGGTCTGTCCAGAATTCGACCTTGGAAAAGCCAATCTCCCTGCGCTTGGGCACTTCTTGCTGACGATAGAGGGGTTCAGAGTCATCCGAGGGGACAACGAGATGACTGGTAGGGGTGCAGAGAGTAATCTCAGCGCTTGCATCCTGTGCAAGGCTTGCACGTACCTCGCTATTCGTACTCACCATCTTCTAACCCCTCTCAGTGTGCTCATGACGCTGACGACTCGCCTATCACCACCGGGTGAGGCCCTCAGTGTGACCATGCCGGTGAGACAATCACCTGGTCGATACACACCGTCTGCATGGTCTGGAGGAAGCAGCTGAAAGATGGTAGAGTCGAACGCAGCGTCACTCCTAGCCTCCTGGTCGTTCTCGAGGTGCTCTTCGGAGTGCGTTGTGCCCGCCAGGTCTGTCAATGTGCGCTCGCTAGTGGATCTGCGGGATGTGGGTGACGGTGGGGAGCTCACGCCAGGTGAGGATGATGAAGTCAAGAGAGCCTTGACCTTGGACATGCCTAAGCTGGAGAGTCGGCGGGATCGATCTCGGGACGAAGTGCTCAAGCGCTCTTGGCGGGGTGTTGGTGAGTCATCGCCAGGAGGCAACGAGAGGGATTCCTGAGGTGGGAGCGATTCCTCCGTAGTGCAAGCCTCGTACACGCCCAGGTCTGAGGACAGCGCACCAGGCGGGTCAGCGTCGGCAGGAGGAGGAGGAGGGAGATTGGGCGGAGAGTCTTTGCTGGTCACCAAGACGTATGTGCGAAGAGGACCTCCTCGAAGGACCGACTTGAGTCTCTGGAAGGGCCCATTGCCGACGGCGGTGTCTGTCTGTATAGGCATTGCGTTGCGAGGTGGGTGTGTAAGGAAGGAAACCTTCGACAGGAAGGCGAGGTCTGACTTGTCTCTTCTGTCTCTCATCTTTCACGGCGTTTGGAGCAATGGCCAGGGGGCAAAGTACTTTGTGGCCGTGCGGTTGAGTGGCAGGCGTCGTGTCTCACTCCGTCGCTCCGGGCATCGGGACCTGGCCCGCTGCTTGTGCTCCTGCCACTTTGCTGCCGCCATTCTTGCGCCCGGCGCCATGGTGTGCGAATCAGTAGAGGGGTCACCCGAAGCTGTCACCCGCCCGCTCTACTGCGCTCCCCGCACGGACGTGTCCTCGGAAAGGAGGTGAGACATGAGGGATCAGATCTCCTTCCATGCGTCACACCCGGTGTCACATAGGACACTCGTGGCGGACACCCTTGCCTCTAGATAGGGGACTCCTCTCGCCCGGCAACGCTGCAATCATGAGAGTCAGCAACGTCATTGGCCGCCATGATCAGTCACCGTGCAAGTTGAGGCAGTGACAGTAGCAGGCGGAGCAGCGCTTCTTCGCATCGGATCGGAGAAAAGGACAAAGGCAGATGCACCCAGAGTGTTGCTCTCTTTCGAGCTCCGCTGCACCCCGCGTCTCGCGCCTCGCCTTGTTCCCCCGCCCGAGGACGTGCTACTCACTTCTCACCACCCCTTTGCCTTCGTACTCCTCCATCCCCATCAAGCGGGCAAGCCTAGACGGCGACAGAGAGCTAGCTGGTCTCTTTCCACTTGCACCTCTCCCTTTGCCCCCTCGACCGCGCCCGTCATGGCGGACACTCTGCCAGCGGTAGAGCTGTTCACCACCTCGATTCTATCCAACCACAAGGTCAGACATCGTCATGAGCGGTACATTGCCGTCTTTGCCGCCAAGAAGATCGACTACGTCTATCATGATATGGCTTCGGATGAAGAGGCCAAAAAGAGGTTCAGAAGAAAGGTAAGATCGTAAGCGGACTCGAATGTAGAATGCAATACTGGCCAGACTCTGACCGGAACTGTGCCATACTCCCCCCTTGCAGGCCCTCGATCAGCAAATCCCCAATATACTGGTTCACAATGAATGGAGAGGTACATTCGAGGAGTTTGAAGAGTCTGTGGAGTTCGGAGAGCTCGACCTCTTCCTCAGAATCGACCCTAGCAAAGTTGCTACCTCGAATGTAGCAGCGGAACCACTCCCACCTTCGAATGATGAACCTCCGGCGGCTTCGAGCTCGACCATCACATCGACTTCATCGAGCTCCGCGACGCCTCTTCAGAAGCTTCCACCGGCTCCCTCCGTGATGCCTAGGATGGCACCCGTTGGCTCTGGCGCCGGACCGAAACGGGATTCAGCTAGCGACCTCCTGGCCTCGATCGACCTTGCCAAGTTCAATCTGACAGATGACGATATTGACGCTCTTCTCGAGGAAGCCGAACCACTCAAAGCTAAAGCAGCCCACCAAGCCACTACCAAGGCGCCAAAGACGTCAACCCTGTACCCCGGAGAGCAGGCCAGCGCCCAAGAGGTCAAGAGGACATACTTCCCTTCCGAGAATGCAGGCGTGAAGCCGCTTCGACTTCCCAAGATGGGCAATACTGCCAGTCCGTCCGTTGCATCGACATCGACGACAGCTCCGACCCCTTCCTCCAGCAGCTCAGTCTCGCCGAACTCTTCGTCAATCGCTAGATTTTCAGCAAGTCAGAATTCCACACGAGCATTGGCAGCTGAGGCTTCTGCCAGCGCATCAAGTAGGAATTTCTCGGCCCGCCAAGTGCGAGCTGGTCTGGACTCGGGCAAGCAGCTCCAGGATGTTTTGGGAGACTTCACCGCTAGCAGTTCACGTGGAGGGAACGCTGCAGCAAGCTCAGTCGATGCCCTCTTCGAAGACCTCGGTCTCGGCGATATCAACATGTCGGAGCAAGAGGCAGAGGCTTTCCTCTTGGACGGAATCGTTCCGGATGGCCTCGAGCTGGGTGGAAGCAGGATACGAAGGAGCAAGAGCAAAGCCGGCAAGGCAAGGGAGGAGGAAGCTGCCAAGAGCGTGGCTGCTCAAGCTCGAGATCTGGCGGCGGACAGACGAGCCAGTGCTCAGCTTGCAAAGGAGCGCAAGGAGCGCAAAGCTTCGCTGAACGCTCAAGAGATGCTCAAGACTCTGACGGCTGGAGAGGCTGCAACACAGCCTGGTATGGGGCTCGGCGTGGTACCAGAAGCGGTGCCGGAAATCTCGGACAAGACGAAAGAGATGCTGGAGAAAGCCAGAGAGAAGCGCGCAAGCCGACTAGTTGGATTGCCGTCGACTGCGCCACGGTCTGAGCCAGATACGCCTACAAATACCACTGAGACTCACTTGCAAAGCCCGTTGTCGGAAGAGCAGAACATCAAGAACAAAAGGACAGGTGATGAGCCAGACACAAATTCTCAGGCCGAGACAAAAGCTGTGGTCTCTCCTTCTTCAAGTGAAGAGCCATCGACAGCCGCTCCCACAGAGATGATTACGGACATTGACGCGAACGCTGCAGCCCCTGTTCCCGGAGATGCGCCTAGAGCGCGGACAAGCTTGCCTGCAGAATCTGCTGCAAGGCCTCCAATCGAGGCCGTTGCTGAGAAGCCTGTGACCACTGCCCTCAGTGGGTCTACAGCGTCAGCGTCTGCTGCTGTTGCTGATTCTTCGAAGGTGTCATCAAAGGCTGTAGTCGTAGATGAGACGCTTGAACCCATCCTCGATGAGAAGCGAGCCTCCTCATCCGCTCGCCCTTCGAGAACGTCCTCTGCCGCTCTCGACGAGACTCTCGAGCTGGTCTTTGATGACGACAAGACACACGCAAAGACGGGCATTGAAGCAACTCCGGTATCCGAGGTTCTCACATCTCCCAAGGGAGAAGCAAAGATGCAGGTCAAGCGAAAAGAACCTCCACCGGTCGTTTCCGCACTGTCTCGGGAGACTGTACCCACATCTGTAGATACAGCGGCAGCACCAAAAGCCCTACCAAAAGAGCCAGCCGAGACCACTCCACTGGTCGAAGAGAAAGACGAGAAGATCGAGGACCTGCTTGCGAGACTGCAAAATTTGGGCAAGTCCATGGGAAGTGGACTTGGCAAAGAGCCCGATGGTCCTCTCGCCCCTCCCGCTCCCATCGCAAAGTCACCCCCAGACGCAGCAGAAATACAGTCTAGCCCCGGCGCTCCCCTTCCTCGCAAGCCCAGGGAGCGCGACACCTCGTCCAACAGCTCCGGCTCACGACGAGCCATCGATGTACAGCGCACGACCATCTACCCCGCAACCATCTCGCCCTCGTCCTCCTTCAGTGGAAATCTCCCCTCCACTCAGGGGACACCACGCAGCCCTCCTACCAGGGAAGGCTCATCGGCAGCGGCATCCGCGTCGCCCATTGCGGGCAGTCTTGCCTCTCCACAACCAGCTTCAAACGGGAGCGCCAGCACTGGCGGTAGTACATCCAAGAGTCCTAAACTGAAAGGTCGCCTGAGCAGGATCAGGAGCTTTGGATCGATGAAGCGAAGTGCCTCTAGTAGCTCAAATCTCTCCTCTCCACAACAGCAACAGCAGCAGTCGCAGTCGCCTTCTTCGCCTCGGGAGGTAGTACCCGAAGTCCCTTCTCTTGCGAGCGTAGCAAGCATAACTGGGACGGCAAGCAGCAGCGCCCCTGGCCAAACTACAGTCGAATCTCCGCAACGCACCTGGCGATTGGAGCGTACGCTCAGTCAAGTCTTGCGAGACGCGGATGCCGCCTTGGGGGAAGACGCTGATTTGGACGGCAGCAGCTACAGCTATGAGGGTGCTTCGAGCGGGGACGGTGTAGGTGGTGCAGGAAAGAAGGGAGGGTCGAGGTACAGGCAGAGTGTGCTGATGCCTGATGATGGCTTGGGAGAGCCGGAGATCACGCAGTGAGCGTTGGTTACGGGTCACTGATCGCTGATGAGGTAAAACACTAAGGGCCTAGCTTAGCGGAAGCGAACGTCGACATGGACTACTGTAGTGTACTTGGATTAAAAATCGCCTGCGCTGGACGGTTTCGTCATCAGCAGCAGTGCCTGTCCTGAGGGGCACGATTGACAATCTATCTCATCCAACCACACAAAACAGAAACAAGTACACCCGCCTGACAGTCCTGCCTTTCCCTGCCCTTGTATGGCCTTCCCACTCCCTCGCCTCGCCAGAGGACTCCCTCCCTCCCTCCCTCCCACTTGTCCCCTTCCTTTCCCCACTTCCCCTTCCCTCCGCTCATCCAGCTCACCCAGCAGCCTTACTTCGACGACCGAAAGAACTGGTTCCGGAAATCCGCTTGGTCGACGTTCGCTCTGAACCGGCCGGACTCTTGGTGGAATTGGGTGTGCCGGTCGGATATACGTGCGGTTGAGTCTGTACTGGGGTAAGGGAGGGAGGAGGTGCCAGAAGAGGAGGTTGAGGAGGAAATTGAGGAGAAGGGGGGAGTGGGCGCTGCAGATGAGGTGGTGCTTGCTTGTTGACATGTGCAGGAGAGGGAGCGGGGCCGACGTTGCATTGTTACCAGCTGCGAGGGAGAAAAGGAAAAGGGGGGAAGTGGTCAGCAGTAAGCACTTATCTACTCCCCAGACGAGTCCTCTCCCCGGACGAGTCTTCTCCACTCACCCTCCTAGCCCATTTGCCAAAGTCTTGCGTCGATACTGCAACCAACTCCCACTCCTTTCCTCCATCAGGCACCTCTGTTCTACTTTCCCCCTCATCCTCATTCATCACCGGCATCCAAAATACCAATCTACCACCATCCTTGACCAATCCAGCAGAAAAGCGCAACAAGTCATCGAGGAGATCATTGAGTGCGTAGGGTCGGGTAGGGGGAATGTAGTCTTCTTGCTCGTGGGACCAACCTTGCTTTTCCTCTAGCCAGTAGGGCTCGCTGCGTTGCTTGTTTACGTCGCGGTGGCCCAGGCGCTTCGCACCTGCGCGTACACCGTAGGGCGGATCGGCAACGACTGCGTCTAGGAAGCCTTGCTGTTTGCGTGATGACGAGGCGGAAGCGCAGGAGCAGGAGCAACCCGCACTGCATGAGGTCGTGGACGAAGGTGCCTCTCTGGCTATCCTCCAAGGATGCTGGGTAATATCGAATGTGAGGCAGTCGAGAAACTTGTCTTGCAAGCCGTACTGCTTTGCAGCCTTTTTGATGCCCGTCTCCGCATTACGATCTCCCTTGTCTGCCTTACCCCTCATCATCCTCCCATCGATATCCGAGCCGAAGACATATGCGCCCATTGCAGCACAGGCAATGAGCAGCGAGCCCGTCCCCACAAAGGGATCGTAGACGATCTTTCCACCGCTGCCTGAAGCAGGGGAGGAGAGGGCCATTTGGGCGTGATTGAGGCTCATTTCTGCCTCCATGGAGGTATTGCCAATGTACGTGCGCTTCTTTAGATCCAGCCGCTCGATCCAGTCACGCGCAGGCATGACTCCTCTGGGCAGAGTGATGCGCCGCCCAGCAATAGCCAGCCTTAGTTGATCGTTCATGGAGGCATCTTCGTTCTGCTGCGGGATAGCAGCTCCACTCAAGCCCCATCGTTCCTCCCACCACACCAGCTCAAAGTGAGGGCTCTTCAGGTTGACTGGACCCTGAAATGCGAGGAAGCCGAGGGACTCGATGATGCGGTTCTTGTCCTCTTGTGACTGCTTGACACCGATCGCTGCCACTTCTGCCTTCCACGTGAGCGAAGTAGGCCGCAGAGCATCGTATATACGCTCCGAGGAGGGCTGTCGCAGAGCTGAGAGGAGGCCAGTGATGGTGCTGCCGGCAGCCCAAAGGTGCGTGATGCTCTTGACCACGGAGCACTTTTCTAGCAGGAGCGCTGCTTCCCTGTCCGATGGAAGGGAGACAATGGCGAATGGCCTGCCTGCATCGTTCTCGGGCTGGTAAGCAGCATCGTAGGAGTCGAGGATGTCCTGGTAGGATAGGGAGAAGGGTTGGCTGTCTGAGGGCAGAGGATAGAAGCGGAGGGGAATGGAGTACTCTTGTGCTACGGATCGAAATACGGGGAATCGGAAGGTGGGGTGACTGAGTGGGAAGTGGACGACGTAGATGTTGGGGAGTGGTGAAGACGAGGAAGAAGGGGATGACGAGGATGAGGTGGCTGGCAGGGTGTTTGACGACGATGCTTGCCCTGCTGTGTCTGCCATTGTCGGCGTAGCTTACTGTCTGTAAGTGGTCCGCGGTATGGAAGAGATGCCTGGGTGCAATTCTTCGGATGTGTGTCTCTCATTGCAGACACGGAAAGGGAAAAGAAGGAAAACTCCGCTGGTGGGTCTCATTGGCAGAGCAGCAGCAGCAGCGTGGCGTGGCTTGGGTGCGTCGGTCTGTCCTGGCGCATCTCTGCCTCTGCGCCTTTTGCCTCTGCCCCGCGTCGACGCATCGCATCCAGGCGAGACACACAAAGTAGGGAACAGACACGCCAGCCTCCGTCCATTGTTCCTCGGTCACCAATATCAACCTTCCCCCCTCCTCCACGCCTCACGCCATCGTCCATCAGCACTCGGACACTCCTACTCACTCACCTCTGCCAACGGACCACTTGACCCAAGTACCAACCTCAACACCGCGAACCACAGGCAACTCGCGCACGCTCCTTTGCATTCCCTCTCCGACCCAATATCACCCCTGAACAACCCACCGCTTCGTCGTACGGAATCAGCACTCAGGATCACTAACGCTCGAAGCATTCCTTGGACTCAGTCACCACATCATCACCCATCTGCATCGCATATACGAACCCTCACAGCAAAAGCAGACCACATCCTTCCTTGATCCCCGGCACCCCTCTTCTGCACACACACACTCATACAATCTTTGGCCAAGATGGGCGGATCACTATCAAAGGCCATGGGAAAGATCTTTGGCAATAGGGAGATGAGGATCCTCATGCTGGGATTGGACGCAGCAGGAAAGACCAGTGAGTGTCCCCTCGCACGCAGACCAAGGGGAGCGGGTGGAAGGGGAAGGCAATGGCACGAGAGTGAAGAGCTAAGCAGCATACATGGAGGACGAGCTTGCTAGCAAGTACGCCAGGGCAGTCGAGCAGGAGCAACGGTAACTCAAACGTCCTGTCACCTCGCCTATCTCTCCCCAGCCATCCTCTACAAGCTCAAGCTCAATCAATCCGTCACAACTATCCCCACTGTTGGATTCAACGTGGAAACAGTCCAATACAAGAATGTCAAATTCAACGTATGGGTAAGTCCGAAAGTTGGAACTCGCAGAAGATCTCCGGCCATTGCTGTGAGCTGATCACCATTTGGCTCCGTCCCATGCACCACTGCGTCTGCTGTCCCTCCCCCTCACAGGATGTAGGAGGACAAGACAAGATTCGTCCGCTCTGGCGTCATTACTACACAGGGACACAAGGTCTAGTGTTTGTAGTCGACTCACAAGATCGGGATCGTATCGATGAGGCAAGGCAGGAACTACATCGCATCATTGGAGATCGTGAGATGAGGGAAGCATTGCTGCTGGTATTTGCTAATAAGCAAGATTTGCCGGGTGGTGAGTGACCATGAGGAAACTGGCGGGGTGCTAGTGAAGTGTGAGGCTGACAGCGACTGCTCCTGCTCCCGATTCGGCTTCCCAGCCATGTCGCCGGCAGAAGTGACAGAGAAGCTGGGTCTCCACAGGATGAGGGACCGTAGCTGGTTTGTCCACCCGAGTTGTGCTACCAGCGGAGAGGTGAGTTTGCATGCTTGGACCGGAAGATGATCTTGGCAGCGATGCGGCGGTGGAGAGGTTTTGAGCTGACCGCTGATCCCTCTACCTTCACTCCCTTTCAGGGTCTCTTCGAAGGGCTGAGCTGGCTCTCGGCAAACGTCAAGAAGCAGCAGCCATAGAGCTCTCTCTTGGCTCATCAAGATTCCCCTCTTTCTCTCTCTCTCTCGTGTCACGGTCGTCACCCCTTTACTCTTTCATGTTCTTCTTCTTCTTTGACCTCTTCTTGTCGTTGCATTCGTCTCCTCTTCCTCTTTCTGTTTTCCTGTACTTTGTCTTCTTCTGCTGGTGTCGGCGATGCGCAGCAAGGCGAGGCAGGCTAATACACCATTATATCAAGTCAGGCCAGCCGTTGATGGAGGAACTGGTAGGCAGAGTGGTGGGGCTGAGCTGCTCCCTACGTTAGACTTGGTCTATCTGTCGAACTGTTGGCAATGAGCGGGCAGGGATGGTCAAAGGGGAAAGAAAGCTGAAGCAACATGCTTCTAGCATCGGAAGCAGAGGGTACGAAGGGGAACAATTCCATGCAGGCTAGTCTCCAGGAACAAGTGAGGCTTCCAAGCGGTGCAGTGCGGCGTGCCATGCCATGTCATGTCATACCATCTGGCTGTCCTCGAGCCGTCTTCTCCCTTTCCCTCTTCCACAAAGTCAACGTCAAAATCAAAGTCAGTGTTAATTTCACTGTCCATCCGAGTCTACCTGCTTAGCTCAGCCTTTCCGATGTACGCCGAAGCTCGGCCCGAGGAGGGTCAAAGGAGAGGGAGAAAGTGCAAAAGAAACCCCTAGTCTAGATTGGCGGAGGTTTGCTGCGTTTTGCTCTGCTCTGCTCTGCTCTGGCTTGCTCTACACCCTAGACTAGAGCCTACGCTTTGCGTGACGCCACGCATACGCACACGCCGTTGGCGTTGGCATTGGCGTTCCCTCGGCTTGCCGCCGCCCTTCCGCCTTCGCCTTCGCCTCCCATCTCCGTCTCCGCCCACCGCCCCCGAGTCTTGGCTTCTACTTTGCTCTCCTCCAACCCCACTCAAGGGCTTCCTTTTTGCCTCGGCTTGCCTCGGATTGCCTTGTTCCCATATGCAGACAGGTACAGATATGCTTTAGGAGGAGGCGAGACTCCCCGGAGACGCGCCGATCTCCTGCTTCTCTACCTCCGCGGGTCGGGCGAAGAGATCGGAAGGAGGGAGGGAGGGAGCCGTGATTTCCCCTCTAGCCTCGCCCTTCATCCCTCTAGGTGGAGCGCGGCACGGCATGGCGAGACATTCTTGTCTAGTCTTGTCGAGTCGAGTCGAGTGCTTCAGAGTGGGAATGGCGCAACCTCCTTCCCCCAGAAGTCAAGCCAGTCCAATCGTTCCTCGGACTCGGGAGAGAGCCGAGGGATCCCGACGCTCCGCTCCGCTCCACTGCTTCCTTTCTTGTGGGCCTCTGTGTCTTGTTCGGTGTGATTGTGTGCTCAGTCGGTGCAGAGGCAGGTGCACGATCGATTGGGGCATCGGGGGCAGAGGAGATGCTCTGTGACTGACAGACGCTCGAGTATAAGGGCCAAGCGACAAGAGTGCTCCACCTATCCGTAAACCTCCTCCCACCCACGACCGCTGCACCACCGCCGCTTACCCCTCGACAGTCCTTTTCTTTGCCTATATCACCGCCTTCCTCTTCATACCGTAACAAAGCTCGCCCGCAACTGCTTACCAAACGATCACTCCATGCCCGCCTCTCTCTTCATCCCCTCCTTCTCTGCACACATGGAGCGCAGGCGGAAGCGGGCTCCTATTACCTCGACATCACAGCCCGTGCTTCTCCCTCCTGCTTCTGCTTCAAGTACCCTATCGCGCTTCCCGCCCGCGTGCTGTTCAACCTCGTCGTCACCATCAAACTCCCTGTCGACCCAGTCCACCCAGTCTTTGAAAGCGTGCCATGCGACAATGGACTGCCACATTCTCGGAAGAGACAGTACCGAGTCGCAGCGTTCCCAGTGAGGAGGCGGAACAAGAAAGGGCGGTCTTCCGCGTTCCGCCTTGCCGCCTTGCCGCAGGCTCCTACTAGACTGTCATCATCTCCCTTTGTAGGTCGTAAGGGGTGAGTAGCCTACCATCAGCAAGAAAGACTGCGGCGACACGAAGCATGAGCGGTATTGCTGAGCAGTCTGCTTCATCCTGCTTCATCCTTGTTTGCTACCGCTAGTCAGTCCCGAGCCCATCCGCAGGTTTGGGAGAGAGACACTTTGTCACCACCACTCTTCACACCGCGTACACCTTCAGGTCACATGTCACTACCTCGCCCACTGCCTCCATTCGCATCTTTGTCACCAGCTCACTTACTTCTTTCTCTGCTTCGTCCTCATTCTATACCACGCGACTCATCTCTGTTACTCCTGTGTCGCACTTCAGGCCTCATCGACTGCAAGTCATCGGATTTTGTGCAGCTCCCGAGGGAGGCAAAGAGGCAGAGCAGAGCAGTTCATTACGTCCCCCTTTTTCCTGAAGATCACCACCATCGCCTAGGCAGCGCCGGCCAGACCCGGTGCAGGTCCCTTTCCGCCCTTGACTGGATTGGACCCGCTGACACCCTCAGTAGCCTTGAAGGCCTGCTCAAAGTCGGCAATGATGTCGTCGATGTGCTCGATTCCCACAGACACACGCACTAGGTCTCCACTGACACCAGCCGATGACTGCTCCTCTTCGGTCAGCTGCTGGTGGGTAGTCGAAGCAGGGTTGATCACGAGGGTCTTGGCGTCTCCGACGCTGTGAGGGGGAGAATGCGGAGAGAGCAGGTGCATTACAGAGTGGTCAGTGCACTGTGGAGCAACCTGACCTACGAACCCGTTCCGACTAGGCTCGACCATACCACCCATGGCACAGCACTGATACTCACTTGGCGAGGTTGGAGGCCAACTTCAGCTGGTCTACAAATTGAGCACCGGCAGCTGCGTCTCCCTTGATACCAAAGGACAGCACACCTCCCTGTCCTCGTGGCAAGTACTTCTTTGCCAGCTCGTACGAGCCGTGGCTGGGCAGACCAGGATACGAGACCCAGTTGACGCGGGGGTGCTGCTCGAGGTGCTTGGCCAGAGCCAGAGCGTTGTCGGCATGACGCTGAGCTCGCAGAGAAAGGGTTTCGAGACCCTGCAGCAGAAGGAAGGAGCCAAAGGGGTTGAGGCATGGTCCTAGGTCTCGCAAGATGACAGTGCGCAGGTAGATGGCAAAGGTGATGGGGCCAAAGGTATCCCAGAACTTCATGCCGTGGTAGCCCTCTGACGGGTCAGTCAGGTGGGGGAACTTGCCAGACTCTTGCCAGTTGAATTTGCCCGAGTCGATGATCACACCGGCAATGGTGGTACCGTGGCCTCCGATCCACTTTGTGGCAGAGTGGATGACAATGTCGGCTCCGTGCTCGATGGGTCGAATAAAGTATCCACCGGCACCAAATGTGTTGTCTACTACCAATGGAATCTTGTTGTCGTGTGCAACCTTGGCAATGGCGGCAATGTCCAGCACCTCGTACCTAGGGTTGGAGATGGACTCGATGTAGATGGCCTTGGTCTTTGCGTCAATCTGCTTGGCAAAGTCCTCTGCCTTGGTCGAGTGGACGAACTTGGTTTGGATACCGAAGCGGGGGAAGAGGTTCTTGAATTGATTGTATGTTCCGCCGTAGAGGTTGGTCGAAGAGATGATGTTGTCACCAGCGGCTGCGAGACCGAAGACGGTCATGGCCTGCGCACTCTGACCAGAGGAGGCGGCTAGGGCGGCGGCTCCTCCCTCGAGCTGGGCCATTCGCTCTTCGAAGACGCCATTGGTGGGATTCATCAGGCGACTGTAGATGTTTCCGAACTTCCGGAGAGCCTGCAGGTGGTCATCAGAGAGGATATAGGAGAGGCAGTAGCGAATAAGGTCAGTCCGGCTGCGTTGAGCGGAACGTGACAGACATTGCCGCAAGTGCTGCTGGCACCAGTGGCGAGCCATGTACTCACGAAGAGGTCAGCACCATGTTGCGAGTCCTCGAAAACGAAGCTGGTAGAAGCAACAATGGGTACGGCTCGCGCTGGGAAGGCGATGTAAAAGGTGGGGACAGGGTATGAGCGTTCTGATTCAAAGTGTTGGGCACTCAGTGTCTATTGGCCCAGCCTTGCTTACCTCGTGAGCCGGGGTCAACAGTCTGACCGCCGTGAATTTGAACCTATGGAGGGAAACGAGGCAGAGAGGGGGCCCTTTGATAGTCAGTGGGTCTGCCTCCTTTCCGATGGGCAGGCTGCGATTGGATGAGTCTCACAGTGTCAAAGTGGGAAGCCATGGTATCTGCTTGTGTTTAAAAGTAGAAGTAATAGGGGCAAAGCTATCAGACGACCAGTAAGATGGTAGCAGTAGAAAGTCGGGAATGAAGGAAGCAGCAGCAACGAAGGAAACAAGGAAGAAGGGGACCGACCACTGGGAAGGAATCAAGAAGTATGACTGCAGGCAGAAGCTCGACCAAGGCACCCGCACGCTGCGCTCGAGCCAGGCGCATTTGCCTTCTGCTGCAGGAATGGCGTGCTTCCGCACGTTCTGCCGGAACGCGCCCCTGCACGCCTCAGGCCACTGCCCTCCCCAGACAGATCACGAGGACAGATGGGCATCAGCAGCCGACTTGCCTCGTATCGATCACCAATGGATGATCGTTGACAATGGATCGTATAGACAAGCGCCCAGGACAAGTGACGAGAGGGCAGGTTTATGAACATGGGTGACTTTCTGAAATTCGTGACGTTGATTTCCCGCTCCTTCTCCTCATTCCCCTCTTGAGTGTGTGTACCGTCTCGACCGCGTCCGTGCCCAATCTGCGCCTGAGGTCCCCTTCCTCTCGAACCTCATTGATCACGACTGGGATGGATATCCCTGATATTGGCTCTGCCCACCTTGCGGAGGTGCAAATCGTCCAGTACTACGCGGAGACAGATCTTCCGCCTGTCTCCAGCTGTCATGTTGCTGCTCCTGACCCCTCTGTGCCGCCAGTGTCGAAGAATCACCATGCGGCCCTGGCAAGCCTCCCGCTGGGTGCATCATGTTGCTCGAGTCAGTATAGTATGCTTGTGGCTTGGAGTGCGGAGATGGCACTTCCTCGTAGGGCTGGTAAGGCCGCAGAAAGTCACTCTGCACTCCCGCGCTCCCGCCGGCGCCGCCCTCCCTCTGCTCGGTAGAGCCCGGCGTGGACCATCGCTGCTCAGCAGAGGAGGAAGAGCTGGTGGAAGCGCTGGTAGGAGGTAGGTTGGGTCGGCTCATCCAAATTTGCTGTCCTGACTTGCTGCTACCGATATCAGTATGCAAGCCACGAGTCAGGGCCTCAGCAGGACTCCCGCTGGATTGCTGAGCTGTAAGACTTCCTGTAGAGGACGGGTTACCTCCTGTCCTGCGGGCTATGGAAGGGTCGACCCAGGAGAGACTTAGTCGCCTGCCCTTTAGCAGGGGCAATGGGTCCATGTCATGAGGCTGAACAGAAGGCCCTCCAGCAGTGTACGCCCGACCCCTGCCAATGGGTGACGGGCGCAACGACATTGCAGACCTTTTGGAACCTGCCGAGGATGATGAAGAGCGCGACGGTGGTTCCAGTCCCTGAGTCAAGGCGCGACGGGCTCCTTCGCCCGATGCTTCTCGTCCGGCGAGATCAGACTTCCGTCTGTGGCGACTCGGGACAAAGTGAATTCCTTCCGCGGCAAGTAGTTCCCTCTCCTTCTTACTAGGTGGACCCCTCTTCCTCAAGGTATCGGTAGTCAGGCAGACTCGCCCTGCAGCTGCGCAACGGGAACAGCTGGGCTTTTCTCGATCGCACTTGATCTTGCGCTTACGGCAATAGTCGCATGCCGCTACCCCTTCTTTTGAGTCTGGCGCTCTGGTACGGATGCGCTTCAGGACCTCCTCTGCCCGCTTTTGATCCTTGACGTCCACTTTGCCGGCAGAAAGTGATGTTGATGAGCCTGTATCTGTGCTCGTGCCGGCTTGGAGAAGGATCGGACTCTCCTCGCTTTGGTTCGATGACGAGACTTGCGTGTCAGACGAGGAGCCTCGTTGATATGACGACGATGCTGCTGGGTGGGAGCCTCGAGAGGCGAAGTTCGCCCGCTCTTGTGTGGTATTATCGGTGCTGCTATCTGATGCGTAAGCAACACCGCTGGCTTGTAGCAAGGGATTGTAGGTGCCTCGGGAGGCGCCAGCACCAAAATTCCTTTGGCGAGAAGCCTCTTCGTCGGGACGTCGACCGTGAAAGTGGCGAGGCACCTCAGAAGGTTGCAAGATGGGCCAGGGATTGAAACCACCTTCGAGGTCGTGTGACAGCCACTGCTGCTGCTGTTGGCGTACCCCTTCATTGCTGTTGACGGTCTCCGAAAGAGTTTGAGATCCGGTAGAAAATTGCGTTGGGCCATGAATGGTGTCTCGAAACGGCGGTGCGGCAGGCGCGCCAACCTCTAGAGGACTTCGACCTGGGTATCCGGTACGACTGTCCGTGTGACCAAGGGCGTCTGATGCCGTGCTGGCGCTGCTGGGACCCGCTCTTTGGTTCGGATTGCTTTGCCCGCTGAAAGCCATTCCTGATCCAGGCCATGACGGCTGCGAGGAGGATGAGGACTGCTCAAAGGATGCCGTGGGGTGATGAGCTGTGTACGGCATGTCGGCCAGGTCGTGGAAGGACCATATTGATGGTTGACCTACCGTACCACCTCCTTCACAAACTGTCGGAAAGAACTGTTGCTGATGGGGTCCCTGCTGATACTGCCAGAGATGCTGCTGATGCTGTTGTTGCTGCTGCTGATTTGTTGTTTGTGACTGTTGTACTTGGTGTTGATGTTGTGGTTGATGCTGCTGCTGCTGCTGAGGTTGCCATGCCTGCTGCTGGAATGTATTTGACGGGCCTACATGCCGAGCTTGCTCGCCGCTTTCTTGACCTTGGACGTAGCGAGGGTCATTCTGCTGCCCGTCAGAAGGATGAGCGTACATTGTCCCAGAGTACGCGTGACGGCGGCTAGCTAGCAAGCAGTGATGAGTAGGCCGCTGCTGACCTACGCAGAGTCAGATCGGCGACACACTTCTTTGCCCCGTCTAGCAAGGAAGGATGTTGCGGGAGAGACAGGAATACGCCGGAGGATTGGGAGATGCAATGAATAGCAGCCGTCTATCTTACTACACAACCAGCCCGCAAGAAGTCATAGGTGTTGTAGACAGGAGGCGAGGCAAGGGCTATGGTAGTGCGGAATATGCAACGCAGACTCAGCTTGTCGGCAGATGAAAGGTGAGGGTCTGGGGGATGCAGTGTAAATGAGGTGTTGGTCGGGGACGAATGATAATCGGAAATGTGCCTACTTCTCGTGGTACGCACGCACAGAGTGTCTGCGAGCGCCAGGTAGCTCAGCTTTCCAGCGGCGACCCGAGGTTGGAGTAAGACTTCAGTGACATCGGAGACGGAAAGTGAAATGGGAGGTATAAGCGGAGCGAAGGGGATGATAGAGGAAGGAACAGAACAGAGGACCAAGGTGGAGACGAAAGGTGGTGGGCTGAGAGTGGGCCGGCGGCGACTGGGTCAGTGGGGCATATGGTGAATGGGGAAACAAGTCCAGCTTGGCCACCTTGCCTATCTGGCCTTGATGAAGTGGTAAGAAAGGCGCCGAAGAGTGAGAGCGGTTGTCGCCTGCCGACGGCTGCATCGACCTGAGACCCATACTTCACTGTTCCTGAATAGCCCAGGAACGGCCCGGTAGAGTCAGAAGCACGTGGTTGCGGAATGAGCAATTCAGAACCCAAGCCTGCAGCAGCGTACATCGTGCTCACAGATCAGAAGCCACAGATTAGTGGAAAAGCGCAATACCCTCCGAGGAGAGGGCCTTTGGTAGACTGCGAGGGTATCATCGGAGCGTCCTGGATAGTAGCAGACAGGCAGGGGCAGCGGAGGCACCAGGTGCAGAACCTTTTGCCCGCTGCAATGCGGAGGAGGCTTAGTAAATTAGGAATCGAGGAGCCACAAAGGCACGGCCTCAGTGCCTAAGTTGCCGATGGTGCAGCGGAGTCATGGTCACTTTCCTCGCTTGCAACGGATCGCCGGTGGCCAAGCCCTCGCCTATTCGTGGCTGCACCCAGCCGGCCAAGTGGGCGCGAGTGACCCGCCACTGTTCGAGTCCTGAATCGGGAAGCGTGTCGATGAACCATGCATCGAGGCGGTGTAGTCGGTGCTGTAGTGACACAGAGCGGCTAGCAGCATGATGTGGGCCAGGGCCATTGGGCCAGCGAAGCGAGTCCTTGTCAAATCTGAACCGGCGGAAATGCACCTCTGCGGCGAACTCAGACTGGGCCGAGAGGGACGTGCGGTCTGGTCCGCACGAGAAGCGATTGACTCGCGATTGTGTCGCCGCACGCTTCGGGGATACCGATGGTTCATTTGCCGACGCACGCTCGACTGCCGTGTCTCTCCACAAACGTCCCGTGTCCGATTTGCACGGCGGCGAGGGCGGCGTCGTGAAACCGATGCTTGGCAAGGATCCTCGGTGCCGCCTCGTGACACCGCTCCTGCCACTTGACCTCTGTAGTCATTCAGCCGTCGGCTTTCGGCACATGCCCCGGGTTGTCAGTTGGCACCAGGACTGAGCTGCCGAACGATATCCTTTGTATTCGCCTACCCTGTTCCCGAATTCGTCGCTTTACGAAGCGGGCTTACTCCCTATTCTTTCCCAGGGCTATATCTGGACCGAAGTCCCTGGGGGACTGGGGGTGACGACCAAGCCACTTCAATGCCATCGCTTCCTTCTCAAATCTAGCTGCCCCTTCGCCTCAAACTCAGATCGAGGAATTCTTTCGGCCGTAATGATTGACACAGTGGGAGGGTTACAGAGACAATGCAGTGCTCATTCAATTCTTGCTTCACATACCTAGATGCAAGGATAGGGAGGGGGGTGAGGGAGGGAAGGAAGGAAGGGCGAAGGGTGTAAATGGAATTGCCCCGCGGGCACGAGAACCCATCGGCAAGGAAATGTCGACAAGACGGGGCAATGTGATGAAGCGAAGTGCCTAGCCGGGGCTACGAGGAGCCAGGAGTGAAGACGCGAGTGTGGAGCAGTCCTCGCCCTTTGCCCTCAGATCCCGACCCGCCAGTAGCGCCATTGTCACCTTGACCCTGCTCGGCCCCAGACCCATCTGTTTGCTTTGTAGTACCAGCCCCACCTCCATAGCTCCTCTCGTAATCCCTGAGTAGCTCCACCATCTTCGAACTAGCCTCGAACGAGCCAGAGCTTGCCGAATCGGCACCGTTGGCGGCATTGGCGGAGCTGGCGCTGGACATCGAAGGCTTCGCACTCATGACTGAGCCACTGCTGTGCCCGCGACGAATCTTGGGTCGCAAGCTGTTCGTCACATTGCCTGCTGTAGGCTCGTGGAAGGCGGCTAGGTGAGGCGCATTGGCCGACTCTTGTGCTCGCATTCCCGCCTGTGCACGGAGGCGAGCTTCCTCCAGCGATACGGGAAGGTGGTGCGAAGAGCTGGACCCCGTGGGCGAAGAGGGTGAGGAGCCGCTTTGAGGAAGATGAGCTTGCGAGAGTTGATGGCGATGTCTGCTGGACGAGGAGCTTGACATCTTTGCAGTCTGCGGTTTACTGTGACCGGGGCTCTGGCCCAGGTCTCGGTTCTCAGCAGCTGTTACCGAGGAGTCGCTGACACCTAGGGCTTTCCCGGCGAGCTTCGCGGGTTGCGCTTTGGCAGCATCCGAGGCGTCAAACTCCCACTGCTCCGTATCGTCATCGTCATCGCCGTCATCAGCCCGTGTTTGAGAGGATCCGCCCACTCTGCCAAACCCAACCTCCGTATCACTCTCACTCTTGCCTTCCTTCCAGTCTCCACGGGCAGCACCAGTGCGAGGCTCGACCTTTTCTCCTCGCGAATTGCCCATGTTCTCCCTCATCTCCTTGTCCATCTGAAGCAGAGCATCCCTGGTCACTTCAGTCTTGCGCTTTCCGCTCTTGTCCAGGGCGGTACGGACAAAGTGTCGTGCGCTCTGGTAGGCCTTGCGAGATGCATCCAGGAAGAGGAAGGCTTGGAAGACGTGGACGCAGTCTTCGTAGAGCTCGTGTCTGACTGCGACTCCGGCTAGGGAAGCCTTGTGGGCCAGCAAAGTTCCTTCGTCTCGAAGGACCTCGGCATCTCCACACTGGATCAAGAGGGGAGGAAGACCTCGGAGATCACCGTAGATCGGACTGGCGTAGGGGTGAGTGAGGTATTTGTCGATGTTGTCCCCCAGGAAGGCCCGGACGGGGTTCATGTGGTTGTCGCTTGCCGGTACACTTAGATAGTCGTACTGAGCATTGGTGTCCCACGAGTCGCAAGACATCGTCAGATCCACCCACGGACTGAACAGGATCGCTCCAGCAGGGAGGGGATACTTGTTGTCTCGCAAGTAGTACATCAAGGCGAGGGCCAAACCACCTCCGGCCGAATCGGCACCCAGGACAATGTTGCCCGCCGGGATGCCTAGGTCGTCGGTGAGTCGGAACCAAGAGGCAACGACATCGTGGAGCTGACCTGGGAATTTGGCGCCGGGTGCAAGGCGATAGTTCATCGCAAAGACCCGACACTCGGTATACTTTGAGAGCGAGATGGTCACGGGCCGGTGAGTGACAGCCGACATGACAAAGTAGGCACCGCCATGTACGTAGAGGATGACTCGCTCGGTACCTTTAGCTTTGCCGCCTCGCCACTCTGCCTGCAATCTCCGCCACGTCTGTTTACCCACAACCCACTCGCCAGTCAACTCTCGACTGCCGTCCTCTGCAGCGTCGGCTTCTGCGAGAAAGCCTTTGAGCCCGCGCTTCTTGACGCGGAAGGTGACGGGTGTGATGAGACCGTCCTTTGGGACGGGCAGGAAGGACGCTAGCTCAAAGAATCTCTGCATGCCATCCACCGTGGCGAACTGGGTGTACGACGATGTTTCGCGGAGAAGTCTTGTGAAGATAGTCATCTCAATACCCCATGACTTCTTTGGCGGGCCGTAGAGGGCGTGAGAGGCGACAGCGGATCCAATCGAATACCCTTGGCTGAGCAAGAACGGGACGTATTGCCATGCCTTTGTCAGCGTCATTGGTTCAGCCGTTTTTGGCTGAGCCGACATGTCCGTCCGAGCTGTTTCAGGTACCGAGTCTCCCCTGTACTGATCCAGTAGATTCGTCAGAGCCGACTGAAAGCCGCTTCCAGAGCTTCTCTTCTTCTGAGCCGCCGGCTGGATCTTAGTCTTGGCGCCGGCTGCTCCGTCGTTGGTGGGCATGGCAGTAGCTTCCGACTCATTCGAGCTAGCGGCACCGGGGCTCCCAGGACGCACAGTCGAGGAGGAGCTGCTGCTTCTCATTGCTTTCCGGGGAGCAGAAGTCTGTCCACCTCCACTCCCTTCGATCTCTGCTGCCATCGCAGCTGTACCAGGTTTGCCCCTGTCCGGTACACCCTCATTTCCGGCGCCGCTGCCAGCGCCACCGTCCTCTCCACTACGACCACCACGATCACCGAAAGAAGGCATGACAACGAGATCGATGGACATGCCGGAGTCGTTTCTCCTTCTCCTTTGAGCAGCGAGGTCGGCAGCTGTGTCTCCTGTGACAGACTTCGACATGCCTTTCTGCTCGGGAGAACCCTTGCCGTCCTCTTCGTCGTCGCTGCTCTTGCCCAACATCGGCTCAGTAGTCGAACGGAGGTGCTCTGCCGCTCCCAGCAGCTTCGACAGCTGATCCGGCGAGAGGTCCTCGGAATGCTCCTGGCGTAGAACGTGAAGACGCTGTAGATAGCTGATGGCCTCGACGGCAGTGACAGCGTTGGCGAGCTTCTGCTTCGCAGTCATGTGCTTCTTGGCGCTCTCCTTCAGGCAAGCTCCTCGGTGTTCTTCTGCGTGAGGTGGCGGCAAGTCGGCGAGCCAAGGATGTTTAAGACCATCTGCAGCGGTCATACGTTCCTTGGCAGGGCAAAGACACTTGAGAATAAAGTCCTTGGCTGTGTCGCTGATGTCTGACCAGTATTGGGGCTCGAATTCCACATTCATCTTGACAATCTCCTTGAACAGCGTGGGCTGATCTTCACCGTAGAAGGGCGTATATCCCGCGAGCAGGCAGTATGCAATGACGCCACTGGACCAGATGTCCACTGCTGGCCCGTAGCCACGACCGAGGAGGACCTCGGGAGAGACGTATTGCGGACTGCCACACGCGGTCATGAGGAGACCTTCCTCCGGGATGAATCGAGATAGGCCAAAATCTGAGATGACAATGTTGCTGGGCTCTTCCTTGTCTCTCAGCAGGATGTTCTCGGGCTTAAGGTCTCGATGAATGATGTCGTGGCTGTGGAGGTACTTGACACCTTCAAAGATCTGCTTCACGATATGTCTAGCATCGAGCTCATTATAGTGCACCTTTTCCACGAGGCGATCGAAGAGCTCGCCGCCTCGACATAGATCCGTAACGATGAAGACACCTTCTTTCGTCTCGTAGAGATCCCACATCTTGATGACGTGCGGGTGCTCCACTGTATTGAGAATCTTGATCTCATCCTTCAGCATCTTCTCGCTGTTCTCCTTGAGAGGCTTCTTCGCAATGATCTTCAGAGCTCGCTCGGTTCCAGTTGACTTTTCTGTGACGGCTTTCACAACGGCAAATGAGCCTTGGCCAAGAATCTTTCCGGTCACGGCGTACTTTTTCGAGAGGGGTGACGGCAAGACTGGCGAACCATCGCTTTCGGTCTGCAGCAGTGGTACGACAGAGGGCATTGTCAGTGTCTTTATCCAGTTACGACGTGCCACCATGCGCCTACACTGACCTCTCTGAACCAACTCTTGAATGCGCTATGCAGGTGATCCTGCAGGTGTTGCCCAACCATCTTGACCTTTTCTCTGCGCTGACCGCTATCCTTGCGGTTCAAGAGGTGTCCGAGGCCTCTCGGTGATCTTTCCTTACTGCTACTCGAAGTGGCTCTCTTGCCCTTCTTTTCCCCTTCGTCCTCGTCGCTGGACGTAGCTGTCCCGCCGGCTTGATGCGGATTCAGAGGAGTGGCCGTAGGATTCCGGTTCGGCTGTGCGCGAGAAGTGGCAGTAAGGATCTCGGCCTCTGTCAGGTCTGCCGAGGCTTTGGGCGGAGAAGGCTGCTTTTTGCTGCTGCTGTGATGGTTTTTGAACATTCGTCGTGGGGTTACGGATGCTCAGTCTTGGATACTAGGAGGATCTAGGATGGACGCGAGAGCAATTGCCGGCTGGTAATGTATTGCCGGGTGGAGGCGGCACGGCTCGGAAGTGTATTCGAGGATATGGTATAAGCAGGACAGACTTTGCAGGAGGCTGGATGTGTTGAAAGACACGAGGGGTGTTGCCGTAGTCGTCAGCAAGTGGTGGGTGGATACAGACACGATGAAGGAGGGGCGGTGGGGCTCAGTGTTGGACGAGTGTGTGTGCACCCTTGGCTGGTGACCAAGGCCGGCCCGGCGGAGCGTGGCATTTGCAATGAGGTCCAGGCGGGGCCCTGTCCGCGTGGTCAGCGTGTGCGGGCGTGTGTGCGTGCGTGCGTGGCTTCCCGCCCATCTCGCTCCACGTTGATTCACATGCTGCAGCTTCACACGCCGCTGCGCAATCTCCAATCCAGGCCGCGACGGCCAAAGTAATTAACACGAAGCAATGGACAAGACAAATGCACATTGATAAGGACACATGAATGGGCCTGAAAGGCATTTACAACAGTCTGTCACATAGGCATAATGGCTACAGACGGAGTGGGGCAAGATAGCACGCGACGTGAACTTAGCGACGTCCTGGAGGCCTGTAAGCGCCCGTAGTCTTCTTGACCTCTTGGAATCCATCCGCGTTGGCTCCTGCAGCAGCTTCCCTGGGTGCTGCAGCGGCAGGAGATGCTGGCGTTCGCTGAGGTCCAGCTGCGGCACCGCCTTGCTGCTCTCGTGCTGCTTGTCTCTCCCTCCAGCCAGCACCTGGGTTAATGACGGGGGCACCCCCTGCCTTGAATCGGTTCTCGCTGGCAGAAGGGGCAGCAGGAGAAGGAGCAGCCGGAGCCGGAGCAGGGCTAGCGGCGGCAGGTCGCGAAGGAGCAGGAGTCGGCGATGCAGCACCCTGCGCACCGTCCTCAACGGCAGCTCCACCGGCCTGCTTGGCCGTCAGCCTGTCTCTCCAACCACCCGACTTGGCGCCGAACAGTGACGGCCGTTCTCCAGAAGGTGCAGCAGATGGGCTGGCCGTGCGGGCCGAAGCAACGGCTCCAGCAGGAGCCCTGCGCCATGTAGAGTCGCCCGTAGTCGGTGCAGCAGCTTCGGCAGCGGGAGCGGCAGCTCGTGTGGGACCAGACGATGATTGAGCCTTGAGCTTCTGCTCGATTTCGAGCTCCCTCTGGCGTTGCTTCTCTCCCTGCTCTCGCAGCTTGGCTTGACGAGCTTCGATCTCGGCCCTCTTCTCTGCTTCCTGCTCAGCTCGCTTGTCAGCTTCCATCTTGCGCTGCTCTTCGGCCCTTGCCTCTTCTTCCTCGCGCAATCGTGCAAGTTCGGCCTCCTCAGCCTGCCTCTTCTTGTCCTCTTCCTCTCTCTTGCGCCTCTCCTCGCGAGCTTGAGCCACCTCCTTCTTGCGCTGCTGCTTAGCCGCCTCAATCTTCTTTGCAGCCTGCTCCCTCTTTTCGGCCAGCTCTTGGGCGCGCTTGCCCTCGATGCTCTTCTTCAGCACAGTGTAATCAGGCATAATGCGACCCAGGCGCTTCTTTGCCTCCAAGTCAGCTTGGTGCTTCTCGCGAGCAGTTTGCACGGCCACGATTCTAGCCTGCTTGTGCGAGGCAAGGTCTTCCTCCTTCTGTCGGTCGTAGTCCTTGTCCAGTAGCGGCAACTCTTCGCGACGGTAAGCTCGCTCGAGGTGGTCCATGCGACGGAAGATGACACGCAGACGCTCGGCAAGGTCCTTCTTCTCCTTTTCGATCTGCGAGACTTGAAGCTGGACGAGCTTCTCTGTGTCCAGGTTGGCGTACTCCTCTTCGGTGAGCTTGATGCCACCCTTTTCGCGCAGAGACTGGGCCATCTTGCGAGTCTCTTCGGCACGGACGGCATCGAGCTCTTTGCGGATTCTGTCCTGCTCCTTCTTGCGAGTCTCCTCGGCAAGTCTCTTCTGCTCGCTCTCGGCAAGCAGACGAGCCCTCTCGGCCTCGGCTTTAGCTTCGTCGCGGGCTCGCTCCTGGAGGAGCTCCTTGTGGCGGGCAAGAATGAGCTTACGAGCGAGAGCAGCCTTGTGCTCAGACTCAGCAACGACCACGGCTCGAGCAAAGACCTCAGCCTTGGCCTTTTGTGCGTTCTCGACGATGCTTGGGTCAATCGTGCGCATAGTGGTATCCAGACAAGTTGCAAGTCTGGTGAGTTGAGTGCGAACGAGCTCTCCTGGAGTTGCCTGGAGACGAACAGAGTCCTGATCGCCGCTGATAGTAGCAGCCGGGTGGTAAGGAGCATTGAAGACGTCTTCCTGGAATGCGATGGCCTGGCTAACGTGATCGACACGGATGCTCAGGTGCCCGCGCTTTGCTGCGTTGAGGCAGAACTTTTCAATCTCCTCACGGGTGTAGTTGTACGGAGCCTTGAAGGCGCTGACCAACTCCATGACACGGTCAAGCTTGACAGCGTCGTACACCTGGCTCAGCTGCTGGAACAGGCGAGTCAGAATGACAGAGTGAAGAGGTTTGATGTAGCGGCTCATCTCCTCGTCCTCTGCGATCTTGGCCATGATAGGTTCGATCTTCTCGCAGATAGACAAGGGGTGGAACTCAACCTCCAGAATGTCGTACAGCTGACGAATTTCGGGCTGCACACGCTTGAGGATGTTGCGAGAGAGCGCCTCCTTGACAAGGCCAGCACGAGTGGGCGTACGGCTGAGACCAAGCAGAGAAGTCAGTCGACCAGTCCTGCTGAGAGACTCCTGGTCGCCCATCAAGAAGTCGGTCTTAGACTTGCCGATGTTACCTGTTCCAGGTGCATTCGAGGAGATGACGGGCACAGCAAGAGAGCTGAGCAGCACCAAGGAGGCCAGTCTTCGGTGCTCTTCCTCAGTCTTGATGCCACCGCGAGCGAGAGCGTAGAAGCGACTACGGGCAGCAGCGTGGAAAAGATTGTTGTCGGAAACGAGGAAGATCTTGCTGAGCTTCTCATAATAGTTTGCCATCATCGAAGGGCGAGGTGCCTTCTTGGCCATGGTGAGGAGGCTGTGCACGTCCTCGACGCTACGGAAAGCCTCTTGCCAGAGCTCGAGCTCAACGGAAGCATTAAGCTGGGCGAAGCGAGTGTCAAGATGACGCTGGAGAGTGTCCGGATCGTTGAGGTTGATGGCATGAGTGTGGTGGGCGAGGCGCGAGACGTTTTGAAGATGGGTGCGAAGGAGGTCGCACAGACGTCTGAACTCAGTCTTCCTCTTGTACTGGAGACAGAATTTCAGGACCTGGTGGACCAGCTGCTGGTATGGCACCTCCAGCCTGGCATTGTTCCTCAAGATGTCCAAGGCCGTTCGGTATGCCTCCCACAAGAACTTGAGAGTAGGCGTAACCAGGGCCCTGTCAGCCCTGTCCTTGTTCTCCTCGCTAGTGACGGCACCCAGAAGCATGCCCTCTGGAGTCTCGCTCTCCTCCAAATCATCAACGTCAAGATCAGCAGCAGCAGCCTCTGCCTTGCTCTGAGCATCAGTGACCCTGGTCTCAGAGAGCTTGATGAAGTGCTTGATGACATTCTCGATGGACTGTGGGTTGGTGTTCTGGGAGATGTTCTTGTACTGCAGAAGACCGTCCTTGGCAGTCCTGCCCCTTCGCAATTCTACACAGAGCTCGACGAATCGCATCATGATGGGCTCAAGCGATGTAAGAGGCGTCGTCTTGAACTTGCGCGAGGTGATGACCTCGCCCAAGGCGGCCAAGGCGGCAGGCGACTGGCCCACATTGACGAGTTCCTCTGATCGCTTGAGGATCGTCTCTGGCTTGGCGATTCGGTTCATGATTGGATTCTAGGGTGGTGAGATTGACGAGTGTGTAAGTGATGAGTGTGTTGGATTCAGTTGAGGCTGGGCTTGAAGACAGCTCGCAGCAAGAGTGTCGTGGTGAGGGGTGGGGTGGTACGAGGGGAAGAAGGAGTGACCACTGCTGCCTTGTCCCTTCGCCCACGCAGCAGGGGCGAGAAGAAAATCGGGCGGAGGCAGCCAACGTCGCGCGCCACGGCCACGCCCAGCCAGCCAAGCCGCCCCGCGCATGTCAATGGCGGAGGATCATCCGCTCACTTCGCCCTTCCGTCCGTCCGTCTGAACGTCCGTCTCGCTCGCCATCGCCATCGTCATACAGAGAAGGGGCATATATACTCCCTCTTTGGCTCATATCCAAGCCTTGACATGCCCGCAGCCACAATAGCGTCGGCTCCAGCCGTCAATGGCAACGCGACGACCTCCTCCCATGCGAACGGCAGCGCTTCCACCCCTCGGGTGAGCAAGAACGCAAAGCGACGGGCCAAGAAGAAGCAGGACCGTTCCGCCGAGCAGCCCTCCAACGCTGCTGACGGCTCGTCGTCTTCGTCAGTCCCAGTCGCATCGACTTCGTCAGCTCCTATCAAGATTGATGACCGCGAGGACGAAGACGATAAGAAGAGTCTGCCCCCGCTTACAGAATTCGCTGCGCCGCCCTCGGATGACGAAGCATTCGGCCAATTCAAGGACATCTTTGCCAAATTCCAGGCTGGGGATGAGAGAGATGGTGGTAGAGGAGGGGCTGACGGAGCTGGACCCTCAAAAGGCGATGTGATATATTCCGACGATGAGGCCATGTCTGACTCAGATGCAACGGATTCTGATGGCGAGGGCGGCAGGAAGGCCAAGGAGGAACTGTCGAAACGAAAACAGAAGAAGCTATCGAGGTTGACGGTGGCAGAGCTCAAACAGATTGTGCGGAAGCCAGAGGTAGTGGATTGGTCCGATGTCACGGCAACCGATCCCAAGCTGCTGGTACAAATGAAGAGTACTAGGAACACGGTACCCGTACCGACGCACTGGAGTCAGAAGAGGGAGTATCTGCAGAACAAGCGAGGGATAGAAAAGCCACCATTCGAGCTGCCTTCCTACATTGCCGATACTGGAATTGGAACAATGAAGGATGCGCTGAAGGAAAAGGAAGGCGACCAATCCCTCAAAGCCAAGACGCGGGAGCGTGTTCAGCCGAAGATGGGAAAGCTGGATGTAGACTACCAGAAGCTACATGATGCCTTCTTCCGCTTCCAGACCAAGCCGCCGCTGTCATTGTATGGTGAGACATACTATGAAGGCAAGGAATATGAGCAGAAGTTCATGGAGCGCAAGCCTGGAGATCTGTCAAGCGAACTCAAGGAGGCCCTCTCAATTCCGCCCCTAGCGCCTCCGCCATGGTTGATTGCCATGCAACGATTCGGGCCTCCTCCGAGCTATCCCCACCTCAAGATTCCCGGACTGAATGCGCCTATCCCGGATGGAGCTCAGTGGGGCTTCCACCCAGGTGGATGGGGCCGGCCGCCGCTGGACGAGTTCGGTCAGCCTCTGTACGGGGATGTCCTTGGCGTCGCGCAGGAACAAAGCAACGGACAGGAGGAGAGTATCCAGCGGGACATGTTCGGCGAGCTCGATCCCGAGGAAGAGGAAGAGGAAGAGTCCGAAGAGGAGGAAGAAGAGGAGGCAGAGGACGAAGTGCCCGAAGAGGAAGAGGAAGGTCTGCCGAGGGACGGCTTGGAGACACCTGGCGGTATGCAGTCCGTCACCTCCACTATTCCCGGCGGTCTGGAGACTCCGGACTTCCTGGAGCTGCGAAAGCAAGGCAGGGGTGGTACCTCTACCCCCGCCAGTCAGTTGGCTCAGATGGAGGACCCTCGTCAGACGCAGCAACGTAGCCTATACCAGACGATTCCAGAGACGCAGGGCAGTATGCGTGGCTTCATGGGCTCCGAGCGAGGCTACGACCTCTCTTCCTCTGCATCGGCTTCAGCCGCGCCGGTACTAGGAGCGGAGGATGGCAGAGGCACAAAGCGCAAGACTGGCAGGACGAACGGAAACGTCGAAATCTCCTTTGATCCAGCTGAGCTGGCAGAAATGTCCGAATCGGAGCTGCAAGAGAGGTACGATGCGGCCAGGAGAGCCCAGACTTCTGGCGGCGTCAGCGGTGGAGCCGGAGTTGGCGGGGGCGGAGAAGACGTGAGTGCATTGCGGGAGGAGTTGAGCAGGAAGAGACGAGCGACCGAGGAGAGGAGAAGGGAAAAGGGCGCAGAGAAGGGGGACAAGGAAGGGCGCTTTAGATTCTAGCTGGAGACTAGGATGAGTTCGAGACCCTTTTGTAATACTACCACAACCACAATCGTACAAGTACAACGACGTTGCGCCCGAAGCTATGCCATCTGAGGCAGGCTGTGCGACACTTTCCCTCGGGTCTACAATTTTGCCTTCTTCTTTTCCAAAGACCTCAACCGTGCTTCGTCTATCTTCTTGACCCTCTCCTTCTCTTCCTTTCTTAGCTCCTCGTCGATTAAATTCATCCCCGTCCATTTCTCCAGCTCCTGCACAGCACTCAACTGGCTCGCCAAACCGACTTTGATCGTATTGATCCCCAACTTTCTCGCTGCTTTGAGGTTCGGTCCAATATCGTCCAAGAAGAGGACCTTACTCGGGTTTTCTGCAAGACCCTCAGCTTGGAGTACATGCTGATAGATCTTGAGTTCAGGCTTGCGTGCTCCGAGGAGGGAAGACTCGTAATAGGCTCCGGGGTGGAAGAGGGACTTGATGTATTTGGTTGATGAGGGGGAGACGCCAAGGTGCTTGAGTTCTTCCTCCAGCGTGGGAGGAGGAGTTGCGGAGGAGCTAGTAGGGTCAGAGGAGGGCAGAGCCGTGGGAGGAGCAAAGTTGTTTGTGAGGGCTGCCAGGCGAAACCGTCCCGAGGCTGGTGCGAGAAGAAAAGAAGGCAGAAGCAATCGGCAGAGCTGAATTGAGAGTCGTAAGATGAGCTCAGACAAAGACTCTCTCACTCACCTTTGAGCTTCTGTAGTGCGCCCACGATGACCGGATTCGTCTTTGTGCTCTGCCGCATCATTTCGCCCCAGAGCTGCAGCAGTGAGAAGGGCGTGGTGAGCTCCACTTCCAGCTAAGGGCGGTACGTTCGCAGTACTTACATCCCTACCATCGATGTGGAGCTCAGTAGGAAGGTTTCGCGGCACCTCTAGGATCCCCATGAGGGAAAGCGAGGATGTCATGAGCTCTGCACTTCACATCCAAGCTACACTGACGCCGACAATCCACTCACCTTTGCCGCCTTCCTTGCACCACGCCTTGTACCACTCGTTTCCCTTCTCTGTATCGCTCAGCTCCCTTCCAAATTCGTCATAGAATGTCCATATATCCACCTCGCCCCTCTCTAGCCTCTGAAAGGCTCCAGCTTCTCCTCTGAAGCGGATGGAGACATTGAGGTAGTTGGAAGGAAGGCCGAGCTTCCGTTCGTAGCCATTGATGGCAACGATGGGTGACTTGACCACCACGCCTCCGATGTCAAAGAGGATCAACTCCGGGATGGCTGGTCGGGGATTACACATGGAACACGAAGCGAGGGAGATAGGCGTCAATCAGCGATGCGTATGTGGGAAGTGCAGCAGCCCAGGTAGGCGCCCTTGTCGGTACGGGTTGCTTTCCCCATGTCCGCTGCCGGTGCGTGTGTGTGTCGCCGGCGCTTGTGACCCGGTTGAGCGGATTTGGGCCGCGGGATGCTGAGCGGGATGCGTCCCACGGTAAATTTAGCGGAGCCTGACGCCACCCGGCGACAAGAGCGAAGCAGTGGCGGGGGCGGGCCAGGCAGGGACGGACGAGCCCAGGGCAGCCCAAGATCGCAGCCCAACGTCGGTTAGATATCTCTCCCTGGCTGCTGGTACCGACTCCACCCAGTCTAGCCCTGCAAATAGGCTCCTCGCAAGCCTTGTCAGGACGGCCCTCTTTGCGACAGACTTGCGGGGTAGCCGCATCCTATAGTCCGTGCCGGACATCCTGCCGAAGTCACTTCTCTTCCTTATCTGCCATTCCTGTCAAGATCCCTACCTCGCCCCTTCAAATACTCCAACCGCTTGTTCCTGCGTCTTCCTCCACGAATCCATCTGTTGCTAATCCCCTATTCCTTTTCCTTCATCGTCTTCTTCTTCTTCCTCCCTCATTGCGCCGTTGGAGATGTCTGAAGTTACAAACACCAACAAGCCCGATGTGGCATTGGATGACGTCGCCTCAGTGGGGGGCCATCAGCATGCCCACACGTCGCGATTCACCCCGCTGTCCATCATGGGTATCGCCTTTGCCATTCTCAACTCTTGGGTTGCGGGTGCCGCCAGTCTGTCCGTCGTTCTCGTCTCGGGAGGTCCCGTGGCGATGCTGTGGGGTTTCCTCATCTCCTTTGTGGGTGTCATGTGCATCGCAGCATCGATGGCAGAAATCTGCGCAGTACTGCCCTGCGTTGGAGGACCGTACCACTGGACTTTTGCTCTTGCCCCACCCAAGCACCGCATCGGAATGGCCTACGTCACTGGCTGGCTGAACACTGCTGGCTGGATCTGTCTGGTAGCTACTGCCAGCTCCCTCGGAGCGACCTTCATCATCAATATCATCGCCCTCTTCCACGAGAACTACGAGCCCCAGCCATGGCACACCTTTGTGCTGTATGTGGCCTTCTCCATCGGAGGCTGGTTAGTCAATGTCTTTGGTGCAAAGTGTGAGTACAGAAGGTAGTGGGTCTCTCTTCGGAATAGTGGAAAATGCAGTCACTGACAGAGATCCGCCTGCTCTCAGTACTCGATATCATCGGCAAAGCAGTCTTCATCTGGTCCCTCAGTGGAGCCGTGCTTGTCTGCATCGTCTGCCTGTCTTGCGCTAGTCCTGAATTCCGTTCTGGCACAGACGTCTTTGGCACATTCGTAAACGAGACTGGCTGGAACAACTTCGTCGCCTTCATGCTGGGTCTGCTACAGTCGACCTTCTCGCTGGTAGGCACAGATGCTGTCGCTCATCTGGTGCTCGAGATGCCCCGAGCTCATGTCAATGCTCCTCGAGCTATGCTCCTGGCTCCCGTCCTCGGTACATTCTCCTCCTTCATCGTCTTGATGATCCTCCTCTTCTGCCTCACCGACTATGAGCCGTCTACTCTGACCTCTCAGGACCTCTGCTCACCATCTTTTACCAGGCAACTGGAAGCAAGGGAGGATCGACTGCTCTGCTGATGTTCCCAGTGATTTGCATGGTCGGAGCAGCCATTGCCATCTTGACTGCTTCGTCGAGGACGACGCAAGCTCTTGCCGCGGACCGAGGTATCCCCTTCTCCAGGTTCTTTGCCTCGGAGACCAAGGGCGTCAACGTCCCGGTCCCGGCCATTACCCTCAACACCTTCTGGGTCATCGTCTTCGGATGCGTCTACCTCGGCTCCTCTGCCGCTCTCAACGCCATTCTGTCCGCCAGTGTTGTGCTCATCCAGCTCAGCTACGCAGCACCCATCATTCTGCTGCTGTTCAGGGGACGCTCGCTTCTAGACCAGGTCTCCTTCCACGTCGGTCCCCGTCACTTCAATTTGGGCAAGTTCGGCTACGTCGTCAATGCCTGGGGTGTCTTCTTTGCCATCTTCACCACCATCTTCTTCGTCTTCCCCTCTGAAGTGCCAGTCACCAGCACAAGCATGAACTACACCGTCGTAGTAGCCTTCGGTGTCGTTCCACTGCTAGCGGGACTCAGCTGGGCCTTCCATGGACGCAAGTTCTACAATGGCCCCAGGAACCTCGACTTGGCTCTGGAGATTGCTAGGCGAGGTCTGACAGATCAGGATCGTGAGAGGGGCATGAGTGGCAGGTCAGGCGGAATCGTGGATGGTCTTTCGAGCGAGAAGAAGGAAGAGGAGTCTGTTTGAGTGGGATTCTGCGCGCTACGAGACCTTTTTCCCCGTCTTCACAATCCTCTCTCTGTAATTTAAATGGAAGAATCATTGATACAATGCTCCACTGCTTCGTCTTGGAAAGGACTGATAAGTTATAGTGTCATTCTCGAAGTCTTAGCATCAAAAACCTGGTGTGGTGGGTTCCGATCCGGAAAAAGCCATGCAGCAGTGCAAGGATCACCCAAATTAAAAGTTCTGGCTCTTCCCGCCTGGCATACTTCTTCCGATCTAGTAGACCCCTTTCAATCACTATTGCTGAGCTCTCCGTCTCTCGCGAAGTCACGTCTGTCTTCATTGAAGGTCCGATGCTACCCACTCCCTCGCTTTCACATCTGAGCAAAGAGGACTTTACCCGCGTCTATGAGCCGGCAGAGGATACCTTTATCCTCCTCGATGCGCTAGAAGCCGATGCGGAGCGCCTGCGCCAAGAGAAGCCCAGGCTGGTCGTTGAGATTGGGTGGGTATAGGGGGGTTACGAGGAACAATGCAGACCGAGAAAGAAGAGTGCTAATGTAAATGTCTGTACGTGTGACACATCGCGACGTACAGGTCTGGCTCTGGCTGTGTTAGCGCCTTTGTAGCCGCCATCTTGGGCGACAGTGAAGCTGGTGAGTCTTCTTTCTCTCTATCTTCCGCCTGTCACTTGACTTGTGATCTCACCTCACTCTGGCTTTTCACGCATCTCAGCCTACATCTGTACAGACCTCAACCCGCATGCCGCCCTCTGCACGTCAAAGACGGGGAAAGCGAATGCAGCCCGCCTAGAGCCGGTCTTGACGAATCTCCTCTCCTGTCTTCTACCACGGATACAAGGTCGACGGAGAAGCGCCAGCACAGAGCTTTCCGCCACCTCTCACGAAGGTCACGAGGATCTGCGTGAAGACGAGACAAGGACCAGCGGGCTCGTCGACCTGCTTCTGTTCAACCCGCCTTATGTGCCAACATCGGAGGAGGAAGAGGCACTGGCGCAGCAGGACCGTTCCCTCAGCGGATCCTGGGCGGGCGGAAGTCTGGGGACGAAGCTTTTGCACAGTCTCATTGACGATGCAGGGCAGAGCATTACTTCACCGCGGTCTGTGTCCGACGGGGAGGAAGAAGGGGAGATCGGCTGGGGCGAGGCTGTCACTGACCCGACAACATCGAGGCCGAGACCGAGGCGAAAGCGGCGGCAGGGTGGAATCGAGTCGATCCTGTCCCCTCAGGGCCACTTCTACTGCGTCGCAATCCGGCAGAACGATCCGCAAGACATCGTGCGGCGGTTAGAGGCTCGTGGGCTGGCTGCAGAAGTTGTGCTGGATAGGAAGGCGGGGAGGGAGCACCTGTTCATCATACGTGGGAGCAAGCAGGGCGTCTAATGTATTTTGCTTGGGAATTTCGGTACCGTCATGATACACCGCCCCATTGGGCCACACCCATACCATCGTCATCGTCATCATCCTCCCCTCTGCCCGGCATTGACGTCCGTCCTTGTCCCGCCATGCTGTTATAGCTAAAGTCCGACGGTAATGAGTCCTCCTCCAGACCGTAGCCTCCCCTCGGCGCTCCGCCGCCCCCAGCTCTTGTCCGACGCGGTGTGCCTGTAGGATATGAAGAGGCTGAGAAGTCGCCCAGAAAGTCGTCGCCTGCTGCATCTGCCGGGGGAGGAGCGACGATGCGCATTCCTCGGAGGTGGGTGAAGGCTGTACTGAAGAAGGGTCGCAACTCGCATAGCTCCGAGTAGGAGATGTTGGTCATCTGTGCAACGCCGTGGAATCATAGTGTCAGGAAAGTAGGTGGAGATGAAGCCATAGCAGGGTATGTGAACTCACTTCCAGGTGGTACGGATTGATCATGTCCAGTCCCTGGGCGATCTTGCTCTGCCGCGCTTCGCGCAGGTCCTTCAACATCGCTCGCACCTCATCCGCCTCAGGAACATCGTCTGGAGCTCTACAAAAGGGGCAAGAGACATTGCTATCGTATCAGCTATTTGTTCCGTAAGTGCTTCCCGATGGTTGAACTCCAGCAGGACTCACACTTCCAGGATGACCTTGGCTATTGATGCGTAGTGGAAGGGGACTTCTGCGAATGCTAATGTTGTAGTCTCTGTCTGTAGAAGTTTCGATAGGTTCTCTGGTGGGCAAAGACGGCAAGAGACCTGGGTGTCAGATTTGCGGACATGTTCACAAGGCCGCCGCGTCCTGCAGTTCTGAACCCGAGCTTCCTGGCCTCGCATGAACACCCCAGCTCGCAACTCACCAGCCATCATCCACTCCGGCACGACCAGGTAGCACTTTCCCTTTCTTTTCAAATTGAGTGCGAGCCAGAGCGGGACAGTGGTCCTAGCCGGAGGACGAAAAGGTCCATAGACGCCAGAAAGGAAGCGGGCTCGATCTATGGAAGTGAGGGGTACGATGCTGATCGTCGTGGACGAGGTGGCCAGGTATTCGATCTCGGAGGGAAGAAGGCCGGACTGGAGTGGGAGAGGTAAAGCCATCGGGGCAGTGGAAAGCCAGGAGGACAATCTCAGCTCCTGCGGTCGTCGTCTGTACGAGGATCCCAACTTGCGAGGTGTTGGAGGAGGAATCGAACACCTTGGCTCCTTCCGCCCGACGCGCGGACCACTTTGCTCTCGACACGCGACGCTCCGCCCTCTGGCCCTACGCTTCCGCTCCGATAGTCTAGTCGTGTATGGACTGGCTCGACACCGAAAATCACAGTGCAACTGAAGTAGTGCGATGATCAAAATGAGGCTAGAGGTATAAGGATGGTACATACGCAGCCGACGACCGCAGGTCACTCTTCGATACAATGGTCTCGCAACACGCATTGCAAGGTGTCAGATCTCTCTGCCGCTCCCTCAGAATTTGATCCCCCCAGCACGGTCCCTGATGACCACACTCTCATTGCCTACCTCGCCTCCTTCTTCTGCCGCCTCGTCAATGTAAGGAGAATAGTTTCCTTTTTTGGAGAAACGAGCAAAAGCGTTTCCGATGGCGTCCGCATCTCCTGCCCTGCCATTGTCTCGGTAGTCTTCTGCTTCGTCTATGCTTCCGCCCATTGGCGCTTCGTACGAGTCTTGCGCCGCCTCGTCTTGCTCGTAGGAGCCCATCCGGTTGGCATACTCCAGTCGTGCCGCCGGCCGCCCATCAGACTCGAGGTCCGACTCGTCCTGCGGAAGATCTGCCGGCACTCTTGTCCTGCTGGCAGAATGCAGATGACCGTACTGCCTGCTGCTCATGCTAGAAGTCGATGCTGAGGTATTCTTGCGCGTTGAAGAATGCGGCAGACTATCCTCAGTCGCGGCGCGCGACCGACCGATTGTGGCAGAGGAAGGCGCTGCTTCTTCGCTCGTGTGCTTACGATTGAAGTACGTTGCATTCTCCTGAGATGCCTCCTCGTGCGCAGGCATCTCCCGATACGAAGCCGCCACCGGCGAAAGGGGAGAGGGCGATTGAGCCCACTCGCCACTGGCCGCTGCGACTGGCGAAAGGACGCCGCCACCCGACTCGCCTCCAGCGCTCTTCGGTACGCTATATTGTGGCGAGTATGGCGCGCCGTCGATGGGACTTGGAGGGGCACCGCCCGTCTTGAAGGACCTCTTGGAGCGCACCTTCGCTCCACGAACCACGCTTCTTCCATTGGATGAAAACGCGGAAGATGATGACGAAGCGGGTCGAGCACCTTGGGATAGCCGAGGTGCGCCAGTGACGGGCGTATTCGGCTCCAAGCTGCCCGAAGTCACTGGAGACGGCTCGTCTGCGTCTACCTCGGCCGGAGGAGACGGAGGAGGGGGGAGGGCCTTCTCCCCTGGACTCTCGGACGAATCCGCTAGTATCTCTGCAATATTGCTGCTTGAGCTACGTACAAGCACAACGGGCTCATCGGTCAGCTCGTACCGTGTTGGAAAGTCCGCTTGCTCCGTGCTGTCAGCGGTGGGACTCAGTGGCTGAGATCGTCGGCGAGAAGAGGGCCTCGACCGACCCGCTTGTGGGGTCTCCTCGAGTGAAGGGGACCACGATCCGTTGTCTGCCAATGTCAGCCTCTCGAATGTCGTGCTTCTCGGCAGCCCATCCCCCAGACCATCTTGCGAACCCAGTTGCCTTCGGCTCCTCCTCTTACTGCCATTGGCACCACTTCCCACGCTTCCTATCGTCATGATGGAGCTGGAGCTGCTCTTGCCACGAACGTGATTGCCTCCAGGTCCGCCTCGTCGACGAACCTGACGGCCTTCCGTAGGTACAAGTGGGATGTCCGAACTCGAGGCAACGGTCCTCATATCAGGCCGAGGCGTGGTGTTGTCTAACGCCGATGCTGTCTCCAAGAGCGGAGGCGTGCTGGGCCGCACTGAAGTGACTCCATTGATCGATTGTGCAGAACGACCTGATGTCGCTCCACCGCCAAAAGCCCGAGCAGGAGCCGTACCTTGACCAGCTCTGCCCATCAGTCCACCCAAGCCACCAGAAGATGTCAAGCCCTGCGACGTCGCATTCTCCCCACTTCTGCCGCTCCCCGAAGGGCGCTTGGTCGCGTTCGCAAGACTGGGAAGCTTCGGTAGCGCGCCTGCCGTCTTTAGTGCTTCCTGCAGCGACGAAGATGCCGTCAATCCTTGGCCTTCAGCAGCTGGCGGGGAAGGCGAAGAGTCAGCCCCTCCCTCACTCTGGCTGACTGACGATCGAGACCGCGTTGATGAGGTTCCAGCCTGAGAGCTTGCGTAAGACCCTGCTTGCGAAGTTGATCGCCCAAAGCCATCTCTGTTGCTTCGTCTACCAAGATGCGGCGAGGAAGATCCTCCTGCCAAAGGACCCTTCCGAACAATCTTCGAGACGGGCGGAGTATGAGGATGCCCGTCATCTGCATTGCTCTCGTGTGCGACTCTTGCGGCACCGGCCAGCAAGAGAGGCTTTGGCCCGGCACTCCTCGACTGTCCATTGCTGTGGTGAGAGCTCAAACTGTGAGAACGATCTTCTCTGGACTGAATTGTAGACGATCCGCCAGGCGAAGGGAAGCTCCACTCTTCCTTCAGCCTGCCGTTGGCGGCTGGTGCTGAGCGTAGCGCATGCGACGGTGTGCTGGGCTGCGCACTATGTGCGTAAGGTGAGGTGCTTGTAGCTCTGCCCGCGGGCGCTGAGCCGGGCGAGAGGATGATGCTGCCCGGCCGGACATAAGCGTACTCTGTCCTACCCTCCGGCGAATTCATTACGTCGGGTAGCGGAAATTGCGGCATACTGTCTTGATTCCATTGCAACGCGGGATGAGAGCTAGCTGAGACTGGCGCCGCGGCCGTAAGATCCCCGTTGGTGGAGTTACTTGAAAAGGTGCGTCGAAAGTTGGCTCCTACCGAGCCCAATCGTGTCGAGAACGTCGAAGGCAGAGGGCTGTTGCTGACAGGTGGACTTTGAGGCGATGGCCTCCTGGCGGGCAGGTCGCCTACGTTGAGAGCCTCGCTGACAGTGCGACGGGCAAGAGGTGAGGACGTAGCGCCGTTCGTGACGCTGCCACTGCCAGCCCATCGGTCCATGGCCCTCGCTGTCAGGTTGGTCCCACGCTTGCTGAGCTCAGCAGCTGCATCCGATGCCTGCAATGCGCTGGCATACTTGGAGAAGAGCGCAGTTGGTGAAGCTTTCGAGGCAGAAGCAGGATCGACGACACTTGACGCCTTTGCGGATGTGCCATTCGTGCTGTCAGGCGTTGAGACGCCCTTAAGCCATGATGTACCGCTAAAGGACCGAGCCGGAGTGCTAGTATTTGCGGTTGCCGACGTCCAGCCACGGAATGCACTCAGTGCTCGGTCTTTGACAGTGGACCCCAGTCCACTTCCATCGCGCTCGTCCACTGGCGGCTCATCTTCTCCACAGAGGGTCGCTGCGATCCGACGGTGCTTCAGCACCGTTGCCATTTCCAGAACAGGAGTGATTTCGTCGTCGGGAAGATTTTGAAGGTACGTCAGACACACTTCAAAGACGTCTGCTCCCGCCTCTTCTGGATCGTCTGGCCGAGAAAGGATGCCCAAAAGAGCTCTCCGATGCGACATGAGAAGGGAGGTAAGGATGTCGATCAGAAATTCGACCTTTCCTCCTAGAGGAGCTCCGCGTTGGGAAGGGTTGGAAGACGCCGCCTCACTCTGAGCGGCTGAGGCATCTGACTCGCAGAGCAAGGCATCCCAGACTCTCATTAGAGAAGGAAGAGGTAGCGATGTCGATAGGAGAGTCGCTAGCCACCGGAAAGCGTAGTAGGGCTTCGATGGGCTAAGGCCACGATTGCTCAGGGCAGCCCAAAGCTCTTCGTCTGCCCACTTCAGTCTTCCTCCAAGGCGACGTAACGTCCGAGCCATACCCCCGACCTCACCCGTCCTCCGCTGCCCAGAATCTTCGACTCCGTCGGCTGATGTTGACCTGGCATTCGAAATTTGTAGACCTGCTTGCGAATGATCGATGCCCTCAAAATCCCACAATTCTCTTAGCTCCCCCAGTAGCAGGGAGAAGCACCAGAGGGAATCTGCTTCGAAGTGCGGATTTGTAGTAGGCTCTGCCCGGCTGCTTGACGACGCCGCTTTTGCAACAGCTTCAGCCGTTGCTGAGACTCCATCCTCTAGAGCTTCCGCCGATGCTCGATCTTCCTCGCCATTACTCTCGCTCTGTGGGAGACCAGTAGCTGAGCCTAGTGTCCAAAGTATTACGCTCGCTACCTCGACCATGCCCTGGACGTAGCCGATGCTGGGATTCAAGAGGGAGTACAGAAAGAGCATGCGGAGAATGGAATTCGTACGCCGATCGCTTTCGGGATTTGCAGGCGAGCTTGAGAGGCCAGGAGACAGGCCCTCGTCTGCACTGTGGAAGCCGTCTTCATCCTCGGTCTCGCCTTCGCCCAAATCTGAGATTTGCCTCTTCGTCGTCGGCTGCTTGTGGGCTTGTGGGGGTACCAGGTGGGATGCTGTGCGTTGCGGTTCATGTGTCGGATACCCATGCTTTCGTATATCCTCGAGACGATTGAAGAGACCATGTCTTCTCCTTGACCTTCGCCGCGCTACCTTCCCAACACTACTCGAGCCGAGACGCGAAGTCTCGCCGCCTTCCTCCGCCCAGCCAGAGGGCAAAGGAGCAAGCGGGCAACTAGCTGAAGGAGGAATACCCGCCTGGAAGAAGCTGAAGGCATTGAACCTCGACCTGATCAGATCGGCCTCGATCTGCGTCAACAGAGGATCATATACGCTTTCCTCTGACACGTCTCCGTCCGGCATGATATCCTCGAGCAGTGCATAGTATTCATCTCTGCCCTTTGCGTCCTCCCTCTGCCAGTCCCTCTTCTCAGATCCGATGCGATGTAATAGCACGGACCAGGCTTGAGGTCTGATCCAGCTTGGCACATCGGGTAGTCCGGATCGCTGGAGGATGAGGTGACGTAGTGAGTAGATGTCACAGGTCGTCTGCGTAGGTAGCAAATGGGTCGGCGAGAGGAGCTGAACAAGCGGCGTCGAGGTGGAAGCGATCTGCGACGCTTTCGGATTGCTGTAGGCGGAAAGACAGGTAGAGTGAGTTGGCCCAGCCCTAGAGAGGAACGGTCTCCTGGCCTACTCACTTCCTCGATGTCATCTCATTCAGTCCACGGCCTTGACGCCTGTCCACTATCGTCCTTTGGTCTCTCTGTCCTCGCTCTCTGCTACGAAACCGACTTATAGGTAGCGGCTTTCCGGACTGACTCGAAGGCGCTTCGAGGCCGCAGAAGATGCTATACTGCTGACAGCTCTACAGTATGCTGCTCAGGAATGACCTGAGCCTTTTGTACGAGCAGCAGAAGACGAGAAGGATGCGATTTGAGGAACTGGGACGAGGTGATGATGGTCTCGCTCGGGGTAGGAGGAAGGAAACAGGAGGGCGTCAACTTCAAGCTCAGATGCACAGGCAGGCGGGAGAACAACAGAACCCGCGTCTCCGACAACACGATACGCCTGTCACGATCAGAAATAGACGGCGACGACGCGAGGAGCACACGGACATGGCAGGAACAGTTAATGGTAGGTTTCATTGGTAGGCAGAAGAGCAAAAGCCGCTATCCGAAAGGAATAACAAATCTGTACACGTGGGAGAGAATGCGAGGGAAGCCCAGAAAGGACACAAGAGAAGCATGGTTAGGGGGACAGGGCGCGGGACAGTTGCGTGCTGCTGAGGAGAGCACGTCGCCTATCGCTCTTCTTGGTTCCAGCTCAGCAAAGCCATATCGCCAAGCTTCCTGGGCCTGATGAGGTGGTGGGCAGTGAAGACCAAAGCAAAGACCAAGAGGATACCCGCGACGACGATGTAAGCAAGTCCCAAGAAGGGATTCCTGCCTCCTACCCACGAAACAGTGGATAGAACAATACTCTTGGTGCCGCCAAACATGCTGACAGGGTAGTTGTCATCGATGTCGATACGGTAGAAGCCGGAGACCATGGTGTCGTTGTCATTCCTCTTGTACAGCTTCCTGAAAGTCGGCAGACCCGAGACTCTCATCCAGACCATGAAGTGCTCATTGGCAGAAGGATCAAAGACGTTGTCAACACTGTAGCGTCCAGAGGGCACTCCGAAGGGCCCTGTCGCGCCTTGCCAGTAGGGAGGAGGGACGAGGAGATTGGCTGGCATCGTAGTGGGCTTGTACTTCAGCTTCTCGCCGGGCCACACAATGCCATTTTCGGACATCACGTATGTCACATTGGTCTCTGATGATGAAGCGCTGTTCAGAAGGATTGGGTCGGAGAACGTGTCTGGACAGCGAAGAGGGGTATGGGTCAGTGTCGGAATAAGTAGAAAACCATTGGGTCCTCTAGGTCCAACTTACCATTGAAGACTGAGTTGGCAATGAGACCGCAAGGGTAGATTGCGAGGCCATTCTGCTCTCCAAGAGGCTTGCACTCTCCATCGTTGAGGTCAGAAGCCGAACGATTCTGACCGAGCAGTTGCTGTGAGTCCAGACTCTTGATGTATCTCCGGTGGTTCTGGTAGAAGTTTGTCAGCTTGTAGTAGAGGAACACGCTAGCCTCCAGGTCCTCAGGAATGGCAAAGAAGACGTGACATGTCGCACCATTTGGAGCACTCGCATTGGTGACATACTGCCACTGAGGCGCTTGGAAGTTGGATGTGGTGGTTCCGTGTAATTGGTATGAGACCTTGTCTGAAGGTATAGCTTGCACGGCGGCATCACGAGTCAGGCTTGAACAGCCAGTGTAGTCGATTGTCAGTTCACTGACAGTCTGGGAATAGTAGTAGAGGATGGCTCCAATGGGCGCAAAGACGAGGCCAAGGAGGAACAGGGTGGGAAGGACGGTTCGTGGAGTGAGAATGGGCTGCCATGCCTTCAGTCGCTGCTGCTTGAAGGCAGTGTCTGTTGGGAAAGTACAGAAAGCACCACAAGAATGCGTGGTCAAGTGTCAGAAGACCTTCCTTCTCCCTGGTGCGACAAGCGCTCTTCCGACTCACTGGAGGGCTTCTTTGCGAAGGGCGACTTCTTTTCCTTTATGCTCCCTGCATCGCTGCCACTTGCGCCAGCTGCTGGCCCAGCGTCCGACACCTTTTTCCTCCTGAGCAACGGCATGGTGAGGTCTCTGGCGGGTCTTCGAGACTACCGAAGTGGTGCTTGGAGTGGGAGACTGAGGGTAGCTTCTGAGGACGGTAATATTACGCTGTGGCACCCTGGCGAGTTTTGCAAACGCGCCTCCTATCTGATGGGAGAGGCAGACAGCGAAGGTGGGTGGGCCAGTCGTTGGCAGATGACAGTGGTCAGTCTACGAGCCTGTCGAGAAGCGTGTGATGTGGTGAGGAGACACTGGGATGATGGGTCTTTGCCAAGGAGCGGCGATGGCGAGGGGTCGTAGGTGGACGGGGGTTGACGAGGTCTTGAGCGCATGCCTTGTCGTCCGGGACCGATGCTCCGTCTGCGCCTGTGCCTGTGTCCGTCCGGTCTTTGGCTGAGGCTTGTGCGTGCCGCCATGCGACTGTTGCTCTCCGCGCAGCTGCAACGCCAGCCACCCGCGACGGGGCAGTTCCTTCGGACCTGATCTGATCTGATCTGATCCACTTCCGAAGAAGATCCATCCTCTGTGCCTTGCAAATTCTCGGGCCGCTGACTGGCCGTGTGATTGCGATGACCATGTCGTCCCAGTCATCCTCGTCGCACTTCGAGACACTGCCTCCCAGGTCAGAGTATCGCTTCGAGCTCGAGGCAGGCGAGAGATTGGCCATCAGACTCGTGCCCGACACAGGCGATGCAGAGATCTTCGGTGCTGAGCTCTTGCCCAGAGAAGACAAGTGGTACACATTCGGAGACGAGGCCAAGGGATGTATATGCTCCTGGAAAGGATGCACAATAGAAATCGGTGAGCAGTGTAGAGCTGGTAGCGAGCGTGAAGTGGTGTTGAGCAACCTCTTGCGTGTCGAGCTTCCGGATGACGATGACATACTCACTCGCAATCGCCATCATTCCGTCTCGCCCGTCTCAGTTCCTCCACCTTCTGCAGCATATCTCTCGCTTGAGCCCTCGCCCACTTTCTCTTCATATACCACCCTCCACCTTCATCTAGAGAAAGCTCGGGCACAAGCAAGGCAGCACATCCGTACTGCCCCTCAGTTGATCCACGACCTCCGCCTGTCCTCTGAGAGCGAGGACCAAGATGCAGACGTGTACAGACCCGAGGCGCAGGGCCCTCGCATCCTCATCCTGGGTCCGGAATCTTCGGGAAAGACAAGTCTGGCAAAGCTGCTCTGCAATTATGCACTCAGATCCCCAGCTACGACCTCTACCGGGTATGAGGAGGTAGAAGAAGGCAAAAAGGTTCCTGGGGAGGTGGAGGCAAGCGAGGTGACCGGATGGTGGCCGATGCTTGTCAACCTGGACCCTTCGGCAGTGAGTCGTAGCAGAGTCAGAGCGGACCCTGGCGGAGAGCTTTCTCACGTATCCCTCTGTCTTCCTTTGACCGCTTCACAGGGAGCTCCGCCTCTGCCGTGTACCCTTTCTGCACACCCTCTCTCTCCTCTTCCCAAGGCCAGTCTTACGTCTGCAACGCCTGCTCTTCCCTATGGTATCACAACTCCCATCTCAGGATCACTGCCGCCCGGAGTCGCATCTGCTAGCACATCCTCCTCAATCTCTCTCTGGCTCGGTCGCGAGCACTTCCGCCCCGCAGGACCTTCCGGAGAAGGGTCTGACGAACACGCCCTATCCATTCTGCAACGTCTGGGTCGCTTGGTTGAACGCCGTATGTGTAGAGACATGAAAGCTCGCATGAGCGGCCTTGTGGTGGACACAATGGCCACTGGTACGCAGGATGCGCGTGGAAAGTACAGCCTGGTCAAGGAGATCGTCAAAGCTTTCCACATCGACATGATCCTCGTCCTCGGGCAAGAAAAGGTCACCATCGACCTAACAAAATATTTCTCATCGCAGCCTGAAGGCGCAGGGTCGAGGCCTACTGTGTTGAAACTCCCGAAAAGCGGCGGAGTCGTGGAGCTAGACGATACGTACAAGACCCGCCTGCGGAATGCGCAGATCAAGTCGTACTTCTATGGTGGGAACACGGCAGGAGACAAGAAGGGAGCGCAAGCAATTGCAGACGCAGATAGCAATGTGAATGGTAGTGAGAGCGAGAAGCCCAAGGTTCCCGGCATGGACGAGCCTCTAGGCGGACTGAGTCATCTGAACCCTTACAGTCAAACGATACCTCTGGACCTCTTGGAGGTCTATCGTGTAGGACAAGGTGAGCGCAGACGTCGTCGTGCTGGCCTGTAGTGCTCAGCTGTTGACCGTTTCTGATCGTCCGTCCAACACAGAAACTGTTGCACCCTCCTCTGCGCTCCCAATTGGCTCCTCACGAGCTCTCTCCGCCTCGACACTTCACAAGCTGGACCCGGTCAACTCGCAAGCAGATCAGTCCTTGCTTCTGAACTCTGTCCTCGCTTTGATCGAGCCACCGGGCGGCGGCGGCGGCAAGGGTCAAAAGGACTCAGAGGTGTGGAAGAATGAAGTTGGAGATGATGAAGTGGGTGAAAAGGAGGTTGCTAGGGGCACTGTACGCGGCTGGATCCATGTTGGAGCCATTGACACTGCTAGGAAGCGAGTCACGATTCTCAGTCCTGGAATGGGCAGGCTACCGAGCAAGACTGCTCTGCTGGGGACTTTGGATTGGCAAGATGCCTGACGAGGCAGTCGTGCTTCCATTGTATATGCAATCAAGTCATCTCATCTTATTGTACAAGTACATCGTCTCATGCCGCCTCACAATTGTCTCCTGTTGGCCATCTCACTTCTTTCCCTTGGGCTTCCCCCTCTTCCCTCCCTTTGAACCACCACGTCCTCCGCCCCTCTTGAGCTTCTCGATCCTCTCCGCCTTGAATTTTTCATTCCTCGCCTTTAGCTCCACTCGTTTCTTTGCCCTCTCCATCTTGCCTTCGTATCGGAAAGGTTTCGAAGCCTTGATTGCATCCTTGACCGCCTGACGCTCCGCGGCAGAGGAGAGGTGGGTAAGGCCCTGGTCCCGTTCTTCTCTGGAGAGTGTAGTGCTCGGGGTCGAGGCAGCGAGCTCAGGTTGGGAACGGGAATCGTGCGAGGCGAGAGGCTCGGTGAGGAGAGAGGAGATGGCAGAGGCTGAGGGAGGGGTGAGTTTCGATTTGCGTGCTGCGAGACCTGTGGAGCGTTGCTTGGAGCTTCCGCCCGCTACTGATGAAGAGGGCCCTGCAAGAGCGCTACTGCTCTTCGAAGAGGAGGACTTGATCTTCTTCTCCATCCTCTTTGAACTCGGTGGGAGGGCTTCTGTGAGGAAGTCGGATACTCGCGGCTTTGGGTTGCGTCCAGCTCTGCTGGGCTTCTTCGATGCACTTGGTAGGCTGGCGGGCTGCTCGTCTTCCGGCGCATTTGGATCCCACTCGGAGATGACTACTGTCGTTTGATGCTCCGGTGTCTCGTACGAGACCGGTACATCACCAGCATCCCCGCCTTCGTTTTTGCCCTCTTCGCCATCCTCTTCTCCGTCTTCCTCGTCCTCATCCTCGCCCTCGTCACCTCCATATGCTCTCCGCTCGGCAGCTACATTCTCTGCCGCCCTTTCTTTGCGGGCTTCTTGCGTCTACAGCAGGCGTGGTCGAGGGGTGGAGCTGGTCAGCTGCCTTTCTTTCCTCCCGGTCACAGTCTCTCCTACATCCTTACTTACCTCTCTCCTATTCCTCTTTCTCTCTTCCTTGGCCTCCTCCTCCCTCTTCTTCTGAGCAATCTCAATCCTCTGCAACTTCCTCTTGTGGAAGCCAGTCAAGTACTCCTGTCTCGCCTTTTCATCGAACTCGAGCTTGGACTTGGCGCCCTTCTTGTATGTACTCTTTGAGCTGGGTCTACGATCAGAGGAGCGGCCATTGCGGTCCTTGCCTCGACCTTTGCCTTTGCCCTTGTCTTTGGAAGAGGAGGAGGCGGAGCGCAGGGCGGACTCGGTATAGGCTGCGAGGCCACCGGAAGGTGCCGCGTCTGACATCATGGACAAAGGCAGCGGGAGAAAACTCGTTGCTGCCGGACAGAGGGGAGCTGAGAGCAATCTCTGCAAAGGGGTTGCTGCTACAGTCGTGAGAAGGAGTGTGACAGATGCGAGGTGAGGAGGAGCAGCGTCTAGAAATTTGTTTTTCCGCCAGACGGAAGCAGCCGTGGTCGGCCCGTGGCTGTTGCTGCAGCTCGGCCAAGGAGACGAGGGATACGACCCCACGGGTGCGATGATGGACACGAGGCAAGACAGGTGGGATTGGAGCTGACATCGTGCTTGATCAGTGCGACCATGCTCATCCAGTCTCTTAGCATCCGTAGGTCCGTTGCTACCGCGCAGCGCTTTGCCATTGCGATATTCCCGCCCCCATCGGCGATGCAGTGGCACGGCTGCTGCTCTTGAGGCTGCATTATCACAGTCTCGCTACGACCTTCCAGGAGCTTGCTGGCCGCAATACTGGGCCACCTCGCAGCTTTGCTTCTTCGACAACTCGAGAGTGGCGTAAGCCGTCAGCCTACTTCGGCTTCTCGGTCCTTTGGCTGACACCACGTCCACGCGACTCAGTGGCGGGGGCCGGGCTCCGGCGACCATACAGATGATGCGAGACCAGGTCACTGGCGGACACAACGGACGGCAGGGCGGCAGCGCCCTTAGAGGCACACATCATCGTAGTCAGAACACAGCGGGGATGCTGTGGACGTGAACAGCGCTCTGAACCAGTCGACTGCTCTTTAGTGATTAATGTATTCCCCCACTGCGAGGCCCAGCCTGCCACTTGTGACACACCAATTCCGAGCTCAGGGAGCAACGTGAACAATCTGCTTTGAGAAAGATCCCTACAAGAGCGCCATCCGAGATCGCGAGCAGCTGACCAGAAACGTGCCTTGGTGGAAGAGGACATGTATCTGAGCAATGCAGGTCCAGCTGCCCCAGCACCATCTTCTCGGTCGTAAGGGAAGCAAGGCACGAGATTTTGTGCAGCCTGTGAACCATGAGTGGTCGACCTGGATTCAGGGCTGCTCGCTCGTCGAAAACGTTTCCCCACGCCCTCGACCCCTGTGTCTCTTCCTGGGGAGCCACTCGGGCATCTCACCTGCCTGCTGGGCTACCCCTTACCCTTGCTGTCCGTAGCTCCGCCCAGGTCCTGGCCACGACTGCTGAGGGATGACCGCACTGCGCGTCGGGAGGAACCGTATTGGTTGGGTGGGTTGCCCTGGCTGGTTGCTACGAGGTTGTGCTATCTGTTCTGCCGTGGGGGGTCCGCCTGGCGCAAGGGCGGCGGAGGTGGGCGCCGCCGCGTCTCCGTAGCCCTTTGCCCCCGCGCCCTGTGTGCCTGACGAGAAATCACCTTTGCCCCTTTGCTCTGCAGCAGCCAGCAAATCAGACGCACCCGTGGCCATCGTCGTCCTTGATCCTCTCCACCATCTCTTGTGCTATAACAACCGACGCCCATGACTCTTTGCCCACAATCCTCCCACCACTGCTACCAGCATCCTGCACCTCCCTGCAAATCCTCGCCCTATCGACTGCAGCCACGACTTCCGCTTGGTAGCGTACCCCTTTGTCGTATCTACGCCCATCCACCCGACCGACGCCTGCTGCCGCATTCCCAACCCGCAGCGTTTCGGAAATGGCAGACTCTGGTCCTTCCCCAGTGATGACTGTTACCGAGATCCCTGCCTCTGCTCAGCAACAGCCTGGCCTGGATCAGGCGAGCAGCGCAGTCTACTCTTACGATCGAGTTTCCAACAACTCGTGCAGCATGGCACTGAAGGAAGTTGGCAGCAGCGAGGAATCCCTGGTGACTATCGCAACCCTCTCGTCACCTTCAGCCAGCGCACACAGTGCTACCAGTCTTGCAGAAGGTCGACACTCCGCTGGTCCATCTTTGCCGGGCTACAGCTCTGCTCCACGACCAGAAAGTCGAGGGTCCCCAGCGTCAACCAAGTCTGGATCGCCCAACATCAGAGCCTCAGGCCGCACCGACTCAGCAGCTACAGAGCTGCGCTCGATGAAGACTGGACCTTCTGCCTCGGCACCACCAGCTAGTGAGTACACTCGCAGCCATCATGCATATATGGTCACGCGGTACGCGGTTCAAGCTTGGATACACTTACTGACTCAGCACTCCATCTCCATCTACACACATCTTCTTAGCATCGCCAGTCAACCTCCTTTCTCTGAGAAGCCCATCCAACTTCCTCGACAGCCACTCCACAAGCGGCCTGGGAGGAGCAGGAAACCCTTTCAACACGGGAGGCAACAACTTCTCATGGAGCCCAACGACCACAATGTTCTTTGGTACGAAGTCCAATGGTCTGCCTTCAGCTCGCTTCTCAGCCTTCACGCCCTTCAAGCGTGAGACGCTTGATGCCTCGCCCATCACCCCTTCCCTCTTCACCAGCTCGGGGAGCAACGGCAACGACGGCCAGCATAGCTACTACTCGGGCAGCAGTCGCTTCGGCAACATCATCGATGGTAGCGGTTCAGCGACAAACCACCATACCGATTGGAACGTCCAGACTACCTCATGGACCGGCTTGCCCACGCCCTCAAGCGAGGCTGTCCTCAAGTCTTTGGCAGGTAGTGGAAGCAACCACGTTCACTCGTCCCTACACGTTGAGTCTTCCTCCTGGGAAGGCCTGGGCTCCAACTCGCTCGTCCTCCACTCGGCCTCGCAGAAGCTGCTCGACGGCAATGCTGCGAACGGCAATGGCACTCTTCTGGGTGGCCACGCTAGTCCCGCGTTGTTTCGCTCCGGCGGCTGCGCCAACGGAATGCTGCCCCCAACTCCTCGCACAGTGCTCTCCGGCGTTACCAACAGTCGAGCCATTCCAAGGTCAGCAGGGTTCTCTTGGCTATACCAGGACATGGCCATGCCCAACCTCAATTCCGGTGGTAATATCAATACCATTGATCAGTTCCCCAACCTCGGTCGACCTTCTGCTGGCTCCGGTCAGCATATCAATGCCGATCTCCACCTACACCATGAGCACCAGCAGCAGAACAATGGCAGCAGCGGTGGACACATCTTCAACTTTTCGCCTCCCCAAACCACCCTCGGACGACCTCCGCTCTCCGCTAGGGCCCCTCGTCTGCGACCCAATGGCATAGACTCTGGTGTCAACACGCATGGGCACGACTGGCAGTCTGAGCATGGACACGCTTCTTACGATGGCTCGTCATCCTCTGTGCATGCCCACAGCCCCGGCGACTCCGAGGTAGGAGACGGCGGTGCCGCTGCAGCTCGATACCACGCTCGAGTCAATGGCACCTACGCCACCGAAGAGGCAAAATGGTTGGCAGTCCAGAACCGAGACCCTCGAGCTTCTGCCTCGTTCTTTTACTGCGTACTTTCCACCAAGGTGAGCAGACGACACGGCCAATGAGACGGGGACTGATCACTGACCCCCTTCACCACCCTTCCCATCTCACCTGACAATCAGATCTTCTGCCGAACGACCTGTCCATCTCGACGCCCTGTCCGCGAGAACATCTGCTTCGTCAACTCTCCGGCTGAAGCCAATGCTCTTGGCTACCGAGCCTGTAAGAGATGCAAGCCTGACGTTCGCGGCGGCGACCCTCACGAAGCTCGTCAAGAGATCCTCATCGCCAAGGTCAAGGAGCGACTCCTGCAAGGTGTTCTCGATGGCGGCAAAGGCAAAGCTGTCAAGGGCAAGGGCCTCAAGTACATCGCCGAGGATCTTGGAGTCAGCCACTGGCACTTGCACCGCTGCTTCAAGAAGAGGGTCAACCAGACTCCCGAGGCTTGGGCAAAGGCGCAAGCCAAGAAGTTGAGGGGTACCTTGCGCGACGACGAACTCGTCATTGACAAGGCCGACAACAGGTCCAGCGTCGGAGCGCACTCTGTTTCCTCATCTTCTTCCGTGCTCACCACTGGTCTTCGAGGGGAAGGGTCATCAAGCCAGCATCATCACCACCGCCATCATTCTCTCCACGCTGCCGAGCACTACGGTAGCAGCTCTCGATCAGGCGAGATGATTCCCTTCGGACACTAGAGAGCCACAAGCGCCAAGCTCGATCCGCAAGACGGCATCGAATGCTTGCTGTATTGCTCGCTTGCTTCCCTGCTCATTGCTGCCGCACCTTCGGTCTTCAATATACGCCAACAATGGCCCACGGAGCACTCACTACGCCTCGTCTTCTGCTCACTGCTTCCTTTGAACAAATACCCCGACGGCACTCTGGACTGCTTTGCTCTGCTCTGCTCACGGCAGTCGGGACTGCTCCTTCGTATTTCGTCTCCCCATTGTCAGACTTGTAGCCGTGGTGTAATACTCCCCCTAGTTCTTTCTGTTCTGCGATAGTCTTCTTCGATAGCTGGCCTTGGCTTGGACTTTTGTTTCCGGTAATAGTACAGATACTCTTCGATAATCGTTGGACCAGACGTGATGTGGGTTCAACCTTTCGTTGAGGGGGGTATCGCGGCTGGGTCCACTTTTGGCGTTTCTGCCGCCGTGCAGCGTGCGGAATGGGCGCTCCTTCCTGATTTCCTGCCGCTACCAAACCTACGCCCTCCATACTGCTCACCGCCTTCTCGTCCAAAAGAGCATGGAGCGGACCTTGTCTGCTCCTCTTCGTCGAGTCAGCGAGACACTGCACACTACTTTCCATCCTTCCTCAAGACTCGCAGAGGTCTCGAGCAGCAGTGGCAGCGGCAGCGGGAGTAGCGGCAGCACAGAACGCTCTCATAGCGGAAGCAGAAGCCCCCGAGCTTCTCCCGATGCTTCTCATCCGTCAGACACAAGGCTACGAAGATCTCCAGCTTCGCACGAACCAGAGCAAGTAGATGAGTCTCTGAATAAAGGAGGGGCAGAGGACGAGGAGATGTCTGGTCCTGCGGGATCTACCCAGGGCGCTCTGCAGCGGTCTGCGCTCATGGCAGAGACGGGCTCATCGGAAGGCCGGCCGTGGGCAGGGAATGAAGCCTTGCTAGATGCAACGGCGGCAGTGAAGAAGCGACCAAGACTGGACGAGGCAGCAATGGTGAGTAAGAGGAGATGAGACAGTAGCGGCGCTGCAGAAATATCCGGCTAACACCTTCGGCCATCGTGTCCAATGCTCTGCGATGCGCTACCAGCAAGCAGAGGATGCCCGCCTGAGCACACTCAGGGCAGAGGCGGAGAGTGATCTTGACTCGCCCAGTACGAGCCGACAGACTAGTCCTTCTGCCCACTCCTCCACCACGGCAGCTGAACAAGGATATGGCGGGGCCAAACGGAGGGCAGGAGATGATAGACAGACCCTTCCCAGAAATATAGATCGGTGAGCACAGGAGGACAAGCTCACGGACAAAAGTAGTCCAGACGTCTGACCAAACTACGCTTTCTCTTCAAACAGAGTCTACTTTGGAGACTACGACATCAAGACGTGGTATCACAGCCCATACCCTCTGGAAGATGATCACGGCAGCTCCTCTCTCTCCACAACAGTCACGAACGGCAATGCTCGGGCGTCTTCGTCTTCGTCTTACAAGCATCGCGGCCGTCAGAATGGCACTGCGTCCAAGTCAGCCGCATCGCCTGCTATCGGTCCGCTCGAGACCGGCTCTCATCTGACTCCCCCTCCGTCGGAAGGAGCCCAGCAGAAGCCCAAATTTCCGGCATTATGGATCTGCGAAGGTTGCCTCAAGTACATGCGTACCTATGCCGGCTGGTATGCACACAAGAAGGACTGTCAGCACACCCATCCCCCGGGGCGGAAAGTCTATCAGAGAGGGTCTCATACCATCTGGGAGGTGGACGGGGCGAAGGAGAAGCTCTACGCCCAGAATCTGAGCCTCTTTGGGAAGCTCTTCATTGATCACAAGACGATCTACTTTGACGTCGAGCCGTTCCTCTTCTACGTTGTCACGGATAGCACAGCTAACTTCGACTACGTCTTGGGCTTCTTTTCCAAGGAGAAACTGAGCTATGATGAGTACAACCTCGCTTGCATTATCACCTTTCCGCCCTTCCAGAAGAAGGGCTTTGGGACCCTGATGATCGAGCTGAGCTATTATCTCTCTGCCAAGGCGGCCATCGTGGGTACTCCGGAACGGCCTCTGTCCGAGCTAGGCTTCAAGGGCTACGTCTCCTTCTGGTCCGCCGTAGTGCTACGAGCCCTGGCTCTGGCCTTCAACGAGGAGGATGGGTCGGTGAATAGTAAGCTCCTTGCCAATGCCGCCGCCTCGCCAACCAAAGCAGCAGCAGCGGCCTCCTCCCCTTCAGCAAACCTGAGTCCGATGGTATCCAAGGCGCAGCAGCGGGCCGTGGTCCACGTCCGATCCATTCTACTTGGTCTGTCAGACGGACCACGACCCGACCTGATAGGGACAGACCTCCTCAATGCCAAGGACAGCGACCTGACCGAGGAAGAGAGGGTGGAGCTCAAGAAGGCGAAGAGAGCCAATCTCGGCTTCGGAAAAGACCTCCCGCCCGCGTTGGCTAGCAAGTTCCTTGCTGCATTTGGCAGCCCACCCAAAAGAGGGGCAGCGGCACGGGGAGTCGATGGGCAGGGCGAGGGCGAAAACGAGGCAGGAGAAGGTGAAGCAAACAAGGAGCAAAGCAAGGAAGGTCTCCCTGCTCCGCCGCCTCTGCGGACTGGTCCGGACCGCCGTGCCCGCCACTCTACGCCTTCACTTGCAAAGACTGCCAACGTTGCGGACGCCCCTCCTCACCCGGCTCTTCAACTCGACAAGCCTTCCAGCTCGCCGTTTGCTCTCTGCACGACGCTGGAACGGATTGCCCAGGCGACCAATCTGAGGGTTGAGGACACGGCATTTGCACTGTCTGAGTTGGGCCTGCTGAAGATGAGGTTGGCAAAAGTGCCCAAAGGAGTGTATGAGGGTGGCGATGAGAAACCCGAGGGAGCAGAAGTTGCAGAAGGCAGCTCGACTATGAATGCAGGCGTGGGAGGAGAAGCAGCAGGTGCGAGCTCAACTGCTAGCACGTCAACAGGGCCGGGTCCAGTCATCCTCATCACTCAGGAAGCAGTCAAGGAGGCAGTCCTGCGGCGGAAGATCAAGAGACCTGTGCTGGACACCTCGTACGTCTTTGTCTAGTCTAATGTCGATGCGTACTCCACTTGCAGCCCCTTCTACCGTTCTTCCGCAGAAGACTCGGCAATCTAAATCCCGGTCAGGCACAGGGCACTTTTGTTGTGACGGTTGCGGACAAGGGGTAGAACAAGGGCGAAGTAGGAAGGGAAAAGTTGGAAACAGGGACAGGAGGATTCATGTCACATATCTACACCCACACATGTCATTGTTGTCAGCTTCCTACAAGATATCACAGCTCACGCAGGATCTCCTAGAACACTCTGATATGCCTCCCAAAACGATGAGGACCAATGTGAGAAATTGTTGAGTCATGAGTGATGCCAGATCAGAGGTGAGACTGAAGTCCCTCATGTCTGCTCCTGTAGGCTGAAGAAGAGGGCACGGTATTCAAGGTTCGTTGGGGTGAAGAGCAGGACGTGAGTATTGCCATCATTAGAGAGCGCTGATCCGACTCGCTCTGATGAAGAAGCGGTCTCATTCTCCCTTCCCCTTCATTGACGCCCACGCTAAGCAGCAGATGTTGGTGAGAGTTGTAGTACGAATGAATTATGAGGTGAAGACATCTGACCGTCTTCCACCTTCCCTCTCACTTGCTCCACACCCAGATACAAGAGATGCTACAGTGGATGTACGACAATCGCGCAGCCATCCGTCTTCTACCCGGGCCACAGTGAGTACTTTCCCGGTTGCAGGCCTCTCCTTCGTTGTCCCAACCACTGATACCTGATCGATCTCCGATCGCTTTCTTCACTCCCTGTCTTGCCTTTCTTTTCAAAGGCAATGGCACCAAGCCAACGACTGCTCCCCTAAAGTCTTCTTCCAATCTGTGATCAACAGAAAGGTCATTGCTGAGCTGAAGAAGCTTGCCAAGCAACGTGGCGTTAGCATCGATGAGAGCGGGACGAAGACTAGAGCCTCCCCTACGAAGATCAAATCTGGAAAGAGGGAGAGAGGAGATGATGATGATGGGAAGGCAGGGAAAAGGAAAGGAGGTCCAAGTCGAGGCAAGAAGGGTGCCGGGATGGAGTAAAGCCCAGACGTGTGGCCATAGAGAACAAAAAGCGTAGGATTCTCTGAAACAGTCGATTGAGCTCGTGTAGCTTGTCGCTGAATCGGACACCCAGAACGAATGGAACGGCCGAATTGAGCTTTCGCCGGGTCCTGACAATTCAACAGTCACATCGCCAGGCACAGCAGTCGAGCGCAGCTAGCTCGTTGAACCTCCTCACACAGACAAAAGACGAGATTGCGGGAGAATGTCGACGAGCACAGAGGACGATTTGGTTCCAAAGTCTGTGTTGTGCATACGCCGACGCCACGGTATCTACTAACGAACGAAGGTGTGGCTTGGAGGCCAAATTGGCGGATAGTCCACTCTAGACGATGAACCGCCTGCGGGCGGCCACTTGATCAGACTCAGCATGGTTACCAGTCAAGCTTTTGCTATCAGGAGCGCCGTTGTCCAAGGCGGCAGGAGCACTTTCGCTGGGATACGTCCGAGGTTGCGTAGGTGGGGTCTGGTATTGTGGTGAGTGGTCCTGAAGAGAAGGTGCTTGCGTCTTGCTGCGTTCCTCCTCCTCGAGCCTTTGGGTATATTGGAGGAACGCCGCTTCATATTCGTCTTGTTCCTTTGCTGCTTCGCCTGCTCCCACTGTGGGCGTCTCGCTGACTTTGTCCCCAGCGCCTGCCCCGACTGATGCCCTCAAGGCCGCGCCAGCTTCGACTAAGCTCGTCTTCATCTTTCCCCAGGTGCCTTTGCCGAAGAGGGCCTCGGACCATGTGACATTGTTCCCGTCAGCTCCAGATGAGAGGTTAGGGATGTGCTGCGGAGAGATACCAAGCCGTTGCGGATCGAGACCCACTGCGAGGCATTTCCGAGCAAGAGACTCTTCTTCCGCTGCGTTGCGCTCTTGTGGAGCAGCCGGTGTCGGGCTCTTGCTGCGCCAAAGCCACGAAGACCATGATGAGGATCTCCCAGTAGCAGGAGCTAGAGGCGTGAGCTTTCGCAGCTCATCCTGCAAGAGATTGATCTGGACAAGGTGCCGACGCTGATCCTCTCCCAATTGTCTTGCGAGGGTGGCTCGATTGAAGGCGAGGGAGGTGAGGACGGTGAGGAGTAAGAATGGGCCGATTGCAGGATGTAGCCGTGGACGATGAATGGAGGAAGACGACGAAGCTGATGCCATGACGGGCCGGGGGTATTCCTTGCCAGCGTGTGACCTTGTATGATGGTGATGCCCTGCGTGGGCTTGATCTTCCCGGTATCGTCGAGCCGAGGATATTTCTCCGGCGGTAGTCTGCTGCACGGGGCGCAGGGATCAGGTGGGGGCGTGGTTCCGATCCTGGAATTGCGGCCGCGCGTTGTCGCTCCGCCTGGCGCCTTGGACCAGCTCAGCCCACGGGCGTCAGTCGGGCCAAGGCGGGCGTGGATGATCTCACTCGACTGACTGCTCTTCTTCGGCCCGTACCTCGTCGCTCCTCACCTCGCCTCACCTCACCTCACCGCGACCACGACTGCCATACCGACTCCTCCTTCGCTTGGACCGGACCCTCGCATCAGCACAGTCGCCTTCATCCACCCAGCGGCTCCTCGTCCTCCTCTTTCGCTCGCTGCCCTTCGCGCCAGGTCCTCCAGCTGCATCCTCTCTTCCGGCGGAGGGGGAGCGTCGCTGTAGCTCAGTAGTGCGGCATCCTCTTTCGCTTCAGGGACACATCGCCGTCCACCTCTTGCGGAGCCTTTGATCTGATCTGCTCACTCGAGGCAGAACGCTGGTGTCGCGAAACACATCACACCTTCCCTCAAGCAATATACCAGGAGCATCAGTGTGAACACAACCTTGCTCTTCTCATCGCCTTGACTCATTCGCTTTGTACGAGTACACGGTGAGGACCACGCGCTGGCTGTTACCTTTGCATGGTGTCATTCACTCACTGACACCACGACTGCCCTTTTCCCTCCTCGCCCTCTTCTCAAGTTTAGATCTGAAGACTCTTCCGCTCTGCTTCTGTCATTGTTGGTCTCTCCACATACTCGGCTCTACCTCAAAGGTCACTCCCCACCTACCTCATACATCAGTAAGCCATTCAGCCATCCCAACGTAGGCATCTCCTTGCCTGTAACGTTTCCGAGACGACTGAACAAAGGATTCAACAAGGAAAGGGTGGTATTGCTCGACCTGCTGGCTTCTCGACTCTACTACGTCAGCAGCGTCAGAAAGAAGGAGATCAAAAGGGCAGACAGCAGCAGCAGCAGCCTCCCCAGTCACAGAGGACCCCTGCTCCTGCGCAACCGCACGTCTCTCTTCCCAGTGACGAACCCTCAATCCAGACGGTCAAAGTACAAGTCAATTTCCTCCTTGCATCAGTCAGTGAAGAGAATTTATTGGATACCTGGCAAGAATTACAAAGTGTGAGTGCGATATGGCATTAGGCGCGAGCCTATCATCGAGTCCCTCGCTAACCCTGCATTCTCTCTATCAGCACTGCAAAGCATTCGGTCCAGCTGTCGAGCTCGAAGTCATCAGGAATCTTCTGCGGATCGTCTCAGGAAACTCATCTTTACAATCTAACAATACCACCCTCCACCGCCGCCTCATCCACTTTCTGCTCAAAGCAGGGTCACAATCTACCGAGACTGCATCGCGATTTAAACAGGCCATCGATACAAGCAGCGACTCTACCTCGCAAGGTCTCTCTCTTCAGGACCTAATCTCGCTTCTCCAGCAGGCAGGCCTCGACCAATTCGAGAGCCTCGTCTACTTCTTCGCCTTCTGCCGCCAAGACGCAGGTTCTGAGCGAAGCAACAGGCTCGCCGCTGATTGGGCGGCAGTAATGATGAATGGGCCGAATGGGCCGCACACTACCCCTCCGCCAGAGGGGGGCTCGGGAGTGCTAGGCGCGGCCTTGAACGCTCTCCGGCAACCGCCTGGCTTAAGCGGTAGCTCCATCAATCCTGGTCAGCTCAGCTTGTTCTTGCAGCAGCTGCTTGCGGATGGCGATGGCAACGAAGCTCCCGTCTTGGGCCGATCACAGAGAAGAGCGCTCGTGGCGACGGCGGTAGAGCGCGTGGGACCTGAAGGCTTCTCGAGAGCGTTCGTAGATGCGTTGGGTAACCTGAGGTGAGTAGATCGAATGATTTTAGAAAGGAAGGGACTACAATCTGACTCTGTCACGTCGCACTCAATTGTCACAGGATCAACAAGAGTCTTCCAGCTTTCCTGGCTGATTTGGGACCGAACGCCCTGCCCTCTGCAGAGGTCGTCCGTGCACTGTTCGCAAGGTTTGGCGTCACCGACTCTTCTCCGCCTGACGAGCGTTCGGTAGCTCACCTATTCGCCGGACTTTTACTTGTTCCGCAAGACGACCTTGGGTCGGAAGGTGTGACAAATTGGACCGCTCTTGTGCGTGGTCTATCGACCCTTCGCCAGCCCATCTCATGGCCCAGGGCGGTGAGATCGATGGACGATCTCGAGGGCTTCAAGCTTCCCCCAGGCACTCGTATGGAAGGTCTGGCAGCGGCACTACTTGCAGCTCCACACGAGGCTTCCACCTCACCAGCCGTCGCCGGACTGTGGGGACCGTGGACGCACAAGAGTCTACAAACCAGCATCCTCGCTGGCCTGCTGGCCCTTGACGCCGATACATTCTCCTTCTCAGCCCTGCCAGGACGACGTATCGTGACCTCCCAAGACGTTGCGCAAGCCAGTGCCACAGTCAGACAGCTGGCTGCAGCGGCAGAAGGCAGTACGTGGAACTCTCTTGACCTGACCGAGACTCTCATCCTGCTCTCATCTGAAGAGCAGCCCGAAATTCGACACGGCGTGACTCAGCTCCTGGAGCGTTTCGTCAAGGAGAGCCCAGAACTCCTCCTCATAAGTCTTTTACAGATCCCCGAGCCTTGGACCGGCATTCACGTAGAACTCGCTCAGCGACTTCTCGGCATGTTCTTTGCCAGCGCTCCTGGTCACCAGCTCGTCTTCTACATTGCCTATCAGACCAACCGCAACTTCATCTTGCAAGCTCTGGTTAGAAGCTACCTCGCAAACCCAGGTCACATCACTCGGATCGTGGATATTGCTCAGGATCTGAAGGCGCTACCGGAATTGCTCGAAGTACGTGCTGAACCCCAGAAGCCATTCGCCTTCGCTTTGGAAGTCGCAGCTCTGGCCTCGAGACGCGAAGTGCTTAATGCCGACTTGTGGATCGATCGGATGATTCTGGAACACCGCGCCACGTTCATGAGGGCCACATTAGACTTCTTGGGAGAGAAGTTGAGGGAAGAGTTGGCCTTGCAGGAGCAAGACCCGTCCCAGCAACAGCCCCAAAATTTCGTTGCTCCCTCCGTTCAGGTGGTCGCTACTTTCCTCCGCAGGATGCGGTCTCATGGAGAAAGTATGTCCGCTGAAGACATCGAAGCGTTCAAGATGGTCCGCAATCTGGCTCTACAGCTGCACCCTCGCCTGCTGCCCATTCGTACATCTAGCAGCCAGGAGCCTCTCATGGAGGTGGCTCAGTTCGCGCCAGAGATGCACGATGAGTGCGACGAGACCTTTGGAAGGATGTACAAGCAAGATTTGAGCGTAGAGGACGTAGTCAGGATCTTGCAGCAGCTGAAGGCTTCGGAGGCACCCAGGGACAATGAGCTCTTCGCTTGCATGGTGCACACGCTCTTCGATGAGCAGAGGTGGATCAGAAGCTATCCTCCTACCGAGCTCAAGCTCACTGCACATCTCTTCGGTGATCTTATTCAGCACTCACTGATCGACTATGTGCCCCTGGGCATTGCCATTCGAGGCTGTCTAGATGCGCTCAGGAGTCCCCCGGGGTCCCCGATGTTCGAGTTCGGTCTCGAGTCGCTGACCCGCTTCCAGAGCAGACTGCAGGAGTGGCCACAGCTTGCGCAAGCTTTGCAGGCCCTGCCTCCCAATCAGGAAATCGCTGCAGTGCTCGAACGCGCTGCTCAGAGCGAGGTCGGCCAAAGAGCGATCGAGTCGGGCACTCTTGTGACGAACAAAGTGGCCGGAGCGGAAGAAGCGGAAACAGCTCGGCAACACTTCACTGCGATTAAGCCTGGTCCAATCCCTGACGGCGGTAGCGAGGAACAGACTGAGCCAAATGAGGCAGTCTCGGACAAGGTGCTGTTTGCAATCAACAATCTGTCCCCCTCCAATTTGGACAGCAAGTTGGCCGAGATCAAAGGTGTCCTCACGCCAAGCATCTACGCCTGGTTCGCCCACTACCTCACCCTAGAGCGATGCCAGCTTGAACCAAATTTCCATGGTCTTTACCTTCGCTTTCTAGAGGCAGTAGCGGATGCCAATCTAGATGCCCATGTTCTTCGCGAGACACTTGCGCTCTCGCAGCGACTCATCAACTCAGAAGCTGCATTTACCACTCTTCATTCCCGAAAGGCTTTGCAGAATGTTGGGTCTTGGCTTGGTCTCATTACTCTTGCACGTGACAAGCCTATTCGATTCAAGAATTTCGATTTCAAGACTTTACTCCTCGAAGGGTACGACTCTGGCAGACTCATCGTTGCCGTTCCCTTTGTCGCCAAGGTGCTAGAGCAATGCGCCAAGTCGCGAGTGTTCAAGCTGCCTAATCCATGGCTCAATGCAGTGCTCCGAGTGCTTGCAGAGCTTTACCAACTTCCGGAGCTCAAGCTCAACTTGCGCTTCGAGATCGAAGTTCTCTGCAAGAGCTTGGGAGTCGACCTCAAAGATATCCAGCCCTCTTCCATCATCCGCTCGCGTGAGCTGATGCCGCCCCAAGCAGCGCACGGCCCAGGAGTCCAGCAGCAGCAACAGGCCATTGCAGGAGTCCCTACTGGCGAGATGGAGCGACTTGGGCTGGCAAACATCGCGGCGCAGTCTGTTCAAGACCAGCAGCGCCGCAGCGGCTCTGGCCCTGGCCAGCTTCCCGGAGCACCTCAGCAGCAACAAGCCGGGTCCCAGCCTGGAGCCGGCATCGCCCCTGGAGTACCACCCTCGGCAGTGTCTGCTGCAGCTGCCAATGCATATGCAGAGTCTCTGGCGAACATGCTGCAGAACTTACCTCACTATGTTCAGATCAACCCTCAGCTCACTTTATTCCAGAACAGCCAGTACAAGCGCTTCGTCCATGCTGCCATCGACCGAGCCATTCGCGAGATTATCGCTCCCGTTGTAGAGCGCTCGGTCACAATTGCCTCTATCTCCACGCGTGAGCTGGTGACCAAGGACTTTGCCATGGAAGGCGATGAGCTCAAGATGAGGGAGGCAGCGCACCAGATGGCTGCCAATCTCGCGGGCAGCCTGGCCCTGGTCACCTGCAAAGAGCCTTTGAGGATGAGCATGGTCAACCACGCCAAAGCCCTGTTCCTTCAGGGTGGCTTCAACGAGCAGACTTTGCCTGAGCAGGCCTTGGCTGGTATCATGCAGGATAACCTCGAGCTTGCTTGCTCCGTCATCGAGAAGGCAGCCATGGACAAGGCCATGCCAGAGGTCGACGAGGGTCTCGCTCCTGCCTATGGGGCACGGCGTGACCACCGGCAACGCAGTCGTGGCTTTTTCTGGGACGCCGGAGCTCTTACCCTTTCTCAGTATGTCTCCAGCCTCCCTGATGGCCTACGTCTCCAGCCAGAAGGTCTACAGTCTCAGCAGCTTCGCGTCTACCAGGACTTTGGCAACTTCACCCGCACGCACACACCAGGAGATCCTGAGGAAGAACGAGCCCCTACTGGAAACCTCGCTGGCGCGCCCACATCGGTCGCTGCCCTGTCACTTGGACCTGCTCACGAATATGCAATCGATGGCAGCCAAGGTGTGATGCTGACTGCGCAACAGAGCATGGAGAAGTTCGGCCAATGCGTTTTAGAGATCGAGCGTCTGCTCTCCCAGGCCGGACCGGACGAGTCGATCACAAGTCTACCCCAGGGCCATGAACTGAGGGACGTTGTTCGACAGGTTCCTGTCATCGCTTCGCAATCAGGCAACCGTGACGAGGCTGCTATGGCCTTCTCTCAAAAGGTAGTCCAGCTCCTGTTCAAGAGCCAGACGGCCTTGGCTCGAGACGTCTACGTCATCCTCCTCGAGAGGTTGTGCGAAGTCTCGTTGAAGGTCGCTCGGGAGGTCACAGACTGGCTGGTATATGCTGAAGACGAGCGCAAGTTCAATGTGCCTGTCTCTGTCAGCCTGATTCGCGCTGGTCTGATGAACATTACTCAGACCGATGTGCAGCTGGCCAAGTTTATCGTGAGGGACTGGAAGCCGTCGATGATCGACTTTGCCGCCAAACTGGCCCTGGAGTGTCTGCGGGAGCCTGCAGTCGCCACTCGCGGCCAGCTGGCGAATGTCACAGAAGCGCTCGACAGGGCGGTCCAGCAAGACAAAGCCACCCCTGCTGCCACGCAGTTCATCGAGGAGCTCAAGGGTGGTGGTCTCAGTAAGAGCAAAGCTGACCTTGCCAACAGTGGTCTGAGGGAGCAGCTCGCCTTCTGCTTTGCCGAGTGGGTACGCCTGTACCAGCACTCGCCCAATGCCGAGAAGTCCTTCATCGACTTTGTGACCCAGCTGCAGTCGCAGGGCATCCTTAAGGGCGAGGAGATCTCTTCGATGTTCTTCCGAGTGTGTACCGAAGTCGGTGTCGACAGCTACATCAAGCAGAAGGCTGCAGGTGGCTCCCTGGCGACTGGTATCTTCTCACCTGTTGATGCCTTCTCCAAGATGATTGTACTCATGATCAAGTACCATGCAGATCCCTCTGGAGCTAATCACGAGCAAGCCAAGGTTCACTATCTGACCAAAATCTTATCTATCGTGGTCTTGGTGCTGGCCCAGTCTCACGAGGAGCTCGGTCCTCACTTCCAGCAGAAGCCCTTCTTCCGCTTGTTCTCGACGTTGCTTCACGACTTGCAGTCAGTCGAGGGCAGCTTGCAGACGACGTACTTCCAGACTCTTCTGGCCATCAGCAACACCCTTAATACGCTTCAGCCATCATTCTTCCCCTCATTCACCTTCTCGTGGATGAGCCTGATGTCCCACAGGCTGTTCATGTCTAAGCTGCTGTCCAACCGTCAGCACGGGTGGCCGGCCTTCCATCGTCTCTTCTGCTCCCTGCTCCGTTTCCTCGCTCCCTTCTTGCGAAACGCTGAGCTGCAAGAGACGTCAAGGAGCTTGTACCGAGGTACGCTGCGTATCTTCCTGGTACTCTTGCATGACTTCCCCGAGTTCCTGGCAGCATACCACCACAGCCTGTGCGATCTGGTGCCCGAGTCGTGCATCCAGATGAGGAACCTCGTCCTCAGCGCTTTCCCTCGCGATCGTAGGTTGCCTGACCCCTTTGCTCAAAATCTCAAGATGGATCAATTGCCAGAGATTCAGAATGCTCCACTACTGCTTTCCGATTACTCGGCTGCTCTGTCCCAAGGTGGGCAAGGCTTCAAGCAGGCCTTGGAGGCTTTCCTGCAGACGAGGCCGTCCGGATCCCCCTTCCTAGGCTCTCTCAAGACGGCGCTCCTGCTGCCAGGCGCGGCTGAGGTGGAACAGCCTTCGTTTGAGCCGAGGTACAACATCCCTCTGATCAATTCTCTGGTCATGACGTCGGCCGTGTCAAGCCTTGAAAAGGCAAGCAACCTTCTCACCGGCTCGGAAGCAGACGCCACGCTGGACATCCTCCAAGCATGCATGAAGGATCTCGACCCAGAGGGACGTTTCTACATCCTGACTGCCTGTGCCAACCAGCTACGATTCCCCAGCAGTCACTCTGCTTACTTTAGCTACGCCATCCTCTTCCTCCTGGCCAAGACGGACAGCGAGGAAGTCAAGGGCCAGATTCTGAGGGTGCTCCTGGAGAGGGTCATCGTCAATCGTCCTCACCCATGGGGAGTCCTCTGCACCACCTTTGAGATGCTCAGGAACCGACGATATGTCCTCCCTGCCGGCATCCCAATGGAGATTGAGAGACTTCTCGATCACATTCGGGCTGGTCTTGGAAACAGCAGCAATGGCGGTGCCGCACTTCAGGGAGGTGAGGCAGGTGCCGATGGTGCAGCTGCTTCACCAGCTGGACAGCAGCCGCAGACGCCTGGAGTGGCCCAGCAGTAGCGAGGCTGATAAGGTGTTGTGGGCAGATGCAGCGGAAAGTGGATCAGGATCGGCGGGAGACGAGTCCCAGGCTAGATGCAAGTACCTCCTCTGTGAAGCGGAACAGAGAGGGATGGAAGAGAGAGGCTCGTTGATTACGGGAAAGATCATGGCAAAAGGAGGGACGGGAAATGTAACTACGAACGAACGCTTTCGAAATTCTGTTTTCCTCACTCACTCACTCTCTATCTCGTTATCAGTCAGTCAGTCAGTCAGTCAGTCAGTCAGTCAGTCAGTACCATCAGTCCCTCATCCATCCAATTCCCGACTCTAGTCCTGGTCCCACGTCATATCTAGAAGCTTTACCTTTTTGCGTAAAAACCAGACTGCACCTAGCCAGTGCTTCCCCATCTTTCCTTTCCTTTTCTTTCTTGCTTCTATTCCTTTCCCTCGTCTTGTTCTTTCTTTCTTTCATCTCTCTTCTTCTCCTCTGTTCCTTTTTACATTCTCACTTCTCTTCTTTCGATCAAATCGCAACGTAATGTCCAATGTCCAATGTCCAATGTCCAATGCTCTTAGGACTTTAGACCTCAAGACTTGTGTGTGCACCTCTAGTCTAGTCTACTCTTGTAGACTACGCGCACCCACCCACGTCCCCTCTCTGTTCTTACACCTACAATTGAGTTATGAGAAGAGGGGCGTCTGTGTAGACTACGTCTCAGTGCCATGCATCCGAAAGAGGTGCGAGGAAGAAAGGGGGAGAGAGGCAGGCAAGCAGACGGCAGACGGGCAGACGCGGACGAGGGACAGTATACGACAATGTACGGAGGACGAGGCAGTTTGGACCAAGAAGATGAATCAATTGGTGAGCTACAGGTGAGAAAGAGGAGAGACAGGGCTGCTGCTCGTTGTTTCCCCGGCCTGTCCCACTCTGCAAGGATAGACTAGCTGTAGCCTCCGTCTGCTGCCCGGCACCCAATTTCCCCAAGGACCCAAGTCCCGTCACGCACTAGCACTAGAGCGACCCCTTAGGCAGTCCAGACCCTAGCGATGAGCTCAGAGAGACCGACATCGTCTATGGGAGCGGCAGTGGGAGAGCGGGTAGATTAGTGGTCAGATCTCGTCATTAGAGAGAAGGCAGCTTGATTGAGAGCAATCATGACTCACTTGTTTGGAGCTCTGAGTCGTCGCAAAGGGGAATACATAAGAGAAATGGTGTAAACGGTCAGTATATGCGCTTGGTGCACCTCCAGCTACTGTCTGCCTGCCATCCTGATGCGGTGCGATGCTTCGCCTACGCTACTCACCGTACAAGCCGTACAGAGTACCAACGCTAGCTGCCCTGAGTGCCCAAGGAGCAATCTTACCCATGATGGCTATTGAAAGAGATGATAGTAAGGCAGGAGTGTGTGCGAGGAAAGAAAAGGTCAGTTGCAGCTTCTTCTACTACCTCGTCTTGGTCCACGGCAGAGCCGAGGTACTCACGGAACTTGCGCTCGTGCAGGTAATCTTGGAGAGCACAGTCGAAGCCTACGAGACCAGGGGTGGAGAGGTGTGGAAATTTTAGTTGAGTATGAGCGACCATCCCTTGAGACATGAAGATATGTAATGGCAGCGACAAGGGCTGACATCGCAGCGAACCCCCCATTTCTGCCGGCACTAGCTTCAATTGTACCCCTCCCTGCAATGCTTCAATTGCAATGCCCACTCTTCATCGCACCCTGCCATCTTTCTTCCATGCCTTCTGCTGCCTAGCGATCTGTTCTCTCCCTCTGCCCTCTCACTCACCCATGTGGCTATGAATCACCAATGTCAATCCAAGCGAAGCGTCCACCAATCCACTAGCTCCATGCTTGGCAACTGCTGCTGCCGTAATGGGCAACAGGGCAACGCTGATAGCCCTTTCGAACATCCAATGATAATGACCATGGGAAGGAGAAGGAGGTGGGAAAGTGGTAGGCTCATTAACTGTTCCTTGAATATAGGACTTGGAAGCCGTTGCGGCAGGGTGGGAAGCGGGGAGAGAGCGGGAAGTGCTAAAGGCGCGACGCAGTAGGTGGGGCTGCAAGTGCGAGGCAGAGCCGGAGGAGGAGGAGGCAGAGGAGGTCGAGGCGAACCTCATAGGGAGGAGAGAAGCAGTACGGAGGGAGGCCATGGTGTGTTAGCGCGGGAGTGTGGGTGTGTATGCGTAGGAGAGGAGAGAGGTGATGGTGAATGGTTGGTAGCTCGTCCCTGCGATTGATCAGCAGCAGCAGCAGCGCCGTGCTTCCCCGGCTTGGAGCGACGACGGCGGCTGGAGACGGGCGGCAGCCGGGTGGGTGGGTGGGTGGCTCGTGGCTGCCTCGCCTCGCTTCAGACGCGCGCGCATCCTTGCCGACCCGGAATTCACTTGCTCCCGTTCCTATCCGCTCGCCCAGCACTCGCAGACGCAGAGGAAGCGTAGTCTACCCATGGTGGGAAGGTGGGATGTCACATGAGGGAGACAAGCGAGGAGTGGACCCTTTTTGGACGCCATCACTCTGGAAGACTGTTCTAGACTATTTACACGATACCTCCTTCTGCCTCGCGCTGACCAGCAGCGACAGCGGCAGCAGCAGTTCCATCAGTCCCCTCCTTCGGCCTGCCCGAATCTCCCTGACCTCTGCTCGCCGTCGTCGTCGTCGTCGTCATCTCTCCGATACCCAGCGCTCCCCCAACCCAATCAAAGGCACCAGTCAGCATCTTCATCGGATCTGTACTCGCAGGCCGTCCGTCTTCCTTCCTCGCTTGAGCCTGACCTTGGGCTTGAGGAGGCAAGATGAGATGGAAGAGCTTCATCCCCTCGGGCGTAAAGAGGCCCAGGGATGAATGCGCCACATAGATGGAGCCCCAGATGAAGCTCCACCACCAGATATCGACTTGCGTCGTCCACTGAAATGGCCTAGGGGTGAAAGCTGTTGAGGGGTCCATCTTGGGAAAGAGCGAGGAGAGATCTTGCTCCCGCAGCCAGGCAATGACGCTCTCTACATTCTCCGCCCCGGGGCCCGTGGAGCAGAGGATCTCCATCTCTGGCAGAAGGCCTTCGAAGAGCTTGTTGAGGGGAGTAAGAGGTAGCCTGTCACGAAGAAGAGACGCATGAAGGCGGAAGAATTGTCAGTGGCTGCCCCAAAGCACAGCTCACCGTCGTAGTAAAAGGTACTCACCCATCAACCCAGCTCTTTACCCACTCCTCACTGGGGACAAAGCCATTCTTACCAACTCTGCTAGCAGCTTCGAACAGCTCACCGTCATCCAGTCGATTCACCCACTCATCAGCACCATCGTCTTTTCTGCCCTCAGGTTGCTCCTTGCCAGCGCCGCCAGACTCTTGAGCTTCAACCGGTGCTTCGTCTCCTTCAGTCTGAGCAGACGACAATGGTTCTGCGGCAGAGATCCTCCTCGCCTTGCCTAGCGCTTTCGCGCTCGGAACTGCGGGGGCTCCTTCCTCCTCGGCTTCCTGCGCTGCTGGGGATGTCGCCGTGTCTCGCGCTGCCAATAGAGCTTTCTCCTCTTCGGCCGACTTCGAAGCTCCAGAGGGCTGAGCAGCCGATTCGCTCAAGCCCGGGGTGGCTTCCCCAGCCGGAGTGGTCGGAGCTGACGATGCACCACCTATGCGGGCCAATCCGGCTTTCCTCCTGATCTCCGCGATTCCCTTTCTCAGAGTAAAGCTCTCCAGCCTCTTCACCTCCTTGCTCTTACTCAGAAGAGCGTACACCATGTTTCTATTAGAGTCCGCTTGGTACAACAAGATAGAATTGATAGCCTCCAACAGGAAGTAGAGGGATCTCGGGTGTCCTTCGTCTGCTAGGAGAAAAGCAGCATTGGACACCTGCGCCAGAAGGAGAGAGAGTCTCGTCGACGATGGAATCGTCAACGCCACGAAGAAGGGCGCGCAGTTGGCCAAAGTGATCAAGATGACAGGATGAACACCAAGTCCGTTCGAGCCCAAACCTCTGTTGGTTAATAGCGAGTAGCTCGCCGCGATCAGGATATCGGCCGCAGAGCTCGCACCGTTGGCCAAGGAGGCGAACTTAGCCGGCAGGTTGCACTTGCTGGCTGAGTTGGGGGCAGATATATGCTTTGCGAAGCCCGTGTGAGCAGACACGTCCTGCAAGATGAACAGTGAAAGGCGTACCAGGCCGTGCAGAGGCACAGAGTCCTTTCCCAGCAGGGCCTGGCTGAGCAGTATGCTGAGCAGCAAAGGCGCACGAACAGGGTCGTCGAGGACATGGGACTTGAACTTGGGATTGCTGCGTAGGATATGCCAGGGAAGAGATAGCACTTCCGGCGAACGGCTGTAGACCCCTCTTTGCGAGGAAGAGTTCTGACTTGACGATGCTGACGGAGCCAAGGGTAACGAGATCAGCGAAGTCGCTGCCGGGCGGAGGAGAGCGAACAGAGAGGATGAAATCATGCCAAGATCGGCGACTCGGTGGATCTTCGAAAGCCAGTGCGCAAATTGATTGCCTGAAGTAGCTGAAGTGGACTCGACTGAGACTGTCGATTGCGACCTGTCCAAGCTCGGTCGAGCTGCTGATGCAATGGGCGTAGGCAGACCAGCGGGAGACCACCCTAGCAGTACTGTAAGGATCTGCAGAGCTAGGGCTCTCATTGCCTCTCGGCCTTCCGTCTCCGGCTGTGCTGCGAAGCCGGGCAAAGACCATGCCGCGCCTTGGTCAGGACTGCAAGCAGTGTTGAGCAGAGAGCAAAGTAGCGGCAGAGTGACTGTCCGGCTGAGCGAGGTACACGTAAATTGCAATGCTCGGTCTTCGAATCCCTGTTGGGCGGCTGGCGGTACGTACACCGACTTGGAGAGCATGACGAGTAAGAGCCGAAGAAATTCCACCCGATGAGCTATATGCTCTTTTGACGTTCCAGGAAGATCAACTGAGGACCCAACACCCTTTTCCCAGATGGCGAAATGGACCCTCGAGTCGTCAGGCGAGCCAGTGTCATCGTCTTCGGGTAATTGAGGGAGGGAGAAGCCGGGAAAGAACAGATAGTCTATGCATAGGGCAATAATCCGCTCGGCCAAGGCAGGACCGGACACAACGAGCGAGGCTGTCGCTGCTACGGCTTCGTCTAGCTTCTGTATCGGCTTGGTGGCTTCGGATGGGGAGGCACTGGGATCATCCTCGTCTTCGATCACAAATTGCTCATCCTCTGACTGACTTCCTTCCTCTGCCTGCGTGGTTCCGCTATCCGTATGCTGAGCACTGGCACTGGAAGAAGACGCTCTAGACCATAGGACGCGCTCCTCCAAGGGCGTTGTCAACTCTTCCTTGTCCACTTGACGATCGCTCTGCGGCGCCGCCTCCATAAGCACCGGTATGAGCCTTGCAAGCAGCCGAGCACAATTGAGAGCCTCTCGCGTCCGATCTCTAGGCTGAGAACTGCTCCCTGGCTTCTGCGACCCCCCTCCGAAGGCACCGGCAAAGGGCGAGAGGGGAGCTGCTACCCATTGACCAAATGCCAGAAGGTCCTGTCCGGCAGACCGGCCCGCCGTCTCCTTTGCGAAGAGCTCATCCCTCTTGAGACTGTCCAAATGAGCTACCAGTAGCTCCACGAGCGTCTTGAAATTCTCCGGCTGCCGATCCCTGATGTCTCGCGCATCTCGGATGGAGAACGTGTCGAAGGCGTGGGTGGGAGATGTGAAGTGGCAGAGGAGCGTCGAGTAGAAGCGATGGTCTGATGCTGGGACTGGTTCGGTATAGAGGCGGGCGAGTCCTCCCCGCTTGTCGGCCTTGTAAGCGAGCGAGTCGGTCGATGGCGCCGAGAAGACGGAGAACATCGCTGTCGACGACGAGCAAGGCCGAAGGGTGCGTAGTAGAAGTGGTGAAGTGTAGCAATACCGGGTGACGTGGAAAGAGGAGGAACAGGGAGGACGCCAAGCGTCTGCACTCATCTTGGCTCGGCAATTCATGTGGCCGTGCACGGCACCAGGAATTCCCGACTGCTCCTTTCCGCATCTCCAGACTCCCAATACTCCTCGATATGTTGAGGTCCATCTACAAGGGACCACAGAAGCCCTCGTTGTCGTCAGGCTCCTCTTCTCTTCGTCATCAAGTTGTAGAGGGTAGAGAGATGAATGAAGAGGAGGAAGAGGAGGAGGAGGAGGAGGAGGAGGCGGACTCGCTGGGCTCTCTCCCCTCCACCTCCTCCAGCAGACCAAGCATGGCTCCTCCCAAGCTCGTACCCCGAAAGACGAACAAGGGCAAGGAGAACAGTATAGACTATACACCGATCTCCGCAGCCGACTGCTTTGAAGACGCTTTCCAGGTTGAGCTACAAGGGCAAGGTAACTGGAGGGTCTACCTCACACCGCCAAAGCCTATTGGACCTTCAGGCACCCGAGCACCCGCACTGTCACCCAAGCAAGGCAAGACGAGTGCTACTCTCCCCAAAGCTACGACTGCAGCGACCGCCTCGGATCCAACACTTGCATCCCTTGAGCTGCCCGACGTATCTTCAGACGAAGAGGAAGAATCTCAACCTTCCAAAACCCCGACTCGCGACCCGGGCACTCTCTTCTTCTTCCACCACGGCGCAGGCTTCTCAGCCCTCTCCTTTGCCCTCGCAGCCCGCGAGGTCACTCGTCTCACCGGCGGTGAAGCTGGTGTCATGGCATTAGACTGCAGGGGTCACGGAAGGACTTCACACCCTGCATCGATTCCTCTGCCGCTCGACATGTCTTTGGAAAGACTCACACAGGATGGAGTGGAGGTGCTGCACGCCCTTTACCCCGAGCCGGGGCAGATGCCTACGCTGGTTCTGGTGGGTCACTCCATGGGGGGATCGATCGTCACCTCTCTCTGCGCGGCTTTACAATCGCTGCCCACGCCGGTCAAAGTGGCAGGGGTGGCCGTTCTGGACGTGGTAGAAGGGACAGCCATGGACGCACTGGAGGGGATGAAGGGCATCGTCCTCTCCCATCCAAAGGGCTTTGATAGTGTGGCAGCGGGAGTGAAGTGGCATATGGACAGTGGCAGTATACACAATCTGGATAGCGCGAGGAGAAGCGTGCCGAGTCTACTAGTACCAAACCCGAGCTACAGTGAGAGCACCACCTCAACCCAGCCCATCGAAGACGAAGCCATCGAGGAGCTCGCCGAAGAGGACGATGCCACTGTCCCTCACCAGTCAGCAGCGGACGACAGCAGCTCATACCCCTTCATCTGGCGCGCCGACCTCCTAGCAACACAGCAACACTGGCGTGGGTGGTTTGAAGGGCTCAGCAAGAGGTTTCTCGGCGCTAGGACGGCCAGATTGCTGTTGCTTGCGGGGACCGACAGGCTGGACAAGGAGCTCATGGTTGGGCAGATGCAGGGGAAATATCAACTCACCGTGTTTCCAGACGTCGGTCATTGTCTACAGGAGGACGCTCCGGAGAAGACGGCCAAGCTGCTGGTAGACTTCTGGCGCCGAAATGAAGTCACGCCGGGTAAATTGGGCATCGGGCTCAAGAGAGTGGGAGACGCTTGATGGATGGCTGGCCAGGGGAATTCTGTAGTGTGTAATGATGTAGATTGAGGTGACACTGCAAGCTCCTCCTCACTTGTCGCCCTTCTTGGCCTTGGTACCCTCCTTGTCTTTCGACTTGTCCTTCTCGCCCTTGTCCTTCTCCTCCTCTCCCTCCTTGTCCTTCTTCTCCTCTGACCCTCCTCCCGTCTCCTCTGCATTCGTCTTCCTGTTGTCCACTAGAGCATGCAGCGCCACGACTCCGCGGATGAGAGAGCTGAGGTAGACGACGAGCGATTGGTCGTTCTGAGCGTGGCTCATCGATCTCTTGAGGTCCTCGCTCTCCAGGTCCGGTAGCAGATTGAAGCAGTCTTGCAGCTTATACACGATCTGGTGGTTCAGCGGTAGCTTCCCTGCTGTCACATCGTCCAGGTAGTGTGCAATCTCGTCTAGCCTCGAGTGTAGTCCCTTGAGAGCTGCGACCTGGTTGCCTACTCGCTCAGACAGAGTACCGACCTGTGTTGTATCCCTGATATCACGCAAGAGGTGCTCGACTCCAATCTCTTCTGCCTCCTCTGCCTCGATCGACGAAGGTACCCTAGTGAAGGTCTTCTCCGCCGCTGTTCCGTCGTCTTTAATCTCTTCCACTGCAATGTAAGCATCAGTGGGGATGCCCGTGTCCCTGGAGCGGGGATCGACAATGACCATGACCGGCTTGGGGATGAATTGCTTCATTACCTCGTTGATCTCGAGATCCGACGAGCGCAGACGAGGTCCTGTGTGATACCATCCTACGATCTTTTCTCGAGCTGAGTGAGGAACAGATTCCGGGAGTCAGCCGGCTAGCCTTTCACCCCCCTCTCATAGCCCCCTCTGAGCGTCCCACTCACCATTGACCTTCTTGAACATTCCCGTCATGAACTCGATGTAGTCATGATCCAGAAACCATGTCTTTCCATCTCTCTCATCCTCCTCGAAGGGTACTGCAAAAGAATTGGCTACATTGATCTGTGTTCCCTCATCTTGGCCTAACAGCACCCCTACCACTCTCTTGCGTGGGCCTGAAGGTGAGCGCGAGGCGTGATCTGTGACGGAGAGGAGGACAAGTGGGTGAACGATGACTTGTGTAGAGGCCAGAGTGAGCGTCTGTCATCCCAGAGCAAAAGGGAAGGGGTCAGACGAGTCAGCGCGGGGGCGAGAGCGACACTACCAATGAGAGGTGCTGACTTACCTCTGCTGTGGTGGTCGGCATAGCTGTCTAGACCTCAGGTCAACTAAGGCGGGGAATGACGAATGGATGAACTCCTCAGCGAGTCTTGGTACAGGGTATGATGCTGAGCGCGGGGAGTTGCTAGCGCCGGTCGACGTTGGAGCTGTTGGATCTGGCTTCTTGATGATCGTCCTTGTCTCAGAAGGAGTGGTACGCACTGACACTCACTGACTTGTCGTCGTCGCCCACTGCTCCACTCGACGCGCGGCTCCGCGCCTGGTCTGCACTTGGACTCTCCGCCCAGCCACGAGGCAGATGCAGCCAGGGCCAGTGTCAATCCTCCGAGAGTAGATTTTCTTCCTCGACGACTTCTTCTCCACCACTCACACCCAATTCGATCATCACTTCATCCTTGGGCCGACTCGTCTGTTGTGGACCATTCCTGGCAATTCATCATGAGATACCAAATCTACTGATGAGTGCCAGGCCCGTCAGCGTCTTCCTCCTCTCTTTCCGCACTTCCCCTCCAGGATATCAGCGAACCTCAAGCATGGCGATCAGCAGCACCAGCAATCAGCAGCAGCAGTCAGCAGCAGCAGCACTTCTCGCCTCCCTCCTTCAACGCAACGTGTACATATGATGAGATTACAAATAGAGTCAAGCACTTAGTCCCTTGTGGACATTGACGAGAACCTTTCATTCATGTCAAACTTTTTACCTGATCTTACACGTTGGAGGAGGAGGAAGAGGTGGACGAGGGTGCTGCTGCTGCTGCTGCTGCTGCTGCTGCTGAGTCTGGAGCTGCAAAATTGCCTGCAAGATGTATGCTGGGCTGGATGACTTTGTGTCGTTTTTCTGCACAATAAGAGGAATCTTCAGGAGAGTAGAAGGAGCCTTCAGAATTGTGAGATTGATGGTCAATGAGATGAAATTTACATTTACAATTGAAAAGAAGCAGAAGCTGTTTCCAGAGGTGTCCAATTCTGTTCCGCTCTTTTCTCTGATCACACCTCCCCGCTCATGATAGCAAAGGCAAAGAATCCCACTGCATATGGGCTTGCCAATCGTTTGAGCGCCCAAGCAACTCTGCCAGAACCCCATCGCTGCGCCAAGGAGCTCGTCGCAATGGAGCCTGGAGCGCCCTGCGGCCTCGGCGGCAGGTAGCTCAACCCTGCATGCGAGCCAGCCGAGATGCCCCGACCGTGCCTCTTGAACACTTTCGATGGGATGTTGATAGAGGTCGACACTGGGTTCTTGTTAGTCCATTTCGACAGCAAGGAGGCTGCTGAGCGAGCTGTACTCGAGACGCTACCTCGACGAGAAGGCGACGAGGAGATATCCTTGGCCATGAAACCTTTCAGTTTCACTCGACCATCATCTGTGGTGAGAGAGGCAAGGTATGGGGCGATAAAGTACGTATGGACCAGTAGGACCGAGTTCGGAACGGCCGTCCTGAACTTCTGAGACGAGGAAGTGTAGGCAAGGGTGCTAGTCCTTTCGGCGTGCTCGATCAGCAAGGAGATTGCGCTCGGCGGCCGAGCTGGAGCCCGAGGAGGCGCTTTCCTCGCCCACTGCGGCGTTTCTCTAGTACTCTCATGCGAAGGCGCTTTGGCAGCTACACCTTCAGCTGCCACCCTCGGCTTCCGTTGGCCAGTAAGGAGCCGAAGAGGATGGGGAGGATGACTTTGACCTAGCAGAGCTTGCATCCTACTCAGTCTCGATCCTGCTGAGTTGGCCGCTCGTAGCGTGACCAGGCTTTCCAGCCGACTTGCTGCAACATTGGGCGCTTGAGCTGCTACTACATGACCATTGGCCTTCAGATGCCGCAGACTTCGTGCACCGGCCGTGGTCCTCTTCTGCCTGTTGGTCTCTGCTTGCCACTTGCGTCGTCCAGTCCAGATGACTACCCTCATCAGCTCAAAAGGTCTCCCTACCAACTCGTAGCAGAGAGCTCCTAGACCACCACCCACGATCAGAACAAAGGCGGCGATGACTCTGCCTGTCTTGGTTCTACTTGCATTATAGCTGAAGTCTGCGTCAATGGCCGCAGTCTTGTAAGTTCCACTTCCATCTTGATCAATGTCTGGCCCGGACCGCCCAGGAGGCAGCGTGCTGGACGCATTAAACCAAGCAATGACATGGTCAGTTGCCATGGAGGTACCGTGAGCTATTCTTCGCGAGACCTCGAAGATGAAGAAGAACGAGGCGAAGCCCACGCTGTCTCTGGCTAAGGACATGAGCAGTCCAGCCCCATGAACCCCACCACTGACATTTTTCAGGGTTCTCTGTATCATCTTGCGCTGCTCAGTGTTGAGGAACCTTCTTGCTTGCGACGAACCGGCTTCCTGTCCCAATGGTTGACTGGACTTCTCTGCGGTGCCAGTGTTCATAGCCTTGACCAACTTGCGATGCTGATTCGTGGAAGGGGCGAACGGAAGCACAGCGGCTCGAATAATCGATCGCCATGAGATCGTCGTAGAGTGCTTCTTCGCGCTCCCAGGTCTCTGCCTCGATTTGTGCTGTTGCGAGCTCAAGACGAGGCGGACATTGTCAAGAGGCGCGGATATGAGGCCTACAGAAACCAGAGAAGATCATCAGCAAGCTGCGCCTGATTTCCACATCATTGCTCAGGTCCTCTCACATTGGGCAGCGCCAGCGAAGCCACCAGAGAAAGCTACTATCCACAAAGGCGTCCATTTTTCCTTGTCTCCTCTCTTTGGGGAACTGTCTTGCACCTGATTGGGACGATAGAGGCGCAGCAACCTTGACTCGGCGAAAGAGTACCCTTCGAAGAGACAGAAGCCGATGAGGGTATTTGCTAGAATGGGAGGCCCAAGAAGATGCACAATGAAGCCCTTGTTCTCTCTCCGAAAGAGCGTCCAGACATACCTCATTGAGAGTTGCTTGTTCTCGCGCTTTGCTATGCTCTCGAGGACGGTCCATGACGATAACTGATAGGCATGGAAGAAAGGGCGGAGGGCCATGAGCGCTACGCCTCCCTGGCCATTGCAGGGAAACGGGCCAATCGCCTGGGCTCAAGACTCACTTTGACCGGCCTGAAGAGCCTAATCGGCAGTCTGAAGAGGAATGCGAGGGACCCAAAGGCAGCTCGGGCGGCGGCTCCGCTCAGTGATTCCTTGCGGCTGGTCTCCTTTGCCTTCTTGTCCGAGGTATTGGAGGCATCCTCGGGTGCTGCAATCTGCTTCTGGTCAGCAGAGGTGGTCACTGTTGCCATTCCGCAGCATGCTTGACGAAGAGGAAAGGAAGAATGTACTGCCGCAAAAGGGGGAAAAGAAGAAGTGGCCGCGAAGGGTCCAGTATGCCTTTACTGCCGGTCGGTCCTTGTCGCATCCCCACCCAGGAATTCCAACTCCGTCTCCACTGGACATTTTCGAAGGGGCGGTACAGCACCTCGATTGGAAATCTGGGGGCAACTTCTTCCGCTTCTTCCTCCTCACGATTCACACCTCGCCTGCTTGCCAACCTCCTCATGGCGACCATAAAGCAGCCTTCTGACTTTCAGAAGCTGGAAGAGCTGCTCGCCAAGAGGCCAGATGCAGCTCAACCTCTCTCCGACATCACCAGCACTGAGGAGCTCGGCTCGGTGCTAGCCTCACGATGGTGAGTCCCCTCGTCGATCCCTTACTCAACCCTCAGCTGCTGCGTACTCATAGCCACTGCCAATGTCATCTCCCATATCTTTCCCCCACGACAGGTACATCACGTCTGTCGTCAAGCCTGTCATCGTCGATCTGGTGGCTGAGTTCGCCGGACAGGAGAAGACGGCCCTCGATGGAGACTCACTGCTCATGCTGTGCTACGAGACAGCGGCGGCAATGTCACCAGATGCGGAGCAGGTAGGCGTACAGCCTCTTGTTGCCACCTACCTCGCAGAAAGATACCTACTGCAGCTGGTGAAGGCCAAGTTGAACTTCACCATCGTGTGGTTCGAAGATCGAGCTTGGATCAATCTCGCTTCCAAGGCAGCGAGCTCGAAACGATTCGCTCGCTGTGTAATCCAATCACATCTGAAGAACCACTGCGCCGATATCCCGCAAGCTTACTTTAGCAGCATCAGCAGCCCCGAGTGGCGAAGATGGCTCGAATTAGAGCGTCCTTATGCTATTCTAGCCACAGATGGTGCCTCTAGCGAGCATGGTAACAAGACGGTGGAGGCAGCAGACACATATGCCATGGCTCAGCATATCAGTGGCGGGATGGGTGTCAAGGATTTGGCCGAGGGCGTTTCCGTGGCTTTGATCAGCAATGACATGTTTGAGGACCATAAGATCCTTGTAAGTGTTGCAGAGGAAGATTAGCTGTGCTGCAGCCAGAATCTGACTCCACAACTCTTTCTTCTGACTACAGTGTTTCCTCATCGTGTCTACTCCTTTGGCTCGTCATGCCATTAAACTACAAGCGGAAGGCTATCAGCGTCTTGCTAGCGCATTGGAAACGCAACAAGAACGGTATCAAGTGGGCGATAGACCCCACAAAGCAGCGAGCTGGTCGGATAGCCTTGACGCCACTCCCGCCGAGAACATCGCGCTTCTCGGCGCCGAGAATCCACAAGCGAGCGAGGAAAACCGCATTGCACTTTTGTTGCAAGCTCTTCTGCTCAAAGCTTTGCCTCTGGATAGCAGGGCTCTCAATGCTGATGTAACAAGTATCGACCGCGAAGCACAAGATTTCCTTGCTGGAGCGCTCGATCATGGCACACGGTCATTGTCTGCTCGAGAGGATGACGCGGAAGTTCCCGCAGATCTCATTGATCCGCGTCTCTTTGCATTTTGTGTCTCTCGTCAAGCTGCCATTCTGCAAGCACTGCCTCAGCCACTGAAGGAGCGTCTGCGGCTTCTCTGCCAGACGGTGGGTATCTCTGACTTGCCGGGACTTTCTTCAGATATGCCATCACCAACTCTCAGTCAGGGCGAATCCCGCAAACGCAGTCTGCTGCTACCATACCAGTCTCCAGCAGACTTGCAATTGCCTGAGCTCTCGACACGGAGCGATGCGGCTACCATCAGCGAGCCGAGTACCTTCCTGCCTCGTCTCTCCGCTACTGGAGAGCGTTCATTGCTGGAAAAAGCGGACCCGCTGCATTTCTACAACCGCCCCGGGCGTGAGACAAAGGCGCCACGAGATGCTCATGGCCGTATCATCAACAAGTTGCAGGCCAAGCAGTTCAGAGCGAATCAGAGGTACGCTTCATGGGTCACTGCCTATGCTCAAAGTCTGCTGGGCTCAAGTGGCTTGATCAGACAAGCTATCACCGAGGGGCCATTGGTCCGTTTGGACGACAAGAAGGCCGGCAAACCTCAGCAGCAGCCCAAGCAGCCTGCCGCAAAGAAGCTGAGTAAGAAGGAACAAATCATCGCACAAAATCAGAAGGACAAGTCGACAAAGGCTTCCGCTCAGGTGGACCGCAAATTGACGTATCTGGTCGAGGAGCTTCAAATTGGAAGCGCTGTCAGCAAGTTTGACTCAGCTGATCTTCCAATGGTCAAGGATCGTCGCCGTCAGATTGGCACATTGGCGGGCTACATCGCAGGAGCAGCGTCTCCTGCTCAGGCCAGGGATCTCATCTTACTCCGCGTCCGTCTCGCTCTGGAGGCTTGGGTAGCTGCTTGCAGCATCAGCGACCGGGAGAAAAGCCAGTGCTTCGACCTTGCGGTCATGTGCTTCACAGACATCGCGAAGATCCTGTCGACTACACCTGGGGAAGGGTTCGATGAGCACGAAAGAGCTCTCCTCTGCTCTTGTGGGCAAGCCAGTCGTGTCCTCGGCGTGCAAAGTGTGTTTGGACCCAGTCATGCTGGCCTTGAGAAGGTATGGGATGAGGTTGAAGAGAAGAAAGGCAAGCCCAAGAAGGGAGAGTTTGCCTTCGACGTCAATTGGCCAAAGGCATCGAAGAAGTACAGCGTCGGGGACCCACTCGAGTTCCAGCTCAAGCACTGTGGTGACGTGATGACGAGGGAACTGGACTCGAAGGAGGATCGGCGAGTCACTGGCTTCAAGCCTGATGCTTGGCAGAGAGACGTTCTCGATGCAGTCGATGCTCGCGATGACACCCTTGTGGTGGCTCCAACGTCTGCTGGAAAGACGTTCATTGCCTTCTACTGCGTTGAGAAGGCTCTGCGAGAGAGTAGCGATGCCGTTGTCGTTTATATCGCCCCCTCAAAGGCACTGGTCAACCAGATTGCTGCCGAGCTCGAAGCTCGCTACACCAAGAATTACGGAACGTCTGAGAGGACTATTTGGGCCATCTCTTCGGGCGACTTCGATGTTCACAATCCCCTCAAGGCACAGGTCCTCGTAGCCTCGCCATCAGTACTACACAAGATGTGCCTCAATACTGAGGTTGCAGCTTCATGGCTCCCCCGAGTCAAGACCGTCATCATGGACGAGATCCACAGTCTCACGGATCTCGAGTTGGGTCCAATTTGGCAGCAGCTGCTCGCCTTTGTGCCTTGCCCAATCATCGCCCTCTCGGCCACAGTCGGCAATGTCGACGAATTCGGACAATGGCTCAAGCAGGTGCGTGAGCAGCAGGGACAAAAAGTGGCCATTGTCCAGCACAGCACTCGATACAGTGACCTCAAGAAGCACGTCTACGTCCCAGCTTCTTCGACTGTGGAGCCTTTCAAAGGCATCTCCAAACAGGTTGGTCCTTCCCCTTTCCTTCCCCTCCACCCGTTCACTGCACTCCGTCCTGCTGGATCCACCATCCCGTCTGATTTGGAGATGACGCCTGCGGAACAGCTGCAGCTGGTTCGGGCCATGCAAGCAACGTCTAACGCACAGTATCAGATCGACGATAGCCTCGACCCGGGCAGGTTCTTCGCCAATATCGTCGGGCCAGTGACCAGAGCGAATACCTTGGCCTACCAGGAGGCTCTTCGAGCAGCCGTCAAGGACTGGATGGCGCGCGACGACTCTCGGAATCCCGGATCGCCTTTCCTCGCGCTTCTCGATGCGCTCGAGAGCGGGCTGCAAAAGAGGATCGACGAAGTGAACAAAGCTTGGCCTGCTACCATGTCTCACATCGATTTCCAGCGAGAGAACCTGCTGCCATTTTTGGGTAATCTGGAGAACCAAAAGCTCATGCCTGCACTTCTCTTCGACTTCAATCGCGACGATGTGGAGACACTCGGGATGCATTTGGTTGCTGAACTTGTCAAGCAAGAGGACAACTACAAAGCACACAACAAGGCCTGGCAAGCAAAGCTGGAGGAATGGGATCAATGGAAGACAGATGAGCCGGATCGTCGAAAGGCAGAGGAGCGCAAGATGAAGGCTCTGAAAGGCAAGAAAGACGCGGAAGCTGCGAAGAAAGATGCTCGCGCTACCGATGTCGGATGGCAGGCTTCCTTCGATCCCGATGCTCCCCTCGCCGATTTCACTTTCGCAAATGAGAAGTGTGGTCTCGCATTGGAAGATATCGTCGTCGACGTTGAGAAGCTCAACATCGCTCAGTGGATGAAAGATGGATTGATCCGAGGTGTTGCAATCCACCATGTCAGTCTTCCGACCTCGTACCGACAGATCGTCGAAAGGTGGTACCGAAAGGGTTGGTTGAGAGTCGTCATCTGTACTGGGTCTCTCGCCTTGGGTATCAACATGCCCGCCAGGACGTCTGTCTTTGTCGGTGACCATACTCAGCTCGATGCTTTGCAATATCGACAAGCTGCTGGACGAGCCGGTAGGCGTGGCATGGATCTGACGGGTAATGTCGTCTTCTACGGTATTCCTTGGACCAAAGTTCAGCGTCTGTTGACGTCGAAGCTGCCGGCGCTGGACTGTGATCTACCGACATCTGCAACTCTCTACCTACGTCTCCATCAGCTACTCGCAGACCCTTCTTCGCGACAGGCTGGAGAGCGCATGGCTAAGGCTGCTGTGCGATTGGAGAACCCACCGAGTCGTCAAGAAGAGCTACCGCTTGCTCATCAGTTCCGCGTGTCTGTGGAGTTTCTACGACGCTTTGGGGTCGTCGGGACAGAGGGCCAGCCGCTCACGCTGGCTGGTATCACCAGCTACTTGGCGTCTAACGAGCCAGCAAATCTGGCTTTCGTTGAGCTCCTGCGCTCAGGGACTCTGTACAATGTCGCCTTCTCTGCGTCGGTCGATCGCGTGGCGGCTGTCGACGAGATGGTCGTCATTTTGAGCCATCTTTTTGCCTCCCGAAAGAGCAACCCGACTCGCCGATTTGCAGCAGGAGAGCGACCTCTGCCACCTTTGCCGCAAGAAGCTAGGAAAGTATTGGGAGCTCTGCATGACCAAGCTGTGAACGCCTATCTCAACTTCACTGCAAGCGTGAAGAATTCTGCTGAGCAAGTGATGGACGACAGCAAGCTGCCTCTGTCGGCTGTCTCCTTCGGAGGCTCTCCAGACGATGTCGGTATCGTCTCTCCCGATTCCCGAAAGTCGCGAGTGAGCCAGTCATCATTTGCTGCCATGGCAGGGTCTTCTGAAGCTCTCTCAGCCGAATTAGGGCTCGTGCAGGCCGGCTCATCGATCTCGCACCGAGTCGTGCCCTTTTTCGAACGCATCCTTGACCCTTCGCCAAAAAATGCCTACGTCCTTGACTTCTTCCGTCATGGCCACTTGCAAAGCTTGAGCGATGATAGCGGACTGCCGGGAGAGACGTTTGCCTGGGCTGCTCTCAACGACTTCTGGCACGTCCTGCTCTCTCTGCGTTCCGTCCTGGAGATTCTCCTCAAGACAGCATCCCGATCTAAAGGTCGAGAGGGCACAGCCACCGGCGCCTCGTCTGAAGCTGACTGGGAAGAGTCCACCGGCTTCTACTACGATGAAGAAGGCGATGCTGACCCAGAAGATGATGCACAGCGAACCGACTCGGGTATTGCTGGATCTCAGATGTCTGGCCTCGGCGCAGGTGCTAGTGGCGGAAAAGTGGTGCCGGTCAGCCAGGGTCCTGACATCCGTACGAAGAGTGGAAAGAAGGTGGACCCGATCAAGCCGCCTATCGAGGTGCCCAACAAGCATCACCAACTCTATGCAGTCTATGAGATGATTGTCGACATTCAGAGGGTGAGTACATGAGGCCGAGAGGTCAGGTATATGTGAAGAGAGCCTTCACTGACATTCATTGCGACCTTTCTCTGCCGCCTTCGGCTCACAGAACTACCACGGCAAGTTCTTCAAGACCTTTGCATAGTTGTGCAGGCCACGCCGGTCGGCTCTGTTCTTCCCGCTCTCATACACTGCTCAGTCTATTTGTCCCGCCTTAGATTTCTTCCCCATTGTGTCACAAACAAGCATGCGCATACGCAATCCGAATCGATATCACGTGCCAGTAACATTGCTTGGCCTCTTTGTCTGCAGTCAGAAAACAACATTACTAGCTTTTCGATGCGGGAGGGAGACTGAGTCCCGCAGGTGCACTGTTGCTTCTCTTCATCCGCTTGTTCGCATCTGAAAAATCCCTGACGATGATGCTGCAGTCTACGAGTGAACAGAGCTGCTTCGCAACCCCCTTGACCGGCTCTGGGAACAGGGACAAGCCGGCAGCGCGCTCGACTGCGTCTACTGGCACGACAAAGTTCTTGAGGGGTACCTCATTGGGGACGGGCGTGTTGGGGATGACAAACGCGCCGAGACCGATCCACTTTTCTTGCAGCAGGTTGCCGGCAAGACCTCGTGGAGTGAGAGCTGGAGGTTTAGGCGTACTGCTTGAGGTAGAGGAAGGGAGGAGGCCTTGATTGCTGCCCGCGGACGGACGACCTACGCCGAGAACAACCTTGGCGAAGTGCGTCGGGACAGATACAGAAGGAGGGTTGCCGATGACTCTGTAAGGCCGGAGTAGAAGTTTGTTCAAAGGTGTCAGATGACAAAGCCTGCGGGTTTGTTACTCTTGAGCTGATTGTCTGTACTCACTCGTAGGATACCTTCCACTTGCCGTCCAAGTCCTGCTTCGGCAGATACAGAGGCACAGTGAAGACATACACGTCTGCAAACTTGTCGGTCAAGCGCCGCACAAAGTCTTCCGTGTGCGCCCAGTAGTCTCTATTGAAGCCCTCGCCGACCTGGGGAGCGATATTGGTCAGGAAGAAAGTCTCATTCATTGCCTGCTGCGAGAACTTTGCGTCTGCTGCAGCAACCATGTGGCCTCGGTCGTAGCCAGACTTGAAGTAGTCGGACATCTTTGCCCTGAACTTCTCTGGGATCCTCTCATCCTCCATGAAGACGGAGAAGGAGCGGTCCGCTTTCGAGGGCTTCTGGCCATTGGCGAGGGGAAGCTTCAGGAGGGATTCAGCTGTAAGGTGGGCAGCGGTCTGTACAAGCAAGAGGGGAGCATAGGTGTGATAATCAGTTAGTCATACCCGAAAAAGTACTGGAACATTGACTTGATGTGCGTACTAACCCATACTGGGTGTTTCAGCCTCCTGTCGTAGGCAGAGATGTAGGCTGTATGCACAAGAAGATCTGACACTGGCCCTGTGAAAGTGAGGTCAAACGTCCGTCAGCGTGTGCACAAGCTTCGATCATCAGCGAAATGACTGACCAGGGTATCCTGAGCTCTCGATGGCGCCTCCAGCCTGCCTCGCTGCGACAGCAAGCAGTCTCCTGTCTACGAGGTCCGTCTCAAATGTGTTGGATGAGCTTGAAGGCAGTGGTGCTTGCTGCGAAGGGAGGGGTGGCGCTGGCGCCTTGCTCTCCGGCACTGCGTCCCTACGAGGACGACTAGAGAGTAAAGCAGCAGTACCAGCTCCGACCACTGCTCCCGCAGCCAGTAGGGAGATGGAGAAGAGGGGCGAAGGCGCCATGATCGATCCGCAGTGGCAAGTGCTTGCGAGTCGAGGATACCAAGGCAGCAGGAAGTGTTGCTTTGCTTCCTTTCCGTCCTTTTTCCCTTTCCGCTCCGCCTCAACGCGACGCACGGCCAAAGCGATCCCGAGGTTGGCTCCACTCGCCCCTACAGCTGAGCATACCACATCACCTCATCATCTCCATGGCGATCACCCGGGTCAGATAGGTACGACAGGACCATTCGACCTCTAACAGGTCTCCTGACCTGCAGCAGAGAGCAATGTTCGGTGGCGCTTTCTCGGGCTTCTTCTCGGGCTGGGACACTTTATCTGCATACACCAGTCTCTCTACTGGATTACAGAAGCGCCTCGCTTCGTTCCTGCTCAAGCGAGCCATCGGACACCTCGTCAAGGATGGCCAGCTCGATCTCAATCAGATTGAGGCAGGTGTCACAGCAGGGCGACTAGAGATTCGAGACATTGAGCTGGACGCAAAGGTGAGCAGGAGCGTAACTGTACGAATGGTCACTGGGAGTATCTTCATCTGATTTTGCTATCTCTCCTACCACCGCGTGCAGGCCGTAAATGCGCTCCTCGGTCCTGTTCCTCTTCTCGCCACATCGATATCTCTGGCAAACATCAGCATTCAGATACCATGGTCAAACCTCAGAGGAGGGGATCTCGTTGTCCTGGTCCAGCGACCTAGCGCCCACTTCGTAGTGGCTCCACCTCATAGCGCAGGGGCCAAGCCAGCGCAAGAGCCCCTAGATGTGTCGCTGGCCGATACGGTGGAAGACTTGCTGGAGGAAGATGCCGAAGGCAGAGAGCTGCAAGAGTCTTTGCAAGGATCGCTTCATGAATCGATTGGAGTACCCGGAGGCGCCCCAACAGCAGACGATGCATCCTCCACAGCTGTCGAGCCAGAGGCAGGGTCGATCGTAGCCTCAATGGTTGAGGGGCTGCTATCTCGCCTCAAGGTCGAGATCTCGGATGCACATTTTGTCATTAGCGAGAAGGTATTTCTGCCGGAACCCACACACTTCGATCTCGAAGCCAATATCAGGAGTATCAAGCTCAGAACAGAGACAAGTCTCGAGCAGAAGGAAGATGGCAGTAATTGGCGTCGAAAGGTGCGCAACATCGATGTGACTAGTCTCAGTCTCTGGACCACTCTGCAAGTCCTACTTCGGCATAGGTCGTCACTGTCAAGCTCAGACACATCATCAGATGACTCTTCTACGTCCCCTCGATCTGGGAGCTATGAGTCGGACGATGTCATGAGGATGAGTCAGGCCGTCGATGATCTTGCCCTCAGCGTAGCTTCTGGCGCTTCGAGATACGAGGAAGCTCACTCCGGGACAGAAAGTATCTATGGGGATAGTCAAGAGGAGCAGGAGCCCCGCCGTACGAACAGAACCGGTAGCAACGAAGGGCGAGCCGCAGGTAGCGTTCATTCGTCCCGCAGCAAGATCCTGGACTTTGGGGATGAGCCGATAGTGATGCAGTTTATCACGCTCAGGCACTTGCCAGCGCAGCCCGACGTAGTCGCATCCGAGACTTCCATGCCCGAAGTTACTGGCGCCAAATCCACACCAACCGTTATGCTTACCGAGCAAAGGAGGGAAGCGCAGCAGATCAACAAGCTCAGGAAGCCAGAACACATGCTCGACATCGCCATTGGCTCTGTAGCTTGCTTCTTGGAGATGCCGAACGTCTGCGCGCTTCTCGCCCTTGTGGAAGCTATACGACTTTCTTCAGGGCTGTCTGTGCCTGTCGAAGAGCATGGATCATCCTCGCCTCCTGCTCCACCCACCTTCTCTTCAAGCAATCTGAGAATAGCATCTGTGGAGCTCCTATGCGCCTACGAAAGCGTTGCGTGCCTCGAGGCAGATCATGCTGCTGCCTTTGCCGCCTCTGTGCAATCGTTCTGGAGGCGCCCAGGCAGAAGCCATCCTCTCCTTGGCCATGTTCGCCTTCACGGCGAAGGAATTCGGTTACGGCAGACGCAGAGCAATCAGACAACAGAAGTGAATGCTACGGTAGGTGATCTGCGATTGACAGAGGGCATGCGGATGGGCAAGGTTGGTGAGCTTGTCATCATGCCGATCCTTGTCTTTGATGGTGAGCTGTTGAATCACTCAAGGTGTGGAGCAGCTCAGCGCTTGTTCGATTGGCGTTCTGGACTCGATGGTGAAAGAAATCCTTATCTGAAGGGTGCTGCAAATGGGGACAACGCCTGGAAAATGAAGCCGCTGAGGGGCCGAACACCCTTGAGTCCGAGCCGAATTGACAAAGGCATTGACGATACTGTTACCGCTTTGCTGTCCCTGCACGGCTCGCTCGAGAAGGAGGAAGCTCGCTTAGAAGTCACGCTTCCCTGCACGCACCTCTTCGTGGATCTCTCCGTCGCGCTGAGAGCGGCTCCTCTTCTCAACGCGATTGCCAGCTCTTCTGAGGCTCACACTGGACTCTCAACCGAGGAGGAACAGATTGATCTCGAGGACTCAACAAATACGCTGGGTGCCAATCATCTGAATACAGGCCGCGTCGTGGGAAACCCCAGTCGACATACGAAGTTCTCTCTGTACTCCGATCTTGTAAGATTGGAGGTGCGGATACCCAACTGTAAAGCTGCAGAGCCATCTCTGCTACGCTCCGGTATACTCGCCGTCGATCTGGCCGAGCTTTCGCTCTCGACCGCTGGACCTTCACTCGATCAAGAGCCTGATGTGCAGCGGCCGCGCGTACGCTATGCTGAGGGTAAACCAGGCGCTGAGAGTGGCCGTCCTGAAAAAAAGCTGGCACAGCTGAGCTTCCGATCCCTCTCTATTCACTTTCAGTGTGTAAGAGCCAGCGAAGCCGAAACACTCGCTGTGCTCACTCACTTGACAGATGATGAGGACAGACCCGATCAGCACCCCTACTTTCCGTCCGTAAAGCTGAGCCGACAATATAATGCAGCGGAAGGCACAGGAAGGCTTTCTGCAAGGTGCAATCTTCCCCTCCTTGAAGTGTCTCTGTCAAAGTCAACTCTAGACGGCATTCAGTTCCTTGCCGACGACTTTGCGTCTTGGTCAGCTGAAATGTCGCATCTGAGGACCAATTCACAGCCTGAACAAGATGGTCTCAAGATTCTAGGGAGCCGCTTCTTTCGCAACTCCCACTCAGGTCTGTCTTCCGATGTTGTGGAGTCTACAGCTACACTACAGCGGGTGGATGGGCCAGTCAACCAGCCGATATTCATTCTCGAGCTGTCAGAGCTTAAAGGGAAAGCATTTGTGCCCCGTCTCAACCACAAGGGCGGAGATCTTCGCGAACTCACGATCGCGGGACGGGAACTGAGAGCTCATTTCGATCCTCTACACGACAAAAACACCACCAATCTTGCAATCTCAATCGTGGCTCTCACTGTCAGTCAGAGTATCGGAGATGATCAAATTCTCAGGCCGCTCATTGCTCCAACTCTTCAGCAATCTCTGACACGAGGAGTCGCACCGATGATCTCGTTGACTCTGCTCTTCTATGCCGACGCTGAAACTTCGTATAGGGAGAGCAGAATAGAGCCCCTCTTGCGAGACTTTACTGTCACTTTGGACGAGGATTCGAGCCTTTTCGGAGATATTGCAAGCTTTGCAAAGTCTCCTGCAGGCACATTCGAGAATGTCGAGCCGAGCGAGCTGACTCGGCTGCAACTCAACCTGATTGGTGCATCGATTCTACTGGCGCCCACCACTGCCACAGAGCGAGTTGCGGTCCTCTTGGGCGACCTCAGTGTGCGGAGCAAATTAGTAGGCGGAGCTCCTCGAACCTCCCTCCATGTTACTTTGAATGACTCGTCTGCGTTCCTCGTAGACAAGCCATTGGATGCTGCATCGGAACGAAGACATCGAGTCAAGACACCCAGTGATCACTGGCTATCTTTAGGCTTCGTAAGTGTGCTCGATCTTTCTGAACTGAAGAGCACTGTCACGACCAGCAAGTTGACTCTACCTGACGTCGATGTGAGGATTTCGAGGGCCAAAGCTCAGATCAGCGCGTGTGCTGATACCTTGACGGCATTGATCAGTTTGATATCTTCTTTCGTGGAACCTCCGGGGGGAACCGACGACCTCAACGGCAGTACCGAGCTGCGAAGCGATAAAGGCAGCACTGCCAGCGCATCGGAGTCTTCTTCTCAAGACATCATGGCTGGCATCGATGAAAACGCTTTCCGCGTCGATGCGGAAGGGATGACATCAATACCCGATTTACTGGAGGATGATATTCCGTCACGGCCCGAGTATTACGGGGCTGAGCGTGTCATTGAGCCACAAGACTATGAAGAGACGCCGCTGACGGAAGAAGACTTCTTTGGCAGCGAATCCATAGCTTCGATCGTGGATCCCATACCCAAAGAGAGCAAGACAGAGGCACATTCAGGATTCGTCATCCTGGATTCGGAAGTCGTTACAGTGAGACTTCTGGATGAAAACGGCCTGCGACCAGTTCCAGGCTATTTCAGCAGGCCGGATCTGCAACCGAAGAAGCGTAGTATCACAGACGCTTTTGCGTCCTCTTTTCGCCTGCGGGTTGATGATTTGGATCTCTCGATGCACTTGTTCGCTGGCTACGACTGGGCAAACACCCGGACGGAAATAGAAGCAGAGATCAAGCGTGTGCGTCGTCGGCTGCAGAAGATCAAGCAGCTACTCGACGAGGGGCAAAGAGCTGACGATAGCGTCGAAGACGCCATACAAGATCTCGCAGAATCGATGCACATCGCTTTCGAATCCAATACCGATGCTGCAGCGGCACTCAACATGCTGGACGACGAAACGGGGCCTCAGTCAGAGACGGCTTCGTCCGCGAGCACGTGGCAGCCGCTACCGCGGAGCCAGGGCAGACAGATCACGCAGGGACACTCTCATCAAGGGCGGAGAAGAAGCAAGCTTGAGCGGTCACATGCTTCCTTGCTGGAATTTGTATTCAAGGACATCAGCGCTGAATACGATCAGATGGTTCCCTCGGCTTCACTGGCTTCTCATCTCAATGTCCAGGTCTCTGATTTGCAGATTCTGGATCACATCAAGTCTTCCAGCTGGCATGCTTTCCTCACCCGCATGTCAGAAAAGGGTGTCAAGTTCAAGACGGGTGATGAAGCAAAGATGGTCCGGATCCAGCTTCTCAACATCAAGTCAGCCAGTCATGAGCAAGGAGAGTTCCGAGTCAGAGCAAAGCTATCGCCTCTCCGGCTACACATCGATCAGGATGCACTCGAATTTCTACAGAAGTTCTTTGCCTTCAAGCGTCCCAGCGAATTGTTGAAAGCTCAGACCGCGCCGAGCCCTGCAGAAGCAGCGTCAGTTTCAGGCCCCTTCATTCAGTACGCCGAGATCCATTCCATCAGACTCAAAGCAGACTACAAACCCAAGCGCGTCAATTATGGCTTGCTTCGCCAAGGCAAAGCCATCGAGCTGATGAACTTCTTCCACTTCGATGGCGCCGAGACTACCCTGCGTCATGTCACTCTACGAGGCATCACTGGTTGGGCCAAGCTCTTTGACACGCTCAACGACATCTGGACGCCAGACGTCAAGACCTACCAAATTGCCGACGTCCTAGCCGGTATTGCTCCCGTGAGGAGCCTAGTAAACGTCGGTTCTGGAGTGGCAGACATGATTCTCATTCCCATTGAGCAGGTGCAAAAGGACGGCCGCCTCGGTCTAGGACTGAAAAAGGGCGCTGGTAGATTTGCAAAGGTGACGGCATTGGAAGTCTTGAAGTTGGGAGCAAGACTGGCTACGGGGACGCAGGGTCTGCTAGAAAAGGCAGAGCAGGCCTTGGGAGCCGATTCGAGTGGAGCCAGCGGCAGCGGCAACGGCAGTGCTTCGTCGCAGCGCAAAGTCGCTCCGACTCGACGTGCCTATGCTGACGAAGAGGCTGATTTCGATTCGGGATCTGAAGACGATCGGCCTTGGTCTACGCCTGCAGGAGCAGCCGGCACAGATGGCGCAGTGGACAGTATCCCTCTCATCGACGACGAGGAGTACGGCGCGCTGATCAGTAAATTCGCCGATCAGCCTTCCGACGTGCGCGAGGCCCTTTCGCAAGCCTATCGCTCCCTGCGTACCGGTGCAAACGCAGCAGCGCAGACCATTCTCGCCGTGCCCATGGAAGTGTACGAAGCTGGCTCCGGTGGCAGTGGCAGCGGTGGTGGTGGTGGGCCGGGAGCAGCAGGTCGAACCGTGGTCAAGGCTGTGCCTATTGCGGTGGTGCAGGGGGCCAAGGGAGCGAGCGAGGCGGTGAGCCGGACGCTGATGGGCTTGAGAGGAGTGCTGGAGCCTGGTGGTGGAGAGGACAAGGAGAAGTACAAGAGACAGAGCCCAGCCACGGGTCAACAGGTAGCTTCGAGTCAGCAGACCTCCCAGAGGAGGAAATGAGGCGAATGGAGTTGAGCAGATTGGAACGGAACGGAGAGTTGACGAGCACGTGTACTTTTATCTTATCATCCATGACCGTTGTAGCCTCCCCTTCTATCGATCTGAACAATTGAGAGCAGAGCGAGTGATTGTGTCAAACTTTCATGCACTTCCCATTGCAATGTGGCGGCTCACGTCGCTAAGGACCAAAGGCTCCTCCAATACCGCCTGTCCGCCTGCCATAGACGTCGTTATTGCCTCCGCCTCCACCTCCGGCTCCGTTGCTATTTCCACCTCCTGACCCTAACCCACTCCCACTAAATCCCGACACGCTATTCGGCCGCCTGGGTGTAGCCCTACCTCCCGCAGCTCCACTACCTGCAGCACCAGAGATACTCGATGAGCCACCCAGAGGCGTCGCGCTCCTACTTGTACCCATTCCCATTCCCAGCCCAAGCAGTTCATCATCGCCATCCTCAGAGTAGGCTGATGACGAAGCAGGGAAGATGTCTGCATCTGGTTCACGCGATAGGGCTTCGGCTTCCCACAAGGCCGCTTCGTCGTTTGCTCCACCGGAAAGGCCAGCAGAAGAGGAACCTCCTGCGTGCTGGAGGATGTTGCTCGAGGAGCCAGTGGGCGAGGTGTGTGAGCTGGGCAGCGCACTTCCGCTTCCTTGATTACTATGAGAGCGCGAGGCGGCTCGTAACGATTTGCGTTCCTCGTGCTTGCGCGAAGCGACCGCATTGGAAAAGTAAGGCTTGAGGTACCGATCGTCGATCTTCTGGAACCACTGACCATCACGCATGATTAGAGCTCCTCGCTCCAAAAGGGCTCGCGCTCCGCCCGCGGCTCGACTGCTGCCCGTAAAGGCTTCGGGGAAGCCGTCCGGACCGATTGTGAACCCTCCGCCGGAACCACTGCCATTGGCACCGTCCCTAGTCGAGGCAGAGGGGAGAACGTCGCTTTCGTCCTGGGACGATTCATCCTCTTCGTATGAGTAGCGCGGGCTGTCGTTGCCCCTGGCGCCAGAAGCAGAGCTGCCCTTGGGGATGAACACCTCGTCATCTCTGTAGGATCCCGCCGCTGCGTACCTCGAGGCACCAGCTCCTGCTGCTCTCTTGCGGCCCGAGTAGCCTCTACGATTGCGCACATTGCCCATCCCGACGTGAGATCCACCGGGTCTGCCAGCATCGACGTCTTCATCCGACGAGTCTCCCTCATCGTCCTGTACGCCTGTCCGAATGCCAAGAATATCCAGCATCTGAGAGGTGGTTCCTCCAAAGGCAATGAGCGTCAAGACAATGGTTACCAGCACGGTAGTCTGCAGCGCTAGTGCATTATTGCCCTCGATTCCTGCACTGAGTGCAAAGCCCACGGCTCCTCGCAGACCGGCCCAGAACAGCATGATTTGGTACTCTCTGGACAGCTGATCCTCGTTGCCAGTCCGGGGAATACCTCCTCCGCCGCTCCTTCGATCTGCTCGCCTCCCCCGCACGCGCCTGAAGAGATTGATGAGGTGTGCAATGGGGAAGACGGCCACGTAGCGAGAGAAGATGACCGCTGCGATCGTCACTACGATGAAGAGGGGTTTGAAGACGAGGTTCTCCTGTGTAAAAAGGGAGAGACCGAGGTAGATGAAGATGAAGTTCTCCGAGAGCTGGGCGGAGGCAAGACGAAAGAGGAATATCAGCTTTCGAGATCAGGCTTTGAACGATAGTAGGCAGGCTATGCGTACTCACGCTTGCTAAAGTCTGGAAGATGTACCTCGTCGCCCTTTGTGTCCTCCTGGACATATTGTGGTACGCATAGTGCTTGAGTGTGATACCACAAAAGAGCAGACTGACGATTCCGCTCATGGTCACTGCATTGCTGAAGAAGTAGCTTGTGTATGCAATCAGAGCAACGAGACAGCTCTCCAGCTGCGTGTACATGCTCAGTCTGCTATGCTTGAGCATCAGTGAACAGCCCAGTCCGAAGCATACTCCCAGGGCCATCGAGACGCCAAATACGACGAGGAAGAGCCCAATTCCATTGAAGAGGGAGTAGATGGAGATGTTCTGTCCTCGGAATGTGGAGAGGGTGTCGAACATGACAATGGAGACTGCATCATTCAGGAGAGACTCTCCAAAGATGATACTGTATAGCGTGGGGTCCACTTTCTTGCTATTGAAGATGGCCAGGATGGTCACTGGATCTGTTGCACTCAGAGTCGAGCCAAAGATGAGGCAGTCGAGGATGGAGAGTGAAATGGTAAAGTCTGCCAAGGACCAAAGGTAGACTAGGACGCCGATGACAATGGCGCTGATGAATGTTCCCGCAAAGGCAAAGACTAGAATCGTGCCAAAGTTGCGAAAGAAGTTCTCCTGTCTCAAGTCGTAGCCACTAGCGAGGATGATGGGCGGCAGAAGAACATTGAGCATGATGGTATTGCTGAAGCTGAGCATCTGCTGCACCTGCTCTCCAGGTCCAATGCGCAGAATTGCTCCTACGAGCATTCCGGCAAAGAGACCCACAATGGTCTCATGGATAGCGGTGATCCTCTTGACCCTGAGATAGTAGCTGGCGAAGAAGGAGAAGATGAGCAGGAAGAGGACTAGGAAGAGGGCCAGGGAGGAATCCCTCTCTTGCTCCTCCGCTGGAGATGGGGGTGCAGGAGGAGGTGATGCGCTTGGCGAGGCTGCTTTCGATGATGAGGTAGCTGTTTCTGCTGCAATCGCTGAGGCGGTCAAGGCGAAGAGTACAATTACGATGGACATGGTCGAGGAAGCCCTCGAGGCCGTCCTCGGCGCTGAGCCCGCCATCGATGTAAGGTTGTGCAGGGGATAGAGACAGACGGGGCGGCTTGCAGCAGAGGCTTTCTTGTAGAGACGAGTGGCCTCTACGCAAAGCACGACGATGCCCTGAGCCGCAGCGAGTTCTGTGTAGAGACAGTAGTAGGTGAGCAGTAGGTGAGGATGTGATGGCAGTACGAAGAGGCAAGGGAAATATGGCAACTCTTGCCTCCGCTGATTTCGCGATCGAGCCACTTCACTTTGCTCCGCCAGACGCGCAGCCACAGACGCCAACCACGCACGTTGGCAGGGATATACAAGTAATATTGGACAGGGATGGCTCCGTCTGAGCTTCTCTACATTGGTCATTGCTATATGATATAGCATCTCTTCGCATCCTCGGCTGTCTGGAATTAATGCCGCCTCTCGCCGCCTCTAGAAGACCATGCCCCTCCCGCTCACAAACAGCCTCCACCTCTCTCCCGCAACCGCAACTGCATCACCTCCCGCACCAGCCCCACTACCCAATCCCCACCTCACCACCTGCCTGGCAATCTTCCTAGCCGTAGCCGGCGGAACATTAGAGCTCAAAGTAAGGTACACCTCGTAGGGAGAGGCCGAGTCTGGATCTACCACCAAAGGACCAGTCAGATGGCTCGTAGTGGGCGCGGGAGGAACCTCGATGTAAAAGGCTTCGTGCGGTGTGCGGAAGTAGTGCGAGGTGATGTTCGCTTGCGGTAAGAGGGCACTGGGTATAGTCGCGGGCGAGGCCTCTTCTGCTACCGATGCGCTGTCTTTGGGCGTTGAAGTAGAGGTCGTAGAAGAGTTTTCTTCAGCATCTTCGGCTGCTGGTACATCCTTCGTCTCTGCGCCTCTGACCTCCCGGTCAGCACCAGTCTCACCGTCTGGCGTTGTAGTTGGCTGCTTCTCCTCTGTCGTTGATTTTCTGTTGCGCTTGGCAGCTTCACTGGCAGAAAGAGTCTCCTTGCCTTTCCTCGTCTTCTTGCCGCTTTTACCCATTCTCGCGCCAAGAATGCTCAACTCTCTAGCTCGAGCATACGTCTTTCTCACTCTATCCCGCGCAAGAACAGCCTCTAGGCTGTCTCCTGCATACGGCTCAATCCATTCAGACCATACAATTTGCAGGTCGTCCTTCTTCTTGAGGACAAAGTGTCGCAGCCCTGGAAGACGAAGAGAATCTGGCGAAATGGGAGCTTGCGTCAAAGAATGAGAGAGGGAGGCCAAAGGTGAAGGCGGCAGACTCAGAGCCTTGACCACACCGTCTCTCCAGATCCCGATCTCATCGAAGCTCTCTCGATCGGCAGTCACAATGACAAGGGCGCATTCTGCCTTACGCTTGCTGTCCTTTGCTGTTTCAGAAGAGCCATCTTCCTCCTCTTGACGATCGGCCCTCTTCTCGTGCTGGTGTGGATCACCGTGCAGCCAAGAGATGTGAGCCTGGACCATTCCCTGGGGTGCAAATCTCGGAAGACAGATCGGGATCCAATTGACCGTCCCTGGCTCGCGCTGTGTCCGTCGGCTCATACCGACAATGGTATTCATCAACAAATGAAGGTCCAGCGGATAGGCTGACAGTCTCCTGGGCCTGAGCATCGTGATGAGCTGCCCATCTGCAGTGATAAGTAGAATATATAGCAGATCCTTGGGTCGCGGAGGGATCTTGAATTCCATTCTGAGCTTCGAAGGGTCCAAGTCGGCCTTGAGGAAATCAGACCGAGAGTGCTCACCATTGGGGCTGTCCGGAACATTGAGAGGGCTGGATCGCCCACTGTCTCCCGCTAGCACTCTGCTGAGCGGACGGTTCTCCCACCTTTCGAGGCTCAGACAGCTTCCCAGATCTTCTCTGAGCTTAAGGTCCAGTCTAGTCGGTCTCAAGCAGATGCCTCCGCCACCACCAGCGCCCAAGATGAGACCAAAGTCGACTTGACATCTGGCGACCAACGAGGAGAGGATACCGTCTGTACCTTCGAGCATCCTTCTCAGGTCAAAATTATGACCACGGGCGAAAAGTCCTTTCAGCTGAGACTCTGATATAAGGGAGATCAGTCCGGCATGCAGAATCTCGAGATGAGCTTTCAAAACTGTCGCAGAGTCGGAATAGATCTGACCGCCGTCAGACCAGGTAGACGTAACGGCGAGATAGAGAGGCCCTCGCATCAGAAAGACGACTCGGCTCGAGGACTTGGGCAGCTGAAGAATCTCGATAGATTTGCTCTCGAGTACTGCCAGGCCCTTGTCGAAGTAGTTGGAGATGAGGGCTTGAAGTACGCCGACTTGCACAGCGCTGTCCTCTTCATCCTCGTCTGATGCGACTTCGTCTTTCTTTCGAGCGGCCTCTTCTTGGGCGCGAGCCTCGTTGTCCTCCTCGTCCATTTGAGCTAGCTTCTCGGTACGGACTTCGCTGCCTTTCGGTAGGTCTGCCCTTTGCTGAGCTCGATCCCTCTCTGCTTGTCGCAGAGCTTTAAGCCGAGCCCTTGCTGCGTCTTCTCTCTCTAGCCTCCGGGCCGCCAAATGGGACAGGAACACAGGCTTTCCGGCTTGCGTCAAAATGAAGTATCTCCTCTCTGGTAGCGTCTCGCCAGTTGGGGGATCACAGGCTCCAGGCAGCTCTTCGACGTAGTCAAACGTATTCAGCCCTCTGATGGTTGGCGATGAGCTCCTTGATTCGGGCACAGAGTCCACCTCCGCTACAAGGCGAGAAGGTAGGAGACTCCCCTCGACCTGCCTGCCTCTTTCGCTACCTCCAGTTCGCTTGTCGCTTACCACCTTGGCCTTGTCCCTCTTCTGCTGTAACCGCGTCTGAGCGGCTCTCCTCTTTTCTTCATTCTTTGCTCCTATCCGTAAAGTATCAGCAGCTGATTTAGCCAGAGCAGCGTCATCGTCGTCGTCGCTCTCCACGATGGATCGTGGGCGAGACGGGCCCGCTTCGGCCTGACTCGTAGTAGCAGGCTCTCGATCTTTGCCCGAACCGCGAAAGGGATTCGTCGTAAGAGTGCTACCCCATCCTGCAGCAGTACTTGTACTTTGCTTGAAGAAGGACAGAGAACCACTGGCAGCCCGGGAAGTCCAGCTGCTCCAGGCTGACCCCTTGGCTTCTTCCGTCTCTGTCTCCTTGGACTGTTCCGGGGAGTTCGCTGCATCGTCTTTGGTACTGCCAATAATCCCCTCCTCACTAGGGCGCGTTACTTCGATCTGCACTTCAGGACCATGAGAAGGGCTTGTCCTCTCTGAGCTCCCGATTCCTTTGGCCTCCATTTGGCTTGGCTCATCCGCCCCATTCGCGACGATGACCTTCACATCGAGTGGACGATCACTCTGTTGCGCTTCTGTTGTCTCCACCGGGCCAAGAGTGGTATCCATGGCAGACCCAAGTCTCAGACTGAGCTTTGCTGGCCTCTCCTCCCTTTTCGGGCCTTGCAAAGTCTCATTGGCAGCCTCCGCCTCCTCTATCAGCCTGCTGCCGCCTAGAGAGAATTTGGATCCATCCTCAGCCGAGATGCTAGGAGAGGCTAGCGGGGTACTAGAAGTGGAGCTCGAGCTGGACGCCTCAGCCAGCGCGAGACTTTTCGAGGTCTCGGTGAGAGCTGCTGACTTGCGTGGAGATAGCGTGGCTAGGAAGTTAGGAGCTGCGAGAGAGGGGCCGTGGATGCTCTGGGGACGAGGGGATGCAGAGCGGGAGATGACGACTGGAGCTGGGTGGGCCTTGGCTGGGAGGTGAGGCGAGGCAGAGGACGAGGAAGAGGGAGCCATCACTCCCCGTAGAGGGACGAGCGGTACACCAACGACAGAGTCGGAGGTGATGGTAGAGGAATTAGGCAGAAGCAAGGCAAACAACAAGGTGGAAAGAGTAGATGGCAATGACATTTCCCAGCCGCGGACGGATCAGCCAATTTCCGACATCGGGCTCGGAAGAACGGAATTTTGACTTGTCTGCCACACTCCCCACGAGGCGTCCATCTTCATGCCAGAGCATCACCTAGAACCAATCGCCATCGAGAGCATCGGGAGGATTCTGGCCTTCGATGCCCAGCTCCTTCAACACGTCATTGTTTGACAGCGAGCTAGCATCTTGTGCTGCAGCAGTCCCACGCAGAAGCGATAGACGGTCAGCTCTGATTCTCTTTCACACGTGCGAAATGTAGACTCACATGCTAGCTTCTCAAGCGTCTTCTGATGAGTATCTCCAACAGCCACGGCTTCCTCGGCCTCCTGCTCTCGCTTCTTGATCATCAGCAGCTCGACGCCGGCTCGGTCCAGCAGGTCCAGATTCTCGGGTCGAGCGTAATTGGTACCCTTCGATTCGGCATTGCCACCAAAGGTCTCCTGGAGCTCGCCATCGCTCAGCTGTGCGCGAGAGGAGGGATCTAGTCCAGCGGGAGGGGCGCCAGCTCCAGTAGCCGGCAAGGTAGGGTTCCTCATCTGGAGCAAGACGCTGCTCTCCTTGTGCAAGCCCAGCTCCGTTTGCACATCGCCGAAATCCTTATCGTCATGAGGATGGCTGAGCGCGTACGAAAGGCGCACCTGTCGCGAAGATGGTGGCTCTGTCTGCGAGACTGAGATCACATACCAGCCACGACCCACTGGGCGAGCGGCCTGAACTACCCTGTCACCAGCTGTCTTGGTGGAATAGCGGTTCTCGGCAAGTCCTGCCTTGAGCGAGTCGAAAGAGGGCTTCACGTCGGAGACTACTGCCCAGATACTGTACATCGAATGGTCAATGAGGTCAGCTCTGAGTCACAAGTCAGCGGACCGGAGTCTCACGTATGTGCACTCACGCTTCGCTGGAATCGCCTCCTATACCTCCCGGGGTATCTCCTTGCTTGATTGCCGCATTGGGCTCTGGCAGGCGCTTCTTACCCAATCTGATCAAGCGCGCGCCAATACCGCCCTGTCGAGCCACTTCTCCAGTTTGCTCTGACTTGTTCTCTACACCCTCAGGAGGGTTGCTTTTGGCAGGAGCAGTGGAAGAGTCCGAGGCGCGGGGCAACAGAAGAAGATGGAAGTTTTGGGTGTCGTCGATGCACTTGGCAGCTGGCTCGTCGCTCGCATCGGCAGTTTGAGCGGGTTGAACCTTGGGCCTGTAGAAGAAGTAGATACTGCAGAGCAAAAGAGGGGTCAGGAGAGCTGAGCTGAAGGATACTTCGACCTTGTGATGTGTACTCACTGCCCTCGCTCCACGATGTCCCACTTGACATCCTCGCCAGACCCCGAGGTGTCTGTATCCTTGCCGTCAAGCTTCTTCTCTGTGCTGCTGACCTGCTCTGTGTCCGGCTTACTCTCAGCAGCTTTACTCTGATCAGTCGAGGCCGGAACATCCTCTTCCTTCTGCTTCTTCTCAGCGTCGTCCTCTACTTTCGCGGCTTTAGCCGGAGGCGGACCGTCCTCTTTCTCAGCGCTGTGGCCATTTGACTCTGTTGGCGCATTACCTTTGGCTGCTTTTACGTCCTGTGGGGTCTCCTCGGCCTGCTTGCTGTCGCCGTTGCCTTTGGGTTCGTCGTCCTGCTTTCGCTTAGTGGCGGTGGTCGAGCTGGTACTGGTAGAGAGACTGGGGCCGTCGGCACTCTTGTCGACCTGAAGCTTCTGCTGCTGCTTGCGAGTTGTCGGCATTCTGTTCAAGGTTTTGTATGAGATTGCGATATGGTGAGATGTGCTCGAACAAGTGGGAGCGTGACCCCCTTCGATGAGAAGGTTGTACGCGAGGTGCGCCTTCTTCCCACTCTGGCGAGGCGTGTGGAGGTGTGGAGATGCAGTGCGGGCGTAAGCAGCCGCGATCGAACCAGTCGACAGACTTCACGTCAAGCGCCAACAAACTGCAAGCAGAAGTCTGCGGTCGATGACCGTTGAGACCGAGAGTCGTGTGCATTGCCATGACTAGATAAGCAGCTTCGTGGTGTGACCTTTGGGGGTGAAGCAGCAGTAAGGCCTGGAGCGGTGAGGACGCGTCGTGAATGGGTGTTCGAGTAAATTGGCACAGGCGGCTGGGCGGAGCCTGAATCGGTCCGAGCATGGATCAGATGGCAGGAATCAATCACCTCATGTCATACCCAGCTACTTTCCCAAGCACCTTACCATCCCTCTTGGGCCATACCCCTTCACCAAGAGCATACAGTGTACGAAGAGTCTCCCGAGAGTAGGTTCCTACTCCTCAGCAGCCTCTCTGTGCTCGCCTTGACCGGCTTCATCTGCCCACGATGCAAGTCGTCACCCATCTCCACAAGCCTTCCACGCAGCTTCAGTCCGCCGTCCTCCCCACCTTCCTCGACGCTGAGCACCCGTCCCTATGCATCGTAAAGCACAGCTCCCTCGACTTCCTCCTCCTTCCCTCTGCAGAGGGTAGCCGTCGGGCAACCCAGGAGCCTCTGGGAAAGGTCGCACACGTCGATGTCAATGCTCGCATCCTCGCAGTCTCCCCCTTCACAGCGCACGGTCGGGAGCGACTGGCAATACTCACAGACCATCATCAGCCCCGCCTTTTGGTCCTCGAAGCTCATCCACACGCTTCAGCTGGGCAAGATGCAGCATTCAACATCGTCTGCAATGCCACAATACTCCTCGATGAGATGGCTAGGCTGCCTGCCGAGCTAGGACTGGGAGTGTGGACTGTCAGTAACGGTGGCCGGCAGGCAGTGGTAGCGCACACCCATTCTGGCATCTTGCGAGTATTGCCGACTGCAGAAGTCGAAGCAGAGCAGCAGTCGGAATATGCGTCAAAGGTATTCTCGGCAAGGTATGTACAGGAGCCTTTATCGAGATCTCTACTCCTGCTGATGATAGTCTGCGATTCCCCTTTTCAGGCTACCGCATCCCACCATTCTGTCACTCGCACCCATTGATCGTCCTCAGAGCGAAGATCTCACCATTGCGCTGCTTTCTATCTCTTCGACGCCTTCCAGCTTGCCAGGTCTGGGCTCGCAGTGCCTACCGGTGCTGTCCTTCCACTCCATTGACGAAGCCAAGCATGACCTAGTACCTCTACCATGGGGCGGTCCTGATCGCAAGGTGCCACCTTTGATCGAGGAATTCAAGACTGGTACCTCTGGTGCCGAAGCCAGTGGCAGCGGCAGTCAGTCGGCGAAGAACAATGGGCCTCAAGCTAAAGGCAAGACGTTTACGCCAGAAGAAATTAGAGCTCGAGAGCAGAAGCTGGCCAAATCAGCATTGGGCCGCTCGCACGTCCCACTGCCCTTCGCCGACGCTTTGGGGGCTCACCTCATCACTTCGCTCCCCGCGAGCGCTGGTGGCGGCGTCATTGTCTGGAGTGAGACCTCCGTTCTGATCGTACCACCACCAGCACCGCAAGGGGCGAGTGAGGGCCAGGAAGCGGGTCAAGAGAGTCCATCCACGGCCCGAGGTAAGCGAAGGAAAGCAAGCGTCACTTCGCCAGGAGAGCGTCGAGCTAGTCAGAGTTCTGCCAAGGGCATCCCACCGCTCCCTAGCTCTGGCAGTGGCTCAGCTCTCTCGACTTCGCCGGACACGGCCATCGTGGCACATTCTCCCTCTTCTCAAGCCAACGAGCACGGCAAAAGGCGCAGAAGTTCGGCGAAGAAGAGCTCCATCTCCATTGCGGCAGGGGCTCAGCCGGAGCCTTTGGACACTCTGTCCAATGCGCCTTCTGACACGAGGAGCAAGATGCTACGTCTCGTTCTCCCACGTCCGGTACAAATTACATCAGCAGAGATCGTCAAAGAAGGCGATGAGGCAGTGGTGCCCAACCAGACAGGTGGAAGAGCGACTCTCAGCGTTCTGTTTGCTACGATGGCTGGCTCCTTGAACATGCTAGAGATCTCTCTAAGCCGTCAAGACAAGAGTGAGTCCTGGCGCCCAAGGTCTATGAAAGCAACCAAGATTGGCGTTACGCCTCGAACATCCGGTCCCGGCTCTCTCACGTATCTTGGAGAAGGCTACGTTCATGCTGCTAGTGCCAGCGGCGACTCGTCCATCGTTCAGCTTCTATCGGAGTCTAGTGGCGCTCAAAATGACGCATCGAACGACACCGTTGACGATGTTGAAATGGTCAGTCCTCCCGTATCGCCCATCAAGTCGTCTTCCCAGCGCAAGCTATCAACAAGTGCTGGACCAAGTATCTCGACCGCTCTAGCGCACTCCCAAGCACTTGCTCAAAACAAGTTCGATGCCGATTTGTCCAGCTCTACAACAGTTGCGATGCGTTCCATCATGACCTTCCCATCTTTGGCTCCACTCCTTGACTTTTTCATTGACGGTGACGCCAATGCTCCTTCTGGTGGCACTCAAGCAAGAATCATCGCTGCTTGCGGAAGTGGTCCCGATGGAGCGATCGCTGTCGTCAAGAACGGAGTGAGCATGGAGGAGTTGGGCTCACTAGGCGTGTCTGACATTCGCAAGCTCTGGAGCGTTGATCTGGGGACATGCGTGGGCATCGTATGCGGCTTTGCAGAGCATACACAAGTTCTCGGCTTAGGAGCCGAGGGCGTGATAGACGTGAGCGATTCTACGGGTCTCGATCTCTCAGTCAAGACTATCGAGGCCGCAAGCCTGGGGTCAGGCATATGGGCTCGGGTGACCGAGGACGCCGTGTCCGTCGTTTCGCCTAGTGGAGTGACGTCAACTTGGTCGCCGTCGCAAATGGAAGGCTCGGTAGTCGGCAACACAAAGATCATCGTGGCAAGCTTTGACCCGGCCTCTTCTCAGGTCCTGCTGGCTCTCAAAGGTGGACATGTTGCTCTTCTGACCATTCAGGGAGAAGGTATTGCATTGACGGCGAGCGCTTCCCTTGCAGGGGAGGTCTCGGCTGTCAGTCTTGCGCACGGCATCGCTGCTGTTGGGCAATGGAAGACCAATTCCGTCCGACTGTTGAGTGCGCCGGGCTTGGAAGATCTCACACCCAGCTCGATGGAAGAAGAAGAGGGAGACTTCGGCTCTCTCCCTCGAAGTCTTCTGGTGCATTCCTTCGACGAAGATGACGGCGATGCTTCACAAAAGCAGCTGTACCTCCTCATTGGTCTTGCTTCTGGAGCGGTCGTTGCGTGCGCTCTCGCGTTGCCTACAGCAGATTCGATCTCAAAGTCCATTGGTGTCTTTGACAGGAAGAGTTCCGCTTTTGGTCTCCAGCCGATCCGGTTACTGCCGTTTACTACCACACAGGGGAGACGAGCCGTCCTTGCGATCAACGGAGAGACGCCAACTGTGATTTGGGCGGAGAAGCGCCGATTGATCTTCTCTGCTGTCAGCTACCCGTCTGTCATGGCCGCTGTTCCCATCAGCATCCCAGGTGCTGAGCCCACGCTCGCCTTGGCTCTGCCGGATCGCATTCAGCTCACGTCCATCAAGGAGATTGGCAAGCTAGAGATCAGCAAAACACATCTGGGTCTTGACAATCCAACGGCGATTGCCGGATTGGGCAGAGATGATAGAGGCTACCATCGCTACTTCGCCGTTGTCACTACCCCCTTCAGGCCAGAAGGCAACTCGACGAGAGAGTCTAGGCCGTCCAAAGTCATCCTTTTTGACAGTGTCACCTGTGAGCCACTGAGCTCTATAGACCTAGAGCCTCGAGAGCGTGCTGGATGTATCGGCATGATGCAGGTCGACGGTGAAGAGTACTTGGTCGCCGGAACAGGCTTTGTCGACCCTTATGAGAGCGAGGTCTATTCAGGAAGGCTGATCGGCTTCGCCCTCAAGGACCCCAGCGGTGGGGCAGACGACAAGGACGAAGCGGTGAACATGCAGCTCGTGCAAGCCTTCGAGAAGCAAGTATCTGGCAATGTCTACGCGGTAACTTCGCTTCTGGGCAATAGGCTGGTGGCTGCCATCAACTCAGAAGTAATCAGCTACTCGCTCGAAGATCTGCAAGCCTCAAGTGGTGGTGGCGCAATGGAGGTCGACTCTAGGGAACCGCAGATGCGACTTCGTCAGCACTCCAGATGGGGATGTGCCTTCATCGCCTGCACCCTCTCCCCCATAGCCGACGAGCCACAGCGCTTCCTCGTCGGTGACGGTCTGCGCTCTCTCTGCGTGCTTCGCGTTGACGCTGCTACGGGTGCCCTGAGCGAAATTGCCCGCGACTGCGATCCCTTCTGGACAACGGCGTGCTCCTCATTAGACTCCAAGTCACAGACCTTCATCGGAGCCGACATCAGCTTCAACCTCTTTACGGCACAACGCGCCACGCTAGCTCCAGAGACGAAGCGACGAATCGAGCGCGAGGCGGAGAAGCGTCGGGAGCGTGCCGAGAGGGGGGAGGGCAGTGCGGCCTTGGGTAGCTCGAATGATCCTCCCGTGCTGAATGTGGACGATGAAGTCGAGGGAGAGTGGAGTCACATCATGGAGAGGAGAGGAGCCTGGCACTATGGTGATCTTATCAACCGCTTCAGAGAGGGATCACTGGTCGCTAAGGCCACCACTGGCACAGCTACGGGTTCGGGCAGTGCAGCATCGACGACGACCACTGCGGCAGGGGCGGCCGCACCACCCATCGACCCCCGTCTGGTCTTTTGCACATCGTCTGGTGCACTAGGAATCATTTCCACACTAGACGAATCCGCCAGTCAGGTCCTCTCGCAGGTAGAACGCAATCTCCAAGAATACCTCAGCGCCCCCTCCTCGTCCGCCTCCAGCTCTCTCGCTCCTCTGGGCGAAATCTCCGCACGCGAATACCGCACCCTCCGTACCGACCACCGCACCGCCGAGCCTGTAGGGTTCATCGATGGAGACGTCCTTGTGGGAGCGTATGCGCTCGGGCTAAGCGAGACGCAGAAGCGGGAGGTGCTGGATGATGTGATTGGTGTTGCTGGAGGGGGAATGGGAGAGGGTGTGGGTGTGGGTGTAGGGAAGGTAGAGGCGTCCAAGGAGGTCGTTGATGAACTGGTCGCGGCATTGAGTCGGGTCTGTTAACGGATCGAACATGAGTGCAGGTGTCGCAATGTACCTTGCTTGAATGTCACACCCTCTTCATGAAAATAGCGGAGCGATACAGAGTGGTCACTCCCCCAAAACTTAGGAGCATCTACCCTTTCCTTTCATTTCACTTCGGACTATTCACTCACTTCGGATGCCCGCCGACAATCAAAAGCTGCTTTGCCTCTCCATCTCTCCTTGAACCACGCAACGCAACGCAACGTCCTTCTCCCCCCTTTCCCTTCTCCTTCTCCTTCTTCTCACCCTCTTCCCTCTTCCCAATTCATCATCCCTATACTCACTGCTCATCCCTGTGCTCATCACTCACTCCAAACCCAAAAAACAAAACCAAGAGCAGACTCTTCAACCAGAAGAACATCGTCTCTCCTGGTCTCATCTGTCCTATCAAGTCACAACATGTCTCCATCCCCTCCTTTGCAAAGACCTTCTGTACACCCCCTTTGCTTGCTTTGCTTTGCTTACTTACCCTTACCCTTACCCTTACTCTTACTCTCTTACTCTCGAGAGAGACAAGAAAGAGGAGAGAAGAAAGAAAAAGTCAAGTGCAAATTAGGTCTTCTTTCTTTTTTGGTTCTTCTTCTTGGAAAGTTGGTTAAGTAAGTAGGCAAGATACGTAGAGAGGCAGATGGATACGTAGGCAGGTAGGCAGGCAGGTAGGTAGATGACTTTCCCCCTCCCCCTCCCCCTCCCCCCCTCTCTCTCTTTTCGGGGAAAAAAAGTTACTGGATAAGAAAAGAATGTCTGTCTCTCCCTTCTTGAGCTCCCCCCAACCCCCACCCCCCAACTATTCGCACAGCGGCCTTCCTGACTCAACTTCCTCCCTTCTCTCTCTCTCTCTTCTCTCTCTCTGAACCTTGGGAAGCTGGGAAAAACTGGGAAGCGATGTGGATGTGCGGGATGGGAAACGTTTTTGAGAAGCCGAGCTAAAGTGAGTGAGTGGAGCGAGTGTCTTTACGACAGGCTTGGGAAGGCGCTTTGGTCGTCCAGGTTGACGTTGGCACCAGCACCGCCGCGGGAAGCACCAGCAGCACCGCCACGGCCCCTAGCACCTCCACGTCCACCACGGCCACGGCCCTCTCCCCGTCCCCTGCCACCAAAGTCACCACGGGCACCACCTCGTCCTCCTCGTCCACCAGATCGCTGGACAGGTGGGGTGTTGAAGGTCTGCTCAATCTCCAGCACTTGCTTCTCCTTGCGCTCACGTTGAGCACGCTGCTGCTGAGCAGCAGACTTGTTGCCGCCGGCGACGATGTAGAAGTCGTCTTGACCGCCAGCGGACTTGACGACGGGCTTGCCGAAGCCTTCCCACTCCTTTGAGTCTGACACGGTACGGGGACCGGCGCCCTTGCCGACGGCAGAGAGCTTGGCCTTCTGAGCAGTGTACTCGGCGAGGTACTCCTCGTAGGTCTTGGTGTTGTCCTCCTCCTCTTCGGGGATGGCAGCGGGGGCAGCAGCACCCTCAGCGGCGGTCTCGGTAGCCTCAGCAGGGGTGCTGGTACCGTTGGCCTCAGTCTTCTCGGCCTTGGCATCGGTGACGGCGTCCTCCTCGGCCTTGAGCTCACGCTGGCCGTCAGCTCCACCCCAGCCAGCCTCGACTGCCTTCTCGGAGTCACTGTGAGGAAAGTAAAGAGTGAAGGGCAGAATATGAGCAGCTGCACCTCATGCATCCGCTGTTTCCTGTGTCAAATGTGTCTACTCACACTCGGCCAGTAGCGGAGTGTCGGTCAAATTGGCGACCACGACCACCGCGGCCTCCACGGCCACGTCCTCGGCCTCGCTCGCCCTCAGCTCGGGGCTTGCGTTCTGTGGGAGATTGTAGGGTAGGACGTGAGGGATTGAGTCAATACGTATGGATCTCGAGATGCCGAAGGTCTGCCTCTTCGTGGGCGCAGTCAGGCAGCCCACCATGAGGGGTTGCCATGCATCCTGCCCGTAACGTGGATCAGGCCAAGCCTGCTAATGCGCAACGCTGACCGCTAACGACAATCCCCGCATCCCATAGAGTGGGCCACGATTCTACTCTTGGTATTGACGACTTCAATTCCATGGCCAAGCTACTCACCCCTTACATCGCGGTTCTGTTGTCCCTCCTCACCACCGGCAGCAGCTCCACCCTCGACGTTCCTTCGAGCTCCACCACGGCCACCAGCGGCGGCGGCACCACCACGGGGTGCTCCTCGTCCAGATCCGGGGACGTTCCTAGCCGGTGCAGCAGCAGCAGCGGGGGCGGCAGCGGCAGAGGTGGGCTTGGCAGCAGCGGGGGCTGGTCCGTCCTCGTCTATGAGATGGGAAGAGCAAGTGGAGGAAGTGACGGATGTTCAGCATGAGCTTGTTCTGGCATCTAACCGTGCGAAGGAGCTGAGGCAGGCCGCTGCAGAGAGTCGACCCTTGGTACCTCGATCTGCCGGCTTCTCATCACCTGCGCCCGGGGACAGTAGCGCTCCGGCTGTCTGGCTGCACCCAAAGTCTTGTGACACTCACCACCAAGGAGGGCGAAAGGGTTCTTCGAGTTGTATGCCATTGTAATGGATCACTCGAGAGGAGGATAGAAGAGAGAAGAGAGAAAGAGAAGAAAGGAGGAAGTCCTTTTTTAAAGATGCCTTCTTTCTTTTTTTTCGTAGGTAGATTTAGGCGCAGCGATTCCCTTTGATGCTGGCCTTTGAAAGTATGGGTTCAGTCGCAATGAACGAGCGGGGGAGTTGGGGAGATGTAGAGACCGAAGGTGGCTCTTGGCAAATGGATCCCTCTTGGATGTAGATGAGGGGGTAAAAGGGGGGGGGATGGGAGGGGAGTAGGTAGTCTGGGAGAGTGTGAGATGGTGGTGCGGTGAAAGGGCAGGCGGGGAGGACGGCGAGGAGCGGCAGCCAGGCCCAAGAGCGAGAAGGACTGAGGGCCAGCTGTTGCGCGTGCAGCCAAGCGACCACACGCGGGGGGCGGACCCTCTGCACCACTAGGCGGAGCCCGGGCTGCCCGGTCGGCCGAAACCCACTCCTTCCGTTCCGCATTCACACTGCGGTACAGCTCACTCCATCGTGCCCAAGTAAGCGATTGCATCGTCAGAATCATGAAATCGCATTGGTACATACGACGCAGTGATGACGAGAACAGCATCTTCCCCTTCCCTTGAAGACAATGCGATTCCGCACCAATGGGTCCGCGGCACCACCCTCCATTCAGGCGCAGCATAGCACAGCAGAGACACCGAGCCGCCAAATTCACATGCAGTCAGACGCAATGAAGCAATTGCCATTTTTGTAGGATGTGAGAGACAAGAGTACAATGAAGCGAACACAAGGGGAGCAGAGGAGACGCAGACGAGTACTTTGGACCATTGGAGATAGTGGGGAGGAATGCCGAGACGTAGAGTGATGGCCTAGTACTGTCGAGTCAATCCCCCAAGAGGCAGCTTAATCTAGTAAGCGGCAGCGGGGGCAGCCTCACCCTCCTGAGCCGAAGCATCAGCCTGGCCAGTGTAGCCCTGAGTAGGGGCAACCTCAGCAGCAGGGGCCTGGCGAGACTCGGAGACGGGGGCGGTGATGGGGGCCTCCTCCTTGGGCTCGAGGATGGTGACGTTGTCGGGCAGAGGGAAGGGCTTGCCGGCCTGTCCAGTGGGGTCCCAGCCGGACATGATCTTGACCTTGATACCCAGAACACCCTGCTTCATCATGACGTGGCGCACGGCCTCGTCGACGAAGTCTCGCACCGGTTGACCAGAGTGAATCATGAAACCGTCGGTGAACTTCATGGTCTTGGCACGGGCAGCACGCAGCTTACCCGAGATGATGACCTCGCAACCCTTGGCACCAGCCTCCATGACAAATCGCAGAACACCGTAGGCGGCACGTCGGACGGCCAGACCACCGAGGAGCTTGTAGCGGAGAGACTCGCACTGGGCAACGGCGTGCAGACCACGGTTCTGGACCTTCTCGGCGTAGAGCTCGAGGGATCCCTCGGGGAAACGGAAACGCTTCTGAACCAGAGCAGTCAGCTCACGGATTCGGCGACCCTTGTCACCGAGAACATCCTGGGTGTGGGTGGCTCGGATGATGATCTCAGTTCGGGCGTGGGTGACACGGACCTCACAGCCAGAGTATCCCTCCTCGGAGAGCTCTCGGGTGAAGAACTCGTTGAGCTCGGCAGCGAAGACTCCGTCAGCTACGAACTGTGGGAGTGGGTAGCAAAGGCGTGTGTTTGTCAGATTGCTGTTTCCTCGTATGTGGATCTTCATGGGGGTGCAGTGGCACCTATAAAGACCCTGCTGACCATCGTCTATCGGCTATACAATGACCTCCCCGAATTGAGTTGGCTGTCTTTCCAAGTTGATTCTCTCATGCCCAGATCCAACGAGCAGTGTCGTGACGGTCCATCTGACCCCTTTGCCTAACCATCCTCGATCCTCATCCCGCACTGATTCCTCTGGAGATTCCGACCCCTGCGCTGCGTATGCCAAAGTGTCTGCACCCATAGCTACGGCTGGATGCTTACCTTCCTCTTCTTGGAGATCTGAGAAGACATGATGTGTGATGTGTCGAGGTTGAGGGTGGTGAGGTGTGAGAAAGGGAATGTGTAGAAGGATGAGTGGAAGACGTTCTGAGTGGCTGCCTGACCTGAGTGCGGGTGTGCGTGCCCCTGGCCGTGGCCCATGGCTGCGTCTCTGCGTCTTCCTCTGCCCCGTCTGGTCTGGGAGCGGAGATGGAAATGGACAAAATCGAAGGCAGCGGCACGCGCGCGGTCCAGGGAGGCAGGCGGGCGACGGGCAGCAGCAGCCTCGGGGCCACAGGCAGGCAGCCAGCCAGGCCAAGTCCCAGCCAGGCGCAGCCCCACCTCTGCCTCGTCTTCTGGAATTTGACCAAGTCTTCTCACCAGTACACCATCTCATCCTCGTCATCCTCCTCACACCCGACTCATAGCAAGGTAAGCATCCACATCAATCACACTCGTCCCTCCCGAACGGCCTACGCAAAGGACAGCCCTCCTCCAACATCTGCTGGGTCTTTGGCGCGAGAGGCAGCACATCCTTCCGCCCAGGAAGAAGCTCGTCCCGCGACACCACGTACATCGCCCCTCGTCAAAAGACGGCGAGCAGTACAGAGGAGATCAGCAGAGACCGTTCGCATGATGAGAAAACGGGGACGGTGGAACAGAGACAGGAAGGATTGCACGGCGGGGCGCGAAGGTCCTGAAGGATGCCCCTTTGCAGGAGGATCTTCTACAGCCGCTGGGTTAGCCCAATCACCTAGGCGAGACTTCTGCAGAGGGATGCAATGAGAGGTCGCAGCAGCTGAAACCTAGCTAGTGGAATGGCTGTGGGCTCACACTTAGGAATCTGGGCCTAGGGATGTGCCGCTCTTGCCCTAACGCCCTCACGCAGCAACAATGGATAGTCTTGCTGACCTTCCTCACCTGCCCTCTTCCCTACTCACCAGCATGTCGGCTCCTCAATCCGTATCCACCTTCGGTAAGAAGAAGACGGCCACCGCCGTAGCCTACGCAAAGGAGGGCAAGGGTCTGCTCCGTGTCAACGGCCAGCCCATCTCTCTGGTCGAGCCCCAGATTCTGCGCTGGAAGGTCTACGAGCCCATCCTCGTCGTCGGCGAGGACAAGTTCTCGTGAGTATCAGAGCGCAGCGAATGAGTCCACGTGATGGCATTGGAGGGACGAGGCAGTGGAATAGGCATATACGCGGAAACGGAGAAAGTGCAGTCACAGAGGAACGGACGCTATTTGCAGGACGACTAGGCAAGCAAGGTACTGTCAGGCGAACCCTTGCTCATCCATCTGCCTCTTTCCCATGCACCTCTCACCTCAGCACTGTCGACATCCGAGTCCGAGTCAACGGTGGTGGTCACACTTCCCAGGTCTACGCCATCCGTCAAGCCATTGCCAAGGCCCTCGTCGCCTACTACGCCAAGTACTACGACGCTGCCTCTGCTCTGGAGCTGCGCCAGTCCTTCATCAGCTACGACCGAACACTGCTGATTGCCGACCCCCGACGAATGGAGCCAAAGAAGTTCGGTGGAAAGGGAGCTCGTGCACGCAGGCAGAAGTCGTACAGATAGAGGATTCTCCGTCCACTCCAAAACCGCATTCCTACATTCGGTCCGTGGTCAGTCTTGGTTCCCTCCTCTGTCTCGTCTCGTGCGTCCCTTGTTGGCGCTGCGTTCCTCTCCCAGAGGTGGGGGTTCTGGAATCTGGGTTTGGCTTCTCCCTGCCCCTTTTCCCTTGCCTTTATCCTCGCACACGTGTACAACCTCATTCTTTGTTCTACTTCTTTTCTCTACCTCTACCCAAGGGTCCCTTGGCGACTTGAGAGGACCTCATGCGTCAATTGGCTGAGAATCACATAACAGTAAAGCCCAAAAGATTCAAGGTGTGAACGTGCAAGAGTGGAGTGGAGGGGGGGGGAGGAGGAGCAGAATCAGGCGATTTGATGGTGATGATGAAATTGGCATGAAATGGCATGGCCCTGAGGTGGCATGTGGTGCTGAGACTACTTCAGGTGGCTGGCTGACTGACTTTTTCAAGCAAGAAGAGAGTGTGTAATGATGGAGGAAGAGAGGTGAGAAGGAGTCTTTCTTGACCTTTCGGGGTATACCAATGGTGACGCTTACTCTCTCCCCATCTCCTCTAGCTACTTCCCTCACGCTCCGTATCCCCTTCCAGATCCCTGGGTCCTTGAATGCTCACGATGACCCTTCCTCTCTCTTCCTCCCACTGCCGTCACGGTCGCTGCTCCACCTCCTCCTGACTCTGAAGTGCCACCACCTCCTGAAGCCCTAGCAGACACTCCAGCAGCTACGGAAGCCCTAGCTCCACCAGCTCCCAGACCAACATGTCGCCACGCGCCCATTCCACCATCGTACATTCGTCCTCCACTACTCGCAGTCCCATTTCCACCACCGTTTCCATTGGTGTAGAGACCCAGTCCCAGTCCCAGTCCAAGTCCAAGTCCAAGGCCTGATCCTGGTCCATAAGCTGGAGTTGGAGCAGCACGAGTAGCAGGCGTGGGTAACTCGCTCAGACGACGCTTTCTAGCTCCAGGCTCCGTGCAGGGTCTCATTGCCGTGAGGATGGAAGAGGTCGACAAGCTAGAGGTGGATCCGAATTGAGAAAGTGGCTGGAAGCTTGGGTGAGGCAAGTGGAGACTGGTCCCGACCTGTGAGAAGCGTGCCTGTTGCTGCTGCTGCTGTCGCTGCTGCTGCCGCTGATGAGGAGCGAAATGGTGAGGCTGCTTGACTGGATAGTGAAACGTCTGCGAAGAGGCGGCAGAGGTGGGCGTCTTGGGTGAAGAGGTAGGCGTATCCTCATCCGTATCGGTGGCCGTCGTCATCTCTGAATCTCTGCCTCCAGTACTAGTGCTGACCATTGTGCTGCCAGTAGTAATTGCGCTATCCTGAGATGATGTTGGCTGTGTTGATCCTTGAGAGGTACTCTGTGACGAAGTGGGTGAGAGCTCGACGCTCGTGAAGCTCATGCTGCCTGGAGAGGCACCTCTGGCATGACGGAAGAATTGGCGAACCTTTTCGTTGAGACGTCCCTTGGGTCGCCAGGGGTCCTGTGAGAGGCGAGAAGGTAGAGGAGCTCCTATGGATGAGGAAGGAGGGGCGAAGAGGTATCCGGATTGAGTGTGAGACGACATACCAGGGATGGAGCTAGCTCGTAAAGTCGTGCCATGTTCTCAAGAGCGATCTGCTGGACGGCTGCATGGAGGTCTCGCCACTGCTCGTCTCCAAAATCCTTGTCGATAGTAGAGCAGGGCGGGTGAAGGAGGGATGAAGGTCAGTTCTCATCTCTGCAGAAACCGTCGAGGTCTGAGTGATGTACTTACAGCTGCTGAGGCAGGCTGTCGACCTTTGATCTTCTTTGAAGGTGTAGGTGGACCCGTCTCCTCAAACTTTCTTCGCAGCTTTGGCTTCGCCCTTCCTCCGTCTTTCATCGAGGTGCGAGGCTGAGAGGAGGAGGTAGAAGAGGAAGGTGTGCTGATGCTGCCGACCAAGTCAGGCATGACTCTGTATCTCATGTCGTCGTCGTCATCTTCGTCTTCTTCCTCGGTTAGGCTATCGAGAGTGTCAAAATCCTTGCTCATCTGCTGCGAGAGCAAGGTACAGATGCCGCAATGCGTCGAGTGTGTAAGCGCGAGAGTGACAGTCGTAGGTGGAGGGGTGGGCGAGGGGACATTGTAGTAGAATGGCGACGGAGAACTCACGTCTGCTTCTTCGAGCGTGGATGGCATGGTAGATGTTGTGGGGTTGGCGACACTTGCACGATGAATGTGAGAACCTGGGCAGTCGATGGGTACTGAACCTCTAGCGTGGTCGAGTCTGTGATGTCTATAAGTGTCATCGTGCCGCCATGCTCTCTCCCCATTTCTAGCTCCCGAATTGCTTCTCACTTTGTCAGGGAGAAGTGTACTCTTGTCCTTCTTCACAGTTCTCTAGCTCCGAAGTCGATCCTGCGTGGCTCTTGTTTTGCCAAAGCTCATTCTCCTCTCGTCTGCCGCCTTCGCCCTCAACATCTCATCCTCGCTACATCCGCCGTTGCTGCCACAATGCGACGGGATTTGTGCGCCGAGTACGAAGAATAGATATTGATTCACACGCTCAACGATCACACACAAACAACACCCGACTCTGCCCGAACGCAACGGCAATGCAGATCACACAAGCTGGTGATTGCGGCGCAGCAGCAAACGAATCTCCCTCGAAGAAGCGTCAGAGCCAGACGGCAACGGCAACGGCACCTGAGCAGTGTTGGCCGCCCTTCTACGGAGGATTCGCCGATGGGCATCTAAACAGTATATCCTCATGTGGTTGCTACTACTCATGGGGGGTCACCCGCGCCCATTGCCTCAGGGCAACGACCGGAAGTACATGGATTTCATTCCGATCCGTTGCACTCGTCTCGAGTTCAACCCCCGCCTCGTGGGGGGCACGGGCACGGCAATTGGGACGGCCGTGCAGGGCGTTTCTTGTAGTCTAAGCGAACCAGTGACCGAATTGCCATTGCTCACCAGCCAGCCAGCCATCCGCGAAGGACGTCCGCCACCTGACGCCCCTCGATGGTCTAGAACTGCCTACCCTCAGCTAGAGCACACCAATTACTTGCCGCAATCCGGTCCTCATCGTGCACATCGCAGCACACCTCATCTCCTCGCATCACCGTCCGCAACGGCTGACTACAAGCACGGCTCTTGCGTAGAAGGACCTACCCATCGGCATCAGATAGCTCAGCTAGCCAGCTAGCCAGCTAGCCTACACCGACATCGATCAGCAATCACCCAGCTCCGGAATTGGAGACTCCCTCACTTCACCCAATCGAGCCCATCGTCATCGCCACCCAGCATGGCCTGTCCCGTGAACCACCCCCTCTTCCACGCCCTCGTCTTCCTCATCGGAATACTCGTCGTCCTATCCAGATACGTCAGGGCAGATGGCATCCTCTCTGTCCCCCCACATGGCAATTTCGACTTCGACTTCGGCTTCGCTGCTACAGGGACAAGCTCGACTGGGGATCTGGTGGATTCGGATTGGGTAGAGACAATGCTGAGCTTGACGGGCGGGGTGGGGGCGGGGATTCTCCTGATGGTCAGGAGGAGGGGTAGCAAGGGCAGATCGATTGGGGAGAGGAGTGCGACGAGGCATGGGCTTGCATGGCAGCACGAGGTGAGTATAGGGCTGCTGCAGATGGAGGCAAGGTCGCTCAGCTCACGTCAGGTACCATCCATCCGTCTTTACCACAGCTTGGGGACCTCTTAGTCACATGAGTCAGCTAGGCTGCTTTCACTCCATTCCCCGCCGTATATACCCTTGACAATCTCGACGTCAGCCCCCTGTACATAGCTCAACGAACGAAATGATACGATTAACGACGACGATGCTGGCAACGTACCCCTGCATTCGATGACCTCTCGATTACACACAACCATTCCATCCCAACTCCTCCTTCTGCCCCAAAACCGTCACCTCTAGATCCTTTGGCGTCTCCTCCATCCTCACCACCAGCTTCCTCGTCCTCGGACACTCTCCATCACGCAGCATCTCCAATCCCTTTCTCACTCCTGCAAGTCCATCCTGAATGATCAAAGGCTGGACTGTTCTCAGAGAGCCACAGGCGAGGAGGTCGTGCACGTCTTGCAGGAGCTGGGAGGTAAAGGGTTGCGAGGAGTAGTATGTCGTGGAGAAGGAGATGCGGTGAATGGTAATGGCTCGTGGTGCAGCAGGTTCAGCAGCCCTCGACTTCTCGACCTCTTCCTCTTCGCGAGGTCGCTTTGGGTTCCCGGCGAGACAGATGAGCTGGCCTGCTTCTTCTTGACCTTCTCCCTCTCCTAGTGCTCGGCGAGAGGTGCTGAGTATCTCCTGACAAAGCGCAGCCGTTGAGCTCCCCACACAGTCCAATGCCCAATCCACCACTCCTTCTTGACCTGTAATGTCCCTCACACTATGTAGGATGGCCTCAGAGGAGAGGAACCTGTCGATGCAAGCATCCGCACCCAAAGACTGTAGGTAGGCAAAATTAGAGGGAGAGGCGACGCAGAGGACTTTGACGTTGCTTGCAGAGAGGTGGGCTAGCTGTAGAGCGTACAGCCCGGTGACTGCGCCACCACCGAAGATGAGCAGCCAGCGGGTATGACGACTGGGCGCAAGCGTAGGAGAGACATGCGCTGCACTCCTGCTCATACGCAGAGCAGAAGGGCTCGGTAGCACAGTATCGCCATCTTGATCCCGCCTTACCGGCTTGTCGGCCTCTTCTACCTTTCTCAGACGTCCACCACCTGTTTCCCGTGCCCGTTCAATGCCAAAGAACCAGTAAAGTGCAACAGCCGCGGTGACCAGCCCAGTGCCAATGGTAGCTGCATCGTCATCCGAGATTCGATCGGGAATTTTGCCAAGTGTGAAGGCCTTGTGTACTGATTTGGCTTGGTATGCTCCAGCACGGATATCGCGAGAGTCGGAGCAGGTCCAGACCTGGAGGGAGGAGGCGTCAGCTAGAGTGTCAGCGTTGAGGAGGTACAGCTCCTGCACATTCCACCTCTACGCACTCTATCGCCGACTTTCACATTCTCCACAGCCTCTCCCACACTCTCTACCACACCACACACATCCCTTCCCAAGACCCAGGGGAAGCGCTCAATGCCGAATCTGTAAGCCAGGCTCTTCCAGTCTACCGGGTTGAGACCCATGGTAAGATTTCTCACCAAGACCTCATCTGGTGCTGAGAGCCTCGGAGAGGGCCAGTCGGGGTGCAGCTCAAAGCAGCGTGCCCAACCTTGCGAGTGAGAGCGGATGAGCAGGGCTGACTGACTGGCTGCTGGCGTGGAGCGGTTCCACTCTCGTTCGTCTGCCAGGGACGACAAGGAGGACCGGGATGATGATGAGGAAGCGCCCAGCTCGGGCGTGGTGGAGCCTGTGCTCCTCGACTCATCTGTCTGAGGATGTGGTGAAGTTTGACCGTCTCCTTCTTTGAGGCTGGGTGATACCTGCTTGGAAGAGGGCTGTGGGTCGTGCTCCCAACCCCAGGAGACATCTTCGGCCGAGGGCAGTAGCCAAGCAGGCCATTGCGGGATGGATGAGGATGGCATAGAGAGACTGCCTGTCAAAGGGTACGACTTTGTAGCTGCCATGCTTCGAATGAGATGTACTTTGTCAAGGAAGAGTCAGAGGCTTCACATCTCGCTCGAATCACCCCCTGTCAGTGGCCCGTTGATCGAGATACGACATCCTTCACTTCCGGTCGCTCATCACCTCCTCCTCGTCGTCTCTGCGTCCGTGCGCTCCCTTGAAAGCTTTTTCTTCTTCATCTTCTCCCTGTTCAGCGGAACACTTCGGCCGGGCGAGTCGAGTAGTGGTGTTGTCATGGTTCCCCCTCAGCACGACATCGACTTATCTATCTACCGAGTCAAGCACGAGCGGAGTCACTGCCCCGCACGCACGTTGCCGGTCTCTGGTAGAGTGGCGGGGCCGAGTCAGTCAGTCAGTCAGTCAGGGTGGTCGGTGCCCGCTTAATCACCGATCACGCAAGGCGCACCGCTAAAGACGCTTTTGGCGTGCACAGACATTGACGACTTAGTGAAAGGCCCTAATGTACAGGAAGCTGAAAGCTCACAGGACCAGACGCAGGACCGTGCAAGGCGGCAGAGGAACAAAGGCAAGATCATGGGCAGACTCAATGGCGCCATGGAGGCAGAGAGAGTGACGGTACGAGACCTCGTGACCCCCGTCTTGGCAGAGGTACAAAATCACTCGCTATACTCGTTCTGCAGACATCAACTTCTTCTGCCAAGGTAGTACTTTTACCACTTTGAGTTCCATCATGGCACCAGTCGCTAGCTCTGAGCATGTTCCTGCACCTTTCCATGGCCCTTCATCGACCAAAGCGGGCAATGCCTCTCGCATCCAGGCAGACCCACAGCTGGTAGCCTACCCCACCTACAGTTCCGATCCTTCCACTCCCGAAGAATTTTACACTCGCGCAAAAGAAGTCAGTGACCTACTCGCCCAGGACGCCCACATTCGAGATCGGGGTAATGTTGTTCCTCACCGTCAAGTGCAGCTCCTGAAGGATGCAGGGCTGGTCACTCTCCTTGGCCCTAAAGAGGCAGGCGGGGCAGGGCAGACCTGGTCTGTAGCCTACCGCGTAGTGCGGATCATTGCTCAGGGAGAAGGCTCGCTAGGTCAACTTCTCGGGTACCACTACATCTGGTTCTGGACCTCCGTATTCGTCGGTCTTCCCGAGCAAGACGCACGAATTCGAGCTTGGCTCACACAGAACAAGTACTTTCTTGGCGGAGCGGTCAATCCTCGAGATGCCGATCTGCAGGCAGTGCCCAAGCAGGGGGATCCTAGCAAGCTCGTCTTCAATGGCAAGAAGACTTTTTCGACTGGAAGTAAAATATCGGATGTGACCATATTGGAGGGAGCTCTGCCCGATGGGACACACATCTTCGCCCCAGTCCTCTCGAGCGATAAGGGCATTGTGTATGGCGACGAGTGGGTCGATACCTTGGGCATGAGGGCAACACAGTCTGGAGGTATTACCATCACTGACGTTGAAGTCGACGTTGCCGACGCTCTGGGCTACGTCGATGGGCAATTTCGAGCTCTTGGACCTTTCAATACCTTGATCTTGCCTGCGATTCAAGTGAGTCCTCCCCTGCTTCTCCTCGACATTCTCGATCCTTGAGCGTAATACTGACCCAATTGCTTTCCCTGCCTCCCTAGCTCGTCTTCACTTCCTTCTACCTCGGTATAGCCCAAGGCGCCCTTGCCCGTGGTCTAGCCTACACCAAATCCAACACGCGCGGCTGGCCCTACCAACCCACGCCCGTAGCCCGCGGCACCGACGAATTCTACATTCAGGAAGGCTACGGCACGCTGCAAGCTCGTCTCTGGGCTTCTGAAGCCCAAATCGACGCCGTTGTCGATCGAGCCTCAGCTCTACTTCACGCTTCGCCACGTGAGGCGATCACGGCAGAGCAGCGTGCTCATCTCGCTGTGCGCGTCGCAGCTGCTAAGAGCAATGCGGGCGATTTCGGACTAGAGGTGGTGACCAAGGTGTACGAGTACCAGGGAGCTCGCAGTGTCAGTGGCAAGTACGGGTTCGACCTTGCCTTCAGAGATCTTAGGACCCATTTGCTGCACGATCCGCTTGCTCATAGAAAGGCCGAGGTGGGCAGATGGGCGCTGCATGCCCCTAGCGAGGAGGCTTGGCCTACGCCGACTTGGTACTCTTGACATGACAATCTGTGGAGGAGAGCAAGAGATGGAGAGAGTGTAGACACCTGTGGTCCGAATGGTCAGTGATTTAGTGTCCACCTTTTGAAGTTTTTTCGCGGAGGCAGCACTTTCGTCGCTTGATCGTCGCCTGCTGCACAGCTCTGCCATGTTCGCGTCTCTGTGATGACTTGTCAAGGGGCAGGAGTTGTCTCATTTCCCCCATGCAATGACCGGTGTGACACTCTCCGTCACGCTGTCGCTACAGTATCGGATGAGAAGCTATGTATTTGGTAGGCGCTGTTGGGCACTCGTGACAAGCTACTCCTCAGTAGCGGTATCCTTCCTCGGCTGAAGAATCGTTGTAACATGTACGGCACGTGTCAGTCATATCTTCACCAGGGTCTACGCTGCACAACTCCTACTCACCTTGAAGAACCTCTCCCGCCTCCTCTCTCTCTCTTCCCTCCACCCTCGCTCAACCGTGCCTGCGCCCTCCTCCAAATGACCCTCTACATGTGCCGAGCCGGCAGTCAATGGAGATGCGTGAGGGTATGCGCCGCGGAGAGAGTGACCAGCTGCTTCAAATGTGCCGACGAGTGCGCCGAGAGCCAGGCAGGAGCCGAACATCATGGGGATAGAACCGGCTGTTGCGGGAAGTGGTCAAGTCTGATCAGCAATGCCCTTCGCGGCAGATGTTCATCGCGGCTGATGTCCTCTGATCTCCAGCCTCATGTGCCTCCCTAAGCTGGCCTGAGGGACAGCAGCTGCAGTCTTTCCTTACTCCTCAATTGCAACTCACCTCGTGCACCTACGACGAAACCTGCTGCACATCCTCCTGCTGCTCCATTGAGAGGGTCGTCAGTGTGCCTAGCATTTGACACGGCGGCTTGTGTGAATGAGAAAACACCTCCAACAGCCGCTGCGAAGGAGCGGGGCAAGGAAAAGGGGAATATGGCGTAGGAGGGCGTAGATTTGAAATCAGCACCGATATCCGTTACCAGCGAGTCCCGTCCGCAATCTGCGACGACTTTGCAGGCTACAACAGCCCCTGCAAATACCCACTGAACAAAGCAATTGTGCTCCCTGTCCTGGTGAACACTCCCAATCCTCCGGCCTTGTGGTTGCTGGTGCTGTTCTGAATCGCCGATACGAGGGTACCGAAACCGGCCGAGCCTGCTGCAGCGGTCATTCCATCGCCGAGGGGAGACTTCTCGGTGAATTGCACGGGCTCTGGTTCAGTGGGGTGCTTGGGAGGAGGAGCCATGGTGATACAAGGTGTGGCGGAGGGAAAGAAGAGTGCGACACGAGACGGAGAGGGAGATGGTGAGGCACGACGATGATCAGTAGCAACCCTGAGCGGGACGAAGGTCTCGGGCGAGGCAGGCAACCAGGCGAGCGGGGGGTGAGACTCGACTCGACTCGACTCGGCTCCGGACGCGCGCTTCCCGAGGGGCCGGCCCTCCACCAAGGAAGCGTCAATGTCGGACAGGCGAGTACGAAGCTCCAAGGTCGTGCGTCAAGGCCCAATTCCCTTGGACATCACTTACCACCTCGCCATTAATACCAATCACTTCACATCATGGCAGACGAAGACATTGCCAGGTTCACTTCCATCACTGGAGCCTCGGATGACAGGGCCAGGTGAGTCTGCACTCCGAGCAACTCGAGTAGCAAGCGCCAGACATCTTACTCATACTTCTTACCACACCCAGGTTCTTTCTGGACTCTTCCAAAGGCGACGTCAGTGCTGCTGTACAGGCATTTTACGACAGTGGAGGAGCAGAGGGTACATCGGCAGAGGCTCAAGAAGGCGCTCAGGGTGAGTACTTGTCGGCCGCTATACTAACATTGAGGCAGGGAAGCTCACCCTTGCGCGTCACATCTTGGCTCCCCCTACCGTGGTAGCAACTTCCAGCAGCGCAGGCCCCGTGTCAACAGCTCCAGCAGCCTCCGCTCCTTCGGCTGGACCCAGGACGCTCGGAGGTGGTGCAGCCGAGCCGTTGCCCGAGGGATGGGGCTCCAGAGCAGCTACCGGCTCAAGCGCTCGTTCTAGAGGAGGAGGCTTCAGCGCCGGGGGTGGTCGAGGCGGCATTGCCACGCTTGGTGATCTCAATCGCCAAGAAGCCGAAGACGAGGGAGACGATGAGAGAGGTCCAGCAAATCTCTTCACTGGTGGAGAGCGATCTGGATTGAGCGTACAGAATCCAGACTTCCGCCGAGACGAGGGAGGACATTCAGACGCCGTTCGGGAAATCCTGAGACAGGCTGCTCAAGGCGCTCGCCGTGGGCAGGAAGAAGACGAAGGAAGTGCTCAGGCGGGTGCAGCTACTCCTCCCAGCTTCGGTGGTCGAGGAAGAACTATCGGTGGCCCCGACGAAGAAGCACCAGCAAGTCTAGCATCAGGCAGCACACCCTCTCGCTCCACTCGCTCAGGTGGAATACCCGGAGGTTTCGGTCCTACAGACGAGGACGACGACGAAGACGAAGAGGAGGAGCCTATCGCGATTCGTCACCTCACCTTCTGGCAAGACGGCTTCAACATCGAGCGCGGACCTCTACACCGCTACGATGACCCAGCCACGCAGCCCCTGCTGGATGCCATCAGGTCAGAGCGCGCTCCCCTGGCTCTCTTCGATCTCAAGTTTGGTCAACGAGTGGAGATACGAGTCGCCCATCGTATGCAAGAGAAGTACTCGGCACAGCTAGCCGATGCGGCCATTGAGCGCGAGCCACCCAAGCCTTTTGGCGGTCAGGGCAACCGGTTGGGAAGCCCAGCACCAGCATTGGCCGGTTCATCATCTGCAAGTGGGAGCGGTACCGCTTCGACTTCTTCTGCTGCTCCTTCTGGCGCAGGCGCAGGCGCAGGTGCAGTCACCCCCGCCAATTTCCAAATCGACGACTCTCAGCCCACGACACAGGTGCAAATCCGCCTCGCCGACGGCTCCAGGCTGGTGGGCCGATTCAACCACACGCACACCGTCGCAGATCTGAGGTCGTACATCAATGCTTCGCAGCCCGGCATGGCGGCCCGCTCCTATGTCCTGCAGGCGTCCTTCCCGCCCAAGCCCCTTACGGAGGAGGGGAAGACGCTCAAGGAGGCGGGGCTGGTTAGCTCGGTTGTGATCCAGAAGTGGACTTAGAGAAAGGGGGAGGAGGAGAAGGAGAAGTGAACAGAGGGCAAGGAGGTGTAGCAGAAGTAAGAAAGCTTAGATGAGAAGGTGACGATGAGCAAGTCACGATCCTTGTCTCTTGGTTAGAGTACGACTGCAACTCTCTGTGCCTTCTCGGATTTCCGCAAACTCTCACTTTGGCACTCTGAGCAATATAGTCATCTCATCTCATCTCGTCTCATCAGCCTAGAATTAGGAGCCCAACCTGGTAGACTCCGCGGCGATTCTGTCTGTGACTCATTGATTGATGGTGACATTATTGTTGGCAAGAAGAAAAAAAAGGAGAAAGATTTTACAGGAGCAATCGGGGCAGAGCGAGTCGTGGAAGTGGCTTTGGCGGGTATTGGTGACAGGGTCACGTCTGAGTGGGGTTCTACACATCTGCTATTCAATTCGGGTGACTTGGGTGACTGGGTATCTCTCTGCCCTTTCTTTCTTGGTAAGTATCTGACAAATGACTTGAATGGTCTTACTTGTGCGGTCGTGCTGTTCGTGGTATCGTCATCTCTGTTCGCCCTCTTGTCCCAATTGAGAGGTTGATTTCCTCAGGAGGGGAGCGTAAAGCAGTGGGGACTTCTCAAAGACTAGCAAGCGCCAGCAGCTCCTCGATGGCCATGAGCTTCTCTGCATCTGCGTCTGCGTCTGCGTCTGCATCAGTAGTAATAGGAGCAGTAGTGCCTTCTCCGAATCTTCCAGGTCGAGCTGGAGAGGAAGAAGAAGCGGCCTGTGCAGCAGCAGCAGATCCAGGTACGTACTTCTTCCCCGTTCCATTGCCTCCGCTTCCGCCTCCGCCTCCGCCGACACCTACACCAGCGCCAGCGCCTCGCTCTACATAGTCGACGACGGCCTGCAAGTCCGCCCTCGCGAGTCTGATAAGGTTCGCCTTGACCCTCCTAGCCTCCTCGGCGAATGATCGCTCCTCGTTCTGCTTCTCCGTGCTGGCACTGGCAGTCTGTTCAGAGCCCAGAGGAGGGAACTCCCCCATGCTTGAATCCAGGGCAGGGACGCGGATACTCTGCGCAAGTGAGCGTCGCACCTGCCCTCGCCCGAGGAGGGCCTCTCGTGCTGCCTTTTGCTGGGCGCCCTTCAAGCGGCGACCCTCAGAAGGGAGCGCGGCGCCAAGCGGGACAGTATTGGCTCCTGTCTGCGGAGGGGCATTGGGCTTCTTGTGCATGTGCGAAGGGTGCCACTTGTATTTTTCCTTGGGTGGAGAGCCTTGGGAAGAGTCGGTTTCGCCTTGGGCACGAGCTTTGGCGAGGGTGGCCTCATGAAGTTCTCGCAGAGACTGTGCCGTCGGGGAGACGGAAGGATCGCCAGTGGGAGAGACAGCCAAATTGTCTTTGTGGGGAGATGAAGCGAGACCGCTTCCACCCCTTTTAGTGGTCGCTAGGCCACTTGCGGAGGTGCCAGAGGTCAAGAGTGTGAGCGCGAGGGTGTAAGCGCGTTCGGCTTCACCATTTCTGCAGGGGATCAGAGGATGAAGGCAGTGTCAGCTTTACCAAAGCGGCAATACGTCCAGCGCCTGTCTCACGGCCTACACACTTCTTCTGCTCTTTCAAGGCCTTGCCCCACTTCAGAGCATAATCAGCACTGACAGATCCGGCGTTGAGCAGTCCATTCGCAGCCGCCTCGAGGACTGGCCAATCTCCAGCCGCATCTGCCTGCTCGACGACGCGCTGAAGTTGAGACGAGACCATGCTGGAGACTTTATGACCTAGAGCTGCCAATTCAAAGAGATCGTCCTTGATGACGTCGTGGCGGTCCAGGTCCATCTTGCCCTTTCGTGGATGATCTTCGTCGTCACTTGAACTCGAAGGCACGTCTCCCTGGCCTACAGGAGGCAGGCTGATGACAGAGCTCAGCTCCAATGTGGGGTGAGCAGCCAGTGTCTCTTCGACAACTTGGGCCAGAGTCGCGGGAGGGACTGACTGGACGAGGAGCAGAGGCGTTGCAGTGAGGCTGTGAAAGTCTACCTTGTCGGTAGCCGCGTTGAATGTCTTGTTGAGTACGTCCAGACTCTTTTTGAACCTGTAGTCCCACTTGTGATGAGACTTGGCGCCATGGTCTTCCCAAGCTAGGTCCTCCACTAGGCAACCGTTCTCCTTTTCCTCCTGCACAAAGGCATGGAGAGGCGTGTAGCGAAATGGCTCCTTGCCTGGTATGAACGGTGCAGCAAGAGGACGAGACTTGAGGATCTCAAGTGTCGATGTGTATCTTTCCTTCGCGGTCTCCTCTTCTTGGACAGCAGCTCCCTTGTCACCCTTGTGCACTGCTCGCAGCTGCACGACGACTTGGGCGGTAGCATAGCCAAGGGCGGTCGCTTTGATCTCATTGACGATCTCTTGCTTTATGAGAAAAGTGAGGACATCTTCTTCGGCAAGTTCATACTTGATCTCCTCTGGGGTGAGACATCGTCGTACAAGGGACTTGATGCGATCCAGACCCATGAGGTCTTGGCGTAGCTGGCGGAGGATCTGGGCGGAGAGGAGGGGGAGGGAATGCTTGAGACATTCGACATAGAGTGCCTTGAGCGCTTCTTGGCTTCGAGTAGGAGGAGAGTAAATCTTCAGAGACGTAGCGTCAGACTGAGTTGTGGACCTCTGCTCGACCTGTTTGGGAGGAATGAGAATCGTGTCGCAGTCTTCGCCATCGCTGTTCGCGTCTGCATCGGCAGCTGCGCGTCTGATATCGGCAGACACCTCGACAGACGGCGACATGGTGAGTGGTGGGATGGCTGATATCGAAGCAGTGGATGTATGCTGCTGTCGATGGTCCAGGTGATCCTCGTTGCTGCCACGAAGTCAAAGGGGTACGAACGAACATTTCTCACCACGCTTCCAGATTCTTGAGAGGAGCACGGGCCACTTTGCGGTCGACGCGTTGTAGTCTAGCCGCAAACGAGCAAAGGCAAGACACCCGCAGAAGCACAAGTCACAGACGACGAGGTGACGATGTTGGTATTACAAGGTGGCGAGTGTGAATATACATATATACAAGTTTTAGGCCCTCGCTCTTTCTCATTGAGCAGTGTAGTCCTTGGACAGATCCACGCCCTCCAGATGTGTGTTCTGGATGCGGACCTTCCTGCCCCTGCTGTCCCCCTTCTTGCCTCCTCGTCCGCCACGCTTGCCACCGCGATTGGCTGCGCCGGAGTGAGTGGCCGTGGATGCAATGAGGTTTGCCGAAGTCAGACCGTCTGGAGGGGAGACACGACGAGAGGCGAGATGTCAGTATCTCAGCCAGCACCGACATCCAGGGAGGACCAGTCTATGACTTACCTGCTTCCAGAGAGCGAGCGAGATCCACTGCGTCGGGGACCTTCTGCTGGTGCCACAGTTCTCGGAACTCTAAAAAAGCAAGATGCAGGAGTATTCAGAGGCAATGGCTCAGCAAAGATGGTCGGCCTCCGCTTGCCCGCCCTACCCCAAGCATCACCTCACTCACCATCATCCGGGCCCTTTGCCTGTTCTCCACGGAACTCGTTCCAAAAGACCATCTTTGCAGACTGATCTTTACCTCTGAGGACCAAGACTTCCCGCTCCTGTTTTGGTTCTGTCTTTGCAAAGTCTTCGACGGCCTCCTTCGCGAGTGGGTAGGACTCCCGAAGCTCAGCCAGCCTCATCCCTGCGCAGCGCGAAGTCTCCGAGGTGTACCGCTTCTCCAGAAGGGCGATCAGGTCGCGAGGGGAGCGCAGATCGTGTTCAGGCTAGAAGAGAAGCGTGAGTAGGTCCAGTATCAGCCAGGTGCCTGTCAGACTCGTGAGAGGGGCTTCTGCCCTCCCTTGTGCGCGCTACTCACCTTGTACATCCACAGATCCAGCTTGGCATTCCACTCCACCCTCGGATGTCCCTTGAATCTCTCCCTCAGTACCTCGTCCTCGACCAGTCTCGTCAGCCCATGAGTCAGTGCGAAGTCTTCTAGCCTCACTGGCGACTTGTGAAGCTTCAAGGCATCCAGAGCAGATACCAAGATGGTATTGTCCTTTTGACCGGCACCAGTGAGCGATGGCTGTGAGTAGATTTGTCCAGGGCCAAGACGAGAGTTGATGGAAGAGGCGGTAGCTGAAGAGGTCATCGTGACTACCAGTAGGGTGGGGATGGGATGTGTGGATGGAAAGGAAAGGGTGAGAGCGGGACACAGCGTATCTCTGCCACTATTGAAATGAATGACAGCATCCCACGAAATCCAATCCGCACGATCCGTGATCAGATTCCGGCGCCTCGGCCTCGGGCTGACTCGACTCCACCCGCGCCACGAGTCAGGCCGCGGCACAGCAGCAGCATCACGCTTCAATGCTCCTTCCGTCAGTCAGTACCAATGGTCAAGCGCACGAAGCTCAGCTCACCGCCATTCCCTCAACCCTCAAGATAATCGAGCTCACCCATAGACAATGTCGCCCAGCATAGCCATGCCTCGTCTGCCAACAGACGAAGCTTCGCGCTCCATTCTGGCCGACAAGCTGCGCTCAGCAGCTCTCAGCGATGGCCCCTCGTCAGCGTCAGCGTCAGCCTCCTCCTCCTCCTCACCTTCAGCCCCGGTCCCGGCACCACTGACCGATGGTGGCAATGTGATGCCGACATCTTCGCCCAGCGAGGAAGCTCAGACTGTCACTGTCTCAGACGTTAATCGTGCTCCGCCACCGCCGCCTATTGCAACATCATCAGCCGCGCCAGCAAAGGAGACGGCACCCCAGCCACAGCCACCCCTCCCGTACCACGAACCACCCAAGCCTCTCAACCCTCAAGAGCTCATGTTTGCCACACCGACAAAACGAATCGTTAGCCCGGCTTCGCTCAAGAGGTTCCAGAACTCAGAGGCCTTCAGTGAGATTCTGGGACTGACACAGGCGCTCAATGAGAGCGTCAAGGGCAAGAAGCTCACAGATGAGGTGCACGAAAGCGAGGTGATCAAGTCCATCCTTGCCGTGCTCTCCACCATCTCGTCCCTGGTGAACGAAACCCCAGCCGTGGAGAATGCAGCCTCTCGCTTTGGAAATCCTGCATTCCGAGACTTGTACCAGAAGATCAAGGCGCAGCTGAGGTCACTGCACGAGTCGATACCGGGACTCAAGGCGATGAAGAGTAACGGAGGGCAAGGCGTAGATGCTGTTGATGAAGTCGCGGTATACTTTCAGGAATGCTGGGGCAATGAAGAGAGGATTGACTATGGTAGTGGAATGGAGCTCAACTTCTTGTGCTGGCTGTGAGTATGATTGAGCGCAAGCTGGGCTTCCCTTTCTAGGCAAACACTGACTGATCATGTCACTCATCACTCTCTTTCACTGCTCAGTCTCTGCCTCGTGAAAGTAGGTCTCATCGATCTCTCCCGCGATGGTCCAGCCCTAGTGCTCCGCGTCTTCTGGTCCTACATCCAAGTCATGCGTAAGATCCAATCTACCTACTGGCTCGAGCCCGCCGGCTCCCACGGCGTCTGGGGTCTGGACGACTACCACTTCCTTCCCTTTGTCTTTGGTTCAGCCCAACTAGTCCCACATCGTCACCTTCGTCCCAAGTCCATCCATGATGCAGAAATTACCAGCGAATTCAGCAAGCACTACATGTACTTTGCCTGCATCGAATTCATAAATTCGATCAAGACGGCTAGTCTTAGGTGGCACTCCCCCATGCTAGATGATATCAGCTCGGTCAAGACGTGGAGTAAAGTGAATGAAGGGATGCTCAAGATGTACAAGGCAGAAGTCCTCTCCAAGCTACCCATTGCGCAACACATCTTCTTCGGGTCATTACTGAAATTCCCACCTGTCAAGCCTGGAGAGGAAGAGGAGGAAGAGGAGGGTGGAGCTGCTGGAGTTGACGCTTGTGGGCACTCCCACCCGCATGGGCCTGCTGCTCCTGGTGGGGGAGAATTGGTGGGAGAGGGACAGGCAGCAGGATGGGGCGATTGCTGTGGCATTCCCATCCCATCGGTATTCGCAGCGGCAGAAGAGGAGAAGGAAAAGGCACGAAGGGCAAATGGGGTATCTGTGGGGGGAGCAGTCAAGCGCGTACCGTTCGACTAGGCAACAATGGAGAGACATGGAAGAAGTCATGCTTTACTGTCGTTTCTTTACTTTGTTAACGTAGCAGGTCTACAAATACATACATACACTACTTATTATGACATCACCTTCAACCGTCGAGCAACCGCCTGCGCTCCCCTTCTCTGAACTCTTCACGCCCATTGACATTTTGACTCCACCATTGCCTCACACCCCCCGTCAAAGAGGGCCAATAGGCCCCTCTACCACCACCACCTCGGACAAAGGTGCCACCAGGGAGACTGGGATTTGATCCCGCTCCTGGTCTAGGTGCAGCTGCAGAGGAGGAGGAGTTCGTTGTAGGCCCGAGGGGATTGAGTCGACTCAGCCTCTCGCTCAGTGTTGTCGAATCGAGAGCCACCGATGGCAAAAAGAGGCGGAAGGCCGAAGTAGACGCAGAGCTGGGCGCCGCCGATGGCTCTCCTGTTGGTGCGAGGGTGCGTGCGTCCTGTGACTGAGGCTGCTGCGTCTGCTGTGAGGAGCTCGAAGCTACGGGAAAGGTGGAAGATCCCTCGGCCAGCGGTTGTGGCTCGGGGGAAGAGACGTCTAGAGCACTCCCGCTGCCCGTGCCATCAAGGGCAACAGGCGGGACACTATCCCTCATCCCATCGAGGAAGCCGTCGCTCAACGTTCTCCTGTCCATCCTCTGCGCCAGAGCTTTACCCCTACCTCTCGCTCCCCTCCCTCCCTGTCCTTCCAGATCCCCCGCCAAGATCCGCCTCCGTTCAGCCTCGGCTTCGGCTCGAGCTTCGGCCTCCTCCTCTTCTTCATCGGCGGGGGAGAAGGGTCCAATGTGGAAACCAGGAGAGGCGGGGGAGAGACCGATGGACAGACCTCGCGAGAGGATAGTGCTGTACATGTGCGCCGAGGAGCGTCGCCTGCGATCTCGTGCGCTACTTGCTGTGGGACTTATGACGGTGGAAGGTGTACGGGGACTGCCAGGCAGACCTCTCTGTGTCGCGCTGCTCAAGGTCGTCTTCGAAGGAGAAAGAGGCGTAGGATCGCCAGATCCTTCAACGTAATGAAATGCAGGCTGTAGACCTAGCCCGACCACATGGTGGTGTGAGGCACTAGCGGACCGTGGCTTGCTCAGACTGCTCCTCCTCCTTGGCCTCTCCGGCGATGTAGGACTGCCAAGCGGACTGCCAAGAGACGGAGGGCTATCAGTGAGCGCTCCTCTCCCGGCCTGACTATCGCTGGCGGGTGGAAGTGTGAGCGTGAGGTTGGGAGGAGGAAGATGAGGCCCGGCGATTCCGCCCGCATTGGCTAGGAGAGCCTCGGACTCGGTTGCATCTGCCGACGTCGGAGAGAGGATGTGATCGTTGACGGGCGAAAGTAGTCGATCGAGGCCGCTGCCCTCTGCCATCTCTGCTTCGGCTTCGGCCACCGAGGGAGGTTTGCTAGACACGATGATTACGCCTGTGAGGAGGATGACAATGCCGACTACAACGAGGCAAAGTGAGAGGCCAGAGATGCTGGAGAGCTGGTTGAAGTAGACAAGACCTGTGAAAATCAGTGTTAAGCTTTGGTCAGCGGATCTGCTCACTATCATTCCTCGCCATTGCATGTTTGAGTAGCTCACCCAGGGCGATCGAGCTGGTGTTGTAGAAGCAAAAGGCCAAGGGGCATACCAGCGTGGGGTCTGCCATTCGCAGAGACTTGTTGAGGTACCAGAGCTGCGCTACAGCCGCCAAGAGCATTATACCGACTAGGGCCCAGCTTCCGATCCTGTTGAACTGATTCCTGCCCAGTCCAAACGTCAAGACCAGCAGCTCCACTCCACTCTTGGCCAGCAGGAGACATAGACCCGAGAGCGTCCCCGAGACGGCCGCAAAGCCAACAGCAAGGAGCAATTTTGTCTTTTTGACTGCATCTGTTGACTCCTTGTCAAGCTCTGGCACCACTATCGGCTTCCTTCTCGGAGAGCTGCGTCGGCTTTTTCGAGGCTCATGCTCGTCCCTGGATCCATAGTCTTTCCGCGAATTACTACCTGGCCGCGATGCACCTCCGTTTGCACTCTGTCTCTTGCTTGCGAGACTCTGCAACAACGACTCATCTCGAGTCTGCTGTAGCCGTTCTTGATCTCTCACGGCCAGCACAGGGGTGGCCACACCGGAGGTCGTCTCGCTGACCTCGTCCAGAGGCGCTAGAGTAGGTGCAGACCACCTCCGAGTGAGCCTAGCGTAGTGCTTCTTGCCTCGATGATTCTTCGAGGAACGTATTGTCGGTGATGGAGGAGGGGCATTGAGATGTAATAGGAGCTGCCATTCAGCTAAATGGGCGATGACTAGAATGCAGGCAAAGGCCATGAAGAGGATTGTGGACAGGGCGATGAAGGGCGGCCGGCCAAAGAGGGACAGCAGCTCATCGAGGCTGTGAGGCGGCTCTTGAATGGCTCCAAAGTATCCGATGAGAACGGCTCCCACAAGAATAAGAGCTGTGCCTATAGAGGTGATCAAAACGGTCAAGGAGGCATAGGTCAGCTCTCGGCGGTGAATTGACCGGTATCATCTCGGACGACTCCTTTCTCACCTCCTACCATTGTAGACCCTAGCGCATCCTCCAGAAGGAACTTCGCTAGCAGGGCATTGTAGAGCAAGCTCACAGCTCCTAGAGGGGCAAGCATGACTATGGGCAATGCTCCGATCTGGAAAATGGTCCCGCCGATGTTGGCGACGATGAAGATGGCAAAGCCCACTAGCCACAGAGGTTGGCGCCATTCAGCAGGCCGACATTCCAGTGGTTGTCGGGCAGCTATGAGGTGAGATTTGCGCTGTATTGTCAGACCTTGAGAGAGAGAGGAACAGAAGCGAGTGAGCCCGTGGATCTCAAAGTGGGCAGGATAAACCGCAGGCTGCATTGGCCGTTTGCTCACCGAGGGACTGGACGAAGCTGGCCAGGAGCCCTAATGCAATGGCGAGGGGTACGCTCACGACTGCGCCAGAAGGCGCGTCGCTGCCATCGTCGGCCATCGTCGTCTGGCGGCTGACGAGCGAGGCGTTGATGAGATACGCAGACGTGAGATGACGAGAAGGGGAGGAGTAGACGACGTCGAGTAAGATGGACAAAGGGTCAGGAGAAGCAGCAGCAGCAGCAGGAGGAGGCGACAGGCGGCAGTGCGGGGAAGCCAAGTGGAGCGGAGTCGTGCGGAAGACGGAGGCATCACACCTTGGCCATGACCTTGCTACTCCCTACTCTCCAGCAGCAACGCCATCCATCATCCCAACCATCATCGCACTGCTGAAGTCTGTCTGAGATGTCGCTCAAAGAGATCAAGCCAGAAGCTGCGACCAACGCGGTCACTGCGACAACATCAGCCCAGGCGGCTAATTCGTCAGCCCCGTCCAGAGTCCTCCCTCTTGCAGCCTCGCTCCAATCCAGCCTCCATCTCCTCCTTGCCAGACTGGGCAAACTCCTCAAGTATCAGGCTCTTCTACGAAGCAAAATTTGCAATGGTACCGCAACGCCTCAGCAGCTCGGTCTGCTTCCGGGGTGGTCAGATCTAACCTCTGCAGCTCAGAAGTGGCAGAGGGATGTAGAGGCGCTGAACAGATGGGTGGTGAGTGCGGAAGCTGTCCTTACTTTCGCGGCAGACTTGGCGGGAACTGTCGTGCACTAAGATACTGACTTTATCCTCGCTTCGTATATCTTTCTCACCGACCAGAGCGAAGCCCAAGATGCTCTCCTCATTGAGCTCTCCCGAGCCAAGAAGCGCGAAGCTCTCCAAGCAGAGGAAGACGCCAAGCGTGCAGAGGTAGAAGCGGCCGAGAAGGCCAAGCGAGATGCAGAGGAGGAGGCTCAAAGGCTCAAGAAAGCCGCTGAAGATGAAGCTGCTGCTGCAAGGAAGGCTGCAGAGACGACTGCTGAGGAGGAGAGTGCAAAGGCGGCCGGAGCGAAGAAGGATGCGACTTCTGCTGGAGGAGCGGGAGTGATCGATCTCACGGACGATGACGATGTCAAGCCAATGTCTGCTTCGAATGCCAGCACTGCTGGTAAGCACTCGAGGGATGAAGATTCTGCCAGTGCTCAGGACGATAGCCTCGATGCAAAGCGACAAAAGACCGGCGGCACAAGCTCTGGCACGGATGGACCTCCCGCAACAGCAACAACAGCCGGCGTCCCAACTCCCGACCCAGCTACCCTCCTCGCAGCCCTCACCTCCCAAAACTCCGACTCCTCTACCCAGAACAAGAATGGTTCAGGCGACTTTGACTTTTCGTCAATGGGCAACATGTCCGATTTGTTCAAGATGGACGATCTCACCAACTTCATGGGCCAAAATCAAACCCAAGATCAAGGCCAAGCCTCGGGATCGGGATCGGACCAAGTGCAGACCTCGGGTGGAAATGCCACCGGTGACTACGACGGCGGATTTGGAGCGGCGCAAAATGGCGAGCAGGGTGACAGTACTAAGCTAGACGAATTTAGCGGAACGGGTGGAGACGACATGGACTTCAAATTTGACCCCAACGGATTCAGCATGGACGGCATGGGCGGTAGTGGGGGTATGGATCAATTCGGCAGTGGAGGCGAGGGTGCAGGAGATATGGGAGGCATAGACTTCAATGCTGCTCTGGAAGGAGTGGACTGGGGCAGTCTGATGGATATGATTGGCAATCAGGGCGGCTCGTAACAGATACATGTTCGTCCTCTAAACGTCGCTCTCGATGCTGTGTCCCTATGCTCGTCTCCCATCGTTATGTCATACCACTTTGCCGCTCTTCAGCCTGCCACTGTTGAACCGTTTCAGTACCTCCTCGAGACCCTTGTCACCCAGTACCTCTGACTTGATACTCCAGTCGCTCAACTCGCACTCTTGTCCCACTTTTGGCCGACGGGCATGAGCAATCAGCTCCACTGAGCCTCTAGGCGGGATCGTCTGACTGCGTAGCGTCAGTCGTCCGATCCAGGAGGCCGTGTTGAGGTGCAGAAGGCGGTCCGGATGTTGCGGGTCTTGCTGTCGCTGAGCATGGCCGGACCTACTGGCGCTCGGATCGACGGAGCTGTCCAGATCAATGATGCATCGAGCCGATCGGGATGTCGACATGTTCCTCACGACGAATACGACGGGGACCGTCTCCAGGGTGGCGGCGTCGGTCTCTCTGACCTCGATGTCGACGTAGAGCGGGTCGTCTTCTGTGCCCAGATAGCTGCGACTCAGGCTGGACAGCAGAGCGGCCCTTTCACGAGCAGTCTCCTCGTACAGACTTCTACCGCCAGCTCCTGCAGCAAGGGACGAGACGATGTCTCGCACAACATCGCGGTTCGGCCCTAGTGTCAGGCCCAAGAGGAAGATTTGACCCTTGTGCTGGCCGTCGTGAGACTCCCAATTGACGAGGACGTCCAGATCGTCTGGGATATACAGGGTGAAGACTCGGTCTCGATCAGCGGGAGAGATCGTCGGAAAGACCTGGCTTAGAAGCGTTTGACGCCACGTTGAGCGGACGATGGGTAGGAAAGGACTCATAGCACTTGAACTTGGGCTCCCCACCGTTGAGCTCAAACGTAGACTGCAGGGTCCTGCAACTGCGTTTCGCTCGATGTCTCTACCTCGGAGAAGTCCGGCGATGTGATGTGATGTGTACTCCAGCATTGCGCTGGGATCAAGTTGACCATCCTCAAGGGCGGCCTCTCTTACCGGAACGTGGGCCCGGTCTGACTGCGAAGGCTGAAGCACCAGTAGGGGTTCTCCTGCGGCAGAAGACAAAGTGCGGTTCGTCTCTTGGGTTTCCCAGCGAGGCGAGGCGAATTTGAGATCCGCAATACGGACGGGCTGGCCATCGGGATGTACATTAGCAGCTTGTATGGCTAAGTCCCAGGCGAAGCCTTGAGGTGCAGAGCTGATCTCCACGCTGAGATCCAGAACAGGGTACACCTCGATAGTCTGAGAAAGCTTGTGGCTGACTTGGTCCTCCGCACCGGAGCCGGCGACGAAGAGAAGTCTCAAAACGATGTTCTTTCCTATCAATGCACCTCGTAACCGCATGGTCTTGTCGACCGTCTGACCTGCTTCTAGATCCTCATCGGACCGCAAGATGGTGATGAGTTGTGGAGGGGTCAGAGAGTTGGGGACCGTGACTAGAGGCCCCGGCTGCTCCGATGCTGCCGCAAGAGTGCACATCTCGGGCTGGTCGGCCATCATACGGACCCCTCTTTTGGTTGAGACATTACCTCGGTTCGTGAGCCTGAGGACGACGTCGACTTCCTCACCGAACCCCAGGGCGGTGGGACAATTGACCAAGTGGGCCTCGAGAATTGGGCAAGGCTCTCCGATGACGACAGCAAGAGTCTCATCCGGTGCGTATGTGGCTTTGCGGCTTACCCTCTGCTCTTTCGTCTCGTTGAGCCGCCGGCCATTCTTGTGCAAGCTCTGTGAGAAGAGAGCAATGCCTCCCAAGCGAAAAATAATACTGGTAGCTCTGAATTGGCCGAGACTGGAAGCCTTGCAAGTGACGTGAAGATCGCGCTGTTCTTGTGGCGCCAACTCTATATCTTGAATCGAGTCGACCTCCATATCCGTGCCGGTGACGGAGGTTTGAGGTTCTGAGTCTCTTGTCACTTGAACAGTGACTTGCGAGAGTGTCAAAGGTGTAGAGAGAGGATTGACGACCCGCAGAAGCAGGCGGAACGGGACTGTTAGAACACGTACAGGCAAAGAAGGTGTGAGTCAAACCTTCAGCAGCAGATGGACTGATCGGCGACACAACTTACCTCCTGCTGTGAAGGAGCCTCTCGCCCGGGAGCCTTTGCCGCTACCACCTTCCGTTACCATTGACCTTCCACTGGCTAGATTGAATCGCTCCTCTAGGTCTTTCCAAAGTGATTCCTCCGATACTTCCGCTGCCTCATCCGCGAGCTCGAAGCGCGATTTCTGAACATCGAAGAAGTCGAAAGGCGAGTCTAAAGCGTCTCCTTTGCCTGCACCCTCGCCTAGTGAGCTGAAGGCAGCTGCTAGATCACTCAAGTAGCCTTGATGAATCACCCCTCTATTCTCGAGAGACGCTGCGTCTTCCCCACAGTCGCTTCGTACGGGACGAATCGTGCGCAAGAAGTGCTCAATGGCTAGATCAGTCTGACCTTCATTGAGAGCTTGCTGACCCAGCTCGTGCTCAACGTGTGCTTGAACCATCGTCCAACCCTCGGACTCCATATCGGTGTCATGGGCCTGTTCGTCAGAGCTCTCCTTTTCGCCACTGTCTTTGTCGCCAGATTCTTCCCCGTCAAGGAAAGTCTTCTTCAGAGCCGTGTGCCTGGAGTAGATTGACTTTGCTCCGCTGAAGCACCTGAGGCTCAGCAGCTTGGCACCGCATTCCTGATAGCGATGTCCTGCCATGACCAGGTGTAATGCCATCTTGCGCAAAGCCGGCCGATCAAAGATCCTCAGATCGGTAATCGCTGCTTGTTCTATCAGCATGGCGCCCATGACGTCCAAATCTGCCCCTGGGTCTTGAGCAGCTCGAATCAAGGCACTTGGGGCAGACCGATAGTAGTCGAGCGCTCGGTAGACCTCGTAGTACAGCAAGGTTGCTCGCAATGGCCGTAGAAGAACGTTCGAGCTTGCTTTTGAGACAGGAAGCCGATACTGCATACAAGCCGAAGCCAAATAGCTGTCGACGTCTATCGGTGGAGATTGTGAGCTCAACATGATCATCAGGTGCGATAGACCGAACATTTCCTGTTGGATCAGAGTGGCAGACGTGGGAATGAGCCGCAAGAATGAAAAGCTACGGACAGATAACGACTCACTGTAGCTCCCGCTGCATGATGATGTGCCTTGTCATTGGCATAGTCTCTCCGTCCGACATCGTACATGGCAGCGGCCAACTTGTAGTCTCTTGTCATGAATGCAAAGTCGGCGAGTCGGCGAGTCTGCGCTTCAATAGCAGCGTATGGGTAGAAGCTGCCATGAGCATCCCAGCTCGGTCGCTCCGGTGTGCCGGTGCCTGATCTGGACATTGTACTGCTACCGAAGAACTTCTTCCCCGCACCGAAAAGCCGTCCAGTCAAGCCCTTCCTCGAAGCGGCTATCTACAAGGTATGATGAAAGCGAACGATCATGAGCCACTAAGCGAGTGCGCTCATTAATCTCATCGGAGCTACTCACTGAATCATTCCACTGTGTCACGCATCTCTCCATCCACGGGATAAGACTCTGGGCCACCATCTCACGAACGAGTCCGCCCAGCCTCTTGACATCATCTTCGGACAGCAGTAGCCCTTGCTGTCCAGAAGGCCAAGAGTCCAGATACTTCTCAGAGCCGGATCCCGATCCCCTCAGCCGCTGAAGATGTTCTGACCAAGCCGTGGAAGTCGGAGGTTCGCCATCAGCTTGTGGCTGGGGAGCAGAATTCAGAGGAAGGATGCAGCAATTGAGACCATATATACGCTTGACCGTCTCTAGAATCTCTTTCGATCTGAAGGCAGAATCTTTAAGCATCAACAAAGTACCCCTGGAGCATCGCTTGCCGACCTCGTTACTCACTGCTCCACATCGGCCCCCTTAGCGCAGTCATGTATCAGCACATAATACCGCAACACATTGGGATCCATATAAGGTCTGCCGCCAAAGGCATCGCAATTCTGAGCTTGTGTAGCGGCGTACAGCGAAGCGAGAGCGTTCAATGGATCCGGCGACTGGGACGAAACGGCAAGAAGGACTGCCAGGTAGAGAGTCTGAGCATCAGCAAGGGGCGCTCTCGGCCCGGACCTTCCGTATACTCACTGCAGACCGGATGGCCGAAGGTCTCATGACGACTAATGGATCGACTCCGGAGCACAGCATCTCTTCCATACGTGTACCACGGCGTGATATCTTCTATCGAAGACTCGGCTACCCTCCTAGCGTCTCCTTCGTCCTCTATTTGCAGCTCAGAGGTCTTCGCCTCCCACTTTCGCGCATTGGCAGTAACGTGAGCGTTGATCCGATCCAGCGTCTCCTCCGGTCGGACGTCTCTACCTGCCGTAGCATTCTCTGGATCGATGGAGGCTCTCTGTTGTACAGCGAAGGCGCTCAGAGGATCGAAACGGATAGGAAAGCTGGGGCACTGCTTGCTCTCCAGTTGAGAGGTGCGTACAATGACTAGAGGAGTGGTTTAGGAAAGCGCATTCAGTGGAGGGGTATCCGAGCCACCACCGTGCCACAAATGAACTCACCTCCTTGCAATATCTCTTCGAAGGGCCTCAAGCAGTCAGACAAGTCACCGAAGTTATTCGGCCTAAGAATTTCATCGACATCAGGACTAGATAGAACAGCTATGCGAGGTGACAGAGCCCGGTGAACGATGTCGAAAGCCTGCGAAGCATTCTCTTTGCGACGAGGCGAGGATAATGGGAACTTCGATGACGAGGGCAAGCCGTCCATCGGCGGGACCTTGTCGTTGCTGGAGGCGGAGGACTCTACTGGACGGAGATGGTGAAAGTGTTGATCGAAGGCATTGATTGAGCTTTGACCAGCTGCGTTGCCTCTCTCTTTCCGCTTTCCGATGATGGGTCCCTGCAGATCTCCAGACCTTCGCGGGTCCGTATTCTAATTCCTCTAATCCCGGCCTGACCTTCCCCTTCTTCCCCCTGCAACCATGCTCAGTGATGGCTACTGGCGGCATCCTCATCGAGACTAGGGCTGTCCTGACTGGCGTAGGGGCCCCGTGTGTGCGGCGATGCTACGCTGGTGTCAGCGGGAAGCCTAAATCTGTCACGCACTCCTGCCGCACTTTTACGGCTTCCGCTCAGGCCTGCCTTCCGAAAGCTCCTCAACTGGCGCAACCCACATCGACGTGGAATCCCATCAGAGGCAAAGTTCGCTCGAGCTATGGCGTAACCAGGGTTCCCAAGGACAGCTTCAGCAAGCGCATCGCCCACAAGCTTAGCTTACCCAGGTTCAAAGCTCGGTCGGGTGATGTTCGGATCCTTCAGACTCCCGCTGCATTTTACGACGAGGTACGCGCCATCATCGGCAGAGCAGAAGAGAGGATATATTTTTCCAGCTTGTACATAGGCAAGGGTGAGACTGAGCTGGTGAGTCTAGCATAAAGAGCGGTAGACAAGTATTCGCCTTTCTCCGGAAAGCGCTGACAAATACCGCTCCTCGTGCCTCCTCGAAGATCGACTGCATACGACAGGCGCTGCGCAAGAAGCCATACTTGAAGGTTCTGCTTCTCGCTGACGCTCTGAGGTCGACGCGAGAAGGACCACTCACAGAGGCCAACGGCAAGATCAATGGTTCAGGTGCCTCGCTCCTGGCAGCCTTGGTCCGTGATTTTCCGCATCAGGTTGACGTGCGACTTTACAGGACGCCGGGCTTGCCAGTGTGGCTGGAGAAGGTCATTGGCAAGAGACTAGTAGAAGGAGCGGGTTTGCAGCATATGAAGATCTACGGAGGGGACGACGAAGTCATCATCAGTGGGTGAGTGACCGCTGCGCGGCAGCTGATGCCATTGACTGAAGGCTGACTTACGCTATTCTGAGCCTCCTCAGAGCCAATCTGTCCAACGACTACTTCACAAATCGGCAAGATCGCTACGTTCATGTCCAACGGCATCGCCTGCTGAGTAATTATCTGCACTCTCTGGTTCTGCTCACGTCTCGGTTCAGCTACAACCTCAAGGCTTCAGCAGCTGCAAGCTCTTCTCTGACACATCATGCCCCATATGACTTACATTGGGACGATGGAAGCGATCTCTTGCTCTCGGAGGACGAGGACGGCAACGTCACAGAGGAAGCTTCACTGTCAATTGCCCCCAAGAAAAGCAAGGAGTACGCCTTTGCGGAGACCGCAGGTGTGGCACTAAGAGAGTTCACAGATCGCTGGCGCATCCACACCGAGGCTGCAAAGAAGCGGAGGGCTCAAGATGAACGCGCCGACGATGAAGTCGACACATTCATTGTGCCGGTCATACAAATGGGTCCAATGGCAATCAGGCAGGAGACGGACGCCATGCCTCTCCTGTTTGAAGCCATCGAGCAGCAAGAGGCACCAATCCAAGAGACGCTCCCCGCAGCAGTGAAGAAGGGCCGGTTACCCGCACCGAGAGCGACAATAGACTTCACCTCTGGCTACTTTAGTCTGTACCCTCTGTACAAATCACTCATCCTCAAGGCGCCAACTTCGATCAGGACTAGGATCATTACTGCTGCTCCCATCTCCAATGGATTCTTTGGGAGCAAAGGCATCAGTCGTCACCTACCACCTGCATATACCTGGCTAGAATCCAAGTTCTGGGATGCGGTCAAGCGAGAGGGCAAAAAGAAGTCGATTGAGATTCGAGAGTGGGAAAGGGATGGATGGACATACCATTCCAAGGGTGAGTGTTCGGCCATCGCGACGGGCTACAATCCAAGTCATCTGACTTTACCTCTTCTTTCTTCCCTCGTCAACTGGACCACAGGTGTCTGGCATACAAGTTCGACTCAGTCTGCGCCCACCTTGACTCTCATTGGCTCCTCTAATTTCGGCTCACGTTCAGCCCTGCGAGACCTCGAGTGTACTCTGCTGATTGAGACGGCCCCCTCGAGCTCCTTGTCTCGTTCCCTCAAGAAGGAGATCGATGCTTTGAGGGAGCATGCTACCGTCCCAGTCAATACCGAGCTATTTAGGCGGGAGGACAGAAAGGTCCACTGGGGCGTCAAGTTGGCTACTGAGCTCATCAAGGGAAGACTTTAGGTTTAGCAAATATACTATTATTTCTGGCAGTGGGTCTGTCCGACGTGAGGCTTGTGCCAGGTCGTGCAATCTGTTTTAAAGACATGTGCTGCTGCTCGATCCTTTGCAGCAGCAGCCTGGCAGGACGTGAATGGACTGCCTGACCTGGGGTTGCGCCTGCCAGAGTGATTTCTCCCACGCCTCGGCTGCAGGCGGGCGTGACTTGACTTGAGTTGCTTTGCTTTGCTCGTCTCTTTCCGTCCAAGTGGATCGCGTCTGTTCGTCCCTGAGTCTAGTCTACCATTCCGTGCGTGCGTAAAGCCATCGAGGCACACACAGTGTCCGCCCTGCTTCCTTTGCCTTGCCCCCCGTCCTCTCATCGATATCATCCTCCTCTCTCCGCAATTCATCCTTCCCTGTCAACCCTCCCTCCCTTCCCTCGTAGCCATTGCGCAACGTGACAGAGTAACAGTCGACGAGTCCAGTCTCGGCGGCGATTGCTCGTTGCAGAGGGGGCTGCGAAGCAACACATTGCGCTTCCAACCTCCCCCCTCATCGCCATGCCTTATTCGATACAGTCGCCGCTCAACACTCTTGCAACAGAGTGGAGGGCTTGCAAGGGTGACGTCCCCCCGCCTCTGGTGGTGAGTACTCGTGACGTGGGAGAGAGCGACGTGTGCTTCTGCTGCTGGAGAGCAACTGACAGATCTACAATCACGCTATCAATTCGCGACATGATGTTACCTCTCACAGGGCGCTGCAGTTGTGGTAGTGGATGAAGACGATGAGACCTCGATACGTCACGAGCGGAGTGCTTCCTCCTCGCTCGACAGATCCACACCCAAGCATGGCGGCAAAGGGAGGATGTTCCTGTTTGCTGGACGTCTGGCGTCCAACAGGAAGATGACCAATGACCTCTACTGTCTCGACCTCGGCACCCTCGTTTGGACAAAGATTGCCGCACCTCCTCCACCGGTGCGCAAGATCGACGAGGACGCCAAGACATCTAGTGCCCAAGGGCGATACCCTGTCCCTCGATACTTCCATTCATGCGATCTATGGCGAGGCAAATTGGTCATCTTTGGAGGCATGGGGTACCACTCCAAGTCCTCTCGTATGGACATGGCAGGAGAAAAGTCCAAAGACAAAGGAGCCGATCCACTCTTCGTCATGGACGAGCTGCTCCTCTTCGATCTAGCGACGATGCGCTGGGATCATGACTACATTGCCCAGCCAGGCCCGGTCAGAGCACCCGCACCACGGTACGCTCATCTTTCGGCAATCACAGGAGATTCACTCGTCGTGATAGGTGGTCAGAACATCAGCAACAAGTACGTTGAAGAAATAAACGTCTTCGACCTCGTGCAAAGGCGATGGACATTGTGTGAGACCTTGGACAGGCAGTGTGGCAGCTATCGCTCTTTGGCTGTCAGCCCTCCTTGGATTCTTGAGAGCTACACGGGGCCGTCCCATCTGGCCGAAGCTACAGCGACGAGGAAACGATCCGGCTCCAAAGGCTCAGCCGCAACAAATCTATCCGGGCACAGAGAGTCTTCGCCCTCGATCGGAAGGGCGAGAGGTAACAGCAACGTCAGTTCAATGGCCCCCTACGATGCCACACATGTCTCTGCCCAGCCCATGAGCGGCACGAATGCCAATGCAGCCCATGATGCACGTCTAATGAGCGCGTCTGACAGTCAGCATCCCGGCGAGGATCGTCTCAACCCGAAAGGAACGATTTCGGGTGCGGCAAATGCCCCTTCCCTACAGCCTCTCCCTATGAGCAGGCCGGTGACGAAGCAGGATGATCACCCTTCCCTTTATGTCTACTCGAACTACAACTTCACGGATGTGAAAAGAGAGCTCGAGATCATCAAAGTCAGCAAGGCCAAGAAGCAGACGACGCTCTCTGACCTCAATGGCATTGACGATAAGCCGCAAGCATTGACACTACAAGACCATTCGGCCTCGATGCAGGGAGCTCATGCCACTGCGGGTCTCCCGCCTGGCCTTCGCTTTCCCACGGGAGTGATCATCGGGGACTACTTGCTCGTTTCGGGCACCTACCTTGCGAACACATCACAGGCGTTCAGCATCTGGTCCCTCTATTTGCCGAAGCTAATCTGGTCCCGCCTCGATTTAGGCCCGCTAATCAATCAAGGTTCCTGGAATCGCGCAACCGTGTCGGCAAAGCGAGGCCAGATGTTCATCTTTGGCAACCGCGAGCGAGACCTGGTCACAGACTACAATCATCGCCAGTCCAATTGGGATCATATGCTCACATTCGATCTGGAAGCTTGGGGCATCAGCCAGCCTCCGCTGAGACCCACGTCTGATGAGGGTCTCGAGCTCGGCCTCCAGAAGTTGGAGACCGCAATGGCTTCTTCAGTTTATCAGTCTCTTGCTGGAGCCTTTGCAAAGCGAAGAAGCAACTTCAATGGTACGGCGCAGACTCTCCTCGACTCAAGGGCCTGGTTCAGTACGCTACCTGATGATCATCAGGAGCCTCCCTTGCTGCCCGGGGTACTGGGTACTGGAGGCGATTTTGAGATTATGTGCTCCGATGATATAAAGATTGGTTGCGATCGCGTAGTGCTGGAGGCTCGTTGGCCGTGGTTCCGCCAGAAGCTAGCTCGGTATCGAGCACACGCAAAGGCAGCAGCAGATCTTGTCCAGACTAGGCGGGAAGAGCACCGTGCGGAAGGAAATGCGCCTCCCCCGCATTCTGGTAATAGAAGCAGGGCCAATTCCAAGGAAAGAGCTGTGGCCGCTTTGCAAGCTGCAGCAAGCGAGGAAGATGGCCACATGCAATCATCGAGTACCGCACTCAATAATCCCCAAGCATCTGGAGAAGCCGTACCCAGTGTGGATGGAGCATTCGAAGAAGGCGACTGGCGGTTCACGCCGCGTCAGCTCCATCTTTCGGAACCATCTGCGGTGGTCCTCGCTCTCCTGCAATTCTTCTACACTCGGTGCATCTGTACCTCTCTCCAGCGCCATCCATCAGTGGTGGCCAGCCTGCTGGTCTTCTCACGGCTGTACGGCCTCGAGGATACGCTCGGAAAGTGGGCCCGCCACGCTGCCAATGTCTTGCTAGGCGGCGGTCTCATTCCCGACGCCCTCAACACCGCAGGCGTGCACGCTGAATCCGTTGCAATGGGAAGTTCCCGAAGCGGAGAGGCAACAGCACATTCAGCGACGAATGGACTGGCAAAGGACGTTACTGGAATGGGGTTGATGTCCACTGTCGAACTTGGCAATGACCTCCCAGTAGAGGAATGCCACCGGCTCTCTGTGGCCTTGTATGAAGCTGCTGGTGTGGCCGGTTACGAAGCGGTTCAGGTCCGAGCCTTGCGGAACATCACCGCCTTGGCAAAGTACACGCAGCGGCAAGCTGTAACGCGGACATCGGACCATTCTGCTCATGCTCGCAGTAGCTCTCAAGGCAACAGCAGCAGCCAAATGCATGGTCAACAATCTTCTTCTGCTCTTGGCTATCCGGGACGACCTGCCGAGCCTGTTCGGGCCAATACGTCGAGTCACATTCCCATGAACCCAAGCACCTCTCCTAATCGAGCTGTGCGGCCAAGCTCATCGGGAGGTCTGGTCGGTGCGGCTGCATTGAGGCGTCCCATTGGAGGCGGTGTCGGCAACAGAGCGCTCAGACCGTCCTCCTCGTCGGGCAGGATGAGTGGTAATGAAGACTCGGATTTCTTGCCCCATCAACGTTCGTATGGCGAAGAAGGCGACGACTTCGGCCGGTCAGGGGGACGTGCTCGCGGCAATGGCAAGGTCGACCGGATCCTTGGGCTGGGTGGCGAAGGGCTCCCAGGTAGAGAGGACGGCAACTACCATCGGAAGAACACTGGCGGCTCCATTGGATCTGTCGGCAGCAACGCATCTGGTGTGGGCAATTTGGCCAGTGCCGGTGCGGGCCGCAAGAGGTTCAGCTTATTCGGCAGGGGTGGCAGCGTGGGAGGGGAAGGTACTGGTGCTTCGATGCTGGCGGGAGAAGACGTGGTGGAAAGGGAGGAAGAAGGCTCGGGCTTTGCCAGTGCGGCGCTGTCTCGCAATGCCACGAGCGGCAGTGTAGGTAAAAGCAGCGGTGGTCACAATCCTGGCAAGTCAAACAGCAGCTTCCACGATGGGCCAAACGATGCTGGCATGGGAGGGCGGCTGTATTAGTCATTGTGCAGGTCAGAATGTTGGGCTGCTTGCTTTGCTCTTTTCTTTGCGTTGCTCTCTCTTGTCACCCTGCTATCATTGTTGCTATACTTTGCCAAAAAGAGATTCCTGACGACTTTTTCACCCACAAGTCTATACGCTACGCTGAATTATGCCCATCCTCTTAGTGCGCTCATGTGGTTGTGTCTGCGTGGGTCCGTGACGGGGTGGTAGGCCTTTCCTCGTTGTCCCTTAGTCATCCTCACTCACCAAGTGTTGCTGTGTGTGTGTGTCATCTCGTGACGTCTCGCGTGTGGTGTGAATCGCGCGGCAAAGAAACACCTGCAGGGGGTCATTGATTTTGACGTCGGACCTTAAAATTTCTTGACGCGCTGCTGTTTTTCGTACTTCACTTTTCTCCGTTGCTCCTGCCTCATTGCGCCCTGCCATCTTGGGCAGGTGGCAGGAAGGGCGGGGGAGCCCAACAGAGGCAGAGGCAACCCACCGCCACACCCACCAAACACACACACACACTCAAGGGAGATAGACTGACGCGGATATGCACACCCACCCGCCCCCTTGCTTCTGGATCGTCTAGAGGTGCAACCCCCTCCTCTTCTTACCTAGGCAACTTGGACAGCATCAACCAAGCAATCGTCTGTTTTGGCACGCCGCTGCCGCTGCCGCATTCAGACGTCGTCTAACAGAGGGTGAGCCAACCGACACATTGGGACCCGTTGAGGAAGTGGCAGCGTAAGGTTTCAGTAGATGATCCAGGGCGCACATTGACGAGCTTCTACCATGATTGCTCGCTCGGCTTGGCTTGGCTTGGCTCGGCTTGGCTCGGCTTGGCTCGGCTCCCAAGTCTGTGCGGCCTCTGCAGGGCTCACTTCGGCAGAGGAGGCCGGAGGTGGGAGGACGGGTGGCGACGAGGGAGTGAATCGAGGCAAGGGGTGGAAGCAGTGAAATCAGTGAGGCCCCTCGGCTGGCCCAAGCCCCCCGCTTTCGCTTCTCCCCGCTGATCCGCTCGCGTGTGCGTGCGGGAAGGCGCGTGTCCGGCCAGGGTGCTCTCAGTGTGTGTGTGCTTCTGGCAAGGTCATTGCAAGCCCCTGCTCCTCTCTGCCCTTGGCCTTGCCTGTTCTTTGTTGCATCTTCCTTTCTCACTCCTCTATACTCATCATCAATATCACCTCTTCCCGGATCCTCGCCCTCCTGTCCTCCCTTTTCGTACTCGTCAGGATTCCGAAAACCTCGCTCCCACGCCCCCTGCCTTTCTGCTCTTTTCTCCTCTGGGCCAGTCACCATCAGTTCCTCCGGCCCACGCACGCTCATCACGGTCTTTACTGCTTTCATCTGCTTCGCGCCATCATCTGCTCGATCTCAGCTAGTCTAACGGAACTCTCCTCAACACAAGTTCCCCCGACCCTCACGTAGAAGCTCCTCATACCCGATCACACTCATATTTCGTCATGGGCTCGACCCAATACTATCCCCCGCTCGCGTACCAGTCCGTCTTTGATGACGAGAATGACTTCTCTGCCGCCAAGACAGTAGGTAAAGGAGGTCTCACCAGCATCACCACACCCACCAAGACGACGCGTACTGGTACCACACCCACCAAAGCACGGACCCCCACCTTCCGCCATGCCGGCGAGGGACCGTACCCGTCAATGTCCACCATCTCTAGCGCTAGCGTCAGCAGTATCGGCAGCACCAGCGCCGCGTCTAGTCTCGTCTCCCCTACGAAAAAGTCAGTGAGCCCAAAGGTGAACAAGAAGAAGAAGCTCTTTGCGCCCTCGCAGGCCAGCATCGCCATGCTCAACCCTGCACATGCAATGGGCATCGACGTCGACGATGAAATATACCATCGTCACCAGACGGAAGATCCAGAGACCGCTTCGATGTTGGGGGGAGCGGGTTCATATGAAAGCCTCGCGTCGCCAGCTTCGGCCAGTCGGTCCGCTTCACCGCTCCGCTCACACGAACGCGTCGCTGCCGGGGATGACTCGTACAGAAGCACGCCTGAGCTGGCGGCCTTCGCCGTGACGGATCTTCAGAGCGCCTTGTCCCACGGTGGGGATGCTGGACACAGTAGTGACGGTCGGCCTGCCGAAAATTACACAGACTATGACACCATCTCGTACGGTCGGCCTGCTCAGCCTCCGCCCTTTCTCAACAATCGACGACGAGCCAACACTATGGCGTCAGTCTTCGAGGACGATGATGGTCAGGCAAGCCCGAGTGCTCCTTCACCATCACGCAAGGTCGCTTTTCTGATCAGGAATCCCGCGTCAGAAGGCATGAGCAGGGGTAGCAAAAGCGCGTCTGGTCACTCGTCATCGGCAAACAAGTCGATTGCACGCTTCTTCAGCTGGAAGAAGGGCGGCAAGTCGAAGAACCTCGATGAGGACGAAGAGCCGTCCAGCGCTCCTCCTCATGTCACCTATTTCGATCACTCGGGTCCCATGGCCTCCCCGCTCAAGGAGACCTCGCCTAGCTTGCCCACAACTCCAGTGGGGCAGCAGGCGGCTCTGCCACTGGAGTCGGGACAATTGCCGCATCGCAAGACAGGGCCGATGCCAAAGTCTATTCTGCGCAAGCAAAGCGCTCCCGCTCTTCGTGAGCCTAGTCGTCCATGGGCTGATGCCACTAGTATTCCTGCGATTCCCAAGCGCTCGATGGAGGCGCCTGGGGCTCTCTACGGTGGTGTTGAGGGCTTGAATGCTGATCGTGACTTGCACTTCAGTGGAGGCTCTCCTCAGCGTATGCAGCAGGGCGGAAGAAGGCGTGATCCTCCCAGCCCTCTTCGCATGACTCCCTCGAGATCGACGTCTTCTGACCTTTCGAGGGGCTACAGCGGTGTAGGTCGTGGAGTGGCACGAAGGGCGTCTGACGCCAGCAGTATCATGGTCGCTAGCCCTATCAAGTCGCCCAGACGCAAGCAAGTACCCAGCCGCTTTGACGCATTGCCAACATGCCCTGCTCCTCGGGTCTTGTACAACATTTCCTCGTCCCACCACGTCAGCAAAGTGAGCAATCTCGGGGCCCTTGCATCGCAGCACACCCTCTATGCCATCGAAGACGCCGTCGAGGAGGAGTTGGACGAGATGCAGAGTCGTCGAAGGTCGATGGCCCATCGGGTTGCTGACGGTATGAACGATTATGGCTTCGAAGAGCCTGCCCCGCGTACTTCTCCTGTGGAAATCAAGGATGTCAGTGCCGCAAAGACAAGCGGTTTAGGTCCAGGGCCCACAGCGTACAGAAGGAGGAGCCGAAGTGTGGGCGCAATCGAGTCTGGAAATCCGTTTGCGTCGGCTTTTGCGATTTTCAACAGCGAGCGCTCCCTTCCGTCTGCAGCACCTCCGAGCTTCGACGGCGGTATGGAGCGACTTGATTCTGGCAGGGCTCAGCATGAGCAAGATGGGCGGACCCCTACTCAGAGGGACGTAGCGACTTTTGACTCGGGGGCTAGTGCTCAGCAGCAATACGTCCCACTGTCGTCAGAGGAGCGACGAGCAGGTACTTCTCTGCATAGAGCTACAGACTCGGGCAACTCCTCCGCTTCTTCAAACTCGGACGATCTGTCGCTGTCTCATGCCACTACCGTGGTTGCAACGAGGAGAGTCAACCTGGCCGGAACACGAGCAAAGGCAACTTCCGTTTCCAGCCCTTCCATCACGGCCGCAAGGTTCACTGGTAGCAGCAGCAGCAGCAATGCGGGCAGCAGTCCTCGTCTGATGGCTACTCCTGTATCGAAGCGAGGACAGAATCACGGCCCAATGGTCACTGTCCTGCCACCCACCCCCGATATGCCTGGTATTGGAGCATTCACAGGATCGGCAAAGACGTCATCCTCGCCGCTGAAGCCTGTCGAATTTTCGGAAGATGCCCTGCGAAGGACTTGGTCGGAGAGGAACAGCTGTCTCGTCGCCCTCAAAGCTGCCACAGGCGCCCTGCCCCCATACGAGGAGCCCATCGCAGAGGAGGCTGAGGACGATACCTTGGTGCGGGAGGGCCTGTACGAGGTGAATGACACGAGCATGGATGACCTTGGCCTCGACGACGATGACCGCGACCCACTTCCGGGATCCCTGCCGTACGATTTCCCCACGGTGCCACCTGTGGCTCCGCTGAACATCAAGCGTCGCCAAGGCTCCAGTCCGGACGTCTCTGCTACTTCCAATGAGAGCAGCAATAGCCTTGCGGAGTCGAACTCTACCAAGCTGGCTCCCTTGCCTCTGGCGTCCGACAGTGCCAAGACAGCTCCTAGAATCCCTCTGTCCTTCTCCAATGAGAGTATCATTTCGGGTCTCGACGAGCTCGACTGGCATCCTCTGTCCTACTCCGACAGCCAGACCGTGTTGCCCTCCATTACAACTTCGGCCAACTTGGAGTACGCAGCTCATGTGGCCGCTGCCGCTGCCAGCAAGAAGCGACCTGCCATGCCTGCGATGCAGCAAGCGACTCAAGCCGAGCAGTATGTGCAAGAAGAAGAAATGGTCGATCCTCACATGGCCAGCTCTGCCTCGTCGTACCCTGTGTCACAAGAGCCAAGTCATGCCTATCTGGACAGCATGACGGCCTCGGAGCCTTCGAATGGCTCGATGCCTTCGCTAGACTCTTCCTACACCTCTGTGGCCTCTCTCCAGCCGCTGTTGTCTCAGCAGTCGCAAGAAGCTCAGAGCAGCGGCTCTGCCAGCCACCCTATGATGCTTTCGACCGGCAGTACCGACAGTCTTTCCTCCATGGTCACTACAGGTACAAGCATTCTATACCAGGATGTGCCTGACACCGAGGTGCAGCGCTACATGCATCGCGCCCAACTCAGCCACGATGCTTTCAGCGATGATCGAGCTGTGAAGAAGGCAGCCGCATCGCAGCTGACGCCCATGGTCAAGGTCTCTGAGGAGAACACCCCTCGACTTGGTGATGGAGTGTGGCCCTCCTCGGCGCAGCAGAGCAAGAAGACGTCCCCCTCGGCTTCGCCTTCATACCCCTCTATCAAGATCAGCGACACCTCTGCCAGTGGCTCGCCTCCAATGTCCTACGACTCTTCGATGGGTAGTGGTCTAGGGCTGTCCATGCTTGGCCCTTACGAAGGCAAAGCAGCAGCGCCTAGAGTCTCCTCTCGCAGGACTAGCTCCCGCTCTCCCTCTCCTGCTCTGTCCTCTCGCAACACCGGTGCTCGCTCCGTTACTCCCACGCAACGCTCTCCCGTCAGTGATCACTCTGGCGGGTCCTCTCCCTCTGTGGGATACGGCCTGGGCTTGGATCTGGGAGCAGGTCAGATGAAACCAGGTGTGGCGAGTGCGACGCAGATTGAGTACACGCCAACGCGCGTCTTGGTCAAGGACTCGAGGGCCAACCTTGGAAGGGGAACTTGGGAGGAACAACAGGCGCAGCAACAGCAGTACTTCTATGATGCACAAGCTAGGGCTAGCAGGCGTCCTAGAGCTCCGGCATCTGCTATGGCGCAGGCACAAGCTCAGGCTCAGGCTCAGGCTCAGGCACAGGCGCAGACGCAGGGCAGGCTGGCTTCCTCTCCTCAAAATCAGCCTCAACAACTCCAACAGCAGCAACCGCAGCAATACTACCAGCCTCATCAAGAACAGCTCTTCCAGCCTCACTACCAACCAGTCCATGCCTCCTCTTCTGAGCAGCAGGACCAGCAACATTGGCAATATGCACACAGTCAGAATCAGAATCAAGCAGATTACCAGCAACACTACCTCCGACCTGACTCGCAGGGCTACGAGTCGCTGCGCGACTCGGGCGAATGGGAGATGGGAGTGGCTCTTTAAACCACGTCTCTTTTGTCTTTTGTCAGAAGACAAATCGTACCTGCGAGGCACGAGATCTACACGCGCTCCATCTCGACCTCGACTCGCATCCGTCCGCACCTTGCCTCCGTCTCTCTGCCTTTGCCTTTGTAGTCCCCGCATCCACTTACGTACGCACGTCTCCATGTCTTCTACTTGCGCAACCCCCCCTCTGTATCTATTCTCAAAAACTCTGCAGTACTGGTTTCCCTTTACATGTTGTTCTCACACTCTCTTGGTCGCCTGTTCTTGCAACTTCTCATCTCTCTTCATCTCTTCACTCTTCGCTCATCCGCACCCCCTTCCCTACTTGTTCTTTGTTTCCTCCAAATCTGTACCTGCATCCTTAAGATTCTGTTTGAGCCCCCTTTTTTCTTCCCCGCCACTGGCGCGAAAATAAATTGCTCCAGTCTTTTGGACCCCCAAACCCAATGTGTTCCCTACAGTGAGTGAGTGAAGTGAGTGAGTGAAGTGAGTAAGTGGACTTGAAGATTCCTGATGCATGCTACTACTGCATGCATGATGGGGTGATGTAGACTGGGGGGAAATGATACATTATGAGACGCAGGAGAAGGGGGAAAGAAGGATGAAGGACGATGGTACAAGAAAGAAAGAAAGAAGGAAAGGGGACGGAACTTGGGCGCTACTACTCTGCGCTCATCAAGTCGTTCGACTACTGCTCAGCCTCGGCCTCCTGACCAGCTTGGTGCTGCTGCTGCTGGTGGTGATGCAATTGGTGCTTTTCCCATCCTCGCCACCCACGCCACGAAGTGGAAGCGGCATATCCACTCGTCGCCTCGCTTCTTCCTCCTCCTCCATCTTCCTCTCCAGCGAGAAAGACGTGTCGCGTGACCTGCTCTGCCGTAGGACGATCAGCAGGATCGAGGGAGAGACAGTGTTCGATGAGGTCTCTCGCGTCGAGCATCTTGCCACCCCCGTCCGTTTGGCCCAACAGGTCCTCTTGACGCTGCTCAACTTCGTGCGCTAGGGCTTCTGCAGTACGAGCTGGCGCAGGGACACCACCTGCCTCGTCATCGGCGGTAGCGTCGCCGTCGCTGCCTTCAGAGCTGTCGCGTCGCTGGGGTCTAGCACCCTCTTCGTCGGAAGCGGGAGTGCTGCTGCATCTCTCTTCGAGGGCGACCATTGCTCTACTCCCCTCTTCCAACCCACACATTGCTTCCTCTCCATTCCAAAAGGGAGCATCTCCGACTAGACAGACGTATGCCACCACTCCCAGCGCCCAAACGTCCTGCTCTTTCCCACCGTACTTGTCTCCACGCAAAATCTCCGCGGCAGCATAGTCCAGAGTCCCAGAGAAGGTGTCAAAGAGCCTTCCGTTGCGCACGTGGGCGCTGGAACCAAAATCGATGAGTTGAGCATGGCCAGAGCCGTTCAAGACGACGTTTTCGTCCTTGATGTCGCGATGAACGATATTGTTGGCGTGCAGAAAGGCGAGACCAGAGGCGACTTGACCCAAGACGCAGCGAACTTCCCGTGTGGAGAGGCCGTAAGGGTGGGACTCAATGTAGTCGAAGAGATCGGTGCCCTGACCAAAGCGAGGCATGACGAGGTAGTAGAAAGACTCATCTTCAAAGAAGTCGAGCATAGTACACAGGGCAGGATGCGTCTGTGGTCGTGTTGCGTTGATCTCTTTGACCTCGTTAAAGGTAGCACGATTGCGCTCTGTAGGAGTGAAGGGCGTCAGAGAGACCCTACGAGGAGGTACGGGCGTTGCAGGGTTGGACATGAAAGAGTCGCGCTCTTGAGCAGGCGTTCTGGGGACTTCGCCAGACGCTTCACAGGATAGCTGCTGAATGGCACCTCGTGGCGTAAGCTGCCAGCGGACCTTACTACCCCTCCTTGGACCCGGTTGGTGCCAAAGATACTCAGGACTCCATGGAGGCAAGTGAGCAGGCGGGTGATATGCAAGCCTCCTCAATTGATCCATGACGTGGATCTCGACAGGAATCGGGCCCAGGACCCGATGTCTCCTCCAACAATCGGCCAAAATTCGACTTTTGATAATATACTTGACGACGAATTCCGGACCAGAAGGCTGTCCATGAGCATCGTTGAGGCGTACGAGCTTGACTAGGCCATAGGCTCCCCTGCCGACATCGCTCTCGACGTGGAAGTCGTCAATGGATCGCTGGCGTCCAGGAGGGGCGGAAATGTATCCGTGCATTTCTCGGACCCTTTGGCCAAGCATGGGATCTTGCACAAGGGAAGGCCCATACTGGTCGTGAGTCCATGATCCTGCCGTACCTCCACCTACGCTTCCGATCCCAAATGGATCTTGAGGCTCGCCATGCGTCGTCTGATCAAAGACGTAAGAGGTGCGAGATGGAGATGAGGCGAAGAGATTCGGCGAGGTGCTGGAAGGCATCGATGGAGGAGGCGTGCCTCTGCGACTCGGTGGCATCGAAATAGCAGCGTGTAGCGCTTCCATCCGACCTTGAGACGAGTCAGAAGAGCCACTACTGCTCCTCGACCTGACAGATCCTCTCCAATCGTCCTCCTCGTCCTCCTCGTCGCCATTTTCGCTCAAAGCATCGACAAGTGAGCTGAAACTATCTGCAGCGCGAATCGACGAGGGGGTTTCACTTGTGGCCATTCGCACAGAGCCAGGTCTAGAGGGAGCAGGTCTGAGGCCATAGAAAGAATTCCTCGAAGAGATTGTACGTCCATCGGCCGAAGGGGAGGGACCAAGTCGAGGAGAGGCGCCACCAAGGTCTTCGACGGATACGGCAGACATGGCGAGTCGGTCAACACCTCTCTGCCGTTCCGACAAGGGTCCAGTACCACTCCTGCCAGTGGAAGTCCTAGTGCGGGGACCTGCTGCCGAGCGAGCAGGCTCTAGTCCTTGACTCGCGAGGTAGCGAGCCCATTCTTCTGTGGTAGGTGTCCTGAGAACATGCGTCACAGCACTCGAAGGATGAGGACTAGTACCCGCAGAATTGGGTGAGACCCCTGCACCAGCCCAAGTGGAAGCGGAACCCAGAGTGGTGGCAGCGGAAAGAGCCCGGGCCATACTGGGGCGAGTTACGCCCAAAGTAGAGCGGGGTGATGATGAAGGCGCCAGGAGTGGAACATCGCCAGAGGCAGAGCGAGAGAGAGACTCGGATCCGGCCGTCTTGGTAATTACAGGCGACCCTGGAACCTCAGACTCATTCTGATCTTCGACGATCCAGGGAGGGGTACTAATTACGGCCAGACTGGGGCGAGACTGCCGTCTCGAGGGCGCTGATGATCGCGGGGAGCTTGGATTTGTAGCTTGATAAGGCTCCGCCACAGACGTAGCTGATCTTGATCGCAGATCAGGCGAGGGTATCTGTCCATCTGCGGGTGAACGCAGTGATGCCACACTCCCAACGCGGCTGTGCTGAGCGCTAGCCCCAACCACATCGCCTAGACTTGCAAAAGTAGCTGATCCTGCAGATTCCATACGGGGTCGCGCGAGGGACGCTGACCTTGCAGCGTCATCGTCGATGCTGCCTGACCATCGTGCATTTACATCGGGCGAAGCATGCGCGATTGGCGACAATGGTCGAGACGCAATCTCTGGAGCAGTGCCAGTGCTCGCACTGCCGTCAGCTGGCACAGGGCTGCCAGCAGGAGACAAGGACGGTACTGTAGGTCTCTCGGTACTTGCGAGATTCGCAGGGACGCGAATGCCCCTTCTCATTGCCTCGAGCACGCTAAAAGGAGCATTGTCAAAGTTCGCTAGCGAGGGATGTCTAGCTCGCTCCCTCGCAGCTCTCCTGCCGCCTTCTTGTCCAGGACCGCCAAACGCGGCGCTGGATCCGCTAGTGGTGCCTGACCTTGACATCCCGATCTGTTGACCCAGAGCGGATCGAGTACGAAGACCGCCCGTGTGACGGCGCGGTGCAGCGGGAGCCACATCTTCTCTGTAGGATGGCGAGCTCGCATTGCGGACATCATCTGTCTGGGCTGACAGTGGCTCCCGAGCGGAAGAGGATGAAGGCATGATCCAAGGTGGGCTGGCGACCAGCGAAATGGGTCGAGCAGTCATTCTCACTTTGCGTGGGCTGAGCTCCGCGTCATCCACTGAAGTGGATGGCGACGGCGCGCTAGGATGGGTTGGCTTTGGCGAGTACCTTGGGGAAGCGCCTCTAGCGGCAGCCACGGCGAGCCGACTGAAGGACGTTGAGGGCCTCATCTGGCGTCGGGGAGAATCGCCAGCTTGGCCATCGAATGAAGTCTGTGGCGGCGAGCGCATCTCGTAGCTACGAGAAGTACTGTCGCCGAAGTCTCCGAGCTGAGGCGACTGCTGTACGACGCCCGCATCAGACAGCTGCTCTTGGGGAAGGGCCACGGCCACCTCGCCGTTGTCCGCTTCAGCTTCGGGTAAAGCGCGAGAGAATGTCACTTGCTGCCGTACATCGGGGACCTGGCTCTGCTCCTCGCTGTCCTCCACGCCAGTCATACCTCTGCCTATGCTTCTTACCCTCGAGACTCCCGGACCCACTACAAAGCCAGTGTGACCCAGCGGTTCCTCATCATCCTCGTGATTCCAACGGGAGGCTTCTTCGTCATCCTCTGCGCCAGAGACCTTGCTCGCTCCCCGCGAGTCATCCGTTGAGGACAACTCTGCCCTGGTGCTTGAGCCGGATGGAGGTGAGGCACTAGCGGCAGTAGTCTGCGAAGTTTGCGAGAATGTGCTTCCAGTAGAGCTCCGATTGGAGAGGGAGCGAAGAGAGAAGGCAGCCGCAGAATAAGAAGAGGAATGATGCGAGCCAATGGTGGAAGCTCTGGATGAGGATCCTAAAGGCTCACGCTCTTCATCTGTGCCAGCCCCAAACTGCCTGATACCATGGTGCTTGGGTGAGGATGGGCTGGACCGGGGGAGGCTAGGCGGAGACGAGTGAGCCATCACTGTTGTGTCCGCTGAGGATGCCTCCTGGTCTTCGAGCGAATCCGGCGTCTCGCTCAGACCCCTTCTGCCTATCGAAGATACCCCGCTCGACTTCCAGCTGCCAGATCGATTGACTCCACCGACGGCTCCCAGCTTCTGCAGATCCATGACGTTGCTGCTGAACGTTGCGGGACGTTCGGGAGAGCTCGCAAAGGCAGGATCGGAGGCCGATAGAGAGGGCTCATGGTGAGGCCATTGAGAGTAGCTATTGTAATAAGAAGAGGATGAAGAGGCGTGATGATCTGAAAATAGGGACTTGGAGGACCGCACAGTGGGTGACGCGGGTCCAACGATGGAGCTGTGATAGGCCCGGCTAGTTGGAGAAGAGAAGGAGCTCGCTCTTCCTATGCTTGTGTGTGGCAGAGCATCTCCATCCGATGGAGAGCGAGGTGAGTAGGGAGAGGGAGGCTCGTCATCATCTGCGAGGGCAGACTTGCGCGTAGAGGGCGACCTTGAATCCAGGGAGAGGAGGGGGCGAATCTGCTCCAGTGGCATCTTGCCAAAGGGCCCTGGCTATTCACCCAGGGTAGTTCCTCTGCCACTCCAGCTCGAATAGCGACGTGCTTAGAATCTCAAGGTGACGCGGACAGCGTGTGGAAGCTCCAACGTCTGGGGTTCAAGACCTTAGGTCTCCACGAGGAGGCTGCGCTGCCCAAAGGCGAATAGGGCGCTTGGACACCAACGGAGCGGCTGCAAGGCTGTCTACGGGGCGATTACGAAGAGGACTCCAACAACGAATGGTAAGGTAGGGATGGATGAGGGACGTAGGGAGTGCGACGTTGGCAGGATGGCTGAGCCCAGACAGACGGACCCTCCTGGTGCGGTTGCCTGGTTGCTGCCTCGTCTGCCCTCATCAGCCTTTGCACTTTTGCCCTGCCTCGCTCCGTCTCCGGCGGCCCGCCCCGCCGCGCTCGCCGTGCAGCCAGGCCAGGCAGGGCTCGGTCCCCCCACCGCGTGGAGGCAGCAATCATCCATCACCTTAGCAATCACGTCTCTTTGCCTTTGGCCCACGCTCAAACAGAGGCAGCACAGTCAAGATAAGAAGATCATTGTGCTAAGCTAGTAATGACATGGTACTTGAAAGAAGAAAGTGGTAAAAGTCATAGTGTACGACGTTGACGAACAGGACTGGGCGCATGAGAGCGATGAAGATGGAAGTTGAAAGGAGGAATAGCTATGTCGTCCTGCTAGGATCTGGCTGAGATGAAGGCAGAGGTGAAAACTTTGTGGAATCAAGATAAAAGGAGAGACAGATTGTTCATAAAGGAGGACGGTGACGACCAGAGTGAGGGAAAGGGAGGGGGAGATGGAAGAAGACGGTAAACGGAAGAGGGAAAGAATGTCCATAAGTGGCTTGAGAGAGGAGTGAATATGAAGGCGAGGCAGAGGTGCGAGTGCCTCACACGGCGACAGGCGGAGAGCTCCTCTTGTACTGCAACACCGAATTTGCGCACGCTGACGTTCACCGGCGGCAAACTCAATCGTTGTACGCTTGTACGCTGGTCCGCATCATGGCCCTGCTTCGTGCGCAATAGCTGCGAGGGGCGGCGCTGGCCCTCTTGGGGTATCTTGCAAAATGGAGAGTTGGCGAGACGGAGCTAGCTCGCCGTTCTTGACCTTTCTGACTTGAGATGTGTCTTGGCGGACACCACCGGAAAAAGGTCATCCTCCTGGTGTCACGAGCGGCGAGACGCTCGCAGAGCCATTGGGACTGGTCGTGTCATGGCTCTTCCTCCGCCTCCTGCTGCTCGTCCTCTCGAGAATGCTAGGCCTTCCGCTTGCATTGCTGAGCCCGCCAGGTGAGACGCCCGGAGCGTCTGGTCTCCGGGTGGGTGTTGTTTTGCTACGCTTGATGTTGCTCGCCGAGCGACCCAACGGGGTGGAGTCGTCGTAACCTGCTGCCGATTCTACAGCGAGACTGCCACCACCCTGTGAGCTTGAACCAGCCTCGCTCTCTGCGAGAGTGATGGCGATGCCTGCCGGGGGACTGTTGTGAGGCAACGGACTGATGCCACGAGGAGCAATGACCTGGCTCGACAGCTTCTCATTCTCCCTCGTTTGCAGCGGGTCCTGCGCAGTCTTTGACACCGCCATCTCTGTTCCAGCCCGTCCCTTCCTCAACAAGTGCTTCCGTCTGCCAGCGCCGCTGCCGGACGCCGAGCTGCTAGCGGGCATCTTCTTTGCAAACTTCGCCCCGCCTCCCTCATGAGCTTCCAGAGTGCCCAGGTCTTCATCCGAGTCTGAAGGCTCAAAGTACACTTCCTCTGGGTTCACAGGCCGCGATACTGCAGTCAACTCAGAGGGAGAGATGTTTGCCGGCGGAGGCTGTGACAGCCCGAGAACGAAGTGATCCTGATGCTCGATGAGGAATTCGAGCACCTGCACCGCAATCTTATGCTCGTTAGCTGAATTGAGGTGAGCAGGATGAGAAAACATGCCTGGCTGGAAGATCATAGCAAGGTCTGGTGCACACATATAAAGGCGGAGGTAGGAGTCAGCTATCTGTCTAGTCACCACGAGGAGAAGGAACTCACTGCTTGCAGGCATCAAGTTCTTGTTTGAGGCTCGAGCGAAAACGGCCAGAAGGTCCAGGACATAGAGGAGCAGATATTGATTGGCAGGAGGCGAAGAGGTAATCATGAGGCGGTAGGTCCTGATTGCAGCGTTGACATCAAAAGGTTCCTTGATCATGATGTTCCGGAATTCATTGTAGAGGTGCAGCGGAATGATAGGCTCCTGCAAGATCGAGAAGAAAAAGCCACCATTAGCATCCTGTACCGATGCGTATAGCCATCAGGACGGATCACACTCACAGGCATCTGGTTGAGATAGCGACGGAGTACACTTGCAGCGTCATGGACACTGTACTTTGACCAGTCGACGTCTTTGCCATACTACGAGACAGTGAGTGCCAAAGCGAATCAGTCAGGTCAGCTCGCTGTTCGAAATCTTTCCCAAATCGCATCGTAAGCAATTGGACTCACTCTCGGAGGTGTGTCAAACACTTCTTGCAGCTCCCTCATCCTCTTCTGCGATCCAGCTATCCTGAACACTCCTTCTGTCTCGACAGCTGTGCAATTCAATCGACGGGCGTAGGGTGCGTCAGTGGGTTGCCAAAGATGGCGAGACAGGCGCCCACTTCCTAGCTTACTCACCATTTTCTTTCAGGTACAGTCCGACTTTGGCAACGATGATTGGTACATAGCCCCATACGTATTGAGAGCCGTCCTCGCCTGCCATTGAGATTGCCACGCTTGCATAACTCAGCGATTTGCGGAGAGGGATTGCGAAGACTCTAGTCTCTTCAGCAGTGGCAGCAACCGGAGCTGAGGATGCGAGGAAGAGGCAGTCGTCAGTAAGCACGGCGCGACGATGACAGCAAGGTGAAAGAAGGCAGACTCACACTTCTTGTCTTTGCTCTGTGTCCGGACTTTGGTGAATGCGCTCCACTGTCACGAAGAGTAAGCGTTGCCTTGCATTAGTATTGCACGGTATCTCACGAGCGCGTCTCGATGCCTCCCGCCCGCTCTGCTCTATCGCTTACGACTCCAGCGATACTCACCCAAGCTTTCAAGCTAGCCTTTGTCTTTTCTCTCTCTTCGAGGTGCGCCATCGCAACGACGGAGGGTACGCGATGCGACAGCGACGTGTGACTGCAGCGGGCAGCCGGCGTCTAGTGGTCCTCCCTTCCGTTGCTCCCGAGGAGCAATTCGACCAAAGACGAGAGGCAGCCTACTCTTGCTCTCCCTATGCTTCCACTGATCGTCACTCTCCTTGAGCTGAGCAGGGCAGTATGGAAAGAAGTAGAGATGTAGCTCGAGCCACGAGACCCTGAGGGGCGGCTGAAGTGCGGGGAAAGGGTCTAGCGCGGTGCTAGGTGGCGCGGGAGGCGGCTTGCACAGGGCGCGATAAGGGCAAAGGAGATTGCGCTGACGAGTCTGGGTGGTGCAGGCTTGAGAGAGGAGGAGGCTTTGATGATATGACTGAGCGAAGAAACGCGTGGATCTCTGGACCCCTGTGAGAGGCAGCCGGCGGGATGATTGATGTACGGGTGAGGGCAGACGAGGGCGGGCGGAAAGGGGGCTGTGGGTAAAAGTGAGGCTTGCCTGGATGGCCTGCTCTCCTTGTTTGGATGGTGGGCGTGGACCAGAGGCGCGATGGAGGAGCAAAGAGGATGCCTACGAGGGGATGATCTGGAGGAAGGACGAACAGAGGAAAGGCAAGGAGCCAGCTAAGGCGCCTATGCGATGGTGGGCGGGTGTGAGGGATGGGATGAGGGAGTGAGTGATGGCTCTCGGAGGCTGATGGGCAAGAGGGGGGGCCGCCCGCGATGCAGGCAGTGGAAAAGAAGTTTGGCGGGTGCACGGCGGACGCGGGAGGGGGGCGACAAGCGGGCGGAGCATGCAGGCAGCCAAGGGCAGGCGCAGAGGCAGCCTCGGGACGTGGGAGCCAAACAAGTGAGATTGGCTGACTTCGGTGGCCAGCCGAGGCGTACTTTTCCAAACAACCACCCGCCCACTGCCCAGAAAGGTAAGGCAGATCACCCACACCCACCCCGGGCGGAAAGGCAAGCAGCAGCAGCAGAAGCACCAGCAGCAGCAACATCCCACCAATGGCCACCGATCAAACCCCGATCCGACGTCTGGCGACGTGAGCACCGGGCCAAGGACCGAGCTAGGGACCCCCGAGCCAAGGACTTTCGTCGTGGCTTACTCGCGTCATGCTTGCTCGACCACAGGGCAAGCATCCTATCTTTTCATTGGACTTGTGTTCCACAGCGTCACCTTGTCAAGTGACCGTGGCATCGCACGGCAATCCAGCCATCCCCGGCGGCGCATTGTCAAATCGCAAGCACTGACGAAGTGCTAGGTGAATCTGACAAGATAGGGCCGTGAAGGTGGGAGACGCTCGAAGCGGATGGTCCCCCAAGGGTCAAGTCACCGAAGGGGGGCCAGCAACAGGCAGAGAGGAAACTATTCTCGTGTTCATGCATGACGGTATTAAATCTGGAGAGTGGCCTGCGCTTTTCCGGTCTTGCCTCGCTTCACGCCTTGCAACTTTTCCGTGGCTGCAGTTGCATCAAGCCATGGGTGAGCGAAGGGTGGTAGAAGAGCAGAAGTGGCCGGCCGATCGCACGGACAGGCCCGCGACGATGAGGCCAGTGGGATCGGAGAAACTCGTCTACTCAAGCAGGGCCCTGTCTCAGCTGCCCCCTCTGCATTCAAGACCACCCAGTAGCAATGTCCCTCTTCACCGTCTCAATACCGTGGCGTCACCAGAAGGCTTCCATCACAGCAGCCTTCACCAGCCCTCGGTGCCTTCAATAGAAGAATGCGCCACTTCGCTGGTCTGGGTTGAAGGAGAAGATTTCCGCAGACCCGGTTCGTGCTAAGCCGTCCACCCGCCTGCCGTTGAGAAAGCGCAACTTCGGACAGGTGTCCAGGAAACGCGGGAACGAAGGTGCAGTATTCTCCTGCGGCAGCGGTTCCACAAACAGAGAGACCAGCTCTGGAAAGGCCCCGCAGCTTGGATAAGACGAAGCAGCTTCATGCGGGGCAGTCAAGTCGCCTGGCGCGCTGTTCGTGCTTTCCCCTGCCTCTCCCTCTGCTAGCTCTCTGAAAAGTCGATCGAAATTGCCGAAGCTAGAGTTGATGTCCAAGATTAAGCGGAGCCGTTTGAGCCTCCGGCCAGCTTTTCTGAGTCCAATCCAGAGCGGAAATTCCGGCGTCACTGCGAAGACGTCCAGATCTTCCAATTCGTCAAATACCCCACGTTCGATGAGATCTACATCGTGGAGCAGCGTCGTCTTAGAAGTCGAGAGAGAAATCGAGGCCAGAGGAGTGTACAGAGACAAGAGGAGTGATGGAAGATGAGGCGGGAGAAGGTGTGCATCGTATGAGGTGAGCCTGAGATGCCGTAGTGAACGGAGCCGAGACATGTCTATGCTTCCAGAATAAAAGATGCGGCAATGTAAAGAGAGGCTTTCGAGGCCGCGTGGATGGTCGACTCTTGAATTAGATTCTTCTTTCGGGTTTCGTATGCCTTGCTTTGGCGGAAAAGAATTGACCCCCGAGTTTGGTCTTTCTGTAGAGTCCAAGCGGAGCATATTGATGGTCGTGTCGAGGTCGTTTCCAGTGTCGGGTATCCGTGGGCCCAGCCTAGGGTGAAACATGGTCATGGTGGAGCCATCTGCATCAATGGCAATCTCGCGGATCTGTTCGCGACTCATTGTTCTCCCCTTTCTCTCTGCAAGCATAGCCTCTAGACCGTGGGGCTTCTCGGGAGTTCCTAGCATACGCCATATCATGGGACTTGGGAGCACTTCAGCATCCCACTCGAGTGTATGCAGGCCATTGGCTGGATTCATCCCGCTCCGAAACAGATGGCGCAGGATCTCTTGATCCAGAGACAGGTACCGATCCGGCATTATGACCTTCAAACAGCGTACAAGCGGCAGCGGATACAAAAATCGATCGATCTCTGAGACGGAAGAGGCCAGGCGTTGGTAGTATTCCATGATCGAGCGCAGCTTGCCCAGGCGATCTGGGCGATGGATGAGGACTTCTTGCCATAGAAGCGGGCATAGTAGGCGTCGGAGAGCGGCGCTGAGGGATGACAAGGTGACGAGAGCGGAGAAAGAGCGCGAGTCTGGCGACAGAGATGCAGCATATGTGGTGTCGTGTACAACTTCGAACGGCTTCGAGTGACTGAGTGGAGGTACGAGATGGTGAGCAACGAGCTGAAGCAGTTCCGCAGGGAGATCACGCGGGACGACGCGATCTGTCATGATATATGCGGGTAGAACTGGGTCTTTGGTCTGACCCGCATCGTATCAGCAGGCAGAGAGGGAGAGGTAAAAGACGGCACCGTTCGGGCGTCAGGAATGGAAGGTACTTGCCAAGGTAAAGAATGGAAGCGGGACATGGTGGTCCATGCACGGCGTGGTTCCGCCTCCGCCTCTTACGTAAGCTAGGCTGATTGGGTCTGACTTTCTCGCCTTTCTCAAAGCCGCACGCTGGATCATCTGCCTACCAATGGCAGCTACCGCAAAGCTCTGGCGCTCACAGGGACAATGCACGGCGACGGGGGACAACGAATATCTGTAGCTATGGTCTACTTCGCCGGTGTCCAAGAAGAGCGGGAAGAGCGAGAGAAGACGCGTGGAGAGCCTCGTGGCAGCAACCATCAATAGCCGACCATGGCGCCCGCGGGGGGAGCCTTTAGCGTTTAAGCGGGGCACAAGATGGCGGGCGGCCACAAAGGACAATCAAGACTCCCTGAGTCGTTCTTCTTTGCTCCACTCCGCCTGAGCACTTATCCTACCCAACCATCGGCTCTTCATGGCCAGAGCTACTCCCTCTACGCCTTAGTCACCCCTGGTCGCTCCTTCTCTGCCATCAGACACGTCAAGACGGCAGCGGCCGAGTTGAAATCCCCTGGATCACTCAACTTCGCCGCCCCCGTCTTAGTCTTGGAGCCTCAATCGTCCTCACTGCTCTGCGTACTCTTTGCTCGACCTTCCCTAGCCGACGCAAACGTGTGTGTCTGACGAGGAGAGCGCTCTGCAACAGCATAGCGTATAGAGCCTTCAGCTCGTCATCGCTACGTACTACCATTCCTCCCGCCATAACTGCTCTACGGTACTGACGCGGCACACAACATCAAGTACGGCAAGCAGGCCGTTGACCCTCTCCAAACTTTTTCCCCCTAGTCATGACCCTGAGTTCTGGTGCTAGCCTGAAGAAAGTCAAAGCTCAGGCCGGCAGAAAGAAGCCTGCCCAAGCTCTCAAGCGGCCACACAAGGTATCCGGACCACCTCGAGAGGGACACGACTTGAAACAGTCTGACACCGACAAGGTGCCCGACGATCAGCAAGTGCCCAATCGCTCAGTTCAAAAACAAGAAAATCAGACATTTGCACTTAACAGTGCTCCTGGCCTCCAACCCGGTAAGCCTGATGTTGATGGTTGCTTCCCTTGTCGTGTCCGGCCGCTCCCTGCTGACTGGAAAACCCTCCCCCCCCCCCCTCCTCTCTCTTTCTCTCCCGCGCCATAGCTCTTGTCGATCACGCTGGTCTTGCTGACGTGCTTTCAGGCGCTGCTAGTACAGCTTTCACTTTCCCTCCATACACTCCTTCTTACCCTGTGGCGTCTCCGTACAAACAGCGATTAGAGGAAATTCAACACCGAAGGGCAGAGTCGGAGAGACTTCAGAGAGCCCTCGCTAGCAACTCACACTTGCAACTGGTCGTCTTCTGTCACCGAAACGACGCCTACAACTTTCTGCCCGACGGAGCGTCCATCGCCGACATGGGAAGCGATCAGAACACAGGTGACAATCTCGTCACAGACCAGGCTCTGTCCGCGGCCAATGTCGATGTCTCGGGATCTTGCTCCGACAATGTGATCCATTCAAGATCTATAGACATCGGAACAGAGGCATCTATTCGGAAGAAGCAGTCCAAGAAGCCGGCTCGAGGAGGTGCAAAGAAGGTCAGGAGCACTTTGCCGGATAGCAAGAGCCAAGTTGTGGAGCTCGAGATTGCGCAAGCCCCTCCTTTGGCTTCTTGGGACGATGCTACCTCCACCAGCGCTCGCTCGACAAACGCAGTGGCCGACGATCCGTGCTCTTCGCCATTGTTATCACCCCAAAATCAGAGTGAGAATAAGCGGAAGCACAGGAACAGCAGGCATGCTCCTCGACTAGGCTCTACTCCTTCCAGCTCCCGACCGTCTAGTCGCATCTCGGGGACCACAGAGACTTCTGAAGCCAGTGAGCTTGACCTAGGGCAAATGCTGCTTTCTTCGCAAGCGGCAGCCGCTGCTGGCAGTCGGACCGCGACGAAGACGACCACAAAAGCTCAGCGTCGGCGGGCGAAGTTGAAGCAGACTTCCCGGCTTTTCGATACCCAGGACTCTCAGGAGTCATCCCCACTGCGGAGTGCAAAGAATGAGGAGGACCTCGTGGGACCTGCGGAGAGGACGCATCAAGTGAGAAGGATCCACATTGGTCCTCTGCCACAGCCATCTCGTGCGTCAGCCCTGCAGCTCTCTTCGACTGCCACAAGCATCCCCAATATATCTTCTGCTCCAATGGTTTCAACCAAATCTCGTGCGCAAGGGACAGCAAACCGTCCATCTTCTTCAGCGTCATCGAGCCAGCCGTCAACTGCAACGAGCTGGAAAGTCAAAGGAATCTTGCAGGAGCCGCCGAACCATCTTCGAAGCTACACTACAGAGTCTACTATAGGACAGCCCAACAGGGCCGGCGTGGAAAGCGCGACGAAAGGAATGAGTGAGCAAGCTGAGCTCGATGACGGCTCAGAGTTGAAAATAATCGCTCACACCATCTTATCTGCAAAAACAGGGTCCTCGTCGGTGGAGCAATCTACTCCTCCCTCGCTATCGATCTCAGGCTCGAGCTCGACGGGGGCAGACAAGAGTCAGATCCGCAGCCGCTCTATACCGGGCGCCCCTCCCGCCACTTTGCTCCCCAACAAAGAGGTCAAACTTTCCACATCGAAGCCGCAGCGCGAAAAGGAGCGTCTTCGGCTTGCTCGCGAGCGAAAGCAAGAGGAGCTGCATCGGCAGCGGATTGCTGAAGCAGTAGCAGCGGCTGAACGGGGCGAGAAGCTATCTATATGCCCTCAGGAGCCGCAGCGTGAATCCGAGAGTGTCCGATCCAAGAAGCCCCGTCCTGTCGTCTCAGTGCCTGCGCTGGACGACAAGCCCACAGAAATTGCTGCAACTGCAGAATTGCAGGAAGGTTTCTCACCTCGAAGCAGAGAAAGCGCGATCTCTAAGACAGAGACTGATGACTCGTATCACACTGCCGCTTCGAACATTCCGACGAGCTCGCCAAGCCCAAAGTCTCCTCGACAAGCATCTGACAGCAGCTGCGAAAGACAGTCTGATGAAGGAGAGTTCAGGGATTCGTCGTCGGTGCGTTCTACTGCTCCTTCAATGCTCTTTTCTCCCCTCTCCACTGGAAGCGCAACAATCACCTGCTTTTCGCCACTGCAGACTCCTCTCGTTCTTGACACGCCACAATGTCCGCATTGGCACACCGGACTCGAGCATGGGCAATCCTCACACCGCCCGAATTGTTCGAAGCAAATCTTCTCCTCAGGCGATCGAAAGCATAGCCCCAGCATTACGGACTCAACTGATACAAGTGAGGTCACGGGCAGCCAGTATGGCCCATCGCCGCCATCTGACTCATCTGTCGATTTCGGATGTCCGCAGCCAAATGCACTGACAGGACAACAGAGTCCCGTGCAGATGCAGATCCGCACGGGAGCGGATCCGAGAATCGTAGAGCTCCGCGATCTTGGCCCTGCCACGATGCCACTCAATGAAGATTTGACAGGCTCTATGGATATCAGCAGCAGCTCCGCTGAAGTGATTGAAGCATCGTCGAATGCTCAGCTGGACGAGAGGTCGTGCCGTCCCCAAGATCTTCACACACGTCGCGTCTTTATCGAGCCGACAGGTACCGACGTTGGATATTGCTACCACCCAGGCTCCTCATGCGCAATGGCGGAGCCAGGCACATCGGTCTTCTGTCGAGGAGCAGGGGCAGAGCGGCCGAGTCAACAAGGGTTGTCTTCCCTCTGTAGCATCTACCCTTCTCGGATACAAGCAAGACACAATGAGGGCGCGCGAAATACGACGGGGCAGGCCCATCCATTAGCCCAGGCATCACCCCCGTCGTCGCTTACTGTGATACCCGAACCTCTTGACAGCAACGGCATTGAGTCCTGTCACCACGCTGACAAAGAGCGGGACAGGATGCACAGGTCAGGCAGTGCCACCAGTGCCCGACAATCCCTCGGTCTGTTCCCTACGACTAGGACGAAGTCTCCGGCTATGCCTCACCATCACACTCTTCCTGCCAAGAATAATCCGTCGACTACAGGCTCGGATCTCACAGACCCGGTACAGCTGAGCATATTCAAAAGATGCGTCAGTGAGCTCAATGCCTTCGAGGACCACCATCAGAGACGTTCAAGGGCGCGGGAAGAGCGACTTGCCCGCCTTCATTGTTACGACCTCGAAGGTTTCGTTGAGACAAAGAAGACAGTGGTCGAAACCGATGGTCCTTTCAAAGGTCGCAAGAGGATCGTCAGACTGTGGCGAACCCATTCTATGCTGGCGCCCGGCCGAAGACTGTCCGCTAAGTTTGACTTCGACCCCAGTGTAGCTGTTGCTGCATCGAAGGCCGGTCTTCGGCACACAAATGGCGCGTTGGTCCCAAGAGCACGGTGTCAAGATTACGCTAACGCATCCCGCGTACCGAGCGCTGATCAATCAAACAATCAGAACGTGCTTGTTGGCTCATCGTCCTTGCCCGACGGTCTTTCGCAATTAGTTCGCCCCCGGTATCCAGTCTTCGCACCTCACTATGCTCTCCCGTCTCTAGCATGTGACACCAGTGCAAGTGACCTTTCGCGTAGCTCCGAAATACTTGGTCCCATTGCAGAGCATGAGTGCAGCTTGAACGGGATGCACGTAGCCCGGCCTTCCGGGCTCGTCCGAGCATTCCTCGACGGCGACTCGACTGCGTGCACTGCACCTTTCGAAGACACCACAGAGTGTCTCATCAAGAGCGCGAGCACAAGCTTCGAGACTCGGCCCGACCTCAATTGGTTAGATTCGCTCCGCAGTCTGGGTGAGCAAGAGCGAGTGGCTCTCAGATGCTTCTTGAGGGCTCAAGTAGGCGCAAGTGATCATCCCTTTGATTCAGACTGCTCGGAGACCGGCGAAGATGGCGCAGAACAGGCCTTGCTGCCGGTACCAGTGGCAGCGGCACGCAGTTTCGCACCGTCAATCTATCCCACGATGGGTAGCGTGACAGGACCCAACGGACAAAGTAACGTCGAGAACGGCTGGGAGCCCATGCCACATCAGCTTTACCGATCCGGAAGCAACCTTTCTTCAGCAACATACTGGCCTTCAGAACCCTCTCTCCAGTACGAGATTGCTACGAGCGCGGTGTCAAGTCCACACGGACCTCCCTTCACCGTCAGTGGTCAGCAAGCACCTCACTATGAGTCCTACTACTCATCCTCTCCGCATCTATTGCCAACGTCTAGCCACAGCCGGCCTGCCCTCCTCCCGCATCAGACTGAGTCATTTGCACAGCGTTCTCATTCAAGAGAGCTCGCTGCGGGCAGGGCGTGGTCACCAGTTCCACCACCTGCACCAGGCTATTACTCCGACGGTAGTGACCTTGCTCACTCTGCGGGGAGTGCCTCTTCACAAACGGAGCCAGAAGCGCAAATGGAGGCTTTGGTTGCGGCAGTCCAAAGGTGTCTCTCAGCAGATGGCAGCGGCCACGAAGGAGGCCACGCAGCGCTCTCTGAGAAGCACTTCCATCCTGCCCGGCTCTCGGATTGCGCATCCGACGATCTGGCCTCTCGATACTCGAGCAGCTCTGTGGCAGAGAATCCGGCTTCATCGGCCGGAGAATCGCCTCTCCACGAACAAAATTGGTCTGGTGCAGAATCGGACAATGCACGACGACATGTGTCATCGAGAATGACGCTGGCCCCTCATAGTCAACAGCAGCGGGGTCATCTCTCATCCGTCTTCAAGTCTCGGCCAGATGGTCCCGCAGGCGCTCGTAACTCTCAGGCGCATAGAGAGTTCGAGTACGGTGCCCGAGCGCCGCAGAGACAGAGAGGCTATGATATGAGCTGGCACGCGCAGGACTTGCCTTTTCGAAGCGATCGAAGCAACTCGGATAGCGCTCCATCCGACACATGGCAAGACATGGCTCGAATTGTCCCAACAGAGAACCGCAATGCCCCTTCCTTAAATCAGCCGTACAGAGCTTCGGAATTCGAGCCATTGTCATCCAGCGGGTGGTATGCGCAGCCCATTGACCTTTATCGAGATCTCGATCACAGGCAAGTACAGGGCTACAACGAGCTGCCAAGGAGCCAGAGCACCTTCATCCCTCAGTTACCTTCTCCGAGTGCTGAAGCAAAGGGCTCTTCGCAGGCTTTGGGTACGGGCAGCACATCCATGGCAGCGTACCGCGGCTCGCAGGTCGATGGCATACCGCTCCTTCGCTACAGCCAAGCATCAAACCTTGACCGATCTCACCCCTATGCAGAGGATCACACTGGACGCGCCACCTCGACGTATGGCAAGCGGTTTCCCGATAGCACGCAGGAGCTGCAGAACGAGAGTCGAAGAGCTGTGCAGGAAGAAGCTGCGATGCTCTATGCATACGGATCAAGGATGCAGGCGGCCAGAGGTCTTGCTCCTCAAGGTAGAGTCGAGAGGTCAGAACATGGTCAAGCTTCGCAATTCGATGAGCAGGAGCAACCTCGACACTCACTAAGGTACCACCTTCCGAATATCGAAGTACAGAGCCGGGCGCGGAATGGGGATCCTCCCGGCGACAATGCGACATACAGCCGCAGTGTCTCATCCCCTCGGCAAGGACGATCATCCTCCAGGAGCGATGCCCAAGACCACGTCGCCACGAGACCGAACGCTGTCCGCATTGCCGGTTCGATGGCGAATTTCAATGCCACCGTCCCAGCCCCGAACGGGAAGTACGACGCAGAGCCAAGTCACAGCTCGGACCGCTCCGACAACGACAAGCAAATGATACAGCGTCGTCACAAGCAGCAGTCAGACCCACAGTCCGCTGGGGGTTCAATCTCGTACGAGGGAAGGCAATACAGCCTGGCTCAGCAGGTGCCGTCGTCACCTTGTCAAGACGAGGACCAGACTGTTCGCATCGATCGCGGTCGAGCCCCTCGCCACTACCCATCTCAGGAACAGCAATTCAACAATCATCGTCAGCAACTACATCAGCAATCATTCAGTCAGCCAGCCCATCTGCCACCCCGTCCAGCGGGCATCAGAGACGAGGCAGCCAGCGCTTGGGACGAACCTCAACGGCGTGAAGCCAATAGAAGCGAGCCGAAGCAGCAGCAGCGGCCTCAGCAGCCCGCTTCCTTTGGGCACGACGATCAGCAGCGATCTCCGTCCCAGTATGCTCAAAGATCCGACACGACGTCGAATCGAACAGAGCAGCCGCCGCACTCGTCGTATGAATACACTCAGAGAGCGAGTACGCGCCCTGATGGTCAAGCTCAGCGGGGTGGTGGGGGAGGTAGAGGAAGAGGTCACAGAGGAAGCTGGAAGCAGGCTCGATGGGAGGAGAGAGAAGCGAGTGAGCACGACCGGAACTCTGGCAGTTCCGGTCATAGCCCGGCAGAGCGTGCGGTGAACTTCAGACCGGGACAAGGTGGTCGTGGCGGTGGGCAAGCCGGCCATGGCGTCCGAGGGACAGGGATTTCGAACAGGCTGGATCAGAGGTGAAGATGTTTGGCTACGGGCCAGATGTCCGCACGCTATATTCAGTTTTCAGCATACACGGACACTCTTCCTCTCCTCGCCTCTATCTCTACCCTGTCGATCCCTCGGTGCATGCGTCTTGCTCGGTCCAAAGACTCTTCTCATCTGGTGTCGTTCCGCTCTCATGAAAATGAGAGCCTCTCCCCCTTCCTAGCAATCTGTCCTGCCCTACTCGAGTCTCGACCTCGACCTCGATCTCAAACTCGGTCTCGTCCCCCACGCACGTCCAAGCTAAAGCCTCTCTGCATCCTTGTTTCTTTCTCTCTTCTTTCCCATTCCCTTTCCTTCTTCACCTACTCTCTCCTAATGCCAATCTCCACACTACTTGTCCTGTGCTTCGCACACTCATCTCTTTCTCTCCTTCTGTCTTTCTTTCTTGGTCTGGTTTGATTGGAAGAGAAGCTCAGGCTCTAGGTCTCTCATCATGATGGCTTGTTATACTTAGAAGATACTGTTAATTCTTTTACTCTGTCACTTCAACTTTCCGCTTGATGACTAGTAGTGCTCGTGGGATTCGACGCTGCTAGTGACGCTGACGCTGCTAGTGGTGATGACCGCCGCGCTAGGTGGAGAATAGCAGACGTCTGCCGGTGGACTCGGCGTGCAGACATCATGCAAACGCTAGCGAGAGGAATAGGCTCGTAGTGAAGCGCTCTGCTCTCAAGACGGGGGCAGTCATACGAGAAGCGTAAAGATGAAGGAACTACAGTGATGTGTTTTGGTTTCAGAACGAATGAGGTGAATGTACAACTACCGACAGAGTGTCGAGAGGCAAAGAAAGCGGCTCGTCTATCCTACAAAAAGGAAAGAGGCGACAGACTTAGACTCGGACAGTGGGAGCGGGAGCACCTCCGGCCTGAGGACCGACACCGGAGTTCTGGACGGCAGCGACAGCTGGGTTGACTGATGAAGGCAAGGGGCGAAGAAGGTAGAGGTGTAAGCATCGTGTGCGCACAGAGGATATGCGGGCGTGCCTTCCGTGTCCTTCCATCACCATCGTAGCCTCCCTCTCCATCCTCCACGTGGCTATTCGAAGTCTCATTCGAAAGATGGTGATTAACGTTTGCCTCGTCATCCCGAGTTGGGGTCGGCAGTCTAACATGTATTGGAGTTAGGTTAATCACTGACGACGTGCGCCACTTGAGGAGCGAGGGTGCTTCGTAGCATCGGATTCTCCGATGTGCTCGACCTTGTCTCCAGTAACTCCCTGGCCACGACCCTCCTGTCGGATATTCGAACATACGAGTCCATCGAATACTCACTCTTCTTTCCGTCCTTGTTGTAACGAACTCGAACGGGGGGAGCACGGTTCCTTCGTCCAATGCGCGATCGCACTCGGACAACGTGGGCGTGGATGGCACACGAGACACAGTAGGCGATCTTGATGTAGAGCTTGGGCAGGGCGTACTCGGCGTAGACCGAAGCGTCCGAGATGTCACGGACGGCAGCGGCCTCAACGATGTTGCGGACAGTGAATCGCTTGATTGCCTTGTCCTTGGGCACACATCGGGAGCAGTTAGAGCATCGGACGAATCCGACGTGGCCTCGGCCGTGCTTGTTTCGTCCACCGTTCTGATAGAGGGGAAGCAGGGGAGGGTAGAGGCGCAATGAGCTTCTGCTTTCCTTCTTGTAGTGGCGGACACTCCCGCGATCAATGTATCTCTGCCTCCTGCTGCATCATGCTCGCCCTGCTTCATAGGCATCCCCTCGATCTGCTACCTATTCGTCCTATGCCAACTTGTTCCTCTGACGAATTCTCCTTTCCTGCTGAGCTTGCGACGTCCAGCTCGCTTCCTTCGTTGAGACCAGCCCTGCGTATGGTTGCCGCTTCTCATTTTCCTCCGCCACTACCTCCTCCGCCGGTGCGTCTACTGCCCCTCTATTCCCTCTAGACGATGAGAGCAGTGTCGATAATCTCGGTGAGGGATTGGTGCAAAGTGGATACTCACTCTCCTCTTTTTAGTCATGATGAAGTATGTGTGGTGAGTTGGTGAGGTGTGAAGTTACGAAGTTCAGAAGACGAGGGGCGCCCCGAGTCCTCTCCGCCCTCCTCCCACTTCCAGCCTCTCCGCCGCGCGCTCATCCGCCGCGCCGCAAACCAATCGACCTCGCCCACACTTCCGTTCCGAGGGAGCCCAGCACCCTCCGTCCCGTTCCGGCCTGACGCAAGTCACATGGCGAAGGCTGAGGCTCGCGTCGACTGAAACTCCGTCGACGCACGCCTTGTTGTGTGCTCAGGGCAGAGCAACACTTCGGGGACCTCGCTTCAGACGGAGCGATTCCCAATACCATCACACCACTGCGTATCGTCACCTTGCTCCTCGCTGCTCAGCCATGACATCCAGCGAGGCTCCTGCTACCAGACCCTTGCCACTGGGCAGCAGAAGCATCAACACATTGCCCAAGAGCGGCTCCCTACTCTTGGACAAGTTACGCTCGAAGGAGATCCTGCCGTTCCTACCACCCACTCCCCCTCGCACACAGTCGCCCAACGACACAAGCAGTCGCACCACCCACACATCCGTCCGAAGACAATCGCCTCCCTCGCCTTCGCCTCAGAAGAGTATGAGCTCTTCCTCTCACTTGCCGATGTCCGGGCCCTCAACTCCAGCAAGGGGATTGGACCCCAAGCGCAATCGGCCTATGTTGAGCCCTGCGCTGAGTGTTGACGGCATCTCTCCCAATCCGAGGGAGAGGAAGAGATTGGATGAGAGACTCACCCCAGCGAAAGAAAGACTTGGTTCGATCGAGGAGGTGCAAAACGATAGGTCTGCACGCAGAGGCAATGCTCTAGCGCAGAAGACAGCACTTGCTGAACGCCATCTGGACAGCAACGCAAGTGACAGCGAATGCGATGAAAGTGACGGAGAGACCTACAACAACATTCAGCGCCAACGCATCAGCTCTCAGCAAGCGATCAGATCGAGCCCAGCAAATTCTACTGCTGTTGCCGATGTTCGCCGTAAAGCAACCACCAGTCGAGCACGCCAGGCAGCGCTTGATCGCGAGCTCCTCAACGCCTCCCAGTCGATCAGCAATGCATCCACCCCCTCTTCCTTCGATCTCTCCCATTCTCTCTCACAAGGATCCGATAGCTCCATTTCCAGGAGATCGAAGCGTGTGGCCACTAAGACCGTACACGGCAAGGGTGTCTGGCCAGCATTAGCCCCGGTAGCTGTGGATTCCAGTAAGCAGGGAGCAGCAAAGTCACAAAGTGCTCGCAAGGCAGCCGTCGCTTCTTCATCACGCCACAACGCGAATCAAGAACTCGAGCAGTCAGCTTCTCAGCCTGATCGAACTGCTTCCTCCCTGAAGTCAATACGCAAAGCCAAAGCCAGCCACGAAGCTGAGCGTCCCAGAGTATCATTCTCTCAGCCTCTGCCTACGACCAAAGTCCCTGCATTTGGAGACCCTCGTCCACCTGGCAATCGCCGGCGAGCCACGTCATCTCAGCCAGTCCGTACTCCCACTAAGACATTCGCCTCAGCAGCTGAGAAGCGGGCATTCTTCTCGACAATCAAGCGCCTGCCTCCCCTCAAACCAGAAGAGAAGCTCAGCCCTTTCGTCCCCGCGCCTGCCAGCCCTGGCGAAGACCCGATCTTGCTCAAGGGTCACCCTGACGAATATGAGCCTGAGTGGGTACGGGAGTACGATGAAGGCGAGGAGAATGACACTTTCGCAGCTGTGAAGACGCGGCACAAGGCATCGGACGACAACCCTAGCCGAGTCGAGACGCAGCAGGGAGAGGACGTTAGACGAGCCGAAGGGGACACACAAGATGGCAGTGCCCCACGTCAAGATCAGGCAGACCTACAGGTAGACCCAGAAGCGGACCTAAGCGACTTCTCTAGACAAGCTCAAGAGCTACATCATGTCATCAGTAGCGTGCAAGATGATCCGTTCGCTATTGGATACGGGCAATACGACAACATTGATGTCTTTGACGCAGGTGTGTCACACTCTTACTCCGACGACGACAACGACTACAACGCTGCCCACGTGAGCGATGTCGAAGAGGAAGCCTCAGGGCTCGCAGCACAGAAGGAAGTCCTCTCGCATGAGCAGTCTCAAGCCCAGGTCGCTGCTAGCGATGATGAAGATCAGGGGCTTGCAGAGACATCGCAGGAAGTCGAATTCGATTCTCAGGACACTGCAGTCGAAGATGTCGAACGTCAAAGCTCAGCTGTGCCCGCTTTCGCTACAGATGAGAAGAGCAAGACCATTGGAGCTGAAGTCATGGAAGCATACGACCTAGAGGAGGCAGCCGAGCCTGTCGACGAGTGCGTTGACTCTGGAGCAGGCAATGATAGCGCTGAAGAAGAAGCGGCAGGGGAACTCTCTTTCTTTGTGGAGCAGCGCGAGCTTCGGCGCGAGGAAGATGAGGAGGCTGAAGGTGATATGAGTGTCTCCTACGAAGAGCCAGCGCGAGCCCAGGAAGAAGGAGATCAGCAAGCCCAAGAAGAAGAAACTACGTACGACGAAGACGAGGTCGATGCGAGTCTCGCAGCACTTGCCCCTGCCGCGGTTCATCCGGACAGCGAAGCTGAGGAGGAGGCCGATCTTGAAGCATCGCTACAGGCCCTCGACGTCAATGCTTCGTCCTCTCAGGGGAAAGTCGAAGCAGTAGAAGCCGCACCCAAAGAGGCTGCAGCGGCAGAGGCTGCCGTCGAGAATGACATTCAGCCCGCACCTCAAGAAGGCATGGCCGACTTGACCCGTCCGAGAGGCACACAGCTGGCCGCCCACAACCTCGATACGGCTCAACAATCCCAGAGTGGGTATCCACACTCTAGTGTTGACCATTCTTACCTCCACTCAAATTCGTCGCGCTCCATCATGCACTCGATGGCACGTCCAACGTCTATCGTTGAGGTCATGAGCACAGATGCCGAAGCCGCCGCTCGGGCCGCTGCTATTCTTCGAGTACACCACAAGTGGATCCACGAGGGGCACGTCGTCACGGATGAAGATGAGGGTGCAGAGGCTACCTTTGTCGGGAGCGTTCTGGCGAGTGATGCAAACGCGACAACAATGGGTAACGAAGGGCTCCTGCCAGGGCTGCTCAGTCAAGCTGAGTCAGAGCTTCAGAAGAGTCAAAAGGCGGCAACCTCAGTCGTAAGGGACTCTACGCCGAGAGCCAAGGTACCACAGCTTGCAGCAACTCCCGCTGCGCCAGGAGCTTGGAGCTTCTCGCCCGCAATTAGTGTGACCCCGGCTGCTGCCAAGGAAAGTCTACAAGTTCCTCAGACGTTGCAATCTGGCGGTCATGTCGATGTTCGCGCTCTTCTGGAGGAGAACGCAGGCGCGTTCCCGAGGCAGGCCTGGAGAGCTCTCGACAAGGTCTTCCGGAGGACCGTACGACACATGGCGGCTTCAGACAACTATGGAAGTGGCGACCTTCAACCCACATTGCTTGGTCAAAGACGAGCAGCAAGGGCGGTCGAACAGAGTGCCGTGGTCGATGCGTTCATTGCCGCTCACAACATCGAAAAGAGCATGCTGAGAAAGCGTTGGTCATACACCAACCTTTCACGCTCCGTCCAGGCCTTGCAGCGACATTGGTTCGTCCGGCTGGAAGCCGACTACCCAGGATGCCTCACTGCCGAAGAAGCTGCTATCGCCGAAAGACCCATCAATTACAGCGATGGTAATTCCACCAGCTCGATCACACGACAGAGCTCGCCTGCTCTCAGCCAATTCTTGAGAGATCAGTCTAGCGTAGGTGACGTCTCTCCGATGACGAGCGTCAGGGGAAGCAGCAGGCTCAGTAACGTGTTTGCCGACATTGCGACGCACTCTACTCCACTGCAGGCGGGAAGGAGAGGCTGGACCCATTCACTGAGTCCTGCGCCGAGCCCTATCGCCTCTCAAGCCAGCCCTCTGCACGAACAAAGGCTCGATGACCCTCTGAGCGAGGTCGAGGATGATACCGAAGAGGCAGAGCAAGAAGTACCATTGGTGCCAGGGCCCCTTGATACTTCTCGTGCTGATTCGCCCGAGGAGGCAAGCTTGATCCAAAGAACCTCGGCAGTCTTCACTCGAAGACTCTCCACACTCTTCGGCCAACCTATCGAGGGGCTCCGCAAGCTCGTTGGGACAGCATCTGTCAATGGTGATAGAGAGGAGCAGGAAGCTGAAGAGACAAGTGCAAGGCATGCAGCTCCTGGCAGCCCTACGCCATCTCTCTACCCAGCATTGCCGGAGGCGGACTTCTTGCCGCCTCCTGTTCCACCGCCTGAGCCGACGCAGGAAGACCTCTCGGTCGCTTCCCGCTCTTCTCTCACCAGCAGAGCTAACACACCGTGTCAAGCTTCAGCAGAAAGGGCAGCAGTAGCTGACGAGTCCGCCGCCACCGATGCCACCTCAAACGAAGACGATTCGAGCAACGTCTCTTCCTCTTCTGCTTCCCTTGCACAGGAGGCGGCTACCGCGGCCATGGCAATGGCAGAGAAGCGCCAGCTGAAGAGCATGAGCGCCTATTCTCGCTCTTGGGTCAAGGACACGAATGACAAGATCAACAGCGATGCCAGACGAGCCCCTCCCGCTTCTCCTACTCGAAGGACGATGACGATGACGATGCTGAGGAATGTGGAGCACACTCCGCCTAGCAAGCGAGCCAGCCAGCAGGTTCAGACTGCTGTCGTCTCGCCTAAAGGGCGCAGCTCCCTCTCCAATGGTGTTCGAGCTACAGTCAACAAGCTCAACGCCAGCGCTTCCACCATTACTCCTGGTTCCTCTCTCGCCGCCCCGACCCGCTTCCCTGCGCGTTCCAACCCCAGCACATTCAGCAGCAGCAGCAGCAGCAGCAGCTCCAGCTCCAACCACCGCATGGGCTGCTCCTCCTTTGTCCGTCCCACGGTGCTCGCTGGACTCACACAGGACGCGCACGAGGCGGCACGTGCGCAGGCTGCTAGCATGTCTGCTAGTCGAGGGGGAAGGGAATGGATGAGTCCGCTCAAGAAGAAGAAGAAGCAGGAGGCGCTGCAGAGGGAGCAGGAGCGGGAGAAACAGAGGGAGGTTCTGAAGCTTAGGCGGAGCGGAGCTCAAGTGGTGCTGGTGGAGGCCGATAAGGAGAATTCTTTGGATGCCTCGAGCTTCGACCTATCGCTGTCGATGAGCCGGTCGAGGGACGAAGGTAGCTTTGAGTCCAAGAGGGACTTGTGGACCCAGAGGAGCTTGATTGCTAGTGCCGGATCGAGGAAGAGCTTCACGAGACTATGAGCTATCACGCCACCTCTGCACAAGAAGGGCAGGGAGCAGTCCACGACCACTTTCTCCACCCATCCATCCATTTATATACCACCATCTGCTCCATCTGGGCAGGCTATACCCCACGTCCAGATCTCATCACGATATTCCATTGGCGATTCGACTTGCTTCGCTTCACTTTGTTTCAATTCGACGCAAGATCATGATCTAGACTTCGCTTTCTTCTATAGTACAAGCCACCCCGCGGAAGGGGGGATAGAAGTGGCATTTTGCCTCTCTCTCTTTCTTCACTTTGTTATCTCAGTCCCTTTTGATCAAGTCATCTATATCCCGCTGCTCCAATCAATGTCACTTCAATCACGTAACGAGGCTCGATTCTTTTGCTTGCTTCTTGTCCCGAATGATCACAAGCTGTGCCGTGCTCGACTTGATGACATGGTTTGGAGTGATTAGGCGAAGACGTCTGCAAGGTAGTGGTAGGGGAAGGAGTAAGGCGAGATTCGTTCTGGGAGTCAGTAGCCAGCTCGCAGGCATGTATGCAGCCAACTCGTTGCTGTATGTCCGCTCACCTTCGTTGACATCGTCTGCAACGGATGAGCACACACACGCGGAGCAGAGAGGCGAAGTGGTCGATGTCAGCTTCGCAGACTACGGCTGCACCCACATCAGCGTCCTCCCGCCCTACTCACCATCGAACATCATCCCTCCTGCCCATCCAGCAGGTCCTCCCTGGCCTCCAGGTCCTCCCATCCTCCCGGCTCCGACAGCATTGATTGCGCTCTGCTGCTTCTGAACATACTTTGCGCTGCGTGCAATCTCCCTCTCCTTTGCATCTAGTCTGGTATTCCACTGCTGCAGGAGATGCATTTGCTGTGAGAGGGTGGCGATGCTCTCGAGAGAGGCAAAGGGCTTTGCTGCTGCTGCGGCTCCGCCTCCGGAGGCAGGGAGGACAGCGGTGCTTGGGTTGAAGGTCAAGATGGGCGAGGGGTCGTGAGGAGTCAGGGTAGCTTGCAGCTCGCCATTTGCGATCTGATGGGTAAAGGGAGTGGAGACGCAAGTCAGTGGCTTTATACAGTACGCTGGACGGTAGTGGTGGGCGTTTCCTCACTCACAAGCTGTTGGAGGAGTGCAAGAACCCTTTGTTCTGCATCGCTCACTGCCTCCTGTGCGCCTACAAGGGCAAGCACTGCAACAACATCCCTGATGCTCAACTTGGTAAAGGAGTTGCCTAGCCTCTGAATCCTCCTCAGTGGGTGACGCTGAATGAGTATCGTGATCAGCGGTACGACTCCATCGGTGTCGAAGACGGAAGCATGAATTGAAGCCACCTCCTCGAGGCTGGATTGAGTGATGCCACGGTCTTTTGAGGCGTACGTGTCTGCAAAAGCAGTGTAGGGCTGCATGAAGCGTCTGAGGTTCCTAGCGACTGGTGGGGAAACGTAGCTAGGCAGAGCTTTGATCTTGCCGTCTCTGAGCAGCTGTGCAAGAATGAGCTTTTTGTTTGCCAGCACCTGTCGATCGTGGGCCGAGTGCGCAGGCACGGTGATACACTGTGGGCATGATTTAGTTCGATGAGATCAGCCTGCTGCCTTCTTCAGAGCACTTGATGAAGTCCCTACCACTCCATCTCACCTGCTCGAAGAAGCTCTCCGCACGGTCCCAATCGCCCAATTGAAGGTAGGCGCAGCCTCCAGCATAGAAGTACTCGATTACATCGGTAGCTCTGATTGGACTGTATCGCCTGCTAGCGTCCGTCAGTGGTCGGCTCAAGACCCATTGATGAGCAAAGCCTGGCTGATCGATGCCCATGAGATACTGAACGAGGGAGGGGGAGAGAGCGAGCGGATAGTGGTCAGCATTCTTCGCTGTCCAGCTAAGCTATGTCATCCTGGGACTCACAGTAGCGAGTATGGTGTGCAGCGTGGTGAGCTGCCCAGGGATGGGGCTAGTGAATCTATAGAGGAGCGCGTTCAGAGTCTCTGCGCCCCACTTTGGGTCCACGCCCTTCTTTGCTGCAATGGCAGTGATGGCTACGGCCAGGTCGTGTACCTTTGGGTTTTCGAGGTGAAGCTGCTGGGCTCGGAAGTGGGAGACGAAGACGTCGATGTAGGGTACGAGGTCACGCCAGGCGGTAGCGTCTTCGAGACTGTCGTTGGCTCGGGTTGCACTGGGAGAGGAGAGTACAGGAGGGTCAGCTGAGAGTCCGAGTAGCTAAGCAAACGGCGCACTCACAGGATGTAGACGTAGGCGAGGCTGTGCTCCTGGGCATCAACGATGGTCAATGGATCACGATTGCCCTGGGCGGCTTGAAGGAGTACGTCCTGACCTTTGCCATGGTGACTGTTGCAGAGCTTGATGAGGGCAGGGAGGAGATACTGGGCCACCTTTGCCAGGTCGCTGCCGCACTCGATGGCTACGGCGAGGACGTCGTCGATGTTGCTCATTCGTGGCAGCGAGCTTGAGCCACTGGACGACATCGTGGGTAGAGGTGAGCAAGGCAAGGGTGATGGGTCGTGGGTGGATCTATCAGCAGGAGGACCTTCTTACAGTATCCTGAGCTCATGTCTTGTGAGTGGAGACGTACGTACGCACGCGCCCACGACGGAAAGCGGGGCAGCAGGCGGAGATTCAACTCGAGGGACACGGCAGCCTAGACAGCCTAGACAGCATCACAACCAACGTGCCTCCACGCATCATACCGACGACGACGACGACGACGACAAAGTCCCATACCAGCATGGGTGTGAGTAGCATGCTCAGACTTTTCAGGCACTAATACAAGTGACTCTCGTGGCTGACAGTCTCTCCACCACCCTCTCCTCTCACAGGTCAATTGGATCCTCCTCATCTCACGGCAAGGCAAAGTTCGTCTGGCCAAATGGTTCACCACTCTCAATCCAAAGACCAAAGCCAAGATTGTCAAAGACGTCACCCAGCTCGTCCTCGCTCGCCGTACCCGCATGTGCAACTTTCTAGAATACAAGGACTCAAAAGTCGTATATAGGAGGTACGCTTCGCTCTTCTTTGTTACAGGGATAGCACAGGATGATAATGAGCTGGTGACGCTGGAGATCATTCATAGATATGTAGAGATATTGGACCGCTACTTTGGAAATGTAAGTGGGCGTAGAGGGGATCAGAGTGCAAGGATGAGGTGGGTACAGAACCCTGATAGATGTCCGGCAACGCTTCTTCTCCCCCTCCTTTCAGGTCTGCGAGCTCGACCTCATCTTCAACTTCCAAAAAGCCTACGCTGTGAGTTCACCTAACCCTGAGCACACTCGACCCAAAGGGAACAAAAACTGACTCTTGCCCCTCCTTCGTCTCCGGCCTTGCACCGTCCCTCCCTCTATCCTTGCAGATTCTCGACGAGCTCATCATATCCGGCGAAATGCAAGAATCATCGAAAAAATCGGTGCTCAGGGTAGTAAGCCAAAGCGACGCGATTGAGGACCAGGAGCACTCTGAGGATGGATTGGCGAGGATCGGTAGTAGGAGTGGGTGAGGGTGAACACATAGCAGAACAGGAGAGGAGACGAGGAAAGCTGATGGATGGAAGGTGGGACAGAGCAGCCAGACCGGCGAGGCCGAATGTATTTGTAAGGAAGGTACAAGAAGGCGAATAACCAATCAACATCGCCATGCACAGGGTGATATTGCGTCACTGCCACTGCCTCCGCTACTGCTACCGCTACCGAGCAACCCCTAACCGCACTCTTACCGGTCCTCGTCCACCACCTGCGCCACCACCCAGCGTCATCATCCTCTCCCCCGCCATCGCCGACTCCTGCGCAGGTAGAGGGATGGGAACCTCGTCGTACAAGGCGGCAAAGGGTGTGCTCAAGAACCCTTCACTCGGATCCGGTCCGCTCCCAGCCACGTCTTCGCCTTGAGATGTGAGGGGAGAGCTAAAGTAGTCTCCTCCTTGCACTGAGCCGCTACCGCCGCCATGGTGGTCCTCCTCCACTCCACCGAACTCGTCCTCCCGCCGCACCTCCTCAATCGGCCTCTCCCGACCCTTGCCCTTGTCGAGTCTAGGCGTCAGCGGTGATGGCGAAGGCAAAGACGATGGCGAGGCCGAAGCCTGCAGTGGCAAGTAGGACGCGCTGTCAAAGGACGAGGCAGAGGCGCTCGACAGGAAATCGATGCCTCGCGTAGGCGTCTTCCTAGTCCCACTTGCAGGACCAGTAGCTGTAGCAGTTGCGGCGGTGGAGGTCGAAGAGGTACGACGAGGGCGTCTTCGTGCTGGTGTTGTGGGAGTACTGGCCGCTCCTGGTCCTCCTGCTCCACGCGTGGAGCCAAGTGCCTGAGATATATGACCATCCTCGTACGCCGGCCGCCAACCTCTCTTGCTCTGCCTCGTGAGCTGCGCCAGACTAGAAAAGGTATCCCGGTCAAAAATACGATTGGTGATGCTCAGCAGATCCGTGCGCAGACGACACGCGGTCAGCATGCCCTCGACGACGGTCTTGACCTCGGCATAGTACCGTACTGTCTGTCCTGCACCGGCACTGCCGCCGTCATTGGCCGCCGGCTCTGCATCCACCAATCGCCGGAAGAGGTGTGGAAAGGAGACAGTCGCGGCGGACATGGAGGTGACCATGGCGGAGAGGGTGTCCTGTACAATGTCTCTCGAGAGCTGCAGTGCAGGCGAAGAGGCGGCGGAGGACTCCGAAGAGATTTCCCCTGGGGTAGCTACAGCGTGGATGAGACTCACGAGGGAGCGCAGCAGGCGGTACCACATCTCGTCGACCTTGAATGCAGTGTGCACACGTAGAGACGCTGGCTCGCAGCGTTCGCTGCAGATTCTCACTGCCATGTTGGTCGCCCTCCTCAATTGTGCTGCCATTTCCTGCACTTGGTAGCTTCCCTCACTCGCTTTGCGCATCTTGAGCGCCACGGTAGCAATGGTCTCATCGAGGGCATCAAAGGCTTTGGCGGGCTGGTCTTGCCTGTCCAGAGCCCATAGTATTGCATCGTATGCACTGTTCCTCCGCGCGACTTCCACGACTGTCTCGAGATCAAAGTAGCCAGGGTCCTTCTGGTGCTCGTCGAGCACTCGGAGGAGAGCAGAGGCATCGAAACGTGACTGCAAGGCGATAAAGAGCTCTCGCGCATCCGCGTCGAGGTGGTTCTTGTCAGGTCGCCTGGCCGCAGGGTGCAGACCCTCCTCGCCGTGGTGTTCACTGTCGTGAGGGTCAACAAAGACTCTCAAGTACTCGAACTGCGACTCCTCATCGGCTTCAAGCTCGTCGAGTACTTGAGCATGCTTGTCCGGGTAGAACCGATCGATGAGCTGTGCCACCTGAGCGGCACTGTAGGGCATCAAGTGAGGAACAGCGTGTACTATCATCGAAGCCAGCTCTGTCTTGCTGCTCTGAGTACGGCTCTTGGCCTTTGTAAGCACTTCAGTCAGCCGGCCGAACACCCCCTCGCCCAAATCGGGATCGCTAAGCAGCATTGTGGTGAGCTTCTCCCACTTGCCTGCAGCCTTGTACGCTGACTGCAGGATCCGCCAGAAGCCGGCTTGCTCGAACATGTCGAGGTCCTCGTCTGTGAACGAGTGCCTGTAGGCCGAGAGAAGGGACTCGGCTGCAAGCTGACGATCATCTCTCGTCGACTCGTCACCTGTGCGACTGAGCGAGACCAGCAGCGTTGACACCGTGCTTGCAGAGAGACGGATGAATTGAGGATACTTTGGCGCGTTGCGAGAGATGAAGATGGTTGTGAAGATCACATCGCTCTCCGCTAGCGAGGCCGATACCTCGAGAAGGATCTCAACAACTGTCTGCCGAGTAACCTGACTTTGAAGATTATTTGTTCTTTGCTGCCCCTCGTCCAGATCCTCATCGAGGAAGGCGTCCTCGAAAGCGATGTCGAGAGCATCGAGGAACGCTTCGGCGTCGAACCGCAGCAGGAGTAGCAGGTAAGGGTATGCAGGCTCCGTCTCGGATTCATCAACCGACAGGACCAGCTTGCCGCCCCCGCCCGGAGGCCAGACGATGCAATGACCTGAGAAGATGAAGTCATAGAGAGAACTCTTCGCTTGTTGACTGAGACTTTCTTCTAGGACCTGCTGAGCCGGATACGACCTTCCAGATAGGATGACCGACATATAAGACATGATCTTGTACCCTTCACTGCTAGCCGCTGGCTCCATATTGTACTCTTCCGCATCGGCTGCATCATGTGACTCGTCACCCCATCCGTTGGTCATGCCGCTTATCGCTCTCGCTCGCAGATAGTCCTTGAGAGGGCCAAGCAGCTCGACGACGGGGGACACGAAGTCCTTCAGTGCAGTGTTGAAGACGTAGATCATCGCATCATAGAGCTTCTGCTTCGCACACATTTTGAGGACCTGATCAAGATCGAGGCACAGAGGATCGACATGCCAGATGATCTTCTCCGCTACATCCCACTTCTCCTCACGTTGGCATGAAGAGATCAGGCGCTGTGTGACGGGAAGGGGCAGTTGTCTCATCCGACCTGCCAGGATGAAGTCGACCATCTGTTCGACAAAGATACTCTCGATGCCATTGTCGGAGAAGAGATCGTATAGATCATCGAAGAGAAAGTTCATGTCGCCCATTGCGAGACAAGCATGTGCGCAGGTGCGGGTGAGACTCACGAAGAGCTCCGTGCGGTCAACACCTCGTCCGTCTGCAGTGACGTGGGTCGTGTCCGTCAACCGGTCCGGAGAGAAGGTATAACGAGCAGAAGCAGACATGAGCTCTCGGAGTTTGCTCCCGACTTGTTCTTTCAGGAGGGCAGGGTCCTGTGGCAACCCTATGAAAGATCCAGGGACTGTACCTTCATAGTACTGAGTTGCCAGATCGATGGCAGAGAGGAAGTCGCCCGTAGAGACGAGACCTAGCAGCCGCTCTCCCCAGGTAATGAGCTGGCCGACCACTATTTGCGGACGGGTCAGGAAGAAGGCCCTTCCCTTGTGTACCCGCACACTGGGAGCCACGAAGGTGGAGGAGGAAGGAGCATTGCCAGCAGGCTGTCCTTCCTTGTCTACTGAAGTAGACGACATCCTCACGAGTGACCTGAGAGTCGGCTCCAAGCTTTCTCTCTCTGTGACTCTGCCGACTCTCATGTCAAGGAGTTTCAAGCTGGTCGGCGTCAGAAGTAGTAGCAGCTCATGTGAGAGCCACTGAATTGCTTCAACCACCTCTGTAGGTTCCGTCCAGATCAGCCTCTCCGAAAAGTGTAGCTCTGTCTTGCGCTGCTGCTGAGCGTTACTCCCGTTCGTTCTGCTGTTGTCGTGGCTGTTGTCAGTAGCGACAGCCTCGCGTGCGTCAAGGTCGAGAAGATACACCTGTCGGTCGAATGCGAAGGCAAGCCGCGGCTGGACGAAGCCCGAGGCATCGGTACACGACGAGACTTCATCTGCTTGGAAGGCAGGAAACCAAGATGCGCAAGCTGTTCTGTGATGATCGTCTCGCTGTTTTGTCTCGTCGGACAGACTCGGCGAGAGGATGTGATTAAGAGTGGGCGCCTCTGCGGGCCCTTCCAGACCTTGAAGCTCGTCCCCTTCGACTGCATCGGCGAGTGTTGCCGACGCGGCCTCAGTCACGAACCGAGGCTTCTCCGCAGCGGATGGGCGGGGAGCTGATTTGCGATACCATGTACGAGCGCTGGGGCTCAGACCGACGACGACAAGCTTTTGAGTGGTCATGAGGGCAACGAAATGGACTACGTCTGAAGGATGATCAACTGGTCCGAGAGGCAGCGGCGTGAGAGCCAGTATTGGCGGCGATCTCTTTCGTCTATGCCTCGCAGTGATTCCGTCAGCTTGACCCTCGTGAGGCGGCATGTATTCAGGATAGCGTCCAAGGATGCGAAGAGTATCGTTGGATGCTACCCCCAATATCTTTCCCAGCGAATGATAGAAGCTGAGTCCATTCTCGTCAGCTGTGAAGATTGCCGTATGTCTGGCCCCAACGAAGGCTACCTGGAGAACCCTGGAGCCTATGAGGTGCCCTTCCCTCCTCCCAGCTGCAACTTCAGAGGCCATGACAGGCGGCACTTGACGAGCTGGCGACGACGGCTTGGCCAAGTCGTAGAGGGCAACGTGTCCTTTGGCGTGTCCCACGGCCAGGAAAGAGTTGTCAGCTGAAAAAGCTAGCGAGGTCACCTGACCGCCTGTACGACCTGCAAGGGGGGTGAGAAGAGTGAGTCTGGTCAGGTCAAGCTCACGGTGACAAAACGTGATGAATGTACTGACCTAAAGATGGTGAACCGCAGATACATTTGAAATTCTGGGCAAACTCGAAGACCAAAGTGTAGCCCTCGGTAGTGCCGACGGCCAGCAACGAGCCCCCTACGACGAACAATGTTTTGTCACCAGTGACTTGCGGAAGCGTCTGGTTCGACTCTGGTATAGGTACTTCTTTGGGTCTCTTGCCTCCATCTTGAAAGTATGCTGCTACTTTGCGCAAAGCCGACCATTTGAAGATCCCTCGATCGGCGATGCCCATCTCTGTGAGGTCAGTCTGCGCAATTTTACCGCCATGATGCACGTCAGCCCGGTGACGCTGGATGGATGAATCGATGCTGAAGTCGGAAGAAGCCTCAATGTCATTGGCTCCGTAAGGAAAGATGCGGTTCCTTTGAGCAGACATCGAGCTAGATATCGAAGTTGCGCGAGATACACTATTCGGTGCAGAAGACCCTGCCTCCAAAGTGTTTCGATGTGCAGTTGAGATGGAGCTCATTGAACCAAAGGGAAAACGAAAACGATCAGCGGCTTTACTTGAGGGTGACGAGATGGGTCGAAGGATGCCACTCGCTCGTAGGCGAGATAGACTTGGGTATTCTGCAGGCCGCCGAGGAGCTTCGAAGCCGCTGTGCTGCGAGCTCGAGATTGAGAAGGACAGACTAGGGTCCCTGCCCTTGTGGAAGCCAGGCCTATAGCGGAATCTAGCATTGTCAGGCGCGTGGGGTATTGAGCGCATTGAGTTGTCCGGCAGCTCGAAGGTGGTATCGGCATGGGAATCCATTGTCATATTGGCAACATCTGGTATGCTGACTGCCCCTGTGGCTCTAAGCTCATTCTGCCCGCTGGGATCCGGAGTCTCTGCGGTCTCATCCGCCCCCTCGCTTCCGAGTATAGACCTCAGCTTTGCCGAGTAAGTACCTGAGGATGCGGTCCCGGGTCTACTGCCCTCGTAGTCATCTCCATTGAGGAAGTCCGGACGAGAGGAGGGCTCCGAAGAGGGAGCTGGGTCGTCCGTCAGCGCAGTTGCTTCTGCCGATCGGGTCTGCAGACTTTTTTCGCTGCCATCAGCAATCTGCGATTGGCTTTCGAGGATGCTAGCTAAGTCTTCATCATATCTAGACGCTGGAGGCTCCTCTGCCCAGGGGTTGGTGGACCCGAGACCTTGACCGGAGGTCATGGGTGAGGTCCTGTCGGGGTAGATGCTGGCTGAGGTGAGGGATGGATGTGAACCATTGCTTACGGCAGCATGTCGCGGGCCTTCGGGATGAGATGAAGAATGATAAACGGCGCTTAGAAGTCAGAGGAGAAGGACTGCCTCTGCGGCGTGGTGTGATGAGGAAGTGTCCTGGCGGTGGTGGTGGTGAGGGACTTGATCCAGGAAATGGCCGATGGACGCGGCGTCTGCATGGACCACGTCGGATGCGATTCGTCCCTTCCTTCTGGCAACACCATCAGCGCAGCATACAAAGACCCAACAAAGGCACATCTCCCCCTTCACCTTCCTTCTCCATCCTTACCATTGCCGTTTGACGCCGCTCAGACCCACACTGGATCAACTAGTCATCCTGAACCTCTAATACGAGAGCCATGGCAGCTCGAGATGGCACACCTTCGGGTTCAAACATGAGCAGGGTCAACTCCTCCTCATCAATGAAGAACGGGGTCCCCTCAGCGGCAGCCTCTTCATCCAACACCAGGTCGGCTCCGCCTGCGGACTATCTTGATCAGCAAAGAGAGCGCTCACCGGAACCCGACGAAGATTTCAGGATGGAAGAGCAGGAGACGGCATGGTTGGTGAAAGTGCCCAGATTCCTCTATGACGGCTGGTCCAATCTCACACAGGACGATCTCAATCTGGGCAAAGTCAGGGTGTATGAGTGAGTGTGCTAGTATGCTGTACTCTTGTGGCGAAGACGAAGCTGCCTCTCACTTCGAAAGCTTCCGCCACTTCCTCTGTACCTTTCACCGGACTCCACTCCTACCCGCACCTTCTGCAGCGCTGACAGCAAGGGCCATCAGCGCATCGAGCTCATCCTGCCCTCAGCTCCGGAAGCTCCCATTCCGCTGCCAGAGTACGACCCAGCCTCAGCAGGCCGAGACGTGAAGCGGATACCCCGCAATTACGACCTCAAGTTGACAAGCGAAGCTCAGCAGACGGCCAAGAAGAACATCTTTGCCTTTCGAGAGAAGCACGAAGGAGACGACGAGGAGGAGCTGGATGATGATGAAGATATTTCCAGCGCAAGTGTAAGCTCTCGTCCGTCTTGGCGCAGGAAGCGGGCAAAGAGTGAGTGCAGGAAGATGTGTTATGGGCCGCCTTTAGGCTGGTTGACTGACTTCTGACTGATTGACTGACTTCTCGCGCTCTGTCTCGCAGTCACAACGGCGTTTGCAGGCAAAATCACCAATGAAGCGGCCGTCAAACCCATCCTTGCCTCCATGAGTGAAGCTTCGAGTCGCGGCGTGAGCCCTTCGATTCTGGCCTCGTCTGCGGCCACAGGCGCTGGTGCCACAGACAGCAAGACTGGCCTTGGCCTCAGTGGCACTCCTTCCAACCGAGCGGCAAGCTTCACTCCAGAGTATCGAGAGATTCTACGTAGAAGGAAATTGGAGTCTACAAAGCCCAAGAGGACGGTCAAGATGCTAGATGATGCAGATGATGGAGCTCATAACATGCTCATGGCTGGTCTTGGCCAGGGTCACATGAAGAACAAGTCTGCAAGCTCCTTCATCGTACGTATACAGAAGACGAGAATGAATGGCGTGCTTGTCTACTGAACAATCGTTACTGCATCTCTCTCCTCCATCACAGGTTCAAAATCCAAAGCCAACAGCCTCCAGTGCTCAAAAGGAGAAGTTCACCCGTCTGCCCAAGAATGAGCTGCTCGATTTCCTCTTCAACTGCTACGAGCGCTACACCTACTGGACCATCAAGGCCCTGCGCGACGAAACTCATCAACCCGAGTCTTATCTGCGTGAGACATTGAGCTCGATTGCCGACCAGCACAAGAGGGGTCCTTACATGGGCCAGTGGAGTCTCAAGAATGAGTATGTGCAGCAGCGCAAACAGGAGGAGGAGCAGAGAGCTCGAGAAGGTCTTGCGAGCGGTGGTGGGCTTGGTAACGTGGTAAAGGCAGAGGGGGAGGGAGAAGACGATGAGGAGATGGAAGATGTGATCTGAAAAAGTAAAGATGGTAGAAGAGGAACCGCACTTGATTGATGACTCTGGTGTAACATTGTATCTCTAAAGCATAATACATGACATTTGGTTCATTATCGCATCGTCTATAAGCGAAGCTCTCGGGCGTAGTCGTGTCTGTAGTCGTAAGGAATCAGCAAGGATGTTCCGGGGTATATCTTCGTCTCTGAGCAGCGTATTTCATCAATCCTGTTCCTTCGCGCCGATCATCCTCGGAGTCGCGCCCTCTCCCTCTTTCTCTTCCATAAGCTCCTTCTTCTTCACTCCTCCCTCCCTCTTCCCATCCCCTCTCTGCTCCTCTCCACCCTCCTCCTCCCCCAGTACCGCCCCCGCGAGCAATATATGCACCAGATTACCCGTCCTGAGGGCAAACGCCACCCATACAACCGCCACCGTATCAGCATAGTAGTACAGTGCAGCTCCAACCAGGGTGCCTGCGCTGAGGGTGAGAATGTAGATTAGGCGGATATTGCGAGAGAAGACTTGGTGCGTGCGGAGATGAGGTGCAAAGAGGTGGGGGTCGGTGACCAGGTCGGAGTAAGGGGAGGTGAGCATTGCAGAGGGACACTCTGGGACGCTGCGTGGGTTGTGGGGGGGAGTGCAAGGAGAGGGACGTGTGGGATGTCAGCACGACCAAGCGATTGATGAGGTCAAGAACTGCTCTCCGTTCGTCTGCACCAGCGCCACTCACCCTACAGACTTGGCCATGGAAACCTGTATCCCCGAAGCCGCCGCGAGCATGAAGATGATCAGTGCTCCATCCACATCAGCCCTACTGTACTCTCCTTGCTCCAGCATCTCCCCAATTCTAAACACCCTCGTCTGCAGCAAGATTGCCGTCACGAGCAGGAATGTCGCCTGCACTAGTGTGGAAAAGGCGAGCCAGATGCGTCTGCACCGGCCGAGGTGGTTGCCGAGCTGCCCAAAGATGGCGCCCATGGCGAGAAAGGCGGCGAGGGATACGCCTACAGTGAGGATTGGCGCACCGGACCCTACGGAGGAGCGCGTCGAGGCGACTGCCTCTGTCAAGAGGATGATGGTATTTCCCGTCTGATTGGAAGCAAAGATGCCAAAGTCGGCATAGGACCCGGCATCGAGCAGACCTGTACCAAAGGAGATGACGAGGAGGTGGATGCGCAATGCGGGCTTGCAAATGTCCTGCAGCAGGTGCTCCTTCACCGCATGGCGAGGCTGTGTTGATGTGCCAGAGGGGGGGGAAGATGGGGCTTGCCTGACCATCTCGAGACAGTCGTGCTGACCTTCATGAGTATCTAAGAGGTAAGTGACCTTGCCTGCCTGCGTGTGTGCGTGCGTCTTGTATCTGTCCAAGCAAGTGGTACGTGTGCTGCTCCCGCCCAATCAATGCATCCAACTTTTCCGGCTTCCCGCATTGGCCCTCCCTTTCCGGCATGCCGTGCCGAGCCCTGCCCTGTCCTGCCGTTCCGATCTCTCACTCTGCCTCACTCGCTCTCACGCGGATCGACCCACGCCACGCTCGACACGCAGACGCCGCCCGCCCCCCGTTCCGCCGGTCTGCATTCCGCCAAGGACGGGGAAAGGCTGCTCCGTTTCTTTCCGCAATGTACACTAGTCAAGCCAAGCCAAGCCAAGCCGAGCTCAAGACCCGGTCTGCTGTCAGCAAATCGTAGACTTGTACATCCACCCATTGTATCCATCTTACATACCCTTCCTCAAAACCACTACGAAACTCTACGGGCACTTCGATCGATGAATCTCGCGTCTCCCTCAACTCGCATCCCTACCCGCTCCCTCTTAGCAAATCCACGTAGCAGAACTTCTAGGAGACCACTGCAAGGCGTGCCATCTGCTTCAGCTGCAATCAGACATCCTTCGGCCGATTCGTATGCTGATGATTTAGAGCTGCAGAAGAGAGGGCCGCCAGATGGAGATGGGAGGGAAGAAGGTGGGACTGCACCCGGAGATGGCCATGGAAGCCCGTCGAGCTTGTCAGAGACAGAAGAGAGTGGACCACGGCAACGGCAACGGCGGAAGGAGCACAACAACCTGGCATCGAAGGCATGGATGATCCTCAAGACGCAGATGAAGTACCTAGGCCCGGGCATTACCATGTCTGTGGCTTACTGCGACCCGTGAGTAAGGACAAGCGTGCAGAACAGACCGCTTGCCCTGCACCTCTGAATACTCTCTGACTTCTGGTTCCTATCCTCGCAGCGGAAATTGGGCTACTGACCTCCAAGCCGGTTCGCAATTTGGATACCCACTCCTCTTCATCATCATCCTCACCGGAGTATTCGGCATTATCCTGCAGGTGCTCGCACTCAGGATGGGAATCGTTTGCAATAAGGATCTAGCTGTTCTGACACGAGAGTGGGTCCTTTCGCTCGGCAAGGACAAGCGGCGGCCCAGCGCGTCCCATGATCGAAGAACACAGGGGTCACAAGAGACGGGTGCTCCCTTACCACCTACTCGCAAGAGTGTATGGGCGCAAAGAGGACGACTCGCCTTGCTCTGGTTGCTGTACTTTGTGGCCGAGGCCGCCATCATCTGTACTGAGCTGGCAGAGCTTGTGGGCAGCGCCATTGCGCTGAATCTGTGAGTCGGCCAGAAGCATCGTATGGCCTGCTGTCTTCTGAAGCTGCTTCTGACCTCAACTGTCCTTTGCTCAGCCTCTTCCCCCGCCTCCCGCTCTGGGGCGGTGTCTTAGTCACCTCGGCAGACGTCTTCCTCATCCTCCTCATCTACAAGCCCGACACACGTAGCCTTCGCGTCTTTGAGTTCTTCGTCGCCATCCTGGTCTTCATCGTCATCAGCTGCCTCATTGCTCTCGTGGTGCGGGTAGACCCACACTGGCCCGACGTCTTCGAGGGATATCTGCCCTCCGCAACAATTGTGCAACCCCAGCCGCTGTATGTCGCCATCGGCATTCTGGGAGCAACCGTCATGCCGCATGGTCTGTTCCTAGGCAGTCACTTCTCCTGTTTCGAAAGGGAAGCACCGATGACCAAGAAGGCGGGATCGTCTCGAAGTTACGACGAAGAGGAGCGTGAAAGTCTCGACACTGACGAAGAACTGGCACAGCCCAGCCAGCTTCAAGCGGTCATTCCAGGCACGACTTTTACTCAGAGACTGCATCGGATGCGTGCCAAAGTGATGGCCGCCTTCAACGGTGACACATCCTCTGCAGCTGACTTTGAAGAAGAGGCAATGATCACGCCTCCAGCAAGGGACTTGTCAGCCATCAAGCGCCGCGTCGTGCACTCGACGATTGATGTGGCAGTGTCGATGATCCTCTTTGCCATCACGACCAACTCTGCTCTTCTCATCATTGCTGCGCAGGCCTTCTTCTTTGGCCTGGACGGCTCAAGTGGTGCGCGTGGTAGCCTGGTGGTTGGTGACCTCTTCCAGGCATTTGAGCTGATCAAGGAGCGGCTGAACCACGGTGAGTGTCTCAAGCTCCAACATCTGTCATATGAAAGCACACTGAGCTGAACCAGAAATCTTGCTTCTCTACGATCTCGATTAGTCTTCGCCATCCTCTTCGCCGTCGCCCTCCTCGCCTCGGGCCAATCCGCCTCGATCACCGTCACCCTGGCGGGGCAGGTCATCTCCGAGGGGATGATCAAGTGGAAGACGAACCCCTTTCTGCGTCGATGTCTGACGCGAGGTATCACCCTGATCCCTTCCTTTGCGGTTGCAGCCGGTATTGGGAGAGCCGGGCTGGATAAACTGGTAAGTGAAAAGTCGAGCAGGTAAAGTTGCCAGAATAGTACAGTTGTGCTGAAGCGAGGAACCTGCCTTGTTCCCTTTTGTTTCTTTGCTCTCACCAGCTCGTCGCAAGTCAAGTAGCCCTCTCGATGGCCCTACCTTTTGTTCTACTGCCCCTCCTCGCCATCACCGCCTCCAAGTACTGGATGAGCACCGAAATTGTGCCTCCATTCCCGGCTGAGAACGAGGGCGAGAGCGGAGGCGAGAATGAGAACTACTTGCAGCATCGGGAGGAGCGTCCGCTGCACTTGAACACGGAAGCTCCTGCCTCTTCTTCTCCTCTACAGTCTACTGCTGCTGTCGGGCATCAGCAGCGCTGGCGCTTCCAGCCCAGTGTCCTCCTACACTGGTCCTGGTGGACTCGCGGTGCTGGCCAACTAAACGAGGAGAGGTTTTCCCGCCCTCTGGCACCTAGCGGCGAGACTGTCTCGCCGATGGAAGCGGCAGCTTCTTGCACTCCGCCTCGGCATCCTCGTATGCATAGTCTGGCCTCGCCGACGAAGTTTTCGACGCACTTTGCAAATGGATGGATCATGATTGCAATCACGAGCGCAATCTACGTGATCATCGCCATTTCAGACGTGTACGTCATTGTCACTACTGCTCTTGGCACAGGAGGGACTTGATAGCTTGCTATAGCAATTGTGCTCCTTCTTTGGCAAGATGTGGTAAATGTACAATAGATGGTGGCGCGGGCCTGTATCCTGCACCCTTCGTGAATGCGTCTAGACCGGAAGGGTCATCCTCTTCCTCTTCTGTCTCTACGTCGCTCAACACATGTTACCCACGCACCAGTTTCAATGACATTACTATTCCCGGTGATTGCAGAATCTCTTTCCCGAGTTGATCCCTCCTCAAGGTCTTGTGAAGAAAGGCCTTGGCACGGCCGGTGGGAGAGCCGACGGCGTCATCATCGCCTTGTCTGGCTGCTTCTGCATTGTACGTGCAGGGGAGCCAAAGCGTCCGTAGTAAGTGCCCCGGTCAACGCAGATGCTGACATAGAAATAGCGGCTGCTCTGACCAGATGGAGTAATCCTCGATCTTCAGCAAGCTCTGAAGGCTGGTCTGTGCAAGTCCTCAGACAATCTCTTGCTGTACTCTAAGTCCCCTCTGGGGCTCGTCTCGCCTTCCATTTCCCCCTCACGAAGCGCTATTTGACTTTGCCGCGAGGCTCTTGGTGACTGAGTCGATGTATGCCTGTAGCATCTCATTGTCCCCCTCGGCCTTTGTACAATCGGCCTGTACAGAAGCGACGCGCGAGGCGAGACCTCGTAGGGATTCTTGCATTGTGAGAATCTCCCTGTTGCGGAGCAGGAAGTGTGGAGCAAGGGTGAGCATGAGCGCGAAGAGGGGTGGAGTGAGGGGGGAGACACTCACTTTACCAGTGCTTGCTTCTCCAAGACGTCATTCGCCGAGACTTCGGTCTCTGCAGTCTGAAGAGAGGATTGGTGAGAGAGGAAGAGAGGATTTCGGTGTGAGTAGCACATCACAGAGCAGGACGGAGGCAGGAGCACACGCCCCTCCCTATATGCTGTGGTCGCCGGTGTACTCACCCAAGCAGCGGACTCTGGTGTATATCCGCCCACGTCTGACATGCCGTCGTCTTCGTATGTGTCTTGCAGTGGTACAGACGGAAAGAGGGAATGAAGGAAGTACGTACGAGGTGATCAGAGTGCCTGGAGCGGAAGCAGGGTCTGGCCTGCACTGCAGCAGCAGCCACTTTGGACTCGAGCTCGGAGGACGAAATTGACTTTGGAGTGAGAGTGCAACGCGTCGAAGCACACCAGGCGGCACACACGCACCCACCCAACCACGCCAAGCAACACCTTTCTTTGCCCATCTCATCCACTCATAGATTACTCACCTGATCCCTTCGACGTGAGCATAGCATCGCAGCAGGTCCCCCCACCAACTACGATGTCACGCCCCTCGACAATGTACGCCGATCAACCGCACCCCACCCGCTCCTCCCTCTTCCCCGGCGGAGGACCCGGCAGCAGTAGCAGCACTTCAGGCAGTGGCGCCTCTACCTCGCGCCTGCAGGCGAAACAGCAGGAGCTTGAAGGACTGAAAGAGTTGAGAGAGTATAGCGCTCGATTGGTTCGGGAGTTGGAGACGATGGGACAGGGATTGGAGGCAATTAAAAAGGGAGAGGAGAGTGAGTACGGCAGATTGGCATTGGCACACAGAGGAGAGGAGAGGAGAGGCGAGCGTGATCACCACTCTGCTCCGCGAGACCTCGAGCTCAGGCAGCTGACAGCCTTCCCCCATCCCCGCCTTCCAACTACAACAGGCGTAGCACAAGTCATGTCCTCATGGCAGACCGTCTTCCGAGGTATCCAAGTAGCACAAGGTGAGTCCGCCTCGCCCCTCCTCAGCCCACCTCTTTCTCCAATCACTCATCTCCCCCTCACCCTCTTCTCTCCTCTTCCCAACTCCTCACACACGCAGCATCCATCACCGAAAAGCAAACACAAAGCAGTGCCATTCCCAACTCAAGTGAAGTAGAAGCCTCAGAAGGAGGAGCAGGAGCAGGAGCAGGAGTAGCAGGTTCAGGAGGTGCTGCTGCTAGTCTTGTGCCAGATACACTAGTGCGAATTCCACTTGATCCTGGATTGGACGCGGAGGGTGGGACTGGAGGGGTGGGAGCGGGAGCGGGAGCGGGTGGGAGAGAGGAGGAGTAAGAAGATCGAGGAGGATGGTTAGGCATGTATAGTGATGTCCCTTCAGAGGTGAGACCTGCTTCCTCTGCCCCGCCAAATGAGCCAGCCAGCCAGCCAGCCAGCTCCCGCTGGCACCGCGACCTTGTTGTAATTGTATTTCCATACCACCTCACCCACATCGGTCAGTCCGCTCGGTCGGAGCGAGTGACAAGGCAAAGGGGCAAAGATTGATTGTGACACGGTGGGAAAAAAAAAAAAAAGGACGATGACTACAAGAGACTTGGCATACATGACGGACGACGGTAAAGGCGACGAGTGACAATACGAGCACTGGTGCAGGAGTGGGGGGGGAGGGGGAGGGCAAGGGATCGACGTCGGGGCTTACGAGAAATGGAGGAATCCTCGATGATCGTCTAAGTAGCTACATTCGTGGGTCAGGCTGGGCCAAGCGAGGTCTTTCTGATCCTTTTTGTTCGTTCTTTGCAATGCATAAAGGCGAGTCGAGTCGAATCGATACGAGGCGGGACAGCAGGCAGGCATGCCACGCGTAAGGGGCGAGAGCGTTCTCTTAGACGGCCTGTCCCTCGGGCTTCCTCTTGACCATGTTCTTGACCACGCCGAGTCTCTTGCTCAAGAAGGACTCTTCGTCCAATTCATCCTCTACATCCACCAGCTCTCGAGCACCAGTGAACAGGTCCATCTCGGAAGCCCTGTGAAAGGGCGTCTTGTTGACAATCTTCCATCCGAACCAGAGGAGGATGAAAATGGGGATTCCAATGTAGTTGGTGACAAAGGAGTTGATGTTGAACTTGGGAGTAAAGGCGCTGAATCCCTTGAAGATCATGACCAAGCTGGTGACGAACATGCAGAACCAACCGTAGTAAGGCTGGTAGGGAGACCTGTACGCGAGATCCTTTCGGTCAATGCCCTGAGCCTTGAGACCGGCAAGGAAACGCTGGTGAGTGATCTGAATACCCAGCCAAGTAATCGAACCGAAGATGGTGACGGAGTTCTGCAGATATGTAAAGGCGGCAGCTCCACTGCTTCGGACGTTGATGTAGGCAATGGAGATGAACAGGGAGCAGAAGGCGAGGGCCACCCACGGCGTGCCCTTCTTGTTGCAAGTGAGGAAGATCTTGGGCGCCTGCTTGCTCTTGGCCAGACCGTAGAGGGTACGCGAGGCGATGTACAAGTCAGAGTTGGCTGCCGAGAAGGTGAAGATCAGAAGACAGGCATTGAGGAAGCCAGGGAGGACTTTGATCTCGGCAATCCTGATCGCAACGACGAAGGGTGAGGCGGAGGCTGTTCCCTTGACACTGCTCTTGGTCGATCCCAGGAGAAGAGGGCTGTCCGATGGCACATTGAGGCCGACAAGGAAGCACAGACCGACGTAGAAGATGGCGATTCGGAGGAAGGTCGATCTGATAGCTCGGGGAATGGCCTTTCGGGGGTTCTTGCACTCTCCGACGGTGACACCGATCAGCTCAGATCCCATGTAGGCGTAGAGTGCAGACACAAAGGCAGACCAGGTGCCCAGGAATCGCCCGAGAGATCCGGTCTTAATGTACTCTTGGAAGGCAAGACCGCCACCCCAATTTGTGAAACCAATGTAATCACCCTGAGGTGTACCTCCGGTGTTGATGACGACCATCAGAATGATCAGGGCGACCAGAACGATGATCTTGAGGAAGCTAAGCCAGAACTCGACATGTCCGAAGAAGCGAACTCCACCGACGATGTTGAGGGAGACGATGGCGGCACCGAAGACGGTGATCCAGACGCCTCCGTTGATGTCCGGGCGCCAGTAAGAGATGATGAGTGCACTGGCGTTGAGCTGGGCAGGAGTGACGACGAGATACTTGAGCAAATAGTTGACCTGCGTGGCAGTGGTGAAGAGGCAATTGTCAGATTCTGCTGATCAGGGAGTCAGACTGATCGCTCGCGTCTCACTCACACCAACGGCGAAACCAAAGCCTTCCTCTACGAATTGGGAAGCATGTCCAGCAAATCCTCGCTTGTGGGGCATGTAGCAACTCAGCTCACCCATGGCCGACAGGGTTCCGAAGCAGACGAAGCCCATGATGATGTAGGCAATGAGCAGACCAGCAGGGCCAGCTTGGACCAAGCCTGAACCCGTTCCGAGAATGAGACCGGTACCAATGGCACCACTGTGGAAGGTGAGTGGGGAGGAGAGGCAAGGAAGAGTCGCGTGAGCTATAGCTGTATGCATACGTGACGGTGCTCCAGGGCGCCTTACACTCACCCAATGGCAATCATACCAACTTGTCCCTCGGTGAGAGTTCGGTGAAGCTCTTCCTCTTTTGGCTCTCCCTCTCCTACCTCGTGCTTGGGAATCTTCTCGAGGGAAGCACTGGAGACCATTGCTTTGTCTTGTCCGCCATCTACGGCTAGGACAGGCTGGCCATTGTAATCCTTGATCTCGTCCATTGTGGAGCAGAGGAGCCGAAAGTGGATGCTGATCGAGACGGAGAAGAAGGCGAAGCGCACGATGGGATGAGGAGGGCGGAGGAGCGGACGAAGTTGGTCCGGACAAAGGGTACTAGTACTTGTACTCTTTGCCTCCGGCGGTACCTCTTATCTCTGCTGCACCTCGCCCATCCGCCTGACCTGCGAGTCTGGGTTGGGTCCGGCCATCTGCTTCCGTGAAGTTGTATTTCCCCACGCTGCTGCTGCTGCTGTCCCTGGCGTATATCTCCTGGTGCCCTGGGCCCATGGCTACCATTCTGCCTCGAGTGGGCTTCACTAATGTTGCGCCCGAACAACTGTGATTTGGGATCAAAGGCTTGGCGCATGGCGTGCAGACGTCTTCTGAGCTGCCCCTCTGCTCCAGTGCCTGCCTCGCCTCCCCCCCCCCCCTCCCCTTTGCATCTCCGCCTGCCAGACAGTGCTTCTCCGAGCCCCGTCCCGCGTGCCAAAAGCACTTGGCGCCCTCGCCCGGGACAGGACACCCTCAGCGGCATCGTAGGCGCAACAAAGTCCAACGCCTCATGACCGGAACGAGCGAAGAAGATCCCACCTCTTGGCACGCCGAAAAGCCTCCCGAAATCGGGTCGACGTCGTCTCCGATAGCGAGTGGCTACCACAAAGGCTTCTTCTTCTTTGCTTTCAGGTGGGCGATTAGGCCCAGGTCTGGGGCATCGGCCCCTCGCTGGCTATATCCACCGTACCTTGCATGGACGCCCCCCTACCGTACCTTGCAACCTGGACCCTTTGCTCTGAGGGTGATGGAGATGCCTGACACCATGTCTTCTCCCCGAGCGTCCCGAGCGTCCCCCAGCGGCCAGAAGAGTTCCTCTCGGTGCCTGAATATCTCTGTGGGGAACACAAACTCCACTGTTCACTCAGGTCGCTAGCTGAGTCTCCAGCGTTGTCGCAGATTCCCTTGTCCTGATAAAGCGCTGTCGTCTATTTCCTCAACATGATCTCCGCCAGCGATGGAGCGGACCAGCCCAGCTGCAGACGCTAGAGAGCAGCGAGGAAGGACGCTGGGGGGTTACGATCAAGGACAACCCCCACATCTTCGTGATTCGGAGATCTGGCGCAGACACAATCGTGGCAGCAACCATGACGTGACCGTCTCGGCTGTCGCAGCCGTCTCTCCGAGCTGCGATAAAGCACCCTTGACGTCTTGAGATTGAAGCTCTCTCAATTGAAAAGCAGTCAGCTATGAGATGCCATAGACAGAGCTGACCTGAACAGCGTATACGACTGGCCGTGAAAGGCGATGGCCAACCGCCCGTCGCCCGTGGCCGCTACCCGCTCATCCTCTCCCTTTTTCTCAGTAATTGTCCCCCTCTGCTCCCTCCTCGCAGAAACCCTTTTGCGCTTTCATCACCTCGGCTTTCCGCACTTCCCGCTTTCTCCGCAAAGCTCTCTCCTCCTCGTGTGACTTGACTAGCTCGGGAATCGACTCGGGCGCAACGGTAGCCAGTTGCGGAGGCGGGTCAGCATCCAGGTCCTGCAGGAGATGGCAAGGGGCCGGCAGTTGCAGTGAAGGGAGGTGTGAGCAGCGGGTCAGAGTGTCAGAGGAGCTGTTACACAGAGGCGCGAGCTCGCCTACGCTGCGACTCACCACCTCGCCAAGCATCACCACATTCTCTCCTCTGATCAGGAAGAGGCCCTTTGGGATATCAACGAACTTCTCTCCGACCAGAATCCTCTCCACTGTGTCTTGGAAGATGAGATTGGCTGAGGCGAAGCGAATGGCAGGGAGTTTGTTTAGAAGGGTGCACTCCAAGGCACTAGTCTGCACCTACTCGGCTCACCATATTGGTCATAGCTCCTCATCACTCCGACCAATTTCCTTCCGTCTCTCAGTACCACAAGCATCTTCTCTGTGAAGCCAGCCAAGGCGAGCAAAGCAGGCGAGGTGGTGATCAGAGAAGGTCCGATTCGTGTAAGCGTGCGATCCTGCCTCTTGCATATATGCTGTAAGGAAGGCGCCGAGGGCCTCTTGATATAGCCATCAGCAAACCAGCATCTCTCACTCACTGTCCACGCAGTCTACCAGAGCTCCACTCGTGGTGAAAAGGACATTAGCCTCGATTGCCTGAGCATCGACGACCATGGCCAGTGTAGCGCTTGGCAGCCGCCGCTTCTACCCTTCGACTGGACTCGCTGGTGGGAGTCTTCCAGATTGATGTGCGCAGATGACCTTGCTATGGAAGCGTTCAGGTCTAGAAGGCTGCTGATTCTGCTTACTGGGAGAAGTGGCTGTATTGTAAGCTCGAAGACGACTGAGGCGTTGGGGTATGGGAGCGATGGTGGTGAGGCGCTCGCCTCGGAAGGAGCGTCTCGTGCGTCGCGCATTTTCCCACTCCACCTTCCTTCCGATGCCGGCCCAGGCCTGTGCCTACTGTACGGCATACCACTCCCTCCTTCTTCGCCCATCATCAGAAGTCAAGACCATGTCATTGCCACGCCTCACACCAAGCAGCCTCTTTGGAGCTGTCAGAGCCTTGCCACTGGCCGCTCGTTCCTCGGCAGGCCTGCCAGCTCGCCATCCCCTCTCCACCTCCTCACGCCGACAGGCGTCAGTGGCAAGCACCGACCCATCCGAAATCGCCTCCTCGTCTTCTTCCTCTTCGCAGCATCGCCAAGACGGAAGGACGCCTCTGCAGGCCAGAAAGGCGCAGAATGTGAAGCCTCAGGATCGGAGATCGGCAATTGAGGATGCAAAGGAGCGCAAATTTAGACAGTATGAGAAGATGCTCAAGGCCAAGGCTGCACAGTGAGTCCGAGCAGAAGGCAGGGCATATGCGCAAGAGTGTGGGACATTGCAGAGCTGACAGGCCAATTATCGTCTCACCGCTTTTTCAGGGAGGGAGTCTCATCGATAGAAGAGCTGGCTGCCAAGCGTCGAGCCGAGCGAGACGCCAGCCTCGCTGCGACTTTGGGCCTCAAGCCTCCAGCGCCTGCCTCGACTAAGACGGAGCAACGGGATGCCGATCTTGCCGCCCGGATTCGTGAGAGGGCAGAGGCAGAGGCGAAGCGCAAGTTGGAGTCAGGCGAGCTCAACAGCAATCCCAACGGCGACAAGAGCCCTATCAAGCCCCTCTCGTCTATCCTGGATCTGCATAAGCTCAAGGACGAGCCGGCGGAGAAGATTCGGGACCTTTGGACTGGATATCACACGATCAAGAACAAGCTCTCGGCCGTGATCCCTACAGAGGTGTACGAGAGGCTAGTACGCAACGCAAAGCAATACCCTCAATTCGTGCTGCCTCTGCCAAGGACGATCGTTGGCTCTGAGTCGGATCAGAACATTGCCCCTGGGGAGCAAAAGCAGGGGTATGAGATGCAATTCATGGAGTGGGGATTCCTGCCTCCTCCACCCCCGCCTCCTTTCTCCCCAGCGGACAACAAGCACGCTTCTCCTCCACCGACGACGGTGCTCTTCACTCCTCTTGCTGAATACAAGTTGCGTCAGGAGTTCGCCCAGCCCCTGCTTGTGCTTACGCACTACACGGATCTGGCTAGGGACAAGGGCATTGTTCTTATGCGCGGCGATATTACCTCGAGCGAGGAGGTTGCTGCTGCGCCCATGGGAGTCGTAGCTGCCGAGCAAGCCAAGGCGCGTGGTGCCTCTGAGGAGGAGGTGCAGCGCCTGAGGGACGCACCTGTTCAAACGCAGGCATTGCAACAAGGTAGCGAAAGTGGTGGAGAAGCGGCAGGGAGAATGAGCGAAAAGGACGCTCAGCTACTGGCTATGACCATGCAGCGCTTCTACCTCCCTGCTACTTCGTCTTCGACCAGCAGTAGCTCATCGACAAAGAGCGGTGACGCCTCGGCGCTGGAGCGTGAGAGGCTATTGCGTGATTTCCACGAGGACAAGGAGGCATTCAGTGTACAGAAGCTCTGCGAAGTTGCTTTCACTTTCTAGAGTAGACGAAGATGGATCTTCTAGCACGCCTGAGACTGAACTTGACGGACTCAGGCGATGCTCTTTACATTGCGGCAATATTCTGTACAGGAGGTGTACATGAATCGACGCAATACCGCCTTGGTCGACCCCTCCTGAGTGTCCTGTGTCTGAACAAGGAGAAGAGATCCCGCGTTGAGGCGCCATATTGAGCAGTCTATGCACCCCGTTCTACGATTTTCCCCCGCGCCTTCTGTTGCAGGAGGATATCGAGCCTCTCATCTGCAGGACGCTAATTGGTATCCTCGGCGCCAGGATGAGGGGACGAAAGCACTCTGCCCCACCCCGTTCCGACTGTGCACGTAGTACACGAGCATAAGGAGAGGAGCTTGGTACTGAGTGAGGTGTTTTTCACCATCCGGATGGACTCGGCTCATGATGCTTGCTTCTTGCTTGCGAGACTCGCACTCGCCCTTTCGCCCTGGGCTGCCCTTTCCGAGGGCATTGCTACTTCTGATCCTACCTCCGGTGCCTGAGTGTATGCCCCTATTACTTTGCAGCACGGCTGAATGCGGGTAGAAATCAGGGCAGAATTCGACAAAGAAGAGGGGTGCAGGCAGGGACTAGGCTTTGTGCCAGGCAGGTCTCGAAGGCGAGGGGACCTGGGGATCGAACGTCTGGGTCTGGCCACTCTTGGTTTGTCACAATGCGCTCGCGCAGTCCGGTGCCTGGCCGTGATCAGAGGCAACAGGGGGGAAAGGAGCAAGAGAAAAGCAAATGGTACGCGCTGTTGCTAGGCTTCGCTTCCTCTTTACCCCTCCTCTTGCCCATCTCCTTGCTCTGCTTCTGACCCCTCCTCCTACTCACACATACCTCTCTCCCACAGCTTCCTTCGAGAACAGCTCCTGACGGCTAGCATCGCCCACCTACAATCGCCCACACGCGTGCCACTTCTGCTATCGCCATCCGCCCGCTCGGACCCCTCTGCCTCCTATCGACAGGCAAAGCCCCTCGCTTGGTTTCGCCCCCACGCTCACGTCCCATTTGGCGAGCTCAACAGCCTTGCAACACCGGTGACGCGCTTCTTTAAAGCTTGCTCTCGATCGTTGTCCGATACCTCACGCGAGACACGCAATCCATTGTTCTTACTTCACGATGATGGTCTCCAAGATTCAAGTCCTTCTGGCTGCCTCGATGATGGTAGTCGGCACAGGTCTGCTCGCTGGCGCGCAGCCAGTTGCCGTTTCTTCACGAGCCCAAGACCTCGCTGCAGCTCCTGTCCACCCTCTTGACAGGCGCGCAGACTCAGTCTCCCTCGAGAAGCGAAACAAACACCACAGCCACGCACACCCTCATCACAAGCACGCTCAAGCACACCACCACCACCACGGTAGCAGCGGCCATCACCGCGGCTCGGCGGCGAAGCATCACGGTCTCAAGCATCTCGCCGACAAGCAGCAGACTCATGGTAGTAGTCGTCTCGCCCACGCTGGGGGTGGTCTGAGCAACAAGGTCTTCTCCGGTGCCTGTCCACACCCAAACACCGATGCTGAGCACCCCAACGGTGCTCCCGATTTCCTCGCCTGCGGTATCTCCCGCAAGGACCAGCACTCCCCTTGGACTCCCCCACACGTGACCATGCAGGACATCAAGATCATTTCCTCGGAACAAGCAGCAAACACGGCCGTCTTCAAGCCCTGCGCAAAGTACAAGGCTGCCTTTGACCGAGTCGCCCACCAAACCGGTGTGCCCGCCGTCCTTCTCATGAGCTTTGCCCTGCAAGAGTCGGGTTGCCAAGCTTCGCAGATTGGACCCAATGGCGAGTTTGGTCTCATGCAGATCACTCCTGAGAAGTGCGGTGGAGCACCCGGCGGCGACTGTCGCAATGTCGACTTTAACATTGGCAGGGGAGCAAAGTACTTCAAGGACCAGCTGGACGGACCTGCCAAGGGAAACATCCTGGCTGCTGCTGGCACGTACAATGGCTGGAAGCCAGGAAGCATGTCTTACCAGTCGGCAACGAACAAGCAGTATGGCTGTGCTTCTCAGAACAATCTCGACTACCTCAACTCCCTCTTCAATGGCTTCTGCCAGGGCAAGGATGGGTACTCTAATGAATTTGTCAAGTTCGGCAATCTCAAGCAGTGCGGTAACTAGACCAGCGAGTAGAAGCAATGCGTGCGCTGTACCTGCCAAGTCGTCAAACAGTCGACGTCCTAGTCGTGATCTCTTTGGTGTTCCCATACCTCTCTCATCGATAATCTCCCCTTCGTCCCTCGAAACAACGGCTGGACCCGTTCCTCTTGCACTAGCGAGCTCTCGGCCCCATCTTCCCGCCCGATGTCACCGACCCCTGTCTCTCGCCCTTCGTCACCATTCGCTCGCTCGCTCGCTCGCTTGCCTTTGTCATCGTCGATGTCGATATTTGCTCTCTGACGAGCTGGTCCTCGTCGGTCGGCTGCTACACTCTCATTCATATATTTGCCTGCGTACATTCGACTGTGGAGTGACGTGACTATGGGAAGCGAAGTGAGACTACAACGTTGGAGAGACTGTGGAACAGACATTGACGCGATTCAGAAGATCACCCTGACTATGAGATTCCAGACGCTCTTAAGCGGTAGAGCTTATCGCTTCCGAGGCAGCAGGGTACAAGGTCGAGTAAGTACAGGCGGGAAGCCAAGCGGGTCTGAACGGATCCTGGCATTGCTCTTTGAGCCATTGCTTTATGCAGAAGGGCGCACCCGTGAGAGCGGCTTGCACATGGAGTTCGACACCATGTGGAAAGAGTCTATAAGGATAGCTCTCCTCTAGACGCGTCTTCAAGACCGAGTCGTGTTGGACTTTGCTCAGGGCCTCGAAATTCAAGCCGAGGTCGAGACACTCCTGCTTCTGGTTGGTGGGCCTGATGTGAGGAGGCGCCTCGTCAGGCTCGAGGCCTTCTGCTCGCTTCCGAGCGGCGAGCGACAATCGAACGTCTTCGAATCCGAGACGTTCTCGGATTGCAGAGGGCACGGCCAAGTATTGCCTCGATGCCGGTAGACCAATCGCTGCGGCGAAGTATTCGGTGTCGAAATCCGTGACCTCTTTCTTTAGGAAGATGGGTGGGGAAAATTCGCTATCGTAGCCAGAAGTATGGATCGTCCCCAAATGAATGTAGATCGTGTCTGCAGCGGCATGTTGCCTGGCCGTCTGAGGGGCAAAGGACACATCGAAGCCGAGTACGTCTTTGACCAAGCTAATAAGCACTTGATCATAATCCAGGTCTGTTAGGCCTTGGAGGCTGTCTGTGCTTCGAACGTGTGGATAGGCACTTTGAAAAAACGGTGAGGGCGTAGGGTGATGATAGTATAGTGTTTAAGCTTGCAGATGCTTTGAGGTGACGGACTGAGCAATGCTGGATATTCAGCACTGATTTGGAGTGGAAAGAGGGCTGGAGAGGACGGTGAGTGTTGCTGCGTGCTATTGACAGTGGGAGAGGGTATGGTAGGCTTCGAAGGATACGAGGGATAGTCGAGGTGGCTGATGGTGACTGAGGAGGTGAGATGGAAAGGGAAGGAAGAAAAGAAAATGTGACGAACTAACTCGCAAGGGTATAAGAGCAATAAGCAAGGCGAAGGGCTGCGGATCACGCTGCCCTGACGAGTGTGCCTGGCGCGGTGCCACGCGGCGCCGCCCACGAGTTCTTGTCGCGCCGGTCCGGTCCGAAGAGGCGCAATGGTAGTCTAGCAGCTGACTCTGCATCCGTCATATGTGGACTCTTGTTGAATCTTTGCTGGCTGTATAATACTCTCTTTCGATCGTAAACAATTGACTGTGTCTCTGACGGCTAGTGGTGACCGTGGGAGGGAGAATGCATACGCCCTCGACTCCTTTGAGGGTGCTCCCGCCAGACCAGCGCGACCTACCAGTACAGGCGCACTTCACGCTCAGCTTTCTCGAATGGTTCTTTATGCCCCTCTTCCTCCTTCATCTGCGAGCCAGCCACTTACCTCAGACATCATTTCGCTTGCCCGGAACCTGACAGGGAGAGCAAGTGCGCAAGTGCGGGTCAGCAGGCGCGCGCGCCTTGCACGCACCCCACTTACGGACCCCGGGAGGGCCGAAATGTACGATCGACAGCGAACAGAGGGCAGATGGGAGCAAAGACCAGCAGTCAGAAACATGCACTCCTCATACAATGCACACGACGATGCACACAGGCGACAGAAGATTCATGAATGTGAATTTTCAAGGAGCGGGAAAACAAGGGCCACATATACTCCGCGATGGGCCTTCGCGGGCGGAGAGGGGGGTAGCAACAAAGCTTGGTAGCGACGGACTCAGGAAAGTGTCATGATAGAAGCTGGTGCCGATAATCGGCTGCCAAAGGCCTCTGCCGTGACAGGATTCCAAAAGCCATGTCAAAATTTGGCTTTTTACTTCTTCTTGGAGGCCTTCTCAGCGGACTTTGTGGTCTTGCCAGCCTTCGAGGTCTTGTCTACCGACTTGATGACTCCGACAGCTACGGTCTGCCTCATATCACGGACCGCGAACCTGCCGAGTGGAGGGAACTCGGAGAAGGACTCGACACACATGGGCTTGGAGGGGACCATGGTGACCATGGCGGCGTCACCAGACTTGATGAACTTGGGCGAGGTCTCGATGGCCTTACCAGATCGTCGGTCAATCTTCTCGGTGATCTCGGAGAACTTGCAGGCGATGTGGGCGGTGTGGCAGTCGAGGACGGGTGCGTAACCGTTTCCGATCTGACCGGGGTGGTTCATGACGATGACCTGGGCGTTGAACGAGGCGGCCTCCATGGGTGGGTTGTTCTTGGAGTCACCAGCGACGTTTCCACGTCGGATGTCCTTGACGGAAACGTTCTTGACGTTGAAGCCGACGTTGTCTCCGGGGAGACCCTCGGAGAGCTGCTCGTGGTGCATCTCGACGGACTTGACTTCAGTGGTGACGGCAGAGGGAGCAAAGGTGACGACCATTCCTGGCTTGATGACACCGGTCTCGACTCGGCCGACGGGCACCGTACCAATACCACCGATCTTGTACACATCCTGGAGAGGAAGACGGAGGGGCTTGTCGGTGGGCCTGGTAGGGGGCTCGATGGCGTCAATGGCCTCGAGCAGGGTCTTACCAGTGACCTTGCCACCCTTGGTGTCCTTGGACCATCCCTTCCACCAAGGCATGTTGGAGGTGGGCTCGATCATGTTGTCTCCGTGCCATCCAGAGATGGGGACAAAGGCGACGGTCTCGGGCTTGTAACCGACCTTCTTGATGAAGGCAGAGGCCTCCTTGACGATCTCGTTGAATCGGTCCTCCGACCACTTGGTGGTGTCCATCTTGTTGACAGCGATGATGAGCTGACGAACACCGAGGGTGAAGGAGAGCAGGGCGTGCTCACGAGTCTGACCGTCCTTGGAGATACCAGCCTCGAACTCACCGGTACCACCGGCGATGATGAGGATGGCACAGTCGGCCTGGGAGGTACCAGTGATCATGTTCTTGATGAAGTCACGGTGACCAGGGGCGTCAATGACGGTGATCTGGTACTTGGTGGTCTCGAACTTCCAGAGAGCAATGTCGATGGTGATACCACGCTCACGCTCAGCCTTCAGCTTGTCAAGAACCCAGGCGTACTTGAAGGAACCCTTGCCGAGCTCGGCAGCCTCCTTCTCGAACTGTGAGAGGGAAAGCACGTATTCATGTGTGAGTGGGTCTGTTGCAGGAAGAAAATTCGCAGCCGCAAGTTTGCAGTCGCAAAAGCTTCCAGTGTCACGCCACCGTCGGGGATGACCATGATGGTGACACCGGTCCCCTGGGATGCGTTATAAACTCACCTTCTCGATGGTTCGCTTGTCAATTCCTCCGCACTTGTAGATCAAGTGACCGGTGGTGGTCGACTTTCCGGAGTCGACGTCTGAGAAGGGACAATAAGTAAGAAGGTCGGATATCAGTACAGGCTCCCAGATGGTGCTGCGAATTCGATGGGCACCAACGAGCAACAGCTACTAGCTGCTGCGACTGCCAATGCTCCTCGATGATACTCACGTCCGATGACGACGACGTTAACGTGAAGCTTGTCCTTTCCCATTTTGTGTGATGTGATAGGGGGTGATATGTGAGGGTGAGAAGGAAGGGAAAGAGGAAAACTTCGACTCTGCACTTATGTGTCCGAGGCAGGCGCCTCCCCGCCGCCCTGCCGCCAGCGGATGGCCCGCGAAAAAAATGAAACCGCGCAGCGCGGGAGCATAGAGGCGCACGCACACACGCACAGGCGCAGGGCCGGACAGCCAGCCAGGCAAGGGGCTTGACACACCTAACCACGTCAGCTTCACCAAGTCACCCTGCAGGGACTGCGGAGAGAGGAGTGGCCAAATGGGCACAATGACATACTCAGGGCACCCTGTAGAGTGCGCTTAGTGATCCAGACTAGTACCAAGGCTGGCAAAATAGAGCTGACAGAGGGAGGGGGACCGTCTGTGTGGGCCACGCGAGTGCGGCGGCAGAAGTCGATGGAGGAACTTTGAGGGATGGACAATCACGTGACTCCCTTCGGATCCGCCACGTTGTCGTCCCCCCTTTGCTCCTCTGTGTGCACGGACGACGGGAGTGAAGGCGAGGAGTTGCATCCAACCCGACGCGACGAGGGCCAGCCGCTCTTTCCGCACCTCACAGCCTACGCTACGCTACATTACCACGCCAGTCCATACCTCACACCTCGCCCGCCTTCCCCCCACCGCCAGATCAACTGTGCCAGAGGGAGGATGGTCGTCGCTTCGACCCTTTGTCATCGGTAGCTTCCCACATCACCATGTATACCACACCCTTGAAGGTTCGGCGGAGGGGCCCGTCCCTTGCACAGCCTCTAAGCGCCGCCTCGCGCATCGTCAAGAAGCTCGTCTTGCGGGGTCAAGCCCAGTCCAATGGCGCACGCTACTTTCTATACCTCAAAGTCACTGTGCCTGCTGGCACTGCTGATCAATCCTATGCTTTGCTGCCCGATGTCAACATCAAGCTCATACACGCCGAAGTCGATGCTCTCACCTCCACGGGCGGCTATCCGCCACTGCACGAGTCTGCCGCAAGAGCTGCTGGCTATCTAGGCATACCCATGAGCTCCACTTCTGCCATCACCTTGGACCATCTACCGCTACCGCGAGTCACTACTGCCAACTATGCAATCACACTCAACGTCCCCACTCTCCCCATCGAGGATGGCATGTCGTCCTTAAGCTACCTCATCTCCCTCCAGGTGGAGACTGACCTCGCAGCACAACCTCCGCGGTCACCATACACACTACGGCTACCCGTGCCGCGCTGCCTGCATTCTCGCATTCACTTCAAATTCCCTTCGGAGTTGCTCGATTCCGACGAAGTGCAGGTCATGGTGGACCCGCCCCTTGGTCCACGGGCTCGCAGGGGGAGAAAGTCGCTCGAGAACGGCGATGACGATGGCAGAAGCACGACCACCGCTTACAGCGAAGACTCAAACGAAGTCGAGGAGTCAGAAGATGGCGACGAAGACGCGCACGTCGTACGTGGCTTGTTCCCCTCGACAGACACGATCACCCTGAGATGGAACCAGACTCGGATAGGCAAGCTACACCCAGACGATGAGCTGCCCTCCTTGATGTGCGATGCTGTAAACACCGAGAACGACATCGCATACACGCTCTTGCAACGAGAAGACGGGACTGAATCGGTACGACTGGAGGCACTCATGAAAGTTCATGTAGAAGGTCCATTCTCACCTGGCGTAGGGTCCCCTCTTTGCTTTCCGTTAGTACCCAAGTCGCTGCCTGACCAACCTGACCTTGGAATGCTGACCCACGAGCTTGTTCGTTTCCCCTTCCAGGCTGATACTGGATTCATTTGACCAGTCTCTCAGACTATTTGACGTAGAAGTGCAACCATTTCAAGGGCTGAGATCCTGGCATCTCGTAGGCGGAGAGGTAAATGGCGGCTCACCCTCCTCCCACACCCCTACTCAAAGCAGCCGCAATTCTGCTCTCTTGCTCTCGTCAGAGGAGGACAGTGACAACACCACCGACCTCTTGGCCACACGTCCTCCCAAAGAGCTCGATGCCTCTCTGGACCTCACCAACGATAATACTATACCTCTGCCATCATCGTCTTCAAGCGGAACAACAACCGCTCTGCAGGCAATCGTGCTTCACCTAGAGGATGACGTCTGCTCAGAGACCGGACGATCACTTTACGTCAACGTTCGATATTGCCTGGACATTGATCTGTCCCTGCGTGGTAATTCTCCGGCCGCCAGTATACCCCTTTACAAGGTCCCAACTGCTTATGCGCATCGGGCTCTTGTTCGCATGCGGCCGACAGATGCTCAACGTGCACTGCTATATGCCTCCCGCTCGGTCACCCCATCCGATACCCCTCAAAGCACTGCTCTCGACTTCGAGTCTTTTCTTGAGCAAGACCCGAGATCACCGAGCACTCTCGACACTTGCCATCTACATCGCATTATCAAAGCAGAAGTGGAACAAGAAGATGATCCAGAACAATCGCTTGTAATTGATACCCCTGCTCAAGAGGATCTGTCATCCGCACCTGTGCGGTCCGCAGGCGTCGTGCGCCCGATGCCCCTCTACGATGCCATTACACTGCACGATGACGAGTCCTCTCTCCCCTCGACAGTCGCGGCTCTCTCCCTTACGCTCTGGCTCTGCGAGCACAGCAGTGGAAGTACCACAATCTCTCCTCGCATTCTAGCGCACATGGAGTCTTCCTGGCCTGCAATGCACAGCGGTAGACAAGTAGACGAGGTAGATATCTGGCTCCCACGACTCGAAGCACAAGGGGCAGCCATTGTCCGCTATATCGAGGTAGACGGCAGGAGAGTCGAGCCGACCAAGAGCGAGGGGGGCGAGTCGCTCTGTCTGCATGTCCGCAAGCCTGCCCTTGACCTCAAAGAGGACGTCTTTGCAAGGAAGTTGCTAATCGTCTTTGAGTATCCGTCCTTGCGGAGAGATGTCGCGGTGGCTAGTATGCCATCCTCCTCGACCACGGCAACGACGATGACGCCACTGCCTGTCCCGCTCTTCTCTCACGAAGTCATCTCCATGCAAGTCTCGATCCATCATGCCAGTAGAGTCAGCACCAGCGCAAGCACCTCATCCTCGACAGGTCAACGACCTATCATCGCTCCCGAATTCGACTACGTCCAGCACGACGTCTCGCGCAGCTGTACCACCCTGCAGAAATTCACCCTCCCAGCCCTCACCCCGCTAGACCTCCTCTACCTCTCTCCCTCTCCAGCATCTGACGATGCCAAGAGCCGCAAGCGCTCCGGCAAAGGCAAAGCAGCAGGAAAAGTCCTGCTACAAGCCACGCGGTGGATCTTCTTCCTCTCCCTCCTCGTGGCGATTCTCTCCCTCTGGTCTACAATGCAGAACCAGCTTGAGGAGGTGGTCAGGCTGGGGGAAAAAGTGCAGCAGTTGGGATATGCGGCGAATGTAGATTTTAGAGAAGGGTCCTGGACGGAGCAGAGAGAAGTGAAGCCCTCTCTCCAGGATGGCAGAGGAAAAGATGCCTTACAAGATCTGCTACGCCCCTCCAACCCTCTTCTACCAGAAGAAGAAGAAGAAGAAGGACAAGCAGAGCCCCCTCCCGCCATCTCTCCCGCACCTCCTGCCCTCAAACCAAGGTACAAGCCCCACTTGCATCAGCAACATCGTCCCACCGAAAGGGAAAGCGAAAGCGAGAAGACGGCTCTTCTCCCTCCCTCTGCGCGCACCGTTCGTTTTGCAGCGGGGGAAGAGGTGTTCCGTCTCCTCGTATGGCCATTACGAGTGCTGGGTAGGGGGGCAGGAGTGGTATTTCGGCTGTTCGGATGGTGAGAGGGTCAAGGGGGGTGGGTGGGGGAGAGGGGGGCGGCCGAGTTGTTGGGAAGGTGCTGTGGTACGGGCTCGCTTTGAAGCAGAGAGCAGGGAGCAGGGAGTAGGGAGTCCTGCCCCTCTTCTTGGTGGTGATAGTTGTAATGTATATAGATCTCCAATGCACGAGGAATGCTCCCATCTACTCTCCTTGCTCTGCTTTGAACAAGCCATAGGCACACACACCCCACCACACACCACACGCCAATTCGCATTCACGACCGGTTGTGTGAGGGAAAGAATGTGGATATCACACGTCGAGTGTATATGCTATGATACAGTTAAAAAAAAAGGATGTGACCTGACTTGACCTGACCTCGCCAACCAGGATCGGGACCGGGCCCGTACCTCGACTCGACTCGATCTCGAGTCTTCGCTGTCCCTGCAGGATCAAACGCGTCCTCCAACGCCCATGCCAGGAGCAGTCGAAGCTCTTCTCTTACCACCACCACCACCACCACCACCACCACCGCCGAATCCTGCGCCATACCCTTTACCTTCTGTGTCCTCAGCGATGACAGTGTTACTGCTGGGAAAAGGGACCGAGGAGCCTCTTCTTCCTCCCAAGATAGAACCACCATTGACAATACCTTCACCTCCTCCTCCTCCTGCGCCTGCGCTTGCACCAGCACTGCTTGCGCTATTCGCGCTTGCGCCACTGGCATGTCTGGCTAGATCATACCCGCTTCGACTAGCCGTGAGGCCCATTGCCATACCTTTACGTCCCGTTGCCTGCACGAGACGGGTAGCATTGGCGAGGAGGTGTAAAGGTTGAGCTAAAGCGTGGGAGCGCCTACCCATGGAGCGCTCTGCGCCTGAAGACGTTGTGGAGATGGGGACACCTCCTACTAGCCCGGAGGGGGAAGGAGAGGTAGAAGACCCATACTCCGACTCGTGCTCTAGATCGTAGGAGATTGGCATTTCACCTCGTGAGTGGATGGAGAGACTTGGAGCAAGTGGAAGTCCGGTGGTGCTCGCACTCCCACTCCCGCTGGGGTTTGCGGTGGCGGCACTGCTGTTGACGTTACCACGAACACCATAGTCCAATGAGCGCACACCAGAGTAGGGCACACTCTCCGTCGCTGCTCCAGTGGCGTTGCGTAGGCTGGCACTGGCACCGACACTGCCACTGCCGCTACGGCTGTAGCCACGACTGCCGCTGCTGGTCGAGGAGCGAAGAGCCCTTGAGCGGGAGGAATCGACGCCTCTGCTCATCTGCGTAGAGCGAAAGGATGGCTGTTCTCCGCCGCCGCCGCCGCCGATGGAGGGGGTGGAGCGAGAGGAGTGAGAAGGCGAAGAGGAGATGACCCCTACTTCGGAGGAACGGGAGCTGGGAGAGGAGCGGATGCATGCTGCGAGGTTGGACTGGAGAACAGGGCCCAGGTACTGGAGGAAGCGAACGTCTTCGACTCCCAGTACGTGACGCTCGTCTCTTGAAGCGGCAAATGCAATCATCTTCACTACTTGATGCTGCGAGAAGTGCGGCTGCTGCTCTGCTACACCACCCAGACTCCTAGGGCTAGCTGGCGCTGAATCCGTCGAGCGGCGCACTAGTCGGGAGGGAGCCTCGATGCTCAGCGGCAAGACGATGGCGCAGCTGAAGAAGTCAGACCCGCCCATGTCCGCCGGTCGAGGAAGGTGATGACGCCGTTCCGGGTCGAACTCGTTTTGCAGGATGAGGCAGCCTTCGTCATTGCCGCTGTCAAAGGCACGAAGCAAGGTATCCACGCTCTGCTGGTCGACAGGACAGACGGAGCCTGACTTGCCAAGCACGGCCAGGCGATGGCTGGGCTCAGACTGAGAGTTGCGGCGAGCGGGGCTCTGCTCCGAGTCGCTATGCGAAAGGAGCGCGGCGAAGAAGACGGTATCGAGCTTCATGGCATCTGCGATCCTATGGCAGTACTGATCTAGCGATAGACCCGAAGTGTCCCCCATAGCAAAGTAGTGACCATGTTGTGCAGCCTCGACTTGCCCACTCTCCAGATCCAGTCGGGGTAGACGTACATTCTGCAGGCTGAATGGTCCGCTGGTCATCTCTGAATACATCGCGGCCAGCCGGGCCATCTTGACATGGAAGCTTGCAGTAAAGTTGGCCTCGAGAAGACGACTAATCTCCTCTCCAGCGCCTCGTACTGATTCCTTTTCCTCTTCGGTAATCGTCGGTCGAGAAGTCCTTGCTGCCAGGCAGATTCCACCAATGGGCAAACCGGTTGCAGAGGTGATGGGGAATCCTGATACGGTATGTATACGAGAGAGGATGCGTGTCTTTTGAAAGCGCCAGTCGTTGCGTACATCGACGGTGAGACCCTGATTACGGTTGAGGATAACGTGGGCGCAGACTGTGTTCCTGCGAAGATTATTGTGGTGTAGCAGGCCTTCAAGAGTGAACTTCCACCCCTCCTCTCCGAAGAGTATGTCCGCCATGATCTCTTCTTTGTCGGCTCCCAACTTCTCTGCCAAACCAGACCGTACGTCGTCGATGTCGCGCAAGACAGACTTGGGAAGGGACCAGACGCCCAAGCGACAAGCGGCCCTCTTTCTCGCAGCTTCCCAGACTGGCACTGGGGCTGGAAATGCGCAGTCTCCAGTTGAGAAGCTTTCCCTATCCCTGTCCTCAACACGAGAGCCTGCCTCGTGTATATCAAAGTCCCCAGCTGCGTATGCGGCCAGGAAGGACGACTGGGAAGTCGAGCTAGTCGAGGCTCTGGAAGGCTCGCCTTCTTCTTCTCCTTGCTCCTCGTACAAGGTAGAGTAAGGCTTCGAGAGGTCGGTCCGCGGAAGAGGAGCGGTACGGCTGCGCTCTCTCTCGATACTAGCTCGGCGCGAATCATTGGAACTTGCTCTCGGCTGACCCCAAATCGACTCCGCATCGCTGCTCCAGTACCAGCCAAGTCCAGCCATTGCCCTTTCCAGACTCTTTGCCCTGCGCCTGGGGCGAGGAGATTCAGAGGTGGCAACTAGCGAGCGAGGAGAGTCCGGAGTCATATCGCTGGCATTGCTGGAGGGAGGCGGCGTTGCTCTTGAGCGCATATGCGCGGGTGTAGGCCTTGAGGTAGCTGAGGTACTCTGTACAGGAGGAGGTGCTTGCCACTGCCCGTTGCCACGAGATGCCTTGGAGACCAGACCAGAAGGACGCTGTTGTCTCGCCCCTGCCCTCTGGTAGATGCCTGCTGCATCCTGTGAGCGTGTCTCTGCCAACCGGTTGTATGCTCGAAAGGGATTGTGCGAGTCCGAGTCTTCATCACTACCTTGCTGTTGACTCTGACGAGAAGAAGGGCGTCCCGTGCGTCGAGTGCGAGGGGAAAGACTGAGTAGGGCGATGGCTTCCCGTTGGGCTTCGCAGTATGCTTGTGTTTCCTCTACCGAGTGGCGAGGACGCCTTGATCGCATTGACCGTGTTGGCCCAGACAGGGTTGCTGTGGACGAAGAGGGGTCACTTGTGGCTACAGACGCATAATATGCGCTGCTGGAGGAAGAAGAGGAAGTTTCGCTTGGCTGCCATTCATTAGTGCGAGAGGTCGAGGGTTTGCGTGGCGAAAGGAGTGAAATGGGTGGTGCTGCGACACTGAGGATCTTGGTGTGCATGTCTGCTAGAGTAGCTTGAGTGTGAGTGTTGCTGTTTAGTCTGATACTAGACTATGTGAGTGGCAAAGTTCTGTTGCGGTCGCATGTGTGGCGGTGGTGGGATACCGATATGGAAGCAGAAGAGGATGATGGCGTCGAGTGTGTGGGGAAAAGGCAAGGAGGAGCAGGAATAGACTGACTACCTCGTCTGGCCACAAGTCTGGGTCTGAAGGCGTGGAATCTAGGTCCCTCCAGGAAGCATACAAGCACAGGGCCGATTGCTCTTTGCCCTCCAGGCCCTGCACATTCGTCCGTCCGTTCAAGGGCGGTACTTCGGCGACTAAGTTCCACCCTTGGTGCCTTCGCTTGGCTTCGGACGCGCTTAAGCGAGCCACCCAACGGCAACTTCGCCCTTGCTCTCTACACCCGCGCTCAGACGTATTGCCCTTCTTCTGCTCGCGCTCTCTCTCTCTCTCTCTCTCTCTGCTCCCACGCCCGAGGCACTTTAGGAGCGGAATAAAGTCCTGGATGCCAGGGCAGGGCAAGGCGAAGATTTTCTACACCCAGCAAGCACCCAGCCAGCCCCCGGACCCCGACGTGGGCGGTGCTCGACCTGCAACTTGGTAACCCCGATTGGAATACCCCACCTCGGTTAACGCCGGTGACGGGAGGGTGCAGCAGCCGCCGGCGTTTATTTACAAAAAGGGGGCCAGATTAGTACTAACCAAAGGAGCTAGGAAGGAGGGACAGGCACGCGCAAGCGCACTGACACGGCAACGCATCTCCCTCCCTCTTGCGCCGCCACTGCAACCGCAGATGATACATGACATGAATGGGGAGAGAATGCTGAACGCGGCTAAACGTGACGTGACAGTGGGCGTATAGAATAGAGCTACGTGGGCCGAGGCTCCCACTCAAGCGAATCATGAAGGTGAGGCACCTCGCCCCGCCTTTTTAAAAGGTACGGAAATAGCAATCAAACTCGCAATCGCCTCTCCACTCTCCTTCCTTCTCGCGACCCAATAGAGCAGGGAAGCTTTCAGGGTTTGGAGCATCGTAGGTATCAAAGTTTGACAGTAGCGAACCCTCCGCCAGCGGCATCGTCACTGGGACAATGGGCGCTGGAATCACCTTGTTCACCAGCTGAGTCCAGTCCACCTTGGCAAAGAAGGCGTGGCCTTTGACGTCGGCAGATCCTCCGGCTAGATTGCCTAGACGTCTTGTCAAATCCGAAGAGAGCAAAGATCGGATCAAGTCTTGAGCCAAGAAGTCTAGGCAGAGCAAGGAGAAGATCAAAGTGCAGTGTGAGCAGAAAGCCATAACCCAGCTCCATCGCAGTGAGACACTCACCTATGTTCGAAGGAAAGACGAGGCGACCCTGTAAGATTAGGTCGTACGTACCGAGGGCACTCTCGCTATGCCAAGGCGGATAACCACACAACAACTCGTACATCAAGATGCCCAACGCCCACCAGTCTGCCGCCTTACCATGACCACTTCCAGAGATCACTTCAGGTGCCAAGAATGGTGGCGTGCCACATAGAGTATATGTCCGACCGCTGAGCTCCTTGGCAAAGCCAAAATCTGCCAGCTTCAAGTAGCCATGATCATCCAGCAGGAGGTTCTCTGGCTTCAAATCACGGTAGACGATGTCCTTCGAGTGAAGATGCTCTAGCATGAGGACTACATTGGCAATGTAGAAGCGTGTGACATCGACGGGAAAGCGTTTCACCCGACGCAGGTGGGAGAAGATCTGGCGAGGTAGTTGTAGCATGAAGAGGGACCGGATTATCAGGGCTTCCTTTCTACTGTTCGCGTAGCTCGTGGCTGGCTGCAACTCACCTCACCGCCCTTGGCAAAGTCCATCAACAAGTAGACGCACTTTGAGTCCTGAAATGTCAAATGACAGCTGATTATAAAGGGATGCCTGATCTTCCTCATGATGTCCTTTTCGGAATTGACATGCTCCACTTGCCGCATCCTGACAATGTCCCGCTTGTTCATCGCCTTGAGAGCAAAGTAGGACCTCGGCTCCGTAGCGGCGAGACCTTTAAATCGGACCAGGAGCACCTGTCCGAAGGTACCCTTTCCGAGTGTTCCAATGACATCAAAGTGACGGAGCCTGATGTCAGGGGGTGAGAGAGATGGAGGCCGCAGAAAGTCGAGACGAGATGGTAGATTGGAAACATCAAAGGGTCGTTGCAGCTGCTGCTTCATCCGAACATAGTCGAAGGCTCCTGGTTCCTCTTCAGCGCTGTGCCAAGAGGAAGACGTGTCCGCCCAGGGCGACGTCATCCTTGACCTTTTCGCGTCCCGGTATTCCACAGCTTGTCTCATCTGCTCGAGCTGAGCACGATCCGAGGGCAGGTTGGAGGCGGCAGGTTGCCTACTGCTCGATTGACGTGGATGTTGCCAGCTAGAGGAGCTTTCGCCATAGCTGCCATTGCTACGACCTGAGGTATTGAGATAGTCAAAGGACTCCTCATCCTCGTCGTCATCTTCGTCGTCTTCACTAAGATCATCGGTGACCTCGTCCGAATCCAGCTCCTCGCTGGAGCTGCTAGTCCGTGCCTCTGTCTCCAGGCTATCAGAAGGTCTCGATCCTCCTCCGCCGAGGTAGGCACGGTACGGTTCCCAATCTTCATCCAGGACCCGCTCTAACCTCCTAGCTTGTGCAGAAGAACTACTTCCGCCCTCGTGGGTAGCGTCGAGTTCCATACGAGGATGCTGTCGGTCCATGGCCCGATTGATAGGCCGAGGCAGGTACGAAGCGGGATGCTCTGCCAATTGAGGGGACGAGTACGAGGGGGGGCCTGAAGCTGCGTGTGAGCCGCTGGGCGAATCAGCCTCCGTCATCCCTCTACCCCCTCCACTCTACCCTCTACTCTTGATGATTACGAGACCGTTTCGATGTGATGAAGATGAGGGCGGGACTGAGACTTGGGCCTTGTGCGTAGAGTGGGCGAGGAGGGGAGCGACCCAGCTTGAAGGTAGATGCGGATGCAGATGCAGATACAACTGCGCACGATGAGGGAGCAAGTTGCTTCTTGTCTCTAGAGTTGTGTCTTGAACTGAAAGCGGCAAGGGCAGCCAATGTCGCAGATCCACTCGGGTCGCTAAATGCTTCTCAGGAGCAGCAGTAAGAGCATGAAGAAGAGGGAGGGAACTGGCGAGCTTGCGAAGCGGAGCGAACGCACGATGTGGGGAAAGTGGGCCAAGGCTAAGCGAAGCTCGTAGCCGGGACGAGTGAAAAGTGGGCTAGCACTAGAAGATTCAGATGGGAGTCTGCCTTCCTGTCTGTCTGTAGAGAGCTTCGGATCTCATAAAGTCAAAGTCCAACTTGCCTCTGACGCCCACGATCCGTCCCGCTCGCTCTCTTTTGCCGCTTCTCCGCCTAGACTAACCTCGATCGTTCTCGCCCTGTGGTCTGCCCGTGGTTGCCTGACCCTCCCGGCGGCTCGGTTCGGCTCTCTGCGTGTTTAGTGCTTCAAGCTTGACCGGACTTCCGATCTACGGCGTCTTTCTCCCCGTGTCCCAGAGTAAGACTAGACTAAAGACTAGACTTTTTTCCACCGGACCTTCCGCCTTGACCTGACCACCGCCGTCTGTCCAGAATCAAGGCGCCGTTTGAAACTTCTTGAACGCCGTGCGGGGAGAGGGGGAGCGGCTGGCTCCACTTGGCTCGGCTTAGTCGTTTTCTATTCGCCGGCCGGGCTTTGAGGAGAAGAGGAGGAGAAGGAGAGGCGAGGGGAGTGGATGAGGTTGATGTTCTCCAAGAGTGTCGGTCGGTCGATGGAGTTGAGCGAAGGGACTTCACATGAGCCGCGACAAGGATCACGCATGAGGGGTCGTGGGGAACCTCACCGAGAATTGGCAGGGAGGGGGAAGCAGAAGCAGGCACAGATTGGCTCGGGGGCGAGCAGTGGGTCAGGCACACGCGCGGTTATGTCCTAGCGGCCCGCACCCGCACAGGAAAGTCAAGGATAATGGTAACCTGGATATGATGTTGATTGAGAGTATAAGATTGAAAGCTACAGGAAAAATAGACGATGCGTTTGCTTCTAGTCCTCACTTTGAGGCGCTTCCTTCCAACACTTCGCCAACCTCTAGCGCCTTGACCTTTGCAGTCAGCTCCGTCAGCTCCGTCTTGAGCTGCAGCAAGCGCTGGACCTCTCCATCGACATTCTGAGCACCACCACCGCTCTTGGCCGCTTCCTTGGCTTGCCTCACCACCGCCCCTTGCTCCGTCACCTTCTTCTCCAGCTCAATCATCTCTGGCGTCTTATTCTTGGGCTGCAGAGCCTCCTTTGCCGCTTGAGCCTTCTTCTTCTCCTCCTTCTCCAGCTTCAACATCGCCTTTTTGCTCAGACCTGCTTGCCCGTCCTGCTGTCCCGAACCAGTCTTGGCAGTAGAAGAAGGAGCCTTGGAAGGAGCATCGGCAACGGCAGCACTCTTGGCTTCGGACTTGCCAGAGAATTGAACCCTCCATGCCTCCACCTGCTTCTCTTCGATGATCTTGAACAGGTGGGCTGGCTTGCCAATCTTGTGTCCGGGGAGCAAGTCAAGGGCAAAGATGCCTCGACCGCGTACAGCCTTGGCAGTGGGAGCCGGCACCGAAGAGCCATCGACTGCGCTGGAATCCTTGGACGGCTTGTCTCCGTTGCTATCTTCTTTGGCTTCCACACCTTCCTCTGCAGGGTCCTCCTCGAATGGTACGACGCGGGCAGGCGCATCCAGCTGACTGCAGATTTGGTCAGACGTCTCGGGCATGAAAGGGTGCGCCACCGATGACAATACCCAGATCAGGTTGACGGCCAATAGCATGAGCGCGTCACACTGAGGACGCTTGTTCATGAAGAGGGAATTGTCGATGCCGACCTCCGAAAGGTAGAGATTGGCGCGGGCGGACATGGCCATGACTGTGCTGAGACCCAGACGCAGTCGCACGGCTTCCATGGCAGAGACGTACTCGGCAATGAGTCTGTTAATGTCCGTAATGAAGCGAGTATGAATGTTCTCGTCTGAACCCTTCAGAGGACCGTCAGCAGTCAGGCCGAGGCCGGCTGGCACCTCGGGCAGGATGCCGTCGTACTTCTTGGAGCAGAAGGTCAAGATGCGGTTAACAAAGTTGCCCAAATTGGCAAGCAATTCTCCGTTGTTGCGATTGACGAACTCCATCCAAGAGAACTGAGAGTCTCCAGTCTCGGGCCGATTCGACAGCAGATAGTAGCGCCAGACGGAAGGAGACACTCCAATCTCTCCAGCTTTGTCTCCGAAGACGCCAATGTTGCGAGACTTGGAGAATTTGCCGCCTTCGTACTGCAGGTACTCCGTTGTGTTGATGTGGTGCAACATGGTCCAGGGGTCTTTTGTTCCCAGAAGGCATGATGGGAAGATGACTGTGTGGAACCGCACATTGTCCTTACCCATGAACTGGTATAGCTTGACGTCCTCCGGGTTCTTCCACCACTTCTCCCAGTCATCTGTATAGTTGGCAGTGATGGAAGGGTATCCGATCGGAGCATCGAACCAGACGTAAAAGACCTTGTCTTCCATGCCCTCTGTCCCTGCGGCCTTTGGCACCTTCACTCCCCACTTCAAGTCTCTTGTCAAGCTGAATGGCCTCAGACCCTCCTTGAACCAGCTCTCGGTGATGGTCTTGCCGTTCGCGCTCCAGCCTCCATCGACGGCTTGTTTCCGCGCCCACTTCTCTGTTGCTGGCTGGAGCTTGTCGATGAGAATGAACATGTGAGGTGAGTCACGGGGCACAGGAGGCGTAGAGCAGACCTTGCAGCGGGGCTCGATCAGCTCCACAGCATCGAGTAGCTGAGCGCACTGATCACATTGGTCTCCTCGGGCATCCTTTTCAGAGTGAACATCAGAGTCAGCTGTCTGGCCTACTCAGTCTGCGCGCTCATCGTCTGACGACTCACGGGGTAGCTACATCTGGGGCAGATTCCTTCAACATATCGATCGGCCAAGAATCTCTCGCAGGTCTGACACCAGAGCTGCGTGACGGTCCGTTGTTCGAGGTAGCCATTCTCGAGAAGCTTCAGGAAGACATCTTGACAGATCCTGTGAGTAGTCAAGAGAGGTAGAGCTAGTCAGCGGCCCGTCACAATACTGCGCCTGTCCATAGCTTGCCGCTCACGGCGCCCGCTCACTCACTCTGTCTGCCGGGGGGTGGAGGTCCTGCCAAAGTGATCGAATCCAATCTGGAACCACTTGTAGACGCTGGCATGCAAAGCATGGTACTTGTCGCAGAGCTGTTGCGGAGTGACTCCATCTTCGAGTGCCTTTGTCTCGGTTGCGGTCCCATACTCGTCCGTGCCACAGATGTAGAGTGTGTTGCGATTCCTTGACCTGGAGTAGCGTGCGTAGACGTCTGCCGAGAGGGTTGAGCCGATGATATTGCCGAGGTGAGGGACATTGTTGACGTAAGGGAGTGCAGAAGTGACGAGTACATTTGGCTCTCCCTTTCTTGGCAAGATCTTGATTCCGGCATCGGCAGTGGCCTGCGTCGTCTTCATGAGCAGCCTGGACGAAGAAGACGAGATCCTCCTCGTGTCGCTCGGAGGGAGCTCGAGGGGAAAGGGCGACGCCATGGCGAGGGGTCAAGGGGAGTGGGGCAAGGTGATAAGGGGGGGGTTGTATCGGTGGCAAGCTTCGAATGAGCCTTGGAGTGTATGCTGGTCGTTGTGCTGCTGCGCAATGGGATGGTGATGGTCTGCGACTTGGCATCTGCGAAGCTCCTCTCCATCCTCGCCCCGCCCACACTTTTTATCGGCAGGCAGTGGCAGTGACTCTGACTGTCGCGTGGCCAGACACTTTGCTGCAGGGCCCACCTCGCCGCCTGCCACTCTCGGCCGCCTTGGCGCTCGGGTCACGTCGCTCCGCTCCGCTCAGAGAAATCACTGGTAGCGGCAAGGGTCAACCAAGGGACGTTGCCGCGTGGACTTCATCCTGCCATTCCACATCCCCCCCTCTATCCTACCTCGTCTCTCTCAAGCCTGACTGTAGATCGCAAGCACGCTGGTAGCTCGTCAGCTTCCCTCAGCCCATACATGTCCTGATTACCCTTCCCCGCAAACCAGCACCAGTCAGCAAGAGCACCGCCTTCACGCCCATCCGCGGCAGCTCCTGTCTTGGCACGTCTGCTGTCAAATCGTGAGGTAGCGTCCCACGTCAAGCAGTAGCCATCCGACTGGCATACTTCCGCAAGAGACATGTCTTCACCTCGAGGCTCTCATCTGCCCGAGGATCCAGGCATCGACTCTAGCGGATCGTCCCTCCATCCTCCCCCACTGGCCGAAGCAACGCGGCCTCCGCCTTCGCCATCGGAGCCAGCGGTAACGCCAACGCTGCGTTTTCCCTCGCCTTCCCCACACTACGTCAGCTCATACTATTATGGAGCCTATGATAATGAGCTGCCAGATCGCATCGATGTCCGTTCATCGCATGGCTCTCCCAGTGCTCGGCTTCCGCCTCTTTCCCCCGCCAGTTCCAGCCCGAGGCAGGGCCTGCTCAACTCCTCGTCACCACGCATACAAGAAGGGGCTCAGCCGGAGGCCGGACCTTCGAGACGAAGCATCATGATGGACGACGTCGTTCATGGCGTCAGCTTCGGCGAGCTCGATCGCGCGCAGACCGGAGACGAAGATCAGTATGGCTCTTCGCCGTTGCATGACCATCAAAGTCACGTCGCTGCGAATGCCGCTCCCCCTGGACTCGGCAATCTGCGTTCAGCTGCCTTTGGTACAGCACCCTTCTTGGACAGTCCAGAGGAAGTGGCTGCCATAGACTACTTCGCAAATGCACCCAGCAGCAGCCGAATCGGTAGACCATTCTACCAGCGATCAATGACCGGGGCAAGTAGCCGAAGCTCCGTCGTGACGGGCGGAGACATGCTTTGGGCCAATGAGGAACACACTGGAGCCAATGCGGTCAGATCTGGGACGCTGAATAGCGAAGAGACAGCAGCCTTGCGCACGCACGTTGTCCCGCAAGGCTACGCACCACAGCAGTCGCCCCCAGATGGAAACCAACCGACCTCACCCTCCAATGCGAAGAAAGGCCGTTCAGTGGGATTTGCCCCTCCACAGATGGCTTTCTTCTCATCTCCCCTCGTGCAATCTCCTGACCTCGAAGATCGTGCCGGAGAGCGAGCAGGCTCTAGTGCCGATATGTACGCTATGGGTGCAGATCAAACAGGCTACGGAATTTCTGCAGCTGACCAGGCAAAGCAGGGCTTGAACCGGATCGGCAAGTCCATACGGCGCATTAGCAGACGAGTGGTCAGTGGAGGCGGTCCCGAGGCTCTGCAAGAAGGGGGACACATCCGCCTAGTAGACGATGTTGATGATGACGAGGACAACGACGACGACGACAGTGGCCGCGATATTCATGGCAGTGGCAGAAACGATGAGGCGGAGCGGATTGCATCGGATTCCTCCGATCGACAATCTGCGAAAGCGTCACTGACCGAGTCATTGACTGCACTCGAACTACCACTCAGCCTCCGGGGCCGAAGTCTCGGCTTCATGGGACCGGACAACCCCTTTCGAAAACGGGCGGCCCAGCTTCTTAACTACTGGTGGATAGAGCCTCTTGTTCTCATCTCGATCATCGCCCATGCAGTCATCCTCATCATCCAATCGTCGAGAGACGTCTTTGTCCATCCGCGCAGAGATACGTACTTCGGGTACTGGGAGGACTATGCGATCTTTGGCATCTTCTGCTTCTATACGATAGAGATGCTGGCAAGGATCGTGGTCTCTGGACTCATTGTCAATCCTCCTCCACTCTACCGCGTGGTCCCCAACGATGGCAACGCGGGCGCTGATGAGACCCCAACCTCAGACCCTGTTGTCGGCGATGCGTCGTCAAGGGAACTCGGCAGAGACCCAAGCTCACCTGCCCAAGGAAGTCCTTTGGCAACGCGAATGGAAGGCTCGGAGCGCAGACGACTCTCCAAGTCAAACACGCTCGACGCCTTTTCGGAACTAGGCGATACGATCAAGAGCCGTGCTCAGGCAGCGCTCAGGAAGGGCGAAGAAGCAGAAGGCTCAGACAAAGCTAAACCTGCACCGACGCGACGGTCTACCGCAATGTCAAGCCGTATGAGTTTGTTTGACCTTGATGCGAGAGCCTCAGCTTCAAGAGCCCACCATCGCTCCGATACGGCTGCGACAACTACGACTGACAAGACCAGCGCTGCCAGGCTGTACCCCGGGACCATTGTCGAAGAAGAGTATGGGTCTGAGCTACCAGCGCAGGTGCGCAAAAGTACTGGGGCGTCTAGACCTCTGGCGGTGCGGCAAGACTCATCTCATATTCTGCAAACGATGCACAAGAAGGCCGTGCCCTTTGTACAGGCCATGATTGTACAGCGGTCTTACGCTCCACATTATGCCTATCTCCGTCATAGTTGGAACCGAGTCGACCTCTTTTCCATAGTCGCGTTCTGGATCGCCTTTGCCCTGGCTGTTACTGGGTACGAAGCCACGAGCAGATACCACATCTACATCTTCAAAGCCATCTCGGTATTGCGGATAGCCAGATTACTTGCCATCACTTCGGGCACTACGACAATTTTGCGCTCATTGAAGCTCGCAGCTCCATTGCTCTTCAACGTCTTGACCTTCACCACGTTCGCCATGATCCTCTTCTCTATCATCGGCATACAGTCTTTCAAGGGCTCGTACCGCCGATCATGCGTTTGGGATGGAGACTTGACTACCGGCATTAACGCCGAGCCTGGGTCGCAATACACCTTGAGTCAGATATGCGGTGGGTGGTACGATGTGAATGGCGAGCGCCGTTCATACATCAGCACCAGCGGTCTGTCTGCACCTGGCAACGGCAAGGGCTTCTTTTGTCCTCAAGGTCAGCGATGCGTAGAACAAGACTCCAATCCCTACTCGAACACGCAAAGCTTTGACAACATCCTGACCTCACTACTTCAGGTCATTGTTGTGATCAGCAACAATGGCTGGAGCAGCGCAATGTACGACAGTGAGTTGTCAAGAAGCGGTGACTATCTGAATGACAGCGTCTTTTGACACTAACGACCCCCATCTCATTCTGTGTCCGCAGTGGTCGATGCTGACTACTTCGTCGCAGTCTTCTACTTCATCATTGGCATCATCTTCTTAAACTTCTGGCTCGCAAATCTTTTCGTTGCCGTCATCACCAATTCTTTTGCGACTATGTCAGCTCAGACTCATCAGTCCGCATTCGCAGCCAAGGACCTGGGCCAGGTCGCTTCCATCCTGAAGGACGAGTCTCAGAGCAAATCTCGCATCCGGAGGAAAAAGGTGGCGAGCGTTTACAAGCGCCTTTGGGGATATACAAAGTATCTCTGGCTTGCTGCCATCGTAGCCAACATTGCATCACAAGCGAGTCGGACCTCTTACCAGACGTCTGCGGCAAGCAAATTCGTGCGCGACGCTGAATTGTGGTTCACCGTCGCCTTCGACGTTGAGATTCTCTTACGATTCCTCACATATCTTTTGGACGATGACTGGCGATCTTTTTACGGTGGAGGAGGCACGCAAAGCACTCGCAATATCATGGACACGATTCTTTGTGTACTCACCAGTATCATGGAGCTCCCCGGGATCCGCAACACACGAGTCTACGCATGGATGACTATCTTTCAGCTTCAGCGATTCTATCGAGTGATCGTCGCCATCCCTCGAATCGAGGCATTGCTTCTGAGAGCCTTTGGATCTCTCCGTGGTCTCCTGAATATGATTGCTTTCCTCCTCTTCATGGTAGGGCTAGCTGCTATTGTGGCTGTTCAACTCTTTCGAGGTGACATTCCTGCAGAAAATGACGACGGTACGATCTTCATGAACTTCAAGCACATCTACAACTCCTTCTTGGCGATGTACGAAATCTTCTCTAGCGAGAATTGGAACACGGTCCTCTTTGATGTTCTGACATACGAATTCGGATATCGGCAGGCTGCCATCTCTGCCATTTTCATTTGCGGCTGGTTCCTCTTCAGCAACTTCATCGTTCTTCAGATGTTCATTGCTGTCATCAATGAAGGTTTCTCGATCACAGAGGCCGAAATGCGACGCCAGCAGCTCGACCGCTACGTACGAAGGCTAGAGCCAGGGACTGTTTCCGTCACAGGTCGCTTCTTGCACAAGCTTTCGCCATACCGTTGGCTCAAAGACCACAATGCCTCCGTACTCGGACAGCCCAGGGAGCACCGCGTAGTCCGTGCTGCCCACAATGACGGGCTTCGCCAAGCCCTGGACGACTTCGACGAGAAGAACAAACGCCGTATGTCTCTACATCGGTTTCTCGATCAATCGAAGGTCCAGCGCTTGACTGCTTTTATGCGCAAGATCATGCGGCTCGACAATCCCGACCAAATTCCTATGCCGCTGGATACCGTGCAGCAACAACAAGTACGGCAATCCTTCTCCGGAGCTGACGTCCTGCGAGGTGTGGCTCCTCGTCGTCAGCAATCAATGGCGATGTTGGATGAGGCAGGCGATGAGGATGAGGCTGCTCGTCTGTTTGCAAGGGAGAGGCAGCTGGTCAGGATTAGGACTGATCTCGGGCTGGCCACGGAGAAGCTGACGCAGGGTGAGATCGACGCCGCCTATGTGGCGAAGCAGGAGGTAAATCCACGCATTGCGATGGCAAGAGCTATCAATGCTCATCCTTCCTTCGACAAGTCTCTCTGGCTCTTCACGAATCACAGCAAGTTCCGACGATTCTGTCAGAGTCTAGTGCCTTCCTCTTATGGGGAGCGCATCTTCGGACGCCAACATGATCGCAACCGCTACCGAATCTTGCGGATCGTCATGTTCATCACCATCGTTGCTTCGGTCGTTGTAGTCGGCGTGGCTTCGCCTCTGTACCGCAAGAGCTGGTACGGTGAGCATGGCCTCAGGAGAGACTCGTGGTTTACTCTCATCGAACTTGCTCTTAGCTCCGTCTTCTTTCTGGAATTCTTCATCAAGATTGTTGCCGACGGGTTTGCCTTTACGCCAAATGCCTATCTGCTGTCGCCGTGGCATATTCTGGATCTTATGGTTCTAGCCAGTCTAGTGGTCAACGTCAGTTCCGAAATCATCGTCATCGGAGGTGTTAGTCGGTTCACACGTGCTCTCAAGGCTTTCAGAGCTCTGCGACTGATCAATCTCTCCACAAGGATGCGTGCGACCTTTGAGAATCTCGTCGGTGGAGGCGGCCACTTTCTCGACGCCTCGGCACTGGCCATCTTGTATATCATCCCCTTTGCTGTGTGGGGTCAGAACCTCTTCTCCGGGTCGCTCTACGCGTGCAACGATACCGGTGATGGTATCACGGTCAAAAGCCAGTGCGTTGGCGAGTATATGGCTCAATCGAGCGAATGGACATATCTGGCCCCTCGAGTCTGGGACAATCCTCAGGTTGCCTCTTCCTACTCTTTCGACGACTTCAAGTCTGCATTGCTCATCCTCTTTGAGATTGTCAGCTTGGAAGGCTGGATAAATGTCATGCAGACTGCCATGGCTATCACTGGCTCGAACAGCCAGCCCGTGACCGATGCCAATCAAGTGAACAGCATCTTCTTCGTCATCTACAATCTCATGGGAGCAGTCTTCGTCCTTACCCTCTTCGTGAGCGTTATCATCGAAGGCTTCCAATCGGCAACAGGTGCAGCATTCTTCTCGACGGAACAACGCCAGTGGATTGATCTGAAGAGGCTCATGTCGCGACAAAAGCCTGCCAAGCGGCCGGCAGTCAGACCAGCAGGTCCCATTCGCAGTTGGTGTTTCGACAGGGCTACAAAGAAACATGATTGGTGGGGTCGATTCATGACCGGCCTATACCTCGCGAACGTGATTACACTCTGCACGCAGACCAATGACCAGAACCCAAGAGCAGAGAGGATTCGCGACTACATCTATCTAGCCTTTGCCAGCATCTACGGCCTTGATGTCGTGATCAGGCTACTAGGCATAGGTTGGAACGCTTTCAGGAGAAGTCTGTGGTGTGTCTACGACTTGTTCGTCGTGGTAGGCATCCTTGCGAATACCTTGCCTCTCGTCATACTCTCTACGCCCACTCAAGTCAATGTGCAGCTGCAAAAGTTCTTCCTAACCGCTGCGACGTTGAAGCTGGTCGCCAAGCACAATGGACTGAATCAACTCTTCAAGACTGCTCAGGCCGGTCTACCTGCCATATTGAATCTTCTTGGCCTCTGGCTTTGCTTCTTCCTCTTCTTCGGTCTCATGTTCGTCGAGGTCTTTGGACTCACAAAGTGGGGCTACATCGGACCGGAGAGCTACTCGCGCAACTTCTCTTCGCTTCCCCTAGCTCTCATCTTCCTGAGCATGATGAGTGTAGGAGAGGGTTGGAATGGCTACATGCACGATTATACTGTGGAGGATCCTCTCTGCACTCCCTCGGCAAATTACCTCGAGTCGGATTGCGGCAGTCAAGCTTGGGCTTATCCTCTTTTCATCGGTTGGAACCTGTTCAGCATGTACATCTTCCTGAACATGTTCACTGCCACGGTCATCGAGAATTTCGCATACGTCTTCCAATTAGGAGGCAAGCCTGTATTGGACAGGGAAGACATGAGAGGCTTCAAGCGCGCCTGGATGGGCGTAGCAGGGACGTCATCTACTCTGCCTCGAGATAAGATCATCGCCTTCCTTCGAGTCCTGCCAGGCAAGTTCGAGATGCGGGTGTACCCACAGGAACTATCCATCGGTGCTCTACGGCAAGCCGCTCTATACAGCGACTCTGCTTCCATCAATACCGGCTCCTCAGAGGGTCGTCGTCGCAGGGATGTCATCTCTCGCCTTCGGGGAAGCTCGTCCAGTCCGACAAAGCCGCACGCGGGAGACGACAGTTTCCAAGCATTTTCTGCTACTGGTCACACGATGCGCACCGTAGACGGTATCAATGTCACGCGTTTGCACGACATCGTCTGTGCGCTGGATGGCAAGGAGCTACGACAACGTCGTGAGCGTTTCAACCGTGTCTGGCACGAGGCTTGTATCCTCGCCGACGAGTCCGAGGAGGGCAAGGGCATCTCATTCCAGGACATGTTGAAGCTGATTGCGTATCATAAGCTCATCGATCCCAGCACGGCTCTCAGTGTGGAAGAGCTGGTTGCAAGAAGGAGACTAGATGAGAAGATTGACGATCGCATTAACCTTGAGAGGGTACGCTCGGTGATGAAGACTGCCTACTTGCGATATCGCTTCAACGTCCTCCGAAGAGCGGCGGAGATCATCGGCGAGGAGATCAATTCTGCAGTCGGTCATGATGAGGACATCGATCCATCTCCGTCTGCCGCAGAAGGTGGTGTCCCCATCATTCGGGTCGATGACACACAGAGCCCACCTCAATCCTCGAGAAGTCGCGAAAATAACAAGAAGCTCGGCCTCCGACTCGATGTCGCCGCCTTGTCTGCCTTGGATCCTGCCGATCGAGGACTGCGCACGCCTCCAGCTCAAACGGGTCCCTTCTCCTCCGCACTACAAGACAATCGCTCACGATTGTCCCCGTCAGCTTCATCACACCGCAGCGGAACAAGCTCGCCTCGGAGTCGACTTGGCCAGGTGGATGTCGAAGAGCTGGAGCGTCGAGCTTCACCCTTGCTGGAATCCTTTGACGATACGCCTTGGGGCAGAATGATGAATCGAATGAGCAGAGGAGTCAATAGAGTCGTCGTCGGAGATGCACGGATGGCCCGACGATCGAGCGCCATGCGTCTGAATGATCCACAATTGACGCCAGCATCAGGTGCCGCTCGTTCGACAGAAGACATTACGGAGGCTCGGACGATTCCTGCTGAGTACTATCCGTTCGAGAGCTCAGAGGCGCTCATCGAGCAAGATGATGATCAGGAGCCCTATGCGAGGGAAGCGGGCAGCGGAGCAGCGGACTACTATGATCAAGATGGAGATGGTGATGAGGACGAGGACGAGGCGGCAGCGTCTGAGTGGCGACGGGAAGACGAGCGGCGGCGAGCAGCTCTGGACAACGATGAGGACGAGGACGATACAGATTGGGGAAGAGTTTACGCTCGGTGACATTCCAAGACATAAGGCAGACGAGAGGGGCGGTCGAAGGCAGGTACTTCGAGAGCTAAGGTCAGCAAGCATAGATTCCGTTTCATCCCACATCAAGATACCATAGCATTTTCAATCTCTTCATACCTCTCGGATGTGGGTCTCATCACAATGTTTTCATACGGTTGCCGCGCTCTTTACAATGTCATTCTATTTGCTTCGGACCAATTGTGAGAACAGTATGGGAGGCTCTACAAGGAGGTGAGCTGAGTAGAGGACTCGAACTTCCTGCCCTGGACCTTCTCCAGTCCTTCACCAGCATAGCTGACCAGTGGGCTCACTTCTACCTCGACACCCTCGGCCAATGTAGCGCCAGCGGCCTCGAGCCAGCCCCGATGCAGGTTCAGCAGGTCTCGTCTGCTTGTCTGCGGGTCGTCTACGCCAGTATTTGGGGCGTTCTTGAGCGGCGAGAACTCCTTGGGGCGCAGCACTTCGTGCACGACGAGATCCTCGCAAAAGGGGAAGACGTCGAAGATGAAGAGTTCGAGCTTCATACCATTGGGCGTAGAAGGCTTCACTACGGCCCCGCTGGACAGATCCACGGTAGGGATTTTCTTGCGGGCAATGTGGAAGGCCATGGAGGACTCAAAGTCCGGCACTCGCCTTGAGAGGAAGTCGGTGGTGTAGAAGTGGTTGACGATGTTGGCTGCCCTGAACAGGAGTTGTCCACCGTCATCCCGAGCTTCCGCCAGCTCTTGCGGGATCTCAGAGTACTCGATGACATTCCACTTGCCATTTTTCATGGCCACGACTCCGACCGACTCCTTGGGGTCGGTCTTGATGACCGTCTTCACCCCCGCCTCGAGACCGCGCTCGATGTTGATGCCGAGGAAGACAGGGTCGCCTACCTTGACAAGGCAGTTGTCAACACCGTAGCAGTGGATGTACTTGATGCCTCGCTTCTCCAGCTCCGAGGTCACCGTTGTAGGAGTGGAACCGTCGAGAGGTGTGGTGAGCGCTTTGTACAGGCCGCCGTTGCCGTCAGGAGCCGTGGCGATGCGGGACTTTGAGTCGAGCATGATCTTACCCTCCATTGTCAGGCAAGGCAGAGTACCTGTCGGGGGGAAAGGAAGCGGTCACGTCAGAAAGTAGCGCAGAACAGACTATCGCAGCTTATGCTCACCCTGCTCAAAGAAGATGACGTTTGCCTCATCAAGGCCGAAGTACTTGTTCTCCTTGAAGAAGTCGTGCGTAGGTTTCCTTGTTGGCCCGCTAGTCATGATGAACCAGGTGATCACTCCTCCCGCCAGCGACTGCAACCGAGCAATTCTCTCCGCCTGCAGCTGGAACAATGACTTGTGCGACGGCAGTCCAATATCGTAGCATCCCTTGGGCGCCGAGGAGCCCAAACGTGTGCCCTGTCCACCCGCCATGAGCAGCACTCCTACCTGTCCCTTGCCAATGGCCTCCATTCCAATACGGGCATAGTGTTCCTCCTTCTGTGGTTCCCCGGATGTCTGCACAGTAGCCTTGGCGGGAGGAGGACCCAGCTCAGTCTTCTGTTCAGCGAGCTGAGCAGCCTCCTTCTCTCCCTCAAGGGCCTTGGCGTAGACTTGGTTCACCCGCTCCACGTCTAAAGCAGAGAGTTGGTGCGCCAGAGAGCTCTGCTCCGAGGCGGAAAGGTCGTCCCAGAAGGTGAAGAGGTGCTCCTGACCCGCCGCGGTATACCGCGAGCGGAGGGCTTCTATGTCGATGGGCGATGAGGATGCCATGATGAGTTACAGTGTTGATGGAAGGGCAAGAAGGAAGAAGTCAACACGAGGGCGGGGAGCAAAACCTTACTTGGGGTGGTGTTGGTCTCGAGCGGAGCTGGACAGCCAGACACGAGGCAGGGTCCACAGACGTCATATTCTCGCGCAACGTCGAAGGGTTCATATAATCACAATCGAAGAAAATCAGGATCGCATCTACAAGATGGCAACGTGTCCGAGTGGTTAAGGAGTTCGCCTCGAACTATAACTTTGAGGTATCATGTATACCGCAAGCGAATGGGCTCTGCCCGCATAGGTTCAAATCCTGTCGTTGTCGAAAAAATTGTTTCTTTTTGCTTTCCGTCGCTGTTAAATTCAGTTCTAAGAAAGCTTCATTGTTCATTGCAATTGATAGACATTGCAATTTGACCACGCCAATCCTCACGCCTTACTCAACGCAACCCTACCTTCTTCACCAGATCCACCTTGACTCTTCCAGGGTGGTCGTCCTTTGTTCCTTCTGGCAGGAAGAGGTCCTTCCATCCCTCTACGCCACGCAGCTGAATCAGGTCAGTGATCGTCGCGTCTCCCACCTCTGACACCGGAGCGGTCTCGACGGCCTTGTTGAACGAAGGCGAGTGTTCCTCACCGACAAATCCGATACTGAGGATGGGAAGAGACAAGTTGTTGGCATTCAGCGGAGCTCGTTGCTGAGCTTGCATCTGCTTTGAGCTGATGTGACTCACCGATACACCAACCCATCGCTGCAACCCACCACGATCGACTCGTGATCGAGAACCATCGCCATCGGGTTGCGCTCCGGCGTGGAGAGCTCTGCGGCACGTGCCTCCCACGCTCCCCTGATGGGAACAAAGCGATCAGCAGGCCCGCCTGTCTGGTCTGCAGTAGCCTCGCTACCGCCTTCCTGACTATCTGTATACGTGCTAGTGTAGAGCCTTCGTTCGACTCCGGCTCTAGATGTGAAACGATTGGCGCAGACCATGCGACGCTGATATCGGGAGAGAGGAAGGAGATTGATGGTTAGCGGGATTGCGCCACTACGCTTGACTCTGTCGCTCACCTTCTGCGGATCGACCACACCCACTGCCGCCTCGGGCGTCCTGAGGACTGAGGTCAGCCGAGGAGGGATTGTCAGGTCGGGAGCTAGTCGCGTCGCTGCCGTTTCGGCATCGTCGAGGGATGTGCTGGACTCTGTACGTCCGAAACTCTGTATAGAAGGAGATGAGCCGAATTTCGATGGGGTCACGTTAGCCTGCGATGCTCTCAACGACACCGCAGGCGTTGGAGAGGTCACGGCGGTCCTTACGCTGGTCGGACGACCAGGGGTCGATGGCGACAAAGACGACCTCGCGGTCACAGGAGACTGAGGTGGTGCTGCGCTTCGACTGGAGGGCTTTGAAGTCGTAAAAGGAGCCTCGCCTTTGCTTGTGGTGATGCGGACCGGTGTCGAAGTGCCACTGCGTCGTGCGGGAGTCGATACGGTGCTCACAGATGAGGAGCTGCTGGCTTTCGACTCCGCGCCGGGACGCGGCGATGCAGAGTACGAGCTTTCGGCAGAGTCTTTACGGGCCCGCACAGGGACAATGTGCTCTCTCCATTGCAAGTGTGCCACAAGTGACTTGCTCGCTACAGTAAGTGAAGTGCCATCGGCAGCAAACCAGCTAAGGAGCAGTAGGTGTGATGAAGAAATCAGCGGACGTGAGATAGACGACTCTCCGGAAGCGGCGCTTTTAACTCACGATAGCATGCCTCCGTCGCCCGTCAGTGCTTTCATGGCATCAGCATGCTCCCCTCTGGCTCCACTCAGCTTCGAGATGTCAAATTCTCCCAGCATCTTTTTGGTCCGGATGCTGAAGGACCTGATGATGCCATCAACGGTCACTGCCACCAGTTTGTCGGTGTCCACCAGGCAGACGCCGAGGGAGACGTTCAATTGCTGTCCGAAGCGTATAATTCGTTCTCCTGTTCGATGATCGAAGACGCAGATCGATTTGTCCTGTCCAGTCGACACTACATAGGACTGGTTGACAGCGACGTGACGGATGCCCTTGTTGTGGCCTGCAAGTGTCTGAAGCTGCTCACCGGTCCGCAAGTCGAACATCAGAGTTCTTCCAACATCGTACAGTCCTGCTGCAATGATGCCTTGACCTCGGCCCATCAGAACAAAGTCCAGACACGCAATCTTCTCGGCTTTGATCTCTTTTTTGCAGACTGGCGCTTCAGAGGAAGATAGCTTCCATATGCGAATGGTACCATCGTAGCTTCCTGTCACGAGCGTGTCCTTGCCGCGCAACTTCATCGATGTTACAAATCCAGTGTGGCCTTCACACAGCTGTACGGTCTGCGCGAGTCCAAGAGACCAGTTGCGCTCACGTAGGTAGAGGTTCTTGACGATGTCCTCCCAGTGTCGTTCGTCTTCGGGCGGGATGAGAGCGTCAGTATCGGACTCGGTGAGTGCCAGGGCATGAGATCGCCATAGTTGGGGATGGGAGGCTATCCGTAGCCACTTCTTTGATACCAGGCGGCAACGAAGCAGCTACGAGTGCGAAGATCTTGTCAGTCTATTGTGCCTCGACCTTGTCAGCCTGCCATTATTGTCCTACTCGACTCACCTCACGTATTGGCAGCTTCTGGAAAATTGCGATACACAGGCCTTCCGGAATAGTGCTGACCACATCTTTCGTGGATGACATATAGCGCTTCCAAGCTCTCTGCATAGATGGTATCTCACTCGGCAGCGCAGAAGTGAGGATGATGTCGAACAGCTTGAGTCGTTGGGAGACAGAAAGAGACCGTACTTGCTGGGTGACTGCTTTCTCGTCCAAGTACTGAGCACTTCCATTCATCGTCAGGCCTCCGTAATTCAGAGTATCTACTGCTTCACGCTCTTCTTGCGTCTCCTGCACTCCACGGGCGCGCTGGGCCGCCTCGTTTTCTGGCTCGGGCTCATTGTAAAACACCGCAGATTGCCAGCCGAGCTCCTTGGCAGCCCTAATATTCTTCTCGCTATCATCGACAAAATAGAACTTCGTAGTGTCTCTGGTACCCACGATCTCTGCTGCTGCATGGTAGTAGCCCAAGTCGGGCTTACAGCAGAAGAGCGGGCCAGCAGCATAGTCGCAGTAGAGAGCTCCATCGAAGAAATCTTCCAGTCCAAGCAAGCGAATGCAGCGCAAAGCATGACTCTTGTAAGCATTGGTCAATGCGAATACTCGACATTTCGTGCGGTCCAAATCTCGGAGGAGAGCCGTCAGCTCGGCCTCTGGCTTTAGAAGCTCATCTAATGGCAGGGAGCCGTCCACTCTACGGTCATAATCTAGGGGATCGATGTCTCTGTGGTGCTTCAGCAAGCCGCGAATAGCTAGACCATGCTCCTTGTAGTATTTGGTATGAAGAGCCTTCGCCTCCGCCTCTGGCAGTCCCAAGCCCAGGAAATAAGCATGTATGCGCTGGCCCATCAATTGAGCAATGCGGGTCGACTTGTGGTACAGCGTATTGTCTGAAACGTGTACGGTAGGTGAAATTTCAGATCACCAGTGTCGAAGTCATGTTTTGAGCTGGCTATAGCCATCACCTCTTCAAGCACTTGCCCTCCAGAGTCTGCATCACTCACCAATGTCGAACCAAACAATAGCTCTCGGATCATCGGCGTTGGCATTTTCCAAGTCTTCCGCACTGACGTTGAGTCCCGCATAGCCCACCCCAGTCCTTCTCCCGACTTGTTCCACCCTGCTGTCAGTGCTCAAGGTGCCATTGCGGAGAGTAAGATCGCTCGATGAGGGGCCAATGCCAGGCTCACCTGCTTGTAGTGGGCGCACGTTGCTGGCCGGTTGCTCTTGTCTGGATGTCTTGGAGACGTCAGCAGACTTGCGAGGAGATGGAGACGCAGATTTTCCACTGGCTTTTCTCGGCGACGGTGAAGAAAGAGGCATATGTCGCCCTGAGCTCTGCTCGATGGTGACGTGAAGAGGGAGCAGATGGACACGAATGGTAAGTTGGGGGGTGACGAGGTCCCCGTGGATGTTCCGACCCAGGGTGGCTTGTGCTCCAGCCGCGACGGAACGGCAGCAAAGGCGCGAGGCGCGGCTGTTCCGCCGGGACACGCCAAGCCGGCGGGTCGAGGTTGGTGTCTTGGCCCTGGTGAGTATCCGTCCATAATCGCCTGCGCAAGCCTTGCCTCTCCTATTCCCTCGCCGTGTGTAATGCTCAGACCATAGACCATGACGACGTCTTCTCGTAGCTCCAGAAGCAGCAACTCTCCGCCCCTCGTCAGCTTCTCCTGCTCGGCCATCGCATGGGCTCACACTCTCCTCGGCTTCGGAGCATTCTTTGGCGCACTCGTCCTAGCCTTAAGCCTGCACTACAAGAGAGTCGTCAAGAATGGAGTCGCAGGCTACCCTGATGAATGGTGGCCAAGTGTAAGCGCGACCATGTGAGTAGTCCTCGACCGCTGATTAGAAGAAGCTCAATCTGACATTCTGGCACTGTGATCCTTGTGCCTGAATAGCGGTGACTGGCCTCAAGAGCGGTCGATCCTTCAGATCTTCATTGCAATGATGTCCGGTCCTCGATTTGCGCTGGTCTTGCTTTCTGCGCTCCTAGTCTCTCTTTCAACGCCAACCTCAAAACGCTCGCTTCTACTGATGGCTACAGGGCTGCTGCGCACATTCTCTTGTGCAGGCTGGGTCTATTGTACTTCGACGGACTTCCCGTTTGTCCACGACGTATCGATGATCACTTACCTCGTTCTGACTCCATTCTGGATGTTCATCTCTTGGGGATCCCTGGCTCCTCAGCCGAATAAGCGGACCGATCTAGCTCATCAGGACAGTGACGCTACTACTGTCAAGGCGAGGAGAAACCGCAGAAACACAGCAATCGCCTTCTTCGCATCGATACCCTTCATGTGCATCTTTTACTATCGTCACAAGGTTCTCAAGATACCCGGAGCATATACCATCTACTCTTTCTTCGAATGGAACCTAATTATTCAGGTGAGTAAACAGGCGTCCTACTCCGCATAGTCAATGTGCTTGACGGCTGAAAGCTCTACGTCTGCTCAGGACCTTCTTTTCGATTGCTGGGCGATGTACGACCTGGGCCGTTTGGAGATTCATATCGTCGAAGCTGCAGGCCCTTCGACCGCTCCAACCCTGGGAGGTTCGTGGTGGAGGGGAGGTACAATCAAAGCTGTCAAAGAGGGAGCTTGGAGTACAGTCCCGCATCTCGACGTGGGGACCGCTCCATCAGGATCCTCAAGGTACGAAGCATAAGGAGGCCGCTGGGTCCCCTGACATCAGTCGCCCGGGCGTCAATCTCATACGCCATTCTGACCCGCTTTCCTTCCTCTGTCCTTCAACTTGTCGGCCTCCGCTTGATCGAAAACACAAAAGTTCGCAGACCTCTAAATACGAAAGGGCAGAAGTAGATGCCATGCTTGACGTCGACAATGGGAAGACCAAGGGCCTGTCAGCTGCTGAGAGCACTCCACTGAAGTCCACTCTCAGTCTACTATCCGATTCCTACATGGCCTTCCTGTGGTGGACCACCTTGACTGCGTTGCACCCCACTAGTGAGTGGGAACAGGCGTGTTCACCGTAACTGTGTCTGAACGCTAAGCTTGACATTTGCCCTCCTCCAGTCTTCTTCTTTTCCGTCTACAATCTCTCCATTGGAGGCCACGAGATTCTCCTCTTGACTCAGCTGTTTGCCTTAGCTGCCTGTCTGATCCCCTCTGTGCGCGACTCTTTGCTCACTTCGAAGCAAACGGTCAAGCCGGCCTCATTCAAGTGGAGGGGCATGATGTGGGCGCTCACTTTGATCTCGATTGGCAGCTGGTGGATCCCAGGCCCTCTAGTGAGACTAGGGCTGTGCGGCCTCGCAAGCGCCAGCGCCTCGGTGATGCATGCGCTCGAGTGGGGTCTGGCTTGGCAAGGTGGTCAGGAAAAGATCGCAAAGAAGGTTTTCGTCTGGCTGGTGGGGCTCAGTCTGAGCTCATTGGCCAAGTACGCCAACCATAGGTAAGTCCACGGACCTAAGAACAAAGCATAGGTAGGGTCACATCTGACGGCTCGAATGCTCTGTCTCCAGCAACAACCCCCTATGGCCCTTCATGAATGCAAGCAACGGAGGGCATCATATATTGGGCCTGGCCGTCGCAGGCCTGTGTCTCTTTGAGGCATTGAAGAGAAAGGAGGAAGAGTCAGTGCAGCGTACAAGGCAGCCGCAATCTAAGCAGAGCGAAGCAGCTGCTGCCCTCGGTCTAGGTGCCTTGCTGTTTGCACTGCATATGTTCCTGACGGATTCGGGCAGTATGATCGCCTGGGGCTGGACCGGCTATCCGATCAAAGGTCCGATGGCCATACCTCACGGTTGGATCATCTTGACTATTGCCTTGATGAGTACAGGTGCCACCATCCTCAAGCCATCGCTTGGCTACAACACAGCGCTTGTCGTTCCACTTGCCATTAGCAACGCTCTGTTGCTCCTTCTCGACGATTGGTATTCATTCGCAGGGGCTGTCGGTACTGCAGCAACACTTCCTTTGCTCGCCTTCCCGCTGGCTGAAACCGCGATGAGGCATCACCCAATCAGAGTGATGATGTGGAGCTGGTTCGTGGCGGACTTGCTGACCTTCTTCCAGGTCTTGACCGTCGCATACGCCTTTGTACCTGGTGGCATGCCATTCAGGGAGAGGACATGGATGTAAGTGCCGATGATGACGTGCGTTGCTCGAGGCGCTTTACTGATCGTGCCTCGCCCGGTACCTCTACAGAATGCTCATCGTGCAGCTCATCTTGCTTACGGTTGGTCTACGTAACGCAACGCAGCATTCCCCTGCTGCTCGTGCGTCACTGTCAACATCCGTGTTGACGGCCGAAGTGAAGAAAGCGAGCCTGGTACTGCTTGCCTCTCTATCCCTACTGAGCTTCATTGTCGCTCAATTGCGTACAGTCGATCCTGCGACTATCAAGCCGTATCGAGCCGAAGACGGCAGCCGGCTTTTCACTGCGGGTATACAGACTATCCACTTTGGTGCGTTGCTCCGTAGTACAATAACACTTGTGCCGCCCTACTGATACGCCCTGTCCTCTCTTCCTTCTGATCTCAGGCCTTGACCAGCTCTTCTACGACTCCTCGCGTAGGATGTCGACTCTATACGAGGACCTATCGCTGGACGTCTTTGGCCTCTTGGAGAGCGATCTGCACCGTAGCGTGTTCGGCAACCGAGACTTGACGCAGTATCTTGCAGAGAGCCTCAAGATGTACGCCGACATTGGACCCGGACCAGACAAGCACACCTGGGGTGCAGCTCTGTTCTCCAAATTTCCGATCATCAACTCAACGCATCATCTTATGCCTTCCCCAGATGGTGAATTGGCTCCAGCTATTCATGCTGTCCTCGATGTCTATGGCACCCATGTCAATGTCTGGGTCAGCCACAATGGTCAGGAGGAGACGCCTCTCGACCGTGAGCTGCAGACGAAGTACATCGCTCAGATGGCAAGAGACACGTACCCGCAACCGCTCGTCGTTCTCTCTTACCTGGTTACCCGCCCGCATGCCCCATCCCCTTCGCCTTACGGCATTCTTTTCCAATCAGGCCAAGTCTACGACCCAGAGCCAACAGATCGCGATCGCTGGTGCCAGTACATGGGCTTCCGCTCCCTGGAAAAGATCGGCTACGCGCGCGTCTCGCGCTACACCCTTAGCGATACCGAGCTGCAAACGGTCAAGCTGCGCGTGCCTCTCCCTGGTCAGGTGGTGGATCCCGATAGGGATGAGCGAGGGAAATTGGTGACCCAGAGCGAGATCGACGTACCCCGTGAGGCCCTCTACCCGGACAAGTTCATCGATCCGCCTGCAAAGGTGTACAACAAGCACAAGTACACGCCCTTTTACTATCCCAGGTGAGTCCTGTATTTACGCCCTTGGGTCAAAGAAAGTGGAGAAGACATGCCGCTGATGACCTCCTGTCTTGCCCCATTCTTGCTTGCGTCGTTTTTGGATAGGTACTACATGCCGGGTGAGCCGGAATTTGACTGGAATGCCTGGCTCACGGCGGCGAGACATGGTTAAGCGGAGGCGTGCCGCGTGACACGTGCTTGTTGTGGGGAGTATGGCCGCCATCAAAAGTAATACCATTTCATGAGCATGGTATCAGATGATCACAAGCGACTGGTCCGTTCCCCGCCTGTCCCTCTGTGCAAACGCAGCTCTGCATCCCTTCCTCCCCTGGCTTTCAACCCTGCCTCCCCTATCTCTGACCCTCCCGCCTCTCTCTTCCGCATCCCCTCAACCCAATCTCTCACCGCCCTCCCCAACCCGCGGATCTCCTCGGCAGTATTGTCCGCATGTACGCAGATGCGTACCCGGTCTCTCCCGCGGGGCACGGTAGGGTAGGTGATAGGTCGCACGAGAAAGCCCTGCGCTTGCAGGTGGGCGGCGAGGGGCCGGGTGTGCGCGTGCGGCGTGAGAAGAGGAATGATTGGAGAGGGCCGTCGTCGTCGTCGTCGTTGAGGACGAGGAGGCTCGTGTATACCTGCCGCAGAGTCCTCAAGGGCTGCATTGCATACTGCCCGCACGAGGGGCAGACTTGCGGCAGAAGAAGCATTACTCGATGCAGCACCAGAGCCTTCCTCCAGATCCAGTTCCAAATCTCCAAGGGTCAGCAGGCCTCCCCCATCCTCGTCGCAGGACTCTTCTTGCCGGCCTAGTGCCTCTTGAAGCGTTGTGCGCACCAATTCGCAATTCTGCGCTAGACGAGCACGTCTCCTCGACCCATCGGGGGACTGCAGGACGTCCAGTGCTGCATGGATGAGGTGAAGCGAGGCGTGCGCCTGGGCCGTCGAGAAGATCTGGATAGTGAACGATGTTGTGGGCAAGTCAGACGGCTATAGAGAGGGACACGTGAATGACCTTGCGATGCGGTCGCTGCGACTCACCAGTGGACGGGCGTAGTTGATGAGGTACTGGCGGATGAGTGGTGGACAAAGAATGGCCGCTGGGGAAGAAGATTGAATGAGGCAGGTCAGCTTACTTTCTTCCTTCCCTCATACAAAAGAAAGTCATGTCTCGACCGGCCGTGTTCTTACTCACCTCCGGCGACACCAAATCCCTTTCCAAACGTCGCAACTCGTATCACACTGTCCTCCTCCCCTGCTGCGTCGGCAGCTGCGCCCACCCCCCACTCCTGACACATTCCCTGGCCTGCCTCTCCGAAGCATCCACAGGAATGCGCTTCATCCACCACGACCCAGAATCTGCCGGTACCATTGACGAGGATGTCCCTCTGTTTGGCAATCGCTATGAGCTCTGGGAGTGGAGAGAAGTCCCCGTCCATGGAGTAGAGCGCCTCGACTGCCAAGAAGAGGTTCCCGCCAGTCTCCCGCAGGAAAGGCAGGACCTGCCCATCGAGTATCTGCTCGAAGTCGACAAGATCGTTGTGCTCAAAAGAGAGACAGTGCGCACGGGATCGTCTCATTCCATCGTGGACGCTGGCGTGGATGAGCGAGTCGTAGAGGACGATGTCGCCCTCTTGGGGAAGAGAAGAGAAGAGGGAGACATTGGCTTCCCAGCCGGAGGGGCAGAGCAGGGAGGAGGAGGCGTTGAAAAAGTCGCAGAGCCGTGCTTCGAGCTGAGAGAGGCGAGCGGGTGGGGGAAAGGTTAGATAGGACATCCTTCGAACGCTTGATAATCATCGGCTGGGTGCTGGCCGCGTTCTGATCCCAGCCACTTACCTCGTCGATTTCTCCACCGTTATTTCCGTCCAGCAAACGACTACCCGTACTACCCCCTACTCGAGCCTCCGGGCGCAGAACTCTCCTGACAAAGGCCTCCTTGAGCTGTGAAGAAGTGGCAATGGAGAGATAGTCGTTTGAGGAGAAGTCGGCGAGAGTGGAAGTCGAGGCGATTGTCGAAGAGGGAGAGGGAGATGAAGACGATGAAGACGCCTGGAGAAGAGCCTTTGGCGTCGCTATAGTCGTGGGATTAAAGCTGGTGAGGCGCCGAAGTGTTCCCTTTTGTCTGCGGGCCTCGAGGGTACTGGCGAGCTGATCTAGGAGAGGCATCCTTGCCTTGCACTGTGCGTAGCCGACGCTAAGGCTGAGCTTTCCGACCTCTTTCGTGCTCGTGCAAGGTTCGCCAAAGACAGTCGAAGATGGCTGTGAGTCAAGGAGCTCTCGAGGGCAACCACAGAGGAGGGAGATGGGTAGGATGACTACTACTACGTCGTCTGGATGTAGAGGCAACAGGCGGAACCGGCCAAGTGCCTTCTTCCGACGCTCGAGCCAACACCCCATTCCCCTTCCGCGGCTCAAATGCCTTGCGCTGACCCCAACCAAAACGGTACCCCAGGTGCAGTGCAGCACTACTTCCCTTGTCCTTCTCGCCTCACTTCAAACATCACACAGAAAGAGCGGATAGTGACGGAGAGATGTCCATTGCATTCGACGGAATGACTGTGAATGTGAGTGTGTGTGTGTGTGTGGCAAATGAGCGAATGTGTGTGTATGTGTGTGTGTAGAGACTGGGATGGCAAAATCGACGAGAACAAGGGGTAAAGAGGAAATGGAGCCGAGTAGGTGAAGAGCAGGGCGAAAGCAAAGGTACGAAGACATGTCAAAAAAAAAGTGCGGTGGAAGCAAAGGGAAGATACGTACACGTACATGGCGGTTCGCCCCATGTGTCCTCGATCAGCCGAAAAGCGCTGGGATCGCTGAAGGCAAGAAGAATGTCCACGACGGGGAGATGCTGGTATCCGACTGGGGCGCGGGCGCGAGCTTGGTCGACCAGCCCAGCAATTTGCAATGCTGTGCAATGCTGTTTGTTTCGGCGCTTCGATCAGCTCTACAGAATCTGCCTCATGCCGCCCCCACCTTGGGCCAGTTGTGGTTGCCTGTATTGGTGCTGCTGCGCGTATTGCTGCTGAGGCCGAGGTCCAGCCTGCATCTGCGACTGGGGACCTGCAGGATATCGGAGGCCCATGCCAGGTCCTCCTGCGGAACCTTGCGATGGTCGTTGTTGGTACTGAGCAGCCGGTGGGGGGCGAGACTGCAGGATTGGTCCGGGAGCTTGCCCATATGTTGAAGGCGGGGGCCCGACTCCTCCTGCACGCATCTGCCCGTTCAGCGGCCGGGGCCCAGCGAGACCTGGACCAGCCTGAGGGCGCTGGTGAGCGGCGCCAAGGGGATCCACCCTTCCTGGTTGCACACCACTCCTTCCATTCCCACGGGGATCGGAGCCTCCGCCGAAGCCTTCTGCCTGAGCCGACTTGAGTGCGTTTAGTTCCGCTGCGCCGTAGATGCTAGGACTCCTTGGGTGTTTAGCTCCATAAGAGCTCATCCGCGCCGAGGGCGCAAAGACATTCCTCCTCCCTGTCATACTTCTCCTAGAGTAATTCGGAGCTCCTGCGTCTTGGATGGCCACGTTCTCGTCCACACCAGCCTCGTCCAGGTACCGACGGATCTCACCGGGACCCAAAGACTCCACGCGAGCAGGCTTGGCATACCGCGACTTCCTAGCTGAATTGGAGCGCGCCGGCGGTGGTCCCCGCATAGCCTTCGAATTGGAGCGTGCAACACCGGGCCCACTGTACCCCTGTTGCGGCCCTCTAGGTCCCGAAGGACCGGGTGGGTACGCAAACGTCTGGCCACCTTGAAACCCACTCTGCTGTGGAGCACTGTACAATTGGCCAGGCTGATAGTAGCTCCCATCCGGAGCTCCAGATCCTCCGCCTGCCATTTGAGGATGTTGCTGGCCAGCAGCTCCTGCACGGCGCGATGCAGCTGGGGGGCCCGGCAGACCAATTGAAGACGATGATGACCGCTGATGATGCTGCTGATAGGCGATGCGTCCGGCGTGCTGGGTCAGGGGCATCTCAAAGTGACCGCCCGACATGGACACGTCCGGTGAGTCTGGAGCGCCGGGAGACGCAGCTCTTCCCATGGGCTGGGCCATGTCCAGCAGGCTGGCTTTGCTACCATAAGACTTCTTCGGGTCCTCTGTCTTGGCTTCTGGCGTACTCCTGGCGCCGTAGGCTGCTGCGCTGGGTCGGTAAAGACCGCCGTTGGCGTAGGCGCCGTCGTGGAGTGCTGATCTGGGCTTGTTGAAATACTTGCACATTACGCCGATCATGACTGTGACCAGCCACAGGACAATAAGCGAGCCGATGAGGACGATGACCGCCATTGCAGAAATGCCTGATCCCGAAGAGTCCATCAGCTGTGCTAGACTGTGAGTTGAGCCGAGAGAGGATTGGATTTCAAGGCTCGTGTCAGTCCACTGCGCCTCTGGAGCTCTTATCGCAGCATAGCGGCCGCGATGTGACTTACGTGGTAGACTGAGGCGCCCGCCGTGTGAGCTCAATCATGGCCAATGGTTCGTCATAGTCACCAGTCAGACGTTTGAGTAAATGCTGTGAAGAGTATGCAAAGGTTTTAGCTTCAGTCTCCTGCCAGCTGCACCATCCTCGTCACGGCGATCGCTCCCTCCCGCAACGTACCTTTGGTGCTCTTCGAAGCACCAGGTCCGACATCGCGTCTTGTCCTGGTGATTACGCTACTCGAGAGAATATGTTACGTGACGCAGTCACGGAGTAATGATAGGGAGGTATAGCGAGGGACGCGTAGACGGTGAGGGTGGAAGAAACGCACGGCGTATGGGCTGATGTTGAAGTGATGGATCGAGAGAGCTGTTCCTGAGAGCTCTGAGAGTCTGTTCCCCGTTGCGTGGTGTTTTGAAAAGATGCGGTTCTAAAGAGGCGTATGATGTTATCGAATCCAGTCGAGTATCTTTGCAAGCGCAAAGGGCTTGGTTCTGCGTCGTGGAAATGACGTTTCCTGGGTAATGCTGAAGCGAAGGGAGCTTGCTCAGGAAGAGGCTCTGTCTTTCAAGTGACAGAAAGTCCTTCAAGTGCCTGACTTGAGTAAAAGTGTGAGGGGTCAGGAGCGGGACGCGAGTGTCCAGCAGGTGGCTTTGCCAGGGGCAGCGCTAGTGTTTATATTGAGCCGGGAAGAAAGAGGGGGACCAGTTGAAGAGTGAGAGTGAGATTGACCAGGTGCCAGCACTCCTTGAAGTGACGTAGTAGCGAAAGTCGGCCTTGTGATGGTAAGAAACAGACAGAAAGAGGGGGAAAGTGAGAAGGAGAAGTGAGTACGAGATAGGGGAAAGGTATAGGCGTGTCCAGTCTGCGTGTGTGTGTGTGCGTGTGTGTGTGTCCTTGTGTATATGCGCGTCTGTTCTCGCGCTGGGTCTGTCTGTGAGCCGAGGTGAACCTGCGGGCTGTAGAAGTGATTTATGCCGAGATGAGGGGCAACGGCGATCAAAGAGAAGGGGTGATCGCCCAGTGTTGTGAGCGGAGGACGATTCAGAGGCAGGAGCTAGAAGATTGAGGAATGGCAGCCACGACCCAGGTCGCAGGAGCACAGAGGGACAAGGAAGCGCAAGAGGCGGGAGCGCACTTCGGCACGCGGGCCAACAGGCACGTCGGTAAACAGTCCGCACTCGACAGGGCAAGGAAGAAAGGGGGGGGATGAAGGCGCCTCTGCCGAAGCACAAGCAAGGAGCAGCACCAAGACGCCCCCCGACAGACGCCAAGTCCAATCGCCAGACAGATCCGATGCCCTGGCCTGCGTTGGTGGAGTTCAGCAGCAGCAGCAGCAGCATCCTTCGGAATGCCATGGCAGAGGCACGCAGTCGCGGAGACGGTTTGAGGAGGCAGTCCTGGAGGCACTCATTCTTCCCAGACCTTGACTTCCTCTACGCCGCGCAGCAAGGTCACGCACAGTCCAGCCCTGAACAGCTGGCAACAGAGCCATGAAAGAAGGGGTCTCAGACCCCAGTCCGAGACCTAGACGCAACGACGTCGAACCAACGGCAGCACAGCAAGGCGGCTGCCGAAGCTAGAGAGAGATTCCCACTGCCCCTTGCATGATTTACCAAAGCGCGAGCGAGGATGCGCCACGTGTCGACATGAGCGATCGAAGCGGCACAAAGAAGGGCTTTTGGTTTATAAACGTTTTCTACCCCTCCTTTTGTTTCATTACGCTGGGACAATTTAGCTCAGTTGGTTAGAGCGTGGAGCTAATATGCGTAAGCTTACTCCAAGGTCAACAGTTCGAGCCTGTTACTTGTCATTGCTTTTTGCCCCCGCTGTGGGCGAGCTCACCTTTTTCCTCTCAGGCCATTCTCAATCAGCCCTGCGCCGCCTTCCACGCTCAGGTTGTAATCTGACTTAGTCTTCAAGTATGATTAAAATTGACAACAGCTGGCACACACTCTTCAATCCGTCCGAGGAGTAATGCCGACCCAGACCGCCCTTCTCAACCATCGCCTTTTCCTCGTTTCCGCCTTCTTCACATGTCCTGCCTTGGAGGAGAGACTCGGCAGGTCATTTGGCAATCCATCTGCATCCAATCCCTCATCGTCTTCGTCTTCGTCGTCTTCCTCGTCGAGGGCATAGACGCTGCCGCTTGTTGAACTAGAAGCGCTGGACGCGAAGGAGGTGGCTGGAGGCAGTTGCGGCTGGCTGGGGTGACCAAAGGGGTACGGAGAGGGCTTGTGCCAGTCCGAGTTCGAGTAGAGCCAGCCAGCTATTGATCAAAATGAATAAGAAGGTGCGCTCAGCCGGGTTGGAAACTGAGGTCACAAATACCCTCGTCACACTCACCTTCGTCGACGGCAAGTGGCGACCACCTTCCCAAGAAGTCGATCCTCCAATCGTCGCCTTCCACCCAGGCCCAGCCGTCTTCGAGCGACATGGCGACTTGTCTGCTGTGAAAGTGCCAGATTCGAACCGAAAATGGAGGGGCTCAAACTGAGATTAATCCACAGGTCCCATTGCCCGAAGAAATGAGAGAAGACTCACCTGACGTCCAAAGTGTACCCTTCAGCAAAGACCGAGTCGTCGGCATACCCATCTGCGCCTTTCGTCCATGGCTGTGACAGGGTGAGGGCGGCTTGAGCATACTAGAACCTCTGCCGCACTTCTTCGCCTTGCGCACAGCCATACTCACCTTCCTCTCGCCATACCGCAGATTGTGACCGCTCCATCTGCCCTCTCCTTCCTTTGCCTTGGTTCCCTTTTCCAGAGCAAAACGCTCGTTCTCAAAGACCTCGACTTCTCGCCAGCCCCGCGTCCAGACGTCGTCGGGCAGCTGATCCATCTTGATCCACTCGTTGAGCATCGCCAAGACCTTCCTGTTCGACTCCTTGAGCTTCCGCCCCTCTTTGCCCTCTCCAATCCTGCCTACAAGCTTCTTCACCACTGGGTCGGTCCAAGGGTGGTTGAGGATGAAGGCTCCCTCACCTGCAATTAGGAGGATGAAGCGGTAGGGCAAGTATGGGGCGACGAGGAAGAGAGCGAGCGTGACGAGGATCAGGGACTGAAACACCAGCAGCGTGTGGGTGGGAGAAGACCAGTTGAGATGTATGGAGAAGGGAGCAAGAAGATCATAGACGTCGGTGATCATCTTCATCCTGCAGAGGGAATGCAGCAAAGGGTATCAGCTCAGTGCCAGATGCTCCTCTGAAGTTTCCTGCAGCTGCTCACATGTTCTGAATGTCCCTCAGATTCTCGTAGTATTTGATGCTGCCCTCATTCGGAGGCTCCGGTACCATCGGAGGCCTAACCTTCCCGTGTCCTGTACTGGTCGGCTCTGTAATGGCATGGTCGATGACCTGTGCTGGGGTCACAGGCGGGACAGCGGGATCTGTCGAAGCCGGAGGGTATCGCGCTTGGTAGGTCTGAAGAAGCAGCAGGGAGAGCATGAAGGTTGGTAATGGGACCAGCAGATGCGGGTGCAGGGCTATACGTGGGACGAAAGGGGACCTCGTCAATCTCTCATACGGCTTCGCTCCTCCATCTCCCTTGCGGCCCAGGCTCACCTATAATTGCCCAGGCAGCCATGACGCACAACGTCCTCGCCGGGTAATCCCACATGAGCGTCTCGTGCACAGCATCCTGGATAGCAAAGACTGGTCCACTCTTCTGTACGAATCCACGAAAATTGCGAGTGGTAGTGGGAAGACTTAGACTCTCCTTGTTCTTCGCTACTGGCAACCGATTGGGAGGTGGGATTGACTGTAATGACAGGAGCGATGTGAGCATGTGAGACTGCAGGCGCTCTCGGCGGGAGGCAGTGGCAGCGCTACCGCTCGTCGTCGAAGAGGGCGTGGGCGAGCCGCTCCTGTCCCTGCCTGGCGTCGGCATTATGAGACTGAAATGGAAGTGGGGACGGAGAAGAGGTGGATTGACGGGTTATGTGACGAGGGGGAGAGTTCGGTAAGGGAAGGTCAAATCCGGGGAAGGCTCAGACGCGAACTTGGTCTTCTCCTCCATTCGCGCCAAGCTCGTGAGAACGAGCTGCTTGGGAGCGCCTCAAGGCCTGCACTCCGCATCTCGCATCTCTACGACGTAGGCGATAACCAGGAACATCTCTACGCAAATCTAATTGTAACGACCTGGGAAGCACAAAGAAATCTTTGCTAACATTTCCTTGAACACATTGCGTTGTAGTCTATGCCGTTGCTTCCGGCTCTAGTCCATGTCAATCTAGACTGCTGTGTATCCACCATCCACGATCAGGTCGGAGCCAGTCGAGTATCGGCTGGCATCGCTGGCCAGGAACACGGCAGCTCCCTTGAGGTCATCCGGGGTTCCCATCTTGCCCATTGGGATCAGATTCTCCCACTTGCTCTTCAACTCCCTGCCATCCGCATTCCTGTCGAACATCTGCTGCGTCAGACTGGTCAACATGTAGCCTGGGCTCAATGTGTTGACGCGGATACCGTACTGTGCCCACTCCACTGCCAGGCAAGCACCCAGGTGCTTCACAGCGGCCTTGCTGGCATTGTAGGGAGCTTGCGGCTGGGGAACATTGACGATGCTTCCACTCATGGAGGCGACCAGAATAATGCTTCCGGGAATGTCGTCGGCAATCATGTGCTTGGCGGCCTCACGAGAGACGAAGTGGGAGCCAAAGACATTGATGCCGTAGAGCTGGAGAAGAGGCAGAGACGGCCAAGAAACTTCAAGTTAAAACGAGCCCTTACAGGAGCAGTCTTGTGCGCAAGCGCTCACTCACCTTCAAAAGTCTGTCTGTCGGGTATTCGAGGGCAGGGAAGTTCTCCACAATACCAGCAGAGTTGATCACGGCGTGGATCTTGCCGAAGGCTGCCTTTACATCATTGAAGGCCTTCGCTACACTGTCCTCTCTTGAAACGTCGCAAGCGAATCCTCTGATGTCAAGGGATCCTGGCTCGACACCACCAGTGCCTTCGAGCCACTTGACCATTTCATCGGCAGCGCCCTGAGAGTCGTCCTTGTCGAGGTCCAGAATAGCCAGCTGGTTGCAGCCGGACTCGACCAGGGCTCGGCCCATGAGGTTCCCTAGACCTCTGGCTCCTCCAGTGACTACACATACCTTTCCAACCTGTGAGTGACCATAGAGTAGGTCAGCGCCTGCCGCTCTGATCAACTAAGAGCTTGCGTCTCCTTCCATTGAGACTTACCATGGAGAAGCTCTTGAGGGTCCTCAGTCCGTGCACACCTTCATCGCCCGTGTAGAATTCCGGTCCAGTAGTGTGCTGAGGACCACTCATGTTCGGGTACTCTGCTGTGATCTTCTGATCAATGTGAGGCACCCTGTCTGCCCTCTTCTTGTTCTCGGCTACCGAGGAAGAGGTGGAGAAGGGTGCTGCGAGCTGGGGTAGGACGCGGCTACTGGCAGCGACCTTGGTCGACTGACGCAGCAGGGTCTGGGCAGCGACGCCCTTGGCGAATGGCTGAACAGCTATACGGAGCATGATAGATGGTATCTGTGATGAGGAGGAGTGTGGGAAGGCTGAGCAACGTCTCTTTGAAGAGGGCAGGCTGGGTGGGAGAAGTGGGTTTCGAAGATCCACGGCACTCCTCCACCTGGTCGCATTTCTCCGTCGCCAGGGAAATTCGTGGCACTTTGCCGAGAGGGACGGGAAGCTGCCTCGGCGGGCGCTCAGACTAGGGACACGGCGCACTTTTCTGCTGATTCTGGTGTCGATTGATCTTGGCAAGGAGGGACTTCCCATACAGGGTAAAGCACAAACAAGCTAGAATCGAGAAGGCCAAGCGGCCAAAAGAGGTGCTGGTCGGGGTGATGAGAAGGGAGTCAAAGTACATGATGAAGAGAGGATGGGAAAGGCGCACGACGAGAAGGTGAAGTTTTGTCGTAGTCACCACATCAAGTGACTTCGTCTAGGCAAAGGTGCGCCCCTATGAGGTCCCAACGAAGCTCACAAGACTACATCGGCCGATGAAGGTAACGTGCAATGTATAACGCTCGAGAAAACCACAATGATGCAGGGGATCCGACGATGCGTTTATAGGCCGTAGACAGCGAGCTTCTGGTTGAGCTCGGCGCCAGCAGCTTCCTTGCCAGCAGCACGCTTCTTGAGCGAAGCCACCTGGAATGACAATGAACAAGGGAAATGGGGGTAAAGTGCGCTGTCAGCATTCCGATCACGGAGCACATTGTCGGCATGCAGCACTCTAAGACTCACCCTGCGCTCATTGTAAGCCTGTGCCTTGATCTTCCTCTTCTGCTCCAGCTTGTCAACGGTGTCCTTGTGGTTCCATCCGACCTCGTGCGAGATACGCTTGATGGTGGCGTACTTGCGGCCGGGCTTCAGACGGAGCACACGGAGAGCAGCGGGGATGACCATCTTCTTCTTGCGGTCGTAGGGAGGGGGCATACCCTCGTACAGCTTCAGACGCTCAAGGGCGGCGGCACCACGGGCAGTCTTGTGGGGCACCATTCCTCGAATGGTCTTGTAGAGGATACGAGAGGGAGCTCGGTGGTGGAAGGGACCGGAGCGAGTGGGCTTGACGACGTGACGCCTGTGCAGGTAGACGTGGTACTTCAGCTACGGGAAGGAGTGAGTGTGGTGACGGGTTAGTAGATGTTACGTCGACGTGAGTGTTTCGATCGAGGTATCAGCATGTCCAGCAACCATATCTAAACGCAATGGCTGCAGGTATCACCCTCTTGTTCGGACCTTCTGCCAATTCCCTTCCCAAATCCCACTCCTTCGCCCTTGACCACGAGTGATACCTCTGCCGTCCGCCAATCCCGCTTTGTCCACCTAGAAAAAATGGGCATGATGACGGCTGCCATGCTGATGTACGCCGCTGAAGCTGAAAGATGATCCCCTCGCTAGGCTGTCCAGGCTACACCATCCTGCACTTCCAGCAGCACTTCTGATTCATCTCCATCTCCGTCTCTCTCTATTCGGAGACGCCAGCTCCTCCATGAACCTGCCTCTTGGTAGTCTCTCATTGCTATGTGTAGTGTGGATGTGGGAGAGTCGAGACTAACCTTGTTCCTGAAGAAGCTGCCAGATACGTTGACCTCCTCGCATCGGACAACAGTGACCTTCTGGCCGTTCAGGATCTCCTTTGCGATGACGGAGGCGAGACGACCGAGAAGGTGTCCCTTTCCGTCCACGATGATGGGGGTGCCGGACTGAACCATTGTGAGGATGTACTTGGTTCGATGGGGGAAAGGATGATGATGATGATATCGAGAACGAGGAGAGGAAGGGCAGGACTGAGAATTCTTGTGTCGCCCGCCTCAGGCGCACGCCGTGCAGCCCGGCGGACGGAGGGGCGCCCTTCTCGCGGGAGGTCCGCAGAGGAAAGGCGACCGCGCGCAACCAACGCAGAGCCGCCAGACGCAGGCGAGCAGCGGGCAGCCCGGGCGGGGCGGCTAGGCCTGGCACACACTCAGACCAAAATCTTCGACGGCTCGCCTCGCCTCCTCCCTTCCTCCTACCACCCATCCCCCCCTTCAAGACCCATTACACAGTGAGCATCATCATCTGCCATCGTGATTAACTCCGTAGTCTAGGATCCCTTCTGACCCTCTTTAATCCTACTTCCAGAAATGCCTGTCATCGTCAAGAAGAGGACTGCCAAGTTCAAGAGGCACCACTCTGACCGCTACAAGCGTGTCGGAGAGAGCTGGAGGAAGCCCAGGGGTATCGACTCGGCCGTCCGACGTCGTTTCCGCTCGGTCACCCCCATGTGCTCCATCGGTTACGGGTCCAACAAGAAGACCCGTCACATGATGCCCAACGGACTGCGCCGACTGGTGGTGTCTAACACCAGGGACGTCGACCTCCTCCTCATGTGGGTATCTAGAGGCGCAATTAGCAGTAGAGGAAGTTTGGGCTAGCTTGAAATCAGGAGCGGGCCAATCAGCGACGGAATCTGGGGAGAGGGAAGGCCGGAGGGTAGCAGCATAGGCATCATGCTAAGGCTAGGGACAGAGTCGTATAGCCGGCGTATGCAGTTGCCCACCAGCAGGAGCAAATGTTTTTCGCTAGTCTTCGGCCAGACCGTGCATGTCTCCTCTGGCGGCACAGACTCGTCCTTCTCATTGGACCCCGTATGGAAGTTGGATGGGAAAATGATGAGTCTGCCGAGACAGAAGCATGGGACAAGGCAGGGGAGCGAACGTAACCCACGTTGGCGAATGGGTGTCTGCAGACAGTTATGCTGACAGAGTCCCATCCCTCTCTTCATTCCTCACTCGCAGGCACAACAACACCTTCGCCGCCGAGATCGCAGCAAACGTCTCGTCCAAGAAGCGCATTGCTATCCTCGAGAAGTGAGTATTGGAGCACCCGTCACATTCATGCGTGGTGTAGGAAGCATCTAGGTTGGGTCACAGTATCGAGCAAGACAGGGTCGGGTTGTTGATTTGCCGGAAGGAGCAAGTAACTCAACGTCGCTTCGAACGTGCGGGGCGGCAAAACTTGGGCACGAACAAGGTTTCCTACATGTCAGCGCACCTAGAGCAGTCACTGACCTCATGCACCACCACCTTTCACTTCTTGCAGGGCCAAGGTTCTCGGTGTCAAGGTCACCAACGCCAACGCCCGTGTCCGTGCTGTGGAGGCCTAAGGGACGTCTGCTCTCTTTCGCTCGTTACCTCTCATTACCACCTCCTCGCACATACATTGTACTTTTCTCGTCGTGGTCTCTCCATAACGATCACAACCTCATAGGGCCTTGACTGTTCACACATCTGTGTTTCGTGAAGCTAGGCTGATGTATCTCGAGCTGAGTGTGGGTTGCATGCGTACCTCCCTGTCCTGAAGTAGTCTCTCAGGATCGTCACCCTGATAGCTCGTCGTCATAGACAGGTGAATCTAGGCGAGGTGGAGCGCCCTCCACCAGTGTGACGCCCACCGACCCTGTTCAGCTTGTCCTCCCATTGCTACCACGGATTCACCAAGCATGTCCACCTCAGCGTCCACCGTGCGCCAACTGCTGCTCAAGTCAGATGGAGCTTCCCCTAATGGCGCACCTCACCAGCTCCCCGCCCTCTTCTGGCCGGGCCTCTTCTCCTCCCCCCTTAGCTCTGGCTCCGGCTCGGGAGGTTCGCAGGGTGTGAAGGAACGATTGAGCCAGAGGGGCTGGGAACCGCAGTGGACTTTCCCAATGTATAAGGAGGCGCATTTCCAAAGCACTGTGAGCTCTGTAGGCGGTTGCGAAGTAGAAGTCGGGACCGAAGGTAACAACAGGCCACTGACGCTTGCTCACCGCTGCGCTGGGTCTCCCATAGACGCACGAGCTCCTCTCCATCATCAAGGGCTCCGCCACCCTCCTCCTGGGTGGGGCAGACGAGATCGCCAGCCATCTTAGTAGCGGCAGCAACAGCAGCTCGAGTACGGGCGACAAGTCCGACGAAGCGGGAACATGGACGACGCTGGACGTCTCGACGGGGGACGTGCTGCTGCTGCCGGCTGGATACTCGCATCGCGCCTTGCAGGATCGTGGTGGATTTACGATGATCGGGAGCTACCCGCGCAACGGGAAGCAATGGGATAGTGAGTTCAGACAAGCCTCTTCATGACTGAGTCAGAAGCTAAAGAGATCCTCACGCCCGCCTTACTTGATAGTGTGCTACCCAGACAGTCAGAAGGTCAAGGAGGTGACGTCCGCAATCGAACAGCTGATCAATTCAACGGCACGCAAAGGCCTGGGGGACGCGCAAAGTCCCAGTGAGGATGTCGAGCTGACAGGGTGGAAGCTATGAAGAGGCTCACAAGGATGTGGAAAATGTTGTATATTATACATTTGATGGGGCTAACTTACAATGCAGAGTACCTTCGTCTCCGCAGCTGAGGCTTCGCAACCCTCCATGGTCCGTCGTACTTGACCTTGCCTTTGCTGGCCGCCCTCATCCAAAATGGCACCACACCAAGTATGAAGACATTCAGTCCCACGTCTACCACGCACATCGACCTCGATACAGGCCAAGCCAGACCAATAGCCATAGGGATCAAGAGTGCACATATTGCCAACCTGAGCTTGACGCTTCGTAATCGCCTGACGTAGATGGGGAAGAGGGCAAAGCACAGGACGGATGCAAAGAGGAGTGCAAATACGTGAACGTTCGACGGTAGGCGAGACGCCAGGACGAGCGAGGCAGAAGTGGCTGCGTTGAGGCTCAGAGCCGAGAAGAGCTGAGGTGGCTGCTCGGACGCTGGGAGAGAGGCAATCTGACCAGTCGGTTCCTGCCGTCGTCCTGCCCTTTCCTTCTGCCTGGTGACCGTTCTGGCCATTGTGTTGTTGCCGAGGCAGATGTGAAGCCCAAAGAGCATGAACGAAAGGGGATAGATGGTATCATTCGCCGTTGCCTCTGTGAGTGTCTTGAGAACCGGGGACAGCGCATAGAGCAGCAGGAGTAAGATCGCAAAGGAGACGACCATCGACGGCGAGGAAGTCGGACGCTTTCCCAAGGCCGCATCCCCACTCTCATCAACCCAGCGATGTAGGAGCAGCGTCCATGCCAGTTTAGCTGCGAGCAGCGACGCCAGACATGCCAGGACAAGGGCAGCTGGTTGCAGGCCACCTTCCTCTAACCTCTGGAAAATTTGAAGGAAGACGACAATGACATTGATACTTTGTGTCAGGGGCGATAGTGCGATGGCAATACCGAGCGCACTGGGCGGATCTATCTTCGTCACATTGGCCTGCGTGATGTCGTCCTCGGTCGAAGAGTCGCCAATCTGATGCTCATAGAGGACGCGCCGTGGGGGTATGCGAGTATGTGAGGGAGTCACAGAGCTGCTGTGCACGGCTAGGGACATGTTCGAGAGATGCTGAGCTTCATCGTTGTCGTCTTCCTCGCTGCCAGGCCGGTGAGGAACGACGGGAGCAAGGTCTGGAGCTCAAACAATTGAATTGAAAGCATCATGAAGGGCCACGGTAGACTAGAGTTTCAGGCACAGGCACCGGCACATGGGGTGCGCGCCAAATGTCACTCGGTTCCACTGACCCCGTCCCGCTCGGGCCCGTGAGCTTACCGGCGGACCAAACACATCAATACGATCACAGACACAAAAGCATACGCAAAGTTGACCGTAGCTTCTGTAGCTCTCACAGTCGATTCGAGAAGGCTCGCAAGGATCTTTCGGTCCTTGTGTACTCTCACTTCCTCCTTCTTCCGTTGCTCTCCATCCAGGTTTCGCAAGCCTCGTCCTTGCCCAGCATGGCATCTGCTTCCGCCTCCTCCTCTGCCCTTCCTTCCACTCCCAATGCCAAACGCCCTGCCCATACAAGACGGACTTCCGTCAGTCAGGTCGTGGACACCATGGCCTCCCCTTCGAGAGGTACCGAGCCGAGTCCGAATGAATTGAAGAAGCCCGAACGCGCCAATACTTTCTTCCAAGACGTGTACATGATGCGATGGATGGTCTCACCTTCCGCTTCTGCAAAGATTGCCTCGATCTTCATTCTTGGATACATCAATTGGCAATTGTTCACGCCAAACGTGACCAATCCATTCCAGCCTTTTCTGTTCATCTCTCACAAGATACCCGTATCGCAAGTGATCTTTGAAGATCCAAAGACCGCGATCAATGGGGACACGCTGCGATATCAAAAGGGCTGGCTAGACGTCTGCTTTGTCCTCTTCTACGTCATCGTATGGAGTTTTGTCCGACAGGCTAGCGTTCTGTACATCTGGAAACCATTCGCAGTGTGGTGGGGAATCACGAATGAGACAAAGCAGGTCAGGTTAATGGAACAGGGCTATGCATTCATGTACTGGGGAACTTTCGGAGCCTTCGGTCTTGTAAGTGCTGCCTTTACGTAGCGGGTATGGAGAACTACATCATTGACTGACCTTGATTCTCTGCCCTCATTCTTGACTCCTTCCAGTATGTGATGTCCTTTCAAGAGAGCTGGTGGTTCGATCTGCAGCATCTATGGATCAAGTATCCGCACTGGCAGATGCGGCCGGAGCTAAAGCTTTACTACCTGCTGCAGTTCTCCTACTGGCTGCAGCAAGCCCTGGTCATGATATTGAAGCTCGAGAAGCCTCGCAAGGACTATTATGAGCTCATCGCCCACCACATCGTCACACTGTGGCTGATCTACTGGTCATACCTGATCAATCTGACCATGATCGGCACAACCGTCTTCGTCTGCATGGACGTGCCCGATGCCTGGCTCGCCCTGTCAAAGGGCCTCAACTACCTCGCCCTAGAGAAGACGACGGCGGTCGTCTTTGCCATCTTCATGTGCACCTGGTCCTACTTCCGCATCTACCTCTCTGCCAAGACCCTCTTGTCTGTCTGGTACAAGATGCTGGATCAAGTCCCCTCGCACACCCTCGAGTGGAACCCAGACAAGGGTTGGTGGCTAGTACCTTGGATGAGGTACCAGGTCTTTACACCGCTCTTCCTCTTGCTGCTGCTGAATCTCTTCTGGTACTATTTCATGTGGCGCATCATGATCCGCTCCATCAGGGGCATTACATTGGCTGATGACAGGGAGGAGGGAGAGTACGAGGTGGGAGAGGAGAAGGGCAATCAGCAGGCTGTCAAGAAGGAGTAAGTGGAGGTGAGAGCAGGTAAAGGATGAGAGGCTGGCAGGGGGACAAGATGCCCAATCAGTCCGGCTGCCTTCGGTCTGGACTCCGTTGGCCGAGCATGGTAGCGGTTAGTGCTCGGTATGGTCATGGCTCAGCAAACGGTCTGATCGCAGACACTGACCGTCTGCTGTTCGGCGAGATGCAGTCAGTAGCGGAGACTCATCATTGCGGGAAAGGATCGGGGGTGGAGTGGAGTGGTGAGGGACACCTGTATTTGGGGGATAGGCGGTTGTGAGGCGGTTAGATGCTCGTCTCTTATGCATAGACAGACGCAGGGGGTGGGGCGGGGCAGGCCTGTGATGATAGTCTTGTATCTTCTGAATCTTTTTGTATGCAAGCATTGGCAGATCAAGCTCTCTCAAGTGTGCCCGCCGTTTGTGCGTCGAGCAGGAACCGGATTCGGCGAGAGACCTGAATTGTTTGCCTCCTCTCATCCTCTCACATCGGCTCTGTCGTATGACTGCACGATACATCCTCAAAGTCTGGGTCGCAGACTGGTACATTCTGAATGTGCATCAGTTCTGGTGCCCTGTCTCGCTTCCTCCGCCGCATGGGAGCTAAGCGATCATACGTTCGGGCTACTCCACCCTAGGGAACAAGGAAGAAGTGATGGTATGTATAGCTAGTCGGTACAGTCCGTATTACACTGCCTCTTCCAATAAGAGGCCCGCTCTGAGAGTGTTCGAAGCATCGAAGGTGTCTTGAGTGTGCTCTCGCCCCTTCTCTTCCCTTCCATCCCTCTTCTCTTTGCATTCAGCGTTGACTTAGAAGGCCGGCACTAGCAGGTCCTTTCCAACTGCCCTGATGACGGTGATGCCAGCGAGTGCAACAGCGACTCCCCAAGCAATGGCCATGTTTCCTGGCTGCTTCTCAGGGTTGACAATTTCCTCGTTCCAGAAGCGTACCAGAGGGTTGGAGGACTTGGGAGGAGGGGCGGGTCCCCTGCGTCCTGATGCATTGAGGAAGCCTGGCTGGGCGTTACTGCAGAAGGGGGGGGGAAAAGTGACAGAAGCGGCGCTGGCCGTCAGTATACCGGCTAAGAGCACACATGCCCGTGATGGTAGCGCTGCTCCTCACAGGTAGCTTGGGTCTGCCATTATTGCTCTTGTGTGGTATAGTGATGCTGTGGTGGTGATCCAGTCAGGAAGATTGAATGATTGGACGCTGACTGAGTCGAGTGATCGGGTGGAGCGGAGCGTCGACGCCCCTTTTGCGCACCGCCAAATTTTGGCCCACGACGAGCCACTTCCGTCTGTCTGCTCCCTCAGAACTTCTTCTGGTAGACTAGACGTAGACTAGACGTAGCTGGCCACTGTCTGGCGATACGACGATCCACAGTCCAAGGCTCGCTCCGGTCCCCTCTACTACCTCTTCGTGGTCAGGATGCTCACAGTAAATCGCTTCGATGCCACCGTGGGCGGTAGTCAGCAGCCTGACCAGAATGCGGCTGCCTCATCATCCCGCCTTGCTGCCCTGGCCGAGCGCAAACGCAAGCGAGCCCCTACTGATGATGGACCTGCCAAGCCCTCGACTTCTACGGCCACCTTCTCCCTCGGAGCGACGTCAGCATCATCTTCGCTTACAGCGCCTCCTACTCAAGCTCCGCGTCAGCCGGTAGGACCCTCCATTCACCCCTCTCGTTTAGCTTCAGCACCCATCCTCGCTCAATCGGTCAAGAAGGCAGCTGCAAAGGCCGGCGCACCGAGGGAAAAGACAAAGGCCAAACAGAGGTACCTCAACAAGAAGAAGTCGAAGAGGAAGGCAATGAAGAAGGCAAAGGGTGGAAACAAGGCGGCCGGAACATCGAATGGTGCCGGCGTGGCGCCAGGCATCTCAAGTCTGAGGCAGACAGATACAGCGGCACCTGAGACAGAGGACAGCTCAGAGGAAGGTAGCGATGACGAAGATATCAGCATGGCGTCTCCGGCGGAATCAACTACCGCCGCTAGGGATCAGGGCCCCACAGCAGTCGCAGCGATTGGTGCGTCTGCTGTAGAAACCCCAGTCGAAGCATCTTCGAGCGATAGCGACTCCTCATCGTCTGACTCCGACAGCTCCTCGGTCTCTTCTTCCTCCTCTGATGACGAGACTGACGAAGAAGCTGCCACGAGCGAGACCATTCAAGAGTCGAGTGAGGCTTCGGCTGCTCAGCCTCAGCCTCCAGCAGATGAATCGAGACCAGATGAGCGGCCGAGTATGGGCCTGCTGGTCAGGAACAAGCCCTCGAATAAGCTCTCTGCCGAGGCTCGACGGTCATTAGCGGTGCAAGGTCTGCCTCGAGGAATGGTTGAGGCAAAGGTGGTAGATCCTGCGACAAGGCAGACGTTGACTGCTCGCGACGATATCAAAGCATCGGATCCCGATGCGATTGCAGGCATCAGCCTGGACCAGGCACTAACAAAGAGGGTGAAGGAGATGGGAGTGATAGAGTGGTTTGCTGGTAAGTTTCGCGTCCCAGGAGGGTTCTTCGCAACAGCACCTGCTCACCGTTTTCTATCGTCTCTCACCCCTAACAGTACAAGCCGCTGTCATCCCTCATCTGCTCTCCACGTCGGCCTTTGTGTCGCCCTTTTCTCCGCCTCGAGACCTCTGTGTCTCCGCTCCCACCGGATCGGGAAAGACGCTGGCCTACTCTATTCCCATAGTCACGCTGCTGAAAGAGCGCATCCTAATTCGCCTCCGTGCTCTGATCGTTCTTCCTACGAGAGATCTCGTTTCGCAGGTGAAGGAGACGCTGGAACAGCTCTGCAAGGGCACTGGTCTGCGAGCAGGGACAACGACTGGTGCTCAGAGCTTCGCGCAGGAGCAGACATTGCTCATGGACGAAGCTTCGCAAGAGAGCAAGCTGGATATCCTCATCACCACTCCAGGTCGTTTGATTGATCACCTCGATGAGACCCCCGGCTTCACATTGCAGCACCTGCGATTCCTCGTCATCGACGAGGCTGACCGCTTGCTCGGTCAGAGCTTCCAAGACTGGGCACAGAGGCTTCGGAATAGTATCGAGGGCCAGACTGACTCGCTATCTTCTAAAAGGGTAGCTCTATCGACACATCAACTTCAGAAGCTGCATCGACCGACATCCAATGCCGCTTGCGACCCTTCCGAGGCAAAGCCAGTCGTCCAGAAGCTCCTCTTCTCTGCGACACTTACTCGCGAGCCAGGCAAGCTCTCCGAGCTGGGCCTGAGAGACCCAGTCTTCATCGACGTCCGCGACGAGGTGCTAGAAGGAGAAGGTGTGACGTCCAGTGCTGGGCGATTCACCCTTCCTGCCACGTTGCAAGAGTACATGCTGGTCGTGCCGACGTCTCTCAAGCCTCTATATCTGATCCATCTCCTCCTCAACCCTCCCAAATCGGACAATCCAGGAAAAGGCATGCGTCGCACCCTCATCTTCACCAAGTCGGTCGATTCTTCTCTTCGCTTGGTTCGTCTGCTGAACCTGTTCCTCGACGCCAATCAGAATGGGAAGAAGGACGAGCAAAAGTTGCGCGTAGCAGACTACTCCAGCGACCTCACCCCGGCCCGGCGTCGCGAGCTCCTCGCCTCTTTCCGCTCCGATCAGCTAGATATCCTCGTTGCCTCGGACCTCATCTCAAGAGGAATCGATCTGCCCCTAGTGGAGAATGTCGTCTCCTACGACGTGCCCATCGATGTGGCCAAGTACGTACACCGTGTTGGTCGTACTGCTCGAGCGGGTAGGGTGGGCAAGAGTTGGAGTTTGGTCGAGAGTCAGGAGGCGAGACATTTCAAGGGGATGATCAAGGCTGGTGTCAAGAGGAGTGAGGGCAGGAAGCTTGAGAAGATCAAGGTGGAAGAGGGACAATTGGAGGGATTAAAGGGCCCGTATGAAGAGGCGTTGCAGAAGTTGGTCGCTTAGTGAGCGGATGAGCTGGCTGAAGAGTGTAAAGAGGAATTACAGGTGTACTTGTACCAAGACAAATGAGATTCAGACTTGCACATCATTATGGGTTTCAATTCTTATATTACAACACACCCGGCTCTCCTTCTCAGACAATGGGTTCCCAGCTCACACCACATCCGCATCCTGCTCCCTTTGCCTGCGGATTGTCCTTTATGGCAAATTGCGATCCGATGAGCTCGGTGACATAGTCGATTGTGGAGCCCTGTAGGAGTGTGAGGGAGATGGAGTCGATGAGGATTGGTAGAGGGGGGATCTCGCCGGATTCTTGCGTTGCTTGGAAGCGACTGTTGGAGGATCAAGAGAGACAGTGAGAAAAGAGATCAATCACTCGAGACGATATCTGATACCTCCTGTGCATCTTTGCGTCTACTCACAAGTCATCCTCTTCCCCAGGCCCATCTTGCCCCTCCTCGCCCTCCTCCAGCTCCATCTTGTACTGATAACCATGACATCCCCCTGGCTCAACTGCGATCCTCAGCCCTAGCCTGGCTGCCTTGTCTTTATCCTTGAGCGCAATCTTCAATAGCTGTTTCACCGCCCTCTCAGTCAAGAGAATCGTCGGATCGCCCTTCTTGTACACATTTGGCTCTTCTGGGTTTTCCGGCTTGGAAGTAAGAGTGGGGGCATGCGTGGCGAGGGTGCGATGAGATGGAGGCGTAAGCCGAGGTAAGGAGGCAAGTTTCTGCTGCCGAAGGGTAGTCTGACGACCAGCAGAGGTGAGGGTGGATCGGGTGGGGATGCTGACAAAAGGTCTGCTGGGAGGGGCTGCGATGGGTGTGGCGAGGCTCAGACGGCTGGAGCTTGCAACGGGGCTGCTGACCATGCGTGAGGGAGTTGCAGCTATTTTCTGCTCAGAGGCAGACGCTGCATATCTAAGAGCCACCACAGCCCGATGTGAGGTTGTTGCTATCATTGTTGGGGATGAGAAGTGAGAGATACCAGGTGGTTTAGGTGGGTCAAGGATGGAAGAGCGCCTCTCAGCTCCACCAGTCGCGGCCTGTAGGCTCTGCGACAATTCTTTGCCTCGGCCCGACTGCCTTGGCCCGAGTCCGGCTCAGCGGGCGGCAAAGGTGTCGACTTTCAACCGAAGTGCACCTCCTCCTTCCGCAATACGCTATCACCCCACCACACTCTGCCGCATCACACTACCACCAGTGAACATCCCATCGTCCGCCTAATGTCGTTCTCTGACCTGGTGGGAGGCACCGCTTGTGGGCCTTCCAATCCACTGCAGAACCTTGGCAAGCGCTTTGGGCAGGATCGCAGTACGCAATTTGATCGGTATGGCAGTGGCAGCGCAGCCGGTCCTTCCTCTTCCTCGGTGAGTACGGCGGGTGGCAAGGCGGGTAAAGCGTCACTCCAGGACACGCCTACTGAATCTCTTCTGCACTCTCATTCCCGCCAGGCCTTTCGATCTTCTCAGCATGCCCATAATGGTGGTCCGGCTGCCCAACAGGAGGGATTCCAGCCCATGTCTGGTCCTCAGGGCCAACCCCTGGATCTCGCTCCGCTACAAGGCGCTCTGCCCTCGATGAACGGGCATCTCATGAGCCCTCCAGGAGCCCACACCTCTGTCCGCCACTCAGATTTCGAGGCAAGCTTCCAGGCTCCACAACATCCCCAGCAGCGCTTTGCTGGGCCCGCTGCTATCAACAATGGTTGGTCCAACGACTTTCTGACTGCCCCCTCCACGGCTCCTCAGTCGCATGCTCAGGCAATATCGTCGAGCAGACTGGACAATTCACGACAGGCTTTGACTCCCAACTACACTACTCGGCCCAACCAGGGCTACCAGCCCCGCTTCGGCCCCGCTCAGGCCATGTATCGCCCATCCCCAATGGAGGGCATTCAGCAGGGGCACGTCCAGCAGGCAGAAGTCCGTACATTGCCAGCGACCGTGACAGATGACAAAGTCTGGAGCGAAGCCTTCACAGCTTACGACTCCGAGGGACAAGTGGTGCAGCCTCAACCTCAGCAGCTGCCTCCAGAGGCACAGCAGATCCGTCCCGAGACGACTCCTTTTGAGGCTGATGAGCTGGCCAAGACGGCTGGCAAGCTAGTATCTTCCGTGGAGCACGACAAGACGGACAAGTTTCAGAACAGCGCTTTCCTCACTCTGATGAAGAAATTGAGGGATCGCGAAGCGGGGATCCAGGGCACAGACATTGTCGATAATGTCCAAGGATCGCGGGCGGGAGTAGGAGCGGATGTCAAGGGCAAAGGAAAGGCAGTAGAGAGTACGAGCTCCATCAATGACCAGTCCCTACGAGAAAAGGCTGCAGCCTACCTGCGCTCGAGGGGCGCAACCAATGGGGATCTACAGATGCCAGCTGGCATGCAGGAGTCTTACGGCCAGGATCGAAGCTGGCTCAACGACATGTGGGCAGAGGAGGATGCTCGCAGTGAGGCCATCGAAGAAAAGGCTCGTCAGCAAGCGGCCCGTAATGCCTTTGTTGGCGATGGAGGCGATACGGCCGCCAGGATGAGGGAGGATGATGCTGAAGCGCGCGAATTTGCAAAGTACCAAAATCTCAATGCTGGCGTCTTCGGCGCTCAGTCCCGACTGAAGCCAGGATGGGAAGAGGACATCGACGAAGCCAGCAGGGAAGACTTTGTCGGTCGGAGGTGGGAGGGCACGAAAGGACGAGGAGTACGTGGAGCTCAAGCCGCCGAGTGGGACAAGCTGCAAGCAGATTGGGATGCCTTCGAGGCTGGGCCCAGCGGACTAAGATCGTCGTTGTCCTCGGCTTTCACGACTGCCAATGTACCGCGGTATCAATTTCAGCAAGACAACCCTTACCTGCAGACGACTCGGACTCACGCGATGCACTCTGTGGATGTATCTGCCGACATCCGCTCCATCCTCGAGAGCGAAGCAGCCGTACAGCAAGACCCTACGGACTCGGAAGCCTGGTACAACTTAGGCGTCAAGCAGCAGGAGAATGAGCGTGAGACTTCGGCCATTGCCGCTCTGCATCGTGCTCTCCAGATCAACCCACTCATGAAGGAAGCCTGGCTAGCCCTTGCCGTCAGCTACACAAACGAGAATGACAAGGCTGCCCTGTACGAGAGTATCGAAAAGTGGATTCTGGCAAGCCAGCAGTACAGCGATGTCGTATCTGCCCATCGAGCCAGTCTGCGTGAGCAATCACCACAGAATGGTCGTGCTCGATCTGCCACAATCGATAGTGGCTCCAGCACCAGTAGTAACTTCAATCGCTTCGGTGAGCAGCACGAGCGAATTGTTTCTACCCTCTTGGCTATGGCTCGTCACGGCTCCGGCACTTCTCAAATCGATGCAGACGTTCAAGTCGCTCTAGGCGTCCTTTTTAATGCCACGGACGATTTTGCTAAAGCAGTAGACTGCTTCGGTGCTGCCATTTCTTCCCGTCCGGATGATTGGCTACTCTACAATCGTCTCGGTGCAGTACTAAGCAATAGTGGTCGATCCGAAGAAGCACTCCATTACTATCGATATGCCCTTGAGCTCAAACCAGATTTCGCACGTTGCCATTTCAATTTGGCCATTAGTTGTTTAAACTTGAAGATGCATGAAGAAGCAGCTTCCCATTGCTTTACTGCACTCACCTTGCAACAGGTCGATCAAAGACAACAGCAGCGCTACCTTGGTAATAGCGGTGGCGGTGGCGTCGAACCCAAGGATGGCAACGGTGCCGGTACCAGCGGCACGAGTGGGGAGAACAGCCACAGTCTCTGGGAGACGCTACGCATAAGTCTTGACCTTGGAGGTCGACACGAGCTTGCTGAACGCACAAGAAGCAGGAATCTAGACTTGTTCGACCCGGCAGACTTTGCTGGACCTGATGGGGGTGCTGCTGGTGGAGGAGGTATGGGCATGGAGGAGGACGAGTATGCAGATGGGGACGTGCCTTGGTGAGAAGCTCTCTCTCGCGGTAGGGGTTTGTGCGGAGGAGCTGCTTCTGCGCTTTTGTATGTCGAAGACATGTACGATGCCAATCCATGCCCTGCCCTCCAAAGCAAACAGAGACCAGAAAGAGTCAATAGTCTCTTTGAACACATGCAAACGAATGAAGCTGATGTGATGCTGGCACCAGGGCCATATCTATGATGGGATTGTACACTCCGTATATACACAAGATGGGATAAAGGTCTTAAAGACATCTTCCCACGTCATTTCACTGGCTCCTTCGCCTCTTGTGAGGGGAGCCTGGCGAATCCGCATCAGCGGCCTCCTCGCCCACCTTCTCGTCAAGCGCGGCAGCCTGAGCCTGAACTTGCCCAAGGAGCGTCTCAACGGTATTAATCCTGCAAGCTTTGAGGAACTGCACGAGATTAGTACCTCCAGTACCTTTTGCACCCTTCTCCTCCACCTCCATCGCCTCGGCTTCCTTTTTCGCTTTGGCCTTGGCCTGCTCCTCCTCTGCCTCGTCCTCTGCTCTCCTCTTCAGCTGCTGCTGCTGCTTAGGCTCCAATGTCCCACCAACAAACTCAGCATTCAGCGCAGCATACTCCGGAGGAGGCTTCGAGCGCGCCTGAGATACAATGTAGAGTGTTGCGATTCGCATATGCTCATCGCGAAGGGAGCGCAAAGCACCCAGTGCTGCGTCGTACTTCTTTGGCAGGGCGTGCGTGGGAGAGGAAGCTAGAGTAGTGGCGGCGAGATGGCGCAAAGGAGTTTCCTCTGCGGGTCCAGTGGGGATGTCGCCTTCGCTTAGCTCGACAGGCACAGGAGGCGCAGTTGCGACGTCTGCTCGTAGGCTCTGCAAGTGGGTCAGAAAGCGGCGATGCTGTCCAGGCATGTAGAGTTGCATCCGTTGCATGAACGTCGCGTCTTCAGGCAGGTCTGTCGCATCGGCGTTGACCTGCCCATCGCGATTGACTGCCCTCCTTGGTGGGCGGTTGACCCTAGCCTTCGTTCCTGCATGATCGACATCGAAGAAGACATCGAGTGCGTGGATGAGTGAAGACTGGCCTGCAGAAGGACCGGTGAAGAGTCGCGGGGTGAGGGACTCAGAGGGGAGAGAGTCTTCCCACTCGTTGGCCGGGTAGATCCATCCCTTGACCCGGTGAGGAGAAGAGTCACCTCCTCGGAACCAGGGACGAATGGCCCAGTAGAAGGTCGGCGGCTCGCAGTCAGTCCTGACGTCGCGGAGGATCTGCTCCAGATCGCCGATGACTTCCACTAAGATGTCGAGATAATTGGCAACTCGGCGCTTGGCGACCGAGTCTCCCAGGAAGCATTCGTCGAGACAGACCCGCATGATGTCTAGGGCGCTAACCCCCCTCAGCTCGATGAGGAGACTAGTGAGGAAGAAGTGATCCTCGGAGGGCGCGCCGGAGAAGGTCTCAACAATCTCGAGGTTGGAAGCGACGAGTCCCTTGGAGGCGTCCTTGAAACGCCAATTCCACAACACAGTGTCGGCGTAGGTCAAAACAGGCGGCAGGTCCAGCTGAGATGATAGTAGGAGAAGAGGCACCGAGATGGATGCAGGCAATCGTGCAGCATACTTGCCCTCCAGCTCATCTCGGGCATCTTGAGCATCCTGTGCCATCTGCTCATTGGACATTCCGTTTCGCTTGCCCGCCCAGAGTGAAGTTAGCCATCGATTGGTTGAACTCGTCTTTGAGCCATGGGCACCCTTTTCAGCGAGCAGAGTGGCTTGAGGCTGCGAGTGGATGTAGAAGTGCGCAAGGAAGGTGAGGACTACATGTCCTCTTCTAGCATATCGAATGTCTGTCCGTAGCTTGTGCGAGGGAGTGACAGGTGAGAGCTCTCGCATAGCTCTCCTCCATCTCCTGCATCGAGCCCTCTCGGCATCATCTACCGCTACACCTCCGCCGTTGATCTTGAGACCCACGATGCGGGCTTGCTGCAGCATGTGCTCCCATTGAGCCTCGGGCAACTCGGCTGGGAGTCTATCCAGAGGCGCCTCGGGAGGGAGGAAACCGGAGCGGACGTCGATGTCGAAATCGGCACCGGCTAGGGTAGTAGTGTCTGGCATGCCCACAGGGATGGGAGGCGCAGCCGTCGGCGCCCCTGCTGAGGCTTCCATGAAGCGAGCCAGCTCGGCGAGGGGTAGTGGCGATGCAGAGCCGTCAGAGGCAGAGGCCTGCCGACTGGGCCCAGCCTGTGCCTCCTGCTCGTCGAGATAGGCATAGTCGAGGAAAGAGGAAGATGCTGGGTAGAGCCTTGAGGTGGCCTTGTCCTGCTGTGCCAAGAAATGATCAGGGGGCACCTCCCAGTATTCTGACTCTTCGTTTGACTCGGGCCATCGAGGGAAGATGGGCTGGCGCGCCGGCGAGGCAGCCTTCTGCTTGCCTGCGGACGAAGGCGAGGAGGATGGCGATGCCATTACGACGGAAGGTGAGGGGGGGGGGGGGGAGGGGGGTTGGTAGATTAGAGGAACCCGTCTAAAGTGGGTCAGTGTGTGTGTGTGTGTGTCTGGTATATGATGAGGAAGAAGGGAAGGAATGGTCATGCGGACGGAGAATATTCTACTTGAAGTGAATCGGTGGGCGGCCTTCTGTCGGCGTTTTCAGCCCTTGTGCCATGTGGGCCATGCGCTAATCGGGTGGCGTCGGGCTGAGATGAGCCTGACGCAGTCACACGCACACACGCACATACACACACCCTGCCAGTCCCCCGCCCGTGCGAGTCCAGACGGGGACAGGCAAGCAGGCGGACGGCCACTCGATCACGTTACCACAGACATTCAGCAGCTTAGGACCGGATGACATCTGTGGACGTCTGACTCAGAGTAGCAGTGGCTTCCGGTAGTCTCCACTACCCCGCACAGTCACATTGGAGAGAACCGGACCCGCGTGCCGGGAGGAGGCTGATGCAGTAGCACCACCGGCAGGGCGCAGTGGCGACACACTATCTGGCCTTGTTCGCAAGTCAAATTCGACAGAGCCACAAACGCCGTAGTGGAGGACGCCGATTCCGCCGATGGTATTATCAATTCAGTCGTAGACAAGCTGACGCAAAGTGACCGACTGGTGCAGAAAGGCAAGGGGAACGTGAGCATTCGGACTGCTGTCCATTGCCAGCTTGTGTAATAGCAAGTGAGCACACAGCATACTCACTATCCGCCCTTCCTTGATCTTTCTCTCCTTTGGAATCTCATGATACCACTCTTCCTGACACTTTCCCTGCATCAGCAAGAGCGACCCTGCTTCGACGGTCCACTTATGAGTCTCCGTCTTTGCCAGCTTCACCCCGTTGCGCTTCGCAGCCGCTTGTGCTCCCTTTGGTGGACGCTTGGTCATGACCCATGTGCGAGGAGCGCCGAGGGAGAGGGTGACGATGACCTTGTTTTCCACTGGGGCGGAGGGAGGGGCGATCTGGTGGCAAAGGTCAGCGCAACGACAGTGGGGATGGTGTCTCCAGTGCGACTTACGATTATCCGAATGGCGCCCGATATGGGTATCTCTGTACCATCGAGAGAGAGGTAATCGAGTTCTTCTAAGCAATGCTGCCCGTCGATTTGCCGTTGCGCTGTCCCCACACTCACCCATCAGCATACCAATTCAACATGGCATGATTAAACCTAACCTCCTCCCCAATCACCTCTCTACACCTTCTCTCCATTCCCCTCAACACCTCTGGCCATTCTCTCATCTCCACTTCCTGTCCACTATACTTCAACTTCAAACCAGGAACTTTACTAAAGGCAATGATTGCGCGACTTTGTGTGATTTCCTTGCCGTACATGCGGAGCGTAGGGTGGTACCAACCTTCAAGGGAGAGGAGAGAATGGTACCATTCTGAAGCTAGAGAGGGAGGGATGAGAGAGGGAAGGTAGTGCACACCGGGAATGGGAGTTGAAGTTTTGGCGAGGAAGGATGGTGAGGTGACTTGCTTGAAGTCAGTTGGAATGCGGGGAGGAGGAGGAGACGGGGAGAGCGAACGAGTCGCAGCATTGTCCAGATCTTCTTCATTGACGTCTTGTACATGGTCCTTGTGGTCGCCTTCTACCTTGACTCGCTTTCTTGGGCGATCCTTGTCAAGTTCTGCCTCTGCGTGTAGCTCGCCTCGGGGGGAAGAAGGACGAAAGGAGCGCAACGTCGTCTGTCTCATCGTCCTCACCTTCCAGTCTGTGCCTCCCTTGTGATCGGTAGAGGGCAGCGCCGATGTCGAGGCCAAGGGCTCAAGGCTCTTGACTTCCTTCTTTGGCGAAGGCACAAAGCGCTTGGCAGGCATGACGAGGTGGGTGTGGCAATACGAGTGGTCTGGAAGTTGGCTAAGATTGCGGAAAGGGAGACAAGCAGGTGGCCCAAGCGCATTCTCCTCCAAATCAGACCAAAAGTCACATCGCGGATCCGAAGAAGCAGAGGAAACGAGTCAAGTAATGAATGACATGGTTATGTTACAAGTGGAATCGTCCTCCCGTCTCTGATCCTGGAATTGACATTAAAAGACTGACGCATCCTTGACGCTCTCGCTCCTGCCCTTGCCACCGGGGTGCGTCCGGCCTGTCTTGCCCTTGCTGTGGTGCTTCAGCTCCTGCTTCTTCCGAGTCGAGCGCTCATTGGCAATCCGTTGTGCGATCAGCTTGGCATGAGAGCCGATCTCCTCTTCGTCGACCACCTTCGTAGCAGCCGGCTTGCGCTTGCACCGTGGGCCAAGAGGGGGATCCACCTCCGACGGAGGCATCAGATCGAGGGCTTTGGACTCGCCGTTGGCTCCTTGGCCTTCGAGATCGTCTTCCTCTGCCTCCTCGTCTTCTTCGCTCTCTTCTTCCTCTTCGTCGTCTTCGCTCAAGCCCTCATCTCCGCTGCCATCCATCCGCATTCGCGCCATGTATTGATCCAGCTCTTCGTACTCCCCCCGCTTTTTGACCTCGGTCAAATACCCGCTCGCCTTGGTGAGGACATCCAGATCGAGGTAGACACCAAGGTCGGCATTATCATCATCCAAGCTTGCTTCTTCGCCAGCCATCTTGTCGGAAGACGGAGGTACCCTGAAGCCCAGGCGCTCTCGCCTCTTCTCCCTCTCTCTCCTCTGCCCATCCCACTCCTTGACATCTCCCGGCCGCACATCCCTGAACTTGGGGAATTCCTCACTGATGAACCTGAAGCGCCGTCTGAAGAATCGACGAACGCATTGGACATCTCGATTGAAGTAGTAGTCTGCGTTGGGATGCAGCACAGAGATCATCTGTGGGAAGTCGATGAGGATTGGCTCGACCGTTGCGCCATCGGAAAGGTGGATGGGCGACTCGTCTTGATTCACTGCATCTTCATCTTCGGACTCTTGAGGTTCCTCGTCCTCGTCGTCAGAACCATTTGAGGGTCCACCATTTGCGCTTGTCGCGGCTGTAGCAACGACCCTTGCAAAGCCTTTGCCCTCTTCCCACTTCTCGCCCTCTGCTAGCTGTGGCGGCGGCTCAGTCCCAACCTTTTGCCCAAAAGGCCCGTTGGAAGGATACTGCTTGAACGGATCATGAGGTTGCTCATGCTCATCCTCTTCTGGCGTCCGCTTCTCCCTGATGAGGAGATTGAATTCGTTGAAATCTCCGTGGATGAGACCTGCTTTGCCCAGGCGTACGATCAGGCTCATGAGAGCCGAGTATAGTAGAGGGATCTGATCCTTCGGGATCTCCGCTATTTGGCGTAGAGGGTATGCGCCGATCAGAGACATCACCACCGAGTGGCGGGACTGACCATAGGGTATAGGAACCGGGAATCCATGCTCATGGAGCGCCTGCGAGGTTGGAAAGGTAGACAGGCAAGGAGGCAATGTGAGAGGCACAGACACAGGCTGATCGAGTGAAGACCGAAGCTACTTACCTGCATGAATTGGTACTCCTTTGCAGCGGCCAATCGGCTGAGGAACATCCAGCTGAAGTTCTGGCGATTGGCATTTTTGTTGGTGTAGTCTCGCTTCTCCTTCACCGCTCGGAAAGATATCCTACCCAGGCGGTGAATCTTCAGGATGCGATTCTCATAGTCAGGAGCTCCAGCGGATACGAGATAGATGTCTGTGACAAGAAGGATCCAGATTGTAAGCGGCAGTGATTCTCCATCAGTCTGTTGCAGCAGCCTTTACATCTCCTTGGCTTCCATACTCACCACTTTCTTTACCCACACCAACCCTGTGTCCAACAGCTTCTACATGCTCCTTCTCTTTCAACGCTCTTACAGCTAGGAAGTCGTATCCTCCATACGTCAGTCGGTATCCGTCGTACTTGATGTGCTGCTCCCTGGCAATGAGATTCCTCTTTGCCAGACTGCCCATGACCTTGTTCAGTCCGGAATGCTGCAAGCCCGAGAGCTGGGCAATGACTGAAGCGGGTACGACATGGTGGGCGCGCGAACCCTGCTCTACGGCTTTGAGGATGCGGAATTCCTCTGGGAGGATGTACCGCAGATCTGTAGCGTCGAGCTTCATATCTGAGACAAGCGATGAATGTTACGATGGGTTCGGTAGAGGGATATGGAGGAAGTCGACCTCGGAGGGGAGGCCCTGAGCCAAAATTTTGAAGCCGTGGGCCAATTCTCCACGCCCTGGCGCTCTTTCCGTCTGGCTCGGGCCAAGCAACCTTCTCAAGTTCCAAAGGGAAAGCACCTCGACGTCTGACTTGACTGCTCATACCACTGACCGGCTGTCAATGATGCAAGCAGCCGAAGCAAGCCTCGAAGATGGCGAGTAGATGGTACCTTCGCCCGTCTGCCAGCAGCGAGGCGAATACTGTACTCCCCTACCACCCATCGGCGCCCTTCGCCTTGGAGGAGGCCTTCCCGGCAGGCACCTCGCTGCCTCCAGCTCCACCTCCTGTACCTCGGATCATCGCTGCAAGGAATGACGATGCAATTAGGGTGCTTGCGCATGAGGTCAGAGGAGACTTTCAAGAGGATGGAGAGCTCATGCGGAGGATCAGAGCGAGACAGCAGGCATGGTCGGATTACGATGCTGCTGAAGGCGGGGGCTCAGATGCGGGAGACGGATACCAGAAGCTGACGAAGATGGACCGGATGATGCCCAAGGCATTCCAGTAAGTATGCATAGCTGCCAGAATGTATTGATGCCATTCCGTAGAGCTGACGGCGGCTGATTGGTCTTCCTAGATTCCAACGAGACCAGGCTCGCATGCATCGCCTCTGGAGCGATGCTCATCCCAGCTCAGAGTCAGCAATTGCTCGTCCAGTGCCATGTCACCTCCTGCAAACGCCTCACCCAACATGTCCGGGCTCTTCCTCAGCAAACAAATCCACGACATCTCCATCCCCTGCTGCGTCCCGAATGGCTCAGCCGCCCCTCATTCTGACAATCTCGGTCTACTCCCGCCATGTCCTTCGCTCAACACGGCAGAGTCGAGCTCGCGCAGCAGCCGAGAAGCGCTACGACGAGTTCCAGCAAGAGCAAAATAGCAAGTTCAATAATCTACATCACGCATCCAGTACCCCTGGCGACCTGTCCGAAAGTGAAATGAGACCCGAGACTATGGAAAAGAACCTCTTCTTGCCAAAGTTCGGGACCTTCAGAGATGAGAAGCAGGCGGACCCACGGCCGTCTCAGCGTCTCGAGATGCACTCGGATCAGACGTTACTGGATCTGTGTGAGGGTATCATATGCCGTATGGATGACCTGCCCGAGAGGGACGAAGATATCGAGACAAATCTCACCCAGGCTGATGCAGACGCCGCTAAGCCGAGAGGCATCGATGCTAAAGATCGCACAAGATACACGGGCAAGAAGAGAGTGGCTGAGAAGGTTGTGCTCGTAGAATCATACTTAGCCGGTCGGCCAGACAGCTCGTTGCTGGAGTGAGTATCCCAAAGACACGAGTCTGTTCTTGCTGGCCACCCTGCTGATACCCTCTTCCGCCCGATCCCAATAGGCACGTCCATCAGCAGCTCACCTCGCAGTCGGACACAGACGAGCAAATGGAAAAAGTTGGCCTAGCCTCGGTCACGATGGGCGACCTGTTCGGCAAACTTTGCCTGCACAAGCCATACTGGTACTGCCACCAAGGCATCTGCGAGCACTTTTTCACAATCGACGAGATCCGGCTGCCTGACCCCAAATCAGACCCTCCGCCAATCTCGCCTGCGCAAGAACAATCTGAAGCTCCATTTGCAGCACAAGAGCAGGTGTACCGTCACCCAATGACCACATACCTCATGGCGGCCCAACTCAGTCGTCCCACGGCCACAATCGCTCGTCTGCGCGGCGCGCAGGAGACGTACAGTCTAGGGTACTGTACCATCTGCGATAAGCTCACTGCAAAATTCGCCGTGGTAGGTGGAGAGAGGACCGGCAGCGAAGGTGCCGATGTTTGGAGGAGAAGGAGGAAGCGCGGTCGTGAGCAAAGTGAGAGAGAAAGACACGATCAAAATGCAGAAGCAGAGGGCGAAGAGGAGCACCTCCCACCGGTTCCCGCCCTCAAGAGCGAGGTAGAGCTGCTCTGTCCTGCCTGTCTCGCTGCCCTCACAGGCCACGTTCTACCGCTTCCTCAACCAAGAGGCAAAGGCAAAGACAACGCTGCTTTACCTGTCGAGGAGGCAGACGAGCCTACGGGTGATGGTCCGCAGGCCAAGCGCAAGTACACACGCAGAGCCAAAGACGTCGCGACGACTGAGGAGCATGATGCGCAGGACGCAGAGGGTCTCATTTCTTCATCTGAGCAGACGACAGCTGCCCTGGGGCTCACGGCGGGTCACGGTGAGGAGCAAGAAGAGCAGCGCGGTCTCCCCTCGGCGATCACCGCAGAGAACCTCCGACGCAACGCCCAGATGGTCAGTGACGACTTCAACATTGGTTGGCACGAGGCGGTGCACAGGCTGCGCGGGGGAGCAAAAGGTTGGACAATTGTCCCGCTGCTGGACTAAGAGGGCGATGAGGGTCATGGTCGGGTGCGATTATCGGACAAGGGCAAAGTCAGGAAGAAGCGGCGAGAGAAGGAAGCAAGATCAGGCAAAGATAGGGGTCGGAGAGATGAGATTGTCGTCGAATGTCCATGTGGATGTAAATAGTACGAATGCAATGAGTAAAGATGAGCTCTTTCTTGACACAATCTTTGAGATCCTTTGTTCAGTTGGGAAGAAAACGGGGCGTAAGGGAGATGCTGATCCTTGTTTGCATGAGACAGGCAGAGACAGAGCCGGACTTGAAGAAGCAGATGAACGACGCGACCAAGACGTCTGATGTCGAGAGTGTGGAGGGCCAGCCCTTCGAGACACACCTCGACGTCTACGTGTAAAGAGGTGGACAGCGTCGAGCGACCTCAGGAAGCCTCCTCCTTGATCCAGCGGTCGAGGGACATCATCTCGTCGTCCACCTCCTGCTCAGTAAGGATGCGGCGCTGCCCCTCTCTTCTCATCTGCTCATGGGCAAGACGAGTCTCCTCTTCATCTTCATAATCGAGGATCATTGAAGACATGTCTACGTCTTCATTCTCCTCCGCATCTATGCCATTTTGCTGCTGCTCTTGCATTTCGACCAAAGGATGCAGTTCAACTTCAGCGAGACGGTGAGCAGTTGCCCGTACTTGCTCCTGATGGTGACGACCTTCCTCGTCGAGGCTTCCAGGAGGGAGAGAGGCGAGCCGGCTGGACCTACGAAGACCCCGTTGCTGGGGATTCTGCTGGGTGTAGGTGACATTGCTGTAGACAGTCTCGCCACCGCACGACTCTCCCGCTTCGCTGTTTGCCGCTGTCGAGGGAAAGTAGCGGATGGATCCGTCAGGTTCGCGGAGGTCGTTGAGACCGTACTGTGGTGCAAGCCCCTGCGCAGCTAGGGAGGTGGACCTCCGAGCCGAATATCGAGGAGGGCCAGGGAGACGCGATGAGGGCTTCGAGGGCTTCTTCTGAGGTGTCGGCGGGTGCAAAGAGACGTGCGCAATCACATCTGCAGGGATGTCCTCCTCTTCAGCTTGTGCAGCTTCGTCATAGTCGTATCCATCGTAGTACTGCTGGTCGTCGGCGTATGGCTGGCCCTCTTTTGCGTAGGCCCCTTGCAATGCCACCCTTTTGCGCTGGCTCAACTCCTCTTCATCGCACTCGTCATCTTGTCTGAGCTCGGGGCGGCCATCTGCATTCTCGTCGTGACACGCTTCAGCCTCACGAGCGTCTTCCTCGTCGTTGATCATCTGCAATCTCCTCTTTGCGGCGGCCATCTTTCCCTCGGAAGAGTCCGTCCTGCTTCGTCCAGCCCCCGCAGAGCGACTGCCACTAGCAGCCGAAGAGGCACCGTCGCCTTTTCTCTTCCTGCTCTGAGCTCGTGTCTCGTTCCAAGCGCTGACAGGGTTGGGCAGCGGGTTGTGCTTGCCCTGGATGGATACCTGTACCACCTTGCCCGTGTCTCTCACAGCAATCTGGTACAGCACAATGGGCGAGAATCCATCCGCTGCATTGGGCACTTGAGGACAGTGGATGGAACGTACGACGCGGGCGTCATCTCTAGCGATCATCTCCCGCCAGGGCGCTAGAGACTGTTCCACCTCGCGCTTGAACGAGGCAGCACCGCTCTGAGTGCGGATGCCATATGGTAGACGAGAGGACATCTTTATCTATGAGTAGTCCTGAGGACGAGCTGTCGCACCGAAGAAGTGAAAGGAAATGATGCGAGGAACAGAGGACGCTCGATGACTACGAGGTAGCGGGGGCCCTGCCGTCCCGAGACAAGCTGAGACACGGAGATTTTCTGCTACAGCGCGATGGGCTGGCCACTGAGGTGCGCTGCAAGGCTGTCGACCTGTCGAAAGCCGTGTAAGCAGTCTTGGAGCTCGGTGAACCAAAGAATTGTCTAGTAGTGTGCTAGTCGGGATTGCTCGAGTGGATGAAGGAAGAAGGCGGAGAGAGGAAGGGAAGCAGACACCGTACGCCTGAGCTCTGCACGCGCCTCTTGCTTCCGTGCTTGAAGCCTGGTGTTCGGGAAGTCTTTGGAGATGGTCTATGACGGGAGTTGAGAGGGAACGACCACTGAATCCTCCCGGCTATATAAGAGGATCGGGTACCTTGCCTGGCAGAGAGGCAGTAGAAGACTCTCCTGCAAGATGGTGTGAGCAGTCTGGCGGGGAGGGAACAGATGGAAGGAGGAGACGAGGGGCGGAGAAGCGATAGACGAGACTTCGCAGCAGTCGTCGTCGAAGAAGGAGCAGCAAGAGAAGGGTAGCAGGGCAGAGGAGGAGTAGAGGCAAAGGCCAGAGACAGGCGGATCTAGAACAAGGGCGGCGGCGGGTCTGCCTGTGCGTACCGCTGCTCTGCCACTCCTTCCTCTTTGAGGGAAGCCCTGCCTCGCCCGACGCGCCTCACCCGACGTGCATCTTCGCGGTTGGGCCACTCTTTTTTTTTTCCAGCCCTCCTCCTCCTTCTCCTCCTTGCACCGCTGCTGCGCCGCCCTGCAGACAATGTGGAACAAGGGGTCAGGCAGGCTGTGCTGCTCGGACGACACAGGACATGTTCAGAACACAGTTACATCAGCGCATAGGCTTCACCACCTCGGGGTTGAGTAGCCATGACCTCCCGCCGATTTGTCGCGTTTCTTGCCGACTGGGGACAAAGGATGGGCGTACGAAGCCCCTGAACACCTCCCTTGACAAGGAAAGTGACAGTGGGCCGTCTTTCAGCAGTTTACAATCTACATCTGGCTGTCGACACCCATCGCTGCCGCAGATTCCAGCGGCTCGGGGGGATTGCTGTTCTGCCATCAAATCTATTTCCAGGTCGCTCACGCTAAATTGCTCTGTGCTCGCGACGCGTCACGCGGAAGTGGGAAAATTGAGGGGCGGGTAATAATATTAAAGGCGAATATAGACAGTGGTGACTGTAGCAACGATACAACAGGTGCCAAGACGACACATTTGGACGCAAATACGACATAAAGTTCCTCAAACCGACACACTACTCGAGCGACTGCTGTCTCGTCCACACCGGTGCCGGCTTCCTAGGGGGAGCAGCTGCCGGTCCAGAGACGTACCTGTTGCCGCGCTCGGTCGTGCGTGCAGCGGCAGGTCCGCCACTATATGAGACACCCCTCTGGCGCTCCTGCTGTAGATTTGCGCGCACTTGCTGTAGACGATCCCGCGAGGATACGGGAGACATCCGGCTCGAGACGGCTCGCGGTCTCTCCTGCTCAATGACCTGTGGTCCGGCGGGAGCCGAGGGAGGGGCAGTGGGGGCAGCGGGAGCAGATGGTGCGATAGGCATCGCACGTGGACTGGTCACTGGGTACTGGTGAACAGGTACAGATGCAGCTCGATGGTCGCGTTGACGACCAGCCGGTGCAGGTTGAGATGCTACGGCGTACGAGGCTGCTCGGCCTCGCGGGCTTGTGCTAGGCATTGCTACGTTTTGACTTGGGTATCCATATGCGTCGGCAGAGGATGCTGGCATGGGCGGAACGGCTGAGGTACGATGACGATAACGGCGAGAGACGATGCGAGTCCTGGCTTCCGGCGAAGGCGTGTCTTCAAGGCTGACCTTGGGCAGATCTCGTAGCGACGTCAGTGTCTCCATAGCTTCTCCTTCTTCGGGCAGGGATAGAGCTTCCGGCATAGGAGAGGCAGGCAGAGGAATCATCCGAGGTGAGGACACAGACTCCGCACGTTCATGTACAGATTGACGCACAAGCACGGACATTTGACGGGGGAGCGGCGCGCTGTCGAAGTTGTCAAAGGTGATCGGCGAGGGCATCATCTGAGGCGTGAAAGGGGCATAGGGTAGCTCCGAGCTTCTCCTAGCCGGCGCCTCCACGTCCTCTTGCTGACTGCTGCTTCTGCTTGGCGTGATTCCCCACTGATACCGGCTACCCTGCGTGACGACTGGGTTGAAGTCGTTCAGGGCTCCCAACTTCTCTGGGTCTATTGAGTCGTCCGTCTCGTCGGCTTTGGCAGCGCGCATGGCTCGCAGGTTCTCCAACAGTCGCGTGCTCAGCCCGTGCTTCTCCTCGCTCCGCTTTTCCTCGTCAAGGTAGCCGTCAGAGACGAGTGTCGAATTCGATCGATTCCAAGCAGCAAGATTGCTCAAGGGTGATGGGGTGTGGGGTGCCCCGCCCCACAGCCTCTCGTTGCGCTTGTGTCGAGCCATGCACTGCGACAAATACAGCTTGCCGTTCCACATGTCGGGGGAGTTGCCGTAGATTCGTTTCGCGGCTTGGTACTCTTCAGCGACCTCGACGGGTACGCACACGACTTCGTCGCCCACTTCCAGCAGGACTGAGCCTGCGCTTGCTGGCGCAAGAGAGTCTCCGCCCAGCTTTTCAGAGGACAGCGCTTTGCGCAAAGTCTGAGCCCCCGTCTTGATTCTGGAGCTACGAGAGCGTTGATGATGATTCTCCGACCCCAGATGACGCCCTGTTGCAGATAGCTGCGCTCTGCGAGCTTCTTCCTCCGCTTTCTCTTGTTGCTTCCATCGGTAGCCACGAATGCCGAGGAAGAGCAGCCAAGACAGCGCTAGCACACCGAATACTATGATCACGACAACAGCTGGGAAGAGCTTGCTGTGCACATTGAACACGGACAGTGTGGACGAAGCGGCTGCTGCTACCTTATTGACTGTGAGAGTGTTCGAATTCAACGATTGTGCCGTCGGCAGAGGTGATTCCGTCGTAGAGGAAGAGGAAAGGAATGAGGCTGCAGCAGTAGACGAGGCAGAGCTGAGAGAGGTGGCTTGTTCCGAGTGAGATGTAGAGAATGCAGTAGCCTCTTCGAGTGTCGTACGACTTGTCCCGTATGTCCAAATTACGGCAGGCGCACTAGTAGAAGAGACTCGAGTCGAGGCTTTGGTGGATGTACTTCGGCTTGGAATGGCGTCATAATCTTGGTGAAGTGAGTGGCCCTTGCCGCGAGACGCAGCAGACTTGTTCTTGGCCGAGGCGTCTTCCGCAGTATGAGTGCTGGCGCTTGCCTGGCTGGTAACGGTCTTGGTGACAACAGCCCTGGCCCATGCCCTCTGCTGTCGGTGATGCCAGCGCGCCTTGGGAGCGGCGCCTTCGTGCTTGTGTCCTCGAGCCTCTAGATGCTCACCGGAGGACTCAGCAAAGCTCTCAGCGCGCTCACCCTGGGTTCCTGCAATACCTACCCGCGCCGCCTTTGCCTCGCTGCGTACCATCGCCGCACCAAGACCATCTTCATTTCGCTTTCCTGCCGCAACAGATCTGCCCTGAGTCATCTCTCCCGCAGGACTGGGAGCAGCGAGGGCACCAGACAAGACGCTGAGCGCCATGATACCCAAAAGGATGTTCTGACCCAAGCCGCGGCTACTCAGAGCAGCCGCCCATCCGCCGGAAGCGACCGGCTGAGAGTTGGTAGTAGCGACCATGGCGGAGTCAGAAGATGATGAGAGAATCCCAACCAGTGGGAGTGAAATATAAGGGGGCTGAGGGTACAGACCGATGAGACGCAATTCGACCGTCAAGGCCTGACCTTGTGTCTCGGAAGAAAGGCGGTACAGTAAAACACCAAGAGCGAGCACAGCTAGCCTAGGCGAGAAAAGTACGGTCTTTGAAAGCCTCTAGCTGACTCGTCAAGAGTGACAGCAAAGGGGAGGGGATAGATATGATGTGGAAGGTGGTGGAGAGGAAATCGTGCACGGGAAGAAGTCGAAATCCTTGTCATAGTAAGGCGGCGGCGGCGGCGGGTTGACTGACCGTCTACGCTGACAGGCGGAGAGGCACGGATCTGCGGGGAGTGAGTCTAGCCGCCGAGCCTACGGCCGGCGGCCCGATCTTTGACATCATCGAAGTTGCCGACATCCGCTGACTACCAGAGTATGTCATGGCACCTGTTCTTCAATCAGAGACCGAGTACCGTTGTTGTATGTTGCCGAGGCCGGTGTCCTAATGAAATATCCGAGAGCATGTTAGACAGGCAGCGCTTGCATACAATCGTCGCGGCAGTTGACCTGCCTGGTCTCGCCTCAGCAACGAGCACACTCGTCGTTGAGGATCCTGTCAAGACGTGAGATCAGACGAGCGTGAGGCACTGTTGTACTTGCAACGTCGCATTGGAAGAGGTGGTGTTGCTTCGGGGCGGACGCGTGAGGTGGAGCTGCAGGATCGTCTGTGCTTCCGCTCGAATTGTCTGCCCCCCACCTGGCTCCGCTCTACCACTCCTTTGGCGTCCAGACTGACCTGTTGGACATCTCGAAGATGTTCAGCTCGCCCTCTGTCAGTAGAGCTTCCTCGATCGCACCTCCTCCCTCCGCACATCGTGACAGGAGCCCCTCAACCTCCAATCTCTCTAAGCCGTCCGCGGCACCACAAGTAGACTACCACCCTGGCTGTAGCCATATCGCCGCCCTCAGCCCTAGCGCACTCAAGCAGACCTTGCGGAGGTATGCCATCGGCCTGCGATGGGGCAAGAGGGTGAGGCGAGGGGTGATCACAAACGAGGAGGAAGTTGAGCAGGACGAGCAGGACCTCTATGGAGGGTATCACCACGACGAGACCCAGAATGGCAAGCGGCGGAAGGTGAGTGGCTGGGATCGTGCGGCATGGCTCTGCTGACCGGGAGAGAATATTGACACCGTCTTATGCTTTCTCAGCTTCTTCCTCATCCAACCTGCTCGAGCTGCTATTCGGCCTTGCAGAGGCCTTACCTGTGTCTCGACTGCGCATTCTCTGGCTGCTTCGTTGATTCTTCCCGGCGGCAACCTATCAAGCAGTCCTGCATCGCTCGGCATCTTCTCAGCTCGAAGCATACATTGGCATTCGACATCCATACTGGTAGTCTCTACTGCTCAGGCTGCAATAATGTTATCGCCGATCCTCGTTTCGAGCTGATGTTTCATCAAGAACGCGGTCGAACAGCTGGTCGTAGCGTCGGACCGTTGCTTGGAGATGACAAGGCGCTAGACGCCCTGTGCGAGCTGCCACAGAATGCCATCAGTACACGCAATCCACGAGGGATGCACAATCTCAGCGCGACTTGCTTCCTCTCTGTCATCCTCCAGAGCTTCCTACACAACCCGATCCTGCGCAACTTCTTCCTCGCAGACAGGCATAATGCGGAGCTCTGCCCCACAAACGGTCTTGAGCCATGCATGGCTTGTGAGATGGACAAAATGTTCAGAGATGTAAGTGACGATACTCGACAAGACGTCGCACAACTCGATACTGATCCCATCGCACTATTCCTCATCCACAGTTCTACGCGTACGATGGTGAGAAGGCTACAGCCGCCTCTCCTGCTGATCCTTGGGTGCCCTCTTCATTCTTGTACACCATCTGGCGGGCTCAAGAATCATCGGAGCTCGCTCAAGCGGGACAGCAGGACTCTCACGAGTTCTTCATCTCCGCCCTCAACGCTCTACACAGCTGCCTCACTCATCCCGACCGCCTCCCCTCCGCTCGCAAAAGCGAGGTACCTCAATGGCAGAATGAGAACGACGGAAAAGGGACGCACGAGGATCAAATTAGAGACGTCGAGTGGAGCTACGCGACCGAAGAGGGAAGAGAAGACGGTCAGCCACCTGACTTTGTGCACAAGCTGTGCGACTGCGTGGTCCACCGAGCCTTTGCCGGGGTCCTCCAATCAGACGTGAGATGCTTGGTGTGCGGTTATCGGTCCTCTACGCACGACCCCGTCCTGGATCTATCGGTGGATTTGAGGCCTCCTGGTCTGATCGCGGAACATAGACAACATCTGCAGCACCAAGCTAGCCGAGAGCTGAGTGCATTGCTAGACGATGACGGCACCGATGGTGGCGGCAGCAAGCACAAGAAGAAGAAGAAAGACAAGGACATGAGTCCGCTAGTACCGTCGCGGGCCGAAGGCACCGCTAGCAAGAAGGACAAGAAGGGTTACAATCCATCGACTTCTACCAATGGAGTCAAATCTTCTTCTTTGTCCTCAGGCACAGACTCGCAAGACCTGCTGGACTGCCTGAGACGCTATTGCACTTCCGAGCGTCTTCCTCCCTCATCGTACACATGCCCTCAATGTGGTCCAGTAGAGGCCTCGAAGCAGCTAAGTCTGCGCCGCCTCCCACCAGTTCTATGCATTCAACTCAAGCGCTTTGAACACACGGCGACGAGCAGCTACAAGATTGAGACAAAGGTGAAATTCCCGATGAAGCTGGATGTCAGAGAATTCGTCACACCGAGTGTTCTCGAGAGCCAAGACAGCAGGAGTGAAAGAATTGCCATAGAGTGAGTATGAGCGTGGGTGCGATGTACGTGACATCATGGAGGTGGACCCTGACGATGCAATGTTCACTCCTGGCCCTCGCAGCGGCTTCGTCTACGATCTATTCTGCGTCATCGTCCACGAAGGTACGCTCAATACAGGTCATTATTGGAGCTTCTGCAAATGGCAGGACCAAGTGAGTGCAGTCAATGGAGACCTCGCTTGTGCAGTGGTGCCTGTGCTGACAGGGGCTCTCCTCGTCTTTGCAGTGGTATCGTCTCAATGACACTGAAGCTCGTCCAGCTACAGTGCAAGAGGTGTTTGAGAACGCCTACCAGCTGGTGTATTCTCGCAGAGCGTTGGAAAATGTGGTGTGTGCTTGAAGCGGACTTGCTCCGTTTCGTAGCCCAATGTGAGGGACAAGATGAGCACCAGAGGCGGAGTGCAGTTGTTGCGTCTTTAGAGGTAGTCTAAACATATTTGCGTCCCCGAGCCAGCGAGAGTTAGATGGTCGCGATGTTTGGTTGCCTTAGGGCGCTGTTCCCTCCGCCTCGTCCTCCTCTTCATCACTATCCCCGTCTTCCTCGTCGTCTGGCCCACCTTCGACGGCTCCATCTTCCCTTGCCCTTTTGCTTTCCCCTTCCTCCTCACCACCAATGACATCCTTCCAATAAGCGAGCTCGGCCGTCATCTTGACCCTCAACTCATCCACTCCATCTGCCAGGGAGGCCAGCCAGTGACCTTCTGTATCTCTCGAGCTAGCCGGTGCGCCCTGATTTGTGGCGGTAGGAATGCTGAGGGGAGCGACGAGTGTTGCGCTGCTCTCCGGAGGTGAGGTGAGGTGTGGGGGGAGAGCAGTGAGCTTATTGGCTGGGCGGGAGGCGATGGGCTCGGGAAGGGTGAGGGAGTAGCTCAGCCTTATGGAGGGCGAGTCGACTGTCTCTTGTGACTGCATCTGAGCAGATGAGGCGGCGTTCATCTTGAGCTACCAAGGAAGAGTGGACAAGGGGTGCCAGTAGCCTTGGCGTCGCTGAGGAAGGGTGTTGGCGTGGTGGAGCTTCTTACTTCGGCCTGGGCCACGTGGCTTCCGATCCGATGTGTCAAACGTCGACGTTCCGGAAGTAGGGGGTGGTGGATGTATGCGCGCCATGTCCGGCTGCCGGCAATTCTTTCACGCCCGGGACTGACGGCGGTTGCTGGGCGATGACACACCCAAGGCAGCCACACGCACCACCAACAGCGCATCCGGACCGGGCCAAGGATCAACGACACAGGCAACAACTTTGGATGGACGTAGAGGATTTATTCACAAAGCAACCACTTCCCCGCCCCCGCTCTCTCCTCCCCCCACATCCCCGCATCTACCATTGCCACTTGCCACCTGCTACTTATTGCAAATACCCTATCTCCTGAACCAGTCATCACCGGCAGCACCTCATCGCAGCAAAGGCTCATTGCCGCACTTGGATTCTACCCATCACCCTGCTTGCAGCACCACCGCCTCACACTCACTAGTCGCCCATCATGTCGGTGCCCTCTGTTGGCAGGACAGTAGAGACACTCGCAGAGGAGAGGGCAAACCCTCCCTTTGACGTTCGCAAGGTGAGTAGCGTGATAGGGCTGCCCCTCCACTTGACCGGCTGTGCGTAGCTGCAGCATACACTGACCCACCCACTCATCCCCCCGCCTTGTCTGCACCGTTAGCTATCAATCATTCAACATGGCAGCGAGAAGGACCTACTGCTCAAGGAGAAGTTCATGCTCGAGCTCGCCCGAGACCCCATCTTCTACCTTGGAGACATCCATGACCTGACAAAAGACGAGCTGCGCGAGCGTACCTTTGAGAAGGTCGGCTCTCTCGTCTATCACGTCACAAATGAGTCCATCGACGACTTTCAGAAGCGCATGCAGGTGATCGGTCTGTGTGATCCTGGTTTCTGGACTCGATTCGGTGTGCACTACGGTCTCTTCTTGGGAGCGATCCGATCGGGAGCTACGCCGAACCAGATGTCGTACTGGATGGAAAAGGGAGTGATCAGCTGTCAGGGGATGTATGGGTGCTTCGGTATGACCGAGCTAGCCCATGGATCGAATGTGGCTGGTCTTGAGACGACTGGTGAGTGGCGTCATTGCTGTGTAGCTATTTGATTCTCGTACTCACGCCCTGCTTCATCCTCTGCCCTATTAGCCACTTTTGATGAGCAGGCCGATCAATTTGTGATCCATACCCCTCACATCGGAGCCACCAAGTGGTGGATTGGAGGAGCCGCTCAAACCGCCACACACTGTGCCGTCTTTGCTCAGCTAGTCATCAAAGGCAAGAAGCACGGCACAAAGACTTTCATCGTGCCACTTCGAAACATCAAGACTCTTGAGCTGCTTCCCGGAATCAACATTGGTGACATCGGAAAGAAGATGGGACGAGATGGAATCGACAACGGCTACATCCAGTTCACCAATGTTCGCATCCCTCGTGCCTACATGCTGATGAAGCACTCTCAGGTGTCGCGCGAGGGACACGTCACAGAGCCTGCTCTGCAGCAGCTTACCTACGGCGCGCTTCTCTCTGGTAGGACGGCCATGGTGTCTGACGCTGCCGACACAGCCAAGAAGTCTCTGACAGTGGCTGTGCGATATGCTGCTGTGCGCCGGCAGTTCAAGTCATCAGCAGAGGCTGATATGGAGACGCAGATTCTCGACTACCCAATTCACCAACGACGTCTGATGCCTCTGCTGGCCCAAGCAGTCGCGTTCGGATTCACGAGTTTGGAGATGCAACGACTGTACGAAACTACTTCCTCTGCTCTCGAGTCTCTAGAGCCAGGAGATGAGAACCTTGATGATGTCATCAACCAGCTCAAGACTACACACGCCACCTCTGCTGGTCTGAAAGCCTTCTGCACCTGGGCATGTCTGCAGACTATCGACACAAGTCGACAGGCATGTGGTGGTCACGGTTACTCGTCGTACAATGGCTTCGCTTCGATGTACAGTGACTTTGCGGTACACTGCACCTGGGAAGGTGACAATACCATCCTGGCATTGCAGTCCGGTCGTTTCCTGATTCAGGCATACCAGGAGGTGGTCAAGGGCCAGAAGCAGTCGGGCGGTACAGCGTACATGAACAACATTGAACAGGTCCTTAAAGGCAAGTGTTCCGACAAGGAAGAGCTGGACACCCTCGAGGGCATCGACAAGGGATGGTCGACTGTTGCGGCCCACGCAGTCAAGAAGGCCGCAGAGGACTACGAGCAGTGTCTCAAGTCGGGCCAGTCCCGCGAGCAAGCCTTCGAAGTCTGCTCTCAAGTCCGATTCGTGGCCGCTTCTGTGCACACTTCCGGTTTCGTCTTCCGGCAATTCCGAGCTGCCGTGGAGCGAGTGGAAGCCGGCGCAGAGCGAGACCATCTGGAGCTGCTATGCAAATTCTACGGTCTGTGGCAAATGGAGGAGAAGGCTGCCTTCTTCCTTCGCTCTGGTTGGTTGACCGGTGAGCTCCTAGACCACGTCCAAGCACGCGTATCGGAGCACTGTGCCTCTACCCGCAAGTTTGCCATCCCTCTCATCGACTCCTTTGCCATTTCGGACCACATTCTCAATTCCCCCATTGGTTGCCACGACGGAGACGTCTACGAGCGCTACTTTGACCTCGTACGTCGCAACAATCCACAATTGGCAGAACACAAGTATTCAGACAAGATTCTTAGGTTCATCCATCGTGCACCCGAGGAGATGGAAGACTTTGAAGGTGAAATTGACTTGGATTCGGAATTGGAGGAGATGGCAGAGGAGAGGGAGGAGGCGGAAAAGGAGGCGGCCGAGGCTAAGAGTAAGCAGGAAACAAAGGAGGACAAATAGGAGCGTAAGCGTACATCTGACAGACAGGATGCTCGAAGTGGTAGGACCGGCATATGCAGCTATAGACTTTTCCCCCGCACCCCCACTCCTCCCTCTTTCCACCTCTCTTCCATATCGATCACCTTCTCTTCTTTATTCTGTCTTTTCATCTTGTTCTCGGAACTCTCCTTTGCATCCACTTTCGCTTTGGGTCACTATCTAATCTTCATACCGCTCATGCCAATGACCCCTCGTTGCTCTGCTCCACTGTACACTACGCTTGGCTAAGTTTGCACACGCACACTTAGGTCTGATGCTGATGAGATTTTTGCATTGACGTTCCTTAACTTTCTTCTTCACACTAGCCATAGTTGAGATGAAGCGAATGTACAGACAACGATGGAAGCCTCTGCTTGCTACTAGTCTTTTTTCCACTCTTACTACTGCCTCCTTCCCCACTCTTCCTTCCCTTCCTCTTCTTCTTCTTCTTTGCCAAAGGAACGGCCAAAGGAACGAAAAAAACGTAACGTAACGTATATGCTGAGTGAGTGGTGTTGAATCCCGTATGTATAGACTAAAAGGCAGTGTGCACGGTATTCGAACGTCTGCGAGGACGCGAAAAAGAAGAACAGCAGTCGTCTTCCCTTTTGTTCTGTCCCTCGTTACAATCCCTTCCTTGCACTACCACTACCACTACCACTACTACCACTGGTGGCGCTAGTCTTGGTTCTAGATCCTGCCGACTTTTTACCCTTTGCACTCTTGGCTGCTCCCCCACCAGAAATGTACTTGACCAATTCATCCACGCTCAGCTCCGGGTCAGGGCCTTTCGAGCTCCCGCCCGCCTTCTTGGCACCACTCGAGGCAGCAGCAGCCGCAACTGTGGCCGCACCGGAGGCGGAACCTACTTGACCGGCTGCCGCTGCTCCAGAGCCTACGGAGCCCACGCCGCTACCGCGCGAGGCGTTGATGGCGGCGGCGGCTCCCTTGAGAAGGTTGCCGGAGCGAGCCTCGCGAGCTTTTTGACTCTGCTCCGACTTGGCTACACGTACGGCGGCGGCGGCAAGTCGACTGAGGAAGGAAGCGGCCTCCTTTGTGGAAGGATGGTCCTTGCCGTACTCGGCTTCGAAGATTCGAACACTCTCCTTGAGAGTGTCGAGGGCGGTGCGCAAGTCGCCCACGAGACTCTGGGCCTGGCAGAGCTCAAAGGCCTGGTTGGCAGTGTGGAGATTGTCCGGTCCAAAGAGATCCAAGGCGAGCTGGTGAGCGCTTTGGAAGACCTTGAGGGAGACTTCGAAGTTGCGGGCATTCTGCAACGTCGTAGCCAGGTTGGACAGGGCAGAAATGCGCTCTGGGTGCACTTGACCAATGATGATATCTTGCAGCTCGAGGACTCGGGCCTGGCATCGGAGTGCAGCCTCAAAGTTGCCTTCTGCTCGCTCCAAGATGGCCAGCGAAGCCCACTGAGCCAATGTCTCGGTGTGGTCCAGACCCAGTGTTCGCTCAGAGATGGTCACTGCCTGTCGCTGATATCGCAAAGCGGTAGCGCCAGAGAGGTGCTCGGTGTACGCCGGTAGCTCGACCTGAACGTCTTCTGTGCCCTGCTTCTCTTGCTCTTCGCGAATCTTGGCGGCAGTCTCGGCATTGATGATGCCAGAGAATTGGTGCACCACAGCGGCAAAGAGGGCATAGCAGCGAGCCGTTTCAGGGTGGGCCATACCGTAGATCGTCTCGTGGAAGGAAAGACCCTCGAGGAGCAAATCCACACCGAGCTCACGATCACCACGAGACATGATGGTAATCCTGCCGGTCTCAAAGGCATCCTCGGCAACTTTGCTCGTCGAGGCCGAGTCCTTAATCACCGGCACCATGTTGAGCACGTCGTCAGCTGTGAAAGTGGTAGTCTGAGCCTTCTTTTCCGACTCTTTAGCGATCTTCTTGGCCCCCGTGCTCTTCTTCTTCTTCTTTGCCGCACTGCTATCATTGGCGCTAGCATTAGCCGAGGCCTCTGCGTCCGATGTGGTAGCTTGGGCAGAGTCGTTGGCGTGAACACCATTTGTCGTTGGTAGCGCCTCGAAAGCGTAGTCCCGTAGCCTGAGCTGGATACCCGAACGCATGCACAGCTCACGCAGTAGCTGAGGCTTCCTCACCTGAGTTTTGAGGTAGTCTGCAGGCAGTTCGAGCCTGAATCTTTTCCTGACTTCGCCTTGGATGCGCTGAGACAGTGTCTCAGGAGTGAGCTGAACCCATGTCGGTGTGAAGGAAGAGTCCTCGAATGGCGATGGGGTCCACTCGGCGGTGGGAGAAGCCTCCCGAGCAGTACCCAGCAGGCAGTTGAGGAAGTGAGAAACGCAGGCAGTGATATCTGCTGTAGCGCTCGCCTTGAGCAATGATGCCAGGATGCGCTTGGCGCTTCGCAGAACCATCTCCTGCAGAGCAATGTCTCGGAGAATCCTCAATGAGACGTTGTGACCAGGTCCACAGCGCTTGAGAACCTCTTGATCAAGCCTTCCATGCTGGGAAGGATGGGCCAAGTGGGCGAGGGTACCCAGATAGCGCATGTTGATGCCGCGCACGTGCATCTGCCTCGACAGAGACTGACCGTCGACCGGCGAGACGACGCCGAATGCGACATCGGTAACGAGTCGCGGGATCGCCGAATCACGGAGGTACTTGGAAGCTGCACGGACGGCGGCTACCGAAGGGTCTGACTCGTCTGTGATCATCGGAGCGGCACTGGAAGGGTCTTCTGTCGGCGGCTTGAATTTGACGAAAGCGTCTGGGTTGAAGGACAGGTCGAAGGCAGACGAGTCGATAGTAGGCTCGGTCGCTTGCTCCTCTTTCTCAGCTGAGGGTTCAGAGCTCTCCGCTGGCACGTCGCCATTCTCAATAGCCTTCTTCTCAGTGCCGTTCTCTAGGGCAGCCTTCTTCTCCAGCTCGTCGTCCTTCTCCTTCTGCTTCTTGCTGAGCTGCTCGCGTGCCCACGAGCGGAATTGCGAGTCCCAGTAGATCTCCAGCAGCTCAGGTCGGAGCAGGATCATCTCATGAGGATATCTGTCGGCTGCACTGCCGTCGCCCTCCAGGATAGAGCCCTCTAGGTCCTTTTCTGCAAATTCGACATCGACTGGAGCCAGCCTAGCGACATCGAGAGCGTACTTTCGACCATCAGCGCCTCGAAGACCCTTGGAGTCGACACTGAGCCACAGGTCGTGAGAGACGCTCTTGGCATCCTTGACGGGGTGCTTGGACAGGTGCAGTGACTTTGCCACTTGCTCAAAGACCTTGTGGAATGAGGCGTTGGTGCGGATCACCTCTGGACCCTCCACACCGCCGTAGACGACCTGGGTATCCTCCAGAGGATCGGCCTTGCCGTCGGACTTCTTGGCAGTCTCAGTCGCCGACTTGGATTCTGCCTCTGCCTCGACCTTCTCTCCGTCCTCCTTGAGCACCTCTACATCCTCCTCGTCCCTCTTCCTGAAGAGACCGGGAATGATGCTTTGAGCCACCCATCTCTCTCCCTGCCAGTCTACAACTACCGTGCCCAGAAGGCAAAGGCCCTCCACGTCAAGCGAATTGAGCACTCTGATGCCCTGCACATCCTTGCTGACAGCGACATGGGCAGCTTCGTCACCTCCGAGATAAGGGTAAATGTCAACACCATCCACGCCGCGCGAGATGAAGAGATTGTTGACACAGAACATCTGGGCCTCGAGCTTGTCCATCGGATTGAGGGCTTGCACTTCGCCTGCGGCCACCTTGGGAACAGCGTTGGCGGCCGACTTGGAGAACTCAGAGTAAAGACGAGCCAGGGCGCGCTCCCTGATGTGACGCTCAGGAAGACTAGATCGAGGCAGTTCGCGAGCTGACTGGATCTCTTCGTTCCAATCCCGAGTACCCTCCAATGAATCGAGGGAGGTTGTGCCCGTCAGGAGGAAAGCCGTCTGGGGGCGAAGAGCATCGGCGGTGTGGTTATGACTGCGGGCGAGCCAAGGGGCGGCAGGGACGCAGTTCGACAAGGGAACGACGGCAAAGAAATCCCTGACGGACAGAGGGTCGTTGAAGATCTTGGCAAAGTTGGACAAGAATTGGGCAGAGTAGCCGCAGAGAAGATCGAAGAGCGAGTTGCTGTGGTAGTCTTCTCCATTCGGTCGGGGCGAGGGGTCGAACTTGGAGGATGTGGAGCGGTTGACGTAGAAGCCGTGGGTAGAGGCAGTGATGAAGATGGTCTCGCCTTCGAGTGTGCCTACCTGGAGGTAGAGCAGCTGGCCCCGCACCTTGAGATGCTGGGGCGGCGGTGACCAGCTGGAGATGGCGAGGTTGCGAAGACAGGTAGGGAAGAAGCGCAGCGGGCGTGCTTGTTGTGGCACAAGACGAGCGAGCGATTGATAGTCGCCGTGAATACCGTCCGCTGACCAGTCTTGAAAGGGGGTCTTTCCTGCCTCCTCGGCGAGATCTGGTGCTGGAAGCTTACTGCCCTTGGCCTTGTTCACAGCGGCTGCTTGAGCAGCAGCGAATCCAGTCGCCTCCTTTGTCCAGAGGTCAGGATGCCTGACGGCATCTTGGACGCTCATACCTGCATCGATGGCTGGGGTCGTGGAGTCTTGGTGGCTCGGTGAGAGGAGGTCTCGCAGACGCTGAAGATGGCCTCTAGCTTCTGCTTCGTTGAACGGAGCTGCAGAGGACGAAGGGTATGCGCAAGTTGTCTCTGTGAGCTGAGAGTTCCAACTCTGCTATTCTTCTGCTTGGGCCTCACCATAAGAGATGTACAGATCCCTCTCCTCCTTTGCAACTCCCTCGAACACTTCCCTCAGCTCAACCCACTCTCCCACCTTTTCTCCCTGAGACTTGGCATGAGCACCCGATCCATTGACCTGTGTCGAAGGAGCAGAGGGAGCTCTACGGAAGCAGTATGCACCGAGCCAGTAGCCTTCAGGGCTATCCGCTAGGGTCATACGGATATCATTGAGCGTCTCTGTTGGCTGTACGGCGAGCTTCAGAGGAGAAGGGGTGGAAGGCAGTCCGAGGCTTGTTGCGGATGCAGGGAGGAGGGGCCTGTCGGGGAAGTGGAGGGAGAGATCGAACGGAAGAAGGTCTGGAGGAGACGAACCAGTGAAGGGGGCAAGCATGTGAGTTGGTCAGCCTCGTCCTTCGTATGGCAACGCAGCTTGGCATGAATGCGGCTAAGTGACGGAAGACTCACCTGGGTCGACCTGTGCTTCCTGTCCCTCCTCCTGAGTCTCGCCATTGACAGCAACGGCCTTCTCATCCTCGGCGGACTGCTGCGAGGGCTTCTCTTGGGGATCTTCCGCCGCCATGATCGAGGCAAATGGTGGTGCTGCGAAGCTAAGTTTGAGAGGAAGCTACTGGGTGCTGAGAGGGGGGTACTTCGCCTCTGCCAGAAAGGTGGAGAGGAACAGAGAAGAGGAATGGGATGAAGGCAGGGCCAGAAGAGAGCGAGCACAGTCTTGTAATGTACCGTCTGCCTGATGATGGGGGGAAATGAATACGCAGAAGAGCGTAGTAATGGTAACCCAGGCCTTTGGTGTGCTTTGCTCGCCTGACTGCTGCTGCTGCTGCTGCTGCTGCCCGGCAGGAAGATCTGCCTTGGTCTGCCTTTGCCTCTCCACACGCACTTTGGCTCTCGCTCCCCTTTGCTCGCCTCGCCTCGTAAGCTCGAAAAAAAAAGCGGGTTTGCCCGGACGCCGCTCGGGCGTTGCGTTGCGCAAAGACAAACTCCGACGACCACTCGCAGCCCGAGCCCGGAACGAACGGAACGGCCATCGAGAAAGGTCAGGGTCAGGTGGGGGGTTAGGCAAGACGTCTATTTGAGCTCTCGCAGATTGAGGATGGCAAGGACATGTGTATTCATGAGAGTCATGATGACGGTGACATTGGATCGCAACAGAAAGAACACTACCGCCACAAAGAGACACACCATCACTGCTTCCTCTTCTTTCCAACAGCAGCTGCACCTTTGCCCTCTTTCATTGCCTGCGCGGCCCTCTTCGCTCTCTTGAGCCTGCGATTGACTTTCGCTCGAATGAAGTTCCATACAGCCGCATCTTGGTAGGGCTGCTCAAAGCTACTGGGGTGAGCTGTTGAGGAGGATCTCGCCGGCCCCATGCCTCCGTTGGTTGCGGCAATGTTCTGCTTTGCCGGCAGCGGCGTCAGATTGTCTGGCGGGTGGAACCACCAATTCAGAGCCATGTGCACATTGGCCTCTGCTGCCTCACTGGTGCCGTTGCTTTCTTTCCCAGTGGGAGCATGCGCCTCACTCGTGACCTCATGCCACCAGCTGGCGGGCAGGTAGAGCATCTGTCCAGGCAAGAGATCTACCACGATGGGATGAGGGCATCGCTCGTCTGGTCGCAAGTGCCGTCCTGGAGGTAGTGGTACGCCCGCCCTTCCGTTTCTAGGCGCAGAGATGGCATCGGGGATGCCAAAGTGTCGGTGAAGTACCAGAGGGTTGATGCGGGAGAAGCTCAATGGCTCTCGGTCTTCTGTGTGCTCTGGAGCAGATTTGCCCATAGAGGCTCTACCGTCTTGTCCATTGTTCTGCTGTAGATTGCGACTTTTGGCCTGAGCCTCGAGAGCGGCGAGGACTGCTTCGGAGTCGTCGACGTCCCCCTCTTCACCCCACCCCGATCCAGAAGAGTCATCATCATCATCGTCATCGTACTCGTCGTTGTCAGCCTCGCCATCGTCGTCGGCATCACTGATAGCCTCCGAAGGGAAGGCTGCATCAGAGCTGGACTCTTCGTCACTAGTCTCGTTGTCTTCTTGCTTTCCACGCAGTTCCGAGGCTATGACACCATCAGCTTGCGCAGGACGACCCTGTGCGTTGAGCGTATTGACCTCGTTCTCGTCCAAGATGACCTCTCCTCCTGCCTCAAGATGGGCAAGGATGGCATCCTTCATCTCCTCAACGTCGTTCTCGTCGACACTGTCATCCGAACTAGAGACAGAAGTGCCATCGTCTTGCGAGGTGGGTGCGGAGGCTATAGCTCGTTGGGCCAGCTCTTGACCTTGGCGCTGTGCCTCGACTTCTTGAGCTTCAATCTGCCTCAGGATTTCTTCGCCCCTCGCCTGTGCGGGCCCTCCCGATCTGATGAGGTTAAGGGCAGTCTGCCTCCTCAGAGCATTCATGGCTAGTAGTTCCTGCTGCTGCTGTAGATCGTCGCCTTCCTCCTCACTCTCCTCGTTTTCGAAGTCTATCATGAAGTCAGCAGGTCCCTCCTCGTTGCCCAAAAACAGGACCTCAGCTGGAGTGACGCCGTCGTCGTATTCTAGGTGGTCTTCGTACTCGTCAATGTCTTCGTCCCTTCGAAGACCGCCTGGTAGATTGCTACCGGGATTGCGTGGGATACGGAGAACGTCTCTGGGGCTGGAGTCGGCAGCGGACTCTTCCTCATCGCTTGCGTCATCCTGTGTCTGATCAGCGTCAAGCTGTCTCTGAAGGTGGGCAACCATCTCGATCGCTACTCGATCGCCTTCTTGGGCGCGAGCAATGAGGCGCTCGTACTCGATGGGTAGGTGACGACCATCTGCGAAAGCACCCCCGGGCTCTACGGAGTCTTCTTCGAGAGACTCGTAGAAGTCGACTTCATCAGAATCGTCATAGTCATCGCTGTCTGATCTGTACAGAGTTTCCATTGTCCCGCCTGACTCGAAGTGGTGGCGTCGCGCCTCTTCACTGGCAGCGAGCAGTGCTTGAAGGACCTCTTGGTCCCTGGTACGACGTTCCTCGAAGGTCTCGCCGTCAAAGTCACTCTCTTCTGTGAGTAGGTCCTCTTCCTCTTCCTCTTCGTACGAAGACGAGGACTCCTCTTCTGCTTCGAATGCAGTGACTCTCTCGACGCGATCAATGCCATCTTCATATGCCGCCAGGGTCTCTTCCATCTTGTGCGTCATGCGAGCCTTGCCTTTTCGCCTATCACTTGGAATGTGCCCTTCGCCATTTGGAGTCACATCTTGCTCCCAAGCTTCCCGCAGCTCTTGTCTTCGGGCGAGAAGAGACCATCTTGCTGCCTCGGTCTGCGGCAGGCCGTCCGAGCGTAGGGGCAAACGGTGGCACACCGGGTGACGTATATGGCGAGACCCACGAGGCGTGTACTCGATGAGACCATTCGGATGGACTCTTTCAACTGTACCTCTGGGGTGTAGAAGGAGATGGTACGGAGGTGGGAAGAGGATGAAGCGCTTGCGTCCAGAGAGCTAGTGAAGTGCAATACGAGGTAAATCAGCAAGTAATACGACAGATCTCTTGATCAATGCTTTTGAGTCCGCTTCGACTCACTAGAGCGTACAGGTTATCATGAAAGTCATGATGCAAGCCGCTACTTTTGCCTTCTTGACAGTTGCCAAGCCACAGATTCGTCTGTTGCAATACAAGGTTGCCCATCAGCGCCGGCTGAAGAGGGAAGTCATCTGCAAGAGCATGAGTGGGAGATGGCAAGAGGGGGTCCAGAGGCGGTGGTCGAAACTTGGCCGGCAGGGAATTGATCTCCGGTTCGTATACGGGCAGCGATACCTCGATGGGCGAGGAAGAGGAGCTGCTTGCGGTAGAAGACGAGGATGCAGCCGAATCTGATGCATACGCTTCTTCCTCTGGTGGTGCAGCCTCCCTTTTCCTCTTCCCATTAACTTTCTCCCCATTCTTCCGATGATGTGCAGCTCGTTGCTGATCCTCATCTTCATCTTCGCTGTCGTACTGAGTGGTGAGGTACCAGTCCCCTTTCTTCTTGAGCGGGTCCCTCAATCTCTTGATGAATTCTGCAAAAGCGACCTTCTGCCTCTTGGCGGCGGTGCCAAAGTGTCCTAGGCGAGGATCGATGGGCTCGATTTTAACTGGTGCGTGGCCGGCAAGCTCTGCTAGGTGCGCCAGATCAGTCTGGCGGTGTGGTGGAGCAGTATGCTAGGGTCAGCAACGTGAAGCGTCGAGGTGTGCTGAGCGGGATCGCGACTGAACTCACCCACTGCTCTGCCTTCCACTCTGCATCCTTGGGAAAGCCATTGATGATGACGGGTCTCCTCTTGCGAATGCACCTATTCCACAGCAGCTCAGGCGTCAAGTCCTCCACATTGACCGCTTCGATCTGTGGACGATTAGTGTCAGGCATGTATCCTGTCAAGAGGGTGAGGAGAGACGGACGACATTAGCGCAGCGCGGACAGAGGGGCCCCAGAGCCATGCCGTCAGGAGCTATCTCCATATGCCTCACCCTCATAGTGGCAGGCCATCTTGGCGAGCAGAGACTGCGATCTCTGACTCTCTCCGTGACCGCCGAGTACGATTGTATGAGCTCAAGGATGAGGAGCCAGTGTGAAATGTGTGTGACTAAGTGTGGTACAGGAGGACGATGAGCCAGTCCCCTCCTCGGAAGAATCGTGACTTGGTGGACGTGCAATCAATTCGTGGTTGAGTGAGAGCGGAAGCAATAATAATTCACACTCCGCCCTCCCTATACCCAACTCAGCCTGAAACTGCAACGCACTGCCTCCACAGACGGAAGCAGAGAAGGGGAGCAGCCAAGGAGCAAAAACCAACCACGATTCTTCCGGACTTCCCGGCGCAGATACTAAAGACGATGAAAGGCAGATGAAGAAGGGATTTCTCAATAGCAGCGCAAGGAAGCCAGGGGGTGCGGCAGCTACTGTGGTGGCCGATACCGTACAGAGTACTACGTCTCTCTCGACGCCAAAAGCGGTAGAGACGATTCCATCGCGGCCTTCAAGCAGCGCAGCCTCCAATGGACCTCCTTCCGAATCTCCCACTGCCCAGCTGCCACCAACATCCCAGCCCCTTCACCTACAACCTCTCCCCAACGAAGCCACCACCAAGGTACCTCCTTTCAGCTCCTCCTCCTCCTCTTCCAACGCATCCTCCCCACCACCACCACCCTTCAAATACGCCTACTCCCCCTCTCCAACAGGCATCGACTCCAACCTCCTCATCCTCCTGCACGGGCTAGGCGATCATCTGACCCCCTTTTCCAATCTCGGAAAACGACTACAAGGTACTCTACCCCAGACGGCAGTATTAGCGCTGCAGGGTGCGCATCCGATACCGTGGCTCTCCTTTCCTGGTGATGAACAGGAAGGGGAGGAGGCAGGACAGAAGCATTGGTGCTACTGGGAGGCCATTAGCCCACTCGGGGAGACACTCCCTTTCGCCCGACAGGAGCTGGGCAAGTTCCTAAAGGGATTTGAAGAAGTTATGCAAGAGGTCGTGGGGAGGTGTGGCTGGCCTGCGGGGGCGGTGCATCTCCTCGGATTTGGACAGGGAGCTACAGCGGCACTGGAGGGGGCGGTACATTGGGCTCGTAAAGAGAGGAATAGAGGTGGAGAGGGGAGGTTGGGGAGCATCGTGGCAATCTGTGGGGGAATGCTGTCGGTGAGTTCCCGCAGATTCAAGGAGAGCCGTCTCATTCGTACGTAAACTGCGAACATCTCATTGACATCTCTTCTCTCTCATGACTGTCGGTCACCAGCTCCCAACATTTACTCCACCCCTCCCCATCCCAACCCTCTACTTCCACCGCCCCTCGAAGCTCTCCACCAAATCATCTTCAAACCCTCTCAATCACATGCGTCGTGCCTTCCAAAACGTAACAGACCTTCCCTTTCCTACCTCTGCCTCCTCTTCTCGCTCTGGAATGCAAGGAGGAGCAGACGAAGAGGGAGAGGAAGAGCGCATGCCCTCTTCTCAAAAAGAATGGGACGGCATCGTCCACTGGTGGAGCGAAGGTGGCCGGTGGAGAAATCGTGGGCAGTGGGAGTTACAAGCGACTAATGAGAGGAGTGATCAAGAGGGAGGTGTGTTCAGAGTAACCTAAAGCAGGGCAAGAGGGAGGTGTGTTCAGAGTAGCCTAAAGCAGGGTGATTTCCAGGAAAGACCTGAAATGGGATTATCAGACAGGACGAGGAGATTGTCAAGAGTGCTTCACTAGAGGTATCAGACTAGAGGTAGAGGTAATGAAATCGAGAGCCGCGGCAAGTGTATATAGCATTGACAGTAAAGGAATGGAACGCAGCCGGGGTCAATGAGGGAAAGGGAAAGGAGCATATGATGATAATGTGGGGTCGTCCAGAGAGGAGGAATGGTGCCAAGAGTCCAGAGGCTCACCCCTACTAGCCTATAGAGTCTACATTTGTATCCGGTGCTGATTTACTTGGCAGCCTCCTTCTTCTTGCAGACAAAGTGCATCATGGGAGTGAAGAGCTTTGCCTGACCACCAGTGACCAGTGCCTCTGCGGCAATCTTGAGCTGCTCACCCACGTCATGGGTACCCTTTGGTGCAAGACCCACCGTCTCGAGGACCTTGACAGTGGTCTGAGTCACGGTAGCTCCCACCCAAGTCATCCTCCAGCACATGAAGAGGTCCCAGACAGTCTGGCACTGCCTCAGGTCACCTGCCAGTGGGTAGTACCAAGGAATCTTGTCTCCCTGGTCAGCCAAGTCTGCCTCCTGCAAGATCTCAAAGCCCACCGTCTTAAGAGCCTTGCGGGCAGCGGCAATGGGCCTCATCTCGGGGATACCGTCTCCAACCTCGATTCCGTGCTGGATGCGCTTGTGCTCCGGGTTGGAGGCGTCAAAGGCGTCGGTCATGCACCACTCGTACACGCCAAAGATTCCACCAGGCTTGAGCACCTTGTAGATCTCACCATACACGCCCTCCCACTCGGGAGCGTGGCAGGTGGCCTCGATGGCATACACGGCATCGAAGGAGTTGGGTCCGAACTGCTCCTCCAGCTTCATGAAGTCTCCCTTGACAAAGCTGACCTGATCCTGCAGACCAGCCTTCTTGGTGTACTTTTCAGCACGAGCAATCTGATACTCGTTGTTGTTCAGTCCAACAATTTCGACGCCGGCGAAGCGAGCAATCTCCCTGGCTGGTCCACCAACACCACATCCAACATCCAAGACCCTCATCTTGGGCTTGAGCTGCATAGAGTGAGCGAGGTAGTGCTCGTGGCGGGCGAGGGCCTGGTGGAAACCCTCCCCGGGGTAGTAGCGGGCAAAGTGGAAGTTCTGACCCCAACCGTACTCGTACAAGTCGGTAGCTCCATCGTAGTAACCATTGACGACGCTGGTGTACTCGGACTTTCGGTTGTTCATGTCGACGTCACCATCGTTCTTCGAGTCCTTTTGCCAGAACTTCGAGTAGTTCTCAATGCCGGCCAGATTACGCTGGCCCTTTGGCTTGGTGTCGATGAGAGCCATTGTGATGCTGAAGGAGAGTCGTTTGAGGTGGGGGACAGGGTATCAAGGAGCGAATGTATGTTCAAGTGTGACTGGAGGCGCGTCAAGGCAGAGACGAGGGGGGAAGAGGGAGAGACGAGAAGCTGCGTGAGTATCGCATCCGGCACGTACGGGGCGAACATGGAGAGAGCTATATCACGGTCCGTCCATTGTGAAGAGTGCGGTAATCTCACTACTACTACCTCCACCACCTCCTCCTTCCTTCTCCTGTTTGCTTCAGTGACTTGAATGGGTGCCCGATTAAAGGCGAAGCTCGCATCACCCTCCCGATAAAGGGAGAGCTAAACGTCGGTTTGCAGACCGGGTTATTCTTTCATCACGATGATCTCCTGACTTCCTGTTCGCAAACACCACATGACATACTGCACTCGGGGAGTAGTACTCACGAAAGGACAATGTAGAAGGACACGCCAAGTGCGAAGTGAATGTAAAGGTGACAGGAAAGGGGGGGAGGGGAGGGTAGGGCAAGAAGAGGGAGTGGCGATGAGGAAGTGAAGCGCGGGGATCTTCCTCGTGTCGCATCGAGTTGAATTGGGGCGGCGGCGGGCGGAAGATGTTCGACTTTGACAGTCAGGCGCTGCTGCACGCGCGGAAGCGCCGACGCACAATGGAAGCCAGAGCCACGCCGCCAGGGCACCACACCACACCCACGGCACCACAACCACGCCCCGCGCTCCCGACAACTGCCTTGCGATTCCACGCGCCGCCCACGTCTCCCCGAACCAAGACAAAGGCGCGTACAGGGTGTCCCTCGTCTCTTCTCCTCAAAAGGTCGCACCAGCATTGGCCGTACTTGCAACGCCGCCAAAGACATTCAGTGGCCAGCTGGAAAAGTAAAATGTCCACCTCCTGTGCGTCTGACACTGCTCCGTCAACTTTTCCAAGTCAAACATTTCCCCGATTGGGCAACCCCACATTGCCAGGAGCGTCTCGTGTAGATGGGGCGTGCCCATGGGAGCAGGCCAGCGCTCAAAGGCTGGGCAGTCCGAGGCGACGGCGGCAAAGTGATGATCCCAGAGCCACTCGAGGACATCCTCTCCTTGCTCTAGACCCACAAAGCCCTTTTTGCCCGTAGAATTCTCGCGACGTTCCTCGGGCGTAGAGTGATAGTAGCGTAACGTCCAACCGGTGCGAATGAGCAGGATGTCGCCTTTACGGAAGTGAACGCCCTGAGCACGAGCACAAGCTTGCACGTCTGCGAGAGAGATGGCGTGGGAGCGAGCCGGATCATAGGGAGCATTGCCGTCATTGTTGCGTAGCAGCCAGCCCCACACGTCTAGCAGAACACCACGACCACAAATGCCCTTTTGCGCCCAGGCTTGAATGCCCAGTGGCGGACCGGCCTCGCCTCGAGGGTCGATGGGTCGATCGAGCCCGCGCTCAAAGGACTGGTGGATGGCTTTGCGGGTGTGTCCTTGATAGAAGCAGTCCAGAGAGAGATGTCCAAAGTGGCTGTGCATGGCAACAGAGATGCAAGTTCACTCAGCACAAATTCTGACCCAAGCTAGCAGCCCAGCCTTTGTGACGACTACTCACCTGAAACCATCCCATTGCGATCCGCTCTGAGTATTGATATGAATCTCATCATCGCTCACAGCCGCCTTTTCATCCCCATCCGATCGGTCCTCGACCGCCTCGCCGGCGACTCGACGCTCGTGAAGAACTGCCCTCCTATGCGAAGTGTAAAAGTCCCCTCCTTTGCCCCAGGGAGTATGCGTAGCGGCTTTGCGGCCAAAGGCTGGGTCTATAGGAAGATGCATTGGCCATGTGAGGGAGACGCAGTGGCCCGTCTAGAGAAGGGGAGGGGAAGAAAGAGTGAACGGACATTAGGCCTCCTCTATCTCCCTGTAAGCCGACCTCCCCTGGCGGGATATCACACTCACCCTGATCTCCTCCCTCGCAGCCTTGGCCCTCACCGCGTCCGTCAGCAAATTGAGCGTCCCCAGCTGATCTCCCTTTCCCCAAACTTCCCACGCACACCCAGGAAATCCTCCCTCCTTTGGCAATTCCTTATACCTCGGTAATCTCTCCCATTGCTTTGCCTCTTCGTGCGGTGTGAGGTGAGAATTCATCACGCTACCGCTGCCCACTGTCCATCCACCCGATGGATTCAAGATGGGCCCACTACCGGTGCGTAGCGCTTGACGGGAGGCAAAGGGGGATGTGACGGCTCCGCCTAGCTGCCTGGAGATGGAGAGGAGACGATCATTGGGCACTGATACGGCAGACGCAGAGGAAGAGGAAGAGGAAGAGGAAGATGAGGAAGATGTAGAGGAGGAGGAAGAAGAGGATCGCTGGGATCGAGTTGTCAAGCCTGCCCCTAATTGTCCGGCAATTCGCGCAATGCGATGGCGAGTGGATTCATGATGATCAGATCCATCCTTGGCTCCTTCCCCGCTAGGTCTGTTGGATCGTGACGATGAGGAAGACATTGTGGCCGTCTGAGAAGCGAGACGGAACAAATGGAAGAAGCCCCAGATTAAAGAAGGTATACAGTAAGAGGTAGAGATGACCGATTGGCCAGCTCCTCTCCTCTCCTCTCCTTTCCTCTGATCTCCTAGGCTCGGCGCCCAATCCCAGAGCGGGTGCAGGTGCGGGGTAGTCCAAGTCTAGACTGAGCTCACCCACTCACCCACTCGACTCGCCGGCATTCTGCCTGCTCTGGCCGCGCCCTTGTGCAGCCGGCAATCGGACTGCAGGTGCAGGTGCAGTGCAGTGCCAGTGCCAGTGCCAAGTGCGGGGTCTCCACATTCTCATTTTCACTCAGGGTGGTCTGTCTGCAAAGAAGCGCGCGAGACCCTTCTGGCCGCTCCAATTTCTTCATGGTTTTGAAGAGACGCAGACTGACAAGTGGGCAAGAGGGAAGCAGTACGCATGCAAGCAGTCGAGGTGGGAGAATAGGCATTCAATATGCACGGTGTCCTACGACGCGGTCGAGGACGACACGAAAGGAAATGAAGACGGGGACGCAAAGGGGAATAAGACGGGGGCTACTGGTGACGAGCGGTGGGAGAACAAAGTCAGAACCAAGAACCTCCATACTTGGACGTGCAGAAAAAGACAGGGAATAAAAGAAACAAAAGGGGAAGACAAAACAGAAAGAATCGAATGGCCGTTGTGGCATGGCGTCTGCTCGTCAGATCCCACTTGCTCCATCTTCCTTTGCCTCCTGCAGCTCACTCGCACCCATCATCCGCAACATGTCCAGCATCGCCTCATCCGGCAGCAAGCTCGCCCTCGTCACCGATGTGCTGTCCAGGGCAACCTCGAGGGCATCGGCATACACCGACTCCTCGCGCATAGACCTCCGAGCCTGCGAAGCTCCCTTGCGCCGCCTGGCCACCTCGGGCTGCTCCATTACCTCCATCTCGCCTCCCTCGCTGTCCGAGGTAGTGCTGGCAGCAAGACCTGCTTGTGATTCCGATGCGCTCACAGCGGCAGAGGGAGAGTTTGGAGCTGCAGCTGCAGCAGCATCTGCGTCCGCTTCTGCTTGTAGCTGAGCCAGGAGTCGATCCGTGTCGGCAGATGCGTCCGAAGTGAGCAGTAGCTCCAGATCCTCGTCTGCTTGACCGGCAGGTAGAAGACTGGAATCGTCATGAGGCGGCAGGCCGGGGATACGATAGCTTTCTTGAGGCGGTGCGTCCACTTCCGCATCTTCACCCTCCACTGCTTCCTCCTTAATCGCAATGGTTTGGAGTGGCTCAGGTGCGCTAACCGAGGTGGCGACGATGCTAGTGTCTGCAGCTGGCTCATCTATATCGTCTGCGGCCATCTCTGTATCTGCTTCGGACCGCCCGGTGACAGTCGCATCCCCAGGCTCCTCAACAGTGGCATCTGCCGCCGCTTCAGGCTCGAAGAGCCAGTCGTGGAAGGTCAGGATCAGCTTGACAACATTGGCCGCCTTGCCAAGGGACCCGAAGCTCTCTGCGATGGATGTGGCCGAAGGCGCTGGGTTGAGCAACGAGGTTCCAAAGACCAGACCGAGATTGTGTGGCTGCATCTTGTTAAACTCGGCCTCGTCAGCCACACGACCGAGATGCTCTGCAGTCCTTTGCAAGAGCTGGAAGTGATGTCGAGGGAACTCCCAGATGACGTCGCGGATGGCGTACAATCTCTCGTCGTGAGACTCGATGCCCTCTGCTGCGATAAGGCGGTGGTAGAAGGCGAAAGGCACCACAGGCTCTGGCAGCTCTCTGTACCACTGCTTGATGGCTCCTGCAATGGTGTGGACATCGCTGAACTCGCCGTGCTCGAAATTCACACTCTCGGCTGCTTGAGTGGAAAGCGCCTGCTTGAGGCCTTCGATGGCATTCTTAGCTCCGGAGATTCGATAGATACCCTGCTCTTTCAGACCACGTGCCTCGACGACAGCCAGCATCCTCTCCAGGCCCAACGGGACGGACCTGCCCTCTCTGTCCGCAAGAATCTTCAGCTCGACCCCGTAGAATGGCTCCGAATGAGTCGGCGCAGTCGTTGTTCCGCTCTTGCTCTTGCTAAGCAACGCCGCCGAGCCGCCCTTCTTGCTGTCTGACTGCGAGGGGTGTCCTGTACGAGACACAGGCGCCTCGCGGATGGTCTTCGAGACTTGATTGAGCCACTCATTCGCATCGTCCTGTGTAGCCGCCTGCAAAAGATAACAGTCGCCATCTTGAGCAGAGACGTGAAAAGTGTACGAGCGCTGAGTATTTTGCCACAGAGCTACTCGAGCACCAGCGAGGTTGATGACAGAGGCCGGTTTCTGGTTGGTTGAGATCAAATTCAACAGGCTGCCAGCGGAGCGTTGAGATATTTCTGCACCAGTTCGTTCTGTCTTGTCGTTGCCGCTGGCTATCAGACCGGTGGTTCCGCGGACAGCTCCACGGAACAAAGCCGTCACTCGGCGGGAACGTTTTTCGGCCGAAATAGCCGGACCTGGAGCCGCTGGGGTGACAGTGAAGGAAGGTCTGCCGATAATCTCTTGTGGACCAAAGCCGGGTGACCGAGTCACGGGCGCACTACTGTTAGCACTCGAGTCGAAGCCCTGACTGGAGGCTGTCGTCGACATCGCGGCTGTTCTCAAAGAATCGAAGGCTGCCCGGTCTCGACGCTGTTTCTCTGCATGTGCAACTGTGATCTTCTGCAATGGCCTGACAGCTCGATAACACGTCGTGCTAGGCAGTGGCTGACCTTCAAGTGCTTCGCGAGCGGCCTCTTCGCGGAATGTCCGGCGATCCCAATGCACTCTGCGGAGCCTGAGTTGCATGGCGGCCAATCGTGCGCTGGCCGTTTCTGCGATTGCCTGGCTGACGGGGGTAGGGCGGATCGCGAAAGAAGACTCGATGAGGTTGAAAACAATTTGAGATCGCTCAAAATCGACCAGAGTGCTGTCAGCAAGAGCGAGAGGTGACTTGCGTGAGACAGCTTGTGCAAGAGACCGCAAGAGCCAGCCAACATCGGGGGTCGATGGTTGCGAGGCCGAGGCAGCATTGAGAGTTGGAAGCGAGTCTGAGGCTGGGATCAGATCTTCCAATCTTTCCCCAGTACCACCTCTTGAATGGCAGACTCCTTGCCATGCCCTGACGAAAGTGCGACTCTCGGGAGCGGTCAGACTGCCTACAATGACGCTCTCGACGAAGGATCCGACTGTTGCGTCTTGGAGAGGGGCACTAGCACTCAGCGGTGTCGACGACACCTCCTCTGACCGAGCATTGAGCATCCGAGCTCTGCAGATCCAGATAGCATCCAAGAGCTTCTCGATTCGAGACTGTCTACGCTCGAGGCCTATCCGCTGCTCAATGATGTGGACAGCGACCCAGCCACGGAGGAGACTATGGGCAGAGCAAGCATCTCGGATGCTGGCAGGTAGCTTTTGCGAGAGTGACGCTACCCCATGATCCCCATCTTGGGGCGTCAGAGATTCCAAAAGCTTGTACATTGTCACCATTTGTGGCTCCGCCGCACCTGACTCGCGATTCACATGCCACCCTAGAGGATCGGTCGCTTGTCGCTCAAAGAGCTCTGCGGCCATCAGAAGGTCCTTCTCACTGATCTTGTCGAAAAATACGGAAGCGACACATTCCAGGTGCTCGACAATCTGAAGTGGGCCGGCAGCATCAAAGTCGCCTCGCTCGATTGCAGTCTGGCCATCAATCATACCCTCGTCATTCGGAGACGGCTCCTTCAGAGGTGGGCCCTCCAGCTTGAACTGAGTTCGTGTGTTGATCCTGAGCATGTTCACTCTCAGCGTGGAAGCCACCTCTTGAAGCGCAGCAACCGCCTTGGACAAATCAGTATCGCCCTTTGATGCGGTCGTCACACTCGTTGCGCCCTGCAACGACTCTTCTTGCTGACCAATGAAGGCATCGAAAGCAGCCAGGAGCTCTGGGAAGTCCAAAAAGTCTTGAGTATGCCGTTGTGTCCAGACTGTCAAGATCGAGACGACGCCTGATCTCACTCGAGCAGCGTAGTCCCGATCAGCAGAATCGAGCCCAGCCTCACTTTTGGCGGAGGATACAGGGAACATGCTCCAGCTGGGAAAGCGACTGGTATTGGCACCCTGTGGCATCGAAGACATCTCCTTGGCAGCATTGACGGCAGCCAAGAACCTCTTCCGCAAGAACTCGAAGAGGACAATAGGGGTGCAGGTGCTTCGATAGGTGGCCAAGAAGGAGGTGCGGAAGGCGTGCACATCCATTGACAGCTTTGACCTCCTTGCGCTTTGGAGAGGTATCTCGCCATTGTCGTCGGAGAGCGTGACAGTGAGGTCGGACACGCCTAGCACGAGGATATCGACTAGTCTCTCTAGGCTCGCAGCTTTCACGACCACCTGTACAGAGACGAACGCATCCACCATGGAGCTTCGCTGAGAAGCGGGAAGGCTGGATCTCTTCGACATTTGAGACAGCGGTCTACTCCTGCTGAGCTCCTGAGAGAATCGAGCGTTGCTCAGCATCGGGGATCCAGAGCTTGAGTTGAGTTGAGCGTCTTCGGTTGCCTTGAGCACTAGATCTGATCCGATCCTGAACACTGTCCCTTCATCATGAGGTGCAGCGCCTCTGTCTGCTAAAGCAGCCCATTCGCTGATGTCTCCAAAGGGCACGCTCTTGTTTCGAGTACCAATTGCAGGGTAGGTCCTGGTACGGCGCAAAGACGCCGGGCTAGAGCGACCCTTCAGAGGTGCTCCTCCGAGCGGTGAGCGAACGTACCTAGCAAAGCCAGCAGAAGCTTCAGCGCCACCCAAGGAGCCACTCGGCCGTCTTTGTTGCGACATGCCGGGGTAGAGGATGTTCACTACATCCTCCCGATTCAGCAAGTCGAGAGTTGGAAGAGCTTCGGGGAACATCAGAGGAATGAGCGCCTTGGCGTTGAGCTGTGGGGGAAGGGAGGGGCGCCAGTGCAGGTCCAGGTTGCCCAAGCCGCAAGGTTCGATGAGAACAGAGGTAGCAAGGTAAGAGGAGACACTTGACACGGAGCCACCAGCGGCCAACGTCTGGAGAGCGTGCTGAAACTCTTTGACTGGGGAGCCTACCCCTGGTATCGCAGCAGGTCGAAGGGGCTGACTTTGACAGCTGTCGGTGAACCATGCCCCGACAAGGTCATACAGGCAAGTCACCTCTTGCGTCAAAGGGGCAAATGGCAGTCTACTGTCGATGCTCGAAGCGCCAAGCACGTCTTGGATGCGGCTGAGAGAATCGCCGAAGAAAGGTATCGGTTGCTGTTTCCTGCCGTCCTTGTCCTTGAATTGCCTAGATGTGATAGCGCTGAGCGTCACTACACCTGCAAGGTGCGTCTGGCCTTCTTCACTCCAGCCTAGCTTCGCCAGCTTAGGCGTCCAAGAGGTAGCGTGGAGTATACGGTCACCCTCAGCGACGTATCGCCACGAATGCTGCAATCTTGCAACTGCTCTTGAGCAGAGCGCCACCATAATGGCAGCCCAGCCAAGGATATCTCCAAAGCTGAGCAGGTAAGAAGCAACTGCAATCCAGTGTCGGAGCAGGGCAGCGCGATGCTTTGCTGCTGTGGAGGAAACGTGCTGCTTCGAGACGGCACTCCGGCCCACGAGCTGGTCCAGAACCAATCGAGTCAAGTAGTGCGGCTGTGCACCACTGAATCCGAAGAAAGAAGGCGCCGGGAGGCCATCCTCCCCGCCCTCGGTAGGGGCTTCTCGCCTTGCGAAGGTTGAAACCCACAGACGGGGGATAGCTAACGCTCTGAGCCTGTCGCAGTGAAAAGCTTGAATCTGAGTAGCGACATCGGCAGGCTCGAAGCTGAGCAGGTCAGACCCAGACAAGTGACCTTGGGCAAGTGATGCGAGCTTCGGCCGAGCGGCATTACTCCTCAACTTGGAGTCGTCCCTATCTGATGAGAGTGTTACGTCTTGCTCCCCTTCGCCCGGTGTACCGAGGCTGTGCTGCCCAAGCCCTGTATTGACATCGAAGTTGAGACCGCAGACTTCCTTTGCAAGATCTTGAAGGAGCTCTGCGTTCTCGCCCTGCAGCCCATCCGCGTGATGCAGGACGAGCAGATCGCAGCATGAGCTCACACGAGTCCGCACACCTGTCTTGAAGCGGTCTACGTCCTCTTGACTGTCGCACTTTTGCCCTTGCAGTACATCGCCGATTTCAACTACGAGAGCTTGCGTGAGCTCTCCCTTCAGCTGTACAAGAAAGTCTCGTATCGACTTTCCATTTGCAAGGCTCACGTACAGGACGGTCTGAAGCATGTGAGCTGCATCCGATGGGTCATCATCGGTAGTAGACTGTGAAGCAAAGACGAATTCGTGCACCAGCGCTTCGAAAGAGCCGCTCTGAATGCGCGCTGGCCAAGAGGCCGGCATCTGTATACTTTGGGAGAGCTCAAGGTCTTTGTGCTTGCCCTCTCTATGCCAGCTCGGCCTTGTAGGTCCCGAGGTTTCCTTCCTGTGCGTCTCCTCGTCCTGGCCGGATGCCAGCGGCGATTTTTTGACCGGCGATGAAGGGATGCTGCGCGGCATTGGTAACAAGCTGGACCCATCCCTAGCCTTGGTAGCGTTCAATAGATCTTGAGTGCCGAGACCGCTCTGCTTCAGCATGGCTGCATCAAAGTTTTGATGGCCTAGTCCTCGGGAGACGGCTTCTTGCGCGCTGACTGATGCAGCAGACTGCCTGACGACCGAAGAGGGGAAGAGATCCTTCACCTCGTCGATGACTTGACCAGGTGGCTTAAAGAACATCATCTGCCCATCCTTGAGCAAGACCTTGTACGGCTTCCAACCTTTTGACACATCCTTCTCTCTCTGACTCTGTCCTCCCAGCTGTGAGAGAGGTACTGCTACATTCATGTTGCGGTTGAGCAGGCCCTGGAAGACCACACCAGGCGGAAGTGAAGCTGATCTCTGTGGCTCAGTCGGCAAACCAGTACCTCCTGGCCCGCGTAGCCTGTCAATCACGTTCGAGGCGCCTGCTGCGACGTTCGTCAGGCTGAAGGACGTCGAGAGGCCTCCAGAATGGCCCATCCCTCTGGATGCAGACTTCTTGCCAGATGATGAAGGTCCAAAGAATGTATCAGGGGTAGCAAACTTCGAGCCCGTACGGTTATGACTGGCTTTTGATTCCGGAGATGGGCTAATTGCACGAGCTCCATAAGAAAAGGCCATCTGAGTACTCTGAGAGCTGTTTCCACCACCAGTGCCGAGCGAAACGGCCATTTCACCTTTTGACCCGCTGGGAGACACTGCCCTGGACGAGTGGGAAGAGCCGGCCTGAAGAGTTCGGCCGGTCCCATCTATCCACATCGGCTGCTGTGAGGTCTCATCTTGTTCGTCAGGTGTAGCAAAGGCGACGATACCGCTGCCGAGTGGAATGGAACCATTTTGACCAAACATCTGAGGGGAGGGGCTTCGTAGTCCGCCTGCCTTGCCGTTGGGAGACAAGGAGGCAGGGTTGGGCGCCAGCTCGTCTGCGCTACGCGAGAACATGCTGCGTGGGCTTGGTGATCTCAAGAAGGCTCGATCGTCCAGAGCAGGTGCGCCGATACTGTTCGCCGTCTGTGACTTGGAGGGGGCCATGAAAGGCATCCTGGGCAGGTCGGATGACATGGAAGCAGGACTATCGTATTCGCGGCGAGAGGTCAGATCAGCCTGACTCCTACTGAATTGTCCGTAACCTCCTCCGCCGAGTGATCCAGTGTTTGCATGCCCCGAGGCGTTGCTAGAGCCGTTGCCAGCTCCTCGCACGGCTGCATGGGCACGAGTCGTGGAGGCTACAGAGGTCTTGCGATCGCGCGAGAAGAACCCTTTACTGGTAGGGGAAGATGCGGTAGCCGGCATTGCCTCGCTGCCGACGAAGCGACCGCCCCTCTGGCGAGAGTCTGCATCGTCTCCCATCGGGCGGCTGCCTTTGGATGGCGAGGACATTGCTCCATTTTGCATGCCAGGTGCTCTGGGGTCGATCCTGTAGAAGTCACCATCCTCTTGCAAGCTAGCCAGTGATGCCATTGAAGTAGAGGAAGCAGGCATGCCTGAGCTGGAGCCTAGCGAGGTGGAAGCCATGTGACCACTCTCGCCGCCCCCAGTATTTGACGAAGAGCCGGCGAATGTATTCTTGGCCTTTGAGAAGATGAAGCCAAGAGCTCCCCCTGATCTTGAAGTACTTTGAGGTTGTGCAAAAGTGGCAGTAGAGGCAGACGATGGCATGCCCGAGCCTGTTTGTGGGTAGGAGGATTGTGCACCAGGTGGTGGCATAGCTTCTGCACTGCCACTGCTAGGCATGCCTCTGTCACCATCTCCGCTGGAGCCGAGGTTGCCATTTCCCTGGTAGCCCCTCTGTTGTCGCCGCAGATCAGCCTGGGCAGCTCTGCCGAAGCTGCCCGTTGTACGACTAGAAGTGGGAGACTGCTGTGGCTCGATGGTTGCCGGTCGAGATGTCGAGTGGGGTGAGGTCGCAGTGGCATAGGGGTCTGCATCGCTGAGGGGCCCTGTACTGCCACTGGCGGCTGGTGGTGCCTGCTGCTCCTTCTTCTTGTTCCGCCTTAGCATCATCGGCAAAGGTGTCGAGGGGCGCAAAGGGTCGGGGTAGCTGATGAGAATGTTTATTGAATCATGCGAGGATCGTCTGGTCGAGGCTGAAGCTGAGATCAGTGGTGAGAGGGGTGTCTCTGCGAGTAGGATGTGAGTGCGTAGGCCAAAAGGAGGTTGGTGAATGCACAGAAAGTCGAAGGTGTGATTTTGTGTGCCGCGCCAAGGTGATGAGAAGGGATGCGGTGTTGTAGTGGTCGGTAGGAGAGTACGAGTAGGGTGTGATGGGTGTTGAAGGCAAGGCGAGGCGAGGCAAGGCGAGGCGAGACGAGGCGACTCTGAATGCGCCTAGTACGCGCGAACAAGAACAAGGCTTCGACGACTATGAAGGTGTTGGACGACGAGCAGAGGCGCGACTTGAGTTGAGCCATCACCCGCCTTCCTGTGCTGTCTGCGCCTGTCTGCCGCTCCGCTCACCTGTCCTTCCTTGCCTTGGCCCCTCCGCTTCCGAGGGGGAAAGCTGCCAGGGGCAGCCGCGAGCCCATGCACCTTCAAAGCTCCGCTCCGCTGTGCGGGGTCCACCACTCAGGCACAGACAGGCGAACGACAAGACGGCTTTCTCAACGTCAGTCAGGCGTTGCTTGGCCTGGGCCTAAGCGCCTGTCTGCCCATCTGCACTCCCCATGCCTTTCTTCCACCTCTGCACCGGATCCAATCTGGTTCCTCTTATCACCCTGCCAATCAATGCCTTGCACAGCTTGCCGAGGTTGCTTAAGCTCAAAGCGTTCTGGTCTACTCACGCTCGGCTCGCATTGGCACGCCTCGTTGTTCCTTATGTGCCGCACTCCTTTCTTCCGCCCCCTCTCTACCTCTCCTTTGCGTCGCACAAGTCCAAGGTAAGGGGAAGCGTGGATATCAAGGTGACAGATGACCTTGGGAAGATCTGAATTTGATGATAGTATACAAGATGAAATAAAAGTCTACCGCACGTAAAAGAAGAGGCCGCTGCCCCGCTCCAATCTCTCCCTTCTTCAGGTCTTCAGACTCCTCACCACTGGCATCTGCATCGCTTTAGCTCTTAGTGAGAGAGACCCCTCCATCGTACCTCCCAGAGGTCGACTTCGCTCGACCAGCCTCTGGAAGCGTAGACCGAGATCCACCACACGCGCTTGTTGCGCCTCGTACTGACGGCTCGGGAGCTTCGACGCAGGCTGCCAGGGTCGTACCCTGCGCTTCATGGCAGCAGGATCGCGTGGAGCGTCTCCAGGAGCGGGGGAATCCTTGTTGCTCTCGCTGGTATCCGCGACGGTAGGCCTGGGTGGAAGGACGACGACCTTCGGGCTGGCAGATAGCTGCAGCAGACTAGAGTAGAGGCTCTTCCTCTCACTGGCCACCGTCCTCAATTCATCATCAGTGGGACCCGCACGCTTCGCCTTATGTGGAAGGCCCGTCAGGCTCGCTTCTGCTTGTGCAAGGGAATCAGCGGGAGCACCTGCCGTCTCCACTTCGACTTGTAGGTCATGCACAAGGGGTGCCAGGCCGCAGGATTCGGCTGTCCAGCCAGCGGAGAGCAAGAGAGCGTTCTCTTCGCGTAGATACTTCAAAGCGCCTCTCATGGCGTCTAGTTGATCGAGGAGGTAATGAGTCTCGAGGTGACTTGCAGGAAGGACGGAGGCTGAGGGGAGCAGAGAATACTCCGAAGGCGATCCTGCGCCTCCGATCGTCCCAGGCTTGAGGGTATCCTTGCCACCATCTCGAGCTTTATTGGCCGCGATTTGAGTATCCAGCGCTTCCTTGACCTTCTCCAATGCCTCCAATTCAGCTTGGAGAACACCATTCGCATCTTGGTACGCCTTGGCTTGTTGACGCGCTTCGTTCAGTCGAGCTCTCGCCTCCTCAATTTCCTCGTCTTGACCCTTGCTCTTCTCGAGCTTCTTGTTCAGACGCTCGAGCTTGATAGCACCTTCTTGCAGAGCACTATCTCGCGCCTTGATCTGCTGGTATAAATCGCGCAGGTCGTCCTGAAGCCTCAACGCCTGACGCTCCAGCTCAACGTTGTGTGACGCGATCTCGTGCACAGCCTTCGAACGGGGCTCCCAGGGAACGATACCGCTGATCTTGATGACATTGTCCTGCTCGGTAGCGCCCATCACCAACCCATTGATAGTGGCAGACAGGTGCGTGGTAGCAGCAATGGCCTCTTGCCATGGATCGTCCGTGCCCGCGTGACTTGTGCCGGAGTCTTCTTCGGTATCAGTCGTGCTCAGCTCACGTGCTGCAGCCTTGACGGTACTCAAGAGGTCTGTGAGCACGAAGGATGACCCTGCTGCCTTTGTCTCGTTGAGGTATGCGAGGACGGCAGACTCGAGCGTAGTGGCAAAGGCGACAAGCTTGGAGCTCAGGCGGCCAAGAGAGGGCAAATTGCCAATCGCAGCCATGGACACTGCCTCGTCGTTCGAGGCAAGGCTTGATAGGCGGCGAAGCAGCTTCTTCGCGAGCAACTTTGCAGCTTTGACGTCACCAAAGAGACGGTCAAGGGGCTCAAGATAGTCGCCCCGCACGGTCTTGCCTTGTAGCTGCCAAGCAATGTTCTCACGGGCCAGCAGACTCTGAGCGCTCCAGAGCGATGCCGACAAGGTATCAAGATCGAGGTCAAGGAGAGTAGCGCTACCGACCTCCTTTGCTGCGAGGTCGCCATCGCCGTAGCTTGGCAAGAGCTCAACAGAGCCCCCACTCTCTGCTTGTTGGTGGAGAGCCTGTATCTCCTCTTCCTGCGATACCACCAAGGCGTAGCTGAGGTCTTCAAATTGACGTACGATGCGCTTGAAGTCGACATTGCACTCATTCTCCTTCAATTCTTCATGTCGCAAGGCTTCGACGAAAGCGTCGACTCGACCTTCAACAGCAGCCTGGACTTCCTTGAACATCCGCCCACATTTGAGGAAGACCTTGGGAGGAGCCGATCGAAGCATTGCGACGACTGAGCTGCACACGGCGGAGAAGTGTGCCAGCGAATGACGCAATTGGCACACGGTGACGAGGTGCTCTGGGACTTTCTGGGTGGAGGTCAGCACACCGTCCTCACCGACAGTAGTCACCTCTGATGACAGAGACCCGATCACCTGTGCGATGTCGTGCTTCGACTCGACACTGCTCCTGATGAGATCTGCTTTGGATGACATCCGCTTGAAGAACAGCAGGCCAGACAGGGCATCGCGGTCGCCCTCTTCCACGAAAGGCGGTGGCAGGTATGGCATGAGCATCTCCAGATGCAGGGTCGCCTGCTCGAACTTCATTCGTCCGAGCTCATTCTCAATCGTTCTCGCTTGAGACTTCAGAGCGGAGGATTGCAGCTTCATGTTCAAGCTCAGCATCTCCCGACTTTGACTGTTCAAGCTGGCTGCGTTCTGGCCATCTTCCAGGAGGCCATCTCGCTCCGCCCGTAGAACCTCGAGATCATTCTGCAAATTGAGCACAAGCTCTCTGAACTGCGAGAAGGTTGCCTCGTAGTCGACAGCGTTGGTCTCAAGCGCTTGACATCGCGCCTCCCACTCGCGTATGGCAACTTCCTTGAGATCGACCTCTTCTTGCAGCTGACGTTCAGTCTCGAGGTGGATCTCTTCAAGTTCCTCATTGAGCTCTTTGAGAGCCTCGAGCTCCTCAATGCCCGCTGTCAGCTCATTCATGCGCTCTCCGAGGAAGAGGTTCCGCTCTGTAAGCTGCTCAACCATCTCTTCGGCTCCAAGAGCATCGTCGAGTTGAGTCTTGACATCGTCCAGCTGCGCTTCATTCGCCTGAAGCTTCGCCGCTAGAGCGTCTCGCGAATCTTGTACATCGGCAAGGGAGTCGAGCTCTTTCTCCAAGTCTGAAATCCTTCGTCGTTGCTCGTAGTCGGTTTCCGTAGTGACGTCTCGAAGCTTGAGCAGGGCCTCTTTCAAGCGTTCATTCTGTTTCTGCAGATGGACCCAAGCAGTAGAGCTCTGCTCGACGTCGACATCGCCATGCTCGTACGCCTTATTCTCCTCGCGAAGAAGGTCAAGCTCCAGTGAGAGCTCTTCGTTGAGCTGTTTGATTTCTTGAAGGTCGGCAGCGGCAGCTTCGGCTTTCTCTTCTGCAACCTCTCGATCGAGGGCGGCCATTTCCAGCTGCTCGCTCAACTCCTCGACTCGTTCTTCAAGCTCGCTCTTGAGGATGACGAGTTCCCGCTCTGTAGTCTGCAGGCTCAAAACTTCCGCCGACAGCTTTTGAGCCTTCTCCGTGGTACTGTCGCTTGTCTTGAGCTTCTCAGCGACCTCTTCCTTCCAGCTCTCAAGCTCCTTCACCTTGACCCTCTCCTCGTCCCTTCGCTTCTCGTTGAGCCTGTTCCGAACGCGGAGCTCCTCAATTTCGCGTTTGAGGGCGGCAAGCTCTTGACTCTGAGCGGCTGAGACGATGGCTGCCGGTCTTTGAAGGTCGTCCATGCCATCAGACAGAGCAGTGCCAACTAGATCTTCCTCGTCGTCTTCCGAATAGAGCTGCGTCTCTTGAGACGGAGGATTTCGCTGCGACTCCGCCTTGGCTCGGGCAACGTTCAGTCGCTGACGAGCTTCGGCACTGGGACTCAATGATAGATCTACGTGCTCAAAGCCTCTGGCTGTCGGCGTTGCTTGGTCTGACGTATCTGCAGAACTTCGACGCGACAGCATTTGGGTCCGGCCTGAGGTTGCACTTTCACCTCGGCTGAGAGACGGGGCCATCATGCTGGGACGGGCCTTGGTGACTGGTCGCAGAGCGGCTCTTGCCGAGGTACTCTGTGCATCGGGGGCCGCACTCGTTGCACTAGAGCTAGCGGCCGGTCTAAGTCCTGGGCGTGACTGGCTAATAGGTGTAGCTCTACTGACGCTCGTCGAAGGTGTCGGGCGGACTGCAGTACCAGTATTTGTGCCACTCGTGGTAGATCTTGGGGCCGCTGGCCTGGCAGGGGCACCTGGACGCACAGCGGAAGCGACGGAAGTCCTTCCGGACGTCACTGGGCGAAGAGGAGCAGCAGATCTGGCAGCCGGTGTCGTCGAAGCAGGCTTGGCTGGAGATGCACGACTGGGAGGGCCAGACTTCGATGGAGATGATACGACTGAACGACGACTAGCGGGGGCAGTGCCGACGGAGGAGGCTACCGAAGAAGCGACCGAAGAACGCGAGACCAGTGAAGGACGTGAGGCAGGCCGCGAGGGAGGTCGCATGGTGCTCTTGTCTGGGCTACTGGACCGGCCGATGCTGGGCAGACCACTCCGTGAATCGGTACTGGGGAGTCGACGAAGCGAAGAAGGGGCGATTGATGCTCCCGGTGCAGTTGTGCGGACCTGCGGTGTTGATGGCAGTCCACGTAGCATGCTAGCCGGAGGGGAAGCCTGACTCAATGTGTCTGCGCCACGGCTGTCTCCCGACTGATCTTGATCGATCGTGTATGGCTCAACAGTCACATCCTCTGCCGTCTCTTCTTCTTCCTCTTCGTACTCTTCTTCGGGGAGAACCTCTATCTGAGTCGGTCTCACAAAGATACCCCTGCCAGGCTCGGCTTCGAAGTATCTCTTGCCTGCTACGCTGCCATCATTCTTTCCTTCCCCCTCGTCAGGGTCAAGAGCGATTCCCACCCATACGCCTGCAGCGAAGGAAGTCTGACCAACGAAGAGCACAGTTCCATGCCCGAATTTGGCGACATATACGCGAGAGTGCAGGCGTATGGGTCCGGCAGCAGGGGGAGGCATGGCGCGAGGCGAGGAGCCTCAGGAGGTGATGTTCTGCAAGATCCCGTCTGCTCACGGGATGGCCCCCTTCCAGAGCACAAGGATGTGGCAGCAGAAGCGTCCGATGGGTCGAAGACGAAGACGACGGCGACGAGATGCGAGGTGAGAGTGATGAGGAGTCCCTTTGTCGTCAAGAGGAAGCGTGGAGATCGACCTTGGCATCACCTCCCCGTTGCTGTATGGCCAAAGCGCGGGGGGTCGGAGGCGGCGTGGGCGGCGGAGCCTTGAGTTGCGTTGCCAACACAGCCAGGCGCGTCTGTTTCTCTCCACTGCCTCCCACTTGCCATCTACCACTGCGCCCCTGACTGGACCATCGTCACCTCGTACTTCTGTCTGTCACCTCTCACTTGACGCACAACTTCGACTCCCCCCTCGTTCGTATCTGAAACTTCCGGCGCAGATCAGATCCCCTGCGCTTCCTCGCTTACGCCACAAAGGGACACATCGAAAGGATCTCGTCGTCGCCGAGCCACACTTGTCTCCCGTACTCCGCTCTGCCCTTGCAACCACTTCAGCTACCATGAACCCAGAGTACGATCTCCTCTTCAAGGTGAGGATACTGCTCCTGTGATAGCAGTCAGCTTTGTCGACGAGCCGATCATCAGTACAGTGCTGATCGCCGAGATGCATGCCCTTTCTTTGCCCTCGCAGCTCCTGCTAATCGGTGACTCCGGTGTAGGAAAGTCTTGTCTTCTGTTGCGATTCGCAGACGACACATACACTGAGTCGTACATCTCGAGTGAGTAATTGGTGCGCTGTGGGACTGAACCACAGCTTTTCGAGCACTGCCGGTGTAGCTTGCGTGGATTCAAGCGGCTGACGGCAGCTCATCACATGGTCTCCTCACAGCGATCGGCGTTGACTTCAAGATTCGTACCATTGAGCTCGAGGGAAAGACTGTGAAGCTGCAGATCGTGAGTTCAACATTGGCAAAGGGCTTCTTACCCGCATCTGCATACTGAACCTATGTGGGATTCCTTGACTTTTGCTCCACTTTAGTGGGACACAGCCGGACAAGAGAGGTGAGTGGTGTGGCGAGGCGTATGAGATGCCCTCCGGAATGACTCGGCGAAGCCAGGGGCAGCAGCGAGTGAATAACTGACACTGACATGCCTACCAATCCTCATCGCTCTGCGCAACCCAGGTTCCGAACCATCACATCTTCGGTATGTATCATCAGCCTGGCTCATGCATGGAGGGCGTCGGATGTCACTACGGCTGCCGTGGCCGCCGGGGCTGTCAGCCGCCCATCATTGTGAACGCCCAGACTTGCGCTTGGAAAGCAGCACTGACTCATTCCATGCGTCTAATCGATGTCTCACGTCCCTCAGTACTACCGAGGAGCCCACGGTATCATTGTCGTCTACGATGTCACAGACCAAGGTGAGAAGAGAGTGATTCGCACTACCGTCCTGCCACTTGCTGACGTCCCTGGTGTTCTTGCCGTATTGTCCGTACAGACACCTTCTCGAATGTCAAGCAATGGCTGCAGGAGATCGACCGTTACGCTACCGAAGGAGTCAACAAGCTCCTGGTGGGCAACAAGAGCGATTTGGTCGGCAAAAAGGCAGTAGAGTACAACGTGGCCAAGGTGAGTCTACAGCCGGGTCAGGATCCATATTGGTGTATCAACTGTCCGCTGAACAACGTCTTCTTTCCGATGGTGCAGGAATTTGCCGACCAACTCAACATCCCCTTCCTGGAGACTTCTGCCAAGAGCGCCACCAATGTCGAGCAGGCTTTCCTGACCATGGCAAAGCAGATCAAGGACCGGTGAGTAGCTCGGCGTATTCACACGACACCCGCAAAGTTGCTGGTTGCGCATTGACTTACTTATGATCTTTCGTTCGATCGACAGAATGGGATCTTCGACCGTGAACAACGCTGGTGGTGCCGGAAAGTCGACACTGAAGGTGGGCCAAGGTCAGAACGTCCAGGCACAGAGCGGTGGTGGTTGCTGTTAAGAAGAGAGGACATTGCACGAAATTTTCACAACGGCATTAGCCGTCGCGAGGTCAGCAATTGGGACCAAGGTACGCCTGACGAGGCTACGCCCCGAGCTGATAGATGTTGCCTGGTAGTTTCAACATCCCAAGCACCTGACCACTGTGCATTGTGCAGGACCAGCGAGTGGGCTTTTGCTCATGACCACTCCTTCTTGAATTTAGTTCCGTTGATCGTCTGCTTCTCTATCGTCTGCCATGAAGTCTGTTCCGAGGACTCTGATCATCTTGATTCTGGACCATAGAGGCGTACGACTGATATTTGACTTCTGTCTCTGCGCGGGCGGTTCCGACTCGAACCGACGGAGCAGGCAGGCAGGCAGAGGCCAGCCCCCAGGCCTCCGCCCGCCCGCTGCCGCCCGTGAAGCGGCCATCACCCTTCCCGTCCTCTTAATTTCAAAGCAACACATCGAACGTCTTCTCTCCTCCTCCCCTGTCCTGCTCTCCTCTCCACACTTACTCGTCGCATACACAGCAAGAATGATTCGACCTACTGCTGTTCGCTCACTCGCTCGGTCGGCGCCTGCTTACTCTGGTGCTTTTCGCCCAAGTCACCGTGTGAGCGCTAGGAAGCCGGAGTTCCAGCCTCACTTTGGCGGAATCACTCCTGGTGTTGTCATGAGGTTAGTAAAGGTATTCTTGGTAGCTATAGAGGCGATTTGAAACAAGGAGCAAGAATGTGTAGAGGTAGAGATGAGGTGGCTCATGGAATGGCACTCGCGACTGGGTGGGCGAAGCTCTACATGAGCTGGAAGAACTGGTTCAGCAGAGTCTCGGCCTTGCCCGTTGGCTCTGAGCATCCTTACTGATCCCTTGCGCCCTCCTTCTCCATTTCGTTTCTCCCCTCACCATCAGCTGGGTGCCCAGTCTGGCTCTTTGGGGAGGTGCGGCAGGTGGTGCAGTGTTGCTGTTCATGAGCAAGGTGCCCATCTTCCAACACGATGTTCTGGACAAGATTCCATTTGTCAAGACCTTCTACGTCGGTAAGTTGTACAAATGAGCTCTGCTCTGCTGACCATCTGACGGCAGCCGCACTCCTGCTGATGTGTGGTCACACTCCTCCTCTTCTTTTATGTGCAGACGACACACCCGACTCTGACAAGCCCTTCTAAATGGGAACAAAGACGTTGAATGGGACACAGGATCTGCTCAGAGCGACAGTTGGATCAGGAGAGAATGCGCTCATCAATTCCAAGGCTTTGCTGCCTGTATCTCTGCAAGCTTTGCGGCTACTGGTGGGAGTTACTGCAATGACATTGGATACTCTTACCACGGTGGATTTGACTGAGGCCGACAATTGGAACTGGCGCGGCAGGTGCATTGGCTGACAGACACACGGCATACTGTCGTCGAGGAGCTTCGCAGAAACGAGGAGTGGCCCAGACCCAGGGCGCTGCTCGTGTGGCTCATCATTGGAGACCACCAGAGCGGGTCTGCCAAAACATGCGCAATGAAGGTGTATGCGATGGCGAAGGCTCAGTCGAGTTCTTCGTCTGGTCGTCTGGTCGTCGTGAGGCAGAGACTGTCAGGACTTGGTCGTTTGGCTATGGTGCGTCGCCGTTGGCCTTGTTCTTCTCACGCTCTCGTCTGCGATTGCGGGGCGGAGCGTGGTGGTGGCTTCTTCGCCCCCGCCGCCAAGCAGGGCTTGGTGTGTGGCTGTGACAGAAGCGATGTGAGCGAGGTCTGTGCTTTGGCCCAACGCGCCTCCTGAGTCGCGACTTGGTTCCTCTACTCTGCCCTGCCCTCTCTCTCTTTCCCTTGTCCTCCTTGTCGTGGCCCCTTGATTGTCTCCTTTGCTTAGATTGCCTCTGCTCAAGAACACGTAGATAGAAGACAGAGGCATAAGGAGCTCCAGTCGCCTGCATCCTGCTCTGCCTCTACGACTGGCAATTGCCGTACCTGCATCGAGGCCAGAAGGTCAGGCAACGCCTCATGCTGCTGCCAAGGCACCTCACCACCTCTCCTTTCTACCATCAACCTCGTCCCTCATGATTCTCGTCCCTGTCCTCCTGCTCATCCTCATACCCGCCCTACTGGCGTCTATATGCATACTGTCCTTACTCCTCTACATCGCACTCTATCGCGCCTCCACCACAACCAGTCGCACCTCCCTCGGCCGGTCAGCAGCTGTAGTCGTACTCGGCGATGTGGGTCGCTCACCCCGGATGTGCTATCACGTCGAGTCCCTGGCAGATGAAGGATGGAGAGTAGCCGTCGTAGGCTATGGAGGTTCGTCTCTGCCTACGAGCATACAGAGGAGTAGCGTACGCTTTCACAAGCTCAAAGAGGTGCCAAGCTGGATTGCGAAGCTGCCCAGGGCGGCATTCGTAGCTGTAGCTCCTCTCAAGCTCCTCTGGCAGAGTGTGGGACTGTTTTGGAAGATCACAATGACCATCCAGCCGCCGCCGGAGGTCATCTTTGTTCAGGTGAGTGCCGATGGATTCGAGCAGCAGACCGACATTTGCAGCTCAAATGTTTGCCTCTCATTCGTGACTCCTTCTGTAGACCCCGCCTGCCTTGCCGACGCTGCTGATCATTCGGATATGCTCGCTGCTGCTGTCGTCTCGTGTAGTGATAGACTGGCACAATCTCGGATATACCATTCTCGGCCTGCGCCTGGGCCAAGACTCCCCCCTCGTCTCCTTTGCTCGGACTCTAGAAAGGCTCTCTGGACGTACAGCCTTCGCTCATCTCTTTGTGACTCACGCAATGAAGCGGCACCTGGAAGTGGAGTGGCAGCTTGAAGGACACAAAGCTGTCCTGCATGATCGACCTCCGAAACACTTCAGGAAGGCCCATGTCAGCGAGACGCATACATTGTGGAAAGGGCTTGCTCCACGGCTGACGCCCGATCTCGAAGACTTCTGGCCCAAAGAGTCACAGGTCACAAAATCGTCTACACCCTTTACTCAGCAAGACGCTGCCGGTAAGATCTCGTTGAGGGCTGATCGGCCCGCCCTGGTAGTCTCTTCGACGAGTTGGACAGCGGACGAAGACTTTGGTCTCCTGCTGAGAGCAGCGCAGCTGTACGAGAAGCGAGCAAAGGAGATCCGTGGCCGGACCCAGGCCTCGAGCTCGACGGCATACTCAGAGTCGCCTCGTACCAGCGTCGATTTGCAACAGCACTCGAGCAACGGATCGACCAGCGGGGCTAAATTGGAGGTGCGGCTGCCCGCCTCGGCCTCCTCTGACTCGTTAGAGATGGAATGGCCGGGGACCCCCTCTGGGTCCCGCCCATCTCATCGTAGCCGAAGGCCCTCTGGCCAATCACGCAGGTCATTCACGCTGCCCAATACCCCTGCTGAGCGACTGCCCAAGCTGCTCATTGTCGTCACCGGAAAAGGAGAGCTCAGGTCGTACTACGAGAAGGAAGTCGCGCGACTGGAGAAGACCGAGGCCTGGGAATTTGTCAGGATCAGGACGGCTTGGCTGGAGAATTGGGAGTATCCACTTCTTCTCGGGTCTGCAGATATCGGCGTCTCACTACATACCTCCTCATCTGGTCTAGACTTACCCATGAAGGTGGTGGACATGCTCGGATGTCATCTGCCCGTCTTAGCCCTCGACTTCTCCTGCCTGGACGAGCTGATACAACACGGCTACAACGGCTTGAAGTTCAGCGATGAGGAGCAGCTGGTAGAGGGACTGGAGAGTCTGCTGGCAGACTTCCCTCACTCGTCGAGCTCAGAGATCGGGAGCAGTGAACAAGGCAATTGGTTGGTCAGGGGTGGTGGTCTGAAACAGCCTTTCTCTCTTGCTGGCAGAGAGATAGAGATGGATCGTGAAGCCACGCCGCGGAATTCTGGCGAGACCAGTGCTCTGCTGGGCGGTGGAGAGGGTCCAGCAGATCCAAAAAGGCTGACACTCGACTTTTCCAAAGGGGGTCTGCCTACATCCTCAAACTTTGGCTCTCAGGCTTTACCGTCGCCTACAGGGTGGGACACTTACGATGCCGGTAGCGCGCGACTCATCTCTCAGCCCATGACTCCCACGCCGAGCTTCACAATGGTCCCCTCGCCCATCCTCGGTTCAACTCCTCTCGACGCATTGCCTGGTGGTCTTCTCCCCCTTAATGGCAGTGGCAACGACGGGCGCAAGCCTCTAGGGGAGGGCAACAACACTTGGTCTCGCAACTGGAAGGCTACCGTTCGCCCGCTACTGCGTTTGGCAGACGAGGAAGATGCGCGAGCCGAGGGAGAATCTCTCTCAGATGAAGAAGAAGCCGAAGAGGCCAATGAGCTCCTCCAAGCAAGCGGGCAAACCGCCAGAGTCTCTCCCGCTCGGGGCTCTGCGCGTGCACCTGCGCCACCCCTCTCCGCCTCGTCAACTACTCCAAATCTCTACTGTGCAAGCGCCTCAGGGTCGGGGGTTTCCTCCTCCCCGAAGCAAAAGTTCCGGAGAAGACTAGGTTCGGATGGCCGACCCCTGCGGGTGCGAGGAGGCTCGGTGCACGGCCTCCTGTGGGGAGCAGCAGATTGTCCGGGAAGTCCTCCGATTGGCATCGGCGCGGCGGGAAGTGGGGCAAGGCGGCAAGATGGAGCCGACGATGGAGACGGAAACAACGGCGATGACGACGACGACGGGAGCGAGGGACAAATTCTCGTCGGTCTCCTAGGGACCATCACTCCACGCACATCGCCTGTAAAGACGCGGAACAGGGCCGCTGGAAGAGCAGGACCCTTTGGGCTGGGCTTCACATCTCTTTCCCCTCGCGGCGGCGGCGGCGGCGGGAGGAACGACAAACACAAGAAGAAGGAGGACTCGACAGGCGCAGGCGCAGGCGCAGCTGCTGCTGCCGGAGCAGGAGCAGGAGTCGGAGAGAGCATCGAGGCCCCTTCATCTGTCGTCGTCACCTCTCACGAAGAGACGCGCGGCCTTGGCTTGAGTCTAGGCATGGGTGTAGGTCCGAATGTGGGAGAAACAGAAGGAGGAGGAGGGAGGTCGGGAGGTGCTGCACGTCACTTGAGACAGAGGACTGGAGTGGGGATTCGAGAGGGGGCAATTCCTGATATTAGGGTCAGTGAGGTTGGGAGTGCGGGAGGGAGTGGAGGCTGAGAGGAGAGAGAGAGAGAAAGAGAGGGAAGACAAGCCGCGGAGAGGATGGCTGATGATTGCGAAATTGCGTGGACGTGGATGTCTTTTGTATACCAGGGATTCAGGAGTCTGATGTTGCTCTAATGGCATAGCATGGCATGGCATGGCATGGCTGTGATATGGCTCCTTGACTACTTCATGTCGTGATATGCATTGAACAGTGCGCCTGTACAGACACTCGACTTCCCGTGCACCCTCCAAGCACTTTCACTGCTCTCATTTGCAACCTGCGTCTACGCACTACCCCTGGGAGGAGCAGTCGTACCAGTCGTCGTACTAGCCGCAGCCGCAGCCGCCGCCTCCCTCAACACCCTCTTCTTCTCCGTCGCCCTCTTCCTATTTGCCGCCTTTCTCCGATTCTTCTTCATCGTTCCCGTCTTTGAATACACTGAAGCATCAGGATCTTTTGCTTTTGCTCCCAAGTCCACAATACGCAGAGCGGTGCGCTCCGGCTTGAGCTCGGCGCCTGCACCAAGGTACGAAGCGGCCGCTCCGCTGGTGCGGAGCTTCCCGTCGGGCTCGCCGGAGGGGAGGAGGGTGAGTCGACGGAGGTTCTCCTCCTTTTGGGCCTGTAGCTCTTCGCCCAGAGCAGACTGGCTGAGCTCGACGGCACCCTCGTCTCCACCTGCCACGGCGGCCTGGGCTCGGACGTCCTCCTCTCGCACCTCCTCTGCTAGCGGGCCACGGGCCTCTAGGTTGGCTACACCTTCGCGGGGCGGGGCGGGGGAGGCTTCTGACCCGCCGTAGGGCCGTTGTAGGTCGTCGGGTCTCTTGGGGTCTTGCGAGGGACGCGGTAGGTTCACTTCTGAGCCGAGGAGGCGCTCCATGTTGGATTGAAAAGAAATTTGCAGAGGGACAGACTGTGATGGCAGGATGAGGCGGGTGAAGAGTCAGTACAATGGCTCGCCTCTGATGTAACCAGCTCTTCCTCTGCAGATTGCAGCGGTCCTCCATGCTCCATCCCTCGTTGCCGTCTGTGTGTTCAGCGAATTGTATACGTATTCTAACCATGGTTGTGTCTTCAAGACTAATCGAATTTTTTGTGTTTTACTCATCATGATGACCTCTCGTCCTCGTTGCATTCCACCAGACCGCTGTATCCTCTTCGATGCTGTGCGGCCGACTCACCTCTTGCTGAAGCTCTCCTTCCAGTGCTTTGAGTCGGAGAATGGCCTGAGTTCTCTCCATTGTCTGGCCAAAGAGGCCCGAAAGGTTCCTCACTGTCCACCTCTTAGGATTTTCGCTGTGCATCTTCCACATCTCATCGCGGACCTTCTGAGCTACAGGAGCAGGAGGATTGAAGGAGGGGTTGAGAGGGAATGGCTGAGGATAGCGGAAGAGCAGAGACATGAGGGTGAGTATGAGGGTGAGTTCTACATCTTGACGGCTCTGAATTGGGCAGTAGCAGACCACATGTCAGACTCACAGTGTTGCCAATCCAGAATGGTCCCTTTCCAGTGGCGTTGGCATACTGTTCCCTTCCTTGCTTTGCGAACCATTCGGGAAAGGGTGGTAGTGACCTATTGGCAGGTGGCCTCCTTGTCCTTCCACCGCCGCTGCCGCCTTGCCGAGATCCACGATCGCCTGCTCCAGGCCCTCCCCGGGATGAGGGACCAGTCCTGCCACGTCCGGCACTGCTGGTGGATCTTTGCGGTCGCTCACTTGACTGCGAAGGGGGAGCAGAGGAGCCAGAGGGTGCGGTTGTGGTAGATGACGATGCTTCAGCCAAGCGGGGTAGGCTGATCGAGAGGGAGCGAGAGGAAGAGGCGGCGTGAGGTGCGATGGCCAGCTGAGCCAGGCGACGGGAGAGGGTGGAGCTGGACATGGCTGGTAGCTTGCCGAGTAGTAGCGAATGAGGAGGTGGGTGCTATCCGCGTGTCCTGTTGGTCGTCGTCGTCGTCGTCGTCGTCGTCGTAGCTGGTGTGGACCGCCTGTCTTTGTAAAAGTGGGTCGTCTGGCTGTGAGCGTCGACTTCTTCGTGGGCTGCGCGGTGGCTGGAGTGGTGCGAGTGCAGTGCAGCCGAGGCAGTGGAGACTCTCCGCCCGCTCCGCCAAAATTTCGATTGCAACGAGTGCGAGCCTCGACGGAAAGAGGCGCAGACAAGAGGCTTCCTTCTGATTCCTGGCCACACACACCTTGACGACGCACATCGTAGTCTACCAGCTCCCCCCCCCCCCCTCTCCAGGTCCACGCTCAAGGATGTTCAAGCGACTCACCAAGTTCAACCGCAAGAGGGACAAGGACATCGCAAATGGCATCGACGTCAGCGCAGATGCTCCTCCAGAGGCCCTCCTCGACGAAGACGAGGACAGTAGCGACGAAAGCGGCAGCGAAGACGAGGTAGACCAAGCCCAGTCGGATTCAGACTCGGACTCGGACTCGGAGTCAGAAGAAATGGAAGAAGCGGCAGAAGTGGAAGCTTCCGGTCTAGTCAAGGCCAGCAGTCAACAGCCGCTGCACAAGGGCAATGGCAAGAAGAGGGCCGCTCCTCAGGACGACGATGAGGACGAAGAGGACCAGTCATCTGGCAGTCAAGAAGACGAGGACGACGAGGATGCTTCTGATTCCTCGGATGATGACGAAGCTCCGATAGACCTCTCCATACCACCTCTCTCCATTTCTCAATCTCTCGAGTCCCCCTTCTACCTCTCCCCCCTCTCCCCCTCCAAGGCCGGCGTCCCATGGATCACCTGCCTCGTCTGTCCCCTCTCCCAACTCAAGACAGACACCAGCGTCGAAGTCCACTCCAATGCCAAGGGACACCTGAGGAGATACAATCGGTACAAGCGTTACGTCGAGGCAAAGCTGAGCGAGGTGGAGAGGACAAATGAGTGGAGTCAAGGAGGAGCAGACCCTAGGGGAATTGTCAAAGAGGTCGAGGACGAGGTGAAGAGGGTGCAAAAGGCAGAGACAGAGGCAAAAGTCAGTGGATCGGGAGAGCCCAAAGCGAAAAAGGCGAGGAGGCAGAGTCGGCAGCCAAAGACCACAGAGGACAAGCAGCTCGAGGGAACGCCGTCTACTTCTACTTCTTCAACTACTACCACTCGTACGGCCTCGGAGAAGGCCATTGCAAGGCGAGAGCGAAAGAAGGCACATCGCAAAGCATGGAAGGCTGGGAAAGATGCCAGGCGGAGAGAGAAGCAAGCTGCTGAAAAGGGGGCAGGAGGAGATACTGATGCCGCTGCCGCTACTCCCGCTGCTGAAGCGGGTAAGAAGGCTGGGTCATCTACCAGTGGTCAGACCATTCCGCCTGCTGGAGACAAGTCTCCGCGCAAGGACAAGAAGGCGAACAAGAAGGAGAAGAAGCAAAAGGGAGCAGCGACATCGGCGACACCGGCACCGGCAGCAGCAGCAGCCCCAGCCGAGGCAGTCAGCACCACGGATAGCGACAAGCCGACGAAGTCTAAGAAGAGCCAGACCGACACCAAGAAGAACGAGAGCGACAAGTCCGTTTCACCTTCAAAGGAGAGCGAGAGCAAGAAGAACAAGAAGGACAAGTCTGAATCCGATCCAAAGGAAGTGAAGTCCAGCATGGAGTCAGCTGGAGAAATCACGGCGGCAGAGCAGAAGGAGAAGAAGGAGAAGAAGAAGGAAAGGAAGGAAAAGAAGCGACAGAAGACGGCTTGATTTCCCCTGCCCAGAGAGGCACCTTTTCTTCCATTTGTACTTGTAAACGTAGCAAGAAGAGCAATAGTAATAGAGTGGAGCTGTGAGACAAAGTAGCGATCATCGTCGGTGTTTGTGCGAGTGTTTGTATTTCTGCAAATGCGTGCGCAGGTGGTGAAGAGGGACTATTTGTCGATATGCTCGCTCCCACTCCCCACATCCATCTCCGGGACACTCACCCGGAGCACGAGTCACAATGGGAGCGGAGCACAAGTGCCGAGAGGCCGGCTTGGGGAGGAGGAATAAAGCGGGGTAGTATTACTAATCCAATGCAATTCAATGTCATGTTCAAAGAAAAGGAGCAGTGTAGACTTTTGGTGTATCTGGTCAAGGAAATGTCACCCTACGAATTTTTCAGCCAATCTCCTCCTTTCCTTCTTTCCAAGATCAGGACTCCTCGTGAATAGCGGGACTTCAGGCAAAGGGAGTTCCGACGAGTTTAAAGAAGGTGGGAAAGAGGCAGACTGAAGAGGAAAGGAGGAGGAGAAGAACCAAGTGCGCCCCGTTATCCAGGCCGAGCTTGATCCTCTACCCCCCCCCACTCACTCCCAATCTACCTCTGAACCCCTACCCGATCTCCCGCCGTAAGCTCACCCTCCTTTGGACCCTCCCGAGAACCCTGTCCGGACAGCGAAGAAGGACAGCCTTGTTCAAGCCGACCCTCCCCTGAGTCCCAAGTGGAAGAAAGAGTCAAGAGAAAAAAGTGGAAGATGGCGAGGGTTCCTCTCTCCTCCGGGTCCTCTCAGTTCAACCTCCATCGCTTCCCCTCAAAGAGAGAAAGAGAGGAGGAGGAAGGGAGAGAAGCAAGGGAAGAAGTGAGAGGCGCACGATGTGAAGTCGTACGATGGTTTCTTTGTTGGCAGAAATGACACAAACGCTGACCACGATGCGAATCCTCTCCGAAGAGAGAATTCGAGGAGCAGTGCTCTTAAGACCTGCCGTAGAAGGTGGTGGTGGGGGAGGGGTGGATCGGGCATGGGGCAGTGTTCGAGGAGAGAATGTGGGAGGAGAGGCAAGGGACGCAGAGGGGGGTTGGAGTGGAAAGCGGCGACACTCTCAAACGCAGTACCTACCATACTTCAGATCTGCGGCGTATGTGCGGCGTGACAATTGGGTATCATCCCTCTTTCCATTGATTTGCACACTTGGCATCTGTACATCGGTAGAAGGTCGTCACTGGTGGAAAAGGGGCGCGGTTCGTTGTCAGTACACTGACACAGGGATGGTTGTCTGAGAGACGCTCTTTGACTCACTAGGCTCGTCGGCTGATCGAATCTGCAGCTGCATGAAGAACGCTCTCGGATTCTCGCACTTCGGGCAGGGCGTGTCCGTGGAGTCTACGTTCTTCCAGCTATCCTCTCCACCCATCACGTCGTCCACTTCCTTCCTGCGAAGTTGTGTCCTCTTTGTGATCTGCTTCGTGATGGGAAAGTGATAAGGGCAGGTAGGACAAACCCATTCATTCCGACCAGAATCATCATGTCCAATGAGGAGGATATTCGCGCAGGTCGGACAGAAGAGCATCTTGTCGTAGAGCCTGCAGCGAGGAAGACGTGTGAGCCCGTTCGCTATGGAGGAGGCAAGAGTAATAGGACCTCGACAGGCGCGTCACTAGAGGCTGATGTTTCGTCTGATTGGTCGAAGACGATAGCTGTTGGGCCTATCAGTCACCGTGTAGACCTGCCTACATGTAGATGTGTCTGACGATCTTCTGTAGAGATCTAAGGCAGATATACGAAACAAAGGAGTGTAAGCCTTCTTGTTCGTCAAAATGCAACGATATTGGTCACGAGAGACGGCTCAGAAAAACGAGTTGAAAGCATCGGCCTACCCCTTGAGCCAATACAGCACTTTGTCAGGCGCCATGGCGACTCAAAGGGAGGACTAGCAATTAAGAGGTGCCAGTTATGAAGGAAGCGCAGCCAGTGCTTAAGCAAAGGCCTCGATGCGCCATCGTCATTGCCGATGTGGGAGTGGGAGAACAGGTAGCAAGTACTCACCTCTGCTGAACGAAAACTCCTCCGCACAAGCACAATTGTACGAGGGCGGGAGAAGCAAGGATCAAGGCATCGTTGTGGGCGAAGACGCGGAGGGAAGAAGATGTGAGTAGCCAGGCGTCCGCTTGGACGTTTTGCCAAAAAGTGTCCGCCGTGCGCGCAGCGTCTTTCGGAAAAGTGCAGGAAGCAGAGGCAGCCAAGAAGATCCACCTTGATCCGCTCATCATCCGCCATCCTCCAGAGATCACTCCACTATCACGATCATCACACGTCCACGATGAAGAACGTTTTACGAGTAGGCGGTCAGCTCAGGCAGGCAGTGGCTAGCACGTCGAGGCTACCAGCTGCTGCCAGACAGCTGCACGGTTCTACGCCCCTCGATCCCGCCGACAATGCCTCAGGACAGAATCAATCGCAGACATTTGGAATGTTTCCACCTGGTCAGAGCAGTACTCAGCAAGGCGGTCTGTCTGTCTCTGATCTCGCTCAGGCCTTCGCAGCCGGTCAAGGTGAGCATCGTACTCCGGTCTTGTTGCGCGAATGGACAAGTGATGACGGCAGCGTTCTGACCTATTCACTCATCTTACCTACTGCCTCTTCGTAGCCTCCTTTTCACCGGCTCAGGACCAGACAAGAGTCTACACGAAGCTGAGGCATCTGCATCCGTCCACGAAGCAGCCTGCCGCTTCCACCTCGGAATCGCAGCAGTACGTGCCCCTCTCTGCTCACGTCTTTGGCACTACCCCGCGTAGAGATATTCTTCACTCTGCCATTGTATACCACCTGGACTCTCTCCGCAGCGGTACAGCTAGCACAAAGACTCGTGGTGAGGTCAACTATTCCACAAGGAAGATTCGCCCTCAGAAGGGTACTGGTAATGCTCGATTGGGCTCACGCGGCAACCCGCTTCTGAGAGGAGGTGGAGTGGCCCATGGACCAAAGCCTAGGGACTTTGCGACTGAGCTGCCACGACGAGTGAGGGAATTGGCGTTGAGAAGCGCACTGAGCGCTCGGTGGAGGGAAGGAAAGCTTCACGTCATCCCATCGCTGTACTGGGACGCACCACCCCGCGTGACAGGCACGCTGCGTCGAGCTCTGGGCTCTCGGGGTTGGGAGGACACCCTCTTCCTGACGGCGCCTCGTTCTCCTCAATCAGCGCAGAAGATGGGTATTCGGCAAAGAATTGGTCGACCGTCAGCTCTGGATCCAATCTACACACCCGAGCAGCTGGACGCACACGGGCGCGACGTGCAGAACTTTGCCATTGCCCTGGCGAACATTCCCAATACCGAAATGATTCGCCTGGATCTTCTGACTGAAGAAGCGAGGCAAGAAGCAAAGAAGGTCACGGACAAGAAGAAGCCGGGAGAGCTCCCAGCGTACGAGGTGATCAAGCGCAAGAACACTGTGCTGGATCTGGGAGCTGTGGAGTGGCTGGAGGAGAAGCTAGGAGGTAGCATCTTCCACGTCGAAGAGGGTGAAGAGGGATCAGAGGCTGAGCTGGGCGGAGTGCCCCAGGAGGAAGGGGAGCAACCCTCGCTGGACGAGCTAGAGAGGTTGGCAAAGGAGGAGGCGGACGCAGAGGGAGTGGAAGGCATCACGGAAGAGGTGCCGAGGGAGCTGCCGACTACTTCGGGGGAGCAAAGGAAGTGAGCCTCTGTAGCGTCTGGCCCAAGGAGTGGATCAATATGGGTTGCATAGCTTGGCCCGTGTGTCTTTGGGGGTGGTGTGAGCGGGAGCCAATTGTCAATGATTCACGGTGCCTTTGACGCCACTCGCGAGTGTGCTGCCATCGGGGCGTAATAATTTGCCGATCTCTCTGGGTAGGCCCGTGTGAGTGAGGGAGGGAGAGAGTGGGTGCGAGGGCTTCTGTGCCGAGGAGGACGGCTGGCCTTGCATCGATCGCTCCGCCGGCGGGTGAGGCCAGGGAGGTGAGACAATCAGCGCCGGCGGGAGTGGGTGATGCGCGTGGCCTCGTCTCGTCCCCGCGCCTGGCACCTGGGCACTGAGTCGCCTCCGTCCCGCTGCGCTGGTGGGCCGTGGTGGTGGGCCTTGCCCCCGTGGGCCTCTTGCACGAGCCTCGTCCACCCGCCCAGGATCGATCACCTGCTGCTGCTGCTGCTGCTGCTGCTGCTGCTGGTCCTCCTTCTTCACCTCACCTCACCATCCTCACCAAACTTTCCCTTGATCATCTCCTTGAGACTGGCATCTTTGCGTCAGTCGTTCCTGAGCGCCCTTGAGAGACCACTGCAACTTGCCGCGCGACAGCAACGCCTGGCCCTCGTGCCTGACACAACAAGGCCAGATTACCCCCCGCCTCCCCAGGGCGGCATCTTAGTCACTCGCAAGGACTTGGCATTGACCTGACCTCGCAACACACACACACACACAGCTCCGCACACCCAAGACGGCACCCATCCATTCGCACATCATCACACAAGCACTCGTCAGGCCATAGCTCCGCAAATCTACACCCGTGTTGGATTAGCCTAAGTGAAATTAGCCCGGTCTTGCCCAGCTGCCGTCCAAGCTTCACATTCCATCACACCCAACACAACATCGACCCTTTGGCTCCACCTTCGTCTGTCTCTCTGTCCATACCAGCATTCCGACGCGCAAACACATCTCCCAAGTACGCATACCCACAGTCACATCCCTCCAGTCAAGCTCTCCACGACCCACGGCGCATCACAGGACCTCTAGCCACGTCTGCTCAAGAGAAGAAGACGCACAATGTGTGAGTAAGAAAAGCCTCGACCAACGGCTCTCGTCCAATATCTGCGTCAAGCCGTTGCATCACTCCATTCCTCTCGGTTCCGATGCTACGTTGGCAAGTAGAGCGATCGGCAAGGAGGGCCAGCCAAGCGCTGCGTCGTCCTGCCTGGCCTCTCGTCAGCGATGGGCCAACGTCCGATGGCCCGTGGTGCACTGATGTGCATCGACGTCGTGTCTCTTATGGGCTGTTCATCTGACGTGGTGTCCCCCGACCCTGCTCCCTCCTCTCCTATTTCTTCCGACGCTGCCGGCTTCGTCTCGTTGCTGTGCTTGTTTTCCATTCCAGCTACTGCCGTCCGATCCTCTCGGCCGGCACACCGGTCCCGTCGTACACAGGACAATGTCCTCGCTGCCCTGTCAGACGTCGTGGAGATATCCTCCGACGACAACCGACCGCGTTCCAACCGCCGAGGCGCAGCCTACTCGCCACCAGAACTGTCCCACTCCACCTCATATGCAGGAGCAGTACCAATGACGACGGCTGAACCTCCCCTCTCCTCCCTGCCTTCTTCCGGCAACGTAGCCTCCCACAATGACCCCTTGAACAATGGCGTACCGCCTCCGGTGCCCTCAAAAGGACGTACCACCTCCTTTGACAATGAACATCTGTCGGCTTCCAGAAGTGGCATGGTTGGCAAATTCGCAAGCGCCTTCAAAAGGCAGACTGCAGAGGAGAAAGAGGCCAAGAGGAGAGATAAGGCTCAGAGGGCTGGACAACTGAGCAGGTCAAACACCATTGGTGGTAGCAGGATGGACGTCATCGACAAGCTGGACGCCAGCGGTATCCATGGAAGCAGTCGTGAGTAGCACTGCAACGAGGGGCGGTTGCGCTGATCAGTTTCAGGGCCGGGTTCTCTGACTCGATCTGCCTCTCTTCTTCTTCAGTCTTTCATCACGACTCGCCGTATGATGCCTGCACTCCTCATGCCAACAGCTCGCAGAGAGCCCCTGTCAAGGCTTTTGACCCCAACACTGATCCGATGACAGGCTTGTCGATCAGTGACGGTGCTGGCAGCGGATCTCGTCGCCCTGCCGCTACCCGAGTTGTATCCGAGACTGGAGGCAAAGCCCGACCGGGTAGGAAGCGCAACGATTCTCTGCCGGTGGTGGCAAGCCTGCCATTCGATGCCTCAGGCAACCAGCCTACACGCCTGCCCTCTAGTCGGCAACAGTACGCCCCTTCTGATAGCACGCACGACAACGCTAGCGTTACCACGGCGTCAGATGCCGATGGTCACGATAGAGGATACGGAAGAAATGCAAGTGCGGTCAAGCCCAACTCGGCCATGGCTGCCATGTGGGGTGTTCAAGATGACGAGCCCTGGCAAGACTTTGCCGCGCCCAAGTCGAGTCCTCGTGGCAAGGGCGGCAAGAAGGTAGGAAAGGCCAACGGAGGATCTCGTGGAGCAGGCGGCGGCGCTTATCTGGGCCCATACGATCCCAGGGGCAGCCGTGATGGACACTCGTCTGCCACCAGCTCCGTTCTGGACATGGAGACACTCATGACGGGTCAGACTGCTGAAGAGAAGCGTCGCGCCGCCGAGGGCTTCGCTTCACCAAGCCAGGAGATTGCCGGCGTCTCCCCCTTCCCAGAGCCGGATTACGACCGAATGGAAAATGACGGAACAGGCGCATCGGGCCCCAAGAGGAACAAGTCTCTGCTTCGCCGCATTAAGTCTGCTCGTCAGAATCCCAATGTGCCTCCCCCCGTCGACAACGATCAGGTGGAAATGAGCAGCCGGGCCGCCAGCAAGAGGTATGGGCCTAATTCTCACCGCGGCGGTCCTTCCAGTCCCGTCGAAGGTCCGCGATCTGCTAGCAGTGGGCGAGACTGGTCCAGCCTTACCAGTCCCAACCTGGGCGCCGGGTCTTCCAGTGGTAACGGCGCTGCTGCTTCCAGTGGTCTAGCGAGGAATGGAACCAGGAGGGCTACCAAGGAGGAACAGGCACGCTACTTTGACGCCGCGACGGGCTACAACGATGCTCCCCGATCCGCGAGCGCTCGGTACCCTGGTGTGGGAGGTACGGGCGAGGGCGACAACGTCGGGGCTGCCGCTGCCGACACTGGGTACTTTTCCGCCTCTGCGCAACCTGGCAGTGGCTACCTCAGTCCTTCGGAGAGGAACCAGGCTAGGACACCCCTGGCTGGGCAAGACTCGGGAGCCAATCCTGGATTGGGAAGGAGTGGCAGCTTGTTTGGGCGATTTGGCAGAAAGGGAAAGAGCGGTGAGAGGACGCCTGGATACTAAAGTTGGGGTGACAGGGTCAAGATGGTCCATCCACCCAGGCTAGGTCATGAGCCTTTACGGAGCTTCCACTATCGCCTCGCATTGATCATCCACCTCGGCTAGCTTCCTCAAGTACTCTATCACCACCTTCCGCTCGTCTACCATTTGTATGCATCCCCTTCACCGCGCGACCTTGTCCATGTCCGCCCAGCCCACCCGACGCACGTCAAGCCCTTCTGGCTCTCCTCGTCTTGATCTATCTTCTACCTTTCTTCCCTTCGCAGCAATGACATGATATGACGTGACATGATGTGAGAAGATTGTACTGGTGGTCGTGGTCGTGGTTGTGATCGTGGCCGGTGGTCAGACCCAGTCAGTTCTATGCTGTTGTTGGGAGAGAAAGGATCAACTCGCGTAGAGGAGCGCGCGTCAGTAAACTAGCCCAGTCTAACGGAAAGGCGAGCGAGACGAGTGGAGAAGCGCACAAGGCGCACAAGTGACACTCTGGGGAATAGTGGGTGGAGTACTCTTTCCCGTTGTACACCTGTAGGACTCATTAGCACTGCCTAGAAAGAGAGAGAGAAAGACTAGAAGACCCTCTACCTTTGGTCTCACTTTCCTTTCCCTCGCTATGGCCACCCCATCAACCTCGACCTCGAGCTCAGCTGCTCCTGTTGTTGAAGAAGATGACGAAGCCCTCTTTGCTGCCCTTGAAGCCGAGTTGGACCTCGACCTTGGCACTGGAGCCGGAGAGGAGCTACGGCAAGATGCAGGGACTGAGCATAGGGGTTTTCTAGCTAGTGGAGACGGCAGCAGGAGCGGGAGCGGGAGTGGGGGTGCTGTGAAGCTTGGGAGTGGATTTGATTTGGAAGGATATCGTGAGCGGAGGATGAGGGAATTGAGGGAGCAGTGAGTACCGCCTTCATGGTCGGCCGTTTGTTTCGGGGCTCGAGCTGAGGCGATGTGCAGAAGAGGTGGACGACATGCCGGTGCTGATTTCTGAACCTTCGGTTTGCCTCACTCCCTCTACAGCCTCTCCTCGCGGCGAGGTAGCTCCTCCTCAGACGAAGAAGCAGAAACAGACGCAGACGCTACAGATCTCTCCGAAGGGAGGGGAGGAGGTGCCGCATCGCAATTCGGACTTGCCGATTCCTCCACAGGTCGCTACCTCAAATTCATCGCAGAAAAGGAGGTCATCGCCCTCCTGGAGAAGGCGGCAAAAGCGGACAGTAGCGGTAGCGGTAGCGGTGCAGGAGGACGAGGAGGGGGTAGTCGAGTGGTGCTGCATTTCAGTCATCCGGATTTCGCGCGGTGTAAGATCATGGATGGACATCTAGAGGTGAGGACCAGGGCCTGGAGAGCTCACTGCTAGACGAATCTCTCACTCTCTTCCTCCCTCACTCCCTTCCTCGCTCCCTCTCTCGCTCAATGCCCAACAGCGCCTCGCCTCTGCCCACCCAACCACCCTCTTCATCGGCATCTCTCCTCTCTCCTCACCCTTTCTCGTTCGCAAGCTGCAAGTAAAAGTTCTCCCACACCTCGTCTGCTTCGTTCAGGGAGCAGCGCGCGATCGACTTGTAGGATTTGAAGAATTGGGAAATACAGATGGGTTTAGATTGGAGGTGTTGGAGGAGAGATTGGGGATGTGTGGTGAGTGGGTGCAAGAGGGAGTGCGGAGTATGAGGAGATTCACTGACGTCGATTCTTCACTACCCCCTATTGTGGCTGTCACAGGTGTCCTGACGCCGAGGTCACGGCGGAATGCTGGTCGGCCCATACTCGGCTTTCCTTCGGCGAAAGCCGACGACGATGGTGACGATTGGGACTGAGAAGGTACTGACCTCGACACGCACTTTCATTACCTTGCGCAAACGCGCCGTCTGTATCGATATCAAATGCATTGCTCTGGGTATCATTCTCGAGACTCCATCATCTCTGAGTGCGAAGGACTGCTCTACTGCGCGCTTCTACAACTCTCCCACCTTGACCGTCTCCTTCTCTCTCCTCTCCCTCTCCTTTAGTCTAGCCTTCACACCTCGATTGTACGCCTTGACCTCGCCCTCCCACCTCTTTCGGAAGCCAAACTTGAGCCGTGTGAGAATCTCACTCGCCTTGCCCCTCGTCAGCTCCGACAGAGTCTTCTCGGACTCTGCCTGCCTCGAGGACAGCTCACGACTGGCATGAGGGCTGATACCGTCCACTTCTGCCTCTGCATTCGTTGCCGCCTTGCTGTTGGGTTTGAGATTCGTAAAGGACTCGGCGTCGGGCTGAAATCCTAGTCTCTTGGCCACCAGTGCCTTTTGGGAAGGCGAGGCGGCCTTTTTTCTCCACTCTGCATCCCTGCGCAACAATTGATTCATGGGTCCAGAGCGCAAGACGTGTTTCGTAGCATAGGTATCGCAAACGCGGATGCAAGCTTCGAGACTGGGAGCCTGCTCAGCATCTGCATCGCCTAGAATGGAAATGGCGCGACGATAGGGGGAGAAAGAGCGACGGTTGCTCGTGGCCACGGCCTCGTCGTAGTCGATGTTTTGAGGGGTGAAGGTCGCAGACCATGTCGAGGTGGCCATGGCAGGCGTGAAGGACGGAGTGTCCTCTTCGGTATCCGAGCCCTCCTCTGCCGCGTCTCCTTCGAGAATCGGCTCGCCTCTCTGCACACGGATGAAGCCTTTACGAGGGATGTCCAAGATGTACACGCCAGCTCCGCAGTCAACCCATGCGTTGGGCGAGAGGCGGTAGATGAAGTCCCCGATTTTCCGGCTGACGGCGCTCTGCAGCTCGTGCGGAGAGGCATAATCGACAAAGGTGATCCTCGTCGGGTCGTCGCAATCGTCCAATGCGACATTGGCGCCGCGCTGGCTGGCTTCCTCGGCCCGCTCCTTGAGCTCTTCGAGGGACATGCCCTCAATCTGTTCTTCCGGATCGAGTCCGAAGAGGGTAGGAGTACAGATCACACCACGCTCAATGGTGCCCACCAAGTCTAGGATGAGGCAGTCTCTTTTGCCCGTTTGAGGGGACAGGCGCAGCCCTCTGCCGATCATCTGTGAAAAGAGGTTTCGAGAGCGAGTCGGACGAGCCAAGAGGACCGCATCGATCTGAGGCAAGTCAAAGCCTTCTGTGAGGATGGCACAATTGACAAGGACTCTGTACTTGCCCTGCTTGAAGTCCTCAAGGAGCTGCTTACGCTCCTTCATGCTGGTCCCGCCATGCAAATAGCGAGCATCGATGCCCGCCTCGCGAAATTCGGCAGTGAGGTCAATGACGTGCTGCACATCAATGCAGAAGACGAGTGTACTGCGACGATCGGCAGCTCTGTCGAGCCAAGAACGTACAATGAGCCTGTTGACCGGCGCAATATTGGTGAAAGAGGCCAGTGATTTGGGTAGGAAGTCGCCAGAGGTCGAGCTGACCTTGACGGCGCTCAGGTCCAGGTTAGAGCGGATGGAGGTGAAGCGGACGGGGCAGAGCCACTGCTCATCGATCATCTCTAGGAAGTCGCGATGGTAAACGATACGATCGAATACCCGGCCAAGGGCCAGTCCGTCATGACGTGAGAATGTAGCCGAGAAGCCGATGATGGGTATCCGACGCCGAACTGTCGTCGAGGTGTTAGTGAATGAGGTCGAGGGACCGGGTGCCACCGCCGCGGCCTGCTGTGCAAGTGCCTCTCTCCTCTCATCTCGGCTGAGCCCCACCTCGGAGTCAAAGTTGGCGAGCAGTGAGATGTAGCTGGGTGAAGCAGCGTGGTGCGCCTCGTCGACGATAATCGCCTTCAAACCCTCGGAGCGAAACTTGCTCAGCCGATCTTCACTGCGAGTCAGCGTCTGATAAGTAGCCACAGTCACGTCGGCTGTGCCAGTTGCCCTGTACTTTGATCCTTGCTCAATCTCGACGTGGAGGTGCGGATGCGCCCTCGTCACAGCCGAAGCCGCTTGCAATGCAAGCTCAATAGCGCCTACGATGATCAGGACGCGGTCTCCAGGCCGGTGCAGTACGGGATCGCTGGCCTGACTGTGGACATTCGGCAGATTTGGCAGACGAGCAATGAGCTCTGTAAACATCGTCGTCTTGCCTGAGCCTGTTGGGGAAGAGACACCGATCCGCGATGTGCCCTCGGCGATGGCGGTCAAGCAGTCACTGACTGCGCGCTCTTGGTAGGGTCGAAGGCGCACAGCAGAGGCAGCGGGTGAGACAGTCGGACTCGGAGGTAGTGGTAAAGGCGACTCGGCCAATACAGTCGCAGGAGCTGCCTCTCGGAGTCTCGATGTGGTTGAGAAGGTACGCAAGTCTGCCATCCGCCGTCGATCGAGAGGTCTATGGAGCAGAGAGTGGGTCAGGATCAGGCAGTGCCGCCTGCCCAAGACCATCCTGGCCGCCGGTAGCATCCGCCTCGCGAGCATCGCAAGTGTGGCAGCTCTGTATCAGACCAGAGAGTCTGTTCGAATAAGCCTTGTGGAGGGTCAATACTGCAGCATGGGGAGTGACATTCAGGCAAGATAGGTAGCTAAGTAAGGTGAGGCTCGCTGCTGCTGATGCGGAAAGAGATCCTCCCCCGGATCGACTTCGTGAGCGGAGTTTGCTCCACTTGGATCAGCCTCCCGGCGTCAGGGTCCTGGCATGGATAGTGAGTGAAACGAAGGTAGAGTACAAAGGAGAGGGACTACATACAAAGTAACGGAGCGGGTAATGTGTGGCAGCAAGGACTAGATAAAAGGAAGCGTGTCGAGGGGTTGTCTGTGTGTGTATGTGTGAGTGTGTTTAGATGTACCAATCCTTCGCAGAGGTCTTCTCCTCTTCCTGACCCCACCTCGCCGAACTCTTCTTCGTCGGACTATCCAAAAGCTCCTTGGTCCTAACATCAACCTTGGGAGAGGATGACTTGAGCTTCTCCAGCTCATTCTCAATGGTCAACCTCCTGGACTTCTTGTACTTCGAAGGCGTGAGATTGCCTGGCAGGGGTAGAGGGTCCGGGTTCTGGTGGGACCACAAGCCCGAGCCTTTGGTGGGCGAAGAAGGAGCTGCGAGGCCAAGACCGAAGTTGGATGAAGAAGAAGTCGCAGGAGCTCGGTTGAAGGTATGAGCGCCATAGTAGACGCCATTCGAGGAAAGCGTGCCAACGTGAGCGCTCCCGCCTCGCGCCTTGGCTTGCATGCCTGTGTCATCTCCATTGGACAGGAAGGCAGCTTTCCTCTTCAGGAAGTCGTCGGCACCATTGGAACTTTTCCTATTGACTCGCAGCACTCCTTCATTTCTCGGAAAGGATGAAGGTAGGTTCTCGCTACTCTGCATAGGTGGAGTGGGCAGCTTGGTAGAGGAAGAGGAATGACTGTTTAGTCCAGCTTCCATCAGCTTCTTGATGATGGACTGTTGCGACACCATTCTGGCCTTCCATTCAGTGACGCTACGCTCGAGATCGGACATGAGGGATCGCTGACTGTTGATCACATCATTCAGCCTAGAGATCTCCTCTCGCTCGCTCTTGACAGCGGCTTCAACGGCCAAGGCGTTGAGCGCAGTGGACGATGTAGCTAAAGAAAGGGCGCCGATGTCTGCTGACACTGACTTCGAGAGCGTCGAGGGAGGCGCGAGCTCAGTCGATAGCAGGGGCGACCCACTGTATCGCTTGTACTCGCGCATCGAGGTGCGCCTCATGGGTGAGGTTGGCACTGGCTTGATGAGCTGAGCTTCTCGTGACTCACGCTCCCTCTCTTTGAGCGAACTCTCTAGGCCGGCGATCTTATCTCCCTTCTCTGCAAGCGTCTTGCGCAAGGCGTCAATCTCTTCTTGATGGTTGCAAGGCACTGGCAACGCCTTGACCTGCTTCTGGGCAGCCAGGTCTGCTTCGCGCTGGGCCAGCTTGGCTTCCCTCTCATCTAGTCTCGCCTTCTGTTTCGCGAGACTCGGCGATTGAGATGGAGGCGAGAGTGAAGAGAATGAAGACGAGCTTCCCAATCGAGGTGACTTGCCCATCTTTGCCTCCTCGGCCTTGCGAGCGGGTTCCACGAGCTGGTCGAACTCTCGCTGCGCCACCTCCTCTTCAGATTCTGGTCGCTTCTTGAGAGTCTCTTCCAGCGATGTCCTTGCGGTTTTCTCAGCCTCGAGTTCGGCCACAAGACCATCATACTGAGCTCTCGAGGACGCCTCGACCATCTCTGCTTGCTCCTTAGACTCCTTCTCGCTGCTTTCGAGTGCCTGGATCTCCTTCTCCAACCGCTGTACCTTGGCGATACTGCCGGTCAGCAGCGACTCAGTGCGAGCTTGTCGGCTCTCACTGTCTTGCTGCGTAGTCTCAGCGTCCTCCAAGAGACGCTCAAGCTCCTCTACTTTCTTGGACCAAGCCTCAGCTTCTTGACTTCGAGCTGCTTCAGAGCTCTGCTTGGCTTGTAGTGCGCAAGCGAGCTCCTTCCTTAATGTAGCGAGCTCGAGCTCCATTGCGAAAGGCTTGTCAGAAGAGGAACGGGCAGCTGTATCTGCAGCAATCCGTTTCCTGGGCGACAAATTCCGACCAAAGAGGTTCTTGGGAGTGCCTGGCGTTCCGAATTCGCTCACCCGGCCTCGACGTAAAGGAGTGCTGGGCCTTGAGTCCACCGCAGCTGCGCCTTCCTCCTCTTCCTCCTCCTCCTCGCGCCTCCTAGCTTCTGCCACAGACCCACTTGTCACAATGAGCTTGGTGAGGTGCTCCATTTGCGCTCTCAGCTCAGCCTTGCGCTTGGTCATGCCCTCGACTTCGGACTCGGCTGCCTTCTTGCGCTCCGCCAAGGCCAGCATGTCGCTTTCGTCTTCAGGCGTCGTGGTGGGCGAGGGCGCCGCTGCTGCGACAACGTCGGTTTCCAGCTTTGCTCTCAGGCGCTCCACCTCACGCTTATACCGCCGTAGCAGAGCTTCATTGCCAGCATCGCCTTCCCCAACTTCGCCCCTCTTCGCTTTCAGCTTGATCATCTTGCATCGCTTGCCGAATTTGAGGGTACTGAGACCCTCAGCAGCATGCTGTGCCAAAGGAGACATCGTCAAAAGGACAGCTACGCGAGCATTGCCTGAAAGAGATGTCTGCAGGATCCTAGTAAGTTTGGAGTCTCGATAAGGGATATGCGCTGCTGCTGCTGGGTTCGAGGCTGCTGCAGATAGCTTGGAGATCACGGACCCCAGCGTGAGCAAAGATTTGTTGATCTGGTGCGAGGGAGAGAATGTGTGGGTCAGACTAGTATACCCATCCGGACGGAGGTCCTTTGCAGAGTCTACTCACAAATGCTCCTTCTTTGCGTCTTTCCTTCTCTGTAGCCGCTCTCTCACTACCTGCCAAGTCGATCAAGTTCAAAGCACTGACCCGTACCGCTCCATTCTTGCTCCCCTTGGCCCTACTCTCGATGGTCAGGGTGGCAACACAATGACTTCGACTAGACCGCTCATTCCAGTCAGTAGCTGCCTGGTGACGGGCAGCTTGACCCTTGGTGAGCAGGTCGAGCACCTGAGAGGGCTGAGTAACGATCTCTTCCCTCAGACCGGCGATGGTGATACGTCCGCTTGATGGCTGTTCAAGGATACGAAGAGCGGAGCTGGTAGATGAAGGACCTGATGAATGGGAATAGCCACCCTTGGTGGGTGAAGCAGGACGCTCAGAGGCGCTGCTCGAACCTCCGAGAGAGGGCAACGACAGTAGGAGATCGCGCAGTGATTCGTTGTAAATCTCGAGGTAGGAGACACGAAGGAGGAACTCTCGGTCTGGCAGCTGCTCTACCTTGCGGAAGACTTCATTGATGGCTCGAGTGATGATTCCTTCTTCTCCGCCACCTCCGCTCATAGTATACGTCTTTCCACTTCCCGTCTGTCCGTAGGCAAAGACTGTGCCATTGTATCCTTGCACGGCTCCAGAGACGACTGGAGAGATATTGGCAGTGTAAAGATCGTCAAGTGCTGAGACCTCTGTCGGGATCAGGGTATCAAAGGAGAATTTGTAGGTGTCTGCAGAGCTACCAGAGGCGGCAGCGTCTGCCAACATGCTGGAAGAGGCCGAAGCTGTGAGAGTGCTGCTGCCTGGCGCTACGGAAGAGGGCGCCCGCTTCGCCAGGGATGGATGTTGCTCGGTTGCTTCAATGGTCGATGATGAAGCATCGAAGGACCATGGTTCTTCTGCGTCCGAAGTAGCTCCTGTTGCCGCTGGTCTGACTCGCACACAGACTACGACGTTGCTAGCGGCTGGGCCAGCCGTCGGTCCTCCCTCCTCGGTATCGGAATCAGGCAGGTCCAGTGCGGGACTGCGTCTGCCAGTCGGTGTCGATGGTTCATCATCCTCGATTGTCTCGTCAGGACAGATCGAGGTGGAAGCGTTGCTACAGAGGGAGGTGTCTGCATCCACGGTTGAGGAGGTGGAGAGAGGTGTAGGTCGCGCCTTTGTTGTCATCTTGGCAGCTGCCAGTGCACCTCTTTTGGTGGGGCGGACCATTGTGATCGATCTTGAGATGTTCTGCTCTGGTCTAAGCTGTAGTAAATCCGTGGATGTGTTTGCTTGCCTTGAGGATAGGATGAAGTGGACGATGTTGAGCTACGGATGTGATGAGCGCTTTCTTGCGGGGGGAAGTGTTGGTCTCGATGCAACTTCTACGTTTCGCGCCCCGCCCACGTCGCGTTTTCCGCCTCCGCCTGACATCGCGCCTATCTCTCGGCAAGGGTACAGGCTTGGCAGGTAGCCTCGTAGCTCATCCATACAACAGGGAGAGAGAGCCAGACAAACTCGAGCAGTGTGTCTTGTACTAGAAGCGAGAGCTTTGCACACGGCTGGTATTGGTATGTCGTCCCGTACTTGGGTGAAACAGGACTTTTGCGCGTCGAGTGCTCTCAGTGTGCAGAAGCCAATGGGTCCACAACACCACCCGAGATCGCGCAGAACCCACACAGACAGTGTGCAAAGATGTATAGTACTTGTTGTGTGGTAGCATCGTCGTTTGCATTCCCTCGCTACGGAGAGTCGCTCAACCTGACCACTCGTCACGCGATGCTGCCATTGCCGTGCCATCGTGTCCTTGGGTGCAGATTTGCCGCGGCTCCAAATTTCGTTCCGGATGGGCCCCGCTTCCGCTCGCGGCAGTCCGTACTCACTCGTACTCCCCTACTGATTGACTTGCCCAGCTTCCTTCGCACGTCGCATGCAATCCACAGGCGTCTGAGCGGTCCACCTTTCTCTCGTCCTTCTGTCATCGCCACCATGTTCGTACTGAGCACAGTGCAGGACACACTCTTCATCCCCGCCTCATCCTTTAACCCCACTGCCACCTCCACCCAGCCTCCTACCTCTGCCCAATCCCTCTCCCTCGCCCTCAATACAAAGTACGCCAACAAGGTCATTCCCGATGTAGGGCTCTGTGTGTGTCTATTTGACATTCAAGAGGCTAGCGAAGGAAAGGTGAAATGGGGCGACGGAGGACTGTGGCATAAGCTCAAGGCAAGACTAGTCGTCTTTCGGCCATTCGTGGGAGAGGTGCTAGTGGGCAAGGTGAAGAGCTCGGATGAGAGCGGCATCAAAGGTGAGCAGGCAAAACACTTAAGGGACGCTTTAGATGACGCCTGATAAAGCCAAACGGAGAATTAATTAGCACTTTACTGACACATGCTGTCGAATAATGCTCTCCCTTTGATCTACAGTCTCCGTAGGCTTCTTTGATGATATCCACATTCCCAAGCACCTCATGCCAGAGCCAAGCGCATTGTGAGTTTCGAAGTCTGCATCTCTCCAAGAGTGGAGTGATTCCAGATCTCTTACCCTCTCACCTCTTCTCATCTCGGGCCCATCTCCTTCACCTCCCAGCGACCACTCCGAGCGAGCCTGGTTCTGGCTCTTCCCCTCCGACGACGAAGATGGCAACCAGCGGGATCGAGACGACCCCCTCGGCGCCCCACACGAGCAGCGCATGTACCTAGACAAGGACGAGTCTATCCGTTTCATGGTTGAAGATGACGCCTTTGATGAAGGTTTGCCCATTCCCGGATTGGCTGCTACGGGTGGACCTGCAGGTGGGGGAGGGACAGGGATTGGAACGGGTGTGACAGTGGAGGTTATGGAGGCGGCAAAGGCGAAGAGAAAGGCGCCGTTTAGGATCACGGTGAGTAGGAGACGCTCTTCCGATGGCGTGCTTGAGATGTGCTCCTCTAACCGAAGATGAAAACGCCCCCTTTCACAGGCCTCAATAGCGAATCAGGGACTGGGAATCGTAAGATGGTGGGCCGACGCTCCCGTGGAAGAGCTGGAGGAACAGGGATACGCAATGGACGAATAGAAGATATGGAGCGCGGAGTTTGGTGAGAGGTCTCACAGCCGAATCATGTTGTAATTGTACCCAATACATTCCCATCACATCAAATGCTGTGCAGATAGGCTGATTGTTGCTATTCCTTGGGCCACAGTCATGAAAGTCATGCTGGTCCCTGTCGCTGGATAAATGATGCTGTGCGCTATACTACATGCAGATCCGTTGCTCACTGCTGTGTCTCCTCCACGATCTCTGTTGCCCCCCTTCGTGCAGCTACATCTCCGTATCAACCTGATGCTTCCCTCGTTCAGACACCTTCAGCGACGTCTTGATCCTGTGACCTCCTTCATGAGCCGAATGTACCAGCCACGAGGCCGTCCGAGCAACCTTGTGCGATTTGACCCCTTGATGTAGTCTGTGTCGCTCCTTTGTCTCCTCGCGCCAAGCCCTGAACTTGCCACCCATGGTCGTGCCATCTCTCTCACCATCCCCGTCTTCTTCTCCGGAGGAGTGTCCCCTTCCTGCCGTCTCCTCGTCGTCTTCGCTACCTGAAAGCTCTTCGAAGCTGCGAGCTTCTGCCGCTTCCCTGCTCTCGTGAGAGATGCCTTCGTCTTCTGACTCTCCCGAGCTGTTAAGGTCTCCATCATTGACATTCACTGCACTTCCGATCTCGTGTGCCGTGAAGTCGCCCTGTGCCGACCTCAATCCAGCAGCGACGCAGGCTTCCCATGCTTCGTACACGGCGACGGAATCGGGGTGACCCTTGACGTTGCGATGTGCTTTACCGATGCCGCTCTTGAATTGAACAGACACCTTTAATACTCCAATCTTCTTGACTGAAAATGCCTCTTCGACTTCTTCTGCTGGACGACGATAGTCGTGGTAGTTCTGGAGAAAGCGATGCAGGTCTGGTGCACCCTTGAAGATGGGCAAGGAGAGGTGAATCTCCTCGTCGTCTGGCAAGTCCTGCATCCACATGCCGGCCGCAGCTACAATCGGCTTTCGCCCGAGAGCATTCAACTTGCGGAATTCGAAGAGGAACGGCGCGCAGTACCTTCGCCGAGCGGGTATCCTTAGGTATGGCTCCGAGGAAGGCAAAGGCCACTCGATGTCTCCTTCACCACTGCTGTGGGCACGTCTGGAGGATATCTTGACCTGGCCGACCAGGGTGCGAACGTGTACTGAGGCACGATTGAGCGTGCTGTCCACAAGCTCGACAGCCGTGGGGGCAGAACGTATCCTCATCGTCCCAATGTCAAAGCCAAGGCTTTCTTTGCCTTGGTGCATTCCCTCCACCGGGCGGAACAAGACAGAGATTCTCACTGAGCCGTGTCCGATGCCGCCCCCCATGGGGAAGTACTGCGTGACCTGCGAAGTGTTCCTTTCCGTGAAGAGCTCCTTGAGATCGAGGGCGATGATACCGAGGATGGGATCTGATTCCCGCAAGCGCCTGTCCCTCACAACGATCATCAGACTGCACCGTCGCCAGTCTCGAATGAAGCGCTCGGTCCCAATGTTGAAGAAAGGTGCATGCGATAGGGCCTTTATCCTTGAGATCATAGCCGTCTGATCGTTGACCACGATCGACAGATAGGGACTGGGAGCGTCCGGCTGCTCATTCCCGTCTTCTACCTCGTCGATGAGCTGCCCAGACGAGCCAGCCTGGCCACCAGACGCTGAAGATGAGCCGCGCGTCTTGTTGCGCTGCTGTGAGTCGGCATAGCTGAGATCGAGGATGTTGTGGACCTGTATAGAAAGCACTCCGCTGGGCAGAGAGTCCACGGGGGCGTGGATCTCGGCCTTCGAATGTTGATTGCGGGTCTGCTTTGCGGACTCGGCTGCGTCGAGCTTTTGCAAAATCTCCGTTGGCGAGGTGTCATCGTCAATAGCTCCGAGAGGGTCGTCGTTCATCTCCTCCTTCTCCTGCCCAGATGGTGCTGGTTCTTCGGCGCCTCCCTCACTATCGTGGCTGGAAGGTTCACCTCCCTCTCCAGCCAGGTTTCTTGTCGCGGCCTCTGTTTCATTGGCGATCTTGCGAAAGAAGGCAATAGACCACGACAGCTGGCCCTGCTTCTTGTGCTCGTTGCTCAGACCCATCAATGAGTCATTCCTCCTGAACACCTTTCCAGGGTGCCGGAGAAGTGGAAGCAGGTCGACTTCGATTCGCCCCAGGATATCATCTGCGGTCAGGCGATCACTGTCGTACAATGCGAGCGAGAGCCTTTCCTTGGCTCTGATGGCCTCAGCGTTGAGCAGCATTACATGTCTCTCCTCCCAGATGGGATTGAGATCATCGAGCGCCACCCTTGTCGCGTAGCTAATTTTACCCAGACGAGAGTAGCTGATGGTGATGTACGGGTCAGATGAACCGTTTCGATCTTGCTTCTCCAGGTCAGAGGCAGAATGAATCCACACTACGATGACACCCAAAGCATTGACTTCCCGCTTGATCGAGTCTCCCATCAAGATCTCACCAAGATCCATGGTGAGACTGGACGGAGCACAATACTCTGCAAGCGCAGCATCTATTGAGCTTTGTACGAAGCCGGACAGAAGCGGGATATTGGAGAGATTGATCCGCATTGGAACGACCTCGACGTGAACTCTCGGCAGCCCCATGAATGTGAAGGTCACATTCTTTACGAAGGGCGCCTCCGGGGTGAGCTGCAAACGAGCCCTGGCAGTCCCGACGAAACCCAAAATCTCAACCCAGACCGGGAGAGGCACTGTCGCCACTTTCTTGATGCCCAGCCAGAACGACATCATTAGTCTCGCATTGTTGTGGAAGGAGGTTGAGATCCTAGCCGTTGAAGAAGCGTGATAGATTACTGACATCTCGAGATTGATGTGAGTGCCTGAGAAGGTACCAGCGTCCTTCGAGTCCTTGCCGTCTGATTTTGGTACCACATGCTCCGCCTCCCTATCGGGCAGTATCTTGATTCCAGCAAAGCGGACCGGAGTCTTGCCATGAGCAACTTCGCTCACCTTGATACCATGGATAAAGCTAGGCGCAGAAGCCTGCATTACGTCTTCTAATGTGCCGGCCATGGTGTCAAAGATGGCTGGGTCGATGACCTCCCAGAGTCCCTGCAATATCATATTGAGCCATTCAGCGCCTTCCTTTTCTCCCGACGAGGGCGAGGATGCTTCCTCTACGCTCTTGCCGTTCTGATGAGGACTCCGAAAGTCTTCTCCTCGCTTGACTTCGCGCGCCCAGCGTCTATCGTCGGCGCCGAGTCTGACATGTCGGAAGGCCCAGTAGCCTATGAGAGCATTGGACAAGACGAGGATGGTGCCCAAGAAGGACCGGGCCAAGAGGATGAGGGCCCCGGCCCAGCACAGCCAGAGCGGGAGTAATACCGGATGTATCTGCCAGAAAGAGGTAGGCATCGGCTCGAGAGGAGGAAACGGCTCTGCTGCAGCGTTACGGGTCTTGTAGCCTTCTTCCGCAGTCATTCTCCCAGCTTCCCTTTCCTCCTCATTGTTCATAGCTCTTGCGAAATCTTTCTTCCTCACATCGCGCACCTTGACATTCCGCTCTGTGATGGGATCTGTGACATGCTCAGCTGTTCCTCTCCGCTTTCCTGGCTTGTCCTTGGCCCGCTCCTCTGGAGGACGGTCATCGTCATGCACTGCCTCGTCTTTGTGACCTGTTTTGGATTTACGCGCCGAAGGCGATTTGGGGGACTGCTTTGCGTCTTCGTCGCTATAATCCTCACTGTCCACCTCTTCTTCGCTATGCCTGCCTTGAGCCTTGACGGAGCTGAAACCCCTGGTGAGGAAGCGTTGAATGGAAGGGATCGGGTTCTCCTCTGAGTAAGCGTCTTTGTGGTGATGGTGTACGCCTCCCTCTCGCTCAGCAAGTCCCGCCATGCTGGACGAGGAGGCTGGGACGCGACCAGCAGTCCTGTGTGGGATGAGTAGCGCGAGCCTGTTCAGCAGAGGTTGCTCATGATGCCGGCTGCGGTGTGTGCGATGAGCGTGGTGGGTTCATGTCATCCTGCTGGGGTTGGCAATGGTCGATGAGGAGGAGCTGCTGCCGCCGTTACCTCTTCGGTCCGCGAGATTCATGCCGGCGTGTGCGTCATGTGCCGCATGGGCCACTGCCGTCGCCCAGGCCAGCCTAGACGTCTAGCCTACCGGTGGAGTGGCTGCTTCCGGTCCTGCTTCCTACTTCCGGTCCTACCTGTGCTTCCGCTTCGGTTGTGCAGCCAAGGCCGTCTCCACACCGCCTCCGTCTACTCCGCCAAGACTAGGCCCCCGCACCTCGGCCCTTCCTCTTTTGCGCCCCAACCTTACCGTACTGGTATCCTCGTATCCTCATCGTCATCCCTCGTCGTCATCTTCATACCCGCTTCTTTTCCTCACCTTCACCTTCGTCCTGCTTTGCATCGGCCCTTGCATTCTTGCCCTCCTCGTCAGCAGCTGCCCATACAGGCATCGACGAGCGGCTGCCCAGCCGGACCTTTCCTCGCTTCATGTCTTCGCAGCAGGCCAAGCTCACACTCCGGCCTCCGCCCCATCGCAATTTCATACAGGGCTATCCGGGCATACCTGCCGGCACAAATAGGCCAGCTGCTCATGTCGCAGGCTCAGTAGAAGTCAGGCTTGGCGGTAAGGGGCTCAAAGCATCCTGGCTCAGGATCGAGCTCCGCAAGATAGAGTCGACGGCTACAGAGAATTGGGGAGAGCTCATCGGCAGAGGGCCCATTGAGGTATGGACGGCGCAAGGTACAGCAGAGCATGACGACGAGGGCGACTGGGATCTCCTTCAAACGGTGAGTAGCGGAAGGACGAGAGGCCCAATTACGCTCCAGATCCCGTCGTACTCACATCGGGCTGCCCTTTCGTCTCTGTCAGGCCGACTTCCCCTTCCGTATTGCTATTCCGGAAGGGCTGCCTCCCAGCATTAGATTAGAGAAGCAGTCGGGAATCAGCTATGAGATGGTCACGAGTCTTTGTGTAAAGACCAAGAAGTAAGTCGCCGTAATTACATGAGCATGGCTTGACATTCGTGAGCTGACAGTCAGTTTGGCCACACCCCACGCGCTTCTTTGTGCCCTCATCAGAGGTCTCATCAGAAAGGATACTGCATCTTCCGTGATACAGTCCACCCATCCGCTTGTACTTGAGAAGCACGAGCTTCATTCCAACTGGCCAATATACCACATTCCTGACGATCACGAGCAAACGGCCAATGACGTATATGCCCGCATATACCGCAAACAGACTTGCTATGCTCCAGGGGACAAAGTGGAAGCGCGCATCATCTTGACTTCTAAGAATGTCTCGCCTGTCAAGATCAAGACAGTCGCTCTGTCTATCCGAGAGACTGTCACCTTCCGAGGAAGCAAAAGGGGAAGCCGAATGCTAGGAGGCGTCACCAAGACAGCCAATCAAAAGACGGAGATGATTGCCCAGAAAGCTCAACAGGTGGGGTCGAAGATCTACAAGGGCGATACCAAGACGTATGACATTGCCCTGGTCATTCCTAAGGCTCATTCTCTTATGACCATCCAAACGGCGAAGCACATCGAAATTTCCTACACCATGCGAGTCTACGTCGATACGAAACAACCCATCATCATCGATCATCTTCCCCTCACCATTACGACCACTCCTGCCAGCGTATCCGGAAAGGTCGTACCTCAGATTGGCTATGTCCCGGGTCTGAGCTCTCCCGCCGAATACCCAATTGAAGAAGAGCCCGAAGAACAAACTCGTCGCCCACAATCCATGGGGCCCACTGTCTCCTTCCGATCGCAACAGGCAGATTTTCCGCCTCGTAATGGCACGATCGATACTCAGCAAGCATACAGACCTGCCCCTCATCGTTCACTCTCCATGGCTGACAGTGATACTATGTCCAATGCCTCAACGGAGAGGGGCGGAAGGCCCGCTGGCGGTGCGGACCTCAATCGTCGCGATACTGTAATGACCACCTCTACGGCGGGGCCAGGAATGGCTGGGCGCGGAGTGCCTGGAGGCATTCATTCCTGGGGTCAATTCGGCGCAGCTCAGCCTTACTCTGCGTTCAGGCCAGCACAAGGGCCTGTCAGAGGAGCTTTCGCAGGGCCGCCTAGCATCTACGAGGGACGAGAGTTGAATCAGGAGGAGAACCGAGCTCTTTATCATCACTCGCTGGCCAATAATCTGGGCGAGGTCTTCGAAGGACAGCAAATCCTTCCTGAGAGTCCAGCACAAATTCGCGTCTCTGCCGCTCCGAATATGGCCTCTGTTCCCGAGTCGGCGGAGCAGCACGCAAGGGGCGTCCTGGACTCCCATAGACATTCCGCGGCTCAGCTGATGCCGCGAAGTACATCCTGGGATCGGGCAGAGGCCAGCTCGACGGTGAGTGCTGCTCAAGCTGCTGAGATGGAAAAGGAGAGGCTGTATCGGAGAGCTAGAGAGCAAGCCGAAAGGAATCAAAGAAGAGCAGCCCAGGCAGCTGGAGCCACATCATCATCACACGATCGCAATGGCCTGGCATCTGACTATGACGGAGCAGACGCACAGCAGCAACCCTTGAGTGCAATCGCTCAGCGTCAAGCAGACAACAATGAGAAGCAGATCTTGTACCAAAGGGCTCGGCGGCAGGCAGAGCAATATCAAGGACAGTATGAGTCCGGAGCTGATTTTCCTTCTGAGGATCTGAGCATATATGCAGCTATGCCTGGCAATGGTTCAACTCTCACTTTCGCGACGGATGGCAGCCCGGCCGCAAGTGTCGCTATGGGAGCAACTGCAATGACCGCTCTGGGGTCCAGGACCCGGTCTGTGTCGCCCGAGCAAGCAGCGGGGGGATCCAGCAATATCCGCGCTGCCCCTGCATCGGTCGCACCGTATGCTTCCGCCGAACAAGAGAAGCGGAGACTGTATGAGGCGGCAATGGCTGAGCGCGATTCGTATCTCAACAATCAAAACGGCGATAGCAGGAGGAGCAGTGGGTCTGCTATGGTCGGCAGCACCGACCTATCATCCTCCCAGATACGGCCTGCCTCTACGGCGCCGGTGTCCTCTCGACCAACAAGCCCACGCGCATCTGCTTTCCCGTCTGCAGAAGAAGAGAAGAGACGCTTCGCAGCTGCAAAAGCAGAGACGGACGCGTACCTTGCTTCGGGCGGGCAGAACTCATCGCGGACCGTGGGCTCTGGTAGCGCTGCGCCAACGGCTTCGCAGTCCCTTAATCAGTCTAGCTCTGCTAGCGCCCCAGCGCCTACCGCCCTTTACCCATCGGCAGAAGAGGAGAAGCGTCGCCTCTACGAAACTGCAAAGGCGCAGGTGGAAGCGAACCAGTCAATAACGGCATCTCAGCCATCCTTGGCTTCCGCAGGAGCCAGCGGGTCGAGTGCACCCATCCCGAATGCTGTAGGCAGCTCAGGAGGGGTGCCACGAAGTTCTGCCGCGGCCTATGCCGCCCCCCCGCAGGCCTCGTACGCCTCCGCCGAGGAGGAGAAGAGGTTGTTGTACGAGAGAGCAAAAGCGGAGGTAGATGACAACCAGGTGCAGGCTCAACCATCGCAGTCAACAGCGCCGACGGGGTCAGGGGCTGTTGCTGCAGCCCCTTTGGTGACTAGCAAGGCCGAAGACGAAAAGGCTCAACTGCGACGGTATCACGAGGCACAGGACGCAGTCGCACGTCATCAGCAAGGTGACGGCGGTTCCACAACAGAGGCTGCCCGTGCAGCTCCATCAATTGCCAGACCTGAAGCGTCCTATGCTTCGGGATATCGATCTGCATCTAGCGCAAGCACAGCAAATGGTGTTCTGCCTGCTTCCTCTTCTCTGGGGGGCGGGATGACGATCCTGCCAAATCCGTACGACCAACAGCCTACAAGCACAGCTGTGCAACAGGATCCACCTTCCTACAACCGTCCGGCCGTTCTGTCCTCTTCCCGCAACCCTTCCTTGTCGGGCAGCGAAGCAGGCTCGATCTTCTCCACCTCGACGGTGCCATATCGAACTCCCTCAGTCGTAGCAGGCAAGCAACGTACCCTTCCCTCGGCCCCTGCGTCTCCCGCCCCACCCGCACTACCCACGCTCAACTTCCAGCCCTTCAATGGTCTACCCAGCTCTTCGTCTTCCGGTGGCGTAGCCGCCACACCGGTGAGGATGGCAAGTGGAGGGATGTATGCCCCGAGGGTTGCTCCTTCCAATTGGCACGAGGTGGATGAAGATGGGGGCGGCGCTCTGGGAGGCGGGAGGAAAGCGAGCGGACCTGCGCCGCCCATCCCGCCCAAGACGCCCTTGGGAGGCAGCAGAGGATCTTGAAGTAACCCACCCCGATCTAACGACGAGCAACAAGATCGCTTCGATCATCGCAATGGCTCTCGCTCTTCTGACTTTTGCTACTAACGCTATCTGCTCCGCCGCTACTGCCGTTCCTTGTCCTCTTCTTCGCGTCTCGCGCCTCGTATGATACCAGACCCAAACCGGATGTCCTCGTTCTCGTTGACGCTCACTTGTACCTCTTCTCCTCTATATCTGCGTTTCCTCTCAGCTACCGCATACCCCCTTCTCGACGTCTGTACAGCATTGCAATTGTGTCTCGATCAGGGAGCTCTTAGCCTGACAGATGGATGAGACGATGACGATGATAACGACGAGGTGCTTTTGTGTGCGGAGTGATAGTCGATGCGAAGTGATGATGTAAGGACAATCTACAGACAGCTCCCGCCACATAGCACAATACAAAGCGCTGTCGGCGCTCTCATCATACCTGCTCCTGCTGGTCATCGTGTAGCGCCAAAGCCTGCACTTGAGCCTGAGCCCGCGCTTGTGCTTGTGCTTCCTCACGCAAAAGAGCCTCCACGACGAGCTTCGAGCTGGTCACACATCCCTCCAGAAGCGGGATGCCCGGACTCCACGAGCCACACGCCCAGATTCCCGGAGTACGTACGTCGTCTGCTTCTGCCTCTGCGTCCCCTCCTTTTTCCTCTCCCTCTCCTTCTTGCGTACCCAAGGATGAAGCTCTCCCGCCCCCGCTCTGCCCTCGTCCCTGAAGATCCCCGAGACGGAGCTCCCACTGCTCCACGGGTAATCGAGCGCGTACTGCTCCTCCTAGTGTGGTCAGGGTGCCTTGTGTCCAGCAACGTCTCATGAGAGAGACGCTCGAGCCGACAAAGGAGATGGGGGCCAAGGCGGCGCTCTGTACGAGACTCCGTTGGGAAGACTGTGACTGTTGGCTCTTCATCGCGAGGGCCTTCCCTGTACTGTCACTTTCGTCCTTCCTGCGCCATTCGAAGAGACCTGCTTGACCAGCTTTGGAGCGCAAGGTGAGTACAGCGCGCTCGAAGTGCGATGCGGAGATGACCTTGTCGTCTGCAGGACGCAATTGCGCTAGAGGATTCGTCGTCTGGATCAAGACACTGGAAGAGGGAGAGATTGCTGATGAAGACGTAGCTGATGACGAGGGAGCGAGGGAGTGATGGATGATGTGTGAGGCCATGGTATGAGTATTTGTGGAGAGTGTTGAAGTCATCTCAGAGTCAGAGGTCGATTCATCCGATGTAGACTGGCCTTCAGAGGCATCAGTAATTGCTTTGTTGGCTTCGGCGCTAGTGTTCGATCTCCTCTGAGGTGTAACCAGGTTGAGATCTCTCCAGTCCTGCTCCTCTCGAGGCAGCAACGACCGATCGACGTGGTTTATGACTTCACTGTCCTCGTAGGTAAAGTGCTGTAGCTGGCGCAACAGCTTCTGTAGCCGCTTCGTCTCCTCGGCCGCACATGCATCTGGTGAATCCAAGTAGGAAGCGACGAAAGCGGCGCTCTGATTGGCCTGCGTTGCCAGAATGACGTGGTCGAAGCCTTCGTAGACTGCCTCCTCTCCACCTTCCGAAACCTCGACGTCTATCCTGCCCCTATTCCGTGTCAGGCTCGTGACCTCACAGTCTACGTGTATATTCGTCTTCTCCATCGGTCGCGAAATCACCTCTTCTACCTCGTGCACCCCAGCGGCAACTGTGTAATGGCTCCGCCCGAAGGTCAATGCTACGTAGTCGAACACCTCTGCAATTGGAGTGGAGAGCACCGAAGAGGCTTGGACCGTCATCATGGCGCTGAACAATGGCACCACGACCTGATCCAGGAAGACGTTGGTGCGTCCATTCTTATCTGAGGGAAAGTGAGATTGAAGGGTCCGACTTGCGAGGGGATGGCTAGGATCGCGCGTGTAGCCAGAGTAGTGGGACCAGATGGCCAGAAAGACGAGATTGAGGTAGCCAAGCAGATAGACTATGATGGAGAGAGCGTACTGGAGAATGCCAAAGGCGTTGCTGATGAGGCTAATAGAATAGAAGGGCAGGGTGTAGAATGGAGAGGCCACAAGGTCATGACGTTTGAGGGATGCCGAACGAGATCCGGGGCTATCTGTACGTATCCGAGGTATTGATCGCAGCGCATGGGGAATACTGAATCCTTTGAGGCCAGAGGAGCCTTCGTAGAGAAGAGAGGGTGAGGGGGCATGGTGAGGGGGAGTAGCAGTGGCAGTGTCCTTCTGGCTGCCAGTGGCGGGAGAGAGCAGAGAAGAGAAAGAATAAGTAAAGTCCGTCTTCTTGAGAGGTATCCGTAATCTACGATAGAGAGCCATGACATTGGGGTAGTAGCCTGTGGGCGGCAAAAGGGCTATAGATCAGCCTCGAACTGCTCTCTTTCTTCCAACTACTCCGAGGCATATTCACCAGCATTCAAGCTCCTCATAGGAACATCTACCCGTATCGACTCTGCTTTGCCTGCATAGACCCCACTTCCCGTTCCCTTGCTAATTGTGATGCTATTGCTGTCCAAGCCAATCTTACTGGCCCTTTCAAACAGATGAACTTCGAGCGGCCGATCTAGTCCTGCGCTAGCCACTTCATCCGACGCGAGGAGAAAGTACGAGGCGGACAGACCAGTGAGTCCGGAGCCGATGATAGCGATGCAGAGCTTCCTGTTGGGATCTGAGGCTATGGAAGTGGCAGAGGAGTCGCGGGACATGGATGTCCTCGCAGCATCTGTATGAGCATCGTCCTGACTGCCTTTGGCGAAGCGATTCCGGAGGAAGGCCATGACCGAAGAAGGGAGAGGAGAGGACGACGGGGACGAGAACGGCCGAAGCCGGTACGAGAAGGGATAGGAGGAGGCGAACAAGAAGAAGAAGAAGAACTGTCCACCCAACGAAGGAATGAATCAAGCGAGTCAAGGCGGGCCCATAAAGTGAGGAGTATGGATAGGAAGTAGGTGTGGAACGCGGTGAATGCAGGCAGACCTTTCAGTCCCGAGTGCTCTTTCCGCACTGCGCCCAGCCTCGGCCCGAACATTGGGCCTGCCACTCCGTTCGTGCCTTGCTTCCGATCCGGCACCAATTCCTATCCTGCTGCGAGGAATGTCAAGGTGATTGTATTGCTCCATCCCAAAATGGGGAGGGGATAGGTCATGATGTTGGTGGAAGACATGGGTCATAAAGTGGTGGCGCCGCTCATATCTGGTCAAAGATCGGGGTACAGGTCGTAAAATGTAGAGTGTGGGAGAAGGGGCATGCTGCATCAAGCGATCAAGGTCTCATCCTCGGATCGCTTGGAGGACTTCTTGCGGATCACAACCGTGTCGGTGTATCCGATCTGCGAGACGAAGCGAGTCAGAAGGTAGACCGTATCAGCGAAATGCCCTTTATAGAGAGTTCCCGGCTCACGACGGCAATGAAGCTTACCTTCTTGGGGTGCGCAAGGGAAGTGGCAGCGACAGTGTACTCGCCCAACTTGATGTCATCAGGTACGGTCCACGTGCTGTATCGGTGGAGCATCGACGCAGAGGTCAGTATGGATTCCGGTTTCCAGGAATACATCTGGTTGATTTTTGAGCACTCACGTAGTGCCACAGGTCTCTCCGTGAGCAACACTCTTGCACTTGGACTGGTTGTGGGTGCTCCCGACCTTCTTGGTGATAGTGTCTGGAGCGTTCAATGCGAAGGAGGCAAATCGTATGAGCATCTCATTCCATCTACGCGCGTCTCTCCTTACTCACAAGTAGGCAGAGAGTCATCGTTCTCGGGCTCAAGCTGAATCTTCAGACCTCCCTTGGGGGCGTTGAGCCAGGTGATGTCGTACGTCTTTCCCCTCCTCCAATTGTTCTTGCACTGGTACGAATCGCAAGCAGGGGCAACAATGTAGATTTCCTTGCCCGTAGGGTCGTCATTGCTGACCTGGGCATTGGCAAGAGTACTGCAGAAGGTGACTGCGAGCAGCAGAAGCAGAGGTAGGAAGCTGGAAGAGGCGCGAGAGAGCATGGCTACGTAGATGTCGAGGTGTAACGAAGGTGATGGATACGATATCGAGGCAAGGAGGGTCAGGTGCTCCTTTTGGTAATGTGATGTACCCCCGCTCATGCCTCCATGTTCCCCCAGGAACACATTCTTGCTCTCCAAACACGCATACATTCCCGGCCGCCGGAAGTGAGTGGCCCTTAGGAGAACATCCCGCCGCTTCTGCCGGAATTCATTTCAAACTCAGCATGAGGGCCACGGAATGGCAGCAGCGTCGCCCCTAACTCTACTCCTTTGTGTGTAGTCTAATCTGGTCTACAAGCGGGATTTACGCAGCGCAGGATCACTCCGCCGTCTTGATCCTCTTCGAAGCTGGCTCCTCCTCTCCCTCCCCGGCATAGACTGATGCGTCATCTGCATCCTCAGGCGCTTCTCGGCCATCTTTGTCTTGCGTGCCCTCCCTCTTGACGAACTTCCTGCCTGGCAGTCCTCTGTCTAGAGCCTCTTCCCACGATGGCTTCTTCCACCCTGCTTGGCCCCCTTCCTCCTCCTCAGCTTCTTGCTGATATTGTTCCGTCCACCCAATGAGAATGTCGAAGACCTGATTTACTGTGAGGACTTTGCGGGATTGCAGCATCTTACCCTCGGCGCTCTTCTTCGTCAGATTGGACAGGTCAATAGGTAGACGAGCGACCTTCAGTCCGAGACTCTTGGCTTTATTCAAGCAAAGGTGCTGCCCGGAACGCAATGTACAGGGGGAAGTCAGCTCTGGCACGGCGGGCGTGCAATCGTTCCACGTGACAGCAGAGCCCACTCACTTTGTAGCGATTCCGATCTACGATACCCCCTATCACGTATGTCTTGCCTTCCTGTAGCTCCTCGATGGTCTCATCGGTATCTGCAGTAAGGTAGACGATGTCCTCCTTCTTGAGATCCGTGGGGACAATGGCCGAAGGGTGCACGAAGGATGCGTCTCGCTTACGACTGCGCCGGCGAGACGAGCGCTTGCTCTCCTCTTGCGATCCCTCTTGGATCTTTTCTGCTGCTACTTGATCTTCTGCGGTGGTCTCTGTGACTGCAGTCTCCGTGCTTGGCTCGGCATCGCTCAATGTGACTGGCTCGACGGCCTCATTGCCGTTCTTTCGCTCAATCCCATTTTCTGCCTCACTCTCCTGCCTCCTGTCATTCGTACTGCCCCCTTCCCACAGCGCTTCCAGTCCGCCCTTCTCGACGATGGCGACGTTCTTCCAGCGCCTCCACTGCGCCTCTCCATTCGCCTGCATGAGCTTTCCTATCCGGCTCTCATTGATTTCAATCGTGTCGCCGCTCTTGATCGCTTCTTCCAGTTTCGGGTAGTAGCCGTCCGCTTTGGCTGTCTCATGAGGGGCCCACAGCTGTTTAATGGTGGAAGGATCGGGTGAATAAGACAAAGCCGATGTCTTCGAGGGGCCTGCCAGGATGACTTGGAAGAAGGGAGCATGCGAGCGGTGATTCGAAGAGTAGAGGAAGGCTAGCTGCGACGTCATCGAGGTAATTTCCTTGTCCGTCATCAACTCATCAAAACCCATGTCGATCACCACCTTTGCTTTGAAGGCCCTGCGCTTCTTCCGTGGCGGCAGAGGCTCCTTCACGGTTCCATCTGCCTCCTTTGCTTCTTCTAGCTTGCGCTCCTGCGCGGCGGCGCGCTTCTCCTTCTTCTTCTCCTTTTCCTTTGCCCGTCGATCGCCTTTTGAGGCCTCCCATGACTCCTTCTTGAGCTGCCTTTTGAATGCGCTCTTGGACATATGCAGCGGGATAGGCGTGCCATCGCCTAGGTACTGCTGCTGTGGGGCAGCAGCAGTGGGAGACACTTCGGAAGGGGGAGCAGAAGAGGCCTCCTCGGCAGCCGGAAGACCTGGAACGGCTGGTCTGCTGGTTGGCACCTCATTACGAACGTCGTCATCTGCATCCATGATAGCAAGAGAGCACCTCGAGGCCAGATTTGGTGTGAATGAAGGGTTGCAATGGTCCGAGGTGGAAGGTGCGCCGGATTTTTTGAGCCCGAGCCAATGGTTTTTTCTCACTTCCGCTTCTTCTCGTCCGTACCGAGCCTCGCAGCCAGACCGCACAAATCGCGGACCATGTCGGCGATAGCTGTTCGCAAGGCGCGGATGGCCGCTGCTGCAAATGCTGCCGCTGCTGCGAATGAACAAGAGCGTTTGCCGCTGCCATCCGGGCATACGCAGCTGGAGGCTACGACTACACCTGGCATTGCTCCTACCACCGCCCCTACTTCATCTTCTTCCACGCCCACTCGGAGGTCTGCGCAGCCCGAAGAGGCAAGTCTTCGGTCGGCCACTCCTCTCAAGAAGAAGCAGCGCAAGGAGAACAGCAAATTGGAAGAACAGAAAGAATCGGCTCCGTCTCAAAAAGCTGCCAGAGGCAAAGGAAGGTATTTTGCCAGCCTGAGGCAGAAGGAGGATGAAGAAATGGACAATGGCAAACATCTGCCCCACCAGGAAGGCGCCGCATCAGCAGAGCACGAAGACGAGAGCAGTTCAGGGGAGGAGACAGACAAACACAATGGCGTTGCTCGGCGCCAGAGAGCCTCCTCAGCTGAGATGGACCAGGATCCGGGCCCCCGATCTCAGAATATCGCTGAGAAGTATGACTGGTTCAGCCCCGTATGGCGAGGGGAAGAGCGCGACGAGCTCGTCAATGCAGTGCATTTGAACAAAGCTAGCAACGGCGCTAGTATCAAGGGCAAGGAACGAATGGAACAGGATTCCACTATCGTGCTTGGTCTTCGGGCTGGACAGACCTTCTCACTACAAGGCTTGGCCGAAATCCGCTTGCTTGCAGGCTCCGTCCGCATAGATGGCGTCTCTCTGTCCTCGAAGCAAGTTACGGGAGCACAGACGCTTGCCTGTCCCAAGTCATCACCCTTGCCGATTATCTCTGCAGAACCGTCTCCAGCAGAATCCTCGCTGGCCGCTACCGGTAGCCGCAGGGCAGACGAACAGGATCAGGCTCTCCTTGCCGCCTCGAGCTTGAGCCCCACAAGATTCGACTGCATCATCTCACTCTCGCCCATCCTAGACTCCGGCCTCGATGCCCTTTCGCGCATCTGTCCGCTGGCCGGACCTGACCCCTTCTGTAGCATAGTATCGCAAGCTGGCTCATCTACTCCGTCAGCTAAGGCGCAGAGCACCTCTACCTTGCAACTTGCGCCTGACCCCACTCTTCCATTCCTCTCTTTGGTCTTTCAAAGTCGCGTCGAAAATGGATCGTACCAATTCCATCGGACGCCTGCTAGCTGGGTTGACGCCTTGAATGCTGCGCCCCGCCGGACGCACGGCGAGCAGCAGCCGCAAGTCTTCATGGTGAAAGGGCCTAAGGGCGCCGGTAAAAGCTCTTTAGCAAGGCGTCTTGTGAACGCTCTGCGCTTTTCACAGGTCCGCAAAGACGCGGATGACGACAGCTCCGATGAGGTCGGCTGTGACGTCGCTTTCATGGACCTTGATCTCGGTCAGGGCGAATTCGGCGTGCCAGGCAGCATAGGATTACATCTACTCTCAGAAGCCAGAGCTGCTGGGGCCGGATGTCCTCTCTTGGCGCCGGCTTGGCTGACTCACGCAAGCTCCTCACAGCACAAGACACTCCTCTCGCATTACTTAGGCCAAACGACACCCCGTGACATCCCCTCCCTGTATCTCTCAGCAGTTCAGTCTCTGTCCGATTACTACCGGTCGCATCTTGCGTCGGAGAGTGGACAAGCGCGCAGACCCACTGTTCGGCCAGTGAACCTCATAGTAAACACGATGGGCTGGACGAAGGGCTTGGGCGCTGAGCTCGCTGCTCGGGTCGAGAGTATCGTTCGGCCTGACGTGATCTACGACCTGACAACGACCTTGGAGCGGTCAGGCCCTTACCGACAACCCAATGGTTCAGGCAGCGCAGAATTGAGCGAGGTGACACTGCCTCCAGCAGGGACCGGGCAGCCATACCTTGATGCATTCGGAGCTTTCGTGGCACCTGGCCCTCGAATCGTGCCGCTACAGGCTATTGGCCTCGATCTCAAGCTACAGGAAGAAGCCGGCATAGGAGGCATGGTCGCTTCGTGGCCAACGAGACGCCTCACTCCGGCTGATCAAAGATCTTTGAGCATCATGACAGCTCTTCACTCTGCTCCTCGTCCGAGCCCATCGCTCTTCCCTGCGTGGGACTTTTCCTCGTCTCTCCTCGAGCAAAGACCTTATGTGCTCGATATCAGGGCAGGCTTGACAGGAGGCATTCAATTCTTCCCACCTCTGGCCAGACCGGTGGATGTCGGCACGGCTTTGGCGGCACTCAACGGCGAGCTCGTCGGGCTTGCCGTAGTCAGAGATGGGTCAGCGAACGAGCCGGCTGAAGGACAGAATGAGCAAGGACACCTGCCGACATCGGACGACGATATGTCAATGGCGTCAAGCTGGAGGACTCTTCTATCTCCCGTGCCTGTGCCCTTCCCTGCTCTCAACTTCCTGTCCCTAGCCTTGATACGGTCCATCGACCCGGCAAGGGGGCAGATTCACCTCTTATGTCCCTATCCCGTCTCTTCGCTCTTGCCTGCATCTTCCTCGGCCCCGAGTCTGAAGTTGGCGCTGATCAAGTCGTCGGGCGAGGCAGGCTCTGGTTCTTCAGGCAGTGTCGAGCTGCCCGTCTGGGCCAGTCTAGACGCTCCTGCAATTCTTGCAGCGCGGTCCGGCAGGCTCGGGGTGGATGCGCTAGGTGCAAGCAACGGAGAGGTGGAGGAAGTCGCCGGTGTCCGGCTGGAGGAGGTTCCTTACCTCGAATGGCCATTGATCATTGAGGGCGCGAGCGGGGCTGTAGACTCAGACTTGGAAGGCAGAGTGATCGGCAAGGAGAGGAGACGAGTCAGGCGTAACCTGATGAGAAAGAATCAGAGTTGAGGGAGAGGTGCAGGAACGCTGCAGGCATCGCTATCGTGCACCTCGCTTCGCTTCGGCAGAGCAACCTTGCAGACCCGAGCCTCCGCGTAGATAGATACCCCACGTGTGACTAGTCGCTCGACAATCGCTTCCAATGTTGACAAACCGTCCTGGTGAATCAAAACTGCCACCTGATTGACAAGGTTGGGTTCCAGATCTGATCTGTCTCTTCACCTTTACGTCTGTCAGTCTTGTCTGGCGTTACAAGCAATCATGCGGGTGGACACGGGACGTTAGCGCTCGTCGACCTTCGCACGTCTCGCTCGACCTTCACACAAACTCGCTTCCATCACCCCAACCCATTGGCAGCATTTCGTCAAAATTTTCTCGTTTAGCCGCCAGAGTCCGCCGGAGCCCGGGGTGGGCGCCGGAGCGGAGCCGGACGCCCTTGACGCCCCTGCGCCCGCTTCGGTGTGGGCATACTCAATGGGGCGCTAGTCCCTGCCAAGCGCTAGGCTTGGCAAAGGACCATCGATCGAAGGATCCCATTCACGCCAAGCGAACCTCGTCTGCTCACTGTGAGCAATCATTTCTTCAGTGGCTCTCTTATCGAAACGTGGTGCGAGCCACGTGGGATCCAAATTTTCAACCCGGAGTCTGAATAGCATGGCTTGGGTTGGTACCAGGCCATGTACTGAACTTCGTGAAAGTTGCCAAAGATCTAGACGTCAAGAGTCTGTCCGGCGTCCTCACTGTCACTGGGCAAGGCTCACTGATGCGGGTTTCGAGGGCGGGTAAAGTGGGGTAAAGGCTGCAATTTGTCGCCGCTGGACGCCGAGACCAGCAAGTCGCCGAGACACATGGGTGGTCCCTTCATTTACATTGCTGCCCTCTGCCCACAAATGGCGCTCCCCAACCGCGGCCGCACTCAGAAGAAGCGAGTCTGGGGCTGGACCAATTCTCATCTCAATCAATTGCTCTGTGCAGAGAGGATGCGGAGCAATGTCGTGGGCCATGAGAGAGCCAAGGATTGCTTCCGTGGAGCGAAGCAAGGTGTGGTCCAGTTCCGTCTTGAGTGGACCGACCGACTGACTGAATCAAATGAATTCACAACCACGTTGCAAGTGCTCGCACACCAACCATTTGTCACTGTGAAAGGAACATTCGTGCTCGGGCTTGTGCCTTTGCTCCGGCCTGACGGCTCTAACGGATCTTCCGAGACAGCTTGTCAGCATGAATACAGTTCATTGAAATGGTCCTTTCCTCGGTACAACAAAAGGTGCCGGCAGGAGGAAGATCCTTTTCCTGATCAGCTAATCGGATGTCCCGTTGTCGCTGCGAAAAGCAATCACTTAGGCTGCACCTATTGCTGCGAAATTCTACGGGCTAATAAGATTGGGCCGAGCCAGCCTTGATGGAGGGACCGGCTGTCAGGTGACGAAATGTTTGCCTTGGGTCAGGGCGGAGCAAGATGAGTAGAGCAAGCTCGAGGGAAAGGCCTGCTTCGTCGATCGGGCCTCAGTCCCGCGGCCGAGAGAGATTGGGCTGCGTGCGGTGAATGGGTGTCCGAGTTTCCAAAGCGGTCCTGGGCGACAAAGAATCCGACAGGTGGGTAGGTAGGTAGTCCCTGGACCCCGCCGTGCAGGCAAAATTGTCGAGGACGCTTTGGGCGTCGTCCTTGCCACCCAGTTAGCTGGAAGGGTGGGTATGGCAAGTTGCCGTGGTGCTCTGGTGCCTCTGGTGCGGCGGGAGGTGTGGCGTCGGGCGCGTGGCTTGGAGTGGCGTGGGGTGGCTGAGCCACGCCCTGCTGCCTCCGACCGATCTCCGGGGCCCGTCGGCATTGGAGATGGCCGCCGGCCAGGAACAAGAAGCAGCAGCGAAAAAAGGGGGTGGTCCCTCGATGAACATCTCGAGAGCAACGTCTCACTTGCCTACCGGCATTCTCACCCACGCACCCAGCCCTCTTCGGCCGGGACTTGGACAGAGGACCCATCTCGCCTGGAATTTCTGCCAACCGTGGAGATGCACGATCGCAGATTCCGACAGGGACCTTCTTCCTACTCCTGTCTAGGCGAGGTGCTTGCTCACTGCAGGCACGCTCCGTCAACAGTACGATTCGCATCGAAAGTGGGAGGAGAGAGGTAGTTTGCCTGCAAAGTCGTGGTCCCTTTGCGCACGTCCGAGCTGAAACAAGGAAACGATCAGCAGGGACTCTGCCGTCAGGGGGACTCCCCCGAAAGAATATGCCGTGCGGTATTTGCTTCCGCTGCTCCGCTTCCCCGAAGAAGACGTAGGTCATCCGAGGTATCGATTTACTACTTAGGTCCCAGCATTCTCGTCGCTTGCTCCCACTTCACCCACAAATCTACAGCACCTTCAACCCCTCGTTCTTCAACACCAAATCCTCTCACCACACCGCATTCGAGACCACCCACCCACACCTCAACAACGTAGCCAACATGCGAGCCTCATTCAACCTCTTTGCTCTCGTCGCCCTCTTCGTGGCCATCCTCTCGGTCGTCTCTACATCGGCTCTGACTGTTCCCCGATCCACCAACGAGACTTCAGTCCCCGCCGAGGTGCGCTCCAACCTTGAGCCCGTCGAGCAAGAGCTCGAGTCTCGAGCTACCCACTCTGGCCGTGCTACCTACGTGAGTAACATCAATCAATCAAACTGTGCCCCGCGAATGACCCAGCTGACCATTTATGACATCGCTTCGTTGCTCTTACAGTTCTACCCCGGTATGGGAGCATGTGGCTGGCACAGCAGCAGCAGCGACTACATCTTCGCCATCTCCGCACACGCCTGGAGCGGCGGCAACAAGTGTGGCAAGTCAGCTAGGATCTGCCACGGCTCCAAGTGTGTCACTGCCAAGCTGGTCGACGAGTGCCCTGGCTGCTCTTCTGGAAGCCTCGACCTCTCCCCTGCTGCCTTCAAGAAGCTGGCATCGCTCAGCACCGGCCAGGTCAACATCAAGTGGCACTTCACCTAAAGTCATCGAAGCCATTGCGCCCCTGCTAGCTTCCTTACTTTTGCCGCCTTTCTCATTCAACTCAAGCTGAATCCCCCGCAAGTCGGACGGTTCATCACCCACCTAGCCTACCAAGCTGAGCTCATCATGCTCGCTACTAGACAGGCTATCAAATTCTCTGCCCGCCTGCCCTCCATCGCCGAGGGCGGTTCAAAAGTTCCGGCACTATGTATCAACACACTCCCTGCTCCACGATCCCTTCCCCACCTTCGGTAGTCAAGCTGTTTCGGCAACTTGACAGCCTCATGTATTCTATGACACGGCCATTCAGAGTCGATGCCCCACTCTCCCTCTCATGTTCCGTCCCTTTCGCCTTCTGCGGCCGGCGCGCCCGTGTCACGGCCTATGTATCACTCATTTGACGACAAGGTCATTGTATCCTTTGACGGGTCGTCATACAATAGATCTTCTGCATCATCTTCACTTAGTGACTCTTGTCTGTGTAACGTCGCTGTTGTGCACCGACCATTTTGCGATGAAGAGGTTGTCAGGCGCTCCCTTGCTCAAGAGGCAACGTCGTAGCTCGCATTAGCAGCTGCCCAGGGCGCCATGGCTTCAGAATTGGTCTCTTGCCTCTTTTGCGGCCCCCAACGACGTGGCTATCAGAAGCAAGGAGACCAAGACCCACACTGCCGATAGGCGAAGACCCCGAGATGTCGACTTCGTTCCCTCTCACCTCCGCTCCGTTCCGACTGCACTCCACACGCGACTGAAATCTCTCATGAGCGGATACCCATACAGCCTTGGCGTGTGCTGCCTTCAACCCTTCTATCCCTCTCGTCTTCCCCTTTCTCCGTTTGGTGGATCACATCTACTTGCTTGCTCGCTCTTCCACGATCATGTCTGCCCTCAGTGGCAGGCTGGCCCGAGGCGGCCCCTCCAGACGTGCCTGGGACGTTCTCACCAGACCAACACCATCAACACAGCGACTCCTCTCATCCACCCCTTCCACGATTCCCCCTCGCCTTGCGACGCATCCGATGCTACGCTCCACTCGACCTCATATAAATGTTGTCATCCAAAGGACGGGTAATAGAACGATGCATGTGCGAGCACTCAGCTTCAGCTCCCTGGGAAAGGCAGCGCTTCGTGGGCTGCGTCTGCCAGTGTTTGCCGGAACGGCCGCGTTGGGCACGGCGGCTGGGACAATGGCTCTGGCCAACCGAACGGCAGATCGTAAGTGACCAAGACCATGCATGATCGATGTTGAGCCACCAAAGTTGACTCCTCTCTCTTGTGGCCCGCTTCAGAAATCACTGGCTTCGTAGGAGGCATCTTCGACTCCGCATCACAGACGGCCTCGGGCGCCTTTGGTAGCCTTGCAGACATCTCATCCGAGGCTCGCGATCGCCTTTCAGAGTCACTGGATGAACTCTCATCAGCCTCGTCTTCGTGGTTCAGCAGCATCTCAAAAGCGTTCGAGGCAAGGGGTAGAGAAAGGTCAGAAGGAGATGCAGGCAGTAGCGGTGGCGGAGGAGGAAGCGGCGGTGAAGGTGGGCCGGGAGGTCCTGCTACCGCCGCTGCCCTCAGCGCTGGTGTCTACAGTACCGTGAGGGACAGCGATGAAGCTGATCAGAGCTCTCATAAGCCGGCCAATAGTACCGAGGAGCTGATGCTGCTCACTCGCAAGCTCATCGAAGTTCGCAATATCCTCAAGAGCGTGGACCACGAGAGCGACTCTCTCACCCTACCCAGCATAGTCGTCATTGGCTCGCAAAGCAGCGGGAAGAGTAGTGTACTGGAAGCTATAGTCGGGCACGAATTCCTCCCCAAGGGCTCCAACATGGTCACAAGGCGACCTATCGAGCTCACCCTCATTCATGAGGAGAACAAGTCCGGGCGAGACCACGTAGTGGAGTATGGAGAGTTCCCAGGCTTGGGGACAGGGAGGATCACAGACTTCTCTCAGATACAAAAGACACTCTTTGACCTCAACATGGCGGTACCGGCAGAGGAGTGCGTCAGTGATGCGCCCATTGAGCTACGCATCCACAGCCCTCATGTGCCAGATCTCACAATGATTGACCTGCCAGGCTACGTGCAGATCGCCTCGATGGATCAGCCCGAAGCGTTGAGGGAGAAAATCAGCGGGCTGTGCGATAAGTACATCCAAGAACCCAATATCATCTTGGCAGTGTGCTCAGCCGACGTCGATCTCGCCAACTCACCGGCTCTACGTGCAAGTCGCAAGGTGGACCCTCTTGGTCTACGTACCATCGGGGTCATCACCAAGATGGACTTGGTAGCACCCGAAGACGGCGCGGCACTGCTGAACAACAACAAGTACCCTCTGGCCCTGGGCTATGTGGGCGTGGTCTGCAAGAGTGGTCTCTTCACGCGCTTTAGATCCAAAGGTCACGATAGCGATGGGGAGGGCAACATCAGCTCGGCAGTGCTGAGGCAGGAAGATGACTACTTCAGCGCTCATCGTGAGCACTTCAAGGCACCCGGACGCGGTAGGAATGCTGGTGTTGAGCCCATGGTCGGCACAGATACCCTTCGCCGGCGCTTGATGTCGGTCCTGGAGGAGAGCATGGGCTCTTCGCTTCACACAATCTCGAGCGCTGTCCGTATGGAGCTGGAGGAAGCATCCTATCAGTTCAAGGTGCAATACAACGACCGAAGCATCACAGCTGAGAGCTACGTTGCTGAGACGATGGATGCTCTGAAACTGCAATTCAAAGAGTTTGCCTCGAGCTTTGGTAAGCCAGAAGTGAGAGCGCTCCTGAAGCAGGCCCTCGACGACAAGGTCATGGACATCCTTGCCCAACTCTACTGGACCGACTCCAGAGCGCCGGAGTTGTCGCAGCTCGCTGATAACCGCAAGCTTGCACCAGAAGATCTGGACAGATATTGGCAGCACAAGCTGGACGCCAGCTCTGGTGCTCTTACCAAGAGCGGCATTGGCCGCACAAGTACGCAGCTCGTGGTAGATGCGATCCGCACCCAGGTTGAGCGGCTCGCCCAAACAGAGCCCTTCAATCATCATCCTGAGGCTGCTGAGCGTATTCTTACCTTCTCTACTGCGATCCTGAAGGACCGTTTTGGTCTGACCGCTGACCAAGTGGAGAATTGCGTCAAGCCCTTCAAGTACGCAGTCGAGGTGGAGCCTCAAGATTGGGAGGCTGGGAGGGGCAGGTCTGTGCAACTTGTGGAGAGGGAACTTTCGATGTGCGATGACGCTCTGAACAAGCTGAAGAAGGCTATCGGAGGGAGGAGACTCAAGGGCGCCATGGACTATGTCTCGGAGCTCGAGGAGCGCGATCGAAGGAGAGCCATGGCTCGTCTGCGCACCGTTCAGCAAAGCAGAGAAGAGTCAGAGGGCGGTGCTGGCAGCCAGCGACCCCTCAGCGAGCGCGATCTAGACGACGAATCTGATCCGCTGCGTCCAGACTACAACTCTGCCTTGCTGATCAAGGCCCGCGAAGCCCGTTTCCTCCAATCGCGCTCCGACATTCTCCGTCTACGCATTGCAGCCCTCAAGGGTCGACGCTGCAAGCTCGGTCCAGATTCAAAGGCCTTTTGCCCCGAAGCCTTCCTCAATGTAGTGGCAGACAAGCTTACCTACACTGCAGTCATGTTCATCAACATCGAGCTCCTCGCCGAATTCTTTTACCAATTCCCGAGGGAAATCGACTCGAGGTTGGTGTACGACATGGGTAGGGAAGATCTGGTCAAATTTGCTAGGGAGAATCCAACGGTGAGAAGACACTTGGACTTGCAGGACAAGCGAGACCGGTTGAGCGAGGCAATGGAGAAGCTTAGCTCGCTGCAGTCCCTCTACGAGGAGAAGAATCCGGGAAAGTCTGGAAGAGGTAGTGGAGGGAGGGGAGCTAGTTGGAAATTCTTCTAGTCGTTGATCGTTCGGTTGTTCAGTCAGGAAGGATGCGCGTCCTTCACCCTACCCTTTGGTTCACTTTGCCTCACCATCGCTTTCGTGTTACTTGTTCCATACCACCTTTTCTGTACTCCCTTTGTCTATTCCCCATATTCGGCTCGTACTAGTCCGCGGTAGCCTCTCTGCCTGCCTCTGTTAGCAATTCACACCACTAAATCAGTCGAAGTCGATCTCGGTCTGCCTCAGCGCTGTGCCATTGTAGGTGACAGCCCGTCGACAGGATCAAAAGTGTCTATATCGGCTGATGAAATCGTCTCGATTCGCTCGACATCTTCCCTGCTCTAGCCTCCCTATTGCCACTTCCGGCGTGTTTCATAGGGGAGGTAGAGGAGCTGTGGTCCCAGAGCGATTGAAGAGAACGTCCTTGAGCACCTGTGTAAGCAGACCATGCTGTGCCTCGGCCGAGATCTTACTCCCATCACGTACGACTTTGGCCAGTGGCGTCTCTTCCTCCCTCTTGCGTGCTTCGGCAACCATCTTGTCCACTTTGCTTGTCGCAGCAGCGTTACCTCCAGAAGCAGCGGGAGATTCGCTCGCCTCCTCGTCGCCCTTGGCTTCTTCGCCATTGCGACCCAGAGGCAACGTCGTTGCGCTCCTGGTCCCCGCGCTCCTCCTCACTTGTCCCATCTTTGCAGCTAGGTCCCTCACCTGACCCGTAGCATACTCGCGGTTGACCACCAGTGGACTCTGAGAAAGAGTCGCCACCCAATACTTCTCCCACAGCATCCCCAGAACCCTCTCGTCGAGGGAGGACTTGAAGTGCTCCACCTTGAGCGGGTAATAGGCGTTTGCGTGTACACCAAAGTCTTCGATCTTGGAGAGTGGGATGGACTGGTACTCAGATGAGGAAGAGGCATTGGGCGGCTTGTAGTTGGCTGGGTAGGTGCGGAATGCTCCAATGTCTACTCTTCCGGCTGAGATTGTGCGGTTGGGGTCGATGACGATGGCAACAAAGGGGTCCTGGAATTGCTGGTTGGTCATCTGCGTGTTCACGTCGATGCCGGAGAGCCAGCAGCCGTACCCCGGATGGGAGTGGTACCATCCAATGGCATTCTCTAGACGTCCGACCTGGTGGAGGAATCCGTGTGAGCGAGTAGCGATGCTGATGGAAAGTATCAATCGCCACGGCAGCGCTACTCACCTGCTTGCTGCTCTCTAGGTACTCGACCATATATTCGTATGCCTCGTTCTGGGCATTAACCCTCGTCTCTGTTCCCTGGACAGGCAGCGCGAATGCGTCCATGACGTACAGTGTCTTGTTGGGTATATCCACTTTCCCCTGCATGAGTCCCATGATCTCGTAGATTCCTCCTGAGCGGGCGTGCATGACCATCTTGATCAGGGCAACGGCAGAGATGCGGACCGTATGAAAGAAGTGAGGGCTGGTGGAAGGGGAATCCGTACTGTGTGGGTGAGCTCACCTGGAACAGCACAATTGAACTGTCATGACTGTATAAATCTACTCACTCCTTCTTCCAAGGTGCTGCATTGAGTGCCTGCTTCTGCTGATCATTGTCAAAGTGGAATATGGCATCCTTGTGCGGGTCGAGTGTGATCATGTCATTGTTGAGCTCAAATGTCTTTTGTGCGATGCTGGACGAGGTGGATGGTCCTGCTACTGCGGACATGTCTGCTGCCGTGATGGTGGTGGTGGTATGAAGGATGCAGTACAGAGGGTATGTGTGATGGTACTGAGTATATGCTCCTTGTCGTCGTCGTCGTCGTCGTCGTCTGTACGTACGTTCGTGCTCGTGCTGCCCTCGCCTCCACCCTGTCTGCGCCCGCGTGTCCCTCTTTCCGTCGAGTGTTGCTTTCTTCGTCAGCGCCAGCCGAGTTGCGCCCAGGCCACCCACCAACCCCTTTGCACCTCGTAGTCTAGGCCCCTCTGCTTCTTCACCTACTTGCACCTCGCTGCGGCCTCTGACCATTCTTCTGCATGGCTTGATGGCTGATCACAACACCCAGGTATAGTAGAGTATCCCCCTCCCCCTCTCCTCTGTCCACCGCTACACAAACCCCATGCTCCCTACCCACGTGATTCGTATGCCTGCACACAACTCCAGCGGCAGCACCAGCAGCGCAAGCGGCACATCACGGCATGCTCAGAGCGAGAGCATATCCTACCCTCCCCGCCACAGTAGGCTCAGCAGCGAGGCAAGATGGCGCAGCGATGCTGGCTCGGGCAGCCGCACTGGACTCTGGAACAGACTACTTGGAAGGAGAGGAATCGCATCCCTCACGGTAGACGTAGCTGCCCCGCCTTCGAAGCCTAGAGCGCCTCGCCAAGGTCTTCCGCAGGCGGCGTCGGCTGCGAAGCCCACACATCCGCCTCCATCGGATAGAGCGAGTACAGGGGAGATACCCAAAGCCCCTCGCTGGTCTACGTGGGAGTTTCGCTTCTACTTTCTCATCCTAGCCACCTTCCTGCCCTATATGATCTGGGTACCCGTCCGTCTCAGTCAGTCTACCGATCGCAATTACCACATGTATCGTGGGCACTTAGAGCAAGGATGGCTCTTTGGTCGTATGAGGGACGATTCGGATTATCAATATCGGTCATTCAGGGACTACCTTCCCACGTTGGCAGGTATCATGCTACTGTACCTCGGCCTGTCCTACCTCTCCACAAAGGTAGCAATGGGGAAGCAATATCGATCCCTCACTTCAAGAGCGAGACAAAATAGAGTCTTCTTCCTTCACTTCTTCAGTGCCATCTTCATTCTGGCACTCCATGGCGCAAATGTCGTCAAGCTGTTGGCTATACTGTTGATCAACTTCACAATGGCAAAGCTACTAGCTGGTACGCCTTGGCTCGCTCCAGCCGCCTTCTGGGTATTCAATGTAGGCGCCCTAGCAGCTGTGCACTGGAACGATGGTTTTCAGTGGGCAGCATTCGGAGACGGCAGGTTCGCCTGGCTCGATGATTACAATGGACTACTACCACGGTGGCAGATCAACTTCAACATCACCATGCTTCGGCTTATCTCCTTTGCCCTCGACCTGCACTGGGCGCGAGCTACCTCATTCAAGCAATCAGAAGATGGGGCTCCCACCGAAGAAGAAGACAATACCAACAACAGGCACAGAGCGGCCAGCCCGAGAATGGCGTCAGAATACAGCCTCAGTCATTACCTAGCATACACATTATACCCCCCGCTCTTCATCGCCGGCCCGATCATGAGCTTCAACGACTTTGTCTCACAGGTGAGAAGCGCATTCTCAGAGTGCGTCTGAGCCCTCTCGTGCCCACTTCTGACCCTCCCTTTCTTCTTCCTCGCAGATTCATAATCCCCCCTCCATCAGTCGCAAGGCTTTCTCCCGCTACGCCGTCCGCTTCCTCATCTCGACCCTGACCATGGAGTTCATCCTTCACTACATCTACGTGAATGCCATCAAGGACTCGCATGCCTGGAAAGGCGAGACACCCCTCGAGCTGTCCATGGTCGGTTTCTGGAACCTAATCATCGTCTGGCTTAAGCTCCTCATCCCGTGGAGATTCTTCAGACTGTGGAGTCTGGCAGACGGGGTGGACCCACCAGAGAATATGATCCGCTGCATGGCAAACAATTACTCTACCCTTGGCTTTTGGAGGAGCTGGCACAGGAGCTACAACCTCTGGATCGTGCGGTACATCTACATCCCCGTCGGAGGGTCGAAGAACACCTATGGTATCCCGGCTACACTGTTGGTATTCACCTTTGTGGCACTCTGGCACGACCTCTCCCTGAAACTCCTTACTTGGGGCTGGCTCATCACCCTCTTCATCGTCCCCGAAATCGCTTTCAAGTCTTTCCTAGTGCCCGCTTCCAAGTTCGGACATCACTGGTGGTATCGACACCTAGCCGCTTGCGGGGGCGTATTCAATGTGCTCCTGATGATGACGGCCAATTTGATTGGGTTTGCCATTGGAGCAGACGGGATGAAGTACATGTGGGAGCAGCTATTGGGGAGCTGGGATGGAGTGAGGTTCATGCTCACGGCTTGCTTTGGACTGTTCGTGGGCGTGCAACTCATGTTTGAGTATAGAGAGGAGGAGTTGAGGTGAGTCGCCGTGCCGTAGTCTGTCGGCGAGGAAGACGGGGAGCTGCTCGAGAAAAATGCGTGGATCGCTGCTGACACAAGACGTTGTGCTCTTCTTATCTGCATCTCCAGGAAGGGCATCTCCAGGAAGTGTTGAGATTCCAGAAGTGTTTATAGAGAGCTGTGGAGCCTGTAGCTCATGCTGCACCTGCAGCAGTCGGAAGAGATGGTCTCTTGCACCGCATCATATCACCAGTGTCCAGCTTCTTCATCTGTCTCGCTCATCTACGTCTCTATTTGTCATTTGTCAATACCACATTGCTCTCACATCAGCCTCTGAACCGCCTGAGCACAGCTTGGCAGGTCACGTCTACTTCTTTGCAGCTGCGCCAAGTCCATGCACCACCGGCTCGGGCCTCTTGCTAAAGAGGACCTTCTTGCGCACAATACACACCACGTCGTAGTAAGTCGACGTCTGTCTCTTGCGCGCTCCTCCAGGAATCGCGCTTTGCTTTCCCCTCTGAGTAGGCGTCTCCTCTCCTGTCGCTTGGATTGCAGTCTTGCTCTTGCTCTTGGTCGTGGGTGTCCTCCCGTCTGCCTCTCCCTCTCTCTCTCCCTCTTCCTGGTCATTAGGCCCAACCCGCTCTTGCAGCGGTGAGCTCATGCCCATCCCCACTCGTGCGGCTCTGGCTCTAGAAGCAGGAAGAGGGGGAGAAGAAGGCGGTTGTGGACTACTAAAGTCCAGCGCGGAGCCACGCATGGGAGCTTGTGGCGTACTGGAGGGACTGCTTGTCGGAGGAGGAGGCGCCTTGGAGGTAGGACGTGAGGGAGTCTGCGTTGAAGCACTGTTGAAAGAGTCGATTTTGGGCTTCTTGCTTAGAGGTCCTAGTGAGGTGGAGCTGGAGGAGCCCTGGTTATGGTCTGGATCGAGGGCGTGATCGCGCTTCATCCGCTGGACAGTGGGGGATATGCTCCTGCCCCTTCCTTGGGCATCTGCGCCTTCCTCGTCGTCATCGCTGTCTTCTAGCAGCGGATTTTCAGCTGCCACCGTAGTCATCTTCAGGTCGGGCGAAGAAGGGAGCAATGTTGCTCTCCCCTCTGCCTCCTCCTCTTCTTTGTCCTGCCCGGCTCTAACCACCTTCCTCCTCCTCTTCTCAAGCACAGCCAGCGGTCTCCCCAGCGTAATCAATTTCCCCTCAAGTCGATGATGCGAGAGTAGCAGTGTAGGCTTATCCTCTTTCCCTTCACCCCATGAAAATTCTCCCACTACTTGACCACCACCTGATGCGGACCCTTCTGCAGAGGCAGAGGCAGAGGAGAGGTCAGAATCGAGTCCTTCCATCTCGAGGGAGCCTTGGAGTTCGATTAGGACAAGCTCGCCATTGGGGCATAGGGCCAGGAGAGGTTTGGGGGCGGAGGAACGGGATGAGGTTGCTACTGATGAGGCAGAAGAGGAGGAGGAGCTGCTAGCAGGCTCGCCAAGCAGCGACACCGGCGAAGCGGGCGGGTTGGAAGGTGTGAGGTAGAGGTTGATCCGCATCTTGGCTTGCTCGACGGAGGCCTCTCAGATAATTGAGCTCGTGCAGTGGGTGGGAGTTGCGTATCTGATGGCGTCGAGTCTGTCTCTGGAGGATGTGGGCTTCGCTTGGTTGCATTCAAAGAAAGGACGCCTCGACCTTCTTCCGCTCCGAAGAGTCCAACACCGCGACGCGCCTCGGGTAGATGGACGCGCTTCATCTGCGCTGACCTCACCTTCCTCTCCTCTCCGCTGGTCCCTCCGTCGCTCAGCCCCTCCAATGTCAGATTCTCAAACAGCATGCCATGACATTAACCGAGAATCTACCAGAATGGAAAGGGAAAGAAGCAAAAGTGAGGGCAAAGAGGTGGTGATTCTACAAGTCAGGAACCGTAATGCAGAGAGATGACAATAGCATGATGGCGATGGTGGTTATGGCAAGAGAGATATCCGAGCCTAGAGAGAGGGAGTGAAAGTGGTGTCTGTGTATAACCGCAACATGCAGGAAAGACGCAACTCATAGCGAAGGCTTGTCCGCCTTTGACGATGCTGCCAAGCCTGGCTCGCCCTCCATCTCCTCCGGTGGTGGGGGTGGTGCCGAAGTCTCGCCCCTGTTCAGCCTTCCCTTCTTGTCCAGATAGTCATCGGCCTCGTCAGCAACCTTGAATGGCCTCTTGCCAAGCAAGTTGCGCATGTCCTCTCGTGTGATGACCTCCTTCTCAAGCAGAAGATTTGCCACCTTCTTCACATCGTCCTTGTGCTTCGTCAGAAGCTCCGTTGTCCGCTCGTGGGCCTTGTTGATCAGCTTGCGCACCTCGGCGTCTAGCAGCTCGCCCGTCTTCTCAGAGTAAGGTTTGTGCATCGACTGCTCCTCGGCACGGTACGACACGGGACCCAGGGTCGAGTTCATACCGTATGAGGCACAGATCTCGAAGGCCATCCGTGTGATCTTGCCCAGATCGTCTTGTGCACCCGTGGTGATGGAGCCAAAGAAGATCTCCTCGGATACTCGTCCTCCGAGGGTCATGCACATGCGGTCGATCAGCTGCTCGGTAGAGAAGAGGTACTTCTCCTTGGGCAGGTACTGAGCGTAACCAAGTGCTCCGACACCTCGAGGAATGATGGAGACCTTGAGCAGAGGGTCGCAGTGCTCCAGGAACCAGCCAACGATGGCGTGGCCGGCCTCGTGGTGGGCAACAATGTTCTTTTCCTCGGGCGAGAGCACGCGCGACTTGCGCTCAAGCCCGGCAATGACACGCTCGATGGCAAGCTCGAAGTGGTGCTCTGTCACTCCGTCGGCGCCCTTGCGAGCGGCAATCAGAGCAGCCTCGTTACAGATGTTAGCAACGTCTGCTCCCGAGAAGCCAGGAGTGAGCGTCGACAGCTTCTCCGACAGCATCTCGCGGTCAACGCTGGGAGCGAGCTGAATGGGCTTGAGGTGGACCTTGAAGATCTCCTTGCGGCCTGAGATATCGGGTCGGTCGATGGCGATGTGTCGATCGAAACGTCCCGGACGCATCAGAGCAGGGTCCAGCACATCTGGCCTGTTGGTTCCAGCAAGAACAACGACGTGCTCCTCAGTGCTGAAACCGTCCATCTGGACCAGGAGCTCGTTGAGAGTACTCTCACGCTCATCGTTGCCTCCAAACGATCCACCCTTGCCACGAGCCTTACCAATGGCATCGATCTCGTCTACGAAGATGATGCAAGGTGCGTTCTTCTTGGCGTTGGCGAACATGTCCCTCACTCTTGAAGGACCGACTCCGACGAACATCTCCACGAATTCCGATCCAGATACGCTCAGGAAGGGAACGCCTGCCTCTCCAGCGGTAGCCTTTGCCAAAAGAGTCTTACCGGTTCCTGGTGGTCCACTGAGAATGGCACCTCGAGGGATCTTGGCTCCTAGCCTCTTGTACTTCTCGGGCTTCTTGAGGAAGCTGACAAACTCCATGATCTCCTCCTTGGCCTCGTCCATTCCCGCCACTTGGTCGAACTTCATCTTGATGTCAGTCTCCTGGTTGAACATCTTAGCCTTGGACTTGCCGATACCGAAGATACCACCTGGTCCACCGCCACCAGCGCCACCCGCTGCTCCGCTAGCTCTCCTGCTGATCCAGAAGAGGAGACCGGCGAGGAGAAGGGTAGGGGCAAAGTGCAGCAGAGTCGATGCAGTGGAGATCTCCTCGTGGTATGCCACGGGGATCTTCTCGCTCGAAGGGATCTCGAGCTCGCGTTGGGCGTCATCCAGTCTGCGCTCAAAGGCCTCCACAGAGCCAACAGAGAACCAGTAGGCAGCCTGACCGCTACCTCCTGCAGCGCTGCCGCCTGGCATTGAGCCAGTGGCGTTCGATGTGAGATAGACCTTCACCTTGGAGCGGTTGACAACGACTAGGCGCTCCACGAGGCCCTTCTCGAGGAAGGCCGTGCGGAACTCCTGCCAGGTAATCTCGCGGGAGGGAGTATCGGGAGATGTGAGCTTGTAGACAAGGTATGTTCCGACGACGGAACCGACCAAGAAATTGCCGTTGAGCCTGACCTCTTGAGGTCCACCAGCTGGGCCGCCTGAAGATCCTGCATCCTTCTTCTTCTTGTCGTCGGACTCCGACTTCTCGCCCTTTTCGCTTGCGCTGGTCGACTTCTTGTCGGATGGCTTTGGAGGCTCGCCGCCCAGGCCGAAGAAGCCCTTGAGGTCTTGCCATGCCTGTTGTTGCCTCTCCTGCGACTGACGGATGGTCTCTTGCAATGCCTTTTCAATCTCCTCTTGTCGCTTCTTGGCCAGCTCCTCTGGACTTAGCTTCCGATCTTCCTTGCCACTGCTGGCCTCTTTCTTCTCTTCGGCACCGTCCTTGCTATCTTTCTCGCTGTCCTCGCTGTTCTCCTTGCTCTTGTCATTCTTCTTTGGGTCCTCCACCGGTGTGGCGTACGTCCTGCTCAGCGATGTGAGAGGTGGTGCGGCGAAGCGAGAGGGGGCATGTGAGAAGAGGAGTGACGAAGGCCTCTGCGTGAGTCTGAGTCGCGAAGAGGTGCTTGCTGACGAGGCCGAGGCAGACGCTAGACGTGAGACTGAGCGAGCGGCTAATGAAGGGAGCATGGCGGGTGCAAGGTAGGAAAGATGCGGAGGGGGATAGGGTACGATGCGCGATGGTGAGGGGAGAGCAGGTCTCCAGGCAAGCTTGTGTAGCTCTGCCTGAGCTGCTTGCAGTGACTAAGTACAGTCGCTGAACAGGAGTGTGTGGGTGAGTAGACTGTTGGGTGGAATGGCGAGATGGTAAGATGATCTTTGAGTTGCTCCTCGGGCGACAGAGTGCGAGTCAATCTCATCTCATCTCGCCTCTCAGTCGCCGACACACACTGACGACGCCTGAAGCTGAATCAGCGCAGTCAAGTCGGAACGGAACCCGACGTGCTTTCCGCTTCGCCTGCGTCGACGGCGTGGTGCAGGGTCCCCTCACTCGTGGCTCAGGCGCTCAGGCGCTCCGACGTCATCGACTCCACTGGGGAAACGCGAGGGCGAGGCGAGGCTCCCTGGCCATTTCCATCGACCGAAACATTCACCTTAGCTCGTTCATCGTCTTGGGGACATCTTTCCATTGATACCACTCCTGTCATCATCCCCCTACTTGCTCCATCTCTCCCATAGCAGCTATGAGCGACTCAAGATCTGTCACTTCGGCTGGCGGAGCACGCGCTCCCGTAGCTGCCACGCCCTCTTACTCCACTGCTTCCTTTGGTCGACTGCAGATCTTTCACCCCATCTCTTTGCTGGTCCTGGTCGCATCATTTGCAATCACATCCTTCGTCGTCGACCCCAACCTGAAGTCCGTGTCCAAGGTTCATCTCACCTACTTCAATCCCAATGACACGTGGTTGATGGGCTACTGGGCCGTCCTGTTCATCCTGCAGGTCGGTACAGCTCTTTCGATCGCAATCGCAGCGACTGATCACACCAGGGTGAGTCACAGCACCTCGAATGAGTTGGGCATAGCAGATTTCCGAAGGACTCGACTGACTGACCTTGCATCTTCTTTTACTGCTTTGTCACCCTTCCAGGCTCTCCTCGCCAATGGCATCTCCATGTCTTTGCCCATTGCGAATTTCATGCTAGCCATCTGGGCGCCCCTGTTCATTGTGAACAAGATTCCAGCCTTCATTGCCGGAGAAGTCATGCTTGGCATCGCCACTGTCCTGCTGACCATCAGTGTCATGGTCACGGGCGTCAAGCAAGCCTACGGTCCGACCTGGAGGCGGCCAGTAGAGTGGGCCATGATCCATCTCCCTGCGCGAATGTTCCTCGCCGTGCTTCTGCACGTCGACATTTGGCAACAGGGGCTCATCTCATTTGGTCTCGCACCCGAGGGACCAATCTCTTCCAAGACCATCTGGCCCTCGTTCATCATCATCGTCTCCGTCGGGCTAGCGACAGCCATGTGGACTTTCGCTACGACGGATCTGGCATTTGGTGCGGCCGGCATCTACCTTCAGCTGGCCATCCTGTTTTCCAACAGGGTCAAGTTCGACAGCAGGCCTGCTGAGGTCGTCGCAGCTCACATTTTGGCCATCGTGCTCCTGTCTGTGGCTATCGTCGCATCACTGGCCTGGAGGCGAGTCACCTCCCGAACAGAGGGAAGGATCGCCCTTCCCGTCAGCCCCCACGAGGAGGCTGCTCTGGCTCAGGCCGAGCTGGAAGCACAGGCTGCTGAGCGTAGGGCCAGGAGTAGAAGGGAGGAGGCATCGAGGCTCAGAGAAGGTAGCGAAGCTACGCCTAGCCAGCTAGAGAGGGGAGAAGGCGGTGAGGAGGCTGCTCCCACCAGGAAGCTGGGCTCGGCACAGTGAAGCGGTCACGATGCCGCTGGCTTGACGATGCTTCCCCTCACGACCGACAACTCACGCACTGCCCCTGTCAACTCATAGCAAACGTACCTGCACGCTCATCTGTGCACTCTTCACGCGCTCGCCATATCCCTTCCTATCTGTCCTACCCACAAAAGCTTCTGTCTATCTCCGGATCGTTCACGCCTACTTATCAATCGATGGACAATACTTGAAATTGACTACTGTCAGCCTGGCGTGCGTGACAAGCGACAAGAATACTGCTTCTCGTGTTCTTCAGGAGCTATTGTACATGTTCCTGCCAAGGGTTGTCTTCTGAGACATACCTCTGTATCTCATTCCTGAGCTTCCGATTTGCTCAATTCGACGGCGAGAAGAGCTGCCTCTTTGAAGTCGTCACGAATGTGAAAGTTTTCCAGGCCTGACGCGAGGAGCTGATGTAGACAGATCGGCGAGGTGTAGTGTAGCAGGTCAGCACATCCCCATCTTGACTGATGCTAGTGTCCGTGACTGTAAGTGCTCCCGTTCGATCAACTTGCCTGCCGTTCCTTGCTCAACTCACCTTCTCCTTCGCTTCATCAGAGCCAGTGCCCTTGACCCTGACCACGATAGGTTGCCTCATCCCATTCTCCTTGACAGCATCAATCACTCCATCCGCCACAATATCCGTCTGTGTGATCCCTCCGAAAGTATTCACAAAAATCGTCTTGACATCCGCATCTCGATTGAGCGTCTCAATCGCCAATCTCGAATTGACCCTATTCGCTCCGCCTCCTCCATCGAGGAAGTTGGCGGGGGTGCCACCTGCGATGGTTAGGCCGTCCATTGTACCCATGGCGTTGCCTGCGCCGTACCCGAAAGAGCCGATGTTTCCCCCATTGGAGAGCTTGATGTAGAAGAGACCGCCGTCCTCGGCTTGAGCTGTATTGGAGTCCCGAGGGCGGGCCTTGTGCAGCTCTTGCAGCGACGAGGGGAGGCGATGTAGAGCGAAGTCGTCGAACTCTAGGAAGGGCCTGACGCTGTAGTAGATAGCGATGAGGAGTCAGAAGCGCCCCATTGCTCGTACACTCCAGCCTTTGTTGGGCTCTGACACCGTTCCTCCCCTGACTCACACTGTGACGCCGGGAGCTTCCTTCGACAAATCCAGCCGTAAGGTGAACCAGATACCTTCGCATTCTTTGAACAGTTTCCACAGCTCGAGCAAGACACTAGCTGCTTCCGTTCGACTTGCCTCCGCAACCTCGATGCCTGCCTTCACCGAGACCTCCCTGAGAAGCTCCTCTGCTTCTTCCTGACTCCACTCGTCAGAGACCTGAATGCCTCTCTGTTGCACCTTCTCAGGCTCAATCAGCTGCAGCTTCATGATACCAACATCTCCAGTGCCCAACCCCGCCGAATGCGAGGGCGGCAGATCGCTGGCTGCGCAGATCTGGATCGAAGGACCAAAGCGCACGCTTCCATCTGGACGATGTTGAGGTCGACGATCGGCATGCAGGAGGACAGCCAGAGTCGAGGCGTTCTTGCTTGCTGGCTCATCGTGCGTCACCTGCTTCAGTCTAATGTGCTCAGATAAGAAGGACGCTGCCGCCTTGGCCTCGAGAGAGAAATATCGGTCGTTGCGCCGCTGGGGTTTGGAGACCAGCGAGGGTCGTGCCGGAGTGGACCGGAGCAGAGGTAGTACTCCACCGAGTGGCAGCCTCACGGCGTCATGGCAGGCTACCAGCCTCCTCAGCTGGCTTCTACTCGCCATGTTGAGTCCGGAAGAGCAGACCGGGATGGTGCATAGACATCGGATGTGAGCTTACTGCTTGGCCTTGCACTTCGTCCCTTACGGTTGGTCATTGGCTTCCCCCGCGCTTCGCCCGGCCTCCACCCCCGCATTCTCCCCCGCGGGCCGAAGTTGTGGGACCCGGGGATAGGGTGCCCTTCCTTCTCGCCTTGACTCCCGAACACAGGTCTGAGCTGTACGTATACACCCTGGATACACCTCGACCGGAAAGATGGCGCTTGCGGGAGGATACGCCGGAACGATCCGCAACTTGGCCGTCGATGCGTCGACGAAGTGTATCGTTCAAGGTCTGGGAAAGAGCGTGAGTAGCGCACAGGACCGGTTTGTGCACATTTAGCGAGGGACAGATCCAACTGACAAGCTTACTACACACTTGGTCTGTCTCACCCCAGAGTACGTTCCACTCAAAGCTGGCTTTAGGAATGGGAACGAGCATTGTAGGAGGTGTCGGCCCGGGCAAGGGAGGACAATCTTACTTGGAACGGCCGGTGTTCAATACGGTCAGAGAGGTCAGTCGCTCTGTACAGACCAGCCAATGAGAGTATGTGAATTACTCTGCCTTCGTCTTACACAGCTCTTACCTGCTCTTACTTCTCTCGCGGTGTATAGGCCGTCCATCACCTCCGCCCAACGGCGACTGCAGTCTTCGTCCCACCCCTTGCTGCCTGTGGAGCAATACTCGAGGCAATTGAAGCCGAGGTTCCCTTGATCGTGAGCGTGGCCGAGGGAGTGCCGCTGAAGGATCAGATGACGATCATGGCTGCACTTCATTCCCAGAGCAAGAGTAGACTAGTGGGGGCTAACAGTCCTGGTATGGCAAATCCGCGCGGCTGTAGACTGGGCATCTCCCCCCCAGTGACCATGGCTCCGGGACCTGTAGGTAAGTCTTTGTCGCGCAGGCTTACAGAATCACTGCTATCAATGCTCTTCTGACCTCCCATCGCTACCTGCTCTTTTGTACACCATTAGGCATTGCAAGTCGATCCGGAACTCTAAGCTACGAAGCTGCCTCTTCCTGCAAGCACATCGGGCAATCCTACGTCCTCGGTCTCGGCGGCGACTTCTACCCGGGCACTCGCACAGCCGAGGCCCTTTCCTTCTTTATGGACGACCCAACCACCGAAGCGCTCATCCTCGTTGGAGAAGTTGGCGGTACAATGGAAGAGGAAGCGGCTGAGCTGCTGCTGCGCGATAAGAGGTACAGAGATGCAGAGGGTTGCACTCGTAAACCCGTTGTGGGCTTCATTGCGGGGAGAAACGTACCGCCGGGGAAGATCTTTGGACATGCGGGGGCTTGCTGGAGGGATGGACTGGGATCGGCCGACCAGAAGAGGCAGGCTTGGACGGAGGCGGGAATCAGGGTCGTGGATACTATTGCTGAGACAGGGGCAGCGATTGAGGAGGAGATGAAGAAGAGAGGCCTCTTCAGCCACACGAGTCTAGGCTAAGCAGCCTGGTCAGTTATTGTCACGCTGTGCGCTCGAATCATACTGCTTGTGGCGACAAGCGTGACCTTGATTGGCTACTGTATCGTATTGGCAAAATGTCATAGAACAGGCGCTCTAAAGCAAGAGCATCCCGCACCTCCCATCAGCATACCGCTTCTTTGTCGAACTCGCGAGGGCTCTAGAGCTTCGACGAGGTTTCAGCTGGCTCCTGAGCATACAGAGCATCCAACTCCTTGATGAGCGCCTTCTTCGCTTCTGGCCTCTTCATCTTGAACGTAGGGGTCAGCAGGCCGTTCTCAATGCTGAACGGCTCCACACGCAGCTTGAGAGCCTTGATGAACTCATAGCCAGCCAACTTGGCTGCTCGGGCCGTCTTGGTGTATTCGGCGAGTACGGCCTTGACCACCTTTGGATCGTCGCAAGCCTGGGCCAAGGCGGAGATGTCGGTGGGGGCAATGGTCTTGCCCAAGATTGACGAGGCCAGAGGCGCGAAGGTCTCTGGGTCGGGAACGGCAACGGCGACCAGATGAGCCTGGAAAGAATCACCGTAGAGCCAGGTCTGAGCGGTGAACTTGTTGGCGCTCAGTACCTGCTCAACATTCTCGATGGCCACGTACTCTCCCTGCGCGAGCTTGACCAGGTTCTTGACTCGGTCCACGATTCTGATTCGACCTTGGTCATCATAAGCCGCAACGTCACCTGTGTGCAGCCAGCCGCCCTCATCGACGGTCTCCTTGGTCTTCTCGGGGTCCTTGTAGTAACCGGGGAAGCGAGTCTGACCACGGTGTAGCAGCTCACCTCGCGGCCAGGGCTTATCGGTAGCTCGGTAGCCCAGCTCGGGGCAGTCCTTCAGTCGGATCTCCTGACCCGGCTGAGGAGGTCCCACCGATCCCAGGTTCTTGTCTCCGGGCATCATGATAGTGCAACATCCAGTGTTCTCGGTAGATCCGTAACCCTCTCGGAAATCAACGCCAAAGCAGACTCGGAGGAGTTTCAGGACATCGGGACGCAGAGGAGCTGAGCCACTGACAATGGCTTTCACATTGCCTCCCAAGAGGGCCTTGACCTTCTTGAACACCAGTCGATCCCAGAAGGCGTGATCTACCGATCCGTCTATGTCATGATAGTAGACCTTGGCGTCTACTGCCCTCTTCAAGAGCTTGCTCTTGAATGAAGTACCCTCCATCTGGAACTGAATCTGAGATGCGATTCGGTTGAAGACTCGAGGCACACCAGGGAAGAGAGTCGGCTTCAGGCACTGAGCATCTTCGAGGAGACGGGTGACATCACCGGAGAAGTATCCGATACGAGCACCCATCCTCATCATGACAGTCTCGAGGAAACGCTCGTAGATGTGGGCCAGGGGGAGATAGCTGATCTGCAATTCGTCCTGACTGGAGGCGAATCCGATGAGAGGAGTGCAAGCAGAAGCCAGAGCAAGCTGGTGGTTGGCGACGAGGCCTCCCTTGGGCTTGCCAGTGGTACCGGAAGTGTAGCAGAAGCTAGCAATCTCGCTGGAGTCCTTGGGAGGGGAGTGCGCGACTGGGTTCTTGCGACCCGAGGCGAGCACTTCGTCAAAGGTGAGAAGCAGGACATCCTTAGAAGCGGCCCATTGACGTGCAAGCTGCTGTCGGGAGAGCTCAGTTTCAGGGAGGACAGCGCCTGGAGTCAGGTCAAGGAGGATAATCGCTCGCAGATGAGGAAGCTGGTCTCGTGCGCTCAGGAGTGTTGAGATGTGCGACGTCGTGGTGAAGACGACCTGATGGCATGTGTGACGAAGCACAAGTCAGCTCAAGCGACTGACTGTCGTTACAAGCGAACTATCTCACCTTTGCTTCCGAATGGTCCAGCACATAGATCGCCGATGCATCGTCGTAGGTATCGTACAAGGATACGGTTTGACGGGTGTGAGCGACATTAGCCAGATCGATGATTTGCCATTCTGTGGGTCAATGGATTACCAGCGTGAGTCAAATCATTACGAGCACAGTCGCGGCTGCAATGACGTATGATGACTCACCAGGCCTGTTCTGACACCAAATACCGACGGTCCAGTGCGTCTGGGGCAGCTGAATGCCCAGTGCTCCGGAAGATGCGAGATTAGCAAGACCAGATCCAATGGCGGTCCTCCTCTCCTCAACCTCGTCGTAAGTGATCCAGGAGTACTCGGCGGCGAAGGTGCCCTTCGCGGTGTCAAAAGCCCTCCATCCCAAGAAAGGCCGATCATGAGACTTCTCGCGTCCGATGTTGAAGACGTCGTAGTACGTCTCGGTAGTCTCAAGATAGGGCACAGCCGAATTACGGTAAATGGGAGTGTAGCCTTCCTCAGCAGAATTGGGCACAGCAATACTTTGCTTGCTCAGGTCGAAGCTGCAATAAGAATGGTCCGAAGGTATAATCCCGGTCAGGGTGTCAGAAGCAAGCCAAATGCGCATACGTCTGACTGTGGCCACCAGTTGGCGCATCTACTCACCTCTCCGGAAGTGGGGGCAACCAACTGCCTCCTTGTGCAGTCGCCATGATTTACGTATAGATGAAGCAAAAATGTGGCTGGTTGGATGAGCGGAAGATATTCAGAAGGAGATGTTGGTAAGGGAGGTGGGGAGGAGTGCGACTTCGCATTTCACACCACTGACCCCGGACTCGGCTGTCCGGCTGGCCTTAGCGGAGGGCGCGGGGACGAATAGCCGATCGGATCGGAACTAGAAGACTGTCGTGCGAATGTTCTTCGCAGCGCACCTGGCCATTGTTTTGCCGTTCATGGTCGCCCAGACTTGGGGCAACGCATCGATGACATGGCCGATCGAAGCAGCAGACTTGACCTTTGCAGGCTTGCTCTCAGTCTCCACACTTGTGTATATATTGTCGACCTCTCGGCCGGCGCTCAGTCAATCTGGAAAGCGATCAGAAGGTGGAGCAGAGGCAGGCTGGCGTGCCTACAGCGCACACACGCACACACCTCGAACAAGCACGAGTGACCCGATGAGTGCCACAAACGGTGCTTGTAGCCTTCCCTTTTTCGGAGTAAAGTCGCATCACACCCCTCCGGTATCCATTGCACGTTTTTCACCTTGGTCGTTGCCTCTCTGTACGTCAGGCATAGCCAATGCTCCTAGAGACAGAGCCGATCTCACAGCGGTGGCGATCAGACAGCAGCCAGGTTGTGTTGTCATCGAGTCTGTGCCACTGACTCACAGCGAGCAACTCTTTGATCTTGCTTCCACTATTGCAGCGATCGCCCTTGACAGATGATCGTGACATGGTCGAGGAGCGGCTTCTCGCCTTGACGCTCCGCTGCAGCTGCACCTCGGCCGCGCACTGAGTCCTTCTGACCGCCTCCCCCTGCTCCTCCCCACGTCTTCGCATTCTCGCAAGACCGCCTCGCCCTCACCTCAACCTCACCAGACATCACACCAACTGCCCATCATGTCAATCGAGGAAATCGCCGACGACGTTCAGGACGTGAGTGTTCCTGCTGTCTAGAAGCGTAGCGCTAGCCAACCCGGCTGGAGGGAGCTTGGCTGCTAGCTTCGAAGAGGAGCAATCTGACCACCCCTATGCTCACTCGCCTGCTCCCTGTCTACAGCTCAATGTCAACGCCGGACCTACCTCGGATGAGGATGCCGGCTACGATGGAGCTGACGTTGCCATTCCTGCTTCTCTGAGCCACCGAGCTGAGCGCAAGAGCAGGAAGTCTCTTCAGGGCATTGGACTCAAGAAGGTTGCCGGAATCACCAGGGTGACCATGAAGAGGCCTCGTGGAGTGAGTACCATGGAATTGAAGAATCTTGAACGACGGAAGGGCTGTCAATGGATACTGCTATCGCAGATGGACAGGTGTCCAGCTGTTGCTTGGCATGGAGGGCAAAGGAGGTGGAGGTAGGGGCAGGTCTTGTGCACCAAGACTGCACTGGAGGGATTCGCAGCGCGGAGGACTACAGACACTTGCAAACGTGGAGCATCAAGAGGCCCCTCAAGCAGTCATGCTGATTTCATTCAAGACAAAGGGATCGCTGCGCTCGCGAAGGGTATTCGGTGTTGGGCCAAGCCAACTTCGCCGTGGGCTGCATGCTGATCAGACGCCATATCCTTTCCCCCTTCTAGCACCTCTACGTCATTCAGAACCCCGAGGTGTACAAGTCTGCCAACTCTGACTGCTACATCGTCTTCGGAGAAGCCAAGGCTGAGGACATGTCCGCCGCTGCTCACGCCCAGGCCGCCCAGGCCCAGATGGCCCAGCAGGAGGCTCAGGAGCGAATGCTGTCCGAGCAGTTCGCCCAGAGTGTTGGTTCTGGAGCAGAGGGTGCTGCTGGCAAGCAAAAGGAGGAGGAGGAGGAAGAAGATGAGAGCGAGCCCATTGACGAGGAGGGTGTCGATGCCAAGGACATTGAGCTGGTTATGCAGCAGGTCTCCTGCTCGCGCAGGAAGGCTGTCAAGGCCCTCAAGGAGAGCAACGGTGATCGTGAGTAATAGGAGAGACCGAGAATTCATGAAGGGACACAGGCAAAGACGATGTGGCTGACCTTGCCTTTGGTGCCCTCCACACAGTCATCAACGCCATCATGAGTGCCTCCTAGAGTGTGTGACGCGAAGTATATCATTTGTATACAGATCAGAGGTGATGTGGGCGGCCGGTCAACGAATTAAATAGCTAGTTCATCAGCGCCATTGCCCATCACATTGTCTCTCCGGCCAACGTCGTATTCGTCGAGTGCCATCAGGAGCTGTAGTCGCAAGAAGGGGCTCCTTTTGGGCAGCTGCTATTTCCATCGTCTTGCGCCTGAGGGTCCAGCCAGTGCGTCGCTGCTCGCCTCCGCCAGCGGCTCTGCGCCTCGTGGCTTTTTGACTCGCGACTGTTTTCTCCGCTGGGTCACGTCCAGTCGTCCGCCTCTGCCGTTCCTCTCTACCCAACCGGCATCATCCCATCACACCTCGTATTCTTCACGAGGGGAGAGCTCGTGGAAGAAACAGCCCCCACCATCTATCACGCCTTCGTCACGACCTCGAGTGCGATCGAACAGCGCGGCAACCCTCGACGGCCAGCCTGGCGCTTACCTGCCATCACCTCCTTCCTCCTCTTCGCTCCCGCTGCTCCTCAATCCATCTTACGTCTTCATCTACAGCTCCAACCATCTCCCATCTACGAAGCTGCGACGACCACTTCTTAGCGCTTGCATACGTCACCCGTTCGACCTGACTCAATCTTTCAATTCGCAAATCAAGTAACGAATCTCTAGCATAGATCCCGAGTCAACTTTGCCATACATAGCGACATTTCTAGCCGACCCTACGGCAAGCAGAATTGATCCGCTGCTACAAGGGACATTGGCGCCGACCTTCGCTCTCCCTTGGCCTGCCGTCGCCATTACGATCACGACCATTCAATTTGACGTTTGACGACTCACGACTCACCTTACAGTATCACTTCAAAATAGACGGCTAGCCTACACCATCACCTACGCGACCGATTACCTGTGCATTCACCTCACAGACTCTATCGATATGAGCAACAACGATCACATCCAGTCTCCTCTGGACTATCACTTTGGGTCTATGAGCCTCAATCAGCCGTCCGCCTCAAATGGAAACGCCTTCGGGCCCATGGCAGGCTCGGGCATGGGAGGAAACCCGCAAAGCGCATCTGCTCGATTTGAGAGGTTCTTCAACACGGGTCCACCAATGGGTGATACATATGGGTCTTCCAGCTTCCAGAGTGGTCTTCCGCCTCACCGTGGAGGGTCGCCCTCCCCATATGGAAACATTGGAGGAGCGGTACCTAGCAACGTGGCGCTTGGAGGCCTTTCTGGCGGACCTTTTGCTGCTGGACCGTCGAGCGGCCCGAGTGGGTTCAGAGCGAGACCGCCAATGTCAGGCCCTGGCCCTGAGTCGTCTCGCGGGCCGGTGCCATCTCAATGGAACGCCGAGCCAAATCTTGGTAGCGGGGCGCTTGGTCTCAATGCCGCATCGTCTCCTATCTCGCCTAACGGTATACTGCCACCTATGAATGGCTTCTATGCACCTCAAGCTTTCCAAGGGACACCGCCTGTTTATCCCAATCAGCAACAGATAGTCCCCCCGGGTCTTGATCTGAACGACGAGGATGTCATTCCGACTGCCATCGTTGTGAAGAACATTCCTTTCAGTGTGAAGAGGGAGCAGCTCTTACAGATCATCGAGGATCTAGCCATTCCCATGCCCTACGCCTTTAACTACCACTATGACCAAGGCATCTTCAGAGGCCTCGCCTTTGCTAACTTCCGCTCAGCGGAAGAAGCCGACGCCGTCGTAGCTGCGCTGAATGGCTTCGATGTGGCCGGCCGCAAGCTTCGGGTGGAGTACAAGAAGGTCCTCCAAGCTGGGGAGAAGGAGAGGATCGAGAAGGAAAAGGCTATCAAGCGCATGAGAAGCATGGTCATGGAGAAGGAGAGGATGAAGAGGGAAAGTGGTTATGGATCGGGATCCTTTGGCGCGGGGGATATGCTGCCTCCCCCATTGCCAGGACAAGGCTCGCCCAACCCGCCTCCCTCTGGACTCAATGGTAGCAGCGTCGGAGCTGGGGATGCCCATTCTTATGCCGAGATCAAGTACACGTCGCCACCAGCCTTGACAGCTGATGCTCTGCAAGCTGTACCATCCTCTTCCGGGTATGAGGGAGGCGCTCATAGTGCGCCTGGCTCCGACCGCTCCAACATTGGACCTGGTCCTGGCCCACCCAAGCAGCAAGGCCACGAAGAACTTAACCTCAATGACGCGCAGACCCTCGAAATCTACTCTCGCGTACTCCTGTTCAAGGATGATCGAATGAGAGATGAACTGGCCTTCTCGAGAAACCTCAGCCCCGTCGAGAGGCGGACAGTGCATCTGGTGGCCCAAAAGTTGAATCTGTACCACTACTCTCTCGGCGATGGTGATGAACGCCACGTCATTGTTGCCAAGCATGAGGTCAATACGAAGGGAGGCCAGCATCGCCCACTCCGCTCGCAAGCATCCACCATCGGCCGGTCAAACCGTGAGGCTGGCCACACTGGTGGTTTTGGCATGGGAGGCAGCGGCTCGAACTCACGCAGCGGCTTGAGGGGCAAGAAGAGCGCGCCTGACATGAAGCGCAACAGAGATAGCATCAACGCGGGCCTGGGTGGACAAGGAGGCAACCTCAACGGTTCTGCCTTTAACTTTGCAGGTGGTTCTGGGAGCGGTCAGGGGTACGACTCTGTCAACGGTTCGATGTCAGGCAGCTTCATGGGCCGCAAGAGCAATGGGAATCTCCGAGACAGCTACTCTTCCTCTGCTCTAGGTGGTCCAGGCCAGCGACGATCGCACCAGGGCGGAGGAGGCGTGGGTGGTGCTGCAGGCCTTCAATCGCTCTTTGCGTCACAATTCGAGGTGCCACCGGTGCCCTCACTGGGAGCAGCCTACCTGGGATCTGCGCCGCCTCTCTCAGCGACTATGAGCAATCACTCGGGCAGCAGCGATGCAAACTTCCTCGTCAGGTCTGATTCGCCCCTCTCTGCCTCTTCTGCAGCAGGCTACTCGAATCAGCAACAGCAGCAGAGTGGCTATCACCACCACACCCTCAACGGTGCAGCTTCCTCGGGAGCTTTGCGCCAACCTCGAGGGCCTCCCACTTTTAGCGGGCAAGGCCCCGTGGCTTCCAATGACATTCGCAACTTTGGCCCCCGGTCAAGATTGTCGGCGCAGTCCATTACCACCGGCTCGGGCTCATCTTCAGCTTCTTCGCATGGTGGTCACTCCTCCTCTCTCAACTTCGGGTACGACTCTTCAAGCAATGGTACGTCCCTCCTGAGTGGGAGCACTGGTGCAGGCGGCAACGGAGGGAAGCCTGGGAGCGGCAGCGTAGAGGACACTTTCACTTCTGCGCCGCCACATCTCGCTTCCCTCTCGGCGAATCCGTCTGGCCAGTCATGGAGGCAACAGAGTCTCAATGTGGCTTCGCCTGCCTCGGTCTCCTCATCGACTCCGACAGAGCAGCAGTAAGAACAGCAGTCGAGCCACAAAGACCAGGAGAAGCCTCTAGGATGGGCGGAACTGGACAAACCACCCAATCATGCATGCTCCGTATACCTCAACATCCGCATTTTCCTCTACCGTCCTCCATCAACTCTCGTCATGCTCCATCTCTGTACACCTTCTGTACGGAAGAACCCTGCCATGCCAACCTAACGCCCCTGCTCCTTCTTTCCACTCTTCTTTGCATTCGCATCATGTACCCTCTCATCATTCTCGCCCCGTCGTTGCCTCCTTCATCACTTTCATTGCTTCATACTCAATCTTGCGCACTCGTACTTCATTCTTCCCCCTTATGCCCCCCCTCCACCCCAACCATGCTTTATGCCACATGCCAAAGAGTTCAATGCAATACTTAACGTCATGCCCAATACCCCGAAGCTCAATCCTTCAAGGAGTTTGAGATTGAAGAGGAAATTCCTTTTTGTCGATTCTGCGCGTGGCTAGTCTGCCGTCCTTACCGTACCGTACATACATGAGCATGAGGGTCCGGGTGGGTGCCTGCGTTGATCCTGATCCACTCCTGCTGACCCGACTATTTCGTCTTAGCTGAGGGGTCCGCAACGCCCATTACTCTACTTCTAACGCTTACTATTGCCTCTCACCCCAACCTGGCCCACTCATCTCACCTCACGTCATGCCATCTCACCGTCAGCCATTCAAGGTCCCTTTCCCAGCGCTCCGAGCGCCTTGCTCCTCACTTCTTCAGCCGCTCCCTTTGCCTGTCCCGAAAGGCTTTGATGATCCCCAGCGCCAGCTTTGTTTAGCGCTTCGTGACCCTTGTTGGCAATGGCGTCGGTGGATTGGCCCTGCACGAGACTGTACGCCAGACCGGCTGTACCGCCTAGACCGAGACCCCCGCCAAGGGCGCCTCGCAGCAGACCGGTGCGACCCACTGATGGGGAGAGAGAGGACATAGAGCAGGGAGGGCAAGATGGAGATGGAGTGGCAGAAAGGGGTTTGTGTCAGTCTCTTAGCCCACACTCCGCACAGACAACCATACGTCCCACCACAGACGCAGACGCAGCTCATGCTTTGTACTCACGGAAGAGCGCAGGAGTGAGGAGTGCTCCCAGCACGGCTCCGATGATATAGTAATCGTCTCGCCTCACGGCCGCCTGATCATGGCGATAGTTGAAGCTAGTGGTCGCCGCGTCAGTGGGGCTGAGGGTGTTGGCCCAGATGTATCCGCCTCCGTAACCCGCAGCGCCTCCGAAGAGGGGAGTCGTGAAGCTGGGCGAGCGTAAGGACAAGAGGGCAGGGAACATAGTATGAGCCACCTGACCGGATGAGTGGGCTTTTTGTAGAGGGACGCTGGGCTACTCACTTGTGCCTGGCCAGACCTCGGAGAGAGAAGTTGCCGCGCCTTGCAGCAGTGATGAAGTACAGAGGCGTGGCAGCTACTGCAAGCGCTTGTAGACCTAAGCAGCAGTAGCAGCAAGAGGGAGAGACGACAATTAGCTGCTGTCGTTTCGTGTCTCTCGTTCACGAATCGCTCAGCGCTCGTCTGCTCACCATTCAGGCCCCACCGACCGGCAATATACCTCTTGTCCTCATCATCTCCAAATCCTCCCTTCTCCAAGAGACTTCCTGCCTTGTCCTTGAAGTAGCCGGCCTTCTTCTCAGCTTCCTCAACCACGGAGTGAGCAGCGTACTTGCTCTTGGATGTAGGCTGCATCTTTTGAAATTCCTCTTCGCGAGCTTGGTTCAGCTCTAGATCGGCTTGACGCTGTGCTCGCTTGGCGGCTTGACGGGCTTCGTCGCGTTCGACTCCTTTGTACATGGTCTGTGGAAGCATGGCCAGGGATGGCAGATGGTCAGATGATACCTTAAGCTCGCCGATGCTGATTCCCAGTAGTAGCAGCTCGATCGATCACAACGCTAGGTTTGGGAACCAGGTCGCGTGCACCGGACCGCACAGCATCACCCTACACATCAACTCACAGCCCTCTCCTGAACCTGCATGAAATGAACGCCAAATACGGTGAGTGCTGAGAGAACAATGGAAGCTCCAAGTGTGGTTTTGGCAGTCCTTGACATGGACTAGAGAGAGGAGGAAGGTAGGTGTGGAAAGGTGAGGAGGAGGAGGAAGAGCAATCAGCAGCGAGGTAGCGGGGCAGCAGCAGCGACGACGGACAAGCCACCCGCTCCGCTTCGCTCGTGTGGATGCGGGGTCGGCAATGGCGGACGACCACGGAACACCAAGCGGAGCGTCGGAGCGGAACGGACCGCAAAGGCGAAGGCCACGACAGGCGTGAGAGCTGCACACAAGCAAAAGGAACCGCGTATGACATTGCTAGCGTAGAGGGAGAGGGTGACAAGGGGATCCGGCTATGGTTACAAGTGTGTAAAAGGGGGTATTACCGGGCGACAATGCCCGCAGCTGGCGACATCACGAATCAGCTCATCCGACCGCTGCTCATCCCATGTTCTTGAGCAGTTCCACGTACGTCGTCGCCATGCCTCCCAGGACGCGACTCTTGCTCATGATGCCCAGCAGCTCCCTACAGATGGTCCTCTTCGGGATGTCAAAGATGGTCGACTCCCACTTCTGTCGTTCTTTGTCCTCGCTTGGCGTATAGTAGATGGGCCCAAGGAATTCCCTTATCAACTCCTCGGCTAGCCCCTTGAGGCCTTCGTCGGCGATCAAACGCGCATAAGCTCGAAGATGGATCTGATACTCGTCCTTGCTTGACAACAAAATGGCTGCTTGCATCCTCATCTCCAGATGTCTCAGCGACGTCGCCAGCGTGAAATCCTTTGCTCGAGTAGCGTCTTCACCAGGAGGCTTGACGGCAGGCTTGACACCCGTCTCTCCCCTTGCGACCACGAGTGAATTGATCTCGCTCTCGATTGCCTTTACCGGCTCTCTCCATCGTCCCCCGGAGTCTGCCACGTTGAAGCCACCGCTTGACATCAGATCGCCATTGGCGCCTCCGCTGCTTCCACCGCCTCCGGCTCCTCCTCGACCCCGACTTCGTCCGTCCCAGAGAGAGCTGCAATCGGCGAACCAGCCGCTCGCAATGAGAGTCCAAGAGTTCTTCTTGGGGTCGATGGTCCATGCCTGTTCCGTCTTCAAGATCATGACTGGAGAACCATTGCTGTGCAGAATAATGTTGTGGACATCGTCCGGCCCCGTCAGAAGGCTGAGGCAGCTGATAGGTCGATGAAGCTCCCTGTCCTCTTGCAGATTCCATCGATGCAGGCAACCAGCACTCGTAATGACCATCAAGACTGCTCCTCTGCATTCCATCAGGCAAACGGGACTATCGAGCGCAATTGTCCCCACCCTTCGTCCTTTACTCGTGTAGATCAATATGTGGCCATCGCTTTGGGCAACGGTCACATAGGCTATGCTGTGAGCGCAGCGCAGGACGAAGCAGGATAGAAAGTCCATCCACTGGACCTTTCCGCTCGTTGCTTCAGTGTCGTAGACGATGAGCTCTGCTGGACGACTGCCATCGTAGTTACGAACCTCAACGACACCGCCGCCTTCTCCTTCTCGACGTAAAGTGCCCATCACGGGAGGTAGCGAAAGGGCCTTTGGCAGACCTTTACTGAAGAAGTCTCCGTCTTCTCCTGGCCTGACTAGAGCACCTGAGCTCGTCGTCTCGCGAGGAAGATCGCTCCCTAGCGTACGACCCTCTTTGCCTCTGCCTTTCGACACCCGAGAAGCAGCGAGAGCAGCATCGAATGACTGATCTGATTGGTACGTCATCGGCATGGGGGTATCACTGAAGGACGCATGTGAGCCTGTTTGCTGCTGGAGTTGCTGGAATTGGAGGAACTGCTGGTATTGCTGAAATTGCTGATGTTGCTGAAGCTGCTGTTGCGGAGTCTGCTGGGGTAGCTGCTGTTGCTGGGGAACAAAAACATTCGAAAAGGTCTGTTGCGAGGGCGCCACGACAGACGCGGCAGATGGCCCAGGTATATCGATGTCCATACGGGCATCAGCAGTAACGATGTTACTACTACTGGCTAGAGGAGCGCTGTAAGCTACCACGCTGTCGTCACCAATGAGCGTCGGTTTGATCCTGCGTTTGCCATTTGCAAGGATCTGTATCTGCTGATCGAGTCGCTGCGCACCGGCTTTGGCGTTGGCTGGTGGTGGTAGAGACGGTCCGCCAGATGCTGTCGGAATGGCCCGCGCTGGCTGAATGCTGGCTCGAGCTGGTTGAATTGACGACCCCGCCTTGCGAGGCTGCAGTACATTGGGTCGCTGCGAGGTTCCGCCCATACTCTGAGGTGCCAGTGATGCAGCGCGCAGCAGTGTCTGAATATTGGGTCTTTGATGATAGCTCCGCGACAGTGGCAGAGGCTCCGCCACGTCAGCCGGATCAAGTACGATTGCCGCAACGGAGCCTGCTGTGGAAGAGGCATATAGCGTCACGCCATCTGAAGCCCTGTAGTGAAGAGGTCGTCAAGGGCAGAAAGTTTAGTAGTAGCCTCCTAGAATAGCCTCACATCACAGCGACTTACCAAGCAAGATCAGTGACCTGCCTGTCGAAGACGTCCTTCAACACCAAGAGTGGCTTGTCTATGCCTGTAATCCATACGCTGATACTCTGGTCTCTTGACCCGATGGCGACGATTGTAGCAGGTGCCGCGTCTGATCGAGAGCCATGCAACTTGAAGAGCCTGGGAGAGAAGGCGCAGACAACGACGCTGTCTTCGTGCCCAACAAGCTTCAGATCTGTTGCCCACGTCTTGCGTTCGATGACGCTAGCAACAAAGACCGGGCCACTCATCGCATTCGCTGCAATGATGTAGCCACCGTCAGGCGACCAGGACGGCCTGCCGAAGAAGTTGGAGCTCGGAGAGTGTTGAAAGGGCTCCGTTACTACCTTGGCACAAGACCAGTCAGACGTCCTCCAGATCTTGAGCGTCTTGTCGTCGCTCTGCGTAGCCAAGTAATTGCCTCTAGGGTCCCAGACTACTCCCTTCACAAATCCATCGTGACCTGCGATCCTCCTCACGCGTTCAAAGCCACCCCTGGAGCCATCTTGAGAAGGACCAGACCAGATGTTGATGACTGCATCGAGTCCTACAGTGGCTAAGTATGAATCATCGGGGTCGGCACTCCAAGCAATGTCCACCACGTCGGATTCGTGTCCTGTCAGGCGTCTGTGAATCTTCCAAGACTCGACATTCTGCTCTGATGAACCAAACGAGCCCATCGAGGTCCCGTGAGGGTCATACTCCCAGATGAAGCAGACCTGATCGTCTGAACCTGATGCAAGATATCGGCCCGACGGGGAGAAGCGTACAGATACCACAGAGCCTGGAAGCGCGAGTGAGAGTCATGCTGTGATGAGTCACTTGCGATAAGAGCCCTCTTGGACCACCTATAATCAGCAGCTCACCTGTATGCCGTGAGAGGGTCGAGAGAAGCTTGTGGGTACCAGGTATGCTCTCTGCCGCGGCATCGAGGATTGGTTCGGTGGTCCATATGCGAATTTTTTGGTCTGGATGCAGTGACGAGGTGGGCTGAAGATGGGTGAGAAAGGGCATTTGAAAGCTGATGGAGCATATCGATGTTCTTCACTCACCAATACCTCCGGTAGCCAATCGTGAACCGTCTGGATGTACGGAGAGGGAGAAGATGGTCGTCTGCTTCTTCTTGTCTTTGTCGTCGTTGTCCACCGACGTATGGGCTACCCAGTCGGGAATGATCAGCGACATGACGAGCGGAGGTATTGGAGCCTCTGCCCTGGACAAAGAAGAAGAGCAGGAGGGGGCACGATGGACGAGACGGAAGGAACACCTTGAACGCCAATGGTACTTGGTGCCCGACGTGTTGAAGCGGAACGGAGCCACAGCGCCCCTCGACTCCGCCCTTCCGTCGCGATGAGATTTTGCGCCTCCCCTCCACGGCGGGCACATCGGACAGGAAGAAGTGGCTGAGGGAGGACGCACCATCTTGACCATCTCCCGTCATTGACCCCAGCACTCGTACCAAGGATGGCATCTATAGACGCCATTGCCATCCAGAAGCGGCCTCTGCCACTCGCAGATGGCCAGCCAGATCCACTCACCCAGCGCAAGTTCATCAAGAAGACGGCCAGGGGCAAAGTCATCCGCGTCTTACGAGAGCGCTACCTTCGAGATGACATTGCCTGTGGCTCCCTCGCCTGCCCTTCGTGCTCTGCCATCTCGAAGAGGCTACCAGATCTGCCTATGCCTTCTCTTAGCAAGACTGGTATCACCAGCAATCGAGCGGTAGGCATCGGCAAGAGACATTACCTCCTCATCGACACCAACATCATCCTTCATCAGATGGACCTCCTGGAGTCGATGCATGGCGTCAGCTCGTCCACAGCTGCCTCATCGTCTTCCTCTACCTTGCCCATACCATCCTTTGTCGACATTATCATCCTGCAGACTGTATTGGAAGAGGTCAGGCATCGTTCTTTGCCCCTCTACAACCGCCTGATGGACATCGTCAAGGACGCAGAGCACGCTGCCAGGATGGGAAGGAGCGAGAACACGTCCGAATCACGGCGGTGGTGGGTGTACTACAATGACTTCTCGAAGCACACTGCCGTGACTCGAGAAGAAGACGAGTCGCCCAACGATCGCAACGATCGGGCGATTCGGACAGCTGTCGAATGGTACAGCTGCCACCTGCGCTCGTTTTCCGGCACAGGAGGTGCCGCGGACACCCTAGACGTCCTCCTCGTGTCAGACGATGTCGACAATGTCAAGAAGGCCCGCGCTGCCGGACTGCCAGCGATCAATCTCCGAGAGTATGTTGCCGGCATGCCGCAGAGTGACAAGCTGCTGGACCTCTTCGCCTCTCGATCCTCAGATGGCGGGAAGCGGACCGGCGCGGGGGTCCTGTATCCTGAGCACCTGCCCCCGACGCAGATCAATGCTGCTGTCAAGTCGGGTCTTTTGCACTCCGGCTTCTTCAATGCCAATGCATACAACTTCCTGGAGGGCAGCGTCAAAGTCAATGCATACGACAGGCCAGTGCTGATCCTTGGCAGAGACAGTATGAATCGGGCAGTCGATGGCGACATTGTGGCCATCGAGATGCTGCCGGAAGCAGAATGGAAAGCACCCGGTGAAGAGGTCCTGGACGCCGACAGCGCCAACAAGAACGACGATGCCGAGGCCAGTGGAGGAGAGGAAGATGAAGAGGAGAGCGAGGAAAGTCGTCTGGAGAAGAAGGAGAAGCGAGATGCTGCAGCAGTGGCAAAGTCAATTGAAAAGGAGCGCAGGCCAACTGGAAAAGTCGTAGGGATTGTCAAGCGCAACTGGAGATCTTACGTCGCTCACGTCGATGCTTCCTCAGTACATTCGAGCGCCCTGAACACCCTTGGGGCTCAATCACTCTTTGCCACTCCGGTGGACCGCAAGATCCCTCGAATCAGGGTCCGTACAAGACAGGCAAGTGAGCTCATTGGCAAGAAGATCCTCGTCGCCCTCGACGAATGGAGGCCCACAAGTCGCTACCCCGATGGTCACTTTGTCCGATCCTTAGGCGCTACCGAGAGCAAAGAGGCTGAGCAAGAGTCGCTGCTGCTTGAGCACGACGTGCCGTATCGCCCTTTCAGTCGAGCCATATTGGACTGTCTTCCACCCGAGGGCGACTCGTGGGTCGTTCCACCAAAGAATGAGTCGGACCCTGCTTGGCGCGATCGTGTTGATCTCAGGGGTGAGAACATCTGCAGTATCGACCCCCCTGGGTGCCAAGATATCGACGACGCCCTTCACGCCAAGATGCTCTCCAATGGAAGAATCGAGTGTGGTGTTCATATCGCCGACGTGTCGTACTTTGTCATGCCAGCAACGCCCATGGACGCAGAGGCTGCTTCGAGGGGGACTACGGTCTATCTGGTTGACAAGAGGATCGACATGCTGCCTCATCTGCTCGGCACGAATCTGTGTTCTCTTCGCCCCTTTGTAGAGAGGCTGGCCTTTAGCGTAATCTGGGAGATGGACCCAAAGACGGGTGAAGTTCTGGCAGTCCGCTTCCACAAGTCCGTCATCGCAAGTAAAGCAGCCTTTACGTACGAAGAGGCGCAGATCCGGAAGGACGATAAGAGCAAGACGGACGACATCACGGTGTCGGTGCGATTGCTGAACGATATGGCCATCAAGCTCAAGGCAAAGAGGATGGCCGCTGGTGCCCTCAACCTGGCCAGCCCAGAAGTGCGCATTCATCTCGACTCGCCAGAGGCGGCAGGACCTATTGACGTTGAGCAAAAGGAAATGAGGGAAACGAACTCGCTCGTAGAAGAGTTCATGTTGTTGGCAAATGTCACCGTAGCAGAGAAGAACTACCAGACGTACCCTCAGACGGCCGTCCTGCGACGACATTTGCCCCCTCCACGTACAAACTTTGAGACTCTGCAAGACATCTTGAACAAGCGTCGAGGGATGACACTGCAAATCGACTCATCTGGCGCTCTAGCAGATAGTCTCGATCAGTGCGTCGACCCAAAGGAGCCGGCCTTTAACACCCTTGTGAGGATCATGGCTACGCGTTGTATGCTCTCCGCCGAGTACTTTTGCTCTGGCTCCGTCCCCCGAGACACGTTTGGGCACTACGGCCTGGCTTGTGGCATGTACACCCACTTTACCTCTCCTATCCGACGCTACGCCGACGTCCTTGCGCATCGCCAGCTCGCAGCTTCCATCGGATACACTTCACTGCATCCGAGCTTGAACGACAAGACGCACGTAGACGATGTGCTCAACGTCGTCAACAAGCGCCATCGTGGTGGTCAGATGGCGGGCAGAGCCAGTGTAGAGTTCTACGTTGGGCTGGCAATTGCCAAGAAGAACGAGGCAGAGGGAGGCAAGAGCAATCGCGTTGGCACTGGGGAGGTCAAGTTGAGGGAAGAGGCATTCGTCATTCGAGCCTTTAGGAATGGAGTAGCGGTATTCGTCAATGCTTTTGGCTTGGAGGGGCTGATCACCTTCAAGCAGGATTGCGAGTACGATGCCGAGAACTACGTCGTCAAGGTACCGGCTCACGTTTCAGGTCTCTCCAAAGACATTGAGCTGGGTGTCTTTGACAAGTGCACCGTCGAGATTGGTGTCGAGAAGGACAAGAGCACACAGAGAGGGAGGGTAAAGATGGCGCTGGTTCTATAATTGTATGAAGACAAGGAGGGGAACGCAGAGCTTGAACGAATGGTATTAGTACAATGCAAGGCCACCGGTGATGCGGACGGCTTGAAGTCCGTATAGTGTGATAGAACTACGCCCAGAGATCGTCCTCTTCGCCTTCTGCATCTTCATCGTCCTCCCCTTCTGCATCCTCCTCCTCATCACCCTCTGCATCCTCGTCGTTGCCAGTATTGTGACTCTGCGCAGGTGTCTGCGCCTCTTCATCCACGTCCATGTCTTGCGACGAGGGCTTCTCGGAAGAGGCGGAAGAGATGGCCGCCACGCCTGCTGCATGGGTGAGGAGGGCAGAGCCCCGTGGAGCTTCTGCGGCTGAAGACGTTCTGTTACTACCGCTTCCCTTGCCTTTGGCTCCACCGGCGCGCTGCTGCTGTTGTTGCTCATTTTCGTCCTCGGCCTCGGCTTCAGCAGCGGCAGCAGCAAGATTGTCCCTCTCCCTCTCCTGTTCTCTCCGATGAGCTTCCACCTGATCGCCTTGTCGAGCCTCCTTCTCCCGATTCGCCTGCAATTGTTCCCTCTCTTTCCTCTCCTTTCTCTCCTCCTTGACGGCAGCAAGTCGACTCCTCTTGACGTCCCTCTCGTGAGTGAGACGCTTGAGTGCGTCCAGCTGACGCTTCTTGATGAGGGCATTGAGCGTTTGATCCGCTTCTGCCTGCTTGCGACGCAAGAGCGAGTCAATCTCGCGACATTCAGCCTCGAGCTGGTCTTCACGAGCCTTCTCCTCGCGCACTTCCTCGTCCAGATCTTCCTCTTCCTCTTCGTCCTCTTCTTCGTCGCCTGAGCCATTGGCATTGCCGGCGTCTCCGTCCGCATCGGCATCGCCGTCTCCGTCTCCTGCAACGGCAGCATCGTCCCAGAGGTCTTCGTCTTCGCTGACAGCTCTGCTTTGGCTCCTACCATTGCGGATGTGACTAGCAACGCTGCCTGTTTCGCTTCTGACGTCCTCTTCGTCGTCATCTTCGCCCAAAGCAGCTTCCAGCTCGGCTTGCAGATCTAGATCCACATCGTCATCGCCGCCAAAGGTAGAGCCTTCACCCATTTGAGAATCGAGGTCCCCACGGTCATCTCCCTCATCCATTTGAGAGGCCATATCCGTTTCGCCATCATCCATGTCAGGGTACGGCGTGCCAGCGGTCGAGGCTCCGTCTGCCGCATCTCTGCCCCGCCCGCCAGCCCCACCGCCGTTCTCCTCCATGTCGATCTCGGCGGCATCGACCAGCTCGAAGGAAGTGCTGGTAGCCTTGGAATCTTCGGCTAGTAGCCGCTGCACTTCCTGCTCGACCGTCTCTGTCGTCTGCTTCTTCTTGGCCCTCTTGCGGAAGCGACGTTTGCGAGCCCAGCGCATGGGAGGCGTGATGCCGTGTGGGTAGATGAAGTCGTCTACGTTGAAACCATCGTGCTGTCCCGCAGGGCCGCTCAGACCGTCCTCCCTCTTCTCGGTTGGCTGCACTTCTGCCGTCACTTCGCTCTCATCGCGGATGATGTGGGTCGCGAGGAGCATCTGGCTGATATCGCCGACTTTGAACATCTTGCGATTGTCGAGGGTCTTGTGAGATTCTATGATTGAGGGAAGATCCACGAGTCGAGCAGAGAACATGTCCTGGCCGACTTTGAACATGGCCCGGCGGGAGTCTAGAAGGAGTCCTCGCAGTCGTCAGAAGGGCCGCCCTCTCTTCGATACCCTCTGACCTCCCCACTCGCGCCTCTCACCTTTGAACTTCATCGAGATCTCCTCTGAGTCTTCCGTGCCCACCTCCCTCTTCCGTATCCGCTCTTTTAACCGATCTGCAACATCCCCTTCCGGCAGCCTCAGTATCAGCTGTTCTTCGAATGCCATTCCTTCTCCCGTCTCGTCATCACTACTGTCCATCTCCCGATCTTCGAATCCTTGCATGTAGGCATGAGTCTTTGGCTGCCCAGCTCGAGAGGTCCTGCCCGGAGCAGACGACTTGAGGGACAGCTTGAGCCGTCTTGCTCCTGTGTTAGCTGAGGAGGCATTGGAGCGTTGCCTGTTGCGTAGACTCCGTACTGCGATGGAGGGCGAGGCAGCGGCTGCTCCTGAGGTGGAAGCCCGACGAAGATGGGACGATGGACCCGAGCCACTTGCTGCCCCCGCTGCTGACGCGAGGGACTCGTTCGTCAGCGGAGCAGGGACCTGGCCCGTCGCTCGCCATGATGGCTTGACAGTACGGCCAGAAGAGCGGGTACTTGCATCGCCTGAGGTGCTCTCCGTGGGCGAAAAGGGAGGAGCGGGTGACTCGACAGGCGGAGCATCCTGTCCTGATACAGGAGGCGCGAGAGGAGGAGGAGCGGGGTCGGTGGTGGGAACGCCAGACGCGGGTGTAGGAGGAGGAGGATCTGTACCCTGATTTGGAGCCGACGGCAGAGCAGAAGGCCTCCTTTGGGCCTCCTCGCCAGTGTCCATGTGTCCAGTGAGGCCGTGAACGAGGTAAAGCTGTAGGAAGAAGGAGGAGGCTTGGGTACGGGTCGAAGGCAGGCGCATCTCAGAAGCGGAAGTGGACTGACCTCGGCCATGCATGCCGGCGGAGACAGGCGCGGAATGGCGCTCTCAACGAGGCGATACCGACGTCGAGACAGCACTCTGTCCAGCACGCACATGGAAGAGCAGCTGTCACAGAATAGCATTCTCGGACTCTGGGAAGCAGGGGGGTTTGTATCCTGGCAAAGGTGATTCCCAATTGTCACAAGTTTCTTTGGACTTGCAAAGGCCGCGCATTACATGGAGAATTCTTGAGAGTGATCAACTGTCATTTCTCTGACGAGGAGCTCGGTACTAACAGCAAACAGGTCCGCAGAGGAGTAACACACACGTATACACACTTATGTACAGCGCCCACATGTGATCGGGGTCGCGTGCAAGCTGTCGAGACGTACTAGTCCGGCCAGAGCATGACTGCAGTTCTGTATTTCGTCATATGGTCACCTGCCCTGAAAATGAGCAGAGGCTCTGATCACGGTTGCTTCCAGCCCTGCTCTGCGTAGGTGTGCCTGTCAAGACCTCATCGCTCCGGAGTGCTCCGACGATCACACCCTCATCACCCGCTTTGCTGCGCGCGCATATCCATTCAGGAACTCATCGCAGAAGGGTCACAGTATATAGACTGTCTGCGACTGAGCATTTCCCTTTCCTTCCCCCTCCCACCTCACTCATTCGTCCCTCCTCTGGTCATAGCTCGCCATCTCTCCACTAGTCAATGCCCTCTCCACTAGTTCATCACCCTCTACCTAATGCTTCTTCGAAATACCATTCGCTACTGGTGCACCTCCTCCATCACGATACTCCTCTTTGCTCTACCCCCTTCGCACTGAACATCGCCGTGTTGGCAGGTCCAGCGGGTCTACACTACATAAAGCTCCTTCCACAACGAAAAGGTGAGGGCGACTGCAGCACCCAGAGTCAGAGAAGAAGCCCACCTATACTCATCACTCAACATATCATCATAGTTGCACCACTCACACCACAGACGAGCTCACTCGGTCGCTCCACCACCGAGTGTGCAAGCTATCACCTACAATATGCTACGCTACATCTCGACTGGTGAGTCCCTTTTCAGCACATGAAGTTTCCAACCCCTCGTTGCTGACTTCTATCCTGCTCAATGACATCCCTCAGAGGCCATCACGAATTTCAATAAACCCAACGCCCGTGCTGAGTCAGTGGGCTACGACGTAAGGCACCCTACATCTTATCTCGTGAGTAACATCGTAGCTGCTGATCGTTGAGCAAGAGGGCAGTTGCTGACGATCGTTTTCCCAATAGCCGCGACAGCAGCGCCACTAGCAGCATCAGCAACAGCACCAACATCTGCAACAGCGGCCTCAACATCGGCACCACCATCTTGAGCAGCACCGGCGGCGTCGGCTCTATCTCGCCCAGCCAAAGGCAATACCGCACGCCTCTTGAACTTCATGGCCATGTATGCCGAGCAGGATGTCTGGCATACACATGACAATTATGCCCCTGAAATTCGAGGTGGATGCCTTCGCCAGCATGCCTTTGGACGACTGGCTCGTCAGTTGCCTTGAACGCCAGCCAATGCTGAAGCCACTGCCTGTGCGGGTCACGAAGACCATGGTGGTCAAATGAGAGAATGCCAGGATTGCGCCCATCGAGGCGGCACTCCTACTTCTCTGCTCTATGGGTAGCATTTGCCTGAACTCGGCAACCTACGGAGGCCTGACACCCTGGCGCCAATTGCTGTGCCCTCTGAAGCCGAGGAGCTGAAGAGGACGGTCTCCGACGTCTGTGGTCCCTCCCGATCGGAAGAAGGTCCAATCGACTGAAATCTCCTTGCCCAGACACTCCACCTAGTCAGGGAGACTGCGAGCGAGCTCCGTGCCGACAAGACACCCGCTCAGCTGCTGCAGTCTGTGGCACTGTACGCTTTGGTACCCAGTCGAGGAATGCATGTCCTGAAAAACGTGACGGCTGAGGATCTGACAGGGCAGGCCACACGCTTCGGACCTCTTGCCGGCCCTGGACTTTGCGCGGTCAAGCATGCAACAGCCTGGGTTTGTGGGTTCCTGTTGTTCAAGGTACAGAGAGTCTCAATCAGCTCAAGCGCATCGGTGCCAGCGCAGACATGTGGCCACTGACAACTGGGTGCCACATGGACGAGCTGTCGCTGCTGTGCCCACCGCTGAGAGATACGATCATGGCAAAGGGAGACACCCTCAAGTATCTGGTGCTACACTCGGCCAAGGTACACGAGCTTCTCGTCGAGCGCGACGGACTGCAAGAACGTCCGGCGGCTCTCAAAGTCAGTAGCGACAACGACTACCTAACTACGAGGAAGCTCACACAGCTCGCAGGGACGCTACACTTGGCAAAGGTAGGCTCGAAGATGATGTCGACAATGACAGTGTTCCACGCCGGTTGCATAAAGTACAAGGGCGAGCGTGTAACTACGTGCCGACCTGCACTTGCTCTGCGTCTACTCTGCCTTGAAGCGTTGCATCCTCGATTGTCACGCAAGTCGAGAGGACGAACTTGCTGCGGATGAGCTTCTGCGCCGGACGCAAGCTACCTCCGTCGAAGTCAGGCTAGAGTCATGCATCGCTGAAGTGCGACACCGGCATCTACAGCTCCACTGTGCAGTACACTCTCTGCAGCACCTGCCAGCTTCAATCACTCACGCCAATTCGCCAGACCATGAGCTCTGGGAGCAAGAAGAGAAGTGGCGCCGACAAGGGCAAGCACTGGAGCAGGGGCGGCAGGACATCATCGCGTCGCCTGCGGAGGAGAGGAAGGAGCAAATCGCCGAGCTGATGCAGATCAGCAACGATACCCTCGACAAGCTCCCACTTCCGGCTGATTTTGAGCGCGGAGTCAGCGAACCAGCAACAGTCGAAGCCTGGTGCGACTGGTTCAGAGGTCTCCTCCCCGGCCAGCATGCTCGGCAAGTGGCTGCAGGATCTCGGGTATCGAAAGGGGCCGACTACGCTGCGGCGCGACCTCAGCGGGTCATTGCACCTCGAGAAGCCGCCCGTATTGTCGCAGAAGGTCGCTTTCGTCGCAGCCTGACGCCTTTTGGTGCTCGCGTCTTTGTGGCTAGCACCGCCCAGACCTCTGGCTGTCGACGGGGAGTCAGCTGGTTCTTGTGCTCAAAGTGCCAGGCGACCGCGCTGCTGAAGGTACGGACAGCGTCATTCCTGCACATCTGCAAGAATGACGAGGAGATTATCAATCCGGACCACCATTGCTTCGACAAGCGATACGTGGAATCTCCATGGCAGGTCGACTGGCTCGTGCGGGGTGGATGGGTGGAGGATGATGAGTGGCCTGTGGGGGAGGATGAGTTCTTGGAGGGCTGGGAGGATGGTAGCCGCCTCCACACCTGGACGCCATTTTCGCCGGGTGTGGTCCAGATACTGCGGGCAGAAGGAATTGGGCTTTAGGACGCAAAGCAGCTAGTCCAGGACGCCAGGCGCAACGATAGCCGGTTCAAGTGGCCAACTATTCTCACCATGAACGGTGAGCCCCACCCTCAATGTGCGCCTCACAGTGAGCATATGCGCCACTCTTACGCTTGGTCCGGATAGCCCTGGCTGCCATACATGGGCAAGCCACAGTGGAGCGGGAGAAGCGTCGGATCAGGGAGGAAAGGCAGAGGAGGTGTAAGACGATTCCGGTACGCTATAACACTCGCAGGACAATCAGCCATTTCAAATATACCTTGTTCGACGATAGGGACGTAGCCTACCCGGCGCTTCAAGGTAGCTGCTGAATCCCGTGCCTTCACCAGTGATAGTCTCGCACACTACGTCCATGACATCGATCGCCTGTATTTTCATGGGCCACAATAGCATCACAGACATACTACGCTCGAAGAACGAGAGTTTTACCTACTTCCATGATGACGACAGCGTGAACGCCTGCGAGCTCGTATCACTCCGTGTGCACCTTCACTCAGCGAGCCTTTCTGGTGGCGCTTGTATGAGCATACGAGAGGACTGACACTCCACCGAGACCAGCATGCAAGCTCGCTGCAGCACTGCACGCGCGTACTGTGGGCGTGATCGTCATCAGCGATACCCCCTGGCCGTTCAGCAAGTGTCTGTCCCCTCTCGAAGTCGGAGATGCATGAGTGAAGAAGCCTTTGTCTTGAAAGTACATGTACGTTCTGAGGAGAGCACCTTTCATCCAAGAAGGCAATCTCCTTTCGAGGGCATCATAGCTCAGTTGGTTAGAGCGTCAGCTTAACAGCTCATACTGTTCGCTGAAGGTCTGCGGTTCGAGCCCGCGTGACGTCAAACACCTTCTCTTTTGCTTCTTCCGAAGCTGATCTTTTCTTTTTAACGAGACCAAAGTCGTCTTGGTGTGCTGCGAAAACTGGCGTGGAGGCGGCGCGGGCGGAGGCGCTTCCGCTCAAGCCACGCAGGCCCACACGCGCACGCGCCCGCTTGACTGGCACTGGGCGCCCGGCAGGCAGTGAGCGCTTCTTCGCATCGACGGCTGGCTGCGTCTCCTTCCGTCGCAATCCACCACCACCAGTGTGCATACTCAGCTTCCTCTCGCCCCACAGACTCTTCCTCTCCCCTGACGACGTGAAGTAATCGAAGCCACCGAACACTCTCATCCTCAATTACGTCCGCCATGGCCACGAATGCTGCAGGAGGCGGTGGAGGCGGTCCAGCCGATTTCATCGGAGCTCTCATCAGCCTCGTGTCCAAGTCGGACATCCGCTACCAGGGTCTGCTGGCTCAGATCGACCCCGTCAAGGCCACCATCGCCCTCGAGCAAGGTGAGTGGTGGGGCGCAATGTGCAGAGCCGTAGCGACTATCGCGCAACAACCTCGCTGACTGTGCTGTCTTGTCTTTGCCTTCACGTTTGCCCTCCAGTGCGTTCGTATGGAACGGAAGGAAGACTAGCTTCGCAAGGAAAGCCTCAGGATGAGATCCCACCCAGCAACAACACATACGAGTTCGTCACCTTCCGTGCAGCAGACGTCAAGGACCTTCGCATCGATGACCCTCACCCACCCAAGCAACAGCAGCAACCTCAGCAAGACTTTGTAGACCCTGCCATCCTCGGAGTGAGTATTCAGACGGTAGCCTTGTGACTTGGCAGCCCCTTCGATATGATGAAGCATTTTACGGATGTAAAAAGGAGCCTTCGAGCTTCATGTACACCGAGAGCGCATAACCCCATGTGGATGCTTCCGTTGCCTTCCTTCTGATCGTTCATGGGTGCAAAGCGGGGAGCGGTAGAGACTGTAGGCTGTCGGATGAGATGCGCCAGATCAACTTACCAGGTGCTGACAGTCTAGACCACACTTCCTGATCCCTCGCAGACTAGCCCGCCCAACACTCGCTTTGGGGGCGGAGTCCCCCCACCTGGTCCCTACGGTCCTCCTCCCGGTCAATGGGGCCCACCGCCTCCTCACCCAGCAGCGTATGGTGGTTATGGTCCCGGTCCCTTCATGGGACCGCCTCCGCCTCACTTTGGCGGACCAGGAGGACCTCAGATGCAACGACCGCCTCAGCCTCAGCCTGCATCTCAGCAAAACACTCCTGCTCAGGCGCCTGCAGCACCTGCAGCACCTGCAGCTGCAGTCTCTTCACCTAGCAAGCCCGCTGCAACGAAGACAAAGGCTGCTACATCCGCACAAAAGACAAACGGCGCACTCGAAGATGCCTCGAAGCCTGCACAAGTAGACTCCGACAAGCGCAAAGCTGCCGACAAGGCTGCTGCAGACCAGGTCGTCGCAGACCTGGCCAAGCTGAACGTAGGCGATCAGAAGCCCAAGGGCGAGACTGCGGGAGCAGCGACAGCAGGCACTACGTCTTCTCAACCTCCCAAGTCCTCGGCAGCTCGCTCGCCCGTGGTCAATGCAAGTCTGCCTGCCAGACCCGCTGCACCACGAGGCACCAGTGGTGGCATCCCTGGCTCCGCTAATCGCGCTCCTCGCGGACCTCCAGCATCCGTCTTTGACAATGGCACCTCCCGCAATGGAGCTGGCCACATCGATGTCCCTTCGTCCGACTTTGACTTTGAATCGGCCAATGCCAAGTTTGCAAAGGAAAAGGCCGAGGCAGAAAAGGGTGGCAATGACGATGTGCTCGAGGCGATCCCACCGCCAAAGGAGGAAGGCAAGAGCTTCTACGACAAGTCGAGCTTCTTTGACAATATTTCTAGCGAGGTTCGCGAGAGGCACGACCGAGTCACCTCGCCGCGACAGGAGAGGGGAGGAATTACTACTGGTTTCGATTCCGAAGGACGAGGAGGTGGGTCTGGTGGCTTTGGTGGTGATGGCGCTGCGAGGGGTGGGAGGGGAGGAGGGCGTGGTGGTGGACGTCAGGCCCGCTTCGAAGAAGATCGAAAGAATCTAGACACCTTTGGTGAGGTGGGATCTTCTCGAGGTGGGGGAAGAGGCGGACGTGGAGGTAGAGGACGTGGCAGAGGTCGGGGCCGAGGAGGACCTCGAGGGGGTGGCGGAGGGGCTAGGATGGATGCCTGAGGGAGGGCGACCAGTAGGGGAGGCGCAGAGCAAGCGAAGGGGTCAAGAGGCCGGATACCGGGAGGGAGAAATGTGATGGGAGTCTCGACCTGGCTGAGCCGATGAGCGAGACGCCTGCGTACCTGTTCCTCCGTAGTCTTTCGTTGCCTCTACCTGTCACCGCGCATACGCTCTCTCTCTCAATAGCACAATGGTGATCCGCCCTGTACAACGTCAAGACTTGCCTGTGCAGCGTGGGGCGGGGGAGGTTCGATGCTCTCTTGCACCCAGCACACAGAAATAGCCTCGTCGAGAAGGCCAATCTGTCCGTCCTTTGATGATTAGTTCTCGCCATGACCAGTGACACCGTCACTCTACTCCACTCGGAGAAGGCATACTGCAAGATGTTCTCCCCCTACTGTGACCGCCTCACCATGCACAGATCCGCCCTGCCGCACGCGGGGAGCAAAAAGCTCGCCCACCGCTCGTCACTCGGACTGACGACGGGCAAAAAGAAAGCTCCCAACGAGGGGCTCGAACCCTCGACATCTTGATATTCCTAAGATTTGTGGACATCTCTACAAAGTAAGAGTCAAGCGCTCTACCAACTGAGCTAGCCGGGATGGAGCAATTGATGGAGGTGTAGTCCAGGGGAAGCGTATATATACCAATAAGCTCTGAGGCGTACGAGAGCGGAGGCTTGTAGGCTGGTCGCGAGCGGAATTGAACGCATGGACGCCTTCGCACGGGCGCGTCTCGCTTGCTGCAGTGGAGGAGCGGTGAGCGTCGCGACGGCTCATGAGCAGGTCAGTCAGCACAACGATGCTGAGTCGGCCGTATACAGAGCGGCTACGGCGGAGGATTTCGACAGCAGGAAATCTCGCAGAAGCCACAAACACACACCATGACGCACAATCAGGCCGCCAATCTCGCAGCAGCTAACAGTAGAGCAGTACTCCCCATCTGCGTGGGTGCGTCTGGATTGGTATCTCGAGGAGCCATCTAATGCGGGACAGGTTCGACCGGCTCAGTCCCGACGACTACTGCGCCCGAGTAAGCTCCGCTTCGCATCGTCCTTGCCGCCATACAGATAGTCATCCACCCCGTCTGAGCCTTGAGCATCTTCTCCGTCCAGGTCTCCTAATGTAAAGGAAGCAGACCCGCTAGGCTGTCTTTGCAGACCATTCCTCGACGATTGCGAGACTGTCCGCCGCTTTTGTGAGTCTCCCTCCTCCGCGTCCAACCAGCCCCAGCCCTCTCCTTCAGGTTGCCGCGAAGCGTGACCATTGCCCCACTCTTGATGAGCTCCCCTCCTTCGACCTTCTTCCTCGGCATTCATCCTCGCCTCTTCTTCATCCTCCTCTACGAAACTGTCCAAGACCTTCTTCGTCTCTCTATAGATGTACCAGCTCGTGATCGCTCCTAATAGACTAGCTCCAATGATCGACGCCACGCTGAGCCAGGACTTGCTTGCTGCTTGCCCATTCTTGCCAGACTGGATGGCTTCGAAGGCTTTGCTTCCCACAAAGACGTGGATCAGGAGCTTTGGGGTAGTGCAGAGCGTGGCGAAGATGAAGAGGGGTAGCGACACGGAGCTCGGCCGGAGGGATGAGAAGAAGAGATTTGACTGCGCAGGGGAACGGGGTGAAATGGCTGCCTTCCCCGTCAGACCAAGCCAACATAGACGCAATACTGCGCAATCCGCAACTCACATAGACAAATGGAAAGGGACATAGCTGAAGGTGAAGAAAAGCAAAAGTCTAAGCTCGCGTATCCCTCCTGAGCTGATAGCATCCCCTTCCTGTCCTTGCCTACTCACCCGTATAAGAATCGCCATCTTCCAGCCCTTGCGTTCTACCGCCTTCTCCATCGCCCTCCACTCCTTTCCTCCTCTGACCTCCCTGATCCAATCAAAGCGATCACCATATCTCGCCAGCCCCCAACGGCCGACGAGGAAAGAGGCAGTGGCGCCCGTCAGGCAACCTCCAGCTGCAATTGCCCATGCCAAGAGCAGTCCATGCCCCTCGCCTGACTCCGGAGACCCAAATGACAATCCACAGACTGTAATCGAGGTCCCATAGCCGACCAGGGGCGGAAAGGAGAGCACTGTGATGATGAGGATCAGGAGACTGGGTCCAAAGGAGGAGTGGGAAAAGTACAGGGCGAAACCGGACAGGTACTCGAGTATGCCGTGGGTGCCTATCCGAAGGACCGTCACGATCAATGCTAAATACGCCACTGCAAAGAAGAAGAGGATCGCCTTTGCCTTGAGCGAGAGTCCACGAAAGACCTGTAGGGCGTGATAGGCGAGGCGTGTGAGGTGGGCCGGCACCTGGGACAAGGGGGGTAACCGCATGTGGGCCGATGCTGCCGAGGTCGAGAGACTGCGAGCGGTTGAGGAGGAGGAGGAGGAGGAGGAAGGATGGAGCTGACTACGGCCCCTCGATGGAGGAGGCATCGTAGAGGAGCTGAGTAGCGGTGTAGCTACGCTTGCGGGAGCATTCAATGTCGTCGTAATGATGGCAATTGGTCGTGGTGGTGGTGGTGAGCAATCAAGGGCTGCCGGTTGACAGGGAGAGCAGCCGTCCAAGGCTCCGTCCGAGGTGCCGCCGGGGCCAAGAGGCGGCGTGCGTGCGAGATTGCTGCCGGGGGAGACGAGCCTCCACTGCAGCCGCCGACGCCGCCCACGCTTCTGCTTCCGCCCCGCTGCCTCGCCCGCCCGGTGGCCCTCGCTTGGCGCTGCTCACCCCAGTGACCAAAGATTTAGGGCTGCCATCCCCCATTGGCCCTTTACATCCTGCCATCATATCCCACGCCATCCTATCGTCAGCATATCGCCATCTCACAACATAGCATCCTCCCCTCTCAAAGACTGCTGGCTCACCTCCTCGGTCCCTCGGGACTTGTCAGCCAGTCCTCCGGCTACAGTCAAGATCAGGCTAGGCCTCCCTCCCTACGTCCGCCACCCTTTGCCGCCTCTGATCGTGACTGCTCTGACATATTCGCACGGTATCGTCCGCGAGCCAGCGGCGTCTAGGCAATCGGCTTTGCCTCAATTCGACTCCTAGGCTCAATATGGCGGCCGAGGTCTCTTCTCCACACTCCTCCCGCCCAGGCTCAGACGCTAGCAACCCGCACCAGGACCTTTACATTCCTCCGAGCAGATTGAGCCTCTCCTTGGCCTCCGACCCAAGACGGCCTGGAAATGATCCATCGACATCGTCTGGCACCAACGGTACGGGCAACGCCTCAAATCCGTCACCCTACACACCCCTATTTGGCTCAGTGGAATTCTGGACCCGGCGGGAGCAGGCAGACGTGGAGCGGGGAGCACCTCTACAGGCCGCTTCCATCCACCGAGCTGCGGAGGTAGCCAGATGGGAGTGGATCCAAGCTCATCGCACCAGGCTGGAAAGGGAAAAGAGGGATGACCCCATTCAGACACAGCCTAGTCGCGCTGGCTATAGCTTCCTCCCGTCCTTTAGCACCTCTTACTCAAACTCTTCCTACTCCGGCGGCAGGTCAATGCCTTGGCGACAGGCAGTCGCAGCACCTAGAGAACCACCCGTCGCATCATCGTCATCCTCTCCCCCATCATCCATGGAGGTCACTGCTAGTGGCCCGGTGACACACCCTCGCTACAATGCCCAGGCCTCCCTTACAGAGGGACCCACGCTTCCTCGTCCTTATATCGACGAGTCTTCTGTGATCTCCGGGTCTGAAATGTCCTCCTTGGAAGACAGGCTACAGCGCGAGGACATCGTTTCGACTCGGGGCCAGACTAACGCACACTTCCAGAGTCCTCTTCAAGATTCGACCACTGCTTTCGGCAGTCGTCAGAGCAACGAGACTAGCCAAGCCAACCAGACTTCTGACTTTCTACCGTCGCTTCGGCGTACTTCCCTCCAGCGTCACCGAGATCAGAGGCCCTTGATGCCCAGAGAGGCTCAGAGTTCTCGCTTCTTGGCCAGCGGCGGTACACTCCACGATGACCTCACAGCTTGGAACCACCTGTGTCGAGACTTGGCCATCGCCGCTGGTATCTCGCCGGACGAGGATGGACCCGGCGAAGAAGAGGCCAGAGTTGCTTCCACATCGTCTCGCAGCATGTTGCCATTTGGTATCGAAGCCGGACCTCGCGGACTACCGCATCCCATCTGGGGCAGACGATATTTGGGACCAGCAGGAACTTGGCTGCGCGCTGAATTGCTCGCTAGGGGTCGCGAGGCGGCTGGATTGCGAAGCAGCGATGGTGTCACGCCGGCCTCTGCCTTAGCCAATGAGTGGAGAGCTACCGTTCGCAATGCTAGGACGGCCGTGGGAGGTGGATCAGGCGTCGCTGCAAGTAGGCCTGCTGACCGCACGACAGGTGGCCCTTCTGCTACGAGCTCTGCGGATCGCACTAGTGGGGATTCAGCTGAAGCGGGAGCTCCTACCGTACCTCGCCATCCTACAAGCGTTGTAGGCACTCCGAACGTCAACGATTCACTGGGCCTACCCGCTGTAACGCTTGACGGCAGCCTCACGGACCCATGGGCAGCCAGTCTAGCCCGCAACAACGAATCTTTACGACCACCGCCGACCCTCATTAGCCCCACCCCACCACTCACCGCTCCGATAGGCTCAGGCAGACCGCCGCACTCTGTACAGCCCACTCATCCTAGCCAGACTCCAGCAATGCGGTCGAGCGGCAACGATCCTCTTCCGGATTCCGCCTTTCACGTTCCGGCCGCTGCCGCCTCTCCTCCGCAACGAACCGCTGCAGCAGAAGAAGTCGCTCGACTGGCTCGTAGCGCCCGAGCGCTGCGTGAGAATCTCCGGAACAGTCGTCAGCCTCGACGACTAGGGGTGGGAGAGTCCTCGCCGAGTTCGTCTGTCTCGACCGATATCGCTACTTCGCCCGCTGCAACTACCACACATGGGCAGCGCATCTCCGACGGAAACGGCATGCGGCTTCTACGGCGGCTGAGGGCATTGGACGGACTCGAGGATCGCAGAACAGATCGAAGTGAGACCAATTCAGCAAATGTGGCCGAAGTCTTTCCTTTTGATTCTGCTCCGAGACCTCACGAGCTCTTTCCATGGTACTCGCCACCGTCACGCGGTCAAGAGCTGCCCTCAACTTCAAACTCTCGAAGCCAGTCTGACTTCAATGATGCTACCGCCAATCCGACAGACGATCCTGCCAATCTTGATCCTGATGGTGATGCTGTCGGCCAAGACTGGTATCGCGGCGTCAGGGCTCGGATGCAAGGCTCACTTGCTGCTGCTGCTGCTCAGGCAGCTCGAGACGATCCAGACGGAGAGCGAGTCCCTCGAGAAGTAATTGTCAGTGGGGATGAAGATATCTCGACAAGGCATCGTAGCGGTAGGAGATCTCGAGGTAGAGGAGAGGACGCTGAGGTAGACGATGAAGGCGCCGCCCGTCGCCAGAGAAATCGGACAGCCCTCGTCATTGCCGACGGAGATGACACTACGTCAAGTTCTAACCCTTGGCTGGCTTCGGCGACTACGACTGCCCCTCGAAACGTCGCCGAGGGATGGACTCTTGTGAGCAGTTCTGGGCAGAGTCCTCCCTCTCCCCCGATGCCACAGAGTCCCGTCCGAGCCACCCGCGATGAAGGCTCGGATAACGTCACGATGTGGTTCCGTGGACCTTCTGGCAATCGCGGGCTCTCTACGAGTCCGAGTTCGACCGAAGAGCCACGGACAGACGCTGTCACTCTCAGAACAGAGGGAATGATGCCCAGGTCTATCCGGTCTCCGTTGCGACCGATCAGTGCCGAGACAAGTCAGCCCTCGACAGCCGAAATCCAGGCAGCCTCTGATCCCAGAACGGTCAGAAGGCCACAACGCTTGCGTTCTCTCAACGAAGACGACCTAGTGCTCGCCAGCGGCAATCTAGCAGCGCAAGATGCTGCAAGACCTTCCCGAATGCATCAGCAAGTAGCCGCAATTGGCAACGAGCCTCGGCCCATTCCGACCTGGTCTTCCCTCGCCCGACGAGCCGAGTACTGGGGTGCTGGACAGCCATCGAGTACTAATACCGATGCAAACCCCAGTGCATTGCAGGCCATCTCTTCGGCTCCCAATCTCTCAGTCTTCGATCTTCATCGAGATGTCCCCATCGATGAGCTGAGGTCACGTCAGCTCGCAATCTGGCACGCCTCTCAAGCCGAGCACGTAAATCGACGTTCATCAGGCGATGGGATACTGGCGGACGTCATGACAGACGAACCGGAAGAAGCAACCCCACAGGAGCTCTCCAATCCAGTCGATCAAGATTCAACAACCTCTCCGATGCATCGAAGCTCATCTGCTGTGGCTGCTGTTCAGGACCGGATGGCCGACGTCTCTAGCCGCCTTGAAGCGGAGCTGAGGGAACGAGAGGAAGAGTTGAGGGCTTCTGCTGAGCGACTGACAGAGGAGCTTGCGAGGCGAAGAGCGCGTATCGATGAGCTTCGACAAAGAGAGGGTCGTATTGGGAGAGTTCTGGAATCTAGCGAGGCTGCTTTGAGAAGGGTACAAGATATGCAATCATCTGCAGGCCAGACTGGTGACGCGATCAACAGTAGGACTGAGCATACTACTGTCTCTCCGGCAGCCACTCCTGCTGATATGCTATCGGCAGGACAAAGGCCACCAGCCGAGCCCGTGAGCCAGACAAGACCACAGACATTAGCGAACTCATCACTCGTCAGACGTCGCACCCTGCGCGATTCTGCTCCTCAGCTCCGGGGTCCTAGGGCTCCCCGTGGCGGCTTCAACTATCTCGAGCGCACTGTGGAGACTTCAAGAGAGACGCCGCCAGCGGCGGAGAGCCGGACTGCTTTCGCTCCTCTCATGCGACGTTCGGCTTCATCGTCCTCACTCGCACTCTCGACGTCGAGCACTGGCCGAGAGAAGGACGAAGACCAGAACCGGTCTACGCTGCAGTCGCCTGGGCCCACCTCTTCTCGTCGGTGTCTGGACGATTCGATCCTGGCGTCACCCCTCGCAGCACAAGCTTTACTTCTCAGCCATCCCCCACTGCGCAGTCTCATCACCGCTGAAGACCAGCGTCGTCTTGATGCAACATCGGCACTCATCGTCGAAGCAATGGATTCGGCTGGACACTCTGCCTATCGTGATGCCGTCCTATCGGCTCATCGGCGACGCTTGGAGAATTGGTCGCCTGCCCAAATTCCACTGTCTAGCACCACTATGGAAAGCTCCTATCCACTGCGATTCGAAATCAGTCGTCACATGAGGTCAGACGAGCCCAGTGATCAAGGTAGCATGCCTGCGACTACATTAGCACGGATGCGCAATGTTCTTCGTAATGATGAGAGCAGCGTGAGCTTCGATGCTAGCCGTGGTACTGAGGTGGTCCTTCGGTTTCTAGCCGCCATGCCTCAGTCTGGAGCATCCCGGGACCCTGCTCCTTCCTCAAGCCACCTGACGACTACTAGGACGCCATTGATGGCAAGTCTCACTGCGCAAGATGGCGGGGTGTCGCCGCTATCCGGCCCTTCTATGAGCAGACTCGAAGAGGAGCAGGCGTGGAACACAGCTCGAGCGAGACTCATGACAGGCAGCAGCAACCCCGTGACCCCTCCAAGCATGGGCGATGTCACGGAGAGCACTCTGCCTGCTCCTGAAGCGGCTACTCAGGCCGCATCGTCTAGCCCACTAGCTTCTCCCCCTGCTGGGCGCTCGGTAGCTGGGAGTGTGCCTGCCAATATGCCCCAGATCCCTCGCGGTCTGACCGATAGGGAGACCTCTGTCATCCGTCACATACTAGCGCTCAGAGGCACGGCATCGACTGTCGCAGAAAGGGTTTCCCAACTCTCGAGGCTGTCAAACGACGACATTTCTGTCATTCGTGGTCTCGCGATACGGGCAGCCTTGCCTCCAGGCTTCTTTGCTGTTCAAAGCCAATCTTCAGCCGCGACACCCAGGGTGGGCGGTCTTGGAGATGTTGCAGCGGGGAACGGTGCAGTGAACGTCACACCCTCGGCTTCAGGCACGGATCCTGTCCCGCCTCGCCTAGCTCGCTCCGAACTGCCTTCGCTGCTCTTCACCGAGCCAGTTCCACTCACAGAAGAGCAACTTGCCCTCGTCAAGGAGCTTTGCGTGCAGGTCTGTCCCGATGACGATGCGCGACCGACCGCGAGCGCCCAAGTTCTTTCCCTCGTTGCAAAGGACAAGGTGGACCGCTTCATCGCTCTCAGGGCTCAGTCTTTTGCGCAGGCAGCTACGCACAAGGCTAGCGCAGAGGGGCCCGACAGTCAGGGACCGGTATTCGCCCTCAGCAGCCTTATCGTCAAGGCCCGAGAAGCGCCCAGCCCGCTTCAAGGCCCGGATCAAGGTGGGGACGTTGGTAGAGCGAACGAAAGTGGGGCCGGTAGTGGCTCTGCCATTCCGGCTCATGCCTCTAGCACCAGTCCGCAGCAGAGCACTTCAAGGCCTCCACTACAGTCTTCAACAAGCCCATCCGTCGATGCAGCTCGACGGGAGCCCAGAAATCACATCCATGCCCTAATCTTCTTTAGTATATCTCCTATCACGCGGGAGCAGCTTGCCGAATGGGACAATGTCCACAAGACGGACGCCATTCGCTATCTCCGGACACTCAGGCGCGAGAGGTCCAGTCGACATCACGAAGAAGACAGAGGTTCAAGGAGCAGACTGGAGCCGTGGGAGCTAGATCCATTGAAGGACTCTGAACAGGAAGAGCGGGATCTGGGTGATCCAACTGCTGTTGCTCGACGACGGGAGGAGATGCACAGGGCGGACGATGCCGGGGTACAGAGGTTGTTGGACGCTCGAGAGGCTGCGGGTGGCTCTACCTCTGATTCGCGGTCCTTGCCGCAATTGCGCCCGGCGGCCATATTCCCTATTGATCTAACGCGAGGCGGAGCCATCGTGAATCTCGAGCAAGAAGGTCTGCGTACGCATGGAGATGCGCAACAGAGGAGGCAGCGACCCATTGGCAGATACATGGCCATCAAGATCCTGGCTGGGGACGGGCCGGTCGGGAGTGCTGCTCGAAGAGGCGATGCGGATGATAACACTGCTGTGAGCTCAGCGCCAGGTTCTGAAGCCGCCGCTGCCACCCGGCGCTGCATTGATCTCTTCTACATTGGTGTTAGGGGTTGGCCTGCTACTGGCACTGGTAGCCAGGATGGGCGATGGCGTGACTGAGGTTGGGAGAGAAGTAGGCCCCAAGGCGCTCCACACTGCCTCATGACATCGACTGGTACGCTCCTGTCTTTTCATCCTATCCATGCTCGCGTCAATGATCTCCATACACACCTGCCGTTTCAGCTACCCTACGCGGGGGCTTCGCAATGCGGCGGCAGTCTAGGCCGTGGCGTGAGTCTACCGTACCTCGGCTCTGCACTCCGCTTCGCCTCCACCTCGGGAGCGGCAAGTCGCGTGGCCTGGGACTGGAAGACGGATGGCCGGCAGGGGGCGCAGGGACCTCCTCCCCTCGCCCTTCGCCTTCCCTTCGCGGCTTGGCGACTGCCTCACTTGTCATCTGCCACCTCATCCCTCACACCTCTACCTCTGTATACCATTCCCACCTCGGGAGATAGAGAACACTCACAGCCCGCAGTCATGGCAACCAAGTTCCTCTCCATTGCGGGCATCTCCACTGTAGCCCTCCTCTCTGCCCTATACCCCTTTGTCTACCCCAAGCTCAAGACCCTCGGCTACGTTGGGCGCGAGCTGGGAGAGTTGAACAATCAGCAATGTAGGAAGATCCCTTCGTTGAGGAGTTGTGAGGATACATGGCTGCATGAGGATACCGGCTACTTGTACGCAGCGTGTGGAAATAGCATCGACGATAGGATGACCTGGTTCCCTTGGTGAGTTGAGTCGCGAGTGAGCTGCGAGGGACGCGGTCATTGATGCTGGGCCCACCCCATATCGTCTTTCTTCACCAGCAACGACCACTGGGATGCCCTCAACCGTCCCAACAGAGACTATCTCGCTGTCCTCGACACGCGATCCACAGAGGGCGACTTTGAGTCACGCACTCGAAAGGTTCGCCTCGAGGGTTTCCACGGCCTAGCAGGCGAAGGCTCCTTTACCTCGCACGGCTTTGGATTCTGGACCGACCCTACCCCAGGGTCGGACTTGATGCGCGTCTTCCTTGTCAACCATCGTCCTTCCCTTGACGGACTCATCAATGCTCTTATCCTCGACGAGACTACAGGCGCCAATTCGACGATTGAAATCTTTGAGACGCGAGTGGGCAGCGATGTGGCTCAACATGTCCGGACGGTTGCGCACCCGCTCATCAGGACACCAAACAATGTTGAGCCCACGGGACCGGACACCTTCTACGTCACCAATGACCATCACATCAAGAGGGGCAAGAAGAAGGCGCTTGACGCCATCTTCCCCTGGACAGAGGTAGTGCACTGCGATACCAGAGGATGCAAGGTCGTCTTAGACGGCTTGACGTTCGCCAATGGCATTTCCCGCGGCGTAGCCCCAGGTGACGAAGAACTCTACTACGTCTCAGCGACTGCCTCGGACAAGCTTTCCATTTTGCAGCGTCAACCGCACGACAATTCTGTCGTTCTACAAGACACGGTCAAGTTCCCCTACCTCACCGACAATCTCTACACCACCAAGTCTGGTGGTGTGTACATTGCCTCTTTCCCCTCGCTTCACTCCCTCTCGACACACTTTGCGACGCCTAGAAAGGCCGGCGCACACAGCCTCATTGCCAAGCTCTCCAAGAACACGGGTGGGAAAGATGCCTTTTTCGGAGAAAAGTACAAGGTGGAAAAAGTCTTTGAAGACGATTCGACGAGTGCTGAATCGCCTAGTGGGATTACAGGAGTTGCCGTGGATGAGTCTACGGGCAAGATTTACCTTGCGAGCTTGCTGCAGGAATTCATGTGGGAATGTGACCTCTATGAGGAGCCGGTGAAGATGAAGTTCTAAGGTGGAGATGACGGGAGTGTGGGAGAGAGAGAGAGAGAGCGCTCCCTCTACAGAAGCGAGAGGGACGCAGAGAGTAGCGCAAGAGAATTGCGACATGATCGTTCTCATCTTTTGAACACTAGGAACGTTTTGTATGCAGATGTAGCGAGGCCAAAAGATCGCATACGATCGAATGAGATTGTCTTCCGAACGACCGAAAGAACGAATAGCATTGTCCTCTCGCCTCTCCCGATTCGAGCCTCCCTTTACTCGCTGAGAAGGTCCCTGATGCTTTCAAAGTACTCCTTTGAACCTCCACTGCCCAACCTCTCCTCGATCTCTTCCCTTGTGAGCCAGGCGTATTCCCTTCCTTCTGCGCCCTTTGGTGAGCCAGATACCAGATGGGCTCGCAGAAAATAGGTCTGTAGGGGCGGATCACGATGGAAAGGAGGGTGTACATCAGCATGATCATTCGGGCTCTGTCTCTCTAAGTGCCTGTTGGCTCTTGCTCTCCTGCTCACCTTGTCCGATCCTACCCCGTTCTTTCCTTCCACTGGCCGCGGCATGACTCCAATGGGCAAATGGCTCACAAGCCAGATGTCGAGCTTCTCCCCCAATGCCTCCTTAACCGGCAATGTAGCAACACGATGCAGTGTCTCCTTCTTATTCAGATCCACTCCCCTCTCTGGTAATCTCCATTGGCCCGTCGCAGGATCCTTGAAGAGGAGGAAGAGACATCGATCCAACGCCCGCTCTAGACTAGTAGTGTCATTGCTCTCATCCGCTGCCGTCTTGCGCGGAACAGTTGCGTAGAGCTCTGCATCTGGATCGGTAGCAGTGGCTGTATCGCCCACCGAAGCAGCGGTCTCTGTCGAGGGTGGGGCAGCTTGACCTTTACCCTTGCCTTTTCCATCTACCTCCTTCTTCGATGATGAGGAGGAAGGAAAGTCCAGGTGGCTCCTTCTGTAGCTCTCCTCGGCGTCGAATTTAGTCTCTGCTGCTGAACCTTTTCTAAAGTAAAAGTCTTTGGCAAAGGGTTGGGAGAGACGACGGGTGAGGGCGTGATTGTACTCGAAGTAGGCTGATTCGAGTGGTGTGGGCGAGCGAAGGATCAGAGGCTGGCGAGAGAGGAGGAGAGAGACCTTGACATTGTCGCTCTTCTTTCGAGAGGGTGACAGAGGGGGGGTTGTAGTGGTTGTGTTTTGGCCTTCGGTGAGGGCGGCGGGGGAGGTGGTGGTGGAAGTGAATGTACGGGAAGAATTGGAGGAGGATGCGGCAGCCGAAGCAGACGAGCCCTGACGAGCAACTGCTCTGATCGACGAACGCAGAAGCGACGAGGAAGAAGCCGAAGATGCCATGGCGGGTAGAGCTAGCGGCTTGCGTACGAAGAGGTGGGTGTTGGTGAGGATGCTCCGAGTAAGGTGGTACCTTGTGATGCTCCTGCCATGGGGAAAATCAATGCTTCCTGGGTGGGCTGACCGAGTGACTTTTGTCGCCCTGCATCTCCCGCACCGCGCGCTTCGGGGCGGAGGCGGGGCGCCTGAATGCTGATGACGGCCACCACCCAGCAGCTCCACCTCGTCCATCGTCGTCGTCGTCGTCGTCGTCGTCGCAGCCTCACCTTCTGTTCATCCCGATTGACCTCGGACATCGACGTTGAGCACCCCATACTCACCATCACACTGCTCACTCACATCGGTCACCTGCCCCTTCACACGTCTCCGGCACCTTTGCTTCCTCAGCGCAAGTACCCCTCTGGCCCTCGTCCTATCTTCCTCCCCGCCTCGTAGCCCCCCCCTGACCTCCCCGTCCACAATGGTCGAGTCCTCGGACAAGTCCAAGAAGGGCAACAATGTTCCAGCCGACGTAGAGAGGGCTCCGGCACCACCCCTCGTACTCATCAACTCGCCATGGCTCACAGGCGTCACAAATCGCATTCGCTCCAGGCCCATCCCTTGGGAGGGGTACGCTCGAGCCGATCTAGTATCACAGGATGAGCTAAAGATGATCCGGTCCGTCGACGGCAAGGATCAAAGTGAGGCAGAAAAGGTGCTCGATGAGAGGGGAGAAGATTATGCAGTCCTCTACCTCAGGCTATTGGGCAAGCTCAGCAGGACCGATACCCTGCAACAGGTGCTGGTACTGATTGGTGATATGCTCGAGGGTCGGGATGACAGGGTGGGTCTCTTCTTCAAGGCTGCAAAGAAAGCCAAGGAGTCAAAGAAGGGCAAAGGAGAGGATGTCGCTTGGCCATGGGCACCTCTGATCAAGTGAGTGCAATCGGCAGCAAGTACCGAAAGAGTACAGCGGGGCACTGGATTGAGATACTGACCACCCGCCTCGCCTTCTCTACACACCGTCAGAGTCCTGGATGTTGCCGATGACTTTGCTCAGCTCAAGGCAGCCCAATTCTTGACCCTCCTCTTGGTCGCGCCGAACACCTCGCACTCTTCCACACTCACTACTGCCCCTACATCCGTCATCACTCGCCTTCTCACCTTCCTCTCCAAGCTCATCAACTCCACGACGTCTTCGGGCGAGTCCACACCAGCTGCTGGCGCCGGTCTGCTTAGGCCCCCAACATCCGGCGATATCTACGCAGACGGCAATGGAGCAGACATCGCAATTCAGCTGCTCGAGTCACTGCTCAGGACACAGCAGTTTAGACAAGAAGTCTGGAAGGATGAGATGCGCCGACAGAGCGAGACACCCACTACGGAAGAGAAAGAGGTCAAGAAAGACGATGAGGACAAGGAGAATGAGGAAGACGAGACACAGAAGAAGAAGATCAAGCACGGCCAGAGCCCCGGGCTCATCAGAGGTCTAGTATACATCCTGCAGGCTGCCTTAGTGGCTCCTCAAGGGGCACAGTCGTCCACACCGTCATCTAGCAACGGCAACGGCAATGGCAACGACGAGCAAGGCGAGGGCTCATCGTCACGTGGTTCTGGCAACGCCAAGTCGTCGCCAGTGACCCCACAAATGCAGTACCAGGTCATCTTCTGCTTCTGGCTCTTGTCTTTCTCCGAGTCGATCTCGGAGGACATCAATCGCAAATTCTCCATTGTCCCTCTACTCGTCGATATTGCTCGAGGCGCAGTCAAGGAGAAGGTGATCCGCATCACAATCGCCACTCTGAAGAATCTTCTGCTCAAGGCGCCGAGTGAGAACGGCCCTGTGATGCTGGGCAGCAAGCTTTTGCCCCTGGTGGAGATTCTGAGCGAGCGGAAATGGAGTGACGAGGAGCTCGAGGAAGATCTCAAGTTCCTCGCCTCGGAATTGGAGGAGAAGCTCAAGGGCATGAGCAGCTACGACGAATATCTATCTGAATTGTCTTCGGGCAAATTGTCCTGGGACAACCCAGCCCATGAGCTGGACGACTTTTGGAAGGCCAATGGCCAGAAGCTCCTCGAGCCCGGTAGCTCTTCGGGCACATCTGAGGAGGCCTCTGCCGACAATAAGAAGGATGCCGAGGAGGACGAGGATCAAGATGGAGAAAAGACGCCCAGGACTGGCCTCACTCGGCTGATCAGCCTGCTGAAGACTTCATCGGATGCAGTCACGCTTTCCGTCGCCCTGCACGACATTGGCAAGCTGATCCAGTTTACCGAGTCTGGCAGGCGGCGGGTGAATGAGACAAGGGGTGGCAAAGTGGAGATTATGAAGTTCATCAGCCACGAAGATTCCGAAGTCAAGTACCGAGCGCTGAACACCGTCGGCAAACTGATGAGCGAGAGCTGGAGATGAGGTGGAGGTGAGGTGTGTGTGGAGTAGATCCTCCGACGAAAGACGCAGTCTATGGGGCTGGCAGGACAGTGCCCTGTTGTAAGCAGATCGGTGATTGATTGTGAATGTAAAGCCTCCTGGAATGATTCCCTTTCTACCCACCCGCCTGTTCGCCCGTCCGCCCGCTCGCTCTGTCCCATACCGACTGCTGACACTGTGACTCCCAAGCCTCTTAGCTCATCTTGATCTTCCCCCCAGTCCTAGGCAGTGATTTTGAGCGGAAGGATCCACTGTGGAGTGGGAATGAGAATAAGGCGAGGCTTGACTGAATGACCGACCGACTGGGAAGCTGACTGTCAATCACACTCCCTCGCCAGGCTTTAGTGCAATGGAAGGAGCAGCCAAATCCAACGGGAAATACCCGCTTTTCTCCCATACACTCACTCACATTCACTCTCACACTCCCATGAATCTACGCCCCCCCGCTCGCCTGTTCCCTTTGTCCATGCTCAATGGATTGACGCCCCGCTCGATCACTTGCACATATCACCTTTACCCTCCCCCTCTCTTTCCTCCTCTGTTGCGGGGAACGGAAAGGGGGACTGGAAAGAGTTGGGCGGAAGACACGGCAGGCAGGCAGACACAAGATGAGTGGGTGGGGTTGCAATGGCCAAAGGGCAATGAAGTGTGTGGCTTGCTCGGTCGACGTCAGTTGAATTGGTGCCGAGGCTGACCCTTGGTGATGCCGACTCGGCCGGCGGGTGATGAAGGCTTGGCTTGGCTGAGGATGAATGAAAACCTTCTTTGCATTTTCTGATTCTCCTTCTGTACGTGATGCTCCTTTGGCCGCTTGAGAAGTCGCGTGTGGGATCTTCAAGCTGGGTGGGGCTGTCTGGAGCTGTACGTGTGGCAGGGTAAAGGGGCGAGGCATGCAGCTTTCGTTGCTTTTGCCCGCCCTCCCCCCCCCACCGGCTACCCTGCCGGCAAAAACAAAAAAAGGCGTGATGGGCGATGCGATGCGATGCGATGTGATGCGAGGCCAGGCCCTGGTCCACTGTCCGTCGGGGTTTTATCTGAGGGGGGAGGCGGCGTGTTGGTTGGTCGCCACGTGGCCTGCCCAACTTAAGCTCGGGACGGCGGGACGTTGGCGTGGCGTGGCGGGGCGGGTGTGCCTGGCAGGGGAAATAGAGGGGGCGTCGATGGTGGACGTCGAATGCGAGGCGGCGTGGTGTGAGCCAAGAGACAGACGCCTCCTGCCTCGGTCTTCCGGCCATTCATCCCACGTCGCCTTTGGTGGTGGTGTGGTGTGGTGTGTGTGTGTGTGTGTCTGTCTGTCCATCTTCCGTGGCTGACTGGCTCCTTGGCTGGGCTACCTCTCAACCCTCGCCCCCCCCTCCCACCCCCTTTTACCCGCACACCATCCCACCCAGGACGCAGAGCAGACAAGGGCCCGCCCGTCCCACTTTCCAAGCCTCGCCATCGGCTTCACTCCCGCCTTGAGCGTGCAAGATCTGCCCGGGAATCCCTCTCACCACCACCTCACCATCAACATTGTCCCTCCATACCATACTCGCTCAAGACCATTCCCTTTCCTCGAACCCCGTCTATACATCAGCGCTTCGTCAGTCACGATAATCTTCCTCTCCCTCATCTCAACACTACACCGCACCTTGCCGTTCATCTTCATCTCCGCTCCGCTCAGAGCAAGCCTCCCACTTCCAGATCATCTCGCCCAAGGCACCGGAGATTCATTGCAGCCTTACCTACCCCCTCCCCCCTGCCCCTCCCCACTTTGACCACCTTCATCCTCCCTTCACGGAGAAAGTCCGTGCCTCATCTCACGCCTCCCCCGACTCAAAAGCTACAGGAAGGGGCCCCGGCATACTCTGAGGTTAGAAGCCGTCGATTGGGAGCAAAGAGCCGCTTGCTGCTGAAAGCAGACGTTGCCAGAGAGCAAAGAAGAGCATTCAAGGGCGGTCCACAGACAACTACGCAGACGCACTCGGCGCTCTACTATCCTCTTGCTTCTTCAGCAGCAACATAGCGCTGTTCATCTCAGCTCGTGAGGGACCCTAGCTAGCCCTACAGACCGAAAAGCCCGAGCCTCGAGGCGACCATTGAGCTGCAAGAGAATATAGGGGAAGTCTAGACCTACTGTCCACCCTCCTCGTCAAGCTTTGAGCACAGCTGCCAGAAGAGCAACCCTCGCCTTCTTTTTGTTTCTCACGGCCCTTCATCCTCCTCGACCCCATCTCGCATCGTTTCCTACCCTCGCTTTGGCTATGGCATCTTCATCCTCCAGCGCGGCTCCCCCTGCCGCCGCCCCAGCACTCGCCTCCTCTTCGACTACCCTAGCGCCATCAGCTTCCACTTCTTCTATTGCCGAACCCTCCCACGACGGCATGTCCCTCTCCTACGGCTCCTCTCCTCCGGAAGTCTTCGATGAAAGCGACGACGAGTGTCTCTTTGTCAGGTGTCACGCGCCAGAAGAGAAGCCATCGTTCGTATGGGTTTGCCTAGGTGTGGGAGGAGGGCCATTGGAGAATGACTGCTCGTGTTACATGGTCAAGCCGGCTGATCGGCACTGGAGGGATGGCACATACGTAGTCGAAGGTGGTGAGTACATCTGTAGACGCCCACTGACATCGAGGCAGAGCTGATCCTAACGTATCTGCTTCTGTGAACCCTTCTAGGCTCCTGGCTCGGCGCTCTCAGTCGCGTTTGCGAGGATCCTGCACCTGGCAAGCTCTCCGCTTTCCACGACTTTGACTTCTCCCACAGCAACGCGTCACTCAGAGCCGGAGAGATTGGTTCCTATGCCCAGGCATTCCTAATCTCCCATGCTCACTTGGACCACATTCTTGGTCTTGTGCTAGGATGTGCCAGTTTACCGGGGAAGAGGGCAGTGTATGGACTCAAGTCGACATTGGAGAATTTGCTCAACATCTTTGATGGGAAGCTTTGGCCCAAGTTGGCCAGCTTCAAGGAAGATGCACCCTTTATCGTGTACCATCTGAAGCCGTGAGTGGACTTGAAATCGCGCTTTTGCGAGAGACCCAGCGCACACATGCTCATCCATACTCATCATCGTCTTCACCCACCTCCAACTCCCGCAGGATTGAGACGCAGGTGACACTCCATCTGGACGATGTCATGTCCACAGTGCCCTTTAGCCTCTCTCACGGTCTTGCTTCCTCCACAGTACCCGCTCCTCCCACCCCTACCTTCTTTGTCCCCTCGAATTCCACTACACCGGCCAATTACTTTGGCAAGCGGTATTCCCTTCCTCTAAATACCCTCGCCCCTGGATCAGGGCCTGGCGCAAAGGCAATGCCGATCAGAGCAATGGAAGCCTCTGCCGCTTTCCTCGCAGGAGGCGGTCCGAAGGGTACAAGACCGAGCTTCACTAGCCCCTTTGCACCCGATCAGCCTGTGGATACGCCAGAGTCACCCGAGCCTACACCGCCTGGGGGTTACTCGATGGCTGCCACATCGTCTTCACCCGCAGACATGGCGGTGCCCTCTCAGAACCACACAGACGCTGCTTCGACTGACTGGACAAAGTCATTTGATGCCAACGAGAGCGGCGGCCAATCTCTTTCGTACCTCAACAGTCGTCAAAGAGGTCCTCCTTCGCCCAGCTCCCCAACATCATCGGGCAGTGGGTTCAAGAAGAGCCCGCTGTCACTCCTGTCATCAGCCAGGCGTCCAAAGACTTCGGCAGCTTCAGAGAAGGAAGCTTGGGGTGGTGGGACTCTGGCAGAGGGGCAAGGGGCGAATGCTGGAGGAAAGCCGACTCTACTGAGATCCCTTAGTCGCAGTAGCGTCAAGAGTAGTGGCAGTGGCAGTGCCTCTCTGTCTCCTCTTCAGTCATCACAGGCACAACATCACCCGTCTGCCCTCCAGCCTTCCATTGGCCATTCCGCAGCTCCCATTACCCGCTCAGGCAAAGGTGGATTCAGGGAAGCAGCACCTCGAAGACTGTCTATCGACCGGCATCCACCAACGATGGACTCGACTGCCTTTTTCCTCACAAACAAGCAGACTGGCATGGATGTTCTCTTCTTTGGCGACGTGGAGCCCGACTGCATCTCCCGTTCTCCGCGCAACAAGAAGGTCTGGTCCTACGCTGCCAATAAGTTCGCTCGGGGAAAGCTCAATGCAGTCTTCCTCGAGTGCTCCTTCCCTGCTGCTCAGCCGGTAGAATTCCTGTGGGGCCACTTGAGCACCCATCACCTCGTGGATGAGCTAGTGGTGTTGGCAAGAATGGTCAAGGGTGAGAGGGCAGTGATGGAAAAGGATCGTCAGCGAGAGAGGTCTCGTAGTCAGGAGCGAGGACAGAAGACTAGTCTGGACGGAGCAGACGGCACCACCCCTCGTCAGACTCCCGCCAAGCAGCAACAGCAGCAAGGCGGGCCATTCGACTTTGGTTTCTTCCCCGATACGTCGGATGGAGCGGGTCCTACCTCGTCTGCTATGCCTCCCTCCGACTCGGCTTCTTCCGAGATGGACATCCTCTCTTCCCTCCCGCAAGGGTCCGGCCTTTCGGCCTCAGCAGGAGGAGCAGGAAGTGCATCTGTCGCGGCCGAAGACTTGCGCGATGTCCTCAAGGGTCTAACGGTCATCATCGTCCACGTCAAGCAAGCCCTCTTCCCTTCGTATGCAGACGCACCAGAAGAAGCCGCTTCGACTCCTACAGCGACGGATGCGGCCGAAGGACAAGGAGCAGGAGGAGCAAAGGAGAAGCCAGAAAAGGCCAAAGTCCTAGATCCTCGTACTATGCAGGTACGATTGCTTCAGGAATTGCGTGAAAAGGAGGCACAGACGCAGATGGGGGTGAGGTTTGTTATGAGCAAGCAGGGTATGAGGATAGAGATGTAGAGTGGAGAAGAGGAGAGTGGTGAGAGAGAGGAAAAGGAATGAGATAGAAAGGCAGGGGAAGAGGATGATGAGAGCGAGGATCAGGGTGAGGGGGGCAGCCTGGCTGCCAAGCTTTGCCCTGGAGCAACGGGAGAGAATTGAGCTGGGGCGATAGTCAGCAGAGACTCTGTCGTCGACTGCAACGACTCCACGTCCTCACTACAAACTCTTTCACCTCGAGGAAGAGAAAGAGTCAGCCAAGACCCTTGCCCATCCAAGTAGCGAGTTTGCACGATGGCGAGCTTCTCCGCATCCAGCTATAGCCACGACGACGACTTTGACCCTTTTTCGTATACGCATACGCATACGCATACACCCACGCCCACGCCCACGCCGACGCACACGCCCACTTTGCAGAGCACACTTGTTTCTCTCTTTTTTTTTTTTTTTTTTTTTTTTTTTTTTTGGTAGTCGCAATGACGTCTCTTTAATCTGCAGTCATCCATATCTCCAGTCGTTCAGTCAGTCGTTCAGTCGGTGAAATCTTGGTGATGTGAGAAGCGTCGACGATCTGGTACTCGGGGAAAAGCTATTCTGCACTGGCACTTGCACTTGCAATCCAAGGGAAGGTCTAGGTTCCGTTCCGGTCCGGTACTGGTAGTCTAGTCTAATCTTCGGAGCCGTTGCTGACCAAGAAAGATGTCCGTGCATAGCGCCGAGGGAGGAATGGAATGAATGAAGGGGATGATCAGTAAGTAGAATCAGATCCCTTCCTCTCCCCTTCATTCATTGCCTCTCTTCCCCTTCCTTTCACCTCTGTCCTAACCCTCTCTCTCTTCATCAACCTTCTCAAACTCAGACTCAGCTTCAGGAGATGGCGTCCAAAGTTGTTTTTCCAAAGGAAGAACCCTACAGGCCTCCTGGGTGGGAACCTGAAGAGCCTGCTAAGAGTAAATTCTTTCGAAAGATGAGAGAGCAACCACTTGTACCGCTTGGTGAGTTCGAAGGTCGAGGTGCAGTGGAGTGGAGGCAACGACGAATTTGATGCAGATGGCAGTGCAAACCTGTACTGGTACGCTGACATATCTTTTCTGACTATTACGCCGTCCCATGCTACGCTCTGCTCGGTCTGCCCCTTCCCCACCCCGTCCCCATCCCTGTCCCCCTTCAGGCTCCCTTCTGACTTGCGGCGCCCTAGTCATTGCCTCTCATCAACTACGCGTTGGCAACCGCAAAGCTTTCAATCGAGCTCTTCGCTGGCGAATCTACTTTCAAGGTCTTACAGCTATAGCTGCCGTAGGAGGAGTCTACTACTATGGTCTAGCCAAACCTGCCATTCCTCCTGAAACTCCTCTCCTAGGACCTGATGGACAACCACTCGACCCTACAGCTGCCGCTGCTGCCGCCGCCGCCTCCAGTCCGTATTCCAACGTGGCTACGATTCCTGGACGACCACCGACGAATCTTCAAGTGAACAAGCAAGGAGATCGAGAAGCTCAGAGTAGGCGGGAGTGGGAGGAGAGGATGAGGGAGGCACAAAAGAGGGAAGCAGAGGCGGAGGATCAGAGGAGATTGGAAGCGGCTTTACTCAAGGGGACTGGAGTTGCTCCTCAGAATGGAGAGATGGGAGAGGAGAGGAGGAAGAGACCGACGATTGGAAAGGATAGGAGGACAAGAGGGGAAGAGTAGAGGAGGATCGATGGGTGCGGCTAAGCAACTTGTGGATCAGATTACAGCAAGATATGACATTGTCGACCCCAGCGCCCGCCTCATCTCACCTCGTCTACACACTGGCTAATACAAGGCTTCTGCAATTGCGCTCAACCCAAACATGAAGACGATGAGCAAATTCGCCATGGCGAAATGGGTGATGCTCCTACCAATCTCCAACCAAGCTCCACTAGTCTGCACGCTAAAGAGGAAATTCAGCGCTAGGACATCGGCGGCAATCGAGGCAATCAAGACTAGTCCGTGCGACGACTCGAGACCGAGACCGCCAATGGCGTGAGGTCCAAAGAGGGGTGGGCCTGCGAGCTCTAGCGTCAGTCGAGTAGGCTTGTGCGATTGCGCACTTGTCCCGCCTCCAGTTCTGCCTGACAGTGCCTCCTTGACTTCCTTCTCCTCCTCGTCCTTGACGTCCTCCCCTGTCACCTGCCCCTCCTCTCCGGGTCGATAAGTTCCCAATACTCTCCCACTCGGCTGACCGGTGCAGAGAAAGTGGAAGACGGAGCAGAGGACGATGAATGGTACGAGGATCTTGAGGATTAGGAGTGCAGCCATTGTAAAGGGGGCAAAGACGGGTATGAGACGGTAAACTGGAGAAAGGTAAAAGGAGGAGATGGAAGCGATGTTGCCTGTACCGAAGAAGCCGACGTGCAAGAGGAACAGAAAGACTAGCGCTGTTCGCACTTCCTCCAGACCTACTGTCCGAGGTAATGCCAGAGATCCAGTCAGATGGCCAGCATTGCGAGCCTTGACTACCTTTTCCTCGAGCACGGCACCTTCCATTTTTGCCCAGATGAGCAAGGTGAGGGTGTACACGCCAAAGAACAGGGCTTCGTCCCGCAGACTGAGCAGAATGAAGAGGGGCGCAGCGGCGAAGATGATGATGGCCAGACGCTGTGCTGCTGGCTGTCTATGCTCGCCTCTTTGGAAGCCAAAGAGGAAGGGCAGGGTAGTAGCGCTACACAGTACTCCCCAACCTATGATCTGGTTCACGAGGGGCAGACCAAGCTTGTTCTGCAAGTGATACGATGAGGAGAGTGTCACAGTGGTGCTCACGGCTATGAGAGCCGTCTGAGCCTTGATGACGTGCTGGGTACGTCTCATCATCGGGTCTTCCCTTTGGCCCTTTGTCGTCGTCGTCTCCTTTGCAGCGAGGAAGATGCCCGGATACCTGACAGCTGCCACTCCCGCAGCCATAAACAGCAAGCCCGTAAAGCCAAGCAGTAGCAAGCTCTCCTCCTTCTCTACGCCGGCCAACGTAAAAAGGGCAGCGCCAACGCAGGAGAGACCCCACAGGAGGAGCAGACCCTCGTTCTTGCTCCTTTGGGCATCATCGAGGGCAGAAAATGGCCATCCGAAGCCGAGGATGAAGAAGCCCAGGGACCAGGCGTACCGCTGCAGGTAACCAAAGACGATCAGCTCCAGAGCGGCAATGAGGAAGATGAAGAGGATGGCGAGTCTCCTGGCCACGGACAGAGAGTCCTTCCGTGTCTGCTCGGCATCGTCACCACCTTCCTCTGCCCTTGATCGACTCTGATCTTGGACTGCCTTGGTCCAGACGTAGCGAATGACTCTCCGCTGATCGATGACACGACTCCATAGAAGTGCGGTAGAGGCGACGTAGGCGTAGTATGTCAGAGGCGCCTGCTCAGCGAAGAACTTGGCACAGAACAAAGCCAGCGTCGATCCTGCCAGGAGATTGCCTAACGACAGGACTCCACTTCGTGCGGAGCTATGATCGATCATCTCAGCTTCACTTGATGTCAATGCATGCGAGCGCAGTAAGTGAATGACACCGTAGAGTATGGATCCTAAGTAGCCTGCTGTGATGATGCTGACCAGCAGCAACCAGTCGTACGTTTGCAGATACTTGGCTCCCTCGAGTGCGACATCGATCAGGACGTTGCTACTGTCCATGGAGGCTTTAAAGCGGTAAGCCTTGATTTGATTCTTGATCATTGCGATTTCACGAGCTCCAGGTAAGGCGTCGGGCTCTTCCCTATCATGGAGCTTGTGGAAGGGTGCGTACCTCAGTAGGCGGTCGCGTCGCTGCTGATCTTTCACCCTGTAGATCTCGAGTACTTCGAGGGCATTAGCAAGCATAGCTCGAGCGGCTACTTCGGGAATCACATGCACGAAGCCCAGGGGCAAGCGACCCTCGGAATTCGCCGGCAGAGGTAGAGCCAGCAGAGTAGCCATCAAGGCTGTCACATCGGCCTGCTCGATGTCTTCTCGATCGAGCATCTCTAGGCCTTTCCAATCGTCATAGTAGGCGTCAGTCTCCTCTTCCTTGGCTCGGCGAGCCAGCTGTACGGCTCCTTGAGGCTCATCCCAAGCCACTGTCCGTGGCCCTCGCAAGCCGGATCCCCACGCAACAATGGGAGTCCTAGTGTTGTCGGGCTCACCATCTCCATGGTTTCCCTTTGTGCTCATGCCATGGTCAGCACTGAAGATGAAGGCGGTGCGACTCTCCTCTTGATCCTCTTCTTGGAAGAAGTCTGTGAAGAGCTCTTCAACTCGTCGCGTGATAGCATCGACAACGATGAGGTTGCCTACGTACTCCGGAGAATGAGGACGGTAGGTGTGTCCGGTGGTGTCTAAGCCCAAAAGATGCAGGAAGAACACGTTACCCGGCCGCTTCAGCTCAGCAGCGAGTGTATGGTTGGATCTGGCGGCGTCGAAGAGCTCCTCGAGTCGGTGGAGGACCCAGAGGTCCAGATGCGTGGCATCTTTGGTAAAGTCCTCGGCCGCCTCATTGTACATCCACATGTCCACACGCCCTGGCTCTGCCCCCTTTGCGAACATAGGCAGAATATCTGGCGAGCCAAAGGTGTAGGCATGTGTGGAGACGTTCATGAGCGAATCAAAGTCGACGGGATTCAACTTCCAGCCCTTTGTGACGGCGGAGACGTCTTCGTACATTCCTGCGATGAGCGCTACGTGGCCTGGCCTGCTTTCTGTGGGCACACGCGTATGGCTGATGCCCCACGTTCCTCGATTGAGTGCGATGTTGCGCAGGTGTGGTGCTGCGAAAAAGGGACCTGGAGGCTTCGAAGTGTCTATGGAAGACTTTTCGAGCTGCTTTTCAACCTTCAGTGCCGAGGTCCAGGGATAAGCATCGGCGCTGCTCTGCTGTAGATCCTTCTTGGCCCAGTCTGGGAGCATGCTCGGAGGATGCTCCTTGTAGAGCGTGTCGGCCCGTAGACCATCCCCGACTATAAGCACCAGTCGATCGGCAGGAGCTTTGATGTCTGCATCGACTGGCTCTCCATCGATGCTGTCTTTGAGCGAGTACCTCTTGGTGGGATGGACCACGGGGGAAGTAAAGTAGATGTCAAAGATGGACACTGTGAAGAGGAGGTGGAAGAGGAGCGAGAAGAGCAAGTACCGCAGCGGAGATGACCGGCGAGCGGCACCAGGTGACTGTATGCTACCATCCCGTTCACACTTGGTAGACGTGGTGGCCATGAGGATGACAGTCGACGCCCCTGGGAGCAATCGAGGTGACGAGGCCGGGGGACAAGGAAGAAGAAGAGGAGCACACGCCTTCTTTTCTTCCGACTCCGACTCTTGCGACGTGGACCGTGCTCTCGGCTGCAGCGCCTGCCGGTGGTGTGACTCGGCCGCCGTTTCCGAAGCAAGAAGCTGCGTACCAACGTCGACGAAGAACACTCCACTCCATTCTGGTACGTCGACCTGAATGCACTTGGCAAGGGCATCGTATCCCTGCATCATCCACAGAAGCTTTCAAAGAAGCGTACAGCTCGCCCTCACACAGGTCTCCTACCCTCGATTGCTCCCATCGCAACGAATTGTGCCCCACTTCCGCAACAGCAGCCATCAGCAACGCTTCTTCGCATCATCGACCCCTGCTCGCCAAAGCTACCCGAACAACATGTCTTCCTTCTTCAATGTCTCACGACTACACGACAAGGTTGTCTTCATCACCGGTGCATCCGGAGGTATCGGACGGGCCACTGCCGTCCTCTTTGCTCGCTTTGGCGCCAATGTGATCATCACTGCTCGCCGACAAGATGTACTGCAAAGTGTCGCCGAGGAATGTCAAGCGGCGAACAAGGAGGGAAAGACTGGACACGGTGGAAAAGTACATGTTGCTCAGCTTGATATGCAGCAGAGAAGCGCGCTGGACAAGGTGCGAGAGGACCTGCCTGACTGGGCCAAGGGAAAGGTTGATGTACTCGTCAACAATGCTGGGCTGGTCATTGGAGTCGAGAAGGTAGGAGACATCAGCCCGGAAGACAGTGAGTACGCGGCGTTGTGCACGCAAACTGTAGATCCCCTCATCAGTGCTTGACACCGGCATCACCTTCTACTCCGGTCATCCCTGCAGTCGACGTCATGTACAATACCAATGTCCTCGGTCTGATCCACCTCACGCAGCGCTTCGTGACCGACTTTAAGAAGCGAGGGTCAGGCCACATTATCCAACTGGGCAGCATCGCCGGTCGCGAGGCGTACCCTGCTGGATCCATCTACTGTTCGAGCAAAGCAGCCGTACGTGCCTTTACCTCGAGTCTGCTCAAGGAGCTCGTGGACACCCCGATCAGGGTTTCAGAAGTTCAGCGTGAGTGTGCAGTCATGGCAAAGAAGTCGCGCAGTCGTCCGTCGAAGCTGACTACTCCACTCGCACGTTACGTCTTTGTATCGCCCGCTCGCACAGCCGGAATGGTCGAGACGGACTTTTCGACTACGCGCTACCGCGGTGACAAGGCTGCTTCTGCCAAAGTCTACGAAGGGCTGGATGCGCTGCAGAGCGAGGACATTGCCGAAGAGATTGTCTGGATTGCCAACCGCCCACCGCACGTGAATGTCGCCGAGACACTGGTGTTCCCCGTGAACCAGGCGAGCCCGTACCATAATCATCGACCAGGAAAGAAGGCGGCCTGAAGCGGATTGAACGCGCAGTTGCTATACAAGCAATGCAAAAGCTCAATGTGCCGATCATGGCGGTGTTTACGACTGTGTCACGAGAAGGGTGTATTCTCGACTCTGTCTGTCATGCTGGCAATTGCTGCGACTTTGACAGACCGTGTCGACGTGGAATCTTGACGACATCGTCTCAGCGCTGGCCTTGCATTTGACTCTTACTGGTGAGGCAAGAGAGTGAGTGCGCCATGAGGGGCGATGAGGCCTGCCTTGCTTGCTTGCTGCCCTGTCCTGATGCGGGCGCGTTTGAGCGGAGCGGAGGCGTGGGAAGAGGTGGCTGGGCTCACCTGTTGCTGGCAGGCGCTCAGCCACGCGGCAGCACCGCTGGAGGCCAGACCAGGGCCAGCCACGCGCCAGAAGCCACACCGGCCACGCACACGCACACAGACACACACACACACACACACACCCGCACTCACTCTCACACTCGCCTTGGTACACAACAAGGCTTCTCCTTCTTACCTTCATCCTTCTTCTTCTTCTCCTATTGCCTCGTCCTCTTCCATTGACGTCTCTCCTTCGACTGCAAATCGCGCTTGGTCGGTCAGGTACCCGCAACCACTACGTCACCTCGAAGCAGCGCGCTTGCCGCCCCGCCAAAGAGGAGAGAGCAACACCCGATCCACATCCCGCCCGGGCAGTTTGACGTCCCCAACCCCTTCCTTCCTTCCTTCCTCCCCTCCCGAGTCCAGTCGTCGCATACAGGTGCCTCTGCACTCACACACAAGCTTCCCATCCATGTCACTATCGACATCTTCTGGCCTCCTTCATCGCAAAACCTCTTCCTCGTCCCTCTCCTCTGCCTCTCCTTCTCCTCTCGCTTACTCAAGAGGGCTTCCCATCCCAACTCCATCTCCGCCTCAGGCCTCTCCTCTTGCCATCGAGGGCTCTCCACGTAGCAGAGGACTCTACAGCTCCCTCGACATCGATCCAGAGAATCCCGCATCCTACCTAGATCGAAGGAACCGATTCAGCGGCATCGGAAGATCCAGCTCCCTCCGCAGCTCCTCCTCGAGCAGCTCCCTCGCTCGCAACTACCACGCCGAAGAAGGTCACGAAGCCTTTTCTTCCTCTCCACAGCAGAGGGCCTACGACGATAACCTCTACAGGGCAGACAACAAGTCTCCTCTCCTCCCACTCAACACTCCTCCTCGTAGTCCAAGTCACAAGGTAGACACCAATCCCTTCGACACTCACTACTCTTCCCCCAAGCGCATGCCCAGCCAAATCTTCGCAAGTGGCCTACACGCAAGACAATCCTCGAATCCTCATCAACCTTCAAAACTCGGTCTAGGTTTCACTCCATACGGCATGGGTCCTTCAGCTACAGCAGACGGACGGAATCAGGGCTTCATTTCAATCAGCAACGGCGACGAGGGAGAGGACAAGATGACCGAAAAGATGAAGGCTAGCGGAGCTGATGGCGTCTACGGACGTGCTGGAATGGATCCCATTGCTGGCACTGGAGATGGCAAGACGGGCAAATATGCCAGCATGTTGCCTGAACAAGCACCACCCCGGACCCCATTGGAGCACGCTTACCGGCTCTTGGACCAAGAGCACTTCTGCACTGCCCTGTACTTTGTCCTCGCACTCATCACCAGACTCTATCGCATCGGCAAGTCGCCCACCGTCATTTGGGACGAAGCTCACTTTGGCAAGTTCGGATCGCATTACCTCAAGCACGAATTCTACTTTGACGTTCACCCTCCCTTGGGCAAGATGCTGGTGGGACTGGCCGGACTTTTGTCTGGGTACAATGGCTCCTTCGAATTCAAGTCGGGCGAGAGCTATCCCGAAGGCTCTCAGTACTACGTAGGAATGAGGATCATCCTCGCCCTCTTCGGTGTCGCCATGGTTCCCGTCGCCTGGAGCTCGTCTGGTGCTCTGGGCTGGAACAAGCGCAGTAGACATCTCCTCGCCATCATGGTTCTCTGCGACAATGCCTGGCTCGTCATCTCCCGTTTCATCCTTCTCGACTCTATGCTCCTCTGCTTTACCTTTACCACCGTGCACGGCCTGTTGATGTTCCACCAGCAACAGAGGCGACCGTTCTCGACCAAGTGGTGGTTCTGGTTGACCTTTACTGGTCTGAGCATAGGCTGTGTGATGAGCGTCAAGTGGGTCGGCCTCTTCGTCATGTCACTGGTTGGACTTTACACCATCGAGGACCTCTGGGATCGCTTCGGTGATCTCAAGATGCCAGTTCGAACCTACCTGCGCCATTGGTGTGCCCGGGCTCTGTGCTTGCTCGCCATTCCATTGACCGTCTATCTCATCTCCTTCAAGCTGCACTTTATGATCCTATCACACTCTGGACCAGGAGACGCTCAGATGTCCTCGTTGTTCCAAGCTCACTTGACCGGCAATGACTTTGCGGACTCGCCCCTCGAGGTGGCCTACGGGTCTAGGTTGACCTTCAAGAATATGGGCTACGGTGGTGGACTGCTCCACTCGCATATTCAGACGTACCCCGTGGGCTCTCAGCAGCAGCAAGTCACTTGCTACCACTACAAGGACAACAACAACGAATTCATCGTCACTCCTGTCATCGAACAGCCACAATTACCCGCAGCAGGATCGGAAGCCGAGAAGACTGCCCCTCTGCGAATGCTGCGAAATGGCGATACGATCCGCCTGCGCCACGTCCAGACGGGTCGCAACCTCCACTCGCACAAGGTGGCTGCACCTGTCACCAAGGAGAATTACGAAGTCAGCGCCTACGGCAATGACACCGTCAGCGACGCCAATGATTACTGGGTCGTAGACATGGTTGACGATATGCACCAGGGCAAGGCCAAGCCAGGCATGCAAGTCCAGTCCCTCACGAGCAGGATCCGCTTCCGACACCAAAACCTCAACTGCTACCTTCGCGCTGCAAACGCTGTGCTGCCCCAGTGGGGATGGAAGCAAGTCGAGGTGTCTTGTGACAAGGAGAACAACCCCAAGGATGAGCACACCTACTGGAATGTCGAATCACACTGGAACGATCGACTGCCCGCTGGCAACACGAAGCTGTACAAGTCACCCTTCCTGCGCGACTTTATCCACTTGAACGTCGCGATGATGACTTCCAATAATGCACTGGTGCCCGATGCCGACAAGGAGGATCTCCTAGCTTCGATGCCCTTTGACTGGCCTCTCCTCTGGAATGGTCTAAGGATGAACTCCTGGGCCGATTCGGCAACGAAGTACTACCTCATCGGCAACCCAGTCATCTGGTGGGGCTCCACCGTCTCCATCTTCGTCTTCCTCGGTACTCTCCTCTTCTACCTGGCGCGCATGCAAAGGCGTCACGCCGACCTCTCTCCCGCTTCTTTCAATCAATTCGTCTTTGTAGGAAAGGTGGGCTTCTTTGGTTGGTTCTTGCACTTTTTGCCATTTACAGTCATGGCGAGGGTATGCTACATCCACCACTATCTACCTACACTCTACTTTGCTTGCATACTCTACGTGCACGTATTGGACCACTTTTTGTTCAATGACGCGACCGCCAGGTACAAGTTCATCAAAGGCGATGCCCTCTCCACCTCTTCTGGCCCCACTTCCAACACCGGCAAAGGCAGCAGCAGCAGCAGCAGCAGCTCCAAAGGTCAAGTCGCTCCTCCCGAAATCGTCTATCCAGACTCTGGTCTTCGTAGACCCATCAGTCCCGCCATTAAGAATCTCCTCTTTCTCATCATTGCAGGTGCCATTGTTGGCACATTTGCCTTTTTCCACAAGACGGCACTAGGAATCGATGGACCGGTTTGGAAGTATGCGGGCAGGAAATGGAGAAATAGTTGGAACATCTATGATTGATGATTAGAGTGTGGATGGAGAGGGGAGAGGAAAGGTGAGGGTGATGGTGTGAGGGTGGAGTGGAGTGGAGTGGAGTGGAATTGAGAGGCTCAGTCGCGTAGGAATGGGCCGACTGAGGCTATCAAGGATGGCTCAAGTGGCGTCGAGCCGAGTCCAGCATCGGCGCCCGAGTGACTGGGGCGAGAATCTGAGATACGAATGAAGGCGAGATCGTCTCTCAATCATAGTGGGAGCGGGTCCGGGGCATCGAAGGTAGCGAGGCCGAAGAATCACTGCAATCCCGCACTACGTCTTTGTACCTTCTTTCTTTCTTTCTTCCTTCTTCTTGGAAAATAAAAGCAATCTCTTTGGGAAAGTCAATTCTCAATCTTTGGATTGCGCGATTCTATGACAGACAGACACCATGACCACCCTTTCCCCTTGCTTCCCTTGTCTTGGTCTGCGCTGCCCATCTCTCCCTCATCGACGTTCCACCAGTACATCCAGCAGCTGCCTGCCTTCCTACCTACACCCATCCACCCACCTACACTCCTCCATCTCAGCCCCAAGGCCAAGGCCAACCCCACGTTCATCTCAGCTCTCAGCCAAGAGTCGCTCCAATGCCTTTTCAACTCTATAGTTGCTCTTTTCTAGCGCAGCAATGACCTTGTGTCGTGGGAAACCCATTCCCGCCAATTGTCGTACGGGAGGAGCATCATCCGCTAGAGCAGGACTGGCGCGCGGTGCACCAGAACCGGCACTGGCACTGTTGCCCGACTGAGGCACGGATAGACCCGAGCCCGAGCCCGAGCCCGCACCTGCAGGAGCTGCAGTCTCTGGCGGTGGAGGGCCGGGAGGTGGAGCATAGTAGCTGGCGCTGCTGTTGTAATTGTAATTCGAGTCGGGCGCGCCTCCAGACGAGGAGACGGGTGCCGCAGTCGGTGCTCCTGTCCCGTCAGCCGAAGGGGCAAAGGCGTCTTCAAACGAAAAGGCAGACGAGTCTGTGCCTCCACTGTGACTGGTATTGGCCCCCGTGGCTCCTCCGCCCCTTCCCGTTTGTGTCGAGGGAGAGAAGTTGCCATACGAGCCAAAGTTGATGGGAGGGGCAGCGCCGCCTGTCGAAGTCCTCTGCGGCGCAGCTGATGTCGTTGAGCCCTGCTGAGGAGCGCCGCCAAAGGCGTCGTCGAAGCCGTCAAAGGCACTGTCAGTGGTAGTGGACTGGGTTACACCAGAACCGAAAGGCTGCTGGGCACCCATGCCACCCTGTCCTCCAGCAGCAGCGCTTGGCTGGGCCCCGCTTCCAAAGGAGGGCACAAAGTCAAAGTCGGCATCGTCATCGAAGGCATCTTCGAATCCACCACTACCGGTGCTGGAGGGGGCGGCACCTCCGGCTACCGATCGCTGGCCAGCCGTCTCCTTCACTGGACCCAAGTCTGCAAAGGAGGCTTCAAAGTCATCGAAAGAAGTGTCCTTGCTGCCGGTCGTGCCCATTGACTGACCTGCTGCTGGCTGAGCAGCAGTGGTAGTTGCAGTCGTAGTCGTAGTAGAGCCAGAAGTGCTTCGGACAGGAGGAGGCGGGGCTGCTCGTCTGGTCTTGAGGCTACTAGATGGACTCAGGGGCCTTGAGCTCGCAGAAGTGTCAGCGATCGCTGAGCCGGCAAGAGATCGAGTAGAGTCAGTGACTGGCGGAGGCCCGGGACGAGAGGCTGCTAGGGGCAGGACACTGGATGACAGGCCCTCGCTGGCTCTTTGGGCAGGGCTGTAGTCCCCAGAGGGCGCATCGACAAAGGCATCGGACACCCCTGTGTTCTGAGTACTGACGAAACCGGAAGCAGCGCCGGTCGACTGGTACGAGGTCGAGCTAGGCATAGCACCCGCAAAGTCTCCTCTCGAGGGCAGTGTGTCAACATCTTGTCCGACACCAGCTGAACCGACATTGGCCGCCGAGGGCTCGAGACTGGCGCCAGAGGGCAATTCCGGGAACCTCTCTTCCGCCTGAGCGGTCGAGCCAGCAGACGGCAGCACGCTGGTTGCAGCGTCGCCGGCTTGGCTGGGGTCATTCAGATCGTTGGCTTGCGTACTGCCAAGGCCGGAATCGCCCAGGCCAGCTGCATAGCCTCGGTATCCTCTGCCCTCGTTCTCGAGATCTTCTGGGCCATCATCCTCGTCACCAGAGGACAGAGTATCGTCTGCATCAATGTCCCGAGCAGGTGACTTGCCCTTGTCCACAATTGTTGCTGGAAGCGCCTCTTCATCGCTTGAGGGCTCATCAGCCGTCGAAGCAGGAGCTGTGGTAGTCAGACCCTCGCTGGCAGTATTGTCGATGGAGGAGACCCCGGTCGAGGCTGCATTGGGCGGATCGTCAAAGTCACCAAAAGCATCGTCAAAAGCAGCGCTGTTGCTACCAGTGGCGGCGGCAGCTTGGGGCGCGGCAGTCGAAGAAGGAGCAAAGTCGTCGCCGAAGGCATCGTCGAAAGCATCGTGCTGCGTGCTTTGGACAGGAGCCACCGATTGCGATGTAGGATTGGGTGAAGCGGAGGTGTTCCAGGGGTCCTCTGTGGCATCGTTGCCGATTCCGCGGCTCTGAGAGTCAGTCGTCTGCTGTTCCATGCCTTGGTGAGATTCTGCGAGGTGCATCGCACCTGCGCCCACTACAGCGGCACCCACACCAGCGGCAGCGCCTGCGCCAATCGTTGCAGCAGAGAGCGAAGGAGATGCAGCGCTGTTGCTCTGGGGAGGTGCTGGAGAAGAGGCTTTGAATCGATCAAAGGGATTGTTGCTTCTGACACTAGCTGCTGGACTCTTGACGGCTTCGAGGCCGCCAGGAACAGTGGCCTCCTCTTGAGGGGCCTCTACCTCGTCCTGACCATAGCCGGCTGGACCGGCGTCTCTGCTGGCAGTCTCAGCGGCAGCCAAATGCTCAGCCTTTTCTGTCTGAAGCTTCTCTCTCTCCCCCTCTGCTGTGCTCAATTGCTTCTTGCCAATGGCGACCATACCCTTCTGCTGGCGAGCATCTTTCTTGAGCTTCTCAACTTCGGCTCTGAGGGCCGTCAGCTCAGTCTGCACCTCGCTCAAGTTCTTCTTTGTAGTGCGAATCTCCTCGCGATCGTGCATCACTTGCTGTTCAATCTCGTCCTTTTCACCCTTGAGGCGAGACAATTCGGACTCACCCGAGATGAGCTCATCTCGAAGGGTCTTCAATTCACCTGCTTGCTTCTCCTTTCTAGCTTCGAGCTCCTTGACGAGGCGACTCTCTGTCTCATGGGTCGACCGCACCGTTGAGAGCCGAGATTCGAGTTCGGCGAGGGAAGACGCCCCTTGCGCGATCCCAGTCTCCAGACCACTGCGACGGCTTTGTAGGTCTGAGACTGCACGCTCGGTACTGTTGAGCTGCAAGGTCTTGTTCCCGAACTCAGCACTTTGATCGATGGGCAGTTGAGCATTGGGTGCTGGCGTTGATCGGGAGCCGGCGGCAGGGGGTGACCCTACCCTTGCGGCCGTAGAGTCGCCTCCAAAGAAAGCGTCTTCATCGAAGGGACTACCGACGGCTGAGCGGGAAGGAGGTGGAACTGAGGCTCCGGCAGCCAAGGGCGCTCCCGCAGTGGGCGCAGCGAAAGCACTCGCAGCGGAGATCGGCAAGGAAGTAGGCTCATCGTCATCGTCCATGAGGGAGAAGAGGTCCTTTTGCGTATCAGTTTGCTGGGGGTTGACAGCTTCTGGTAGCTTCTGGCCTCGCAAGCTCGGTGGAACGAGGTTGGCGGGAAGCTCCTGAGGCACTTCAGTCCCAGTCAGAGCTGCGTTGATGAGATACATGGCTACGGCGAATTCGTCCCGGCCAAGAGAGCCCGTCTGAGTGATATCCGATAAATCCCTGGGAGGAGCCGTAGACGAAGGCCAGAACGGCAAAGTCAGCTCTATTCGCGATTTCTTCGGCTTACTGCAAATACTCACCAGATGTTAGCCAGGACTTGCTCACTGAGCTTACTTTGCATGAAGAAAGGTACCACCACCTGCCCGTCCAGTACGCCCTTCTTCTCGGTGTCGAGGCCATCGAAGAAGCGGTCGGCCTTGGCCTTCTCTTCGGCATTCACAGCCCAATCGCTCATGGAGCTACCGAAAGGCCCACCGAAGCCTTGTCCGGTCCTTTGAGGGCCGAGCGCGCCCGAGCCAAGGGCAGGCGAGCCAGCACCACTGACAGACATTCCACGAGCTCCCGTATGAGTGGGAGAGAGGGTAGCATTGTGCAACGGAGCATTTCCGCCTCCGTATTGCTGTCCCGTCAATTGCCGAGGGATAGCCGATGGGCCGGTAGTCTGAGCTCTCAGAGGGCTGGAAGGGTAACCTGCTGACCCTCCAGCGGCTGCCTCGTAGAGTCCCTGCGGGAGCGTCGGTGGGATGGCAGAGATGCTTCCACTCATGGAGCCCTGGATGAAGTACATCCCGATGACAAAGTCGGTGAGATCGAGGGCGCCTCTTGACTTGGTATCTGCGAGATTCCAGATGGCGCCAAGCTTGTCGAAGGGGAGCTTCGATTTGACGAAGATGTCCTTTGCCTTTTCTCCGTCGAGGAGACCGCCTGAGGGACCAGCCGTTGCGAAGATGCGAGTGTACCGAGCGCGATCATCCGGCTTGATTTCGATGCCAGGTGTCTGAGCCGATCCGGTGCGTTGGGGGCTCAGCGGCGTTCCTGCAGGAGGCAAGTTGGGCAGCTGGATGCCCTCGAGGATAGGAGGTGGACCAGGCTTGCTGATGAGGACCTCATCTGGCGTCTCTCCTCGCTGAGCATGTCCAATGAGACGGAGCGCGACGCTGAAGGTAGGAGCTGTGAGGAAGCCATTGTTGGTAGAGTCGGCAATGGACCAAATCTGACCTAGCACAGCAGGGGCAAGGCGGGCCTTTGCAAAGAAGGGCACTGCTGCAGAGCCCTGAACGATGCCTGAATTGCTGGGATCGGCCAGAGAGAAGTAGTGGGCAAAGGCAAGACGTTCGGGGGGAGACAGCTGCAGGTTGTTGGCTAGGACACCCAACGGGGAAGGGGAGGAAAGGTGGATGTTAGTGCCAGATCGGAGACTTGCATTCCCATACGCAGACGGTGCTCACCACCGCTGCCTCCGCCGCCTGGCGTAGCAGGAGAAGGTCGAGCCATCGAAGCTGAGGATCGGGAGGTCGTTGCTGGGAAGCAGGATAGTTGGAAGGATGTGGATGGTCAAGGCTGGGGACTGATGAGGCAGGACAGGACATCGACGGCCGCCCCCGCCCGGCCCCTCCGCTCCACTTGGGCTGAGCGCGTGTGGGGCGATGATGGCAGAGTAGGTAGACCCATGTGTCCCGGTGAGGTATATCTACGCACACCCAGGACCATGCCTCCATCAATTCCACTCCATCCCGGCTAGCTCAGTTGGTAGAGCGCTTGACTCTTAAATTGTAGAGAAGTCCATCAAGATGTCGAGGGTTCGAGCCCCTCGTTGGGAGCTGGATTTACCTTTTTGCCGTTTTCTCGTTTGCTCGGTTCTGCCGACGTCAGCGCCTCTTTTTGCCAGGAAGAGCAAGATGTGTTCTGCAAAGTGTCCGTTGCAGGATCAGTCGTGTCACACGCAGTTCCGGTGTCAAGATCATCCGATGTAAGTCAATGCATTGCATGCCGGAATGTAATGCGATATGAGATTGTGTGTGTGCAGGGGATGAAGCCATCTTGGTGTGAGGTGACTTGAAGTCCAAAAAGAAGGGAAAAGGAAGAGAGCAAGTAGAAGAAGTGGGGATGCAAAGAAGGTGTTGCGGGATAGATTATGATGTCGACCCTGCGCCTTTTCTTCTTTTCTATGTGCCCTCTGCTGTTGTCTGTTTACCCCTCACGCTCGTACTCGCACTCGTACTGCCCCTCTTCCCCGCCGCTCACGCGACGCCCAATCTCTTCTTTGAGTTCTCATAGCAGACGTACGAGATGCTCACTGCCGGCACTACCTTTGCCAGCGTAGGGATGAGTCCTCTGTAGAATCCAACAAAGCCTTCCCGGACATAGGTGCGCTTCCAGGCGTCGAGGAAACCCGTGTAGACTTGTGGGTGAGCGGGGGTGCCTGCTGCTTGCAGACGAGTACGGATGAGGCTGGTGTTGAGAGGGGGAGGGAGGGGG